AACCTATACCTAGCAGATATGTAAATATCCCCTTGCAGTGCAACGCCAATATTGAACGAGTACCTAGGTACTTGAACTTTGTGCAATTAACCAGAGTCTAAATACATGAGCCACTAAACAAAGAATAATTTTACAAAATACGGGGATACACATTGGTTACTGGTGCTGATGCTGACATGATGATACTAGTTAAGGCAACCCCCAGGAGGTAACACGTTGGGCATATTTCTTTTCATCTTGTCCTCCATTCGCACAGCACAGTAGTATCCACATAGCATAAAATCGCCAGTCGATAAGAAACAGTAAGGACCAAGCACAGCGATTACGCAGAAAAATGCTTCTGTAATTTGACTTGCCATTCTTTCTTGACCTCATCGTGGAAAGTGTCATCGGCGAGCAGATCTCATGCCGCATGAGCAACCGGTGTCCCAACCTGCACAGCATGATAGACGATATCATCCGTGCCCGATGCTTCTGTTAAGCCTTGGTGGTGCATGGTGATATCTGGTGAACAGTTAATGGCATAATAGGCGTGTACTCCCAGACATTCATAGGTTATATTACCTATGATAAACAAATAGTCAGTTCCTCTAGAACTTAGCTGCAAAGGAAAGATGGAGAATGGGTTGGCCTTCTCTCCTTTCAAGCTGTTTGTGATATCTGCATAACTCTGGCGGAGAGATTCTTGACAACTTGGTCGGTGTACATATTGCCTCTGAGGAGGTGAAGAAAGGCATTAGCCAAGATGTTTCTAGGTAGGGAGCATGAAAATGGACCCAATCCAAAATCTCAACAGAGCATCCTGTAGCAGTTGCAGCAGCCTCAAACAAGCAACAACACGCTTCGAGAGTGCTGACAATGTCCATTTTGAGAGACTGCGCGCTACCCACATAGACATGGTGTAATGACCGGTTGTGCTCGGGACTTGAGGTCCCTTTATTATGACGCCGTGAAGCCGTTCTTCAGAGAGCGCTTGTTGCCTGAGGAAGGCGATCTTTCTGTACGCTGCCACTGCGGGATTAAATGGGTTTAGGTCTTGATGCGGGAATCCAGCTGCGTGGGCCGATTTGCCGTGGATGTTCAACCATGCAACGCATTATTGCCAATTTTGAGATGGTATCAACGCCGGTCATGTCACTTTAAGAGAGAGATACTGACCCCCCACCGCAGATGATCAGCCGGATGGCTTTGTGGACTAATCACCACGACACAAAGACATCCACCTTCAGCCTTGGTGGCAGCATAATCGACTTGCTGAACGAGAAATAACCGGAATCAACACAAGAAATCTAGGAAATTTTAAACGGTGCCTTGCGGGATGCTTGGGGGTTGATATACTCAGCATTTGAAGACCTGTGGGACATGGGGGTGGACTAGTTAGCGAGGCTGGATCATGAACTTGCAATTCTACGGTATAGACCCATGAATATAGAGTTAGGTTACAACGCAAAACCCAAGAGATATACTTCAATTTGGCCGCGAATTGAAACTCTGAGAGCAGGTGTTGTTTCACTTAGATAATTCCCTGTACGCTGGATAATTCTAACTACCATTTCCCCCCTAGAAACTCCTGCCCTTGATCCCACCTGTCATGTCCCGAGGGAGCAAAAGAAGCACGATCCTTTCTAACATGTGAGTCATTGTTGCCGAATTCTTGGCCCTAGTATCCGGCATGATAGATTAACGTACGGTGTTCTTCCGCCGTGGAGTGTATCCTAAGTCCTTCATGTCTGTGCCTATCTGCGTCAACGAGAATACAGATGCATCAACAGCGGAAATGACCTGAGTCTCATCTTGAGAAAATTGCTACGGAGAATTGATAGGGTGTAAGAGTGCTCCCTTGTCCCTGAAGAAACCAGGCAGACACTAATTGCCTACTTTTTTTTTTTTTTTTTTTCCAAACCTAGTCTCATGCCACTTCTGTGATTCACTTACCTGCTGCAACTACCAGACAAAGTAGCTATAGGGTACTCAGTTCACTTAAATATGCGAGAAGATGTTGGACTTGTTGGTGACGAATGCTTTTGTGTGAACATGCTTGGGTGTATGCTAGTGAATTTGGGCTTTTAGTCAGTCAGTGTTCCCTCTGGTGATCCAGGCATGCCAATGGATTTGGCTGATTGTTGTTTCTGATCTATTTCCAACGTATTAACGTTACTGGGTTTGGGTACTCAGGGCTTCAGGATTTGTTATATCAGCTGCCTTTATCAGCAACCCAGATCCGCCTAGTTGCAATATGCTCACTATGCGGGCACTACATCAAAAACTCCTGTACTATTCTTCTCATCATGTATGCTAAAAAGCTTTGCGGTTTGATGATTATCGTCTAATAAATACACAAGTAGGGTTCTAATAATACTGCCGAGAACTTCAGAGACTTTACATCCTAGAAGAGAACAAATTGAGTACTTCATTTAGCATCTCCATCATGGATGCCTTTGCGTCCATGATACCAATCGTCATGTCCATAGTCTCATCCAACTGTGTTGGCAACACGAAAAAAGACACCTGTTGGTACTATGCTATTTGTGTCATATTGTGCTAGGAATATAACCAACATCTGTTGACTTATGTTGATTTTGGAATTGAAAATAACAACCTTTCATTGGATTACATGATATGTAGATAAAAATAGAATAATTGCTCTTTTCATAAATTACTGTATATGTAGTGGATTTCTACATATTTGGCAAAGAAACGCCCTTCATCCCAGTATCTCTTAGATGTTAGATCTCTAGCATTATATCGTCACCCTAGGTGCCCAGGTGATTAATGGTACCACCGCCACTGCAAAATATCTACGTAGGGACTATATGCAGCAACTTTTAACATATCACTGCAATGAGGAAATAGTATTTTCAAATGAATACATCGGTATGACTAACTTATGCCTGTGTATCTGCTGTGGAAGGGTTGAACAGTTGGAAGTGAGGCGCTAATACATAGGTATTGGTATAGAACTTCTAAGCTAACGTAAATTATATTAACATCCTCCGTACATCTAGAGCGTAAGCGCAGTCAAGGTTCGCAAAGGGTGCAAGGGTTGATTATGCCTAAACCGAACGGCTTTATCTGGAACTTATGCCAAGATATGTTCTGATGAGGCACCTCTTCATTGATTTTTACAGCTATTCCATTAGATTTCAGACTATGCTGTAGGAATGATGTTTTGCATTAAGTTTTACTCTCAATCATTTTTAAAAGCTGAAAACCCCTGCTACAACTAGCTAGTGAGTAGTTGCCTAGATGACGTTATGCCAGCCATTACATCATTGCGGATCAGAGCTGAAGATGATGACTACCAATCTGTATCGGTCATTGATAAGTCAGACTGGCTGTTCAAACAGTTGAATGTTCGTAGAGATAAGTCCAAGATCAACAGCCCTCAACTCGAGAAGGTAAGTTGAATAGTGCGGGAAGGCTATCATATATAATGCGTTGAGCGTACTTCCTTGATTCCTTTAGAGTATTATTAGCCAGATATCTATTCACTAAAGAGTATTAGTTATCATCGTAATTTATATTGACATGGGCCTAGCCATTTAGCTATTGAGAATTTTTGACACGCTGCAGCAAGGCATTTCAGCGCTCAAGGTCTGGACCACCCCGAAGGAAAGAGTAAGGAAGTCTTGAAGTACGGGGTATAGGATGAGAGTGGACAACAGATGGAGAAGAGCATCGAAACATCATTTGACCTTCCTACCCCCCCCCTCCCCGGTAAGCCTTCACGATTCACCCGGTAGGCAATGTACGCTTCTTACGTAGCGATGTGCATATATACGAAGTGTTGCTGTGGGGACGGGCGGGGTTAAACTTTTCGTATCAAACTGCCATCCATGTCAGCTGTCCCTTGAGTCAGGATGAGACACGGGGTGAGATCCAGTCTTTTGGGCGCTGAATTTGGTGAACCAAGAAGTAAAACCGGCCCAGAAGGTTACAAACATGATGTGTGAATGGAGTGAGCACTAAGCACAAAGTGTATTTCACAATTCAATCACACAAACCATGTCGTTCCACTATACTTGATCAGGCATTTATGTATTTTAGACCTGAAGTCGAAGTATGCGTTGGGGCCCACTTCGGCTTTTTCATGTGGGCCCCAGGCCGTCTTTCCGTGCCGCAGCGGGCGCCAATAGGAATAGCGGGATAGTAAGTTATATGAAAGTCCGGAGCACCTTGTGCTCTGTAGATACTCAGGTACTAAGGTTTGTTCAACGGTTTGTTCAACAATCGTGGGCTAGCGAGCGGACCGCCTCTAAGTTACGACCATCCCTCACGGCGTGTATAGTACCTAAAATATAGTATATAGTTAGGTACAAACGATGTTCCACACACATGGAGGGCTTAGGTTGGTTCCTCAGGTGTATGTTTGCCGAAGCCATCTCAGCAGCCATCCAGCCGCTTACTCCGGCCGTGGGAACCGAATGGGCGTATACAATCATTGGGCTAGCGTATGTAGTTTGTTCGTCAGCGCTGATCATAGTCGTGAAACGCGGATTGATATGGCGGCAGAGGAAACAAGCAAGGGAAAATGTACGCCTGGCAAAAAATGAAGAGGCGAGAATTGGTGGGAATATGCAGGCGACCAATGAAAAGTGGTAGGCAGCATGTAGTTCTGTACGTGATTTTCAAAAAGTTATGTATGTATCAATGATAGAATGAAAGGCACCTAGAAAGAACAGCAATATCAGTCTGTTCCTCGTATACACCCAAGGCTGTACTTGTGCTGCCTCCTATATCCGGATGATCTATCATAAGGTTAGGAGCAGATATTCTTCTACATAGTGTCTAGGTAGAGAGTTGCATGCTTCTAGTAACCCACCCGCAACATACCTTGCATCCAAGGGTTTCTAGGTACATAACAACATGCAGTGCCACCATCGCCGACATTACCTTTTACATGGCTTATAAGCTCTGGTATTGATAGAATACGTGCGACTTGTATTTATACGTGGCTTCAGTTGGCCTGTTCTTCTTAACGTTCACGTAGAATTCGCATTTTAGAAGTAACCTAGTTCCTTGTCAGGCGCCCTAAGCGGGCTTTTATCTTCTTCATACCTACTCTCAAGTACCACAAGGCTCAAATAGTCCCGGAAATTGTGAAAAACGTTCAAACCGGGCCCACCCCATCCTTGCTGATACCAGCAAGACTGCAAATTTCTCAACTGTGCCCAGCTTCCATGGTACTCTTTCACCAGGTTATCTAGGACTCTTTTTCCCGGCTCCGCTGCTTCACTATAGGCCTTCTCCAAGGTACTTTTCGCTTTCTCCAGCAATTCTCCCTGAAAATACCATAAATACTTCGTGCCCTGCCCGTCATTTTCGTACATCGCGATTCCCCCACAATCAATATTCGGCCACTCGATGGACGCAGACAGTCTGGCCCCAGGGAGAAGTTCTAATTGATAACTGCTCATCCAATCTGGGCTTTCTTCCCACAATAGAAGCTCAACTTTGGGAAAGGGTCTCTCAAGCCCCAAATAAGGACCTGAGACAACGAGGCGCGTACCGTTGGTAAGAGCGTAAAACTCTTTAAGATCCTCTGGCAGTGAACAGCCTAGTCTTAGCTCCACTTCCTTAATTCGAGCTGTAGTTGCTGGTGTTCGCAAAATAGTTTTTGGGGCAGTAAATATTGCATTTTGTCCTCCAGCTTGGCCTTCTGTTTGCTCATCGTCATCGTCTGTTACGTATCCGTACTCTTCGTATAGCTTTGGGAACCGCAGTGTATTCCTATCAAGCTCTTCAAGCATTTCGACTAAAGGTCTACCCTTGAATACATCGCTGGCTCGGAGTCTACCATCTTGTAGCCTTTGCTTTGTCGTGTCGCGGACGAACTCCGCATACTGTTTGAGCTCATCATCTGATACTCCGATTTTATCACGTAACCAGCCAGAGAGAAAGTATTGCTTCCATGCAGGCCTGATGTAAGTTAGATACTCCGATTGCTTGTTTGCATCAAGACGGCTGACAATGCGAGTCATAATGCCGTCGGCCTCGCTAAATTTGTTGAGGTGCAATGCAATGCACAAAAGACCGACTAGGCCGGAAGAAAGAAGCATTGCCTGTTCTGGTTATCAGCCGGTTTGGGCAATCCCAAGAGGAAGTAGAAACGAAGGACATACATCATGCCCCGTGGTCGCATCTAAGCCCCCATTGCTCCCTCGTTCCGACTCGACGTTCTGTACCCATGTTTTCAATTTCCCAAAATCTTCTTCTGTGCTACCTTTGCCGAAAGTCAGATCTTCCGGTAAGTATGGTATCCGTTGAAGTAATTCCTGCTCTAGAGATTCCAGATTTTCCTCATCGAATACTATCTCCGCAACTAGTCCGGCCGGTGGTGAAAGCCCGGCACCTTCATACATAAAATAAACACCTTCGGAAACAAGTCGAATGAATGGACGATCGTGGTATGTTTCAGACCTTTCGTGTGCGATAATTTCGAGAATTGAGCATGCTTCGTGAACCTTGTTGAGCAATGCGAGCTCCAAGGCTTTCCGGGAGGCAATGACTGCGACGTCGTGGTCCGAGTCGATGTAGAGGGCGCTGAGAGAGTAAAAGCCACGAAGAAAACCTGCCATTTTTATCTCCTCCTTCTTGATTAAGTGAGAAATTCAGAATTCTCTCTGGCATCCGTAAGACCGCGGCCATACCTTGGTAGAGCGGGGGAATCTTTAGCTCTTCGCTAGTTTCACGGGCGCCACGTATCTTTTGCTGCTGGACAGAACAACTGTCAAGCAATCTAGCAACTTATTGTTCAATCGTGACTTCTAGGACGTCGCTATTCATTCCGCCTTCATGCCTTTCTACCCCTTGATCATCAAATTCTAGGAAGTGTGCATCTAGCTCAATAGTAGGCGACGGCTGGTTGTATCGTTGATCGTGCAGATAAGTGCATCCCTAAGTCTTGTCAATTATGAAAATAGGAAGGCTGGTATGTTAATGGCGTAATCGAATTTTCATAGGTAGTAGATACTGATGATTGTAGCCCCTAGCGAGATACTTCCATCTGCTCGAGGGAGCTAATGTCCTCTCCCATGGTGAGTGATGTGATCTCTTGTGAACCAAAGTATGGCTCATGATATCGCGGAAGTTGAACAAAGGCATTTAGAGACTCCAAGACATACTGAGAATAATAGGGCAAAAATATGACCAAGACCACGAACAAATTATGTGGGATTGACGAAATGCGGGAATAGTCGAAGGAGACATGTTTTGCTTTGGAAAAACAGCCACGCAGATTAGTTTACGGAAGCAGTTCTAGCTAACAGTGGGTAATAAAAGCGTCAAGGAGCATTCGCATTAGAGTTGAATATTCCAGTCCACGGAATTATTGCACACGTGCAGACGGCGAGTGTTTGAATAGGAAGGTCTGTTCCCGGTTCTGGTAAGAGGATTTTAACTGCCGTGAAACATCTTCGATACTACCGCCAATTTTTCGATATCAACTACTGATGGCGGATGCTGAAACACAAACTGAAGAGCACCAGGGAGTTTCCTGCTTTGTCACCACGTGAGGCCAGTGAAGACGACGATATATTGATCCAGAGAGAGGAGCGTTAGGCGCGGCGGCTATTTGGTAGAGAATTTTATGTTGGCGATTCACGCATCTCGCCATCATGCGGAGCCCTGCAACTGCGTAGATGATGAATAGATACCTTCAAATGGTAAACTCCGGTACTATTCTTGGCAACAGAAACGCGAATAAAGTTGATAGCGTATTAAAGCAATGGGATAATGTCGTAATTCCCAACGAATCCATTCAGGCGGATGAGATCAAGGCATTCAGTGTGACGAGTTTTGGATTTGGACAAAAGGGGGCACAGGGGGTAGGAGAGTATTTGAAACTCCTGCTTGGGACACTTGACTGGCCCCAGTACCAGGAATACTGCAGTATTGAGGCAGGGCATGTCATAATTGAGCTCATTAACAATTCCAGAATGCATTCTAAGGCGCGCGCATGGTGGAGAAGCCACTCTGTAAAAAAGATCAACAAGTCCAAGTTCACAGGGACGCCTCACGTATTTCAGGGCGAGGCTTAAGAGTAGTCTTTGAACCAGTTTTGGAATGGATCCTTTCTTTTTCCTTGAGCTAACTACAATATGGTTCACGTTTAAACTTAATAATAACCTCCTTAGTAAATCCATCAATGCAAATATTAATCTATTTTTCGCACGAATCTCCTTACGTTTCAGTATTCACAAGGCTGACTCATATCTCGTTACCATCCGGTGTAACCACGGAGACCATACGGGATTTTGACCTGAATAGCAAACTATTTCCTATAACAGACCTGCATAGCCCTAACTTTAGCCCTACGATTCCAAAACGGGAAAAATCGGAGCGGGCCCACATAAAAACCGCCAATAATATTCCTCCGTGGTGTATTACAGTACCGTACCCAAGCATGGCTAGGTTTACGGCCTACCCCGCTGTCGGAAAGTAAAATACTTGGTAATACGAGGACCGCAAGGGAAGCAAAATGACAAGGCACCTTTTCATGCTGCGTGTCTTGACGCATCTCGAGGGACCCTGGCGTTCAATCTTTCAGACAAGGGGCTAAGATCTAGCGGGGAATAGAAGACATCGATCCTCCCGTTTGGTCGTCATTGCGTAAATCAGCATGACGATTGGGCAGCGAACCCAATTCCCATCACATTTGCAAGCTTTTCCTTGCCCCTCGGCTGGAGCATAGAAATGACTGCACCGTTACACTCCGCTGCTGCTGCCATCCCACCAGGCTTTATTGCACGCAAGGCTAAAATCCTATCTGACCTGTCTGTCCCAGATGCAGAGTACTCGGATTTGTCACCCAAGGGCTCGGTCGATGAAGGTATTCGCGACTTGATCAGAGACATCAATGTTCTGGATGGCCTCGTGACAACAAGCAGTTGCGCAGGGAGAGCAAGCGTCTTTGTGGAAGGAAGCAAGAAAACGAATAGCAAACGGACGACAGGAGAGTCTTCTCGAGGTTCAACGATTGTTGTATCGTCGCAGGTATCGAGCGAAGTTGCTTCGAATACTGTCGATCAAGATGCAGTTGACGAGAGCCGCAAGGGAGACGATGGTCGGAAGTTCGCTCTTGTGGGCGGAAAGGGCGAGGGAAGGTGGTTGTACGTCTCACATGACCCCGTCAACCTCGAAGCTTCCTCCTACCACAAACTGTTTGGCCTCGTTCCCGGCGACGGCATTCCAAGGCCCAATCTCTCTCAGGATGGCGGCATACGGCTTATTCGATTCCATTACGATCCAATGGTACGTATGGACGCTCCAAAATTTCTCCACCCGACAAAACATGATCGAAAGATTGACAGCTTTTTGCAGATTCTGCACGTAATGACCGCCACGCTTCACCACGCCCACCCAGTGTTGGCCGCAGCTTCCAGTGCAGGGTTCCGTGAAAGCGGACTACAAAGCCTGAGATGCCTGGAAACGTCACAAAAGAACAGTTCAGAGTACTATTCCGCTTCTCACAGCCCGATTGTCGCGGTCCGTTCGTCGGGATTGTCTCTTGAATCTATTATCGGGTACTGTGAGTATAGTAATGACAATTCAGACCCCGTTATGCGGAGTCTGGTGACGGAAGAATATTTGCAAATGCTGGTGGCGCTGGCAAACGAAAGGTTTGAAGTCAACAAGGAGCGTGTCGAAAGGTTTAGAACCAAGCTACTTGATCTGTATGCAGCTGCTTCCACAGCAGCACCGAGTACCACGCGCGGAAGGAAACCTCCGGAATGGGAAGAACCGCAAGCGAGAAAAGAGAGGAAAAGAATTGAAGGATTAAAGAGACAAGCCGAGCTGGCCCGCCAAAGATCATCTGCTACTGAACCAGATGATGCAGAAACTGACATGAGTATACATTTATAATGAAATTATAATGGCAGAAGAAATGGCTACGCTACTGGTGCTACTAGTTCATCAGCCGGTTTCGCTGTTGTTAGGAATCGAAAAGGGATATTCATCACTCATGATTCATTCATCTGTCTCATTTTAGGACTGTCAACCTAGCTGCATACATAGGGACTATCCTCTAAGGGTCAAATGGACAGAGACTCGACTTTGCTGCTTCATCTTCGAAAGTAAAGTCAGTCAAAGAAAGTGCGTGCCATGAAAAGGGAACACAAAACTGCAGGGAGGAGAAACATCAGATCGCTAGACAGCCGTCCTCGAAATGGACTACCTCGGACGTTGTCCTGGTTCTATGCAAATCTCGTTCAATAAAAGATCACCACCGAAAAGCTTCGGCGTCAAGGAAAAAGGGGCAAGAATAAGAGGAAGAAAAAAAAAAAAAAAGGCAAGCAAGCAAGAAAGAAAAAAACTAAGACAAGATAAAGCAAAAAAGCACCCTAAATCATGTGACATCGAACTGTCCATGAGGCACGCAAGTGCACAAGTCCTGGCCTAATTGCCTTGGAAATCTGCAAAAGAAAAGGATGATTTTCTTCGAAACTATGATCATCGAACAGAGAGTAGAGTTATTCATCAATAGTTCAAACTGAGGGTCAAATCGATGTCGACGAAAATAACTTCACCATGCGGCAAAACATTTCGCGTCAGATTACTCCTCTCAGAACTCAGGTGTTGTTTGAAGTACGCTTGTTAAAGATATCCTCTTCATCCTCGGATACAACAGTAAGACCGCCCTGCTGACTAGTGAGGGAAGGATTGGGAGTATGACGACTTCCACGTCCACTGCGACTTAAACTGTCCGGCTCTCCAGTATTGGCCGAGCTTCTTCCTGGCACAGTCCAGGATGCCAGGCCAGAGGGGGGAGTGGACCAAATACCATGCCGCGACATCAAGGTGTTGACATTGATGCTACTTTCTGTTGTTGTATCAGTCTTCGGAGAGAACACAGCAGCAGCTAGTGGCACATCATCGACCGTGATTGATGACAAGTGGTGATCTTGTCCATGTGAGAGTCTGCCGGCAATGTGAATAGTGGACGGTATAGAGATACTGCTCCCCCGACGGGTCCTAAGGCTGTGATTCGTGGCATACGGGACTGCAGCAGCTGCAATAGCTGAGAGGGACTGGCTATGCTGATGACGGGTGTGATTATTCTCTTCTTTGATGCTTGGAATCCATTGTGGCACGGCTTTGTCTTCACCCTTATTGGTAGCAATGCTGCCATTCGTGGAACCAATGTGGCTAACGCCCCCGGAGAAAGTAGAGCTGGTGCCAGAGCGAAGGCGCATGTTCCCGACAGATAGAGATAGACTGTCGTCGTCCGATGATTGGCGTGATGGCGATTCGCAATTGATGGCCTCACGCTTCGCGATATCCTCGACCCAGTGGTCAGGAAGGGGACCAGGATTGTGTTTAATTAAGTTCTGCTTTTGTTCGGGCTTGATGGGAAGGATGAGCCCGGTGACTGTGGTTTGATCCTGAATTCCACGCTCGCTTTCAAGACCGACGGCGAGTTGTAGGATCTCACTGGCCAACTGCAATTCAAGGTTTGCGGCTGCCTCGAACGTCATCTCCTTATCGTGCAAGTGCCATTCAATCCACAAATGACCCCAGGGTGATTCTTTGGCCAGATCGACTCGGTTGCGCCAGTTGTTCGGAATGGATAAGTCGTCTTTGTCACAAATACCGAGACCTCGCCGAATCAGCTGAGCATAGTACTGGGCGAAAAGTATTTGGTTAGCTTACGCTACAATCAGCGTGAATAATAACGATAATCGACTTACCATCACTTGATATTCGGTACTCGATGTGCCCTTTGCCAAACAGTCGAATGGCCAAAACTCGAAATGCTTCAAGTGGATGATAGGCGAGAACGACGGCAATTCAGCAGCTGCCAACAGGCAAAACTTTTGCCGTTCGTTGAAAGAAGGACATCTCAACCCAGCGCGGAGAAGGTCCATGAGTAATGATTCATTGAGACCAATTACTTTGCGCTGCTTTATCCTATCGCTGAGTTCGAGGATCTGCTGGATAGTTGCTTGGTAGAGCTCATCTCGATTCGCAACAGTGTACATGGTGGTCGCAAACCACGGAAACTAATTAAGAATGAGACTCGGTACAAAATAGACAAGACAGAACATGAGAGCATGCATACCTTCCACAATGTGGAGACCAGGGATTCATAGGTTCGCTGACGACAGCGTTCGGTGAATGGAGACTGGTGCTAGAGGTCAGAAACAAATCACAATAGACGGTTTCGAGGTAAATACATACACGTGCTGGATTCAGTGCATGTGAGACGAGACCGCGGATCTCTTCGCTGGTCAAAAACCCTTGAAACCCAGCGGAGTAAGGGTCTGTATTCGGAAGCAAATGGGGAACGCCGTCACGCCATTCAACGCATTTTGCTCGAGGGAATAGCTCATGGAGTAACTCGTCCTGAGAGCTGACTAAAATATCGACATGGCGAGTACCCAAGCGAGGATAACGACCAGATTCGGTGAAGCTCAGGCGGCGTGCCACAGCTTCGGCGTCCTTCTCAGTCCTGAATTCAACGAACGCATCCATGGTTTTTGCAGTAGAGCGTTCCATGATGATGTGGATGCCGCCACCGAGCTCAGCACCAAGGGTTCCAGCATGGCGACCCAAAAGCTGCTGAATCTCATGCTTTGTCACGGCATAAGGAAGCTTTGCACTGGAATTAGCGAGAAAGAACGAACATATGTGATCATAGAAAACCTTACATTGCATATCTTGACAACGCCGTACATCGGAGGCTTCTCAGTGCTCGCCAAGAACTTGAAGGGAAAGTTCTCAACAGCGCAGGCAGTATTACCAAGCTTAGATCTCACAGATGCTATCTCGAGCTGGTCCTTCTTGTGTTGATCGATCTTGCGTTGGATCATCATGCGCTGTTCAAGCTGTTGTTGTATGTTTACTCGCTGATTCATCAAGAACTGTTCCATCTGATGTCCATACAGTTGGCAATAATCAACTGGAACAGGGCCCAGGGGCTGACTACGCTGCGAAGGCTGGTAATGAAATTGATTGGGATTCCCCTGCATGAATGACGAGCCAGTGTCATGCATTTGAGTATTTGTCGGAGCAGTCAGGTATGGAGCTGCCCCATACCCTGCTTGCTGTATTCCATGCGGAGGAGCAGGATATGCCTGTCCTTGGCGATATATCGGACGAGCTAGATAGCCGTTCATCTCTGTTTTCTAACTGAAGAGACGAGCTGAGCAATAGCTCTTGCTGTTTGAGGCGATTAGATGAAGAGAGAATTGCAAACACGAAGGTATCAAACGCCCGTTGACTTGACGACGATCGAGGAAGGAAATCGAGGATAGTAAACTGAAGTTGAGCTTTGAGAATTATTCGCTTTCAAAGGAAGCGAAGGAAAGGCTTCTTGAAGTTCAGAGAAAGGTGAAAACTCAACGTAATGAGATGAAGAATGTGAAGAAGTGTGGAAGAGCTGGGAATGAGGCCAATAATTTATATCGTTCTAATAGCGAAGTGAGGTGAGGTGAATACTATATCCTATTGTATATCCAAAGCAATCAACGAGAGAATTCACATGGACATTGTCTCCTTGAAATCCTATTCACATCTTTGTTCACTATTGTTGAAATCACACGCTGGTCTGGGTGCTATTCACTAAATAAGACCCGCGTAACAGTAATTCGTTCTCTTGTGCTAGTTAGATATTGTCTATGGTCAGGTGAACTTTTGGCACAATGCACCTATTAGATCCAATTATTCAACAATAAGGATCCACGCTCAAGGTTATTCTAATAGCTGTGACGAATAAAAAGACAGTATAGACTGGATTGCATCCATATAAAGGTGGCTCCAGCTCTCCTGACTAGGTGATAGGCTTATTCTCAATGAGAAGCAAGGCCAGGGAGGAGTGCAAGGGCTCTTTTCATAGATAGGTGGCTAGATTAACTGAAGAGTACTGCCATCAAATACATACTGTGTCTATTCTGGAAGAAATCCTGTGACCAGCCCGGTATCTACAAACTAGATGGCTGGCTGCATGGAAACAAAGAACTTTTGCAGAAGGAGCAGTTACAGATACAATAAGACAAGAATACCATTCATCCATAAAACAATAGAGCTTGCTGCGTTTCATAAAAAGCCTGAGATTATAAATTTAGTCAAACTGGGGCATATAGTTAGCTTTAGGGCCACAGATATCACGGGACCAGACTGCTTACAGGAGTCAGGAAGGACTCAGCCACGAACCGTGCTCGGGCATTCAACTGTTTCAGGTTAGCCAATGCAGCCATCAAGACGAGGTTAGACAGGAACATACGAAGAGCTTCATCTCGGAGATCTCTTTATCGACCTCCTCCACTAATCGAATGACACAAGATCAGTATACCATCCTTGTCTCGTATTTAAGTAGAGAGGGGGGCGGGGGCGGATCATTACAGAATTCGATTAGAAAATCAACCAGCTTATGTTTGAGTAGCGACTCGGTGTGGAAGTTTGTAATGAGGAAAGAGATATCGTATCCCTAAATATTCAGTCAGGGACAATGGAGTCAACAAAGGCGAAGAGGGTTCGCCAACAGACCTTGACAGGCTTGCGCCGCAAGATAAAGAATGATTCCGCTCGTTGTTGTAAGAACCTAGTGAACTTGTGGACGAGGATCCGCTCGATTTCGTCGGCTTGCTTGACGCGAATGCTCACACGGATGCTATTGTAGCTTGCTTCTATCAGGCACGATTCGTTCTCATTGCGGGCGACTGTCAGCGGGTTCAGGAGCAGCTCGGGGGAATTCTGAGCTTCAATTTCCGGCACATTGTGTCTCTCGGAGGTCTGGGATGCGAAGTTCGATACAGCGAGAGCGCAGGTAAGAGTAGATCGTATGGCCTGCAGGTATGGTCTGAGTGATTGCGACTGGGACAGGTCAGCTTGCTCCGGAGACAACGAGCGTTAACCAATGCCTGTTTCTGCCTTACCATATTGCTGGTGGCGGGGAAGCGATATAGAAGCGAAACTAGCCTGTTGATCCTGTCATGGGCATTGAATTGGCACCGTTGTATGTTGTATGTATGTTGCGGGGAGCTTTAGGCGGCATGGTTGTTGCGCGGCTGGTGCGAGGTGGTTTGTTTGCACTGTTTGCTCGCGCGCGCCTGTCGTCAGTCGTCGACGGCCCCCGCAAGTGGCGGCCGTTGTTTACCGCCTCGCTTTCTAATCAGCTGCTTGCTGTCAACTATTCCACACGCTCCTTTAGAGAGACACCGCTTATTCCATCGCCATGGCTGCCATCCCAGGTTTGTTGTGCTCCTTCCTCTTCCTGCGTTGTGAGGACCGATCAAGTGCTGATTAATGCAAAGTCGTCGTGAAGCACCAGGGCAAACGCTACGATGTCGAGCTCGACCCAGCGTCAAATGGCGAAACCTTCAAGTTCCAACTGTTCTCCTTGACCGGTGTCGAACCAGAGAGACAGAAGATCCTGGTCAAAGGTGGCCAGCTCAAGGATGAAACGGAGCTTTCATCGCTCAAGGCGAAACCTGGACAGACCTTTATGATGATGGGAACTCCATCGGGAGCTGAAGGCTCGGCCATCCTGGCTCGGCCCAAGGAGTCGGTCAAGTTCTTGGAGGATATGACTGAGGCGGAAGCAGCGCAAGCTGAGGGAGCAACCCCGGCAGGTTTACAAAATTTGGGGAATACTTGTTATTTAAACTCGACTTTGCAGACCCTACGAGGCATACCTGAACTTCAGCAGGAACTTCTGCGTTATAGCGCGACCAGTTCTTCTGATGCGGCTTCTCGTCTGGGTGATCTAAGCACGCTCGGTCTTGGAGCGCTTGGTGGATCCTCGGATCTTACCGCCTCATTGAGAGACTTGTATAAACAAATGTCTGAAACCCAGGAAGGGTTTCCGCCGCTCATGTTCCTAAATGTCCTGCGAAATACATTCCCACAATTCGCGCAAAAGGCACAAAACGGTCACGGATATGCACAGCAGGATGCAGAGGAGGCCTGGTCACAGATCTTGACTCAGCTGCGCCAGAAATTGAAGGTCAAAGAAAGTGGCAATGACGTCTCCTTTGTTGATAAATTCTTGAGCGGTAGTTTTGAGTCTACCCTTGAATGCGACGAACCAGCGGCAAAAGAAGGTGGCGAAGAGCCAGTCACGACGTCCGATGTTTTTCTCAAGCTAGACTGCCACATCGACAAGGATATCAATCATCTGGGTGACGGAATTAGGGCCGGTCTGGAGGAGAAGATTGAGAAGAGGTCAAGCATCCTAGGACGGGATGCCATATATACCAAAAAGTCTCGCATAGCGCGACTTCCTAAATATTTGACGGTTCACTTCGTCCGTTTCTTTTGGAAGAGGGAGAGCCAGAAAAAGGCCAAGATCATGCGCAAAGTCACTTTTCCGGCCGAGCTTGATGTTGTCGAATTCTGTACGGATGAGCTAAGAAAAAGGCTGATCCCGGTTAGAGACAAAGTGCGTGAGATTCGCAAAGACGAAGAGGATGCAGAGCGCGCCCGGAAACGACAGAAACTAGCTCATCATCAAGAAGAGGATGGCAAGGCAGATTCCGAATTAGGAAAAACCGCGGAACCATTGCAGAAGAAAAAGGCAGCGGCTGAATCAGAGGCCAACAAAAATAACGAAAAGGATGGCGATAGTGCAATGACTGACGTGTTCAAGTCTGACGAGGAATATGAGGCAGAACGCAGAGCCGCAATTCTTCGGGCGAAGAAGGAGCTCTTTGAACTCATTGATCCAAGCCTGGCCACCGATGATGGATCAAATCAGTCAGGACTCTACGAGTTACGGGGAGTAATTACTCATCAGGGCGCCAGTGCCGATAGCGGTCACTACACCGCATATGTCAAGAAACAGGGTCGACTTGTTGACGACGCGAGGGCCCCTAACGGCAAAAGACGCGAAGATGATGGCAAATGGTGGTGGTTCAATGACGACAAGGTATCAGAAGTAGACGCGGAGAAGATTGAGACGTTGGCGGGCGGAGGTAAGACTTCATCGGACTCTTCTCAACGCAGTTGTTATTGACATAACCCCCTAGGTGAATCACACTCAGCATTGATTCTGCTTTACCGAGCTATTGATTTGCCTAGCAAAGACGAATTACAGTCCGAGCAGTGATCTGGTAGCTTACCTCTTGGCACGGACGATATTGGGAGACCCTCCACAGCCTGTTTATACAGTGATTTGGCTTTTCACGCCTCCTCTCTAGGCATCATGATGCGCCTGTGCCATTGTACAAGGTATCAAGCAATGGCTACTATAGCGAGATTAGGTCAACTAAGGATATATCATCCACAAGAAGATGTACATGCATGCTTAGGCCAGACTTTAGGGCCAACCACAAGCCCCGACTGGAGGGAGGATCATTAGCTAGACATAAATACGACGTTTACGGGTGAAGCTTTTGCGTTATTATCCGTGATTTTACAAAGTTCGTAGAGCTAGTTACTGTAATACTGGCAATCGACATGATCGGAGTAATTCATCACGTGATCCGACATACGGTTTTGCTGTCCCGAGCTCAGCTGTAGTCGCTTCCCCCTACTCATTAGCGAGGCAGAGTGCGGTCTCTGGCCATGATGCGTTAAAATGTTCCGCGCTTCGAGGACTTATGCAAATGCATTGTTGTATGGAGGCTCACGACCTCGCAGTTGTGGAATCCCTGCACAATTGGCCCCCCTGAAATCAGTCGTTCGGAACTACACAACGGCACTCACGGGCCCTGCGAGCAACACACGAACAGCAACAACATCAAAATGGACGCGCCGATTCATTTATGCCGCGCTATTCGGTAGCATAGGATATTATACGGGCCACGCATACACGACCGGATATCTGTTTCCTGCCATACCAGGCTCCCCAGAGGACGTGCAGAAGACACAACAGATTCAACAACTAGTCGAGTATCTCCCGATTGTTCGCAAGCTGAGAGCCGATCCCAAATACGTTGAATGGGATGCATACGAAAGCTTCACGGAGGAGTACAAGTCTCGAAGGCTCAGTAGTGGTCCTTTGAGAGGTAGTCGGGGTCTTGCGGTACAGGTAAGTTCACATGGTTTTATTCCATGCTTGTGCATTTCCTGCGTCGGTTACCGATAGCTAATGGGGATTTCTTTTTAGAAAATTTTCTGGAACGAAGAGGATAAGGAATGTGTGAATGTGGTTTACTTTGGACATGGTTTGGATGGGTGGCTGAGTGTTGTTCATGGAGGACTGTTGGCGACTGTGCTAGACGAGTCGCTCGGGCGCGTCGCGTTGCGATCTGTACCCGCGAAGACTGGAGTTACTGCCCACCTCAGCGTCGGATACCGAGCTCCGGTATCCACAGGAGAGTTCTACACTATTCACACAAGCCTAGACAAGGAGCGCTCTTCGGATCGCAAGGCATACGTTAACGGAGAAATTCGAAGCTTGGCGGGCAAACTCTGTTGTGAAAGTGACGCTTTATTCGTTGTACCCAAGAATTTTGCACTTCAAGAGATAGGAGATCGCTTCTGAGCGCCGTCTGCTCTGGGGGGTTGTGTTGCTCACATTTCAAAAGGTCCGAGTAAAGTCATATGCCAAAGCAGCTCGGTGTATTCAGATTCGAAAGCATGGGTGGCGATTTGATACCCGAGTACGCAGCCCTTTTATATCTCATGACAGATCTTTGTGGCTTTGATCTACTTCGAGGCCAGGGCACTACGTATACGCACACCGGTGGAAACCTCGATTTCAGAATATTCATTTCCCATGTGCGTTCACACGACTTTATCGGCTCACTCACAGCACAGGCAAAGCAGTCAGATGCTCAAGGATTCATTTGTACTCCAGTCTATAGCAGCTATTCAAAGACAGATTCCATTCCCGGATATATTGCATTATCCAGTTTAGGTGCCCAATACGAAATGCCAAGGTGCTTTTGATATACTTCTCCGGGCACTCGTATTGCCTACAATTTCACATTCATCTCGTTCATTTCATTCACGCAGGGATTGCGCTCGGATTTCTTCCCAACTTTAGGCAAGGGGCATAGGGTTGGGAGCTCAGCAGCCTCAACTCCAGCCTCTGCAGGATGCTGCTACTTGCTCTGGTTGGTTGAGAGCTTGCTTACTGTTAAGATAGCATGTCAATTGAATAGGGGGAGTTGTTTTGTTTCTGGTCTAGGCATTAGTTTTAGCGGCCAATATCTGTAGCTAACCTCTAGTTACATATTACGAACAAAGGTTGGATTGTTTGAGCTATACCTGTCTTGGTCTATGTTGCATTATAATCTCTGTGCCTTTTGTCAGCCTATCTACATAACATGGTCCCTAACCTGGCTACTCGACCAAGTCAAGCTCGAGTGAACTGTCGAACCGTTAGAAGCAAGATCACCAGAAAAAATACCTAAGAGGCGAGGGGGACAGAATGTCAGAATGCCCCGTAACGCACCTCGCACGACAGCTGCTACAGATTCGGCGTCCATAGGATCCACGACATCAGCTTCATCTACACGAACGGGGATTCTCGGCCCATTCACAACGACGTTCACCCCACCCAGCCACTGCACTGAGGTTTTCGTAGATGGATGCGACGGAGGCTGCGACTTCTACGGCGCTATGGGCCAAACATGTTTTAGTAAGGAACCTGGATATGTTTACTTCGCTCAGGACACAAACTGTTTTCCTTCGGTAACAGCGACTACTTCTTATCAAATCTCGTTTACTAGCATCTCATCAATCTCAACGGTTGTCACCCCGGTTTTGTCGGGATTCTACTCCCCTGGTATCGCATGTCCTGTTGGATATGTAACGGCTTGTGCAGTACGCGTCGGAAATAATGGACTCAGTTCTTCATTGTCCACTTTCAACAGTTTCTCGTTTGACTATGCGCCCTTGGTCAATGAGACAGCAGTGGGATGTTGTCCGATGTATGGCTTCTCTTTCTTTTTCTTCGCCTGCTCCTTCAGGGGAAGGCCTAGGTTGGCTAATTGATAGATGGATAGAGGATATCAATGCGAACTCGATAGCGACGACCCACAAGCTTGTACACAAGTGACTGCCCAAACAACACTGGATGTGTTCGTCTGCGCTACTGGCACAGACGGTGTTACAACGTCAAGCACGCAGTTGGTTTTACCTACAGTAGCCACTGAAACGGACTTCGAAGAGGTTGGGACAGTCATTACATCGGCCTCAATCTCGATACAGACCACAACCGCTAGTTTCATTACCTTGTACGCCAGTATGGTCCAGATCAACTATCAATCCACCGATCTTCCCTCGTCACCATCGCCATCGCCATCATCATCATCATCATCGAACTTATCATCAACTTTACCACCAACTTCAACAGGCAACACGTCGATTATTTCTCCTTCCGGAAAAAGCAGCGGCAGCCACGAAACAACAACAATTGCTGTCGCAGTGGTCATCCCATGCATGGCTGCCCTAATCGCAGCAGCGGTGGGATGGTTTTGGTATCGACGGAAGACTAGAAAACGCGATGCTTCCTATCAAGCCGCACAATCAGCTCAGCTTCCGGAAATGGATGGTCAGGGTAAAAGCCATGTGCCGGCTGAAGATCTGGGGGAGCAATCACGGTATGAAATCCCAGGATCAACACCTCAGTATGAGATGGCTGGTATAGACTCGAACGAGGTGGTACATGAGATGTATGCTGGCGATGAGATGCCGAGGTATCGCGACGACGAATGATTCCAAGCGCATATACCTAGGTGATTCCATTGGGCTTTTTGAACTTGTCTTACAACTACCTTGTGTCATAATATATTGTCTCGATTTTAATGTCAGTTTCATTCTCATTACTTTGGCAAAGGGTGCTGTAGACTTTCTAGCTTCAGAGTACGTGATCGGTCCCCGTACCATCCTATACCCAAGAGCTTCTTCTCAGAGTCCTTCTACAATTAGACAGGGTCTTTAGGGGTCGAGTACCTAGGTAAGATAGCATCTCCAATTGCTGTATCATCAATGATCTCATGATTTCAACCGACTTTCTTCGATCCTATAGCATTAAGGTGACTTCAATCTAGAATCTCATCTGGACAACATGTTATGCAGAGATCCACGCATTCCCCGTTCTCTCACATAACAATGCTCACTTTTCGACTAGTGTGTTTCGTCAATGTTCCGGAGTGAAGACGAAGCTATACATGATGACAGGTCCTTACTCCCAAGGGAAAGGATGGAGTTCAGAGGGGGCTAGGGTCAAAGTCATTGAGGGATTATAGTTGTATTTTCCAGGCATCCACGTCATGATCCGTATGCGTTAATAGTCAATATTGTTATCCATAGGCTCTGTGAGCATTGAAGATGGCTCTCAAATCTGCATCCTGCCACCTTTTTTTTGAGACTTTGGAATAGCTCATGTATCCTTGCCAGCTGAAGGCTTTGCTAACGTCGAATGTCAAAAAAAAAAAAAGACTCCTACAAAGTCCACGTGTTTAGAATTTTGTTCTTCCAGTCCGCCAGTCTAGATCTCACTCTGGACTATCTGAACGAGTCGGCAGTGGATACTGTTAGTCGAAGTCCTGCTCAGGACCAAGCAAAGTACAAAGACATCAAGATTCCAAGCGAGTTCATGTGTAGGTTTCGAGATACCTTTCCCAGCAATCTGCTAACGTAAGCATTTATGAAGCCCAATTGAGGAAGCGTATCATGAGCCATCCGGACATTGGGAGGCGATAGTATCTGGACCAGTATGAGAAGTTCTCGCGACAATCAACCGTATAGGGTTATTGATTTCGAGATTGAAGCTTGAAGATGTAATACTAGGTACGCCATTATAAAAGACGCAATTGTTAGTACTGCATTCTTAAATTTCTACCATCCATTCGACAGACTCGTCTGAAGTACCTAGGCAACTCAGACATATCTCCACACTGCTCCAGGGCTGTACCGGTTTAGCCCTAAGTCCTAACTAGCTGTATACTCAGCTGCTACAACTCTGCCATACTGGATCGTGGGGCTTCAATCGGTCGAAAATACGTATGGAGACAAGAAAAAATATATCAAAACTGCATTCTCGCAGTTGGTATTGAGGTGAACAAGAGTACTGTCTGTGATGGGCATGCCTTGCACGCCGACTGAGAAGTCGCAGTAGGTACGCTTCATCGACATCAAGGGAATTCACCGTATCCGTAGGATGGCCTGAAGGGCTCCTTTCAGTGGATAGAGAGCCCACGACCGATTAATATGAAGCGGGAGAGTACAAGATGGTAAAGTACATGGCGAAACTTTCAATTAAAGCCCAGAAAAGTGTGGTCTGATGCCATGAGGGATAAGTAGTTCAAAGCCAGGTGGCAGAAGATTTACAAGATTATGGTGTGGCTATGCTCAGTATTGTAATGTATGCATAATTGAACAAGAAATTTTTATGTTATTAATTGTTTAGAATACAAACGATGTAAATTTATATAATGCTATGGGACTAGAAAGCGTTATGATCCTGAGAATCAAAGACTCTTTGGACTGACTGTCAGAATCCAGGCAGACATTGAAATGAATGATACAACAAACCAGAGCATGATGACTGAAGCGTTGTATGGGACATTACGACTGCAATTTAATTATCATCAAGGTGGATTGATTATGCCTATCTTGGCGGTGATGCAGTTGCAAGGTAAAAAATCTACTAGTAAGATTTAAAATATACCTACTCGAGAGGATAAGATGGCGACAATTAAGCACTCCATGACTATTTAGTACTTACTATTCATTCTATCATAAACAGGCAATGGACGACTGGCTGGTTGCATCTCCTGCAAGGCGCGAAGGAGAAGTGGAGCACAGATCTCCCTTGCACAGAATCCAATGTGCTCGGGGCTGGGAATTTCCAAATACATTAGGTATATGACATGTCTTCTCAACGGCCAAATGGCCCAGCCATGGTCTTTTTGCCGCTCAGGCTCCCAGGACGACTCGAGACAATGCGAGGTATCGAGTAACTGCACATTGCAACTAGATATCGACTGCGCCCATGTGCATATCCTCACCTGGGCAGCCCAATAATTTGTTACTAAAACATGAGTTTGGACCCTCTACTGGTAAGCTGTACAGATACTGGCCAGCCTCTCTCAATCTGATCATCTTTAAAGTCAATGCAGGCACATATAATACGATGTGAGCCATTCGTCTTCCTCGGAACTACATGAACTACATCCACCATAGGGAGCCAGAAAAACTTTACGCCAAAATGAATTCAACAGGAACTTCGCCGCCTTTCAGTCACAATGGGACCGATAGTAGCCAGTCGAGTCCCAAGTCCGATTTGTATGCATTGCCAAGTTGTGCTGCCGAAGCCCAGGGTCACGAAGTACCTGTATGTGAATTTGTTTTCGGATATTCTGTTCGAGCCATTCTACCCTCAACTGACACGTGAATATCTAGATGACAATGAGCCGATTTTTCAGTCTCACTGCAATGTCATTTCTCTGGACTGGTATGTTGCGACTTGGATGCAGCTTTACTATCTCAAGAAGCTTTTCTAAAAGAAACCGTTGAATAGGCTCACAAATCCCACTCTACCTGTTTGGCGGTATTCCTCCTTACATATATGGTTCAATCGGTGGTTCAGATCGCTGGGTTTGGCTGGTATGTCGAATACCTCACTTCTTTCTGCACAGCATGATCAGGAGAATCTACATAGCTGACATGGAGGCAATAGTGTTTGGCGAATTTGCTTGCCCTCGCAGGTATTTGTCCTTTTGTCGGCAGTCTGTCAGACTTACTCGGCCGTCGATATCTCGCTATCCTTGGTGCAACACTTGTGTGTATCGGGTTGGCCGTGTCTAGCACTGCCAATACCATGAACATTTTCATTGGGGGCATGACCATTTGTGGTGCTGGAGCAGGTATTTCTACCGATGATGTTTTTACATAAGGCTCATACTACGTTGCAACTGCATGCTAACAAAACATCGAAAATCGTAAAGGCATCAACGAACTGACATCTCTTTCAGCCGCCGCTGAGATGGCCCCAGCACGCAAGCGCGGTACATATGTTGCTGCTTTAATATTCACAATCCTTCCTTGGTCTGCGTCTGTGCTATGGGCTCAGCTGATTGCATATTACTCAAGTTGGAGGTATGTCGGCCTGTTGGCCGGCGTTTGGAATGGATTGGGTCTGCTTTTCACCTTGCTTTTTTACTTCCCACCTGCTAGAGCCAACAGCCAAAGACTTTCCAAACGAGCAATTCTTTCAAACATTGATTTTGTGGGAGGCTTTCTCAGCATAGCCGGGTTGATCTTGTTTCTGGCAGGATTACAGTGGGGTGGCTATCAGGTGCGCTGTCTTTCTTTGCTGGTGTCAACAACAGAAGACTGACTTCAGGTGTGCATAGTACTCTTGGAAAACACCTCACGTTTTGGTACCTCTTATTCTTGGCTTTTTTATCCTGGTTGCCTTTGTTCTTTGGGAAGTGTATGGAACTCGTCACCCAATGATCCCGCGCAAGATAATGCAAGAACCACGCACTCTGGGCTTGATATTGCTTATAACCTGCGTTTCCGGTGCAAACTTCTTCTCGATTCTCCTCTTTTGGCCAACACAAAGCTTCAACCAGTTTGGCCATGATCCTGTGGGTGTCGGTCTTCGCTCCCTACCCATTGGGTTTGGTATCCTTGCTGGTGCATGCATCACTCTTTGTCTCCTATCGTGGCTGAAAGGGCACATGAAGGCATTGATGGTAGCGAGCAGTATCCTCATGACTGCAGGTACGTAATGCTTCCCCACATAGAAATCCTGCACGCTGACATTTGTGTTTCTAAAACCATAGGATGCGGTGCCATGGCCGTTGCGCGAATTGACAATCTTAGCTCACTATGGATCATCTTGACTATTGCAAGCTTGGGAGTTGGTGGAATCGTCGTTCCAGCAAGCATCATGACGACCATTATTTGCCCAGATGTAAGTTGATATGTTTCGACGTTATTCCTAATTGGTCGGTCGTAACCCTAAGACTGACGACTTGCAGGACCTCATTGCGACAATCTCAGCATTGACACTGTCTATTCGCGTCGTTGGCGGTGCTATTGGCTATACGATCTATTTCAACATCTTCATCAACAAATTCAAGACCAACGCCATACGCTATATTGGCGGCATCATGATGGCCCAACTCGGCATCACCAACACAACGTCCATCACCGACGCAATCACGCTAACAACTGCATCCCTCCTCAATGAAATGCAAGCTATTCCCGGAATTGCCGGTAATTCGACAGCTTATGAGATGGTTGTCGTTGCAGGTCAATATGCCTACGCGGAGAGCTACAAGTACGTCTATCTCACATCAATTGCGTTTGGCGTGCTCGCGATTGTGGCTTCTATGTTCCTCGGTGATATCACCAAGTACATGGATGACCACGTTGCTGTCGAATATTATTAGTGATTTTCAAGTTTGGGTCTGGTTGTCCGTGCTTGTATATGCACATTGCAATATTAATGGGGACATGGATGATGAAGGGATGTACGACTATATGAAAGAACTATCTATGATGTACCGAACTGCATTAAATAACGAGGCCTGAGTCTGGCAGGTAGATGCGAATATGAGATTGATAATTGTTCCACTACACAGATATTGTTAGGACGTAGATAGGCTCATGCAAACCGCATTTTGAAAAATCACTGCATTGAAATCTAAGCACAGAGAGCTCTTCTAAATAGCTCTTGGTGAATTGATGATAACCGTAATTCGTTTGACGGGTATCGATAAAAACGCCACGCTATGCATTGAATGAGGTCAAAAAAAAAAAGAAAAGAAAAGAAAAAAGAAAACCATTACACAGCATCGATGCGATCTAATTGTAGCTTCTTGTTTGATGAGCTGGGTCGCCGGCTACGTTCAGTGCTTGTTAAAACACGGCTAAGCCCTCCCCCTAGTCCTCGAGCGAAAGCTGCGCCTCGCCACGCGTCTAGGTCTTCATCCGTTTGGCCAGCCATGATATCTGGCCGTGATCGAGCTGGAATTTCAGATCGGAGACGATAATGAGGACCGAGTAGATTACCTTTGCCGTCGTGAGTGGATATTGCGTTAGGTGATGAGATGACTACCATCTCTGAATGTTCAGTGCAATTGCAGCCACAGGGGCTAGGGCACACTAGGTCAGAAACATCCTGGGCGTCGACAGTATGAGGTCGCTGTAGCGAAAACCATTGTTGATGGCATTCAAAGCAGCATACATGACCACACTCCAGGCAAGGTATAAACATTCCAGAAATAACTTCTCCGCAGATAACACATCCAACATGAGCAGACAAAGGTTGTACTGAAGAGCATGAAGGACATTTGGGGAGGGGTGAGTGTTTTGTAATATTGTTGTTAAAATCCTCCGATTTGACAGAAGAAAAAACCGATTTATGCAAAGCTTGCCCACACTCGGTACAATGTCGTTGAACATCCAGGGTGTCTCTCATAACCGATTTTGTATCTCTTTGGTCGCGTGTCTCGATCGTCGATGTTTGTCTTGGTACTTGCTTCTGCCGCTGACCCGGAGATGTGTCACTTAAAGAATCCACAGGAGCGTCTATTTTCATGACTTCACTGCGTTGGATGGGCAAATTCCACACAAAAAGCAGGTTGGCATATGATTCACGGTACGTTTGGAACAGCGCTTCTCTATTGCGATCAATAAAAGGACTATTCGGGGAATCATCAGCGTCGAACGCTGACCGATTCTTGTGAGAGACATTAAGTCTCATTGGCTTGCGTGCGTCTTTCTTTCTCTCGCTATCTGTCTCTGAGTGACTTCGCGACGTGATCACCATTGAAGAGTTGAGATATTCGGGAATTGCTGAAACAGCCCTGTTAATTATTTGAGTAGCACTCCAACTCACTGCGGCTGGGATATTCAGGCTTCCTATTGGGCTTGTCTTCTTTTTGGCGTTAGCAACAGGCGGTGAAGAGGCAGCAGAAGGACCAAATGTAAATGATCGCGACAGTGATGATGCAAGCGCTGTACCAATCCCAGACCCTGGTTTTGATACCCCAGCATTGTCTGGTGAGGCAGAAATAGAGAGACTAGGGGTCTTGCGTTCCGCCAATATCCGTGTATGTGTTGCCATTGGAGATGCTGAGCTAGAGTGTGGCGTCGTTCCAAAGCTATTCCACTGTTCTGCTGGGATCTCGGGACTTTGGAAGACGCTGGGGTTGATGCTCTCACGTGAATATGAAGTTAAGGGGGTTGCAGCCGGCGACTTGTTGTCTGGAAGCTTGGAAGAAAAGAAATCCAATGCCAGCGGGCTGTGCATCGGATGAACAAATGATACCTCTTTGTCTCGATGTCGACTAACTCGATTACGCATGGATTGTTCGTGAAGAATGCAAGAAAGCATTGCAAGCATTTGGACATCTCCGATTCGTTCGAAATGATCAAAAAGCGCATTGATAAGCCAACGGCCACCGAACACGCCATGATTAAAGCAGAATCGTTGCAAAACACTCTTAGTACTCTGCTTTGTTTTGGTAAAGTCTTCAATAGTGCTCCCACCTTTGCCCAATGATGGTACAGACGTATTCATGTCAATATGCTGAACACGCGAGTCACTCTGGTTTTGTAAAACCAACTTTAGCAAGCCCCAGACTTGAGCCAGGTTATGATAACCAGAGTCAGCGGCCACTGCCGCGTTGTGCGCGCAAACATCTGCACCATCTCCGAATATCTTGTACTGACTAGCTAGGTTTCTCTTTGCTGGAAGCAAGTCGCTGAAGTCGTGGATAGAAATGATATTGTGTGCAAATTCAGATGATTTACCTGTGCCAACGGTCCCAGGCCCACCACCAACAGTAGATAATTGAGAATTATCAGCCGATTTTGTTCGATATGTACTGACATTGCCAGCACTACCGATGCTACGCCATATTGAAGCCGGTTGGAATCGATTCGGCAAGCCTAGCATCATGTCCGAAGAATCAGAAGAACTCGAAGAGGCCGTATCGGAGTCATCAGAATAATCGGAGCCTCCATCATCGGTAGTGCTCATTGTGCCGAGGGTCTTTCTTGTGGGACGGAGATTAGGGGAGCTTGTATGTAAACGACCGAATCCTTCAAAGACTCTGTCATTTCTCGTGAGCCGACTTATATCCTTAAAGCCCAGGGAATCGAATAAGGATCCCGGCTTGTCCTTTTTGGGTGGGAAGAAGCATATCAGGCGTCCATCGTGACTCCAAGTAGCGCCACAGACCCTGGCAACGGGAACCATTACATTAGCATTAATGGGACGCAGCAACTCAGAGCTCATACTAAGCTCCTGTTTGTCAAATTGGCCAACATCTTCGTCTTCATCACTAGATTCATCATCCTCTAGTCCCGTGATGGGAGATTTTATGGTATCAATAGTCTCACCAAGAACTAAGGCAATGCTCTCTTCAAGGCTGGATTCCCCAAGGAGGTAACGGAGTGCGCCTTCTAGGCATCCCCGCTTCCGAGACATGTACGTTTCTGCGATTGTCCGCAGCTCTGAAACCATCTTCTCTGAAAGCTCGTTTGTCATAGCAGATGTCTTCTGGATTTTGAAATTTGGGATTGCAGCCCGCGGGTAATCCTGGGGAAACTTGATGTCAAGCTTGAGAAATAAAGAGCTCCCTTCCGCCGCCCAGGGGCCATGTAGTGAAACCGTGACTTTCCTCTGGCGAACATCTACCGACTCAAAATCGACTTTGGAGAACTTCTCGCCCACATGCGTAATCTCGTCACCTAAAGTCTCAATGTCCCAGACGGATATTTTTACTCCGCGCATCCAGGCAATAGGGTTAGGATTAGCTCTTAGTTGTGATCGCCCCTGCATGCCAACTCTAGGCTCGATGTGGATTTTGTGACTCCAAGCGCGCGAGTAGCGTGTAGTAGAGACATTGTTCGTACCTACGCTGGTACCGATCTGAGGTCGAGTGCCAGCTGAAATTACAGTTTCGGCATATATGGAGTCGTCAAGATTCTGAGCAGGCTCGTCGCGAAATGTTTTATATAGAGAGCCGTGTCTAGTAAATCGCATGCCCAAGTCGACAGATTTTCCTTTTTCATAGCCAACACTACGAAGGATACTTGGATCAACCCGATGGAGTCGTAATTCTCTATCGGCACCCCACGACACTAACTGAAACTCTCGGTTGTCTAAACCATTCGTAACAGATCCCCTAGGCCGCCACAGAAACTCTTTGACTTGTCCTTTATGCCCAGGAAAGCTATGAACGAGGGGAAGGGTTTCCCCAAATCCATGCGCATCTTCTGTGCTTTGACCGTATAGATGAAGATCGTTGTCACCTCTTTGAGGCATGGCGAGAATACCGCAGCCAAACGGGGTATTTCGTGCGCGCCATACTGGAAAGGGCGTCTCAATCACTTTCTCTGGAACATCGGCTTCTCGCTCAGAATTCCACACCTTGATTGTTCTATCCAAGGAGCACGTAACGATAGCTTCGCGACGCGACCTATCCCAGTCAACGCCATAAATCTTTGTGCTATGCGCTTCAATAGACTTCAGAGGTATTGCACCCATGCGATCGTCCCAGATCCGGAGATACTTGTCATGTGAGCTCGCAATGACATGGGGGTCCTGTCGGTTCCACTTAACCTGAGTGGCGCCGGCAAACCAGTCGGAAAATGAGATAACCGGCCGTGACGGTGTTCGGAGGTCCCAGCAATGGACGAAGCTATCAACAGCGCAAGTGGCAAGTATCTCTGCATGGTGAGCTGAGAAGTTAATGTCGGTAATTGCGCGTGAATGTGCATGTAGAACGTATTCGATGGAGTTTTCCCAGCTTTTCATTGCGAGATTCCACACCAGTGCCTTTTGATTTGACGTGCTCACGACCCAAGAATCTCTGTTTGCGAAAGGCGACCATTGAACATCAGCAACCTCCCATGGTGTGTGGTGGGGGAGATATCGAGGGGGGGAATATGGCGAATCCAGGTCGATAATGTGGAGGCCCTCTTTAGAAGCCAGAACAACATCTCGACCACATGGCGATATGGACATGGATCCCACAGGCTGTTCGACATGGAAAGAGCTGTCCTCACCAAATGTGGGACTCTCGAAGGCCGAAGCCGGTGCCCTTGACTCAGCCGGACTGGACATGGCAGATAGCGTTTGTCTATGTTCCAAGTCGCATGTGAGTGAGTACTTATACCGTCTCAGAAGGAGAAAACCACGGGATGAGTACCAAGATTATCGCGAGCGGAGCGGTTAGCGGTAGTCCATTGCTGTTACCGCGCATCGCAATGGCTGCGATTCACACGGTAGCGGTGGTGGAAATAGACGTTGCTGGCATGGTGGACGGACGGAAGAAGCTCTCTCCAAGTTGGCCTTACTTGATTGTGGGGCATGCGGAGACCTGCGTTCTCAGGCATCAACATCCGCGGATGTGCAAAGACAAAATGAGCGGGACCCAGATATCACGGGACTTGGCCTTGCGCCTAACCCGGTTGGTGAAACTAAAACAGCCCCTCTTGCCGCGTTCCTCAGGTTTTCCTGTGTCCATCGACTCGTGAGCCTCAGCGGCTTGCTTCCGGCATTGATCTCTGCTTTGCGCATCTCTTGACGCGATTCCACTGGAGACCACACTTGGAACCTTTGATCTTTCCGTCAGTCGCGTGCCACTGCGCAGTGCATCCGTCCCTGTTCTAGAACTACCCCGCCCTTGTCACATCATATAATAGCATCCATCTTCCAACTGTTCTGTCATCACAAACACGTCTTATTGTCTACGCTCCATAGCAGCAACGAGGATTTGAAACTAAAGGCAAGATGGCCGGGCTACCAAAGAGGATTATAAAAGAGACTGAGCGCCTTATGGCCGAGCCGTAAGTACAGACAATCAACCTTTAGATAAGTATCCGTTGTGTCTGACCATCCATCTGTAGAGTACCGGGCATCAACGCTGTTCCCCATGAGGACAACCTTAGGTATTTCGATGTGACGATTCATGGCCCTGCTCAGTCACCATACGAAGGTACACAGCGCTGTTTCCGCGTACATTCCCCGAGCACGCAAGTTGACTGGTCGATCAATATAGGAGGTATCTTCAGAGCAGAACTCTTTCTTCCCGATGACTACCCCATGACCCCGCCAAAGATCCGATTTCTCACGAAGATTTATCATCCTAACATCGACCGTTTGGGACGGATCTGCTTGGATGTTCTGAAAAGTATGTTGATGAATTGCCGAACTTTCGAATTCTCCCATCGCGCTAATGTCATGGTAGATAACTGGTCTCCGGCTTTACAAATCCGAACGATTCTTCTATCTATTCAAGCTTTACTAGGCGCTCCTAACCCCGATGACCCTTTAGCCAACGACGTTGCCCAAAGGTGGAAGGAGAACGAACCAGCGGCGATCCAGACAGCCAGAGAGTGGACACGAACTCATGCAATGGATTAGATGAATAAAGTGCGCTAGGATATTATGAAGTTTCCGTGGTCGTGTGGGGAAAATAAGAACATTCAAGAAAGTTATGGACCGATGTAATGCGCGATGAGCGCCAACTTCAGTGGCGCGATGCACGTTTTCCATCACTGCAGAGCAGTCTTACGTGATGAATTGCGATTAAATTACTCAGCAGTTTATCTTTTAACTATTATATCTCCATAATGAATAGAATTGCATGCCATACATATTCCTCCTTCTCAAATCTCAGCGTCGCGCAACTAGAGGGTGCTAGTAATAAGGCATCATGGTACCAAATATCAGAAGAGTCAACATGAAAGTCGAAAGGAAATCGATTCAGATTCGAATATGTAAGAAAAGCCCGTATAGAAAATGAGGAGACTGTTGCTTCCGAGCCAATGTCAAGCAGTGGAATACTACGGTAAGACTTGGTTAAACACAAAATTCCGAACGCGAATTCCGATCAAGACGACAGGTAATTTATGCGAGAATAGCAAGCTATCGCAAAGATAGCCATAATTCGATTTTGTTATAACAAATCTGTATGAGTGTTTATCGTAAAAACCCAGACCGTGCAAGTGTCGCAGGAGGTGCGCGGGCCGAGATTTATATAAAGGGCAGCCGCCATCACGTGACGGATTTAGCGAGGTGGCCCGCACCACAATTGAATCATCCAAGGGAAGACACGGGAGAGCCACGCCTTGACTTTCATCACTTCAACGCCCAACGACAACTTCACTGTCTCGACAAGTTACGCATCTCCAGCATTCAAGATGCGTACCTACGACGACAGCTTCTCCGGCCAGAAGATCTACCCTGGAAAGGTGCGTTATTCCCAACTGCATGACTGCCAATCTTGCACGATATCGAAGTCGCAATATCCGCTACACATAAATCGCCCTCTCACAGTCGCCATATACCTATCGCCAAATTCAAATTAAAATAATTTCTAATGTCATTTCTCTTTCACAGGGTAAGCTCTACGTCCGTGGAGACAGCAAGATCTTCCGCTTCCAGAATGGAAAGTCCGAGTCCCTTTTCCTCCAGCGCAAGAACCCTCGCCGGATATCCTGGACCGTTCTCTACCGTCGCCAACACCGCAAGGGTATCTCTGAAGTCAGTAACCCCCAATTTTCTTTTTGCCTTGCGTCGAAAACTTGGATTTTATAATAGCTCGGTCGTGAAGATGAGATGTGTTGGAAGACATAGAAGGTTACCCGGGGAAAACTCTTCCTTGAGACTGATCTTTCTTGGTCGGGAAAAAAAAAGCAATTAGAAGTTGGAAGAAATCGATGGTTCTTAGTATGCTGACTGGGAATTTTACGATGAATTATAGGAAGTTGCCAAGAAGCGTACTCGCCGTGTTGTGAAGTCCCAGCGTGCTATCGTTGGTGCTTCCCTCGATGTGATCAAGGAACGACGAAGCCAGCGCCCCGAGGCTCGTGCCGCCGCTCGCCAGCAGGCCATCAAGGACGCCAAGGAGAAGAAGGCTGCTTCCGAGAGCAAGAAGAAGGCCGAGAAGGCCAAGTCCGCCGCCAACGCTTCACAAGGCAAGGCCCAGCGCATCCAGAGCAAGCAGGGTGCTAAGGGTGCTCCTCCCAAGGTTGCCGCCAAGTCTCGTTAAATTACCACGAATGAGATGAAACAAAAAGTGAATATTTTGGTTGGGGAAGGTGTGGAATTTTCTTAACGGAAGAAAACTTCAACAAGGGAGGTTTTTCTTTGGGGTCTCTTTTCTTCTCTTTTTCCTACCACATGTTTTTATCTGGAGCTGGACTGTGTTTCCATGTTATCACAGAACGAATAAAAAAGAAGAAAAGAGCATAATCGAGCATACACCATAATGAATGAATGCTACGATCCATTTCCGTCTCAGTTTACGCAGCTTTGGGGGCGTTATTCTACACATGTAGATATTCTCACCATTCTAATTTTTATGGCTAGGGAATATACATATTGGTGAAATATCAAAGACATGATTCTATGGTTATTTTTCGTAGAGTCGTCAAGAGGTCTACATAATAAAGGTGGTCTTCCGTTCTTACTGCGAGGCCAGAAACTTCAATGAAACCGTGAAACCGTATCTAGAATAATTATACAATAATTATTAAAATATAACCAACTAATGTCTATCTAATCCGTCTGTTAGACTTTAGCGTATGTCTCTCGGTGTAAAATCCATTGCACAAGCCTCGCCTCGCCTCGCTCTTCCCATAACACAGAATCCCAAAGAAATGCACATGGATATTTATAACATCAATCTTTTTAATGCAAACAAACACGTATTTAGTGAGTACAAAAAGTGAAGCGAGGAAAAAAAAATATTATAACACAGGAGAGGCAGTGGACTGATAAAGGGTTCGTATTTGATCGAATCAGTAGTAGTGCGCCATTTCAAGGCCAGCGCGCCTGAAGCCGCACTTGATGTAAAAGCCTTCATTTACTTCGGAGCAGTCCAGGATAGACTTGAACAGAGATTTATGTTAGAAAAGCATTGCACAATGACAGGAATATCGAGGGTGTTTTACTCACCTTGTAACACCCAACCTTGGCGGCAACATAATCGAGTGTCTGAATAATCCTCAGTCCCAATTTCTTGCCCTGCTGGTCTTGGGCAACAGCAATATCCTCAATATGGCCGACCAGACCCAGACTGTGAATGAATTTACGTTCGACGATCAAACTTCCCGTGCCCACGATCTTGCCTGCACCATCACATATCACAATCAGATAGTATTCGTCATTGCGCTTGTAGAGGTAATCATATCGCTCATTCCACATAGCCTCTGTAATATCACCGACGGTTGTCAACACGCGCAAAACATCGAGGTAGCCTAGGTGAAAGTCGGAGCGGCGTAGTGGGCGGGCAGTGTAGCCTTCTGGCAAGACTGCTAGGATTTCGGGAGAAATGAGGGAAGGCGAAAATAATTCTTCTTGCTGTTGCTCTGCTTCCGACTGACTTGATTCCGGTTTCTGGTATGTGCCATTGGGCTTGTAACTGTTGCTACTGCTTGCTGTAGCATCGTCCGAAGGGGCAGTGCGGAGTAGATTTGATTCAACGCCGTTGGCGGCAGGGACAGAGTAGAGGTCGGTGGTCATGATGAAAGATTGGCTATGAAATGGATTTGAATTAGGAGTTGTTTGGCGATTATTCAATGTATTTATCGATAGAATTGACTGCTGAGAGGATGCTTTTTGAAAGAAGGGGGGGTTGTCTGCTCTGATTTATGTTCCTAAGGCCAGGGGGGGGGTAAAACATTAGAGTGGGTCAAGGCCAAGATCCGTGGAAACAATCAGCACAACAAAAGCAGGTGAATGACTGCTGGCTCAGAGCTGGAGGAAATGTCAATTGACGTGGCGCAGAGTCCGAGGACAACAGAAAAAGAAACTAAGAGAGGCAGATACAGATTTTCGACGTGCGGAGGAGCTGTCCAGGGCCCGATATGGACTAGCGTGATGCACTGAGACACCCCGTGCTATTTCTAATTTTAGGCACATGGAGCGATCTCAGCCTCAGGCACAGATTTATTTTCAAGAGGATATCAAATCAATCCATATCGGTAAAAATAAAAATACATCGTAGCTAGCTAACTTGCTGTTTTATATATAATCGCTTCCTACATACAACTATTTCTTCTCCTTCGGGCTGATCATCAATTCAGGACGTACGTACTTGTCAAAGTCCTCCTCGCTAAGAGCCTTGAGCTCCATAGCACTCTCCTTCAAGGTGAGGCCCTTCTTGTGGGCATTCTTGGCAACTTTAGAGGCCATGTCGTATCCGATAATCGGGTTCAAGCATGTAACAAGCATCAAACTGTGATGTTCATCAGTTAAATCCCATAGTGGGAAAATAAGACAGTATATGGGACTTACCTTTCGTGAAGAAGAGAGTCGATACGCTTCTCATCGGCTTCCAAACCTTCAACAAGGTTCTTCTCAAAGCTAGCCATGCCATCGGCCAAGATGCGGATGCTATGAAGGAGGTTTCGGATCATGACAGGCTTGAACACATTCAACTCAAATTGGCCGTTCATGCCAGAGATGGTAGTGGCGACATGGTTACCCATGACTTGCGCGCAGACCATGGTCAAAGATTCGCACTGGGTTGGGTTGACTTTGCCAGGCATGATAGAGGAACCAGGCTCGTTCTCGGGAAGACGCAGCTCCCCAAGTCCGCAACGAGGACCAGAACCGAGGTAGCGTACGTCCTGGGCAATCTTGAAAAGGGATGTAGCGAGAGTGTTCAGAGAGCCTGATGCCTCAGTGATGGCGTCGTGAGCAGCCAGGACCTCGAACTTGTTGGGAGCAGTCTTGAACTCAGTTCCAGCGAGCTTGCTGATTTCAGCAGCAACCTGCTCATCAAAGCCCTTGAAAGTGTTCAAACCGGTACCCACAGCGGTACCACCCTGAGCAAGGAGACGGAGATCCGGTAGGGTGTTCTCGATACGCTTGATGTTGCTGTCGAGCTGGGCAACATAGCCGGAGAATTCCTGGCCAAGAGTAAGGGGCGTGGCATCCTGCAAATGAGTACGACCGATCTTGATGATATGGCTGAAAGCTTCAACCTTGGTCTGAAGAGCATTACGCAGACTCTTCAATGAGGGCAGCAAAGTACCTTCAAGCTCAAGCACTGCGGCAATGTGCATAACAGTTGGGAAAGAATCGTTGGACGAAGCAGACATGTTAACATGGTCATTGGGGTGGACTGGCTTCTTGCTACCCTTCTGTCCTCCAAGAATTTCAATTGCGCGGTTGGAAATGACCTCGTTGGCATTCATGTTGGACTGGGTACCGGAACCGGTCTGCCAGACAACGAGAGGGAAGTGGTCATGAAGCTTTCCTGAGGCAACTTCGGCAGCAGCTTGTTGGATAGCTTCCCCAATCTTTGGGTCTGATATTCGATTAGTATATCATTCCACACGGAATAGCACTCATCGTAAGCTCGTACCGAGTCCGAATTTCACGTTGACAGCGGCAGCGGCTCCCTTGAGGATACCGAAAGCCTTAACAACCGGGGGAGGCATGCGGTCTTGGGGCTGGTTGATTTTGAAATTGCCCAGGGAGCTATCCACGGCCATTCACAGTCAGTATGATCATTTCTTTTTTTTTTTTTTCTTTCTTTCTTTTCTAAAACTTATGCGAGTCGACCGGCATACAACATACCGCTGAGTCTGCGCACCCCAGTACTTGTCATCGGCAACCTAGATACGAAACACTCCTGTTCAGCGATTTGGTAAAGCTGCATGATCGACGTCAGCACAAACCTCAATCTCGCCAAAAGCGTCGGTTTCAATGCGAGTGTTCGAAGCCTAGTAACGTCTCGAGTCAGAACCTGGTCGGGCTTGCGCCAACTTTTTGCGACATCGACACTCACCATTCTGGACGACGTAGTAAAAGTTTTGGGGCTCGAGATGGACTGAAGACGAGTGTATTGTGTGGTCCTCAGAGGAAAAGTAAGCGCTGAACGAGTGGGGGACGAGAGGCAAGCAACGCGGGGGACTGCGGACGCTGCTCGCCCAGCATGTGTCAAAGTTCGGACCGATAGCCGAGCAGCCATTGTTATCAGCTTTTGTTTCTTCTGCTCGCGTATCAATTGAGTCGGTAACAGAGGTCTAAAGGGGGCCAATTGCCGACAGAAAAGCAAATAAAAGGAGGACGTGTGCGCTGCGAGATAAATGCTGCAAGAAAAGAGGATGGGAGCGAAAAAAGCGTTGATGTTGAAGATTGTTGTTGGCGGCCCCTACCCGATGCCGAAAACTTCCGTTTTCCGGTAATTTCAGTACCAAAATTACGCTGCCCGGCGGCAGCCTGTGCGTGCAAGGACAGTATGAATATTTCAGTATTTTATAGGGCCCTCTACACAACTTGGAAAAATATAACGAGCAGTATTATTTACATGCAGAAGAGCTATGTCGCAGACCGAGGAAGACCCTTCGGTCAACATCAGTCTCGCCAGCTGACCAGGTCATGTCTTCAGCCATTTAATCATACTATTATGCCGCCTCTAGCCCCTAGGATGCATATACTTGGGTTGCAAACTTGATAGTCAAGGTCGATCCAAGTAACTGTTGAAATGGGATATCCATGCGATATTCCTTGAAGATTCAATTCCGGAGCTCAGCCCCGATCATGCTATCAATACCATACAAAGCGATGGACTTCGTATCAGCCTCAAATTCGTCATCCTCAAGAAGTATCTTGCGAGCCAGCTTCCCTATGAAGCGTTCCGTGACTGCAGCAACAGCTTCTGCAAGAGAGGTGGCAGCTTTGATGGCTGCCAGGATGGATTGTTGGCCGGCTGCACCATCGACGACATGGACTACGTGGCTGAAGCGAGGATCCTCGACCCAGAAGATATCAGTCGCAGCAGAGTCATTGACGGCCTCTTGGAGCTCAACGGATCCAAGTCCATGACAACGTGATCGGAAGCTCCCTCCTCCACACAAACCGAGGAGGTGATGGCTGTTTCGAAGGCCTCAATAAGGGCTTCTTCGTCAATACCGTACATGCCTTTCTGCTTAAAAGCATGCACCAGCTCGATGTTCTCGGCCACGACCCCAACGCCAAGAATCATCGGCAAAACGACGGACAGCACGCTTCTTACATAGCCGCATGGCGATGACGGGCAAGCGAGTCCAGGTAGATGTTTGCAGCGGCGTAATTGCTGTGCATTGGGTTGCCCAATATGCCTGAGACAGATCCTGTCATGAGGAAGAAGTCAAGGGGCTCGTTTGCAAGTACAGAGTGTAAGTTTGCAGCGCCCAACATCTTCGGCTCAACTGAAGTCTTCCAGTTTTCAAATGTCATTAATTGGAACAAGCCATCTTGTGAGCTGACCTTTCAGCCTAGAATGACCTTGTGTATGGAATTGAATGTAATGTATCTCTTTGTGGCCCGAACGAGTTTCTTATAGCAATAACTACCTTGTCATCGACCTGATTAAGATACGAAGCAGCTTCCTCAGCACTGAGGCCAACAGCTATCTTGACCTCTGAGGTTCTATTAAAGCTAGTCATAGGTGCTGCTGAATACGCACTGCTAGCCATGTGCAGAATTTGAGAATGATAGTTTAGGCCCTTTGCTGTGATAACAGTCGGTAACGGTTTGCCCTTGTACCACGCTTCAGCTGTTGAGTAGAATTGAGTCTATATGGTGATTAGGAACAGTGAGACGAAGAGTAATGCAAAAAGTCAACCTTTCTATAGACGCGCCCAAAACCGTTTATAACCCAATATGCCTCAGGCTCATTCACTGATATTATGTTCGGGCCAACCCTAACCAGCGGACCATATTTGTGGTGAAGCGCAATGTTGTGCTGCGGCATGTCGGCATGATAGGCCGCATTCATCTTCCAAAAAATGCTGAGTTTAGAAATAAAGAATCCGGGTATGTGAGATATTCTGCTAAAAGAGAACAGATAGAGACATAGACAAGAAAGAACAAAAGTAGGAGGCCCAAGTAGAGAACGCCCAGCGCATATTCCATTGTGCTGGAAGTTCCTATTGGTACGAGCTAGACGAAAAACCACGGAATCTAGTAACCTGTTTGAGTAGAAGAGATGGGGAAACAATAGATCATGAGTAATTAAATCCATCTCGGGCCGTACAAAATATTGCTTTCCGCCTAGCAACATGTACGATTCGTAAATGTTTCATATAGATTCACCAGCGGGGCCGAACTGGCCGTTATTTCGTGTCCTCCGATCCGAAACAATCTACACCATGTAGGAAGGGACTTTCTTTTACTTTGCTAATGTTGGGAGTGCCATAGTGAATGGTAAAAACGTAGAGTATACCCTACAAATACTTTTTTCGTTCACGTCTACCTCAAAGCTTCACGATCCGAATCTCATTACGGTCCCCTACAGAACCTATACTTCCAATTACTTTCGTATCTTGCAGGAATCCTTCTTTAAGTTCCAGTAATCTCAATGGCTCGGTCAAGACCCTGCTTGTAGTGGTCTGGACAGGCCAAATAGAGGATACGATTACACTGAAGTTGAAATACACGGGAATTCACATATGGAATTTTAGGAAGTCCTCAGTTTGTACCAAAACTATCTAATTTCGTATGGTATCTATGCACACCGATGATATTTGGCATTATTTAGCAACTTCTTTGGTGCTGTCATTATCCTACCAATCTACTTCTCTACACATCTCCAGTGGTCTAGTAAACGGCCTCTAAAAAGGATAGCTAGTGTTGATCGCGCAAGAGCCCTAAGTCCGACCTTCCTTCTGGGCGTTGTGGCGCCGACTTGAATGGGACCTGACCAAAGGTCTGTTGATGCGCATCAATCAATAATTGCGCTAGTTTTGCTCTCTCCATTGTGAGTTTCCAGTTCATGACAGTTGCAACACGGGAATCTGCCTGGTTTCGCGGTGGTCCGTCTACCAAAAGACTGAATCAGCGAGATGCAACTAGATGGGTTCAAGCCACCCAGCTGCAGTTGGTGTTTGTATCAGCCGCAGTACATCTATATCTGATGATGCTGATATTTACCGCAGACAGTCGGGACGTGGTAAACTGACACGTATGTACATCCCTTTCCCAATTGCCGGATCTTTTGACAAACGTGGTCACATTAGGATCATGGAACTTTCTCCAATACGATCATATTATCATCAGCCTATCTAACTTGTCATAGGCTCTTTGACTGCTTGACAGTACGCCGTCGAGAGTGAAATTAGGAAAAGGTCGCGTGATTCTCCTTTCCTTGGTAGCATCCATCGTCATTGGGCCGGGAGCAACGAGTTCACTGGCACTGTGATTCCGCAAATTCTACTTGGCTGAAGCACCTAAAAGTATAATTTTCTTTATAATTGTTCTCCTGGGATTGCTGAATTCTTGGAGAGCCGACAATTTCGGCTTAAGTTTCAGGGACTTTGCATGCTAAGTTCTTGATTGAAATATATGTATCTGATGCTTGGACGTAAATCATCTCCACACACAGCACGAACTTCACTTGTGTTTCACAAAAGAAAGAAAGGGAAGTGCATTATGCGGCCGAGGTAGGAGGTACGAATAAATCGCAGGTCTACAGATTTCCTTTCGGTCCTTTCAGCACGGCCCTGTTGAAACGGGATAGCTGCCCTAGCCCTAACCCTAGCCCTAAAATGTCAAGGATCTACTTTCCTCAAAGTGCACGCATCGACACTGCGTTTAATACAAAGAAAAGAATCCAGAAATAGGACCAAATGTCGTCCATTCATTCCCGAGGTAAGTTTCGTGCAACATCTTCCCTGTTTGGGTATGCGTCACACATAAAAGCAAGATGTTTTGATTCCCAGTTTGTACGTGAATTATACTTGTCGCCGCCGCATCTGTGTGAGCAGGTTTGTCTCGTCGCTTCTAATGCTTATCATGATTCGCTCGCTCTATATAGCCAGATCAAGTAAATACCGTCAACGCCGAGGCGACGAGTAGTTGCCCCAGTTAACGATTACTAGAGCACACGGACCTCTCAGTGTGTTAGCATGGTATGCAAATAGAAACAATACATATTCATTCGATTTATGGGGTTCAAAGTTATAATCAAAAATAGAGCAAGTGGATCCGATGTTACTAGAATAAGCCACGGGCTGAGAACGGCATAGTTGGGTGGGTGAAATTCCAATACCCGGCACGGTCCGACGCCACATCCTTTTTTGACGTCCAACCCAGGAAAGCATTTGTTAGAAATTGGTAGTTGTGTCAACTCTATGCTATCTTTGCTATGTATTTCGAATACTAGCGAAGATCCGGCGAAACACAATCTCTAGCGCTTGGTCAGTCTGAGGAGAAGCTCGGATGAAGCGCCTGATATTCCTGTATGACAACAAATGCAGATAAGATGGGCCCGTCAAAATTTCTTCACGCAAACACATAAGCCTAGAGCAGTCTATCTGTCACGGTGTAACAGTCATTGCATTCTCCTTTCCTCTTTTGTGACTGTACATCCTTCAAACAGCGGTATCAACAGGTTTTCAAGTGTTCATCCATTATTGGGGCATTGATACCTTGATCCTCGTCTATGCCCTCGTGGCGTATGTTTGCTCTCTACAGTATGAATTTGTGATGTATATATTCAATTTTTGCTTTCCTTCTTTTCTTTTTTCGAATAGAAGGAGATTGATCAGCAATGGCTGCATGACATAGGTCCCGGATTTAGAGTGACAAAACAAGGCCAGAGAAAGATAAACTTCCCATTCCAAATTGTGCATGTGGAATGCACTCAAACTTAAAGTTATCTAGGGGACTCTGATACATCTACTACCTCAAATATATGGAAAGCAGTCTAATACTCCTGGTCCTAGCAAACCCAAACCAAAAAAATTTTCCCAATGAGTATTTCATTTGAAGTTTATCGCGGCTCGAAAGAGGGCCGTATCACAGAAGATAGAACTTTTCGAGTTCTCCAAAATGACGAAGTATATATTGAAATAACACATGCTGGGCTTTGCGGAACGGATGAACATTTTCTACATTCGACACAGGTTCTTGGTCACGAAGGAATTGGAATTGTCAAACAAGTGGGTGCCGATGTTACTACTGTCAAGATCGGAGACCGAGTTGGTTGCGCATATATTCGCAGGGTCTGCGAACGATGTGACAAATGCTCCATGGGTTTGTTCTCCTCTCTCGCGTAGTACTTGGTTTATCTTGCCGCTCACAAGTTCTGTCTGTTTGGCGTCTAACAAACAACACTAGGTTGGGATCAACATTGCAGGCATGCTCGCGCGTACGGAGAGGAAGATCACGATATAGGCTCATTCAGCAGCGGTGCGGTCTATCATGCCAGTTGTGTTTTCCCAATTCCAGAGGGATATGCCTCTGAGGATGCCGCTCCGCTCATGTGCGCTGGTGCGACGGTGTGGAATTGCTTTCACAGATATGCCACCCTCCCGACAGAGAGAGTCGGGATCATGGGTTTCGGAGGCTTAGGGCACCTTGCTGTCAAGATAGCCGCTGCGATGGGCTTCCATGTGGTCGTCCTGTCACGATCGGACGCTAAAAGAAAAGATTCTATGGCTTGCGGTGCCGCGGAATATCACGTATTTGACCCAGCAGTGCAGAAAAATGGTATAGAAAGGTTCGTACCACTGAAGCACCTTTTGCTCTGCGGTAACTGCAATGTCGATTACGCTTCGTGAGTCCAACTTTTCTTTCTCTCATTATGGACTTGAGTTAATAGAAGTCGACAGCGTTTTGAACTTGATGGACAGCAATAGCACCATATATCCTTTAACTGTTACATTCGAGCATCCTCAAATCCCTATACTCGCCATGAACTTTCGAGGGGTCTCGATTCAGGGATCCTTTGTCGCATCGCGCCACACTATACGAGAACTGCTTGAATTCGTTTCTAGAAAAAACATAAAGCCAATTATTGAGAAATTTTCTCTTTCCAAGGATGGTATTGAGCAAGCAATGAAAAGGCTAAGAGACGGCAACATCAGGTACAGAGCAGTGCTTGTACGGGAACTGAGTTAGGATACAGCCAGATTGTTAATTTCTCGACTTTTTTGTAACCACGCAGAATTTACTTGCGTTGAATATGTCTACGTAGCTTTGGTGGTTAGGAATCGCATCGAAAAGTAAAAGCCTGTATCTAACTGTAAGCATGTAGTAAGAAGAGGGGTAGTTGATCGACATGCTTCGATAGGTGATACTGTGTAGCATGCAAGAATTTTTGTCATCTTGTCACATAGCTTATAGCTAAATATGCACAAAATCCGCCTACCCAGCCTTTAGCATGATGGATATTCCAACGCCAGAATTCTGTTTTAACTTCGTCTCGCCTATTTCCGGAGCTCAAGTTGGCCCTGTAGTTGATACTACTTTCCACGCCTTCACGTTTTTTCAACTCACGCCACTGTCATCTAACGAAGGAAAATGACTGGGATTCAGGGAACAGCATTGATAACAGGTGCAGCGTCAGATAAAAAAAACTCCCTGTCTGTTCTAATACTGCAAAATGGGACAATACACTGACTCTCCGAATCGAACGAGCACCTTAATGAAGGCATCGGCGCTGCCACTGCCTACAAATTCGCCGAGAGTGGAATCACCGTTTTGAGTCTTCTTGATATTGATCTAGAAAAACTCGAGAAGACTCGTGAAGAGCTTCTACTTAGGAATCGTGAAAATGAAACGAAAATCCATGCCATTCAAGTATTGACACTCTGCGTCGACGTGACCGATGAAACCGCTCTGACCAATGCAGTACAAGAGACCGTAAGACGCTTCGGCCGTATTGATGTTGCCGTCCATGCTGCTGGGGTAGGGGACGTCGAACTGGCGACACATGAGGTGCCTGTAGACGATTGGAGGAGGATTATCGAGATTGATCAGATCGGGACCTGGTTATGCCAGAGGGCAGTTATTCGGCAGATGCTCAAGCAAGAGTCAGTCTCATCACAAGCTCGGACTTTCCTTTGGTTCTCTATATAATCAAGTGCACATTCTAATTTGCCTCTGCCCTAGGCTTGACTGCCACCGCGACGGGTTTACCGTATCCTTCTTACGTAGCTGCAAAGCATGGTATGTTTCAAATCACCCTTGAAAGCCCAGTTTGGTAACGAGTCTCTCTCGCACAAGCGGTAATGGGGTTCACCAAGATGGTACGTTGTTGGATCTTCATGCAAATCCGGTTAATAAAGTGTTTTAATTAACTAATAATCAAACAGGATGCCAAATTTTACGCCGCGCAGGAAATCCGCATCAATGCAGTTTGCCCAGGGTGAGGCCCTAGTTTCTAGACCATCTCAAGTTTAGGTGTCTATTGTCTAATCAGCATAAATGGATAGTTGGACAAATACTGCCTTGCTACTAGCAGTCAGAGAACCCGGCATGATCAGGGACATACAATCCTTGCCTATAGGCAGAATCGGCGAGCCCGAAGAGATCGCCGACGCGATCTTGTTCCTTGCGTCTCCGATGAGCAGCTTTGTGTACGAGATTGGGCTGTTGGTGAACGGGGGGTATGCTCTGTGACTGTAAATTTCCCTACCTAGATAAGCTGGGGAAATAAAAATTAAGCAAAGATCGAAAGCATTGAAGGTCATTGAATAATATACCTTAGAGTTTAAAAGTATGAAGCCTCTCGGCATGCCGACCCGAGAATAAGCGAGGCTTCGGCATCTGACGGATAGAGACGGGAATCTCCGGCTGTCTGGGTTATTGTCATAGTGTTGACCGGAAGAGCAATGAAAATATGATAACGTGGGCTGATAGCGATTAATATCGCCAGGAAGAATCTTATCAATTAGACCCCGCCACTTTCATACATGCGTCCGCACATTTAGAAGTACGGAGTTTACATAGAAAGACAGGTTACTGCGCTCAAAATGCTTATTGAAGATCAGTCTCCGTCTGCCCCGAAGCCTCAGCAAGCTTCCTCTTTCTCCAACCTGCCCGATGCACCTGTCGATGAGATCTTCGCTCTTAATCACGCCTATGTCGCCGACACCGATGCCCGCAAGGTGAACCTCGGCATTGGAGTCTACCGTACTGAAGAGGACCAGCCATGGCCACTATCATCTGTGAGGCTGGTCGAGGAGGAAATGTATCGCCAGGACGATCCCGCGCGCCACGAGTACCTGGCAATTGAGGGAGACTTGACCTTCCTAGATCTTGCCAGGGATCTCATGTTTGGCTTCAGCTCCGCCTCCTCGGACTCTGAAAACAAGTCAAAGCAACGCATTGCTTCTGTGCAAACTGTTTCCGGCACAGGGGCTAACCATGTCGGGGCAGCTTTTTTGGCGCAGCATTTCAAGCCCAAACACGTATGGGTGTCAACGCCGAGTTGGGCCAACCACCAGACTATTTGGGACTTGCAGGGGATAGAACGCAAGAGCTATCCTTATTTCGACGCGTCGACGTGCTCTTTTGACTTCAACGGTGCCATTACAACGCTTGAGAGCGAGGCTGCCGAAGGAGACGTGGTCCTTCTACATGCGTGTGCCCATAATCCGACAGGTGTCGATCCCACAAAAGAGCAGTGGAAGAAGATTGCTGAGATCTGTCAACGGAAACGCCTCTTTCCGTTCTTCGATTCCGCATACCAGGGCTTCGCATCCGGCTCGGCAGACGAAGATGCGTGGGCTGTGCGATATTTCTTCAACCTCACGAGTCCCCCCATGGAGATGTGTGTTGCCCAAAGTTTCTCCAAAAACTTTGGACTATATGGTCAGCGTGCTGGCGCATTCCATCTCGTCACGAATGGCGCGAATCCTTCAGAGGCACCCCTTGTGCGTAAGAATTTATGCCACATAATCCGTGGTGAATACTCGATGGGTCCGCGCTATGGCAGTTCAATTGTTAAGAGAATACTTGGCGATAGCGCTTTGCGTGCACAGTGGCAGGATGATTTGACTATTATGAGTTCGAGAATCAAGCGCATGCGTCAAGCATTGTATGACGAATTGGTCAGACTAAAAACTCCTGGATCTTGGGAACACGTCATCAATCAGATTGGGATGTTTTCCTACACCGGGCTCACAGTGAAACAGGTATTGGAGTTGAAATCGGAATTTCATATTTACCTACTCAAGTCAGGGAGGGCCTCTATCAGCGGATGTAAGTGTACTCTTCTCGCTCCGTGACTATCACGAACAACGTCCATACTAACCCTCGACACAGTGACTGAGAAAAACGTGGCTTACGTAGCTCAAGCCATCGATACTGTGGTCAGGAGAACATGATGCCGGTCAATATGCATTATTTAAATTGTTCGATAGAGTTGCTATGGTTCTTTTATTTGGAGCAGATATATATCATCCGTTTGTTTTCTTCGCATGACCGGATGTCTGAACTACGACTCAACGGCTTTGACGCAGTGCATAAGGCTGCTTTGTTATGTTAATGTTTATTTTTTCCTCTCTCATGTATTAAACAGGTACAGGCAATTAAAAATTGTAGTTAGAAATGCATATAAATTCTCGCGAGTTCAAATTATGATCCTCATGTCACACAATTACCTAAGTAATGTACGGAATACCACACAGTATGTACATAGCTCTAATGCTAGACGAGAAATCTTCTCCAAAAAGTGCAATCTATCTTGTGTATGAACGCCTACTATGCGAATACCATCCTTATACGTTGAATATCACTAATGTTTGAAGAACTCCGCCGCTTTATAATTGAATGTGCATGAAAAGTAACCAAAAAGAGAAATGAAGAAGGAAAAAGATAGAAAAATCACATACAACCAAAGCCAGCTTTTCACTTTGCAGTTTCAAATATACTAACTACAGTTCGTAGCTTAGTTATCATCTCGTCCCACTCACCTTGCGGTGTGCTCAGGATAGTGATAGCACCTCCTGCACCGAGACGCCACTCCTCGGATTTGGCGGTATCGTCTTCGCGATTTGAATAGCTAAAGGCAGTTCGTATCATTACGGAGAAGGTACCCGAACCACCAAGATCTAGGTAACCCATCACCCCGGAATAGACGCCTCGCTTCCATCCTTCGATCCGGTCGAGATGCATACATGATCGTTCTTTGGGTGCTCCCGTCATAGAGCCCGGGGGCAAGGTACGTTGCAAAGTCGTGAGTCCATATGCAGCCATGCTTTCCTGATCATGGTCCCTGGCTGTCGTCCGATCAACAATCCCCTTGACGTGTGTGACCATCGAATACACACGACCGTTATCTTCAACGTCCAAAAGTTTCTCAACATGTACGTTTCCAGAACCGCAGATTCCGTATAAATCGTGCCGGATCAGGTCTGCAATCATGAGGTTTTCTGCTATTTCTTTGGTGGTCGCAAGAATTGCTTTGGCTTTTTCAAAGGTCATGCCGGGCGATTTTCGTACTGTTCCCTTCATAGGTTTCATTTCAAGAGTGGAATCCCTGTCCCAAGTGACAAAACATTCGGGGCTGCTGCTGGCTATCTTGACACAACCTAGGCTTCCATAAGCGCTATACGCAGCCGGATTGTACGTTTTCAGTTTCTTGTAAATTAGCCAGGGACGAAGCTTGCGAAGACGCCCATCGCGAATTGCTGGTACGGTAATAGTTGTTTTCCCGCAGAGGCAAAGTTCATATGATTCACCAGCTTTAAGTTCTTCTTGGCATTCAATTATTTTAGATTTGTATGTTGCCTCGTCTGGGATGTCTATTGTGCTGCCTTGGAGGAGTTCGTCGATGAGCTCTCTTTCTGCAGCGGTTAATAGGCTATTCTTCTCGATTTCAGCAGGTTTTCGTCCAAGATCAACTGCCCCCTGACTTTGCTGTAAGGAAAATTGCTGTATCGTCTGACATATCACATCTAACCAAGAATCTGTTTTCTCATCGACTTCTCTTGTGGACTGTATATAGATAGTCTGAGAGACGTTGTCAACAACAATGCACCGCTCAATCCACAATAAGCCAACATCAGGCATATCCGTTTCCTGATCCTCTGGCTTCCCTGAGTTTTTGAGGCCAGAAGTCAAACCCGGGGACGTCTTAGGATGAGACAGTCCCGCAAGTCCCATTTCATAGGAAAAGAATCCTAGGAAACCTCCCCAAAAGGGAATGCCGTCTTTCCCGGAAGTAACTTTCTTGCTGTTCATGATATGTCTCAACGAATCCCAAAAAGTCTCAACAGATACATCGCTTCTATTATTCGGTGCTTTCCCTGCCCCAAACTCTTCAACGAGAAGATTATTTTTGTGGACTGAGTATTCAATTCTCCAGCTCCTAGGGGACGGAACAGACATGATACTAAATCTTCCATTCGATTGATATAGTATTGATGGGGATCCCGGGCTATTGACCAATTCAAATATATGTTCTGGATAAAGCCCCTGCAGAGGTAGGGAGCGGTAGAAACATCGCTGTGAAGATTCTGCAGTCAAACCCTCGAGAAGATTTCTTAGATCTTCTTGAACGCTCGAGGTCTCCAAACTGGAAGTGAATGAATCGTTCAAGATTGGTCGAACAGTGCGCTTAGAGGCCAGGTTGAACGCTGCACTCGCTGCCCACCACTTCTTCAAGATCTCTGTGCAAGAATCGCGATTGGATTTGCAGGACTCCGGATGGAACTGAAATCCCCAGAATGGTTTGGACTTGTGACGGGCAGCCATTGGAAGTCTTCTGGAAAGGCCGTTCCCTTCATTGACAGTCAGCCAGGCAAGAAATGATAGAGGTTCCTTCTCCACCACGGAGACCTCCTCGGTGGTAGTGGTCTCAGGATTCAAAAGTCGGACAGAATCTGTCGAAGCGTAAAGAGAATGATATAATGTGACCTCGAAATCGTTCATACCGGCGAAAATATCCCTGTCCATGACTGCTAGGCGATGCACCTGACCATGTAACGGACAAGGAAGCCGTTTGATGGCCAATCCATGGTTCAAACACAAGCTTTGAAAACCGAGACAAATTCCGAGTACCGGAATCAAGTCTTCTCCTTCAAGGGTCCACAGATCGTTCATGATACCAACATCCGCTGGGCTTTCTGGATGACCGGGACCGGGGCCCAGGACAACAGCGTCAAAGCCTCGCAAAAAGCCTCGCATATCCCCATTAGGCCAATCCGAGTCGACAGTCAGTTCTGTAACCTTGACATCCAAGTTTTCTTCTAGCATGGAAATGACATTGTTGGAAAAAGAGTCATATGCGTCCAAATAGAGGATATTCTTCCGGGCAGCAGCAGAAGAAGGCCCTGGCTCTGACGGAATTTGCCCATCCATAGAATTCATCTTGAATGGATTCTCCTGCCAGGCGAAAGCAAATGCCAAAAGAACCTTGGCTGGTGGCAAATACTTGGCGGAGAGTTTTGGTTGCTTGGCTGGATGTTGATTCCTTTCAGAGTAAAATAGCTCAGATACAATTGGCGCAACGCCCACAGTCAGCAAGAGAATACTAGAGATGCTTTTATTTCAACTCTGCCCTCCATACAGCGTAGAGGGGAAGAAAACGACGGCTAGATGACGATGTTGGCCGAGCAATGTACAAAATATGTACCTCGTAGGACCAATCAAGGTTTCATCAGCATGTTGGCCCACGCAGTTATATTTCTTTTTCTAATATATGAGGGAAAAGCGGCACTTCAGCCAATTCAAATTGGCGAGAGAAAAGAAAAAAAAAAAAAAAAAATCCGCATCCCAATCTTACGGAGACCGAGGGGGCTGCCGGGCATATGATTGGTTGCCGCCACCGTTCCCAAATCTACAGACTACAAACTACAATGCCTTTGCGCTCAATACGAAAACTGCAGCGTCTGTTTAATTAAGGCACAAGTTCATTCGTCTTAGATGGTCTAGAATATTGTCCGCGGTACAATCTCGAATTGCTATTCCAAAACACGTCTGCCAAACGCTAAAACATTTGTTGCAACGCTCATTATGCCACATTGGTGAGAAGCTTCTCCGCGACTTTAGAGAAATACTGAGTGACGAACCCCTCCCTAAAGAGAATTACCATTAGTTCACTTCCCGTAGATCCGAGGGAAGAAGGACGAGACTACTTACGTGTAAAAGCTGTGATCTGAACTATGGTCCTCGACCAAGTTATGAGCCAGCTCATGACAGAGAATTACCCACCAATATACCATAGCCTCAGCTCGTCCACCCACGGGATCCTGTGACAGTCGTGCCTGATGCAGTTGTTTGAAGAAAATATAGTTGCAGAAAAGGCTACCTGAACGATTGAAAGCAATCGTTTTTCCACCAGGATCATAGAATATGCTGATGCTCTCAAGTCTTACGGAAAAGATACTTGCACATTCCACGAGCACTTTGGCAAATTCATTGATGCCCGCCAAATTGTCAGACAAGAAAGCAGATCTGTCAGCAATGGATCTTGCTGTCATAAAATGTATGCTTGACGGCAGCGTTGCAACATATTCAAGATCTTGGCTCGGTCGCTCATCACAATAGGACTTGGTCTCATTAACCTGGTTAGTAGCAGGACGACTATATACGCCTGATGCACCATGCGGGCGACAAGCGGAAATGGCAGAAAGAAGGTTATTGTGCAGCTGGCTTGGGGACGTAACAGATTTCGGTTCACTGGGATTTGTACTTGAACCTTGAATTGTGCTCTTAGGGTCGGTCTCTGAGTATGGCGGCGGAGCTGAGCCACTTGGTGTTGGTCCGTTTTCTTGAGGCGTGCGGTTTTTGAAAAGTGACTGAAAAGGATTTTGAGGCCTTCCCTTGTTATCCTCTAAACCCAAGTGCTTGCTAAGATTCGAAAAGAGGTTGCGTGGTTGAAAACTCGGCTCGGTTATCCCAGTCTGCTCCTCTGCTGCTGACCTTTTGTTCGAGGGGGAATCAGGAAAAATCCCCGGCATTGCATGTTGAGGCTTTGTTTCTTCTAATTCGCGCTGATCGTGGAGTTTACGCCATTCTACTTCTCGTTCCTCAATACGGAGTTTCTCCTCTTCTATTTCTTTCTGTCGTAAGTTTTCCGCCATCCGAGCCTCCATTTCCCTCTTTCGGAGGATTCTCGATATGTTATAGCCCCTTGCCCTCAATTCGTATAGATCTGTCTTCAACAACATTTCTAGCGTAAGGACCGAATGAAGCTTGGGACGCGCGAGCAGGATGTGGACGAGAGCCTGGCTAATTTCGTACAAGTCAAATTTTCCAGGACTGATCCATAGCGTGTATTCACTGCCTTGAGGTGTAATGATTGCATGGCGTGACTGAGAAACGGAGGCACCCGTGTTTCGCAAGGATCGGCGAAGGGAAATGGAATGAACAACAACTATACTAAGATGTTTCTCTAACCATTTGGTGTCACGCTTGACGGATTCAGGGCTGTGTTCATGAAGGAAGAGCCTTGTTCTTTCGTTGACGAGTTTCTGCAATTTAACCGCAGATGTCTGATCTGTCGATTTGGCACCCCAGCTAGCACGCTCTTCAACTAGCGAACTCAAAGTAGGGGTCCCTAGTGCTGCATAAAATTTTTCAAGACTCTCTTCTTGCGGAGCGGCAAGTATGTGCTCTTTAAATATTGTATAGCTCTGATAATCATCAACAATAACGGCGTCCTTGGCTGTAGTCAGCCGCCATTCTTTAATACCCTGCTCGTCATCCTCGAAAGCGTCATCCCCTTCATCCAAGACCCCTTTGCTAGCTATCACTTTGGAAGCTGTTGAGGGTAGCTCCTTACTTGCCAGCAAAAAAGGAGACCTCGTCATGTCACGGAAAAGATCTTTCTGACGTTTCAAAGTGGAAATGTTCTCAGCAAGGCTTCGCAGAAGATTCAAATACTTTTCTGGACTCTGAAATTTGGAAGATATTCTTGCCGGTTCTTTGACCAACATGCGAGCGACCTCAACCTTTGTTGGTTCTTGCTTTGATCCCAATGCCTGGAGGAAGAGGTTTCCCATTTTTCCAAAGTTGACAAAATCGAAAATATCTTTGAAATCTTCGCCATCACCAAGATAACTGTTTCTAGGAGATATGTAACGCATGACAACTTCTTTCTCCGATGCTAGGCTGTTAGAGATTGGAATTATAAGCGCTTCCCCGAGGCGGCTTGTGTCTGCTGCCTTTAATTCCGATATTCTCAAGGCCATGTAAGCGAAAACGCTCTTTGCGCTAGTTGTTGTCTTCGGTGGAGTTGCAAGAATGCACTGTACACAGTCATTTATCGGGGGATGCTCCCGTACGCCAAAGATTGTTGACTGCGGATGAAGATCTCGCCTCAAGATATCAAATCCAAACAAAGACGCACCCTCGTGTGTAAAACAGTCTTTTGGTGCACTCAACTTCTTGCCTCCTTCAATTGGTAGGAAAGGCACAGTCACTTGTCTCATGTCGACTGCATTGTACCTATTCGCATGGTATTCGGTGATAAAATACGACATCGACTTGGTTTGCAGTGCTGTATCATCAGCTAACGCTGCCTTTGCCATTATTTCAATCACTTCCATAGCTGAAGGATAACCTCTTAGGCCCATTTTAGACAAGAACTGTGCTTCTTTGCTGTGAGAAAAGTATTTTCCGGGCCAATCGATGATTGGAAGACCGAGTTTTCGGTGCGCTTCCTTGGGCTCGAAGAGCTCGGATATCTTGTATCGTTGTCGATTCGGTTGACTAGAGTCCAGATCTTCTGTAAGACATATTTTCGTGTTCTTAAGCCTTTCTATGTCCTTGGCAGGTATATCATCACTGACCGAGGCTAGATACTTAATTAAATCAACGTGACTCCATTTTTGCTTTGGGTTGTCATTTAGCGCCGTCGGATCAGAATCACGGAGTAGCCTCTCAAAAATAACACCAAGCTCAACAGTCTTACGAACTCCAAGGGCTGCGAGAAACTTTTCCTTGACACCCGCAAGGCCTGTGACGACCGGTAAGTCATCAAAAAGACGTACAGATGGGAAGTACGCCTCTTCCGGCCTTTTCATGCCATTCCTCACAGGAACAATCGTTCGGGGTTGCAAGATATTGACTACAGTCTGCTTCGAGGATTGACTAAGTGTATCCCACTGTTTGGACAAGATCGGTAAAACTTGCGCAGAAAATGAAGGAGTACGTGTAAGATCCTTGTTGACAGGCAGAACACTTCGATTACCAGCATTTTCCACAAGCCAACGAAGCCAAGGGACTATTTGCAATTCTTTCCAACCAATTGCATCCAGGTGACGTTTATCTAAAGACTTCGTGTATTGGAATGGCATGACCGACGGAGGTAGAGGCAGATCAGATGGTATACGCGTGGGGTTGAGGTAAGTATCGATTCCAGCTAAGGTCAACAATCTTCCAGGCTCTCCTTTAGATTCTTCTTCATTGGCAACTGCAGCACTAAGCAATGATAAAGTCGTTTTCTGATCAATCTCACTGGAGGCAGCACGTTTTCCAACCCAAAGAAGGAACTCTTTTAGTTGCACAGAAGTTAGAGCACTATTCTCAAGTTCCCGCTTGATATCAGAAACTGTCACTTCTGTAAGAAGACCGAAATCTGTCAACTTTCTAATCAAGTCCTTCGCGTTGTCAACCAATTCTTCGGGAAGAGACGGAATTCCATCCATAAAACTGAGATCCTTTGGGGCAATGCGAACATGGTGGCTTGGTAAAATGCCGCACGTAGACAGTATTTCAATGGATGCATTCTTGTTACACATCCAGAAGGAATCTTCTATTGTCCGCCCTAGAGTCGCAGACGGTGTGGATTCTCGGAAGGTGAATTGATTAGCTGTATGAATTGCTTCAGGAATGAAAGAGGTAATATTATCTTTCCGGATCTTTGGACCACTCTGATAAGCGATTCTGTCTTTTATTGACGACATGTCAGCGGTCCAAGCAATCCGGCAAACAATACCGGCAGCTCTAAGCATCTCAATATTCCACCTGCTTATGTATCTTGTATTGAGGTCAATACTTTCTCTCTCCACTGTCGGAATGACAGATGGCGCTGAAATATGTGCATTTAAACCAGTAGTTTGATGGGTGGGAAATCCTATGAAGATCCGCCCCGACTTGGATGGAAGCACGGATGACAGGACTTCAGAACTCTCGGAAGAGTCATTCGTTGAATACGATGGTGTCAAGATTGCAATTGTTGTCCGCTTCGGTGGGGGCTTTCTGGTTGCTCTTTCAAGTTCGCTGGCAAGAGAACTGCTTATTGACGCTTGGATAGAAGCCGTGTTGATGTGTAAGAAGACCGATGCTTTCTGGGTTTTTGTCAGATCCTCTCCATCACGTTGTCTCTCTGGCGGCTCTGCAGGCAGGGTTTCCGAAGAAGAGGAAGATCCGGTGAACTTGGAAAAAAACGAACGAAGCGTGGTTGTCGTGTCTCTAAGGCCCTCTATACGAGCGGATAAAGTAGTTTGGGGGCTCCATTCTAAGATATTCATCCATGCAGCGTCCACTTGAGCAACCTCCCTCGTAACACCTGCGATTTTCATAAGACCTTCGACGGTTCTTGTCTCTATATCTCTGGGTAAAGGCACCTTCTCACTTGGTGCAACCTTTTTTGTTAGTTTAAGTAAATTCCAGTCATCAAGCCACAAGTCAATATTTTCTAGGCCGACAAAGGTTAGACTTGTTGAAAGAAACTTTGCAAGCTCTAATAGTGAAGGAACTGGTGAAGAGTTGTTTCGATAATCAAGTACAAAGGTTGTATCCGGCGAAGCATCAGATTCGCCTAGTTGGAGTCGCCGAGTGAACAGTGAGTTTCCTTTCCAATAGAAAGCCATGGCGGCATTGCCGGAGGAAACAAATGGTTCTTCAAAATCATCAAAGACACTGTAGAATCCAACACCAAAAGCGCCGATTTTCGTTTCATCCGGGTTTCCATCTGCGATTCTCTTCAGGCGAGCCCAATCCTTCTCAGTGAACGGATGGCCATTATTTGATATAAGTAGTCTTCTGAGAGTATGATGACTGACAACATGCTTCAGCGTCGTCGACGGGTCCGCTGAACTTGGGAGGGGGACTGTGGTCGAGGGGAGGGTTTCAAACTTCACCGTCACTCGAGTAGCGGACGCATCGGATGCGTTCTGGATCATTTCGCGCAGTACGGTCCTTGAAGTCCCCACGATTAGCGACAACAATCCAGAGTTTTGCATGAGCTAATCACAGGAGAAGAGGACAAACCATTTCCCCGAATAGCGGGATAGCACTTTTGATATCAAACCACGGGTATCAACAGTTACAGCCTCTTCATCGTTGCTAGACCCCATGGTCCGCGCTTTCAACGCGTTGAAGTCTATTGACTGCGCCATCTTCTTGGCAGTCTGATTATAGGATAATAGTCCGAGTCAGGTCAGGTCGGTTCCGAGAGACGTTGAACAACGAAAAGGCAGGGTCACGGAGAGTGTTTATGTCTCGACTGGGAAGCAAAATCGAAGTCGCCGCTCGAAATTGGCCTCAAACAAAAAACCATAAAGCTGGGTCAAGCGGCACCTAATAGGGACCTGTCAGGGGAAAAAAAATAATAACTTCTCAAACATCCATAAGAACAAAGATGACAGGTACAAATGCAACGAACGAAGACAGCAATCGTGGAGAGCAGGCACACCCGCAGCACGCAGTGGCAAGTACCACCCGGCGATAAGCTAGTCCTATCTTATCGCTTATCAGCTGTTATCAGCCGGCAGCCCCTGGATCGACGCCTCAGGCCACAACCGGCCACCACACGAATCCACCCAACTTTGTTGTATATTGGCATAAACAGCCCGAGCTCGCTTTTCAACAATTACCACACGAGACACGCAGAGGCTATACCTCTCATTGATCCTACCACATGGTTATTCCACATGGTTTATAACAACCAAAAGCACTGTCGTGGAAGCAGTCTCGTGCGTTTCACAGACGGTCTCCGCACCGCGGAGCAGCTGCCACCATGGGAGTTGATCCATTCTCCCCAGTCGCACCGGTGCGTCTGAATATTCTTCTCCTGCCAGTTGGCAAGATCAAGAGGTCGAGGTTTCTAGGCTTTGCCGCAAGATTGCAAGGTGAAACCGTGATCCGTCTCGGCGATGTCAGTCCTGATGCACGTCCAAATCGAAGTACGCCTCCGCATTGATTGTACCAGATAGCAACGAACTGACTCTCCTAGATATGTTCACGCCGCTAGCCTTCCCAAATGGCATGATCCTATATAACATATCCTTCTCCGTACCACCAACTTCCCATCTTGAGCTATTTCCGTTCGAAGTTTTCCGAGAACCTTTGGCAGTAATTGCCGTTGCCGACGGCGCCGAACTACAGAGCGATGAGGGAGATACAAGCAAAGACTCCGATACGAAAAGGAGCAGCAGAGTGGAAGTTCCGCCCAATCCCAAGGGCCTAGGAGACTTGATGAAGGAACTTGCATGGGTCAAGGAGCAGAATCCCAGGGCTTTGACCAGCCAGCTACTCATCTTCGATTATGCAGGCCTTGATAAATCGATAAGTGGTCCGGATGATGTTATATGGGTGCCCACGCCTCAGTTGTCCAGACCAACGACAATGAAAACTGTTCTGTGCGATATAACTTCCCTGTTGCTCGGTGAAATGGACGAGTTCGCGAAGCTTCTACAAAGCATACCTGCCATCGATTCTCCGAAAGCCTCGTCATGGGGTCCACGAAGGGGCCCAGAGCTGCGCCCCCGCCCTATAGATAAACTAATGCACAGAATGACAATGCCCGCGCAGTTTCCAGTGTCAAATGGTGACTCCGAATCTGTGACTAGCTCTGGCAGATCCTCCCCAGCTCCTGCAGGTCATAATTCTCCCACTACCTTCGATGAAATCACCCGATCCATACAAGTTTCAAATCGCTCTGCTCCAGGGGGGAGACCGCCTTCTTCGAAAGAAAGCAGTCGTGATCGAATGTCTGTTCAGGGTCTCACTGCTGCAGATCGTACCAAAAATCGAATCAAAGGTCGTCTCGGTGTCGTTATCGGTACCCTGTACCTGCAAACTGGCAGATGGCCAGATGCATTAAAAGAACTTATTGAGGCTGCAACCATGGCCCGCGCCAGTAGTGACTATATCTGGCATGGGAAAGCACTTGAGTCAATCCTCCTGTGCCTCGTGATGCTCGGGTGGGCCGGAATGGATTTTCAGGTTAGTAAGATACAGACAAAATAACCGAATAATTTATCCAACACTAACCTACGAACAACCATTAGGTCCCCCAGGTCTGCTACCCTGTAGCTGAAAAGTCCAGCTCTAAATCGTCATATTCAAGCCCTAGTGTGCCGGATATATCAATACCTGGTCAATCTTCCACGGGAAATCGAATAGTCTCATTGCAAAACCTTGCTAATCTAATGCCCGACCTTTGTAATAACATTCTCAACTTATACAATCGGGCTGCTGTTATCACAGATGAGCCACTTCCGCCTTTGGTATTTGCTGAAACAGTCATACGCCTATCACGTCTTCTCTCTGCTATTCGACTTCGTGCTGGGACTCTAGATGACACTGCGTTGAGACATATCGTCGTGGGCGAAACTCTTGTACCTTCACAACAAGAGTGGCCGCGTGGCGCACCGATACTCAAGAAGAATGATATTGCAAATTTCTTGTTTCGTGCCTTGCCTCTCGCACCTGAAATTGAGTTGCCAGTCACTGATGCCGCACCAGTTCTCGTTGGTATATCTTCTGTTCTCTCAACTCTGGATCTTCCAAGGAAGAAAGCACTTGTTTTGAAAGAGTTGGTTTCACTTATGGTTCCTGGGTTAGTGGAAGCTAGGAAAATTGGAGCTGCTGAGATAGGTATTCATCCTGCTGCAGGGCTCTCATCCTTGAGTGACACTTCTTTTGAAATCAATGCATTAGATGCAGGTCGTGGGGATATGGAGGAAAGCACTCGTGCTCTTCTGACATTGGTCGGTGAAATATATGGTGTTCAGCCTTCTATTTATCAAGAACGCAAGAAGAATCGGGTAACGTCAAGACCTTCATCTGAAAGCAACGGACTAGGTGGGGATAATTATGACTCCGTTGCGTCTATCGTTGAGCGTGCATTCCGTCACGTAACTCTAGACCGGTATGGCGATTTGGGCCTGAAAATTGCGGTTCTCAGATTGTCAATTAATCTTTGCGAAGCGCTTCCGGAATTTGAAGGCGTCTTACAGTACACTGTTGAGCTACTCCAGACAATCCGAGGACATCTTATGCTTCCTGAAACGGAACGAGTGCCGCCCGTTATATCCGCCGACGAACAAATGAGACTCCTCAACACAATAAAACGGACCGTTGGTGCAGCTCATAAGTTGGGTGCAACTGATCTTGAGTCTGAATACTGGGATGACTTTCTCGTTCGTGACGTTGCTTTGCTTGATTTCCTTGAATTCAAGCGACTCTTTCGCCGGTCAAGAAGAGACTTGAATGCTGCGACTGTTTCCGATGAGAAATCAAAGAAAGACCCATTTTTGTATAACGCTTTTGCAAAGTTTGATAACAAGACATCCGAAGCTTTGATGATCGCCAAAGAGCTCGCAACCTTTAGGGTTACGCTTCAAAATCCCTACAGCTTCGAACTTGAAATCGAAAGCATCCAAATGCAAAGTGATAACCCGACTCTTGACGCCAGGGCATTCAATGTTATAGTGCCACCATTGTCCTTGTACGATATCATGGTTCCAGGCATAGTCATTGAAACAGGGAATCTCCATATTACTGGCTGTACTATCAAGGTCAGGAACTGTCGCTCTAGGACCTTTCCAATATTCAAGAGCATTTGGAAACCAACTCCAGAGGTGAAACTCAAGCGCACCGGTTTAGCCGCTAAACGGCCTCTTTCAGAGCGGCCGCTTTCATGGAGTTCCACCACTTCGAAAGATGGGAAAGTTCTCGCCAAAGTTGGGCCAGAAACTTATACTTGCCCAGTAAAGGTCATCCACCAGCAGCCCTCGGTAATTGTACACTCAACCTCGCTATCTCAGTCTGCTATAATGTTATTAGAAGGGGAATTTAAGTCCTTCGATATAACGCTACATAACATTTCATCATGTGCTGTCAGTTTCATCTTTTTCACATTCCAAGATTCAACGACTCGTCAATTACAGAATGCGTTGAACAACAAAGATCTTCTTCCAGCAGAAGTCTATGAGTTGGATCTTCAATTATCTTCAAATCCCCCGTTGCGCTGGCTACGACAGGGAAATAACCCCAACGATATCACAATTGAGGCAGGACAAAAGGCAACTTTCACAATTGAAGTATTTGGTAAACCCGGTCTCCAAGACGCCACTGTCCAGATTGATTATTGCCACTTGGGAGATAAACAGGATTCCATTCCTGAAACCTTTTATACCCGGCAATTATCTATTCCGCTCACCGTGACGGTCAATGCAAGCGTCGAAGTAGCACGATGTGATCTTGTTCCTCTCTCTGGGGACATTTCATTTTTCAATCAGCAGACGGAGGGGTCGACGTCGTCATCTGAAGTGGAGAAGACATACTCCTCACCATTATTGAAGAATCAGACTTCTCAGGTCACATCCGTTCTCTCCCACCTTGGTTCCGATATACGTACTTCGGACCATTGTCTTGCAATTCTCGATTTACGTAATGCATGGCCAAATCCTCTTTCCGTTTCTCTGAATACTTTCCGGTACGTAAATACCAGTCCAGGGGAACAGACCGAAACTCCAATCACTGTCAAGGGTGTGTTGCAGCCTGGCCAGATTTCCAGGTTTATTCTTGCTCTTCCCAGGATCTTTCTAGACAATTCCCATGCAGCTATCCCAATCATGCACTCGGTACGAAGACAATTTGTTGTCAGTGCAAATAAACTCACGTTTGAAGCCGAAGCAGCGACCAGAGAGGCTTTCTGGTTCCGTGAAGAATTTATGAAACGTATGCTAGGAACATGGCGCGAGGAGTCAAGCGGCCGAGAAGGACAGATCGACTTCCGCAACATCAGGTTCAACCCCAGGATGGTTGACGCAATGCGCCTCGAGGACGTCGAAGTGAAGTTCTCTCTGGCTTCTTTCAACGAAGAACACCCCGTGACCCAGGTCAAGAGCTCTAAATATACTGCAGAAACGAACAACTTTCTTAATCTCACAGTAGAGATTCAAAATCGTTCTTCTCGACCAATACACCCATTACTTCGGCTTCAGCCCGGACTTTGTCATCAACCTAGTACCATTGCGCTTGATCTTTTGAAACGACTTGCGTGGACTGGTACACTGCAGCGTGCACTCCCTGTGGTTCCTGGAGGAGAGAAAATTGTTGCTACCCTTGGATTGATCTTCTTCTGTCGCGGAGAGTATGAGATTGGGGCAAGCGTGGAAGAAGTGCGACTTATGAAACCAGTATCATCGGGTGATGATGCATCCCACTCAAGAAGTACGGGAGATGTCGACGAAATGTTCATACCGGACACGTTCGCCACAGATGGAACTAAGAAGAGGCGCATATGGCATGCAAGAGATCACTGTGTGATTGCTGCTCATGATTGATGCTGATGTTGTCTTCGCCTTGAATCAGATTGGTTTCGACGATCTCTTTTTTGATATGATGACTGTCTACAGTATATACCCTGTTGTTCAGAGCGGCTCTTCTTTCAACTTGAATTGAGCGACATGTAAAAATATAAATAAATGCTGTTGGAAAGATGGAAGAATTGAATATGACTTTTACGTGTAGGTCTACCATGAGCCATGGAGCTGATATCTATTTGTTGATTCAATCAGCATCACATACCCCTTCTTTTCTGCTACATCCTTTGCCTCATATAATTGGCATGAAACATAATCATAGAGTAATTGATATTTGCACTGCCAATGGTCTCCTACCTAAGTATTCCGTGATCACTTTTTGGGCAAGCGAGCAAGCGACATTACAGCCCGAAATGTAACAGGCGTATCTCGCTAATCATAAAATTTCCGCAACCTTGGTTGAAGACCATTATCCAATTAGGGTTCTTCCACGCGCAGGATATCTCTAATTGTATCTTTGTTAGGCCGTTGTTTCTTTTTGACAAGCAATTGTTGCCTTGACCTTCCTTCTACGGTGAAAGACCGTCTTCCCAAATTATTTTCTTGTAAGATTGAATGAATCCGGATCATAGAAGACATCCTACTCTCATGGTATGAGATGTGCAAGTGATATTCTTGTATAATTGGAAAGCTCTGCGCATAATGAAAAATGAGATTCATTTTCCTCAGAAATCAACCTCAAATGCATTGCAACACCAGATCGACAATAGCGAAAAAATCGTCCCGGTCAATCTGAGACGCATTAAGACCCAGTCCCACGACGAGTGTCCTTTTTTCATTTGGAGTCTTAGTCGCAATAGCACTACCAATTTGGCGCGCAAGAAGTTGATTGGTAGTTTCATGTCCAGGGGCATGTCCCCCCAGGATAGAAGTGGCAGTCAAGGCAGAAAGTGGGAGCAGACTATCGTCTGTGTCTCCGTTGGAGATTGTGTGGAATCCATCAGTCCCTGGATTGTTGTTCTCAAGAGGCACATGGAGCTACAAGGACAGTATCAGTTATGGGTTCCGTTCTGTTTCTATGAGAATCTCTGCGGAGGCGCACCCAATGAGCTAACCTGCCGTGTTGCGATATGGTGACCAGAATTCTATCGCTGAATCCCATGGAAAGAACATCTGTCGGCACGCCATTGATCGTCCCGGCAACTTGCTTAGTCTGGGCTGGAAACGGCAAAGTGAGAACCTCGTTGAGGCTATTCAAATCAACCATCTCTGCCATGACGATGAGCGTTCAGAACAGAGACAAAGACGTTTTCATTCGCCGATAATAATCGGCAAGGTGGGACAAAAGGCGGTGAGCCAAAGCGGTGAGCCTCCTGAGCTTCACACTGGGCCGAAGGCTCGGCAGAACTTTTTACTGCCAATCGATATTTTATAAAATACTTCTTTTCTCTTAGCAGTCTCTAACCTCGCACGATCGGGGCTATTTCGCAGCAATAATGCCGCCTTTCAAAGCTCGGGACCGCAAACAAAGGCATAGGCGGCAAGATGGAAAGGCTACCAGCGCTCCGGTTGACACCAATGTCACCGAAATCGTTCCTGTTTCCAAGGCGGAGAAAGAGGCGAAGCGGCAGCAGCTGAGGGAACAGCTCAGGGAGCAACAGCCAAAGATGTCTGCCAAAAAGAGGAAGCGTCTTGATAAATATATTGTGCGCATGTAAGGATCTTTTCTCTGCGATGCCGATTGCTAACACAATTTCAGGAAACGAAATTAAGGAAGGAGGAGAATCTAGAGTTGATGAAAAAGCTCGCGGAAACAAAGCTTGACCTGACCGAATTTCGGAGTATCAAGGATATGAGCAAGAGGGAGAAGAAACAACATGGCGGCACAGATAGTACACTCCAATCTCTAGACGCTGGGTTGTCAGGAGATGAATCGGACGAATTAGAGACCGGATTACGGGAGAGGAATGCTACGGCTCCTGATGTGAAAAAACCCGCGGCTCAAATCCAGGTTGGAAGCGGTCTGAAACGGCCACTTGATTTGGGATCGGATGGCTTTCCAATCCTCAAAAAAAGAAAGAAGACGCGGAAGCCGAAGTCAGTCGTGCAGGATCTTCCTTGGGAAGGCTTCGATTCGGGAGAAGATGAGGATGCCAGTGACGGTGAAAAGGAAAGCGGAACTCTACTTCACGACGCCAGTAACGACGATGACTCTGATGACAGTAATTTGGAAGGTCAGGCTGAAAACGAAAATGATGCATTGCAAGACGAGGACAGCCAAGAAACGAGCGATACGGACGATGACGATGACGATGACGATGACGATGAGGAAAGCGATGATGATGATGAAACTAAATTGGATATCCGTCCGAGGAACTCCGCCTTCAAAGCTTGGGCTACACAACAAATCAATGAAGCTATTGGATTCAAGCCCAGCTCGGATCAACCTCTCTCAGAGCAAATTTCCGCCTCTACTGAGTTCCTTGAGAAACGGGGCAAAGCCTCCAGGTATACAATCTATGAGGAAGAGCCAGTGCCTCAGGAACTTCAACCTACCACTGGAGATCCAGATCGTAAGGCATTTACCGTGAATGTCAACCGATCAGAGGAGGTCCAGGAAGCCCGCTTGAAGCTCCCCGTTGTAGGTGAAGAGCAGAAAATCATGGAAGCTATCTATAACAATCCGTCTATTGTTATCTGGGGAGCCACAGGAAGTGGTAAAACAACACAGCTACCGCAATTCCTTTTTGAAGCGGGCTATGGTCACCCAGACGGTCCGAACCCCGGCATGATAGCTGTCACTCAACCCCGTCGTGTCGCAGCAGTCAGCATGTCGAAACGTGTGGGAGATGAACTTGGCGAGTACTCAGACCGCGTCTCTTACCAGATTCGATTCGATACGAATGTTTCCAGTAATACTGCTGTTAAATTCATGACCGATGGTATCTTACTTCGGGAAATCGCAAAGGACTTTTCTTTGAGCAAATATTCCATTGTCATCATTGATGAAGCTCACGAAAGGAGTGTCAACACAGACATATTGATTGGCATGGTCAGTCGTATTGTCGATCTCAGAGAATCTATGCGCAAGGAAGACCCTTCGGTTAAGCCGCTTAAACTAGTCATCATGTCGGCGACGCTGCGAATATCTGATTTCACGCAAAACCAGCATCTTTTCCGCCATGGGACCCCGCCATTGGTTCAAGCCGAAGGCCGACAATATCCTGTCACTATACACTTTGCGCGGAGAACTCGCCGAGACTATGTAGAGGAAGCATACCGCAAGGTCTCAAGGGGCCATCGCAAACTTCCCCCGGGTGCTATGCTTGTCTTTCTCACAGGTCAGAATGAGATTAAACAACTCTCCAAACGACTGAAGCAAGCCTTTAAGCCTACTCAACGCGGCGAGACTGTCCAAGGCAAGCTCCAACTCTCAGCTGCAGACGCGCCGCTTGAGACAGAGGATATTGAACTAGGCGTCACAACGACTGGGCCACAGGGAGGAGATGACGATAGCGATGTCGATATCGTCGGGCTAGATGATGACGAAGATGATGAAGAGGACGCCGATTTCGACATCGGTGAGGAGAGTGTATCCTCTTCCACTAAAGTCCATGTGCTTCCTTTGTACTCCCAACTACCCACCAAGGAACAGCTAAAAGTTTTCGAACCACCTCCGGAAGGTTCGCGGCTCATTGTCTTGGCAACAAATGTCGCTGAGACCAGTTTGACGATTCCAGGTATCAAGTATGTCTTCGACTGCGGGCGGTCGAAAGAAAAACAGTACGATCTCAGTACTGGGGTTCAGACATTCCAAATTGGCTGGATCAGCAAAGCCAGTGCCAGTCAAAGAGCCGGTCGTGCGGGACGTACAGGCCCTGGCCACTGTTATAGATTATACTCAAGTGCAATATACGAGGGGGACTTTGCGGAATACACTGAGCCGGAAATACTGCGTACACCTATTGAAGGCGTAGTGCTGCAGATGAAGAGCATGGGCTTACATAACGTGATCAACTTTCCTTTCCCAACCCCGCCGAGTCGTCAGGGATTGGCCAAAGCAGAGAAATTGCTGAGGTACCTAGGAGCACTGAAAGCCGATGGGCAAGTGACGGAGATCGGAAAGAAGTTGTCACTGTATCCCTTGTCGCCCAGATATGGCAAAATGTTACAGATTGGCCATCAACATGGCTGCATGCCTTACGTGATAGCCCTTGTGTCGGCATTGGCAGTTGGCGACCTTTTTGTCCAAGAAAGTGAAGTCGACATGACAGTATCAAGACACAGTACGGATATGGAGAAGGTATACACAAACGCAGACAGGCTGGAAGATACACAGCGCGAAAGTCGTCGTAAAGATTTCAACCGAGCACAGCGTCTGCTCAGCAAACACGATGATACTTCAGATGCATTGAAGTACCTATCGGCCATTTGCGCATACGCCTACTCGAGCGGCTCTTCCGATGAGGAAGAATCTTTTTGCGAGCAGATGTTTTTGCGCAGCAAGGGCCTCAAAGAAGCATCCCAGCTTCGGGGTCAACTCACGGACATTGTCCGCGCCAATAACCCTGGACTCCTTGGACCGTATCAGCCGCGTCTTCCCGAACCGACAGCGAAGCAGGTGAAGGCTCTCAAGCAGATTGTCACGGCTGGGTTTATTGATAACGTTGCCATTCGCGCTGACGCATGTCCTGAGCCTCCGGAAATGGATCGCAAGCCACGACGAGCCATCGATGTACCTTACTACACCTTGTTCCGTTCACAAGAAGGCCGTGCAGTCGAACTATCCGAAAAAGCGGTATATATACATCCATCGTCGATTCTCACGCAGTTGACACCCAAAGAAATGCCCCAGTATATAGTGTATTCGCACCTGCAACGATCAACGGCTTCTCGTGTGCCTGCAGCAGACGGCAGTGCTCCCAAAGTGCGGATGTTTCCTTTATCTGCACCAAGCGGTCTACAACTGTCGGCCCTTGCGAACGGCACCCCTCTGATTGAGTACGGGAAGCCAATTGGCAAGGTTGAATCATTGGGCGGAAAACCGGAACGTCGCCAATGTTTCGTTGTGCCTTCTCTAGTCGGCGAACCTGGAAGTACGGGATGGCCACTGCCAGCAAAGAAGGTTGTTCAGGTCAAGGATCCCAAAGAAGGCTGGATCGTCGAGAAGTTTCTTTCCTAAGTGGCCAGCCAACCACGACTCACACGTCTAAAAATTCTTCTTTTTGTATATAAATTTGGCGTTCGTTGTAGAGCGTTTATTGTGATAAGGCAATTTGAATGTCAATGTCAGTTGGGTATCAATACAGAAAAAGAACCCCAGAATAAAGCAGTCCAAACGCCTAGATACTCATATATGTAGCGCCATTGATGCCAATCGAAAAAGAAAAGCCAAACAAAACGAAAACTCCTTCATGAATGTCGCCGCCGGGGATTCTTCCTGCGATCATCTTCTGCACTGCTATAATCAAGATCACGTTCATCAATATCATTCCGACTTTTCCCTTCTTTCTCTTCTGAATTTTTGTCCTTCGAGAAAGAAGACGCATTAGCATCCTTTTCCCAATCCTCTTTGATACCCAAAGCCTTCCTCAATCTCTCGCTTTCCTGTATCTTCGCTTCCGCCAGTTCATGGACCTGGTAACTCTTGAACTGTCTCCTGTCCTTATCAGACTGCCTGCCAGCACGCCTTTGTGCATCATAACCCTCTCTCCCTCTTCCCCCTTCCTGCAACTCCTTCAACAATCTCTCCCTCAACGCATCACACTTCTCATCAATCTCCTCATCTGTCAAGCCCTTCTTCTTGCTCTTCTCAAGCTCCTCACTCTCCTCCTCAAGCCGTTCCCGCTCTTCGAGCACCTGCAACTCGATGGCGCGTTTCCGGTCATGCTCCAATATCTGTTGATCGGGCTTGCGCTGCCTAAACCCACTTGATTGGCTGTTGTTGTTGATACCGCGAGTGTCTGCAGAGGATGACGGCACGGGAGGATAGGGTGCGCCGTAGCCGGCATTGCGTGGCTTGAGAAATGCGCTGTTGCGTTGCACGTAGCCTGAAGTGCCGCTACCGCGTGGCGTAGAGAGGCCAACGTTGGATGACATGATTCTCTTTTCCTTTTCACTTTTTGGGGGTGTTGTCGTTGCAAAAGGGGAAGAGCGCTTTTGCTGCCACAGAAAATGAATGAAGAGGTTCAACGAGGTTTTTGCGAGGTGTCTCAGTATCTCAAGCCATTCCAAAAACGATAGTCATGTGACATGTATGATCACGTGGGCGGTGACCCGGTTCCCGTAATGCATTTTTATAACTATAAGTCTGGGCACATTATAGCTAGCCGCCGTGCTAGATCTTGCCTTGGGTGGATCTCTTAAGCCCCCCGAGACAGCCCCACCATTAGCTATATAAAGAGAGCCATACCTAACCCCTTTATAGAACCCAATATGTCGATTGGTTATTGGATAGTACGACTTTCAAGGAACAATGACGTGGCGTGAATCCGCATGATAGGCCATATTAAAGAAATAAAAAAAGAGAGGCTCAGAGCTCAGGATAAGGTCTTTTTTTGTGAGGGTTCATGCTTGTATAATTCGGCCTCAGTCCTTAGAAGTCTTTTATAGTTCAAACTAGAGCTTAGAAGATAACATAATAAATGCAAATTAACATTAGCTTGCCAATAGTCAGTTTCAGGTCAGAGCCAGCCCAGTATTAATCAGTATCTTCCCAATCGAGCCAATAAGACATGTTGCTCGTCGTTGAGTCTGGAGGAGCACTTAACTCAGATCAGAACATGGTCACGCTTTTGTTGAAACCAGGATAGAGGAATTGGCCTTGTTAAACCAGTATGACAAAGGCATGTCTGAACATGCGAAAAGTTATATTTTCGAGCAACAGCTTTGGTGCGCAAGGGACTTGAAATCATGTAGTATCAGGGCAAACCTATCCCGAAAGGCTTCCAAGCGGTCTCAACCGACTCTATAAACGGATATCAGAATCAGAGCACATTCTGGATCCAGAGAATACAACCACAGAAAGCATCCAAAAATGTCGGCAGATACTCATCACAGTTGTCCTTGCTGATCAACCCCCCCGGGTTGAGAAGCTCCATGTTATTGTGGGTATAGTTAGACCATTGCATTTCATTAACAGTTACTAAGAGCAAAATCAATCAATCAAATTAATAATTAATAAAGCAATCTGAAATCAAGTATCTATAAGAATAAAGCGAATCACATGTCATTGCCTCTAGCATATTTTCGCATGCTCCATTTCCCATCCAGCCATCCGTTGTTTCGAAAGTGTTTCCTGTCAGCAAAAGAAATGATAATAAAAATAAAAGCAACCACGCAGAATTTCCCGACTCAGTCCGCAGTAATGACATAGGAAAGGAAAAAAAGGCAAAGAAAAATCTGAAAATGTCATCTGAATTTTCCATAGACGACGCCAGAGCCCACGCCAGCAGAAACCGGGATATGAGTGACAGAATATTAAACCGAGTACAAAGTTAGACATATCTTCATGGCATCACAAACGTAAGAGGGGAATGCAAATCGTCGAACGTCTGTCGAGACCTCATCGCATAAAACAGAAGGCGGAAGTTCTGTTCAGTGACACGTTAGACAGCCCTCTGTGGCAAGCAAATCCAGCCCACCGGTCAAATGCCAGGGTGCCTCATACATGAACACAAAGAAAATAATAATAACCAGAGGGAAAAAGAATAAGTTGAAGAAAGAAAGGCACAGGAACAGAAGTTTGAACATGGAAATAAAAGCAGATATATCTCCCCTGAGAAATTCCTGTATGTATATGACCCCTCCCTTTGATAATAGAATATAGAACATAGCAGAATTGAGTGTAAGAATAAAATACCGGCTGGAAAAAGAACCCCGTTGTTTATGCTTGTGACTCAGAAGAAACGCCGACCTCAGCCCCAGTCTGATTGGCAACAGTAGAATCAGGAATGGCAGCAATAGAAGTGGTAGCCAGACCCTTGGAATTATCAACAGGCCCATCGACCGATCCATCGGTAGCAGAGCCGCCATGAAGACTTTGAGTGTCTGTGGGTGGAGGTGTTGGCGGAGCCGCACCACCGACTAATGATCGCATATCAGCAAGAGACCTGCGAGAAGGCTGCGGCGAAGACTTGTGAGATGCAGGCGGCGTGGACGAATTTGCAGCCACAGTCGGAGCATTGGGATCGATAATGAGTTTCTCAATGGCCACGATTTGTTTACCATAGCTAAACTTCTTCAATTGGCTAAGCAATGGTTTGATCTCATCAATGATCATCTCTCGTTCCGAGCCTTTGACTTGGCCAAGAACTTTTTCTGTAACAAATCTGTTAAAGGTCTAATGATTGCAATGCGGACATGTGGGAAAATAACTTACGAATGACATAATTTCCGTACTGATCGCGCATGAGCCCCAAAAGCGGGCTCTCGCCACGGTCATTGTGAGTTGTCAGGAGTCTGATGATTTCTCGTCGCTGACTTTCTTCGCCGAACTCGATGCTCTTCTCCACAACGTTACTAGCAAACTTGTGCTTGGAAAAATTGTGCACATTCTTGATGACGGCGCAAATCATGACGGACCTATCCTTCTCTTCCCCGTTCTCAATCACGTGCTGAATGACATAGTTGCCAAATTGATCAGGGATCAAAGTCTCTGTGCAGACATGAAGTTCAGCAAGGATTGATTCACGGTCTGGTGTTTCGCAATGCTCTAGCATCCTCTGGATGACCCGACAGCCGTAAGGGTGAGTCGCTAGTTTGTTTACCTGACCCTTGAAAGCATTGATGATGAAACGAATGTGCTGGGACGGAACGCGCTCGATGGCTTTTTGAATGACGTGGTTGCCGTTCTGATCACGGACGCACTTCAACACATTGTTCTCGAGCTCCTTGACCATGGCCGCTTGTTGATCAGTCAAAATGTGCTCCAGAGCCTTTTGAACAACACGGCAGCCATACATCTGGGTCGATAAGGCCAGAATGTGACTCTTCATCTGGTTGGCTAGGACTCTCTTCTGTGATTGGTTGCCATGTTCGAACAGCTTTTGCACGACATAGTTCCCAAAGACATCAGTCATAAGCTGTAAACAGTTTGGCTGAATCTCGCGGAAAACTTGGTCCTTCTCGTCGCTATTGGCCGACTCGAGTTTCTGTTGGATAAACCGGGATCCATGCTGGTCCCCGCTGAATTCTACTATATGGTCATAGATATCCTGTCGACAATGTTAGTCCTAGGTCTCACATAAGTCTTTGTTTTAAACGAAATGATTACCTTCAGCTCGTACCGCTTGTTCGACTTATTGTGGGTACGGAATTCCTCGAGAAGAGGACTGCGGACGACTTGGCTAGGGTCGGGCTCACGGTGTGGAACACGTTGCACAATTGCAGATGGGAGGGCATTGTACGGCATTTGCAAGTAAGGAGAAAAGCCATTCAAGCGACTAGCCGAATAACCAGACAATTCATAACTGCTGGGGAATGAAAGGCGCTGTTGCATAGCCGCACCTGCAACGTGGTTAAGGTCTTGCTCCTGCTGTAAGCCTCGCAACCTGCGATCCAAGAGAGCTGCTTGTCCGTCGCTGATTTGTCCAGGCAGGCGGTGACCGGATGAGGGACGGAGCTGGTTATTTGCTACAGGAGGCGTCCTAATACTCGGGTAGAAGGAACCACCGAGTCCCCGTGTGAAATCGCCAGTAGGAGATGCATCACGATCACCTAACCGTGAAAGGGACTGGTATGATGCGAGAGGGAATTCATTTGGGAACTCAGATTCGTAGTTCGACATGTCCTGGTAATGGACATCATCGGTTGCCAGGTGGTTATTAAAGCGGTCAAAAGATTCCTGAGCCTGGTAAGCATTACGCTGGGCATTTGGGTATCCCGCGAGGGGTTGACCATCGTTTAGCTGCAATTGGTTCAAACCAGCGGTGATATCAAGCTGCCCACTAGATAGTCGCGGTCCAAGGCCGTGAGCTTCATAAGGGTGGTAAGCTGTGCTCGTCGAACCGGAATTCTGAGAAATATGAGAAAAAGTGTTTTGACGCGTCGATCCGGCAGAGATCGACTCCGATGCGACGTGTGAAAACGGACCGACGCCCATAGATCCAAGGACATCTTCAGAACGTGAGGTATCGCGGGCATTTGGAACCAAACTTGACTTGCGTTGGAACCCACCAGTGGTTGTGTTAGTGGAGAACGAGTTATATTGCTTCTGGTCGTCATTCCTGAAGTTCCCGAAATTACCAAGCGACAATCCTTCGGTGGTAGGTACAGAATAACCATCTCCATTCGGACCCAGATAAGCCTTAGAAGCCGACGCACTGTTGTTATGGCCAATTGCATTAGTGCGAGGGAGGGAGAAGTATGAATTGTTATCTCCATTTTCGGCTCTTGCAGGAGCGCTTCGATCCCCGGCAAGGGTTTCGATCGGAGAAGTCTTGATGCTGTTACTTTGATTCATGCCCAACGACGTCGCGGAGCCAACCGTGTTCCATGGAAGGCTGGCACGGCCTGCCCAGCCATCTGATTCTGATGCTGCCAATAGTGAACTCGAGCCAGACTTCCCCTGGAAAGCGTTCTCTAAAAAAAAAGAATTATCAGTTTCAGCGACTTGAAGAGTTGATAGATGATTGTTTGCTACTACGCACCTCTAGTCACGGTGCCCTCGGACTCACTATCAGAGCTGAAAGTATTTCTCGACCATATGTTGTTGTTCCAGCGGTCTTTGCTGGCTGGAAAGCCGTTACCCATGCCTGTGTTGTGTGTAGAGTTTGTTCGGTCGCCATTAAGAGTCGATGTACCGATAGGATTAGTGCGAACCTATATTGAGTTTAGAAAGTGAGAAAATTGAGAAAGAGCACATATGGTGTATAAAATCGTACATTATTATGAACGGTCGACCTGTTGGTGGCCATAGTCGAAGCCATATTTGCCGAGTCTGCCTGTTATTGGTATGAGACGATGTTATATTTACGTCAACCGAATGCAAATGACGAGTAACACGTTTGTTTCTAGACAGATAGGTTTTGTTAGTATTCACCATTGAGGAAGAAGAAACAAATGAAGTCCGCAGGGCGAGGCTCTCAGCCGGCCGTGAGACGCTCGAAATGCTCCGAAGATTGAAAATCACTAACTATTTGAGACGGCAGTATGCGAAATCCAAAGCGAGGGTGAGAGAAATGTGGATGCAACCCGAAGCTCAGTAGGATATTGAGAAAAGCCTTCCCAGTCGGAAATGCGTTATCAATGCAAGGCAGACAGCCGAGGTATATTCTTCCTCACTTAATGTTCACGTCGACGAGTGTATTGCGTGCGTGCGTGTATGTGTGCGAGCGTAAGAAGGTGGAATCGATTGACCTATGCTCCGTGCATGCCCCAGGAATTCAGACAGTCGCAGATCGCATTCATGAAGGTTGTGGAGCCCTTTTGTCGTCTGGAAGGAAGCGATGATTGGCGGAGGCAAGGGGGGGAGAAGGGTCCGATGCGAGAAGGCAGGAGGAATGCTGTTTATCGAGCAGAAGACACCGTTGGAGGGGGGGGGGGGAGCGATAGTCTAGAGAGAAAGCAGGAATGTGTCGACGAAGGGCGACAGGGGGACGGCGTAAAGAAAGAAACAAGCCCAACGGCGGCTTCAATAGAGAAATTGGAAATGTCACACAGAGGGGTTGGCACTTTCTATTTCCGAAAAGGGTTGAAAAATGCAGCTTGTCGGGTAGTCGGCTTGTTTGTTCTGTCGCCTCTTGATTTTTGTTTTTCTCTTCCTTTGATGCAACAGGTAAATCGACTTCTTTTTTTGTCTTTTTCTTTATGGTCTTGTTCGTCTCCGGAAGCTTGGTGGTTGGGCGAGAAGCAGTCGAGACAGCGGATGTATGATTACCGTGAGGATAAGAGAAGAAACAGGGAAGAACAAACAACGACGGCAGGAAGGCCGCAGCAGCGAAAGGGGGCTGTAGGATACTATAAAGAGGTTTACGAAAAAAGAAAAGAAAGAAAGAAGGATAAATAAAAGAATCTTTTGTTCGTTCAGGCGAAAAGGAAAAAGGAAATGGAAGAAGAAGCGCAGACAGGACAATGGGCGGTCCAAGGAGGGAAGTGAGTGAGCAGAACTGGACTTAGCAGCAAAAAAAAGCTGCGAGGTTCTGATAAGTGCGCTAGTGGCTTTGCCTGCGATCTGGCTTGGCTCCCGCTTGGGTCTAGCGCGGTACCAGTCAGTACGCAATACCGTACTTGCATAACCAAGGGACGTCAGACACGCTGGTTAGATCAGCATCAGTCATAGACCTGGACATTGCACGCACTAGAGATATTCTGAGTCGTCGTGGCCGCTGTTAACCAGTTTCCCTGTTTCCAGGCAGCGCGGTCCCAGGGGGCGAACGCCTAGGCCCCTGCGAGTATCCGTAGGATCTGCGCTGGCTGAAATGATAATGGCCGCTTTCAACGATACCGTACGGTTGGAGACGCCGATACACCGATGCGGAATAGCCGTCAGAAAGGCGGGAGGCCCACTGCAGCCACGGCGGGAAAGAGGCTCCTTCCATGATGTTCACTGTTGTTCATTGACGCAGAGGCAAGAGCGCAAGTGAGGAAAGACCAAAAGAACAGTTCCTTGGCGCCTGAGGCACCCCATGCCGTGGTCCGATGAACTTGCAGCCAAATAAAATAGCCTTCCGTCCTCGATTCTATGTGTGTGCCTACCTCGGTGCGCAGTATTTGACAAGGTTGCTATAACCATATGCTATCTATAGTAGCGGTGTATAGTTGACGATATAAATATATATCTAATACTTATATCTGCGTATTTAAGTATGCTGTATCCATTGCGATCGTTGACGAAGAAATCTGTAGCCTATCAGGGCGTCCGCAGTTCACAGATCAGGCCCCCACAAGGCATCCACTCCGAACCTGGGGCTCTCTACAGAGTCTACACTGCAATTAACTTCGGTGCATATAACTAGCCCCTGGCTGCCCACAACACGGAAGCTTTTTGACTTTACCCTTCTATCGCTCTCTTCTTTTTTTTTGGTCTTCAGGCAGCAGTTCCAGGAGCAAAGCAGCGTTGCTACCAGGCTGATATATAGAGTCATGACTCATTGAGTGGCAGCGTGAGTCATTTTCTGAGAATATTCGATATCTTCGTGTCACTGTATAGTCATGGTCCATGGACAACTCAGATATGTGTCTGTCGTCTGTAGTCACTAGCCACAGTAGTCTATCGCAACTAGCGTCGGCACCCTATCTAGATCCTATTCCCGAATACGGACTACGGAATATAGACTTGCTCTCGACAGCACATACCAGACACACGAATTCGCACGTTCCCATAAGATGAATTATCGGATATATAATTCCCTAAATCGTGCAGTCATCAGCCAATTTCGAATCTAGATAGCAGTGCAAGTGTAGATAATCGACAGGCATGTGTGTCTTTTTTTTCTAATCATTTCTTTTCTTTTTCTTTTCGAAATGTGATATATCTCTTTCAAAGGTTATCTTATTTCAACGCTACGAAATGTTCCAATCAGTTTAGGTGTACTCCGTACTACAAGTTTGAAAGTATGCAGGGATGAAAAAAAGGGGTAAGCTCCATTTAGTTAACACTCAAATCTCACAGACTACCACGTACTATCAAATAATTTGAACTGACATATGCATCCCTTGCTTACGTCAATCCTGACATGCCGCTACATCTGTATGTCTATCTATCTATATTGGACCTAGCCCCTCACCAAGAATCCATGAAACTCCCGAAACCTTGTCGAACAATCAGGCCTACTAGAGACAAAGTAATCGACATTTTCCTTTGTTTTCCCTTTTTCGATAAAAAGGTGGGCTAGACTGTTGAGCTCGTGGTAGATAAAGGAGGAATCCATGGATGAAACCAAACTAGCTACATGGTAGGTAACATAGTCCCTGCAGGATCGAGGACGCAAGGATGAGCAGTCTACACTATGTACCTGTAAGCACGCCATCAGCGTTGCAATGGGACTGAGTTCTGCTCGGTTGTAATCTTTCATTCGCCTTTTGGCATGTCCTCTTATGACATATTTGGTCCATGATGAACGATGTCTCCGTGTAAAAATGATGGCAAGGTAGGCATCACCATCGTATAGTTGACTATACACAGAACTCAACCCGGTATGCTTACCTAGGTAGCGTTGATTTGGGGATAAACTGCAACTGTTTCTGCAGTCATGTGATCTGCACATGATATGTCTCGGATTGACTTATCAGGGACGGTCAGCTACCTGGGGTACTGAAATGACTGTTCTTACTGCAAAATATGCTGCTTTTTTAAAACTAAGTACATCAATGATAGGTACCTAGGTATCTCTCCACAGCAAGTACTCAAGGAATATATAGTGTACGCAGACAGGGGTCCTTGCATGCTGTCAGTCCCCATGTACTCAAATCTTGCCTGCAGGAACTAATAAAATAAAATTATATATATATATAAATATATGCATAGCAGTTGATGTATGGCATATGACATATGCTGAAGCGCACGGATGATTGGCTTGACATCATCACTGAGGGCATGGATGGACTATTTGTTTGGGGAATACCAGATAGGGAATTTCCGTATACAGCAACAGACAGTCAACACACCGCTCTATGCCATCCTGCAAACTCCTGCTCCTTCTCATACAGCTGCAGAATAAGAGTAACGACGCACTGAATGATGGCAGTTGCCTTGACGCGGCAAAGACGCAAAATGTGAAAGTAAACTAAATTAGCAGGGAAATTGCAACGCTTTGCTGGCCTGCGACTGGCCCGACAGCAGCGCCGGCCAGGCTGGAATGGGAATAGCCTCGTGCGTTCCTGCGTGCGCCGTGCAGCGCTTGCCCGTTGCGGCCTAGCGAACAACGTAGCCTCAGCCCTCAGGCGTCTCGGCCCATTTCGAAGCAATCCCCTTTCTTCCCGTTCCTTTTCTCTTTTCTCCCTCTCCTCTCCCACATTCTTTCGCTTGCCCTCCATCCATCCCTCCCCACCCCTCGTCAACAACGCCCTTCGTTCTCCAGGCGTCAGCAGCTTCACTCTTTCAGCTGCTCGCCGTGCCATTCATTCCTTCCAACTATACCGCCAGTCACTCACTCATTGTCGCCCATCCGACCTTTTACGCGCTGCCCGACCAGTACCGTCCTTTCGAATTCGCAACAAACGCATCCACCATATCTGTGAACATATCTTTGAAAGGCATATCTGAATATATCTACCCGGGAAGGACATATCCGCAAAAAATAGCATACAAATCGGAAAGTTTTAGAGAAAAAAAAAAAACCATATTTGCTGGGGCATTATCGGCTATCGATCGCTGTTGTTACTTGATACCTCAACTAAAATACCAATCGAAAATAAAATAACAATGACGCCTATTCACGTTCTCGCTGCCCGTGATTCCCAGGACGACGGGGCCTTTACTCCCTCAACTGTCGATCTGTTGATCTCGCTGTTGGTGCTGATTCTCCTCGCAATTGTGTTGGCTGGCAGTCTCCTTGTCCTCCGCCAGCGACGCCGAAAACTCGAGCAGCAGTCTCAACTCCCGCTATATAAGAGCCAAGCTCACCAGCGCAGCCTCACGATCACGCAGAACAGCCGGACCGGTTCGATACATGTGTATAACGAGAAGCAAGGCCTGCAGAGTTCCCTGAGCCCTCCTCCAAGCCCGGTGCCGGAGATTCGCATCACTTTCCCCGACGAAAAGGATGAGTCCGGCAGGCCCCAGGCTGGCCGCGTCGTTGTTGTCCATATCAGCGAAAACGGCGGCGTCGGACTGTCACCCATGAAAGAGGAATTGCCCCCCTACCAGACTAACGAATCTGGCCGCTTCCAGTCTCTCGATCTGGAACGTATGGGTGGCTTGAAGGAGAAGGAAGAGATCAAGACATGGTCTTAAAGAGAATGCGCCAATTCTCAACAGCCTCTCTCGGCTTATCTTTGTTTCCTCACCCATACCCCAAAATAGAGGTTACCCATCCTTACGCTTTTACTTCACTTTCTCCGTTGCTACGACCCCATCAGCATGACGAATACCAAATAGGCGGGCGTGATTATCCCCTTCTCTTTATTCTCTAATTTTACTTTCACATTTATACTCCGAACCGGCTCCCTTTACCTTGTATTTTGCCTCTGCCTATGCATATACGCAACCATTCTTCCTCTTTTATTTTCCATTCTGATCTTCAAGATGCCCTGACAATCTATGCGCTGAGACAGTATATCAAGACAACTAGATCGACAATACCTCGCCAGTCAAATCACTTGACCCTGGCTTTTTTTTATGATTGTGGATATTTTGCGAATTCTTTTCTCTTGTTGTTCTTGTGTGTGATTGCGCTTGGAGAGCTTCCGCTTTGAATTTAAGTCTTGTCTGGGTGATGTTAATCTTTTTTCCTTTTTCTTGTTTCGGTTACCTGTTCATCTATCTGCCTTTTGTTCGTCCGAGTCCTGGAGGGTCGCCAGAACAGGGACGAGCGAGCTATTCATTGCAGTTTGGGTGCACTTATGTTGTGAATTTTTTTTTATATTCTCTTCTACACCCTTATTCTTCAACCTTGAACTTCATTAGGACTTTTTTTCTGCCTCAAGGCACCTGAGTGTTGACCGAGTCGCTTGGAGCCGATGTATTTAGATAACCATAATGACTTGCCTGCAAAATACCTTCTCAACTGTTCCCACAAGCCTTTCGCGTCTATCCATTGTAGTGCTCGTCGAACAACTTAAACTACAATAGGCAGTCATGATATAAGCTCAGCACGGAATTGGCCAATGAGGGCGGGCCATGTTTAGGCTTGGACCCTCTCTGAAAGTCTGAGCTATCCGCGACTGAACCAAACGGCACAGCTCCAATTTCCAAATTGTTAGCCAGGCTACCTGCCTAATAATTATTTGTCTCTCGAGAAGAATCAAATCTATCGGCACTTCATTCCCTCTTTTTCTTTCTTTCTTCTTTTTTTTCTTTCTTTCAATTTTCTTATTTCCTTCTCTGCTCTCATTACCAATTCAATTGACCCGTCTGTCGTCCAGTCTCTGCGCGTGCGGTCCGCTTTCTCCAAATTTCTGCGCACCGACTCAGATGAATCGCGCCAATAAGGCCATATACTCCATACCAAGCCCATTCCTTTAACTCACGACTATGATGCTCTCTCGATGAGAGATATCACGGTTTCTTCAGCTTCTTTGAAACCCTCCCCGCAAATCGACTCTCCTTCCGTCTCTGTCCAAAAAAGTGCTATCCGTCGGACCCGACCCCAAACGCAAACGCGGAGTCGGCGATGCCTGCAAATAAATCGTCTCCAAACCCTTTGAGTAGCGACGCTACGACAGGGCTCTCGCAACAACCTGGCGCAAGTGAACCTGCAGAAGCGCTGCAATCCCGCCATCAGAGTGCACCGTTTAGTTCGGCGCAGAAGAATGAGGGGAAACAACCAGGGTTGACGAGTACAGCCAAGTCGCATAATAAAGACAATGCCCTCGAGGTTTGCGAAAGTGATTTCAAAAGGAAACACATTGGTGTCGTGGGGGTTCTTTCATGGATTTTGTGAGTGGCCTTCTTTTCTCCCTCTCAACTTTCCGTATGGCTAATGTCGCTGTCTGTTGGATAGCTTCTTGCATATTGTTGGCATATATTATTTTACTAAAGGGTTCCTCTTAACTCGACTAGTTCTTGATGACAAGTCAAGTTGTGATTTGCTTCCCCTGGATATTACCAGTGGTGGGAATTCACGCGAGGGTTGCTGGCATCCCAAGACTTTCGACAAGGCTGTCTTTCTAATCATTGATGCATTACGGTACGACTTTACTGTTCCATTCCACCCACAGTCCGAGGGTGATCAAGCACATATCTACCATAACAACATTCCCATTCTTTACGAGACCGCAGTAGAGAGCCCGGAGAAAGCGTTTCTTCTCCCTTTCATCGCAGACCCCCCTACGACTACTTTACAAAGACTGAAAGGCCTGACCACTGGTACTTTACCGACTTTCATCGACGCTGGCTCAAACTTCGATGGCTCTGCTATTGACGAAGATAACGTCATCTCTCAACTGCACACCGCAGGCAAAAATTTAGTCCATTTGGGAGACGATACCTGGACCAAGTTATTTCCCGACTACTTCGACCACAATCTGTCACGTCCATTTGACTCATTCAACGTCTGGGATCTACACACCCTCGATAATGGCGTCAATGCCAACCTTTTCCCTCTTCTGAGCCCTGCGAACTCGACAAAATGGGACGTTATTTTTGGCCACTACCTTGGTGTTGATCACGCGGGCCATCGCTATGGTCCGGATCATGCTGCAATGGCAGCCAAACTGAAGCAAATGGATCAAGTAATCCGCGATGTCATTAATTTACTTGATGATAATACACTCCTTATTGTTATGGGTGATCATGGCATGGATTCCAAAGGCGACCATGGAGGCGAGTCGGATGATGAAGTCGAAGCCGCGCTATGGATGTACTCGAAAAAGGGCATTTTTGGGCGCACAAACCCCGAGTTTGTCACGCCGCCATTAACTGCGAAGGAACGAGCTATACCGCAAATTGACATTGTTCCTACATTGTCCTTGCTCATGGGCATACCAATCCCGTTCAACAATCTTGGGTCTCCGATAGAGGAGGCATTTGCAGGATCTTCTGGCTCAGATATAAAGAACCTAGCAACTGTCAATCGAATAGCGTCAGCGCAGATTCAAAGGTACCAACATCAATATGCCTTGGCGCGCGGCGTGGATGAAAGCCAGACGTCGGGTCCTCTATCTCTCCTGTCTCAGGCAGAAGCGCACTGGCGTTCACTCGCCAAGTTTGGATCCAACTCGGAAAAGTATCGAGCGGCGTGTAATGCTTATCGAGAGTACCAGCGTGACACTTTGAATGTGTGCCGTGGCTTGTGGGCCCGGTTTGACATCAACAGTATGTTGCAGGGTATTGCAATCCTCGTGGGTGGTATTGCGATCCTGATAGTGTATGCTCGCGGGTTGCGTGACGATCAAACGTCTTTTAGTCCAGCCTTGGCCCGGCCTATTTGTGTGGGTCTAGGACTGGGTGTTTTGGTTAGTTTCGTGTACGTCTTTGTCGGGGGAGAAGGGCTGGGGATGGATACAATCGCGTTGGGTGCTGCTGGTGGAAGTGCTGCTAGCGTCATCACCAGCGTGTTCACAATACCGAAAAGTTTTAGATCGCCACTACCCAAGTCTCTCTGGAGCTGGTTCGCCGTTTTTGTCACTGTGTCTCAGTCCATTGGGTTCGCCTCCAACTCGTACACCATCTGGGAAGACAATATTCTGCTCTTCTTCCTCACTACGTTCGGCGTCCTGGCGGGTATATCCTCAATGCGACAGCAGTCAAAATCTGACAGAGTTCTAGGAGTCTACCACTCAATTATATTCATTCTCATGGCAAGGCTGGCGTCGTTTTCTCGTCTGTGCCGTGAGGAACAGATGCCCTTCTGCAAGTCAACATATTACGCTTCAGCATCCTCTTCGACCTCAGCACCCTGGCAACTCTCCATTCCCTTCGCCATTGCCTTGCTTCTTCCGGGCACCGTACGATCATTTTACGTTGGATCAAAGTCATACGAAGGATCGGCCACCCTCTGGATTGGGTTTGCCTTTCGTATCGGTCTATTCATCTCGGCGTTCTTCTGGACACTAGATACTGCGGACAATGGTGAATGGTTTTCTGTTGGCAAGGGAGCTTTCAAATACATCCAAATCACTCTAGCCCAGTTAGTTCTTGCTATAGCATTTGCAGCGGGAACCACAACTTTCATATGGGCAAAACCATGCATTAGTATCAGCATTACGTCTGGAGGTGCCAACATCACAGACCAGCCAGGACAAGTACAACAGCAGCAGCAGCAACGAACTACCATTACCATCCTAGGTTTTGCAAATGTCCATGGGACTCGTTTTTTCCTGCTCGTAGTCAATTTCTGCCTCGCCATTATTCTTCTGAGCAAGCCCATGGGCCAAGGTGCAATCGCCATTGAAGCCTTACAGATACTGTCCCTCCTCGAGATACTAGATACAAATGGCCTCACGACAATCAACTCGGCCATCGGACCGATCGTACTAGGTCTTCTGGGGTCATTCCATTTCTTCAAAACAGGCCACCAAGCCACACTAAACAGCATTCAATGGGAGAGCGCTTTCTTTGCGCTCTCGTCAGTCCAATACCCCTGGTCACCTCTGCTGGTGATTCTCAATACCTTTGGGGCCCAAATACTAGCTGCAATTGCTGTACCGCTCACTGTACTCTGGAAACGACCCATTGATACCCAAGGCCGCATACCCCTACAACTCCTCCAGCAGCCATCCGCAGAAAACGACACACCAGCAGTCACCGAACCGTTTCGACAAGCATCATCATCAGGATCGACAACATCCTCATCAGACAACCAACAAAACGACACCATATCCAAATCCAAATCGCCCATGGTCCGCCTCCTCTCCGAAATCGTCCAAGCCGTCTCAACCCACATCCTATACTACGCAACCATCAACCTAGCCACGACAATGTGGGCGGGCCATCTCCGTCGTCATCTGATGCTATATCGCATCTTCTGTCCTCGATTTATGATGGGAGCAGCTGTATTGGGCGTCGTAGAATTTTTCATAATCATCGTTGCTCTCGGACTAGGTGCGAGGGCGAATACTTTGAGTGTTACTGAGGTTTTTGGGTGGTGATTTATTCTATCTAGCATTTTCTCTCTCTCTTCTTTTCACTGTCATTCATTCTTTATATCTGTTTTTTTCTATTTGAATCAGAAATATAAAATAATACAATGTATGTCCTTATGATTTTCGATGAACAAAACACATGTAAAATCTGATATTGGCATCGGTTGCGGCAAATTCCTCATATCTTCATCTCTAAAAAGAGCCAGGAGACAGCACGATGTAGAACTAATAAACTTCTATGACACAAGAACCTGCATGTCACATACTGAACTTCCTGGGGTCCAGCGCAGCAATCCTCGCACTCTTCGCGCTCCCTTCAAATACAAACTCACTGATAAGCTTTCCTGTTCCAGGGGCATTCTGAATGCCCCAGCACGTATGACCAGTTGCAATGTACAGCCCTTTGGTGCTGGCGTGACCAATCAGAGGTCCACCGCTAGGGCCTATGGTATCAACATTGGGCAGATAGCAGGCCTGCTGCTTTACAATCTCGCCCAACCTAAGCTCGTCCGAAACGCTGCCCACGGACTCGATGATCTCTTCACAACGACTGTGATCTACTTCAACTTCTGCCGACGTTTCCGGTAGCGGCACTGTGTGGTCTCCTTCGCCGCACGCATATACAGTGTCGTCAGGGCGCGCGTATATTTCGGGGGTCGCAACGGTCGACCTCTTCGGATTAGTCTTTGAGGGCAATTCGATGTTTGTGAATAACGTATATGCAGACACAGGCCGTGTCGGCCGAATGACCACGCTATGTGCTCGCGTGGCCTTGATAGGCGCATTTGGAACCACGGCTTTTGTCCATGGGCCTGCCGAAACGATGATATCTGTCGCGGGCAGAGTGTGCGACTCTCCGGACGCTTTATCCGTATACGTGACGGACTTGACGGTGCGTGCTTCTTCTTTAATTTCTGTCACTTTTCCTAAAATAATCTTGACTCCCTTCTCTTCAGCCAGCTTGGCGATGGAGGTTGTGAATTGATACGGATGCACCTGCGCTGTCTCGCCCGGCCCGCTCATACTTTCGTAGCCTCGAAGTCCATCGGACAGTAGCCAATCCAGATCTGTCGGTATGCCGGCGGCCCTCAGCTTGCCGATTGCAGTTGCATCTCGTTTTTGCAAGGAAACCGAGGAGTTGCCGGAGGTGGTTGTGTCCTTAGCGTCAACTGCGCGACCTTTCGCGATTAGTTGGCCACAGTTGACCTCCCGGTAGCCCCAGTTGTCTTTGCCATTGTGCTCCTTGGCCAGTTCAGCGTGTAATTTATAACTCAGTGGGACTATAGAGCTGGGGTACGCCCACAGTGCGAGAAGACCGCCCGCTTTCCCGGACGCGCCTCCAGCGATTTCCGAGGCTTCGAGCAGAGTAATCTTGTGCAGGGCTGGATCATATGATGGATGTCTCGTCAGATAATACGCAGAGCACGACCCAATGATGCCGCCTCCTAGTTACGCAAAAGCGTTTCGCGTCAGTTTCTGGTGGTTGTTCAGACGGGCCTTGCGACCATGAAGATATATATGATTCAGGTGGTATGCGGGGTAGCCATCAGCGAAAAGGTGAGACGACATACCGATGATAATGATATTTCGCTCGCTTCCAGAAGCCATTGTGCTCGGGGAGAACGAACCGAAAGCCCTCCGAACGAGAGATGCCACTTTTGATACGCTGTGTTGCAATTGTTGTGCCAGGTACTTCCCAGGAAGCCGAGTCGGCGCGGGTATAGAATGAGGAAAAGGGGACGCCGTACGTCACAGCCCGGGGGATGTGGCAAGACGCACTGTGCATCAGGGATTTTTATGCCCTAAGCTTGATTCCGTGAGGTAATTATTTTTATGCATCGGTAGTTAATGCTTGGTAAGATAGAATATAGATTGTAGTAAACATTTTGTCGCTGTTCCGCCCGCCCATGCACCATACTCATGGTAGAAGAAATGTACACCTAAACTCCGCAACATGCCTTGATCGAACTCTTGTAAACGTATGCTACATTGACTGAAAGAGAAGTAAAAATAACAGGAATTATTTATTGTATGCGCCCGACGGAGTGGGGAAATTGTTATCCTCTGCCGGGACTGAGAGGCCTGTTGAATCCACCGACACGATTCATGTATTGGCGGTATTCGGTCTTCTTCTCCTTCCGCACACCGTAGATGTCGTTTCCGGGGACTTTTGTGTTCTTGGTGCTTCTAAATCGCGAGAAGCCCATGGATCTCTTCATCATAGCCTCAATGTCGTCCGAGTCTTCGATATCGCTCATCATATCAGCATGATGCGCGTCCTCTTCGTCTGTAGGGGCGCCACGTCTTGGTGCCCCGTTCGTACGACGGTGATCAATGCGCGACCGGGCGTCTCTCCTTTCGTCCCTGGAGTCGGCATCTGAGTCACGACGAGAACGGGTGCCGTTGCGTGGCGACCTTGATCGGTCTGGCTTTCCTGGTTTCAAGCTATATCCTATAGACATTGGAAATCTCGTCAGCATTGGGGTAGGCACATGACGAAGAAAGAGAGCCATACCGCGTCTATTATAGTACCGATCTCTGCTAGAGCTCCGATCGCGGTCTCTCATGCCCCGTCCATCCCTCTTCGAGTCTCGATAACCATCACGGTCATGATCGCCGGGCCGCTCAAACCTGTCGCGAGATACACTTCGATCTCTTTTGCGGGCGTATCTATCACGCGAACGGGAGCGGTAGCGGCGGTCGTCCCTGGCACTTTTGCGAGTGTCTTCCGGCCGCGAGTGGCGCGCTTGATCTGATTCTGGCTCCGGCGAGTAAGACGGGCGCGACCGCTTCTCATTTGTATCCCACATAGCTGCGCTATCCGTGCGACGGGCACGTTTTGCAGGTGGTTCGGCCATGGTGTAAATGAAGTGCCAGCTATTTCAAGACCAAATAGCTGGATAACGGGCAAGTCGTCGAAATCGCAGCTCTCAGATGAGCAATCCGGAAGACCGTGTTACCACCCACTGCGCACTCGCTGGACGCGTCCCTAATTTGTCGTTGGCTTGGTCTCCCACCTAAAAAATCATGTTACTTTTGAGTTTAGCTGCGCTTTTGCATTGATGATTTTGGGCTGCCGCGAAATCGTACGGGCGGTCAGTCGCGCCACAACCGCAGTTAGTGCCTGAGGCAACAAGAGTTTCTTCGGCCGTTTGCCACGTGACTCGGGCTCCACTGCGCGCGTTGCCAGGAACTCGGATTTATTATTAGAAGAAAAGTCAAAACACGGCTCTGTGTACTCACTCACTCTGGCCCGTCGTGTGCAGGCAACTTGACTAGTTACTCCGTTTCGCAATGGTATACAAAACTGGCGAAGGCGAAGCATACGTACACCGCCCCGCCCGTTGCCCAAAAGGGATCTGAAAGTTAGCCAGCGGCAAAGCCGCCACCTCGCCAGCCAATCGGAACCGCCCAATCATCGTGGCTGCGCCAATTGCTGGGCGGCCTGAGATTTCAGGGAGGAAAACTGGGCCTACGTAAGAGCTAAGCCTTGGAGCAGCAACTCCTTCTCCGCGCTCACTGTCCTTCCTTTCTCGAAAGCCCTCCTTTTTGGCATTGCTTATTTCCTTTGTCCATCCCACGCTCGTTGCACTCCGATAAAACAACCAGCGCCGCCCATTGAGGTGCACTCAACATCCTATCGCCCACCGGCGTCATCGTCTGTTGTTATTTCGCCCCTAGGCCCACGGTGCCTCGAATCCGCTTTCCTTTTTTTTTGTCCCCTGACGATATGGGGGTCTTCGGCGCCTTCAGACGTCGCTGGCAGCGTCTTGCCGTTGCCTCTGTTGTGTTCTGTGTTATCTCGTTCTCGATTGTCTCCTCTAGGGGGGATCGTGAGCATGCTGTGCGACAGCCCGCCGAACTACAAAAGAGTCATCCATCATTATGGAAACATATACAATCCTCTAATATTGAAGGCGGAGGTATGTTTGCCCTGAATTGCTGCGGGCCTCATGGAGATGGCTAACTAATGGCGCAAGCATTCTATATTCCACCGTCGTGGCTGTCACCGTCAGATCCCAAGCCAGCCACCATTATAGAAGCGGCCCGCCTTGTATCGCGACTAACGGCGAATCGCTACAAGTCCCGCCACATCAACAACACCGAAATACCCTTAATTGTGCATCAAACGTGGAAAGACACTCACGTCGATACGTGGCCAGAGTTGATCCGTAATAGTGTTGAAGAATGGCTGAAGGAAGTGGTGGACACGCCCATGGCCTATTTTCTTTGGGATGATGATGGGATAATGCAGTTTTTGGAAGCATACGAGCCCAACTTCATCGAGCATTTCAGTGCGCTGCCTAGAATGGTTGAGAAATCGGATATATTCCGCATTATGGTTACAAAATATATTGGCGGCATTGTAAGTGGCCTCTTGTTTTTCTTGCTTGGTATGCCGCATGCTAATCGTGCAACTCTTGCCGCCTAGTATGGTGATGTTGATACTCGTCCACTGCGCTCGCCGGCCACCTGGATCGGACCAGAAGACTTGGAACCTTGGTATGATATGGAAACGGGGGCTTCTTATACGCCCACCAAGCCCGTTCGCGCGATTTTTGGCATAGAAGCCGATTGTCCTCCCGACAGTAATATGTATTGGCGAATGGGCTATACGAATCCAGTGCAATTGACCCAATGGGCGCTGGCGTCTGCGCCTGGCCATCCCGCTTTGACCTGGTTCATGCAGAAACTGTACAGCGCTTTGAATGAAGTTGCCAACCATCATGCCGGAAATCTGACAACGCCAGAGGCATACCAAGAGCTGTATTATCTTGACCCACTCATCTTAACGGGTCCTGACGCCATCACCGTTGTGTTACGGAGCTGGCTTGAAGACCGCATTGGACTTCGATGGAATGCTTTGACCGGTTTGTATGACGGAGGCAAGAGTAAGCTGGCCGACGATATCATGATTTTACCAATTACTGGATTCAGGTGAGGACTCATTTCTACGACGATTCGGTGTCGGCCCTTGCTAATGTTATCTCCCAACAGTCCCGGACGTGGAAGATACGGCAACATGGGATCCAAACCAATCTCCCATCCTGACGCGCGAGTCCAACATTCTGCCCAAGGTTCCTGGAGAGGATTCAATCTGCGCATAGAAATGGGGAAAGCGTGCCGAACATTCTTCGGCATGTGCAAGGACTGGCCCATGATATAAGAAGAGGAGGCATCGAGCAAAATAAAGCGAGGACTAATATAAAAGTGAAGAAGTAAAGGGCAAGGAGAACGGAGTTTTGAATGGATGGTCTCAAGTTTGTGCTTTTGGGTGGGAGTTGTTGCGCATTAAGTCCAGCATGCGTTCGTGTCGTGTTTTTTTCTTTATACCCGTATGATATATACAGTTATGTACATTTATTTTTTATATTTTTTTATTTTCTTTTCACTTACATATTTGACGCTGCATTAGCATCCAATTCGTTCTCTTGGTGAATAGCGATCGGTTGCTTACTACATGTACATACAGAGTAAAGCTCTGCACGTGGATTTTTAAGGGACTAATATACAAGTTGACGTTCATTTGACCGTTATGATGCACTTATAACAACACAATTGGAGGACGAATTCACATCCGCCGTAGATCATTGAACCACATATACCGGCTCAGAACTGAGTACAAAACTCTATCCCAAGTATATCGAGACGCATGTTCCCCCAAGGCCGCCTGAGCTCTTGTATGTCGGCCCCAATCCGTTACAATGAGCGCCCTGTCTCCGTATACATCGCCATTCTTGGGAGGCGCCAGCTTTCCACCAGAAGTCGGTTCTGCCGGCGTTTCATGCACCGACGTGAGAAGCGCCTCGAGTATTCTCAGGGTGAACGGGAACGAGGTCGGGACCAAATCGGCCAGAGATAGATATTTCCTCAGGACGAATGTTGTCTGCAGCGCATATGCCGTGGGTTTATGCTCTTCGTCTTTGCCAACCTGACGATGTTTATTCTTGATGAATCTCTGGACTCCCTTGTTAACAGACCGGTGCTGCTGATCATGATTCGCCCCTGCGCCAGATACGCCGCCATACTCGTCAAAGGTGATGATCAGGTCGATGTCCCACTTTTTGACATGTCGTTCGAGAACCCGTTCGACTATCTGCTCGTCCCATGGCTTGGGGGAATCGCCTTGAAGACCCTTGTTTTCGAGAATGAGGCATTTCTTGTCGACGACGCCCAGCTCTGCACAGGACGCCTTTGTTTCTGCTCGTCGCGTCTCTGCCCGACCATCTGACTTGCCTATTCCCATTGTCAGTTGAACATATATACACACGCAAGCAAGCCAAGCATACATACCCCCAGACGACGACAGAACAAGCATGTACAAATTCACATGCTTCCTACCCCAGCCCTGCAGCATACTAGGACCGAAGTACAAAGCCCCATCGTCGGGATGCGCCGTGATAAGAAGCACGTTTTGGGCGTGTCGAATAGCATGTGGAACCAGCCGGGGATCATTGGCGATCACCTTTCCCAGCAGGAAATACAGAAATATAGGCAACAAAAGGAAAACCACAAGAATAGTAGAGACAACCGAGTATCTGCGCCTTGCGGCTCGCCGCGTGATGTGCGTTGCAGCTGCGAGGATTCTGGACTTGGCCATTTGATCTGTATACGAATGTACCAATGACTGATCTAGGTCGTAGGTACTGGTAGGCGTTTATGATGTAACAAACACTGGGTAACAGAAAGAAAGAGAGATGGGATCTAGATATAAAGCTCAAGTGACGCCGGCCTACCTCTTTTATTTAGAATACATAGTTGTGATTACCAGTTTCATATGCTCTTCTGTTTTCTTTTTCTTTTTCTTTTTTTCCTACTGCTCTTTCCGCTCGCAGTACTACGACGCCAAACCTTAAAAAAATGGTTTGACGTGGTACGTCCGGAGAGGCAATAAAAGGCGTGAGACTTTGCCCGGTATGCAAGGGGGTGGTGCACTGTACGAATTCGTCCCGTTGGCATTCCACAACTCGATTTCATCTTTTCAATTCTGAAAGGAATATTGGGATGTGTCTGGCAGAGATAATGAGGCAGCCGCTGCATGTTCACATATATATATATATCAGCTTCCAAGATTATTCTATTGATTGGCACACCTGGGCTTATAAAATCTCCTTTTCCACGTCTCTTGGTACAGATTTTCCATCAAACAGCTCGCACCTTGATAGAACAAGACACTTTGCCTATTTCCACTCCTGCAGTATTTAAAAGCTTCGGATGATGAAGATCAGCCAGCTTCTCGCGAATTTCCTGCGTTCCGATATTCAGTTGTTCAAGAATCTCCATTATTGCCGAATAGAGAATCGGCTTATTCCCATCTTCAATCTTGATGGCAATCCCAATGGCCGTGTCTGCTCCATGCTGTATGGCTTTCCGCACGCCGATTCCATAACAACCCTCAGCCCCGATCTTGCCAATGAGGCCCCCTTGATATGCCGCCATGAGTCGAGTGCAGAACCGACCCTCTCCGCCAACAAGTTCTGGAGACTGGCTCATTGCACGAAAAACCCGTGCTAGATTTTCGGTCCTTTTTGATAGATCAATGTTGCTCTCGACTTCATCGGCTGCCGTAGCAAAGGTACTGTATAGTTGCGCCAGAGAGTTCAGGGGAAGAGCCGGAGTTGGAAGATTGCAGCCGTCGATGCCCCATTTGACTCCATGTTCATCCAAGCCAGAGAGATCCTCAATAACACGTCTGACCCGCGATTGCATTGCGTTTTCCGGCATGTGATAGCTTGCTATGTCAGCCCCGAGGGCTTTAGCACCAGCTATCATTCCCGCATGCTTGCCCGAGCAGTTGTTGCATATGGCCGTCGGAGTATAATCAGCTTTGATCCACGTCTTGTTCACTGGCTCTGACAGGGCGGCATGACCGCCGCAGCGCAGATCTGTCTCCTCAGCGTGAATGGTTGCCAACATCGCCCGTGCCCGCGATAGATGCCTGTCTTCGCTATTGTGCGATGCACACATCAATGCCAAGTCCTTATCGTCAAAGGAGAACTTGTCAAGGGCTCCTGTTTCGAGAATAGCCAGTGCCTGTGCGGGTTTGGCCGCCGAGCGAGGGAGGGTCACTCGGAAAGGATCCCCAACGGCATATCGGAGTTTTCCATTTGCATCAACGATCGCAGCGTGGACCATATGTCGGTTTTCCACTATGTCACCTCGATACGTGACTATGCAATCGGTCATTTGGGAAGCCATTGTCTGTGTGTGTGTGCGTCTTTTGAAGGGTTGTAACTGGTCTATCGACGCAAAGTTGGGTTCAAATATGCACAGAGCTAGTCCGCGACGCTGGATATTTATATTCAGTCCATGAATTGGGCCCCAAAGATTAAACTTGTTTCAGTAAAGCACCACTGCATTAGATGCAATTTTCAGTTCAGCCAGGTGGATCCCAGTCCATAATCGCTCCATCGACAGACGCCGAGGAGGTCAAGATAGAAAAGATAGACAGATTAGGGATTCGGGGAATTCCGAATCTATACGACGCTCGGCGTTCTGGTTGGCTGAGACCATGGGGTGTTCCTTGCCCGATCGGGTGAACGGGAGCTATGCCGCGACGTGATTGGTGGGCCCCCGGAGAATTGCATATACTTTATTTTGCTAGTAAAGAGCACGGCCAACCTCAAATGACTGGCTGCCACCGAGAGGCGACTACGTCCAGAAGGAATTGAATGCCTTTCAAATCGATATGCAATCCGTAAACAGCTCCCCTGTGGCCCGACATCTCCCATGAATCAACAGCTTATCGATCATTTGACTGTTATACGAGGTGAATTTAGGAGTGCCTCCTCCATCATCCAGCGGCTGGGATACGGCAAACACGTCTCTTGCGATCATCCTCTGCTGATTGATGGCTCTGGCCACCGCCAATGCTTGGTATACTGGGAAAGATCCTTCCTCTGTTGGATGTATATCGCTGAGATTCTGCAGCCAATGCTCGATCCATATACCAGAAGCTGCATCCCGGCACCGGAGTAGTGCGGCCAGGAAGAGGCCAGAGAAGCCGATAGTCCAGGTGTTCTGGTGGATACACGCCCTCGTATCGATTGCTTTGGCAATCCTTAGGAGTAGTCTGCCCCAGGGTTCTGCTTCGTAGCATTCATGGCCTAAATATTGGGATTCCCCGGACTGTAGACTGTGGAAAATCGCTGTACATTGCATGATGCGTGCTAAAACGTAGTAGGCGTAGTTCAGGGCGGAGTCGTGTGATGCAAATTGAGCGACTCAACCAAGGTAGTAGACGTGTAGTGAGAATTATCTAAGTTCTGGATGGGCTGCTCGCATGGGGGTAGCTGTGCTAGCCAGCCGTCGAGTTTGTTTCTTTCCTCGGCTAGTAGTTCGCAGTAATATCCGAAACGATCTTCGTAGGGCCCATAACCCACGTCTACCCTAGTGCAGCATCGCCAATAATGAAGAATTGCCGTAACATTTAGCCGATGAGACTCACACATAACACTCAACACTGAAATTCGCCGCTCAGGAGTTGACCCAAAGAAGCCCCCTTGAAGCACATGGAGCATGACGATGCGTGGCTGTTGCAGTTGCACATCCAATGTACTAAAGTATGATCGTGCCCACCAGACTTGGAACCGAGGCTGCATCCAAGCCGTAACAATCGTCCTCAACAGAGTTAGGTCCCCGTTTGAGTTTCCAGCGTCACTATCGAGAAAAGTAGCTAGCCCTCTGACATGGCAGTTGAACCCCCCGTAATTGCCCCTTGATGACTCTATATGAGCGAAGAGGACGAGAATTAGCAATACAATGGCGAAGTTGCATCGGTACTCGTTTTGGCCGAGCTTCGTAAATTTATGAATTGCCGACGAATAGTATAGCTGGTTCCTGGCCTGATGTGTGGAATTCGGAGCGTAGATGCCCATATAGCTGATTGCGGCCAGCCCCTGCGCTCTGCATTCACACGACTCAGATTGCATGAGGATAAAGCGAGCACGGCATCCTTTAACGTTGGGAATTTCCCGACGAGCCTGGATACGGACTGAAATAGTGGATGCAATGCTGGTAGACAACGGTCTTCCCAATAGGTAGAATAGAAGACATCCATTTCTGTTTGCTGTAACGATACAGAGTTGTATATTCCAGTCGTTGACGAAGTTGGCTTGGAAGCCGATGGCGCATTTACTATACGAAACTCAAACTTTGGCTTAACTGGCTCACAGACTATACCCAACCTGGTGCATGTTCCACATTTAGGTTTCCTTTCATCACACTTAAATCTTGTATCAATCATATCATTGCATAACAACCAAGGTTCTGAGAGATTTACCTTTTTCCGTCTTTCCCGACAGCATTTGCACCCGCTGCGCGAGCGCACAATGCTCGTCTTTTTCGGACGGGGGCGAACAGGGGCGTACATTTGTATACAAATATGCATAAATGTTTTCTTATGCGAATTGTTCTTCTGAGTCTGGGTCATGGCGGAGCATGCTGTACTTAAATTTGGAGGGTCAAATCTGTTTCAGCATCAACGTAATGATTAGTACTCGACGAACAATTCAAAATATCCATTCCTCCAGTTGACAGAATCTGCATCATAAAACTGATAGTCTACAAAAATCAAGCGACACAATGTAGATACATTTTGTGGGTCTATTCTCAATTAGGCATAGCCACATGTATGGAGCGGCTGCGGCTAAGGATGTGGTAAGCGCGGCTTGGCATACGTCCCGCTTTGTTCGGCGGTTCCTGCCTTTTTGAGAGCGTAGGAAGATTTATTTTATTTCGTCTGCGGACAATAGACGTATCCCAAAAAAGAGCAAGGAATAAAACACAATGTCGTCCGCAAATAGCCTGTCTCACCGCCGAACGCATAATCTGCTTCTGATATCAAAGCTACTGAGCCTGCGGGACACAGCTTCCCCGCTGACCCTGGTACTGGACTCGCTGGAGCAGCCAGCCAACCCCTTGTTCAGAGAGTATATACGACGAGCACAGGTATGCCGATATCATAATCACCATTTACCACACTAGCCTTGCTCATCGCTAGCGGACGAACTAGATTTCAAAAGTCCACATCACATTTATCTCATTTGAGACATTAAAGAAGCCCAATGGTGTCGATTCCTTCATTTTTGCGCGACGGAAAAGGCCTGCTGATGTGGCCAAAGAAGTGATTGCTGCTTTCTCTGGCAATTCACACCGACGTGAGATTAATTCTTCGGAGGAACTTCGGACAAGGACGTTAAATAAGGCTGACTTGACGCAGGGCGGCTGATTATTATCGATGCTATCAATGCCCTTCTTAGTAAACCGGATGTCCATCTGCCATCCTATCTAGGTTCACTCATAGCTCCAGGGAATGTCACTTCAGCACCCGTCCAGACTTCATTGGTGGTGACGTATCATCAAGACGTCGTCCCCATCAAGCCGCATCAGAGTTATGTACCGTCTGACCTGTCAATGTTGAGTTACCTTTCAACAACGATTTTGAAATTGCACTCCTTGTCGCATATTCTCGCACAGAAAGCTGCTCACGACCGAAGTCTTGCAGCACCCGTGTTCGGGCTTGAAGAACGACAGGAGGGGGTTATTCTGGGCAGGATCGACCAAACGAAAGGCCAGGAACGTGTCGACGGCATTGTGATTGAAATGGAGCATCGGCGAAAAAGCGGCCGCGGTGTTGTTGAATGGTATTTTGTGCCGCCCGCAAACCGATATTTGCCCCAAGAGGTAAAGGAGGTGGTCATATTGCTAGAGGATCATCCCCTTTACAGACGACCAGAGGACGATGCCGTCTCTGCGGAGCAGGCCGAGCCTGGATCTACGTTTGAATTAAAGCTCACAGAGCGCCAACGCCGTGATAGAGAAGGTGTCGTTCTACCATATTTTGATGCCCAACATGGCGACGGCCCTGGAGAGGGAGGCCGAATCCTGTATGATATGGGAGAAGAAGACGATTTTGACGAGGAAGAAGACGAGATTTGAGCGCATAACGGTCCAACCTCCTTCTATTGATACAAAATTGGTTGATGCAGACCAGCTTCGGCGCTTCGAGACTGGACATGTTCGCCCAAAGGGCGGATTTTTCGTCTCATCATAAAAGCATTCATTAACCGAATACATCGCTATGCATACAGATCGTCGAAGTTCATATGTGCATATGAAGGAATTATTATTATTATAATTGAAAGCAGGGCAGGATGTTTGACTCAGAAGAAACGCCACCAGATGAAAATAAGCATAATGAATCCAACCCCCGCAAAAGGACCGTACTGGGACGCCGTTAGCTTGAAGTTCTGCCATGTGTCTTCGACCAGACTGTCCATCTTACCTGCTTCACCAACAACTCCCAATTGATGCGAACGGCTGCTTTGCGATATTTCATACTGTCCTCTCTTAGCCTCCCTGACATCTCGCCCATGCGCTCGAGGCTGTCGCCCCGGTATAGCAAGTCTTCAATATTCTTTGTCATGACTTTAGTCACATCACGAAGTTCATCATTGAGCTTGTCGAGATTTGCAGCTGCGCGAGTGTTTTGGTAGGTTCCTTTTGTTCGTTGAATGAAGGTGTCGAATTCGACGAAAGCGTAGGGGCGCAAGTTAGGGGAGTGGTATTGTTGTGAAGAGTATGTGGTGGTGAATTCGGTGGCTATATCGGCGAGATATGTAAACGCGAGTTTCCGCGGGTAGGATTTATCACAGATACAAAGAAAGCAGACGTCGTCTTTGACAATGTAACTGCATTCAAAGGATCCCCTTGTTAGTCGATGCGGGATAATGAAGTTGTGGAGTCCGCCAACTGAGACTTACTGGAGGTTGTACTGTCCAGATTCAATACTAGCTTCTCGCGCTGAACTGCGACTCATGCGCCTGAAAATCATCTTTGCTTGTGTCTTGACTTCCGCCAACTCGCTCTCTGCCTGTGAGAACATCTAATATCAATGAATGTCCCAACAAGAGATTGCACCCCCCTCTCTTTTTTCCATAGACAAACAATGCCACCCAAATAAGATGAATCGTAATTGATCATACCTGTTCATCATCCACAGACGCAGCTAGCATGAGGCCTGCGCGCTGCTGGTTAGCCAAATTTCACCCACAACTCACTCACTACCTAGGTACTCCATCTGCGTCAACCTGGGATAGCTGTCCACGCACCATCTAGCCTCGCAATCTGCGTTGATTTGACCATTATTTCTCTTTATATTACCCCACTTGGTTGGCTTCTTAGTTTTGGTTCAACAATGGACCGGAATAGGACGAAAGCTTAGGATACTGTCAGTGGTGTGGTAAACAGACTGACCAGATTGCGGCGATACGGAGCTCCCCAAAATGCCACCTAAACGCAAGGCGGTGAGCGCGACTACAAACACGCAGGTTGTTGATGCGCCGCAGACCCGATCAAGGTACGTGTGCTTCTATTCAAGTATAGGACGTCACGTCCATGTTGCAGAGGGGAAACCTTTTTATTATTATTCCACGATGAGATGTCTGTGCTGATTACACTGTAGAACTCGCAGTCAGCAGTTGCAAACTCCTGCGGAGCCAGTTAGGGATGCCGCCCATCTCGAAACCAGCAGAGCTATGTCATCAACGCCGAAACAAAATGCGGCACGAAAAAGAGGCCCCTGGGGGGAAGATTATCTCATGACAAATCCCAAATCAGCTTTGGTTCATGCAGATCTTGTGGTATGGAATTGTCCCCGTTTTGTCCTGTTAAAGTGGAGAGTTACACACGCTGAACTGACTCTGCTTATAAAGAGACTGTTCTCCAATCCCAAGGCATGGGAATACCTGGAGGAAGATGAGAAGCGAGAGCTTATCTCTCTATTACCGTCGCACATCCATCCAAATCCCGATCCGGATCCTGAAGATCCCGATTCCAAAATTCCACCACTTCCTGAGAGCTTTCTACGATATGATAACAACTGGCGAGCTGCCTTGCGGAATTTCCAGTACGACCTTGAGTCTGGCCGGTACAAACCAGATTGGCAGAGACAAGCTAGACGAGCAGTGCAGGAACGAGCGGAGGGGAAATTTGATGACTATAAAGAACGAGAGTTTGAGCAGTTCTGGGGCCAGAAACAGAAGATAAACCATGGCCTCATTGCTGGAGAAAGTTCCAAAGTCAAGTTGGAGACCTTGATCCAACACGATGTCGTGCGGGTGGGGGACGTGTGGAAATATTGGCGCAAGTTCGGGAAACAGACTGTTATTGAGAAGGAGGTTAAGGTGAGCTTTGCATTATATTATCTCTGCGTCAAGGTTGTTGGAGGGAGTTTGTTGACACGAGTTCATATAGATCACAGCCATCGATGGCGCAATACTCAGTTTCTTGGTGCCTGTCGGGCAGCGAGTATTCCTGTGCTCTTTTAATGAACCAGAGAAAGATCCCACGCATGAAGGAAAGCATGCAGTCACAGATGACTCACAAATGAACAATGATATTAGTCCCGTATCTCATGACGATGAACCGGCAGCGTTGAAAACCCACGATCAGCCAAATCAAGATGAGCCGAGCAAAGGTTCCAACGACGCGGATAATTCTGATCATGCACCTGGACCTCAGCTAGATGTCGAAGCAGAAATTAACAAAGAGGAAATACAGGTCAAGGAAGATGAGTCAACTACAGACCAGCCAATGGCAGAAATCTTGCCCGATGATCATCAACATACAGCGAAGAAGCGAGGTCGGGGCCGCCCACGAAAACGCAAAACGCTCGATGAAGATGAAGTTCCGGTAAACACTGCTCTTGAAGCTACGGAAGCCTCCGTCGATGCAGAAACGGAACCTTCGTCTTGTCCCGTAGAGAATGGCACTTCTTTGAACCCGGATCAAGATGCGAAAGGTGGCACGCAAAAGGAGCCCACCACTTCAATGGACGTGGACTCTCCAGGGGTCGATAAGCTTACGCAAGTGGAGACCGAAAATCCTCAATCACAAAAAACCCTGCCACTTTCTCCCACGTCTCTCGAAATAGAGGTACACAATATCGCAGGACCTAATGCTCTTACAAAGAAGATTCTTGAAATCGATGGACGCATTAAGAATCCGCCAAATGGGAATGCCTGGAAGGAGTTTCGCTGCTACAGAAATAATCAGGACATGGGCAGTTTGTGGGAAGTTCGACAAGCTTGGTATGTCAAATTTCAACAGGAATGAGATGGTATCATGGCTAGCCAACACATGGCTATCCGTTATCTAAGATGAGTGCATTGCAAATGGAATGCAGACCATGCTATCTCATTCTTCTTGCATTGTACTTTTTCAAAATTTTTTCTTCCATGTATAAATTACTTTTTCTCTCTTGGAATTGATTATATTGGTATACACTTGAAAAAATTTCAAGTTTTCAGCATCATATTATATCCCCACTAAAGTCCTCGTCATTGTTATTTTCATGAACATCGACCGAGTAGCTAGCTTGAACGAAATCCTCGAGTTCCTCACTGACAGTCTTCAACTTCTCCTTCACGGCTGCCACTCCTTCCTGTCCAATGATATGCCGGGAAGGCGGATTCTCATGACCACCTATCGCTGTAATGGCATGCACCGTCTCTAATATCAGAGCTTCAAGATGCGCTACACTGAACGGCGCGTACATGGACACAACTTCCCGCGACGAAAACGGTCCTGTTGGTAGTTGTCCAGTGTTTGAGATTGTAGTTATATCTTCCTGTTCTGGTGCGGAGCTAAAGCCATCAGGGGCTGCTTGGGGCAGTTGTGAAAAAAGACTAGCTAAAATGTTGCGGAAGAGTGGTGCATTGTTCTCAGTCGCGGAGTAGGCGGGAAGCATTGGAGGAACGCTGGTAATGAGATTTGTAAGAATACAAATTTCCATGCTGCATTGAAGAATGGACATTCTTATGTTGAAGGGAGCGACTTCGTAGGCGATGCTCTATAATGCCCAGGTCAGTATCCATCCTGTCAGTTGAATATTTCAAGAAATTTTGTCCGTTTATACATCACAAAATCCCTCCAATGCCCATTCAGACGCACAATACACCCCTAGCCCTGGCGTTCCAAGATGGGCCGCTAACTCTAAGTCAATGGAAGCTCTTCAGATGTTTCCTTTTTCGGTCGTCTTACTGATTCCCATTAGCACGAGAAAGTGACCTCCTCGCTGTTTACGCATTTGTGGAAGAGCCGACTTGATGATGTTCACCGGTCCAAAGTAATTAGTCTCAAATTGATCGCGAACGAGACTCAATGTTCTCGCCGAAGCAGCTAGTTCTTCGACAGACCCAAGGACTGTTTGACTTGTGCACCATAGAACAATGTCCAGCTTGCCAAACAAATTCACAGCTTCTGCCACAGCCGCCTGGCACTCGCCCATCTTCCTATGCCGAGCATAAGCGAGAATTTCAATAAAGCGTCAAATTTAAATGAGATTCGCACCTGACGTCGAGAATGCATGTGCGGAATCGATCCTTCCACCCATTTCCCTCGTTTCGTTCAACTTCCGCAAGGAAGTCCTCAAAGTAGTCCCGGCGGTCTTCGTCTCGAAGAATATTCGAGGGAACCAACCCGCTCACCACACAGTCTCCATGAGCAAGGAGCTGGCGAGCTACAGTCAGCCCTATCGGGTTGTCGCCCGAGGAAATCAGCCATACTCGATGTTCCCTGTGTGGGGGGAATGGCAGCTTGGAGTCTGTCATGAGGGATAGCAGGGCGTCATTTCCCTGCTGAAGCTCGTTGCCTAGCACCGCACCGCACTACACAGAGCATTGGGTCATGGCTGTGGTTGATGGGTTTAAAAGCGACGGATGGATGTATGCATTATAATACTCGGGTTGAGCCTCAAATTCAAGGTGTCGAGCTCGGCCAGAACGTGGGCCATGCGAGAAACCGCAAGCGCCAAAGCCAGCCAATCACACACGCCGGGCCTAGCGCATGTGTCAACGGCCTGCGATATTCCGTGAGCTTCTTCCGCCCTCTTCCCTACTTCTTCTTCAACGTCCTCTCGCCCTCTGTCTTCCTCGGATCACTATCATCGCAGCCAAGATGCCGGAGCAGAGACAGCAGCAGCAGGAGGAGCCGGAGTCCGGCGTGAGTTAGACCAGGATCCTCTTTCCAAACAGGACAGATCTGCTAACATTTCGCAAAGTTCAGCTTCAGGAGCATAATCCAGGGCCTGGCAATCTTCTTCTTCATCCAATTCGCGATGAAACAGGTTATGGGAAACAATGACGGCCCGAATGCAGGAACTACCCCTGGGAAAGCAACGCAAATCCCTGCTTATGTCGACCGTCCTGCTCGCAGTGAGATCGAAAACTACAATGCAATTCCTAATGCCATTGCCCCCATATGGCCCGCCAACAGCTCCCTGGATATCAGCATTTACGTCTCTGCATCAACTCGCATGCCCCCGCTGTCCACCGTGCCGCAGGATTCCCTTATAATGGAGGAAAAGGCATTCAACATGGGCAACTGGAGCGAGAACCGTGAAGTCGATACCACTTTCAAAGTGCCGAAGGAGGTGCAACTCAATGGCACTCTTTGGGCCCATTTCTACGTTGCCCTAAGCGGCCACCAGCTCGATCCTGCAGCCAAGGACTACAGTCCCGAGAGTGCCGTCCACTTTCTTCGTCCCTTGAATCAGTACCTTCCAAAGAAGAAGGTTGCGAAGCGCAAGAATCTCCTGGCAAACCCCGACGAGACTCCCGAGGTTGAGGAGGACAATACGCCAAAGTACTCGATTGCTTCTTACTATCACCCCAACTTCACGGTTTCGGTGATCCCTGATTTTGGCGTAGCAAACTACCAGCAAATGCATCCTGCAGTCCGCCAGAATGTGCACCTGGAAAGCACTGGTGCGCGTGATATAACTGGACAAAACACCTGGTACTACCCTGTCGTCTATCTAAACACATTTTGGCAGCTCAAAACACACATGACCGAACTCAATTCCACTGTTGAAACCTTGCCTCTTCGCATAGTGTTGAATAATCTGAGCAACTGGAAATTCAATATTATGGCTAGCATGGATGAAGTCGCAAAGCAGAACGCTCGCAATGCGGCTAACGGAAACCCAGTCCCGGGTGGCGGTGATGGAAATGAGTTCGAGATGATCAAGGAAGTGCTTCTGGACACTAATGTCTACCTGCTCGGCACTACCGCTATTGTCAGTGTGTTGCACATGATCTTTGAGACTCTTGCTTTCAAGAATGATATCGTAAGAAATGCCCCTCTCTATACATTTATTCCATCTCGAAATGCTGACTCTTTGTTACAGTCTCATTGGCGCAAGAAGAAGGACAACGTTGGCACCTCTGTCCGCACTATCATTGCCAATATTTTCATGCAGGCTGTTATTTTCCTTTACCTGATTGACAACAATGAGAACACATCTTGGATGGTTCTTGCTAGCCAGGGATTTGGTATCCTTCTTGAAGCCTGGAAAGTCACGAAAATGGTGGATGTTCGCCTTCGACCTCCTCCACAGAATTCATTTTGGTCTTTCCTGCCTTATATGGTCTCATTCGAGGATAAACACAAACTTAGCGAAACGGAGAAGAAGACTCAAGAGTACGATGAGATCGCTTTCAAATATCTCTACATCATTGCTATTCCCCTGTTGGTGGCATATGCTATCTACTCCCTGGTCTATGAAACTCACAAGTCTTGGTACTCCTTCATCATTGAAACCCTGGTAGGCAGTGTCTACACCTATGGCTTCCTGATGATGGTGCCTAGTCTGTATATTAACTACCGTCTCAAGGTGAGTACAAACATCCTTTCACGCGTTGCTTCCATTATTAACATCCTATCAGTCCGTTGCCCATATGCCAGGAAGGGCTTTGATGTATAAGTTCCTGAACACCTTCATTGATGACCTCTTTGCCTTCACTGTTAAGATGCCATGGTTGTACCGCATTGGTACCCTCAGAGATGATATCATCTTTTTCGTCTGGGTCTATCAAAGCTACAAATACAAAGTCGACTATAAGCGTGTCAACGAGTTTGGCCAGGGCGGCGAATCTGACGACGAGGTTGAGGAGGAAGTCCTTTCCGATACTGTCAAGGCGACAAAGTCAACTGGCGCTTCTCAAGTCGCCGGTGCATCGACACGCAAGCGGAAGTAGTTATATATATCTTATATCTCATTTCCATCTTATAACCGATAGATGCACCATATATAAAGGGCCTTTCTGCCTGTTGTGGTTTAGTCCCAGTCGACGGTTTTTATTTCACCAGGAACTCCTAGCTGCTTTTCTAATAAAAAGAGTGAAAAACAATTTCGAAGGCGTAATTTCCCCCCTAATATCTCCCTGTTTTATAAAAGCAAGAAGTAAATGAATAGACCAGACTTTGGTGGTGTCCAAGCATGCGGCGCTCTGATTGGTTGGGCGGGAACCTGAAATAACGACGCGTCGGCCGTAGACAGACAGCATCATGAAATTATATTCATCAACAGACTGTTTTCATCATACAGAAGGCATTTTGAATGCAGCTATACATTTGCTTCTGCATATTACGCGTCGCATAAGTTCTGCAGATGAACGTAACCGCTTCAGCGTTGGATGAACGATGAGCTCCTCTATTGCCAGCCCGGGTGAGTGCAAACAACCCAATTCACGAAGGCAATCAATCATACTGATTCTGTACCTAGTTAGCGAACAATTTGGAGATATCCAGGCGCAGCTGAAAAATCTACGAAATAGCGTGGATCATCTGGAGGCCGGTAACTTTCTCCCTTGCCAAATAGATGTAGGGTTATTACCTAGACCTGGCTGACATGCCGGTACAGTTGCTTTTGTGCCACCAAAGCAACGACATACGAGCGTCAAAGAATTGGCCAGTGACATTGCCTCCGACGCGTATGATGTTGGTATTCCAATTGATGTCTTGGAACAATTAATCGATGTCCTCACCAAGCCAAACCACTTGGATCAGACAACAATCACCACGCTGATCAAGAATTTATATCCTCAAGAAAGTGTATCTTCGATCGTTGTGACAAAAGTAATATGCAGCCTTGGGCCAAGTAAACTCAAACCTTCCCCTGCCACGCAGACGTTACTCCTGCAATGGCTGTTACTTGTTTACGAGTTTCTCGAGGACCAAGCGCATCTTCCGAGGCTCTACGCGGTACTTTTTGATATGCTTGATATGATTAGCCTGAGGCGCCCACTATGTCATATGCTGTCTATGATAACTCGTCGTCGGCACGTCAAGCCCTTCAGAATTCAAGCCATCATGGAACTCTTGCGAAATGCAGGGGATGACGAAAAAGAGCTCACGGCTTTATTGAGAGTATTCAAAAACTATTACCCAGATATCATCATTGGAGAATTGGGGCGTGTGAAATTCTTTTTCAAACATCCTGATCCTGAATGGACGGCCAAAGTCAGGCAATTACAGGAACGGAGCAGGAACAGGGTCCAATTCAGGACAGAATATAACAGCTTTCAAGCCGTCAGGCGTGGTGTGTCCAAGCGAAGCAAAATCTCTGGTGTCATTCCAGATGTTCAAACATCACGAGTGAAGCCTGAATACACGTCTCTAGAAGAACTGAGGGATGTGGATAACTTTGTAGAACGCTTGGACAAAATCGAGTTACCAAACCAGATAGTCTCGGTGCTAGATGACCGCATGGCACAGAAATATATGGCAATAGTTGGGCCCGATATTGCTAGACATCGACTAGAAGATTGGTTAGTGGCGTTTCTGAAGGATGAAGCTGAATTGGCAAAGCTTCCCGATTCCAACGAGTCCGAAGCTCTTCGCTACGTTCTAGGAGCCGTCTCTGAATATGTTCGAAGCACGAAGGTGAGAATAACAAATCAGAAGCACGCGCATTAAATATTATAACTAACGAACCCAGCAACTGCCTGACGCAATGCAATCATTTCTCAAAAGCTACCTCCAGGGTTGGAATGGGCGGGACTATCGAGAAGAGATCTTGGAAATTATGAGATTTATTCCAAAAAGTTCCTACGACGAACTGCGCAAAGACTACCTGGATCGACTGGATACTGCCATGTTAAACCATATCTCTTCATCTCGGACTAGCCTCCTCGACTTTTACGCCAAGTTGATTCGGCAGTGGGGAGTAGATCTACGAGCAGGAAGTCCTTCCTTCACCACTGGAGGTTTCAAACCTTTGGTAGCTCTTGTCACCCATGCGGAGTTTCTGTTGCTATCGCTCATGGAGATTCCTACTTTAGCACAAAACCCCGATGCTGAGGAATCCAGGCCCGTGACGACGAGTATACTCGACCTTTACTCTGATCTGGCGGAGCTTTATTCACACGCATCTAACAATGGCAAAATCCGTTTAACAGTGCCTTTATCTCCAGCAATCTACAGTCTGGCATTTACCTCCAATCTTGCTCAGATATCACGCTTATGCAGCGTTCTCGCCACTTATAAAAATTCTTTTGAATCATCATTGACGTCTCAAACACTGCAGTCACCAGCCAAGTCTACAGGGGGCTTTTATGCTCCTGAAATGGTTGGCCTTTACAACGGGTACATCATGGATTTGTGCAACCTTGTTTGGAGAAATCGGGCACTGAATAGTGAGGATCAAAACGCCCATGGCTGTTTGATACCCCAGGTGACTAAAAATGCCTTGATTGAGTATATTGACGACTCGAATGAATTATTAAAACAACGCAGCAGAGGACGGTCCGAGGGACCAGCATTCAACCATTCACTTGGGCTTATGTTTTCTCTGAGCTATCATGTTGCACTGGCGAACCATTCAGCAGCATGCTTTGCCACCTTTGAGGAACAAAGCATAGAACGCCATGACCAGCCGACAATCAGGAAACCGGTCACGCAAAAAACGTTGACCACGCTTGAGAAAGAGGACGGGGTCAAATTAACTTGGCATGAATACAGATTGAAAATGCTGGATTGGTTTGATGACATGGGCAGTGATGGAATTGGAAAGTTGATGAGAAGTACTATGAAAGCACTGCGCAAGGAGACGTGAAATATCCTCGTGTTTATGTAAGGTTGCTCAAATATGTACATTACTAGGTATCTAAAAGAGTAAATCGCGAACGACGCCGATGCAGATAATGCCATTTTGTATGTATAATACATGTCTTTGAAAAGACGAGATGATCTTCCCTAAAGAGAGTTTCCCAACAAAGCATATGCTAAAACAACAAGGTCCTGCTCTAGAGTATCGTGTTTAAATAAATGCCTTGAACGCTTGAGTCCTCCCGCAGGGCAGCTAGGATCTCCTCAAGCTGGCCGAGTTGCTCTTGATCTTCAACTTTGACCATCGTGTCTTTGATCGGATCCCAAATAATCTGTGATTGCTCGATAACCAGGCCAGTGGATTTTGACATAGCTTCTGCCACCAATTTGGTTGCCGTTGGTTCGGTATATACAACAAGCCTTCCTTCGGCATCCGTATCTATGTCTGTTGCGCCTGCCTCGACTGCTTGGTCTAAATAGTCGTCTGGATTGGTGTTTTCTTTCTTTTCAAATACCAACCTCCCCTTCTTCTCGAAGAGATAAGTAGTCGGCGTCACGTTACCACCGTTATCCTTAATCATGAATCGGACATCTTGCAAAACACGAGCCTTGTTCTCAGCCATACACTCGATAACGGCGGCAACAGTTCCAGGCAACATGGCCTCGATTGTAACCGCCTCGAGAGCTTGCCCTGAAGCTGAGACACCTTGGCCCCGAGCGATTGCCGCTTCTATTGTGGCTTTTGGTATCTGTGATTGCTTCGCTCTTGCTATTGCAAGTTGTAGACGCGGATTATTTTTCGGATCGGGTCCCCATACTATATCCGTGTCAGCAGCAATGTAAGAATCCTGTTCAGAAATATCTTAGGACTTACGTTGCGATGCATTGATAAGCTCCTGGGTCAATATTCCCCGTTCTTTGCTCTTCGCCTTGTCATTCTTCGCTTTGTCGTGCTTGATTGTTGACCACCGGCTGTGTCCTGATTGATCCGCTGCTGACATGGAAAATGCCCGACATGCATTGCAGACCCAGTTTGTGTGCAGGCCAGGCCTACGGGCCAGGCGAATGCCAAATGCGCTTGCCATGATGCAGAGCCTGAGGTTGGCAAGCCATATATATCTTGACATTTTTGGAGTACCTTACCAACTGCATCGGGCCGAGATTTATCCGTTCCGCAACGTAATTATTTACACCAAATGGAAGAGTAACTACAACTCACGCTGGTGATGTTCTACTCTTGGCTTGAATATTATTTTCCTAACCCTCTGGCTCATCCTCCACGCGACCGGAAAAAGACTTGGGGGATTGGGTTCCTCCAGCATCTTCCGGCAGTACTCTACACTCAATGTCCGCCCCTGAGCCCGCTCCCGCCTCAGGTGCTTCCGCAGAGAAACAACCCCAAGAGCCACGCCGCACCGAGCTCGACGTTGAGAAACTTCATGCCCTTCCATCCGAACAACAGGATCTCTATTTATTGACTTTTACATCTGAGCTCGTCCAGCATGTGTCGAACCTTACAAAGGAGGAAATTTCGTCTGAACAGGCTTCCCTCAAACAAGAGCTCTTCAAGATCATCAACCTAAGCGCACCAACCGTCACACGAGTTATCCGTAACAATCTGGGCAAATGTTTCGGAACAATCCTAGGCAAAGGAGATCGCATTCCACTATATGACACAGTTCTCGATTTACTCGCTATAGTCAATGGTGGAAAGAGCGTCGAGCCCAAGACCAAGCTCGCCGCGGCGCATTGTCTAGGAGAAGTGTTTGCCAATGCGGGAGATAGTGCCTACAGTCATGCAAGCGCCGTAGTAGGAGGACTCTTTAAACTGCTTAAATCTAGCAGCAATCATACGGGGGCCCGCGGTGCGGTTTTCGCTACACTAGGAAAGGTAGTTGGTGGCCTCGGTGGTCCCATTGAAGAACCGATAGCACGAGACATATGGAAACAGGCGCGAAACGCGGCTTCCAGTGATAAGTCGACTCTTGTTCAAATAAATGCTTGCCGGTGTCTCGAACAACTCTTGAAGACGACCACTTATTTCGATAATCAGAATGATTGCGACAATTTGAAGACGCTAGTCTGGAAAGTCATCGACCACCCTGTTGCGCCAGTGAGACATTCCGCCGCGTCATGTTTAGCAAGGGCTCTGGTTAAGAGCTATTCGCCACAGACAGGCGTTCCGCCAACAGCGAAATCGAAGAAAGCCAAAAGACAATCAAAAAAGCCTCCGCCAAAAGGAGCTGATGCTGATGAGGACGAGCCAGCGGAGTTGGATGCTGCTTCTGCCAAAAAGGTCGAACCGCGCTTATCGTTGTCGCTCTCTGACATCCTGGGGCAACTCTCTTCTCAGTACGTGCGCAGCTCGACTGGAAATAGAGCCCGAGCTGGCATAGCTGTTTGTTACAAATATGTCATCCGAAACCTGGGGGAGAACGTTGTAGAGGAGCGATACGGTCAAATCGCTTCGCATCTTCTCGTTACTCTACTGAATCATCCCACAATCACATACAACCGTTTTCGACTCCTGATGACTCGAAGATTTATCAAGAATATCCTCGAGGATACGGTTGGCCGCGAACTTTTGCGAGAGAATAGTCAATTGAATGCTGCCAATTGGCTCATTAACTCGATCTTGAAAGATTACCCCCAGGTGATTAAGGAGAGAAAAGAACCAAGCAAGCATACTCTTGCCAGCACGTTAAGTGCTCTCTCTTCCCTGATATTGTCACTGGGCTCGGCCGTAACGTCTTTAGCTGACGCCTGCCGCGAAACCCTCATTCAAGTCCTGCCACATCCCAGCTACACCGTGCAAGTCCAGACAGCTCATTGCCTGCGTAACTTTGTGCTAGCCTGCCCAAATCAGTTGATATCGTGTGTGACAATTTGCTCGAATACCTTGAATAGAGAAATCGGTCAATTAGCAACACCACGTTCATCATCTCGGCGCTGTCTCGGATTCGCAAATGGCCTATCTTCTATGTTGGGCACTTCTCGCTTGCAGCCTCTTTACGGATCAGTCGATGTCTTTGCGCGTGTTCTATCCCAGGCAACTGATCTTCTCAAAAACAGTGGCAGTTCCGAACTCCGAGTTGCGAGCACTAAGATTCAAGTCGCGTGGATTCTCATCGGAGGCCTAATGCCTCTGGGACCTAGCTTCGTCAAGATTCATTTATCGCAGTTGATGCTTTTATGGAGAAATGCTCTTCCCAAGCCTCTGGGTAAGGCAAATACAGCTGAACAAGGACTGTTAGAGATGAGCTTCCTCGCGCATGTTAGAGAATGCGCACTGGGCTCCATGCTTTCCTTCCTTGAATTCAATGCTAAATTAATTACAGCCGATGGCGCGAGGCGTATTGCTACAATGCTACAAAATACAGTTACTTTTCTAGATGAGATGACCCTTCCAAAAACGGCAGAGGATATTTCGCAGCGCCTTTATCCCTCTCTGCAAATGCACGATTTCGTGGTCATGGTTCGGCGTCGTGTGCTCCAATGTTTTACAAAACTAGTGAAAATCCCTCATACCGGCCATGCAGAAATAGTCTCTCAGTCCAGCCTTCTCAGTATAGCCATATCCTCTTTTGCAGACCCTGAGATCGTGCATCCCAATCCCATCGAGAGCTCAATTGCTACTTCAACTGGCCAATTCGAGGGCCTTTGGGATCTTTGGGATAACTTTGGATTTGGGGTCACAGGCCTAGCACGAGAATATGTTAACGAAACACTTACTGGAAAACGTGCAGGAGGAAGCACTGCGTGGATTGCTCACGATTCTACTGATCAGGAAATCGACGATATTGTAAGTTGAATCCCGTTTTATACCCGGGCAGTTTACTGACATTTGCAGCTGAATTTCCCGATCTGCCAAGCCAGTGAGCACGATTCTGTGCTTCTTTATGGTGCGCGAGACGGCTTTCTATCGTCCAACACAGACCCTCCGGTCACAGAGGCTGTAAATGCCGCTATAAGTCTTTTTGCAGTTGCGTTGCCCTTACAAGGACCAAAGGTACAAGAGAGCAGCGTTGAACAAATTGTCACGCTGCTATCCTCTCAGAGCTTACAGAGAAACCCTGGCCGGAAGGTTGCTATGACTATCAATATTGCTGTGGCTTTATTACATACTCTCAAAGTTGCCGTTAAGGAAACATTTGCGCCTGCGGGGAATATCGCACCGTCCACGGGTAAGATCATCCAAGAGCTCTTACAGGTAAGTCTAGTGAATCAATTCGATCGAAATCCAAGTCCGGAATTAACTTTCATCCAGAAATTCGTCATGGATCCTGACGCAATAATCCGGACGATCGGATTTGAAGCACTTGGAAGACTATGCAATAGTGCGGGAAATACGTTTACAAACAATCAAATCAACTGGCTTGTTGACACTATCGTCGATAATCGCGAACCCAACGCACGAGCAGGATGCGCAGCAGCTCTGGGCTGCATTCACTCAAGAGTTGGTGGCATGGCCGCGGGATTTCACTTAAAGACAATTGTCGGTGTTCTTATGTCGTTATGCAGTGATCCTCACCCAGTTGTGCATTTCTGGGCATTGGATGGTCTGGAAAGGGTTGCGGAATCAGCTGGTTTGACATTTTCGCCTTACGCATCTAGTTCACTGGGCATGCTTGCGCAGCTCTATGTGGCCGACACCCATAATGAAGAAGCGGCGTCACTAGCCACCTCGAATCTCGAAGTGTCCTTTCCCACTCCTTTCCTCATCAGTCGCTCGGTTGATTCTCTCATCAATGTCTTGGGGCCCGACCTACAAGACATCACGAAGACTCGCAACCTTATATTGACACTAGTCCGTCAATTTCAACTAGAAGAATCTCGTGCATTGAAAACACAAAGCTCTCGGTGCTTGGACCATCTCTCTCTATATGCACCGACTCACGTGGATTTGATGGCATATCTCAAACGACTGCAGGCCGGACTCACCTCGAAGAGTTCGCTGATGCGGGAGGCTGCAATTCGTGGACTAGACAATCTGATGAAAAGGGATGCCGAGTCGGTTTTAGGAACCGCAACTTCCACTCTAGAAGATGAGATCTGGTTTGCTTTGGATGACTCCCCAGAAAGCACGTCGCTGCGAAGCTTGATTCGCAATTGGTTGCAGCAGAGCGGGCTTTCTCATACTCAGCTCTGGATTCAGCGTTTGCATAATGTGCTCACCAAAACTCGGGCTAAACTAGATGATGTACAACCAAAGAGGCTTGCACGAGTGGCTACTGCGACCGAGATGGCAGATGATGAAGTTGCTGGCTTTGCTTCTGCTGTTGCTGGCGGAGACCAGGAAGATGCGGACAACAATGCTGCTGTCGGACAGGAGTTACTCAAATGGCAAACACGTAACTTCGCTGTTATCTGCCTTAGCGACCTTCTTTTAATGGTGAATGATAAGATCCTTCCAGACCAGACCATTCCTGCGGAGGTTGCTCTTCAGCAAAAGATTGGCGACGTCGTCCGTATGGCCTTCTCTGCATCCACAGCAAATGTAGTAGAGCTAAGAGTTTGGGGTCTTAAGATTCTCGATCAAGTCTTAAATGTATATTACCAGGTTTTGCTTGCTCTTTCCGAAGAAAAAATCTGCTAACCAAGAAATTTAATAGATGTTCGGCAAAACGCCCGACCCAGATTTCTCGGAGGCTTCTCTACTAGAACAATACCAAGCACAAATCGGATCAGCTCTAACACCAGCGTTTGCAGCCGACTCGTCTCCCGACCTAGCCTCGGAAGCTATCAACGTATGTGGCACGTTTGTTGCTGCAGGCATTGTCACCAATGTAGATCGGATGGGCAGAATATTCCGATTGCTGGTTGTCGGCTTGGAACAGTTTGCTAGTAAGAAAGGAACCTTTCTATACTTCTGTAACTGAATCACTAATTGCTTTCAGATAATTCAAACGTCACTGAGATTGGTGATCTGAAAGGCCTGAATTCCAATGCAAGAGTTATGGTTAAGATGGCTCTTTTCTCGGCTTGGGCGCGATTGCAAATGGCGAGCCTTGAGCAACAGTATCTAGTTGATATTGTTCAGCCATATACCGCTATGCTGACGCCATTGTGGCTTTCTTCGCTACAAGAATTTGCTCGCCTACGTTTCGAGCCGGACATATCAGGGAGCCTTGGTACTCCATCGACTGGGGATCTTGATGAAGTCTATGCAGCCCTGAATAGAGAGACGTTGCTCAACGTAAGTATTTCTGGACCGCGCATCTTATACCGAGACATCGTATTGACTGAGTGGTGGTAGTACTATCAAGATACTTGGCTGAATCTCGTTGATGCGATTGCAAGCTTGGTTGAAAAAGACAGCGACTTCGTTTTTGATGCCCTGGATAATAAGTCCAATACCCAATGTCAAGATGAAGAAGACGAAGCTCAAACAAATGAAGTTTCACCAGTAGGGAAGGGCGACAGCATCAATTATCGCGATGAACCAGTTGCTTTCTTTTTCGTGCTTTTTGGCCTTGCGTTTGAGGCGTTAGTGGATCAGTCGATCTCCCCCTCGCAGAGACTTGAAATTCTTCAAGCTCTCCGGAAGATACTACGTCCATCGGTCTCTGGAAACGCTATTTATCAAGATGCAGTCTTTTCCGAAACTATGGATACCCTTGATCGTCTGGTTCTTACTGAGGGTCACAACATCCAGACTGTTATTGTTGAAATGGCCAGAAACCTGTCTCTTGACCATCCGTCTGCGAAAGATGGGCAAGGCCGTGCAGAGAACTTGTCCGACGATATCGAGCAGCTCTTCGAACTTACAAGAAATATTATCCTTGTCTTAGCGGGTCTGCTCCCTAACCTTGGAGACTCGAGCACTCGCACTTATAATGTCAGCTCTGACGAGACTTTGACTCTGATCCGCCTTGCACTCTCTTCTCTCGTCGATGTAGCAGCGATTTTTCCTTCAGTTATACAACACGATCTTCATGCCTGTATTTTGCATATCTTTAGCACGATACTTGCCACCGGGATGTGTCAGGCTGAAGTTGTTCCGCATGCGCTCCCTATATTTCGAAGATTCATCCAGGGCATGAGCTCGCAGAATACACCGATCACTGAGGCCATCTCACTGCAAGTGCGTGGTTGCTTGACACGATTTCTTACCACACTAAAAATTGCGCAGCGCCGGGAATCGGAGACTTCTCTTCCTTGTGCAAAGAACACTCTTCTCGCCATGACTATTGTCCTCACTACTATCAGCCATGCTATTCCACCCCAAGATCCGTTAATTGCCCGGGTGCTTGAGCAATACTTAGACTGTCTGCAGGATGTTGGGCTCGCCAGTGTCGCTGCAGGGTGTATCCGCTCGGTGCTCCTTAGGAGCGGGCCAATATCCACTACAGATTCGATGATTATGCGGTACCTATTTCCACGGCTTATTGCCTTTGTCGCAGGGGTTCCGGATGATCAAGGAGAACCTCCAATTGATCCAGAAAACTCGCGAGCGTCGATCTCACAGACACTAGTTTCGCTCATCAGTAGCCCTACGGCTTTCCCAAGCTCTAAACTGCCGACAGCTATTCCTCTGGTCATGTCAACACTTCTCGTGCGCGCCAAAACAGAGGGGACATCGACTTATCAAGAGATCGCTACCCGGCTTTTGGAAATCGGAAAGCTAGACCCACTGGTTTTCCGTACCCTTGTGGCCACCATGGACGCAGAGAGAAAATCTCTTGTGGAGGACATTCTCCGCAGCGCTGGTCCTCCTTCCGGCGAAGTTAAGGATACTGCAGCGCAGGAGCAGAAAGCTGCGCCTAGTATTGCATTACGCTTCGACTTTTAGTTTTAGAGTCCGACTACGTTTGTGGTGATGATGAGTTATGATTGATGTTCTACTTATCTAGTTGGTAGGCTTGAATAAAATAAATACAGTATATACATTATAGTCTTGTTTGCACACATGTACACACATAAAATGTGCCGTATTCTAGTGTAAAGTGACAATGATTGTAACCATTGTTGGCATGAATCCCTTTCAACGTTCAAGGTAATCATGAGATGACAATCATAATTCATCTTTCGGCACTTTCTCTTTATCTTGCGCCACGTTGGGAACAACCTCTGCGCGAACATCTGGAGCCCGAGCCCGAGCCTGACAAGTATTCGAATATTTCCTCATATACTCCGGCAGGATCTGCGTCCACAACTCATCATCCGACAGATACTTATACGCTGAACCTTTACAGATCTCACCAGACACCATTTTGAGCATCGTAAACGCATTTTTAGAAGCTTCCCGAGCAGCTTGCTTCTTGAAACAACGGTTCCATTGCGCCAACTTATCGCCGTCGGGCGTTCCTCCACTAGTAGTACAGAAATGTTGACCGGGCGCCAACAACGCACTGCATTCTTTCTTGGTGGATGTCGCGATGTCCTGGCCGATGCGCGTAAACGTGGACTTGAACTTGTCCGAGAGCGACATTTCTTTCGCCATGGTGTCGATTAGCGGCAGGAAGGCGTTGGAGTATGTCCATTCATCCCACGTGGACATCACGGGCTGGCAGCCGCGGTCGCATATTTCGTGCTGGTATGCGCTTCCGAGTGAATCCCAGCGCGTCGCGATGGTCTGTAGGAGGACGCCAGCGCAGGATTCGGCGGACGCGATGAGGGGGAAGCAGAAGAAGAATAGTAGAGAGACTGTCGATGCATTCTGGGCGTTGCGCCTCTGTCGGGTGATCAGATGCATTGCGATAGGCACGTCTCTTGTTCCTCTGCTGTTGCAACTGTCCACGAGGAGAAAGTTCAAAGAAGTATTTGGAGTGTTAAGCTTCCGGGCCGGGGGATCTTACGATTGATTAAACTGCGGGAGCGGATCTGGGGAATTGTGCAGCAACTAAACTCTTTCGGAGTAGTACGATATAGTACGCAGTATGCATCTAAACCGACGAAATGGCCCATCGTATAAAATCTACAAAAAAAAGTCTATAGGGTATCACGCATGCCGTCTGTCATATGGGTTGAACAACACCAGGAACATGTAGCCACAGAACAACGGTCTATTAGATCATCCCAACGACTCACTCACTAGTGTGTCGGAGAGCGACGGTTCAGTCTGAACTGCGGCGTCTTTCACCGGTTCGGCTTTGGCAGTTTCCTTTGCAGCAGCCTGTTTCCTTTCTATCTCATGTGTCCGAGTAGAGTAGACTTTTAGAAATGCAATAGCCATCACTATGAACGGAAGAGCGTGATTAGTATGCCATCCAAATCTTTTTCTGGTTTCCAAGTATTCTGTGTGCAAATTGTAGACTTACTGGCACTGAAAGCGATGGTCAAGGCGGCACGTCTCGTCAGAACCCATCTCAACCCTTCAGTCTCGCTCTTTCCGTCACTTGCTAGTGAAACGGCAATCTTATAGTTGAGTTCCTGGATGCCGGTGTCCTGACTCTGCTGTAGCTCCCTGGTGGTCATTTTGTGATCATTCCACATGCCTTTCAGTTCATCATTCAACTTTGCCAATTCCTGACTGATTCGGAGATTCAGGATGTCCACTTCATGTTGCAGTTGTGTTCCGGACGTTCGCTGGCGCTCAACTTCCAGACTCCTTGAAGCTTGTAATGATGACCGAAGCTCTGAACAAGCAGCTTTAAATAGATATTCCTCATTTTCACTGTCTGATTTAGACGTGAGGGTCTTCTCGGCCAATTTCAGCTTTTCCTGCAGAATTCCCCGAATGGCTTTCATAACTGTGACAGCCTGTTCCTCACTGAACCCACCCTCCTCAAGGTTTTTGACTAGAGTATACGTATCGAAATGGTGAATATACGGCGCGGGCTGTAAGTGCGGTATTCCATGTCCATCTGGCGACAATCTCGCAAGTCCCATTTCGGAGGGCGGTGGCATTTGAAGAACGGCGTCCATCGGATTCTGAGGTGGTGGCATCTCTCGTGACAACTTGGCCGAGGCATTATTATCCGATGTTTGCGTCTCATTTTGTGGTTTGCCTGCAGTTTTTGAAGCCTTAGCAGCAGTATCGTTTTTTTCGTCATTCACATTTTGTTTGCTGTTGCTGCGCTCGGGTCCCGAATTCGTGCCCTGGGCACTGTCTTTTTGAGGTTTGGAAGCAAGGCTCTTCTTCAACGGTGGTTCGAGGGGTTCTTTGACTGGATTTTTCTTATTTTGCGCGGGTGGAGGTAGCTTGGACTCTAGCGATTGTCCTTGACGAGGGGCAACTGTATCTTGCTTGCGCTGCGGAGTGGCATGGAAACCAGACCGTTGGAAACGAAGCGAACGGGCACCAGCCTCGTATGGCCTGGCTGAGCGGAAGAGCTGCGGATAGAGGAATGGCAGTCGAGGCGCAGCCATGGCTCATTAATTGACTGGACGGACGAGAGTGCTGGTGGTGAGAAAAATATGTGAAGAGGCATCGTCATTTTCCCCCAAAGCTTACCGCACTAGCGCGCTTTTGGACGGACTAACAAATTTCCATGTGCTTATTTGACCATATTACATCACTTGGCATAGTACAACTTACAACGACTAACTGCTTAGTTCTTCTTAGTCGAAGCATTTTAGAAGCTGTGAGCGGTAACTATTTATGTTTACCCATGAGATCGAAAAGTTCTGATTGCTCTTGGTCGATGTTTCTACGAATCCGACGGTGGAAGTCACATGGGCTACAAAAAGCATTGGGTGAGGAGTAACATATGAAATCTCTAATTATTATATATATACATCTTATCCATATCGACTAGGTCGCTAACAGTCCAAAAAGCATTTCTGTTCGCTTCCAGAACTCATGTGCAGCTTCTTGCAATGCACCGACTGCCCCGTCCTGTTCTTCGACTTCACCCTGCAAGGTTTCTATAAACTTGTTCATGGGTTCCGTCTCATCAGGTGGGACTGATAGCACATCTCGGACGTAGAATGCATCGAGCAACAGTTGAATCTTCCAGTCCCGCACAAGGTCTGGCGTTGTTAAGTCGTCTCCTTCGGTTGTGGAATTGTCCTTCTCAATCTGCTCTTTGGCATTCTCCGTCTGCTTCGCAGACATTTTCAATTCTTCGAACTTCGCAGAGAAGGAGTCGACGGCATTTTTGTGTGCAGTCTTCTTCAGTACAATCACGGCAGAGGAATTCCATAGATCCGGGCCCAAGCTCTCCATAGCCTCGACAAGACGCCGAAAGTATTTGAATGTTGACGGCAACGGCTGGATGGGTAATTCAGGGTTTTTCTCCCATAAGGTACGCCCAGGAACCCGCGATAGAGTGCTGCGTTTTGGAGATGGAAGAATTTTTGATGCTGGTACACTGGTGAGAACTTCCTCTGCTAGAGTTTGCTGCAAGCCTGGTACAATATCTTGGGCAAAGTCCAAGCCATCATCTTGTAGTATTTCTGACGGACTGCCTCGCCTCAAGTCTCTGATTAGTCGCAAAACAAAAGCAGCTTTGAGGCTATTCTCCGAGTCCCCGAAAGCATCAATGACACCACTGAAGCATCTCTGTAGATCCAAAAACGCCTGTCCGACTGCATCCTTTTGCGCCTCGCGTAACTGGCGGGGGTCATCTTGGTTAAGCAGTTCCACAGAACTAGTTGGAAATTCTTCATCGTCATCGTCATCGTCAAAAGTATCTTCCCATTTCGTGTGCCGCATTTCATCAACCGAGCGCCTAGAATTCTCGATAGCTACTAACCATGAGTCATATGTCTCCAATATATTCGCAATCCTTGAATCTTGACCGAGCAGTGTCTGTGTAAGCACTCGCTTGAAAACAGTGGCACCGTCGGAGACCTCGAGAGATGTCACATTAGCGTCCCACAGCGACTGCGATGTACCTCCGTCAGTTTGTGTCCATTGCTCTATGTGCGATTTGACTCCATCACCAACGGAAAGCAATCGTTGAGCTTGATTGAGTAAAACCAACTTCAACTGCGTGTTGAAGACGTCTCTGAGGCCTTCTAATATACTGACTGCTGAGTGAGTTGGTGTTACCGCCACTGCGGAAAGCCAGATATCTATTGCTCTCTTCCGCAGTGAAAGGACTTGCGCAAAGTCAGTCGCATTTCTCAGAGAGACAGCGCCACACTCTAGGAACCTATGGAATGCCTTATTAGACCAAGTTTTAAGTATATGTTCGGCCGACTGTCTTGACAGGTCGTCGGACTTGATCCAGGGAGTGAAATTCTTCACATCTGTGGTGACCCATCGTCCAAGGATGTCGAGATCAAGATCATCGAGATTTCGGATATTGCTATCATTCAGCAGAGGTTGGGCCTGAAGCTTGCCCAGCGCATCTGATAGTCGACGGGAGAAAATTGCTTTTGTGGTTTGGAGAGTCTGAACATAGAGACCCAGGGCCTTTGGGATATATTCGCCTGCATTCTCGCTGGGCTTCTCGATACAACTAAACCGAATGGCATGAAAATGTGTTATTGCGTCGAGAGATGATGCGTTGTCCGAGAGACAAAAAGCGGCCATGGAGTCAATGATATCTTCAATGCTCGAATTGGCAGAACCCAATATTCGAAGAATTCTCCGACGTATCAATCTTTGTACAGAACTTAACTGCGAGCGTAGGGTTTCTAAAAATGGGGGCGCATTTGGAGTCTGCGAGAGAGTTTTGTAGAGAAGCCTTGAAATCACCATCAATTTCGAGGCCAATAGCGGTGAATCATGTTTGCGCAAAAGCCTCCCTGTCACGGTGGTACAGCGATGAAGGAGCACCAACTGCCCGGCCAGCGCTCTGTCGTTTTCACTCTTGCCTGTGGATTCTCGCTTGATGTCTGTTAAATTCACGGACTTCTTGCCAATCAAGCTAGTGTTGCAACGGATTCCAATGCTGGCCAGCTTTGTCTCGACCTCCGAACTCTCCGCATTCATTTCAACGATTGTCTCGGCGGTTCCCAGGAGTTCACGATAGCGTGTTCTAAGTAGATCGAGGAGATTAGATTAGCAGACTAATATGCAGAGAAGCCAGGAAAGCTGCACATCGCAGCATACCCTACTAAAGACCGCAGCTTCTCTCTGTTACTCGCAATGTCACAGCGCAATTCCTGCTCGACCTTCCGCACGGTGGGAATTGGATACTGAAAAGCCTCCTTCCATGACTTCATGTTCCTTGAGTCCCACGCATCAGTAGCCATATTGTCGATGGGCTACGTACTGGCAGCGTTGATGGTTTCAGGGCATGCGAAGAGAGAGACAACGTGGTAACTATGAAGATGAGAGGACGGAGTAATTAATTAGCGATCAGTAGGCGCACAGGCCACGCGGAGACAGCAGCCGGGGAACGCCGCCTGAGACGTGCACCTACAGATGAGCATTGTTGGCGAGCAAGAGAACGTGCTGCAAAAAGTATTGCAAGCATTGATATCTGCGCGCGCATGCTTCGTCCTTTTCCTAAGGCATCATCCATAGAGAGAAGGCAACGACAGCCCGTGACTCACCAATAAGGAAAGCGGGGTGGTTGGTCCCACCAGAACTGCCAAAATATTTACAGCGTCATTTTTTCCCTACCCCGAGGAAAGGGCTTTCAGATTCTCTGTCTCTCTATATACAAGATGCCACACAGCGACTCAGACACCGTCGAGGCCGAGGCGCCACTGACGAGACTTCCCTTTCCCCCGGTCACACGATCTCAGATATTGCACTGCTCATACCATTTTTGGCACCCTCTGTATGTGCTTGTCGCGCGGAATAGTTGTACTGAGTTCCAGTTTCTAACAAATATATTTTAGATATCGCGCCCTTACTCCCAAGGCTCGTCTTATTCCACTAAGTGACCCCTTTCTTTCATACCTCCGCGCCGATGGAATCGTCCTTCCTCCAGAGCACCCAAGCCGCTCTCATATCACTGACGACGACAGCGGTATCGAAGCCTCCGATTCTGAGGATGAAGAAGAAGATGATGATGATCCATCGGCGGCTTGGCAAGATATTCACATTCAGATTGAGGATACCATCAGAGAACTGGACGGCAAAGTCACCCCGAAACTCAACTGGAGTGCGCCCAAAGATGCGACCTGGATTGCCGTCACGAATGACCTCCAGTGCCAGACTCCCAATGACATATACATGCTATTAAAGAGTAGCGACTTCATTACCCACGACCTGGAACATGCCTTTGACGACACCGAGCCCGATCAGAGTGTACCGACAACGCAGGAGAATACTAATACTGACAGCATTCCGTATTATCTCGTTCTCCGAAAATACTTCAACCTCAACCCGTCTTTGGAGTTTCGATGCTTTGTTCGCAACCGTACACTCCTGTGTATGTGCCAGCGTGACCTGAATCACTTTGATTTCTTATTTCCCATGCGTGAAATGCTCGTGTCTCGCATCCAGACGTTCTTTGATGAAAGACTCAAGGATACCTTCCCAGACCCGAATTTCGTCTTTGACGTCTACATTCCCCCGCCTCATGATAGAGTGTGGCTCATAGATATCAACCCTTGGGCAGTCAGAACAGATCCGTTACTTTTCAGCTGGTTAGAAATCCTTACAATGAAGGACTTGGCGCCGCTTGAAGATGAAGTTGTGCGGCTGTCAATCAAAGATGACGGCCCTTCTGCAGCAAAGCCAGAGACAGAGCCTTTTGATAATTCAATGGCGGAGGACGATGAAGAAGAAGACGAAGATATTGAGAATGTGTCGTCCCTTCCAGAACTTCGACTGGTAGGACGAGATGACCCCGAGGCCTATGGGTTCACTACGCCGCAGTACTCTGCTCACAAACTACCTCGGGACGTTGTGGATGCGTCACGAGCAGGGCCCGGAGGTATGGAATCTTTCATGCGGCAGTGGAAGGATCTTCTTGCACAGGAGTTCCAGCAGCAACAAGCGGAGTCGAGCGACGACGAATGATGCATGTGGATCAAAAATTGCTTACCTTGTAAGACAAGTTAGAGAAGGAAATCTATCGCTTTTGACCCCGAGCACCATACGTATGATACATATAACAAAGGTCTAAATTACAGACTGTCATAGCTTATGCTTCTTCTCACCGATGGCGAGCTTTCTAAATTCTTCTTGAGGAAAACCGGCAAGGAACCTGTCCACACCACCATAAACCTCAAGCACATTCTGTCTCTCGAGGACCTCACGGGACGGGCGCCGAATGAGCTCCTTGATTTTGAGGAGACTAGATTGGTTAAGATGCAGGCCTAACCGTTCGTCAACTTCGGTCAACACCGCCTTCAAAAACCCATCAGAATCATCTGGTCTTCCCGACGGCGCAGCAATGACTTTGTTCACGAAGCCTGTTGCCACGAGTTCGTCACAGGATATCCTTTTGCTCATGATCAAAGCCTCGTTTGCCTTTGATATCCCGAGTCTCTCAACAAAGGCCCTGGAAGCACCGCCCTCGGCTACAAGACCGAGTGACGAGAAGGGGGTGAGGAGGAATGTGTGGGGAGCAGCGTAGATGAAGTCTGCGAACGCAATCAAGGCAGCAGACAGGCCCACAACGGGACCATTGAGCGCAACGACTAGAATCTTCGAATGATTATACACAGTGCGCGTCGTATCCAGGTTATTAACAAGGAATGCGCCCACCACCTGTCGGCGGCGTTCAGCAAGACTCAAGCTACTGTCAGAGATCCGAGCAGGGCTGTTACTGCGAATGTCGGCGCCACTATAGACACACAATCTTAGATATCTTGCTCATAGATACACTTCAAAAGCGAAAGATGTGGTTCAAACTCACGCAGAAAAAAAGCGCCCCGCCCCCGTCAGCACAGTAATGTAGATGTCGTCTCTCTGCTCAATCTCGCGAAACCGATCCGCCAGCAGCTGGTACAAGTCGATGTCCAGGGCATTCAGCTTGTCGGGCTGGTTGAGCGTGATGATGGCGATGCGGCCTTGATATGTGAGGGTAATGCATTTGCGGTCTGCCATGGCTGATGAAGTCTGTACATGTCAAGGACGATACTTGGTCTTGGTAAGGTAGGACACAAAGAGGACGGTCTGGTCTAGCTAAGCTCGCGGGGCGCTAATTGCCGAGGCACGTTTGCTGCTTCTGTGGGGTAGCGATACCTCAGGTACATCGAGAAAGGTGAACCTTTGGATACCTTACGATGTATATGCATAGTCATATATATATATATATATACGCTTGTAATGATAGGTAGTCTGAGTTATCCGTTGTCATCCATTTTCAGATGTTCATTTCCCCTGTGTCTTGTCTGTGTTGCTGTGTGGTAGGAAGATGGCCGATTCGATGATTGCGTTCTGACTGAGATAGGGAGACAGACCAAATCCCTAGGTAATTAGAAATCGATTCCCGGCTCTCTTTCCAATCGCAGTACTGACTACCATCCGCATCATTGAGATGCTCGCGTGGTTGAATATGAATGAATTGATGAATGAATGTCCGGCAAGGCGGTGAGCCAATCCGGCCAGCCTATTCGACAAAGCAGAATTTCATCCATCAATCGTACGATATCTGAGCTGCTTGAACGTTCGAAACATCTCGCACACCGAGAAAAGTGCCATCGCTCGACTTTTAAGATATCAAGAAAGAGAAAAGAACATCCATAGACCATGTCGAATATCCTCCGCAGACTGCAGGGCGGGAACCTGGAAGTCGTCAAGGTACGTACTAACCTTCCACCAGCCACCGTCTTCTTTTTTTTTTTTCTTTTTTTTCTCTTTGGATCACCACGAAGATACAAAAACTAACGATATATGTTATAACCGTCTCCAGTTTGGAATGTACATCCTCTTTCCCATTGGATGGATGTACTACTTCGGCACGAACCTCGAAGAGCGGTTCTCCGTGCCCGGATTCTGGCCCACGGCCGAACAGTCGCATAAGATTCCGGAGTCGAAGGAAGAGATTGACCGCGAGTTGAATAGGATGCGGATGGTGGATGCACTTCGGCGGGAAAGGAGACAGCGGCAGCAGCAGGAGACGATAGCCTCGCAAGCACAAGGACAAGGGCAAGGGGAAGGCTCGAGTGAGGGGACGGTGTGAGTGATGATATCCGTTTATTGCATAGGAAAGCGCGAACACGAAAGATTGATATGGATGAGATGAGATCAATCATGTATTAATCTGTATTTATGTACTATTCACGCATTGTATTATTTTATATCCTTCTAAGCTTGCATGGTTCTAACAATATTGATCGGGTCTCCTGTCACTTGCTCATACATGGAAACAGATAAGAAAAGACTGGACATTAGAGATTTCTGATCTCAGGTATCAAGGGTATTATAATATCCTGATCCACCATAATATAAAAACTGTACACCTCCACCCAAATGCAACACAAATTAAACAACCAACAAACTCACAAACTCCACCGAGCGCCTCGCTCAGGAATGATTGGTAGAAATATGCAATAAAAGGGGGCAATTCACGAATTATGCTTGTTATATGTATGCCAGAGTAGACGTTCTCCAAGCCAGATTGTCAATACTGTCATGCCGGATAAGTCGTCCGGGCGATCACAACTCTTCGAGCGACGCGGTCGATGCAGCCACAACATTAAAAGCACCCGTCGCCGGGCCGCTGGCACCCTGCAAGATGGAGCTTGCGGACGGAATATAGTCCTTGATCATGGAGACATCGGCGGTGAAGTAGTAGTGGACATGGCCATAAATCGAAGCGACGTGATCCGGAAGGTAAACGCAGGCGGCCATGAGGAACAGGGAGACAAAAGTGATAACTAGCGAGTCTATTTATAGGACTTTGAGTTAGCCAAATCTTTATCGAGCAATGAAATGGATGGACGCATGGAAAAGAAATCCTTACTAAAAATGAATTTCTCGGTTGGCGTGAGCATGTACAGGGCAAACGTGACCTCGTACTGGTAGTTCTTCAAGCGCAGCCACCGCAAAAAGGACGTGATAGGCGAGACAGACGGAGGGGAAGACATTGTTGGTTATAGTTGGCGAGGCTGTAGGAGCTGTCGAATGATGTTGAGTCGATTAACTGTTTGGACGTTGAATTTTCTTCGATTGTGTTTCTCGGGCCAAAAAAGAGTCTCCGTGACTGCAGGAGAGTATGTTCTGGCAGAATCAGGGGACGAAAGGGGAATCGAGGTGAGAGAAGTTCTATCTAAATTGAGACCGAATGATTAATTGACTGATTGATCAAAGAGAGAAAAGAGGAAGAGTGTGGGATGGAGGTGGATGATAAAAAGAAAGCGTGGCAAGAGGCTTAGCTTCGAAGTCACGCCGTGCTTCTACTTAGTGTTTTTCTCTGCAACGCCCTGATAACCCGAAGCATTGCTATCCATTGAAGGACGTATATTTATTTATATTAACTACAAATGCTATACACTCGCATCATATCATAATTACGCTCTCAAATACACACGATCAACCCTCTTCCTGGTACTGCAGGGGATGCTGCCTCAGTCACGAAAAAAAGAAGGGGTAGAATTGTGGGGGGCGGAGAACGGCGCCGACGCTAACCAATTTGTGGCTTCTCTTGCATCTTGCGATGTCCAGTCCGCAATGATTCCAGACGATGCGTGACCTGAATGTCTTCCTCGCGCCATGCCGCAGCTGGCTGCGACCCCTACGGCTGATCCGGCCCTTCTCAACGCATTCCGCCCTCGCCGTCAAACAACTGCCACCCCGGCCGAAGCTCGACGACAAGGATATCACCGGGTCCTACCTGAAAGGCACAGGACCAGGAGGCCAGAAGATTGTACGTCTCCTGTTGCTCATGCCTTTTCTAATGACACAGGGTGCTAACAAAGGAAAAAACTTCAGAACAAAACAAACTCTGCCGTTCAACTCATCCACAAACCAACTGGCATCGTAGTCAAAAGCCAGGCCACCCGATCCCGCTCGCAAAACCAAAAGATTGCGCGCGAAATCCTCGCTGCCAAAGTTGAAGAGTTGGAAAAAGGAGAACAGAGCCGTGCGGCTATCAAGAGTGCTTTGATGCGCAAACGGAAAGCCAGTTCTACGAAAAAGAAGCGCAGGAAATATCGGGCTTTGGAGGAGGCGAAGCGGAAAGACAAGGATGCTGAAGACGGTGTTTTTGAAGCTGTAGAAGAAGAGGAGGAGGAAGGAGAACGATGCGATACTAAAAATGAATCGCCGATTACTTCGCATGCCCCTCAGCCTACGGCAACACCCTAAGACATACAAATTTCGGCACTCTTCATTTGCTGTGCTATAGATGGACATGACAAGTTGTAGTCAGGGAAAGAAAGAGGGGAAAAATACTTCTTTTTTTCTACTCGACTATGACATTCACAGAAAACCCGGTATCAAATGCATTAGGTATGGATTTTTTGAACAACAAAAATCCGCAGAAAAATTAAAGAGAACGATGCATATGACTCAGCCACATCCTACGCCATGTAACCAGCAAGGATCTTTTGCAGTTCAGGCGACAGTCGTTCTTGAATGAACCCATTAACCCGACCACCCTGCTTCGAGTTGGCCTCCTTCAAATACTTTCCTGCCCACACTTTGAGGTCGGCCCCGGTATCTGGCCACGGATCTTTTTGGCGCGGCCGAACTGTGTTCAGTTGCGTAAATCCCACTCCAAATGCCATGTCGTCGACGTCGTGTTCTGTGATCACATCGTCTCGTGTAGTCGGCAGAGGCGGCAGCTCCAACAATTTGAGCAGAGCTTCACATGTGAAGCCCCAACCTTTCTTGTACCGTTGTGCGAAAGCTTCCGAGTTTGCCAGCGTTTTTGTGAAGGAAACAACCGCTGTCTTGCGGTCCAACGGCCTAGCTAGTTTCTGGGATTCAGGCAGGATGACATTGAGATAGATGGGTGTAAATAGCCTATTAGCTGTTAGCTCCCACCAAATTAACGGGAAAATACGAGATCTTGTTATGCGAAACTTACTCAGCTTGAACTTTGTCCGTGACTTGGATAAAAAAGTCAGCACTGTAGCCTTGGTCATCCCGAGCCGAAACAAAGTGGTAGAAGCGAACGAATCGCAGTTGAAGAGTTTCGGTCTTGGAGTGTTGCAGACGTGTCAAGATAATCTGCATGATGGAAACAAAATACTGCTCCAGAGTGTTGCTAATGTAAAAGTCAGTCAGTCCTGCCACTAAAAAAAGGGCGCAAAACTCACGATGGAAAACTTCCAATAACACTTTCCAAAAGATCGAATCCGTGGCTCTCGTTGGCTTTGGTCGAGAGCAACTTTTGAAAAATTCCCAGTATGGGCTCGACCTGGTTGTTTTGCAAAATAAACTGTGCGCCGCGCGGAATGATGGCAGATAGTAATCGAACCAATGCAGGAACATTGCCCTTGGACTCCCACATAACCGGCATGAGGATAGGCGCAATCAGGCTTTGATAGTATTCTGGCAAGGTTGCCGATGGGTTCGCCTCGAGAAGTGCAGCAAAGAGTTGAAAGACGTAAGGCATAAATTCTGGGCCAGTATTGATCAATCAGCACAATTCTCTTCATTGTTACCAGTTAAAACACCTTCTCACCTTGAACATCCGCCTGAAGTACCTCAGCAAAGGGTGAATAGAGACTTTGCTCCAATTTCTCGGGATTGGCAGGAGCAGAAAATCTGTTCAGACGAAAAAGAATAAAAAATCAGAAACATCTTTGGACTTTGATGGGACCGGACATACCTAATAAAGGCACCAATCGACTCAAAATGATAATAATAGAAACGCGGATTGCTAGGATTAGCACTGATGATTCTCGTGATTTTGACAAGGTGCTCTAGGACCGCATCCGTATGTGGAACAACACCTTCTTTGATGACAATCAAAACCCTCATGACACATTTCATCAAAAATTCGTTCTCTTGCACCTTCGCTGGCGACGGTTCCTTTTCAACGAGGTGGAATAGATGCTCCAACAGCTCCTTCGCCAAAGGTGTGATGTTGGCCGGTGAGATTATAGGCTGTCCGGCGGAGTCATGGAAAGCAAGCACTCGCTCAACGGCAATAGCTGCGTACGTGTACACCACGTAATTATCAGAGCCCAAGTGCTTAACAAGCAGAGGAAATACTTCTTGCCACTGCTGCGGCGTTATGATGCTCCGGAACAAATAGAGATATTTTATAGCGTCAACTTTCAAAATTGGGTGCACTCCACCATCGGCCACCAAGTCAGCTGCAAGATGCTTTTGGAAGAAATCCGCAATATCCACGAGTTTATTGACTGTCGTAATGCCATGGGAAGCGGTTGCTGCACCTTTGGCGGCGATCGCAGAGAACAGATATGTCGCAGTGTCCTTTGACTTCCAGTTTGATGCGGGATTTTTGGCGTACTCTCCAAGGTAATGGTCAGTGTACTGAGAGACCACACTGGTGACCGACTCCTCAAACTTGTTTGCCAATTGTCGTACAAAATCCGTCGCTGCACGACGTCTTGTGTCGCTGTCCGAGCCCTCCAAATCACGACGGATAAACTCAATGGGCTCATCCTCGAAGAGCTCTTCATCCGACTCCCGCAGCGCAATATTTGGCAAGATTACCTTTTCAATGACTTGACTAAGAGTCCCTTGGTCCTGGAAGATCTTGGCATGCTCGGGCATACTTGTAGTCGATGTCAGAAACTGGAGTGCCTTGCTGATCAAGATGTCATATTTTGTCTCTTGGCCGACAGTAGTCAATAAGTTCCAAGAATTCTCCACAAACTGCCCGACATAGCGCTCAAAGACGTCACTATACTTTTGGACAAATAGGGTTAACGCTTCAAAGATGCCGGCTTTGACAAATTCCAAAGGTCCCGCTTCGCTCTCGTCGTCCGTATGAAGTAATTGGTTGTCATAAAGTAGATATTTCAGAAGCAGGTTGGCAATAGATTGGTCATTGTTCTCAACCATTGGCGCTAGATCTTGACAATTCAAGTCATACAAGAGTTTGATCATGAGATTGAGCTGAGTGAATCCCTGGGATAAAGCTTCTTTGTTGGATTTATTCTCCTCGATAAATGAGTCCAGCCCCTATGAGAGAAAAATGAACATCATCATCCACCTAAAAACAGGAGACAAGTAGGGATTTTACCTCAAACAATGCTAAGTATGGTGTGGCAAAAGTGTTCAGCACATGGTTAATCTCGGTGAACAGATCGTCTGATCGGAAGAGAGGGCGCCATCGCCGAAAAATTGAGTGTGCTACGGTGAGGACTCCGTTGTTGACGACCGGATTCTTAGGGTCTAATCTTGACACCAAATCCTGTGCACGTCAGTTAACTGACACATCTTATGTAGCACTTTGTCCAAACATACAGCCACGAGTGTATCCCATCGCTCCCAGAAGTCGCTGTCCGCAATCACACTGACTGCTTCTCCGAGTTGAGTCTGGATGCCGCCAGGGACATTGATCATCAAATTGATCAACTCCCGCTTGATTGTGACAACCTCATCTTGTGGTAGCTTGTGGTTTCCATCCTCATCAACCCAGCTTCTCCGAATCAAATTCTTAAAACATAGAGCACTTGCGAGCCGGGTGTTGTATGGATAGTCTGCGGAGGCTGTGATCTGGAGAAGGAATAATGAAAACCCTGGCTTTTTTTCTTCTTGGCGGAGTGCGAGTTCGGCTAGAAGTTTCCAAATCAGACACAGGATCTCATATTACGGCATTCCCGCGAAAAATCAAACCTTGCTTGTTCTGCCTGGGATCCAAGCTGGCCTCCAACAGCTGAGCAACAGCTCCCAGGTTATTTGCCATTTCGAGGTTGTCAACACGAATGGTAATGACGGAAGAAGTACGTAATTGCAGGGACGAAGTGTGAGATCAAAAGGGATTGAAGGTAGCGTAAAGCGTCAGGTTCTTGATGATGTGACACGTAACGCGAATTGCTTGGTGCCTTCTCCAGTAGGAAAGGTAATTGAAGAAGAATGATGGGAAGAAATGTTAAAACGCCGCTTTCCTTGTCTGGCAGTTTGTTTGGCGGGACCCTGAAGGCGGTGAGCGCAGCTGCGATGTTTCCTGGGCGGCGGCGGGGGTTTTTCTGGCGGCGTTTCGTTGTTCCTACTCCGGCTGCTACTGTCCGGAGAGTCATGTGATGCCTGGAAAAACGTCATTCCGAAGTATGACAGTCATAGTTGCTGTTTCTTAGGAAGGGCCCTTCCACGTATTGTTGCCAACAACTTCCAACTTACCCGCCGTGATTATATTCGATTCAAACCCCCAACGACTGTTCTTCTCTACAACTCACTCACCGGTTTCATTGATCATGTATATTTGTTAACTGCTGCACCCGTCGGCCTGTTTCCCTCGCCATCCCTAGACAAATTCAATGCAACGAGCTCCGCTAGCTTTCTGGCCGCGATAACCGCCATCAGGTGCCGCTACTGACATCCGCTTATCTCGAGATCAGCCTAAGATTAACGATGGGGAACCCTTCCAAGACCTCCGAGACCCAGTTATAATATCACCTTCTACCCTAGTTACATTTAGACTACTGCTACCTTGCAATCCTTTTTTTTTTTTTGGAAGTTCCACTTCGATGCTATGAAAAAAGACTCTTGGTTGAGCCCGTCAGGTTATCCACCCTGTACGTCAAATTCATTCGTTTCATTTTCTAACTCTATTGTTGCCCTCTATAACATATTGCCGTCTTGCAATGTGTCCTCTGCTAATGGAGCTTGCCTGAGTTTCAGTCTTTGTAAAAGGTTAGGCAAAAGGCATAAGTTACATACAAGAGTGCCTTGTCAAGTGCAGACGCTTTGCACTAGCTGCGAATGTCTTCCGAAAATGATCCACCTCAAAAACCAGCTGCATCTTCGTTTGCAGACGTTTTCAAAACTTTAGCATCAGGTCGCCGAAAATCCATCTCGCCGCTCTCTGCTCCCGAAAACACGGCCGACCCGGCAAGTCATGGTATTGATGGACGCAGAGGTTCTCGGATGACTTTTGGATTCGAGACAATGCAACGTGGAAGTGTCTCCACGAATTCCTTGGAACCCGATGCTGCTCCGGACTATGAGACTGCTCTGCGCACTCTCAGAAACCCCGCTCTAGCTGTAGACGAGGTCGAAATCCTTACTAAACATGCGACCAGGTTCACCCCAGAACAAATAATAACCCTCTGGGAAGCTAGTGCGTACCTCCTGTGTCAGGATGTGTCCGAGAATGCCCGACTGCAAACATCTTTATTCTTGGAAGCAATCGTGGAGCGACCGGATCTCTCAACCGATTTGAAGATTCAACTAAGCAAGAGCATACTGGCATCAACGCCAGTCGATGTAGTACCCGCACGGGTTAATGCATTGATTGCATTGACAGATAATGGCAGAAAATTGGACAGCGCGCAAATCAATATCCTACCAACACTTGCAGTCTGTCTATTACCGTTGTTCAAAGTCGTTGCCCCGCTGCGCTCGAAAGCGAAGAAGAGCAGATCTCCGCGTACCAATGACGTTGAAGAAATACACTTGGGTAATCTCTTCGACTTTATCCTCAATATTATCACGCTTCAGAATATCCCTTTAGAGGAAAAAGATACGGAACTTTTACTTGAAGAAGTCTTCAAGGTTTGCAAGAGGACAACATCCCCAGGGGACCTCAAGAACTCTTTGTCCATAGTTGATGCCATAATTTCTTGCGCAGAAATTCCGGGTGCTAGTTTTGTTCCGTTGTTGGAGGTTTTGTGCAGCATTCGCGCTTCTGTCAAATCTCTTTCAGGTCCCACTTCCCGGGTTATACGCAATATAGTCAAATCCCCCAAGAGGTTAGCCATGTTTGATCTGCTATACTCTTTCTTGGAAGAAGTCCCGGAAGACCATGGTCGAAATCTCAACGTAACGCGGGGCGCTGTTGAAACCTTCACTGATATGACCCGAGTTTTCGATAGAGACGGCCTACCAGAGTTGTCATTTTCGAGATTGGTCGACTCCCTCCAGGGAGTTGCGGAACGGGGTGGTGACAGATTATACGCAAATATCCTTGAACTATGTGCGAGTCTATTGGATGGTGACCTTGCATCCATCAGCATAGGAGAACAAGATTGGACAACATTCGCGAATCTGCTAATCAATTGCTCTGGTAATATCAGTCAAGAAGTTGTTACCAGCCCAGAATCTCCTGTTCTTTCTCCTTCAAGAAATAAGCCTCAGGAAGATCACCTCGCTGCTGAAATTTCCCGCGTAACGTCGCTAATAGAGAGCTTGTGGGAGCGAATGCTCCCTGAGCAGAGGTGGGAAATCGGGCGCTTCCTGAGAACAACGCACCATTATCTTTCTCCATCCCAAGCGCGTCTTTTGATAACTTATCTTAGGACAGAAAGATATATCTTTCCGGGAAATGATGACTGGGAACACCATGCTAAGTGGCTTGTTGACTCGTTTCTCCAAAAACCGGGCAAGTCTTCGGACGTGCGCCTCTTTGCTATAGAGGCACTCGAGGAGGCTATTTTTGAAGATGAAAATCTAGCAAAGTTTGAACAAGCCGGTATCGTTAGCCTTTTACTTCAAAATTTTGCCGATGAGACAGACACAATCTACCTAGCATCGCTTGTTTCAGTGATGATTGAGATCGGGAGTCGAGCGAATAATGGTGTTTTTCATACTATCGTCGATACTTTGAGCTCACCGATGACTTCTGATTCGCTTGAAGACGAGGATCCAGCTATTCTGAGCGGGCAACTATCACAATCACGCCGTAGCTCTGCATCTGGGCTCGAGCCGTCTTTATCAAATGTTTGCATGATTGGTCTTGTGCGGCTTTTTCTTCGGTTCTTAAATGTGTCGGCCCAGCGAGCGGCGCTACTATTCGAAACTCTGATATTCATCATCAAGACGTCCAGGAAAAGACCAGCCGACGCTGTGCTCACTGTTCTTAAACTTTTGTTTCGGTTACGCTGTGATTCTTCTGGAGCAGTAATCGTTGTCACGGACGTGGAAAATGATTTTTTGGTGGCTGTGCTAAGTAGAACTCTTGATATTGGAGTCAAACAAACTACAAACACAGAATTAGCCAATATTGAGCGGTCCTCAATAACTAGTGACGAGGGCATTACTGCAAATACAGGGAGACTGTCTTTACGGGAGCAATCCATTTCTACTGGAGTACAAAAGCCAATGCCCCGTATGAGTAGTTCCCATCTACGCGCAACAACAAAGTCGATGCCTCCGAGTTGGATGCAAACTTGCTCAAGTCTTCCCGAGGAACCATCGCCCACCTCAAGTCCCTTTGTTTATACTTACAAACCGGCTGCTGCGACCGAGCCTTCAAGTCAATCAATAGAAGTATTGAAAGTCAATATTTACCTAGAAACGGTCATAGATTTGCTACAGAAACGCGATACATCATGGGACGTTTACAGCTACATACTTGCTCATCTAGGACCCCAGCTCAGCAACCGAGACTTCTTCTCTAACGCCGTTCCGCAGATCCAAATGCTTCGCAATATTCTGTGCGGCCAAATCAAGAGCGAAATGTTCCGTGAACCGCCGGCTATAGCTGGCATCAAGAAAGCAGACGTAGCTATGTGTATTTTTGATTGTTTGGCAATGCTCGTTGGGTATCACCAATACTTTGCAAAGAGTGAGCAGGATGAACTGGTCCGCGCGTTCATGCTTGGAATCGGATCTTGGGACGGCACATCACGAGGATGTATCCACGCTCTATCAGTATGCTGCCATGAGATACCACTTTCAGTGACGAAATCATTGAATGCAATTCTTGATAAAATGGCAAAAGTGATAACGATGGCCTATGTGGCTGTGCATATATTGGAGTTTCTGGCACTTCTTGCTCGACTTCCTGATGTTTACGTCAACCTGCGAGAAGAAGAGATTCGTACTGTCTTTGGCATATGTATTCGCTTCATTCAAACTAGCAGAGAACATCGCCACAAGGCAAACGATTTGTCTGCCAGTCGCACTGGTGCAATTTCCACAAGACTAAGTGGTGGTTTGAGAGAGATAGCTGCAACGCAGCCTGATTCCTCTGAATCAATTTGGCACGAGGGAATGTCTAGATATGTATACACGCTGACGTATCATGTCCTCGTTTTTTGGTTTCTGTCTCTGAAGCTACAAGACCGCGCAAAACATGTGAATTGGATAACAAACAGGCTTATTTTCACTAATGAGCAAGGCCAGGAAGTGGTTGAAGAACAAAGCGAAGTGTTTATAGACTTGATGCAACGTGTGACATACTCGGACTTGGGAGATACGGTTCCTTTTGAAACATTTCCTCCATCCCCGGAGGACGGGCCAGTCATCTCTAAGTCATGGATCGTCGGGATGAGTATTGTCACTGTTGAGACTGCTGTTGTTTCTGGTCTGACACAAGTTACGAAGCGGATGGCATCTGGCACAACCTATGTCGAATACCGCCAACGTACAGCCCCGGTATTACCTCATCAGGTACCTCCAACGCCTGATTCTTTGTCAAGATCTGACTCATCCAGCCGTACGGCCATATTACCTTCTCATGTTCTTCTCCAGATGATGACCACTGCCTTCCCTACACCTCAGGTCTCACAGCCCATACCATTACCTGACGACGCCATGACTCGTCGGACTATAAGTCTATTTGACAGGAACGACATTGTCGATGGACATAAGGTGGGTGTTGTTTTCATCGACAAGGACCAAACCTCAGAAGCGGAGATTTTGGCGAATGCGGTTGGCAGCCCAGATTACGAGCACTTCTTGAATGGTCTCGGAACCAAGGTCTCTATTCGGGAAGCTCAATTCAATACCCAAGGTCTTCACAGTGATATCGATGGGGAGTACACATATGCCTGGAGAGATCGTGTGACGGAGATGGTTTATCACGTAGCCACCATGATGCCTACAAATCTCGAAAGGGATCCTATGTGCGTGGCAAAGAAACGTCATATTGGTAACGATTTCGTCAACATCATTTTTAATCGTTCAAACAAACCGTTTAATTTTGAGACGATTCCATCGCAGTTCAACTCCATCAACATTGTCATAACTCCTGTGTGCCGAATTGCAGAGTCCGATTTCGATCAAAACATGGATACTACTGACCGCGACTACGACAAGCTATTCTATATCGTCAGAGTCATGAGCAAACCTGGCTTGCCTGAGCTCTCGCCCGCCTCAACACCCAAAGTGATCTCGGGCAAAAGCCTTGCTGCATACGTACGAATTCTGGCAATGAACGCGTCAGTCTTCTCACTGGTGTGGAACCTGGAGGGTGGCGAACATATTTCTTCATGGAGAAACCGACTTCGTGAAATCAAGCGACTGCGCGGACGGATGCTTGCACCTCCTGCCGCGCCCTCTGATGCCACGGAGGGAGGCTTTTTGGGCCAACGCCGCAATACAAGAGCGAATGTCCACATTGAAGATGATACACCAACACGATCTTCGGGGCGTATGGATGTGGGATCCGAATGGAATACAGGTTCGGACAACAACATCTCTCAAGCGCTCGACTTTTCGCGTTGGACCAGATAGATGCTACTTCCAGGGTCCACCAAGGCGTATATGCAGGCCTAGGTCATTACATTATATTCCTATTCACTTCACTATTGTCCGAGCATTGAAAAACGAAGCCAAAAACCGGTGTTCCTTTTATTTTTGTACTGCTATTATACTCACGAAGCAACGACGATGTTACGGGGTTATGAAACAAAACGCTATCTCATGTATTATTTTCATGTCAGTCATTTGATTGTTCTTAAACAAAATAAGTTGTCAAACGATCTCAACTCACAAAAAGGAGGCGGTTATTGTTTTTTTTTTTTTCCCTTTCCTTTCTCTGCGAAGGAAACTCAAAAGTTCTTGGATCAAGCATGATCGCAAAAAAAGGGGGACAACGGCACCTTTTCTATTTAGTTGTTTTTGACTGAGGTGATTTCGAGGTGGTATATTTATTATAATAATCCAAAAGCCTTCTCTTTTTCTTTCTTCAAACCCATCTATACTTATTTTATGCTTTACAGCAACCAGATTCTAAAGAGGGTTCCCTTAAAGGAGCTTCTGCAAATGCTCATGCGTAAACTATGGCTTATATTCCGCTGTCAAGATGTCAAGGTTCTCAAAATTCAGTGAGTCGGCCTTGATGATACCGACACTGCTAAGCAATCTGCATGTTGGTGCTCTCGTGAGCTTTATTCCGCATCTACCGCGCGGCAATGGGCAAGCTAAACGCTCTTCAGATGCCGATATGCAAATATCGACCCGGATAATCGAGTTCTTCATTTAGCTCTTGTCGTACAAAGGTATTACGAAGCATAGGCAGACGGCGTAACTTCTAGTTGTGGATGAAATCCGCAGTTTCTGTGGTAATTCCCGTCACCGTCCAAGGTAACTTGACGTTTATGATGGTTTTTTGGGTTGTCAAGGGTGGGAGAGAACGTTGGAAAGGGGAGCAGATAGAAGATCGAAGAATGTGACGGTTCAAGCCCTATAAAAAATATGTTTCTTTATTGAAGAACACCGAAGATTGATAGACTCCGGAAATAAGCGTTTCCAGGCACTCTCTCGTGAGGCCCCCAAGCAAAATTACCGGCCATTTCCATACAAAAACAACCTTGATATGTGTCTTACCACGTGATCCTAGCGGTCGAATGGTATCGTTTTGTAACATTGACGGTGAGATGATCAATTGATTAGTGATTGTTCAGCCACTTAGATTGATAGCTACATGCGAGCACATCACAAATCGCGGGCTGGACGGGCCTGGATAAGCCCTCAGAACCCTTGGTATCGGCACTATCTAATTTGGGATCTTATCTCTTAGCAAGCGTGAATAAATTGCATCTTAAGCTCCTACACTTTCTAATATAAAGGCAGCGAACCTCGTAGATAACCATTTCTTCGCATGAAAATAATATTGACCGCAGTACACAGCTTATAAACATGGAGCCACCGAGAATTCTGCAGCAACCTTTCTCCTCCCGGTCTCAGGTTATCACACCGGGTCGTACTGGCTCCCATGACACGGATGCGAGCCTCGGACGAAACTGGTGTTCCGAACTCGACGGCTGAGACTTACTACTCAGAACGGACCTCGCCAGGCTCGCTATTGATCTCCGAGGGCACAATCGTTCACCCGAGAGGAAAAGGGTTTCCTCGCACTCCAGGTCTATGGACAAAAGAACAGGCAATTGCATGTAGACCCATCACAGATGCTGTGCATACAAAGGGAGGGACTTTTTTCGTCCAGCTCTGGCATGTTGGCCGGGTGTCTGTCCCGTCACAGACGGGTGGACTGGCGCCCTTGAGCTCGACTACGGCACATCTACCTGGCCAGCAGCATCTTCTCTTTGGCGACGAGAATGGCACTGAGCCATATGTTCTTCTCATGCGATGACCATTGAGGATATCAAGGAAGTGGTTTCTCAATTTTCACATGCGGCCCGTTTGGCTATCGAGGTAGCCGGTTTCGATGATGTCGAGATCCATGGTGCGAATGGCTATCCGCTTGACTCCTTCACGCACGATAACATCAACAAGCGGACCGATGAGTATGGCGGGCCGGTCGAGGGTAGATTGAAGTTCGCTCTTGAAGTTATCGATGGCGTGATTGGCGCGATAGAAAGTGATAGGGCTGCCATTCGCCTTGCACCGTACCATGTCCTGCAGGAGACAAACGATAGCAACCGTATTGACACCTTCGCCGTGCTATCGGCCGAGTTGGAGAAGAGACAGCTCGCGTATGTCCACATCGTGGAGCCTAGATACGATCAGCTAAGCTAAGAGGGCGCCTTTTCCGGAAACATTGAGCACAGTAATGGCAGCCATCCGACCGAGAAGTCAGAGATCGCGTCAATCTGGCCATTTCGACGTATTCTCAGAACCACGCCGGTAATTGGTGCTGGAGGCTATGGTGCAGAGTCTGCAGCGCAGGCAATCCACGAAGGTAAGTGGCTGCCCCTGTCATTTGAGCTGTCAGATGCATGCTCACAACATGCAGGTCGCATAGATCTGGCCGCCTTTGGGAGGCACTTCACCTCAAATCCTGATTTACCAGAACGGCTCTTTCACGGATATCCGTTGACCAAATATCACCGGCCGACGTTCTACACCTCGGGCCTTCAGGGGTACCTTGGCTGGTCACGATGGGGGGAAGAAGAGGCTGCAGAGCAGGGCAGCTCTTGAACAGCTGACATTAGCTCCAGGATACACTTTTATAAACAGCATTTACCTCTTCTCATGGCCTTGACACGTTTAACAATTGTTGGATGGGTCGCTGTCATCAAGGGCGCATAGGAGATGAGCGGTGGAAGTCAGGGAGCCGACTGTCAAACGTGATGAATGGTGGAAAATATATATTTCCCCAGGTCCTCAGTATTCTAGCCGTCAAGTAGGTGCTTTTGTCCGTCATAATGAAGATTGAGCGTTGAGCGCTGATGGTGCCTGGCCCTGGTCCCTGCAGTGGTTAAAGAAGGAGCGGGAGCGGGAGTGGAGTGGAACCGTTACGTGGAATCTCCGCCGCATACAAGAAAGAGTTACAGCTTGCAACTTCCACACCACGACTGCGAGAAAGCAGTGGCACGTTCAATTGAAGAGACAATCGCTGTCTCTTGCTTTGACTGATGCTCTGCTAAAGTGCGACCATGCATTTTTCATTCAGCTCTTGTCTTGTTTGGTCCTCGTTCGTTGCAGGCTGTGCCTACGCTGCGAGCCCAGATTCCTCTAACAGCGATGTGTCCATACTAGTCAACGAGTTCGCCAGAGCGAACAACCAGTCCTTACTATGGGGGCCATACAAGCCCAACCTCTATTTTGGCGTTCAGCCGCGCATCGCAAAGAGTCTGACTGCTGGTTTATTGTGGGCCAATGTCGATTCTTATGAAACCGCCCAAGCCAGTATGTGCTGCAATCGTACTGTGGAAATAGTACCGAAATCGCTAACTTTGCTAAGACTTTAGGCATACCTGCGAGCAAAACGAAGGCATGAGAGGATACGGCTGGGATGAATACGACGTGCGCAAGGGCGGCCGACAGACTATTCATGATGTTGGCAATTTCGTCGACATCACAATAGATTTCGTCAAGATTCCCGGAGGACACCACGGAGGTAGCTGGGGAGCGCGAGTAAAGGGCGTTCCGCGGGAAGATGCCCCTGCCGATACGCATACAACTGTTGTCTTCTATACTTCTCTCGAGGGTCTTGGTAGTGTGCAAGTTGAGAATACAGTCGAAAACCAGATCGGTCTCAAGGAGAACGTGAAGCTGAAAGGGATGACCCCAGACCTTGGCGAGTTTTCCATCGACATCACTCCGGGCCCGGACAGCAACAGACATCCTGATTTGGACCATCCAAGCAGCATTGAAAAGCCGTTGGATCGCCCTCTGGTAGCTAGTTTACAAACACCGCCAGAGCACCTGTGGCAAGTCAAACGTGGGTTTGTTGAATTTTAGCACGGCGTTTGAATATTTTTGACTGATGCTTATAATATAGCGTTACTGTTTACTGCAATGAAGCCTGATGTTGAGGCCTTGTTTGCAAAATACGGGACCGAGTCACCCCCTCCAGCCCCTAGGGTTTTCACGGTGCCTGTACACGCTGGGCAAGGAAACCTGCATTTTGTGCAAAAAGTATTTGAAGGGGCGTTTGAATTCGACATTATTTTCGAATCAGGCTCTGCTTCTCTTCCTGTCACATGTAAGTGTGTTTTTTTAGGGTCTTGCTCACAGTGATACTAATTTTCATTACGCAGCTGAAATCCTGACCGAAAAAATAAATGAAATATCCTCTTCTTTCTCAAGCCGATACGACAAGATCTTTGCTCCGCAGGCTCCCTTCAACAAGCCGGAATATTCCGAGTTCTCCAAGGCCATGTTTTCAAACCTCGTTGGAGGCATTGGTTATTTCTATGGCGGTGGACTAGTTGACCGATCTGAAGCTCCCGAGTACGAAGAAGAGAACGAGGGTTTTTGGGAAGAAGCCGCAGAGGCGAGAGCACGCGTTCAGCCAATAGAAGAAGACCCCAGAGAGTTGTTCACCTCCATACCTTCTAGGCCATTCTTCCCTCGGGGCTTCTTGTGGGATGAAGGCTTCCACCTAATTCCAGTGACTGACTGGGATATTGGCCTGGCACTAGAAATAGTCCAAAGCTGGTTCAACCTCATGGATGAAGATGGATGGATTGGACGGGAGCAGATTCTTGGCCCTGAGGCTCGCAGCAAGGTTCCCCCGGAATTTACCGTCCAATATCCTCACTATGCTAACCCACCAACCTTATTCATGGTCCTGGAGGCATTTGTCGATAAATTGAAATTCAATGAAAGTGTTGAGAACTTGGAATTTGAACGAGGTGACGTTGCGGACAGTCTTCGATCTGCCCACCTTGAGAACAAGGACCTGTCTTTGTCATACCTACGGTCTATTTACCCGCTTCTCAAGAGGCAATACTTCTGGTTCAAGAAAACTCAATGGGGAGATGTCAAGTCTTATGACCGCGAAGCTTATTCGAGCAAGGAGGCATACCGCTGGCGCGGGCGGACTGTTCAACATATTTTGACATCGGGTCTTGATGATTATCCCCGACCACAGCCCCCTCACCCCGGCGAGCTACATACTGATCTCATCAGTTGGATGGGCTTAATGAGTCGCTCAATTCGTAAGATTGCCGAAGCCATCGACGAGACCGAAGACGCGGAGGAGTTCGCAATTTATGAGAACGCTATTAGCCGCAACATCGATGACCTTCACTGGGACGAAGATGCACAAACATGGTGCGACGCAACCATTGGTGAATATGAAGAAAGCGTCCATGTATGCCACAAGGGTTATGTTTCGATATTCCCCTTCCTGGCAGGCATTATTGGTCCTGATAGCTCTCGTCTCAAGCCCACGCTTGACCTCATTCGCAATCCCGACGAGTTGTGGAGCAACTATGGCATTCGCAGTCTCAGCATAAGTGATCCATTCTACGGCACTGATGAGAACTACTGGCGCAGCCCCGTGTGGATGAACATCAATTATATGGTCGTGAAGAGTTTATACGTAAGTTCCCAAATAATCTATCAAATTTCAAACAGAGGAGATACGCTAACTGTTACTAGAATATTGCAACTTCTCAGAGTCCACACAAAGCACAGGCAGCAGAGATCTACTCTGAATTGCGCAAGAACCTTGTCAAGAACATCTACCAACAATGGAGGGAGACCGGTTTTGCCTGGGAGCAATACAACCCGGAGACAGGCAAGGGTCAACGCACTCAGCATTTTACCGGCTGGACAAGTTTGGTCGTTAAGGTCATGAATATGCCTGATATCACTCCATCATCCGGAGGTCACGACGAACTGTGATAAGTAGATCCTCTTGTATGTTTTTCCCGAGAGAAAGCACATGTTTCTATTATGCATTTCATCCAACCTTTTCGTCGAGTGTATTTATGTACAGGATATAACTTTAGATTTGATTTATCTTGGTTTGTTGCAATATGTAGCCTAGCGAAAAGTATATTTAGTATGTTTGATACTTATTTGGATACATAGTATGAGAGAGATTGATTTTGTTTCAGTGGGATTTGTCCTATAATTTCAATTTGGCTATCCCCTTGTTGGTAGTATATTACCAAATTTATGGGAGAAAACGCCATAGTTGTCGACAGGAAATGGATGAGACAAGGATGTCATTTTGTAGTTGATATCAAATGTCCAGAAGTGCAAGATCTAGCAAACGCACAGTTGTCATATATATAGCTACTAAGAGGATGGTGTTTACCTACGATGATCCCGATGACTTCTGTCAAAATCCCTGCCTCTACGGCTTTCGTGGAGACGGTCAACCGGAGTGTGGTGATTAGAGTGTTTGCCATCCTTCTCAATACCGCGATCAGGACGATCAGGACGTGGAGAATATGAACGGCGACGTTCATGTCGACCATGTTCTCGACGGGTATCTGAAGTTTGTGTTCGATCTCTATTTTCCTCGCGGTGACGGTGTCGATGATCTCGTTTCGGGGATCTGGATCTTGATATTGTGGGCGAGCGATGGCGCCTGTGTTCTCTATGCTCTCGATGATGACGATAGCGGTGCTCCGACCGATCTGGGTTGTATGCATCTCTGTCTTTCCTGTGCCTAGTACCTCGATCTCTGTGGTCGCGGTCACGGTTACGCTCCCGCCGTCGGTCCGTGTCTCTAGATCTATCGCCCCTTGAGGGATGACCTCGAAAGCTTCGTCCTTCCTCCTGCTCTCGAGACCGAGGTTGAGAATCTATCCCGATGGCCGCTAAAGTGTCACCCTCCGCGTCATCCATAGCAAGTCCTCCATATGAACCAAACCCTATTCCGCGACCAGCTTCATCTTTGTCGTCTGCATCTGTAGATTCTTGTATAGCCTTTCGCACTTCATTCCCACCCAATGGAGTCATATTTGCATTGGAAGAACGAGGCGCAACGGGTAGTCCGAGAGCGCGTGCCATTGCATCCTGCTCAGCCTCCTTGATGCGGCGAAGCTCTTCGTTGCGTTCGTGCTGCTGCGAGTCGCCGTCTTTGTTCTTCGCATACCAGTTCAGGTCGCGACCTTGTTGCCACCGACCGACTGGTGCCATCAGCGAATGGCCCAAGTAGTTCTCTCGATGCGAGGATTCTTTGACATCCGACCATTTGAAGGAGTCGCGACCTCCGCTAGAATAAAGTTGCCTTCGCGTTAGAAAAATGCTAGCCTTGCAAGAGATTTAACAGTGATTACCGGCTGCCTTCTTTTCGAATCCCTGCGACGAGATCCATGGCGATGAATCGTGGAAATTAGACCGTATTATGTTGCAAGTGAGGAAAATGAAGAACGATGAGGTCGTTGGCTTATCTTATCGGGAAATGCATTGGGTTGCGACGCACCAATCGGATGCCGCTATTTCCGAGAGATGAAGTAATTGGCCATCGCAACCTCTTCTCTCTTTCACCGACTCACGGTGATTCTATCCAAATACCTACTGAATCTCTATGACGAGCTATCTCTGCCTGCTGGTCATCAGACATGTTCGCTGTCTGGCTAGGTGCTTGCCAGTTGTTAACTCCATGAGAAATACATTTGCTAGATGGTGAAGCACTTGATACCCAGGTACCTAATCACGAGCTTCACGCACGTCAGAACGTTGATTCTAAAAGGCTCAGAGGGCTATGAGGATTACTTAATTGAGTTTATCCTTTGAAACTCAGCAGAGCCATGTACAGGACGCCCTATATTGTCCAGATAGACGACGGCGAAGCGCCGACGCAAAGTGATCTTCGCCTCCGACCCCTCAATGTCGAGAAGGGCTCTAAAAGGGTGAGCAATCAAATGTGTACCCATATCAATGAAGGATCGTACTCATGTTTCTGTCAATTTAGTTTTCCGAGTAAGGATCAAAAAATCAAACAAGGAATCATCATGTCCATGTCCACTAATGGTTTGCAGAAAAGATGGAGTCTTCCCACCTAGAGTTGCGACATACAGAAACAATCTTGTATGTGCACTGAGGATTTATCTCCACAACAACCGTTGCTTACTGATAGAATGGTTTAGACAGCGCTGTCACAGAGGCGAAACATACTTTTCGTGGCCTACGATCATCAAATCTATGTATGGGAACCTGCCGGTCCGCGGCAGGTTCTTGGAGCCAAACCGACGATGATCCTCACGCCTATTATGAAGGACCCTGATGCAGAAGGTATAATTTCTAGGCATTCACCTCACGCAATCAACAATATACTGGTCGACGACCTGGGCCGCGATGAGATTTTGCTTCTAGCCACCGACTCGGGAAATGTTTGTGGCTATCATGTTGAGAGTCTATTTTCTTATATCGAGTCTGCCATGTCAAACGGAGAGAAACGCCCTATTTTGGACCCTCGTATCGACCCCTTTTTCTGTGAAAGTGTTGGCCTGAGCGCCTGGGGTTTGGCCGTCCATAAATATGCGCGTTTGATTGCTATCAGCTCAAATACAGGAATTATCACTGTGTTTGCTTTTGCAATTGCTGACGAGTCTCACGGCGAACCGTCAGGTCCTTCAGAATCGTTCCTCGACGATTTCCAGAACTACGGGCAAAATTGGTTGCATGTAGACGACTCCGAGCAGTTCGAAAAATTTCGTCAGCTGATCCCAACGAACAAGCATCGCTCTCGTAATGTGAGATTATCATACGAGGGCCATTTTACGAATATTCCGTGCATTTGTTTTCTTAACAGTGACCTCGATTCCGAAGGGATGTGGATGGTTAGCACAGATATTGATAACAGAATGTTTGTTTGGGCGATATGGGATCAGTTCACTCCATTTAGAAAGTTTGAATTCCACCGTGGAGAACCGTTACCGGATATATTGCGAGTAGGGTAAGTCAAATTCCTCCCCCCTCTATTGCCATGTCGTAAACTCAAACACTAAGCTCGATCGAAGGGAACGTGGCTGGAGCGTGCTGGCACTGGACCCACGAAGCTTCCGCATACATCAGTCCTACACCGAAGCATGCGGTGGCAAGCCGTATCTTCGACCTTGCAACCCTTATCCTATTATGGACGTCACGAACCTTGTTCAAGAAGTTCCGGATATATCATTTGTCTATAATCCTTTCTCTCCTGCTGCCGTTAACTTTAGCCAAGAGGAGCCGACATTGCCAGACCTATTCGACATTCAGTCGTGTATTGTACCAGGAGTTTCTCCAGAGATCGGAGAGCAACCACCGTCAGAGGCCCCCTTCATTGCCGATGAACCGGATAGTAACCAAGATGATGCTTCCACAGCCGACCACAACTCGATGGAAAGCACTAACCAACATTTACCTCAACAAAACCAATCACGCCCGACGAATGAAAATCTAACATTCCCATGGCAAAATGGACAGTCCAACTTCCCAGAAATCGTCCGCATACTGCTTGAAAGTGCCAATGGCGCTGTAGTTTCTGGAACAACCTCGGACGACAGCGACGAGAATGACAGTGACCCGAATGATAGTTCAGATGAAGAAGAACTGGTCTTTCATGATGCCCCCTTCGAACATCATTTGCATGCGCATAGACAACGCGCAAATATTCATTCAGTATCCACATTTTGTTTGGAGCCCAAGGAACAATGTACCGGTCCATACCCTGTCCCAAAGTCCGCATGTTTATACTTCCCGATTTTGCACTTTTCAGAGACAGATATCCGTCTTTTACGAAGTCCGTTTGCGCGTCATCCCACCGTTGTAGCACGTGGACCGCTGCGACAACAGGTTCCTGAAATTATTTCTTCCTTATATGGGTTCGACAGGTTTAATATGGTGAAATACCTAGCTGAGTTTGGTATTGTCATTGCAGCGACCCAAAGAGGCCGCGCTGCAGTCATATCTCTGACAGAAACTGCCGATGGAAATATTGCGATTCGTATCAATTGGATGCTCCCTTTGGCCAGCCAGGAACGACATGCTGAACGACCGCTACTGGGACTACTGGGACTTGCAGTCAGCCCTATTCAAGGCTTCGAGAAACAGCCAGATATGTCCCATGTGCCGTGTGGTGTATCCAGCCACCAGGACTTTTCTTTCCATTATCGAAGCCATGGAAACGACGTATCTGAGACGACCCAACATCGAGAATGGGAAAGCCACAGCGAAAAGGAATCAGTCGAGGGCGATGAACGTCAGCAGTCTACTTCTTTTTCCGATCATAGTAGTGGTGGAGTCGCTGGTGGTGATGATATGCACGATCATATTCCCTCGCCTCCATCTACACACTCTTTGGAAATGCCAGAACTAACATTTGCCGAAAGCCATGGAACCGCCGATTGGACTCACAAACCTCAGGAGGCCTGGCATGGGATCAGCTCGTCTCGCCGCTATCGTGTGCTGCTCACGTATACTGACCATACCGTCATGAGTTATGAGTTCTGGTACGAGTGGTCTGGTGCCGCTTTTGGTGGCTCTTCTACTGGCAGCGATGGCGAGGATTCGTTCTTGTTGTAGCGTCTTGCTTGGATATATAAATCCTCATTATTTGTTCGTGATAAACCGTATTGCTTCCCGGTGACATGATTGGCCGTAGAATCTGTGTTTTGCAAAAGGCAGCGAAAATCCCGCCCTGCACAGGATAAAAACAGTTTATTTTCACATGCAATTTCGACATGTGAAGCTTATGTCATCATAGCCTTGTGCCATGTGATTGAGGTATGTACTTCCAACTCACGTGGGGCTTGCAGGCATTCATCCCCCCTTCATATACACCCCATGCTGTGTTTCTGGACGCTTACTCTTCCCTTTGTCCGACCGTCCTACCGTTGGATTTCTCCAGTCTGGCCGTACGTGCTCTGTCGTTTAACTACATTCTCCCGCTGAAAATAGTAAATATATTTAGGTACTAGATGAGACGAGGCTGAGCCACGCTTTGGTCTGGTTTTTCCTACACAAGGCGCTCTGCACAATTTGAATACATCCCCTACCTGAGCTCATTCGCTGTTATCTAGCTACTTGTTCCACTGAGATCAATTCATGGAGCCAGCTTTGGACAGATTAAATAGCCCAAGCTACCCCTTCAACCATCCCCGATCCGCATACTGGTCATAGTATGTGAGTGTCTGAGAGATAAGGGCGAAAGAAGAGAAAGAGGGGAAGGGAATAACGGCGGATTTATGTATCCAGCAGATGTTGAGCTAACCCGAGAGGATGCCCTCTAAGTTTCTTCGCATCAGTCATTTATCAAAGACTCGTACCTGTCGGGTAGATTAGAAAGATGGACTTAGTGTTTTCTGTTTCATATACATAGATTCGCAATCAATTCGTTGGATAATAATTTCTACATTTTGATGGATGACTTTACTTGCCGCCCAGCCATTGTGCCTAAGAATTAGCATACTCTTGAAGCTGCAAGCATTTTTGGTTTTCAGTTGTTTCAGAACAAAAATTATGGAGCAAATTCAGGCTTATCATCTAATGGGCCTAAAACGCTCGGGTTATGCTGGAGTCAACATCTTAAGTGAAGTGGGTCGGCGCGCAGGGAATGCCTTATGACAATTATTGTAGCAAAACCAATTGGTTAGGGATTTCTCTAGTCATGGTACGTATGTCCTAGACGATCTCTATAAATAGCCGCCGCGGCGTAGACCCTAATTACCAAACTAGGTTAGAAACTCGGGCCAGCTAGTCCTAAAATGGTATGGTCTACTGCTAAATCATTTTTATACATCGCATAGAGTACCGATTAGGTCTAGTCGACGGCAAGACGCGACGCTAGTCTTACCCACGTGATCGGAGGTCTGATATTTCTGAAGTAGATTTACATCCCATCATTCCCACACAACCCCCGTTGTGTCAGAGTCATTTTGTACATATGTATTTTTGTGTACTTTTTCTTTTGTAGTTTCCTGGCTCTTAAACTCGAAATTCCATCCCTGAGTATCTTCTGGCATCCATAAATCATCGCATCAAATGGCTACTATCTCGAGCGGAGTGCCAGCCTGCTCAATGAAAGATACTTGATCGAGCATAAAGTCGGATCTGGCGGTTTCTATGCTCTCTGGATGGCTCATGACCTGCAGAACAAGAGAGTTGTAGCACTTAAAGTCATGTCTGGGGGTGAATGGGCAGAAAGGGAAACTCGCATGCAGGATACCTCCCACCTTGTCACGTCCTTGTAGACATTTCTACTCCGTGGAAGCAATTGTCATCATAGGGTTTTAGCACTTCCCTTGATGGGCCCATGCCTTGAATATAGTATTGTGGCAAAGCTTTCCATGGTCACTCGCATGTCCGCTGCCTTCCAATTATTATCAGCCTTGGAAAGTTTACACAAAGCTGGAATTGTACACCGCGGTAAGTTAATCCGTTTATATATCATCTTTCTCTTTCCCTGTTAGCTTGTATTCTAATGAATATTTGACAGACTTGGTTGAGAGGAATTGTATGTGGAGGATGGTTCCTCTTCACAATCTCAGTCGAAGCGCCAATATGAATTACTTGGTCGTCCACTAAAACAAATAATACCTTTCGTCGACCTTTGGAAGCCAGGAGAGCTTGTTAGACCTATTGAGATTCCCGAGAGTTTAAGGACAGATCAATTTTATCTTGGTGACTTTGGTCTGGCAATGAATATTAACGACTCTAGGCCTCAACGTGGTTTACCCTCCAATGGAATTTTGCTCCCCAGATCGAATTCATGGGAATGGTCTAAGCTTTGCACGTGATATGTGGAGCTATATGATTATTTTCGCAAGACTTTATCTTGGTTTTACGCCATTCTCTACTACACTAGGTGGTGGAGTCGTATCTGGTATCGTTAGATGCCTGGGCCTGCTGCCTAAATCTTGGAGTGGGCGTTATACTCACCCTGGAGGCCTTGAATCGTGGTATGATCAGAGCATGGCGGTTAAACCGAATAATATTATTGCGTCAGGGATTGCATATTTTCGACCGGATGCCGACGAAGTTGAGCGGAGACATGTGCATTCATTACGAGTAGGGTATTTACCTACTGCCCAGAGAAACGCTTGACTGCCACACAGCTTTTGTAGGACTCTTCATTTAGGGCTATCATGGACAGATATGGTTGTTGATGTCTCATCTTTCCATGCTGTACTATTTCCCTTTCCTTTGACCTGGGTCACTGTTGATTTCGGCAGACAGAGTCAAGCGGCTTCAATAAAATTTGGCCATCGAATTCCAGATGTGACGCCCTACAAAGGCTGTATCAAAATTGCCTAATCGGGAAGTTTTTGGAGAGCCGTGTGTTTGCTGGCTGGCTGCCAACTTGCTGGGTACAGGCAGGTCCTAGCTACACTACTCTACACTTAGCTATGGATACTTTCCCTCACATAGCTAAAGCAATTCCATGTATTTTCCTCTCATATAATGCTTTACCAGCCATATGGTATATCTAGTTCGATGTGCCCTAACCACTCCCGGACTAGTGCAATCTGGGCATTTTCAGTGACGCAGCGCGACACGTACCTTAGATGAAAGCGGCCAACCAGAAACCAGAACCGTGCCAAGCCACACGGCATGTGTAAGCAGCTCAGCCACGGCAGACAATCCATTGGCGGCGAGGCGCAGGGCTGGGCAGCGCGATCCACGGGTGCTGCTTCCCTTCCTTGCGTGCTCCACTCTCTCCGCCCTTTCTAGGAGCATACCTAAGCCTGCCTATATATAGACTCGTGGACCACCACAAAATTGCCTCTTATTTCTGACATCGCTCGAGCTGGTAGTCCACGACTCACGACTTATGGTCTACAACCATGGCGCCAACACTCCACTATCATGAACTTGCCGACTCGGTGATCCTCCGCCGCAGCCTGACAAATGTCAACCACACCCAAGCTGTCACACTGGGCATTATCGCCGTCTATGTGGTTGTAATCGCCTTATTATGGAACCTGCCCTATATTCGATGGTCCCTCTGGCCGTTCAAAGTACCGCCATCTCTACCCTTGTGCTTGTAGTCAGTCAGACCCTAACAGATAGATACAAAACAGATGCTGGTTATAGCCTTCCATGAATTTGGGCACGCCATTACCGCGGTATGCACCGGTGGCCACGTCAAGTCTATATCCCTGGATCCCCATGAGGGCGGCGTGACGCACATGGTCGGAGGTGCGAGTGCCATCACCTTACCAGCCGGCTATCTAGGCTCCTCATTAATCGGCGCACTGCTGATATTCTGTGGCTTCGATATCGTGGCCAGCAAAGTCGCGAGTATCGTGTTGGGCGTGTGTTTCTTGCTCACGCTTTGGTGGGCGCGAAAGGATATGTTAACTATTGTAACCATCCTGCTGGCGGTGGGACTGTTGGTTGGCTTTTGGTTCATTGCACATGCCGAAGCTCTCAGGTTCCTTGTGGTAAGGGGTTTTGCCCCCCTCATATTATCTCGTCTCAAGTGAAAACTAATATTTGATAATTCTAAACAAATAGCTGTTTATTGGCGTCATGTCCTGTCTTTACAGCGCATGGGACATTTGCGATGACCTGATATTACGAAAAGTCAACACTTCAGATGCCAGCGTTTTCGCGGAGCGATATGGCGGTTCCTCGCAATGTTGGGGTGTTATTTGGTCCCTGGTTTCGGTGGCGTTCATGGCTGTTGCGATCGTCGCTGGATTGGCTGCGTTTAATGAAAGCTTTTCGCAGCAGGAAAGTGATTCAAGTCATTTCATTCCAACGAAGTTTTGATCTACCCCCCAGGGTATGTTTGGAAGCTGCATGACTTTCTTTTTCTTGAGTTGAACTTGATCTCATCTTTAAATAATGATTGTGCTACGACGTGTATGATTTTCCTTTGGTCTGTTTTCTTAATTTTTTTTTCGGGGTTGGTGTTCATGATATCCTTGGACTGTTACTGTCTATAGTTATGAGGTTTAGATTTGATCTCCGTAAATGAGGTATTGTTAAAAAGCTTAGTTGTCTGACTACGAACTTCGTCTGTACAACCCAATTACGTATCATAAAAAAAACCAAATAAGCCTGACTCATTTCTGAAGTGAGAAAAATTCCTCATCAAACCACAAACGCCTCCAATAAAAAAAGAATCCTTCCAAAACTCGCTATAACGACCGATCCTGAATACAAAAAAAATGCTTGATGCTTATTGACTGAAAACCAAATAACAAATGACGTATTAAAACAATTTTTCTCGGTGCACTACGTAGCGGTGGTACTTGACCCAGCCTGTTCTGACCGGCTAATGAATGAGTTGACCGTTCGGTTTTTCCGACTGAGCAGCTGCCGAAGTTCAGGAGAAATAACCTTCTCCTTCGTGTCTGCGTTGTTCAGGGAGGCTGAAGTCGATGGGGATTTCCCCTTTTGCTGAGAGTTAGAGTCTTTCCGGCTGACACTGCTGGGTTCGGGGAAATTGTTTTTCTTGTCAACTGCTTGTACCACACGCTCAAAGCGACGGAAAAGTGACTCTGCGCGCGTAAGGATTGGAACAAGCTCCATTGTATTCGAGAGTTCATTGACTACCACATCTGTTAGAATGAAAGCACAAAGGACCTTCGAAGTAAGGGTTTAACATACTGTATTTTAGAACCTCGTCAAAGTGCTTCAGATGGTCCATGATGACATCCCGGTGCTTCTCCAAGATTGCCAAAGCGATGAATAAATGGAAGCTGCTAGAGTAATAATTGGTCCATAGGGTCTCCCATAATCGGAGAATATCACCCCATGCGAACTCGCGCTTGTACCAGACCAAAAGCATCCGGAAGAAGAAAAAGAAGTTGGTACTGTCGGCGGATTGAAGATGGAGGTAGAGCTGTGGATCCATAAGCTGAACAAGATGATCCAAGGCCAGCAATTGAGCACGCATGCCTGATTGATCACGGAGAAAGTTCGGTTCCTTCATTCATTGTTAGCTTACGGACATTCAGATCGAGACTATTCTCCAATAATAGCCATACCATCCTCTCCATGAACCCAAAAAATCCCCAAAATGCTACGGCGTCATCTTGCATAACAGCATAAATCGGCGCCAGTAGGTCACTCATACCCTGCACATAACCAAGTCCAGGGTTATACTCATGATAGGTCAAAAGCATGTCTTTCATTTGTTCAAGGTGAACATTTGTGCCTGCGTCGGCAAAAGGCGAGTTTGGATCAGGATGAGGTATATCCTCGCCAGCGAAAAGGGGAATATTTCGATCTGTACGATGTACATCCTTTTCTATTTATGACGGGTTAGCACAATATCAAAATCACACGAATACTAAACACCTTACCTATCCGGCCCTTTTGTTCCTTCCAGGATTCAAACTCTTCACCACTAACCTCTCCATCCACCATCCTCTCCCACCATGCACCCTTTAACCTCACATATTGATCTCTGCGTGAGTTCATGATGGCTCTTCGTTCATCTTCGTTACTATCCCATGGATATACTTCTAGTAGAAAGAGCCAAGCCTCTTTGCGAACACCGTCATTAGGATCAAGGCCGCCATGGAAAATCCTTTCTTTGACCTCATCAACAGTGATTTGTAAATGACCATCATGACTATTAAACCAGCTATTCCATTCTTGTATCGTCACTGGTTTCCGGCGTTCTTGGATAGACAATGTGCCCGTCTCAAGCTCCAGAATTTCAAATTCCCCGACAGAACTGTCCTCTGACCCTAGCACATCCTGAGCAGTCCAAATGCGCTGATTCCTATCTCGCTCACTTTGTTCAGCAATATTCATTGCCCACCGAGCAAGGTAGATTCTCGCACTGTCAAACTCGTCTTGCAACGTCTGTATTTCAGGGTTCTTCATTAAGCGCCGTACTTGCGTTGGGATCATAGAATTCTCAGCAATCTCGTTCGCGGTGCGCCTTGTGAATGTTGTGATACGACTGAGGCCTTCCAATACTTTCCACCGTGTCTCTTTGATGGCTTTCGTAAAAGGGTCCATAGAGGCGTCACGCGGTACTTGTTTTGAAGATGCGGCTTGAGTCGTATCCGATTTGGAGGCAAGCGAGTGGCCAAATGAGATCTTATCTTCCTCCGATGGATTAATGAGATATTTGCTTGGATCAGCGCCGGCCCGCTGAACATCAGCGTACCGCCTCACCCACCGCAGAACTTCGTCTCCACCCCAGAACATGCCGCCGTCATCCGAAAATGGGTCGAAGCTTTCTCGAGTTCTCCTTCGTTTCTGCAAAATCGTTGACTCGCATTCGTTGTCATGAAAGAATAGAGCCGGGAAGTTATCCCCAGACTTTGTGCATATAACTAAACTTCCGTACCACCACCCAAGACTCGGCGGACGCACCCACAAGGAGTATATCTCAGAAAGAGGGACTGCAAAGGCATACATGCCAATTGTATCTTGATACGATGTCATCGTAGGAAGTGCCGGCACGAGGTAAGTCTGCCGAGGCGGGGAGTCGTTTTCAGAGAGATCAACCTTTACGTACGTGCTGTACGCGTCGCCCATGGCAGATTCCGGCACCCATGCGAGAAGGTAGGAGGAAGAATTGGTCCGCTGCGGGGAAGAAGATTCGGAAACAGCTTCGGATGTCCTGACTGTTATTGGCTTCTGTTGTAATAGGGCAATAAAACCGGGAATATTGTCTTTTGACGAGGGAGTAGGGTGAATGTACACCTGCATAAGTGAAAAGAAAATCAGATCTAATTTCAACTAATTATTTGTCGAAAAGGAAAAGTACCTTGCTCTTTGAGAACAAGAGTTTCACGCCACGCCCAGAGCTGGAATGGGCAATGGTGTTGTACTCGCTTTCCTCATCATCGCTGATATCGTAGTATGAAGCCGATGGGGACGGCGGCGAGGGCGGCGGGGTCAGCTTCGGAGCTGTGCCTACCATAGTGAATGAAGGTCAAAATGATTATTCGCGTTCCGCAACATACAAAAAAGAAAAAGAGAATATCGGAATCATAGACCCATCAATTTGCGAAAGGACGGCTGTTGAGTTGATGCAAGATTCGTGGATGCCTACGGAAGGAAGGAATGAAAGAGTCAGTCAGCTGCGGAGGTCACGACGTAATGCGGGAGCTTATCGCAGCGATTGCCAATCACAGACTAGACCGTCCGCTAACTAATAAGATGTCGCCGTCTCGCATCTATATAAAATCATAAATAGTGACGATTTCATATTGAATTGCCTGGAATTGAAAATTGTATGCAGAAAAGGGACTAACAGCCCAAAGAGAAAAATTTCTAAATATACAAATATATACAGTGCACCCCTAGCCCTGAACTTTGCGATAGCTGGGAGGCTTCCATGATCGTTTGATGACTTTCCCAAGCCACACAGGCACCACAGAAACAGCACATACAGCAACCACACGCCAAAGCCAGTCGAGCGTGATAACATAGGCCAAGTCAAAATAGTCGCCCAGGAACGGGACACTGGCGGCATATACCAATGCTGTCCCGACGATACAGAATATCATTATTGGATGCCAAGTTGTCACAGCGATTGCAACCATGAGTAGCTCATTCAGAACAAGAGCTGTGAACGAGACGCTGATAAGACGATCGCCGGTAGTTGTATCCAAGAGGATTTGAGACAATCCTTGAATGACTGCGCCCTGGTAAACCGAAATGAAAACCCAACCAAAGAAAGATTGGTAGCTTAAGCTACGACCGGTCTTTAACTCTTTGTATAGCTCGGGATATAGGTTTGCCAGTTCCTCGTCAACATCCCTGTCGAGAACAAGAGAGAATACAGGCGCATTGGTGTAGAGAGTTGCGTAGCCAACCATTAACCAGTTGATGAATAGGCCTTTTGGATCAAAATGGCTGGCGATACTGTACATTGTTTGACATGCACTGATGATAAGGCCACGATGCATGATAAATTGCCCCAGTTTGGCTGACCGTTTGTATGAGTTGCGTCCGTGCCAAACTAGAAGCTTAGTGAGATGATGAAATTGTGTGATACTGAAATCAGCAGCCAAAGAAGCCTGCCGACCTTCCTTGCCAACGATACCAATTCCTACATCAGCAGCCTGGATCATGGAGACATCATTACCACCATCACCAATGCAGCAAACTCTCTTCTTGGTATGGTGCCGAATCAATTCAGCGACTTCCGCTTTTTGGGTCGGTGAGCATCGACAAGCGACGACGACAGGTAGATTAACTGCCACAGAGATAAACGCCATTCGGAATTGCCCGAGCATGAGGGATAGAGACTCCCCATCTATCAAAAGGCAAGCGTCGGTTTTATGCCGAAGGAAGTCTAGTGTTTCTAGGGCGGCTGCTTTCTCTTTCAGCTTCGAGACGGTATGAATGTACTGTCCCCGGGCAACAAGTTTTGCCGAGATTGCCACACATCGTGCTGTTTCAATCTTGTCCCCAGTTAACATCCAAACCCTCACCCCAGCATTTCGAAGTAATTCAAGAGATGGCTTCACATCTCGCTGAAGACGATCTTCCACACCAGTTACTCCCAAAAGCTCAAGGTCGCGTTCAAGAAATTCGCCGATAACTTGTGCCATGCTGCTATCGCGGTCCTGCAATGTCATTGAAGCTTCCTTGTATGCAGAGGTGAAGTGTTGATACTGGGCCGCAGATAGCTTTCGCCGTCCAACAACTAGCGTACGCAGCCCTTCTCTTGCCATGTTAGCTGTCTCTTCGTCCAGCCAATCATTTGCTGCAACAATCGAAGACATGACCGTATCTGCTCCTTTCTGGTAGAACCATATTTCGGAATCACCCTCGGAAGGGCCAGTGTCTGTAGTGGTGTGGTCGAATTTTACGAGAATCCCCATTCGCTTGCTCTCAGAGGTGAAGGGAAAGACTTCTAAGATCTGAACGCGAACGACAACTTGGTTTGTATTTGTTGACTCCAGCAGAATCGTTTTGCGATCACGATAAGCCACACGGAGCCCGACCTCCTCGGTGTATTTGACAATGGCGATCTCATCAGGAGATGAAGCTTGATAATTGGTGACTCTGGAGCCCCCTTCCTCTTCCGTCGTTGGAGTAACATTGTGACACAAAGCAAGAGCTAGCACAAGATCGCGTACACGAGTACCAATCTCCCTTCTAGTGCGGGTTGCTGCGGCGGTGCCGACTTGAGCACCAAAAACTGTTGATGGTGTAACCAGAGATTGGCGACTGCTCTCAGATAGGGAAAAGCCCTGTTTAATATATGATGCAACTTCTTCCATGGCTTCGTTGGCATACGAAACGGTTCCAACGTGAATTTTTTTCAGTTCCATTTCTATTTTCGTAAGTGACTAGCCTGTAATAACCTTCAACAGCTGATGACTTACCATTCTGTGTCAACGTCCCCGTCTTGTCTGAAAGTAGATACTCGATGCGACCTAGATCCTCAGGTATTGTGCTGGTCCTAACGACAGTACCAGGAATATCCTGGTCGCGTTCTATAAAGCGGCCGTAGATTGTCTTTGCCATGTCGAGATTCACACGCAAACTCATAGGAATGATGGTTGAATACAAGATTAAATATATCATAATAGCAACATACCACTTTTTGTCGTTTGTTGGTTCGAACCCTTCGAGTGCCACCAGGGTGATTGACAATAAGAGAGTCAAAGCACAAAGTATTTTCGTGAGGTTGTTAATCTCATATTCCAGCAAGCCGATCTTGGACCTTGAAGGTGAGGTAGACATAGCGGACCGAGTCTGCGGTCCAGTATATATAATGACAGCAAATGTGACAGTGTTCGAGGCAAGCACAGTATTTGCCCAGGCAGTGTTATCGATGCCCAGAGGAGCTGACTCGACGCCAGTTTCGAAATCTTGTGCATTGTTGGACACACCATTGTCTGGGGCTATTGTTTTGCTGACAGGCGGATCGTATGAGCTGTAATGAGGCGGTAGTAATTCAATCTTGCCGAGAAATTCATTGACACGCTTATCGGGGGCACTGGCATGGACTTTCAATCGCTTGAAATCTCGCAAATCGAGAGCCTGAGTAAGTGCTGCTGGAAGGCGAAGTTTCCAATCGGTTTCTCCATCAAGTTGGTCGGTTCGTATGAAAGTATCACTCGTGCCGCTAGCTTGATTGTCTTCGTCTGCTTTTCGGCTGATACTGTCACCCGTTTCTGGATGCTCCGAGCTTGACTCGAGAAGATCGACTTCGGACGCTTGAGGGGTGTTGGCTGCATCCGGTTGTCTTATTTGCACAGACGACTCTGTCAATGTGCTTTTTAATATGACGACATCTGCAGGTAGTCGCTGGTCCTTTTTGATCTTTAGCACTTCTCCAACTTTCAGATCTCGCGATTTCTTAGTAATCTCGTAGACGCCTCCATCAAGCACAGAGTCAGCCGCGCTTCTTGCCCTTCCGCGCCCATTGCCTCCAGCTGCAGGTGGTCCAAACGACAGGACAGTAAACTCTTCCGCATTGGCCTCCGCGTCCCTCCTTCTCCGGCCGATATCATCCCATGCTTCTTTGCCCAATGATATGGCAACAACAAAGGCCAGCGGAGCTATATATGAAGAGAGAAACCCAATTCGGAGGACGGGAATAATTTGTGACAGCGCGACGAAGAGAAAATACAAGTTGAAGAAAAACGAAAATTCGTTATACAGCGTGCGCGGAAGAAAGCTCCATGGCGTATATTTGGCATTTGATACCGCATTAGCTGGAAATTTGAGGTGCTGCGTCTGGCCTACCAAGACCTCTCGGGCAGAAGCCGTACTCGTCGACTCTTCAGCTGGCCGCGACGGGGTATTGGCAGATCGGAAACTGGGAAGCCGAGATTTTGTCGAACGACGGTCGTCGAAAGATGCTCCGCTCCTTCTCTGTCCACTCAAAAGAGGAGCGTCGTCCTCATGCGGATTAAAAGCGATCTCATCGCGGTCATCGAATAGGCTATCGAGGTCGTTCTCTGCTCCTTGATGACGTCCTGATACGTCTCGACCCCACAAACGATTCTTATTGCGAGTCCGCAAATTTCTTAGAGCTATGCGAGCTCCATAGCCGCTCGCTTGTCTATTGTGGTCTCGCGAGGGTCGAGTTGCATGATAAGTTCCAGCCGTTTGGGGATCGAGCTCCTCAAGATCTAGGTCATCGTCGGTAGGGGGATCGGAATGGTCAAGGCCGTGGAGGTATTCATTAGAGAGCGACATGATTGAGCCTAAGTTGTATGGCTATACGTAGACAATGAATCAGTGAAGGAGCAACCACGGCAAGCCCCTGTGAATTAGACAGTAAGTCATGTCAACGCAGTGCGTGCTTATATGTCGTCGCGCGTCCACGGTGTTTTGGTAGCAAAGAAGGCAAATTCAAGAATTCATGGAATAGATAAGAAACAGATTATTGAAAGTAGTCGCTGATGACCCTCCGCCTGCAAAGGGAAATCTAGAACAGCAGTTGTGAAGAATGCAACGAATGGACGAATGCTACTTGGTGGCCAGCAATATGGAGGCCTACGGAGCACAAAATCACATGATTTGGCGGCCGGCCTAACCAAGAGTCCACGTTTCCCGACAGTTGACATACATACATAATCGACTTGGAAATATTTCATAACTGCATTCCCGCCGCTTCCGAGTCAATGGTTACGTCGAACAAACTAACTGGTTCCATTGTGTAAAGCCGGGGTCTTTTTATATTTAGGGGTCTGGAGGAGAGAGAAGAGGATCATTGCTGTCTTTCCATGGTAGGAGCAACGTCTTAAGGTTCTTGTTCTGGGCAGAAACCAGGACGGGCCTAATTTTGCTGACATTTTATGTGCCGACGATGTTGATGAGAAATATAGAATGCAAGAAAGTAGTTCGCTTAATTAAGAGTACCTAACTTCATTAGTAGAAACGAGCATCATCGCGTTTCTGCCTCAGGCAGGCTTCCCGAGTTCCCGCCATGCCAAGAATGGACAGGCAAGATAGCGTCAGTCCAGCTCAGTCTGAATGTTGTTCTCCAACCAATTCAAGATGCCACGAACAGCCCTGGTTGAGCGTCTCTAGGCCGGATCTTAATTAACCACAGTTCCCTTCTCTTTTATCCGCGCCTTTTTATTCTTTGCTATCTATGTACTAATACGTGTACGTCCGAAAACCGCCCCCCCCCAAGCTCATACTGGCTACTTGGCCCCTGAAAGATCCTTCGCGTCATGTATGTACTGACTGAGGACAGTTTAATTTTTGCTTTTATATTCTGGCGATATGGCAGAAACGATGTCACGGCTTGCGGAGAACCTGACAACACCGTCTTGGAATCCAGCCCTGAGACCAGAGGACGCGCCAGGTGCTTCGGTAGCCGAGTCGATTCAAGCGCCTACGATGGAATCGCCATTTCCGAGCGAAGAGACCTCCGCAAATGTAACAACAACGGAAGAAAACCCCATAGACTCGAAAGTTTCTACGACAGACGAGCGCAATGAAAATGCTGCTCCGACTGATGAGCTTCCCGATCCAAACGTTCCTTCGGAGGAGGTACTGACGGATACATCACCTGAAGAGACCAAACCGCACGAAATCAATTGGGACAAGGAGACTAGTGTTACTTGGGACTTGCAGTCACAGGATCCGTTTTCTCGAGAAGATATCGCCGGACGGACGAATTCTTTCCCTCCGATGGAAAATAAGCTTGAGGCCGTTGACGATGATGAGCCCTTGGCGAGCCAAGAGGAACCCAACGCGCCCGAGCCCCTTCATGGCTTGCGGATTGAGGAACAAGGAGAGCCAGATCCAGTTTCCCATACAGATTTGGGCGAAAGCAACAACGGTTTCTGGGAAGCAAATGGAAATAATGTAGAGGATGACGAGGATGGGTTTTTCGATCAACTAAAAACGCAGACAAAACCAATCTATATACCTCCGGAAGCTGAGTCCCGTTTTGAAGAGGGGGTTCCTTTGGTGGAAAACGAGCCACATCCCCAACCAGAGATTGCGAATCAGAACGAGCCTCGCCTTGATGATGTTTTTGCTGACGACGACGGTGATGACTTTTTCGCATCTACAACTGCAGCCGATGCCACAACCTCAGAGATACCCGCAGTTACCCGGAAAAGTACACACGATGTCCTCGGTTCGCTCAATGCTAGCATTCCAGATTCTCCAGTCGAGAACCCTGTTGCGGCCCCAGGGGTAAGCGAAGAGGAAGATTTGGCGGCAAGGTGGGAAGCAGAGTTGGACGATGATGACGATCTGCTTTTGGAAGATGATAGTGCGCACCAAACGCAAGGACAAGTAGAAGAACCGCAAGAAGTGGATTTGCCAAATGGAGTTTCAGCGGCCGACTCTTGGTCGCAGCACGGAGTTCCACAACCAGCAGCAACTTCGAATTATGCGAATCCATACGCTCCACACCAACCTTCCTCATCTGAGCTACTCCAGGGATTGCCAAATGCCTACACTCCCGCAGCAGTTCCAACAGCGACGCCATTCGGGGTGCTTCAAAACCAGCCCGATAGTCAACCCGCTCCGAAATCACAAAGTTTTGTGGACCAAGCGAGGGAGGGATACAAGTCACCATACGACCTCCCTGAGTCGTTAGCACGATCACGAAGACCAGCAGCACCGCGCAAGACTGTACCTCCTCCTTCATCGACCACGCCGGGCCCCTCTCCTAGCATTCCACCCTCGAGTTTCGCCCCGGTTATCAACCCGACGCCATCGCAAACAAACGTTCCAAGCCCTGTGAGCAGTGCAACTTCTGCTCCTAAGAACTTTTTCGAAGAGCTACCTCCTCCCGTGCCGAAGCCACGCCCCGCAAGTCGTACCAGTGGATATGTTCCTTCGCCGGTAGTTGCTTCGAATGCCCCCGTTCCAAATGCGCCTATAGTCCCATTACCTGTATCTTCAGCTCTGTCTCCCGCGCAGCCTGCTTCGGACAATCTGTACCAGGATCAACTTCAGGCTCCCGAACGCATTGGCCCCTATGCAAACCTTAACGTCCCAGCGCCACCAGCGGGGCCGGGCATTGGTCCTCGGTATTCTCCAAAGCCACCTAGTGTGACGACGAGCAAGTCGCCAGTGTATCCTCGCTACTCACCAGCACCAGCCTCTTCTAACGCTCCGTCGACAGCTCGACCTCGTTACGTTTCCCAACCTTCCAACCTTCCGTTTCAGCCGCGCACCTCGAGCCCGCTCGCCCATCATGAAAAAACGGCTTATGAAGCACAGCAGCGGCAGTCGCGGCCTTCTACTTCAGCTGGGCCGTCTTCATTAGCATATCCCATGTCAACAAATCACGTTCGAGGATCGTTTTCAGTTCCCACTACTCAGTTACCAGCTGAAACGACACAAGATTTACCTCCAGATTCTCAATTGTCGATGTCCGCTTTCAATGCGCAGAAGAATCCATACGCCCCCGGGTTTCCTAGCGAGCCACCTCGACGTTCATCAACCGAATACTCTTATCTTCCTGGTACAGGTACCGCTCAATCTCATATACCGCCTATCTCAAATGATGTCGGCTTCGCGCCTCCACGAAGGTCACAGACACAATCGCCAGGCAAACAGTCATTTGGAGCAAATCCAGTCAGAACCACAATAGAACCTGTTCAGCGGCCTGCTTCTGTACATGCGCCTAGTTCTCCAACCAAAACCTCCAACATTTATACCATTCCTTCGGTAGCCTCAGCTACCAGAGAGATTCCAGAACTTAACTTCATGCCACCCACAGATGGACGGGAGTTGGATCCATTGCAGCGATGGAAGGGAGCTCCTGTCTTTAAATTTGGCTTCGGTGGAATGGTATCTTCATGTTTTCCCCAACATATTCCCCGGTATACTGCTGGTCAGATGACTCCCATGATCCAGCCTGCCCCTGGGGAGGCTAAGGTGCGCCAGTTCAAACAAATTCTTCCTTTTGATGGAGATATTTTGCAATATCCTGGTCCGCTCAAGGTGAAGTCGAAAAAGAAAGACGTCATTGCTTGGCTATCCAGTCGAATTGCTGCTCTAGAGAACGAGGGTATGCCATCCTCGCTACATTCGGAGCCCAATGGATACAAGAGACACGACGAGAAAATTCTTCTCTGGAAATTGCTAAAAATTCTGGTTGAGAATGATGGTGCCTTGGAAGGGTCTAATGACATTCAAAAGTCATTAAGAAGTATCGTATCACCAGAGCTGGAGTCGACGAATCAAAACCAAGCATTTGATTCTGGCGTGGCATCGGGGTCATATCAGTCGGCTGACGGTTCTCTATCACCGGAGCCTATTGCATCCAATATCCTCGGACACATAAAGAATGATCTCCTGGTTGGAGACCGTGAGAAGGCTGTCTGGCGAGCAGTGGATAATCGCTTGTGGGGTCATGCGATGATTTTGTCCTCAACTCTGGACAAGGCACTTTGGAAGCAGGTGACACAGGAATTTGTGAGAAGAGAAGTGCGCTCTGCTGGCGGCAATATCGAATCCCTATCCGCTTTGTATGCAGTTATCTCTGGAAATATCGAAGAGAGCATCGATGAACTCGTTCCTCCTTCTGCTAGGCTTGGATTGCAAATGGTCAGCAAAGAAGGACAGGGCATCTCCAAGAACGCCGTAGATGGATTGGATAGATGGCGCGAGACTCTTGGTTTGATTCTAAATAATCGCAGTGCCGGTGATCACCAAGCACTTTCTGCCATGGGTCAGTTGCTAGCGTCATATGGCCGGATTGAAGCATCGCACGTATGCTACTTGTTCGCTAAAGCCTTCTCGCAGCGTCCCATCGTTGGCGGAGCCGACGATCCTCAGAGTTCAATCGTTTTGATAGGCACAGACCACTTGAAATACTCTACCACATTTTTCCGTGACGAAGATGCAATTGCTCTGACTGAAGTATACGAATTTGCAACAAGTGTCTTGGCAGGCAATACGGCAGCTGCTTTGCCATATCTGCAACCATTTAAATTGCAACATGCCTATATTCTGGCCGAGAAGGGCTTTAGAAACGAAGCCCTGCAGTATTGTGAGGCAATCGGCAGTGTGCTCAGAGCATCCACCAAACCTTCTCCGTACTTTCATCAGCGTCTGTTCGCCGAAATTGACGAACTCGCAACACGACTAAAACAAGCCCCTGGTGATGGCAGTTCTTCCTGGATGTCTAAGCCAAACATGGAAAAGGTTTCTGGATCTATGTGGGCAAGATTTAGTAGCTTTGTTGCCGGAGATGAGAGCGACGGTGCTTCTAATGGCTCTATGATGGATGCTGACGTTGGTCCGTTTGCAAAAGTCACTGAAGCGGCTACTATTAGCCGGCCGCCTTCAGTCTCTGACGTGTATGGTTCATATCCAGCAGCACAACCGGCATCCAATGCATTCTCTCGCTACGCACCAGCAAATCAATTCGCTCCTAGTTCGTCGCCTGAGCAATATCGTGGACGATCTTCTATGGAATCTCAAAGGTCGCCTTCGATTGGCGTGAACTATAACCAAAGACGAGGCTCCCAGGAGCCCGCCACACCGGTGGACCCTACTAGTCCTTATAACTATGCATCGTCCAACAACTATAGCTCGCCAACTTCGTACCCGTTCCATTCGACTCCACCACAGTCTTCGTACGTACCGCTTGCGCCTGTGGAGGAAGATTTACCTACACAACCACAACAACCATACCCAGCCGCTCCTCAGAAATCAGCACTTACGAGTGGATTACAGGCTTCACCAGAGAGATTCGGCCAGCCCCTGACCGAACAAAAGGATGAGGTAGTAGAAGCCGAAATCCCGCATTATGGTGGCTACGAACCGCCGAGCATGTCATCTTACCAGCCACCTTCATACGAGCCAGATTTCGGTGTTGCCACCGATGGTCCCGCACAGGAGGAAGCTGAAAAGGACGAATATGAGCCTAAAAAGAAATCTTTCATGGACGACGAGGACGAAGATGACCTGGCCGCCCGAGCAGAAGCCATTCAAAAAGCGGAGAAAGCTCGACGTGACCGAGAAGCGGACGAGGCAGTCCGCAAAGCTGCCGAAGCAGATGGTATGTCTCAGTTATGTTACTATTATTGAATGTGCTTAAATTGACTAATATATCAAACAGCACAAAGAGCCCCGGCCCCCAAGAAAAGCTGGTTCGGCGGCTGGTGGGGAGGCAAGAAGGACGGAGATTCATCTGGTGGACCTATTCGAGCCAAACTCGGCGAAGAGAATTCATTCTACTATGATCCGGAGCTCAAGAAATGGGTTAACAAGAAGGATCCCAATAGCGCAACAGTCTCTGCGCGAGCAACTCCGCCACCTCCCAAGGGTCCTGTACCTCAAAGCAGATCAGTGAGTACCAGCAGTATAATGCCTGGGCCGCCTGTTCTGCAGCGTCCACCGTCTGTGCCCCAGCCAGGAACAGCCCCAAATAGTCGACCATCAACGGGTGCCGGTGCGCCACCGTATGGAACGAGCGCGGCTCTTGACGGTCCAAATGGACTGCCTCGTGCTGCGTCTACGACTCCCGCCGGCGCAATCCCACCAAGTCCGAGCTTGCAACTACCTCGGCCTTCTACTACTTCTCTAAGCAATGCTAGTTCGATTGACGACCTACTTGGAGCGCCACAAGCACGCAAGGGCGGTACTGTGAAGAGCAAGAAGAAGGGGCGAGGTTATGTTGATGTGATGGCCAAATAATGATGTCGTTCCTATTCACACGACTAAGTAACTTTTTTTTTTTCTATTCCGAGGTGTCTTAATTTTATATATCATTTTATTCCCTCGTCCCTTTCTCCTCCTTTGAGCACAATCATGTTGTGTGCTTATTCAAACGAGTGCCTTGTCATGTTTATTTCCATACATTTGACTGGCGTAACGAATCTTTTTGTTCATTATTGTCACGATTTTGCCTGATGTATTAATTACTTGTTTTATCAGTCTATATATCATCTCACATTGGATACGTTATCTGTTCCAAGTGAACTTTGATCCTTTTATACATGATTCATTTAGATACCACGAAGGTGGGTTTTGTGAGATAGGTGTGGGCATTTGCAATAGTTGCTGTGCTTTTGTTTTTTGTTTTTTTGTTTTTTTCACACTACTTATATAGAAACCTTAGGAATTCCAGCATATATATATATGTATTCGCGAACTACATATAATCTCGTCATATCATGGCTACATAAATATCTAGGTGGAACACTGAAATGGGTATCAAAAATCACGTAAGCTACCTGCCTACGTGGGTAGGTAAGTAGCATCGTTGGAACTGAAGTAGAGCGAGGGAGTCGAGGAGAGGTTAATTCGGCATAAAGACCTTCTTCAGCCTAAATCGACTCAAGTCCCGCATGACCTGCACGGTGCTCTTGACATTTTGTTTGACAATGACGGAGGTCGGCTTGCTAAACAACTCATCAATCTCCTCGAGACTCTTGTTCTTAGTCTCGGGCATGAACAGAATCTGATAGACCCAGCCGAGCACGGCGATACCGCCGTAGAAACCGAGTGTTAGACCAATGCGGGTCATCGAGTTCATCATGCGCGTGAAATTGTATGTGACGATAAAACTGCACAGGAACAAATTCGCGTCGGAGGTCGTCATGCCATAATGACGCAGATAAGTCGGGTAGACCTCTGCGGGGATGACCCAGGTGAGACAGGCATACGAGCCGAAGAAGCCCATGTACAGGATAATGCCGGTCATGTACAGACCCTCGGCGAGTCTGTGGTTTGATTCAATGGGAATTTGATAGCCAACACCAACGAAGATGAGACCGATGAAGAACCCGGGAAGCATGGCATTGGCCCAGTAGCGACGGCCGAATCGTTCCATGTAGAGGACGGCGGGGATTGTGCCGAGCATTAGCGCACCGCCGCCAACGAGGGACATGAAGACGGCATTTTTGGGGGTGAAACCGATTGCTTCCATGAGCGTGCTCATATAATACATGACGGCATTAACGCCGGTGAACTGGCCGAGAAAGACCATGACGTTGGCGTAGACCAGCGCCCGACGAGCGCGAGGATTTGTGAAGAAGTCCAACCAGGCGTATTTGCCGGTGCTTCTCTGCTCTTCGTTTTCCATGTTGACGGTTTCCCTCATACCAAGAAACTCGGCTTTGGGTTCGTACGTGTCGAAGCCGCGGACTTTCTTCCAGACCTGGAAGGCCTCGAGTTCACGGCCCTTGAGCATGAGGTAACGCGGGCTTTCGGGCAGGAAAAACATGCCGACCAGCATGATGGTGGAGAATACGAGGGAAGAACCCAAGATATAACGCCAGTTGCCCTTGACGTCGATGAAGATGGCTGCCACGACATAGCCCAGGATCTCACCCAAGGCAATATTGAACTGGTACAGCGACACCAGGTTCCCTCGGAGCTTGGACGAGATACTCTCGGCGACGTAGATGGGGACAGTTCCGCCTTCGAGACCGACGCCAGCCCCAAGAATGAAACGACCAGCAAAGATCATACCGAAGTTGATGGCACCGGCCTCAAGGGCGGCACCAACAGTGTACAGGATGCAGGACAGGATAATAGAATTCTTGCGACCCAGGTATTCATTGGAAGGCGACAAGATCAAAGCTCCGGCGACAGCGCCCAGGGGCATGCCGGAGCTGGTCAGACTGGCCTCATTGGAGGAAAGGTGCAGATCATAGGGTAGATTGATGTTGGCACCGCTGATGAGTGACTGGTCGAGGCCAGACAACAAACCGCCCATGGAGGCAAAGCCGACGAGCAGGTAGGTGAAGGTTACTGGGTTGGAGAAGGACAGTTCTAGCCACGGCCGCTTCAAGCCCTGGGATGCTGCCTCGAGCCGGGCGATTTCGGCATCCATGGCGGCTTCTTGGGCAGCATTGGAGTTTTCCTTGAGATCGATGGGGTCGATGTCAGGGATGTCGATGTCCTTTTCGGCTGGGTTAGCAGCCTCGATATGCTGGGAATGCTCCATGCTTGATGGATAGCTTGAGGATGACAAGGAGGAAAAGAAAAGAAAAAAAATTAAATAAATAAATAAAAAAATAAAAAAAAAAGCAAAAAAACAAAGAACAAGGGGAGCATCGAGCACGTTATATAGTCCACCCACGGGGCTCCCCGCGATTTCTCCGAACGAGGCAGACGGGCCAATCATAATGCCCGCATGCCTGCAGATCCCCCATAGCGGGGCTGCTCCGGCTATTCATTGGGCCGGCCGAGATTGTGCCGCCTTAGGCATCGTCTGCCAGGTCCCGTGCTTTCCTCCATCTGTGCACTGTATACCGTACGTATGCTGGTAGGTATGATATGAGTGTGGCATATAGCACAGTATACGGTGTATGAAGCATCGTCATAGACTGACTATGCGGAGTTGCCGCTTCCCCAGGGGGGTATGCGCTTCAAACTTTTCATCGGCAGAATTCTCCAAGTTCTGCGTCTCCGGCACGGAGTGCTCCGTTGGGACTCAATAATCTCCGGATTTTGGGCAGATGAGGGCAATGCGGGGACTCGTTCTCACCGACGACAGAATACGGCCAGGAGAGCACGCAGCCTGCGAATTAAACTCGGGTTGAATACGAGAGAGTGCCAATTCGGCGTCTTCTAGCCCCGTCCGGCATGCCGAATGTGGCAGCCGGCCCACGGTTCACTAGGCCAGTCATCTGACCTGCTCGGGATTTGCTGCTCGCCGATGTGCCTGGCTTGTTTCTAGAACTGTCTAGAGGACCAATCCCCATGAGAAATTGCCTCGTTGGCTCTGGGGAAGGCTTCTCCATGGTTATCTCAGATGGTTGGGTTGTCGCCACTGAATATTGCCCATATACTTAACTCGTGCCGTGGCTGAGAGACTTGTTGGGTCCAATCGTGAAGCCACAGCAGAAGCTACACTTGCTATTAGTCGGATGCATACAAGCATATCCTGCCAGATTAATATTGACGTGAAATCCGTTTCGCCTAGTATTCACTATTAGGAAGCAATCTGGCCAATAGGAACGCAGGTTCGACAAGCCGAGTATGCTATAAACCTAGAGGCAATTTCACGGTCTGTTCAATTTTACAGGTATCATCTTGTGGAAGCAATCATTTCAATCCTTTTGATTCAAAAAATTTCACAAAAATGGAGTGTAGAAGCTGAAGGCCTCAAGTTGCTAATCCGAGCATGTCGATAATCACCAACCCTTAGCATATTCACCACTCAGACAAACTTGAGACTCGACTGGGGTATCATTGTATGTGACTGTACCCCAACACCGAATTGATCTCCAGGCTTCCACTGTATGAATTGACATCATTGCAGCTGTCAATGCTAGCAATTACACTATCCATGCCCCTAGAACAAGAGGTATCCGTATTCGGGATGCAACACATTGCTTGCGAAGATCCACCTCCAAGGTAAACATAGCGATAGCCAGTAGTCTCATAACAAGCGCCATCACTCAAAAGATTCTTCACGCAGTTGTCGCCGCCACATGGCCCTTCACAAACACTGTAGGCGTCACTACTGGCAACTGCCGTAGGCGCCAATGACGCGAGGACAGAAGCTGCTAGTATATCCCTGATCATGTTCGACTTTGATGTTGCTGAATCTTCGCGAGCGAGATAAGTTGGCTTAGTGCCCAAAGGTAGTACGAAACTACTATTAAGCGAACTCATGGGTACCATTGTAGCTTCTTACCTAGTCCTCCGGGGGTATATTTTTACAATATCAACGTAGGCAGCAGCTGCCGAAGTGACTTGTGTAGATGGAGTTCTGGACATTGAGCCCGAGTTTGCCGTTAGATCAGGCACAGCATGTCTCAGATCTGACTGCACATTAGTGTTACAACGCTCCCCATAGAAATGCGTTATACAATATAATCTAAATAAGCAGGGCCCAGACATACAATGACTAGTCAAAAAGCCTTGCCTAACTTAGTATCCTGTTCGTTATTTAGAAAACCACGCAGCAAGAGCAGTATCGGACCATTTAGTTAAGAATGGATTGTGTTGAATGTATAGATATTCGGCTGTTAGTATGATGATTAGACCTGCAAGGCAAGAGAAAGCTAGAATTATGGACACATAGGGACTTGTTGCAACCATAAGATGTAAATGCTGTGTTGGACCACACAGCATTAGAATGGGCCTAGATGGAGTATGAGCATCAGGGAAGAAATAGTCAAGATTAAGGAAAGAAGGCAAGTCAATTAGCGAATTCAGCCGTGTCCGCGAGCACGTTCCGGGCTCTCGCAATGACAAATATACTGCCATATCTGTAGACAGACGGAACAGCATGTAAAGATCAGGGGAGAGAAAAGGAAGGAATCATTCATTGTATGGCAATATAAGAGATATTTTTCGAAATTGAAGGAAATTCTGGTTTTGAACAAATATATCAGCACTATCTTTAATAGCAAAAACTTGCCGCAGTGTAATCCTCTCTATAACGAACGCCAGATGGGGGGTTGAGTTAGCGCCTTGGCAGCACGTGTGATTGGTCATTCTATCTTATCTGCATCTCACACTAACCGCTAACGGGAAGGTGGGCGATTACGTGTCAACCTCTAGCTTTCTACTGGAGACAAAGGTTACATTTCTTAGGAATGGCCGTTGCTGTTCATCATTGAAAGGCATCTAACATGGTGATAAATCATAATGCAGACATGAGAAAGAGAACATCAACCAATTTAAGCGGCCAACTCAGCCTCCCGTCGGCCCAAGCAGAAGTACTCAACCTCGCGCTTCTCAGCGGGGATGGTGCAGTCGACTTCACGCAAGTCCAAGCCCAGGTCACGCTTTCCCAAGCAGAAGTACTCGACCTCGCGCTTAACGGGGATGGTGCAGTCGATTTCGCGAGCCTCCATTTCCAAGCTACGCTTTCCCAAGCAGAAGTACTCGACCTCGCGCTTCTCAACGGGGATGGTGCAGTCGACGTTGCGCAAGTCCAAGTCTGCAAGCCCAAGTCAGCACGTCTACCTATATATGTTCCCACGTCCTCCGTGAACTTACCAGAGGGAGCGGCCATGACGAGAGGAGTGGCAGCCGCAATGACGGCAACGAGGGCGGAGAAACGCATCTTGGCTGTAGGTGAGGGAGGAGGTTTTTTGGAGGAGCGGGGTTTTTTTTTGGAGGTTTGTTGAGTGACTCGTGTGGTAGAAAACTGGGAGATGCTCGTCTATCAGACGAATGATGAGCCTTTATATATCCAGTCTCGATGGCGTCTGTTTATCTTCAAAGATTACACGAGTAGGAATTTGAGTTGCCCGGATATGAAGCGATGCCACAGCTGCTGCAACTAGTCTTATCAGCTGTGCATTAGTTCCATGACTATGGAGTATGGAGAGGGGTTGTCTGACTGTCGCGTGTGTAGGGAGGTGTCTTGCACGGACATGGCTATCCGCATGGGCCCACAGAAGGATTCTAGCTTGTTTCTACTCGGTATTCCGTAGGACGGGATACTGCAGGGGTAGTGATACCTGGGGTATGGAAGGTAGGCTTCTCGAAGAGAAAGACTGGCCGTTCTTGTGACCAAACTCATTCCTCGATGAGTCCGCATAGACTCACTGAAGAAACCAGGCTCGATATAAGCCTATGATCATGACATCTCATTGGCAGCCCATCTAATCTAGTCTATATTAGAGTAAGCAGGCTAGTTGGGCGGGTCTGAAGCTGAAGAATTGACTGCAACCCTTTCCTTTGCGGAGGCTACGATAAGAACTTCATTGCGGCTATCTCTTACTACCATTTGCTGAAGCAATACGAGCTGACTGTTCGCTAGTGAGATTTTGGCTTAGAAGTTAGCACTACTGACCGCGAGACCGCTGTTTCAAAACCCCCTCTTTGTGAGAGAGAGGACATGTTGCGTACCTGGTATGTATTAACGTTTATAAGCTATTCACTAACTATGTATGTGAATAAGATTGTGTCTAGCGAGGTTTGCCTCGGATAGCCCGGCCGAAGCCCGAAGGCATCGCTGGCGATAAGATCTTGTTTCATTTATTTATTGGATTTATATTTATTATTCGTTGCATCTGCATCAGGAAGGTGGTACTTTTATATCCTTGAATCCAACTTTATTTTGATTGATTGTGCGTAATACTTGCAAGTTGTGGCTTCAGACATGACTCAGCGCGGAACTTGGGAGAATGCGTTGTTCAAGATAACTGCTCACAGGGGGTTTTCCGCTTTCGCCTCTCTCGACGCTATTGTGTCTGCTCATGGATTCCATAAAATATTCGTCCCTTTCTGGGCGGGAACAGGACGCCGCCGAGGAAGAAAAAGAGCTTCTGACGGCAGATGGAAGCGCTTCGCGAGCACCAGAGACGCGATCGAGCAGGCGATATCCTCTGCCTGCCTGGCTTCTGGTCTTGAATGGAGTGTTTTTTGTTGTGTCCGTGGCCCTTACCGCGGCCTCGTTGAACGTGAACCACCACGGACGCAACTGGCTTCTGAAATTAACGTCGCAGCCATGTGAGAGAGCATCCATGCAAGTGGTGATTTGGATATATTTACACATGCTAATTCATGGCTTTGGTAGCACCTCTGCTGGAGCAAATTGACATCCCGCTTGTTGTCAAAAAGATGAACGCAACGCTCCTAGACACCTCCATCTGGAGACAGCCGCCCTCACCCGAGGTTGACGCCGCGTGGAATCGCATCCAGACCCGAGAAGCAGTGGTCATCAGTCGGGAAGACGTGTTGGCGATGGGAAAAGACCCCGCGGACGCCGTGAAGTGGCCCGAATCATTCGGATTCGGCGCGGACGCATACGTAGCCAAGCTCGACGTGCTGCATCAGATTCACTGCCTGAACACGCTTCGAATGAACCTGCGCAACAACTTTGACTACTACTACGGCGCCGAATTCCCCAGCGGCATGCCCACCGACGCCTTTCATGATCTTCACGTCACTCACTGCGTGCACGTCCTGCTCGAGAACCTCATGTGCTCCGGCAATGTGGACCTGTACACGCACACCTGGATCGATGCGCAGACGCATCCATACGCAGATTTCAACATCAATCATACGTGTCGCGACTTCGACGCCATTCTAGCATGGCAGGATGAACACGCCGTGCCGATGGAGAAAATCTCCGAGGTGACAAGGCCCGATGATTACAAGGTGCATGTCATGAACCATGAATTCAAGGAGATAATGCACTGGTATGACGATCACCCAGATGATGGTGTACAAGGGGGGGAAACAGGATAACCTGGAGTATAGACTTGAAAAGAAAAGAATAAAAGATTGTATATTGTTTCACAAAACCCCTAAGTTCCAGACTTTCACGTCGATCTATTGTCATTCCAAGGTTTTCGCTTTCATTAATTAGACGTATCGAGGCTGGGTATTGTTTTGAAACAGATGCAAGCAAGAAGCAAGTAGAAATCAACGATGCCCTGGTCTCAGACCACTAGGTAAGCCCCCTGGCCGCTTATATCCTCCCCCTCCCCCTCCCCCTCCCCCGGAGCCATGGTAGCTCTGTCCATATCCACTATCGTGGTTTTGTGGCTGAGATTGTGTTTGCGAAGGAGAAGCACTGGAGCTACTGCTGCCGCCCTGGAGCCGAGCGCGTAATCTCTCCTGCGCGGAACCGCCTGAAGGAGCCCTTTCCAATACCCCCGGACCCGACTGCGTGCTTAGATTGGACTGAGACGACCCCGCACGCTGGCTAGGAAGTGGCCGCCTAGAGACCGATTGAGGCGGCGGGGTCTGTGACTGCGTTGGACGCAACGAATTATTCATGGCTGCGACTGGCGTCCGAGCACCGCCGCTGCGACTTCGCAGACTGGAAGTTTGTGACGCCGGCGGCTGCGAGGGACCCGTTTCCCCCCAGAGATCACCCAGTCCACCGCCTCGGCTGGACGCTTGTATGGTCATCGGCTGGCCATATCCGCCATTATTCCCTTGCTGAAACGATGCCTGCGTAGCAACTAATCGGGGCTGGGGCGTGGGTGCTTTCGGATCTGGGGGAAGCCATTCGGGATATGACCGGCCTTTTTCTGTATAATAGGCTCTCAGGACGTTGGAGATGTGCGAACTGTCCTCGTTGTCCGGGTCGTCTGCTTCTTCGCCTGAGGTAATCGCTCGACGCAGGCTGTTCAGGCGGCTCCCGATGTTGGTTATCCTCGTCGACGAGGTGAGGGATGAGAAGTAGGAAGACATGACGGGTGAGACAAGTTGTGAGACTCGTATAACCCTCTTCAAGGAGGGGTAAACCGTATGTGAGAGTCCGCGTGAAATCACAAGTCACTCAGCAGAGATTGTCTGAGAACAGCCAGTAGTTGACTACAGGAGAGACGTTGGTTGGGTTCGAGTCAGCGGACTAAAGGCGGTCCGCTCCCTGCGTGGACCGCAGCTCCGGCAAATCGAATAGCTTCACCCAAATTAAACATTTCAACTACGCTGGAACAAACAATTAACTAAACAAACAAACGCTTTTATTCTTATAATATAAGTAAGAAAGAAGAAAGGAAACAGGGTACGTGAACATAGTGACTGCGCTTGGTGCGCAATCAATAATTTCTACAGTGCAAACACCTCCAACGCCGGGAATGCAACTTGGGAATTTATGCCAGAACGCTTTCCTTGCCAGGTCCTTCAGTTTCGTACTCGATCTCAATGCGAATGCCCTTTTTGCGCGGTTTGGGAGGGGGAGCAGCGCGCTTGCGTTTGGTGCCAGCTGCTGGCTTCTTCTGCTCCTCATCGGCTGAGCCCTCACTGCCTTCTTCTTCATCGCTGTCCTCGTCGTCATCGTAGTCGTCACTCGAGTCAGCTGAGTCGCCTCCAAGCCAGTCTTCGATATCCTCGAGATCCTCCTCCTCCTCATCGAAGTCACTGACATACTCGACTTCACCGACTCCCTCTTCCTCCTCCTCCTCTTCATCATACTGCTCGCCTTCATCCAGATCCTCGTCCCTCTCGCCTTCTCCCTGTCTCTCCAAACCACGAAGAACCTTCTTCCAGATCCCCTCTTCCACATTGAGCGGTCGATCGCCATAAGCACCACTCCTGAGCCGCTCGATAAGCTCACGCTCGATAGCGCGTTCAACCTTGGCAGCAGACTCGGCCTTGCGCTCTCGAGTTTCTTCACGTCTCCTGATCTTCGGCGCCAGCTTAGGCACAACTCTTTCGCCAAGCCTTTCTTCCTCCTTGGCCAGCTTCCTCATCCGAATGGCAACTTGCGTTAACCTCGTCAGACGTTGTTTACATTTGTGAATGAGAAATTTTGGCCAATATATCAGCCGCTCATCGACCTGTGCAAGCGCTTTTGCGTAGTTTGATGACAGCTTGATCCGCTCCCACCATTTGCTAGGCATATGGGACCGTTCAATGGTCTTCATGTAGAGGTACATGGTACCCGTTTCAGGGTCCGATCGAACCGTAGCATATCGAGAATTCGCCAGCGGACAGCTTTGTCTATTGCATAATCCGGTAACGTTGTATTCGTTGCGACAGAAATTCTGGCCTTTTGTGGTTCTGAAGTGCTTTGTCAGTTATTTTCTTTTTTCTTCTCAGCATGAAAACACATACTTGAGCTTGAATGCACAGAACTGCTGGTTAATGACTTGCCAGACAATTTCGTCTGACGCCATCTTTGGGAGGAATTGGTAAAATTTCCCTTTCAATGGCCTTGCTCGAGGCTGAATGGAAGAGTGCGGTATGTTCGATCTCTCGTACAACAAAATAACGAAGAAAAAAAAGTTCCCGCCGCGGAAACAGCATCACGTGATCCGATGGAAATTTCTTATCGGGAGCCTCCCAAATGGGAAATTTGTAAGCACTGCAAAATCGCCTGCACATCGTGTAGTCGACAAGTACTTCTTGGGTAGTATAACTGGATTTACATTCTGAAATTGTGACCGAATCAGGCAGTTAGCTAGATGCTATTCGATATACATATCTAAATTCAAAAGCATCTTTATAGAAACGGGTTCTTGGTACCTAGATCCTTAAATATAATTGCTATAGAACCAAATATATAGAAATCCAGGTTACTTAGGTAGTGACCTGCTAATCAACCGGCCACCTAAAAAGGACTCTATACTGGCAGGCTATGTGTGATTTGCCACCAGCTATGGTTTCTTTCTAGGTAGAGCATAAAGAATACTGTAGCGGAAATATCCAGTCAGCTTTGCCCTTTCATGCAGTGCTGTGCACCACTGTTACGGAATAACCCATGGATTTTTATAGTAATTATATGCAGGACAGTTCACTTAAACATGCTATGCCTGTGAGCTTTCCTCTCTTGTGCGGCATTCTTAATACCATCATCTTTCTGTCCTCATTCCCAATCTTTAAGACTCGTCAACACATATCATCCCAATTGTCAAGTTGAACATCAAAAAAGTGCATAGACGTGAGTATATTCACATATTGCATAATAATACCCACAGTATGGCTGCCCCAGAAATAAATCCACATCTAAGAGCTTCAATAAGACAGCCAGCTGAACACATATGCCAAATGCCTCCCAATATGCCAAAGATATCCCCAAATCTAGGCACTGTCTCGTCATACACACCTGCACGGCTATTCCCTAATGGCTGCACAGTATGCACTCGATGCCATGAGTCATTCCTAAGCCATGATGGGTCGTATGAGAAGCATGTCGAAGAATCACTTGACCACCATCTTTGCCCTCTCTGTGACTACAAAAAGGACTTCGCCACATTCACCGCGCTGCAAGATCATTTTGAGATGGACCACCTTTGGTGTGAGGCATGCAACTGGTATGCCCCATCTGCCGAAGGACTAGAGAATCATTTTGTGCATAGACATATGATGTGCAAGGTGTGCAAGCAGACCTTCAGGGGGTTGAATGAGCTGACAGGCCATGCAAATTCTCATCGTCCTCTGACTGTCTCCTGCTTCCTGTGTCGAGAAGCCTTTGCTCTCAGGTCCGCTGCCTTCAATCATATCGAGTCAGAGATGTGCCAAGGTGGAGCGCTCAGGGAAGATGTACGACGCGTCGTGAGGGAGTTCCTGGCACAGTCCCCTCAAACAAGAGGGTACCACATACCAGACAACCGTCTGTTTAGTTGCCAGGGCTGCCAGAAGAGTTATGGATGCTTGAGCGACCTGTTGCAGCACGTCGAGACTAGAGGATGCTTTGAGGGATATTGTAAAGGTACTGGCATGATCGAGCACATGGTGCAATATGTACAGATGAACTTGAAGGCCACCATTGAGCGTCGAAAGAACCGGGGGATCGAACAGCAACAGCAACAGCAACGGCGTCCGGTGGCAATGACAATTCCTAGGGGTGCCGCAAATCATCCCCGGGTTCGTATGCTGCGAACCGAGCAATTTTGAAAGTTCGAAGTAAATCTCAGGGCGTTGGGAGTTTTGCTTTTCTTTTCTTCTACTGTTTGAAGAACTTCTTTTTGATACCCGCATTATGATGTCCTGGAGACCAGCAAACTTGTACAAAAAGGGATCAATTCCTTGTTGCACGTGGCTTCTATCCAAACTAAATAGTACTGGGATGATGATTTTGAACGTAAGCTTTATGTCCAATCATAACATAAGCCGGGATAACCAGCTAGTAGCACCCATGGGGCTTTGGAGAACATAAGCATGATGCAATAAGCGAGTATCGGCACTGGATAACGACATTCACCAACCCTCCATCTGTAACGGCCCCCCATCCCACTCAGTGGTTCCATTGGGCGGCATTCCCAAGTCCCTGTCGTCTACGATATCGTTAAGCACATCCTCGCCATAGAGACCCCAGCCCATAGCATCCAACTCCCTGGTAAAGAAATCACGTTCTTCCTCCACAAGCGAAGCCCCTTCCTCGATATTCAACACGTCTTTGTACCGACGTAGGTGCCACCAGTGAGTAAGACCACGCAGCGCCTGTTCCAAAGGCAAGGCATCCTCTACTTCAGCATCAACATCTGAACCGGCCAGCCAATCGTCACGTAATTCGGGACGGCAGTAGAGATATATAGCTGTAATAACGCGCATGTTGGTTTGACGCCATTTGCGACCGCAGTATGGAACTTGCGATTTGAACAATTTCAGGGTATATAGCCGGAGATTAGGGTCTGGTATTTTTAACCCCTTTCGGAGTATTGTGCTAGATCGGTATTGGACGAGGAGTAGGCAACGGTGTGCTTTGTCCCGTGTAATCTTTTGCATGATGTGCAGATAGTTGATGATCGAGAAAAAGTTGCGGAAAGAGTAAGTGGTGATGGGATCTTTGGGGACTGATCCCGTTGGGTTCCCCAGTTCGTCCACTTCTGGACGCAGAATGCCGTCTGAATATCCCGGATCCGCCGCATTCTTCACGGGCGAGGGGCCTCTAACCGAGGAGCTACCGTTCATTGATGCTGCTCTACGACGTGGAATAGGGGCTGGCACGGCGATATCTTCTTCATCCATCGATTCATTATCGATAGGCTCATCATCCCCAGGTGGGTCATCAGAGTGAAAATGACAGAAATGAAAGAAGCTGTACAGAGATTAACAAAATTGCGATATTCAAAGACAAGTAGAGATTGTAATACCTATATTGCTTGAAATCATTCTGCTGACCTATTGCAAGCTCAATGTCTTGATGAGCAAACATCTTCAATATCAATGGAAGATAGTTCGAGTCTAGAAGCAGTTGCGTCAAATACTCAAATTTCAATATATCTTGAAAAGAAACAACATTAGCAAAAGGTAGATCAACTTCAACCAGGGAGAGATCCAATTCTTACGAGATCTTTTGAACCACTTAAGTAGGAGCAATAATACCCCAGATATCGCTTTCCCAGTGACTTCTCGAAGCCTGACAATGTCAATCTCTTCAACGTCACCGAAAAGTTCTTCACGTGATCCAGTATAGTGATAGCCGTTAGAGCTGAAAAGACAGTTAACCAGTTTTTCATCCAATGGCTGTTTTTGCCTTCAACTTACCTCAACCCGTGAGTGCCTTGACCATTTGCTTGATTTACCATTGCACTGATATTCGTCAGGATAACCTTAAGCAAGACGATGACGACTGCTTGAAGATGTGGCATTGCTTGTTTCTATAGAGTTGTCAGTCTTCATTTCTTGGCTGGTCACGATCCGAGAATGGCCTACATAAAAGTGTTCAACTGCATCTAGGCGGCATTGGACATCCTCGTTCTCTGTTTCTCGGTTACTCGAATTACCACTGCTTCTCCGACTTTCCGATGGCTGTGAACTCGTATCCGACTGTTCTTCATTTCCCATTCCGCCTTCGTTAACGGTCTCGTCGGCATTCCAGCCTCGCTCATATTTCATGAATCGCTCGCGTTCTTCCCATAATTGACGCGTTGCACGAGTCATCTTTACGTGAGTTGAGAACAGCTTGCCGGCCTCTATAATTGAAGCTGGAACATCGCTACCTTCCCACTTTTTCCCAACAAGAGTGTCTTGCATCTCACTTGTGCCTTTGCCGCCAATGTTATTGCTCAAATCATCTAAAGGTGGATACATGAAGGGGAAATTCTGGTTCGTTTGATAATTCTGCTTCTTCCCAGCCTTGCCGCTGGGTCCTATGGGAGATGGGGGCGGCGAGGGAGCCGGCGTAGCAATATGTACAGGCTGATGAATGATTGAGCCACTGCTCACACTGCCACCAAGTGCAGTTGCACTAGACAACCCGTTGACTGAAGCTAGACGACTGGGATGGTTTGCAAAAGGCGGAAGTATTGAGTTGTGATCCAACTCTAAAGGCACAACTGGAGGTGGGGGGTTGTAAGCTGGGTATTTTGACGTAACTTCTTGACGAAAAATATGATAATCAAGTGGCGACGCGGTCAAGAATGGCTCTCTGCGATCAGCTGGATCTTTAGGGATGTCCATCGGGGGCTCCAAATCTCTCTTAGCGTCTTCTAAGCTCTGACTTCCACCAAAAGTGAGAAGTACAGTTTTCCAGAAAAGTAAAACAATCCGAGTAAAAGGGATGGTCGCTGAATCTTCCCACCGTAATCCGGCTATGACCTTGACAAGGGCGATGAGTAGGCTCGGTTGCAAAGCGGAAATAGCATGCCGCAATCCCACGTTGGCCTTATGCTGTGCTTCTAACCTCCTAGCAACTTCGATAACAAAGTACATGCACGTGAGAATAAGGTTTGCTTCACGCTCGCGAGCAATCAAGTATGTAGCGTGCTCTTTTTCATCATCCAAGTCGACGGAATCGGAGTCCAGTGAGCTCGCCTCCTTATCATAAACAGATCTCATGTACTCATAAAGTTTTGAGATACCATCACACTCATCGAGAAGGAGCACATTGTCTACGATCCACTTGATCTGAAGCGATTTTGACTTTGGGTTTTCTGACTCTTCTTCAGCTGTTGGGTTCTGTGGGTAGTCTTCTATGGATTTCCCTCCGGTTAGGCCCCAAACACCGCACAGCACATAACATATCGCTTCTAGTGCTTCAATGCGAGAAAATAAATCAGAGTCATCCAATCCCACCAAAAGATGCTTTAAGAATGCCTTTTGATAGTCCCTTTGGGCGTCGATCCATGACGAGTTGGTGTCTACAGAGCGCTGATGACAGAATTCTTTCCATTGCTGATGGAATGATACCTTTGACCCAACGAGCATCATTCGCTCCGGTTCACTATACTGAAACCACTCATCAATCTCTTCGGGAAAAGACTGGCAGTCAGCATAGTGGAAAGCATACGCTTGCTGTTCAGTTCTCGGGATGTCTTGTACGATACGTTTTAACTGTGCAAGACTGAGCGAATCCGGAGCCAGCTCTGCTGCATTTTGGCCGGGAGCAGGTGGTGGCGGCTGCATTGGTGGAGGAGGCGCAGCCGAATCCCGAGTGATCCCTGGTCGCGCTGTAGACCTGGGGTTTCCAGAACTAGGGGCGGCTTGAATCTGCTCTTCAAAGACGGGGGATGGCTCCAACGTGAGGCCATTAACCTCCGCCATGAGCTGCTCATCCGGGACAGGCGATATGTCAGTTCCAGTCTGGTCCACCTCATCTGCCTTGACTATAACGTGGCCAGGACCGTCGGTCTCAACGTTGTCGGTAGACATGGTGTTGATCCGGGTCCTACCACAAGAGAATAAAGTAGAAATCTGCGTAGAACGACAACATCAAGGGTATGCCGAGGGGTTATTATCAAAAGAATAGCTCAGACCATGACGCCGTTTAATGGAAGCATGCTGCCACACGTCAACAGGGCGCCTCGGAGAGCATGATGCTTTAGCAAGTCAGTGTGTTAATTCAGGAGGAGATGAAGCATGCATGCCCGCCGCTGAGGGCGGTCAACTGTGGGATCGGTCATGTGACCTCTGTGGTTCCTGGTCTAGATTTCCTGCAGATAGATAGACAACATAGGCAGATCTACGCGATTCTACAATTATTCAATAGTTGAAACTGTAACAATTCTCGAATGGATATATACTATTTGTTGTGTTCGAAATGGAACGCTTCCACCGAAATAAACTTACAGTTCGCTTCTCCCAACTCTCCAGTCTTACACCTAATCCGATTTATGCGACAAATCACTGTTTTCTCGTCGCTTCAGTTTTCTTTGAGCCTCCCAGCGTCGCCAGCCTGCCTCGGTAAGGTCCTCACTCACCACCAAGTCTCGAATCCTTAGCGCTCGGGACAGGGATAGGCCCAGGGCCCATTCCACCCAACCGGAGGCCCGCAGATAGCTTATGAGGGAGTACCAAACAACCGAAAATAACGCACCAGCCGTGAAGCCCACGAGAACCTGTTTCTTGGTGTGGTAATTCAGGTATAAACGGCTGATAGCCACAGCACTAGCGCCAGCGCAGGCGAGGAGGGAGAGAGCAACTTTTTGAAGCGGGTTCAATGCGTGTGGGATGACGGACAGGTTTGGCTTATGTCGCAGAAGAAGGAAGAGAGTAAAGTAACACGAGAAGTAAGCCACGAATTGCGCATGGGAGGAAGGCATACCGTAGCCTTTGCCGAGCATGTCTGTTAAGGAGTAGGGAACATAAGCCTTGATCATCATCAAAACGGGGGGTGTTTCACAAAGAATCTGCGCACACTTGGGTCTTTCTTCTCGGATGAGTCTCTTTAGCGCAAAGTTCAACGCTTCACAGCCCATTTGTCCCGCGAACATCAAGATTATCTCAGCCTCCCTCGATGCCCAAATAAGTGTAACATAAGCTACGCATAATGCTTGTGGAACCAGTGCCAACCAGGCAGAGCCGTGCGAAAAAATGTCATTGGGATTCTAGCTCTTCTGGATCAGCTACACATTGACCGATGACTTCAAGTCGGATCCGCTGAAGAATGCAACTCACATAGTGTACGTGGGTCAGCGAAAGGGAGGCCAAAGGCTGGTCGGGTGCCGCCATAGTGTTGACAGGAAGACAGGGTTGCTTGTTGACTTGTCTGAGGTTCTTCAGTGAGACAACATGTTGGCAGTGGTTTTCGACGAGGGCATTGGAAAATTGCTACGCCATCACCGGCGGCCTAAAGCCAAGGCAGCGAATCATATCAACACAAGTTGACACCTGAGGCTGGTCTGCTCAAGCCTCAGGCAGGCGCGCGCCTCACGCGGAATCACATGACCGGAGTCACGTGGACGGGCGTGGGGGTTCTGAGGGGCAGCGTCGCTCCTGCCAATGGCCCAATGGCATTACTTCTTGCTGCGTCGCAATCCGAAATTCTTCCATCGACCATCGCCCAACAACACGACGGGCACCTAAACAATTTGCTTTCCACTTCTTACATTATTCAGGGGTTGTTGATGCCCATCCGCACACTACAGCTGGCTATTCGTGGTCAGTCATCGTCTCGAACCCGTCCATTTATGCTGCTGTACGTGTTTATGTGTCTTCCCCAGCACCAGGCAGGAATTCCGTAGCCCGTCGCATCACACTCGAACCATGAAGGCTTATTTCACATCGCTTTTTCTTTCATCCTCTACGTTGCGGTTACCAAAAATTTCCCCCTTATCATCCTCGGCGTTACTACAGCAGATTTCATCGCGCCTGGAGATTGCCCTTGGTCTCCCGTTACTTATGTGACAGTGGTGGACCAACCGGTTTCAGAAAGACTTATCGCCACATCATTCTATTTGGTTCTGCACAGGCTGGAAATGGCCGACAATTAAATAAACAAAAATTTGCAAACTACAGACAGCACCGTGCACGTCCGTTGTCTGCTTATTGCCCTAAAATGTCTCCTTAGCAACTGGCAACAAGCTATATCTGTCAGTGGCGGAAGTTCCATAAGGGCCTTGCATTTATCGATATTTTCCGTCGAATATTTTAAAGGTTTCACCCAGCCGCTGTTCGTGATGGCAATCCCAACTCCCCTCCCCGAGGAGGACGATCGCACCATGGAGCTCTCGTCCATCGCTGCCATCTATCCCGAGATTGTAATCGACGAACGATATCCATTCAGAGCATCTTTAGACATTCCTGTTGCACCGTCAGTCCCCTTACGAGTGCGATTCGACAAGGGTTCAGAGATATTTCAAGCCCCCATGACACCTCCCACCTCGTTGGATACAATGGGCGAAAAAGAAGACATATTCCCCGAGGATACACAAACAGCTGCCGAAAACATTCATGATGATGTGCACGATATCTCACACTTGCCACCCATAACACTTGACATCGAACTCCCTGCCGGTTACCCATCAAACGAGGCGCCCATATTCAATATCAGCACCAATCCTCAGTGGCTATCGCCTAGTAAAATATCCGCGTTAAAGGAAGATGGTACACGATTATGGCTCGAAGCGGAAAAGGACATGGTGGTCTATACGTACATTGACCACATCCAGCAAATGATAGAAAATGTTTTTGATCTCGCAGATGGGCATGGTGGAGAGATTAAGCTTGCACGCGGCTTAAAGATTGCGATTCTTGACTTCGATATCAAAGCAAAAAGGGTGAAGTTTGAGCAAGAGACATTTGAATGCGGCGTGTGTCTGGAGCCCAAGAAGGGCCTGAATTGTCATCGCATGCTCCTTTGCTCTCACGTCTTCTGCATCCCTTGTTTACAAGATTTTTATAACACTTGTATAACTGAAGGCGACGTGGATAATGTCAAATGTATGGCCCCGGACTGTGGTAAAGAGCCCAACTCAGCACAACATCCTGCCACCCCATCGCAGGACAGATCTGCCACTCATAAGCGGAAGAAAAAGCAAGCGCGGCTCATCAGCCCAAGTGAGTTACTTCAGATACCTTTGGAACAGGACATAGTCCAGCGATATGTCTTTCTGAAACGAAAAAAGAAGCTTGAGTCAGACAAGACCACAGTATATTGTCCTCGCCAATGGTGCCAAGGGGCGGCCCGGTCAAAGAAACACCCCAAGCCAGATAACCCTATCACAGATGATTTTGATGATTCCGCGGACGAGGATGATGCTGTGGAATTTGACCCAATGGGTGACGAGTCTCAGCTTCCACCAATGGCTGATCGAGTGGCTGTCTGTGAAGACTGTGCATACGCGTTTTGCTGTGTCTGTAAAAAAGGATGGCATGGCGAGTTGGCGAGGTGCTCTCCACGACGAGAAGCTGAGCTTACAGCAGAAGAAAAAGCAACCGAGGAGTATTTGAAAATGTATACCACACAGTGCCCAACGTGCAATACGCCTTGCCAGAAGAAATTGGGATGCAATCATATGATTTGCTTCCAGTGCAGTACGCATTTTTGCTATCTTTGTTCTGCCTGGTTGGCAGAGGACAACCCGTACAAGCATTTCAATACACTCGATAGCGGCTGTTTCAACAGACTTTGGGACTTGGAGGGTGGTGATGGTATCGACCCGGATGGTGCCGAAGAGCTCCATCGCATTCCAGCAGGCATGGCAGATTTTGACTCTGATAGCGAAGACGAAAACCCTGCAGATGATGATGTTGACGGAGATGATGACCGTCCAGCTTGGGAGTTTCTCCGAGAGCACAGTGGAAGTGACAGCGACAGCGATGATGAAGATGGTCTAGGTATGCGGAGACCACCACCTCCTGCCCCGGTGCCTCCTCGAGTGATACCTGTAGCCGGCAACCCCAATGGTGAACCCGGATTCAATCCTCGTGGCCTGGATGCCGCTGGTAGAGCTGTAGCTGCTGAACGGCAAGCACAAGCTCTTGCGATGGCTCAGATTAGAGACCGGCCAGGGGCACGTGAAGCCTTTCCTCGACCTCCGCAACGGGCTGGAGCAGGCCTACAACCTCGCCGTCATGCTCCAGGCAATCAGCCTGTCAGACAAGAAGGCCTTCAGCGATTTCTGGAGCTAGTTCAAAATGACCAAGAAGACGAATGGGACAGTGATGAGTTAAACGAGTGATTGTTCATACCCTGTATTTTTTTGGTTTTTATTCGATGCACATTCTTGACGATTTACGATCTTTTTGATTTTGAAAGGCAAAGACGAGATTGCCTTTGCTGTTTGCCGTTGTCCCATCTCTTCCATATTACCTTTGCCATGCATTCATATTTGAGCGTCTGGTTAATCTTTTGCATCTAACGATAGATTTTGTCATGGGATATAACGGGAATTTGCTTTCACGAGCCAGTGCTAATGATTTGTTTTGTTTCTCTATTTCAACTTTAACAATTTATTTGCATGTTATGACTAATTATTTGGAATTTCCGATCTCCAGCGATTACGTGCTGAAGCATGCGCTCTAGCAGTTCTATTTATGTACGCTATATGTACGGTGTTGTATTTGGGGTTACACCGTGTAGTAAGAAAATTTGGAAAGCCAGTTAGAACTATATACCAGAAATAATTATATATGTATAATTCTAGCCAAGTCCTGCTATATTTACTAGTTAAAACCTGTTGAAGCACATTTTGTTTGACCTAGGTATCTGCTCTATTTTTACGCATGGCAAGTGGACTAGATTGCTACCGAGAACCGCAGCCTCAAGAGCATTGGTAAACTTACTAGACGCGAATATGTTAGCACCTTATATCCATGAGGATTCGGACAACGTCTAGGTATCCGTGGAATGCGGCAGCCTGTGATGGCTTGCCAAAGAAGCCTCCAGCCTTATCGACGTCGACCCCGTGGTCAAGAAGAAGCCTTAATATGGCGGGTGATATGTAGCCTCGAAGACAGAGAATCTCGAAGTTAGACGCGTTACAGTCGCCAGGCTTTCTCCAAAGGTGGCAGACATCTGGACATCGTTGGTGGACACAGTGAGCAAGAATCGCAGGGCAGCCCATGGCAGCGCGGAATAATGCGTCGGATCATATTGCACAAGCAGACCACCGATTTCTTTGAATTTGTTGACCAAAAATACAATCTTGTCGACGCAACAACGCAAACGATGTTTCTGCGGCTATTGCTAATTTTCACTGTCAAGCGTTTTTCCTAGGATGTCTTTTGCTTGTTTTGAATGCCTTGGAGAATTGCATCGATGTCGACGACATACTCTTCAGCCCCTCTTGATGGTAATTCTGGAGGAGGGCTTTGTCTTCTGCGCCCAACGACTCGATTGAAAGAAGCCATAATTTCGTTTGCGGAAGAATACTCTTATTATTGCTCATGTTTCAACAGTGGTTTCTTCTCAAAGATGCCTCGAAGTAATAGAAACCAGAAAGCCAAGGGAAATCTAATCTATGCTAGTGAAGAGCGAAGCTGAGCTTACGCAGCACTTTGCAGCTAACTAGCTGACGTTGTGCTAGCCTGCATAACGTGAGAGTACTTGGGAGGCGATCAAGAGTTCCTATTGCTTTCCACAGGATTTCTGCTGTCGGTATTTATAGTGGTCTCTGTACAGTAAATCCTGAACGGCCGGAGATATATGGCTAGTCTCGGAGCCGTGAGAATCAAATAGCAAGACCCAATTGGGTGCTACATCGGAATATCTATTTCTTTATTAAATATGTATTGATAATTGTTGTAGGCAGTATGCAATGCAATCCTCGCTTGACAAATGCAAATCACATGCAGGACGTGGATTGACAAGTAGATCCAACGTGAAACAAGAAAATAGAAGGGAAAGCCAGAATGCTAATGGACATGATAGTAATGCTGATGATAACAAAATAAAACAGAGGGTATCGTAACTAACGCCAGAACTTGTATGTGAGAATGCAATTAAGAGGATAAAAAAATAAAGAGAAGGGAATGCAAACTCTCGGCTTGATCGTAGCCAATCGGATATTGAACGGATGGATGTTCAAATAAAAGCCTTACATGAGGGGAAAAAAAAAGGAAAAAAGAAAAAGAAAGAAATGGGATGAAAAGAAAGACACAAATTCAATCTTCACGATCGGTCTTGTGATTCGAGGCCTTTCAAGATAACGCGCTTGCTTCGACCTACTGAAGCAAGATCACTGACACTGCGAGTGCCCATTCTCGAGGAATTAAGAACGTCACGGTTCATCAGATGATGATCGCTGTGTCTTTGTGTTGGTTTGACAATCGACGAAGTCCGCCGCGCTTGACCAATGACATCTTCTACCCAGGCTTCGCTCTCCGGCGTCATTGATACGTGTCTGCTTCGTGGCTTCGGACCAGCTAGACCTAGAGGGGTAGACACAGAATGAGGAGTCCTCGCTGATCCCGGATGGGGAGAGTAGACACTGGAACCGTCACCGAGAATAGAGGTTACGCTGACCGAGTTGAGAGACGAAACCGATGTTCGTCGACCTGATGGAAAAGACGGCAATGGAAGATTGTCCGCTACAGTTTCCACACTGTCAATTGCTAATTCCGGAAGCTCAGACGGCCTGGAAATTCGTCTGGTTTTGCGAACAGAAAGAGATGAAGCGGGCCTGTCACACATCGTTGACGGATGGTCCGGGCTAGATGGCATAGCCACTGCAGTAGCCGTTGAGGTTGTTGATCCCGGGGAATTAGCTGTTGCTGAAAGATCTTTCACTTCGACATTACTGTTTGATGGAGTCTGTCGGCCGTGATGCAGAACATACTCACGTAGATACTCGCCCAGATCGGCCCAGCCGCCACCGACACGGACCATGACTCGTTCCCCGTCTTCACCAACAGTCCGTACAAACAATTTTGTTGGTTCTGTTTTCCCACGATGATGTAAATGATAGACCCTGACAGTTTTGTCTTCGCTTTTGTGCGAAGTTGTACGCCTTTGCTTGGACGATGATGGGAAACCTTCAGATGGTGCGGGAGTACCTGCTCGACTGGGTGTAGAAAAGGGAGATCGCGCCTGAATACGGTTTCTCTTCGTAGACGAGATTGATGATATCACCGACTGCTGGTCATAGTCACTTGCAGGCTTGTTGCTGAGGCGAATTTTGCCAGGGATACCTGTGAGTATGGTGTGAATTTTCTCTTGGAGATCGCTGTCGGCTTCATTGACTGGTCGTATAGCGAAAGATCCACCGTCAGTGGAGAATGAGTACCTTCTGCGCCCGGTGCCATTACTGGAACCATATGAACCAATGCTTTCCATACTTGGCTGGTTCTGCAAATGATGGCTAGGGGCTTGAAGGAAGCCTTTTGTAGACGATTTTCGACGCCACGGTGTTGAATCTGAGTCGTCAACATCGTAAGGTGATCCAAGTCTGTGACGTGAATGAAGTCGTTCAGACGTAGTTTCATTGTTTGTAGTTCCAACAACTTTATTCAGTGAGGAGATGGTGCCTCTCATCAAGCTTGAGCTAGGACCCCGTACAGCCCGTCGGGGAACTACATTCGGCGGGGGAGATTCACTTCGATTGCGGAATCTGGGGATTTCGGAGTTCTCGCGGAAATATCGTGGTGAGTCGGAGAGTTCTTCACGAGAGGAAGAACTATCAGAATGCATATCATGATTGATCGAATAATTGACGTCGGTTTCATCATCAATAAAGCGCTGTAAAGGCAGGCTCGCATTTTTGGTATGTTGGAATGATTGGAGATCATGCAGTACAGAGCTACTTAGCTGCGGAGAACCGATTCCACGAATTGTCCTATCACTCGCACTGCTGAAAAGCCTAGGTGAAAAGTGTACAGTGGGATCCTGAGCTGGTGGTCCACCCGAAACCGTTCTAGTAAAAGACGGTGGCATTGGATCTGTAGGTATGTTGTGGTCGACATCTGATTCAATTGACTGAACTGGTACATCAGGATCTAGAGGGGGGCTCGGCTTTGACGAGGGATTAATTTGTCGATCGGCTGTCACTTCGCCAGCAGGAGAGTCTTCTAAGCGGTCTTCGCTTGTTTCTTTGACATTGACTCCTTCTTGCACATGCGACATAGCCGAGGTAGGCTTTGGACCTTCGGGATGTAAAAGCCGGGGCGAGGATTGGTTGTCTTTGAGTTCCAGGACTGAGTTACCAGTGCCCAATTCATCCGCACCAGTTTCTCGACGCATCTTTTCCAACACCTCGGCATCCATATCATTGGATCCATGAGCCGGCTGTACTATAGGCCGTTGCTGAGGGATATTTTCGGAGCCGGGAACGTGGCCACCCGCGTCCAATTCTTCCTTTCCTTTCTTGACCTCGTCCCCAAGGTCAAGGTCATCAGCTTCTTCTCTTGGTGGGCCAAAATTATCAATCTCTGGCACTAAAGATGAATCAGCGTTAATTGTCGGCAAGGACTCTTCGAGGACGGAATGTTCTTCAGTGCTAAATTTCGGTCTGAAAGCATCTTCTGGTGAATTGGCATCATGCTCCGGAGTGAGGATAGTGGTGTCCGATTGTTTTTCAGGGACGTAACTGGAAGCTCTATTACCAATAACTGACGGGCTTTTCGATAGCTCCACGTTGCATAGATCGGGTTTCCCTTTATCTAGCTGGGGCTCTGTCTTTCCGGGGTCCAATTTTTTGTTTGTTTTGAGCGCATCCAAGTTTTCCTCCATAGGGACTGTATCTTCCCGATTGCTATGACTAGGAGTTTCGTTGGCTGCTTGCTCGTGCTTGGAGTTTGAGTCAGCGACTGAGATTGAAGAATTGGGTATAGGTATATCCCCAGCAATCTCTGTTGTATCTGATGAAGTGGCAAGAAGTGACTCTGTCGGCAAGGATTGCGACATTTGCGGTCTCTTTGGTTCAAAGGCTGGAGAATAATCTGGAGTGACAGGCTTTGGGACTTCCTCGTTCTCGGGTATAGATGTAAGAGCTATACCCTGAGCAGTGATAGGAGGATTGACAAAAGATCCTGAGGGTAACACACGCTTGCCCTCTGAAGAGGATGATGTGTGCTGGATGTTGGTGTTGACTTCAAAACTAGGATACAATGATTTTTCAACAGAAGGTGAAGGTGAACTTTCAATGGGTGTTTCACAATCGTGCTCCCTCGCTGAATTAGGCACTTGATGATTTGTAGACACATCACGCTGCAACTCGAGATCCTCCACAGCGGACTTCGCGGGCTCTTCTGTGTTAGTTCTCCACTCTCGTTCAATTGCCAGCTTCTCCGCTTGTTGGACCCATGTAGCGAAGTCTGCCTCAAGCCGATCCATATTGTCAATCCAAATTTCAGGTATAGAGTCTTCGCGGCCCTCCAAAGCATCAAGAACTGTGTCCATACGTGACCCCGCCACGCCGATTACTTGTACGAGTTCTTCCTTCTTCGAAGTCACGTCAAGGATGGGAGGGCGAGTATTGTGAAGTGGATTTTCTGTCGACAGCATTGCAATTGCAAAGTCGAGAGATGCACGTGCAGCGTTTATTGAATCCAAGAGCTCAGGAATTTGCCGCAATACAAGCAGTCTCGCATTCCAGGTATCGAGCAACACGTTCAGCCGTGCCAATGTGGGTAGGGCCCTCAGGATTGTGGCGGTGATGACGGCAGTAAAGTCGCTTAATTGCGTATGAGTGAACGGAGGAGCGGAAATCGAACTTAGAGCACTATGTGCCGACGACGGCCGCGAGCGACCTGGTACGTGGACGTTCATGATGTGTTCCTTCAGCTCATCGACGTTTAGACTGTCCATACCGTCATGGATTTCTTCGATCCGTGCTTCATACTCTCCAACCAGGCTAGCTGGAAGACTGCCCCAGAACTCTACTTGAGCACTCGACCCGTTTGTCGATGGCGGCTCAAAGCCCTTGCCTTGCTGTATGCTGAGGCCCTTTGGCCATTGCCACGCTTGCAACTCCTTCAGCCATTCCCTCAGCTTTTTGGCTGCAATGGCCGCTCGAGCCCCCAAGGCTCGATCCTCTGGTGAAACCTGGGATATGCTTTTGGTAAGGAGATCCTTTGCCTGTCTTTCATGCTTGGATACAGCGTTGATAGCGGCAAGAGCGTCGAGGATTGCTTCCGGAGAGAGCCTTGCTAGTAGCGGGTCATCCTCTACGGGTAGCTGTTGCCTGCGCTTCGGAGAACGTAACGGACTATGGGGAGAGGGCGGCACAGGGACGCGGACTGCGTGCAGCGAATAGGAGAGACTCTCGGCCATCGTAATCATCGAGAGAATTACTCAATGACAAGACGAGAAAAGTTCGGCAGCCGACGCCCTTGTTGGGTAAGATGAGAAAATCGGTTATGCCCCCAGTCAAGCATGCTGAACGGATGTCGTGGTTCTTGCCGGGTACCAGCTTCCTGTTCAGTGACGGAGTCAAGAAGGACGCTGAGATGGCAGGTTTGACAGCGGATCGCTTACGAGACGATTGTGGGGGGAAGGGTCCTGGGTGACTGGTCGTGACTGGTAGAGATCCAAGTGTGTGCTACTGCTGCAAGGCGGGAAGCGGTGGGCGGTGGGTATGTAGGAGTTCGACAGCGAGCGGTGAATATTGTTTCTGGGTAATGGTGATGATGGAGCAGAAATTTTGAAGCCGAGCAAGAGACGAAAGGGGCTTGGCTGGTCGAAAATATTAATAGATGAGGTTCGAGATGGCGCCCAAGCCTAACTGTTTTGATCGCACTATTGATTGGCGATGCCCCCATTTGTAAGCAGCTGGTTTCGCAGCAACACCACACACAGCCAAACTAAGTACGGGCCATTGGTGGAATCGCTATAGTATTTTTCGACTTTTCTTTCCCTCTTCGACGTCAAATCGTACAACAACAGCTTCTCTCAGCCCGACAAAATATGTGTTTGCGATGGCCGCCCGATTCCGCCGTCCCGCTGCTCCTATTGGCCGCTCCTTACCGCGTCGCACGCGTCACAGCAGCCCCTGCTTCCGACCAATCAGTGTGCTGCCCTTTCCACGACGAACACCCGACAAGCCGGGTTGCACAACAACTTTGGAATGAATCTGATATATCCACTTGTCATGGATGAAGTGCCATTGACAATTTGGAGCTATTGTTATCGCAAAGAGATGTGATGAGTGTCTGCTTGTTGCGCCGTCATCGCCGTGTCATGCCGCCGGTAAACATTAAGACACAGTGGTATAAAGACTCAGTATGGAAGGGCGACGTGGAAACATGGGTTGTTATAAGGCCACACACAGGATGTAATCGGATCCCTGAACTATTTAATATCACTAACTGCTTATAATCATGTGGCTACAGAAACAGTATGCCTATGTTCCTGTCGCACCGCCGAGAAAGTGAGTATGCCGTATCTGCCACAAAGGCTGCCTACACCAACTGAGCATCAGAGATTTTGACATGTGTTCCCAATGAGCTGGTATCTGAATTGGAGCGTCTTGAGGACATATTCGTCATTAACCGGGAGAAACTGAAAGCCATTACTCATCATTTTGTAACCGAACTGGAGAAAGGTAACAGCTTTTTACTAACAGGACCAGTTCTGCTGGATCTCAAGCAGAGAGACGTGAGCTCCATGAAGGACTGACAGTTGAGGATGGTGACCTTGTGCGTGGGCAACTCTCCGTTGGCAACCGTCCGTACGTGTGCTGATTGTACCATACGCATAGCCTATGAATGTAACTTGGTCCTTTGGATAATTTTCTGTACACGAGACTGGCAGTTATATTACAATCGACATGGGCGGGACGAATGTACGGGTCTGCAATGTCGTGTTGACTGATCTCAAAGGAGGGGTTGACCTTGTCCAAGACAAGTTTATCATGCCAGAGGGCCTTAAAACCAGTTTTGCAGAAAAATCGTGGGACTGTTTGGCTGGCTGCATGTCTCAATTCATCCACAAACGCCATCAAAACACGGGAGAAATTCCTACCGTTCGCCTTTACCTTCTCCTTTCCAGTGACTCAACCAAGCATCCGAAGTGGTATCCTGCAAAGATGGACGTGGGATTTTGATGTAGACGGGGTCGAAGACGAAGATGTTGTTCCTCAACTCGAAAGAGCTTTTGCGAAGCGAGTAAGTTAATATGCTAGCGTCTTTCATGCGTTGCCTAGTCAAAGTTCCAGCATGTACCGGTGAGCATAGTTGCTGTTGTCAAAGATACCACCGGGACACTTGTTGCGTCTGCATATAAAGAACCAAATATCAAAATCGGCAGTATCTTCAGCACTCGTGAATTCGGCACATATGGAAGTGTGCGGGGCTATACCCAAGTTGAAGCATCACGGCTTGCCGGTTGATCTTGAAAATTGCAGCCAACGCGGAACACGGTGCCTTTGACAATGCAAAGGAGGTCTTGCCACGGACTTGGTTTGATTGCTCTATCGACGAAAACTCTTCACGACCAGGCCAACAATTGTATGAGAAGATGGTGGCCGGCTTGTACATTGGAGAGGTACTTCATCTTGTCCTTCTCGACCTTCACGGGCTTAACCTTATGTTCAAAGGACAAGATGGGTCATTGCTCCGTGGCAAAACTACAATCGACTCGCTGTTCTTGTCGACCGTCGAAGAAGATACATCCGATCGTTGCATGACATTTCGTTCATCTTCAACAAAACTCTCAACATTAAACCGCTCGCCTTGGATCGCAAGTGACCCGTTATCTGACTGAGATGGTTGCCACGCGTTCTGCTCGATTGTATTCGTGCGGCATAGCTGCCATTAGCAAGAGGAAATGCCTGGGTTCCTGTCACCTAGGCGTTGACGGTTCTGTTTTTAACAACTACTCACACTTCCGGAACAGAGCTGCTTAGGCATTGGCGGAGATACTCGACTGGTCTGAGTGTTCTGACCCTATCGCTCTGCATTCTGCCGAGGACGGATCCGGGGTTGGGGCAGCTCTGATCGCAGCGTTGGCATTGAAGAGATCTGAGCACAACTGCAGCACGTAGACATTCATCATATAGCAGTAAGCAATGAGTAGGTGCTTTTATGTAGAGAGAGAAATAAACGAAACGAGAGTTTTGCTTCGGAAGGTGCTTCGAGTAATGCTGCCACCTAAAAAGGCAGGAGCTGGTCGGTGCACGGGCCAGGCACTCAACGCGGCCGCAACTTCCCTCACGCGTAAAAATCCCAACTTCACCAGCAACAACCACCACCGAAGGACCTTGAAGCTGAATTCAAATGATCTTTGGTGTTTTCTTTTTCTTGTCGAGAGTATTTTCATGACCTTCGTCCTCAAGAAAAACCTCCTCGAGATTGCTTCAGCATGCGGTTCCGAACCCAACTCTCCAGCGTTAGCACCTTTGCCAGTAAGGGAACGATACACCTTGAGTAGACGAATTGGAAACTGACTCGGCTTGTGCCTAGAGCTTGCATCTTCTCTTACATCTTTGGGGAAAATTTGTTGGATGAGACTGGAAAAAGAAACCGTACGCTTTACAATCATTCCAGATCAGGGGACGCAGGTCTGGGCTGCATTACCTACCGTCAGTTTCTCTCTTCCAGAGACAACACTACGATCACTGACCCGACAGAATAGGAAGCAATATTTGACGAAAGCTATACGCTTGAAGCTGCTGCTGGTGTGGTTAATCTCGAAGTCCCCATCGGAGCGCTTTCTCGAGCTCTTCGATCAGCCAATGGTGCAACGTCTGCCCAGTTGCGGCTGACCAAGAAAGGCAACATTCCGCTGCTTGCTTTAACTATTATTTCTTCTTCACTCGTCCCGGGGAACGTTCCTTTAGGTGTGGATGCTGACAATGAGCTTGCTAGGCCTAATCAAGGATATAGGGAAGAAATGAATCAGTCTGCTGCTCGTGAACGCGAAACCGTGATTACGCAAGAAATACCAGTCAAGGTCTTGCATCAATCTGTAGTCGATGGCTTACACGAGCCGCACTGTCGGGATCCAGATGTTCACATCATCTTACCGAGCTTGGCTCAATTAAAAGCTATTTCGGATCGCTTCACAAAACTTGCGACTAGTAGTAGCAAGTCAAGTGGGGGTCCCTGGACGTCCGCAGCTTTTGGCCCAAAATTAGAATTGAGTGCTAATATGCATGGTTCGCTTAAGATTGGCATTGCGACGGATTCATTGCGTATCTCAAGTGTCTGGACGGGACTAGTTAATCCCCCGCTTGATCCCAACCAAATGCCAGACACGGATATGGACCAACTTCCTAGTGAGCGTATGAGGCAACTTGGTGCTGAAGCAAATGGCGACGATGAAGCGGGTTGGGCTAAGGTACGAATCGATGGGAAGGACTGGGGGAGAGTTCTCAGTGTCGGCAGGTTAAGCCCTAAAGTCGTGGCTTGTAGGTCTGTCTAACCCCATGATGAATGTGCGATCTGATTGTAATCTAGGTTTCATACACGAGTCGGCCTTGATTCTTTACGTTTACCTGCGCGGGGGCTTCTCAGGGGAGGAGTCATGTTTGACTGTAAGTCTGCTACGTTCAACCTAACACTTCGTCAATTACTTACGAAATAGTATTACATTAACTCTTATTCGACTTGACAACTGGATTTCTGAATCTCCACTTGAGACACCCGATGCTCGCTATGTGAATCAAGTGTCTTTCGCACAGAGCATCCATTAGTCTTTGCGAGTAACTGCACCGAGATAAATGGAGATATAACCGCCAGACGTTGGGATTGCGTCCTACCATGAAATATTTGCATGCCTGCATCACAGTCGTATGAATTCGACTAGTCCTTGTTGGAATTTTCAACAATGTACCGCTGCTCGGAAATCACCTCTGGCCATATTGACCCCATATTTCCTTTTTCATAGGTCATCATGCCCCCCTCCGGTGGACCCCCAAAATTTACTTTCTTGGTGATCAGTGATTGCCAGGGAGGCCCGATTATGATAGAGGCGATTTGGAGGGGTAACGCTAGCACGTATCACATGAATTATTCGTCACTGTAACAATTCAAATAGTTACAGTCATGAAAAGGAGAACTATTCTCCTCCTTGCTATGATTGCATCTTCAGACACGGCCGAGGTTAATTGTTGATACTAATTCTATATCCGTGGTTGAGTCACCGAGGTAACTGCTCGATGGGATACCAATCATGCAAATCTTCACGCAGAGTCTTCACCGAATGGTCGGAAACATTCAGCATACGTCCTATCCTTTACATGAGAGAAATCACACAGGGGTTTTATCTGAGATCTCCTAACGGACCGGAGTTTAAAACATAGGGAGAGATTTTCGGAAATTGGAAGGAATCGGTCTCGTCGAATAAATTTTCGCTAGTAAGAACATCCGAAAATTGGATGACAGAGGCTCTCGGATATTGGTACCAGCGATTAAAATCGACCTTGAGAACAGTGAAATATGTCATTGGCATAGGAAAAAAGAAGGAAAATGATCGATGGCACCCACTCAGAGTCCGAGCGAAAGAAAGAGAGAATAGAAAACGTCGACGCTACTGTGAATGTGATGTGTTTATCTACAAAACCAGGATAATCGGAGTGCTATTCAGATGTGGAGCACAGAAGCAAGGAGTCGGAGCCATCAACTTTATTATGATCGGGACAGAAGATCATCCCTACCCACCCCGCCAAAGCTATTCATTTCTGGGACGTTACTTTGTAGATATGTTTGAACTATTCAAGGCACTGACGTATTGGATTGACGCATCTTACATTCGTGCCTACCAATTCGCATAGCACTGCAGCCAAGCTCAGCTCTGCCAACACTCATTGACCGCGCTCCTGGACACTGCTTGTCATGACTAATAGTGCTGGAAATTATGCGAGGGACAGACAGTCGGAGGGTTACCTACATCTCAGTGACGCGACTTTCGATGCTGTTGGTCTCGAGTTTTCCTGTAAAGTCTGGCGCGGAACACGACGAAAGGGGCCATCCAATACATAGCTAGGATGATTCTGATTGATAAATCCTAGCATGCCATTCTATACTTTTGAATCTAGTCATATTTTTTGTCTTCTCCAAACCTTTGTTTCATGGACTTAGAACGTCATGCAATGCCAGCACTGCCCGAAACGTTTCTTCGACCGGTGAGCTGACGCGTTATTTCGTGTTAACGTGTCTTCATCTCAGACTAATCAAATATATACAAAGGGACGAGTTTGACATCCATAAAAAGTCCCATAGCGACCGGCAGCGAGAGATCCAAGATCCTAATACCGAGATAGGAGCTTTCCTCAAGGCTAGCGCTCCGGAGGGACCGCGAAAGTCCGTCTTACAAGCGTCAACTTTGCTTTCACACTGGGATGGAGCCTGGGCAGATAGTACGAGAATCTTTCTCAGCTCATCGTGGACCAAATAACTGATAGGAATGGCAGAATACGATCAAGCAAGCGCCGACATTAGAAGTTTTCAAGACGTTTTGCGAAAGTTCCCTCCCAGGCCCAACAAAGATGGATACACCACCGAGCTCAGGGATGTTCTATGTGCGGATTGTGACGCAATTTTCTCGTCGAGGTAAAATCCAAGCGAAGCGCATCCTTTGAAGGTTGAAACTGACCGATATAGGGCCGAGTTAGAGAATCATCGCTTCACCAAATTCTGCCCCGGTGCAGCGATACTGGTCCATGTCATGACAAGAGATAAGTATGGAAACATTGCTTTGAAGATTGCTGAATGATGCTGACATGTGCAAAATCCACAAAGACTTATCAATAAGGGCTACAGAATCGAGAAGAGACTGGTTCCTCTGGAAAGCTCTCCCCTACGAGTCCCCTGCGGCAAATGTAAAGAAATCTTCTCAAGTGACGAAGCGAAAGAAGCTCATGAAAGCATACGTATGTATTGAAACTTCAGTGTTGAAATTGAGTACTTACACCTTGTTAGATGAAACACATGATTTCATATGCCTGCAATGTGGTCAGAAATGCGATACTCCGTACGCTTGCTTGAGCTTCTGATTTGATGATTAAAGTTTAACTCTTATTTAGATATGAGCTGCGGCTACACTACGACTACCATGATGATATGGAGTTCCGACAAGCTCGAAAGGAAGTAAAAGCTGTTCACAAAAGAGCATCTAGCCACCCGCATACGGCATCGTTTTCTATCCCTTTGAGTCCCACCGAGAATGTCATGAGACGAGTGCACAAGCGGAAGTCCCAGAGACTTCTTAATGCCTGGTCGCTGAAAAGTATGCACCTCAATCTTTGTGAGCTCAATGTAACTAATTCGATCAGAAGCCGGAAAGGGAGAAGATGGTGAGATTGTTGCGGTTGCCTTCTCACTTCCGGAGGACATGGAAAGAGGTGAGATTTTATTTCGATTCATTGCCTAGATCTCTGTGGCTACGGTGGTTCAGAGTACTGACATACAAATAGTCCATGCTGCAGAAGGCACACTCCAAAATGTTGAGGCGGGTGATGTGATAGACTTCCCCATTAATCAGTTCACCACTTGGTTGGATATGAGGGATACTGACGGTAAGTTTCATCTGAGAATTCATGGCGCACTTTTAGTAACAGTCAGTTACCAGATGATAAATGCATCGATTCGCCAGTATGTAACGAGAAAGAGAACTTTTCAGAACAGTATCGGTCGTCTTTGAACGAAAGCAAGGGTGCTTTAGCTCCTCGTCGAATGTCCCTTCTCAAATCCGTTTTTGGGCTGAAACTATCGAAAAGTATGTGAAAAGCAACCGGTCTTACCTGCACTGTTACTAATCAACAAAAATAGGACTGTCAAGGTCCGATGCCTCAGCGAGTCAACCTCGAAAGTTAATGAAGAAAGAGCACTCCGTGCGGTTTTCCTTTGTATCAAAACCCAAGAGGAGTGCAGAAACCGCAAGAAGTGAAAGCCGTACCAGCAACAGAATTCTCGAGCAGATAGATAACAGTGTCGAAATAAGTTCACCTCGCTCACTCCATGCCGGTGAATACTACGCCAACCCGTTCATCCACATGCGGATTACTCCGGATGGCGCCATTGTTGAAGATTTATCGGGAAGGCGACGTGTTCTTCAACTAGAGCAAATTGCTTATATATATTCTATTGTCTCTGCTGATTCTTCACTTGCTACGCCGAGATCTCAGATTGATTCCATACAATTCCGCGCGGAGAAGTGTGTGGAAGACGGACGTCTCAAAGAGGCTATCGTGGCATATAAAGAGATCTCGGATATTCTCAATGAGCATCCAGCGCTGGACACGAATCTGCGAGCTAGATCTGGAATCTTGCATCGGATCGGTTATATATATAGCGCTCTTGGAAGGGCAGGAGAATCGGAGCATTACTTCCTGAAGGCGTTGGCCATCTACCGGAGGTTATACGGACGCGACCAACGCGTTATATACACGTTGCTGAACGACATTGCTAAGCTGTGCGAGCGAGACGGGTATGCGACAGAAGCGTCGGCTCTTTATGAACGAGTGCTAGCCGGTAGGCTAAGGGTGCTGGGACATAATGACCCAGAGACGTTGAACTCTATGCAAGAACTAGCCAGTATAAAATCCAATCTTGGAGACCTGGAATCAGCTTTGCAGTTGCTTGAAGATGCTGTCCCTGCATTTGAGACAGTTCTGGGCCTTCAAAATGAAAACACATTGGTTTCCATGAGCATTCTGTCCGTCCTTTATCAGAAGCTTGGATTGAACGAAAAGTCACTTGCAGTTTCACGGAAGATGCTTCCGCACTGTAAAACTATTGTTGGGTATGACAGCTCCTTGACGCGCAATACAGTCATGAAATATCTTGAGGATTCTGGGAACTTTGACTTCCCAACCGACCTCAAACAGATCATTGATCACTATCGCCGTTCCAAATCTGCCGAGAGCTTTCGCGTATTGCAAACTCTGGGAAGAGCATACATGGACGCTGGACTTAACCGAGACGCTTGCGAAGTATTTTTATCTCTTCTAGATGATACTAATGGTGCAAAGGGACTGGACTCGTTGGAATTCTTTGACGCGCTGAGTGCACTATGTGTAGCTTTGGAACATCTCGGGCATTTAGACGAAGCTATCAAGAATTACGGACAGCTTTTGCAATCAATTCAGAAAACACCACTAGATCATCCATCGCGGTCACGCATGGACTATGCCAGGAGCCGAGTGACGGATTTAATCCATCGGCGAGAGGTATTGACGGCCGAGAGACGCGCGTGGGAGATGTTTGAAGACGGACCTTGTGTATCATGTCAGTCAAATACAACGTCCCTGTGCAACAGTAAGTCTACACAATGCGAAAGACAAACTTAGGTATGCATGACTAACTCCTATTAGCCTGCCACATTGTCCGGTTTTGCAACGCTGTTTGCCATGAGAAAGGAAGTGTGAAACACAAATCATCCTGCATTCCGTCCGTGACACTCCGGGAATCTAAATCTGTTGCAATCACTCCACGATGCCCTCCTTCTGTGCAGAGTGATGCGCTTCAAATGATTCTTCCCAGCGAGAGAGGTACCGCACCACCCAGCATCACCGCGAGCCATACTGTATATCTTGACCCTCGCAACTTCACCACGTTTCGAATGAAACTGAGTTCCAACGTGAACACTCTCCTTGTGTTTTCCCCCGAAGCCGACATCCGGTACACAATCATGGGAAATATTTCCGAGTCCGAATCCGACCAAGCCACTTTACCAACAACTTCTTTTTCAAGATTGGAAGGGAAAAAGCCATTAAATGTGACTTCTTCTACACTGGGGGGCCACCAGTGGCTCACTCCATCTTCCCAGGATTCAGTATCAATCACACCGATGGAACAGACAGCTGCGATTTATCTAGTTGTGGCCCCGGGTGAACAGATGATGAAAAACTTGGTGGAGAAGCGGGTGCGTGCTCGCAGTGGAGGTGGAGAGAAGGAATATTTTGAAGCCCTAGACATTCCGGATTCAAAACTCATCGAGTATGCCCAGGGTTTATCAATGAATGGGTATATGGGAGAAGCATTTTTGTATATTGTAGGGTGGATGTGATTTGGTTTTCGTTTCTTACTTTGTATCCTTTCATTTAGAAGACGGCTTAGAATATTTTTTCTCGCAAGATTTAATAATCATTATATTCAATAACAGATCTATCCCTTCCAGCTTGTGTTATCCAAACCCTACATCTTGTAAAGACAGCAGTTTTTTCACACTTACCATCAGAGGAAATCATTGCATAATTTGACCTCCATGTCCGCTGAAGTAGACATCGTGTATGATGCTTCAGAATCAAGGTATTTTTGATTACGCGCACTATCTGCATTGACTCTTTAATAGAGATGGAACGAACCCATGCATAACCCTGGTCTGAAGAGCAATATTCTAGGAGGATTATAAATTTATAGTTCTCTAGCTCTGACTGTATGTGTTTATACCATCTTGTACTTGATGGAATTAATTACATCTCCTTATCCTAATCCACCTGACACTATCCGACATCAAATCTGACAGGAGTTGTGTGCAATCGATGCCCTGAGCATTATAACTATTACCGGAAGTATAATAGTATGGAAAGCCACTGTGTATTAGTATTGTATTAATCCCCTAGGAGCGAAAAAGTACACTATAGCTTGCTTCATGAGAGACTTTGAGCAGATTATGATGAATCCGGTGCACTTTTACCCGCCAAAAATGGCCCCCTAATCCACTTATAACTTAGTCTTCTTTATCAAAAACTGTATATCTTATTGCCAACGAAATGCTCGAATAATCCATCTATCGAGTGTCTGCTAAAATCTGTAAAAAGTGTTGAAAAAAAAAATGGATATGAGCAGTGGGAGCTCGAGTGCAAGTCCGGGTGGTGGTTGGTTGAGTGCTTCAGGTGTTGACTTCTCTAATAAGACTCAGGCTGCGGCTTTCTTGCATGATCTCAAGCATCAGATGTTCCTGCCCATCCAGGGCGCTGCTTATGCCAGGTATTTCTGGTATGGGATCATCGTGGTGGTGGTTGTCACTGCCATCTTCAACAGACTTTGGGAGCTGATTCTACGTAATAGGTGACTGATTCTTGTTACTTCATCCTCTTATTTTGAACATATTGACTGTGGACTAATCGGCTGTAAAGAATCCGCGCCAATGCAGCAAAACAAATACATCCTGCAAAACCAAAGATCCTGTTCATGAAGGCTTTATCTACAGTGACTGCAATTATCCGGGAGGCTTCATACCTCCAGTTCACCCCGGCGAGACGTTCGAGCTGTGTTATGTTCCCCTCAGTCGGCTCCATATACATTATTCTGGCCTATTTTGGCTTCATTGTGGGCCTGACATTCACAAACAATAATATTCCCGAGGCTGGTCATTGGCAATCGCTTGGAGTACGTGCTGGATGGATTGGTGCCGCCCAGGTTCCATTGCTCGTGCTCCTTGCAGGGAAATTCAATATCATTGGTTTCATCTGCAACAGCTCCTACGAGCGATTGAATATATACCATCGCTGGGTTGCCCGGGGCCTCCTTCTTCTCTCAACCTTTCATTTTGCATTTCAGAATCACGGATGGGATATATTTCATATTAGTGATCTAGAATGGACTACCGATACCTGTCCAATCTATGGTATTAGCGCCTATGCCTTTATCTTGTGGATGAACCTTACTACGTTCGCGCCTATACGGTATTTCTCTTACAGGTTCTTTGTGATCCAGCACATGCTCACCTACTTTGGATTTATCATCGCACTTTCATTCCATCTCGATACGTCACCTGGGCCACAGTCACAGAACTATGTCTATGCCACCGTCGCTATCTTTCTCATCACCAACATCGCCCGCATCGTCCGTTACATCTACTACAACATCCGGCCAGGTCGAGCCAGCTTGGAGTCATTAGAGGGAGACGCCACCAGGATCCGAATCTCAAGTCGACTGATCAAAACATGGACGCCGGGCCGACATGTTCTAGTCGCCATTCCCGGAATAGAGCTCTATTTTTCCATTCCAGCAACAATCATTTCCACCCCAACTTCTCACAATGGAGACATTGTGTTGCTTATGAAACCCCACAAGCGTTTCACCAAGAGATTGTTCAGTGCAGCTGGATCTTCACCTCCGTCTTCAGAGTTTAGCACCGACTACTCCAATTCTCCGCCAGTAAAATCCTACGTGACCCTCATTGATGGTCCCTATGGGGGTTCCCACTCGGACTTTGCTTGCTTTGACACCTTGATCCTCATTGCCGGATCAACAGGGGTGACGTTTGCTTTGTCGAATCTCCTTGCTATTGCACACCTCGCTGCAACCGAGAAGATCCCTCTCCGGATCGTACGTTTTATTTGGGTTGTTAAAAAGCACAATTGGATCTCCTGGGTTTCAGAGGAGCTAAAAACATCATTTAATCTCCTTCACGATGCCGGGATTGAAGTTTGTATAGAAGTATATGCCACTTGCGACGATTCCTTGGCTGACCCAGCAGACTCGAACGGATGCCAATGTGATGATAACTGTAATTGTTGTAAACCATCTCAATCTGAAAACACACACTACCTTCCGTCATCGGAAAAGAGTGCCATACCAGAGAACATCTCTACCTTGAACGGTGCTCCCAAGGCGCATGTGACGTCGTGCCCCGACTTACGCAAGGGTCGGCCTGCTTTTGGTGAGATTATGAGAGAAGCCGTTGTGCATGCAGGAGGTGAGGTTGCAGTCGCAGCCTGCGGGCCCCTTGGGCTTTTGGTATCAGTGCGGTCTGCAGTGGTAATAACCAGTGACGATTTAGCTGTTCATAAGGGTACTGGATATCAAGGTATCTACCTGCATGTCGAGAGTTTCAAGTGATTGTTGTTGGCAGATACCTCCATGTAATTAAGTTACAAGACAAAGAACCACATCCCTGGTACTCATGTCCGCTTATATTCATTTCCTGGACTACATATGACCACCGCAATGGTCGAGGACGTATGAGCCCTTAGTGATACAGCTCAAAAGTAGTGTTGCCAGACACGACTCATTCGTTCCGGTGTGCTTTCTTATACTCAGAATTATTACTCTGTCATTCTATCCAATGCCACTCTTGGGTGCCAATTCAGCACTCATGCATGTGACCATGAGGTATTTTACTTTGAATTATCTGTACCCCATTCCGCGCATCAGTTTACCATCAATAAGTAGGAAAGCCTAGCAAAACAGAATGCCTACTCGGTCTTCAAACACTTGATGGAAATAATAGTGCTAGCGATATGGCAAAAAACAGGGAGTACGTATTATAGCTTTAAATCCATTCATATAATGAAAACTACCAGGAGGCGCATTATAACGCTAGAAAAGTATCGACTTTTTGACCTATGACTTTGGTAAGATGTTATATATGCTTTCCTACAAATAAGGAAGGAAGATGTAGATACATAGTACATTAAACAGCGCGCAGGTTGGCCATGATGCCAGGTTGCAACTTTTCCAGCTTTTTGCATAGCAGTTCCCAAACATAGTTGCCTCTTTTGACACCCTCATCGCTTGTGACTATATCTTCGTATATTAGCTGTCCATCTGACTGTAGATATTGGCCATGTGTCTCTCTTCCGGAAGAAGCAGCTGTCACTATCCTTCTGGCTCCTTCCTCTGCTGGGCGAGCAAAGACAAATTCAAACCCTTTGAACATCAATTTGATTTGAAAAGGAAGCTCCCTGGCGATCCCAGTTTTGCAGAACATTGGATCGACGGAGTTGATGACAATGGGGTTTGGATCTTGAGATTTGAGCGGATCAACGATCGAAGATAGTCTGATGATTGCCCAGTTAAGCATGAGCTTCGAAATGTGATATCTAGCATAACGTCCCATCAGCGGTCTTTTCTTTGCTCTCGGCACCATGATGATGCTACGGCTTACTGGTTTTGACTCGCCATAATCACATTCTTCTCGTCACCCATATAGGCAAAAATGTCGTCGCCAGGATTATCAGGGTACTTTGCAAGCCTATACAAAGCCGACTCTGTAAAAGTCATATGCGGCGGCCCCCCGAATGCCTTTGCAGTTTCCTTCAACTTAGGAACAAGTTGAATTGCAAGCAACATTGTGCCAATGACATTCACACCTACAGCCTGCTCTGTCCCATAAGAACGGCTGTAGTGCACAGTCGAGACTCCAGCATTATTGAGCAACACGTCTAACCGGGGGAGCTTTTCGGCACGGTCGACAAACGCCTTGACTGAGGTGGCGGACTCAATATCGAGTTCCCAGACTTCGAGCACGCCTTCACTGCATCCCAACGCAGATAGGATGTCAAGCTTTGCTTGCTCGCCCTTAGATTTGTTACGGCAGGCAATGATCACTTTGCTAGCCCCGAGGCGAACAAGGTGTTTGGCAGATTCTTTTCCCAGCCCTGAATTACCGCCAGTGACGATGGCGTATTTGGAAGCAAATGAAGCAGTGGGTTTGGGAACATTGAGCACCCATTGCCGGTAGACAAAATGGCCAAAGTAGGAGGGCATGATTAATTTGAACGGTTCAATTAGAGGATGATAGCAAAGCAAATCTGCACTTGCTCTCAGATAGGATGATTGACGCCATTGATATAGAAATCCGTAATACAAAGGGCAAAATATGTCCATGGAGATATCCGAGCCTGATGAAGCAGTAATATGAAGCCCCCCCAAAAAGTCCACGGAGATATTTGAGGCCTATGAGTGGCTGGCACGTCTAGACATGACAAGGATGCCGGGAAAAGCGGCAGAAGCGTTGCGCTAGTGCTAGGCATGCATCTGAGATAAATCCAGGCCACGTACGTTTTACTACCTCCCTACCCCCTCCATGAGACTTATGCAACAATCTTCCCCTCGCCATGCAGCGTGAACGACGAACCATACCGGCTCCTTTGCCCGTTCATCTCCACAAACCCGGTCGAAAGGCCCGAATTCCGCTTTCGTGTGATCCTTGCCGCTCCAGAAAGTGTGTCACTCGACTAACTACCCCGAGTAATAGGGGTTTGGCCCTTAGTTAAAGGCAAAAAGATGCTGACATAGCTAGGCTAAAGTGTAATCGCGAAATGCCCTGTCAGAATTGTGCGGTTCGCGATGAACAGGCAAGCTGCAAGTACAGAGGCACCAAAAACACGCCTACACCGATAGCCCGTGAACAAGACAATCATGAGGTATCGATGCAGCGCCGCATACAAAATTTGGAAGATCTGGTCAAAAGACTCATAGTCCAGGGCCACGGCCAGGTAAATGTAGCCAATCAGCATCTGAATTCTTCGGATGTAGCATCTATTGCAGATACAGGCTCAACCGTAATCGATGGCGTCCATTCCGTTTACAAAGTTGCAGACGATTGGCATAATGTACTAGAAGAGGTTTGTGGTTTACTTTCTATCAACAATTAACTTATGAAGCGACGTCAAACTAATTCTTCATCAGATCAACAGGCTGAAACAGACCTGGAGCCAAACCCAAGATGACCACACTGATCATGGTCCTCTATCATACACGGAGGCTGATGGAGCAAGCTTGCTATTCGGCCAAGTCAAACAAATAGAGAGAGCAGAGATATTAGCGACTTTGCCATGTAAACCTGAAGTTGATGAGTTGATAAGCCAATTCTTTGACGCCGTAACCTTCCCTCTAGCAGTTCCTCGTACGTTGAACAGTGTCTCGTGTTAATTACAAGCTCACAAACCTACTAGCTATCTTGCATGAGCCAACTTTCATGCGCGAGGTATTCAACTAACCCACTTGTATTGAAGTCGTTACTAATCTGTAATAGTACAATGAACATTGGCGAGACCCGTCCCAGACAAATATTATATGGTTAGGCTTGCTCTTCTCTATCCTCAGCACAGTCATGCTCTCCTATCACCAATGGGATGAGCCACCGCGGTACTATGGGATCTCAGAATCACTGTTTCAACTGTACCGGCTGCGCACAGCCCAGTGTCTTATTATTGGAGATATTGCCAAATGCCTTCCATATACAATTGAAACCTTACGCTTTAACGCAACCGCCGAGCTCAATCGACAAGATGATAACAGTCGGGGTCTATGGATTATAACGGGGGTCATAGTACGGGCTGCAATAAATATGGGATATCACCGTGATCCTTCTCAGTTGTCCTCCCTTTCTGTGTTGCAATCAGAGTACCGGCGCCGAGTGTGGAATGCAGTAACTCATATGGATGACTTGGCCTCGTTTCTAGTCGGATTCCCTCGCATGATGGCCGCAATCTATTCGGACACGAAAGAACCACGCAATATTCACGACTGGGAGTTAACCGAAGAGACAACCGTTCTTCCGTCATCAAGACCATTAACTGAGCCTACCTCGGTGACCTACATGATTGTTAAGGGACATATAGCTCATGCTCTCGGTCGCATTACCGATTTCAACAATCTTCCGGGTCTAGGTTCGTACGATACTGTACTCAGCCTTGACAAATCCTTGCATGAAGCATATCAGAACATGCCTCCGCACATGAGGGTTTTTCACCTCAAAGGAGAACTGAAATCCTCGAGTAGCCAATCTGTCATTACTAGCATGCAACTCGAATCCCTTTACCACAAAGGAATGTGTACTCTCCACCGTAAGTTTATCGCGAAAGCTAGGTTGGATCCTCAATACGCACTTTCTCGTGATCGATGCCTTTCCTCAGCCTTAGCAATCCTAGATTACCAGCCCCTGCTAGAACCATCCTGGTATAAATTTTCGGGGGTCAGGCAGATGCTGGCTTTCGTGGCTATGATATTATTTCTCGAATTAGAACACGGACGAAGGGGCCCAGAGTTAAGCACGCCAATTGAGTTTGATTGTGCCCCTCTTTTGCAAGCGTTAGAGAAATCCTGCGCTCTTTGGAGTGAAGCAAAGAAATCTTGTGAGGAGGCCAACGGAGTATGTCAAATTCTCACGGGTATGCTTTCGAGCTTTCAAACTCCCTCGACGACTCAGAGGAGGAAAAGTCCTGATCTGCCGCTTGAAATCCCGGGATTTAGTCCGCTGTTTCAATCAACTGATCGCCGTGGCTCCATGAAGAAGGATATATTTCGAAATTTGAATGATGAAATAGATATTGATTGGGTTCGTCTCTCTTGATATACCAAAGTAATTACGTACTAATTAATGAACAGGCTACATGGGATGCGTTTATCGACGAAGCGAATTTTGAAGACGGATTTTGAGGTCAAGATTCACAGGCTCTGAGTTATAATTTGGTAGTAAACGTCTTACGTCAGATTTTATTCATGTCTTCATGGAGTCCCTTGAAATCGCTTTCTTTCCTATCTTTGTCATCTATTTTTAAGAGGGTTGTTATAGTTCTAGTTCATATTTCTCCTCAACTTCTTCCTCAATGGCTCTTGCCATAACCCCTTAGCAACTATGCATTTTGATGAGAGCCTAATTAGAATCAAGATTTGGTCGACTTATTTCTATAGCTTCTGATTTTATCGCCATTTTGGAGGTTGTTATCCGTAAATCGTGCATCTATTACCAAGGTACCTTGTCAGATCTAATCAGATAACGACACATTTGACAAGACATACTTATTTCATGGACGGTCGACATCATCAGTTCACCTCCACATTCTGTACACGAACCCATGTGAGGATACCATTCAACCCACCAGCCTGCACTCGTTAGTTTGACTCCTTCTTCTCACAGCTTACCACAAAGAGTAAATACCACAGGTTTCTCCGTCTCCAACACCAGCCGGTACCCCGTCAACGTTGCCAGGCGTGTCTGCACAGTCCCAACCCAGTTAGGGAATGAGCTGACCGTTACATGATGTCGAAGGATGAATTTATTGGGCTCATCCTGCTTTTCCACCGTATAGGTGCCGGCGTATGCCAGTGAATGCTCCATCGATCGAACTCTTTCCTCGGGTGTCCCATCGTGCGGCGAGGCGTTCGCATGTGGCTTTGCTCCAGGCTTCATAAGATTGGCCGACATGACTCCCTCAGGTGTGTACATGATGAAGCCTTGGGCGTTTGTCCCTAGTGGGAAGATGGCATTGCCGCTGTCGTTGGTGACCAGGCGATAGTCTGCGAGGGACCAGCCGCCAGCGAGTTCAGAAAACGGCATGGCAGATCGATACGTTTGTAGGCGTTTTGCTAGAGTTTGTAACCCGAATTTTCCCATGGTTTAGGTGGACTGATCATGTACCTGAATACTTAAGGCATACCTGAATATATACTCACTACGGCGTATATGGATCAAATACTAGCCTTTCCTCTAACTACCTAGCTTCCACCGTGCTATGATTTAGTAACATACTTGAATGTCTAGCCAAACCCTAAAACACAGCAATTTGTGGACCGAAGAAAACGCTGGACAACAAGGTAAGTTAGTTATGGAGTGGCTCTGCTTAGTTAACAACACCGCCGCTGTAACGTAATCCACACCCGAGCGGATCACACCACCGAGCGGATCACTCAGCTCCAAGAAAGCGTCTTGTATAGATTTTAAACCTCAATTTTCAACCCGAAATAATAATTATATACAAAAAATTAATTAGTAATACGATTAGGGCATTGAGGCCTTCTATGCCCGAAAATTCCACACTCACTACATTGAAATTGACGGCGTACACGTGGTTGAGAGGCCGGAAGCTCAGGCTCGGCCGGAGCAGTAGTAGGAGCTTGAGATGCCTCAATTGGCCTATTTATAAGTGCCTGAGCATCCTCTCTAGTAATTCCTTGCTCATGAGATATCTGCTTTTTAGATCGTGTACGCTTTCGCTTCTCTTTCTCATGTGCAGCTCGTAAATCGTGAACTTCCTTCCGTATAATAAGAAGCTCGTTAATACTGGTCTCGTACGCCTTTGACATGCGACTAATTGCTTCATCAATAACTTCAGAGGGGCTCCTTGTACGCCGGCTGATTCGTCGCTTAATCGTACTCAATTGGCGTTTGAATTGGCGTGGATTTTGAGGTGTCTGTAAGCATGATGATTGAGAATCACTAGGTGGATTAGGAGGTGGTGTTGGAGTCTTTAATCGGATAGTAAGTTGACTATAAACTCGATCTGGATCCAATGGAACTAATCCAGTTGCTTTGAAGCCATTCCGAATAGTCTCAGCTTTATATGCCATCGTACGGGCCTCTGGAAAAGCAGTAAGAAAGTCGATTTTATCAATATGATTAAAGCCGAGTCTCATCCGCTGCTCAACAAGCTTTCCATATTGTCGCTTTAGAACTGCAAAACAGCTAACATCGAGAGGCTGTAAGAGATGCGAGGAATGTGGAGGCATGCAGATTGGGATAATCTTATTCTCAGTGCATGTACGATCAAATTCGGCAGTTAAATGGCTTCCATGGCCATCGAGAATTAACATTCGATATTGTCCGATTATCCGGCCATTTGTATGAGGAATAAAGTGATTGATGAGCCAATCCATGCTAATCTGATCTGTTGTCCACCCATTATCACTAATATTGATCTTCCAATCATCTGGAAGGGTCTCAAACCAGCCTTCCTGGGAGTATTTAGTAGCTTTAAAGATCACGTACGAGGGCAAGGCCCAGCCAGTAGAGTTGACTGCCTCAATTGCAGTTACCCATTCTCGATTACCAGGCTGTAGTAGATGTGGACGGCCATATCGATCGCTTCCAGTAATAACCTTTGCGCTCGCGCAGAGGCCCATTGCAAAGCCAGTCTCATCAAAGTTATAGATATCCTCCGATAGGATTCCATACTTGGCTATAGCCTCTCGTACGCGATCAAAATATTCCTCAATTATCTTCGGATCTTCGCATTTAGCACGCTCGTAGTTATATCTTCGTGAAAATCGTGTTTTTAGCTCTGAGCGACGTTTGACTAGGTTATAAACCCAGTTCTCGCCAACTGTTTGATTTCCATGTTGAGAAAGAAGAATATTGGCCATATCTCGTACCATAGAGGGTCGGGGAGGTAATCCTCGCTTATCTAGATCTAATATCCATTTAATAAGCGATTCCTCTTCAAATTGAGTCAATTTATGCCCATTTGCACGTATCTCAGCTTTCATTGGGATACCATTGAGGCGGCGCGAGAGAGTTGTATATGGCACATTATAAGTGCGTGCTGCATGACGAATTGATGATAATTTTCCATTTTTAAAATCGGATATAGCTAATAAGATTCGTCCTTCTTGTTCCTGAGAATTTGATTGATTTTTATTAGGAATTGGTGGCATATTGGCGCGTTGAATATAGAGAGTTGACTCATTTGACGCGCTCGGAGTTGAGTGATCCGCTCGGTGGTGTGATCCGCTCGGGTGTGGATTACGTTAACTAGTTGGTGGAAGTGTAATATTGTTCACCAAAGACCCACTATATGTCGCCCTTTTTTGGCATGGTGGTAGGATAGGTTGCCAAATTTAAAATTCCACCCAATAGAAAATGAGAGATACAGCTGCCATGAAATTTGATTACATATCGGAATACCCAGCTTTTGCACAATGAAGGAAGTTCCGAGATAGTCAGAACGGACATTTAAGCTGATTTATAATGAAAATAATATAACTATAATAATGGTAACCAGGATTTTTTCAACAGGGGGCCGCTTTTTATGAACAATAAATGGCCAACAAAGACACAGAGTTTGGCAACTATCCACAAAACTCAATCTTCTTCGCCGAAGCGTTTCAAGGAAACCAACATCAGATGGCGCTTTAACCTTATGATATCTTCCCGAGGCATGATGATATTAAGCATGAAATCAAGATTTGTCTTCTCATTTCTTTTCGAACGAGAATAGCTCATGCCTCTGTTTCAACGACTCTCGAAGTGATTGTCGGTCTCTCGTTTTGGGAGTCACTCAGATATCTCTCGTCCTTGAACTGCTGCTGTACGAGTTCAAACACCCTTTCTTGGTAGTCTGTAAAGCATATATTAGTAAAAGCCACTTTGAAATATCAAAAGGCATATCCTACAAGCAACCCCACTCTCCTTCTCTGGGTTCAGGATACCCTCCCCGTACACGCCTCTCTCCAAATTGGTTTGCGCCTTCTCGCACAATTCGAAATCTTCAATGGCTACCTGCCTGGTGAACTTGAAGTAGTCCTCAAACTTATCGCCTTCCTCAATATGGTAGTAATCAAACTCCATCCTAGTAACACCGGGGTTCTCGGTTGGACAAACCCTGAACGAACTCATACCGCCGCCGTAGACGTTCAAAGTACAAGTCGGGAAGAAGTATAAGAATAAGCCGTCATCCGGCTTCTTTGGGTCGGCAACATGTTGAGAGAAGTTCTGGTGATTATAAACTGTGTAGAAAGTAGGAGGGTAGTAGACACTGAAAGATGGGTGTGTATACTGGCAATGCAGACATTCCTGATATCCGTCAACCATGGTTTTCCAGTTGAAGTTTCCCTCGTATCGAATGCTTCGTCGATAGGGACGCTTTGTGAAATCAACTCTAGCTAGTAGCTGTTCAAGGTCCCCAAAGAATTCATGAAACGATGGTGCTGAAGAAGACAGCGTTGCAAACAACAATCCTGTCGGCGTCACATGGCTTGGTAGTTCGGCGCCCTAAGGTAATCATCAGAGAACACGTCTTGTGTGTGTTTATGATATGCGCTTCCATGAATGTACCGTGCTGGCATCGAATACTTTCAGGTCCTTTGGGCCTGGAAATTCAGTTGTTGCAGACTCTCGCACTGCATATATCTGCTGCTGTGCGATTTCGTAGCTGACCTTCTCTCCCACCTCAAGAAATCGAACAACGGGTCCGAGTAAATACCATGACTAGATAACGAAGATGCATGTAGTTAGTTTTATTATCTTTTTTCAAATTTCCCAATTGTTCGATCATGCATATTACGCAGACCTGACCTTACCTTCAAAAAAACAGCCCGTCTCTCCAGCTGATATAAAGGCGAACTGCAATACCACGACGCCGGCAATGTTCGAGTCAATTCCGCCATTTCGTTGACTTATAAACTGTTATCCTTAGGAATAAAAATTGGGATATCCTGAACGGTAAAGTTTACAGCATAGGAACCTGCTGATTCTATACCTTTGTTCTCCATACATATTTTTTTCCCGTGCTATTGGCTGGCGTATCTTGTTTCCTTGTTGGGACATTAGATCCCGAAAGCGTAATAAAGCATTGGCATCTTATTTTAGGGAGCTTGTTTTCTGCAGCTAAACCTAAACATTTATCCGATTGTATCCGATTTGCTGTCGAAGATTGTGATTCGTGATAAGACACTGTTTATGCGTTATCTAGGTAGATCGGACATGGCTTCTACGCCAATGCTGATGCACGTACGTAATAACCTGCGATGAAGATTGGCGATATTTTCTCGCTCTTGCATTGAACATGGAGTAAACTTACAATTGATTATGGAAATTGTATACTACTTAGGCATGGAGCAGGCAATTTGGGAGTGCCTCGTGTATCGAGGGATACCTTAACATTTACTAATATTCAACCAACGCCTGGTCATACTTTCATAATCGTGGGAAAGCTCTTGTATTTTCATTTTTAGTTAACTCTGACTGTAACTACTTGAATTTTTCAGTTATCTCCCCTATAAGTACCGTATCAAGACATTAAAGATTCTGCCTAAGAGGAAAAAGTTACCCGATTGGGAAACGTTTTTATTTAGCCCTAACTCGACATCATTCTTTATACGCAACTAGATTTAATCTCGAAACGCCTCAGTTAGCTGCATTTTTAGCGGCGAGACCTAGCAGGGCTTGACACAAAGCTCCCGGACCAGAAACGTGACATGGTAATGTGTCTGATAAGTTCCAATACTATGCTATATATTTAAGCTGCATCCTCCAGTGGTGACATAGATTTGGGCAATTTTGTTGTATTTACGAAAATAAATCACATGGTTTTTACACATAAATATACAATAGATCATGATTGAAGATTCACCCTTCCTCATAGCGAGCGTGGTTGTCACCCTTCTAGGCATCGTTTCTATCTTTCTATTCACCCGATATTTTAGTTGGCTCGGTGGGAACGAGAATGAGTCGACAAAACAGACAACGCAGACAACACAAGAAAGCACATCCGAGCCAGTTGTGACCAAAGAAATCGAATTTCCTGCTGACTGGTTTACCTCGACGGATAATTTCAATCTCGAAACACGAGCCATATTTTCCAAGGTTGATAACCCCCTGTCACTTCCACTCTTGATACTGTTAATACATGGAACGATTGAAAATCGCAACAAAACCAATTTCCAAGACAATATAAAAAACATCAAAACAAAAGAGTTAGCTAACTTATTCGTGGCCTATTCGACGCCCCTTTTCCTGTCGGCACGCAGTCCTGGATTCTTCTTACCCATTCAACACGTTTCTCCAAGCCAGGCGACTACCATACTTTCAACCTGAGCGGGTTTTCTATCTTTCTTATTTTGGGTAAAGATCACAAAATCCGTGCATTTCATAATGTTTGCCGCCATCGAGCGTACACCATCACGCGAAAAGAGTCGGGAAGTAGCGCTGTTCTGGGGTGTAAGTACCATGGATGGAGTTATGATACCAAAGGAAATTTGGTAAAAGCACCCATGTTTGATGGAGTCCCTGGATTTAAAAAGGAAGAAAATTCTCTGTTTGAAATTCCGGTGAGGGTGAGTGCGGGCGCTGGCGCGGTTTTCATTAACTTGGACGCAGCAAGAATGGGGGAGGACGAGACTGATGGTGCAGAGAAGAAAGAGGAGGATCATGTTGACGGCTTCTTGAATATCGAGAAATACAAGAGTCGATGGTTGTGTGGGAGGACCGTGGAAGGTGGCTTCAATTGGAAGCATGCAGGTGAGGAGGAAGCATATCTGGATCTCTCCGAATTGACTGACATCCATACTTGGAATGCAAAGTTGACCCGAAACTCTTCAACATTGGAATTCCTGATATGTCAAAGTCATCTCCGCTAAGATCTTGGTTGGCAAAGAAGCCTACCCACACGATGGCACTAGATCTATTTCCTAACTCGGCGATATACAAAATCCCTGGCGCGGATATATGGTACTCGATTGTTCTGATGCCCGCATCACCGACAAAGACAAACATTCGTTGGGATTTGTATTCCGTGGCAGGTAAACCGAAACCAGCAGTTGAGAAGGCCATTGAATCCCAGATCGAAGGCATGATTAGCATCCGAGCCAAAGAATTTGAAAACCTACCTCGAGTAGTGAACGATGAAAATGAAGGTATGCTCCCACTTATCGTACTATTCTTATTGAGCTATTTCGACTGAGATATGCGCACACGAACAGAAAGTCAATCTCAAATCCTAGTCCAGCTTAAAGCTCATTTGAGAGTCGAGAAGGCCTTGGGAAAGCTTATTACACCTACAATGAACAAAGCCAAGACCAGCGAGAAATTCATACAGGCCGAAATTTGTAGGTTTTGACTCAACATACAAAATCCAGCTTTTGCACTTTTGCATATTTGCTCTTTCTTTTAGTTTTTGTGCTAATCTATGTTTTGCAGTGTGCAAGGAACTGGATTGCCTCAGCAACAACACAGTGAAGGGGGGTAGCAAAGAGCAGAGTATCCTGGCATGGTAATGGAACTTTGTGCTGTTTCAGTGGCAGTTCGATGCTATAACCAATGCGACGTGCTAGCATTGCTGAAGCCAATTTTTGGTCTATATAGATAGCAGTTAATAAATTTTCTGATGCAATCAACACTTCTTAACTAGACGTGGCCGCTTCGAAGGCTTTTCTGTTGACTGGAGTAATCGGCTCTCCCTTGAAGTTGCCGTCCTCACCAACGACAGCGATAATATTCTTCATTGCATTCAACTCAAAATTAATCCTTGTCTCCAGGGCCCCTCCGCCGATATGCGTCGTTAGGGTTACATTTTCCATCTTTGCAAGTTCAGGCGAGACCTGTGGCTCATGGTAATGCACGTCCAGGGCTGCAGCCGAGATATGACCACTCTGCAACGCATCAATCAATGCACTCTCATTGAGTACCTGACCCCTGGCAGTATTGACAATCCTACTACCCGGCTTCATGAGTGCAATCTGTTCCTTTCCTATCAGGTCTTGAGTATGTTTATTGAGCGGCGTATGCAGTGAGATACAGTCGGCTAATTTGAGCAAATCATCCAACGATGAATGATATGTAGCACCCAGCGCCTCTTCCTCTTGCGGAGTAGCACGCACAATATCAAAATAATGAATCTTCATTCCCAATGCCGTCTTAGCCTTGTAAGCCAGCTTTTTACTGATATTTCCGAAACCCACGATACCTAGCACATGGTTCCTGGGATTCCGCGAAATAGTGGCAATCAGTTTGTGCGTGGCATTGAATGTGTCAACATCCGCCGTTCTCGCGGCTAATTGCGAGCGTGTGAAATTTCGAAAGACGCCCAAAACCATGTATAATGCTGTATCAGAGACTGCCTCATCAGATGCCCCAGCTCCGTTGGCGTACCAGATTTTGTGAGAGCCTAGGAGGTCGGTGTCTGCCCAGTTGAAGCCGGCGCCGGCAGAGGCGAATATGCGGACGGATGGTGGGAGTAGGGGGACTAGTACAGAGTCCCACTGGCCCATAAACCCACCAGTTTGAAAGTGTGGTCTGAACAAAGCTGAGAAATTGCCATATCTGGATTATTTGATTAGATCATAGACGTTGGCTGACTGAGACACAGATTTGAGGGAGAAAGAAAACATACTTCTTTGTTTTCAGAGCTTGTATAAACGACTCGCGGTCAGTCTCTGTGGCTTGAATGACATTAAACCGCGAGGAAAACTCGTTATTGTAGAATTCGTGATTGTATTTGATTGCATCGCCGAGGTGAAGCACTGTTGGTTTGCTGGAGCTTGCAGCAGCCATTTTGTCGTGGATATTCTTTTCTCAGATCCTTATGTATCTTTCTGCGTGCTACTCATTATACGTTATAATAAATTTTTTTTTTTTTATATTTAAACATCACGTATGGATATCAAGCTTCCCCAGATATACTTCCTTACCCCTCGCGGAAGTTTATCCGCCCTCGCACGTCGGATGGCCATCGGAGAGAAGACCGTAGTAGATCTATCTAGGGGATACCTGTCTTTTCTATTCTATTTTATTTTTCAAGTAATCACTAGAACAATCGCATTTGATTCTTCTTTCGTATTGTATAATATCATGTATATTCTGGAATTTCTAGTATCTGTATCAGCTTGAGTTTCCTGTACTGGCAATCCTAGCCCTAATTTAACTACAATCATGCGGAATTGATGGGTATAACCATGACAGTAACCATCGAACTTTAAAGTTTTCTGTACAGAATCCCTATATAGGACTTCCTTGACTTATACATCAACCACGTCTGGCAGCGTCTTCTCGTATGATGCCAGCTCCTCCATGGCCTTGACAGCCCATTCTTGCCGATCCTTATTCACAGGAAAATATGGCTTTCGTGGATAATATACCTTCTCATCAATGCCTAAGTCACGACCAATAAAATACCATGCAGCATATTTCGTCAATGCAATGCCTTCCTTGCAGACCTTCTCTGCCTCTGCCACTAGTCCCTGTAGCTTCCGGGCCTCTTCCGTCTTTCCAACTGCCCATAGATTATACAGTCTGGAGGTGGACTTCGGAAACACATTGCCCATGCCTGTGACACAGCCCACGCCTCCCCCAATCAAACAAGGTAGCAGCCAGTCCGACGAGCCGGCATAAACACTAAATTGCTGTGGTGTGTATTGATGGCTGAGGCGTGTGACTTTTCCTGCGTTGCCGCAGGTAAGCTTGGTCCCTATGATGTTAGGATGATGGGCGAGTTCGGACATGACGTCGGAACTGATATCGACACCGTTCGTGACTCCAGGGAACTTTAGATTGTGTAGTGTGGTATATTAGTATGATTCTCACCAGAGATTTCAAAACATTCAAGGCGATATAATTACACTGTAAATAACGACAGGAATTGGACTGAGGTCAGCCACCTCGCGGTAGAAGCTCAAGATGACATCCTTGGTGACGGCTTTGGCCCAGTAACTTGGCGGAAGAAGCAATGCCCACCCAGCTCCAGCTTGAGCAGCATCTTCAGCCAGCTGAATTGACTCGTTAGTGGACTGGCCGCTAATTCCAGCGACGAGAGGATAGTTAAGGACTCCCAGGTCTGTGGCTGCTTTCCGAGCAATGCGGATCAGTTCCTGGCGGTCAGAAGGCGACAACAAGACAGCTTCAGCGTTTGTGCCTGCTAGTACAACTCCGTGTACTCCGCCGCGAATGAGCTGCGTGAAATGCTTGTACGCCGCATCGACATCGATATCCTGGCGGGGAGTGTTCTTGTATAGAGAAACCACGGGCACGTAGACGCCGGGTGGCAGCTGCTTCGATTTCGCTGCAATTGTAGAAGTCATGGTAAATGTAAATATTCCTCAGACTCAACGGAGACTGGTCGAAGGAAAGGCCAAGAAAAAGAAAAAGAAAAGACTGACGACGACGACATAAAAATGATCCTGGGGCAACGGATTTCCCCAAGCGGAAAGGCCAAATGCGGGGAAAGGAGTACAGTACAATAAGCGTCGGAGGGATCCCCGATGGCCAGCATATATACTCACTGCGCGGACACTCTGCCGTGCCCTCGTCGCTTCAACCCCGAGATGCAAGACAGCTGAGCTGCTTTGCTTTGCCGACTCAACTTCCCCACGCCGTTGAAGCGCTATTAACGTTGATGGCTGCCAAAAGACAGCGGCTCCAGGCCGAGTCTCCAGAGCCACGTCGAAGTTCCGAGGGAGAAGTGTCAAGCCATAGCCACACGATTCTTGCCCCCAACACCAGTACGGATCCAGAAAAAGGTTTAACCAATAACAATGGCAATAGCTCCTTGCATAACCACCAGCAGCCGGCCGGTCCACCGATGCCTGCTCGCGGGAGCCAGGCTGACATCGCCGGCGTTTTGCCAGGAATCACACGCAAAATCACAGCATGCGCGGCATGCCGGAAGAACAAGGTTTGTTCCCACTCGCGGTGATGCAGCTAGCTGTGTGATACATATGTCTAATGCTTATTGAAAAATTCTCAGATCAAATGTGATATGCCGCCAAGTGGACCGCCGTGCACTCGCTGTCGGCGGAGATCACTCTCGTGCGTACTGAATCGAAGCTTGCAATCCTTATTGGAAGACACGAAGTAAGCAACGATTTCTATAATCTATTTTTTTCTATGCATCCTTCCTTACAACATAGGCTGAAGACTTTCTACACTGTCAGGAACATAGATAATCTCAAAATAGACATCCAAAACCTGCATCACACTTTAGGAAAAGTTTGCGCCTACCTCAAACTTGAGAACCCTCATAATCTACTGAGCGTTACTGATGGGGAGAATGTTCCTCCAGTCATCCAGGAGAGGACAGCTGACCAGGCTCCAACAACTGAAACTGATGGATGCGAGGTGTCTCCGCCAGAGTCGCCGTCTGCTGCTCATGCTCCTATCGATACATTTCTCGAAATGGCCAAGATGGGACGTGCGCCATCCAGCAGAGATTCGCCACAAAGCAAGAAAAGGATAGAGCTTGAAGATCTGATAAGCAGATCAATATTATCGACGACGGTAGCACAGAGTCTCTTAGACCGTTACTTTACAAGACTAGACCATTATATCTACGGTTTTGCAGGAGGACATTACGATTTGCAAAAGCTGCGGCAGAATTCCCCGGTATTACTAGCTGCTATCTGTACGGTATCTGCACTTCATGATCCGCAAGACGCGCGGTTGTACGAAATTTGCAATCGGGAGCTCCGTCAGCTTGTTTCGCGGTCTATGTTCGAGAAGCGCGATATAAACTACATTCGCGCGCTATGTATATCATCATTTTGGCTAGCTGATGCATCACGCATTCTATCTAGCGATGCCATACGTCGTGCAGCAGATGTGCGTCTCCATTGCCTGACAGAGTGCCACCAGCAGCTGGCTTGAATGTACCCGATGTGAAAATGACCGATCGCCTTCGGCTATGGTATTTGCTCTTCATATGTGATCAACATCTTTCCATTCTTCACAACCGAGACGCTCTGCTGAGAGGCGATAAAGCCGTGACTGTCGATTGGGAGTCTTACATTCATCACCCAGACACAACGCAGGATGACATACGTATTTTGTCCCAAGTCTCCTTGCTACTGATCATGAGCGAAATTCGAGATACACTAGGTTACGATTACGAAACCCAAGTACCACAGATCCTTTTCAGTCAGATTAACAATTATTCTCGACGACTTGACCGTTGGTTCAATAAATTTTCGGTCCTTTTTCAACCCAATCAACAGATCGCCAACTTTCCAAGAAAGGGCCTCGAGCTGCACTATCAGTTTAGCAAACTATATCTTGGCCATTATGTCTTTCGTCACCTCAACGGCCAGCCTGTACCATCGCATTGCTTGACTGCAGCAGTGGCAGCCCATGACGCAGCGGCCTCCATTTTCGACATGATACTAAACGATACGACACTCCATACCAGTTTAGTTGGCATGCCGCATTACTTCCACATAATGATTGCTTTTGCGGGGAACTTTCTGCTAGAGGTTTGTAAGAATCACCACGACCAGCTCGGCATACAGATTCAGAACGATTTTGCTCTCGTCGAGAAAGTGCTAGGAGTTCTTCAGACAATTCCCTGCATAACCCAACATCCCATACATCGGATGAAAATCGGATTGGGGCGGAAGCTCTATGACTGCGTGTCGAGTACCGGGCTATCAGTTGAGAGCATTCGACCTTATGTCTACGCATATGGCTCTATACCTAAACAACCGCTTATGCATACCGAGACTGGAGGTGGAGTCAGCGGGATGACAGCTTCGACCGGGATACAGAATAATCAGCCGGATTATTCTGTCATCAGCGATCAGTCATTATCTCAGATATTAGCGGCTCAAACGACTCCAGATGAACTCTTTCTGTTTCCGGATCTAAATTTCGGTTTTGCAGATATGTCTGGCATGATAGGGATGGAGTAATCAATGTCGTTTCTAGAAGATTGTTATGTCTATATCTCAATGTGTAATAGGTATATTGGGAATGTGCTCTTGTATTCTTGTGTATAAATCTTAAAATAAACCACCTTTAATCCTCCAGATCAACTTGTGCATCATCGTGGAATATTACTGTTCCCCAATCAGGTTTGTTGAACCTCTTCCCCTTCGGCCTGGCTAACTCATCGATCCTCGCCATCTCCTCTTCAGATAACACAACGTTGCCATTCAAATTCTGCTTGATGCGGACTGGATTCACACTCTTCGGAATCACACTCCACCCTTTCTGAACGCCCCAACTCAGCATGACATTACCCGTGCCTGTTCCTCTTTTCTCGGCAATGTCTTTAATTGCACTCAATTGATGTAGAGTCTTCCCGCTCGCTGCACCTCCAAGGGGACCAAAGGCAGTTTGATGAATCCCCTTAGCCTGGCAGAAGGCATGCAATCTATCCTGCGGCAATAAAGGTTGAATTTCGGTCTGGTTGACTGCCGGCACAACCTTGGCTGTTTGGAGCAGCTTCTCTAGGTTGACGGTAGAGAAATTCGCTACACCGATAGCTCTCACTTTCCCGGTTGATAAAAGGGCCTCCATTTCTCGCCATGTATCTTTAAAGTCCCATCCAGTGGAGTGAATTTTGCGGTTCTCTTTGCCATATTTCTCATCTGTTGTAGGATCCAGTGTTACAGGCCAGTGCATTAGATATAGGTCCACGTAGTCAAGACACAGGTCTGATAGCGACTTGTCAAGTGCTACGGTAACCCTACGATGATCAGAGGACCATCTAGTTATTTTCGAAAAAATGCAGTCAGAATCGCAACAAAACTAAGCCGAATGTATAGGAGCAGGTTGGAGCAAGAATGTGTACTAACAGTTTTGTGGTAACAAAATACTCCGAGCGAGGCACTTTCGTCCTTTTGAATACCTCGCCTATCTCAGCTTCATTGTAGTCTATGCATGCGTTGATTCATTACGGACAGTTAGCATAACCATTGGCAAACGTAAACTTTCATTAACATACACAATGGTGCGCAATCCTAAAAAGACACATAACGTCAGCCCTCGAATGATATACAAAACAAGGCTCAATTGCACACATACGAAATGCCTATAACCAGCGTCAAAGGCAGCTTCAACAGCTGCAGCTACTTCACCTGGAGGAGACTTCCACGTCCCAAATCCTATTGCAGGAATTTTAGCACCGGTGTTGAGGGTGAATGTATGGACCGCTGTCATTTTGAATGAATCTGTCGAGAGTTGCTTTAGCCTTATACCTTTTTTTCCCGTTGAAGAAATACAGCTGACGAAATACTTGTTAATGCTCCTTTATAAATCAGCTACTTAGTTCATGTGGGAAACATATAGATTAGAATGAAACTGTAAGTAATAACCAAGGCACCGAACAATAGCCAGTGAAAGCTCGGGAAGAACGCCGTTATCGAATATGATCACCACATTCTGTCGACTGCCATGTACTTCTGACTGGATCTCTAGGAACACTTATACGGCGCGTTTGGATGGATTTAATTTTCTTTTTTCCAATTCATAAATTTTGGGCGCGAATAACAAATAAGTACGTTGAAGGGCGTAGTTGTTCCTGAAACGGGAATTAGGGTTATAGGAACACGATCAATTAATGTGAACCTGAGTTAGTGTACAATATTGATTTTTAGCTACATAGTTGAATATTATCTTATATGGTTCTGAACGATTGAACATGAATTCATAAGGAATGCTATGTATAGAGTAACTACGGCTTCTTAGGAAAATAATGTTCTAGAAACTCTGTCACCGTCTTCACCAGGTCTCCATCTTAAAACCAAGCTCAATAGCTCGCACAATTTCAAAATCAGCCGGCTAGGGGCTCACAGTTTTCTCAATTGAGGTATACCTGTATGGAACCCACTCAGCCAGTTTTCGGGCCTTTTCTGCACCAACGTGGAGCAATGTATCAAACTTTCCCTGTATTGTGTGATACCTGGTAGATTGATGAACCTCGCATAACAACCCTACTTAATGCTTTCGTGGGGATAATCCTGGTAATAGCCAGGTTCCTTTTTACCGTTCTAGTCGGGCATGCCCAGATCTCTAATGAATTCAGCACCGGCAACTTACTCTCCCCCTCCACAATTCAACGGTTCGGGCGATAATCCCTAAACAGAAGCGCCCCAGAAGGCATTAGCCGACGAGACGATAATTGCTAGCAAGCGTACGATTCGCCCATCAAGAATCCTCCTCCCAAAGTAATATTTAAGCAGTGTTTCGGCATTTATTTTCGTGCACTCTAGGAAGATTGCGGTAAGGGTATTGTAACTTCAGTCGCTTTCTCCCGTTGTTTTTGGTCTACTGGGTCAAATTCTGCAAGGCTCAATGGGAATATCACTCGAATCCCAGGCCTTAAATCACGCAAAGTCTCTATCACGTAGTGCATTGAACCGGCATTGACATTTAGTCCTAGTTTAAGGTCTGCCTGTGCGGCACCGGACATGAGTGCAAAAGGTAGACATGAGTAAAAGCCCTCGATGAACATGATTCCTGGCAAATTGACAGCGAAGTAATGTTGGCAGCGGGACAGGGTTTGATAGAAACAGCTGCCAGAAGATGGTACAGGTGGCTTGTTCACATTCATTAGTGTAAGCGACGAGATAGAAAGATCTGGTACCAGCTCCCTGACGAAAAATTGGCCGATGAAGCTCCCTGCACCAGTGGTGAGACTTGTCATGCCCATCCATCATCAGCAATTGCTGGAACAAGGTTCTGATACTGTATAGATAACTGCCTGATACCTAGGTATCGGTTAGGTAATTCAACCTGATCATATTGTATTAAGAGGAAATAGTTAAGTCCAATGCAACCGGTGTAGACTTGCCTACAGAGATTGAAAAAGTGTTTCCTTTGGTGATCCGACATTGAATGCAATTATATTTACGAACTGGATACATCGCACACTCTTTTTCACGCGCAGATAAGCAAAATATGGTTATAATCAGCACTATTTCCCAGTTGGGTAATCATTGCCCCATCAGACATTCTCCGACTTCTTGCGGACACCTTGCCGAGCTTCACCCCTCGGAAAAGTGCCCGGCATCCACACGCACTGAATGGGTTTATGCAATTCCACGACGGAGCTGCATCTCGTAGCATGTTTATCCTACGAAAGGGGCTTCGGAAAGCACATCCAAGTCCGATTCGCTGGAGCCAGAGGTGATAGTCTACATACAATTTATTGCACTATCTTTACTTCCGATCTAAAATTCAACATCAAGATTCTGTTTATTCGTCCTTATAGGACTGGATTTGGTACACATTTGCATCCGGGTGCTCCTAAGGAAGAAAATGGGGGACGTGGTCTCGGATAAGTCCATCATCTCTTGGAACGAGCTCCGAAGACACTGTACGACCGGAGACTGCTGGATTATTGTTCATTCCAAGGTGTATAATGTTACTGAGTTTCTTGGAGACCATCCCGGTGGAGCAGCAAGTAAGTCTTCAATATCATATGATCAGATTATATGCTTCTAGCCAGCAGCGAGTGCAATAGGACTGACATTACCCTAGTCATCCTGAAATATGCCGGTTCGGATGCAACACAAGCATATAATGAAGTTCATGCACCAGGGCTTATAGACGAGGCGTTATCTCAAAGACACTTTAAAGGCCATATTGACCCACTTAGTCTGCCAAAGAAAGAGGAGACAGTAACGATGCAAACTACTCAAGAAGCTAAAAAGAATCTGGTTGAAGAGAAATCCATCCCGGACATTCCGCATCTACATACGCTGCTTTCTGTAGCAGACTTTGAAGCTGTCGCCCAAAAGAAATTCACTGGAAAAACCTTTGCTTTCTACTCATCAGCGGCCACAGATCTCATTTCGCATCGTGATAACCTAGAAAGTTTCCGGAATTTACTATTAAGGCCGCGCGTGCTCCGCAATGTAAAGGATGTCTCGATATCTCGTCGCATCCTGGGCTATGAGAGCAGCGCCCCTTTCTTTGTTAGTCCCGCAGCAATGGCTAAGTTAGCCCATCCAGACGGTGAATTGGCGATTGCGCGAGCTTGTGCAGAGGACAACGTCATTCAAATTATTTCGACTAATGCCTCATATCCTCTCCAAGACATTGTTGCCGCTGGGCGTCCCGGCCAGACATTCTTCTTGCAGCTTTATGTCAACTCTGAGCGCCGAAAGACAGAGCAATTACTCATCAAGGCCCGCAAGTTGGGAATAAGAGCCATTTTTGTGACGGTCGACGCGCCCATTCCTGGAAAGCGAGAAGCCGATGAGCGCATCTCGGCGGAGAAATTTGTCTCTGCAATGAGCGGTGCGATAGCTATCAACGACAAGAAAGGGGGTGGACTGGGCCGAGTCATGGCTCAGTATATCGATTCATCTTTGAATTGGGAGGATCTGACTTGGATCAGGAGGGTTTCGGGCCTACCAATCGTCTTGAAAGGTGTACAGACAGCTGCGGATGCGAAACTAGCAGCTCAGCATGGCTGTGAAGGAATTTTGTTGAGCAACCATGGAGGAAGATCATTGGATACGTGAGCACACTCAGAACTGGGCGTGTTAGTCTTGCCATATGGATTGTGCTAATGAATGGGTACAGAGTGCAACCAGCGATATTAACACTGATGGAAATCCACAAGGAATGCCCGGAAATCTTGAACAAGCTGGAAATATATGTCGACGGAGGTATCCGACGAGGAACAGACATCTTAAAGGCGCTGGCATTAGGGGCAACGGCTGTCGGCGTTGGTCGGCCATACCTGTACTCGCTGGCCTATGGACAGGAAGGCGTCCAGCACTTAACTGAAAGTATGTTAATTAAAGTAAACACATATGCAAAGTATGGGCTGACAGGTAGTGAAGTTCTCAAAGATGAGCTTGTATCCACGCTGAAGCTCAGTGGGATCACAGATGCCAATCAAGCCCATCCGGGGATGGTAAACACAACCAGATTGGAACATCTAATCAGAACGGGAGGAGAGAAACATCCCTGGATTAGGTGGGAGCCAAGGGCGAGGATGTAATTCATTTAAATGACATTTAAATGTTGAAGGTTCTATACTGTTGCTTCAGACTATGCCGCAGATGTTCTGTTTCAGCTTAGAGGAGGTTCTCAACTCATGACGTAGCTTGTCTATCTTTAATATCTCTGTTCACTCAATCCTATAGATGTCCCCCCTCCCTTACCTCCTGGCTTGTGCCAGGATTTACTGCAGTACTGCAAACAATATTGGTTATATTTTTACCAATGTATATGTAACGTCGGGACACCCAGGGCTTGAGGGCGGGGCTATAAGTCGAAAGACATCATCGACTGCGCTCAACGTCATCAGCAGCATCTCAACAGCATTCCGTTAACTTATTCTCTGGCTACTATATGGAAACACGCATAGAATACGATAACAGAGAATGATTATTCTTTCTATAATATGTCTCTACTCGTTCGTATGGCTCATAAACTACGCCAGAAGCAAAAAGGGCCCAGTTTCTTAGAAATTCTTTACGAATGGATGCAAGGTCAAAAGAACATTAACAAAATACTTGACGGATGGAACAAGAAACATGGACCTATCGTGCATGCCAGAACTGGTGCAAAAACATTCAATATCTTGTACACGCGCCAGGCAGCGCACGATCTCCTGGAGAAAAGGGCTGCGATATATAGCTCACGAGCCCCTTCGATATTTCTCGATAAATACTTACACAACGGGCTAGCATCTGCGTTCATGCCGCATGGGACTAAATGGAGGCTACATCGACGACTGCACTCAAACTTTCTCAATATCAAAGTTTCCAAAGCGTATCAAAGCCTGCAGGATATTAAAAGCAGATATGTAATGCGTGGACTGCTTTCGTCAAATGACTATGCTGGCTTGTTTTATCGATATACGTCGAGCATTATGTTTGCGCTTACGTATGGAGGCGGAATGATGGAAATGGATGACGACGGCAATGCGAATGAACACCACCACAATCACAGCAGGCTACATCAGATAAACGAAATGGCTACATTCATTCTCCAGAATGCCTCTGCAGGCCCATTATTGCTTGATATTCTCCCTATCCTCGACTACTTGCCGGTAAATATGTGTATGACATGGCGGGACAAAGCTCGTGAACTTCATGAACAACCTACAAAAGCGTATATTGAATGTGCCAGCGCTGCCCTCGGGCCTGATCATTGCTGAAATTGGAGTGTCGAAGCAAATACACAAAGAATAAAAGGGAACTACACAGGACTTTCATGGGAAGAAATATGCTATTCAATTGGTGAACTCTACATGGCTGGCATTCACACCACGAAAATGGTCCTAGACCTCTTCGTGAAAGCCTGTGCTAACCACCCCAACGTAGTCAAAAAGGCCCAACAAGAGCTCGACTTGGTTGTCGGGTCCGGAAGACTGCCATTCTTTAGTGACATGCATAATCTTCCGTACATCAATGCCTTCATTTCAGAGCTTCTTCGTCGCCAACCAATCTCTCCACTCGGCGTTCCGTACATGGTAACCCAAGACGACACATACATGGGCCATCGAATCCCTGCAGGCTCGGTTGTGATTGCTAACCAGTTGGCAATGAACATGAATGAGATTATTTTCAGAAATCCGGATGCTTTCGATCCCGATAGATATAGATATATACAGAATCCCGAGCCCCCCCCCCTCCAGCCACGTTTGGATTTGGTCGCCGACAATGCCCAGGGTATCACATTGCACGTGCCAAGCTTTTTATTGTCATCTCGCGTGTGCTATGGGGATACGACATCAAGCCTGCGGAGAACAATACAGACAGTAAAGGTATTTCTTCGCCAGAGAAAGTTTCGATTCGCATTAGGAGTGCTGAAAAGAGGTATGCTATTGAAAATTAGTGTGCCAATGCCGGAGATGACAGACAAGTATTCCCTAAGTAGTTCCGAGTAACTGCTGTGATACGAAAGGCAGTCTCGAATACCGCTTACGTTTCTCATTCTTCATATTTCTGCGACGGCCGTATTCAATCATTTACAATTTTTACAATGGTCGTCGTTATTCAATTTGTTGACCGAGTATCTCCCTTTCCTTTTCTTTGCTTTCCTTTCTTTCTTTCTTCTTTTCTTTTTTCTTTCTTTCTTTTTTTCTTTTTTCTTTCTTTCTTTCTTTTCTTTAATTCTTTCCGCTTCGTTAAATTGTAAAATTGTAGACATTGCACCCTTACGGCCAAGTATACAATCCATGCGTCTTCTAATTTAATGCACATCCAACGTGCATGGGAGTAAAAGGCATTATGAAGCCGTTAGGCGTCGTAATAGTAAGCGAAATTGATTCTTAAACCCTCAGGCCCCTAGAGCTTTCACATGATAGTCCAATAGTAGTTAGTAATAAGTTGCCATCACTGATCATTGGCAAGTCTTGTCGTTTCATTGGCTTACATACCGCAGCGCCGCCGGAGGCCAGCCGGGGACACTTTTGATTGTTTTAATGAAGGATTTCCTAGGGGGCGGCCATAGAATAGTAATTCTCTTTCTCCAGAAAGAACTTATTCTTAGGCGTATGTTACATTGTTTAGTGTCTGGGCAATGCTATTCCGCAAATGCAGCTGGAAGTATATCCAAAAGATACATATAAAGTTGCCTTCTAAACTCGTAAGAAAATCATTTTTCCTTCTTTTAAGTGTGTATCTAGAGCTAACTACAAAGTTTTAGCAGCATTAAAGGTCGTAATGTTTGGGCTGTGTCGCTATATCTCCGATCCTTACCCATATTGCCGTTTTGGGCAATTCACGAGGGCAAGAAAAAACCGCCCCACATCATTCGCCGAGGCTGGTCGCCGACAGTTTTCAGCCGTCCCATGGCCCCTTGCTTCGTACTTATCCGCCAGGAGACAAGATGTTATTGGATTCAGAAGCACGGGGTGTTGAGACTAAAATGGGATCTCCGGCACGGATCGCGCGGGCAGAGTGCGCCGGTGTTGTAGCGTTGCTTGCAGGGTTAATGACTCGGCTGAAAACGCCGTCTACTTCTGTAGCGAATACATGAAGAGTACGGGTCTAGGGTACGTGTTCTCGTTGATAAGGGTGCATATATATATGGAGTATGTTAACCAATAAATTTAGATTTAGCAAGTCCTCTTCCTAGATTATTGCGACATTTTTTTTTTTCTTTTTTTTTTTTTTTTTACCCTTTTATTGGTACACAGCGTGGTAGGCCAACGAGAGCAACGCCTCTCAAATCTTGGGGTATAAAATTAGAAGATAAAAGGGGGGCGGGTGTTCTGGTTTTTTTTTTTTTTTTTTTTTTTTTTTTTTTTGCCATTGCAATGGACGTAGAAGCAGCCGACACTATTGATATCGAGGGAAACAAAAACGAACAGGGCTTTCTCCTCAACGAGACAGTTCATAAATTCTCATGGCAACAACTTAACGTTACGGTCAAAGACCGTCAAACCAAGAAGGCGAAGGATCTCCTCTGTGACGTTGACGGCAATGTTGAACAAGGTATATATGTCAATTTGACATTCCACTATTCTGAGCTAACGGCAAGCAGGAGAGCTCATGGCACTTATGGGCCCATCTGGCTGTGGAAAGACAACCTTGTTGAACCTGCTTGCTCGCCGTAACAGCTCAAGTGCCAAAGTGTCGGGACTTACCATGGTCGACAGTCTCGGAATTGACAACGCCTCTTTTAAACGGATCAGTTCCTACGTGGAACAGGAGGATACGCTCATTGGATCCCTGACTGTAGAAGAAACGCTTAAATTTAGCGCTCAGCTTTCACTGCCTAGGTAAGTAAAACATACACCTAATTGCTGTAGGTATTTCAGTACCGCCAAGGAAGGAACACCATTGAAGATATAAGACAAACCCTAATTACGCATTTGATGCAGTTCCATTTCCAAACCTCAACGCAATGAGAGGGTGCAGCTCCTACTCAAAGCCTTTGGTATCCAAGAGCAGGCAAAAACTATTATCGGCACGCCCATCCAGAAAGGAATCAGTGGAGGACAAAAGCGTCGAGTTAGCGTGGCAAGTCAACTGATAACCTCGCCCAAGATACTTTTCATGGACGAGCCAACCAGCGGCTTAGACTCCTCTGCGAGCTATGAGATTATCTCATATCTTAAGATGGTGGCTAAAAAAAACAATGTACGCCCATTAATGATTCCTTGGGCAGTCAATGTCCTGCTAATGAATACTTACCTTTGTAGCTCATCGTTATAGCTAGCATCCACCAACCGTCCACAGCAACATTCCAGCTGTTTGACAAATTGCTTCTTCTTTCCAAGGGAAGAACGTGCTATTTCGGTCGGACTGCAGATCTTGGGAATTACTTCAGCAGCATTGGGTATCCGTTCCCAATCAACAATAACCCCGCAGAGTACTTGTTGGATCTTGTCAGCACTGACTTTGCTCACGATGAGGAAGCCATATTCCATGGGGGAAACGAACAACGAAAGTCTTTTGTGACTGCAACAGAGCGTCTCGAACATATTCAAAAATGCTGGAAGATGTCATCACAAGCCCAATCAATTCATTCGGACACAACAGAATCCGTCAAGGAAACCCGTACCCTTGAAAAGAACTCGTCATCGGCAAACGTGTCAACTACACGCCCGACATGGTATCAAATTGTTTTCTCTCTACTTCATCGGTCTTTGATCAAAAGCAACCGTGACGTCGTGGCATACGGAATTCGCATTGCCATGTACCTTGGTGAGTTCATTCAGTTGATATTATCCCAGAACTTCCAATGACCTGATGCTATTCAATGTACAGGACTCGCCATTATGATGGGAACGGTCTGGCTGCGCTTGGATACATCTCAGGAAGATATACAGCCTTTTATTAATGCTATTGTACGTGACCGCGGGTAGAGATAAGAATCAGATTTTTGGTAATTGACAACAAGTAGTTCTTTGGCTCGGCTTTCATGTCATTCATGGCGATTGCATATGTGCCAGCTTATCTCGAGGACCGCTCTACATTTATCAAAGAACGTGCAAATGGGCTTTATGGGGCGACTCCATTCATTCTGTCCAATTTCCTAATTGGGTTGCCCTATCTCTGTGAGCATGCCCCCATATCATCAGAAACGATGATGAAAGGAAGGAGCTGACTCTACCAATACCAGTCCTAATTTCACTACTTTTCTCGATCGTCGCCTACTGGCTATCAAATTTCGAGCCCAGTGCTGTGGCGTTTTTCACCTGGGTGATGTGGCTGTTTCTCGACCTTGTGGCTGCCGAGTCGCTCGTGGTATTCATGTCGTCGACTGTCCCCAACTTTGTTGTTGCTCTCGCCCTCGTCGCCTTTGCAAATGGGTTATGGATGAGCGTCGGTGGATTCTTGGTGTCACCCACGATTCTAAATCCGTTTTGGAAATATGTCTTTCATTATATTGATTATCAGGTAAATCTTTCTCCATCTTGGTACTGTCTTGCAATTTCGTCTTCTTTTGTAGCATAGCTCATGTAACTGACGGATTGAATTTTTATTTCAACACAGGCATATGTCTTCCAGGGCATGATGGTAAATGAATTCTCCCGACGCAATTATTCCTGCGGATCTTCCTGCCAGTGCATGTATCAGACCGACTTGGCAGCACAGTGTAAGATACGCGGATCCGGTGTCCTGCAGCAATATGGATACGGTGAAGACCGCGAAGGGGAGTGGGTTGGTATCCTGATTGCAATCATTGCTGCCTATCGAGTTATGGCTTGGATTGTTTTGGTATTGCGAAGGAGTTAGGGCTACGGCATAGGGTTCCGACTATGTAACCTGCACCAACACACAGCAATACAAATGAAACGTTTCTAAGTAAGCTATTATGCTGCTATGTCATAAAATAGGTAACACGACAGGCCAAATTCGCGCGACGACCGACATTGTACGACATTTAACGACGTAGTGAAACATCCATCTGTTTCATTTTTCCCTATTGGTTGACTTGAGATGATGTACATATACACTATGTAAACATCTAAAGTCCATATTCAGGCAAGAGTGACAGTCATACTTCAAAATCCGTATCAAATGGCAACGCCGTTCGATGGTCCCCGACTGATCATCGTCTCAAGCACGCCGACGAACGAAATCTAGACCCAGCCTGTAATCCGCGTCTATGGAGGCCGAGTTGTTTCATAAATTGCCCATGTCGGGTCGGCAATCAAACACGTATTTCGGTGAGCAGGTATTATATATATACCTTCAAAATCGGCGTATAGAGTGGGAGTTCAAACTTTAGCCTATATATATATATATACCAGTTGGATTTAGCCGGACTTCAAATCTGCGTGTCATTGAAGTACCCCGAGAAGTACGCGATTCTTTCTTATCCTTCACACTCAACTTTGCTTAAAGCATCGTTATATCTGAATAAACTGAGTCCCCATTACGCTGCCTGGGCCGATGCTTCTGGGGCTGGATCTACTACACGGAGATTGGCTGTCTTTTTGCTATATCTAGTAGATAGGCACCTACCTACCTTGGCGCCGGAGGTCAAGCAACATGAACTGAAGATTACTTGGCTGATTGATGAATTCAAATATCAAGTGGCTATGCTAATAATATAGATCATCTACATCGCGTGGTAGCTTATTGATGCAACGGCTTCACAAGCTATGGATTTCTCATTGCGTCATTCCACTTCGTTTCTATGGGGAAAAGAAAAAAAGAAAAACGTACTTTTCGTTCTTTGACACCCCGGTCTTTCCCTGAATTAAAGTCCTCTCATGGTGGTTGCCTCATGGTAGTTTTCATGAACTGGAGGATGTGACGATGTCGATCCTAAGATAGCATAAACATGCTCTATGGAGTTTATCTAGGAAGAAGGAAGAATCTGTGGCCGGCACGCACAATATGTATCCCTACAGGCATACATTATTGTGCCGACGCGTGGCCTAAGAAGGTATCTCTATCATCCAGAGAGAAATATTCTCCTCGGAGAAGAAAATGCCCCTTCCTACAGATCCTGACGAGATGCCTCAAGCTCTCATATGATAGCCCTGGGCGCTGCCATGGACACTGCCATGGACACTGCTTCATGCAACTATCCTTGATACCGGGCCATATTTTGTGCTAGTTCTCGCGATGTATCAAGATTCTTCAACCGTGCGCATAGTGATGTGTATAGTGGGTTTGCTCTAAGGCGTTAACAAGAGTAACGTAGCGAAACGATTACAAAATGTAGGTCGAACATACAAATCTTTCTCCCTGTCTTTTAGAGACTCCGTCAATAAGTTCTTATATTTCCCAGTTTGACGGCATTGAAAGATTACACATGCATACTACATCTAGGCGTATAATTAGTGGATGTCAGGAATATAATACAATACACATCATTCACAGGCGTAGCATTCCCTCAAAATCTGGCGATACCATAGTCGCAGTTTTATCACGCTTTTTTCATTTCTCATCACGTCGAAAAAAGAAGGAGACCCGAAAAAAGCGCAGACTAATTTTCGTTTCTCTCTTTTCTTTGTTTTCGAACTTCTGTTCATGCTTCAAGCCTCCAGCTCGCTTTCATCGTCCGATTTATCTGGGTCGTCCTCATCCTCGTCGCTACTCCAACCTGCAGCTTCAAGCGTGGAAGATCGAATTCCAAAGCTCAACACGAAACCAACAAAGGCTACAGCTGCGAAAACGCCGAATGTGAGAACTTCACCCTTTTGCGTTTTGGTGGCAAGTGTAAAAAGACCACCGGACAGGAAAGGCCCTACGGCGCGTCCAGCGGCCGATAATGTTTGTGCGAGGCCATTCAAGGCACCCAGAACAGAGTGGTTTGGCGCCGAGTTCGTCACCTAAATATACATATCAATATGAACATACTTGCAAAACATTTGACGAATGAAAAAGCGAAGGTAAGAACTTACCAATAAGAGTGCACTCGTTAACCCACCAACGGCAGCCACTGTCTTAACGAGCAACACAAAGCAGAGCTCAAAGGCCAGTAAAGCCGATTTTTTGGACAAATGGCCTTTCTCATCAGAGCCCTTGTAGCCAATCAATGGCATAAGCATAAAAGAGATGACGAAACCTAACAGGCCAGCACGGTATGACCATTTGTTTCCCATCTTGTCGCGCAATTTTCCGAACACGCAGATTTGGAAAATAATGGTTACAACGCCGGAGAAGCCTAGGGAAAATCCAATATCTTGAGGCGTCAGGTCTCGACCAGTGGGCTCCGGGGATTGGGCGAAGATGGGGTAGAGAGCATTGAAAGAGACGTTAACAAGCGCAAATATAAGATACGTGACCAATAATAGAATGGTATCGCGATTATAGATTTCTTCCCGGGTCAGCTCAGGGGAGTGCTCAAGGTCGTCGTCTGTGTCCGACGCTGAATCCAAATCTGATTCCTGAGTTGAATCACTGGCAGAACGTGCCCGTCTCGGCGCTGCGCGATAATAGACTGGACCGGAGCGGGCAGCGCGCAGGTAAGTCGGCCGACGAGATGTGGTAAATTGCCAGAGCCAGGTGAACAGTTCTTTGAATCTGGCTGAGATGTTCGGTAAGTTTTCCGCCTCCTCCAAACTCTCTTCGAGAAGAAATATAACCAGGACGAAATCAATGGCCAGGATTATAGCAGAGAAGAGGTTCGGAAACACATATGGATAAGGATTGGGCTGACTCTTGTCGAACGGGTTGGTGTTGAAAATCAAAGAGCCGCCCAAAACGGGGCCAGTGATGCCTCCAATGCCATATAACACGGGAAGATAAGTGAAAGCTCGCGACTGATTGCTGCGGTTGGTGATCTCGCCTAGGCAGGTTGACACCAGACCTGCATTGCCGTTGAGCATACCCATCAAAGCCTGAACCAGAATTGCCTGCCACAACTTTGTGCAGAATCCAAACAACAAAAAGCAGATAGCAGTGCAAAACGTCCCAAACAATATGACCGGCTTCCTGCCCACACGGTCTGATAGCCACCCCCAGAAATAATTTGTAACAAACTGCGCCAGCGCGAAGGCGGAGGCTATTAAACCCACATATACCCCGACATTTTTACCATGTACCTCAGGAAATCTCGATGTCATATCAGGGAGGTAGGGACTAATGGAGTTCAGTGCGGTTTGCTCTGCGAGGGCGATCATCGCCAGCACCGCCATCTGCTTCTTTGGCAGTTTGGTGTATCCCGAAGAGCTATGGCCATCGTCGTCCTCATCATGGGATCGCGGACTATCAAAGGGTTGGGAATGGTCTGAATCATTCGACGGAGGACGGCCGCGCGACTTCGGCGGTGGTGTGGTGAATGTTTGGTAATGCTGCTGGGTGGACTGCCTGCGGACAATGGGGGTAGATTCCGAGGCGACCATTCTCAAGGCCAAAGCAGGACGTTTATTGTGGCAACTATTATTTATTGATCAGATTATGGAGTCATTGGTCCTGTATCGTGTGACCCTGAACAAAGCCTGAACCAAGAGAGCCGTAGTTAAGCCGAGCTCGCGTGTCACGGAAAGGGATCGCGTTGATGGACTGCGGGGTTCCGGAGGACCATCAAGGCAGAGGCATCGATTGAGCCAAGAGCAGAGATTTGCCGTGGCCGTGATATATGGCAATGAGAAGGCGTGGTTGATACTCGGTGCCAGTATGAGGAGGAGATGGCAAGGCTGAAAGGATTTCCTCAGGCTGTCTGCATGTCATTACGTCGGATGCGGAGATGGATTACCGGGATTACCGTAATATTCTACTCCACCCGCGCACGGCAAATGGTAATAAACAAGGAAATACCGGTAAATTACTTAGTCATATAGCAATGCGCCTGGAGCCAATGAGAAGCTTGGAATATTTCTCTCTATGCCAGTTACTTATACGCGGTCAATACATGCCCATTCGATCTATAACTCTATAATACATGCTAACTATAATAAAACTGCTTGAACGGTCAATACTTCTCCAACAAACTCCAACTTCAAAGATCGGGGAGGGTCTAGCAATGTTCGGATAGAAACGAGACTGATCCGTGGCTGATGGCATGTATACCTAGGTACTGGTTGTTTTGCCTCGAAGCTGGAAAAGCGGTTTGAGTTGCCAGTGTCTTAACATGATTCGGACGGCTCTTGTCCAGTCTTCGCGGCACTTGTTCTCAAGTAATACCGTCATCTCCTCTGGAGGAAGACTTCCTCCCCACATCTCGGGGTTGGTCGATAACGCCTTTGCGTGCTTTTCGACTAGTGCGCTATATACTCTCACATCATCTCGTTAACGGAAGTTATTGTTCTCAAGTCGCACGCGTACTGATGGGGATTCAAATTCAAGATTCGTCACCGGGGCTAGGCGGAGTTGAAAGAATCGCCCATAATATCGTATGAAAAAAAGGGGGGAAAGAAGAAAAATAAAAATAAAAATAAAAAACAAAGAAGGACAGGACTTCTTACTCTTCTTCAATCTTGGTCAACACCAGCCATGCATAGTTCCAGCTCCTCTTACGATTAGGGTCCCTCATCACCAACTCCTTCGCATCGTCCAGCAACTCGGAACTGAAGGGATAGTCGCGAGTGAGATTGCGTAGCTCATTGAGGAGGTTGTTACTCTGCACATAGTTTGTCCATGCGGACGCCATCAATTCTATGGCAGGACTTTCACGCAGGTTTTCAACACGGGGCTGCATTGCATTGATCAGAGTGCGTTCCATGCGACAGAGATCGGTAAGAGTGTTGATGCGGCCTGAGCTGAGGACATCAATGACAGAGGCGACGTTGTCCATGGGTTTATTCTCCTTATTTCTTGCTGTCTTGAAGTATTTGAGTGTGTAGTCCTATATTGTCGAGCAGTGCCCTGGAAGTTGTCGTCCTGTTTATATCCGGCGTGATATCAGTAGCGATTATAAAGACGAGTAGTCAATGATAAACAATAGCTAAGTAGATCAACTGATCAAAAGTTGTCCGATGATGACTATCCTTATAGCAGGTCTAATCACAACTCTTAATTGTTTTTTCTCTTTCCTTCTTTCGCTTTAAAAACAACTAGTAGGTGACTTGTTTCCGGCAATCTTCGGATACTGTGAGCCATGACTTGGAGACAACTTCTCGCATTTCTCGAAGGAGATAGGAGCTGACTGCAGTGTTGATGGAAGTATCGGAGCAAGTCGTTCGGTGTTTTCATTGACGAGACTAGGGAGCGCGTTGCCCGCCCTCAAACTCCGCGTGTTTTCAAAAATTGTAAGTCCTTCTAGAATATATTTTGATCTCGGTACTTCCTACTGGCTGGACAGCTCCGATGTCCCTGACAGCCATGCTCAAAATTGCCACCCTGCTGATGGATATTGCATTGTGCAATTACGCTGCTGCTCCATGGTCCGTGGCGATCCATATCATTTGTTCCCTTTGCCTTCTCTTCATATGCCCTGGCGAGTTTTGGTTTTGCCAAAAAAAGAAATTTACAGATAACAATCTAGAACATTAGTAATCTATGGCGTACCTGAATATTAGCCGCATATCTTTGACTCATTTTGGTACTAATCCGTAGATCCGACAGCCAGTGACTCTTTCGTACATATTATAATCATTGATTGAGTCATTTAACAGCAATGGTCATAAGCCACTGCATATGTGACTAACTGCATTTAAGCTATAACTAACGGCCTTGATTGTTGGTCAAAATACAAGCAAACGTCATAGTCATAGCCCTAATTTAACTAGTGAACAGCTAAAGAAATGCACTAAGCAGATAACTAGTTCAACAGCCATAATTGGGCGACCGGCATCTTTCTAGCGTTGGATCGGCCTCGCGCTGACACTGTCACCGCTCGAGCAATCGGTGATTCGGGCAATTTTTAGCTGCAGGTCTACAATTGTGAACATTCATCAGCACTCAGGTCTAGTTTTTTTGCAGGCTAGGAACGAGATTACTAATGCGAAATCACAATTAATAACTAAGTGATGTGCTTATTGCCTAAGCTGTCTGCTTCCCAAAGTCTAACTACTACTTTAAGTCCAGTCCTCAGATTTAACTGGACATGCCATAGCTAGAAGCCTAGAGCAAGGCCGCGCTATTTTCTATTCTACCCTTCTTACTACCGTAGTCTACGTCATTTCATCATGCACGGAGTATTCAAGAAACAAAAAAAAAAGGAGGCCACGCGAGGAATCTGGGCCCATATGACGGCAAAAGAGAGGACAGATGCATTTCTGTGATCAAAACCCATCACAGTATTGATCGAGGTAGACATAGCATTCCGCAGTAAGTTATTGGCAGACACTACTAACTTGATGCTCAGGGCCGATGTCATGGAGGAGAAAATGCGGGCGAGTACCCACTGTTAGGGCTAGGGCTAGGGCTGCAAAGCGATGTGGGCCTGGCCTCGATTTATTTCCAGGTTTAGTAATGCTTAATCTGACTTTTACCAACTTTCGCCGTATGATCGAGGAACCTCTAATCTCGAAGAGCGCTGACTTCTATGATCAGGGACACTAGCCCCATGTCTGGAATGGGATGAATGCATCCCACCCATTCTGTACAACGACAGACACAGAGTGGATTGAGACCTGCGAGAAGCCTGCTTCATAAGAAAATTATCTGTGCAGAAGTCTCGAATAGAAATAGATTTTGTTGATTCACCATCCAAGTCACGTCCAAGTTAGGTATTAGTTGTGCAACGGCAGACCAATCTTCCGCACTTCATATTACATTCCTCTGTATTAATTTCGCATGCTTGGGTAGTACCGTACTGTAAGGTAGCGAATTCGAAATAAAACTAAGACTGAGCAGTTTTTAGAGCACTCCATAGCTATGCTGTTCTTTCTAAGGGTCTTTCCATCCTCAACCCATCTATGCTCAATATTGAGCAAGATTGTTGGTTAACACCACGATTAATCACTTATCAATGACAAAAAAACCTTGAAATTCTCTATACAAGTATTTTAAAGGTGTTGATGTCTCTGACTGATTACTCCTCTACGGTTTATCCGGGATTGCATCTATATTCTATTTCTCGTTCTCTCAATGCAGCAGCTGCCAACTGCAACTGCAAAGTTTCTTTTCGATATTCCAAACTACGATTCACTCAGCTCACGATACAGCACTAAATACTAATGAATAATGGGATGATTGCCTAGGATGTTGTGCCTGCGAACCACTTCGGGCGTCTAAGGCTTCCAAGATTTCGACACCGTCAGTCACTACGACGGGCAACAACTGTTCCTTCTACATTTTCCGCGAAGCCAATAAATCATGCGCAAAAGTAATGAAACTTATATCTATAAGAATAATAGCGGATCGTAGCACATGGAGCTCGAAATACCTAGTTCTAGTTCCGAGAAGGCGAAAACAGATCCCAGTCATTAAACCAGTTGAGCTCGCTGTGTGAAATAACCCCAGTTTTATTTTTCCTGTTTTGGAAAACTAAATCTTAAAATTTAGTTTCTACGCTACCTAAGGTGGTATGCCGCTGATATGGACGTTTTAGCAATAGGTGGCCGAAGGAAGCTTCGGTCTCGCCTACGGAGGATGACTTGATAAGACAACAGAAGCAATGGAGTCTTTTAATATCACTTGATACTATTGCTTTCCACGCAATACAACATTCCGTACTAGTTTTTGAGAAATTACTCAAGGATTTTCTGTTGGTATCAACATTCACCAAGACCTCAAAGAAGGCAAACGTATTCTTCATGTAGAGTCCACTCCACAGAACAGTAATCTTTTCACAGCATTTAATGCTTGTCCGGGAGCTTTCTGTGGTTGAGGATACCATTTCATAACCGTCATGCTCACATTTTCCTTCTCCTCGGGCATTTGCACGAATGCCGTTGTCAGCTTCTGGAAACCCAACTTGGTGTATAGCCCGCGACCAGACGGGGTCGCAAATAACCCAATCTGTAGATTGTGTTTTTGAGCGACGTCGATTCCCCAATTACAAAGCAAAGTGCCAGCACCATGGCGCTGCCATTGGGGGGATGTTGCTACTCTAATCAGATGGATGTACGTTCGAGGCAGCGTGGTGCGGTCGGTGGGCTCGAGATATTCCCATGTAATTCGACTTATTATCCGACTGTAGTATTCGATGCGATTCCAATCGGCGTCGCGGCGGTCTGAACAGTCGAATTTATCTGCTGTGTCGTTGACTTTTGGCATATGATGAAAGTTAGCACTATGTCTTTTAGGGTTTAGAGCATCAGGTTCGAAGAATGAAGTCAAGGGTTACCCAATTCCGACTTAATACCACTTCCCAGTTCCTCTCGCAGCGCAGCGGCCTTTTTGTTACCAACCGCCATAAGATCCCAGACTGTATGCGCAATTATTGTCTTTCCGGAAGGCGACTTTTCATTGTCGACTTCAGCTACCATCACAAGAATATCTGACGCCGGACTAGCATTCTCGACAAACCCCTTTATCTCTTCCGTGGTGCATCTATAGCAGTCTTCGGGGAACTTGTCGGTGTACGGGTACTGATATAGAACCTGCGGCTCTTGAGGGATCACGTCGACAGCTATCTGAACGATCGCATCAACATCTGCCATAGTGGCAGTTCGTATTTTTATTTTTGCCATTTGAATATTTGATGCGCAATACAGACGCAGACACTGGGACGTAATAAGGACCACGAAGCTCGGTATAAGGAATGTAACAGAGATGGACACACCGCGGTGTCAGGACGTGAGGAGGTATTCCCCCGCATGACTTGGAGACGCTCAGGCTCAACTTAGGCTAATAAGATAGGGGAGCATTATGTACTTCCGTAACTTTGCACTACTCTAGGAAGTGAGGCCGACGTGGCAGCCCCGTTTCTATAGCGGCTCTGACGGTGCTGTTTCTAGCATTGATGTGGAAATAATCAACCTTACTGCCACTTAGCCATTAAAGTCTTTACTTTTGTTGGTTGCCTGATGCATGTGATTGACCGGTTTTGCGCCGTAGCCATCGCTTGGACCGCTGCTAGCTTAGTTGTATATATTTGCAAGGCCTGAAGAACTCCGATTATATGCTACCTAACATTTCGGCTGTATCGACCTGTCTTGGCATAGTTGAGATTATCCTGATGCCTGTCGCCATCTAGTCTAACGTTGGCTCGGGATGCTTCCCATCACAGTGCTACCATTGACTGTAATTATTCTTGATGAGGCGTCTTAGCTGCTTCTTAAAGCCAATATCAAAGTTTCCGCAACAATGTGACTATCTAACTGGGTGCAGGAAACGAACCCGTGTCACAGATAGCGTGCAAAAAGGTTTTACTTTCAACAGATATAAAGTAGTTGAAGGAAAGGAATATTTACATAAAACTCCTTCCTTTCATTAAAGTTAGCTGAGCTCGATTTAATGTGTGATCTATGTCACTATGGTGGTATTTCAGCAAACACCAGGTCCTTCGGCCAACCCAACTTCCGTTCCTCCAAGCGGCCGTGATGGATTTATTGCCGCAATTCAAGGGACAAACAGTGGACTAGAACAGCTCATGAGAGATGGACTACATGCATATTCAAGCTATCTTGACCATCAGATCTGGAAATGTGTGTCCAAGGCAGGACCAGAATGGTCTGCAGTGTTTGGACCCAGAAACCAATGGGCTGCGAAGATATTCAGCGTTCTGACAATCGTTACTAAATATCTCAGTACTTCGGATTCTCAGACCAGCTTGAGTGATATTGTACGACATCTACTAGTGGAGACGCAAAGTTGGGGAGTGAAAAACAGATTACAAGTTCGCCAAGCCCATGATAGCGACAGTGATGACATGACCCTTCTCCTCGAACACCATCTCGTCTTTGCGTGCCTCGGCTGGTTAAGCATGCTCTACACGCCTTTTCATGACTTCTCTGGGAGCTCAGATTTTCGGATTCTTAGGACGGATTCGATGTCGTCTCATCTCACAAACAATGCCGCCGTCCTAAATGCATCAGATATGCATAGACCCATGGGAACTATGCTTCGTAAGATGGGGCTTTTACCCATCATGTGCCCAGCCATGCCCCCATTTCGAGCTCCAGGAGGAGACTCGGCTACATTTATGAAGCTCTCGACCGTATGCTATTCTTCTCTGCGCCAAATCGGTGAGGTCTCTATTCTATGGGTCAACAATCTATCGGAACATTGTCAATTTGATGCAAAGCGACAGGAACTAAAAATCTTTCGCTTTCCGGCCTACTGTCTTTATCTGAAGAGGATGGAATCAGACGTCAAAGTATTTCAGGGGTGAGTGGCAAACAAGTTATCATGGGAAGAATGACAATACACTGACTCTTGCCTTACTAATTTTCTAGGATTTTAACAGCTCATACCTGCCTCCAGCAATCAAGGAGTTGTGAGCGTGATTTGCCCAATGTCATCCAGTCATATTTACGAGAAATCCTTATATCTTATCGAGTACTATTTGGTCAAGAACAAAAATCACGAAGACTCTTTCGCTCCCGTGAAAGTATCAGGGCCCGATTTGGTTCAGTCGACGACCCTGTGTTGCAGGCACTCTGCGGTCGAAAGCAACCATCGCTGCTGATGGATTATCTCACAATTGATACAGAAAAGATGGTTTTCGACGTATACGCTGATTTCCCCTTTCTCGGTGAGAAGCTTCTCAAGGTTTATAACTACAATGCGAGTCAGACCCCTTCACCGTGGAGATCACTGTTTCTTCTTGATCCCAGGGATTCTGGAGAGTCCGTCAATTTCTTCTTGACAATTGTCGTTGTTGGAGGAATTTCAATTACGTTGAGTCTGATACAAACTGTCATTGCAATCATAGCCTTGATATTGAACAAGAACTAGCCCTACTCTGTGTTTCCTATCTACTTCACTATGTGATTTATGACAATTGATCTGATTTCCAGACTTTTTCGTGGCCATGTTTTCGTTGCAGGATTCGGGAAGGCCGAGTGGTATGCACCTGGTAATCGAGATAAGACAATCGGTTAGTAATAGTAGTAACACCGAAAAGAAATTAGAACGATCATGTTGTAACGTGGGAGCGTATACAGTTTGTTGCTTTTTCCGCCTTCTTTGAATCCCAGGTCGTGAACACCATCACCTCCTCGGGGACCATGTTGCTTGCCCAGAACCACTCATGCCGTTCACTATAACGAAGATAATAATTCTGAGCCAGCCTATGTGGCTCAACAATATCAATAGATATGGGATCATCCCTTTCAATAGTACTCGGGTCGCAAAATGCCAGTGGTTTATCATCAGTGGTGCCATTGAAACTCCTCCAAACACTGCCAGTATAGTTTTGTCAACACCCCCTGTATGGCCGCTCCATTGGTGGCCAAGAGCACTTACTTGACAATTCGAACTCGATACCTTCCAGATAGCACGTACTCGCGGTATTCGAAGTCAGTCAAATGCAATCTCAGGCGTCGTAATCCGCCTGTCTCGGTTTGATCTGGTTCCATTGTAAGTAAAATAATAATAGTACAGTATTAGTTAGCTATATGAGATCAGTAAATAAACAAAAAGAAGACTGTCTCTCGACATCTTACCAACATGAGCTTTACAAATCGGATTTTCGAGGAAGTCTTTTGCAGGGCTAACCCTACTTCTTAAAGGATCTGGAGACTTAGAGACAATCGATTGTGGATCGCTGTTGCGAAACTAAATACCAATCAATATGTTGACACATGTAATAAAAAGGAATAAATAATCAGAGGACTCAACTCGAATATCGAATACATATACTTTTTCGGCCTCCAACTCTTTGGCAAGCAAAGTCGACATGTCTTTGCAGTACTCGTTCACCTCTTCATAGCTACATTCTGCTCGTATGCCAATATATGGCCAGTTGAAAAGTTGAAAAGCATTATCTTCGATATTGATTTGTTCTGTGTGCATGCGTATGTCCTTTATCAGGACATCTTTACTGATGAACTCGATATTGGTTTCCGGCACTTCGGGGGTTGTTTGTACGCCTAACAGGTAGTAAGGAACTTCGTTTCGATACTTTGACAGATTCGCGATATAATTGATTGGTGCTAATACGGAATCTGAAGTTTCCTTTGGATCTCGATGCTCTGATGTTTTCTGCATAGCACTATGATGGGTTTGTTTTGTTGTATCTGAATACTTTCCAGTTCTCGCAGAGCCGGACATCGCTAATGCCCTCGCTTTTTGACTCTTTGGCAATTTATTGCCTAGTGTGCTTGTACGGACTGAATTAAATAGAAGTAAAGGTCCGAAACTCCGCTCATCTTTTACTTTCACGTGGCTTTACTGTCTATACTAGCAGTGACAGTCGATTATTTTCGCTTTTGAATTACATGATTGACGTGTTTTTTACAGCCTCTCTCTACTGGCTGACCTTGGGCCCCAAATATCTTTCAGAAGGCCTGTGCTCTTAGAGCAGCATGTCAAGGATTGACTCAGACAAGCGTGGAGGTCATAGCGTTCGGTGGTTGCGTCGGAATCCTACTAAGAATGGTAATTGAAACGTTGTTCATTTGATATCATGCAATAATAAGCACAGCTACGCTTCACTTGTGACTCGGATTAACTTAAGATGCCACAGCATGCATTTCCTACCTAGGCAAATGCTGTAGTAGATGCGGCTCTGAAGAAAGCCGGCATCTGATCAATTCGCTTTCAGCTACGATGTAATGACCATTCATGGCATTAATCCTAACTCTCCCTAGGTAATCAAAACTCGTATACAGCCTTAGGTTATAATCTACGACACTACGAATAAATTAGGCAGACATTTTCTAGGAAGCTAGACTTACTCATTAGAGAGATATTTTAACATGACCAAACTATATAAGTGAATCCAATTCTCTCCCAAAACTGCACGACCCTACAGCGGAGTTGAAATACTTCGGTTTATATAACTTTCCTGTCGTCATATACCTTCTCTCCCCATATCTATCGGATATGGCTCCCTCAACGATCGTGACTGGCTCAGCAGCCAACACCTCCGCGGATCACGAACAATCCATTCATGAACCGAAGCCGATCCTTCAGCAACCTTGGAAAATCCTTGGTCTTGATCATACAAACTCAACATGGAGTGACCTGCGTTCCGATAGCGAGGACGACTCATTCTATCGAATTCCTCATTCGCACTCTAAGAACTCGGGACGTGATTCCCCCGTCATTATCAATGGTCTCGGTGGCTGAGGGTCTAATGTAGCGAGTGTTCCGGCTTCTCATGCAGCATGGCTTATTCTGATATGTTTGATTCGCTACAAGAAGCAAGGGATTTCATGTATGATTTGGATCGTGTGATATTGTGAGAGTGGTCTGCTTAGGGATAATAGTGCTATTCATTACATGTTTCGTGATTAGGGCATGGACCTTACGTCCAACTAAGCCACCATGCGGGGCATTCTAGGATATGATAACATACCTTGATACTCAAAGCTCGTATAATTACAGGGATTTTCAGCTGATAGTGCTGTTGGTGGCTATATAATACGTACTAAGCTCGAGTCACATAGCACATCAGTGGTGCGGCTCTGCATAGCCATCCATCCCTGCGCATTTCAATGTACCCCGCCTAGGTATCATCGTGCCGCTGTTGATTATGTTGGGTAGGCTGATTTCAGACGATCGAAGTGGCATGTTCGCATGTTCTCAGGTCCTGTCCGCTGAGAAAATCTATCTATAACTGCGTCTTGACACATTCACTGGCCTCATTTTTTTCCTCGAAGCTAAACTGTCTCGTTCAATCGCAAACAGGTCCTAGGTAATGCTTTGAGATCAAAATGAACGCGACAACAACAACAGCAGCAGCAGCGGCGGCTGGTGTTCTATCACAAAGCAGCACAGCAGATGAAAATGGCTCCGTTGGCGAAACCTAGTCAGTTCCTCGGACAATCGAAACAAGTAAATCATTGCTGATAATCTACAAGCGACCGGTTCTATATTGCTTCATGGGAAGCCGCCCTCGCGCACTGTACATCAACACTAGAGAAAAACGACCGTCAGCGTGCGTTGAAAATAAAAACGGCCGATGATTTCCGCATGTCCCTTCGGCAACTCCGGGTTGAGCACCCAGACCAGAATCCCCAAGAAGTAATTTCGATGTTATTCCCAGCAATTGAGCACTACGAGACGTTCGCCGGATCGTTCGTCGCTCTGATGGCACACGCAGTTGATGTATCTATGATGTGGGGGCTACTTTTTCTCGTGGTCAAGGTGCGCGAATACGGCTGGCCCTATTAAACAGTTTCAGTCTCTAAGATGCCACATATGTTAGCTGTCCCTCGAGTCAAAGGGCACGACAGAGCGTATTCACCGCATGCTCAGATCAATCAGCAACAAGCTGGAGAGACTGAACGAGATTCTTACCACCGTGTCTGACTTTGCAAAGTTCAAGGCTCAGATGGTGGAGATCAACCGGGAGATTTTCATGCTGTGGTTCAATATCATCATGATCTTTCGAACCGAAGACAATGGTTGCTCCAACCCTCGTCGCCTTATTGATTTAGAGTAGCGATTGACTGTTTTTCTTAGGCGACGAGTTTAGCTATTTGCAGAAACTCACTGTCAGATTCGATTCAACATTCAAAAATACCGAAGAGCAGGTCGACTCACTCATACAACACATTGGGGAAATGGCCCTAATTGCCGACCGACAATCTCATATGGTTGATCTTACTAAGTACTATCAGGCCTTGGCTTTGCAGGCTGACTCCAAGTCGGCGAGTATACCTTTCCACACCATTCCAGTCCCGAGAAACGCTCGTTTTTTCGGGCGTACGGATGTTCTTCAGGAGATTGATGAGTATTTCTTCTCATCAAATTCTCTCTCTGGTATCCACTCCCTGGCAATATATGGCTTAGGGGGGGTTGGTAAAACGCAGGCTGCCCTGGAATATGCCTGGAAGAAACAGGAAGCGTTGGATGCTGTGATATGGGTACCAGCAGAGAGCGAAATAGCCATTCAGCAAGCTTTGAGTCACGTAGCATTGACAGTACTCAAGCTCACTGGGGCAGACTCAACTTCCCACAAACAAAATGCCGTCCTTGTCATGCAATGGTTGAGCACAACAGGCAAGCTCATTAACCTTTCCTTCGTTGTGTTGCTTTGATTTGTTTGTGTTTTTTTTTTTCTTTTTTAACATTTCTCTTTTGGTAATTCTTAGGGTTAACCCTAGCGCCTGTCCCTGCCCTACCCCAGGAGGCAAGAGAAGCGGATTTCTAACTAACATTCATATAGATGCTAAATGGCTTCTTATCTATGATAACGTCGAAACTCCATTGATTTTCGAATCTTACTGGCCGGTGTCGAATCATGGTTCCATTTTGATCACGACACGCAAGCTTGGTTTGACGACCCAGCCTATTGCAAAAAGAACTGAATTGCAGGAGTTCGATGCCGACGGTGGGAGACAGTTTCTCATTCACAATATTTTCCAGAGGAACATTGTAGAAGGCAGCCAGGAGTACGAGAAGGCCCTCGAAATTTCAGTTAGGTTGTCTGGCCATGCTCTCGCAATCAGTCAAATGGCCGCCCTTATCTTGGTCAAGGGATTATCATTGGAGAAGTTTCTTGTCATGTATGACAAGCATTCAAAAAGAATGCATCGCGATAGAAAGAATGGATGGAAGTATCCTGGCTACAATCACGCAATCGATACTGTCTGGGAGCTTTCGTTCAGCGAGTTAGATCAAGATGCTCGCACATGCTTGGGCATTCTATCTTTCTTGATGCCCGATTCGATTCCCCAAGAAATTTTTGAGGCGTCCGATATGAGCATGGAACAGTTCTCTCTTCAATTTTGCGAAGATGAGTATATGTACGTATCACAAAGCAAAGTCTCTTCTCCTAGACTTCCTGGCTAACATGACCCAAACACAGGCGAAGCGAAGTTTTCGAAACTTTAGCAAATCTTGCATTGATCAGGATAAATCACGATACTGATTCCATTACTATCCATCGACTTGTTCAGTCAGAGTTTCTGTTTCAGATGACCCTGGACGATCGACAAGACGAATTCGATGCTACGATTCGCCTTCTCTTGGACAAATTTCCGTCTCGTGGGCAGAGCGTAGTTGATGAGAGGAACTGGAAGCAAGCTGAACGATACTTACCACAGGTCCTTAGTGCCTTTGAGAGATACTGCGATACCCAAAAAGAACAGCATCCGCTAAGATCTTCTCTAAATTTTCTCAATCTAATCTGCGACACTTTATGGTAAGCCAAGTTTTAGTGTTATCCTTAAATAGTTATCACATATCTTGAATTTTCTTTTGGTCTAACAACACCCAGGTTTCTCGCTACAAATGACAGTGCAGGAAACCGAGACTTTGTATTGAGCGTCGCGTATCTTGCCTGGGATAAATGGGATAACAAAGAAGAAGCACCTCTTATACATGCTTACATACTGGCTAGAGGAAGCGACCAGGATCTATGGAATGGCGAATTCAAGAACGGAGTTGAAAAGGCTCACGATGCGTTAGAGCTGGCACTTCAATATCTTGAACCGGACAATGAGAGAGTTGTTCAGTATAATAGTGATTACGGCATTGCTTTTGGAAGCGACGGTAACTACAAGCGAGGGGCTGACTACCTAAGTCGGGCTGAAGAATTCTTCAATGCAGACCCCGAGCGCTATGGAATTGCCAAGGGTATTTTGATCAACGCCAACATATCCCGAAACTCATACTGCAACGGTGATTTCGAAGACGCGGAGGTTCGATTGAATAGGACCTTGGAAATGTCGCGTGAGATGGGAAGCTTATACTGGGAAGCACTGTACGTTTCCATTTCATCATCTACCTATTGGCCGAACGCCTTGTATTTTCGTAGTATAATTGACCAGTTATTGTGTTTAAAACTGCAGAATCCACTTTGCATTCGGCTCTCTTGGTGTTCGCTCTGGCAATCTTGAACTAGCTGATAGCCATCTGGTTCTCGCCAACGAGACTATTGAGAAGTTTGGCCCTGGACGGAACATTCAGCTTGATGGAATGTACAACTACATTGGAGGACGTATCAGATTAGGTCAAGGGAAATTTCAGGAGAGCATGTCAGTTATATTGTCCACTACTAGTTGGCTACTTGTCGTAGCGCGACAAAGCTGACCATCGACCTACAGTGATTTCTTTAAGAAAGCCATCGCAATTGACGACATTCAAATGACACCACGGGGGTACCGTGCACGTCATTTGTATGCCCTATCCAGAGCTCAGGCAGCTCATCTTGGAAACGAGAAACTGAGTAAGGAAACGGAGAAAGAGGCAATCAAACTGGCTGGAAGGAACCTAAGAATCCAGAAGAGTGACTCAGGGTCTGAAACAAGAGAAGAATATTGGGAGGCCTTTGATCTTCTGATCAGAATAGTTGAGCGCTAGTTGACAACATGGATTTGCTTTTGACGGAACCTAGGTATATTATGTTTTCGATCACCCCTTTCAAAAAGTAGGAATGAACATCAGATTGAATTCTAGGAAATCATTACTTTGATCTCAAATTTGGTCCTCCAAATATACACAACGCATCAATGTGTGCACAGCAGTGTGAAATATATCTCCATAAATAAATAAAAATAATCAAGCCAATTTCTGGATCACTATCAAGCGGACCTCGATGCTTTCTCTCGGGGCATGCTCTTTACCTGGCTCAGTCGGGATCGGATTTGGAAAAGCAGTATGAAAGGTACCTATATATATAAAATACGCCACAGGTGTAAGTTGATCAGCGACATCATCATAGTACAGTGTTTCTCGGGGCATCAGTTCAACAATTACATTTGGTTGCCTTCTGCTGCTCACGATCGCTCGTTGAATCCCACGTCGTGAATGCCAACACTTCCGTCGGCATCATATTGCTGACCCAGACCCATTGATGATTTTTGTTGTGATATAAGTAATTAGACTCGCTGCACACTTCTGGGGTGACCTTTTCAATTGTCTGTATATCGGTGGCAGTGATACTATCAGGTATACAGAGTGCTAGCGGCAAGTCGTGAGAGGTTGTGTTGAAACTTCTCCAAATACTATTTTCCCATATTAATTAAGTGCCTATTAACAAAGCATAAGGAAAACGTAATGGCTGAAACGTACTTGATGCATCGGATATGATATTCGCCGGACAATAAATACTTTTTGACCTCATCGGTGGTCAAATGTTGATGTAGTCGCCTTAACCCATCGCCCTGGCTGTGGTCTTGTAATTTGTTATTTACGTAATCTCTCGAACTCGTACAGATCTCTCTCAACATTAAGCACGAACTTATGAGGAAAAAAAGGTATACCTGTATGTACCACTTGAGCTGGATTTCCAGGGAACCTCTCAGCCACCGATAGCTCGGGCGAGTACGCTTGTTTGCTGTCGAGAGTACCGTGGCCGGATGGAAGGGAGTTAGATCGAAACTAATCAAAAAGTCATTAACTCTGCATTTTTGCCCTTTAAAGAGACGAACGCCAATCGATAGCAGCGCCCTAGTCGAAAGACATAAACCAATAGGATTGTACACAGAAATATGCTTACTCTGAACTCGTAAAGGAATGTCTTCTCTGCCCCAAGCTCCTCCTGTAGTCTATTCGACATTTGTCTGCAGTATTCCTTGACTTGGTCATGATTGGCCGTCATTGAAATCGTACCGTCACCTCTATCTTCGTTTTGAGGCATATGATTCGAAACAAGTCCTGGGCTTTCATCATCTGTATGTGAAGTAGATGCCCACCCACTGTAAACTGTAGTAGTTGGCCAATTAAACAATTGAAAACCGTTGTCTTCCAGAGTATACCTGTCCCGGAAGGAGGATTGATCAAACCGCCGCAAATCCGTAATGGGCATCTGATATTGCTCGAATTGCATGTTTGTTGCGGGGACTTCGGATGTCGGTCGTACACCTATCAAGCGGTATGGCCTAAGGCCTTGTTGACTGCTAAATTGTACATCGCGCTTGAGATATGTAAGGGTGGCAGTTTGTGTTGATGGTGATAGTTCCATATTTTCAGAAGGAATGACGCCGAGGGTTGCCCGGCTATTCTACAGAACAGTCGAAGTGATGAATTACAGTGACATATTTATAGTTGAAGAATAAAACACACATGTAGTAATAAGGACCAATTAGTATCCGTGGCAATATCTTGGAAGGCTGTGCACTTTTCTTTTCATACATGTAGCACACACATTAGTCAAGTAGACAACTCATCACACATACGAGGCTGAAAAGCTGAATGGCGATATTATTTATAATGTTGTTTGATTATTTGCTTTACTGCCGTGCGGCTCTACTCTATCTACTCCAAGAAACACTTGAAGGTCCTCTATATTCAAGGACTAGACAACGACATGAGACAGTCCTAGCGCCTTGCTTGGTTGGCAGCAGCTCGTCGATGTCAGGTCATAGCAAGTATCTACATATTACAATTGCTGCGTCTTAAATAATATCTAACCAATCTTTCATATAATACACAACTATTTATTACTGTAAATAGAAGAAGTAATAGGAGTGCAGTCCCGACATCGATAGGTACATAATAAAATGACACCCAGCAAAAGAACGCTTCATTGTATCCGTCTTATCCCGAACTCATATGTAACGCCGTTTCCATCCACCGAACAATTAGAGAAAAAGAAATCTAACAGTATATAACATGTAGACGAACGAAAGGGGTGTGTCAGGCCCACTGCCACGCTACTGTTCCCCGATGTTTGGAAGCATCAACAAGACTATCACTGCGGTCCTCCATGCTAGATATGGCACGTTTATCCCTCTCACGGAGCAGAAGCCGGATAGCAGCATTGGTGTCTAACATGTCTCCTGTATCTGTGATCTTCAACGCCCATTTCGCATCGTGTTCGCTGAAGCCAAGATCATGAACTATTTTGTGGATAGCCTTGTCAACGGGATCCAAAAACGTAGACGAATACCTTGGTGGAGGGCTCGACATAGCTGATGATATATTCTCAATCATGGTAGAGTTATATGGGGGTACCAGGTGACTAGAGCCCCCATCCAAGGAGTGTCCCTGCGGTTGCTCCCCGTAGATTGAATGGGCATTGTTGTTGTTGTTGTCGTTCTGGTTTGTTGCAGTTAGACCGTTGGGACATTCCACATTAGTGGTCTGAGGAGCTGTCTCCTTTGGTTTAGCTGCAACTCTTCTCTCATAAATGCGCGAAATTGCTTCTCGAAGGAAGGACGAACGAGTGCCACCGTCCTCCGGTGCTTCCCACTTGGTAACTCCCATTTGTTTGGCTTTGGCGAATTGTTCTTTGATCGAACTATTGGGATACACAGAACTAAGCCCTACCAGTGCAGACGGTCCCAATGTTAAGAGGTAATGAGTCCATTCCTCCAGCATGAGGCCCTCCTTGGCGATATCACCCACCGCAATGTCCAAGCCATCAAAGATGCCAGCCACTCTAGCTTCCTTGCATTCATGATGGAATACTTGAACAAGGGTCCCAAGGCAATTCCAGATCTCAGTCATATCGTATAACTGTCTGCATGTCAGCCCGTCTGCGTTCCCCATGCCAAAGCCAGCGGGGGGGTCGAATAAAACGTTGTTGGCACTGAATAACGGCTCGGCTGTAATCACGGTGACGCCTGCTTTGCTCCTCTTCGCCAGAAATCCAGCATTCAACCAGTCTATTTGGCCATTCATATCCCCTTCGCGGTTTTTACCGCATCCAAATATACGGCAGAAGGTCCAGATTCGCCAAAATGCTTCGTCAATCTCCGATGCACGAGCATCATCTTCCCCGGTCAAACCGCGGATCGTCTCTGGACGCATGAAAGAGCCGCATCTTGCGAATATCAATGTCTTCAACTTAGCGAGAACGAAGATGTCACGGGCATAGTGTCGTAGATACGAAGATGGAGTGTATTGTGGCACAGGAGCATCCGGGTCTTTCATACCGCTCGGATCTTCACTCCAAGGCGGACTCATCTCTCGTAACTCCCACGCAGGTGGGTTCATGTTGAACAGAGCATTCTTTATGAGAGACAGTTCATTCTTCTTGAAAACTCGGTAGAATTGTCTACTCACTTGCGCGTAATTGAACAGCCCATCCAGGTTATTCACGCTCATCATCAACGCCAGAACTACTTTATCCGTCATATGAGACGGCATGGGTAGCCTGAAATTGCCAATGGGCTTTGGAGAAGGACTTATTGGCGTAGATCCGTGTTCAGCTAGCTCGTAAATAGTAGATCGTGTCCGCGGATGATACATTGCAGACGGGCTTGAAAAACTCATCATTAACGGGACCTCTTGAGTGTTCGGCGAGTTGGGCAACTTGGGCGATAAGTCTTTCGGAACAGTTTCAATCCGATCAAAACGGATGAAGATCTTGTCACTGTCTAATCTTTTATCATTCTTGACAGGTTCTTTCTCTTCGGGGAGTGTTGGTGCGGGCGTGGAATCCATCTTAAAGGACCGTAGCTGTAGAAGATCATCTGGGGTTTCTGGGTATGTTCTGTCAGTCATCGCTGGTTGCAGGGGTAGTTCCTGGCGCTCGATAGCAGAGAGGAGAGAGTTGGTATCAAGCTTTGGCAACTGCTGTCGTAGTGCTCTTTCACTTTCTGCATATGACAATTGGGGAATGTGACTGCTTGTCATCAAAGGGATGCCCAGCTTCTTCACTGCTTTGAGCGGATAGATCGTTGACCATTCTCCTTCTTCGCCAGCTTTATTATTAGACTCGCTATCCTCATTGTCCTCGTCATGATCCGCATTCAGAGCCTTAGCAATTTCTGCGTCGATATAGCGATCTGTACTCCTAGCCAAGGCGGCTTGTTCATCTCGGAGACTGACCACAGGACTTTTTCTCAGGGGCTCTGATGTATTCTCATTTTTGCTTTGGGTGCTTTGAGTGTTAATCTTTGGTCGTCGTAGACTCGGCAAGTGCACAGAAGATCTAATCTTGCGTGAGACGAAATTCTTTGATGGTGATGCCTGAAGGCTTTGTTTGATGCTATTCTTAGCGAGCCCCACGTCGGCCAAGGGCCTAGGCGTGTATTGTGCGTGCTGAAAAGTATTGATCTTTTCCTTGTTGAGATAGCTGTTCTTACTTGCTGGAGGAAAAACTTTGTAGGTTGGGTGCTGTTTGGGTGTCGGACGGCTTTGGGGTTGTGTTGTCTTTGAGGTTTGTTGCATCGACGCCACGAATCTCGAGCCGTTTCTATCAGGTTTCGGTGTGACTTTCAAGGGTGCGACTGAATTTTCATCATTTGCAGGAGATATAGGACGTGATCGTTGGGTATCGACCAGCATATCCAATTCCCGCTCCAGATCATGAGTTGCTTCGGATAGCGTCTTGTCAGCTGCTTTCGACATGATTAGTCTATCCGCAGATGACTCGACAGGGCTGGTCGAGTACTTTGATGTCAATTCAGAGATGTGCTTTTTAGATACATTCAGCGTAGAAGGGACGGCCGGCAAGGGCTTTTGTTTCACATGTTGTTCCTTGTTCTTCATTTTGATATCCCGTGAGCCTGTGGTTCGTTGAGCCTCGCTCTGCGAAGAATCCTTTCTATGTGAACAATCGACATTCTTCAAATCAGGATTGGAACAAGTGTTCAAGGGTCTGATCGGCTTGGTCTCGGGTAATTGGCTTTCTTCAAAGGAAGCATCCGATCGCAAACTTGAGTTCGAGGATGCGGAACTGCAGTAACGAGGTCTGGGATCCCATAGCTCCGTGGACGATGAAGACGAAACGGATGTTTCAGACAGATCTTCTGGGTTGTTGTATGACTTGGTTTGGCTTAGATATTCCTCGATTCCATAACTTGTGCCCATCTTCCGAGTTTCTGGCGAAAGTGGAGATATCGAGGGAGACGAATTCGAAGACTTCAAGTCATTGTTGTGGGCTAATACACTCGATACTATCCGTTCAGACCCCTGGGGTATCATTGGGTCTGTGGTGGCACTTTTAGAAAGACCTAGTAGTTCGTCGCTTGTACTTTTGTGTGGTTGCAAATGATGTAAAGCGGTCTCCGACTGTGAAAATCTCTTGATGTAAGATTGGTCTAGATCTGAGGCAGTCCTTCGTTTGGCCCTTCCAGCATATTGGGAATTTAGAAGAGATTGCTTCACAGCATCGTTCGCAGGAGGCAGGCGAACATCATGCAAAGATCCCACGATTGTCACTTTCCGGAGGTCGTCATTGGATTTGGACTTTCCACTCCTTGGCCTTTTCTGCCAGGCTCGAATTCCAAAATGAGACAACATGGCTGGCTCTGCGTTGGGTTTTCCCTCAATGTCAGTTGTGTGCTGTCTCATCAAATAAGAGTGACCCTCAGGATCTCCATATAAGCTACGTTTGCTTACATTCAACAGCCAACGGGCCGTTTGCGCTAACTCCGAAATGGATTTGGTTCGTTGCAGTCAGACACACAACAAAGACATATTCTTCCTTTGATGCCTCGCGGCAGCTATGTATATGGTCGGATTTGGAAACTGTTCTTTTTCCCCGCAACAGTCGATCTCAGCAACAAAGGATACGGCGGAAAGCTAGAAGGACAGAAGATTGGATTTGAAGACGATAGGAATTCACGAAAGGACGAAAGAGCAAGAAGAAAGAAAAGAAAATGAGGAGAGAAGTGGGATGTCAGAAAAGATAAGAGGGCTTGTTTGGATCAAGGCGGGCGTTGTGCATATGCATGCACACAGCATCGCCGTCTATAATTACATTGACAGAACACCGTCGTGGCAGGGACAGCAGCACGGTATATGGCTTGCAATGATTAGAAGCTCATGTGCATGGAATCTTCAGCCATGACATCGTACATGTTGGGGATGACGGGGGATCTACCCTATCGAAAGCGCTTGGGGGCCATTTGGAGTATGGAAGTACAACTGCAAAACGCGGGTATAAGCGGCCTATCTACTTACCGTACCGACGAATACAGACTGCATGTCTAAGTGCGACAGCCTAAACGTCAGCAGCGTCAGAATATCATTATCATGCAATATGCACAACTACGGAAGTGTCTATGTCTAGGTCGACTTGCGCAGTCAAAAGGAACCCGCGGTTTCATAAGGATTCTCAAGGAATGCTATAGTTATAGTCTGTCATTTGATATTTACGAGCTGAATAGTGGCTCGCATCGAGGGTTTGTTGTACCAGTGTCTGTACTACCAACAGCGGCAATATTCGAGAATCCCCAGGGAATAGTATTCATCTTTTCTTGGCCTGGGGATACGATTTTGCAATAATCAACCAGTCAGTCTAGATTTCAGGACACCATCCTATCGAACAAACCAAAAGAAGAAAAGGAAGTCATCAGCTCATGCACCTCGTGCAGGCATAGCGCACTAGGTAACACGAGTGTACCTACTATCAACGCCGTTCGTGCCGGTTGCTGATCCCACCCCCAATTTTCGGCCCCCGACTTCGACGTTTCTACATTGTCAAGACACAACGTCCAATAACGACTATTCCTGGATAAATATCGCATTTTGACAGCCATTCTCTGCTTGCTTGTTGGTTGGGCTATAAGGCAAGACAACAAGTAGAAGAAGTAGAGAGGGGATCAACCCCTCTACTCGGAGTCTCGGAGTGCGTACGCTGCATGACTATAATCGGCGTATTTTGATGATGTATACGCCGAGCATAAGTCTCTTCTTTTTTTCTCTTTTTTTTTTTAATTTTTTGCTGCACACTTTGGATTATCAGAATTACAATTACTCCGAGCACTACCCGCCATAGCCTTGCTAGGGGTTATACTGGGTTCTATCGTCTTAGGTGGCTTCTCAACAGCTGAAACCATGAATTGTGTTTTGTACCTTATCTTTTATGCACTCGTGCATTTGTATATTTGTATGGTCAAGACATCAGGACGCTAATACATCATGTATATATGTACGGCGTCGTGCATGTAACCCTCCAACTTGGTGCACTGCGCCCTCCATCCATATTGTCAATACACCCGTGCGCGCATTTTGTATGTCCATTTTTGCGTCGAAAAAGGAAAAGAAATAAAATCAAATACTGCAGCTATCAAGTTCCACCTAACTCGTTAGTCAATTGATTGACTTTCAGAAATCGGGACAAAAAAGACATGTCCAAAGCCCACACACGTGTCAGCCGACGACTTCTAGAAGCCTCACTTCACCACTTTCACAAAGGACATAGATTTAGACAAAACGAAAGCGCTATATACCTAACTCACCCATGCCCCATTCAACTCGTCTGCAGGGTCTACATCATATGCAGGTACGTCTTTGCTTTGGTCCCCAACAAAGCCTCCGTCGACGGATGTCTTTCTCTGCGAGAAAAATTTGGACGAACTGATGGGACTGACTAGGTCAAATAAACTGCCAATAATGTGTGACTGTATCATTCCCACCTTTAGCCTGATTTGAGGTAGATTTTCAATAATGATGAAACACTCAAGCTGCGGGAGATAGGCATCCCCCTAGTCATTGGGGGCCGAGAGTTCAGTTCACATCTTGATTCGATTAGACATAGGCTGCATGCATATATACTCTTCTGACCAGGAGATATTCACTGCACGCCACCTGAGAATTGCAAATCCATGCGCTCTCCTAACAAGTTCCAACTAGCCTAGGTGAGTATCATCACTAGACTGTAGGCTGACCATTTCAAACTTTCAATAATATTAGTCCAGACTCCAGAGTCATATGGACTAACCGCCCCACAGTCCTGTCAGAGATTGACAGAGTCTAGAGCTCTCTAATTAGCATGAAACGGTCAATCTGCAGGGACTCATTGACATGAGCCTTTGTTCAGCAGTAACTTACGTACTCCGCGTCTAGGTGTAGTGGCAGAGCACGGTCCTTTTAGCTTTTTGTTTGGTGTTGCCACGGACTACGCAAAAGTAGACCTCCTGAGAAAGCATTGGATAGCTCAGTTGTATCCAAACAGAGTTCGAAAGAAGCACTTGTTGGGTCAGATAGCAGTCAAAATTTGAGCAACGGGACCAACGGCCGCACTATTCAACACGGCAGCCATGTTCTCGGAAAGGCAAGACACCAAAGATGCATGGATTGTTCTTTTTAGCAACAATAAAGTGCTCCTTTCAGTTATTGGCTGGCTTTTGGAAATATATATTGCATCAATTGCTTTTTAATTTATCCCGTCTCTCGTTTCTTTTTCCCGGGTGTACGTATCCGCTGCAGTCTCTGCGAACATCTCACAAAGCAGGAGGGAAAGGAATATACAAATAGAATTCCATAAACTATTAGAAATATAATAATTAAGAAGGAAATCGATCATCACATAGGCAGATTCATACCTACATATATCCTCCGAGCGCCGCCCCCTTCTCGCAACCATCATGTCATATTGCTGAGAAACAGAGCAAGCACCAGCAGCAGTCGGATCCTATACAAGTCCCATGACGGTACTTGTGGCATTTCGAAATTGGAGCGCTTGAATCATTGCTCTCTTTCAGCTTGTTCGGACTGTTGTCGTTCCTTTGATGACGATGATCTTCATTGGAAACCCTCGTGCCTGCGGGGAAGTTGGCTTCCAGATTGTGACACTGAGTTGAAAAAGGGGGTTTATCGTAGTTCAGGAAGGAATTTTCCTGTCGCTGTAAGGAGTAACTATGGCCATTTGAGTTCACCTCGATGTTCAACTTGGCAAAGAAAATGGGTGCCACCACGCATATACTTCGAGAATTGCTTCGTTGGAGTCAGGTATTCAGACATTTGCTTCGCCACGTCTGTTGCGAGGATCATTTTCCTTTGGTCTAAGCCCAATACTTGGTTTTTCTCTAGCCTGTCGCACTTTCGATAGCGAGTCAGTCTCTGTTTCAAGTTTCTGCGTCAATGACCTAAAAGGCAAAGCGTGCACGACGTCGGCACTGATTGGCTGGTCTATGTAGCGTATGTAGTCTTGCTTTAACGTCCTCCGTACAACTTCAACTTCCCTTCCCTCTGCAAACCAGCCATGTCATCGACTAGCATCACAGAACAAGATACCAGGCCCCAATGTTCCTCCCTTGAAATAGCCATCTTCAATGCGACATCCGCCCTCCTAGCCTACGCCGCCGGCGCCGACCGCCTGGAGCTCTGTGCCGAAGGCTCCTTTTCCCATGGCGGCACCACCCCCTCTCTCTCGACACTGAAGAACGTTATTTCATCCCTCCAACAGGCCCAGGGCGACACGACAAATAACTACAAAAAATCAATCCCTATATATGCCATGATCCGCCCCCGTGGCGGAGACTTTGTCTATGCCACAGAAGACTTCAACCTCATGAAAGAGCAATTACTGGCACTGAAAAACGCCTCTTATAACGACGAACAACCACCAAACGACCAGCACGATGGCATCTTTAACAATATATCCTTCAGCAAAGTCAATGGCTTCGTCTTCGGTATTCTGACCGAGGACGGCAGAGTCGATCGCGCTCGGAATGAGGATCTAGTTCGTCTTGCGGCGCCCCTGCCGTGTACCTTTCACCGCGCATTTGACGAGGTAATCACATCTATTGAACAACATCGTAGTACTATGACTAGTAACAGTAGTGATGGCGGTGCTGGTAGTGTTAGCAGCAGTAACAACCACAAAGAAATACTACTCCATGACGGGCTAGCGAACGAGCTTGAAGCGGTGATAGAGGCCGGCTTTGCCTCTATCTTGACCTCCGGCGGCACCGGTAAGAGTGCTTTGGAAGGGGCACAGCAAATAAATGCGTTGACTACTGCGGCCGACGGCAGGATTGCAATTATTGCTGGCGGAGGGGTCAGATCGAGCAACATTGCGGAGTTACAGAGCAAGAGTCCGGGGACACCCTTTTTTCATTCGAGTGCTATAGTCGGAAATGATGGTGATAGCGATGTTGCAAGTCAGCATGAAGTGAAAGCTTTGAAAAGAGAGCTGGTGCTATCCAGGCGCTAGGTACTGTCTGTCTATGTATGAATCGATGTTTAGGGTAGGGTTCATGCAAGTCCAAGTTCCGAGATTATTCATTCTGTCGTCTGGGTACATGAATAAATTATGATTATATTAGTAGAGATATTTGAGATTTCTCGAAAAATACAATCAAGGAAATTATCAATTTGTTTGGAAACGTCCACACATCAATATTAAAAGGCAAGAGTCTGAACAAGGCCATCGAGTTCACGTTGGTAATTGCGATGTTGAGCAATTTCAAAGAAAAACTTGCCCAGGAAATCTTTCGCTCCCTTGACCATCTCCCAACCTTCCTTAAAGCTCTCGGGTTTCTGCGGACCAGCAGCAGTAACCACGCCGTAAGACTCGGAAACAGCAGTACTACCTTGGGAAGCAAACTTCAGAGCATCGATATCTGTCAACACCTTTTTGACAAGATCGACTGCCTCACCAGTGGCGCCCAGCGCTTTCAGGTGGCCAAATGACTCTGCTATCCAGTAGCGGATTTGTCCGTTTTTGGCAAGTGCCTTGATGTGCGATCCACCGGGTATGAATGTCGCATCGACCATTGTCGAGCGCATGCCGTCGTATTGGTGATCGGGTGTCACTCCCTTTCCAGTCTGAGGGTCAACGCCATCAGCGAATACGGGCTGTCTCTTGGTACCAATGACCAAGGGAATGGCACCAGCAGCTTTGACTGCTGTGTATACACCGTTGAACGCTACCGAGTCGAAACCATCGCCGATAATAATCGCAATCCGTCGACTGGCAATAGTCGGTATGCGAGGCTTGAAATCTAACTGAGATAATCCGCGAGACTTCTTGCCATGGTTTTGTCTGCCGGCTGTCTCTGGTGTCGGTGCGCCTACCATCACAGCAACTTTTCGAGCAAGCTCGAGGTCGATTTCTGCAATACGCAGAGCCATGCGCTGGTATACCACAGGGTCATCACAATGATCGAGCTCGAAACTAAAGGCTTTGGCAACGTGGAACTTCTCGTATTCGCTTAATGAGTTGTAGAATAATTGTGCTTGATTGTGATATTCACGGAATTTGGGCCCCTGAGACCGCTTTTTGATTCCAAGAATTTTCTCCTGGAACGAAACAAACCCTCCTTCCTCGGGTTTGGTTGGCGGAATCGCATCAAAGCGATTCGGCCAGTAATTGACGGTACCTTTGGTTATCTTGTGACGCATGGCACCGTCTCGGTTGTGGTTCATGACTGGGCAAACGGGGCGATTGATTGGAAGCTCCTCCCAGTTTATACCTAGACGGGATATTTGCGTGTCAAAGTAAGAGAAGTTGCGACCCTGGAGAAGAGGGTCATCGGAGAAGTCGATGCCGGGTACAATGTGGCTGGTACAGAAAGCGACCTGCTCCGTTTGAGGGAAAAACTCATCGATGTTACGGTTGAGTTCCAGCTCGCCAATAACACGTAAAGGGACAAGTTCCTCGGGCCACACTTTGGTAGCATCAAGAGGGTCAAAGTCAAAGTCGTGCTGTCTTTCCTCGGGTATCACTTGGATGGCAAAGTCCCATTTGGGATAGGCTTTGTTATCAATGGCTTCCATTAGGTCTTTCCGGTGGAAATCCGGGTCCTGGCCAGCTACTTTCAAGGCTTCGTCCCACACGAGAGAATGAACACCGAGGTGTGGAATCCAATGAAACTTGACGAAATGGCGCTTGCCCTCCTTATTAATGAGACTGAATGTGTTGACTCCGAATCCCTGCATCATGCGGAAAGACCGTGGAATAGCTCGGTCAGACATGGCCCACATGAACATGTGTGTAGCCTCTGGGTGAAGGAAAACAAAGTCCCAGAAGTTATTATGGGCAGTCTGCCCTTGAGGAACCTCGTTGTGTGGCTCTGGCTTGACAGCGTGGACTGTGGATAGTTAAAAATTACTTCGTCCAACAAGGCGCAATGGCAGGAGTACATACCAAAGTCGGGAAACTTGATAGCGTCTTGAATAAAAAAAACAGGAATATTGTTGCCGACTACAGTACGAAGGATTAGCTAACATAAAGCACCGAAAATCGTCTACCGGATTTACCTATATCCCAATTTCCTTCGTCCGTGTAAAACTTGACGGCAAAGCCACGGACATCTCGGACAGTATCGGCACTGCCTCTACTTCCCTGGACGGTAGAAAATCGAACAAATACTGGTGTCCTTCTTGTCGTGTCATTAAGTACACCGGCATGACTCAATTCCGGGATAGCCTCCTTCAACGTGAAGGTGCCAAAAGCACCTGTGCCGCGGGCATGGACGACTCGCTCTGGGATACGTTCGTGGTCGAAGCGATGGATCTAAATATCCAGTGAGTTTCTAGTCTGAAGCAAATCCTTGTCCATACGGAGAATTGCAATGAGAAACTGACCTTCTCGCGTGCTATCTGGTCTTCTAGCAGACTTGGACCAGAAGACTTGTCACTGACGGGCTTCAACCAGTGATCGGTCTCGGCGACGGGGGCTCCATAGTCTGTTGTAAACTTGGTCTTTTTATGAACGTCGGCAGTATCTCGAAGGAGGTCTGCAACCTTCTTGTCCTCTCCTGCAGCCGATTTGATCACCTCCTGGACCTTGTGAAGCCCTCCTGCAACGGTGTTGGCCATAGTAAGGATCAGCGTGCTTTAATCGAATTGTATAGTTCCTTTGGGCTGTGGGGTTTAAGAAATGGGATGTCTTGAGGGGGCTTTGGTCTTTAACCATCAAGGACCGACTATTCGTAGCCATGACGTTGGCTGCTGGAAGCATCCTACGCGGAAACGTCAAGATGACGTCCGGACTGAATCCTCGACGCAGACGGAAGAAGAGACAACATGAACCAATTAGCTCTTCATGATTTGACACTTGGAAGACAATCAATCCGCGTTGAGTGGAGGGAATGTATCAATGACGTCATTGCCTGGACACCTCAGGTGTCAACACAGCTAGCCCTAATCCCATACCGAATTGGGACTACAAAAGAAGAAAATCTGGCAAAAGCGAGCTGTTTGGAGATGAAATGCCAATGGCTTTTCTCTTGAGACAGTTTCTGCATTGAGTCTAGCTAGCATCTCAGTTTCTACCAGTGCGAGTAACATGGGCAAAGCAATCAAATAACTAGTACTGCGACAGTAAAATCGTCGGGTGAAAGCTATTCGATACAAAATTAGCAAAGTATTTAGATTTAGAAGATAGCTACCCCATTGGGAGGACTCGCTACGCCGCCAGGAACCTATTTCACGTTAATATCCTCAACACATTCCGCCTAGATCCATCGAACACTCACTTTCAATGGCATACTGCTAAAGAAGAATTCCCAGCGCTTCCTTTTGTCACACTCCTCACTCAAGCGTTTCAAATCAAACAGCTCGCCAATCGGCATTCCCCAGCCTGCCAACAACCACTCATGCAACCGATAATCTAGATTTTGGCATGGCCACGCCTCGAAACTAGGCTGGTCGCCCGCAACAGCTGCGAATCCATGATCCCATATCCATTGCAGGGTTTCTCTCGAGGACTCCAACCCGATTGCTGGCGGAGGGAAGGTTGCTGCTAGCGTTTCCTTTTGAGCTGTCGACATCCGAGAATAGGCCTCTGTCCAGCCGGTGCGGATGAATAAAATGTCACCTGGGCGAAAAGTCGTTCCTTGTTTAGAGGCAATTTCTTTCAGGGTCGAGACTGGTATCGGCGTCGTAGAAAAGCAGTTTATGGGGATATTGTTGCTTTCAGCCCAGGAGACATAATCCAAGAGCACGCCGCGGCCCACGATGCCCCCCTTTTCAGCCCATACTGTTATGCATAGTAAATATAGTGATTAGCTGACGTCGAACCTAATGGTGATACATGTTCTTCTTTATATATCCTACCGTGAATACCATTCTTTTTTGTCTTCACCACGTCCTCCACCGTGATGCCATTATAAAACACTTTATGCTTCTGATGTCCATAATGCCGGAATCCATCCCATTGCGAGCTACTCTGCGTATTGAACATGAGTACATCGTCGAAAACAATGTTCCTCCCCTTTTGCTGGATCTTATGCTCAAGCCCCGTACGCCCAAAGCACGGCACCGACATACTGTCGAGAGACCAGTCGACTGACACACGGACTCCGTCCACAATCTGTTTTGCAGCCTCGGCTGTGACTCGTGGTGTGATGAGATTCAGTGTGCCCAACTCGTCATTCTCATCAAAGCGACCCCATGCGTTTCCTGGGGGTCCATCCTTACGAAGTGGCAGAGAGTCGAAGGATAGGGTCTGGGCGGCAGACATAGTAGAATGATAGTATTATGTACAACATTCAAATCGTTTATTTTGATATCTACTAAATAGAATAAAATGTTCCCATTTTATACTACAATTTTTTTCGGACTCTAAACTACGGACAATAGTCCGGTGCATACCTAGCTAGGTACATCAAAGACGTTACCCCACAATCGGCTTTTCCCCGGATTTCTACTGATCCTACAAAACTACGGAGTAGTGATCCCATAGTTCAAGCATAGTGACAGCTCAAGTCTACTATTGTATGTTTTTGATCGAGTGCAAGTTTCCTTTTTCGAAAAAAAAAAAAAAAAAAAAAAAGACACATCTATATATCTCCTGTGAAACATTTAACCAACGGCTGCGGCCGTTCCATACTAGGTTCAGGGCACATCATCTTTCCACACTTAGTTGCTGAAATAATAATACATGCTATTTAGTTAACTCTGAGCTGAGCTGGCATGTCTGATTACCGTTTTCTATAGCCTAATGCAAGGTATTGTCAGAGAAAATTGTCTGAATAGGGCAATCCTAACGAAGGGTTACAATTACCCTAGACTTCTCCAATGGATGCTTTGCCAGATAAGAAGTAAATCATATAGAAGAAAAATTTTGTAATTATTATTGGAAACTAATTCAAGAATGCGCAGCGGGAAACTGCTTTGTTTTGTTAAAAGGAATTTAGAGATCATGATATATATATATCCGAGATCCATGGATGTCTCCATACCTCTTCAATAAAAGCCGAAGGTCACGGCTCGCTCGAGTGAGTGTTTCCAAGTATCAAAAAAATTTGGACCAACATAGTTCTGGTTGGATATAATTGAGGATTGTTCTCTGACAATTGAGGACCCTTGGGGAGCATCTGAGGCACTTCCCGGGGATTACCTAGGTAATCAATGCCAATTTAATGCTATGCTAGGAATTTGACATGCTAAACGAAGACGTATATGATTACATAGAAACAAACCCCTTCTCACTTCATCAAAAGTCCAACGGCCCATGGGACACTTAAACCTCGCAGATCACCGTAATGCTGACCAACTCCCAAAAACACAATAGGGATGCCGGTAGCATGCACCATACCCACGAGCGTTCCCACCATGTCGCCCACAGTGTCGCATTTACTAATGATAAAGCCATCGAGATTGCGCCCGGGTCCAAAAGCCTGGTTGAAGTTCCGAGCCTGCATCACACTATCCGTACCAACCAGGGCTTCGCCAACCATGAAAATCTTGTCCGGGTTGGCGAATTTGGCGAATTTCTCCAACGAGGACATCAGACGTTGATCATTGTGTCGGCGTCCTGCAGTATCGATCAAAACGACATCAAACTGGTTTGCGGCCGCGTAAGTGACGGCGTCTTTGGCGACGTTGGCGGCATCTTTGCCATATCCTTTCTCGTAAAGTTCAACCTGCCCAATGTTCTCTCTGGCACTCAGTTCTGTCAAATTTCTCACGTGCACACGCAGTTGTTCAACAGCACCGGATCGAAAGGTATCACAGGCAGCTACCAATACGCGATAGTTGTTCTGTAACAAAAAGAAGCAGATCTTGCTCAAGTTCGTCGACTTCCCAACACCATTAACGCCAACAATGGAGATGACGTAAGGACGCGATGTTTGCCCTTTAACAGTGGGTGCGGTAACAGCTTGAATCTCATGTAGCATGTCTAAAGATGATGTCGGCGTGAGAATCTTCCGTAGAGAAGCTTCTGTAGCGTCTCGCAACGCGGCATCGACACTTTGGAAATTTCCCGTTTTCTTTCCGACAAGCTCCTGCTTCACCCCCTCGCATAATCGTAGAGCTGCTTCACGCGGAACATTCTTCTTCATAAGGTGGTCTTCCATGGCCTTCAAAGGTTTCTCCAGATCTTCCGCTGACAAAGTCTTCCCACCCACGATGTTGCGGAAAAGCCCGCCAATGGCACTGAAGCTCGACCCGACAAGACCACTGGCCCCATTAGCTTTGGCCTTCTCAGCATCCGCCTTATCTAGAATCGAATGGACTTCATCACCCAAGTCCTTCAGGACGAATTGTCCCTTGGCGGTCTTTCGACCCCAGGTATCATGGGCCACAGCTTCCACTATCGGCGCCGATACATGTTCATCGGTGGCAGCAGCCGAATAATCTAGATTGACTCCATCATCCTCATCCGCAAATCCGTCATCTGTCCATTTTCGAGCCTTCTTCTCCTTTGAAGGCTTTCCCTTCCGCACGCTTTCATCTCCCGAGGAGACATTGGCACTCGCATTGGCAGCTTTGCGGGCGCGTCGAGACACCCGGCCTGCTGGGCCGGATTTGGCTGTAATGATATGGCTTGCGGAGGGGGTCGCAGATCTCGAGGATTGCGGTGTAGCGACTGGCGAGCTCTCGTTGGAAGTCGCCGCCGCCAGATGCGCAGCCTGTTGCTGCGCTATGTGTTTGTTATTAGGTGATACATAGAAGAGACAAAGGAGGAAGCGTACCTATGAGAAGGGAAGGCTCAGGTGGTGGTGGAGGGCCTCCATTATCTGACGAGACAAGGGGGTTCTTTTTGCCGTCCTCGTATGAGCCAGCGTACTCATCAATAGATGGGTCGGCTGTATCCTCCAACTCGCGGACTTGTTGGTCAAAATACTTGTCAAATGGATATTCGTGTATCCTCGCCCTGGCGGACTTCAACTGGTCCTTGTAAATATCCGCAAAAATGATCGCAATATTGTCCAGCAGTTTGTCTACCCAGCTAAGATGGAGAAGCGACTGATAGACGGCCTAGTAGATCAAGCGATTAATGTTAGGCGCATGTTCATACGATGAGACAAGACAAGCTTGACAACATACCACGAACATGAGCCCCAGATCCTTTGCGCGTCTCCATTTCAACGTATATTTTTCCTTCTTGAATGCCGTTGACACGCCGTCCGTTGGGACAACCTTTTCCTCAATGAAAACTTCACTGATAAGACTGTTGACGATGTGCGAGCCCACCGGGGCATAAGACCGGGACCAAAGCACCACGCCGGAGGTGGTGATGATTTCGAATGCGTCCAACATTTTGTGATACTGGCCTGAGTTAAGATCTGGAGCGCAAGTGCTGACAGTTCGTGAATGGGTGGCGGGGAGCTTCTGCAGCGGGCAGTCGCAGGGCAAGCTCACGGGCCACGTATTTAGCGTACCACAGCCGCATCTGCGGCGTCAATTTATACTCAAGTTGCTTGTTGACACATAACCCTTCGGACTTTCGTTTCATCACCCTCCAGCCAGACAGCGCCAAAAGGGCTGCATCGCCAGGTCTGCACTCGTTATATATCTTCTACTCTGTTCCGCCCTCTATCCAAGAAACCCTCAAGCGTCGTCAAAATGCAGAGGTCGCCATTCGCTCCTGTACCAGCACAGTCTCCTCCACTTCACCATCCTGTACCGCAGCATGTGTCGACAGTCCCTATGATGCGCTCGCCGCCACCGCCGACTTCTCAATCACATCATTCAGGATATGATAATCCCTATCAGCCAGCCCCTGCCCAGGGGGGTAGCGGCACCTTTGCGCCCAATTTTGGAGGCTTTATGACCGATCCAACGGCCCAAATGGGGTTCCAAGTTGGCAAGACAGCGATGATGGCAGGTCAGGAATACATGGAACAAAATGTAGGGCACCAGAAAAAATGTTCAATGCAAGTATGACGTATAATGCTTGAGTTCTGACTTGATTGTGGGCAGTTCAACCGTTATGTTTCGATTCCGGCGCTTAAACACTACTTCAATGTATCCAATTCATACGTTTTGAGAAAAATCTCCCTCGTGTTATTCCCTTGGTATCACAAGCCTTGGTCACGACAGCAAACTCGGATGGCCACTGCGGGACCCGATGGTCAATTGCAACAGCAACATTATGCCTCTGTTTTCCTTCCCCCGCGTGACGATCTAAATTCGCCTGATATGTATATACCTACTATGGCGTTCGTTACGTATATTTTGCTCTGCACTGTCATGGCTGGGCTACGTGGCAGCTTCCATCCTGAACTATTAGGCTCTATAACCACCACGGCTTTGGCTGTTGTGGTATTCGAGATCCTATGTTTGAAGGTAGCCATGTACATTCTCAGCATCAGCAATGATTCTCAATTACTGGATTTAGTAGCCTACTCCGGTTACAAATTTGTTGGAATCATCGTCACCTTATTGGGTGCCGGTATCATCACTCCGGGACGAGGAACTGCCAGCTGGGTAGGCTGGGTGGTATTCATCTATACTTTCCTTGCTAATGCATTTTTCTTGGTATGTTTTCCCGCTGTAAAACAGCAAGAGGGGCAGTCTGCTAACAAAAATCTTCTCAATTTCAAAGCTCCGATCGCTGAAATATGTTCTACTTCCCGACTCAACCGGCGATGTGCCAATGCGTGCAGGAACCATGCACACTGTCGCCCGTTCCCAGCGCAATCGCCGGACGCAGTTCCTCTTCATATATTCCTACGTCGTCCAATTCATCTTCATGTGGGTTCTCTCAAGAGAAGGGCCACCTGCTTCAAAAGCAGCTGCATCCTGAGTGGGCACTCTTATTTTCACAATTCGATTTATACTCGTGATATCCGATTGGGATATCGCGTTGTTCTCCTTTTAGAAGTGGGTGCGAAAAGGCAAAAGTGGTCTTATATTTAGGAATGTATGAAATATGCATCGGAATTAGCTTGTAGAACTGCTTTAATGTGACCATGATATAAATTTCAGCTTGCTCACTTGTCGTTTTGAAACTAGATTCATCCGCTGATCTACCGCTAAGCCTTTGGTAAGGATACATAGTGTCTTCTAGTACGAGATGGAAGCTACTGCTACAGTGATAATCAATGCAGTGAAAAGACGATACACCGCAAACATGTAATATTTTTATTAACCAAAAGTTAATCCTCTTACAACCATGTCGAAAATATCGCTCATCGAAGAAATACCTGCCATGCGATATGTTAGATTCGTGACACAACAAGGCATGAATTGAAAGAAATTGATGAATAAGGTCCTCAGAGATCTTGGTGATTAAGGTGATATCAACCGCCAAAGGCGTCAATTACTATCTAGGCATGATAAGGTGTAATCATCGGAGACGACGAAAGAAAGACGGTTGTGAACGTACTTATTCGGACGTCCTACAAGAGGGCTGAGTGAAATCTCGTCATAACACAACATGTCGTTTCCTTGTTGTGGTAATAGTAGAGCCATCGTCAACTATACTACGCATGCGACGTTAGTCAAGCTGCACCAAGAACACGGTCGTAGAGATAAAAGCAATGAGAAGAACGAATGCAAGTCAGAATATGTAAGAAATTGAATATCATACTCCAGGCCTGTATCGAAACTCCGGCGAGAGCTTCACAGAACCCGGGTCAATCGCAAATTACCGCATCATGTAGCCAAATAATGAAAGAGGGAATGATCAAAAGTGGTAGTAGTGATGACACTTACCATTCCATCCAATGGCCCATTGCACATGAAAAAACGGCCAAGTGCAATGGGCCGGTTGTTGAGATATCTTCGCATCCGATGGTTGTCGACAGAACAAAAGAGAGAAAAGTTGTTTGTTTAGCAGAAGAAAAAAGTCACGCTTCAATCGGCACGGAAAATATCGCTTGCCGGCTAGAGACGCACTAGCCCAAAGCGGCAAGCAAGCAGCCCTAGCGAGTTTGCGCGCATCGCCGCCCGCACACAACATTTATGGGCCGCTGATTGGCTAACCCTAAGCGAGACTTCATTGTGGGCTCCCTCTCTCCCATCAGCCGAAATTCGCGATCCTACTGAGTGTCTCCGAAAGACTTCAAGCAACGTTCTACTCGACAACAATTATCACCGCCGCACAAACGGAGTTGTCGACCGTGAGTCTCTCGCTATCCACACATTCGCACCCACATATATACACACACACACATATATATACACCTTCTCTGTCTTTACGAAAACTGGGACTCTTGCCATTATCGCCAAAACACAAAAGATTACCAAGTCGCTAACTTGCATATTTTCTCACTTCCAGACAGTCTTCGCCATGGCCGCCAACATCGATATCAAAGCCACGTCATGGAAACTCGTGGAGGTCGGCCGTGTGGTCCTTATCCGCTCAGGACCATACACGGGCAAGCTGGCCACCATTGTTGAGATCATCGACCACAAGCGGGTATGTTTAATTCATTTCTCGATCACGCGATTACGAAGTCGACGATGGAAGAATGCTAGGGAAACCTGGGTGCTGTGTTATTAAGGGTGGCTAACCGGAATTGAATTCGAATAGGTGCTTGTCGACGGTCCTTCAACCCAAGAAGAGAAGATTGTTCCTCGCCACGCCCTCGCTCTGTCCCACGCTACCCTCACTCCTTTCGTCATTCCTAAGCTTCCTCGCGCTGCCGGTACTGGCCCCGTCCGCAAGCTGTGGGAGAAGGAGGGAATCGACAGCAAGTTCGCCTCAAGCAGCTGGGCCAAGAAGAACGCTCAGGCTGAGCGACGAAAGAACTTGACCGACTTTGAGCGCTTCAAGGTCTTGAGATTGAAGAAACAGGTACGTAGATATTTGTTTGCATTCGGCCTTGGATAGGTCCAAGAGAAAAAGGACAACTGGCGGAGACGACTGCGAGTCGTTCTAGAACATACACTGACTTGGTTTCCAACAGACCCGTTACGAAGTTCAGAAGGCCCACGCCAAGATCAGGGCCTCTGCTTAAGTGTTGCATAGGAGATATAAACGGGGAGATGTTTTTTTAGGTGGTTTTCCAAAATGGCTGGAGTTCATGTGATCATGCGCTGTGTTGCATTATAATTTTTTACAGCGACAGTCCATATTATTGAAGGAAAAAAACAACAAAACTTCTGATATCCGGACGAGAGTCCTACCTGTGTCATGAGATATTTCTTTCCTACACGGCAGGAAAAGGACATGCCGCTTTCATCTTGAAATTACAGAGTAACGAAAATGAAAAGTAATATCAGGACGAAGAAAATCCTACATTCTTCACCAAGCTTTTTTGAAAGTGAACGTAGATCGTAGTAATATCATAAACTACGTAGTTAATATGTAGTCTGCGTGTAGTTAGTTAGCGGGAGGCTGACAAGAGGGCTTCGGCTAGCCCACTTAACTCTTTTCGGCAAGATACGCATCGGCCCTCTTGAGGAATTCACACAGCTTGCACTTCAACACCACCAACGAACAACAAAATTGCACATCGCGCCACCCAGCATTCAGCAACGCCCAGGTACGTCAAATATCGCTTTTATAATTCCCAATTGTGCCAGCCTGCAATTTCTATCCCGCACGACTCGTGGATTTTAGGGAGAGTCGAACAGTCCCACTACGCTTCCAACCCGCAACTGCTTTTGCTCAGGCAGATGTAGATTAACGTCGAATAATCGCTAAAGAGATCGCGCAGAGAGTGCTGACTGGATTATTCTTTGTGTCACTCTATTTAGGAGTCTGAAAACTGAATATTCATTATGGCGAACCCAAGAGTCGAGGAACTTCCCGAGGACGACGTCCCCAAGGCCGGTGTTGAGGACGCTGGCGACAGCTCCGACTCTGAAGCTGGCGAGGAGCCCACCATCCCCGGCGGAGCTGCCGTTACCATTCACTCTCGCAACGAGAAGAAGGCTCGCAAAGCCATTGCCAAGCTTGGCTTGAAGCACGTCCCTGGCATTACCCGTGTCACTCTCCGCCGACCCAAGAACGTAAGTGCTGAACAAGAGATATATCCTGTGTTGGTGAAACGGACTGGGGTCTACGGATGAACTTGGAGGAGGCTTGAGCTTCACAACTGGCAGATGGATAAAAGGGCTAACTAACATGCACTGGCAATAGATCCTCTTCGTCATCAACCAGCCTGATGTCTACCGCTCTCCTTCCTCAAACACCTGGATGTACGTATTACATATTCATTTAAGGTTTTGTCTGGGAAGGAAGAGAATGTTTACAATCTATTTAGCATCTTCGGTGAGGCCAAGATCGAAGACTTGAACGCCCAGTCCCAGGTCAACGCTGCCCAGCAGCTTGCCGCCGCCGAACAAGCCGCCAACGCTGACGCACACGCCGGTCACGACCACTCCCACGACGGCAAGGGCAAGGCCTCCGAGACTGACGACAAGAAGGAAGAAGAGGAGGACGATGGAGAGGAAGTCGATGACTCTGGTCTGGAGGCCAAGGACATTGAGCTCGTCATGGCTCAAGCCAATGTTTCCCGAAAGAAGGCTGTCAAGGCTCTTAAAGAGAACGACAACGATATCGTCAACTCCATTATGGCGCTCAGCATATGATGTTAGCGTAGTGAACGTTTGTTTTTGTTAAGAAAAAAAAAAAATCCCAAAAGATGGAAATAAGCCTGTCAATTTAGCGGGTTTATGATTTTTTTCAATTTACGGAGAGCTAGGGTGAGGATTCTATCTTCACATTGTAAATCAAAGCAGCCATGACATAGCTTTTCAATTTTCTCCATCTGCTCATTGTAAGAGTAAACATATGTTAATAACGGCCTCTTCGTATTAGATGCTGCCATGCGTGCAGCCTTTTTCCCGGCTTTCGGCGGACGTGGTCACGTGATGTCTTCGGCAAAGAACAACAACCTCCTCAACGTTCCGGCAGCGTCAAGTTTGCACCGCAAGGCTCCTTTCTCCGCTCATTAAACCACCACTCACAATCGCAATGGCCGCCCCAGTAAGTTGACCAGCCCAGCTCAATTGTGTCGTTCGTTTTCAATGAGGGTTCCAATTTCCCCGACCGCGCGTGTGAGAACTAACTCCAAACCAAAACAGCGTAGCGCCGCTCTCAAAATCGACTGGACCAAGGTCACCAGCTCGCTGGGCCTCCGTGGCCAGACCGCCGCGTCGCTGCAGGCTTTCAAGAAGCGTAACGACGATGCCCGCCGCAAGGTTACCGTTCTTTCGGAGCAGCCCCAGACCATCGACTTCTCGTTCTACCGCAAGACGCTGAAGAACCAGGCCGTCGTCGACGAGATCGAGAACCACTTCAAGACCTTCAAGCCCGCTTCTTACGACGTCAACCGCCAGCTCAAGGCCATCGAGGCCTTTGAGGCCCAGGCTATCAAGAGCGCTGAGGAGACCAAGGGCCGCGTTGAGGCTGAGTTGGTCAACTTGCAGAAGACCTTGCAGAACATTGAAACTGCCCGACCATTCGACGAGCTCACAGTTGTATGTTCATCTCCATTCATTTTCTTTCTTCTCTATATGTGTGTTTGACATTCATTGACGTTATGTGACTGCAGGACGAGGTTGCTACCGCCCAGCCCGAGATCGACGAGAAGACCGCCTCACTTGTGTCCAAGGGCAAATGGATGCCAGCTGGATACAAGGAACGATTCGGCGACCTTTCCATTGTTTAAATTGACGGGTCCTTTGTTCTTTTTCTTATGTCCAGTCTAGCATTTTCAAAGTGGCTTTTCTATCGTGCTTGGTCGTCACAGTTTCGAAGCGAGCGGGGGATGGGGCATGATATACTAGTCAATTCTGTATAGAAACAACCCACATTGTTCAATTAGATGCTTTCTCCTGAAACCTAAAGTCCCTGAGTGTCAAGTTTAGTGGCATTCATCCTCTCTGAAGCTGTTAGCACCCCGAGACAGCTTACCAATGTATTCATTCCCTTTGTTATCTTATTATCTAGTCTCCTCTATTCTACTCCCCGTAGGAAAGTATATCGGTAATAGGCTTCTTCGGGGGATTATCAAATATTTAAGTCTCTGTGAATAGAATGACAGGAGCTTTTTAGGAATATCAGAACCCTCGACTTAGGTAGGGCATGCGCACAACTCCGGGAACAGCGTCCAAAATCAGTATACACTTAAGCCGGCTTACGACTCTGGACACAATCCAAACCGAAAACATGTCCAGGCATCACTAGTAAGCTTGCGAATGATCTGTGTGCATCCATCGACGCCAGATCCCCGAGACGAGTCTGGCAGGCCGGGGACTAGTAGATCGACCACAACAACGCAGGTCGTTAGCAAAGACTAGCAAAGATCGAGGCTGGCAACGAGAAAAAAGAAACGAAAGTCGAAAATCAGACAGCATTGATAAACATTGACATATTCTTTGGCACATGCCAAGTTGCGAGGAGCGGAAGCATGCATGCATGCGTTGTGACATGTCACCAGGCGAAACCTGGAAGTTGAAGGCGAGCGAGTGCTGCTGCTGCATGTACTAACGACTATCATTAGGCTCCGGACTTGCTACCTGATCCTGATCCTGATCCATTACCTTCAGAGCGGAAAGCAAGCTGTGCTGTGTCAGACCTCAGTGAATGGCATTGTCGTTATTGTTTTTGTATTGTGTATGTATGCACGAATCATGTCCCGCGACGAATGACGGGGGATTTTCTAACCGCCGAGATGTTGCTCTTCTCTGTCCACAACAGTCGTCCTGGCGTGTGCATGCATCTGCCCGACGGATCGACCATGCCAAAGGTCATTAGCGTCGGGGAGGATGAGGTCGTATTTGATGATTACTTCCTTGCTTCGTCGAAGCTCTCTCGACATGAGGACCCGTGAGCTTGGGAACCAATGCCCGGACTGGGTTACATGCATGCAGCATTCATTGTACAACGTCCGCGCAAGAGAGATCGGTCCATCTCAGGATTGGGCGTGTGCGAGGTAAGCGGCTTGTCTTCGTGCGAAAAAAACAAAATTTGACACTATCGCAACTAGTGTAATCAAGAGGTCCTCTAGTTTATAAGCTATAGGGCCCCCTCCTCACCGGTGTCTCTGGTTCCTCCGGCAAGTCATTCGATACACATATCGTCGGCTATATCGCCATCATTGCCTCTATATCTAGGGGCCATAGATATCTATCCTCTATATCTCTACTCCGGCTGGTCGACGTCGAGCCAGATCGGATCGCCGGACCGGCCGAGTCTATCCGCTCGCTCGGGTCCGTCCACCGGTATACGAGCAAATTACCAGAATTACACAAGCGCTCGTTGCTTTTTCTTCCCTGTCTGTCTGTCTGTCTGTCTCCCGCCCAAACCCCGCGACGACAGGGATATTCCTTAGCAGACCGGGGTCTTCAGCTTAGTCTCCCCACCCTCTCTCCAACATACATAGTCATACATATCCATCCATCCATCCAATTTGGTCGTGCAGTAAGTCAGTCCACGCGCGTTTGCCACCGGCGCATTTGACTCTCCAGCTATCATATGTCCTGTTGGCCTGACATGAAGCGCTAACTGTGTTGATATTTAGAACGCATTTGATTTGGCGGGGAAGTTCTATCTATATCTATATATAGATATAGATATACCTTAACCTTGCAGTCAGTCGCTACCATCATCCACATTCATATGAAAACAAGTCACTCTCTTCGCGTCACCGCAAATAAGAAGAACTGGCTGTCATGCTGTCAGCCCTTTGGCTTCTCCAAACCCAGACTGGAATCGCCGTGCATAAAGATACGGCATGCGTCGATAGCACCAAGTCCCTTGAATGCAACCGGACTAGAGAACCCGACTGGAGAACAACAGCATCCAGTCAGTGAGCGAGCGGGCGTGTGAATGGAGCGAGCCTCGTCGAGCCTGGGGCCATCGGACGGAGGCTCATCGTCTTCACTGTCCGGCACCATATCAGCACCGCGGCCACAACGCTGCACACTCGAGTCACTTCCCGCAGAGCTTATCGAAAAGATCTTTTTCCACAGTTTAGAAATCAACCTGCCCCGAGCATCATGGCACATTGCCCGCATCCTCTCCAAACCCATCATATATAAGTGGTTGGTTCGCGTAGCCTTCAGCAGCTCCAATACTAGCTCCAAACATGACTTTTTCACCCCGGACTTTCTCCCACCGCCACTGACCTACTGGGCCGTCTCGCCCTCCGAGCGCACCCATCTGCAGACGACCATTCTCGAGTGCCGATGGTGCACGTTGCAATTGATCCGACAATGCCAACAGGATTACGTGAAGCAGATTATTCGGCAGAAATGCAAAGACCTGGTCTTCTCGGACCGGGACCAGCAGATACTCGACAACATTGACCAGTGGTTCTCGCGTCCGATGGAGTTTGACTTGGCTGTGCATGGACGTCGCGGTAGCGGTGATTTAGTGATGAAAGCAAAGAAAAAGCATACCCCAGCAGCACCGGCAACAACGGCAACATCAACAGCAGCAGAGACTACACCAACGGCCGCGCCAGTAACAACATTCTCAGACGTACGAATCTCATTCTGGATCCATTTCGGAGCCGTCCAGATCGGCGAACCCAGCCCCGTCTCCTACGAAATCGACCAATTCCGTCTCCCCTGCGCGCCTTCGCTCGACGAGCGACCACGCATGCCCAACAAACTCCTCCGCCCGCCGTGGACCGCCGAAAAACTCGAGTTCCTTCTCCTCCTCTCGCAAGAAGCCTGGATCGACGAAGACACGCACAGCAGCGACCGTTCACACCTCGTCTTGCGCCAACTCATCCGCGACCGCGACTACCTCACCTTCGAGAAACTGCTGTACATGAACGTGGTTAGCAAGAACTACAGCTATCCGCAAAATTGGCCCGTGAAGACGCGCCATTTCCGCGCCGCTGTCAAATATGCCCGTGGCAGGAATGATCCATTTGTGAGGTTGTTGTATCATCAGAGATGGCATGTATTGGGGGAAAGAGAGAGGGATGTTAAGGCTGAGGTACTGAATAATCTGGATGTTTCGGCGAGGAGGCTGAATTTTGAGTGATTTTAGTTGTTTCGCCTTTCAACTAGATATATTACCTAGGTTTACATGTTTACACCATACATCTAAATATAAATTTCATCATAGCTATGCCAATATCAATGAGACTTTAGAGTCTTTCGAGAATCAAGTAATTTACTTAACCGGATATGATGGCTATTGCTGTTGTATTTCTATGCCTTTAGCACTATTGTATCTCATGACATATTATAGAACATCATCAACCACGCCACGTCTTCGATACATCAAACGACATTTTCTGTATCCAGCTCTGCGTCAACTCATCGCGACTGCTGCCAATACAGACTTCATCGAGAAACCGTCGCCCCATCTCGTGACTGTGCGAATTTATGGCCCCGTAATAGAACAATGCCTTTTCACTGGGGTTTTCCCGCGCTTCGTCAACATACCGTGGCAGTTCGATCATGAAATCTAGTAACCAGCGGCCAAATGCTGCGGTATCTTCCTGTGGTGTCTTTCTCTGTCTTGCTCTCCGTCTAATTGTCCCGTCATATTCAAGGTTATCGTCGTCGCTTTCGTCATCGTCGCTTTCGGAAAGGGACAGTTCAGATACAGGCGTTGCAGTAGACAGCTCCATTGCCCATTGCGTTATCTCGGAGGAATCAGACGGCATGCTCTCTGCATTACAGCGCAGAAGCAGTTTGAAAAAGGGCAACGCTTCAAAAATGGGCATTTGCACTACTCGAAGGAAATATTCGCCTGGAATTGCGAAATACTCGCCGACGCCCTGGCTAGCATTTAATGCGGCAGATCCCGTTTCAAGCCTTCGACGAGTGAAGAATTCGTCAACCTTCAGCAGAGAAGTAAGAGCGCGCGCATTCTGAGTGTCGAGTGCGGTTTTTATGCCTGCTTGCAAGGCGGGTCGAGAGAACAACATGTCATGCCCAGTGCCGTCGAAACCGTATTCATGACGAAATATTTCGAGAAGGTCGATGTCTTCATCTTCAAACGAGAACGTCCTATCGTGTCCACTGCGACGACCACGCAGCAAATAATCCGGAATAACTCGCACGTTGAGCACACGATGGACGTCTCGAACGCTCGCTTCGGCGCAGTTGATGCTCACCGATACCAGCGGGGTTATGGACATGTAATATGTTTTCCCATTTGGTGCATTTCCCCGAAACAACACGCTGGAAGCAGGGGGGACATCCTCGATAGCGCCGCCACCTCGACGAAGCTGCAATAATTCATCCAAAGACGCTTGCTGCACAGGATCCGAGATAGTAATGTTTGCACCGACCCAATGTCTTTGAATGACCATCTGCATCAGTGCTGGAAGCTGGTCTTGTATGCATTGTTTGGTACACCATCTGCATTTAAGTATTGTGGACTGCAGGTACACTCGTTCCGCGTCGTCAAGCCGCATGGTGTCGTAATCAGCAGGCTTCAGGGCCTCGGCGATCTTCTCCCGTGCACTTTCATTCTGAAGAACGCCTACCACCCCGTTTGACGATGACGATGGACCAGGAAAATCATTGCGGAAAAAGGCGAGTCGGATTAAGGTACGATAGATTCGTTGACTCGACACCGCTGCGGCCAAGTAGGGTGACGCTCGGCAAAAATTCGTCTCCAGTGCATAGAGGAAGATTTTCTCCAGCAGCTCAACAGGTAGCTTCTCAAGGGAGGAAGAAGCATTTCCGCGTCGTGCTTGGGCTGTTTCCAGCAACGAGCTTGAAGAGGCCTCTACGTTATCATCGTGATATTTGCGCTTCGATAGGCGCGCGGCTTTGCGGGCGGCCAGCTCAGCGAAGGAAAGCAGCGGGCGCCCTGGACGGCGTTTCTTGGTGGATACGCCATTGTGGGAATCTGTGGTGTTTTGGCTGTTGGGCCCTGCGATGCTCGTCGTGTTTGTCTCTGGACGAGACCGAGGCGGCATCATGTGAGCAACAACGATGCACGGAAGGCTTTCATTACATACCGTGTATAGTTAGTCTTCCCAAGCCAAGGGTATGTTAACCACATCTCTAAGAAGTAGCAGGCTTTTGATATTCCTAATATAGCGCTCTGCAAAAAATGGCCCAATATGTATCCGTATTGCCAAGACACTAGTGTTTTGGAGGATCCGCAACCCACTGTATGACTATGTTTAGACGAGCCAATCGGAACGCAACGAGCGTGTCGCCGACTTGCTCTGTTTATCAGTCCCTCACATATGCCAGCCTCAACCTCTGCATCTTCTCTTCGTTTCACACTAGATTACTTCGTACTCATTCACCATTCCAGCTCCCGAGCGGCCAACATGAGCAGTACTGAAACGGCATTGTCACTATCCCACACTAATGCGGCACAATGGAATAGAGAGCTTATGGTCGAATTTTAGGCCGCGTTGGAGAGGAATCCAGCTGCGGACCTGATGTCAATGTTTTCTGAATCTTACCTCTACGAACATCGAAACGCTCAATACAGTCAACTGTCGTATGCTGCGAATATCAATGTTCGCGTAATAGACGATCTTCAAGACACTCTGAAGCACGAACCAGAAGTCGATCTGCTCTCAATTTTCCCGAAGAACTACTCTCGCAGAATCAAAATGGCACTTGGACCAAAGCTTGTTTCAAATGGAGAAGAAACGGAAGGGGAAAACGCGCCTGAATTCAGAACGCGCCTTGATCTCGCGGTGAGTGCTACGATTGTTTATCCCTTATCTGAGACAGTGATCGCTTTGCTTTCGCAGTGTTCCAGGCCGGAGGACAAGTTGATCAGTGATGAGAACTCGCTTGTGGTTCCTTGAAAAAGCTGATTTGGGATTCACCAAAACTCTAGGAAAGTCCTGTAAGAGGCGTGGTGGTTAGATGCGACAAGGACATTGTTGCCAAACTCGTGACAGGAAATGAGGATTACACGGAGTACACCAGCATGCAATTTCTTATGAACCGGGCACCTGATATTCCTGCTCCGAGGCCCCATGGACTGGTAGCATTCGGTCCCTTTCGCATCATATTCATGTCATACATTCCTGGCACAACTTTGGCCCATGCATGGCCTAACCTGTCACACGAAGAGAAGCTCTCGATCAAACGCCAGCTGGATGAAAACTTCTACCGTCTAAGATAAATCCAACAAACTGACGGCAAAGCGCTTGGTGGAGTTTGTGGAGAAGGAGTCAAAAGAGCTTCGTGTTGATAAATGCGCTTTGTTCAAAGGTATTACGACAGCGAAAGGTTTCAACGATCTCCAGTTTTCTGCTCGTCACTATGGTAGTACCACTTATGTTAGGCTTCTCCGCTCATTTTTGGAAAACGATAATTCAAAATTTGCACATGGATCTGTGTTCACCCATGGGGATGTCAGCACTAGCAATATAATGGTGAAAAAGGAGCCCTGTCCCAGCGGCCAATATGTTGTGACTGGGATCATTTACTAGGAGGATAGTGGTTTCTATCCCTTTTACCACGAGTGCATTGCGTTGACACGTACTCTGAGCCTGGTGGATGAGGATGACTGGTATCTTTATCTACCAGACAGCATCTCACCGTTAAATTTTCCTGTGCGTTGGTTGGTCGATCGGCTTTGGCAGATGCATCTAAGGACTACATAAGTCACTACCTGACCTGAACTGAGACCCCGTAAGACGGAAGGTCCAGGTGAGATTTTCTAGGAAAGCGCTATAATGTGAGCTTTGCCTTTTTTGTCTCCCTTAATATGACAAACAAAGGAATGTCGGCTTCAGATATGGAAAAGGGAAGGCATTTTGGTTACCGCTTGGATACTCGAAGCACATACATGTGGTTTAGCTTTAGCTTTTCAGGTCGTCGCTTTGTGTCATGCCGGAGACATCATTAGAGTGATGCGTCCTCTTGTTATGTCGAAGATTCTTCGAAGTAGGAATATGTCCTTGACTGTTGGAGTTTTCCCAAAAGGGAAAGTTCCCCTGAAACGACTTTGCTCTTGGGTCCTGCGATGCTCCTCGATGTGTGACGAGCATCGTGCCCATCAGCAGATGCACGCGTGGAGAAAGTTACGCTGGTGCTCGCTTTCATTGGCTGGGAAAGCGCCCGGCACGTGGCCGAGATGATGTCACATGCAAGCGCGGACTAACCCAGCCCTAAACCCTCGTTTGATTGTCGAAAAGGGCAAGAGCCGCTTCGTGACGTCAACACTGCTGTGGCGTCCATTCTTCTTGATGGAAGATGACATCAACCATTGTAGACATAACGTCAATTAGCCTGGCACAGGCACAGCAAGGAAACCTGATATCCCCTCAACCGACCAATACGCACGCTTGAAATGGTTGGGTTTGAGACCTTCTGTGTCACTCCTTCGTTGATCATCCCTGTTTTTATGCTATATTTTTCACATTGGCTTTTGAAGACCTGAAATACAGATCAACCCCTTACTGGAATCTTTTGTTGTCATAAGTACATATTCGCTGCATACATCATCTGCCATATCGTGTACCTCAACAAACATATATACCTCCCAGTGTCGTTGCTCAAAAGTCGACTTCATCATGCTTCCAAATTCCATCCAAACAACCGCCTCCTCTTCAACCTCAAGCATTTACACGACATCCATCAAAAGCATTAACGATAACTACACTTCTGACTCAGAAGACGACGAATAAACTTCTTTCACCATGGGTGCTGTCGTCTCTTGTGTACGTCATTGCCCCTTGTACCTGTCTCCTATCTTCTCAACAGTACTGACATTTCCGGATATACTAGGTCGAGGCCATACTCGGGGCTATCGGCTCATGCCTTATGGCCATCGTCAATGGCATTGGCGCTATCCTACAAGCTATCATCTCCGGAGTTGTGACTGTCTTCGATGTGATCATCTCATGCGTGACATGTGGTTCTGCTGGTGGGAGAAGAAGGCACCGGACCAGAACGAGGGCTACTATTTGATCTTGACGCCTTCCGTTGATATCTAGAGCCTGTCTGAATCTCTAGATACCGCCTACGTCTTCGATGCTCGTTTTCCGATAGGCGCTCGTTAATTGGTTGATTGTATTAATTGCCTGACGAGTCGGCGTTGCCCTGTCCACCACGACCATGACTTCATTTACGACATGCAATGACTTACGTTAATGTTGCTTCGTTCGCGAATATTTACATGCCCCGCTTTTTATTTTCGATCATGTTGTCTACATACCCTTTCGCAATGTATTATAAGGATACAAATCGTCTGTTCAGTTATTAGGTGTTGTAAAAGAATAACCTAATCTGTATATTTACAATAATAAGAAATTTCGACACTCACATCAAGAAATGTAATCATGAATTACTTAGTATTCTGAGAATTCCCTTCACCCTCCCGATAAAACTCAGCGCATACCCTGTCTCAACAACTCCCTTACACATCTCCCACGCCCCAAACCCACTATTTTTCTTGTCCTCACCCTTGTAAATCGGATAGTCCACTCGGGGGGGTATCTTGGTGCCAACAAGCCTCGGAAACCTATCGACACAAACAGCCTTCAAGTTGCTAACTGCTCGTAATCCTTCTTCCCCGGCAAACCGGCCATACCCTGATCCCTTGACACCGCCGAAAGGCAGCTGAACAGCGTAGAAAGCGCCAAAATCGTTAACAGCGACCATCCCTGCCTTGATACCAGAAACACAGGTCTCCACATCACGAGAGTTATGTCCGAATACACTAGCTCCTAGTGCGTAAGGCGTGGAATTCGCGATACGAATCGCATCTGAAACAGACGATGCGCGCATCACAACCATGACAGGCGCGAAAAGTTCCTCTTGGGCTATACGCATTGAAGGCGTAACATCAATTAATAGAGTTGGCGTGAAGTAGTGGCCGTGCGAATGCTTGGGGTGCTTATAAGCCTGTCCGCCGCAGACTAGCCGTGCACCTTGATCTACAGCCTCGGCGATGAGAGACTCCAGTTTGACGAAATTGGCAGGTGAGATCATTGCTCCAACATCAGGTGTGAAAGGGGCAGATCTGGGATCCTTCCGGTCGATCTTTGTGTCAAGAAGAATTGAGCCCAGTGTTAACGCTTTGATGCGAGGTGTGACCATGTCGATGAGCTTGTCGTATGTACCTGGAAGGGCGATCACGCGCTCAACGCCAATGCAGTTTTGGCCTGCAGACTGAAATACACCACGCATGAGGATAGATGCGATTGACGCAAGATCGCACACCGTTTTCGAGTCATCTAGCACGACGAAAGGATCTTTTCCGCCGAGTTCTACTGTGACTGGTATCAGGGCCTTGGCTGCGGACTCGCACACCTTATGAGCAACAGGCCTGGAACCAATAAAGGTCAATTGGGAAATATCGGGGTGTGAGGTTAATGTATCTGCGACTTGCGGCAAGCAAACGACAATCTGAACTAGATCCGGCGAATGGCCACAACTGATCAAGGCTCCTCGGATAATATCAACGAAAAAAGCAGAGCACCATGCTGTTTGCTCCGAAGGCTTCACAACGATAGAATTTCCGGCGAAGAGGGCGCTAATGACGGGAGAAATCAGATTGTGGAAAGGATAGTTCCAAGAAACACAGGCAGAGACAACTCCGAGTGGTTCGTAGCGGACGCTATTTTTCTTGTACATCATGAGGAAGTTTGTGGGTCGGTTTTCGGTCGTGAGAGCCTTTTCCCCATGGTCGATAGTCCATTTGAGTTTCTCTGCCGTAACCAATATCTCCCCAAACGAAGCGTCGACCTTTGTCTTTCCAGAATCCAAACAGCAGGCAGTGACAATATCATCCTGGTGCTCGAGAACGTATCTACCGATGTTAGAATCGTAACTTGCATGCGTAAATAGTAAGATGAAGTCCTATAGCTCACTTGAGTAATGTCCTGAGAAGCTTCCTGCGCTGCGTAAATGTCGTTTGCGCCCACTCGGCCTGGGCGCGCTTCGCATCTTGAACGGCACTATCGACCGACTCGCGCGTATCAAGGGGAGTATCCGTAGACAGTATACGTCCATCGGCCGGGCAATAGCTCACGATTCGCTCGGTGTTCCATTTCTACTCAGGAATATCGTTAGAGCCTTGAAACGCATCAACAATCAGGGATAAAAGCACACTTACTCCTTTTATCTGACCTTCGGCTATCTTCCTATCATTTTCTTCCAGGGCTTCCCAATTCACCCCGTTCCATTCCGGTTTCAGTTGTTCTGGTAGTGGGACGTTGAATGTGACTGGTGATTCCGCCAGACTCGATAGGTAGATGTATCCGAAGTACAGCGCGACCACAGACACAATCGCAGCGATTGAGCCTAATTTCAGCGATTCGCAGTCAACATCAACTTCGGCTAGGAGTCGCTGGAGGCAGAAAATATGAGGTTCCAGCAGATGCTCCATTTTCCATGAACGCAGCGGAGGGACGAGGTGAATGCGGCGATGCGTTATCCCTATTTTTTTTTCCCACGCGGTGGAAAGGACATTGGATGATTCGATTTCTGCCGTTTTTACTTTCTTAGCGCTGCGGCCGCGGTTGGTTGAGCTCTATTAGTGGGCCAATTAGCTTGGCGGTCAGGAATGCGGTAAGCAAAAGCCAGGAATAGGAATCTTGCAAACATCATTGCTCTTGAACAGTGCTATATTGCATGTGAAATTTGATTTCTGGGATTACAGGGAAGTACGCTCGCCGCACTTTCTCAATTTGAAATACTAGTTTGGAAATTCAGCGTTGGCGTAAGCTTTTAAGGTTATCGGCGGCCCGCTCGAAACCTACTTCAGTACATATCTGTGCATATATATCCATGAATTTACTGAGCCTTTTTTTTTTTTTTTTTTCTTTTTTGAAAAATTGACTTTAGCACATTGATTTGAGAAATAATGATTATATCTCGGAATTCATATATATATATAAACTAACCGGAGATCAATCATGTATAAGGACAATGCCATCTAGGTAGCGGATCGAAGCTCTCTGCTGACAATAAGCCCTAAATACGAACAAAGTCTCACAACAAGGTAGTTGCCTTACATATTTCTACAGTCCCCGTAACCGAGAAGCCGACACGTTTGCGCAATAGAAGTCTCGACATTCCTCAAACTTTGAATGATAGACGAGACCCTTCAGCAATAGCCGAGGATGCTACCGAGAAACCGAGTTTAACGACTGGCTTCTTGCCAGTATTATCGGTCATATCACCATAGAGATCGCAAGGAAGAGACCTGTGAGTTGTAAATTTACTCTGTATAGCATTTATCTTACATATATACTATAGAATTCCATCATAGTTTCGATAATAATCTTGACAAATCATAGACTCAAAAAGATGTGTAAGTAGTGCCGTGCATATAAAAGCTCCTGTATCGACAGCCATGACAGCGACAAAGGTAAGAATAATGACAAGGGTAGCATGGCAATTGAACGATTGTGAACCACCCTACTCTTCTTCAGTATTCTCTATGAAAATAAGTGCACTCAGAGAATTAGTTTGACTGGTCATTCGGTTCACATTCTGGGAAGAATATTAGTGTGTCGCGACACGTCATGTTCCACTTATCCATTCACAATGGCCTGCTGGCCTTCTCTCTATCTCTCGCAGCTGGGATTGTAGCAGGTTAACCAGAGCTGAAATTCGACTGTACTGGACAGAGGGAAATATTACTACCTAGTAATACGGCTAGAAAGCCGCGTTGTTCATATACAGACCGACCTATTTGCCTTGTAAATCCGGAAACAAATTGGAACTGTCGGTGTCAACTTTCCCGACTCTAATTCTCTAGCAAATTATCTATTACGGTGTTTGTGCCTTGTAGGTAGTTTCTTCAATAAACCGTAGTTATAGAGATGTCAATGCAGGCTTTCCTGCATTGACCTGCACCAGGCATCATATTTATAGTGAAGCAATGTCAGTCCAGTTTTATGAACACGTTTCTAAATTGTATATTACATTTTATTACATACCTAACACAGCATTTGGACCTATGGACTGAAATAATGGTTGGGTTTGCATTAGCCTTGCGATCAGCCTTGCCCAACCTTACAACCCCGCTCGAGATCTATAGATATAAATGCAAGGAAGACGCTTTATGTCTATTTGGAGAGCAAAACTTGAAATTTTTGTTCACACCAATACTCCACGTTCAAATACCACATTACAATGACATCCCTAATGCTCTCACACAGTGACTACACCGTGGCATGGATCTGCGCATTGCCATTGGAGATGGCCGCATCAAAGGCTATGCTAGATGAAATCCACGAAAACCTCTCGCAACCAGAAAGTGATAGGAACAACTACACCCTGGGCAGAATTAACAGACATAATGTAGTGATTGCTTGCTTACCATTAGGTATTTACGGAGTCACCGCGGCAAACATAGTGTTGGTACAAATGTTGTCCACATTTCCATCACTGCGATTTGGCTTAATGGTTGGTATTGGAGGTGGTGTGCCTACAAAAACTGACATTCGGCTCGGTGACTTTGTAGTCAGCTCGCCAACTAGGAATCAGAGTGGGGTGATACAATATGACTTTGGGAAAAGAACCCACGATGGTTTCGAAAGGACAGGATGTCTCGACAAACCTGCTTGGGTATTATTAACGGCAATAAGTCGGCTACAGTGTGATCAGATGCTGGGTCAGCAAAATATTCAGCGCATTGTTATGACTGTCCTTGAGAAAAATAAAGAAATGAAACCCAATTCTCCCGGCCTACTGATGATTGGCTTTTCCACACAAGTTATCAACATCAGAACATCCCAGGCGGTGACTGCTCAACCTGTGACAAGAATCAACTGTGGCATCGTCAGCTACGAGAGACAGACGAGCCTTACGTGCATTATGGATTGATCGCTTCCGGAAACTCACTTATAAAAAATGGAGAGACACGAGACCAGATCGCCCAGGAACTAGACGTCCTCTGCTTTGAGATGGAGGCAGCAGGTTTGATGGATCAACTTCCGTTTCTAGTGATCCGTGGAATTTCTGATTACTCCGATTCTCATAAGCAAAAGAATTGGCAAGGCTATGCAGCCCTGACTGCGGCAGCTTACACAAAGCAGCTTTTATCTGTTGTTTCCGTTTCTCTGACGGGCTATCAGGTGCAAACAGGTCATTGTAAGTGACCTCCTGGGTCCTTATAAGAGAAAAACTTATTTACTAAGTGGATTACAGCAAGAGAGCTTGGCCCAGAAGAAGAGGCGTGTTTGCAAAGCCTGTGCGTTACTCATCCTGATGAAGAAAAAAATAAGCTGAAGCGAAACAAAGGAGAACGTGCTCCTGGCACATGCGAATGGATTATGGACACAGAGGAATTCAAAACTTGGCTCGCATCACCTGGTGCCATCCTATGGCTGTATGGCAACCCCGGAGTAGGAAAAACAATAATGGTGATCACTCTTATAGCACTCCTTCCAGTTCGGTGTGATTTTGACAGTAGACAAGACATTTTTGCATACTTTTTCTTTGATTCCACTTCAGCAGAACATCGTACCGCGACTGCTGTTCTGCGTGGCCTTCTATATCAAATTATTGATAAACGTCCACAGTTTGTGAAACACATATCTGACAAGTTCAAAAATCGAGAAGAGAATATTTTTAATTCTTTTGACGCTTTATGGATTATTCTTTTTGATATAGGACGTCAAACTATCGGAGGTGAAATTTACTGTGTCATTGATGCCTTGGATGAATGTGACCAAGAGTCACAGAGATTGCTGCTCTCCTAAAGTCACAGTGAGCCATTTAATGCCATGTCTTAAGATCATGACATAAGCCTTACCTTCTGCCGAGAAAATCCTTCGAGTCAATTTCCTCCGTTCAAGAAGGCCAGGCGGTTGTGGGCCGAGCAGGCGTATCATTTCGGCTAGGTGGGCTCGGCTCCGATAGGTCTGAAATTCCGGGTCCTTGCCGCTAAATATAGACCCGCCTTCGTAGAGGTTCCAAATCTGCGAGGTAAATTGTCAGAACTGTTAGTATGTTATTAATGGGCTGAATTACCATGCATCCCACATTCCATATATCAGCACTATACGTCCATGGAATTTCCAAAATCACCTCTGGTGATCGATACATATCAGGTTGAACGTCTTCTGAATGCTCTTCGTCACCAAAGACTGCTGACCCAAAGTCACATAGAACTGGCGCATCCAGCCAGTTCAGCATTCTGAGTTCCCGTGACACGTAGACTGTTCTTCCATCTAGCTCCTTTCTGGGGGAGGGATCATGAAGCTCGTTGTTTTCAAAGTCACTGAAAACAGAATCATCGGCGATACCAAACATAATATTATCGGCCTTGATGTCTAATGACTCTGGGTTAACTATTGGTATTTAATGTGGAATTAGAGGACAAACCAGTATGGAAAGTTCGGCATTCGGTAAGTAAATAGTCGAGGGCTAGAAATAGACGATGAAGTACAACCACGAAGACAGGTGTAGGTAGTCTCTGTATAGGGTTGCGGAACAAGAAAGCAAGTACGCTCTCCCATAATGGAGGATGCACGAGACATCGATGCTTGGCATTTTCGGGTCCATCGATATCAAACGAGTCAAGTAACGATCTGACATACGTATGACCTGGATGCTTTCGTGAGGTCCCTTCCATGCGCTTATATATACTTATCTCATTCTCTAACTCTTGCCCCAGCGATGCGGACTGAATGAAGATTTTGATAGCCACATAGCGGCGGCAACTATGATCTAGGTTAGTAAATGAGTTGGTTTCCTGTCCTCGATCAGAACTCGAGGACGACTCACTCCATATCCCTTGCCAACTACACAGTGGAGCTAGCTCCGAAGCCTAATTTTCCCACAACTTGATATCGATTCTTGAGGATTTCTCCTATCTGGGTGGGATAGAATCGGGAAGCAACATAGCTAGGGATTGTCTCCTCTTCGATTGCTTGGTGTGCAGGGATCCGGACAAAGTTCGGATTAGAGAAGCTGAGCGGTGTCCACCTTCGTCCAGGCTGCGGCAAAGACCGCATAAGAGACGACAACATGATTGGGAACCAGATAGATGAGAAGAGTCGCAACATTCCAATATGCTGTGGTAAAGGCCAGGGTATGCGAAGGGTATCTCTCACAAGCTAGGTGACATGCGTAACGTGCCTCTAAAATTGATCCTAGTTTACCTTCACCGGCGAGAGAGTCGCTACGGAGACTTCACTTATATACCCAGAGACATCTTACTACGCGATATGCCCGGGAAAAAATAGTTGAGCATGTTGGCGTCCACTGTGGGGCCGTAGGGGCACTAAGCTACGGGTAAACCCACTTGCCGTGTGGGCCCGAGAATGCAGGGGAGATTCGCCACCAGTCTTCCATTCGGTGTTAAATCAATCTACTTTTACACTGCAATGATCTTTTGTTTTTCCTTTCTGGTTTATCTGCGTACTAGTGCATAGCTGGACTGCGGCACGGAATAGCCAGAGAATACGTAGCGTACAATTGCAGATGGTAGGAATGTTTCATTTCAGCCGAAGTTTGACAAAGGGTACTGGATTGGAAAGAAAGCTTTCGTAGGATGAGATGGTTTTGACGAATCGAACGTATTTAGAGTAGGTATGCAACGTTTTGATGGCGATAATTACTGCCAGGACAAACTCCTTAAGATTTAAATGTCCTATCACTAGTCTAATGCAAAATGGTTTAAATGCGCTTGGATCCTTTGTGCCACTTCCAAAATAAACCCTTCTTTAAAAGCCGGACCAATGACAGATATACCAAATGGCAGACCCTGGCAATGACCAGCGGGAATGGCAATCGCCGCAAGGTCAAGAACATTGACCGCACTCGCGAAGATGCCCAACTTTAGATTCGGTCCAATTGGATCTTGCTCTACCTCCTCAATAGTGGGGTGATTTGGAGCTGTAGGTACAATGAGAATATCACACTTATCAAATTCGGCCTCCGCGCATTTTAATAATCCTTGAGCGTGATACATATCACGGAACGCATCCGTTGCTGACATTGCTTTTGCCTGGTTTATAACCTTCGCTGTCACTGGATGCAACGTTATTTCCTCCTCCTTGCCACTTAACAACTCTCGTAAAGAGGCGCTTCTTTCTGCAACAAAAGCACTCTTGTATACCAGGTCGGAGGCAGAAAAATATGACGACCAATCAAAATTGACTTCTTCGCTGTAAGCCATGCTTCGAACCAAAGCAACAATTTTGCCAAAGTGTTCAAGGTACGCAGGGGACAACAAACTTTCCAAGATACCAGCATGAGGGAACGAGACAGAATAAGTAGATTCTTCGTGCAGCAATGATCTGTTAGACAGAGAAAGTAACGAAGGTGATCTTTTCGAATATGGGTCTTTAGGATCATATTCTTTGGCCGCAAGCCACGCACTTCGAGCATCGGATAGTGTGCTAGCGAAGAAAGACACACAGTCAAGAGTTCTGCATGCGGCAATTACTCCTCTTGTAGACACAGTTCCTTTCGTTGGTTTGAGGCCAACTATGTTGTTAAACGCTGCTGGAATGCGCCCCGAGCCGGCTGTGTCTGTTCCCAGGGAAAATGATACTTGGCCCAACGCGACAGCCAGGGCCGATCCAGAACTTGAGCCCCCCGAAACACGTGTCGAGTCGTCCACACAATGAACTGCACCGTATGGAGATCTAGTGCCCACAAGCCCCGTTGCAAATTGATCTAAGTTTGTCTTCCCAACCACAATAGCGCCAGCAGCTTCAAGCCTTTCTACAACGCGGGCTGATACATCTGGAACGTATTGAAATGATGGACATGCAGCCGTTGTAGGTAGTCCGGAAACATCGATGTTATCTTTGACGGCAAAGGGTATGCCGAACAAGGGTAAATTACGATCCCCCAGTCGTTCGAGATTCTCAGCTCTGTGCACAAGATCAGCCATTGGTTTCAGGCTTATCCAAACAGAGGGGTGTGTCGAACTATCCGCCTCTATCTTCTCGAGGATATATTTAACAACTGTAGTCGGGGAAAGACCACAAGCGTATGCGTTTCTGAGAGCTTCAAAAGTGACCGAACCATTCCAGCTGGGGGCACCATTCTTCGGGTAAATTGGTAGCCCAGATAGGGTAGCAAGAAGAGGAGCTGACTCGCTAACAAATCCAAATAGACCCTCTGAAAAATGGATCATGTCGAGTGCGGCGGACTTGAAGGCCGGAACAAAACCGTCCGTGCAGTCTCTAAGAATACACGCTTCAAATCCTCGGTCATTCGCTTCACGAACCGTTGTTGTCACACAACATTCCACAGTGACGCCGACGACAATCAAGTGTGTGATGCCTCGGTCAACCAAATGTTCGTGTAGTGGAGTAGAGAAGAAGCCCCCTTTACCAGGCTTATCAACCACAAATTCTCCAGCAATCGGTTGAAGCTCGTCGACAATATCATGCCCGTATTCTCCTCTTGTCAGAAGCCTTCCCATCGGACCAACATCTCCAATAACCATCAAATGACGAGTCTCTGGAGCTCGTGCTTGCCTAAGGAGCTTTGGCGTTGGCAGGTCACGTAGGTCCGGTCGATGGCCTTCGCGGGTGTGAATAACATGGAGCCCGCACTCACGGAACGCGCGCAAGACAGCAAGAGTCGGCTTGATAGTAGCTTGCACCTTCTCTACTCCGGCTTCTCCTGCTTGAATGTACCCAAAGCCATCTTTTAGTAGAAAGTCACGTTGCATATCAATTATGACCAGGGCTGTTTTTTCAGGGTTGAATTGGAAGGCGTATGGCTGGGCGCTAAAAGTCAGCACTCCATCGCCACGATCCCCGTTCGCTAGCCTCTTGGTCGATTGAGCAGCAACCATCCTGTGAGGAAGAAAAATCAAAATTAAACGGCCCAGTTGTCAGGGGATAGGGAAAATAGTATAATTCATCATGGTGAAAAGCAGGAGGAAAGGGTTTCGTCGACCTTTTCTGTGCCATGGTAGGTAGGATCGTCAGGCCGGGGCGGCACTTGCCCGCGGGTTCCCTGGTCCTTCCTTATCTTTGCGTATCTTATCCACCTTACGTATCCACAGTCACGGGCCTCCACTCGCCTTGGGTATCCCGCACGATCCCTCCGCTATCCTATCAACACCAACGTCAACATCCACTCTGCAATCAGAATCCTAGCAGGATATCGATCCTCGTATGTCTGACCGGCTTGGCCCCTGCACGAAGCAACTGGGATTAACGCAACATGAGGGCATGCGATGTTTGTCGCAAGAAAAAGCAGCGATGCACAACGCTCCCCGGCTCGTCGAGTTGTCTGACATGTCAAGTTGCCGGCCTCACTTCCTGCACGTATCTCCAACCACCCCCGCCCAAACGGCGTGCTACGGCCGGGATTACCAAGGACTTGGCCCCGAGAAAATCCCGCGGCCGCCGCCCCTCTGAGGGTTTGTCTTCACACTCGTCGCCCAGTTCTGCTCCAAACCAAGGACTGGACTATCCGGAGGAATCTATACTCACTAAAACCCTCGGGCTAGAGAAGAGCCGCTTCTCGGAGCTTGTCGGCACTGGAGGAGAGTATGACCGTCACTTATTGGCAAAGTCTCATGGTGGGACTCTGGCTACATCCGGTATCGTCGGGCCATCCACGATGCGCAATGTGGGTGATAATGCATTTTTTCAAATGACACCGGACGCTGAAGTCTCTCTAAGTCTTCGTCGTGAAGATATCTGGAATGAAGTGACCGTCGAAGATGTGGAGGCACTTGTACATCCACACGGTGCAACGTTAATTCGCTTATACTTTCGCATTGTACATCCATCATTTCCTATTCTTCATAAAAACGTCTTTCTGGAAAAGTACAATCGGACTTATCACGAGATTACCCCCCATCTGCTTGCTGCCGTCTATGCTTTGGCCGTTTGCTGGTGGTCCTATGACCCGGATCTTTTACTGCATGAGAAGATCAACGAAGCCGCTCTAGTGAAGGTTGCACACCAAGCTGTACAGGACGCCATTCACCGACCTCGCCTTAACACAATCCAAGCGGGCCTTTTGCTCTTACAACGTCGTCGCAATCCACTCTTCACTGATAATTCTTGGATGGGGTCATTTACTGCGTCGTTAATAGGGCTCGGCCAGCAGCTTGGACTACATTTAGATTGTTCGTGTTGGGATATTCCCGAATGGGAGAAAGGTTTACGGAAGCGACTTGCATGGGCTTTATTTATTCAAGACACGTTTTCGGCGCTGATACTTGGGCGTCCCTGTCTCATCTCTGAAACTTCGGACTGGATTGTGAAGCCACTTCAAAGTACGGATTTCTCAGAAGGTGCCGGAGACGAAGAATTAGGCGAGCAAATTGCAAGTGTGAGCATTGAGAACGGGAAGTCTCTCTTTATCGAACTCGTGAAATTGAGCCGTATCACAGCTAGCATGCTGCGTGAACTCTATTCGGTGCGATCTCTGGTTGAAGTGTTGGATCCTCACCAGGTTCTTGCTATTGCAAAACCCCTCGGGACTGATCTGGCCAATTTGCTGAAAAGTCTCCCTGAAGATTTGAACTTGGAGAATATACAACCTAAAAAGCTCTGCGTCAGTGGATTCCTTCATCTCGCACTGCATGCCACTACAGCAGCACTTCACCGACGCTTGCTTTGGTCTATTCAGGAGTCGAAAGTAGGAATGGATGATGAATTTGTCGACTTTATTCGCAAAATGCTTCGGACACGCGCTCATAGTCTGATACAATTTATTTCTCATCTTCATCCCGAGCACATGGAAGCTTTTTGGTTCTTCGCAGCCGGTGGATGCGCGACAATCCTCGGTGGTTTTCTAGGTCTTCTTCGCATGACGAGTGTCACCGCAGAAGAATCACAAGAACTTCAGGATTTAATGAAAGAATTTGAATGGCAACTTCGAATGAAAGCAAAAATGAGTGAGTGGGTGTCTTATACTCTTACTAGGCTTCGAGCACTCGGATGGGATGACTGGAAGAACTCCATAGTCTCATTTACGCGAACGGATTCTACTAAAGCTTCCGATTATGAAGCTGTAGATGACACATATAATACATCGCAAGACGAGGGGAATAGAAATGTTATCTCTCCTCCCTTTTCGAATCAATTGCTTTCTTCCACACTCATTAATTTTGATAATATTATGTCGTGGAAATCCCCCCGCTTGAGTGAACAAGGCTACGAATTTATCCCCCCTTGAAATGTTTCACGAGTACATGTTATGATGTCTGGGTATATACACATAGCCTACGTCGTCTGCGAATACAAATGGAAGGCGATCATCTGCAAAGCGGACTTTTCTCTTTCAATTCGACCTCATAAAATGTTCAAATATTGCTTTCTGCGTCAAGTACCTTTCATACCTCAGTCGGCGCTGCCAATTGGCTTTCGATATTGATTTTTTGCCGTTCGTACTCATCTTTATCCAGCCTACTAACTGCAAGTCTCTTCCAAACATACAGGCCAGCGGATATTGGATCATACTTGGGTCCACCCTCAAGACATGTTTCCAAAGGCTTGATGATGGTATCATAGCTAGGCCCAATAAATACAGGCATCGAGTAACGCTCTCGGCCCGTGATATTGAGAACCCGATGGATTGTACTTCGAAAGGTGTCATTGGACCATCTTGTCAGCATATCCCCAATGTTGACGACAAAGGTTCCTTTTATGGGAGGAGCTAAAATCCATTCACCTTTTGGATTCAATACCTGTAAGGCGGGCACATCGCCACCTTGACACAGAATCGTGAAACATTCGATATCAGTGTGAGCGCCTATGCCGAATGGAGTATCCAGACCCTTGGCTGACTGTGGTGGATAATGCAAGATTTTCCCCATGGAGCCCGGATGTTGCATCATGTTGTCGAAGTGTGTTTCCGGTAATGCTAGCACCGAAGCAAACAGGCGAATCAGTCTCCTCGCCAGAACCAACACGTGGCTGTAGTATTCACTGATATCCCGCCGCATTTCTGGCTTTGCATCGGGCCAAAGGTTCTGTCCACTGGTAAGAAAGCTTTCTACCGCATCATTGCCTTGCTGTGTTTTTGTGGGACTTGAATTGTGCTCGATCGAGCGATCGATATCCGGGGCATAACGCCAGCTGAAAGCTTCGTTCAAGTCCGGCTTTCTTGTCTCGTCTGTATGGACATTTTGAAAGCCCTCATATCCACATAGTCCAGCTCCGTTCTTGAAATGGACTTGGTTTTTGGTCGCATTCTCCAGAGCGAAAAACTCCTCCGCTGTAGACAGCACCTGTTCAATGACAGCCTGCGGGATGCCGTGGTTGGAAATATAGAAAAACCCAACACGAGTACATGCGTCTCGCAAACTGTCAATCACCTCGTCTTCTGGCCGCCTAAGATCGATGATGGGAATTTCATCAAAACTATCCGATTGCTTGACTTTATCGGACACGATGTCGTACGTTCTCCCAGAAAAACTCTTGAAGGCCATCGTGCTTGCTGCTGGGAAAGACTCCTAGTGGTTGAACAAGAGGTATTATTCGTGTGTATAAATTTCTTAACATTCCTCCATCGTCAATTGAATCCTCACTTAGGACGAGAGCTGATAAGAAACAATCAATGGCGGAGATAAGCGCGGCCACCCCGCGGGCTGGCGCTCCTTTGTTATCTATAATTCTATGTACGGAGTTATCGCAGTGCGTTGCGGACGGACGATGTTATCTTAGCTTCAGACCAGGCCACCGCCTGGGTTTTAACAATCTATTGCCCTTCTGAGCCTTGAATGCTACTGTATTTGCTATCGATTCGTCTTCCTATGGCGTTTTCGCAGTGGATAAATATATCCGTCCATGTCCGCGCTTTATACCATGTCTTGACACCGTATGCTTTACCAACTCCTCTTGTCGCCGGTTTTTGCAAGGAAGCTGGTAAAATCACATCCAATATATCCGAGATCTGGAAGATTTACCCAACATGTCTCGGAAATCTGCTTCGGATGTAAAAAGCAGCATTCATGCTAGGGCTACAACCATTAATGCATGGGAATTGCCAAAACAATCGTCGACTTTTGCACCAGAAGGCACATGGACCAATATCGATAACGATGTGACGCCAATTGACCGGCGAATTTGGGGTCATTGGGCGTTGCTTGGCTACTGGATGAGCGACATCCTCTCGGCACAGTCATGGGAAGGCGCATCGACAGTAATATCCGGTGGCCTGACATATAGGGAAGCGATATTGTGCCTCATTATGGGCACATTCATCATTGCGATTCCTATTTCTCTGAATGGTTCGATCGGGGCAAAACTACGCGTTCCATTCCCTGTTGCTGCACGCTCCAGCTTCGGTTATACCTTTTCGAAAGCTCCAGTCGTCGTTCGCATGGTGACTGCCCTATTTTGGCACGCTATCCAGAGCTATGCCGGAGGCACGGCAGTCACTCAGGTGATTCGGGCCATCTGGCCTTCATATTTAAATATTCCAAATCACCTGCCGGTTAGTGCAGGGGTTACTAGCCAGGAGCTTTGTTCTTATTTCATCTTCTGGATAGTACAACTGCCCTTTCTTCTGACCCCACCACACAAGCTCCGGTGGTTCTTCGTGTTCAAGGGTATCTTTGTAACTTCAGCTGCCGTGGGTACAGTCATCGGTATGTGTCACTTAGCTGGAGGAAGCGGTGACATCTGGAACCAGAAGCCGCAGTACACCGGACCGACTAGATCATGGTTGATCTTAACATACATGACTTCTCTGTCTGGAGGATGGGCAACAATGGCAACTAATATCCCCGATTATACGCGATACCTTCGAAAGCCACGAGGAATCTGGCTGCAAGCCCTACTCGTTCCTGCAATTTGTACCTTCATTGGACTTCTCGGTATAATCACAACAAGTGCAAGCAAGGTAGTCTACGGGGAGTATATCTGGGATCCTCTTGAGCTTGCTAGTCACTGGGAAGGTCCGGGCGGTCGAGCAGCCGCATTCTTCGTGGGTTTGGCGTGGACCGTCGCCCAAATTGGAGTCAACGTGTCAGCCAATGTCATTTCGTTTGCTAATGACTTGACCTCACTCTGCCCACGCTACATAAATATTCGACGTGGAGCAGTGGTCGCTACACTTATTGGAGGCTGGGTCATGGTACCGTGGAAGATTGTCTATTCAGCAGAAAGTCTGATCAACTTTATGAGTGCTCTGTCGATTTTCCTGTCGCCTATTACTGCGATTTTGGTCGCCGACTTTTGGGTCATCAAAAGCCAAGCGATTGATGTCCCAGCGCTCTACCGTCCATACTCAAGATATCATTATATTGGAGGTTGGAATTGGCGCGCGGGCCTGGCTTTCTTCATTTCGTTGGGTCCCAATCTCCCTGGCCTAATAAACGCAGTAAATCCTAATATCAACGTCAGCGGTGCCGAGAAAATATATGATTTCAACTACCTATGGGGATTTTTCAGTGCGTTCACTGTTTACATTGCCTCCAATTACATATTTCCAGCTAGAGAAACGCTGATTCCAGAAACAATTCATGATGACGGTAATGTCTATGTGGGCGAACGTGTGTCTGATGAAGAAATAGCTGCTGAACATCAAGCTTTGCCTGAAAAGCAATGATTTAACTTGACCTCTCTGTTTGAACACATTCAGTTTTGTGTTAATTTTCGAGCAAATGGCTTTTACTTTCAGTTTTTGAGCCTTGAGTTGATATTGGACACCTTGCTAAATGAACGGCACATGTTTCTACAAGTTAAATCAAATCTGAATATCATTTTCCAGCCACAAAATGTAAAGAAGTGCAGGTGAGAGGCCTTATTGGGCTTTGGTAAAGCCCCGATAACGAACTCGAAGAAAGTCCGGCTGCTTCGGCATTGTGAGAGATTGATTTCTCGGGTTTGTGTGGACAAAGCTGGTTCCCAGCTTGGCTGTCTTTGATTTGCAGTTTCTAAACAGCACAATCAGTAATAAAGAAAGATGAAAGGGAACAAAAGACTTACGCCTGTAGTATTGTCCGAACTAACAATACAGCAAATCGTATCCCTCTTTGTGAAGGAGAGGGAGAAATTAATAATAAAATATGTGTGGGAAGAGTGAAGGCAGGAGGAGATACCACAAGATCTTTGAAGCCGTCCTTTGTGAAATCTTCTAGAATGCCCTTTGTATTCCGAATACAAGCCGCTTGAGGGAAGTATCCATGTATGTATATTATTAATGCCAGACACCTGCTTGTTCTATTTGCTTCACAACATGGATGAAAAATCCACAATCATAGTACTTGCTAAACTAAGAAACCTACACCTTCTGCAGATTACCTCGAAGTCATAATGTACAAGCGAATACCTCTGGACGGACAAATCCGAGACCTGCTATCATTAATCAGTCTCGCGAACGGAAAGTTAGCCGAGGAAGATCTCACCATGTCACAAGCCAACCTCCCGATAGTGGGCAACGAGGAGGGTCCAAGTCTTTTGGAGGAATTACAGGAAATGAAACAATCGATATCGACACTGGCGCAAAAGGCTTCCACATCGGAGCAAAGTATTTTAATACTCAATCAATCAAATTCAGTATTGGAGCAGAAGATTTCAGTACTGGATAACTCGAACTCCGCACTAAGCGAGAGAATTATGCATCTTCATCAAGAAGAAATGCTCGGGCATGTTGCTGAGTTGGAATCGTTTCTTCCCGACAACGACCCATGGTCTGATGACCGAGTCGCAAGGAATCTCGCTGTTCACGGGGGAGACTTTAGAAAAAGCGAGGAAGCCCTTCGCTATATAGAAGAGCACGATGTTACCAGGCTGAAAGGCGCTGTTGAAGGGTTTCGACGTCGATATGGTATCTCTAGAACTGACTACCACGACTTCCAACTCGCTACTGGACCGGATGAAGTTATCCATGCCCTAAACAAGAAAAGCGACGTAGCGCATTTTACTTTACTCAAGAGGTGCAATGGCTCCTCCAGAAAAGCGGCGACTGAAGTATGCGATTCAATCATTAGTAAGTGGAAGACGCACAATTCATCATCTAGTAGAGAAAATTTCCCTACCGAGGCTATCAGGAACGATGTCGACCGTATCAATCATATGATTGAAGAGATGATTGTACAAAGAATTAAGGAATTGTGCGAATCTTGGGCTTCAAAAGGATCGCGTAAGCAGATTGCAACTAAAGTTGGCTTACAGTAGTTGAGTAGAACTGTCTTTGGGAGAAATCAGAACAGCCTTAGGTATTACCCAGTTAGGAAGAAGGATCAAATTAGGGCTATCGTTCCGTAGCTACATAGGTGGATATCTACACCTACGTAAGACCTATCCAGGTGCAGCGTCGTTGAAATAGTGTAGGATGTGCACAGGCTTCTCGAATTATCTTCAATGATAGTTCATAAATTGTCACAGCTGAGTCCAGGAGAAATTAGTGCTCACGTAAGAAATTAAGGTCAGGCAAAACTTCTTGATTGGTCCGCTCGCTCTGTACCTTTTTAGTCGCCAGATCTATGTATCCAATATCCATCAATTTTGAACTTCACATCCTTCAAAGCAGTCATGAAGTTTGATAGCTAGTCAAAATATTTTTTGATTATTTGGTTCAAAACTAAAGATGGTCTTGCACACCTTTTCTGATTTGTTCGCTCGCTATATATTTCCCTAGTGAAACTCCACACTATGGCAGCCCTTAGGTACCAAGAACTATCTAGGTATCTAGGTACCACAGCTATAAGTCGGTGTTGGTATAATCAGCTATAAAGGCATGCTTCAGCATCCATGGGTCCTTCGAGTTCTCTAAACACCCATTCTCCCCAGATATCTCCTTCGTGTGAATCTTTCCTCGGAAGTTGAAACCATGCCACCGCAGCATCTCGCTCTCCCTCGTGGGTCACTGATACTTGTTACAGGTGCAAATGGATACGTTGCCTCGCATGTAATCAATAGCTTACTCGCGCTTGGATACCGCGTACGAGGCACTGTGAGAGCATCAAAACCATGGCTGGATGAATACTTCGTTGGAAAGTATGGACCTGGAACGTATGAAAGCGTGGTAGTTCCCAAGTTCGATGCTGCTGACGCTTTTGGGGGCGTCATGCAAGGCATAGATGGAGTGGTTCATGTCGTATGTGATTGACCTCTTATTCCTGCACGGACTCAGTTGTAAACCTCTTTCTTTCCTCAGGCAACGGAAATTTCCTTCAATCCGGATCCGAATTATGTTATTCCACCTGTGAAAACAGCCGCGGAAAATATCCTCAAGGCTGCTGCGGCAGAGGAATCGGTTAAGCGAGTTGTCTTTACGTCCTCTGCAGGTGCTGTACTCTTACCTAGAGTTAATGATGAATATTCTGTGGATGAGGGTAAGTACAGTGTGCATACAACATCTTTCTCAAAAATGCGTCTAAGTATTGAATCCTTGAGGGTGCAGACACGTGGAACGATTTTGCCGTTCAAGCCGCATGGGATCCAAACTCCCCAGAGGACTTTCGGGGCCCTTTGGTGTACTGTGCATCCAAAGTTGAATCAGAACGTACGGCGTGGAAATTCATGGCAGAAGAGAAACCGAGCTTTGTCTTCAATTCCGTCATACCTAATATCAACGTATTATACTCTCTTCCCCTTTACCAACGTGATCCTCTTTACTGACCAAAACAAAAACAAAAATCCAATTGACAGTTTGGACGTATTCTTCATCCTCAGATTACTGGATCCTCTATGGGTTTGACAAGAGCACTTTTGAAAGGAGACCAGAGTGTTACGAAACTGCTTATTCCACGTGCGTCTGGATGAATTCATCCCTCCTTCACTTTTGACTCTTCAAGCTAATAAATATCTTTAGAATGGTTCATTGACGTCGAAGACGATGCGAAGATCCATACCATTGCCCTTTTGGATCCTAGTGTTGGATCTGAACGCATCTTTGCATTTGCAGCCACTTATAACTGGACCGAAATTTTGGGCATCATGCGAAAGTTGCGTCCAACCAACGATATTATCCCTGCTTCGCCAGAAAATGAAGGTCATGATTTGGGTAAAATCCTACCAGCTAGGCGGGCGGAGGAGCTGCTCAGAAACTTTTATGGGAAAGGATGGACAAAGCTAGAAGATAGCATTGCGGCCGGCATAGATGGTGTGGAGTAGTGTATAATCGCTGAGTTGATGAAAAATGGATATTATCAAATCTAGTAACGCTCTACTGAATCTTATCATTATCGAGAACTGGTTTCAGCTCATCCACCATGCCATGAAAAAGTGTCAGAGCAAGTTGCGAATCCCACAAGCCCTCTCGGTGAGGCCAGGCCTGGATCACCCTCATTGCTCTTTGTATTATAGCCATGTCTCCGCACTTTTCACTCATAAAATATAGCGGAGCAAAAATACCAATCTCCATCATGAGCTGCGGGCGGAGATTCCTTGGATTCGTAGCTCTGCTAGCCGTGCAGTAATATGATTGTTCGCCATTATCCTCCAAAATGTTAGATACAATGTGTTCGGCTAAGTCAACAACCTTGATAAACCTCTCTCTGTAATTTTCGCGGATAAATTGTGTTGACCTGATAAGAGTAGTCTCAATCATAATCGAAAGTGAGGCACTATGCATGCGTAAAAGGTCAATAGCTCGTTGTTCCTTTTTGGTGATGATTTTCCGAAGACGAGCTATTGCTTCAAGCCTGTCCAATGCTTGTACGAACATCACAAGTTGCATTTGGTGTTTCTTTGTTTTGGCAGAGAGAATAGAGAAGTTGTCTGCAAATTGGGTCGCCGTTAATTTCTCACAAAACCCATAATATACACAGAAGTCGTGAAATAATCTGTTTCTTATACTCCAAGCTTCTGACAATGTTCGAAAATGAAGTTGACTGTCCAAAGTATCATTGCCTTCTTCTTGCCACGCTTCCAATTTTGATAACTCTAAAACATCCCGGAGTTGAGATACCCCGAAGTGAGATCCTTGAAGATCCAGGTGTGTTAGGGCAGCAGCCACGGTATCTTCTATCCGCCCATCTAAGGAGGGGTGCGGAGCAGCAGACTGGTAATATTCAATAATCTCAACGCCCTTCCTCAGGTGATAGAATGCCCTATCATACTTCCCCCGAAGGAGCTCATAGAAGACATACAAAATACAGCAAACAAGAACGGTATTCTTGACAGCGGGATCGTTCGAACCAATGCGTGAGTTCATATTGGAGATGGACCGATTGTATTGTTCCACCGCAAATAGTTGGTGGCGATTCGTCATATCCTCAAGCAGTACTTCACCTCCCGCTAATTCTATCGCCTCTTGCAATGTGCTTAAGGCGACGACAGCATGACAAACAGCAGGCTCGGCTTCTGTCATCTGCGGAATCAGTTTATCCCACAAACTATGATCAAACCAGCGGTTCATCGTCGGGACAGTGAGAAATTGAAAGTAGGATAAACATCGCCGTTCATCAGATGTTTTCCCCGCCCAGTTTAACTGCGGGCGGTACCGATTAAGCTCTGAGGTGAGTTTTCGACGGAAGGGAAGCCGATTGAGGTCATATCTATCGCATTTACGGCCTGTGGATTTGCATCTGAGGCATTCTCCAGGTGTTTCGTCACATTTTACTCGTCTTATACTGATGGTTGTCAGCGGGTTTATACCTCGCGGAAGACGGGAAGAATTCACCAACCGACAGGTCCGGCATCCAGATCTTAATCTTGTGATTTTCTGCGGTTGTCTGGAGGCACCCTCCATCGTATATGAGTTAAAAATATGGCCGCTATTCGTCGCAAGCAGCATGGATTTTCGAATTCCGAAATACGGTATGGATGGACGTTGGAATTCCAAAGGGGCTATTCCTTGTGAGATCACTAAGCTGCTTTGTCAGCCATTTCATCTTTTCTCATTGGTCAGTTATGGACAGACATAACTTTCTAACAGCAAGACACAGCATGCATGCAACAGAAAGACACAATAGACATCAATTAAAGTGCTTGCCAATTCTAATACAAACAATGTTTATACTCAGTCTCTGACTAGGAGGTGAGCAAGATACTTTATCCCATCAGCCAATTCCTTCTACTGCCACTGCTTCGTCGCGTCGCCCGTGTTCGTCTTACTCGTCCTCCTCGGGACGTGCTACTCGGGCAACATCCAGTTCCTCCCTACGAACCACGCCGGCCATCTCACATTCAAGTAAGCACCTCAACACAAGCCCCCTTCCTACAAGCACGTCAGAAATTGCCACTGTAACGTCGACAACATCTCCTTTTTCCGGAGGAGCCAGATGGCGCTTGTCCGGCATGAAGCATTAAAATGCGGATCGTGCGAAAAACCTACTGTAAGATAAATAATAATAGTGATAAGAGTCAAAATTCAGAACATCCTTTGACTGCCGAATAAATAACCATCAAAATAAATGAATAAATAAATATGTTATCTCTATTTTTGGAGTAAAAAGGTATGGTATTATGTTTGCGTTGCAAAAAAATTCCGCTGAGGCGGGATCGAACCGCCGACTTCCAGATGACTTTTTCAATTACAGTCTGGCGCTCTTCCAACTGAACTATCAGCGGGTTGTCGGGTGAAGTTGACGGCAATTAAGTTTATAATAAAAACTTAGCTTCCAACATAAAATTGAATATAAGCATTGATGCAGCCAGCTTATTCCGTGGCGCATTCAGTGCCATTAGCAATTGGCCCGTCATACAGATCTCGCTGGATCATTGTCGGACGTGTTGTTGCACCACTCGAGTGCAGTCAATGCAGCAGTGGGAAGTCCAATGATGAACTTGAGATGTTCAACAATAACACGCAGTGTCTCTTGAAATAAAGATAAGTTTTAGTAGGCTTGATTGCAGTTCTCATTTCATTGCTTATCACAACAGATGGCTAGGAAACTTCTTTATTCTGCTCTTTCCGCACTTTTCCTCATCAGCCATTCTTTCAAAACGGACTCACACACCATCGCCCGCTTATGCACCCACCAGCACTTGCTCGGCGCAAGAATTATTCGTACAGCGCGATAGAAGTGCCAGACCAAGAGAAGCGCATGCGGATCGCCACTCTGGATCATTGAGTTCAAGGGTCCGTGGCACATGACTGGAAATGACAAGATATATTTCACCAACTCCGGATACAGAGGTGAGCCGGCGCTAGCAGACTCTGGTGGTTGTGCCTCTGGAAGAAATGACAGAAGCAGGCAAAGTTGGCTGATGATGGGCGTATATCCATCATCTATTGGATCTAGACCGTCTTCTATGTTGGGGGAAGTATACCACCATCGCTCTAAGATAGCCACATCCGAGCCTCGATCGTATGGAAGGGAAAGATTGAGCAATTGAGCGTCGAATGGGCGATGGTATGAAAACGTATTTTGGTATGCAGTAAGGGTTCCATCACTTATTTGTGCAGCTTCGACGAGGAGGTCCTTGGAATCGAGCCGAATAAATGGCATAAACACGGACGGCTGATCAAGAAGAACCGGAACGCACTTTAAAAAGACTTTCTTTAAACTCGAGCAGAAGTTAAAGACGAGGTCTCCTGACGGACCGAATGATGCCTGGCCATCTCTGTAGGGTAGGGCGTAATCCTCAGTGTTAGTCCATAGTTGATACTGTAGTAGCAGTGAAGTTGCAATGAAAGCATCAATGTGAGTTGACGTAAAGTCTTTTGATGCTAGTTCATGGCGGAATTTGGACAAGGCGCGGGACAAATGAGTAGCCGTCGCTGTCGAAGAAACTGTATCATGCGGCTGCAAGACAACAAGATGTCGGGCTGCGAGGCATAAAATAGCGTCTGCCAAGAAATCAAATTGGAAAGAAAGCTGCAATGCGTGCTCCCACACTGTTGGTGAAAACAGCAGTGTCTGAACGGTGACTGTCTGGAAATGGTGGAACAGCTTTAAGTGGAGAAGGTTCACGCTATTGTCCATTGACCTCGGTCTGAGAGAAGAAATCTGGGGAGGTACTGAAGCAGTTGATGGCTCCTTATTACGCCTTGAATCACGCTGACAGGGTTGTCCTCGCCGAACACAACTAGCACACGGCGTTTGTTCGTCGCACTGGCGGCTCCACAGATGAGTCTAGAAGCGTAGAGGAGAGAGAAGGAGAAACAAACCTTGACTCGCCTTTTCTTGCAATTTTCGCATCCCGCCCTAGATTTCCGATGGGCTCGCCGCTGCCTGGACATGGCAGCAGCCTTGGCCTTTGAGACCTCGGAAAGATAGTTCGAGGTCGGCGCCGCCGAGGTCACTACAAAGGTATGGGTCAGGTCCTCCAGTGAGGGGCCAGATTGGGACTTATCCAATTCCATGACTGGTGGCAAGGGCTCTGCTGGTCTTGTAAGAAGTTTGACTGGCCATTGGCATAAAGGAGAATTAGTTGACAGGACGAAGATTATGGCGAGCCCGAAAGGCCGTCGTTAACGCCGCGAAGCTGCGCTAAACTGCTTACGGCGATACGAGGTGCATTCTCCACAGCAACGTCGAAGGCTTCAAGTTCTTAATTTACTACAGGTTTTCAGCGACGCTATGTACAGCAACAGCACTTCTAGTTATAAACAGTTGCCTGCAGACCGGGAATGATCTCAAGATCCTTGGGTTTGTAAGCGTACTTCCCATCTTGCGTGATTTTCACCTCGCGATTGGGTCGCTGCTGCTGCGTCTGTCGGACCTTGACCCATTCCTGCGTCGTGAGGTGTTGGCCGAGTTCAGTGAAGGCATTCTTAGTCAGGCCAAGACGGTTGAGGACTGGGCTGTTCTGGATGGGGTCTAAGACGACTTCGTTGTTTGGTCTGTACACCTTGTCAGTCCATCCATGCCCTATACCTGAGTATTCATGAACGGGGAAAGCCAACCGAGCAAAATACAACACCCCCAGGCGATCTATATGCGCTTGATCCTGTGGTGGTGCATGCACGCGATGGACACTGGACTTGATAAACCCGCCTGTGAGCGCAGTTAGGGCATCGCAGGTATTTATCGTGATAGTTCCATCCTGCGGGCGCACCCATTTCCATTGGCCCTCCGAATTCAAGATTTGCAGGGCGGCAACAGGCTGGCGAAATAGCAGTGTTATGGTTCCTAGATCGGTGTGACCCGGGGAATAAAGTTCCCCGACCTTTTTGTTCTCCTCGGCGCTGCGAGCCGCATAGTGCATGTATCGCAAGTGGTCTTCGCCTCGTATGTTGTACTGGTGGTCGCGAACCAGTTGATCTTCGTCCGGAAGCTCGAGGAGAATGGCAAAGAGGCGAAGCAGTTTTTCGACGACCTCTGTATGGCATTTCTAGCGATATAATTTAGCAAGACATCAGTGTACATCGAGAAGACAAAAAGCCATACCCGACTGAAGGCTTCGATTTCTGCGATATGATTCTTCAAGACATCTGGCTGTCCCCGTGGATGATAACCGTCAAATTTGGGAATGTTGTACACCTGCACGTTGTCCCTGATGCCATTTCCCAGGCTAGACGAAGAGTCAGTCAGTCAATCAGACTACTCGTAGCCTCTGACTCTAGTGACCGTCAATTGACTTACATACGGTGTCCAGCAGGCCTATATCCGTTGTACTCGCCTCTCGCAAGGTCATCAGCGTTGTGGAACTGGAGCTTCTCCTCCAAGGGCAGTGCGTAGAATTCCCGTCCCAAAGCGAATTGAAAGTCGACCTCCTCCTGACTGATGTTAAAATTCTTCACGTAGAAGAAACCTAGTATTTAGCCTATTCAGCATCTTTGCAAAGCATCCCATCAATAATGCGACACATTACTGACCAACGTGTTGTACTGCGTGGTCTAGCTGCTCGATCAGCTGCTCCTTTCCACCGGGCTTTTCATAAAGGCTAAAATCGAGGGTAATGAGCTCAGCCCAGTCAACTATCATGACACCTCGTTAGCAGTCAAGTATCTCGACTTGTTGCCTGTGTTGCTGGAACACTCACGATCCTCCTTGGTGACTGGGACGTGGTTGTATTTCTCAATTGACGTGTCAGGCATGTTTGTCGGTGCCAGAATTTATTTTGGTTTAATTGTCCTGGTACTTTGCAAGACATCGCATGTAAACAAGTGTTTTCTTCTGATCAAAGGTTACCCCGCCCTGATATGCCAATGCAGTGCAAGCGATAGGTTGATGAGCACGCCATATCTGGACAATCTGTGTATTACTATCCATGCCGATATTGACGACATTGAGTCTTGTAGTAATAGCTTAACCGGACATTTTCCGATCCAATACTTGGTCTTCTTGATTAAATTGGCCTACTAGCCAACAATCATGAAAGCCTATATTATTCACAGAAGGAAAATATACCCGGTCATAACATAAACATTGTTAGCACTAGCGTACCTAACCTAAGCTTTTCGTTCGTATATCCGTTGCCAGTTCCAACAAGTAAGTCTATTTGACATCTAGGTAGTATGAAAGTTCTTTGCTAAGAAATACCCTTCCTTTTTCCAGTTCTCCGCACAAGATGATCGATAATGCACCCCTCGTTCCAGCCCTCACTCTTCTCTCCCGTAATCGCCCGGCAGCGAGGACAGCTTTTCCCATGGCGAATCAGCAATTGATGCAGAGAGTACTTCAAGTGGTCGGGAACGCGGACTTCCAAGTGACTAAAAGCCGTGATTTCAGAGACCCTTTTCCCGTCCGATGGCAGCCAGCCCAGCCACTTACAAATCCGGAAGATGTGCGTGTCAACAGCGAAGCATGGACGCTGAAGACAAAACAGTATAACACAGGCAGCAGTTTTAGGTCCAATGCCTGGATATTTAATTAGCTCGAGCATTGCCTGCTCCTTGTCTAGCGCGTGGATCCAGTCTAGAGACAGTATGTTCTCGTTTGTCAGCGCGATTTCCACATCTTTCTGGGCCTTTGATTCATTCTCTGCGCCCGCTGGTAAGGGTTTATCCGTTTCGTTATCTGTCGCTTGGTAAGCGGCCTTGCGTGCTAGGTTCCCTTCGTATACCATGTTGAGAATCCCCTTTATATATTTACTCTTGGTGGTTGCTAATCCTCCGCTTTTCATTGCTTCAAAAACCTCGTTTATTGGCGCCGTGCGAACTGCGTTCCAGTCCACACTGCCCTTCCCAATGCCACTCTCAAGTATCCCAAACCTGTCGACGAGACCTTTGAATGCCCTTGCAGAGTTGGCACCGGTAGTGGCCCCGCTCAGAACGGTTCGGATAAGTGCATCAAGAACAGATGGAACTTCACCGCATCCAGTCACTGTAAGCGAGGGCTGGGGCACTTTGGTGGGAGCTTTGATTTCGCCGTGCATGCTTGTCAAAAGCCGACAGACTTCCTCGCATTCTCCCGGAGTGGGATGCAAAAATCCGGGAAAGGGACTAACCCCAGGCGTGAGACCGTATTTATTGTTTTTGTTTTGAATCACAGCACGATCTGGCGCTTTCTCTTCCAGTTTGATACGTTTGTGCGGGAGGGAAGATGCTGCCGCATCGAGTTTTCGAGCGCTATCAATATCTAGCGCATCTTCCACGATATCTGCTGCTGGTTTGCCGAGATTGTGTGGAAGTGCATTGGCATCGATTTCTTGGATAGTCGAGGATACTGCTTTTCTTTTCCTCTTTCTATCTGGCGCAGTATACTGCTTGGACACTGTGAATGCGGTCTTGATTGTGACTGACTTGTTGTTGCCTGCCGATGTCGTTGCCTGCGGAAGAACTGGAGACGAGGTCATGGAGCGAGTAAGCCGCATGTTTGCACGAGAAGAGATGCGATGAGTAGTAAAGAGTAGAGTCGGACAATTACAGGCAGGGTCGGAGCGAGGTAGGTGTATGATAATCTGCGATGATGTAATAAACAACTGCCGACTTGAAATTTTCTACACGTGATTCCTAGCGCAGCGTGTTTACGAGGGTCTTTCTTTTGAGATTGAGGCAGCATCACAACAGCGGTATTCTTTGTTTGATTCTTCTAAATAAACGACCTCCACTATTTGCTCGGTACAAAATTTGGTATCTATAGCATTCGACGGTAACGACTTTGCGCGTCACTTTTGTGTATTCGCAAGCTGACTGACGATGGACCTAGTTTGTAGAGACTATATCAATTAGCAAGAGAAACGCAGCCAGCAAAATGAAAAATCATCAGCAAGAGACGCGGATTGATATCAGCTTAGAAAGAAATTTCCGCAATGAGATTCGGAAGTCTAACATCTAAAAATTTTTGAAAAATCATCATGAAGAGGATGTGCTGTCGAGTAAAGTGCTTGTAATTGGAAGATAATTACCTTGTTAGTTCGACGTTTCGAGTTGTCGGATTATACACGTCACGCATTAGCGAGACTGATAGTCAAAATGGGCGAGTGATGAGGGAGAGGACTCAAGATTGAAGATGGAGACAACGCCAGGAGAAATTGTTACGCGGATAAACAGTTTATCCGCGCAATCTTGCACTTGCCCAACCCAGGAATAGCGTTTATACAAGAGAAGAGCGGCCAATCAGGATTCAGTTCAAGCATGCTTGGAGATATTATATACTCGGTATACAAGGATCATAACTTGGCTATGGGGTTGAAAACCCTAAAAAATGTCAGTCTGTTTGAAAGTGACTCCAGATGTTATCTGAAGAGATTATCAAGGCCGCCCTACGCTCAGACAGATGGAGACTGTCCTGTCCTGTGGGTTCAAAACAAAAAGATTGTTGAAAATAACTATCTTTGTCTGAGCTTCATGATGCCTGTTATAGACCCAGTCTGGCCTTGCTAGGGTCTGCTCACGGAGTCAAGCATTCAGGCAGCAATGAATGGGAACAAAGAGGATGAGCCTGCCTTCTTTGCTGGATGGAAATTGAAAATTCTTGGACCTCACATATGAAACCTAGGCAGTGAGTCCACAAACTACTTCTTTCTATCGCATATTATTCTTCCTTTTGAGCATGGCATCATTCCCTTCAACCTTACCCCTCTCACTCAGCATGAATGCCCCTCCATCAACAGCATGCGAAAGAATTGTGAGACTTCTTCCCTTCTGTTCCCCTCATATCCCTCATATATCTTGCCAAATCTTGCTCATGAATCTCCTTCTCCTTCCAACTCCAAACAGCCTGTGAATTAGCAATATCTTTATCTTTGCTCTCTCTTACCTAGGCAATACTCACTTCTTCCATCTCTTACAAAGTCTTCTCTGTTTATGGTCTCTAATATTCCTCATTGTCAATTCATCTTCCATCTTTTAGGGTAGAAACTGTCATTTCCTTCACCGAGAATTTACAGCTACATTTTGAGGCAGTATTTTTGGCATTTCCATCACGCATAAGCTAAGGCTACAGGGCTTGTCTCCAACATTCGACTGCTAAGTGAGTTTGACCTCCTTTATGAAACTGACTACGGCCTGCTGACATGAGAAAGAGACATCTTGGTACCTACCAAACCGCCATGATGAACAGAAAACCAAGACTGGATATTCCAAACGGCTACCCCAGAATCTCTCATTCGGTTGTCAATATCTCAACGCGCGTCAGCCAGGATATCTTCATTCACGCACCTTCGACATCTCGCAATCCAAAGGAGGTGACCCATGTAGATCTCACCATCGAGAATTATGATGGATACGTGTCTTCCGACACTGAAGCTGGCTCTGTTGCTGGCCAGGAAGACTTAAGCGAGCGAGAGAATACCGGCTTTAACGAGAATGACTACTTAGATGACGACCAACTTGAATCGTTACTCCATCTCGAGAACGACCACTCCAAAGTCGGAGCGCAAATCGATCACCCCACAACGATTTTCATCCAGGAGTACAACGGGCTTGTCCCAGGCATGGCAGTTGAACTTACAGACGGTGACTTCATGCGTGTGAAAAAGATCCTGCGTCTATTCAATGGCGACGTGTTCCTGCGAGGCTATTATTTCAGTAAACTGATGAAACTACCCACCCCTTTCCCCCAACGCCACCGAGAGCTGTGCTGGCTCATGAGACAGGATACTGATGGGTCAATACTGCTTGAGAAAGACATAGCCATATCCTCCGTGAGAGGAATCTCGCGAATTTCACTTACAAATCAAAATTGGCATTCACGCGTTACACGCTTACCAGACTCTTACATATGTCGACTGGCGTGGCAAGACACTGTCGAAAAAGGAGAAACAATCATCCGGTATTTATCTTTTGATGAAGCAGACCACGAGTTTAGAGTCCCTTCACACATTCTACGACAGCAATGGCGAGAAACAACTATCCCGTTTGGTAGCGAAGAGGTCTCGAATTCTACCACAGCGCGAGTGAGCCGAAGAGAAAGATCCCTAAAAATGCAACGACAGTATTCATTTGGAGATGCTTTCTGTGGTGCTGGAGGGGTGTCTGTTGGTGCTTCCGAAGCTGGCCTCCGCGTGAAATACGGTATTGACATGGATGAAGCTGCCTGTCAGACTTATCGGACAAATTTCATCCACTCGTGGTGTTATCATGCAGACTTCACCAGCTGGCACGCCCTTCATGGAGCTGACGAATTGCAAGTTGATATAAGCCACAGCTCCCCCCCTTGTCAACCGTTCAGCCCTGCTCATACACGCTCATATAACGTGCAGCGGGACGAGGCAAATTCGTCTCTCATTTTCAGTGCGTTTAATATGATCCAGAAAGTCAAACCACGAATACATACGATTGAAGAGACTTTTGGAGTTGTTTCACGTCACAAAGAAACCCTAGAACGAATGCTCCAGGATATTTTGGAGCTGGGTTATTCTATTCATAGCCGAGTTTTGTCTTGCGAAAAGTACGGGGTTCCGCAATCCCGCAAGCGTCTTTTCATAATGGCTGCTGGGTGAGTTTATATCTATTCTGTCTTTTAGTCAATAAAAAGTCGATGTTGATATATATCCAGCCCCGGTGAGAAGCTCCCGATATTCCCAGCACCTACACACGGCCCAGGCCTACAGCCGTATGTGACTATCAAGGACGTTATTGAAAATATTCCCCGTCTAGCGCCGAACCATGATCTCGAGTACACGGCATTTGCAGACGGTATACCCAGAGCCCCGTATGACGAGAACTCACTCGCAAAGACTATCACTTGTGGTGGCGGCGAGAAGAATTACCATCCCAGCGGTTTACGACATTTTACTATCCGCGAGCTAGCTAGTTTACAGACATTCCCTATACAATACAAGTTTCCGTCTAGTTATGCGAAGAAACAGATTGGAAACTCCGTTCCACCGCGACTCGCGGAAGTGATCTATCGTGCGGCTATCAAATCGTTGCAGGAGACGGATGAAAAAGAGCTTGACAGCCAAGCTATTGTGATCGACTGAGAGGGGGTTGGAACGTGGGTTGAGGAGGATATTGAATATTAACCGTTCACTCGTTTGTCACTTTTTTTGCCAGTGTTATTCCTCAATTCGGGTGTCTTTTTGTTTATATCAGAGTGCCGACTTTTGTCCAGGCAGATAGACTTGTCGGGGTTGTCGCCGGACTCCGAGAACCGGAAGATCAGCGCCAACGCTTGATACAGAACAGCACTTGTTAAGTTACGTGTGCTTAATATCAAGTGTAATTACCATGGCAGCCAGTCAATTAACCAGTCAGGTTCATAGGGTAAACACAGATCCAGATCGTATGGTATGTATGTATGTATGGTATGTTTCGGCTGGGCGCGGGGGTGGGCCGGCCCGCCAGGCGTCGATCAATACGGTAATCTATGTAATTCCCGTACATTACACGGAACGTCAACGTGACGGCAAGCGCCTTCCCCAGCCTCGGCCCAGCTGTCAAGGTTCCTTTTTGTCTCTCTTTCTTACATGTAACAACATACAACAAATTCCCCTCTACTTTTTCTCAATTGCCCCAATTTCAGCTCCCATCTCGACACAATGTCCGCCGGAGCAGCAGCGCTGCGAAGATTCGGCCATCGTGCTCCCCGCACTCGCGCGTTGGAGTTGGGGCTGTCATCCCGCACTCACGCCCCCGCCCTGTCTTTGACTTCCTCCTCCACCACCACGTCGACTCGCAACGCCCGCCGTTCAAATTCCAGTTCTCTTGCTGTTTCTTCGTCTTATCGCCAAGTATCGTGCTTCTCGACAATGTCGCCTTTGCAAGCTACCCCTGTGCTGGAGCGGGAGTATGACCCCGAGATCAAGGATATGGCCGATTATATCCACAATTATAAGATTGAATCCGACCTTGCCGTGTGTTCCCTTTTACTTTCTATGGATTTGTGTAGTTTTGATGGATGTCGGACTAAATTCACTAACGAATCAGTTCGATACTGCTCGACTCGTTTTCCTGGATACTCTCGGCTGCGGTCTCGAGGGTCTTCGTTTCCACGAGTGTACCAAACTGCTCGGCCCTGTTGTGGAAGGCACCGTCGTCCCCAATGGGACCAAAGTCCCAGGAACCCCGTATCAGCTTGATCCCGTTAATGGGGCGTTCAACATTGGTGCCATGATCCGATGGCTCGATTACAACGATTGCTGGCTTGCAGCTGAATGGGGCCACCCATCCGACAATTTGGGTGGTATTCTCGCAGTAGCAGACTGGATTTCACGCACAAACCGTGCCGGTGGAAATATTGGAGAGGGCAAAATTCTCAAGGTTCGCGACGTTCTGGAGGGCATGATCAAGGCCCATGAAATCCAGGGTGTGTTGGCTCTGGAAAATTCGTTCAACAAGGTTGGTTTGGACCATGTCGTCCTTGTGAAGGTGGCCACTGCTGCTGTCACCTCGAAGTTGTTGGGTCTTGATGAGAAGAAGACTGCCGATGCTATTACCCAAGCATGGGTTGACGGTCAAAGTCTACGTACTTACCGCCATTCGCCGAATACAATGTCTCGAAAGTCGTGGGCTGCCGGTGATGCCTGCCAGCGTGCGGTAAATCTCGTCCTCAAGGTGCTCAAGGGTGAGGGCGGTATTCCGACTGTCCTGAACGCTCCTGTCTGGGGCTTCTACGACAACCTGTTCAAGGGCAAAAAGTTCCAGTTCCAACGCCCGTACGGCAGCTATGTGATGGAGAATGTGCTTTTCAAAGTTTCATATCCTGGTAGGTTCCTTCATGTCTAAACTTCTCAGGAGCTTGTAGCTGATTGTTCCAGCCGAATTTCACTCTCAGACAGCTATTGAGGCTGCCCAGATTGTTAACAAGAAGCTCGCCGAATTGGGAAAGACAGCCAAGGACATCAAAGAAATCACCAACCGGACGCATGAGGCCTGCGTTCGCATCATTGACAAGCAGTTCAAGGCCATGGACAACTTTGCTGACCGTGACCATTGCGTGCAAGTACGTTTAATCTCTATTTTGTATCTAAGAAAGGATGCTAATGCTAATATTTCGTAGTACATGGTTGCAACTATGCTCGTGTTCAACCGCCTGACAGCTCAAGACTACGCCGATGGATCCGAGGCAGCCACATCGGAGTTTCTCGACGATCTCCGCAAGCGCATCAAATGTGTTGAAGACCCTCAGTTTACCAAGGACTACCACGACCCATCCAAACGCACAATCCCCAACGCTCTCACAATCACCCTCAACGACGGCACTGTCCTCGATGAAGTTGTGGTCGAAGCACCTCTGGGTCACAAATTCCGCCGTGAAGAGGCCAAGCCCGAGATTTTGGCTAAATACAAGCGCCACATTGAGGGCCACTTTGACACCAGCCGCGTCAACCATCTCCTAGAGCTTGGCTGGAACCGAAAGGAGCTGGAAAACACTGACATTGACAAGTACGTTGATCTCTACGTGACAGACAGCATCGTTGCGCCCTACAAGTAGATAGATACCATTGCGTGCCTGCGTTTTGCGTTTTAAAGATACGTAGTTGCCAGTGCTTTCTTTTACGTACCTGTACTTAGAGCGAACAAATAAGTTCATGACAGAAACATTATACATTACGTAGAGATATACATACTTAGTTAGATATTACACCTTAAATATTCTATGTACCTCGGCCGGATATATTGTTTCCAGCTTCCAAAGACGGCGCATCCTTCACATAATTCGCCTCAGGGTTCGACACCACCGAAGAACGCCGCCTCTCCGAATCATCCCCAGTCGTGGTAGTGGTCGTAGTATTCGTCGTCGTCGTCGTCGCTCTTGCAAACTTATGGGCCTTATTGCCCCCCTCAGGATACCGCGTATCCGTCCAGGCCTCCCAAAACTTGGCACCGCGCTGCAAACTCGTCACATTCTCCCATATTAGACAAAACACAACCAAAGCCATAATCACGGACAGTGTCTCGGTCAGATTGAGACTCTTCGCAAGCGGCAACAGGACCAAAATCAGCCCCACGGCCGGTCGCATGATTAAACGGAATTTCTTGGGTAGCATCAACGTGCAACCGGCATCATTGGACGAGTACAGGAGCGCCATGATGTACAGACAGAATACCCCGACGCCGAGCCCGGCGCATAGCAGCCAGCGCTGGCCCATGGTAAATGACTCTTCTTCATCGGCGCTGGCCGCCGAGACGTGGCCGCCGGCCAGCAGGCTGGCGATGAGCGGGAGGTGGAGGGTAACCCAGGCAAAAGCCGTGAGCACGGTATGGCGCAGCGGGTGGGTGAAGTGGACGGCGCAGTCGTTGTGCAGGTACATCCAATTCAGACAAAAGGCGATGATGAGCGTCCACACGGCGCGGAGGAGGGACAGATTGAAGCCCACGGCGGCCGGGGAGCCCACGATAATGGTGTAGAGGAATTCGCCGAGCGCGATGATGTAGAATGCGGCAAAACGGTCGATTTCATGGGGGATGTCGACGGCGGTGGTGTAGCGGGCGCGGAGGAGGCGCTTGGCGATGGGGGAGTAGCAGAACATCCAGAGCGACTCCTCGAAGACTTCTGCGACGGCGGCGACGGCGATCTTACTGCGCAGCGAGACGCCCTCGAAGTAAAGCGGGATGTAGATGCAGAGCGCGAGGGTGGACAGGACGAACCAGAGCCGCTGCTGTGCGCGGTGGTGGTAGCTGCTGAACGAGTAGAAGAGGTGCGCGAGGTTGGCGGACATGCGCGCGGCCATGTATGCGCCGACGGTGGAGCGCATGGCGGAGAGGCTTTCGTCGACGAGCGGCGCGTTGTTGCCGTACACGATCAGGATGGCCATGATCCAGAGGATGAGCACGCGCTGGAGGATATCGTCGTTGAAGAAGCTGTTCATGAGCTCGCGGAGGTCGGACCAGACGTGCCATGACGGCGCAAGAATCAGCTGTTGGGGACACGCGATGTCAGTAATGGTCCATATATCTATCGTGTGGAAGACGATGCGGGTCTGCACGCACAATGTACTTGGCCAGCTTCACGCCCGTCACATCCTCTGCGAGGCTCTCGGCGAAGTTGGCCAGGATGGCGACGTAGAGCAGGTCGAGGAAGAGCTCGAAGCGGCCGGCCTGGCGCTCTTCTTCCCTGCGCTTGACGAGCTTGCCGTTGTCGAACCATTGCAGGGCCACTGGCTGGCGGATGAGGTAGCGGGTTTGGGGCTGGGATTCCATGATGTTGTTGTTGTTGTTGTTGTCACCTACCTAGGGTAACTAAGCAGGTGGTTGAAGATGAAGAAGGAAAAAAAATGACGAACTGGTGGAGAATGCGAGGCGGATCTGCTCCACTGGAGATCGACTGAATAGATTGATGTAGTCAATAGTCAGATCTTAGTACTCTTGTATATAGATTGATATGATGGTTAATATAATGTAGATTAGATATAATGTAGCTATAATTTAGTCGCGCTGAGAAAATAAAAATAGAGACTGGTATGTTTTTTTTTTTTTATATATATTTCCTCTTTCGGCCACTTCTTTGTTCCGGGACTTTGGCACTCCCACGCAGCATCACCTTCCTTGGAAGTACGCTGGTTAAGATGCCACACATTGACATACACACAAATCAACAGTAGTCAAGATGAAGGCCTCGTCACAACTGTCCACGACCTCTCTCGAAGCCAAGGTCGCGCGCCAGGACGACATGATCCAAGACCTTGTGCGACTGAGTCGCATGCAGAACAGCGAGATCAACGCGATCCTGCAGCAGCAAACCAGGCAAGACAAGGGCATCGTCGTCCTGAACGACCAGGCAGCAGCCGACGCGAACGAGGGGAAAGCGTCCGATCCAGACTTGATAGCATTTCTGACGGCCAAGGTGGACGCCCTCGACGGCAAGCTGCGTGATTACAAGCACCTGCAGCAGGCGACTGAGATTTTGCAGCGACAAATGGGTTCCTTGGAAGCCAAGATTGACTCCCTACGTAACCAGATGCGTTTAAACAACAAACCGAACGAGGCAAACGGCGTCAATACAGAGGAGCTTCAATCATGCACCGAAAGAAATGCCAAAGGACAGATCTCCATGCAATATCAGGTCGAAAAGCTCGCAGATACGCTGAACAGGGGAAACATAACGAGCGAGCAGAGATCCGATATACAACACCAACAGACAGTCCCTGGTCATGAGCCAAAGATATCGAACGACATGCAGATGAAACTCGAAAGGAACAGCACCGAATCAGCGCACCGTGCTCGCAGCATCCCAACCGAGGCCGATACTTACGGCTTTGCAAGCCTTAACCTCAATACACCCAGCCACTTTTCTGACTCCCATCCAAGTGGCAAAGAGCTTCGGGACGAGTTCTCTTTCGACAACAACCACCGCCAGCTCGCTTCGCCGGATGGTAAGACTAACCAGGAAGACTGCTACAGCAAAGACATACTCAATCTGAAAATACGACTGTCATATGCTGAGAAACTCATTGGCGCCCGCTATCGCACCGGCACCTTCACCATTCGCGGCCGTTCATTCTTCCAGGACGCAACCGCTCTACGCTACATTGCGACAGACCAGCACGCTCGCGACACATTCAAAATGTTCTACGGAAACAGATTACACGCCATTCACTACGTTGACGTCGCGCCGCCCGTTGTCCTTGCAGCCTTTGACATAGTTGCTCGCGTGCGCTGCCGGCACGAAATGTGGACAGACGACAAACTCGAGGTAAAACGGCAAATCCGCTGTGCTGCTGAGAAGATTGTTGATGGCTGGATCAAGTCTCTCCCCTTGCGTGAGAGTGATGAGTATGGTTTGGATGTTCTGTCTCGCCGGCTGCAGAAACAGTTCAATCTGTTGAAAATTCTCTGTTACCGTAACTCTGTCGAGTTTGATTTTGTGCTGCCAGCAGTCTAGCCCTGACGTCGTCTTGTTGATGATGTTGATGATGATGATGATGATGATGATGATGATTTCATGCTACTTCCTTCTTGTATGCTATCTGCATGTACTCTGGTAAATTACAAATTATAAGCGTGCATCGCGAGACACAAGCAGATCCCATTCTTCGGGTCCAAAGTCGACATACGAGTCCGCGCCAGGCTTCAACCACAGCACACGATCGTCTATGCCTATTGCATCCTTTGTGCCCTTCAATGCCGGATCAACACCCTCCTGTCTCAGGGGCACTTTGTTTTGCTTGTGATTATGGATATGTCTAGAGCTCCTGACCACGCGTAAGAAGACCGGTACAGCATATCGCGGCAGTTTCGAGCGCACGAAACGAACCAAGTCACTCCAGTTAATATCTGAAGTAGAAACCTGAATTGCAGCACATCCAGCTCTTCCCTCGTGATTCGGAACCAGCACTCCATACACATTCGCCTCCGTGATCCCAGGGAACTGGCCCAACACCTCCGCGACTTCAGCCGTCGACACATTCTCGCTCTTCCAGCGAAACGTATCCCCCAATCGATCCATGAAATACCACCGCCCATCACTCGTGCGACGCAACGCATCGCCCGAGCGATAATACAGATCCCCCTTTTCGAACACATCTTTTGCGAATTTCTTCTCCGTCGCTGCGTCGTTGTCCCAGTACCCCTGAAACGCCGCCTTGCCGGGAATAGCAACAAGAATCTCGCCCCCTTCTTCATACGGCTGGCGTTTTGCGAACCCCGTTTGCGGGTCTCGCCATATATCCCCCGTCTCGTAGTCGATGGCAACAGGGACGTATACGTTCCGGAGACGATAGCGAAACAACAAGCCGTGATGTCCCACGGCACCGGAAGTAAACGGCCCTCGGTTCAGATTTATCAAACTCAGCAGACCTTCCGTGCTGTTGAAGAATTCGATCACTTGCTCGACACCGAAGCGGTCGCGAAACCGTTCCCAGACGTCGGGCCTTAGACCATTCCCAAGCATACCGACCACTTTATGGTCTTTGTCTCGCGGCGAGCGCGCGTTGTTAAGCAGATAGCGCACCGTCTCGCCAACATAGATGAACCAGGTAGATTCCGAGTCGCGCACATCATTCCAGAAGTTCCTCGCGCTGAACTTCCGCCCGATAGCAACAGATACGCCGCCGAGGAGCTTCAACATGGTGAAAACGGCGCCTGTGCCGTGGTACAGCGGCATGCAGCAATACCAGCGGTCTGTATTGGGACCGACATTGCGCACGCTTATATAGAATCGGCGGGTTGTGTAAGCGCAGCCCTTGGGCATGCCGGTTGTGCCTGACGTGTAGATAAGCATGAAAGGGAACGAAGCCTTGACGTTCAGCCGATACGTTTCGTCTGGCGGTACCGAAGGGAATCCCTCCGTGGCCTTGTTCATGGTCTCGCCGAGAGGTAGAATGGTATTTTCCAGCTCGGCTTCGAGTCTCTCGCGAACCGCCTCGATGCGCTCACGACATTCGTGATCGTCGTCTACAACCACAAACCGCGTCTTGGGGACTTTCAGGCAGTGGATCAATGACTCACCGTTGAGGTTGTAGTTGATAGACGCTGGGGCGCATCCAATGCACACCAGACCGAGCCAAATAAACAGATATTCGGGACTGTTCATCGAATACAACCCGACTAGCTGTCCCGGCCGGACGCCTATGGACAGGAAGTAATGCGCCAGCTGTGACGAGATGGCGAGCGTCTCTCGATAGGTATAGCATCTCTCGCGCGACCAGATGGCAATCTTGTCCGGATACGCGGTGGCGATGTCCTCGAAGAGGAAGAAAATGCAGAGACGGCCGTTGGCAGCTGGACATTAGCACTGGTCAGTACGAATGACTATATAGATGATTTTTTTGTTCTTTGTCAGTGTCAGTGTCAGTGTCAGTACCGGCTCGGTTGGTTGCCAGTTCGGCTTTTCGTTCGGTATATATGCTTGTGAGGTCTTTGGCGATGTGCCATTTCGCATTGGCATAGGCTGCTGCTGCTGCGAAGGCAGCAAGTGGTGCTACTGCTCGGGAAGTATTTCAGTCAGTGAAATTTTGTGCAAAGGGGAAACATAGATACCTTGATCCATATCCCTGGTAACTAACCGGAATAAGATATTTCTACTTGAGCATATGATGGATGCATGAATATGCATTCTATATAGCTGTACAAGAGTACAGCATCTCGGGAACAGATGCAACAGGCAGATCAAGCGGGGAAATGGACGACCTAGGCTTGCATCTGTCCTGGTTCTGATTCACGCAGAGATGCAGCTTATGTGGAGTTGTAGTATCCCCGCATGGTATACGCACGTAGTCTAGGAAAGCCGAGGTTATTGATATACGGGTAATAGCTGGGATACTAGAGCGAACTAATAGTTATACCCTAGGTATGTGGTCCAATTGAGTTAGCCAGATAATGTGATGTACTTACAAGACTGCTGATGGCTCTTGTGTGTAGTTTTTACGTATGCATGTACGTGTATACACTGATCAAGTAGTAGAAATGAAGTAATCGTTAACATTCATGGATGCCAGCCTCCTTTGTATCATTCAGGTGTGATAAAAAATAGTCAGAGAATAAGAAAAAACAAAGAAAGAAAGAGAAAAATGGATTAACAATCCATGTCAAGGCTTTCATACCGCCAATTCAATCCCTTTTTGAGAACAATCCGACTGTGTGGCTGGCATGCACAAATACCACAATAAACAAAGAAATAATTCTATGTTGTGTATGTACATCTGTGTGTGAATTGCTTATTCCTTCAGCAGGCCTACCAAATTGATCGACTTTGGACGCTCAATGGGCAACCCCAGAGCCCTGCTCCAGATGAGCTGAGCCAGCGGACCCAATGCACGGCTTACACCAAAAGTCACAGTGTAGTATAATGGTTGCTGGAAACCATAGTGATGGAAGAGCACGCCAGAGGCAGCGTCAACATTAGGGTGAGGATTCTTGGTCTATTTCTCTCATTAGAGTTCACGAGTTCACATCTCTTCAAAAAAAAAATAACGAGAGCAGAAAACGACATACCTTCCCATGCTCAGTCAGCACACGAGGCGCTATCTCAGAATTTTTTTTGACAAGCTGGAACACCGGGTTTGCGACCACATCTGGACGAGTAGAGGCAAAATCAATCAGGGCTTCGAAGCGGGGGTCTGGTTTGCGCAGGACACCGTGCCCATAGCCTGGAACAACACGACCAGATTTGAGTGTGTTCCATAGGTAGTCTTCGACATCCTTGTCGCTAAACTTTGTGCCAATGTCACCCTGCATGGCCAAGATCCAGCGAAGCACCTCCTGCGCGGCAAGACCGTGGAGAGGACCCGCAAGACCCAGCAGGCCGGCACTGTAGCTGAGGAATGGGTCGCTCAGAGCACTGCCGACGAGATGAGTAGCGTGAGCAGAAACGTTGCCTCCTTCGTGATCGCCGTGAAGGGCAAGGTATAAGCGGAGAAGGTCGTGGAAGTCTTCGTTCTGCTTGCCGCCCTTGCCAAGGAGGTCCGCAAAATTGTACGACCAGTCTTGGTTCACGTCGAGCTCTTGAGACGCCACCGCATCAATCTCATTTGGACGGAAGACAAGAGCAGCGATACGAGGAATTTTCGCCAGCAGAGAAATGCTGTCGTCGAAAGTCGGTTCCCAGTATTCAGCTTTGTTGAGGCCATTCTCGTAGGCTTTGGCAAATTTGGATACAGTATTAAGAGCCGCCACGGCGACGGCAAGCTGCGTCATTGGGTGAATGTCCTTGGGGAACGACTTGAAGAGGTCCAAGATATGCTGAGGAAGGTACGACTTTTCGGCGAGTTCTCGAGAGAAAGCACGGATCTGCGTAGTCGACGGGACCTTTCCGGTCAATAGCAGCCAAAACATGGCCTCGGGAAGCATCTCAGTGCCCGATGTTCCCTTGGGGAGCTCCCGCTGGCAGTCTTTGATGGTGCGGCCGTGGAAACGAATTCCCTCGTTGGCGTCGAGCACAGAACCTTCCCACACCATTGCCTTGAGGCCGCGCATGCCCCCGATGACATTGGAGATTTTGACATCGCCGATGACCTCATCCCCGCGTGCTTTTACTCTTTTCAAAAGCTCTCTCTTCTCGGGGATGACCTCTTTGAGCGTCGTTTTGAGATCTGGCTCAGTTGTGGCATATGTGCGAGAGAAAATGGGCAATGGGCGGGCAACCTTTTTATTCATTGCATTAATGAGCATTTCATCCCTAACAAATCATTAGGCATTGCATTGTGCGTACCTGAGCCAGCCTCACGGCGAGGCGAGTCGAGGTCAGCAACATGGCTGGCGGAGTGGGCCAGCAGCTTATCGGGGAAAACGCGGGGTAGCGGAGAGCCCAGAATCCGGGGTTAAGAGGACAATGGGATTGATCGACGCTGGAATGGAAAGGGACGGAAGGGAGAGAAGGGCGTGCTGGGTGATGCTCGAGAAGGGATCAAGGTGTATGAAGAAGGGAAAGGCAAGAGAAATCGCAGCGCGAGCGAGCATACCCAGGCATGCAGGCAGGCATGCCTGCCGTCACGCTGTTACAACTCGACGGCCTCCGTACGGGGTAACCGGTACGCTGAATACCGTACCGGTATGGTAAGTTACACTAGTGCTCGGTTGGCTGCGGGGTGCCTGGCTGCCGAGGTTTTCGGATGTAATGGTACGTATCGTGTATTATTCAGCTCTCTCCGCTTCATCTCAAGCGACACTCCATTATACACACGCTACGTTCCACGCAACGAGCACGCTGTCAATTAATTTCAATTAATTTACCTCATTCACTGGCGCCACTATTCCTCTGCATGTTTCTGCTTACTACTACTCCGCACTTGAGGAAAAGTCCGACTTCGCTGCAGAAAAGATTGGCTTGGTGACCTCGCGACGATGAATTGATGTCCCCTTCGAAAAAGAACAATTCGATTCTCTGATTAATACCTGTCCTACCATGCTTCGCACCGTCTCTCGTCGACTGCCTCGACGTCCTTTCCGACCAGCAGCCTTTGCCATTTCTGCAGCGCCGGTGAGCAGCGGTCATCTCCGGATGTCGTCGTCGCTGCCGCCTGTTGTTCCTCCTGTATCAACTCCGCTCCCCTCGGATTCCTTCCAACTACTGTCTAGTGTCAAAAAGGCCGGTATTGCCGAAGATGAGCTCTTCGAGCAGCAGGTGAAAGAGGTGGAGGCCTGGTGGAAAACTGCTCGTTATGAAGGCATCAAGCGTCCCTACAGCGCAGCCGATGTCGTCAGCAAGCGCGGGTCGCTGCAGCAGACATATCCCAGCTCGATCATGGCAAGGAAGCTATTCAACTTACTCAATGAACGCGCCGCTGAAGGCAAACCTGTCCATACCAGTAAGTCAGTCATTTATTTTCCGGTCGCTAACGTCGCTGATTTCGTCGTGAACAAAAAACAAAAGTGGGCGCTATCGATCCTGTGCAAATGACACAGCAAGCCCCGAACCAAGAAGTCTTGTATATTTCCGGATGGGCCTGCTCTTCGCTCTTAACAACTACCAACGAAGTCTCCCCGGATTTCGGAGACTATCCTTATAACACTGTGCCTAACCAGGTGGAAAGACTATTCAAAGCTCAGCAATTACACGATCGTAAGAACTGGGATGCTCGACGCAAACTAAGCCCCGAGCAGCGCACCGAAACTCCATATGTCGACTACTTACGACCTATCATTGCCGATGGTGACATGGGTCACGGAGGCCTCTCATCGGTGATCAAGCTGGCTAAATTATTTGCCGAAAAGGGCGCTGCTGCTGTACATTTTGAAGATCAGTCGCACGGTGGGAAAAAATGTGGCCATTTGGCTGGCAAGGTCCTTGTGCCAATAGGGGAGCATGTCAATCGTTTGATCGCCGCGCGGTTCCAGTGGGATTTGATGGGCAGTGAAAACCTCGCGATTGCTCGATCCGACGCAGAGAGCGGAAGACTTATCACCAGTGCCGTTGATGTCCGCGACCACGAGTTCATTCTAGGTATTACTGAACAAGTCGAGCCATTGGCGGAGACTCTCCAGGCTATGGAGCGCGACGGTGTTTCCGGTACTGAAATTGACGCTTTTGAGAGCCAATGGGTCAAGAATCATAAACTTGTCACTATTGACGAAGGTGAGGTTATTACCACCTACTTTTGTTGTCTGTTTGGGTCTAACTGTTCTCAGCCGTCGACGCCCATTTGAAGGCAGAGAGCGCATCTCAAGGGACGATCAATGCTTATTGGAGCCAGGTCAATAAAAATCCCGACTTGTCCCTGACCAAGCGACGCGAGCTTGCCAACAGCCTGGCAACCACCCCTCTCGTCTGGTCATGTGACGCTCCTCGAACGCGAGAGGGTTATTATCATTACAAAGCTGGATTTCCAGCCGCGACCAAGCGAGCCATGGAGTTTGCCCCATATGCTGATCTTCTCTGGGTTGAGACTGGGGATCCCAACGTGGAAAAGGCTGCTAAGCTTGCTGCTGATGTCCACAAGCTATACCCTGGCAAGAAATTCGTCTACAATCTTAGTCCGTCGTTCAATTGGATGGCCCAGGGGTTCAGTGAAGCCGCGCTGAAATCCTTTGTCTGGGACATTGCCAAGCATGGGTATGTTCTGTTCCCGATAGATTATGCTTCTTACGTGGTACTAACTAGTCGATGTTTCTTTTAGGTTCGTCCTCCAGTTGATCTCTCTCGCCGGCGTCCATTCAAATGCCACGATCACCTCGGAGCTTTCCCGCGCGTTCAAGGAGGAGGGCATGCTTGCCTATGTCCGACTGGTGCAATCGCGCGAGAAGGCACTTGGTGTGGATGTTCTTACGCATCAAAAATGGAGTGGCGCGGGATACATGGATGGAATCTTGGGGGCGATTCAGAGTGGCAGTAGTGGTAGCAAGAGTATGGGCGAAGGCAATACCGAAAAGGGTTTCTAAGCACGCATCGTGGGTAATTTAGCAACTGCATTTGGAGTCGGAGTAATGTATTGTAGCTGAAACTACCAACCCCTTCACTTGTAAATGACCGGCGGTGATTTGTTCATTAAGAGATATATCAATTTAGTTGACTTCACTATACTTACTAGCCCGCCAAAAATATATATTTTTGGAAAAGTAGGGCGATCGACTGTTTTCACTGTTTTCGCCTCTTGCTTCAGGACCGAAATATCGTAGTTAAGAAACATATGCAAGACAAGGGTATAAAAAAAGAAAGAAAAAAAAAACCCCCCCCCGAAAAGGCGAGGAAGGCAAAAATAAAAGACAAAATAGATCTAAACAGCGAGAAAACAAAAAAAGAAAAATAAATGACTGATGCCATACTCGAAATGGCGACCTCATCCGTGCACGAGAGGATGTGAAGGATGCGAGATAACCAACTACTCCAATCAGCCGTTGGGAAACGTTGTGCGTTTTAGACCTGTAAGCTAAGCCACGGTAGAGCAGTCTGATTGTTTCTCCTTTCATTCCATGGATTTCTTTATTTGCTGCTTCTTCGTGAGTGACTATGTGACAGTGGATTATGACTGCTATACTGGATTCACCATGTAATCTAATATTTTATATGATAAATCGTCAAAATCGGGCATTAAACGGTACAAACTAGAATACATAGTCCGAATACGGAATCAGGGCAACGAAACCAAAGCCCTAACTATCAACACCGCAGGTGAAAGCCGTTGGCAATCACCGTAATTAAGCTTCAGCCTTTTCTGGGTTCAGCTACCTGCGGAAATCACAATTGAATCCACTGGAAATCGTTTAACATATCAAGAAATAGTGTCTAGAATTTTCCAGAACCACTGACCTCGCCACACTCATACTTAGCCGGATTCTCAACGCTGACACAACTCGGCAGCACAGCACTGAGCACGTTTCGTTTAAATTAAACCCGAAAAAGAATGGCATCGAGTAACGATCGTGAGCAGAACGGTTATACAACTTTGTGAACCGTTGACTTGAATTGATCGTTGGTGAAGCGCATGAGATAGTCGCCAATATTTACGACAAAGGTGCCGGGGATGGGCGGGGCTTTGATGCACTGGCCATCGTTGGTGAGGACTTGCAATCCGCCTATGCTATCTTGCCAGAGCAGGGTTAAGCATTGTAAGTTTGCGTGGGATCCGAGTCCGATGTCCTCCCCGGGGTTCAGGATTTGTTCGGCGGTTGCTGCGGGATAGAAGTTGAATGCGGCGTCACTATTGTCGAGTCAGTAAGAAATATATGCACGCATCTAGCTGTAAGCACTTCCATTCCTGGGTACGTAGTGACACTATCAAAGTAGTCCTCAGGCAAGTCGAGACCAAGTGCAAATATTTTCAGCAGTCCTCGCGCAAGTTGAACACAGCGCTGCCAATAGCGAATACAATCATCCTTGAAGCGAGGCATATGCGCCATTCCATCCCAGATATAATCCTCACGATTTAGGTGTGATTTGATGTCTTCAGGTACGCAGTTCAGATCCTTTGTTTCCGGATCGTATTGTGGGTCGTAGCACCATGCAAATTGTTCCATGTTATCCAGTGACTCAGACGGCGATGCTCTTGATGTCTGGCGCTGAGACAAGCCATTGAAATGGCAAGATTTGTCCCTTGATACCTTCTGCTTTTCGGATTCTGGTTGGTGGAAGAAAGGCTTGGCCTGGCCCAGAGCAGCATTGATTACGTCCTCGTGGATGCCGTGGTTTTTGATGTAAAAGACGTCTACGATTGCAGCCAGATCATTGTCAGCGGCGTTAACAAAGTTAGCAATTCCAGTATCTACCCAGTCACAGGCACATAGTTTTGATTTCAGTTCATTGTCAACAGTTGCAATTCTGGCCATGATGATGTGATATTTGACTTGAAGAAGAGGGTCGCTGCTGGGGGGATCTAGATCAGCGCTCCGTAGCAACTGGTAATCGTTGACCACCAGAGGAAGAGCACAATCAAATCCGGGGCTGATAATGCACAGTGGCTTTCCAGGAGTCGAAAGCCATTCGCAAATAACTGTTTCCCACCACAGACGCCGACGCTCCTCTTGCTGTAGCAGAGTTTCGCCTGGACTGAGGTGGTCCCAGCCGAGATTTAGCTGCTGTCCAACACGAAGGGCGCATGCACGTAGATTCTCGTGTCGAATAGGATCGTTTCTTTGCTGCACTTGAGCTTTCGAGAATAGCATTCGATGCATGAAAGCGGAGCGCGTTGTGTGCGGCGGACCTCCGGAGCCATTTCGATATGCTTCCTTGAAACGTTGAATGCGGCTTCGGTTCGTCTTCCGAGGAATTCTTCTAGCAATGTCTTGTGGAATGAAGATGCCTAAACTCGGCATATCAGAAAGGTGGACGAGTTGCGCTCGTCTGAACTCAACCGAGATAAGGAACTAGGAAGGATTCTGGCCCATCCTAACCCTAAATACATCTGTGTCCTGTCGCCGATACACGCTTTACTAGAGGAATCCACCACCAGATCCAGCCTAGGCTTGAACGGATTACTAGGAGAAAAGTGTGTGTGTGTGTGTGTGTGTGTGTGTGTGTGTGTGTGTGTGTGTGTGTGTGTGTGTGTATAATCTTCATTTAGTATGTTAGGCCAGTATCTATCTAACAGTAGTCTTGCTGTTCAGCAGGTCAATAGTTGATCTACACTCTCCAGAACCTCCGTTCGCCTGCTACCATTCCCCTAGCATCTTTTCCCACCTTCCCAGTCAAAACACCGCCTCTGCCACGCTTCAAGAACTCCCCTAAGCCCTTCTCGCCCACCATCCCCCCATTATCCGCATCCCATACCACATTTCCTCGAAGTATAGTGTACCTGGGCCAATTCTGGACTTCAATCCCCTCGAATGGCGTGTAGTCCACGCCATGGTGCAACATATTCTGGCTAATAGTCCTAGCGCCTCTCTCCTTCGGATGCCAAATCACGAAATCAGCATCAAAGCCCGGCGCAATGTTGCCCTTTCTGTCTGATAGACCGTAAAGCTTTGCTGCATTACTCGAGGTCATCTGCACGAACTGGGTAAGCGACATCTTGGCCTCTTCAAAGGGCAGACAGGCTTCAGACTGGCTGAAGAGGAGGGCCAGACGGGTCTCAACGCCCGGCACGCCGTTGGGGATTTTGGTGAACATTGGTATCTTGCCGTTGATAAGGCCGAGCTTTTTGCCGGCGGGATCGTTGAACTTGGATGGCGCGTGGTCGGATGAGAGAACGGTGAAAGTGTTGTTTGTCACGCATCGCCATAGGGCATCGAGATCAGAGGGGTTATGGCGGAGCGGTGGCGAGCAGACAGCCTTTGCCCCATGGAAATGACTGTCGTCGTCGTGGTCATGGTCGTGGTTGTGGTTGTGTGTTCCATTCGTACCGTTCATTTCTAAAGATGCCGACTTTCCTTTCAGCTCTTCAGAAAGCAAGAAGAGGTAATGGGGACATGTTTCGGCATGGATTGGAAGGAGTCGAGACTGTGCCGTTCTAACATGCTCGATAGCCGTTTCAGACGAGACATGAACCAGAAGAATCGGGGCATCTGCGAGCTCAGCGAGAGAAATAGCCCGATAGGTAGCCTCATCTTCTGCGATTCTCGGGCGTGCCACCGAATGGAACCATGTGTCCATATTGCCATGCTTCTGCAATCCCTCGATGATGACCGAGATCATATCCGAGTTCTCCGCATGTATCATGGTTGTCATCCCTAGTGCCCGGCACTTCATCATCACATACAGAAGATCCCGGTCCGTGAGTTTCAGGGGCTCATAAGTCATGTACAGCTTGACACTTGTGATACCTTCCTCGCGCGCTAAAACGGGCAGCTCGTTATTCAGGATATCCTCGGTAGGATTTGACAGAATGACGTGAAACCCGTAGTCACAATAACTGTTTCCCCGGGCTTTGCCGTGATATGTCTGGACAACGGGCAGAAGGGACATTTCATGCCTCTTTTGGCTCGCGAATGCAATGATTGTCGTTGTACCGCCTGCAATTGCACTTCGAGACCCCGTCTCCCATGTGTCTCCGGTTGGCGCATTGTCTTGCTGGATATGTGTGTGCGAGTCAACACCGCCGGGTGTAACATATGCTCCTTCAGCGTCGATGATGCGAGTTGTCGCCTCGCGAGGCAGCTCGCTGCCTACGCAGTGAATCTTTCCATCTCGAATGCCGATTTCGAGACCCGCGGGCAAAACGTCGCTCGCAGTGACCTGATTGATGCACGCTTGAGTTAGCCGATTTGTATGTATAAATCTTGTTCAGTTTGATTTTAATAACGTACAATGATGCCATTTACAATGATGCAGTCTAACTTCATCTTCAATTTGACAATCCGAACTACTTTGCATGTGCAATTCTGTCTTTGAGTGAAATTCAGTTGAATACTAAATAGTGCCAAATGCGGCCAATGTGCAGATAGGCGGCCAGCGATATCTGGCCGTGCATCACGGGCAACACTCAAAAAAAAAAAAAGTAGTCTCACCCACTACATGCATACATAAGTGCATTGCCTCGGTACGCTACAGAGCTATCGACAAACCCAAGAATGCCACAGCCACGCTTCCTCGTCCTCGGCGCTGGAGTCGTCGGCCTTACGACAGCCGTAGAGCTTGCTGACCGCTACCCAGACGCCGAGGTCATCATCGCCGCTCAATACTTCCCAGGCGATAGGACTCCGCGCTACACATCTCCCATAGCTGGCGCCAATTGGCTCTCCGTAGCGCTCGACAATGGCCGGCAAGAAAACTGGGACAGGGTCACCTTCGAGAAATTCCTCGCCTTGGCCACAGACTCGCAGTGCACGGGCGTCGAAAGGATGGAGATACGTGCCATCTACGACAGACCTCCCGCACAAGCTGGAGTGCTCAGTGAAACCACCAATAAGATCTGGTATGAACGCCTTGTTGGAGGGCTGAGAATGGTTCCTCAAAGTCTCCTACCAGCCGGGGCCAAGTTTGGCTACGACGCGGACACCTTTGTGGTCAATACACAGGTGTACTTGCCATGGTATCTATCTCCGACATTATCGCCATCATATATATATTTGCAATGTTCTAACTTGTTGCCTACGGGGTAAGGTTGCAAAATGAGGCTCGAAGACGGAAAGTGGGCATGCATCGAAGGATATACACCCACATCGAGGAGCTGTTCCAGGACTATCCTGGGGCTACAGCCTACTTTAATTGCTCAGGTATTGGCGCTGCCAAGTTGAAGGGTGTTGGAGACGGTAATGTCTATCCTACGAAAGTCAGTTCCGACATACTACCGGCAAGGGGATGTAAATTAAGTGATAAAAATAGGGCCAAGTTCTACTCGTCGAGTCGCCTAAAATACCCATGACAAGAATGTATTTTCGTTCACCACGCCGCGTGGATAACGACACGACATATGTCTTTCCGCGAGGTAGACATGGAGGTGTCGTTCTCGGAGGATGTCGTCTTGATGGCTCTTGGGACGAAACCATCGATGCACATTTGGCCGAAGATATCAAACGGCGGTGCTGTGAATTAGCACCCGAGCTTGGGAAACCGGAGGACTTGAAAGTGATTTCACACAGTGTGGGATTGCGACGTATGCTAGCCATCCATTTTAGGACCCTGTGAGAAGTTGGCTGACGCATCCAATACTAGCGAGCAGACATGGAGGCGCACGCATCGAAGAGGAGTTTATGGGCCAGGCTCGCGTCATACATAACTACGGTGCTGGAGGGGCAGGGTATCAGGCATCATGGTAAGAGTTCTGTAAAGCTTTACAGTCATACTCAGGCTAACTAGGCGTTCAGGGGAATGGCTCAAGAAGCAGTCGATATTCTAAAAAAGATGCCACGGCTTTGATATAGCCTTTTGTTTGTTTTAACAGGAAACATAGCTATAGGTAGTATGAATAAGCAATTTTCCACTCAGACCTGTCGTCTGGAAATTTTTGTTTGCAAGAATATAGTAATAATAATAGTTATTTACACGTAATGCCAGCCCCTCTTGAAAGGCTGCGCTTTAACCCCGGATTTTTCCCTGATCCTTGAAATCGCATTCCGAGCATCACTCTTTATTTTTTCCTCATCTAGCCTGGTGAACTGTCCACCATCAACAAGAATCTCTCCATCAACAACAACCATATCGACATCTGCACCCGACAGGCTGTGCACCAAGAGCGTCGACGGCGACAGACCCCCTACTGCCAATTCCGCCGGATCATACGGTGCTGCATGGATGCCGCTATGTTTCAGCACCACAAAATCCGCCTTCTTACCCACTTCCAAGCTTCCAACTTGGTCTTCAATTCCAAGTGCTCTAGCCGCATTGATAGTGACCATCTCCAAGACCTGCTCTGACGATAGTATGTTTGGATTGCAATGGCGGCCCTTGTGAATAAGTCCAGCCAAGTGCATATCCCGGAACAGATCGTGGCCATTATTGCAAGGCGCACCGTCAGTGCCAATGCAGACGTTGACACCTTCCTCAAGCAGACGCGGGATAGGGGCTATCCCATCTGCTAGCTTGGCATTACTCGTGGGATTATGCGCGATCGAAGTCTTTGTGTCCCGAAGTATTGCGTAATCCTCCTCAGCAAGATGGACCATGTGTCCCAGGACAACGTGCGGTCCAGTGAACTTGGCAGTTTGACAAAATTCTGCAGGTGTCGACGTGTAGTTCTGGGCAATCAATTCGAAATCCTTTGGTGCTTCTGAGCAGTGAACTGTAACCCGAATGCCATGTTCTATGCAAGCGGATCCCACGGCTTGGAACCCTGCCAGATCCTGACCACGAGGTGTCTCCGGTGCCATCCATATATGGACTCGGTCGTTAAAACTTCCATGAAATTCGCCGTGAGAAGCGAGTGCTTTTTCGATCGACATCTCATGGGCATCCTCGTCTCTGCTGTCCGGAATCCCAGCAGTTGGATCGCTTCTATTGATCTTAATAAGTTTACCGACACAAGCGCGAATGCCCATCTCCCCAACGGCCTGGACTATGCTGGAGAACTTGCTTTCTGCAGATGATGGCAACATCGGCTCTAGAAAGCAAGTCGTCCCTGTCTTGAGCATTTCGGCCACCGCAAGCCGGGCGGCTGCTGCGCCGTCCTCGCCTCGATACGAAACTTCAAGTGGCCAGATCGCACATGAAGCCCATTCATGGAGCTCCAAGTCTTCTGCAAGCCCTCTCATCAGAGACTGGATTAAGTGTACATGGCCGTTAATAAGCCCAGGTATGACTATGCGCTGCTGGAGGTCGACTCGCTGAACATTCTCTAGCGAATTCTGCCATGTTTTCGACTCTGCGGTCTTTCCAATAGCCCTGATTCGTCCGTCGATAACCAGAAATGCTCCGTCAAGTATGATCCGCCTTGACGGGTCAACCGTGACGATTGTGCCGTTGTAGTAGAGTTGCGAAGACATTCTGATCTGGGATGCAAATCCGTTATGCTAGTTCACGACAGCTTATTCTCATAACCCTGGTCTAGGTAAGGGCCAGGGAGATTGAGTATTGTTGATGTTTGTGAGTCACTTTACTCTTTTCGCTGGTCTCGACTCTTGACAGTTGGCCGTCCAGGCCGCGCCGTGTGGAGCTGGTTGCGGCGAAGCATTGCGATTCTGACAGTTGGCCGTCGCCCAAACTAAACTAACTAGTCTATGGCCATGCATCGGTCACTGGAGCAAGCGATTGATCGCTATATTGAGCTCATATCTCTTGCAGACAGAAAGTTCTATGAAATCTAGACTACTCGAAAATACATCATCCAACCATGTCCGACAAAACCCAGGCGAAGAGACCCCTGAAAGTAGCCGCTGCGCAACTGGGCCCTATTCACATTAAGGATAGCCGGGACTCAGTGTTGGCTCGCATGATAGCACTGCTGAATCAGGCATCCGAACAAGCAGTGCAGGTCGTGGCTTTCCCCGAACTTGCTTTCACTACATTTTTCCCCCGCCACCTCCTCCAGGATGAGGAGATTGACTCTTACTTGGAGTTAGACGATGAAAAACTCGGTGGAATCCGGCAATCCTCGAATGTGAAAGCCCTCTTTGATCACGCCGAGTCTCTCGGCATCGACATATACGTTGGGTACGCCGAAAAGAGTCCACAGCCAGATGGAAACTTCATCCACTATAACTCAAGCGTCTATTACTCGGCAGCGGCAAAGAAAGTCGTCGGAAAGTACCGCAAGGTTCATTTACCCGGTGTGGTTGAACCCTTCAAAGAACCGGGAGCAACACAGCAACTGGAAAAGCGTTATTTCAAACCGGGAAACCTGGGATTTCCTGCATTTCGAGCTCCAGGGCTTATAGAAAACGCCACAAAATTCAGCGATGCAGTTGAGAAGGGTTCCATGGATGGAACCGGAGACCCGATCATGGGAATGCTCATCTGCAACGATCGGCGCTGGGCCGAAGGCTGGAGGAGTTACGGATTGCAAGGTGCTGAACTTGTATTTTGTGGGTATAATACCACGGCATTTGCACCCCAGCTCTGGGGGGCGAGCACAGAAATCAGCCCCGAAGAGGCCGAGGCAGATGCTGTCTTTCACCACAAGTTGTCTTGCCAAGGCAACAGCTACATGAATGCTTGCTTCAGTGTGAATATTGCCAAAGCCGGATCTGAGGATGGCCATCCCTTGATTGCCGGAACAATCATAGTCCATCCCAATGGCAGGATTCTGGCGGAATCAAAGAGCAAGGATGACGAGTTAGTGGCGGCGGAAATAGACCTGGCGGACTGTCGAAGAGGAAAGGAAAAGACCTTTGCCTTCCACAAGCATCGGAGGCCAGAGCAATATGGACTAATTGTGGAACGTGCCGGAGTTGTAGAGCCTGGCTTATTATAAGTAGACATAGTTGAATAAATTGGGAATGGTATGGTCTACGGAGGAGCCCGATCACAAACCCCTGTCGATTGCCATATCTAAGCTGTGTAGTCTGTTATTAGAATCTGATTACTGGCTTATCTGAGCCTGGCTCCACTCGGTGAAGAGTGCATCGATACGGTGTAGGCTAATATCCGTTAGATTCTTTTTACCCGCAGCACCTCGCGCTACGAGGCGCAAGATCCAACGCCATTTTCGTCCAAGGATACCGACTTCAGATTGTGTAGATGGGGTCATTGTAGGAACATTGGTTCCGTCCATTTCTAAGACCGAGTTGTTCAACGTTATATCCTCCGGCGACGATACGGAGTGAATTTCTGATGGATTTAATGGAATCCAACCAAGTTCGGGAGAAGATGCGAGGAGATGGCAATGCATGAGTAGTGTAGACGCTAATGCAAAGTTATGTCTGGACCCTAGAGCAAACTATTAGCACTGCAATTGATAAAAGGAAAAAGGAGCATCCAGTTCATACAGCCTGGCCAGAAGGCATCCCAATCCGCGGTAGTCAATCTCTCCACGAAGCCGATGAAATCTCTTAACCGGGAAACAGCTCCTTGCATCGTAGCTGATATAAACTCCTTTGTGATAGAAGCTGCCGCATGTTCCGGAAAAGTACCAGGATGCCTTTTACCGTACAGGAAATACATCGATACTGGGCGAATGAGAGCGCGAAATATTGCTAATTGTGTCGCAAAAAAAGCAATCCGTAAGGACGCATTTCCATTCAATTCATTTGGTGACCGGTCTAAAATTCCGTTCGACCTTCCCTCCTTGACTGAATCATCATTAAGTTCCGGCGGGAGATTTTGATGCCACTCTTTCAACCGCTGTCTAAACACCCTTGCGGCCTGCAATGACTCTTGGACATTCTCCATCATCCTTGCAGTGGCACGAATTGTGAAGAAACTTTCCATTATATCATCTAATATGCCAGTCAGCCTTACTAGATGCACAAAATAAGAAGTTGGCTCCCAATCCTTGGACTCGTAATCAACGAGATCTTGTTGGGTCAAAGGGTCTACAGTGAAGTCACGTTGATGTACATGGCTCGGCATGCCCTGACCAAACGCAATCCACTTTTCTGTCACCCAGCAAGCCCACCACAGGCGCTTTCGTAGGTGCCTCTCCCACCCTGGGAGAGTGATCCAAAAGGAGGGGTCTTCATTCAGACCAAGGACCTGAGCCATAGAGATCGTTTGACAACACAACGACCACTTTAGAGCATCGCAAGACTGAACCTTGGCGTCGTAGTGACGGTGTAACTGAAGCAAGTAGCCCTGAAGAGTGGGAATAGATGGACTACTACTCTCTTCTACCAACGCATTCCAAGATAGTTCGAATAGCTCGTCTTGGGTGGGTAAACGGAAAGACTCAACACAAAGAGCATCATCATATAGAACAAAAGGAAGAGCCGTCGCACAAATAGCCGCCAAAAGTCCTAGCGGTATATCTAACACACAATCTTCTTCCGCTGGTAGCTGGTGCCGACTGATGATTGGGAAAACTGGATGCACGTATCGGAGATACAGCGCAAGCAGGCCTGATGCTGTAATACTATCGATCTTCTCTTCAAAACGTGATCTCAGCTCGTCGCGAAGCTGCTCGGACGATTCGGACAAGTCGGTTTGACGACCAGGGATATCTTCAATCAATGTGAAGACCGCAGGGGGGAGCAGGCTCCCGCCGTTTTGTTGCAGCGGCCGCATGCGATAGTAAGTTGCTTTGGTGTACTTCGAGACTGACGAAATCCGGTCCTTATAGGAACGATGAGCAAGAAGCATGGGATCCAGGTCACCAGATGGCCCGACGTAAGTAATAGGCTGGTGTAAGAGACTTTCTTGGGGAATCATATCTTCCTTCCAACGCAATCGAATATCCCGTCCTGGTCGCGTGAGAGAATGGCTGGGACCTTCCAAGTTTGACATAGTATAGACCTGGCGAGAAAGACCATTACCATTACCATTGCCATTGCCATTGCCAGTGCTAGTTGATGGAGATGGCGTATCTGAGGATGGTGTGCTAATCATGGCATCTGTCGGGCCCTGTACAATGGTGTCCTGGACTGTAGACACCAGACCGTCACCATTGCCGTGTTGGAACACCTGAGAGAAGCCATCGAAGTCAAACACAGTATCCGGATCGCCAAAATTTCGAAATATTCTAGGCTCTCTGCCTGACATAGAGCTTGTGCGGGGGTTTGATCTGATAGAAGATTCATCGCGAAGCTCTGCATCGAGTCTGCGACGCTTTCGCGGACCGGGAGCCTTTTCGAAAGTACATGATTGCCCTTTGCTGACGCATAACTCGCAAGGCGGTGTGGTCTGGATCTTACACGCTACTTTTCGAGTGCGACATAAATCGCAGGGCCGATTCTTTCTAGACCGATGCTGGCGGCCACCATGCAGCTCCATGCCGAGCTCGTTAGCTGAAGGAAATGTGATGGATGAAGCTTAACGATGGCCGCCGGGAAAGAACGGAAAGACCCTCGGCCAAGTAACAGCTATACCGTATTCGGAATGGCTTGTCATTTATAGCCCTAACCCTAATAACAACGATTAATCGCGTCCTTGGGCAAGTAGACTGTTGCAAAAATCTAAGTATCTATAGCCAATCCTGATTCCTCCGTGCTCGCGCCTGTGCAGCACTGCGGTATTCGCCCCTCTTAGCAGTCCCCAGGTTCTCGCGTACCAGAGAAGTCAAAAAATGTACACCCATGCCTACCCCGTCAACCACCATCACCTGTCTCTCATCCATGCCAACAGCCTCCTCACAGACCATACGCATCTCCGTCATTCCAGCACAGCCAAGACAGATACAGTCGGCTTCCTTTTCGTTGACAAGCTTGTGCGCTGCAGCAACCAACCCCGAGTAAACCTCTTCCTTCGGCTTTGACTCAAGTTCCAACACAGCAACATTTGCTGCTTCACATCCCGCGGAGTACTCGGCAAAGCCATAGTCATTGATGGACTTTTGATGCATGGATTTCGACCGTTGGCTGGTTGTGATCACGCCGAGTTTGGCTCCGCACATTCGCGATGCGTACAGCGCCGCCTCCATGATTCCAATCACCGGCTGAGTCACTTCTTCACGCAGTGCCATTATCAGCGGGTGTGCACTGAAGCATGCCACCAGAAATGCATCATAGCGAGATGCGATTGGGAGAATAGCCCGTAGACATTCCGCCGAGGATAGTATTCCATCAACACGCCCTTCCACGGCGCTCGGGGCGGGCGGTGAGGGCGTGAACCCATGGACGGTAACATGCAGTGGTAAAGTAGGTGCCACGCTGCGCAGGCAAGCCTCGGTCATGCTTTTAGTTGAGTTGGGATTGATAAGCAGGATGTTGATTTCCCGTTCCGAAGTACCGGTTACGGAAGGCAAGGGGTTTGATGTTGAATCCATGATTGACGGCACCGAGCGTTTTTCTTTCTCTACTCTTATTTCCCGACCAAGATCTCTAGTTAATAGATTGAGAATAAAAGAGCATGGCAAAGTCTATAAATCCTAAGTGAATTGCAAAGCCCTAACCCTAGCCCTACTGTTGCGGGGTCTGGCCGTAAAAGAGATAAGACGGGCAGTCGGCCAAGTCTGCAGCAGAAACAGATGCAAATTGGATGCTCTAGTGTAACTAGCAAAAGTTTGTTCCTGACCTGCAAAAATGTGGTTCATTTCTGTGCATTAGAACTTACAGGAGATCCGGCTAGGATAGTTAAAAACGTTCTTAAATAGATGCTTATAGATGAAAAGAATTAAGTAGTGAAGATTTCGTAGACTGCTGCTATCGCTCTTATATTCCAGGCACAAGCACGCCGTCAATCTTAGTCATCCCATACGGCAGTGCAGCCGAAGTTTTCCCATCAGCTGTGGGATGATCATGATGTGCGATGCGCATTCTTTTATTGTAATGCTCATATCCGGTGACAGCATCTTTGTAATTCTCGTTCAAAGGTGCCTCCTCTGTGATGAATTGGGGCAGAGTCGAGACCAACTCATCATTGCTCAGGCCGAAGAAAAACGGTATTGAATAGCGACCGGTAGCATTATCGCCGCTATTGCAGACGCGATGCACGGTGCTAACAAAGGTGTCGTTGGTCAGTCGAGCGACCATGTCGCCCAAGTTGACCACGAAGGTCTCGGGCTCAAGCTGAGGACTGATCCATTCGCCTTTAGCGTTGAGCACCTGCAGTGACTGTGCGTTGTAGGGGTTTTGCGCAATCATAGTCATCACTGAGAGAGATTATTGTGAGAAAGATGTAGACGAAAACATAACATGGAGGTAGACGGATAGAAAGGAATATTGGGCACTTACTTTGAACGTCAGTGTGAGCTCCCAGTCCAGTCTCTTCGTCTGGAGAGGCAGTCTGTGGAGGGTAATAGAGAGCTCTAATGCCAGCAATTGGGTATGTTATTTTCTTGTCAAAGTATGTTTCTTTTTCTCCCATTGCAAGCGCAAGGATCTTGATCAGCTTTCTCATTAGTGAAAGACAAGCAGCACGATATCCTTCAATTGCTGGTCTGAACTTGGGTGCATCTTTGGGATTCGGCCACAGATTCTCGCGAATCATCAGTTTGGGCACCTCATCGCCAATTCCGAGTTCATCAGTCCAAGGGTCATATGCCGTTGTCATAGATTCCTTGAGGTCTGTGATATTTAGGTCAGTTCAAGACCTTGTCTGTCAATAACTGCACACAACACTTACCGCCCTTCTTCAACCTGTCAACATTCGTATAATAGGGCTCCTCGTATCCCATGAAACTAGGGCTTTTGCTTTGATGGTACAACATTTTTGTCTCCATGGGTAGCCCGAAAAATTCCTCAAGTGCAGCGAACGTCTCCTCGACGATGCTCCAGTCAATGCCATGATTCTTAATCACAAAAAATCCCACTCGCATGCAGGCATCTTTGATCTCCGCTACCAGTTTCTCAAGTGCGATTGGGTCGGGATTAGGAGATATCATGGCAGAGAGATCAATGACTGGAATGCTATCGAATTCGCCGCCATTGCCGTGTGCTGGTGCAAGATTACGCACAATCCCTTGAGAAAGATATAACTTGCCATCAACGATGCCAGCTCGGCCGGTTGGCTTGCGTTTGGTGGTAGCTAGAGTGGCGGTTTCGGTTGACATTTTTTTTTTCTCTCCTTCGTTTTTGCAATGCAGACGATTCAACAAGGATGTACCTTGAATTTCCCTTTGTGCCACTTGAATATATTTATAAGTCCTCATATACGAATTCATCAACATCGTCCTAGTAGAGGACTTGGATACCTGGCCGTGAAGCGCCGTTCAGAGTCAGACCACCTATTTTTACGGCCAGGGCAGATAACGGCTATGTACATAATTAACGGCCAACCTTGCCCGTATGCTAGAGACTTAGCGGAAGCTTAATATGCGGTGCCAGAATTATTTACACGCACGTGTCTCTAATTTCAATGCTCAATTCTGGTGCCGTGAATCGGGATGACTGTAAGAGTGGTGCGTGGTAGTGTGAAAGTATCATGTGTAAATAATTAATGTATCTAGGCATAACTGAGCCGGAGAACGGGAGATGGAGTCATTGGGCTTTTCTTAGTTTCTGTTGCATTGATCACGTTATGCGTAGAATGGAGCAGGATTTCTGTAACCTAGGCTTGGGATCATCTACTTCTTATGTTCCTACAAGGATGTATACATGAGAACTGTATCTTAGCCATTCGTGAATTCGTCGAATTCGAAACAATCTGACATGTTGAAAACTCGCCTATACTACATATACTCTAGATAGATCACTATCCCATAGTATGAAAACCACCCATATAACGCAATATTCAGTCGTCCTCCTTGGGCGACACCTTCACTTCAGCTGTCTGCTCATAGTCCTCAACTACGCCGTCCAAATCTTGCAATAGATAGTGCTTTCTGCCATGGAAGACCCATCCCAGCGTAGTAAGCAGAACACCGGCACCCCCAAAAACAACAGCATAGTTCATGTTTTCGGCGGTCACCGGATAGGCACTTGGGAATGCTTCAACAACACAACTGCCCAAATTGAACAGAAAGCTGAATATTTCGCAGCATGTCCCTACTGTATATGACATGCGGAAGTAGGACTTGGGTGCAGCATGCAAATACTTCCGTTTGGTGAGGATGGAAGCCGCCAATAGAGGGAGGAAACCCATGCTGTAGAAGAAGTTGGCAGAATCAATGATGATATCAAAGCCGAAGGGTGATCCGAGATAGATGAAGCTCATAATAGTGTTGACGCCAATTGAAACGTACAGGTTGTTGATGGGAATGTTGTGCTTCTTGTCAACCTTCATCCAGAAACTTTTGTATGGCAGGGATCCATTCCTGGCGAAACCCCAGAGCATGCGAATGTTGGCAGAAATGTAGCCATAAGTACCGAACAATGATGGTGCAATCACAAGCAGCATTAAGAAGATCGAAGCGACTGGCGATTTTGTTCCCTGGAGATACAGTTCTCCGATCAGAGATGGAAATGAGGTGGTCAGAAGCCCGTTGTAGTCGTTAATACAGTAGTAAACGGCGACGTAGAAACCAAAAAGTCTAAAACAATCAGTACCCTTCCGAATCCGAGCCGTTAAAAATAAAGAACTTCTTACGTGATAATGTTTCCAATCTGCTGAGCTAGCAGGGCAATGGGAATGCTTCTTGATGGGTTCTTGACATCATCTGCCAAATTCAGCATCCAGTGAGGTGGTCCGTAGGCATAGAGAGGGCCTAGAAGACCAAGCAAGGCACCCATGGCTGGGGAGCTATATCCACTGCCATTCTCAAAACTCGTCCAAATAAAACTTTGAGGGGGTTAGTATCCGTTTCCATTTCGAATCTCAAAAGAATAGTGAAGTCTCACGCATTGGAGGGCCTATCTCCGTTCGACATCCCTACCATAACTCCGATCGTGACAATCAAGCCAGTGGCCAATACGAAGACTGTATCACTGTAAGTATTTGACTGATTCTGGGGTACTGATTGTCCATACTGCCAATTCTATTCAATTCACCAATGATGGTACTCCAATACTTGAGAACGAAAAGGTAGACGATATTGAACAGCTGAAACAGCAGCCAGATCTGCCATCTTTTCGGAACAAACTCTTGATGAAATAGACAGGCACAAGTGAATATAAGCTCTGCGAGTACCAGGATCAAAGTCGGTGGGATAAATGCAATGGTCATCGAGAGAAACGATCCGGTGTAATAGGACTTGACTCGTCAGTACACGATGAACGAATGTGTTTTTTTTAATTGATGAAAGAGACTTACACAAACACGACCATACTTTGGACCACCGAGTCGTGCTGCAGCATACGTTACTCCTGCCGCATTTGGGAATGCAGATGCGTATTCAGCAAGATTGAGGCAGAATATCGAGAGTGCAGCTCCAACAGCCAGAGTACCCCAAATTTCGACAGCAGGACCTCCGCCATAGATACCAATCACCATGGAGCTGGCAGCGAAACTCCACGCACTGTCAAAAATTCCGTTAGATTTTCACTTTACATGACAGAGAACTGTCCATATGGACTTACCCGGGTAGCACCACAGCCATGGCACACAGAGACCATACTCCAAAGGTGCTGCGCAGCCCTTCTTGGACGATTCGACCGTCTGAAGACATTTTGTTAAGATCTGTCTTCGTTTCTGGACCATCCAAATCCAAAAAGTCAAGGAAACAAAAATAAAGTCATGAAAATAGACGTAAACCGATTATGTACAAATGTACAAGAAAATTGAGAGAATACCAAAGGTCAGTTCATATGTACATATACAGCTCCATAACGCCTCGCAGAGCTAAAGGAGACGCACTAACTAATGGCTGCCAATATCTCGTACGCCGAAAGTCTTTCCGACGGCCAACAGGACGGCCTATGGGACTATCAGATAGCGATAAAGAGAGAGAAAGATCCACTAAAAAAACCTTGGAATGTGATAACCGCTAGATATATTCCGAAGCTGATATCATCCACATGATTCTTCCATCTATTTGCGACTCTGAGTATGAGCCTTGAAAACTTATAGAAATCCATAGGTTGTTATCGGTACTAAGTTAGGGCTAGGGCTGGCCCTGCTTGACATCCGGCGAACCGCGTGGGAAGTACAATTACACGATCATGCGTGGTTTATATCATCCTGGACTTGCTTTAGTATTCAAGAGCATAATTCTCATGTGTGAAGCTGGATTCGTGGGAAGTGAAGTTGTTAGTGAGCATTTCTCGGCTTCCTGAAAGTATGTAATAATTGGTGCCATTTTTCAACATAAGCTTCCAAAGTTCGTTTTATGGATTCAAACAGAGAGCTGTCATCATTTAGGAACCAATAGGGTGCTTTCTTTGGCAGTGTAAGCAAGGTTAGCACTGAGTAACTTATGTTACAGAGTGAGTCTAGATGGAGGAGTACATGAGTAGACATGTACTAGTGCCTAATCGGGTAAGCGTTCCAGGCGGACCAATCGATTGGGTCGATTGATAAGCCCGGCACTGCGCGGCCTCTGATTGGCCAGCAAATTGCCACCGAGGGCACATGCGGCGCTAAGATAAAAAAAGACCAAAAAAAAAAAAAGGGCTCGCTCAGCCCCGCGTTGCATTTGTTTTTGCAATCGCATCTTTTTCTTCTTCATCTTTTCCGTGTTTTTCGCACGGGTGTTTGAGTTGAGTCAAGCACTTTTACCAGGCACTTTAACTTTTTTTCTATCATTTCTTTTTGTGTTCCTGGTATTCGTGCTTTGTACATATATTTGCCGCGTATCGGCAGTCGCCTAAAAGCGTCCGGCTGGGCAGCATCGACAACGAAGACTCTCTTCGCCTTTTTTTGTTTTGTTATTATATAATGCCTCATCTCTCGCCTACCGAGACTCCAGCCATGTCGATTGCTGTGTCAAAGACGCCCTCGTCGGTTCCTCCCACCGCGGAGGACGTAGCATCCATCCTCAACACCATATTCTCTGCAAAAACCTCGCAGGAGTCGCTGGACGCTTCTTATGCCCTCACGAACCTCTTAATCAACTCCGTCGGATACCGCGGAATTCTGACCTACAACATCCTGCCGCAAATCAAGAAAGCCGCTGCCGATAAGAAAGATGGGTCGAAGAGAGAAAGTGCCATGCTTATCCTCGGTGCCCTTTTCGAACAGTTCCCCCCCAAAGACGCTCTCAGCGAGGTTGTCTTCCTGATTCAAGACGGCGGTGTTTTGAGCATTGCTTTGGACGCGCTTTCCGACAAGGGCGCCGTTGTACGAGATGCCGCTCAGTATGCTATAGACGCGCTCTTCGCCTGCCTCAAGGTTGAATCACTCGTCAACGCTCTCCTCCCAGCCGTGCTCCGTTACTTGAGCAAAAATACTGCAAAGTGGCAGGGTGCGGTAGGCGCATACGCTATTTTGGAGAAAATGGCCAATAAAGCGAAGATGGGCACCGGAACTAAAGAGGAAGAACGACAGAAGGATCTTCTCCGTGAGGCTATGGGCAACACTTTGAAAGAGGTTATTCCTGTCGTGGAGTCCGGAATGCACGATTTGAAGAACGAAGTCTGCAAACAAGCAGTCAAGACAATGACCGCCGTCACTACGCTCATCACCAACGAAGACGTTATCCCCAGGATCCCCCTGCTTATCAATGCGATGGAGAAGCCTTCGACTGAAAGCCTGCAGAAAACGATACATGCTCTTTCCCAAACCACTTTCGTTGCCATTGTCACCTCCCCTGTCCTAGCACTGTTGACTCCTCTTCTTGAGCGGTCTCTCAATACCCCGACAACTTCGCAGGAAGTGCTTCGCCAAACTGTCGTTGTAGTTGAGAATCTGACCAAACTGGTTCACGATCCTACAGAAGCTAGGACTTTCCTTCCCAAGCTCAAGCCTGGTGTTCAAGGCGTGAAGGATCGCGCCTCGCTCCCTGAAGTGCGTGAATTGGCTGAGAGAGCTTTGAGCGTGATCAAACAAGCCATGGGTGATGACAACGGAAATGTGGCTGACGGAGCTGTTGTTAAGACAAGCCCGGAAGATGTGCTCAAGGTGCTAGATGCGAAGATTGTTGCTCACGGCGGGCCAGCGGAGCCTGGTCAAGTAGCCTTCTTTGACCTTGTCAAATCATACATTGCCGACATGGTTCGCGAAGATGTTAATGTTAGAATGCTCGATCGCATTTCGGCTTGTGTAGGACCATATCTACGCACTCTAGTCCAGGACGGACAGAATGACGCCGTGGCTTCCGAAGTTGAAGCTTATTTCGTCGAAGAAGATCACCGAAAATTCGGCGTGCCGGTGCAAGAAGACGACGGAGAGGTCGAAATTGTAAACGCAGACTTTTCCCTCGCATATGGCGGTATGCTTTTATTATCCCACACCAACCTTCGCCTTTTGAAAGGACATCGCTATGGCCTATGTGGCCGCAATGGTGCTGGTAAATCCACCTTGATGCGCAGTATTGCAAATGGAAAATTAGAGGGCTTCCCGCCAAAGGAAGTTCTGCGGACATGCTTCGTCGAGCACAACCAGGGTGAAAGTGCCGAGCTTAGCATTCTCGAATACTGTGCACACGATCCTGAACTTCAGAATGTCAGCAAGGAAGACATCTCGGCTGTCTTAACCGAGTTTGGTTTCACCGCTGGGCCCGAAGGTCGTCAATCACAGAAGGTCGGATCGTTGTCCGGTGGTTGGAAGATGAAGCTTGCTCTTGCTCGTGCTATGCTGATGAAGGCTGACGTTCTCCTGCTCGATGAGCCCACTAACCATCTCGACGTTGCCAATGTTAAGTGGCTACAAGAATACCTCAAAGCCCACACCGACATCACTAGTTTGATCGTTAGTCACGACTCCGGCTTCTTGGATGAAGTCTGTACCGATATTTACCATTACGAGAGCAAAAAGCTAGTGTGCTACAAAGGTAACCTTGCCGACTTTGTCAAGGTGAAGCCAGAGGGAAAGAGCTACTATACTCTCTCAGCATCCAACGTTCAATTCAAGTTCCCACCACCCGGAATTCTTACCGGCATCAAGTCACAGACTAAGGCTATTCTGCGCATGACCAACTGCTCGTATACCTATCCCGGAGCCAGCAAGCCTTCTCTTCAAGATGCTTCCATAACACTGTCGCTATCATCTCGTACTGCTATCATTGGTGGCAATGGTGCTGGAAAATCAACCTTTATTAAGATGCTCACCGGTGAGACTGTGCCGCAGACTGGTCGAGTTGAAAAGCATCCCAATCTGCGTATTGGATACATCAAGCAGCACGCGCTTGAGCACGTTGAAATGCATCTTGAGAAGACGCCCAACCAATACCTACAATGGCGATATGCCAATGGTGACGACCGCGAGGTCTACCTCAAGCAGACTCGTATTTTGACCGACGAAGAGAAAGAGCAAATGGAAAAGCCTGTCGACCTTGGTGATGGCAGAGGCCCGCGTCGCATCGAAGCGCTTATGGGTCGGCAGAAGTGGAAGAAATCGTTCCAGTACGAGATCAAATGGGTTGGACTACTCCCGAAGTTCAATACCATGATCTCTCGCGAGACATTGACAGAGTTGGGTTTCTCCAAACTTGTTCAAGAATTCGACGACCATGAGGCATCTCGTGAAGGTTTGGGTTACCGGGTTCTCGAACCCAAAGTTATTGCCAAGCATTTTGAGGATGTCGGCCTGGACCCCGAAATCGCCAACCACAACCAGATCTCTGGATTGTCCGGTGGTCAGAAAGTCAAGGTCGTCCTCGCAGGTGCCATGTGGAACAACCCTCACTTGCTCGTGCTAGACGAACCGACCAATTTCTTGGACCGCGACTCCCTCGGAGGTCTCGCCGTCGCCATCCGCGACTACAAGGGTGGTGTAGTTATGATTTCCCACAACGAAGAATTCGTCGGCGCTCTATGTCCGGAGCAGATCCACATTGCTGACGGTCGTATCACTCACCGAAGCAACACCGCAGTGGCCTTGGATCGCTTTGAAGACAGCCAACCTGGCTCTCCAGCTCCCAATAGCACTGTGGCCAGCACTGTGGCCAGCTCTGCGGTTTCCAGCGCTGCGCCATCGGCCGTCAACTCCGGTGCAGAAGATACCGGTGAATTGAAGTTCAAGGCCAGGAAGAAGAAGAAGCTCACGCGTGCCCAGCTGAAAGAACGCGAGGCCCGCCGACGCCTTCGTCACATCGAATGGCTCAATTCGCCCAAGGGCACACCTAAGCCTGTTGATACAGACGACGAAGAATAAGTTAGTTGCTTCGTTTGACAGAGCAACCAAAAAAAATGTTATGCCTTGCTTTTCTGTGTTATGACGATTCTTGATCAAGACACTTTTCATGAGATAGATTTTCGTTTGCATTGTTCCTTTTCATTCATACATTAGACGGTACGGCGTTGTTTTTCTTTCTTCTCTTTTTCGATATCTTCGATTCCCATTACAATTTATTGTTTCCCCGTATATTGCTTACATTTTCCCGCATCTTTGCTGTGCTATAAACTTGCTACCGTTGCTGTACGAGATTTATTGAATATATGATCATGGCACATTATTGTCTAAGGAACCCTGTAAATTTTGGATCTAACACAACATGAATTTAAATATCTCAGTGATTTCGAAGTAGTATGCCCTTCCGGGTAATAATTGATTCTGATATTGCCGGTTGTCGCGCAAGCTGATTGGATGGGGTTATGTAAGCGTATATTCGATCGACGTCAACAAATCAACGAAACTCGGATCTTTTTCAGGTGAGCTGTTGCTTCGTTGGTCGTTATTCATATGTGGTTCACTTATCGATATATTTTGTGCTATACATTGAAAGAAGTCGCGCGTCTCTGGCGCCATTGTGGTTGCCATCTGACATCCAACCATACATTAGTATCAGTCAGGGGAGAAGGTGAAGGCGAAGGCGAAGGTGTATGGCAGTTGCCCGGTATACAAACGACGTGAAACATCAGGAAACTATCAGTGGCTGATCGACTGGGGCCTTCCTCACGGCGACACCTTCCTACGAGCTCAGAGTTGGCATTCGACAAAATGGTCGATTCAAAGTACCAACCGGTACCGCGCCACGACAGGGAGGCTGATTTCACAGAGCACTCCTCCATCAGCGTTAGCCAAACATACGAGGCTGAATACGATCAGAGCTGGCGTCAATTGGATGCTCCCGATGCTTCTGATCTCTCATCAAAGGAAGACGACGACGACGACGATGAGGCTGACGAGACAATGGCTTCCTTGAATACGAAGCAGCGAGGCTCAAAGCGTGCTCGCTCACTCTCCAAGACACGCAAGCTATTGACTACGTTGAAGACAACCATCGTACGGCATCGTCTGTGTTTGATCGTGGTAGCTGGTCTTATTTTTATTTTCCTTCCTTTAATTGCTTATCAACACACTATTAGGTCCTTTTTCTGGGGCGACCAAGTTTATGTGAGATCTCAGCCTACCGCCCTCTTTCAGTCATAACACCAACCAAGTTAATTTGATGGATAATACTAACAGTTTCAATGTTCTAGAAATCCCCGCCATGGTATCCGACGCCCCTAGGTGGTACATCGGAGACATGGGCTCATAGCTATCAGAGGGCCAAAGCGATGGTCCAGAATATGACGCTACTTGAGAAAGTCAATGTTACGACTGGAGTAGGCTGGTCTATGGGTTTGTGCGTTGGTAATACTGGTAGGTTTGTTGAGGTGGCGATCGCTCTTCTGTCTAGCCCTTGTTAACAATTTGAATACCAGGGCCTGCAATTGATTCTGGATTTCCCTCTCTCTGTCTGCAAGATGGGCCCTTGGGGATACGCTTCGCTGACCACATCACTGCGTTCCCGGCGGGTTTGACAACTGCGGCAACGTGGAATCGTTCGTTGATAGAGGAACGTGGCTATCTGCTCGGCAAAGAGGCACGCGGGAAAGGTGTTAATGTGCTACTAGGTCCATCCATGGGCCCTTTGGGGATCATGCCGGCTGGTGGCAGAAACTGGGAAGGGTTTTCTCCTGATCCTGTCCTTAGCGCAGTTGCGGCTTCAGACACCATTCGAGGTATCCAACGAACAGGCGTGATGGCAACCGCGAAACACTTTGTCATGAACGAACAGGAACATTTCAGACAGGGGCGCGAGTGGATTATTCAAGACGCGATATCTTCCAACATTGATGATCGTGCTCTACATGAGGTCTTTATCTGGCCGTTTGCTGAGAGTATTCGCGCCAACGTGGCTAGTGTTATGTGCTCGTATCAAATGGTCAATAATTCCTATGCTTGTGGCAATAGCAAGCTTCTGAATGGGATATTAAAAGATGAACTCGGCTTTCAAGGGTTTGTGCAATCAGACTGGCTTGCGCAGCGATCGGGAGTGACAAGCGCGCTCGCAGGCCTAGATATGTCTATGCCGGGGGATGGTCTTGTGTGGGCAGATGGCAAAGCCCTTTGGGGCAAGGAGTTGACCATAGCCATTCTCAACGGAACAATGCCCATGGAACGCCTGAACGACATGGTGACACGCATCGTGGCAGCATGGTATCAGTTGGGACAAGATGAACCCGGAGGCAATCCGGACTCTCCAAACTTTTCCTCGTGGACAAATGATCAGTACGGCCATCTTTTTGAGGGCTCGGGTGATCAGGCCACCGGGATAGTAAATCAGTTTATTGACGTGCAAGGTAGCGGCGATGAAGCTCACAGCATTACTGCCCGTCGGGTTGCCGCTGAAGGAGCTGTCCTTGTGAAGAACGTCGGTGACATTCTCCCTCTAAGCACTCAAGGATCCAGCTCCGGGGATAAATTGTACAGAGTTGGCATATTTGGTGAAGATGCTGGTCCAGGAAAGGGACCCAATGCCTGTGCGGATCGTGGGTGCAATCAAGGTACCTTGGCTTCTGGCTGGGGTAGTGGCGCGGTTGAGTTTCCTCATCTTGTCACGCCTTACGATGCATTGAAGGAGTCATTCAATGAGACAGCAGTCGATCTCCAGGGTTACCTGACGGATGATTACGAAGACAAACATCTCGAGAACCAGGACTTGTGCATTATATTCGCCAATTCGGACTCTGGCGAGGGATTTATAAAATGGGGAGACATCAGCGGAGATCGAAACAACCTCTTCCTTCAGAAGTCAGGCGACTCTCTCATCCAACGGGCTGCGGACAAGTGTGGCGGTGATACTATTGTCGTAATCCATGCTGTTGGCCCCGTTATTGTAGAGTCCTGGATTGACCATCCAAGCATCAAGGCCGCCATTCTGGCCCACCTTCCAGGAGAAGAAAGTGGGAATGCATTGGCAGACGTGTTGTTCGGCAGAGTTGACGCCAGCGGACGACTTCCTTATACCATCGGTAAAAGCATCAAAGACTACGGACCGAGTGCACAAGTGCTATACGTACCGAACGCATTGGTCCCGCAGATGAATTTCACGGACGGATTATTCATCGACTATCGGTACTTTGACAAGAACGACATTGAGCCGCGGTTTGAGTTTGGCTTTGGACTATCCTATACCACTTTTGAATATTCAGATCTTGTCATCTCTCCCGTCAGAGAGAAGTCGCTTTTACCATCGCCTCGACCAGAGGCTCCCGTTTCTCCGCCTAAATATAGTAAGCAGACGCCCGATGCAAAGTCTGCACTATTTCCATCGGGGTTCCGGCAATTGCACAAATACATCTATCCTTATCTCTCCGATCTGTCAGAAATACAAGAAAGGCACTTTGACTTCCCGAAGGGCTATAAAAAGAAGCAAGCGTTATCCCCCGCGGGTGGAGGTGAAGGAGGCAATCCTTCGCTATACGAAACTTTTGTTGTGGTTACTGTAAACGTGACCAATACCGGCCATCGTACGGGCCAGGAAGTGGTGCAGTTATACGTCTCATTCCCGGATGATGTCCGCGATGAAGATGACAAGTTTAGCGACTCGATTGAGTTTCCCGTCCGCGTGCTGCGCGCCTTTGATAAGGTAGAGCTGTCTCCGGGAGAGACGAAGAAAGTCGAGATGGCGTTGACACGGAAGGATCTGAGCTTCTGGAGCACGCGTCGGCAGAACTGGGTGATGCCGGTGACGGGGGAGTTTACTATCGCGGTGGGCAACAGCTCGAGAACGCAGGCCGTTGTGGGGGAGTATTAACTATTCATAGGGTGTATATATTGCAGAAGATGAAATATGATGCGGATCAAAAAAATGGCACGAGAAGAGTCTAGACCGTCTTCGGCTAATCTAGGCTTACGTGGATACCCGGAGGACACCAAAGACACTTAGCCTGTTCAGGAATGGCTGCAGCCCTGGCCGGACCCGCCGTGGCTTAAGCTTCCACGCTGCCATTGGCTGGACTCACGTGGCGTCGCACATAAGGCACATCCGGTCCAATCAGAGCGCAGCTCCCTGGCGGCCGGCGGATCGATGGGAGGATTCCAAGGCACGACGTGTAGGGAGCCTCAGGACAGCCAATCGCCTTGTTTTCACGGCGGGGTTTCTTCGCTAGCTTTTCCCGTCCGACATGAAAATCTTGGCGGAGTCCGCTTTCTTCCCCATCAGAGAGCCGCGCCGTTTCACGGGGTATATTTGGATTGCGGCCTGTGGCCCAGTTGGGGAGCGTTTCTTCTAGCAGCCTCGATTTCTTTCTTTCTTTCTTTCTACCCTTTTTCTTGCTTTGCCTAGCGTGACATTCCAGAGCTGGAGAATGCCCGCCGATCTCGATCTCTAGTCTTTCTTATCAGCTCCGTCACGGCGACAGCTCGGCTCGACGAGTAGACAGACAGCAATCCGCAGCACGGGGGTTGTTAAGATCATGCAATCAATATCTCGATAGGCAAGACGGGATACCGAACAAAGATCGCATGCGGATCCCAATCGCTGTGCAGCTTGCGCTGCTGGTGCTTCTCACCTCGCTGCTGGGATTGACTGTTATTTCCATCGCAACAGTAAGCAATCATCATCAGACGATGGGCATGGCAATTCAGATGAAAAAAAGAAAAAAAAGAAGACTAATCGTGCTATTTGCTTACTTCAGTGGGAGAATAACTATAAATTCGTGACTGGGGTCAAGTACGGCGATCCTATCTCCATCTCTTCTGACGATACTAACAGCTCATTGCAGATCCCAGAGTCTGGCCCTTGGTGCCTCCCTCAAAGCCGGCCAAGTCGCCTCAGACATCCAGCTGATCGAAACCACCTGCACGGCTGTCACAACCCGAATCCTTATCCAAGAAGCCCTGCACACGTTTTACGAGGGTAACGATACGGATGCAAATTGGGCTGCTGCGACTGAGGACGTGCAATCGGCATTGGGAAGCGGTGGCTACGCATCTCTCTACCAAGCTATTATCTACTCTCGAAATTCCGATGGCGATCAAGGCGGGCTACTGAATGTGACCAGCAACTCATTGACGAGTAACATTACTCTTCCGTACAAGTATAGCAACGGTTCGGTGAGTGCTGCTGCTGCTCCCCTTAACTGTTGTAAAAGCCATGCTCATTCCAGGTTTAGGCGGTTACGCTCGGCGATCCTGGCCTTGGATATCCTCCTTCTCTCTACCCGAACTTGACGTACACTTTTGCCAATGGCGTCGATCCCGATAATGCTACAAGCGAGCAGGACACGGCTTGGGCCTTTCCCGACTTTCCGTTCAATACGTCGAGCGCCCTGATACTGGGTCCGGTGTATGTGAATGCGAGCTTCTCGTTGCTTTCGATTACACTTCCGATCATTAATAATACGTCCAATACAGATATTCTCGGATACATGACGTGAGTTTTCCGCTCCCAAAGTAAAGCTGATGTTCAAAATCTCATTCGTCTTGTGCGAATACCCAGGATCGTATCAAGTGCTACAAGCATACAGTCTACCCTCGTCAACAGCGACGGACTTGACAGCAGTGTATCGATATTGCTCGTCGGACCCGCTACTGCAGATAATCATTTTCAGCCAAATGCACACCCCGCAACAAAGCGTTACCCGGATGCTAATGAGACTGCGCTCCGAGATTCCCAAGCACGATATGTCTTTATGCCCACAGTTCTCTCAGATCAGACCGACCGACACAGCCAGTACCGCACTACCCAGGACGCATTTCCCCTAAGCAAGTATCCGGCAGTCCTCGATGCGCTCGCCCATCCCACATCCAAATCCAACAATGCAACCAGCAATCTCAGCACGCACAATGAACAAGGCTACAATGTAGCCGTGGGCGTTGCCCGACCGCAGTCGTCATTGGTGGATTGGGTGCTTATTATAGAGGAAACGCACACGCAGGCGTTTGCTTCTGTGACCGAGTTGAGAAAACTCATTCTTGCATGTGTTTTTGGCACAGCTGGATTCATCTTGCTGGTTGTGATTCCGCTAGCACATTACAGTGTTAAGCCTATCAGGAAACTCAAAGCAGCTACGGAAAAGTCCATACAACCATCGCCGCAGAATGACTACGGGAACGATCCCGGTAGTGGTGACCCAGGTACTCTGGAAACACTTAATGCGCAGTCCGCCAAACGTGGTGGTGGTGGGATGATTGCAGCATTGTCAACCCTGCTGCATGGCAGATGGAGGAATACTCAAGCCACGGAAAGTGCAGAAGGGCGTTCAAAGGTATTTAAGGTGCCAGGGAAAGTCAAAGAATCAAAGCATGTGGTCACAGACGAGCTGACCGAGTTGACGAGTACGTTCAACGAAATGGCTGATGAGCTGATGATTCAGTATACTCGACTCGAGGAACGCGTGGCCGAGAGGACGCGCGAGCTTGAAATAAGCAAAAAGGCTGCGGAGACAGCCAACGAAAGCAAAACCCTCTTCATTGCGAACATCTCGCACGAGCTGAAAACGCCATTAAACGGAATCTTGGGCATGTGCGCCGTCTGCATGGGCGAGGACGACTTACCTAGAATCAAAAAGTCGCTGCAAGTAGTATACAAGTCTGGCGATCTTCTATTGAATCTGTTGAATGATCTCTTGACGTTCAGCAAAAATGATATCGACTCAGCCATTCGCTTGGATGAGAAGGAATTCAACCTGGCGGATATCAAGTCGCAAATATTGACCATTTTCGAAAAGCAGGTGCACGAGAACCATGTCAATTTCAGTGTGAAGTTCATTGGCACACCGAGCACAGCAACAGATGTAGCGAGTGCTAGGGCCGGCAATGACGAGAAGCAGCCGATTGTTGTGTCCGTGCCAACTAGCTCAAGACATGCCCATGGCCCTCCGGGGACGGGCAGGTTAAAGGACATGCTATTATGGGGTGATCAGCACCGGATACTACAGGTTCTCATAAATCTGGTCAGCAACAGTCTCAAATTCACACCAGAAGGCGGACGAGTTGATGTTCGCATCAGGTGTCTGGGAGACTACGAAAAGCCATCGGATGCAAGTACAAAGATGTCGTTTGACTCCAAATCCAATTCAGGAATACGATCAAGAACTCCCTCCTTCCAGTCCAGAGATACATACATGCCAATGGGGGTCGGTCAGCTAGGTGGCGGTGGAAGCACCACAGGCAATTTCGAGCATTACCCTCGGGAGGTACCTCCCAACTACAGAACGCTAGCATTCGCATTTGAGGTTGAAGACACGGGGCCTGGTATTCCGCCTCATCTGCAACAACGAGTTTTCGAGCCTTTCATGCAGGGCGACCTCGGCCTGAACCGAAAGTATGGAGGTACAGGTCTCGGATTGAGTATTTGTTCTCAGCTATCTCGACTCATGGGCGGCAAGATCCATCTCGACAGCACAGTGGGCAAGGGATCGACATTTAGAGTCGTTATCCCCTTGAAATTCCTCGGCGAGATGACCTCCAGCACACGCAGTTCTAGTTCAGCGGGATCACGCCCGCACAGTGATATCATAGTCACCACTGCAGATGACACTCGAAGTCAAGCGGGCAACAATAGCCCAGCTACAAAACCGGTTGAAAGCCAAGATCTTCAACCACGTCTGGTTGGCCTGAGCCAACCATTCTTTGCCCTATCGCGCTCCCCAACTCCCCGGGGTAGTACAGTCAGCATCGGTAACAGCACTACATCCGACACCGACGCCAAACTCCAAGCCCTCCATGGACAAATCAGCTCTTCGGACGAAGGCAAATCCACCAAAATCCGCGTGCTAGTCGCCGAAGACAACGCCGTGAACCAAGAAGTAGTCCTGCGCATGCTCAAACTCGAGGACATATACGACGTGACCATCGCCAAGGATGGGCAGGAAGCCTACGAAACAGTCAAAGCGGCAATGTCAGAGGGCAACAAGTTCGACCTCATCTTCATGGATATCCAGATGCCGAATCTGGACGGATTGCAAAGCACGCGCCTGATCCGGGAAATGGGTTATTCGGCGCCCATTGTGGCACTGAGTGCGTTTGCAGAAGAGAGTAATATCAAGGATTGTATTGATAGTGGGATGGATATGTTTCTGTCCAAGCCTATACGCAGACCGGCGCTGAAGCAAGTGTTGAAGAAGTTTGCGACGATTGTTGAGGAAGATGGAGACGGTACTTGATATTTTTCTTTCTTTCTTTTCTTTCTTATTTGCATGTTTTCGAATCTGCATACTGCATTATAGCTTCACGTTCCGTCGTGATTTTGGCATGGATCGGTGGGAAGGCGTTATTATTTTGAGGGTCCGCAACCTCGGAAAGATTACTTTGTTTTTCTGTCTTGCATATTATATTGCATCCACTGTACATGATGTTCCCCTATTTTATTTCTCTTTTCTGGTATCACATTCAAATCATCCATGTTACTGTTCTCATTCGACCTGCTTAGGCATGAATCAGTCGATATGGATTCGCACATTTCAATACTGGCATCGGTTCAATATAAATACAGCCAGGATCCAACCATCCAAGGCGCATGTATCCACGATCTACATAACGCATCACTTGATGGCCTTGCTAAACCTCACGTCGTCTGATGAGGGAGATCAAAAAAAAAAAGTCGAGAAAAATCATCGAATTGGAAGCCAGCCAGCCTATCGCATCGCTCGGGAGGACAGGCAGTAAAATAGAATAACACATATAACAAATAAAAATTCAATTCTATACAGTCTGCTTGACGAGTGTCGTAATTTTCTCCTCGATCTCTTTATCCGTCAACCCTGCTGAACCGTCAGTCTCTTCTCTTTTCATCGAGTTCTCTTCAGTGCTCACCTGACAGCAATTCCTGTTGCTCCTTTCCGAACTCTGTCAAAATTCATATTCTTAGCTATATCCCTTGATTTATAAAAGAGGCAAAAGTTCGAGCGGGGGACAAGGCGAATGGACAACGCACCATATCTGGCAAACACTCGCGGCTCGGTACCGGAAGCCTCTCGGATGAGGATAGGGACGTAGGGGTTGTTCTTCTTCATAGTTGGGTATGCGCGGTTCAAGAATGATCTGGTTTGAACCCATTGCCAATTAGCGAAATTGATGTGAATTTTCTGCGTAAAGCCATGATATGACGAGCGTACCGCGTAGCATCGCTGTGGGATGAAGTCTGGCAGAATAGGAAGCGGAGTTCTTTGAGGGATTTGTTGAAGGCGTATTTGGCTGACATTGTGCTTTTGTCTTTCCCTTTTGAGAAAATGGCAGCAAAGGAAGGAGAAGAAGTCGAGCGGTTTCAAGGTCGTAGTAAGTGAGTGATTGGTCTGAGAGAGCTTTGGCGATGTTGAGGTTCTGCGGCCGCCCGCACGCACCAATCAGAGCCCGGTAGGCTTACATAAGCGGAGTTAAGAGGCAGCTCCGAAATTTCGAGAGTCCGTTAGATGCCGGTGAAGATCTTACACGGACGTTATCGGAGTCACATCTCACCCACGCACTCAACGATTGTCTCTCGCCTCACCTCTCCACTCCTTGTGTTGATTTTTAAATCCCGTTTATTCTAAAGCGAGCTGGAAACGACTGTGGTTCAATTCGTCAGGCAGTTAGCCATACCAGAGTCGACGTCAATCAAACCATTTTCACACCGGACAGGCAGCTTAAAGCTAGGGGAAAAGAAGGATACAAGAACAAATAAAATGTCGTCATCTCGTGTCGGTCTTCGCTTCTTCGCCAATTCGCGCGCGGCCTTTCGCAACAACTTTCGCCAAAAGGGCTTCCGATTCCAGAGCACCGATGCCAGCGCTGCCGCTGCTGAGCAGCAGTCCACTTTCCAGAAGCTGTGGAACAGCCCTGTTGGCGTGAAGACTGTTCATTTCTGGTATGTTTCTTGACCACAGCGGAGAGGGAAAAAAAAAAACAAGATCACTGACTAACGTCGTATAGGGCCCCCGTTATGAAATGGAGTCTCGTTATCGCAGGCATTTCCGATCTTGCTCGTCCCGCCGAAAAGCTCTCCTTGACTCAGAATCTTGCTCTCCTGGCCACCGGCACAATCTGGACGCGGTGGTGTTTCGTCATCTCGCCCCGCAACATCCTGTACGTGTACTCTCTGCTTCTGTTATCTTCTATAAAGTACTAACAGCCACAGCCTTGCCACCGTCAACTTCTTCCTCGCTTGCACCGGTCTTGCTCAGGTCACAAGGATATTCCTCTGGCGCCGTAGCCAGTCCGGATCAGTCACCGAGGCCACCAAGGAGATGGCCGAGGACTCTGTTGTGGGTGCCAAGGGTGTTGTCGAGGCTGCAGAGAAGAAGATCAAGCCGTCCGCTTGAATTTCTGTCTTTAATGATTAACTTCATTTTGTCCTGAACTTGAATTGGATAGCGGGCTAGAAGGCGGGTCCGTCTCGTTTTAATTGTCTATCTTATTTGAGCCTGGTTGTTGATATAGTATAGTAAATTTCATTCACTCGTGTTTTTGTTGGTAGATTATTAGTAACGTTAACTGCTATCTTGGTATTTTCATTGCCTAACTCTGCCTCCATTCGAGTAACAGCAGTTGGATAAATGAGAACATGAATACAGATCTATCAATATTCAGTGGCTAAAACTATGACAAAAGGAACACTATAATAGGTCAACATGCACAAAGAATGGACGAGTCAAATAGACGCCAAATCATACGTCTTCTGGTGACTGTCACTCCTCGGTCGTTGTCTCAGTCGTCGTTTCACCCAATATCAGATCTTCATAAGAATGGAGTGAAACACCATGCACAGCCTCAAATCCGTCGATAACGTTCTGAAGCCGGCCTGATGCATGTTCCTTGACCATATGCACGACAATTCTATCAAGTAGGATATGCTGTGAGATAATAATAGGAGATGGATTTATATCATCTGCCATAGTTGATGTATCTGTACTTCGTTCGTCATCGTTCGTAGCAGCAGCAGCATTCTCAAGCTCCGTCGCACGAAGCATCATCATCTGCTTCGAGTAGACATTCATCCAATAAGTCTCTTTCTCGATATACTCGAAAAACCTGATATGATCTTCCAACCCTGCGGAGACTTTGCGTATATCATCCTCTCGACTGATCAGCGCCTCGTCATGCGCGTTTATCCTGCTGTTGGACTCTGTGTTCCACCTCGACAGACGGAAGATGTCGCGCTGCATGACCTCAATCAGCTCCTGCTGCGATGCGATTTTCCTAGCCTGCGAGCTGATGGTGCGCGCCTGCGCAGTGACGATGTGTCTTGTGCCGTCGATGGTAGACGATTGGCTTGCGAGAGCCTGAGTATGTGAGCGCAGTGTACGGCTGCTGTGGCTGTTAGTGGCTACGAGCCGCTCTGTCTTGTCGAGGATGCGCTGGTGGTGCTTGGCGATGTTGCGGTCCAGAGCGATTAGTCGTTCTTCTAGTCGTTGTATATAGTCGAGGTCGATGGTATCGGTGCTGATGCTTTTGGGACGCATTGCTCGTTAATGATGTGGTGTATGTCCGGCAATACTCAATGCTGCTCGTTAGTTTGAAGTGAAGACTCCCGGAATTGCGCGCGTACATGGCTAGAAGTGTCGGTTATGATGATATATATGTATGGCGACAAAAAGGCGTGGTGAACAAAAGGAGAAATCGAGATATGTTAGCTAGGTAGTTGTTCAGGGAAAAAGAAGTCAGGAAGGGCCAGTTACAACGAAGGCCGAATTAGGAAGGTGCTGTCTGCCGACGCAGGTATGCCGAACGAAGAGCTGCATTAGAAGCAATTACTATTAAACTTATATATATATCTCCACCTAGATTCTTCAACTAAATATACTGCCACGCCGGAATATCCCCGTCATAGTCAACCGTAGCAGCATCGAAGCCCAGGCAATCGGCAACGTTGCCAGTGGGCACCGTTGCATTCTGAATAGCTGCAAACACCTGCCAGGAAGTCGGCGACATCGCATCGTCTGGACAGGCCATGAAGCCCGTGGCGCCGAAGCTGGACGTTGAGTATGAGCCGAACGGCGAGCCGGAGTCGTAGCTGAAAGGGCCTTGCTGAGAACCGCTGGGAATGTAGATGGAATGCGCCATGGTGAAGGCGAGTGCGCCGGAAGGGTTGACATAGATGACCTGTCCGCCGGGGACCTCGACATCCTGTAACAGGAGAGTCAACATATACAGTAGTCTAGCTAGGGAGTAAACATAGAAAGCACTTACCAAGGAGTACGCATTGCCAAAGACGGTTACATTGCCCGGAGGACAAGGGTCGACGTTCGTTGGGCAGTATGAAGCGGTGTTGCCTCCCAGCCAGAAGCTCTCGCCGGCCGCAGTTATGGATAGCTGGTGAATGGGAGACGCAGAGCGCAAGGCGATGGCAGTGAAGGGGCCGTTATCTCGTTTGGCTGGCAATGCCGTAGCGCATACGGCATAAAGAGCCGGTGTGATGAAGGGAATGAGTTTCATATTGGTTGGTTTGGGTATGGAAAAGAGAGAGGAGGTGGTGTAAGAGAGGAAAAACACTGTGAGGTGGTGATGATGACGAGACTCACGGCAAGACGAGGAATTAGGGCTTGATTTATGCTAACACCACAACCACAGGTAATTCTATCGATGAACATTGCGGAGTGAGCTACTTCGCTGCTGAGAATAATTATTGGCATTCCTGATCTCAGCCTCCATTCTGGACTGAGACATGTGAGAGACACTGATGCAATCGGCCCAATGGAGAGAATCACAGCATGCAGATCCGCCATTGTAAGACATCCAGCATCTACTGGCAAAGCAAAAGGAGTGCTTCCATGAAGCTGGATGAGATGATGCTGATGACACAACAACGTATACCTGGGTAGCAGCCCTTTTTTTTTTTTTTTTTTTTTTTGTTTTTTTGTTGGTTTTGTGGAACGCCGCCAGCAGATACATGTATTAGGTACCTCTTACCAAGTTGCAGTCGCCACCGCTCGCTCGATCTGCATGGAGAAGCTCTTCTGGAAGAACGGGGCAATGAAATCGGCAGGAATTATTGGTTTGGTTCTACAGTTGTCTAGTACAAAAGACATGCTATTTCGAGCATTACCGATTTCCATCTGTAAGGAGCGTTCGCAGATGTAACCGCATGTCTTTCGGAAGCGCTCGCAGGTAGCATCTATTCAGTGCAACCAAACAAGAGGTTGAACAGCCTCCATTTCCAGATTTGTACTATGAGACATGTGGCATGAGATTCGTCGGTGTTGTACACAGTTGATATAGAAAATAATACACACAAAGCGGGAAGAGAAGAACCGCCTGACATCACTTGTCCCCTTGGAGCTCTCGTCGCATCTCTTCCCTCTGTATTCGCTCTTCGTCCCTGGACTGCGTCGATGCTCCGGCTGCCGCTGCCTGCGCTCGTCGGCGAGATTCCTCTTCTTTGACCGCAAACCAAACTAATCGTGGACACCAGTCAGTTAAGTTGCACACCATGGCTACCCAGGCTAATCGACATGCTACGCACTTGACTTATCTGACTTGGACCATTCCTTCAATTTGTTCACATATTCATCGTATTCCTTCTCTCGCCGATCACGGTTCTCAAGCGCTGCCTTTTGCAATTCCGGGTTGTATTTCTTGCCGGACACATTAGTTTCTGGGGGGGGTTTTTTTTGGCGTTTGAAAGCTTGTCTTTGTGGCTTACGCTGAATAGCTCCTCGTCTGTCGGTCGGATATATTGGACAAACAAAGGCCCACCCACGGCGACAATGGCACCCCTACAGATACAATTCCGTGTCAGTCGATTCGGTGTGTTTTCTTCGCATTGCAGCGCAGAACTTACGCGGTGAGCATCTTCACCCACTTCCCGGTGCTGGCCATGACGAATAGTAGGTACTAGGTAGAGTGTAGTAGGAAATGAGTCGTCGTCCTCTCCAAGACAGCCCCGCCGAGCTGGTTGGAACTTGAGCAATGGAATTCGGACGGTTGATGCTATGAAATCATCCTTTGCGGCAGCCACGGAGAGACACCAGCCACTTCTCCGGGATTGCTGTGGCGCAGATGACGTCGTGGCTGTGCACCACCCTTGATTTCGTTCTATGCTTTTATGGTTCAATCACATTCAATATCAATTAAAATCATTGACGATGAGCCACGGATTTTGTCTCGCACGTATTATTCGTATAATAACTCGTATTCACCAGTGTTGAATTCCATTGGCCAGCGACACCGTGAGACTGTGTCAGCTGTGTGGATAATACAAGACAATACGCGTGCTTACTAGCGTAGAGCCTCAAGTGCCCGGCAAATCGTACGGTTCAAAAGATTAATTACGCGCCAGAATACAAGCCATTACGCAGATTACATTAATTAATTAATTACCAGGAACCAAGGCTTGCCTCAGCCTATTTGTTTAAACCCGCCGACTCGTCGTCCCTGTCTGCAATTTTTATATCATGCGAGTAATGTTAAGGAGCGAGCGATCGACGCTGCGCGTGGATTGATTAAATTTAGAACTTCCCTCTTATCCATTATCCATCGTTACCAACCGTCCACATTGCATCTACTATATCTACGGGGAAGTTTTGGCTGCTTTTTCGCTGCGTGCCCGACCCCTCCTGAACACCGGACACAAGTGTGCTGCGCTTTTCTCGACAGTCATTCGTTCTCATATCTCCAGCCAGGTACGTCGCATTCAAAACTCAACTCGTCGCCGTCAGGTAATGAATGCACTGCGCGTGTTCTGCAAGACAGACAGGTATGGTGGCTTGCAACACGAGGCTTGTCGCGGCACGCACCCCTGACTGCATACTGCCAGTTCACCCGTTTCGTCCCTCGACTACCTGTTGTCCACTGACATGGGACTAACGGGCGCTGTGATTTAACAGTCGGTTTCGCCAAACTATCGTTCAGTGCGCAGCACTGCTATCTCTTTCGACGGACACTCTCCCATCTTCCAACGTTCGAACACGCATTCGAATTTCCGCCGGCCACATCGAAGCATTTTTCGATGACTCACTCGTAACGAGAAAGAGACGGAGGAGCACAGGAAAAGAAGATCCAACTACATTATCAAGTCATAATGGCATATCCCCAGCAACGAATGCCTCCTCCGCGAGGACCGCCCTCCGCACCGGGCTACCGATCGCAAGGATCTGGCGGTTACAATCCGAGTGCTCCTGGAAATGGGTACGGCGGCTATGGAGGCAGCGGCTCTGACTACGGTGGCGCATCTGCATATCCTCGTTCAGGACCACCAAAGTCACGCCCTCCGCCTGCTCAAGGACCGTATAACGGGGCCGGTGGTCCACCACCACCAAGAGGTCTCCCGTCAAGCCGAGCGCGACCCGATTACGGGCCCGGACAACGAGGACCACCCTCTGTACGAGGGCCACCTTCCGGGCGCATTCCACCTGCGCGAGGACCGCCGCCTGGTCGGGGACCGCCGCCGCCTCATCGAGGAGCGCCAATGGGGCGTCCTCCCGCTCAACGTAGGCCACCTCCTGGCGATCCGTATGGATATGCTGCCAATGGTCCCCCGTCGCGACGCCGGGGCTCAGACGACCACGGACTGGAAAGACAGATGGGGGACATGAGCATTGCCTCGCCGCCTACTCGGCCGCACACCTCTAATTCTTCTCGCGCACCTAGAGGGTACCCCAATGACGGGTTCTACCTGGATCCTGGCCAGCAGAATGGTGGCTCTGGCTTTCCGGTGCCGCCTCAGCGTTCATACACCGATGCAAACGTTCCTCCGCCTATCAAGATACCGCAAAGAAGCGCCACAACGCCTTCCCAATATACCCCTCCCTTACGATCGCCAAAATATCCCGGTCAGGCTACCTATACCGAGCCTACTGACTACGCAGAACCACCAGCACCCGCATTCGCAAATAATTCACTGGCGCCGACTTCGGCGTATGGCGACGAGGTGAAATACAAAACTTTTAGCACGTATGTACACCACAACGTGTTCGCGGATTACTTCAAAGACCAAGATGGCGAGGACCCCGAGGGAGAGGCAGAGCAAGCGGAAGACGATGAGCTGGATATGCCCAATTTCGATGCGATGCCATCAACGGAGCCGGTACATCGCCGCAATGCAAGCCTTGAAAACCATTTGACGTCTGAAAAACAGCCTGGTGGTGGTGATGGTGGTAGTGGATATGCAGCTTATAGGGACCCCACCCCAACAGAGGAGGGCAATCAATTTGCAAATGCCGGTTTTCACTTTGACCTGCCGGCTGATAATGCTGCCAACAACGGGATGAACAATAGTTACCGCAACGGCAGTGTCCATGGCTCGGATAGAACTCTATCTATGGGATCTTATGGAAAACCCGCTCCATATCGCCACAACCAGCAGCAGCAGGCCGAGGCTTATGGTGCAGCGCCGAACGGTAACCCTGAAACTCAAAACCCGGATGCTCTTCCTGCTCACCCATTACCTTATCGCGCTGGTCTGGATCAAATGCCAGCGGAGCGACCAGCGCCAGTTCGACAATATGGTGGGCCGCCTTCAGTGCAACAACCAGACCCCTCGAATGGTGCTCCGGTTTCGCCTAACGGCCGTCCAGAGTCTCCACCCCTAACACAGACGGAACTTGAGAGATTACATCTGATAGTCCGGCGCAACCCCGACGATCACAAAACGGCATTGAAACTAGCCAAGAAGTATGTCGAAGCTTCAACGCGTCTGGTCGGTGAAGAAGGTCGCGTAGATCCTAAAACGAGGGCTAGAAACAGGGACAAGTATATCAGCGATGCGTCCAAGATTGTGAAGAGATTGGTCCATGACGGATATCCCGAAGCGATGTTTTACATGGCAGATTGCTATGGAAGCGGGGGGCTAGGCCTGCAATCTGATCCGAAAGAGGCTTTTTCACTGTATCAATCGGCTGCCAAAGCAGGGCACGCCGAGGCGGCGTATCGCACAGCCGTGTGCTGCGAACTCGGCCAAGAGGAAGGAGGTGGCACGAGAAGGGATGCTGTCAAGGCAGTACAATGGTACCGCCGTGCTGCAGCACTGGGGAACACGCCCGCCATGTACAAGATGGGAATAATATTGCTAAAGGGACTCCTTGGACAACAGAAAAATCCTCGCGAGGCTGTCACGTGGCTGAAACGGGCGGCGGATGGAGCCGATGAAGAAAACCCGCACGCTCTGCACGAGCTGGCATTGATGTACGAGAGTTCGTCTAACTCTGACTTTGTCGTTCGTAACGAGGAATATTCTCGAGACTTGTTCACAAAGGCTGCCGAGCTCGGCTACAAGTTCTCACAGTACCGCCTCGGCACGGCATATGAGAATGGGCTCATGGGTCTGCCTGTTGATGCGCGCATGAGCATCATATGGTATACCCGTGCAGCTGCCCAGGGCGAACACCAGTCCGAACTGGCCCTGAGTGGATGGTATCTGACCGGTGCGGAGGGCATTTTGCAGCAAAGTGATACCGAGGCGTATCTGTGGGCGCGTAAAGCCGCGGCTGCCGGACTAGCGAAGGCCGAATATGCCATGGGCTACTTTACTGAGGTTGGGATTGGTGTGCCATCAAATCTGGAAGATGCACAGCGATGGTACTGGCGGGCAGCCTGTAAGTATTTCTCTTCCCTCCTATCTTCCGTGGACAATAATGTCTGACCTGCAACACAGCCCAGAACTTTGACAAAGCCCGAGAACGCCTCGAAGAGCTGAAAAAGGGCAGTGGCCGCATGCAAAAGACTCGCGTCTCTCGATCAGCTGTTGCCCAGCAGCAGCAACAGGGCGATTGTATCCTGATGTAGATGTTTTCTTTTGCCTGACAATCGTGTAAATGAAAGTAAACTTTGGTCTTTCGGTTCTTCTTCTTCTTCTGCTTCTGCTTCTTATTGTTTATCTTTCAAACCTGGCTTTGGCTTTCCCCTGTTAGTTTCTTTGGATACACAATATCCCCCTGAGCAAGCGAATGATGACGTGATGTAGATGGATTGTGTCTCTAAAGTGTAAATAGTAAATGGTAGTTGGTGACTAAGGTTTGCAGCCAATGAGCGCGCCGGCAGAGTCAGGTAGATAGATTACTTTCCCCAAGCGGCAAGCGATGGATGGGAAGGAGCAGAGGCAGCCGCCCCTCTTTCTTTCTTTCTCTCTCTCGCTCTCTCTTCCTCGCTTTTTCTTCTACACTGTTCGTCAGGGAAATAACAGAAACATAAATATCACGCTGAAGCTATTCAATGCACGCCAACGCATGAAGAAAAAGCAGGGCACCTAAAATACAATGCAGAACGCAAGGTTATATACATATGCATATGCATGGTGGTTTCAAGGTTTCCAGCTAGTTACGGTATCTACAACTCTTACAAATGTGCACTCATCAATCAATGCTCAAATCTCATGCCAGACCCTCTGCGCGCCATTTCTCTTCGCACTTGGCTTGTCCGTCCGGATACCGCGGGAAGTCTGATGCCCGGCAATTGCGCCAGTACGATCTCACAACCTCGCACTGTCGAGGATGCGTGGCGTGTATGCCAGCTAGATAGGCCGTGGCCGCCAGATGGATGTATATCCCCGAGCTAGGCGGGATGATGGCAATGACTCTGCATGCTCTGTCGACTGCGGTGGAGAGCGCCTTCCGCCGCGATAACGAGCCTGCGTTGCCGATCTGGCTGAGGATGGCGATGGCTGCTGTGCAGCGCCATGCGTTCTCGATGAGTGCCGAATCGGTCGAGCTGGGCTCGCCGCATAGCAGCAGCTGATCCAAGGCCTCGAAACTCAGGTCAAGCGCCGTCATGTTATTCCCTGCCTTGGCTAGGGTCACGAACAGATGGAATGTGTCGAGCGGGCAGCCAACTCCCGCGAAGAACCCATCACTGAGGGTTTCACGATGCCAGTCGTCGAAAATGAGCCCCTTGCTGCCCCGAACGATGGCACCCATGGTGTCAAACCATACGAGATGGGCGACAATCTCGTTGATGCCAACAATTTCATGCGACAGCCGATCAAGGTCTGCCTTGTTGCGACAGTGGAAGTCAAGCAACGAACGAGCCCCGTTCAGATGGCATTGCCATTCTCCAAAGGAGCCGTCGCAGACCTCGAAAAACGCAAATGTCGCGATCCCGAATAACGCAATTGGGTGGGCCTTATCAATGGCTTCCGTCAATCTCATCAATGCCTCGACGTGGAAGTGAACGGCGTCTATCAGGTGCTTTTGGGTGGAGTCGTCTGCTGTTTCGTGACCCTTCATCTTAGCACGGATAAAATCCCATATCCGCGATACAAGCTCAACAGCTTCTGGCGAAAGATATCCTCCTCGCGATTGACTGTCGGCGTCTTTGATTTGTTCGTAGAAGCTGGTGAGACGTTTAATAAAACTGTACTGGTTCAAAGTCATATATCGGTCATGCATCGGCAAACTCGTGGCCACTTCTTCGTGTGGTGTGCTGCTAGCGGTCGGTTTAGGACCGTCATCTGGCGGTGATGTCGATTCTTGTGATAATGCCGGCGTGGTTGCGGTGGTGGTCTCACGGGCCCGCCTCTGTCCGAAATTCGACTCTGTAGCCCAGACGACTCTCTGGGGATAGCCACCACATGGCAGTCCAGACTCCACGCATGGCTGGCACCGCGGTCTGTTTAGATCGCATTTGATGCCTCGAAGTTTGCAGCTCTGGCAATCCCGGTCCCGACGAATCCCACGTGGTTTTCCTTTTCGCTTGCTAGCGGTCTTGGCCCCCATCGTCTGGCGAACGACGGCGAAGCGACCGGCGTGTTCATCAAAAAATGGCTCACCCTTACCTCGCTTGGATAAGACGCATCCTGCAATAAGTGGACGGTGAACAGGCTATTGGAGATTTTGGACGATATTTTTCGATTGATTGACAGAGTGCGAGTGTGGCTCGCAGCGGCGCTGATTTTGAGCAATTTTTGCTCTGCCAACAAAGGAGAGCGAGAGAGCGAGAGATAAGGCTTGGGAGGGCGGGGAAATCAGAGTCACTAGCCGGCTAGCCCCCATGGCACCCATGCACATTCGGCCGCCGCCCGCCCAATAGGAACGCCGCAGGCTTCATCCGCAATTTCTGAGCTTATCTTTTCCACCCTAGCCTGATTTGCCCAATCCGACGACCACCATTCTTATACGTCCTTGTATCCCCAGCTTGTGCTGTTCTAAGATGACTATTGAACTTGTGTACTAGTCACTTTGTTAGCGCCGCGTGACTTTACTCCGTACTTTATGGGGGAATTTTTCCTTGGTACCAGTCAATCAAGGGTTAATTTGTCTAGTTAAAAGTTCTGCCACTGAATGCTTTGTCCGAGATCAAGGGCCCCTGTCGTGGACTCAATATGAGCTCACTGTCTGAGACAATGCTTCCTCCGGGTACTGTGCACCTGGTTGGCAAACAGTTCGACAAGATTATTCTGGTTCCGAGGCCTTCAGCAGACCCGGATGACCCATTGAATTGGTCCAAGAGACGCAAATTGTTAAATATCAGCTTGATCTTGTTCTATGTGTTCACGACTGGTATTGGTGGGACCTCAGTTTACTCGGTATTTACTCCAATTTCGGACGAAACAGGCATGAGCATAGCTCAACTCAACACGGGCACCGGATTCCTGTTTCTTATGGCGGGATGGACGAATATCATTTGGCAGCCTCTGGCGCTAACATTCGGTCGACGGCCGATCATATTGTTAAGCTTGCTCGGTTGTGTCGCTGTGTCTGAATGGACAGCTTGGATCAGTCAATATTCTTCATGGGCCGCCGCGAGATGTCTGTATGGCCTTGTCTGCGCTCCTGTCGAAGTCTTGCCGCAGATTTGTATCCCAGATGTTTTCTTCGCCCACGAACGGGGCACCTACATTGGATGGTATATGCTTGTTCTGTGTGGCAGCAATTTTATTGCCCCGCTCATTGCAGGGTTTATGAACGACGCTTATGGATGGCACTGGGTGCAGCACTGGTCAGCTTTGGTTCTGGCGCTGAATTTTGTGCTTGCATTCTTTTTCTACGAGGAATCGATGTACATGCGAGAAAGCGTGGAGGCTGAGAATGAGGGTGATACCTCTGACACCCGCGACCTATCATCTTCTTCGCCTTCCACAGGCGTGATACCCGAACCCGTCGCGAGACAAAAGAAGACCTTCTGGCAAAAAATGAAATTATGGTCTTATAGCCATAATTCTGTGTCACAAGTAGTCCGAATGGGTTATCGGCCTATTTTTATTTTCTTCCTCTTCCCTAATATCATGTGGGCTGGCTTTATGTACGGATTTGCATTAGCTTGGTATGTCCCCCTTTACTCTACGATAGTCTCTAATTCGCCTACTAACGGTGAAGCAGGTACAACGTCTACAACGCTACTACTTCGTCTATCCTTTCGGCATCACCTTATAACTTCTCCCCTGCTATCGTTGGTCTCTCATATGTTGCGCCGTTGATTGGTGCCGGTATCGCCGGTATAGTCTCGGGGCCTGTTGCCGATTGGTTGACACTAAAATTGGCATCACGCTCCAAGGGTCTCCGTGAGCCTGAGCAACGGCTTTGGGGACTAATAGTTTATTGCATTTTAATGCCTGCGGGTCTTTTGATCTGGGGCGTGGGTGCCTATCACCAAATTCCTTGGCCAGTTGTTCTTCTCGGGGGAGGTCTCTGTGGTTACTGCAATGTCACTGGCGGCAGCTACGCGCTTGCTTATGCTGTTGATTGTTTCAAGGAGCTTTCCGGGGAAACTATTGTTTCGGTGATATTATGCCGAAATACAATCAGCTTTGCTTTTAGTTATGCTATTACCCCCTGGATTGACGCCCAAGGGCTGCAAAGGACATTCATTGCCGTTGCCGTCCTATCATGGGGTTTCGGCATGAGCTTTCTGCTCATGGAATGGAAGGGCAAACAGCTGCGAGCGATGTCGGCGGACAGATATTGGAAATATGTTGAGACACAGGTTGTGAGACACACTTGAATCGGGAACTTGGAGTTTTCATCTGGTGAACGTGAAGTGTGTGTATTCATGGTCATTTCCGGAAAATGACAATGTTCGGTATATATGCGATATCGCGGGCAGAAATAAGAAGTCTGGATACTATTTCCCACCATTTTCAATTTCCGTGACTGCGGACAGATAATTGAAAGTGTTCATACTGGTGGGTATATATGGTCATTTACAAGGGGGGAAATATTTGATATATATGCGTTATAGCGGGTAGAAATAATATATTTTAGATGCTACTTCAAACATCTCTTACTATGACCTAGGATTCCATGAAACTAACACTAAGAGCATCTCTCATCGCCGCCGTTTCCACCATTCAACAATACCCACCACAGTCCTCCCCGACTTCATCGACCTCACCATTTTCTTCATCCGAATTCTACACCGCATCCTCAACCCAGAGACCCTATTTTTCCAACCCCGCGTCTTTGCCTTCAGGGAAGTATGTCCACTACCGGAATTTTCAGCACCAACACCAACATCAACATTTTCAACTTCTTCAATGTGTCTTTCCGAGCTCGAATTTGAATCGAAGCGACTGACTGGTGTAATGCTCTCCTCTCTATGTAGATTGGGGATCAATTCTTGGACGCTGTAAACGTGAGTGTCGTTGAATTCCGTAGTATCGTCATCCTCATCGTCATCCTCGTCATCATCGTCACCAGGAGACATCCCTTGTCTGTTGTTATTACTTCTCGCAGCTTCAGCTTCAGCTTCTTCGATCCGGGTGGCTTCTGCCATCGCGTGAGCCATGCTTCGGAGTTCGATGGGTTGGGGGACAAGACGGATTGAAAGTGGCATGTTTTTGCTCTTGTAGTTTTGGAGATGATTGAAGATTTGTTTTGGGAATGTAGATAGTTCTCAGTCTGGTATGGACGATGACCTGGTCTTATATCTATTTCATATCTTAGACTTCATTGTTTAGTAGATAGTGGGACTACAGACATGCTTACAGCTAGTCTTTCATCTTTGTTATGGGTATGTTCACAAGATGTACAGTTACTCTGATTGATCCCTGCCTGGTAGGAGTTAGGGCAGTCTAGGTCAGCTGATTTTGAAATTGTGCCACCATCTGCAAGAATGGCTTTGTCACATCTTCCTGACCAATACCTTGTCCCTGAATAGACATAGTATCTAACAGAGATCCGTATTGATTTGTCTGATAATGAAATGGAACTCCCTCTTTATATCCATGCAACGGCTTGCTTACATCAAATCTCAGCCACAAAGTATTCCTTCCACTTTGAAAAGCCCACCTTCGCATACCAATCCACCTTATTCGTAGAATCAATAAAAACCGCTTCCACACCCCTCCGTCGCATATCTTCAATAGCATGACACAGCATCGCAAGACCTACACCACGGCCACGATGCGCTTCGTCCACGCCCACACACCCGATAACACCCGTCTTGAGCAGATGCTTCCCACCTCCTGCCAGTGGCGGAAACGCCCAGTTTCGAGCTACATAGTCGTCTTCTGGAGATAGCATTAGCGTCCATCCGATTTGGGATCCGTGGTTCTCGTCAAATGCCGCCATGATGCCGAACGGGTGGTCCTCGGGATTGAGCGCAATGTACGTCTCGACCCAGCCCTATTTCGGTTTCTGATATTAGACAATGTTTTCACCCTCTCTCCAAGAATATTATTAGACTTAACTCACCGTGTAATGGGTGAAATTTCTTTTCTGCCCAGATAGACAGTCCGCAAAAGTCTCCGGTGTAATAGCCTTGTAAGTAACTTTAGCCGCTGCTGCTCTTTCGAGGTATCTCTGCGGCGACTTGAAGTTCCTGATATCCTGGTAAAGATCTGCGCTCAGCTTCACATCTAATCTAGCTATGCTCCCACCATTGCTATCAGTCAGTCGATATCCGCGATTGACGAAGAACTGTCGCGTTGCACGCGGCAAGTCAGCCGGTAGTCCGGGCCAGAAACGGGGGAAATAGCTTCGCAGTGGCACATTCTTGATCCCGTGCTGTTCGTAGAGGTATTCTCGTGCGTCGGCTAGGAGTTTACTGCCAATTCCTTTACCCTGCTTTGCGGGGTCGACAGCGAGGGCAGCAATGTGTGCTGATTGTTTCCCGCGCTTGACTGCTTTGTATGCCAAGATGAATCCGACAATGGTGCCTCCATTTTCTCTTTTTTCTTGGGCGATAAAATGCTGTCCATGCGACTGGTCAATCACCTTCGCCAGATCCTCCTTCTGCAGCTTGTAGTCTGGAAGAGCCGCCTTCCACACCTTCGTGATGCCTTCGATCATGGCATCCTTTTCGGACGGATTATAAGCTTTGATCTCGTAATTGTCGTTTGGCTTCAGGTCCGATTTCGATGCAACTGGCAATTTCCCCTTGGAAGTTGCTTTTCCATATATGATATCAACAGCAGATGCGAATGCTTCCACGGTAGGCTCATAGATCGCAATATAAGTTTTGAATAAGTCTACGTCATCGAGAAAATCATATGGATTGCAAGCAGCAATCACGATCAGGTCATGCCGGGTCTTGACCAGCTGCAGGGCCAATTTTCGCTGTTCTTTTGCTTCTTTCGCGTTTCTAGTGGCTAGGATGACTATGTCGGCCTCTTCCTTGATAACCTGCCAGTGCTCGTCTGATAGGAATCCCGTATCTGGATAGAGTATTTCAGTCACGGATGAAGATGTTTTGTCTCCGGTATTTTCTTTCAGTACATCGAGATATGTCCGGTGTTTGGATCCGCTCTCGTCAACAGCTCCTCCGACAGGGACTCTCCCACCCGGAGTAAGTAGGAGCACTTTAGAAGTGCCCGGTGAGATTGGCAGGGTATTCAAATCGTTTCTCACGACTGTGGTAGATTTGGAGTAAACCTTCTTTGCACAATTTTCATGTCTCTCATTCATAGTAGCTAGATTTGTCAGTGACAGATCTGCCGTTGTTGTGCGCAATGCATGCTCCCAGGTGAGGAATTTCTGTTTGAGAGCTTTGACCCGACGAAAGGCCTCATCAATTCTTGACTGCGATAGGTCGCCGAATTTTACTGCTTGCATGACTCTCTCAATGGACTTGACTTGCACGTCATAAGTGTGGCAAATCATCACGCTATCACTGCCTGCTTTCAGGGACATCAGAGAACCCTCGACAGTGCCATACGTTGCACGAATGCCGTCCATCTCCAAGCAGTCAGTGATGATTACTCCATCATATTTCATATCATTCCGCAGAATACCTAGTGCATCCGCAGAAAGCGTTGCCGGCAAACCTTTTAATTCGAGACTACTATTAATCTTCGGCAGAGCGATATGGGCTGTCATCACGGCCTCAATACCATGCGCCACTGCACGCCTGAAAGGAATCAGTTCACATCTTTCAAGCTCGCTCCGCGACTTGGCAATAACTGGAAGTCCATGGTGAGAATCAACAGCCGTATCTCCGTGGCCCGGGAAATGCTTCACCGTAGGCACAACGCCGCTATCCCGAAGCCCACTGGCTGTTGCAAGTGAAATGCGACCGACCAAACTCGGATCATCCCCTGGACTACGGACGCCAATTACGGGATTCAGGGGCTCGGAATTGATATCGCAGTCCGGCGCATAGTTCATGTTAACACCGAAGAAGCTGAGCATCTCCCCCGTAGACTTCCCGACTTCATACGCGTTCTCGATAGACTGCGTGGCGCCAAGGGCCATCTGGCCTGGTTGCTGGGCTGCAATCGGCGGCGTGATTCGCGTGACCAGTCCATTCTCTTGATCAATTCCAATGAACAAAGGGTGCTCGTGGCCCGCGTTCTTGGCTTCCTGTTGTAGGGAGAGAGTCAAAGCCTACACCACTCTTGTCAGTGTCCATACACTTACTTCAATGGGAGTCAGATAGAACGTAGAAAGAAAAAGTACCTGTAGCTGCGCAGCATCCTGGATGTTGCGCTTGAATAAGACAATGGCTCCGAGGCCATACTCTCTGATCAAAGTCTTGATTTCAGAGCTCGGCGTAAGACCATGGAAACCGACGGCAAACAGCTATAATATGGAATGGTCAAAACTGTTGCTGTGCTTTTCTTTCAGACGCAGTGCATACTTGTCCTATCTTTTTGCGCAAGGTGGAGTCTGACAGCGAAGACATTTTTGACTAACTTGGTTCTTCTGGCCGGTTCATTTAGATATGACAGGTCTATCGGATAGCTTCAGTGCACGCCGAGTTTCTATCACGGCAATTCCACTTTATTTCCAAATTTGTGTGGTTCACTTAAATAATGACAAGAGGAAGAGTAAGTTGTTGCATGTCGTAGGTACTAGGTGCCCACATGCTGAGGAGGGGTAGCCCACCTTTTCTTGAGATGCACTGCCCTAAGCCCTAAGTTTACAATGCGAGACAGTTGCAAGAAAAAGAGGAACAATCTTGAACTACCTGTCTTTACCTAAGATTGTATTGATCTGTCCCTAGACTGCATCTATTCAAGGCGAAGGATGAATATAAAAGCAAGAAGTCTTTCCTCAAAAGTATCACTCACGACAAGCTATATTTTACCAGCCTTCTTTAAAAACAAGCATCTGTTCTTAGAATGACAAACAAATCGCCACGGCCAGATCAATCTCCCACCCTGCCAGTAAGAATATCACATAGATAGAGGAAGACTTGGCTAGTATTAGAAAAGCAACTGCAAAGCAAGGCTAGTTGGTAAGAGGTATCATGTAGCACCTATTTTGGACAAGTAATCGTCCATAGCATGCAAAGTTAAGCGGCCATAAAAAAGCTAAGCAATGTCCATTCGCACCGAGAATGATGAGGAGCCAGCGAAATAATAATGATAGATAATAAATAAGGAGGAAATGAGTGAGTTGAGATCATAGAACTTCTTCTTCGTCCGGTTGTTGATAGTGCATACTTTCGACAGGAGGTACATTTACACTCCCGCCGAAATGGCTTCCGCTTCCTCCAAAACTGGCGTTTTTGCCAGCGTCCGTATTTTCAGGGTCACTGCCACTGGATGTTTTCAGTACTTCACTGATATTGTTGGAAAGGTTACTTCCGAGCCTCTTTCGTAGGCCGTTCTCATCGGCTGTAGAGACGCTGGCTCTTGCCTTCTTCAATGGGCTGCCTATATATTCGCTATTCTTCAAGTCTTCAGGAAGACTGCTAGGGTTTTCACTCGCTCCGGCTCCGGCCAAAGCAGATGTATCTGGGGGTGTCGATGATTCATAGCTTTGAGCAGCTGGTGGTGTGGCTCCTGATGCAGGAGTATTTGTGGATGTCGTATCACCCATTTGTTCAGCTGAATGTTGACGTTTCAACTACACATGACAAATTAGCAATTATAACTTTGTCTATTGCGCCCAAGATCAAATGACTTTACTCTCAACGTACCTTGATTTTCCTCACACCTTCCGCCAAATCTTTCTGTCGGCGCAAGTCTTCGGGCGACAAGTTAGAAGTGTCATTGACTTCATCTTCGTCAGCTTTCTCTGCAACAGTGTCATCTTCGTCTTCGTCACTGTCCATATCGCTTTCGCTGCTTTTCTTGGACTTTCCCTGCGTTTTTGCCGTAACAGCGCTTTCGCCTTCGCGGTAATTCATGAACCCAACCGCACCACCTGGCTTGAGTGGTGCGAGTTTTGAGAAATCGGTAGACTTTCTCTTGACAGATGTATCCTCGGCTGTCTTTGGTTTCAGTATGCCCATTTTTTGTAATTGCCCTGATTGAATGTTAGTCTCGCCAATGATTAAACGTGCAATATATTTAGAAAAAAGCAAAAACTCACGTTCACCACGGTACATAAATGTAAACACGGCATATGGCTTGTCGGTAGGATCAATGCCGGTCACGGTCTGGGTGCTGATTGTCTTTGGATCGAGCGTCTTGGGTTTCGCAAAGCTGGTGGTATGATCAACATCCGCACCCCCATTTCCGTCTTGACCTCCCACTTCATCATCGTCATCATGGGCATCGAATTGCGGTGAGTATTCACCTCTCTTAATCTCTCCAGAGGCTAACACCCTGAACAGCGCGACCTTAATCTGACCGGCAGATTCGGGGATTGGGTCGTCATCTGAATCCGACGAGAAATCATCGTCTGACAAGTTTTGTAGAGGGGTTTTTGCATTATCCCCGTATCGCATAATGCCCTTCTCTCGTTTGGTGGAGGACGACGTGGCGTCCATTTCCATATCGCCACTCTCTTGTGCCTCTCTTTGTAACCTTCGTTTCTCCATCTTCTGTCTCCTTCGTTCAATCTTGGCTGCTGCGTCTTTGCCTTCCAGGTCCAACCCATTCAACCATCTTTCAAGCCCAACCTCGCGGAACAGGAACTCGCGTTCCGCAAGCCCACCACCTTCGGAGTCAGGAACACTGACCCATCGCGAATTGACCCATGTCTCTTCGCCTCGGCGCAACAATGTCGCTACCTCCTCTTTCTGTCGACCATCAAAATAGATATATGCGGCAACTGTTTCGTTTTGAGAACCTGTCAACGGGTGGTAGGGGCTTATCCAATGCGCTTGTCCGTTGTCGTCGATATCATTTACACCAACAAGCTGGGGTTTAGGGTTCGGGTTTTCTGGCGTCGGTTTCGGTGTTGAATACGGAACGTTCTGTCCGGAATTGAGAAGGGTAATCGAAACAGCGAAGGTCGATGACTCTGCCTTCCCAGACTCTGTGATTTTTGGCGCCGGAACGGGTATGTAGCAAGCGATTCGAGACTGACGAGATTGACGCTGCACGGAGAACTCTGCAATGGGACCTTCTGGTGTGTGAATGCTAACTGCCAGGCCTTTGAAGCAAGGCATGGCGGCGGTTCTGGATAGAGTTCAGACAGAAAAGGAGAGACTGCAATGGGCCGAAAGGTTTTGCTATTTCTCAGATGACGGAGTACTTCGTGGAATATTCCAAGATTGAAAGGACCCAGGGAGATGTTTTCGGGGGGTATGAGGGGCGAGACGAGGAGAAATACTATTCTGCTCAACTAAGTGACCTCACTGTTTTAAAGTCTCCTGTTAGAAAACTGAGAGACGCCGGTTGGATATCGGGAGTTACATACAAATGCCCAAATTTCAATGTAGAGCACTCACTAATCCGCGGTCACGGATATCAAGACCATATCATGCAACCCAGTGAAGTCACTGGCTTTGGTCATGCCTCCATTTAGGCGGGGTGGCTGGATAGCCGTTGACGAGGGAGGAGAATCAGAGAGATCACAGTTGGCTCGTTGCGTGCGAGAACTAAGGAGCCGTATGAGTGAAAATAGAGGGCCAACTCAGTGGGAACAAAGCGGAGACTCGTTTAAAGCATGTGTTGTTGAATGTTTATAGTTAAGCTTGTTGCTTCTCCAGCGTTGTGGATCGCAAAGGCGGTCACTGCTTTTGGAAAGTGTGCGGCAGGGCAATTTGAGCGAATCAGCATCAAGCATTCTCCATTATAATTTCTGCTGGGCTAGATAAAATCCAGAAGACTCTGATCGTGTACTAGAAATTCATAAAATACAAGTGCATTCCTCCGATATGAAATGCCGATTCACATCTCACATTACATCAGATAACCCGTCCATCCCTCATGAAACTGACATTGTCGTAGTCTCACCAGTAGCATGTCCCAGCAACTATGGTTTTAGCACATCCAGCGTCTCCCTTCATATTCTTATTCGCTCATAGAGCTTAGTTTTCCCTATGATCAGATTTTTGCCATTATAGTATGCCTCTAGGACACGAACATGGTATGGGTACAGTACAGAAAAGACCATGACCTTTCGAAGAGTTGTATCAGCAGGCTGTTCACCGTGTAACTATCGAAAGCAACTTACTGGGGCTATCACATGAGGACGAAGACGCTTCGTATGCAAACGGCCAATCATAACCTGTATGATACTCAAGATCTCACCCCGAGCTAATTTGTCGTCGTGTCCGTCAACTTCGTTATACATCATCCATTTCATATGAGGCAATTGACTTTTTCGTGGTGTTGAATATATCCTGAATACCCCCCAGTCATGGTGAATACGTTCGCCCGAGTTGCCAGATTTGAAATTTCCATATCTGATTTCGCACAAGTTGCCAAAATTGAAATCTCCCCATCTAGGAAACGGTAAGTAGAAACACAACAAAATAAACGGGGACTCACACTTTCTAGACCTGATTCCTGGGGGATTATTCAAGTACTCATCATAAGTTGGGCTCGGGGTTTGATATAAGAAGGTTTGAAGAATGCATTGTAAATCGTGAAACGAATCGAAGCCGGAGTCAATACTTAAAGCTGGGTATTGTGGTTCATCTGATGGTTTATGTGTTGAGATAAGTTCTTCCTTATATGGAGTAAAGAAGACGGGTTGCTCTGATTTTCGATCGAGAGACATAAAACGTTGCTCGATGCCAGCATCTATCGCCTGAGATGCCTCGATCAGATCAGTGTCCAGCGAGTAGATTGTCTGCGAGATATGGTAAAGCGCAGAGCGGTACTGCTCGCGAATTTCGATTGTCTGTTCTTGGTCCGCCAACGTGGCTAATACTTAACATTGATCTTACTTCGCGTTCTACGATCACTATGGAGCAATATCTGATGCTCCGTGTTCTACGAAAATTGAACCGGCCGACCTTTTTTGATCCAGCAAAATTCGGTTTAGAAGTATGGAGCCAGGAAGCAGCCGATATGGGCTTCCTGAATATATCAATTTCGGTTCGGAAGCCTGATACGGAAGCCTGATACCTACACTGGCTGTCTGGGGCACTGAGGTCCTAGCAGCACAATGCTGTACCAGAAGGGATGGTCTGTTTCTCAAGTATAAATATTAATGTAATTCAAGAATACGAGGGGTTCAGGTATGGTCTTTTTTCATCCTGATGCCTGGATAGGCAGCCGTTGTCAATAGGCTTCCGACTGTAGCAAGTGGTTTAAAAGCCATTTCGCCCATGTCATCTTTCCGATACTACTACATATTCCGGTAGTAAGCTTCTCTTCTTCATCACATCGGTACTTAGGTGATTCTTTGTGTCTTTCAAATATGGCTCATACCAGCTCCGAAATGGGCCTTTTTTCCAAATTACCACCAGAGCTTCGCGACATGATCTACCTTCGGCCTTCTGGACGCTTTCGACACAAGACAGACCTTACCATTCTACAAGATAATAAAGCACTTTGTGCAGAGATTGTCGGCTACTTAAGCGCGTACTGGAGGAAGACTCAAAATTGTCATCTTGAATAAGTATTTCAGGGTGTGTTATCCCGGATTTTATCTACCTAAGTGCGGAAGCAACAAACCCTCCGCCCAGTGGGATATACTATAACTCGAAGAGGCGACAGCCAGAGGCTTGCAGCAGCTACCATTACACCTCATGACACTGGAGGTGGAAATCCGATCTCCAGACCGCCACGATCCCGGGCAGTTGGCATGCCTATGGGAAAGGCTCCAAAGCTTTATCCGATTTCTGCAGCACTTTAAATGACTAATCAAACACCTAGTGATACATTTGCACGACCACGAATCTGACAAGCCGTGGTCATGGCTGCATGGACGAACGAAGCGAGATCTTAATTTCAGCATTCCCAATCCAAGCGTGGGACGATGTCGTCCTCGAATGATTTCGTCTGATAGATATAGTCCTACTCCCATTCCTCCTGCTCGAGAATGCCCCAAGCATCGAGATTAGGGCTGCTGACGAGATATTGCAAACTCAATGTCCTCTAAAGAATAACTTCACATACGGCCAATGGTTCGAGGATATCACCAAGCTAACCTTGTCAGATCTATCGGTCATGACAGAAAGACAAGTCATCGTTGACATATTTGACTACTATATTCAATGCCGACTTGACTCGTTTTCAGGCAAGACGGCAGCCAGAATTCGCCTTGACCGATTTGCTATGGAACTACGAAAAGAAGCTGCTGCTTGCCACCGAGCGATGTCCCGTGGAGCTAGAACTCATGGGCGGTAATGTCTTTAACGCTTCGTTAACAAGACATTGCCTAGCTCGATTACAGCAACTTGTGTTGTTCGGCAGAATTACCGCGCTGTCTGATAACCAAGACCAGGTCGCTGAGAAATGTAAGAAATGGATTAGGCAGCCTATAAAATTCATCTCTACAAACAGCCTTCACCTTTTATTCTTCAGAACTTTTGGACCGTTAGCTTCACCTCAACGGGGCCGCTCCTGGAAAGATCATGCATGCATTTGTCGGCGCCTAAAATATCGTAACTACATTATTGGGATGAGAATCTCGAGTGTGCTCCCGCAAATAAATGCTGACCGAGATCTGTTGGAATTTGACGTATTGGTGGCCTCCTGGTCTTACCATGTTTTTCTTTGGAATGTCGTTACAAGGCTATCTGGCACGCCCCTAACGACCGAATCATCCGAATCAAAGGATTTCAATATCCATTTAGAGTGTCCCCACAAATATACTATTACATTGAATACTTTTATAGATGGGTTTTTAGTAGCCTTCAAGATGAAATTATACAAAACTAGCTGTTAGCACTTCGTTCTTCTCTTTTTGGTAGCGGAAGAGGTAGCCTACCGCCGTAAAATGAATAATAGGATACTCAAATTCAACCTTGGAACGAGTTAAATTTTGCGATGATATATGATAGAAATAAAACTTAGACTATCACCACAAAAAGACAAGGTATCCGCATGGAAGCTCGGCCACATTACAAAGGACATACATATATCCTATGATAGCATCATATGCATCAGCAGGGTTGATCATTTAAGCCAGTGTAATGCTTTCCTGGCTTTTTTCTTTTCATCATCAACAACAACTCATTCATTTAGCCGAGCTTTTCACAATAGCCTCATCGGTGGCAATGTGGTCAAAGTGATACAGGGGTTTGAGAGTCACATTGCGGCGGAAGATGTAACGCTTGATCCAGTATGGGAGAGCAGTGCCCACCTGGTAACGCATGTGGCGACGAGTTGGAACGGCAAAGATGTAATCCAACTCTTCGAGAGTGCGCTGCTTGGTCTCGGGCATCCACAGGAATATCATCACTAGAGCAGTGACGTTGAGTCCAGCGTAGAAACCGAAAGCTCCGGCTGGAGTCATCGCCTTAAGCATGCGGGGAAAAGTGATGGATAAAACGGCCGCCCATCCCAGACAGGTGGCTACAGCCCACGACATGCCGACCTCACGATGTGAAAGCGGGAAGACTTCCGCTGAATATGTGAATGGCACTGGGCCTTCGCCGGGGGAGTAGAAAGCGGCGAACAGGTACACGAACAGAGCGACGCAGGCCAATTGTTTGGTAGTGCCGTCCGGAAGCAGGAAGCACAGACCGGCTGTAAGAAGGGTCCATGTCATATTGGGGAAGGTGAAAAGAAGCAGTGCACGTCGTCCGTAGGTATCAATGGTGAAAATGGCGGGGAATGCAAACACGAAATTAACCAGGCCGAAACCCCAGGAAGCCCAGTTGGCACCTTCAGCCGTGGCACCGGCGTTGGTAAAAATGGTAGATGAGTAAAAGCTGACAATATTGATACCGCACATCTGTTGGGCAACCATGACCACGAACGAGGCTAAAGTTGCCCGGCGGACACGAGGAATGGTGAACAGTTCAATGGCACGAGTAATGTAGTTGCTAGTGCCAATAATCTCATTCTCGACCTGAATTTGAGCATGGATGTAGTAGAGATCACGGGCAGCTTGAATTTCCGCATTGCGAAGACGCAGAAGAGATTGATATGCGTTGCGCATCTGACCTTTCCTAATATACCAGCGAGGAGACTCGGGGCAAAAGTATACACCAAAAAGCAGGGGAACAGCGGGGATGAAAGCTGATCCTAGCTGCAGTCGCCACGAGATATCCCCTGTGTTCATCACTGCCAAGTTTGCACTGCAGCCAAGGAAAATTCCAAAAGCAGTCCACAATTGCCAGCACATGACAAGACCACCTCGAATAGTCGCTGGAGCATTCTCTGCGCAGAAGATAGGGATTGTTGAAGCTTTCAAGCCCATGCCGATTCCCAGAAGGATACGAGTGATGAAAAGTTGAGGCCAAGTCTGAGCTACAGCACCACCAATGGGAGAGAGGACACAAAAGACGGCGGAAACAAAGATAGTTCCGCGTCGGGCAATGAGACGGTTCAATGGATCCGAACACCAACAGCCGATTACTGCTGCGCCAATATATGGAGCACTGAAATTGCAGTCAGATCAAGCAATCCTTTCAGGAAAAAGCGGATGAGAACTCACGAGTTAACAACACCGATAAGCCACTCGTTACGAGAGGCGTTCGGTCCCGATTCTGGAATACCAAGGGCAACTGGAAACGACAAATTTGCTCCATTGGAACCTTCCTGGTCCCAACCTCTGTAAAGAAAAGTTAGAACGTGCTCTATGAGCGTAAAGCTCAGCAAGCCATGGAAGCTACTTACTGAACAGCAGCTCCAATAGAACACAGAATGATAGTGAAATAAAGAGCAATTGGCTGCTTCCACTTGTGAAGCACTTCATTTCGAATGGCCTCAGCCTCCAGCTCGGTCAAGCCTTCAACAGTATCAAAATTGGCTGGGTCACGGGCGACAAGAGCACCCTTTTCGAGTACCGGAAGAATATCAGTTAATTCATGTGTTTGAGCAAACTCACTCACATCGCGGAGGACTTCCTGTGGGGTGAGGTCTGCTAGAGGGTTCTTGATTCTATTCAATCATTAGCTGGAACCATTACTAATAAGGAATAATGACAACCGTACCTTGCAGAGGCGTTGTTGTTCAGGTTTACTCGTTCAATGTGACCATGCTCGGCATCGGATCCGGATGAGCTGCAGGTCAATGTTAGCAGTGGGTTGCAGACAGGTAATGCCATTTGAAGACAGACCTATCCATAATCTTTTCCACGTTCACACCCTTCACGTCAACATTGACTGGAGACACTGTCTCCACAGTAGGGCTGACCCCATCTCGAGGTCCAACGTCCGCCATGGTGGAGCTAACGTGGACAGTGCTGTTAGATGTTGATTTAACAAGCCTTCTCGGTATTCTGAGGCATAAGCACAGCTGTCTTCCGCCAATTGACTTGTCTTGCTTTCCCAGAAAATCAGAAGTGACGAGAAGAAACTTTTCACTCTGGGGTAGGTAGGGAGAGAGGGGCGCTTATATATAGCCCATTGCTTCAATGAAACCCCATATCAGGATCACAAAGGAATTTATTTTTATTTTTAAAAAAAAGTGCCCCGTAGTGAGCCATGACCCACCCATTGGGCATACTGACATCGCAGTATGAAGCAATAACTTCTGACTGGAGAATTGGTAGAGTAAATAAAATACCACAAAGGCCATGGACATGAGCCTGATGATTGGTCAGTTTATCCTCCATGGGATTCATGAAAGCGAACTCTGCACGCTAGAAAAATGCGGCCACGGCCATGGGGGAAATGAACAGCGTGTCTGCGGAGTCATTTCGGCGAGATTCTCCAATCAATCCCTGAAGCGATTGCCCCAAGCCATGCCGACCCCGGACAGGTCTAACTTGATTCAACGCTAACGTATCCAGGTGGTATGGAGTACTCCGCGCGGAGATGTATCCCTGTTCCCTAGGCTTGACACGGTTAGCCGATGATGTTGCAGCCGACTACGCTTCTATATTCCGGCACTGGACAGTCACTGACTTCTCACCATCACTTCGTACTCCGTAAAGAAGTACGGCACCGTTGCCACGTCCAGCAAGGATGGCAGCAAGCCAGCAGCGCCGGTGAATGGCAGCCGGGGCGCAATGGAATATGCAAAGCAGTCGTCCGCTTTGACGGTACTGAGCAAGGAGCACGGATTAGCCGTTGTCTCTCTGTGCAGGTGGTATTGACACGGCTTGAAGGCCCACCTGCGATGGTAAGAGACGACGAGAATAACGAATAGCGAACCTTTGAACTCGGAGTGCGTATGGGGAGGAAGCTGGAGAGATGAGAAGGCGCGGTCGAGGATGCCACTTAGGGTTAGGCTGCGAGCATTGGATCGCGTGGCGCTGTAAATTACCGTATTATCACTGTATATACCCATGGTACGTATACTTTTTGCGCCTTATCCTCCATGCTTCTACGGTTATATCCTGATAATCTTCATATTCCCGATGACCTACAATATTATTAATATTGAAACTACCCACTTTTCATCGCTGACAATGCCAACGAGCAAGGCTTTGAAGATACTTACGTGCGTACAGTACAAGCCGGTATTGTGCCCGTATCAAAAAACGACACCGAGCTTAATTGTAATTTGTATAGCCCTAGCTTTACAAGCAGGATGACCGATAGAAGAATAAGTGATCCTTCTGAAAGTAAAAAAAAAAAATGTACCTCACGTGGGACTTAGGGCAGTATCATAGGCACTAACGATACTACCGTCAAAACGCTACACAGATAAATACAGAGCACGCACTCCATACGGCATAAGGTAAGGTTCAATCTTACGACGCCATCAAGCCACTGCAGCCATACAATAACGAATCACTGAGCGGTATGACGGTGGTGGCAATTTTATGAATATGGTGCTGTCTTCTAAACGCGGAATTAGTAGCATATCATTGGCAGGATGCGCAAATATAAAGAATAAAGGATACTACCTACTATATACTCCGCACTTAGGCTGGAAGACTTGAAATAAAGGATCTACTTCTAGTGGCGTCTAGCGTTATTGCAATAGATCAATAAAGTAATAAAAAAAAGTAAAAAGCAAATTTCAACTGCACAGATTCTGCCAACTTATGAATATGGGTGACTCATGTGTATGATGACTACAACGAAACATGTCAGTTAAGTTAAATATAATTAGATACTTACCGGAAAGGGGTAGTCGTGGGATATACGGAGCGAGATTGCGGAGACCCCACGATCCATCCTGCCCACGGGGTGATATGGCGGTACGTGACAATACACGCCGAACTAGAGGCTCGGAATATGTATCACCGGCGTTCTCCGTCTATTTTCACCGTATGCAGTAAGTGCTCTCGAGCCACGCGCGTTCTACTAATACGCTAAGGAGCCAGCGTTCCTTGACTTGCTAACTATGTTTCGTCGAACACGTACGTGCCCAAAGGCCGGCTAATTCTTTGTCCGGTTGGATTACCCTCGTTCGTAGCTTTAGTAACCGTCTCGTGCATCTCTATATTGTCTATCAATCCGTTATATTGTGAATGCTAAAAGGTGAGAAAAAAAAAAGGTCTGTACTATATACATGTGTGATAAATAACATATTTCAAATGCGTAGGTATAAGTAGCGTACTTAAGCAATAGGATTCAGGAACGGCGCTGCCATGAGTTGGTTCAGGACAGCCACATCGTCCACATTTTCAATGTCCAAGACCATCTTCTCAATCTGATCCCGTCTCTCCTCTTCAACGAGACCCTGTGTCAGTCGTCGCCATTTCTCCAGAATCTCTTCGTTAGTCAATCCCGGCGCCACACTCTTCGGGGCCTTCAAGGTCTCGCTCAGAACCGTGCCGTCATTGAGAGTAATAGTAACGCGCTGCGTATAACGTTCGTCACCAAGGTCAAGCGCATGGTAACATTTGGTCTTTCCAATCAGCTCCCAAACAACGTCGCGGTCGAGCTGGTCATGTCGGAATTGGCTGGGAAGCACTTGCCCGTCAACAAGCTGTGTAGCTGCAGTGTATGCAGCGCTCATCTGGGCCCCGGTCGCCGCCACTGGTCGCTTCACATCAAATCCGCCGTGGTGGAATGCGACCTCGGTCATATCTAGCTTGATGCTGGCAATTGCTTTGAGATCCGACAGTTTCTCGGGGTATTTGTCCTGCAGTGCGCGAACACAATCAACCGTGCAATGAGTACCGGCCATGGAAGAATGGTATTTGACTCGAATGAGGCGTGATTGCCAGGTCTCGCCGAGTTCTTTGCTGACCTCCTCTGGCAGATATGAGGGTTCTTTGCCGGAGCCCTGACCAAACATAGCGAGGTATCCTCCGAATTTCTCTTCGTAGACATTCTTGATTCCGGTGTAGCCGTTTTGTGCCAGAAGAGCACCAAGGAGACCACTTCGTGCGGCAAAGCCGTGCTGCATGCGCTTTACTTCGCTGCCGAACTGGGCAGACATTAATCCACCTGCCTGAGTACAGGCGATACCGAGTGCATCCTCAATCGAGCTGGCAGGAAGCTGTAGTAGTTTGCTAACCGAGGCGGCTGAGGCTGACGGGCCAAATACTGCTCCCGAATGCCATCCTCGAGTGAGCATGTGAGCGCCATGCAGGCCAAGTCCGACTCTGGGACCTGTTTCGTATCCGGCAATGACGGAGACAAGGAAAGTCTTGCCATCAGTCTTGGTCGACTGTCCGACTTCACGATGGCTTATAGCTGAGAAAAGAGCTGGGATAATAATAGAGTTGGAATGTAAGGGGGCGGACAAGTGCCAATCATCAAGCTCGAATGATTGAACCGATGTGCTGTTGAGCAGCGCAGCAGACAGAGGGCTAACTTTCTACAAAATCTTTAGTTTTGCCTGTGAGTTCTCAAAACGTGATGTGCCAACCAACCTTGTCGCTGTAACCCCATACTATGCTGGTTCCCGTTGGCTCCATCTCAAAAAAGGTCTTTGCTGCCTTTTCCGTCCATGGCAGATGAGAGCCTACAATACCGCATGCAAGACCGTCCAAGATGAGGTACTTGGCTCGAACGCGTACATCTTCAGGGACATCGTCCAAGGTGAAAGTCTCCAGCCACTGGCAAAGCTGCTTGGTTACGCCTGGTGTTTCGCCGTTCTTTTCGTGTGTAGAAGCCATTTTTCTTGTGGAATTTGAATTCGATATGTCGATATGATTCTAGCCTATTTAAATAGCTATATTGTCAAGCCGTTTGCAGGATTGATATTTATATCCAGTGCATCCATGGATGCTTTCCGTTACCGGCCCGGCGGCTGCGTCAGAGGCAGAGCAGGAACCGGCGTTAAGGACACGGCTTTAAGGGGGATTGAGGGCTTAAGCAAAACCCGTTTTGGGGCTTGCATATCAAGCTTTTTTATGCAAAACTAAATATTTGACAAATTTCCTAATATATACAAGACTCCCGGGATCTGTTTATGCAGGCGGTTGCTCAATGCGGCTCACGAGTTCAGGGCCGCTAGTGGCATGGGTGCCTTAAGGCATCAGCGTCCGCGAAAAGCCGACATCCCTTGCACGGCCCGAACTTGATCTACGGCCTCATTATTTCGCCTCCAGTCTCTGGATAATCACCGGCGATATGTCGCTGCAACGCTCATCGGCGCCGTTAGTATGGATTGACTGTGAGGTATGAGCACGTTGCTTTCCTGTGCCAGTGCACTCTCGTACTGACTAAATGCCTCAGATGACAGGTCTCGATCCCGACACCGACCACATCCTCCAAATCTGCTGTTTTGTAACAGACGCGCAACTGCAGCTCCTCGACCTGAATGGCTTCGAGGTCGTCATCCACCAGCCCAAAGCTACGCTAGATGCCATGGGACAATGGTGCATTGACACGCACGGTAAATCTGGTCTCACCCAAGCCGTGCTCGCCTCCACCACCGACGCCGCCACCGCCGCGACAGACCTCCTAGCCTACATCAAAAAATATGTACCGAATCCGCGCACAGCACTGCTCGCGGGGAACAGTATTCATGCAGACCGCGCCTTTTTGGCCAAGGAACCGTATTCCCCCGTCCTCGAGTGGCTCCATTACCGTCTGCTCGATGTCAGCACCCTTAAAGAGGCTGCCAGACGCTGGGGTAGCGATGAGTTGCTGCGCGATGCACCGCCGAAGCGCGAGGTCCATCTAGCCAAGGACGATATTCTCGAGAGCATTGAAGAGATGAAGTATTACCGCTCACGGCTCTTCAACGGAAGCTGAGGCGCTAGAACACCAGCACATAGAGAATTGCCCGAGTGATTTACTCGAAGTCGGTCGTTTAAAGTAACCCAGTGGCTCACTGCAACTGCTTTAACAGGCCACAACGTTATAGAAGCGTGCCGTCAGGCTGCAAGGCACCAAGGCACCAAGGCACCAAGGCATCTAGGCATCTAGGCCGCACGGTATGCCGATGGATAACCCAAAGTTACTGGACCCCGGGGTCTTGGCTAGGAACATTGTTTGTCGGGCCCATAACCAAGCAACAAGCAAATGGCAGTAATTGATTGTTTCACGTAGCATACGTACCATATATCGAATAGAAAGAAATATATCTGTCCATGGATGTTAACAGGCGTAGCACGTGCAGTAACGAACGTGGCGGCGGGGAAGGAGCTCGGCCAGCAAGCATGGTCTCAGCATGACGCGAGCCCCTCACTAAAGCTGCTTGTCTTTGCCATCCCCGCCGTCCGCCTTTCTCACTCGCTGAACAGTCGGTGAGAGACGATATTTTCTTGACAATTGTTAGGATATCATAACAAAAAAATACCCTTTGCTGCTTTCTGCTCCCTTTTTTCCCCGCCTCTGCCGCCAATTGCAGACCAACATGTCGGTTCAGACCGTGTCGTTGACCCCCTTTCAGGACCAGAAGCCTGGCACGTATGTGGCCTCGTTTCTGACAGCTGTTGTTCGTTCACATTCATTGACTGACAAAATTCTCGCACAGTTCTGGTCTTCGTAAAAAGGTCGTTGTCTTCCAGCAGCCCAACTACACCGAGTCCTTCGTCACCAGCATCCTGCTCTCCATTCCCGAAGGCGTCGAAGGTGCCTTCCTCGTCATCGGCGGTGACGGTCGCTACCACAACCCAGAAGTCGTTCAGACAATTGCCAAGATCAGCGCTGCCTATGGTGTGAAGAAGCTCCTGGTAGGACAGAATGGCATTCTGAGCACCCCGGCTGCCAGCCACCTGATTCGCAAGAGGAAAGCTACGGGCGGTATCTTGCTCACCGCTAGTCACAACCCTGGAGGTAAGATTATTGCACCTGTCGTACATGAGGGCTGGATAGGTATTGACTTCTATGGCTAGGACCCACCGAGGATTTCGGTATCAAATACAACCTCGCCAATGGCGCTCCGGCTCCTGAATCTGTCACCAACAAGATCTATGAGACCTCAAAATCTCTGACCTCGTACAAGATTTCCCAGTTGCCAGATGTCGATCTTACCAAGATTGGCACTCAGAGCTATGGACCACTCGAAGTGGAAGTTGTCGACTCGGTCACTGATTACGTGGACTTCTTGAAGGAGATCTTTGATTTCGACCTGATCCGCGGCTTTTTGAATACCCACCAGGACTTCAAAGTGTTGTTCGATGCTATGCATGGTGTTACTGGACCTTATGGTGTCCGCATCTTTCAGAAGGAACTGGGTCTCCCAGCATCGAGTACCCAGAACTGTGAACCAAAGTCAGATTTTGGAGGTGGTCACCCAGACCCGAACCTAGTGTATGCACACGAGTTGGTTGAAGCGGTGGACAAGAATGGCATCCAATTCGGTGCCGCTAGCGACGGCGACGGCGACCGCAACATGATTTACGGTGCCAACACCTTTGTGTCTCCTGGAGACAGTCTGGCCATCATTGCTCACCACGCAAAACTCATCCCTTACTTCCGCGACCAAGGTGTGTACGGGTTGGCTCGCTCGATGCCAACATCCGGCGCTGTGGACCTGGTTGCCAAAGCTCAGGGCCTGCAGTCATACGAAGTGCCTACTGGATGGAAATTCTTCTGTGCACTCTTTGACAACAAGAAGATCTCGATTTGCGGTGAAGAGAGTTTCGGAACTGGCAGCAACCACATTCGAGAGAAGGACGGTGTTTGGGCTGTTGTGGCGTGGTTGAATATCATTGCCGGTGTGGCCAAAGAGAACCCTAGCCAAACGCCAAGCATTGCCTCTATCCAGAACGATTTCTGGAAGACTTATGGCCGTACCTTCTTCACTCGCTACGACTACGAGAAGGTCGACAGCGATGGAGCGAATAAGGTCATTGCCGACTTGACCGAGTTGATCAACAAGAAAGACTCCTTTGTCGGCTCTACAGTTTCTGGCCGCAAGGTCATCGATGCTGGCAACTTCTCGTACACTGATCTTGACGGCAGCGTTAGCAAGAACCAAGGTCTGTACGTCAAATTTGAAGACGGTAGCCGTATTGTGGTTCGTCTCTCGGGGACTGGTAGCAGCGGCGCCACGATCCGACTCTACATTGAGAAGCACGAGCAGGATGCAAGCAAGTACGCTGTGCAGACTCAGGAGTACCTCAAGGACAACATCAAGTCGGCCATTGATCTGCTCAAACTTAAGCATTATATCGGACGTGAGGATCCTGATGTGAAGACCTAAATTCAAGTATAACTCGAAAAAGACTTAATTTGTGTGCAATGGCGAAGAGTGTCAGCAAGGACGTTTTTTCTTAGCGGCTCTTATTTTGATGGTCATTACTATAGCAGCATTCGTTAGATTCATATAAATTGAACACATATATGCATGCATTACTGAACAAAAAGAACAAATTATCAAAACTGAAATAACCTGATATTCCAGATACTGACTCAAGCAACAAACGATTTCACCTGCTGATCCCACCATGGCTGCCACTTCACTACCTTCTCTTCTATGCGAGCCTCCTCAGCCGCAAAGACAACTGCATGGCTCCTCACTGCTTCCTCCAGAGTACACCCAATAAACTCCGTCTGCGCATCGCGCACATCCCGGCCCTTATTCTCCACCGCATCTATAGCCTCGACAAACATGCGTGCTAATCCCCAATCCCCGCCTCCATGCGCTTTCTCTTCCTTGGGATTTTTGGCAGGAGGAATCTCGACGGTCGTAAATTCATTAGTCGCAAATGAGAAGATTTTGATTGTGCGACTGTCGTACTCAATCTCGCCTTCGGTGCCGTAGACGCGTCCGCGTCGCTCGCACTGTTTTTCAGTCGGCGCGATCATGTGTAGACTTGCTGTTTTGGCAATTCGAGGACGACGAGCTTGAGTTTCGTTGCTGTCATCGTCGTCCCATGTTATCGTTACGAATTGGTCGTCGCAGACAGTATTGTCAGATTCCCAGACGCAGCGGCCGTACCAGGAGCGAGAGGCAATTTCGCCATCTGGTGTTGAGTCCTTGTTGTAGTCCTCTGCCAATTTGCCCATTAGGAGTTTCTCGGCTGCGGCGCTGCCGGATGTCTTGAATGTGTCCTCAATATCGGGACAGACAATGTGAAGTGGCCAGTCCACTACACCCTGGTCCAGGTGTCTCTCCTTATAGACGCGGACGGCGCTGTAGATGCATTTCCGTTCAATGGGACAGGAGAGACAGTTCGTTGCGGAACCGGCTTCCTTGGGTTTGCGCCTGTTCAGGAACTGGGTGAGATTGCCTGAAGAGGTGATGGAGCGTGGGTGATGGGGAGGAGTGTCTTTGTGTGAGCCCGGAGGCGGAGACGAGAGCAGCCAGACGAGGAAATCAATATCGTGACAGGACTTTGTTAGCAGAGAGCCAACTCCGGCGTCGGTTTCTCGTCTCCAGTTGCCCCGGACATAACTATGCGAAAAGTGCCAGTGACCAACGGGCTCCGTGTGCTCGACGGAGACGATATCTCCGATGACACGATCTGCCAGAAGTAGCCGACGTAATTTCACATTGTGAGGACTATAACGCAGAACATGGCCGATGCCAAACACCTTTGCAGGGCCAACCTCCTCCTTGCCCTCCGGCACATACGCGCGGTAGATAGCAAGACAGTCCTTCAGCGACGTCGCGAGGGGCTTTTCGCAGAGAACATGCAAATTCAGGGGTGCGATGGCACACATAACCTCCACATGCATTTCGTCTAGAACACACACGAAAACCCCGTCCACGCCATCGGGCACATTTTGTGCGCCCTCGGCGAGTTTCTGTCGTCGCTCTTGCTCCCATTTCAGCCAGGCCTTCCAATCGCGGAACTCCTGGCCCTCGGCGGGCTGACCCTTTGCGCCCCAGATGTAGCGCTCGCCAAACTCCTGGCGGCTAAAGGGCCGTGGCTCTGCGATGGCGTGAATGAGGGCTGAAGTGCCTTCGGTGACGGCTTCGGCATAGCGATTTCCTCGCGATCCGGCGCCGATGACGAGGAACCGGAGCTTCTTGTCTTGCCCTGCAGTGGCTGTTGGTGAGGCGTTGATGGCCATGACGACAGTCTGTTTTCTCTCGCTTCCTCTGTTCAACACAGGATGTCGGTCTTGTGCAAAGTAGGAACATATACAAGAGTGCGTCTCACCGCTATCGATAAGCCGGCGATATGTAAGCCGCGGGGGACGCCCAATGCGGCGGCTGTGGTTGGCTGCTGCAAACTACCACGTAGTATAAAATTCGGCACCTTATCATCATTCTTCATTTCTTCTCCGCTGGCATTCTTGCCTTGGTGAGCACTAGCTACTAGTCTGAGTTTGGATGGCTCTCTACGCGCTATCTACGGATATCCACTCCTCGCCCAGACTCTCATACCGGTTACCCAGCCCGCAAAACGCCCGCTGATACCTCGCGCTCTGTTGTCGACTGTCTGTAGTGCCTCTGCTCCGATCTCCCAGCACGTCTTCCACGGCCCATGCAATGCGCTCCGCCCCAAGACGTGCGCCTTCAAGATTAGGCGCCGCCGGCCCCAGACGCAGAGACGCCAGGCGTCCTGTGACAAACAACGGCACGCCCGTCTTCCACATGAGATCGTCCGTGAGACAGGGCAGTCCATTGATGGTTTCAATCGGATAGTCTCGGTTCATCGACTGCAGCAGCTGCATCTCAGTGACATCCGTCTTCATTCCTGTCGCGCAGCAGATATAATCAATGCAGGGCGGTAAATCTGCAATCGGCGGGTCTGTGATTAATTTCCATGTCTGTGACACCGGATCAAAGTGCTTGCTTGTGATGACGGTGTGCGTGTGTATCGACAGACGCTTGTGAGCGACGTGCTGCTTCAGAATCTTCTGGTACTGTGGTGTGATGCTGCCTCCGTTGCGGGCAGACTGTAACATCTCGAAGCGCTCTATATGAGGGCAAAAATCATAAGCTGCCGAACCAAGACGCTCTATAACCACAGACTTTAACAGTTGGGCGCCTACCTTGATCATCATCGGCGGACCAGAATACAGCTTTATCATAGTTCTTAAACTTCCCGACCCAATTCAGACTGACATCGAAATGTTTGACCTTCAAATCGCCTCGCAGAAGATGCCAGACTCTAGTAACACCTTTCCGAATGGCCATATCCGCAATTTGTGCTGATGATAGACCACCACCAACAACAACCAAATTGGTTACCTGCCGATTTTCAATCTTCCGCGCAAGACTCGGACTGGGAAACTTTACTCCGATCTCTGAGCTATGACAGCAGGCAGCGCCCATGTTTTCCTCCTCTGGCGACAGATCCCAAGGCATCAGCTTGGTAGTCCCAGGACCAATCGCCAATACGACCGCTCTACTATGAAAAGTATTCCCCTGCGAGGTGGATACAGTAAACAACTTGGTGTCATCCTTTGAACCTTTCTCGATCTCACCAAACCGGATATCGCAGACATCCGAATGTCTGATTTCGTGATTCTCTTCATCGAGTCCGTATCGCGCAGCGATTGAGCGGCAGTAATCCGCGAATAGGTTTGTCGAGGGGGTGAAATAATCCTTCCGGTCGCGCTCGTTAATTTCTGCTTCGTGCGGGAACCTAACATGGCACACACTGTGAGGCTTTCTTTCTATACACATTTCGTTCTCGTTATCGTATACTCACCTCGACGGATTCCGTATCTTCTTCCTCTTATGCTTACTCAGTTCCTGTCCCACGCACCCAGAAAGCTCATAAAGCTCTTTCTCGCGGCCCATTTCGCGCGTATACGCCAGCAAGCCATCCCGATCCGCCGGGTCGATATGGAAAAACATAGGACTGCGCAAGTGACCGATCTTTAAGGCCTTGAAGGCACAATTCCAGCGCTCCATCCACCGAGGTCCCGAACCATCCAGCACTAGAGCCGAGTATCTATTCTCATCATTATAGTAGTCTCCTTTCCTGCCGCCACAAGACATGTAGGTGCACGGCGTGAGGGGCGTGCCATGTACCCGGCGCTGTCGAGCTCGCACCAGACTCATTTTCCCCTGGTGTTTCTTGATCCAGTGGTATCGCTGATGCTCTTCGTCGGTGAACATGGCCGACGGCGTTTCTTCGCGTAGTCGAGCGGCGACAGCGAGGCCGCAGGGGCCGGCGCCGATGATGATGATATCGAAGACCTCGTTGTGTGCCGTGGGCATTTTGTACTGCTATGATTGTTGCTATTTGGAGGTGGTTAACGATTAGATATGTCCGGGTATCAAGAAATAATTAGGTATCAAACGATAAGCATCAAATTGACCCCAAGGTACCTGCTAAGCACGCGATCCAAAGGTACTCATTGCAAGCTTGACTGGGGACCTTAATGGTCACTCCATGCAACATGCAATCAATACATCAATGCATGAATAGGAGCTGCACGAGTACCTTGCGAACTGTGGTCTCTCTGAATGGTAGATATGTACTTGATTACCTTGGTAATGTAGTTCAACTGGCCTTTCGCATATCTGGATATTTTTAATTCCATATATTTCTCGGGACACAAAGCAACGAAATTCTTTTTCTACGATTAATTTTGATCTTATCATTTCTTACTTCCTAAATATCCCCTGGGACGTCATGGATAGAATTCAGCACTGGGAACCTTCCTTGGACGGTATCCCGAAATTGCCTATCCGGGTAATATTCGCTTTAAAAGGATTAGCAACCAGCCAGTAAGCAGTAATTAGTATAAACAATACTATATGTAAATTACCGCAACACTATGGATATTAGCTGAAATATGTACATAGCTGACCAAAATATCTGATTATTGGGCTCATAAAGCGAGTGTATAACAACCATCCATGGTCATATCCTCGAGTTCATCAAAACGAGGCACGTTTCGATATCTACGCGCTGCTAGGCCCGCCAACAGTAATGGCTAGAACCTTTGGCTTCAGAGACGACACCTCACCGGAGGCATTTTCATCTGAACCCGACGGGTTGACATCATCGTACGAAAAGGCATAGCCCTTGCCGTCAACCTCATATTTGTGCACAACCTTGGAGTAGTAGTTATTGGGAAGGGTGGTGTAGTAGTCCGATTCTGGGAGGCTGGGCTGGACATTTCCGCCATCCAGCAAGAACGTAGCGCGGTTGAAAGCAGCGCAGAGACGAGGCACGGCAGCCTGGTGAACCTTGGTGTCGGAGGGGCTGGTGACGAAGGGGCCGGTGCTGCAGCCGAAAATGTCTTCGGTCGAAGGCTTGGTGTAGTTAACGTTGTCACCGGCGCAGCCGAGGATATCGCCAGAGACAGTGCAGGTCACGTTGCCGGGGGTGTTCTGGGTGTCGATGGTGAGTGGGGTGTCGGTGAAGTTGGACCAGACTTCGTTAACGTAGTCGGTGAAGTAGTCTTCAAAGCCACTGGAGGAGTTGGCTTTCATAAAGTCGTAAGGAGCCAGGACTCGCATCACCGTGCCGTTTATCGACTGGCAGAGAGCATCCCATGGGTATCCATCCACGGCGGCCTGGGCGGTTAGATCATCACACACTTTAGAGACAGCATCGGCCTCAAGGCCAAGGGCCGTTTGGACTCCCCCGGTTGTGTTTGTGAGCGACAAACCAAGTGGTAGACCCACAAAGTCGACGTAGCTAACGTTTGCGTAGACGCCAGTGGCAGACAACCAGCTGAATTCCACGAAACCCCAGTTGATACCGGCGCTGGGGTCCTCCGGGTTGCTCTGTGAGGGCTGGACAACGGAAAAGCCTCCGTCAGCGCTGGTGACGGTGTAGAACTTGAGCTCGCCAACTGCGAACCAGACACGAGCAGAGTTGACGTAGCTAGGGACGGTGATGGTGGTTTCGCCGCTGTCACTGACGGGGATGGCAAGGTCTTCGGTGATTTCCTGGGGAACGCCTATGTCGGTGGTTGGTGCGGATGGGTAGTACCAAGTGAAGTCGGGCTTCAAGATCATGGGGGCTCCTCCATCAGGATCACTGCCAACGACGTAGCAGTTCACGCCACTGCCGATGTTGTTTGTGACGGTGAGGGTAAGGGTTTCGTTGCTCGAGGCAGCAGTAGCACTGGCTGCCATAGCGGTACCTTGTATAGTTCCATTAATCGTGTCTTGAGCGTCAATGATCAAATTGGACGCATTTCCTGGGTGCAGTTCTGTTGGGGCAGCAATTGCTTGTGGCACGATGCTCACGGCGGCGGCGAGAGCCACGGCGAACTTGCTCAGGCCAAACATTATGCAAGATCTAGTAGGGAGTGTACCGAGTAGGTTTGTATATATGTTTGTTTAGAAAGGACTGTAGACGGGTGTATCCAACACCTCGATTGAAGAAAAGGAACGAAGATCTGAATGGGAATGAATGAATGGAACCCTGCACACCACAAAAAGGTGGATCAAACACACTCAAGAGGATCTGTTTGAATGAGGACGAGATATCTACTCAGCCCGACCATGATCGAAGAGACAGGCCACTTATTTATCCTCCATGTCTACCTTCTGGCATAGCATTAGGGTGACAAGATCGACAGTCATGCCCCCCTCTTGGCCGATCTAGCATTGCAACGAAATTCATTTTAGACCCAAAGCGGGCGAGCCATGATAATAGAGCGGTTGATGGAAAAGACATTGAGTTACGCTGCTGGGGTCTGAAGCAGACTAGCAGTTTATGATCATAAAGCTGCGATTGTTTAGCGTGAAGTGGTAATACTAGGGCGGGCTAAAACGGCCCCAGCCAAGGTCGCAATGAATTATCGGGGACTGTAACGCGTGTGGACCAGAAGCTCGGCAGGGCGATTGACTAAATTCAAGGTGTTGAGCACTAAGGGACAAAAACGAATTGCTTCTAAGTGCTTAGAGCAACCTTTGGTCCCATCATTAGAACGACGTTGCAGAGGCCAGGCCGCATTTCCTAATCGGGTAAATTTCAGCTTCAAATCCCGCATGGTGAGCACGTCTAGCCCTCCTGATAATATTAGCTAGTGCCAATATGAAACGCCATCCATGGATGCTGTATACCTATCAGGCGGCTCCCTTGTATATATTCTGTGCGATATAGTATCTAACTAGTATTTATCCTCGTGTCAATAGTAGACTACATTCCATCATTTAAACCTGTTCACATGTGTTAATACCGTAGCATAGACTATAAATGTAAAGTAACCGCGTAGATGGAAACATTGTGCGGTCCAAGGTTAGCCCTAAAAGATGATTATATGAGTCACATTGAAAAACGAAAAAAAGTAAGTGGACACCCTTCAGCGGATTTTGCAAGAGAAGTGAAAGTATGATCAATCTGCGTCCTCAAATTGCGGCCTAGACAACAAACAAAGCGTTGTGGCAGAATAAAGGGAAAACACCGTGTCGCTTCTCCAGGGCGTAGCTTTTGGCTACTCCCGGAGAAGGAGAAGGAACAGAAAGAAAATGACGTGGAGCTAGGGTGTTTTCTAACTCTTCAATGTCATTTGTGTATATATCGAAAGGCCCTCAAGGAGTTCCCCTTCTCTCAACGTACAAACAACGGAATATCGACCAGTCAGCCGCCAACAAGGGACCCCTTAATGGGGCTTCTGGTATTGCTCATTCTATGTGTCAACTATCAGAAAGACACTCGACACATACATCAAGCGACGAGGTCACCGTTGAGCTTGAAAAAGTCTCCAACGACGCAGAGGTCAAGGTATTTCGAGTGGTTCTTATGCCTACACCAACACACGAAGCACATATTGACTAGTTGCACCAATCAAACTTATCGACTCTACTTTGGATGCGCTTCGTTTCACAGCCCGAGAGGCTTGCCAATGCAGACGCACGGTTTCAGTCCAAAGCCATGAGGGAATTGGATAGTATTCTTGTGGAAGAAGGAATGCTATTCGGAGATGACAGCAGAATACATGACATTATTTACGCATAGAATGAGCATTACCAGAAGTCCCATCGTTAAGGGGTTTCTACTTTGGTGGATGCCCGGTTATAATTTCCTCCCAGCCCCAGTTGAGAGAATATGAAAGCCATTACTATTCGAAGCGAAAGAAGTATACAATGCATAAACAAAGCCAGTGGCTTCTACTATTGGGTATTCATATTCAGTGCCCGTAATCGTGTTCACAGTTAATTGCATTTTGCTGACAGGATCGACCGTGGGGTGACATTGGGTCCTTAGATTGTATATAGTGATGCACCTTGCCTCGTATTATGTCCTGATCGCTTCCAGACCTAGGGCCTAGTCTATATCATTATGCAGTGAATTGAAAATTTCTTCTATTCCAGTATATCTATAGGATAAGTATTGTTGAGGTACATTAGTACTATCTTGCTACAATCAAAATTGTAGAAACGCAATATCAACCTAATAATTGGCCGGTTCCTGCATACGCCAAACAGTCCAGCGTTTTAGCTCTGTGACCCTGAACCAGTCCAAGACCGACCCTAGCAAATAGGAACAGGAACGATCTGTGCGTGCGCCAAAGCCTAGAAATGTCCCCCAACGTGTGACTAAACTAGCGCATGCTACCCAAGCAGCAGCACTCATTGAATTTTTTCCTTACCCTGGACCGTCGTACAAAATGCAAACAGCAAATTGTTCATTAAACTCAAGATAACTCGTGAGGATAGATGTGGCTTGCATTAGCAATCTGCCACTTCGATCTGAGGCTTTTGAGGCGTTTGGGCTTCCGGCGTGCTGGGACGGAGGCTGGTCGTCTATTCGCTGATTTATTTGAATGCCTGGCATATGTACCGGGGATCATAAATGGCTAAGTTATCAATCTGTACATAGTACCTAGCTAGGTATACATTGCAAGACGGAAAATTCCTCACGGCAAATTGAGTATACGCGTCGCGAAACTTGTACCTGGATGATCTTCAAGCTCCCATGCAGGCACTAATTCTTCGCCCGGCATAATTATGCAGGAAAAGAGAACAATGATTCACCTGCAATTAGGCACATACATACAAGCGTGAAGAATATCCCGGGCGGGTTGGCTGCGGGAAACACGTTGCATTGCTGGCAGGCCAAGTACTACCTCACACAAACTTTGGCATATACTAAGCCTCTCTCTGACAAAGACACTACCACATCTCTAAACTAGTTCTCGTATGTGGAAGGATTATCAGAAGTTGGCATTGATGTCAGCGGCGTTGCATCAACGTTAGGTACTACATGGCATCCGTATGCACCGTTGGAGGCCAAGGGCTCGTTCAATGCTCTAGAGTATCTATATATTCATGCAGATGTACAGAAAGTCGTAGATATAACTTAGCATATATTGTTATTACACCTGGTATCCTGTCATAATCATAGTCGGTCATAAGGACTGTCGTCAGAACACGACGAGCGCGAAAAGAAAAAAAAGGAAACACAAATACCGACAACACCAAACAGAAAATCAATCCCGAAATAAATACAAGAATAAACATTAGTAGGAAGTGTGATATAGGTAGAAGAGAAGGTAGAAAGGAAAGGGAAAAAAAAAGAGGGAGAAAGCCTCCCATATGTATAGAAAATTACAGCCATCTCTTTCTCGTTCACTCCTTTTTTGTTGTTTGTTTGATTGATTGTTCACGATTTCAAATTCCGTAATCTTTTCGACTTGATCTCCCCATTATCAATATTAATATGTTTCTTCGGCCGGGTGCCTTCGCGACGATGCCATGCATCTTGAGGCCAGATCCATCCGCGCACCCGCCTCGCTTCCCTCTTCTCGCCCAACTGTGGCTCCGGGATCCATTTATCCTTGGATTCAGTGAGGATTCGTTGTCGAGCCAATGTACCTGGTTCGACATCATTCATATAGCCCGGTAAATGACCCGGTAGGGCCACGGACTTTGAGAGCATGAGCAAGAAATACAACCCCATTGTAACCGTCATGGGCACTCCGCCCAGTCCCTTTCCAATTCGAAGGGGCTTTGAATCATCCCGGGGCGATGGTGGTGGCAATAATGATGGAGATGGCGACGTTGATACAGATGCTGAGCTGCTGCTGCTACCACCAAATGTGAGGTTGTCGTCGGCGGAAAGGTGTGGCGTATCCGACCGTCTGGAATGGTTGTCGTTGTCGTTGTCACTCTTATCCTTAATGTCATCCTCCGTCCTATTCTCCTCATTCTTGTTTCCGCCCTCATTAAGAGTCTCTTGCCCTTGCCCATTCATTTTCTCACTCTCGTTCTTATCTTCATCCTCATCCGTATGGATATCCATATCCATATCCATATTGAAATTCATGAAAAAATTCGTATCGCCACCCCTCTTCTCATCCTCAGCATCAGAAATAATTCCCGGCGCCGCCGCCTCCATGGAGATAGGAGAGGACACTTCTAGGTATCCGAAATAGGGTACGAGATTGTCATCGCATCCAGCACGAACGCAGACCAATTCGACCTCGGTGACAATAAACCCATACCGACACGAATGCTCTCGCATGCATCGCTGCAGATGAGCGAGACCACGCAAATACTCAACCCGCCGATGGGCGCGCTCGTTGCGCATGCTCGAGTTCCAACGATCAAAACTCTTGGCTACGCCCACGACTCGGGCTCGGGGAGTGCCCGATGGCGTCCGATCAAGATCTGTCGTGTAGTTGCCCTTGAAATGCGGTCCGTTGGCATTGCGTCCACCAGCAGATGCGGCGTCGGGAGAGACGTATAATCCGATATGGGATGTTCCTTGCGATAATCTCAATGCAGCATTGACACGTGGAGCGAAAATATCACCAATCAGGTTGATCAATGAATTCTCCGATTCGGGCGTTAGATGCGATGATGGAATAGAAGTTTCTGGTGGTTCTTCGTAAACTGGCGTTTTTAGAAGCTGGGTCAGTCCGCAGACCTTGTTGATGGTGGACATTGAGAAAGAAGACCAGTGGCGCAGTTGGCGAACATCCCACCAGAAATAGTCCTGCAGACCGCGGGCCGGACCGTGATTGATCGTGCGCACCTTGTTTATGGTTGGTGTGACAGAGGTGAGATTGGCAAGTAGAGTGGTTGATGAGTCGCATGGACGTGGTGGCGGCACATAAAAGCTGACGGGCGATGGCTCGGTGGCACCCTGAACAAAGCGAAGATAGTGAGGAGAAGACATAGGTCCATGGTAGGCATTATGCATTGGTATCTGGATCGGAGGAGGAACTCGTATTGACGTCACATGAGCATACCCCGGGAATACAAATGAAGTAGTGTCGACGGGACTAGAGGGAGAGGTTTCCGGCCGAGATGCATGCTTTGGAAGCTTTCTGTAGGTCGGATATCCACATCGGGACAAATTAAGACCATCAATGCTGGATGCAGATACAGAGCGAAAATGACCACGGGCAGCAGTAGCAGGAGACATACTTTTGCGTTTGGTGGCCGTGGGTGATGACAAGGCAATTGGGGATGACAAGCCAGAGGTAGATATCACGATAGTTGTTGGATCATGGGTCGATGGAGTAGGCGATGCTGGCGACACAGGTCCACCACTGGCACCGCAGTCCGAAGCATCTAGCGTGTTTCTCGACACCGAGGTTGGTCGAGTGCTAGGGTAGGGCATGTATCCTGGTGGGTTACGGGTGTTGGACAAGACACGACGATGACGACGGGGCCCAACATTGGGGGATGGCTCCGGGTCGTCAACATCCTCGGTCTGGATCTTGGGTAGCAGCTGGGGTCCGTGTTGGTGTGTAGGAGAACCCGGGCTGCTGGGGGTGGTGATGTTGGTTATAATGGACTCGGGTGAAGAGTCATGTGAACGAACAGAACGAATAGAGGAGCCAGAAGTATGGCGACTATGCGCACTGCCACTGGGGTGCAGTCGAGCCACGCCAGGTGGAGTAGTAGGCAAGTAGAAAGATTCTTCCTCTTGAGACATGGTAAACTGACCCTAGGCCCGAGTCAGAGATCAACCAGTTACTATATATGCAATGCCATGCATGTAGGACCGACATACCTGTGGCACGTGAAAAAAAAAAAGGAGACTTTAAAAGGGTATGGACGACTCAGGAAGAAAGCCCTGCTCCCTGAGGCTCAACTAAATGGCGACAGAAGTGGACGATAAGGGTATATAGAGGGTTGATGATGCATGTAGATCTCTCAGAGACACCAAGCAATGAACAACCACAACCACAACCACAACGACACTAACGATCCCCTCTGATGCGATGCAAAGCAAAGGCAATGAATTGCATGGGAAGAGGAAGAGGAGGTAGAGGGGCATTGCATTGGGAGTTGTTTGGATGTTAAATGCTGGAGGGCGCCATGTTGATATCAAGCAAGATCTCTCCACAGGAGCTCCCAAGACAGGAACCTGAAACACATCTAGGAGCTGCTCCATGATGCGAGATCAAGTAGTATAAAACATCGAAACAGACTCCCTTTCCCCATTTAGGTGAAGTCTTCAGTGGAGACGCGGCCCATTCACGAACAGGTACCTCATGTTGAAGAACAAGGCGCGAAACGTGGCAGATCTAAATGTGGAAGCTTTCATGTTTCAACTGCATGTGTTTGGGCTAGCCTAGAAACGGCCAGGAGCTTGGGGCAGACCCGAAGCTCTGGCCGGTTTCTATAATCGGCAACATACGTGCATTGCATGAAGATTTCCTGGAGAAGATGCTATTAATAAAAAGGGGAGCAAAAGTCAGTAGGCGCGCGAGGGAGTGGGTTCTATTTTTGCCGTTAATTTCCGGCCGCGGCCCATTTGCGCGGCGAGGATTTGCAGAGGCTCTTTGGAAACGGAGCCATGGCGTGAGGATATGCAGGAGTGTGGTGAAGTGTGGTGTTGAGGGCCGTTGGCAGCTGGTATAAAACAAGCGACGCTCAGCCCATTGGTCCGTTGCGGCCTGAGGCCGAGAGGCGCTGGCTTGCCCTGTTCGGTCCGCGTCCAATGGCAGCGCCGTTCACGCACGCTTCTATTTTCGCCTGAGCAATCACAGCGCTCGGCTCGACAGTTTCAGAATCTCGCTATTTCTATTTTGATGCAACGCCTGCACGCAGTACGCGCTGGAGGGCCGTCCGTCACAGCGCTCGAAGACGGTCCACTGGTTCATAGCTCATCGCCGGCGCTGCTAGTTTCGCTGCTAGCACCGACTGCAGCAGCCTATGGCGCGCCGCGAGACTCGAAAATCCCCCGCGAATTACCAGATTGCCAGCGTCGATTGGCCCGTCGCGCAGGCGCGGCGCAGAAAGCGACAGTCAATCAGCGCGCGCAGCCGGCAATGGCAGCTTCGGATCTCATACCGAAGAGCTATGATGCACGTCCAGGAACAGGGTCAGTGCTGCTGGGTGTAGATGGAAGACTGTTATTGGCGAGCGTCGTTTGTTTCATCTTTGATGTGCATACGGAGTGCATGCTGCATAATAAATGTTAATGTCACCTAATTTGCCCCCCTTCCCCAAAGCAGTAAATGCAGATACTTGCCTAGATCGGGTATTATTTACTATATTTAATCCCGGGCTAAGACGCTACTTTGGTATTTATTAACCTAGGCAGTGCGGTCGGTGGGGAATCGTTGGCGGGCTAATTTGCACCCAATCGCGACGCAAATTGACTGTTCTGGGCGTATTTGTATACTATATATACCCAGCTGAGCGCGTAGTAGGTCCACTGATACGTATTAAATTATGATCTATGCAGCCTAGCTCACCATATGTATGTATATATAGTATAGAACAAAAGAAATAAGGTGAAAAAAAAAGAAACCACGTCTGGCATCAAAGGGGAAGCGATAAAATGAATTCTTTTATCAACAAATGATACCCATGCAGTCTTCCTTGCCCCCGGAGTGCAGTGAGTTGCACGACCGAGGACATTTCTGGTCAGATCTAAGAGAATAAAAATGCCCTAGACTCCAATGATCCCAGAGGTGCAGTCGAACATCCTCGCTTTCCCATGCCTTGACTTAAGAGTTCATCACGTCGTGTGCACTACAGTGTCCATGACCTATGCCTTGACAGCATACTTGCGACGGAACATTTCGTCGATGTCGGTGAGGTAGTAAGTGCCAGGGACCAGAGTCTCCGTCTTGCCGGCTGGCTGGAAGTTCTTTTTTAGGTGGGCGTGCTCACGGAGCAGGCAAAGCTAGCAGACAGGCAGAATTAGTCATATATTCTGTGAATAACCATAGAAGATAATAGACTTACAGCATCGTAGTCAGAAGGAGGAACAACAAGACGGGCATTCAGGCGGTTGTGAAGATCAAGGTTCTTGGCCAGGACAGAAACATCACCAACAACCTTCAAGCTGAACAGCGAGCTGGCAAGACCACTGCCGTAGCTGAAGAGACCGACGCGCTTTGGTGCGCTGGGGTCGAAAGCGATGTTGGACAAGAGACTGACCAAGCCTCCGTAGACACTGGCAGTGTACATGTTACCGCACTGAGTGGCAACCTCAATGGTTGGCAGCACTCTCTCGTTGTAGCGCTTCTTAGCCAGGGCCATGAAGGTCTTCTCAATGGTCTTGTCGCTAAACGATTTTTCGTAGTCCACATCACGAATCTCGGCGGGGACTTCGGCAAAAGAAGGGTGGGATGGGTTAGCGAGGTAGTCGTTGTAGAGCATGCGCGCGTAGGACTTGGCAACGAGCTTGCAGTTGGGGGAATGGAATAGGACGTAGTCGAAGCGATCAATGGGGGTCTGATCACCGGAAACCACGCCGTTGATTCCGTTGCGCTCCTGCAGGGTGTGCTCGCGAGCGTTGTAGGCCTTGTAGCAAGCATCGACAGCTTCGGTGTAGCACCTGAGGGAGAAGTGGCCATCAACGTAGGGATACTCGCTGGTGAAGTCGGGCTTGTAGAAGTCGTAGGCGTGGGTGATGTAGGTACCACGCAGACCGGGTTCAAACACGAGCGGAGCATCGGGGCCGATGACCATGGCGACACAGCCAGCGCCACCAGTGGGACGGGCATTTCCCTTGGCGTACAGAGCAATATCGCCAGTGACCACAATGGCATCGCGGCCATCCCAGGCAGACGACTCGACCCAATTGATGCTGTTGAAAACAGCATTGGTGCCTCCGTAGCAGGCATTGACTGTATCGACACCCTCGACATTGTAGTTGCCCGACTCCTCAAAGAGCTGCATCAAAACAGACTTGACGGATTTGGACTTGTCCAACAAGGTCTCAGTCCCGACCTCCAAGCGGCCTATTGACTTGGGGTCGATTTCATATTTGCGCAAGAGGGAGGAAAGGGTGGTGAGGGCGAGGGAGTAGATATCTTTGTAGAAAGAAAGCACGTCAGTCTGCTAGCATTATTTTTGTTTGGTGTGAGTTTTATGAACGTAGATTACCTTCACGGTCATCACAGAAGCTCATCTTGGTCTGGCCGAGACCGATGGTGTATTTCCCCTGGCTAACGCCATCGAATTTCTCCAATTCGGCTTGGTCCACGCACTGCAAGGGGATTAGTGTGTTAACCACGATTGTTCAACGAGGAGGAAAGGAGGAATAGAGCGCACCTGGCTAGGAAAGTAGATTTCAATGGCCTTGATGCCAATGTTCTGAGGGCGGGAAGACATGGTGCAAGCTAGACAGTGTATCTTTTTGTTGTTGTTGTGTTCTTTTCTGGCCGGACGTCTGTTTTTTGGGGGGGCTATCGAGTATTTAAGGGGTAAGCACGACACGGATCGACTCAGCACACAGCAAGGAGTTTGCACCGAAAAGACCAAATACCTAGGCAGCAGAGAATGTGCAGAGTGACGAGCAGGGATCTATTCTAAATATGTTTGTTGCAGCGTTGAGCAGTCGAAAGGGGAGCGAGCGAAGAATTATGGGAGGGGTCGCAATAGTGGAGCCGCGATTTGATTCGTCACCCAGCGGATTCCGCCCAAGCCTCAGGGCCTCAGGCACCGCCAGTTTCGTTCTTTTCTTTCCCTTCCTTTTTCAGTAGACTAAATCCACCACTATTGATTTCAGATGTGGCTTATACTGTCCGGGGGACTCGACTCGACCCGCCAGGAGAAGCGCAAGAAAGAGAACAGGCTGCGATGAAATGCTTTGACCGCCAGCAGGTTTCTCTGGCTTAATCAGACATACACCGGGATCATACAATGCTATGCTGTGCTATGCCATGCTACATGGCATATAGCATATAATAGAGTCTACTATAGACGCCAGCAGATAGCAGAGTAGCAGGTCAGCAAGCCCGATAACTAGTACTTAACTAGTTACTATCAACAAGGTCTAAGCACAGGGAATGGAATGATCGCACGCAGCCAATCACAGTACAGTGCCTTTTTTTTCAGGCAGCAGTATTTTATCGGGTGTTTGCCCTGTTTGCACGGGTCTCCCCGATAGCGGCGTGACTCGAATCAATAATCAACAGGTAACAATGCGCAGGCAGACGCATTTCTCCTCTTTGTTGAGCCCCCTTTCTTTATCCTCTTCAAAAAGAACTACCAACTTGGCGAGAATCAGAAGGACAGCAGAGGCCAGGAGGACCGAAACTGAATCCTCGGTGTGAGGAGTTGGCATCACATATGCGACAAGAATGTCGCAGCTAACTACCCCTCACAGGAAGCGTGCGATGATCCTGCCAGGTTTTATTTTATATGCCGCATCAGATACAGAGTACAAAGATCACACAACGCCCTAAATTGCTAACAAAATATGACTACCTAGTTTCTTGACTTTACAACTCAAAAGCCAGCCTCTCCAACGACTCGCTTCATAATAAACTCGCGGTCCACGTGTGGTGGCTGCAGGTTGGCTTCGGTTTTCAACAACCGTAAAGTATCGTCGGCCTGCAGCTGGAATGGAGTCCAGCCCACCTCGTACCACGACTGGATCACTTCTGCGTGAATCATCATCTCCGGGTGGCCGGTCGCCCGCAGGGCCTGCAAGTACTTGCTTGGCTCTACCGAGCGCAGTTTGGTTCCGTCGCGGGCAAAGCCCAGGAGGTCAACTAACTGGCTGTAGAGGAAGTGCTGATCCGATACCACATTGTATATACGAGCACGTTGATGAGCACAGTCCTGGCCGGGAAGAGGAGCGCGACGAGACAAAAAGTCGATGCTCTTCACGAGGAAATCAAGCTCAATCCAGCTCATACCACCGCCCTTTTCGCTGCGGAAGTCAGGGACGAGCCCGGTTTGCAATGCGGACTCAATGATGCGTCGATTAATATCAGTGCGATCCAAACCCTGTTGTGAATCCGCGTTTGTTCCTGCCATGCAAGACCGGTAAATATTCACTGGAAGTCCCCGCCCTGCAGCTTTGTAGAGCATGGCCTCGGAAACCCAGCGGCATTTGAGATAACCCAAGCTGCTCTCCTGGCCCGGTGTCATGTTCGTCAATTCCTCCTCTCCCTTTAGATATTCCTGGTTTTCCAATTGAGTCGTCGCCCAGGTTTGTAGATGCGGGACTCCCCAAGTGGAAAGATAATGGAGGTGCTTCACTCTACCAGATGTCGGACTGGAAGCAAATTTAATGAGAAACTGCATTGCCCCAACATTGCCTGCGCGAATATCCCTATAGTTTTTCATCATGGAGACATCCGAGTCGAAATGGTAAATTGCGTCTGTATTGCGATCTAAAAATTCCAATTGAGACTCATTTAACCCCAGACTGCCGTGGGAGAGAGATCCTTTGTAAGCTTTCAGTCTTTGCATGGCATCTTGTGGTAGTTTTGAAAACAGATTCCATCGAGAAAGTGTCGCTATAACTTGCGAAACCGGATCCTCGTCTCCTGGCACATCAACTGCAATGCAGTAAACCTGACATTGTGTCGTAGCAAGGATATGTTGTACAAAATGTGCTCCTATCATGGAAGAGGCACCGGTTACAACCACAGACGACGGTGGTCGGAAAACATAGTCCTTGATTGACCATGTGGTGCCCATGGGTAGAGAGGCTTCCTTGGCCCAGTCAATCACCTGCTATAGTCAAGTCAGATTAAACATTATCTCCGTGGAATCAATTAACCCTTAAATCACTTACATCTGAGACCAAGTCTTCGCGTGTAGCTTCGGTATCGTTCAAAATTAGTCTTTCAAACCCAGCAATGGATGGGTAGGCAAACATGTCCTGTAACTTGATAGTAACGCCGCTGACCGCAGCGAGCCTCTGCTGGAGAGTGACGAGCATCAGGGAATGTCCCCCTAAGGCGAAGAATTCATCATTAGGACCGAGGTTACTGTCAATCGATAGAATATCTTTCCACACTGATGCAATCATAGTCTGCACTTCAGTGAGTTCAACACTGCTATTATTCGACGTGACCGCTGAGCTAGTAACTGTGGGTGCTGGCCACAATGCGATGACTTTATAATCGACTTTCCCACTGACAGTACGTGGAAGATCGTCAACGAAGATAAACACGGCGGGAAGCATATGAGGCGGCAGAGAGGCTTTCAGAGATATACTTAAATACGCCCGAAACTGGCCTTTTTCTTCTGCAGATACCTCTAAAGAATCTTCTGCCAGACTGATGTAAGCTGCCATTGTACCGTCCTGACTGTCAGGTTTTCGATGATAGACGACAGCAACCAAGGATAATTTCAAATTGTGTTCATCCTTTGCAGCTTCATAAGCATCCCATATGACATTTTCGATTTCACCCAACTCCGTTCGCATGCCTCGGATTTTAACTTGACGATCGCTGCTGATGCGGCCGAGAATATCCACGGTACCATCCCGATTGGCGCGGAACAGGTCACCAGTGCGATATAAGCTGCCGTATCCCATTTCCAATTCTACCGTCGGTGCCCAAGTGTCTTTGAAAAATGCTGCAGCGGTGACATCCGGTCGGTTCACATAGGCCTTGGAAACATTTGGACCGGCGATATACAGTTCTCCTGGTACTCCAAACGGCACTGGACGCATTTTTTTGTCCAAAATGTGGAAACGTGCTGGAAAGAAAGGTCCCTCCAGGGGCATTCCTGCTCGTTGCGAATCGGCCAATGTGATGCTGTTTGTCTACTTTTTAGCGTACACCCACACAGTCTGGATTTTGCTTGACTTACCGTCGTAAAGTGTTCACTACAGTTGTCTCTGACGGAGCATATGCATTGTACAACGTGGCATGAGGTAGGATCTTGTAAAACTCGCGCAAAAACCATGCAGGAGTCATTTCACCTCCTACCACGATGGAATCCGCCTCCTTCCATCCAACCAATTTCTCCTTGTTGGGGGCATTGAGCAACATTTGAGCCTGAGTAGAAGTGAAGATACAACTCGAAATGTGGTGACCGACGACAAAGTCGACCATCTTTGCCGGTGAATAACGCGCTGGATTAGACATACTTTTTAGTCCATGCAATATCAGTCAAACAAACTTAGGGAAAAGAAGAAATAATACATACCCTCTCTCGAGGCAACACAAACTGTTGCTCCGTACTGAATAGCCCCATAAACGGCCGGCAGACACATGTCAAATACTATCGCGGACGACAGAAGAATCTTGCTCTCCCTATGAAGTCCAATGTATTTGTTATAGCCTTCCATCTGGTAACGCAGTTGACCGTGTGTTAGGAATATTCCTTTCGGACGTCCTGTGCTTCCACTGGTGAATATACAGCAGAACGGGTCTAAGTTGTTGACAGGGCGAATCAAGATCGGAGAGGTTTTGTCAGTATCAGAAGCCAGATTTATAATGCTGTCGATCTCGAACATATCGGAGAGCTTCATTCCGCACGCCAAAATGCGTTGTCCTTGAACACTGCTCACTTTCTCCACGAGAACTCTTTGAACATTGGCATCTTCAAGCATAGTCTTGATTCGTTCTAGCGGAAAGTCTGGATCAATTGGTACGTAACTGCATCCTGCCCTAAGGATCCCATAGATGCCCATTAGGAAATCTTTGTTCTGCTCGGAACAAATGGCAATACTATCGCCAGGGCTAACACCACTTCTAAGAAGGGTATTCGCAATTGCATTCGTTCTCGCGTTTAGCTCGACATACGTATAACTTCCAGTATCATCACACACAGCAGGATCATTTGGGGACTGAGACACTGCGCTAGTAAATAGTTCGGGGAACAGGTCGTTGTTCAACTGCTCTAAGGAAGGCTCTAGTTCGTATGAGGGTTGGAGAATGGACGAAAGTCGCTTCAGATCAGTCGAAGATATAAGCTGCACGTCTTCCAGCATGACATCGCCATCTCGAGTAATGACGTCGTTGATAAAGACTGCATACATTTCTGCTAGGTCAGAGATACCGCTTTCATTGTACAGGGCCGTATCAAATTCCCAGGAGCACTTCAATATTCCGGAGCCTTCCTGTTCCTCGACTTCCAAAACGAAATCCGACTGGGTTTTAGCGTTGAAATGGTCATACTTGACGAATTGGAATGTACCATAGTCAACTTTTTGAAACGATCCCTGAGCTTGATAATTAACCGTTATCTGGGAAACAGCAGCATGGCTTGTGCGTCGTGGAACTTCCAGTTGTTGAATCAGATAGTCAAATGGGAGTGCTCGATGCTCATATGCACCCAAACAGGAGTCCCGGAACTCATCCAGTAGCTTACTGTATGTCATAGCATTGTGAAACTTGCTTCGGATTGGTAACGTATTGACAGTAAACCCGACTAATTTGTCAAACGCTGAATGGCCACGATCACCATCTGGAATGTTTATAACGATATCTTCGTCTCCTGTCAGCCGATTAACTAGAGCAGCAATGGATGACGCCATAAACATAAAGGGAGTGAGCCCCTTGTGCTTGCAGAAGGTTTTAATGGCAGCAGATAACTCAGAATCAAGTTCTCTGACGAGAGTGCCTACTTGGTTGAGCTTTGTGGATGGTCTTTTGTCCGTCAATGACATAGGAAGAAGAGACACACAGTCTGGAATATCTCTCAGCTTCTCTCTCCAGTAACCAATCAACGGGTTTACGACTTCTTTGTCCCGAAGATAGTTATCTTGCCAGACCGTATAGTCGATAAACTGATATGGTACAGGCTGCAAACTCTCTTGAGGCGACTTTCCTGCCAGAAGATTCTTGTAAATGGCCGTAGTCTCCGAGTATACAGTTTCACTGGACGCTCTATCCCAGGCGAGGTGGTGAGAGGCCAAAAAGAAACGAGTCCCTGCTGGGGAACGAACAAGCCATCCTCGAATAACTTCGCCTGCTTCCAAGTTAAAAACATGGCTTCTTGCCAAGTCAGATACCCTGTCCACCTCAGCGAGGAATTCATCTGCCGTAGTGTCTATCACACGGAGAGGAAATTCGGCGCCTTCAACGGGAATCTGTTGGAGACCATCAGGAGTATCGACAATCTTTGATCTCAGAACTTCGTGTCGAGACATGAGGATTGTCCATGCTTGAGCAAAGAGGTGTGGCTCAACTGTACCAGCGATATAGCAGACAAGTAGCAGGTTGTACGTTGTTTGATCAGGCAAGAAATTATGCAAAAACCACAGCCGTCGTTGAGAGTGAGACAATGGCCGGATCGTCAGGTTTTCGAGTCGTTCTGGCGCGGTAATTTTCTTGATTGATGTTTTATCAGCCGATTCCACGTCATACAGTTTTCGAAGAGTACGCGATATTAGTTTCTCGATATTTTGACTGCCCAGAATGTCAAACACCGGAACGTCAATACCAATCTCCTTGAAAAACCAGTAGCGAATGGCTACCGCATTCAATGAATCAATCCCGTACTTAGACAAAGGCATGCTGGCGTCAAAACGAGCGTCTTGCGTTCCCAATAGATTTTGCAGGCATGCAAAGAATGCATCTTGCAACATCTCGTGTGCTACTGCACTAGTATCACTGTTAGACTCTTGAAGTTTTTCAAGAAGGGACTTTTGGTTTGCAATTCCAGTGCCAATCTTGTGGTCCATCAACGGACTGAACTCGGGGTATTCAGTCCAATATAGCTGCGTCTGCTCGGGCGCAGATTTTATCACCCCGTCTATTGCTTCAAACATCTGAAAGCCTACTGTGATGACCGACCGTTCTAGCGATAGTGACTCTAAGACAACGGCTGTCATAATCTGGTCAAGTTCCTCTGCATCAGAAGCAGCAAATCCACTGACATGGAAGCTTCGTAGCAGTTCTTCCTTGTTGGCCAACACCCCGATACCGACAACAGGGCCTAGCGCAATAGTCGTCGCTGGCAGATTCAAAGAATGACGATAACTTGACATGGAGTTTAAAAATGCGTTTCCAGTGGCGTAATTAGACTGTGTTCTGTTGCCAAATATCGAAGCTACCGAGGAAAACATAATGAAGAAGTCTAAGTCATCTTCCTGCATTGTGGCGACATGTAAATTCCACGTAGATTTGATCTTGACCTGCACGGCACTGTCCCATTGCTCTGGAGTCATAGTTGAGATGGCCGAGTCAGACAGAACCATGGCTAAGTTGATACATCCTTTGATTGGAAGGGATTTGCGAATTTCCTCAAGGGCCGACTGGAGTACGATAGAGTTAGTAGCATCAGCTCGGATCACTTGAATCGACGCACCCTCATCCTGCATTTCCGCTATTAGACGCTGTGCCTCGGAGGAAACAGCAGCGCTGCGACTCAATGCATAGATGTGTCTAGCCCCGTTGTGAACCATCCATCGCGATATATGCTGGCCCAGGCCACCCAGGCCGCCAATCAAGACATAAGCGCCGTCGTGGCGGAAGAGCTGGCCACGCGATGCCGGGTAGATAAGTGCTTCTGGAAGTCTCTGAGCTGCAGAATGAGAGAGCACGGTGCCAAATGGTTGAAGCTTTGCTGATGCAAAGGCCTTTTTATAATCCTGGATGGGGAAAACGGACAGCGCGGTCGTGGAAATCGAGCCCCTTGTGAGCATCTCGTAGGCGAATGCACGTAAGTGGTCTTGTTCACAGTGTTTGATAATCTTCACTGCTCGATCATTAAGCAATAAGCCCTGTTTGGGATCAAACGTGACATAAAAGTCAGCATCAAGTCTGTCAGAAGTTGTGACGTCCAGAACTCGGCAGGTTTCTTCGAGTGCGGCGCCCAGAAGTCCAGGAGTCCCGATACGGAAGGTGTCGGCTGCCGTGGGCCGGGCAATGGCTGAGACGAGCACCCGCGCTGTCAAATACACCGCAAAACGCACCGCTGCTTCTGAGTATGACAAGGAGCCGGGCAAAGCATGAACATATTTTGAATCAATATCCAGCTTGTGTTGATGCGTGTCCGCGTCGGGAGAGAATCCGACAACGCGCGTCCCGAGTCGAAGGTCTGCATTGTCATCAAGACAGGCAATTACTCTGCCAGCGAAGTAGTGTCCCAAGCCATTCCACTGGGTGCTACTGAGTCCTCCACCACTGAAGGCTACAATATCGGTATCGTCAATGATCGAACTTTCGATTTCAACTCGCACTTTTCCATGAGCAGGGGGCCCATGACGAACAGACTTTTCGTGAACCAACGCGATGCTCTCCTTACCAGTCACGGAGAGATGATATTCATCCGCATTTGACACATCACTGACCACTGGGGGAATTATACCAACGGTGGCCGAGAGAGCGTCGTCCGGGAAGTATCGTACACTGTGAATGAGCCCGACTTTCACTATCAGTTCAACATCACGTTTTCCGTGAATCATGTCGTTCAACACATCATATGTCGTGCGAGCCACAAACTGCGGTTCCTGAGGGCCTTGAAACAGGAGACTAGATATCATAATCGAAGGCTGCTCGGCCTTGACCGTCTTAACAAAGCTCGATGCGACACTCTGATAGGGATTGGCTTCAATTTGCTCTCCGACCCAGAGGACACTGTTGGCACATCCCAAGAGAGCTTTAATCCACGGCAGGAAATCGGATCCGTGCCAGGTTGTCAAAATCGATCTCTTTCCGACGTCATATATGATGATATCAACTTTTTCTTCAGATGCTCTACCAGACATGGAATTTCTCCATTGGTCCAACGCGAATGGATCGTCAAGGGGAATCATTTCGAAATCCACGTACTCCTTAAATGGCTCCACTTGTCGATTAGTGGGTGCAAAAATCTGTACCTTGCGTGGCACGATAGTGCCATTCTGGGGAGCATGAGCTTTTGCCAATACCCAATTATTGTCAGAGAGGCCGTTAATTCTGCATATTTCGGTAAAGTGTTTGTCAAATTGTTCTTGGTCACCGGGATCTTTCAACTGCACGCATACAATCCCATGTGGAAGCAAATGATTCACATCTGAGATCAGAGACTTTGCGGCGCCGACTAAGAGGTGGTACTTTCGGGATAGGTCCAGTTCATCCAAGATTCGAATACGATTTGATTCAAGGTCCATCAGGTCAGAGCTATCCACTATATCTAAAGTTCGAAATTGCGAGCGTTCCTGAGCTTTGGTTCCTTTCAATGATGAGGTTATTGCAAGTATGTCAGGGTGCGATAATCCGACAAGACCAATATCGCTCATGGGCCATTGATGAGTGACCAGTTGAAGGATATAACTGATAGACATGTCAGTAGATCTCGATATATATGTAATGTCAGGCACAGTGCGCGATGTGAAGAATGTTGAAGCTAGTGGCAATCCCTTCTGTACCAGGCCGTCAATGTGCAGATGAATTCCGTCGATCGTGAGGAATTCATCCTGACCCGCGATGTCGAGACGTGCCCTGCCACTGACAGGGCTATGATGGGAGAGGAGTGTTCCAAATGATCCAGCCTCGATCCTACAAGATCCCAATGGCAAATCAATGCGGTCTAGGCACTGGATGCTATAGAATGCCGGCGGCCCTTTTTGCAGCATGAGCAATTCCGAGGAGTCTAACAGAGATGCTAGAAGAAGAGGGTGTACTGGATAGTTCTCATATCCTTCAATTTTCCTACTAAATCTTCCGTTGGCAAGATCCGCAGATACCTTGAAATCGGAGACCGGCGGCATTTGTACAATTTCGAGTGATTTCAAATAGCGAAACATCTCTTCGTCATGTGCCTTAGCCTCAGATCGTTGAATATCCGGAGAGCGAATAGAATAATTGGAGAATGTTATTTCACCGACGCAGTGTCTCTCCCAAGTTCCGATGTTCGACTTTATGGGGCCCGACTGAATTTCGAATTGCCAATTCAGTGCCCCATCAGACTTGCGAGCCATGAATAATGTTTCAACGGCATTCTGTGGCATGGTGAACGGGTTGAGTATTTTCAAATCCTTCAAAGACATAAAATTCACATCTAATTTCTCGCAAAGGCTCAGCTGACGCCCAGCCTCCACAGCCATCAATGTAAAAATGGCGGCTGGAAGGGCTCTGGGTGTCCCTTCGTGGCAATCATCTAGCCAGTGAAGGTCTTTCGTCGACAAAATATTTCTCCAGATAGGAGCCAGTGGTGTATCATTCGGAGCTCTCGCGCCTAACAGTTCATGGCGAGGAAATTGACGCTTTTGTATAGCGAGACTGACTCGGGATTCACCCCAGTTTACGCTGGAATGGTCCCATTGGTAAGTCGGGACATCTGTGAGCACTCTTCCAGTCTGAGAATTACTTGAAAAATATGCGTTCACAGCCGGCCAATTCACAGGAATGCCAATTGATATCATTTCACCCACGTTCTCAAGCATCGCCACAAGATCTGGTTTTCCTCTTGTACAAGAGGAGAGGTGTACCGTGTCTGAAACACGAATACTAGCCAAGATATCACGGACTGGGCCTGTCAAGGCAGGATGAGGGCCTATTTCGATGAAAACATCAGGATTTGAATTGAGAGCAAGTTCCGACACGGCATCCATGAAGCGGACTGTGGACACCATGTTCTCCTTCCAATAGCCTGGTGTGATGTCGCTTGCGGACAGGCGGCGCCCAAACACAGAGGAGAACATCTCACCCGTGCTGTGAGACATGTTTGATTCTCTGATGCCGGATGCGCACATAGCATTTTCATAGGAGGGTGCCAGTGGTAACATATGGTCCGAATGATAGGCTTCATGTTATCATACATAAGTTAGCGATGTCTTTAACATTAGGAAGAGTACCACTAACCCATATCAACGCGAAGAGCGCGACAAAATGTGCCCTTTTCAGCGCAGAAACTTACCACCTCTTCGATTGCATCAGCATCACCTGACAGCGTACAACTGCTTGGGGAGTTGACCGCAGCAAGACCGATACGGCCGGCGTACTTCTGCAAGATCTCGGCACATCCTGCTTCTCCCAACCCAACTGCGCACATGGCGCCTTTCCGTTGTTTCGAAATCCTTACAGGTGCATTCTCCCCTAAATACAGACCGCGGTAATATGCTATGACAATTGCATCTCGAAGGGAGAGAAATCCGGCGCTGTATGCTGCACCAATTTCCCCGGAAGAGTGCCCAACTACATCGTGGGGTGTTATCCCCCATGACTTCCATAGCTCTACAAGTCCGATTTGAAGAGCTGTACAAATTGGTTGTGAAAAGCTAGCCTTGGACAGACGAGACGTCTCTTTTGGTCGCTTTAGTTCCTCTGCTATCGACCAAGCTGGACCGTCAGGGAGCGCGGACAATGCTTCATCACAAGCAGATATAGTCGAACGGAATAAAGGAGATATATTTAGTAGTTGCTTTCCCATTTGCGGCCTGCCAAATTTCATAGATACTTAGTAAGGCCTTTTTTTCGAGATAGCAGTGATCACATACCATTGTGCCCCTTGCCCAGTAAAAACGAATGCAATCTTGTGGATTGGTTTATTACTCAACGTAAGTGTCTTCCATTTCTGCTCTTTCAAAGCAGTGACTAACTCCTCATGTGATGAAGCTATTAGATATGCAGACTTTTTAAGTGTTGAACGGCGAGCCAAAAGAGTGTGTGATAAATCCACCAAACCAGGCCTCACCCGTTCGACATAGTCTGCATATGCGTTTGCCAGTTCGACCAGCGATGATTCACTTGCAGCAGAAACTTTGAAGAGGAATGGAGACTCGTCAATAACGCCTTGAGGCGAATCTGGAACAGGATGAAATTCCAAAACAGCATGGCCATTCGTGCCGCCAAAACCAAACGAGTTGACGCCCGCGCGGCGAACTCCATTTCTCGTTGGAGGCCAGTTCATGATGGTGGTAGGGACCTGAACTCGGTTCCAGTCGATTTTTGGGTTAGGCTTCTCGAAGTGCATTTGCGGAGGGATTTGACCTCGCTCCAGAGCCTCTACTGTCTTGATGATACCGGCCAGTGCGGCCGTTGACTCCAGGTGGCCGATATTGCTCTTAATAGATCCAACCACAAGTTTATTGGTACGATGCGAGTCCCCAAAGACAGCGTCAATCGCACCCATTTCTATTGGATCGCCCACTGCGGTGCCGGTACCCTACAATAATTATGATTAGTAAATGCAGTTTATTCAACTGCTCATAGGATGCGGAACAACTTACATGTGCTTCAACATATTGAATGTCCGCTGGCGACAGCCCTGGCTGGCTGTATAGCGCCTCAAGATTTCGTCTTTGAGCATCTCCAGAAGGCATCGTAAGCCCCTGGGTTCGCCCGTCTTGATTGAGCCTGGTTCCCTTGACGACGGCACGCACAGTGTCGCCATCCCTCAACGCCTGAGACAGGGGTTTCAACAATATGGCAGCAACGCCATCACCACGAGCGTAGCCATCGCCTGATGCATCAAAGGAACGGCATCTGCCTGACGGACTGAGAAAGCCCAGTTCTGACATGTGCACGAACATGTCCGGACTCAATATTACGTTGGCACCACAGACTAACGCCATTTGAGACTCCCCTTTCTTTAATGCATTCACCGCCAAGTGCAAACCAACCATTGTTCCCGAGCAGGCTGTGTCAATTGAGACACTGGCGCCGTGCAAGTCAAAGGCGTAGCTGATCCGATTGGACAAGATGGCGTTAGACGTACCAGTGGCGTGGTATGTCGGGGTCTGGTCGATATCTCTCAAAAGACTGGCTTGGTAGTCATTCACAATTGTCGCTACCGTGAAGCGATGCGCTCAGTCATGCCCAGAACTAGATAGATGGGAAATATAATTTCGAAACTCACCTACGTACACCGCTGTATCACTTCCTTGAAACTGATGGAGAGGCACGCCGGCATTTTCAACAGCCTCATAGGAGACCTCCAACAATATCCGTTGCTGGGGATCCATTGCTTCGGCCTCTAGAGGAGCAATATTGAAGAAAGTATTGTCGAACCTATCAATAGGAGCCTCCATCAAATATGCCCGGCGGACGTTTGTCAATCCTTTCTTACGGCCGCCATCAGGTTTGTAATAACCATCTACGTTGAAGCGAGTGATGTCCGATCCAACGTCTTGAGATGAGGCCAAGATGTCCCATAATTTCGAGGGAGAATCGGCGCCAGCAAATCGGCATGACATGCCAATGATAGCGATATCATCATCTTCATGCGGTTTTGACATCTTAGGATATGGTAAGTAGGAATATGGTACCAACAAGCAAAATCTAACGAGAAACAAGGAGAAATTCACTGAAGCCTGGGCGGATAGAACAGATTTCTTTTAATCTATAAGCAGCAGCATTCTAGTGCTCGTGGGACGGTCTACTGACTTCTAAGGAGTCTAAAACATGACTTTCACAGATGAACAATTATAGTCTATACATCCATCTACTCTAGCCTTCGGTCCGTTAGACTTTTTTGATCTTCCGTGCTAACTTTCTCCGAGGCCTCTACAAAGCGGAATCCCGAGTCAAAATCCGGCTTCTAAAGGAACATGACATAGAAAAATCAATAACATATGAAGAAGCGATGTTCGGTCAACAGGCTTAGTTTCAGGCAGCCCTTTCCGTTTCCTAATCTAGAATAAAGAGCTAAATCTAGTTAGGAAATTTACCTTTTGAGTGTAGGATGGGAGATCCTTTTCATTGGCTATTCTCACCCACGGGATGGTCTTGAACCCCACTTTACATTTTCCATTGTGGGCGACTTATCGGTGCCTGTGCCATCGCGCCCCACACCCGGTCCCGATAGTGGAGTGGAGCACGACGAAATCATCTGGCTGGCTAATAAAAGCGGGGTCCCGCTTTATTCTAACCACATTTATTTTAGATGATCCTTGCCGTACGTATACCACGACCATGTCCTCATAAAATCTTCCGGGATTGTGGCAAGTACAGTTTAAACCGATCTGCCGGGGAATGGAAAGTCCATGCCGATCTATGTAGCCCCAGTCCATTGAGTAGTTCCGAGAGGTGAGACAGACATCCCAATATTGCCATATGACATTCGGAACTCCGCGACGGCTGTCGAAGTTGTTGACAATCTAGTGATCTTACTGCTCTGGTCTTTGAACTTACAAACGCAACACTAATGATAATAACGCACTCATAATAACAATCTAAAGATTCGGTCCCAGCAATAATCTGCGATTGAAGTTGGAGCACCAAAAGGATAGTGACTCTAAAACCAAGGAAAATCCTCACACTTTTCGTCGCTAACGGAGTGTAGCTATTTCACCCAACATCTCTCATCTGGCCCAGTATCATTGAATCTAGTTAAAATGAATCCTTCTGTTCAACCGAAGAAAGTCTGGCGTAACGTCGCCATCATCGCCTATATCGTATTGGCAGAACCTCTTGCTTCTACGTCCCTTCTGCCCTTCGTCTACTTTATGGTGCGTGACTTTGGCTATGAGGATCACCAAGTAGGCCTTCGGGCAGGGATTATTAGTAAGAAAAGCTCTTCATTCTCGTATCTCAAGACGTTTGCTTAACGGCTATGGTCAGCATCTGCATTCTTCGTCGCCCAGATGATTGCCACACCCGGCTGGTGTCTGCTGTCCAACCGGCTAGGACGACGACCAGTCCTTATAACTGGACTACTTGGCAGCGGTCTTAGTTTGATACTGTTTGGGCGGTCCCAATCGTTCATCGAGGCGGCAATAACGCGCAGTTTGGGTGGTCTATTAAATGGAAATCTGCCCATCTGCCGTACCTATATCGGCGAGTTGGCAACACAAACCCAGTCAGATTTGTCCAAACTATTCAGTGTTTTTGGTTTTGCACTCTCGATGGGCTTCATGGGTGAGTAGGTGGAAATGTAAGCTTTCAGGTGCTGGTGCGACTAACATTGAGATCAGTGGGACCGCTTTTGGGCGGAGCATTTGCCGATCCAGCAAATAATCTAGGCTTTGCTGGACCGGTGGATATTTTCGCTGCGTATCCATGGTTACTGCCTTGCCTTCTCAGCGCTGCTGTCAACCTAGGCGCGTGTTTCGCGGCATATTTTGCCCTCGATGAAACCCATACGTTTGATACTCCTTCAACGGAGGAGCATAGTCCAAATGAAGTTGATTCGCTACTTCCTCAAAATTCCGTGACGGACAGTAATATCCTGTCCAAATCAACATCAGAGTCTCGGTGGAAACAAGCAGCGGCTTTGCTCAGTTCAGCGTGCGTGACGGATTCGACTATTCATCCTTCTCAACTAATGAGTTTATTTGCAGGTGTTTCTTCACCCATGTCATTCTTTTCGACGAGCTATTCTCAGTATATGCCGCATCCAGTTTATCTAAAGGCACCGGGTTATCATTCCAGCCCCGACAGATTGCGAGCGTTCTGACTATTGCTGGACCATCGATGGGTCTGGCACTGCTCCTATTCCCACGGCTACAGCGGCAAATACGACTACCAATAATCTACCAGATAACATCTGTTATATTCGTGCTAATTTATCCTTTGTTCTCGCTACTTCCTGGGCTAGCAAATCGTGATGATTCTACCGCGGAGGCCGGATCAGTTCTCTGGACCACACTTCTCACCCTGGTATCTGTGCGATATGCGGTGCTTGCAGTCAGTTTAACGAGCTTGCAAATAATAGTGAGTTCTTTGCTTCCTCCTTCTTATTTCTTCACTCGACGGTATATATACTAAGCAGCATATCTAGTGCAATAGCCTCGTCCCTCCGCAAGAACTGGCCCTCTTCAATGGCTTGGGTCAATCTGTAGGCTCCCTTTCTCGCGCCGTAGGGCCCTCGTTGGGCGGTGCAACTTGGTCCTGGAGTCTTTCTAACGGACTGTCAGCGCCCTTTGATTATCATGCTAGTGTCAGTTTGCTCTTATTCCATCGGTTCATTCATTTTGCTAATCTGAGTATAGTTTTGGTTGCTGGCCCTTCTCGGGCTCGGTCAAGGTATGGCCACTATCAGCCTGTTCAAACGAGAACGCTTAGTTGAATAATTTCATCAATTACATATAATATTAAGAGTTTCTATTTTGGCGTCCTCCTATGGCTACTTTAATAGATGTACGATAACCATATTTTGGGGAATAAACCATTGATCAGTGAATCAAGATATAAGTTTTGCCATGTGATTCTCTTTATCAGACACATACTTTGAAGTCAATTCATCATCGTAATCAACACATGCACAGAACATGGGATCAAGGGTGAAAATTTTCCATGCATCTGCCCTGTCAATCTATGACTGGGAAGTGCCGCTGACGTGCTAGACCCTACGCCGTCTAAACTCGAAATATTGCATCGAGATAGGATATACAGTCCAGTTAAGTAGGTGACACATGAGCGGAATTCCGAATAGTATTACCAAAGTCCTTGCCATTATTCTATACCTAGTTATATATATATATACACATCTACTAGCTAGGTATAGATTAAGACACAGTCTTCTGACCAAAACCCGGAGTTTCTGACAGATGCCCTCATTCTATAATCAATCACATCACCTTCCAATTCACTGTAACGCCGTGATTTGATCAACATATTAAGCTGTAGACGCTTTCTCAGAAAGTTGATATTCGCCAGGAGGTATAGCGTTAAATAGATGAACCTTTCAACTACAATTTTCAGACTAGAGGAATACAAGACGTATGTTTTTCGCTGCCAGTAACTTTGTGTAAATTATACCCGAGTAAAATTAATGCACGTATTTTTTTATTTGTGACAATTTGTAGAATGTTTTACATAGAACAAGCTATCTAGGTATATTCAAACAATCACACGGTCTATCGCCCGTACATTCCCAGAGAAAGCATCTTGCATGCCAAAATCAAGTTTTCCGTGGTGGTCTGGACCTACAAAGCATCGGTTTAGCAAGATTCACTAAGGGAGAATATGCACTTACATTCTCCTCCGCCATGACATTGAAATGGTGTCCAGGTATGTTCAGTACTGCCCGGATGAAATCGGGCTGGTCTAGATATTCCCAGCCGAGAAGATTCCGGGCACGGTAGCGATCAACCGAGTAGATATCATTCTCTCTAGAGTTTAACGGCTCCTGTGACGACTTTTTGCTCACAGGAACCATATCCATGCACCGCAAGAGAATGACAGGAGGAGGGCGAACCCCCTTCTTTGTCCAGCTGGGCACGCTCCATCTTTCAACCATCTGGCCGGCGCGCCTCATAGATCGTGTAATCAGAAGGGCCAGCTCCGGAGGGCATGTAGATTTTAAAAATGGCCGATTGGAGAGGATGTTGAAGTTAGAATCTGTCACAGGGCCGGGCCCGGTATAGGGACTGTCCAGCATCACAATGCCAACGACTCCAATGCTATTTTGGATAGAATCAGATTCTGATTCTAGAACATGCGCCACTTCTAGTGCAAGAAGACCGCCCAACGACCATCCTTCAAAAGACTAAATTAATCTCTTCCTTAGCTCTTTGGCATACGTCGGAATTCCATGACTGACCTCCAAGGATGACATTCTCACCAGGCGATATAATCGTGCGTATGAGCTCCGCATACACGCGCGCCATCTCTGACAATCCACCCTTCCATGGCAAGTTGACCAGAAATCGAGGGTCATGGATACCATACACCGTGCGACCAAAATTTCCCAGGCAGTAATAAGACGCGATGGTGCCCCCGCCGTCATGAAAGAGGACCAGGGGCGTATCCGCTCCTTCGGGGGAGCCCCGTTGGATGAGGGCAGGATTGGCCTCGAACGGATTCATGTCGATGTCATTACGTAGAAATGAGTGATGGGGAGACTTCAGATCAAAATGTACATGAAAGGATGCAGCGAAAGATGCAGCGAGCTTACGAACATGAAGATCGGAATTCCAGCTGTGGACTATTGATTTTGACAATGATATTAACTCGCATAAACGCAAATAAAGTCAATCAACTACATTTCATGCCATGTCCGGCACAGATCGACAGAATATATGTGCATGACGGCCTGATGCCGATTTAGTATGCCTGCACTGCAACATTGCTTTTTCTATCAATATTGCTTCTTTTTAATAGTACGTCTAGTAAACAGTAGCATAAGATGACATTCAAAAACTCCGGTTTTTTGACCGTATCCAACAAGGTCAAACTCGTTAAAATACCTGCAGAAGTTTGCTTCGCGAGGACTTGTGACAATCAGAATCATTCACTCATCTTTTCTACGTCTTGTCCACGAGAAGAATAACCATGCTGTTCATCAAACAAGGCTTTCACTTCCTGATCCATGGCACTGCTGTGGTAATATCGCCGGATTACAAGTCTACCAACCCGAGCATGAGTGAGTTCTCTACGGCCAACTTCTACTCCTATGTCACACCTCAGGGGTATTTCAGCTTCGGATGGTAAGTAATCTCTTCATTCTCTTATTTAAATATTATGGAATATTTACTTCTATTAGGTGGCTTCCTGCCATCCCTGGTGCAGACACCAGCCACTGCTCTCCTCGGCCTGAAATCCAAGATATAGACTGGTACGAGTACACCACGACGGGCAGCTGCAACGAGACTTCCTGCGAGGTGCACGCAGTGAACTACATGCTCGACAACCTCGGCTCGCCATTGTTGGATGTCGACTATGTGGCAAGGTTTCTTGACATTGCAGAGAAGGAAGAGGCGCCCTTGGGTCAATTGACGCTCAGTTACTTCAATCAGCCCAAGGGCGCATTTGGCGTGGCCTCACATCAAATGATTAGCAACGAGCAACGATCCTCAGGTGACTGCCATGATGCATTTCATACATTGTCAAAGTTGCGAAGGGAATTCGATGTGCCTTTGAACTTCACTTTTGAGAATCCCTGTCAGAGTATGAGCCATGTTGGGCAAGCCGTCTTGCATTAAATCAAAGAACTGTACATCCATTTGGCTATACTAAGAGTACAATTAATAAGTAATTCAACATTGCAATGCTTAACAATATCAGTAATTTGAAACTTGCACACCCATGTAACTAACATTTACTTATTTGATTATTGCACACAATATTGAGAGCTTCCAGATTTTCGCTGGGTTCCATCACTAACGCAACCCTAACTTATATCGCACTCAAATCAATACCGTAGTCAAAATATAATTAATTGTCTATGATCTGGAATTCCGATCGTCGGGGGGGCGGAATTTCAATTACTGGCAAAGTACTAGTTATGTTGTAGACCTACTCAAAGTTATTCTCCGGACTTTGAAGAGAGCCCGGCAGCTGAGTAACTCCACCGACGCTGGCCAGGGTCTCAGATAGATGTAGAGAAATACTCGTTTTCCCAACACAATATTAACGTATGAACGAACTACACCTCTGGCTCCTACCAAGTGACCTTCATAAACGTTGTCGTCTAGGACAGTGCTATGGATCTCCTCAAACGGGCGTTTCTCTTGATGCAAGAGTATCAAAGGCCAACTTCATGGATACAACCAGCGGACCTAATAGTCCTGCTTCTATTCGTTGTTGGCTCTATATATTATATCTCAAAGAGAAGTTTTAGCAAAGAAACAGCTACGAATGTCGCCAGATCCTTGAATATTCCCATAGTCATAGGCGACGAGGCAACAGACTACCACTCCCTGATCCGTGATCAATATGTAAAGGTACGTTTCTCACGTAATCTCTAGAAACTAATGATTGTTATTTACCGTTGTCTCTCTTCGCAGGATAAAAACCAGATTTACCTATTGAAGACGCCATTTCGAACGGTTTTCGTATTGCCGCCGCGGAGCGTGACGAAATATGGCTGGTTGCCGGAACATAAAATCTGTAGGTCCATTAGATTTTCTATCTCAGAGATAGATCCAGGCTGATTGTGTGCTGCGTAACAGCATCCGCTGTTGATCTTGGTGAACGATTTCTCAGCGAGTATGATTCCATACCTGAATAACATTCGTATCCAGCATGCTAACGATGCGCATCTAGTTATACTTGGATTGGATCCACAACGCCGGAAGATGAAGGTGATCGCACACACACGGCCATCACCTATGCAAAAGGATCTCTCACGAAGAATGCCGCTCAACTGATCGACATTGTCTACGAAGAGGTGGATTATGCACTCGACAAGGAACTCGGCAGCGACCCATATATGAAAATGCGCATTTCAGTGCATCAACTTACAACCACTATTTTCCTACACGTCTTTGAGCGACTATTCTTGGGCAAGGAGTTGGGTCGTAATCCGGAATGGGTGTGTCTCTGAATTAAGTGCCTGTTGAGTGAGATAGAACATGGTTTTTAACAGATAAACCTAGATGAAATTGTCCGCGGAACATTCAGGCGCCGCATTCACTGCTGCATTCGCCCTGTCAAAGTATCACTGGATGATAAGACCGGTTGCCGCTCGCTTCGTTCCTGAGATGAGACGACTACGTTCGTTAAATGCCACATTGGAACAATATATCCAGCCTCTTCACCAGGCTCGACTGCGCGATTTGCAGCAGCCCGACTTCAAACCTCCGGCTGACTTGATTCAGTCGTTCATCGAGCACGCGGGCAAGCATGCGACTAATTCGAGTAAGCTGGTCGAGGCTATGGTGCAGACGAACATTGCTGGTATATCGAGCACTGGGCGAGTGGTTAGCTTGTTACTCCACGCACCCTTTTTAGATACATATGCAGTTCCAAGACTGATAATTCCACTAGTTACTTCAAGCATTGTTCGACCTGGCTGAGCATCCTGAGCTCGTGCCGGAATTGAATAAAGAAATAGCCCAGGTCAGACAGGAAGTGGGTGGAAAAACTGCAGACGCGAGGACTATGTTGAACCCAACTGCTCTCGCAAAGTTACATAAGATGGATTCACTTTTCAAAGAGTCTCAGCGATTCCGTCATGCCAATCTGCGTACGTCTCTTGATATGTGATCTGTTGACAGCTATGCCATGGCACTAACAAACCGGGGTAGTTTCTGTCTACCGCAAGGCCATTCAGCCGCTTCGATTGAACGGTGATATTGTTCTTCCTGCAGGATCCTATGTTGCCGTCCCTGGCGCCATCCAGGCGACCACAGCCGAGGACGGATCTAGCCTACCATTCCGGCCTTTCCAATGGGCAGAAAAACGGGCCTCTGCAGAACGCGACCATACGGAGGTGAAATTGGGCTACGTATTCTCAGGGTGCGTTTGTGATTTATTTCTCCTCTCTTCTTTTTTTGTTCCTGCTTCTTAACAGCTTCTTTCCTCTAGGCCGGAAGCGCTCGAATTCGGCGCCGGATCTCACGCCTGTCCTGGGCGGTTCTTCGCCACACACGCCCTCAAGGTAGCTCTCATGCGTATTTTGGATCGCTACGAGATCCGCATGCCAGCGGGGTCTCAGCGGCCACCGACGGTGTACAACCATCTTTTTGAGATGCTGCAAGACCGCAGCGCTGCGATGGAGTTCTCTGCCAAAAGATAATGTCGCCTTGTCAATACATATATGTAATACAGAAAGTAGGATAGGCTTGATCAATCAGAAATTGTTTCACAACGCTGCGAGCAATGTAGAAACGCCAGGCTTAATTCTTCGCTCTTAGGGTTTAGGGCTATTCTAGACACTTCGGCATAACTATTATCCGATGTACAGAAATTACTACATTCGGACATTTTAGGGCTACTTCCCATAACTAGTAGCTCCGGACAGCGACCTGAGGAATGTCCGCAAACAGACAGCAGTCAAAGCGTATCACATTCTAAATCAATGAAATACGGAACGCAAAAAGAGAGAAAAGAAAAGAAGAGAAGAGAAAAGAAAAAGCAACGAAAAGAAGATCCTCCGCTGCCATTTCGACCCCTGGCGGAAGTCCGATCGGGGAGGGCCAAAGTCCACCAATCAGGGTGGCCAATGGCGCGGAGTTCGCAACTCGTAGGAGATGGCGATGGGAGCTTAGAAATATGATTGTCACGCAGGTTTTACTTATTGGCAGTATGGATGCTGTATATAACGACTCGTCGACCACTTGTCGCTGTTCCCTTCCTCTCCAGTCGCCCCGTCTTGTTCGCTACCGTGAATAACCCTAACCGGCAATGGCAGAATCCAACAGCGCCGAAGTCCTGACCACGACTTCCCATGTGGACGTGGAAAAGGTTGATGCTGCAAATATCGATGTTGAGAGAAATGGATCCGCGAGTGCAAATGGCAATGAAAATGGAAACGAAAAAAGCGAAGACGTCTTCGAGCCCAGCGCAGAGGACTCCCACCCTGGCGCCAAGGCTGGCCTCACCTTGAAACAATTCTGGATTGTCATGTTTGGGTAAGTCAAACTGTCTGGTTCTGTCGTGGTATTCACGTTCTAACAAGCACAGTCTCAATTGTGGCATGTTCCTCACCGCACTCGACTTCAACATCGTCTCGCCCGCGGTCAACGTCATCTCCTCCCAGTTCGGCGCCTACGACAGATCTGCCTGGCTGGGAACCGGATACCTGATCTCATTTGCCCTGGTTATGCCATTCTATGGCAAGCTGGGTGAGACGTTTAGCCGCCGTTCGCTGTTCATCTTCTCCACTCTCCTCTTCATCCTGGGCAGCGGCCTGTGCGGTGGTTCCCATAGCATGAACATGCTGATTGCGTCGCGTGTAGTCCAGGGTCTTGGTGGCGGCGGTGTATACAGCCTTGTCAACGTGATCGTAACCGATCTCGTGCCTCTGAAAGATGTCGGGAAGTATCTTTCCTTCACAGGTCTTGTCTGGGCCATCGCTGACGTGGCTGGCCCTCTTGTGGGCGGTGCATTTGCCCAATACGCCTCGTGGCGCTGGTGCTTCTATATCAACCTTTGTATCTCACCGATCAGTCTTATCATCACCCTCCTTGTGCTCAGGGTGCCGGCCCCGACGGTGGGCCTTGTCACTGCCGTGCGAAATTTCGATTATATTGGAGCACTGGCCATGACTGGCGGCACCACCATGGTTCTCCTGGGTATTTCATGGGGTGGCGTTACTTTCCCTTGGAATAGCGGCCAAGTCATCGGCACCATCGTCGGCGGTGGTGTGCTCGTGATCATATTTGCGATTATTGAGCACTTTGTGCGTGAGCCTCTGATACCCCCTGTCTTCCTGCGCAACAGGGCTGTCATGGCAATTCTCGTTGCGGAGTTCTTCTATGGTGCCGTGCTCTTGGGCATGATGTACTACGTCCCTCAATTCTTCCAGCTGGTCTTTGGAGACACAGCCACCCTATCCGGTGTGAGTCTGCTACCGTTAATGCTGGGCCTGGCAGTCGGAAACCCAGTGGCCGGCTGGATCACAAGCAAATACGGTATCAGTCTCGCCAACGCCTGGGTCGGAGCCGCCCTCGAGGTGCTAGTTACAGGTCTGATGACGCGATGGAACGCCCACACCAGCCGTGCAGAGGCAGTCGTTGAATTAGTCATCTGCGGTATTGGCCAGGGAGCTGCCATGGAAGGTCTGCTGGTTTCAGTGCAGGCATCGGTGACCCCGATGTTAATTGGTGTTGTGACCAGTCTGGCTATCTTCGTGCAAACTGTCGGGGACATCTTTGGCATCGCCTTCTTTGCTACCGTCTACCAGAACGAACTGCGAAGCAAACTGGTCAGTTTAGGCCTAACTTCGTCGCAAATCGCTTCCGTTTCGGCCGATGCCGAGTCCATTCGCTCCTCGTTTTCGGGTACTCAGCTCGAAGATATCATTTCCGTGTACGCGGAGAGCATGCAGAATGGCTGGTGGTTGATGTTTGCTTGTGCGGCGGTGCTATTGATTAGCTCAGGTTTTTCAAGGCAGCATTCTTTTGCAAAGTGAAGAAAAGAAATGTGCAGTTGCTGAAATAATACATGGCACAATGTCTTGTCAATTTCCCTTTACAGCCGTGTTAATCCTTTTTTTACTTTCAAGGGTTGAACCTTTCAGGTCATCAAAATCCATATGTTAAAACGGCTTTTATTTCGAGAATAGGAGTATTGTGCATGGGTATCGTAGGGCTTCATTATATCAATGCTGGAAAACATCAGCCTTTAGCAAGTACATAATATTAATTGGACATGAGATAAATATATATAACATCAAGTGAGCATCGTGTAGTGTAAGCAAGCATAATTATCACAAATCTCGAACATCTAGAAGCACCTGATTATGTTTTTATCCGCCTTTGACAGGCACTCGTGTAGTACGATGTGATTTCGTTCTAGGCATATGGACATCTGCATATGCTGCTCACTTCTGATTCCAACTGCCATGCACCAAATTGATGTTATCAATATCACCAGACTGCAAATCAAAAAACACCATATCTCGCAGCCGTTGTGCAAAGACCACACCGCTGTCCGAGAGCTGTTCTAACAGACCCATGAGCAGGAAGAGACTGCGCCGATGAACCTCCTCCTGTGAATGTCGCCAGCGAGCACTCAGAAATCGGCAGGCTAAGAAATAAGATGGTGCCAGAAATGAACCCATAAATGGCGATTCAGCTGCCGTAGCTCTTTCCTTAATAACATCTATCATCGACTGAATGGCCTTGAATGCGCGCAAGAAAGTAACGCCACCGGCTCCGCGGACAAATATACTTGACACTTTTACATTTTTGGCACAAGCAGAGGTCGGATAGTCTAGAATCACGGAGCAGGTATGTAGCGTAACGTGCAGTCGAGTTATGGCAAATGAATCTGTGCCTACAGCATTCATCGAAAGACTATGTGTTACTGTGACCCAAGTCTTGACTAGTGCCGCTTTGAGCTGCAGGAACTCGTCTGCTCGTTGTTGGTGGTCGGTATCCGGAGTAACCATATTCTGATACTCGACAATTCGCCCCAAAAGAACAAACGCCTTCTGCGTGAATTGATGGATTGATAATTCAAAGGGCTGATCGGCCAGGGGCGGGTAGCTAAGAGACGCCAGATCTCGCGTAAAGATCTGTCGATTTGATCTTGGGTATTGACCAATCCGCTGCAAGCATATCAGACCGGTAGCGATTAGTATATTTCACCAGTTATGGGACCTATTACTAATATGAACGAACTAACCTCGGAACTTTCAGACAACGAGCTACATGGATACTCGACCATGAAAATCCGATCGTTCACCGCAAAATGCACTCCATGCAGATAGTTTACCTGCCGATCCAGGAGGTAAAATGCCCACATCGTCCACCGACACTCTTCTTCTTCCACGGCGCTGTTGAGCGGAAGAATGAGGTGCAGTGGCTTGTAATCGTCATCAATGCGGTTCAAGCCATGCATACAGGCGACAGAGAAGCCCTGAGCGAGGCGACTGGTAGCCTGTAGCAGATCACCTTGGATATAGTCATAGCACGCATTCCATACTGCAGCTTGAGCATCGCGCAAGACAGGGCCCTATCACGCTGGTTCATTTCCTGTCCGTTGTGTAGAAGAGAGAGATAAAGGGGGGGGGAAATAAACTCACATTAGACCTGACACTCTGCTCGTACAAACGAATTGCAACGTCATGCCATTTTTCATGAGGATATTGCATTCCCTTGCTCGTCTGGCCCACCACAGCAAGAATGCTCCACAACAAGGGAGTGTCCGCTGCGGCTTGGATATCGATTAAAATATTAACAAAAGACTCCTGATGAATGCACGGGAGTAGCTTGTGATTATGCTGGAAAAAGAGCTGAACAATTTCCATCACCTGAGTGAACGACGGCAAACTTTCGGGCAGCGATGTTGTCGATGGCGGCGTCAGCGACATGGATAAGATCGATGGGTCGAGCTGGCCCGAACAAGGCGTCAGACTTCCAAAAAGCGACGGAGGCGAGTCCAGGTCGATATTCACGCCATCCAGTAAGCTATACTGAACCATAGACTGCATAGGGTCGCTGTTGCGTGGCAGCTGTCCGAGACTCTCAGTGTCCTGCATCGGCAGATCTGCCGTCCGAGGAGTCGCATAAACGCAGTGCAGCTTCCACCTTGCGCACTCGGAGCATGCAGGGAGACGATTCTGAGCAAGTAGTGTCAATCCATGCGGTAGCATTTGAACAGTTAAAAGTGTCAAGGGAGACCAGAATCATACATCACAGCGCTTCTTCCGGCGTCGACAATCCTGCGTACAGTGAGCAAGGCGCATTTCACAGACAGGCAATAAACCTACCGCGCAGGCTTTTATTCTGGAACTCATTTCCTCGAGAATTATTGGGTTGCTAGCAAGTCGGAGTATAACGAATCTAAAAAAGTGACGCTGGACTTCAAGAATGCCCACCAAATTTCCAATCCGGCTGTCTGTCGAGTCCTGTGAAATGTCACGGCGGACCTAGCTGGGTAGAATAAAACGGCACACTTGTCGTGACTCCGTGTCACACAACGACCTGGAAGCGCCGCCAGACCCAGTGACCGGTGACAGGGGAAATGATTGACAATATTACGTGGCTTTTTCCTGGAAATCGAAGTTACTTTTTGAGAAGTGAAGCTATTGACGGTTCAAGTTGGTCTCCACGGAGTTACTATACATGACACCAGTCCCGATCCGGTTTAGCCACCCCGCCATTTTATTGTCAAATTGTTTGGCCGACGGAAGCCGATTCTCCGCTCTTAGGGGAGTAAAGATTTATGTTTATATGTATCTACTTGCAATACATATACAATATCTAGCCCTCAAACCTGAACCCGTCAGATGGCTCCCGAGAATCTTCCTCGACAACGATCATGGGAATATTTTGAAAAACCTCAGGCAGTATAAATTCCTGGGTGCGCCAATGAGAGACAACGCACTTCCAACCATTCTGTTGGCATCGATACGTGATCCTAGAGAACCTACATAAACAGTGTTAGATGCTATTATCAACTGTAAAAATTTCCTTTGTCGAGGTGAAAACGGACCCGTTGGTATCTAGTAGTCGAAGGCGTATGGCATAATCCACGGCATGGTCAAGGATCTCCTTGGCCTCATCATGCTCAACGGCATGACCTTGGTGTTTGCGAGCAACGAATTGGAAGATCAAATCTGGATTATTAATTTGTCCATATTCATCACGCTCCTCCGGTGGTCTTGAGAGGATGTCGCGGAGATCACTATCGGATAAGCTGGACTTGAGGCTATTGACAAGTTCTCGGAACCGCCGATCTTGATCTCTTTTTCCCTGGAGACACTTCTTACCTTTTTCCAAACGACGACGCGTCTCATCACCAGTTGGCTGCGACATGTTGTCAGGCCTGGAAGTCGTGATTTTTCAACTTTGCAGATTTTGCCTCGTCTCTAGGGAGGAAGGAGCGACGGCTTTAAGTAAGCATGGGCACAAAGGAGACAGTTCCATCTTGTTTGTTCATTATCGACAAAGAAGATCAGACATGTAACGCCCTTCGAAACACAGACGGTAAGCAGAGCTTTGTGTAGACTTGAGATGGAAAAGGGGACAACGGCTCTTTGCCCTTACCAGAGGAGGTTAGCGTGTTCCTCATCTCACGTGCAAGACTGTCACTCAAACTGACTGCGCCACAGCCAAGTCAAATGGGGAAGGCGCCATACCTGTTCAGTAACTTCCTACTTGTTGCCTTTGCATTTCGTCAAGCAGACCACCTCGCATCATCATCATCATCATTGAGTGCTCTCTGCTTGCGTTCGCTTTTTCGTTTTTTAACATCATCTTTCGTTTTCAAGGCGGATGCGTTATGTTCCTTTCGTTTGCCAGACCATGATTTCGAATGCTCCGCCTAATAGTAACCACATCCCCGTATAGCGAGAGGGCCCTCCCAGAGCCCTCCCAGAGCATATTGATGAACGATGCCCGACGAGAAGATCAAGTATGAGCAGCTGCCCATTCCTACCTACGAAGAAGCTACCGCGTCCCAGTCTGGCTCCTCGCATCTGGGCCCCGAATATTCGAGCGATGACTTAGAGAGGCAAGGCCTCCTCCAGCGTGGAGAACCCAGCAATGGAGGGTACCAACCTCCAACCGTCGAATCTGCTCGCTCCAGCATCGATTATTTTGCCTCTTCAGCCCCGAGTTCAGCCCGCGAATCTGTAGAAGACTTGCGGCGGGAGCTGCATCAAATGGACGTAGACGATTCCGTTCCATCTTCCTCATCTCGAACCCGTCATCCGTTATTGCGCTATCGATTCCCCAAGCATTTCTCCAATCCTTTCTCCAGTTTGACAAAGACCCTCTCATCGATACAATTACCCTTCCGAAATGGCTTCCCTCGCTTCCATTTCCCTCGCTTTTGGCGAGTCGGAGTTAGTGAAGAGGGTTTCGCTTGCATGATATTACTTCGTCTCGTCGGTCTTCTCATTTTAGTTTCTGTGATCTATCTCGTCTTCGTATCCGATCTCTTTTCCGTTGGTAGCCGGTTCAGCGTCGGCCAGTCCTATACGGCGTCCTCGGTTGAGAATTTTGTACAGGGTCATATCAACGAGACCAACATTGCCAACAACCTCGAAAAAGCCACAAAATATACGCATATAGCCGGGACGGAGGGCAGCTACGCGCTCGCGGAATGGATTGAACAAGAGTTTAAGTTGGCGGGACTGGAAGATATAGAGATGGAGGAATTTCAAGTATACTTGAACTACCCACGACCGGATGGCCGCCGTGTTGCGATCGTCGACCCACCGGAACTAGCCTGGGAGGCAGCAATCGATGAGGAGCAAGCATATAAAAATCCACCACAACAACAGTCACTTGTTTTCCATGGTCATTCCAAGGCTGGGAACGTAACCGGTCCCCTGATATATGCCAACTACGGCTCCCGCGAGGATTTCAAACACCTTGCTGACAGCGGCATCTCTGTAAATGGAGCGATTGTTTTGGTTCGATACTATGGCACTCAAGGTGACCGCGCGCTTAAAATAAAGGCAGCTGAGCTCGCAGGAGCGGCGGGATGTATCATTTACTCTGACCCCGCACAAGATGGCTTTATTCAAGGACCAGCCTATCCAGACGGCCGTTATATGCCGAGCGACGGTGTACAGCGAGGAGGGGTGAGTTTAATGTCTTGGGTTGTTGGAGACGTCCTATCGCCCGGCTTTGCTTCAACTCCAAATGAAAAGAAAAGGCTATCGCCAGAGGAGAGCCCTGGTTTGGTCCAAATTCCCAGTATTCCTCTCGCCTGGCGCGATGCACAACGCCTGTTACAAGTCTTGGAGGGTCATGGGTCTATGGTACCGGCCGATTGGGTCGGCGGTGTACCTGACATTTCCCAGTGGTGGACAGGCGATCTGTCTTCGCCCAAGGTTAACTTGATGAATCTACAAGATGAAGTCGAACGACAACCGATTTACAATGTCTTGGGACGGATCACCGGTATAGAACAACCCGAAAAGAAGATCGTTGTCGGTAATCACCGAGATTCTTGGTGTTTTGGAGGGGTGGATCCCGGCAGTGGAACCGCGGCTTTTCTGGAGGTTGTCCGTGTCTTCGGAGAGCTGATGAGTGTCGGGTGGCGTCCTCTCCGAACCATTGAATTTGCAAGCTGGGACGGCGAGGAATACAACCTGATTGGCTCCACCGAACATGTTGAGAATGAGATGGATAAGTTGCGAAAGGACGGCATCGCATATATCAATGTGGACGTTGGCGTTAGCGGGAATTCTTTCGAAGCTGCCGGCTCGCCTCTCTTTCGACGGCTTCTTTATAGCGCCATGGGTCGAGTAGGAGACGAAGCGGCTAATAAGACAATCAAAGAAATTTGGGACGAGAAAGGGAAACGTTTGGACGGGTTGGGTGCTGGTAGTGATTATGTTGCCTTTCAGGACATGGCAGGCACTTCCAGCATCGACTTTGGCTTTGGCGGTGAATCTTTTCCGTACCACAGCTGCTATGAGAACTTCGAGTGGATGGTTAAATTTGGGGATCCCAATTTCCATTATCACAAGATGTTGGGCGAGCTGTGGGGGCTGATTCTCTTGGAGCTTGCAGACAGTCCTATTCTGCCTTTCGACATGGAAGCGTACGCCGCCGATTTCACAGGATATGTTGAAAATCTCCAGGCATACGCGCAAACGAAGGGTGTTCCGCTCAAAACCACCGCGCGAGAGGAACTGACCGAAAATGTAGATCTTCAGCCTCTACATGATGCGGCGGATACATTCAAGAAAAACGCGGCCCTCTTTCAATCGTGGGAGCAGCTCTGGTACAACTCTATATATGGATCAGGGGGCTTTGAAAGCAATATGCTGGGTGTTCGACGAGTCGAGCATAACAATCGAATGACCAGGTTTGAGACAAATTTGCTTGACTTGTCTCAAGATGGAGGTGTTAGTATTTCTCGTCCTTTCACGGCAATTTAGGCGAGCTATCGACTAACGATAGGTGACAAAAAATAGGTCCCCAACCGAACCCAATTTAAACACGTCCTGTTTGCGCCTCAGACATGGTCTGGCTACGACGAGGCGTTCTTCCCAGCCATTCGAGATGCCATTGACAGTGGCAATTGGAACGCTACACAGGAATGGATCAATCGGATTGCCGATATTGTCACAGAAGCGAGTGTACAATTAAACAAATAATTTTCTTTTCCCTCTTTCGTTTTTCATATTCTCCTTTTTGCCAGGTTCCTTCCCTCTCTTCTAGCCTTTCTTTGTATATGATTGATTCCCATGCATGCTCATTGCGTGCTTGTGCATTTCTTGAAATGTAAAGCCTGTTTAATATCTCATAGTAATGATAGACAACTACAACATTGTACATGTCTTAAGTTATCCAGCTATATGCACACGTTATCTATTTGCATTTCTATGCGTGCATATATACATATAGGCTACGCGCAGTGGCTTTCTTTTTCCAATTTACTGCTCAGCCCCTCGCCGCTTTTACTCATAACTCAGAGGCACTACACATATGCTAGAATTGATTCTATCTACCTAATAGAACCCAAGAGTCTTCGAAAGTGTACTGTCAGACTCAAATCACCACCCGAAACTTGAGTAAGTTCCGTTGAACTATGTCCTGCTTCTTCTGCTCCAGTTCCTCCATGTCCCAGCTCACAGAGACGAATCTGCCGGAGAGCCAGTCCCGTCGCTCATGAGAGAGCCAGACCAACGTGTCGGCAGCCAGTTCCGGCGTATCGGTCAGGACATGTTGCCTCTCTGGAGGCATATTCATGGCTAGCTCGGTCTTGATCCCACCCGGGTGGAGTGAGATGGCGATGAGACCCTGCTGATAATATTCCTTGTCTATGAACTCGGTGAGACGACAGAGAGCAAACTTGGTCGTCTGGTAGCCCGATGCGCCCGGGAACATGACGTGGGCACCGCCACTAGAGATGTTAATGAGTGTCTTGGTTGGTGACTTGAGCAGCAATGGCACGAAATAGCGGACGGCGAGATAGGTTCCCTTGATATTGACCTCCCAAGTCCACCACCACTCACTTGGCTTGGATTCGGCGATGGGCTTCCACTCCTCCAGGTAGCCGGCATTGTTGATCAAGATGTCGAGGCTGCCGCCGAGGATGTCTACAGCGGTCTCGGAGGCCACTCGCACCGCGTCCTCCGACGTTATATCGACCTTCATGGAATGCACTAGCGGCTGGGAACGGTTTGCCTTCTTGGCCGCATTCTTGACGGCTGTCTCGACATCGGTCATGTCAGAACGAGCGAAAAGCAGGATTTTCGAGCAGCCCGCAGCAGCGAAGCTGATTGCGGTCGCCTTGCCGATGCCCTTGGAGGCGCCAGTGATTAAGACCGACTTGCCCGTCAGGTCGGCTTTGGCGGGATCAATAAAGGGGTACGTATCCTTACGCACCGAGACATAGCTAGCCACTGCAGGCCAGTTGGTCTCGCGCAGGGAGGGATCCTGAGCTGACATATTTATTCTCAAGAAGACCGTGAAGATGTAGAGCCCGGTAAGTGGACAAGGTGGGAATGTTAAGTATGGTTGGTAGCTATACTGACTTGTTATTTTATAACTGCAATATACCAATGCTGAGCAATTCAAACTACAGCTCTTGTCACTATGTCCGGTCCTAACTCCGGCTCTGACTTGTTGTTCCATACAATAGCTCTGATATATCGATAAATGCTGAGTATTTGGAACTCTTGTTACTATGTCCGGTCCTAACTCCGTCGATGTGCTTTACCCCCATAAGTAATTCGCGTTATTTCAGAGGATTAGAAAACCGCCCAAGATGTGGCCTCATGTACTTCTCTTTAGTTAGCTGCAGATATACGTACAAGCGCATACTTCCTTGGCCGAGATAACATAACATTTACCTCCATACATAAAGGTATTCAGCTGCACTCGAAGATAATCCGGGTGTGCATTGAAAAGGCAGCTCTCGCAAGGTTTTCGTTTCATGAAGTGGTGTCTTCCCTATTCCAATGGTTGGCTGCACGTTCTTTGCAATGAACCCATCAATTATTGTGTTGGTGGAAGCGAATCAGCTTGGGGCCCCTCTGCCAGCCTCTACACTGCGGTAGGGATCATTCCAGAGGGGACTGCCATTTCTTATCACTGCAAGATGCTTTGTGCTGGCATTATTGGGTGTTTCGATGGCGGGGTGAAATTACGGCGTATGAATTTAGGGCATAATCTGCAGGTCATTTTTAGGTGGCAGAAACGCGCCTGCCTAGAATCGTCCCTAGGTTTATAAGTATCTTACTGTCTGTGTATATACTTGAGATTGAGATGCTCTTTTCTCCGTCTATCAACTTCCACAGAAATGCCGGCCACCTGCCCTGCTAACGCTGACGACCGGTTTGGGCCTCGCGTCAACACCAACTGTCGCCAGTTCGACTTCACGCCGTGGTTTGAAGATGCCTTCTTCACACTCTTACCAGCAGCCGTGTTTCTTTTGCTCTTCCCATGGCGTCTACGCAGCCTGCGAAAGAAGTCTGTCAAGCTTCAATCCTTTCGACTGGTAATATGGAAGTTAGTCAGTATTGCCGGCCTAAGATGGAATTTCGCACAGCCATGGGACTAATGATACAGTAAACCCCAGGTGCTGCTAGCCACGCTCTTTATCCTTCAGCTTCTCTTCTTGGTAATGCGCCTACAAGACTCGCGAATCAATCGCATTGTCCGCCGATATCGTCGGTGCTATTCCAGTCCTAACGTCCTTGGTGTTGTCCTTTCTCAAAGACCAGCGTTCCCTCAACCCGTCTGACATTTTGGTCCTCTATTTCTCTGCATCGGCCATGTGTGCTTTGCCGCGACTGCGCTCACTGTGGATTATCCACTCCGTGCCGATTCCGAGGGCCATTTGGACCGTTATCACCGTCGGAACGGTAGTAGTCATGACCGTCGAATCCGCACGGAAGACCCGGTGGCTACGCTCGCTATACCGCCAGAGCAGTACTCACGAGCAGACTGCGGGCTTTTGGAGCGGAAGCTTCTTCATCTGGGCGCTCCCATTCTTCCAAGCCGGATACACCAAGGATCTCCAACTCGCTGATATCCCGCCGGTAGACGACGACTTGAAAGGTCAGTCAAACGTGTACGAACTGCAAGTCGCATGGAAACGTGTCCGAGCCCGGCATCGTTTCCGTCGTCATCTTCTTCTCCAGGCTACCTTTGCGGCAAATAAATGGTCATTTTTGTCAGCCGTTTTTGGTCAACTCATCTGTCTCGTATGTCAGCACCGAGGCGGAAGAGAGGCCCAAATATTATGGACAAGCACTCGTGGGGGGCTTTGCTCTTGTCTACCTTGGTATTGCAGTAAGGACTTCAAAGCACCGTACTCCAAGATTATGTCGAGTCTAAAAGCATGGACGAGGATAGGTATCGAGAGCCGTGTATTGGCGACAGACCTATCGTTTAGTGAGCAGGATCCGATCGGGTCTCACGATCAACATCTACCGGCACATCACTGCGCTTCCTGGGCGTGATGTGAAGAATATGGAGGCAGTTACGCTCATGGGGACCAATGTGGAGCGAATTGTGGACACATTTACTTATATTCATGAATTGTGGGCTTCAATCATCGAAGTAAGCATCGCCATCTGGCTCTTGACCCGGCAGATCTCTCTAGCATCATTAGTACCGTCGGTTGTATGTGTGGGTGAGTAGCTTCCGTGCTGATATTTTGGCTTTTCTATTTGACTGAATTAATTGGTGCCCAGCATCGGTGTTCGCAGCATCACGAGTTGCCACGGGGTTTGGAAAAGCTCAGAAGACGTGGAATGAACGGGTTGAGAAGAGAATCTCGGCCACGATTAGCATGCTCGGGGATATGAAGTCGGTCAAGTTTCTCGGCCTTGCAGGTGTTATATCGGACATCATAAGACAGTACAGGGACATTGAGCTTCAAACATCGGAGAAATTGCGCCGATTGCGCATCTGGAGGATCCTTGTTTGTAGGAATATTTCTATCCGTCAACAGATACCCCTACTGACTGAATCAAAACAACTTTTTAGCGAATACTCCTACAACTATCAAGCCATTCTGTACGCTCGCAACGTATGCTGCGATTGCAGCTGCTAGGAAAGACGAGACGCTGCTCTCCGCTCAGGCTTTTTCTTCTCTGTCACTAATCAGTTTGGTGACAAACCCTCTACTAACCTTGTGTCAAGTTCTCCCATCCTTCATTCAGGGTATTTCTTGCTTTAGCCGCATTGAGAGCTACTGTTTGAAATCCGGCCTACTTCAAACGAATAGCCGTTCCTCGCAGTCGCTTGCTGTGAGCCTGACGAACAACTCTACTGAGCTGACGGAACTGGCCTCGGCACTCGGTAGCAACGATAGTCTCTTTGTCTTTGACAATGCTGACATCGCTTGGTCCCTGGAGGCAGCTCAACCTGTCCTGCACAGTCTAAGTCTGACTATCAGCCGTGGGCTCACTGCGATAATTGGACCAAGTGCATCGGGCAAATCAACATTACTTCAGAGTATGATTGAAGAGACTGTTTTCAAGAAGGGCTCTATGATATCAAATGGGTCCAGAGTGGCCTTTTGTTCGCAGGGCCCGTGGATCAAGGACGATACAATCCGATGCAATATCATTGGAGGAGGCAGGGAGACTGACTTTGATCAGAAATGGTACGACTTTTCTCTCTTGGCCTGTGGCCTTAAGCATGAGCTGGAAAGCTTTCCTGCGGGTGATCAGACATTTGCTGGAAATAATGGTGTTTTATTAAGCGGAGGACAGCGTCAACGAGTGGTCGGTAATCCCCATGCCCGGCATCAACCATAAGTTCAAACCTGATTGACTCTGTTTTCTTCCCTTGGCTGTAGGCCCTTGCACGTGCCGTTTATTCCAGGCTTCCTGTGGTAATACTTGATGATGTGATGAGTGGGCTTGATCCAAAAACGACGAGCACAATTGTCAATCATTTGTTCTCCCAGAACGGCTATTTTAGGAAAGCGGACATATCGGTGATTGTTGCTACTCATAACCGTATGAGATTCACCATCAACATGCACAGAGTATACTGCTAAATGTCACCGTAGGGCAACTCCTTTACCACATGGACGCGGTTGTTGTGTTGGAACAGGGCAGAAGTGTACACTCTGTGTCCTACGAGGAGACTCTAGCGCGACATGACGGTCTTAAAACAGAACCGGGGGCATCATCTATTTACGCGTCTCCAGTTGAAGTAATTGATGATGACACTGAACAATCAGCTACCCACACGCCTACAGTAACCCCCCTCCATCCCCCGTCCAGAGAGAAGAAGGGAAACCCCGACCAGGCTGTCAATGAAACACAGAGACAACAGGCCACCTGGTCAACTTACTTCTATCACGGACGAAGTGCAGGGTTTTGGTCTATGGTCCTCTGGATAACCTTCACTTTTGTTGGTGCCATTTTGACCAGTCTAACAAACCAGTGCATCGTTTTCTTTCTTCCAGAAAACAGACAATGCTTCAATTATAAATCGGTACGGGTAGACATTTCATCCAATAGCTTCGTCGCTAATGACCGAATCATTCAGATTTAGTCAGGATATTGATCTCATCGATATGGGGCTCCCCTCGGAGGTGATCCAATTTACAACAGGTATGAGTCACCCACACAGGATAAACAAGACTACAGACTAAGATACTTTTCTTTCCTGGCAGGAGCTGCGTCTTGCGCTGTACAATTGATCGTCCTGTGCGTTATGGGAAAGTTCCTTGCGGCAATAATTCCAGTCCTTGCAATCGCCCTGTTCATTGTACAGTCCTACTATTTGCGTACCTCTCGCCAGGTTCGCCTTTTAGATATTGAAACCAAGGCGCCGGTCTACAAACAGTTTATCGAGACCTCACACGGAGTCTCAACCATCCGCGCTTTTGGCTGGCAAGACGCATTCTACGAAAAGCAGGCCGAAGTTATAGACCAGGCACAACGGCCATTTTACATGCTTTTCTGCATTCAGCAGTGGTTAGAACTTGTCCTTGATTTAATCATCGCTGCCCTTGCAGTAATCATAATTTCCATCGCCACCACAGTTAAAGGCAGTCTTAGTCCAGGAGCGCTGGGGGTGGCGCTGGTCATCATTTTGCAGTTCAATTCGGATTTGTCACAGACTATACAGTCTTGGACAAAATTGGAGACATCAATCGGGGCGGTGGCCAGAGTTCAGCAGTTTTTGCAAGAGACCCCTGTCGAGCCGGATGCTGATGTTACTCCTGACGCAGGGTGGCCGTTGAAAGGGGCTATTCACTTCCAGGATGCCGTTGCTAACTATGGGTTTGTCTATGCTTCTTTTTCTTTGCGCTTTCGCTTCTTATATTAAAACTTGTAGGTCCGACGATACACTGCCGGCCATGGCAAATCTCAACCTGCGAATCACCCCGGGAGAGAAAATCGCCATCTGCGGACCATCAGGAAGCGGCAAGTCAACTCTCATCATGGCTCTTGCACGGATTATTGATCTCAGAAACGGAAAAATCACGGTTGATGAAATAGATATCTGCACCGTTTCACCTGCCCACCTCCGGTCATGCTTGAACATCATTCCGCAAGAGCCGTTCTTCATTCCCGGTTCGATTAGGGTTAACATTGATCCACACAATCAGCACTCTGATACTTTGATTGAGAGCGCTCTTCGAAAGGTTCATTTATGGGAACGAATGGCTGTTGGTAGAGAAGGAGGAGCAGGAACACTTGATAGAGACCTTATTGCGTCGGAATGGTCACAGGGTGAACGGCAACTATTATGTCTAGCCAGGGCATTACTGGTACCCAGTCAAATCCTGATTTTAGACGAGGCAACAAGCAGGTATGTTGTGTGCGATTTTCATCATTTTCCCCCGCTAACGCTCATTTCATATAGCGTCGACGAGGGAACAGCTACCATTATGCAGGAAGTGGTCGAAGCGGAATTCCCAACCCAAACTGTCATTTCAGTTCTGCATCGCTTCGCCTATATCAACCGATATGACCGGGTCGCTGTCTTGGAACAGGGGAGGGTCGTCGAGTGTGACAAGCCGCGAACCCTTCTCAATCGAGAGTCAACGTTCAGGGAGTTTTACAACTTGAGTGAACACGCTATACAATAGATGACACATTCAACGCCAAGTTCTTTTATGTTTATTCCTTCCCGGGGAACTGTCATATTCGAACAGAGGGCTAATCTATTCGAACAATCCGATAATGGAATGTGATTTCTAACGGCCGTAAGGAAAGATTCAGAGTTGTTCTTATGCTATTGTCGCTTTGCCTTTTTAGTGCCCTCAACTGACGAGAGGTACAAAGCTGCAGCACAAACGCTGCAAGCTTGGAATACATTATATAATGAATAAGATGAATAATTAGAAGGAGTATGTCCAAGATTAATCTAACTAATGCGTTGACATTAACTATCAAGGACTTACATATAAAGGCACGCGTGGTTATGTATTGATTGATTGACTAACGACTAATGGTAACAATTACCAACTCCCGACATGCAATGAACGTGTGTATATAACTTCGATCGAACAAAGTGAAGACTCCGTAGGGAGAGTGCGAATCGAAAACAACAAAAAGATAATGCAGAACATCATGGCGAAAGAAAAAAGAAAGAAAGGAACATTCAAAATGAAGGAAATATGAGAATGCAGAGTGAAGTACATGGTCAAAAAGTTCAATCGATATCCCCCCATTAACTTAATTGACAACACTTGTGATTATCTATAAATTATAAAAGAAAGAGGTAAACGCCCAAATATGCTCGCAGGTGTTCGAACAAGGAACGAAAAAGAAATTGTGATCTCACTTTCTGAAATTGTCTACACTCAACGAAGGCGTTTCGACGAGCTCGTCACTGGGGACGCCTTCACTGCGTCTGCGCTCGAAGAAGTTGTCAAATTCGCAGACCACCTGGGCCCATTCCGCAAGAGCGCGGCCAGCATATTTACTAGCCACCAGACGCTCATTTCGCACCGATAACTTATTCCCGTTGTCGAAATAGTCTATTTCGTCAACCGACGGACCTGACCCTTTCGTTGTAGCATAAGAATTGGTTGTGCTAGCCGTTGATGCGTCTGTGTTGTCCCGTGGTTCATTCACAAATTCATCTTCCGTTGCTGGGCTTGTCAGCGCCTTGACTGATCGCTGGTGCTGGACATGGTGAAAAGTCTGTTTCGGAAGACTCGGTTGAGTTAGGGGCCTGTTTTTGAGAGCTTGATTCCATTGATGGTTTTCCAAAGAAAACTTGAAATTGTACGGCTGGTTTGCTGCGTGGTCAGCTTCGTCTATGCTGTTGGTATCCTCTTCATCTGTCTGGTTGCCGGTATCCTGTGAACTGGTACTAGGGTGATTGTCCGACTGTGCGATATCGCCTTGCTCGCCCATCAAGCTGTCAATAGGATTGACTTCATTCTCATCAGAGACGCTTCCGGGCGGCGTGACTTCTCCAGGTTTCGGGTTTGCTGTCCCTCCAAACACGCTCTTCAACAAATTCCACCTTCTTTTGGGTGCTGACTGAGCGTCAGGCAATCCATTAGGATCAAGCTTTAGTATAACATGGCTTTGATAACCCCCCGAATTAAACGTCGATGCTGGATTAACGAGTCTGTCAAACGAGGCGAAAAGGTTACTTGGAGAGGGATGCTGATTGTCAGAGCGGATGATCAGGATCCGTCGACCAGGAGCAGGGCTACACATCTCTGACGATAATAGCGCCCGATTCTCCTTTTCAGCCTTGGAGTTGAAGGCCAGATAGTAAGCCCATACTTGTTCGATCTTGTCCAAAAGCATTTCGTATATTTCCCTAAAAATCCAGTAACTTAGCCACGGTCACATACATCTATAGGAAAATATGACTTACGAATCAGCAGGTGTAGGATCTGCATTGAAACGAGCCAACCTCCAGCAAAGCAGACGATGAAAATAGGATCGGACCATGGGATTCCAATGGCTGAAGTACGTGTAAAAATAGTCATCATGAAGTAGAAATTGAGTGCAAAGCTCGTGGTATCGTTCTTTGTTTGAAGTCCATGGTTTCCACATGGAGAAGAGGAAAGCGAAAAGGCGGACGTCAGTCATAGAATTATGACTGCGAGTCAAATGTTTGCAAACATCCATCCAGAACGGCCATTCAAATATATCTTCCTTGATTTTCCGGCAATATCTGTTAACCAACGGAGCTGCCTCCTCTACGAAATCGCAGAGAACAAAGCAGGCGCTGTGATTAAACAATGACGTTTTCCGAGAAGCAGTCTTCAAGACGCGCATGAAGGAATCAACGTACATTCTACGTGCTTGGGCGAGCTCAGGTGATGGTTCGGAAAGGAAGTCTTTCAAAAGTATGATTAACCGGTTTTCCGCCATGGAACGATGACAATTTGCCATGCCTAATGATAAAGTCGACATTGCAGCATTGGGTCCTTCAATAAAATCGTCAAACGTTACTGAGCTTGCCCCGAAAGAAGTGTCGGGAGCCTGTGGAGAAGATTGCCGATAAAACGTGTCCTCCAAAACCATCAAAAGATGACCTTGAACAGACAACATACCAGGTGCAAATATGTGGCACGGATTTTCTGTCTCTCTGGGTAGAAAGTCGCAACTAAGAATATGGAAGTATTTGACGAAGACAAAGAACAGATCACTATCCCGTCCACACCAGCGCGATATCCAAGGGCCATGCCATGGTATTTGCACTGCACTCAATGGCAAGGTCGGTGGCTGGCGTAGATATCTGGACAAAGCGATATGAGAAAAGAAAGCAAGAGGCCGCACAGGGAGTGGGAATCTCGCAGCAAGATTATGTGTTATTGTTCTACCCCCGGAACCTTTGTAGACCGATGGATCTACGAGCAAGCGACGGAACGCGTCTGAAGGAGTATTCCATAATCGTACCAACATGTCAGCAACACCAGGACAGAAGTAGAACGCATAGGCACATGCAGTTCCACAGAACACCACAATACTAGCTGGTGCATGCCGCAGAGACATTCTCTCCACGACAAACGACATCTGTGAGAGCAAATTTTGATTGAAAATGTTCCGTACGTTATGGTAAATCGATTCCGCGAGAAAATCCGAGGAGCCCGACTCTAGGGAGGAATTGGAGCTATGAGCAGAGAATGCCTGTGGGTGATAAGGAATCCTCCATTCCTTCCGCATCATTATACCTGAGATCGCTTCCAAAAAGACTGGTCTGTCCGTACCAGATACGGGCTGGCTGTGTTTGCCGTTTAATAATGTCAATAAGGCAGTCCACCATTTATTCAAAATGTTCACCCGCCGGTCAAGGTCTTCGGGCCTAAGGGTATTAAATGATGGATGTGATGCATATCGAGCGAGGAAAGGGAGTAGTGACGATCGGACCACGGTGACTTTGAGATTGGTTGACTTGGCCTGGAACTTATGGAGATCCGCCTCAAGGCCTCTGAAAACTGTCCAAAGTTCATCCTTCTTTCGAGAAGGCTCCACGGTGGCAATCGTAGACAAAGCTGGGGGCTTTGGAAGTGGCGGTAACTCGGGCGTCGATATGTCATTCTGTGCCAATTGGTCCATAGACTTCCTGCTGCGTAACGATGGTGGAGGCTCAGCGGACTTGCTTCGAGTTACGAAAGTGCTCAGCGGACGGCGATATTTTTTACTCGAAGCATTCTTCTTGTTGTCAATGTCCTCACTCGGATCTGTCGGGGGTTCTTTGTCTTCTTTGCTCTCGGTATTCGACGACACGCCGTTTGTGGATACGTGACTTTTGGGGGTTGGAGAGTGCTCTCGGGAGCGAGCTGTCCCTGAACTTGAGCCGGGCCGGGCTGGCGAAGGCGATCGAGAACTTGACATCCACGAAACACGAGCCAGTGTGGCAATCTTTCCAGATACGGATCGAGCCTTCTTCGGTCTCACGGCAGGTCTCACGCTAGTTTCTGGAGTCATGGCATTTTGGACAGGTTTTTCTTTGTTGTCAGGAGCAGCTCCTAGATTCCCTGACCTTTCCTTCAGTGTGGTGTCGTCTGATGCAGAAGTTGAGTCAGTGGGTTTAGGAGTTTCACGAGATGGGGTCTGGCGGTTCGAGGACTTGGATTTGTTGGACGGACGCAGTGTAACACGGCGCAGAATATCCTTGCCAGTAGCGAAGTTTTCTTTGACTGATGACTCGTTCCTAGCGGAGACGCTGGCATTAGAGACGGTTCTTTTCACGGCAGGCTCGACGGGGCCATCGTGGACGTCTTGTTCCTTGGCTGAGTCGAAGCTCGCTATAGTCCTTGGAACCGAATTATCTGGCTGAGCGGGTACATCGTGCTGCTCCTGCTGCAGAAGCGGAAATTGCAAAAGCTGAAGTCTGTCGAGGTCCAGTGCCATTTCCAACGAGTGGGGTTATGGATATTTGGTGATAATGGTGACACGTCAAAGCAGTCCGGAGAGTCCAGCTCTCCAGGAACCAGAGATCAGGTCACGACGTCAGTGCATACGCATCGCTCGAATGGGAAAGACACGTTATCCCCTGCGACCCGAAGTTCACAACCGAGTAATCATCAATCAGCTGTGGCAATGCGTAATGCGTAATGCGGTAAGAATGGTAAAATTGTCGAGTGGAAACGGACTCGCGGGGACGAAAGGTATAAGCTGTGAAGTTCAGGACCGGCCGGAAAATCGAGGAATCCGCAGTAATGCTAACGCACGAAATGACAACAAGATGGTCTAGAGAGATTTGAAGATGAGCAAAATTGCGAGGGGCAGAGACAAAGGGACGCTGATTAGTTGCTGGCGGAAGGATTCTTAGTCCAGTTTCAAGTTCAAGATCGCGGTAGGGCGGATCATGTGGTGGTATGGAGAAGTCAAGAAAGAGAGGAAAGATAACAATGACGATTGATCAATTTACGAACAAACGAGGAACCCAGGAAAACAGGGAGAGCAGGAGAGAGGGAGAGAGGGAGAGGAAAAGGGCGGAAGGTGAGGTGAAGGTTGAAGAAGGTGAAACAAGCTGGGAAGGTGACTGGAATGAAGGCGGGTAGTGAGACTAGACGATGCCCGTCCAGATGACTGACTTCTTTATTGCAGGAGTAGTATAATTATCATAGCATAATATAACATTCCCATAGCAAATACTAAAATAGTCTCGAATTAAAAGATTGCAAGATACCCTCCGTGTCATTAAAGGTGTCTTCGGTATGCAGAATTCGAATGCTACTGAGGTACTTGTCTGGGGCCTACATTAAGTTGGTGACCTCATGTTAGAAAAAAGTCGAAAAAAGTCGAAAAAAGTCGAAAAAAGTCGAAAAAAGTCGAAAAAAGTCGGGAAAAAAAAAAGGTCAAAATGAAAATGAAAATGAAAATAAAACAAGGCATCTACTGAGACAACCCGCGCCTTTTATCCACTGCCTTCCAAATCATTCGCCCGTATTCAACCAGCGCAAAGAGCCGCGCGCACTGGGGCTTTGAGGCTTGAGCAGCTTGGCGATGGCCTCTCGTCCAATCTGTTCGACACGCAGTCTACTGATGTACACTGCTACACATACTAGTCCTCAGGGCGTGGCACTAGTAGTGAACTAGAGTGGTAGCATCAGTGGTAGATCCATCATCAAAGGGAGGCTGACTGCCTAGTGAACAGCCACATATCAGATAAATACCATTGAAGATTAGCCACAATAGTCCGCATCCTCGAGCCGAGACAATCATGCTGCATGATTGTATGCACCTTGCAAGCGAGTGCCACAGCATGGCATGGCATGGGCTGTGGAGATGGAATTATGACACCATATCAGGTTCGAATATTATTATTGTACCTGGATAGACGCAAGGAGCATGTCAGGTTATTGCCCAGTTCCATGGTTAGCAATGCCAGGTACGGTCTTCGTTTCCGGATTAGTTGGTGCTTCGTGCATCAACCCATTTTGTATACCACGACGCATGTCCTCGAATACCTAGGTGACTTTATATAGAAAGAATATAAAGAACAAAATCACGACTTGGAAAAAGAAGATCGAAGCTTGGTTATATTGCTTAATTTACATTGCTTCAAAACAACGGTTCAGTTAGTTAGGTACCACAAAAGAAAACCCTGCCATCGCTTTGTAACGAAAGAGAAAAAGGCTCAAGAAATGATGGCAATTCCTCTTTGTGCCATGTGCAGTCGAGAGATGAATTCTCTCTTAATCACCCCCTTTCACCATCATCTCCGCGATAAAAAGAAAAATCCGCGAGATTCTCGTAGATCATAAATTCACACACCCTGCATCATACACACAATCATCTATCACTCAAATCGGTCCGAGATATCTTGGTTATATTATTTTCCTTTTCCCCCTCGGTCCAAAGGGAATAAAAAAAGGTCGACGGACGAAGAATTGGGTGAATAACATTTAGTGAGCAGCAGCGGTTTCCTCCTCATCCTCTTCGAACCAGCTCTCTTCCTTGGGTGCTTCTTCGCCAGCAGCAGCCTGGCCTTCAACCTCGACGGTCTGGGTCTCGTAATCCTTCAGTTCGTTGGCGAGGCTGGCCTCCTCTGGTGATGGCGGGGGCTTGGGAGCGCTGAATTTCTGGACGTGTGCTTCGGCATCACCAGGCTTGGTGGGCTTGGGCTTGTAGGCACGGAGTTCGCGGAGATAGAGGTCCTGGACGGGATCGGCTGTGTTTTTCGATATCAGTAAACAATAGTTCAATTATCCGAAACGAGACCGAGACCGCCACCACGACAATGGGCCATCATAAATCGATCACTTAATTCACCAACAAGCACCCCTGATCTCTTCTTATAAGCGAACATGAGAGTGACATACCTCGGCGAGTGGCAGTAGTCAGGAAAGTGCGGTATGAAACACCGACGGACTGGCGGCTGACACGGGTGAGCAGCGAGCGCTACACGAGTCAATGGTTAGCTAGCTGTTTTCAACGCATAAAAGCGATCGTTGAGCAATTGGCCTTACAGAAGCTCGGACAGATTGGGACATCATCGCGACGGTTGAGGAGGATGATTGGTTCGAGGAGCGAGCAAGAGTTGTGGTGAGGTGGATGAGAAGAGGTTCGGAAGGAACTTTTGACTTGTCCACACGCAGTCTTGGCACATGCGGCTTAGTCACCCCGTGATCATCCGACGCTGTGTATGTATAGTTACATTTTGTATGCCATCTAAATCATATACTTATTTCATTCATATATTGAAGAATTATGGCGTTGTAAATATTTCTTGCATTCTGCTGTGCTAGTAGAAATTTATTCAGCATGGTAAAAAATCTAGGACTTCGTGGTCATCAGCCACGTCCGATACTAAAAAACGGTTCAGTCTGGGTCTGCAATCTAATTGCGCGATGCAATTGTGAGAGGAAACGAATTCCCGATGTACTACAATGTAAAAGCAACACAGGACCATTGCCAATGCATGAATATATAAACATAACTAAACCGTCTAGCTCTGTGGTAGATTCGCCTTGTCCCCGTTCACCTTTGCAATGAAATCATCCGTAAGTAGGCGGTCTCTCTCTGAGTAGAGCTGCTTGTACGCGCCACGGATAGTTCCATCGCTGACACCAACAACGTTCGAAATCTCTTTGGCTGATTTGGGTACACCGCACAGGTGAGAGATCATGTAAATGCAAGCCGCAACAATTGAAAGAGGTGATCTGCCGGCAAGATCACCATCCTTTGTGACTTTGTCGGACAAAGTAGCTGCTGCATTCCATGTCCGGTAGTCCAAGCCCAAGAACGTACCAAAACGTTCACAGAGATCACTGGGTTTGGTTGAAGTTGTCTGTTTGAAGCCGGCATCAGCACCGACAATAGCTGTGCGTTCAATATTCTGCGCCGTGAAGAATTTCTCTAGGGACTTGTAGATCCTCCCGATTTCCTTTCGAGAAACCTTTGTCACCGCAAAAATCTCGGAAAACGTCCGAGGGGCTTGACATTGTCTGCAGGCAATGAATATGCAGCCAGCAATGATCACATCCTGAGATTTTCCCTTGAACGCCTTATGGTCGTCGACTATCTTGAATAGGTACTTTGCCGTGTCTGCAACAATCTTTTGGATGTTGAAACCGTCGCACAAAGCACCGATTTCTTTGTAGGCAGCCATGAGCGATTTGTTGCTCTTCTCACTAGAGAGCTTGTTCTGAGCGCGGTACAACTGCCGAGCAGCCCCAGTTGCACCTCCTGCAATACTGGTCTCCAGCTGATTTCCATTCAACAAGATGTTGGATGTTTCACCAACACGCGACGGGTCATCGTTGTTCTGATCATCGTTGGAAAACGTTCGCCATTCCGAGTGCACGTCGATTTCGCGATCCGCCAAGACCAATCCACAAGAGCCACAGACAGTCTCGTGGGATCCTGGAAACTCGAGATTTGGAGGGAACTCTTTGCACTCGGGGCAGATGACGTGTGCCGACAAATTCTTCTTCCACTCCGATCCCACCGCCGAAGTCGCTGTAGTAGTCGCCATTTTTCTTGCTGCCTTGATCTGGGGTAACTAAATTCTGAAACCCACAGATTTCGTTTTCGTTCGGCGTCGAGGCGAAGTGAGCTTCGACACTCGCGAGGTGAAGGGAGCGCGAGTGGCGATGGTAGGCGGCGTGTGAATGAAACGAGACAGGCGGCGCCACGGCCGTAACAGAGTCAAACAGATGACGCGAAATGGCAGTGGCGCACTTTCCCAAGTCAGCGAGGCCTGATAATATTCTTGCAGCTCTCAGGCATGTCTCGCCGAGCAGCGTCGTGAGAAGATGGAGGTGAGATGGAGGTGAGGTTCAGCAAGCGCTGAGTCGACGGCGTGAAATCAGGCAGCCGCAATCTGACTAGCTGTTTACGGAAACGCGGTATTATTAATCCGCAGGCAACCGCTAACTAGTTAGTTGACTGGTAAGGCAGCGAACTCTCTAGAACATTTTTGCCTTTGGCTATGACTTCTGTTTAAATTCATTCCGTTATTCCTCTCCGTGATCATGGCTAATACTGCTGAAGACACAGGGAAGCCTTTGGTTTGGAATATCCAATGCTCAGCCGAATATCTATGACATCTTGCTGCGGCAATTCTGGAGCGAGATGACTATGTATGGGAATCACTCATTACTCCCTACTACTAGTCTTAACTGGCATGCCACACAGCTTGATAATACTTGTTGCAGATAGTCTATGTATGGCTGTTTACGGGAAGAGTTGAACGTCATATATCTACTGACTCTTCCTTGAAGCACCCGCTACTGATCACCTTGGAGATCGGTCTTATACTGACAGTGGAATATAAGGCATACTATAGACATAAAACGAGCATTACCACAAGCCCCGTTAAGGGGACCCTTTTTGGTGGCCTAGTGGTTGTTATTCCTTTGTTCATGCTTATCTCCGAGTCCTATCATGCATGATATACCAAGCTAATGTCGGCCACGTAGGCGCAACAGGTTTGCGGTGTAGTAAGTCCTAGGCTAGCTTCTCCACAGCAATGTACTGATGTATCTCTAAAATCGATCTCGGGCTCATCTTACCCGTGTCGTCGAACCCGAGGGCTGGAGGGAAGCGACGAGACGTGTGTTTACCCAGCGTTGCCCGTCACACCGCTGATATAAAGACTTGAGACAGTCCCTTCGTATACCTAGATATTCACCTGGAAAGACTCGTTATATCTTGTCCGCACCGTTGTCAGTTAAGAAATGATTTCTTTTAGGTGGAAGTCTCCGATGAAGGACGAACCTTCTGTGGTTTCAAGTGTCATTATTGCAAACGGGGTACAGGTAAGAGAAAATACAGGCTTTGACGGTGTTGGTAAGGCTTATATCTGGAAAATATAGAGAGAGGTGACGGGAACTATTTGTATGCCCAGATATTTGGCGGAGCTGCCTTTGTAGGAGGCGCTCTGACTCTCACTGGTGCAAGAATTGCACGGACAGGGCTAGAATTGAAACGGCGGACATGATATAAAGATGTCTTAGGGCATAGTTAGTATTTTTGATCCTTTTCCGCGAGAAATTCAATATCCGCTAGATAACTTTGAAAGAGGCCGTCGAATACTTAGAGTAAAAGGCAAAGTTGGCGTTCTGATTGGTAGCTACACTACGGGTACGCGTTCCCTAATTAGGGTTAGCACAGTTTAATGCATGTGTTCCGGCCAGCTTCAACTTCCGTCAATGAAACTACGTTCAGCAACACCTGGCAGGCGGCCAATGCTGCCCATTTACGACCATGCCGGACGAGTCCAAGGCTAAAGCCTTTCCTGACATTTCTTCAAAGCTGTCCGCTGCTCCGAAGAGGTCGCTCTTTGAACGCCAAAAGGCAGAGGCCGAAGCGAAACGTGCGCGCGAACGAGCCGAAACCGCCGCCGTATACGAGGATTTCGTCAAGTCTTTCGACGATGACGGACATAGCAACACCCGCACCACATCATCATCAACAAACTTCAGGTCCAGTGGCCATTCTGGCCCTGGAACTCTCGGTGGTGGTGTTGGCCCGCCGCCCAAACGGCACTTCACAAGCTCGTCCCTTAACCGCAACAGCGGTCCTGGCAGCTTAGGTCCAGCACCGTCGCTTGCACGGAAGCGAACGTACGACGGCTTCTATCGTGATCGAGACAGGGATAATACTAGTCATGGGATTTTTGGCTATGAGGACAATGACCCGCCAGCGGCCTTTCGTGCCTCTGATGATGAGGAAGAAAGAGTCGCAGAGGATAAAGAGGCCGAACGAGCTGTTGCGAAACCTACAGTCTATCTATCTTCTCTACCACCAGGGTCATCGCCTGCTGTTATTAAGTCGTTGATCCCCGGGAATCTTACAGTTGACGGCGTCAAAATCATGCCTCCGTCTACTCAAGCATCTACAGAACGCAGGTCTTTCTCCGCCATTGTCACCTTGGCGCAAGAAACAGCTGCTTCAGATATTGACTCGGCAGTGAGTGCTCTGCAAGGCAAATATCTGGGATGGGGTTATTATCTATCGATTTCGCGCCATCTTTCCTCCGCAGCAATACATTCGGGAATGCCTGTGGCTGTTGGCTCATCGTCTACCAGCTCATTGCCTTTCGGTGCAAAACCAATTAATCAAGCGCCTGTCGGTAGGCTCAGTCGAGCACCCCCGCCGGGACCTCATCGTGGCGGATTCGCACCCCCGTCTTCGTACGGCTCTCAATATGCGAGACCTGCGTCAACGGCGCATATAGAGGTCAAACCGCCTTCGGATTTGAAACAAATAAGACTTATCCACAAAACCCTTGAGAATTTATTAAAGTATGGACCGGAATTTGAGGCATTACTCATGAGCCGCCCGGAGGTGCAGAGAGAGGAGAAATGGGCTTGGATATGGGATGCTCGCAGTGTTGGGGGCGTCTGGTATAGGTGGAAGCTCTGGGATATTCTCACCAACCCAAAAATCAATCAAAGCCATTATCGGAAGAATGACAGTCCCACTACTACGTTCATATTTGAAGGGGGCGCCAATTGGATTGGTCCAGAGAATCCAATCCGATTTGAATATGCCACTACGCTTGGCGAATTTGTTTCGGATGAGGATTACAATTCATCGGAAGAAGAAGAGTCTGATAACGAAGACACAAGGCGGCGTCATGCAGTGGATGACTCGCTTGCAACACAGGACGGGATAGGATATATGGATCCGTTGCAGAAGGCGAAATTAACGCACCTACTTGCTCGGCTTCCAACAGCTAATACCAAACTGCGGCGAGGGGATGTAGCTCGAGTGACAGCCTTTGCAATTCAGCACGCAAGCGCGGGGGCAGAGGAGGTGGTTGAGATGCTAGCTGCCAATGTTCTTCGGCCATTTGCATATTCACGTGCAAACCCAAATCGCGAGGAGGCGCAGACTGCGCTGAGGGAGAGTGAAGCGAACGCCTTCAACACTGGAGAGAAGACCGACAACGCACTGTCCGGTTCTGGAAAAATCAGTGAGGACACATCAGCTGCGAAGCTTGTTGGTCTCTACGTAATATCAGATATTTTCTCCTCATCGTCTACCAGTGGTGTGCGTCATGCCTGGCGATACCGACAACTCTTTGAAAATGCGTTTCGCACACACAAAGTTTTCGAGCATCTAGGCCGTTTAGAGAAGGAATTGGGTTGGGGTCGACTCAAAGCAGACAAATGGAAACGTAGCGTCGGGTCAATCCTACATCTCTGGGAAGGATGGAGTGTTTTTCCTCAGGCAGCCCAGGAACACTTTGTTCAGGTGTTTGAAAATCCGCCTCTGACAGAGAAGGAAGTGGAGGAAGAGAAGAAGAAAACCGAAGCAGAGCAAATTACCTCGTCTCTGGGCAACAAAGGCAAGAGTCGCTGGAAAACGGTGGACGAAGATGCGCCTGCAGGTGGGAGATTTGATCCCAGTCAGATGTCGGGACCCGAGCAACAGAGTGCTCAAGCGTCTGATGATGGCCTGGAGGGCGAGCCAATGAGTGACATCGACGGTGTGCCCATGGAAGACAGTGACGTTGAAGAGGCCGAGTTGGACGGGCAGCCTCTGGACATGGATGTTGACATGGAGAATGCTCAAGAGCACCAGCGGCAGCCAGATCAGGCGACAAAGACAGCTAGCAAACCTGAGGAGAACACTCCAGTTGGGCGAGTGAGAAGACCGCGGCCTAAAGCGGAGGATATGTTTGCCGATTCTGACGACGAGAACGATTAGTCTGCAGTAGATATGTTAGGCAAGATGAATGTATACCCAATATTTTGTGTTGGTTTGAAGCTGCCACCCGCAAGATTCTGCCATGCTGTTCGTAGTTGTCGAGAATGGCGTCGAATCCCGAGGAGACGCACTGGTGATTATGGCATACATGAAGATCGCCCCGTGCAAGACAGAAAGACCCCACCGCCATCCATGCGATCCTCAGGCCCACAACACCCCTCCCTCTTTTGTGTCTCTCTCCGTAAACTAAACACTGCCATTTGTTTCTGTCTCTCTCGTCCAGCCTCTGCCTCTTGTCTCGCATCCATTTTGTCCATAGCGATTCCCTGAACCAGTCACGATGTCAGGTAAGTTAGCTGCAATCTACTCTTTTTTTCATCGCACTCTTTGCGCGTTCTTGCTGCAGTATCTGCAGGGCCATCGTTGCCTCGTGTCTTTTTTTTTTTTTTCTGGCACCCCTGTTCCCCCAGATTTAGTGACTTTTCCCACTAATTTTATATACAGACTTCAGCACCATCGCTCGTACGTCCCCCTCCCATACTCAATGGCGCATTTGCGACGCCCTCTCGAACCCCCCCCGCACCTAACCTGGTCATCACAAACAAACACAGAACAGTTCGTTGAGTTCTACTACAAGACGTTCGATGAGAACCGAAACAATCTCGCTGCGCTCTACGTAAGCCAAAAAATTCTGTCGGTCTTGCTTTACTTTAACAGCTCGTGGACTTACAATGAGGGATGGGAGTTTTTATAGCGCGACAATTCTATGCTCACTTTTGAAAACGATGCCAAACTTGGAACTCAGGCTATTATCGGAAAGTTGGGAGTGAGTTTTTGGCTTATCGTCTCGGCATGGAAAAGGATCAGTTGAATGCTAAAAGATGGCCTTTTTTTCCCCTTCGATAGGACCTCCCATTCCAAAAAGTGCAACATCAGGTCGCAACCCTTGATGCCCAGCCTAGCAATGAGACAGGCGGTATCCTCGTCCTCGTCACTGGCGCCCTCTTGGTATGCAAACATACATGTGCCCTTCGTGGCCACGGCCGATTGCCGCGCGGTTCGATGCTGACCGGTACTACTATAGGTTGACGAGGAGCAGAAGCCGATGAGCTACACCCAAGCATTCCAACTTTTGCCCGACGGACAAGGTAGCTACTTTGTCTACAACGACGTTTTCCGTCTGATCTACAATGCTGCATAAACGCGCGCGATGCAGAACACATTCCGCAAAAAGCAAAAAAAACTTACAAGGACAACTGAGATTTTCGATAACGAGTGATGGATTCGTGAGAGCGATATATATGGGATGCACATCCGGGCAGATGTCTACCGAACCAGAACAGAGGGACCCGGAGAATCGATGTGTTTGACAATAATATCGCGGGATTTTAGACGAAGATTAATTATTTGGCTTTATACCACTTTCCTCTTCCATTCGTCCTTCTCCTTGCTCGCGCTTAAAGTACAACCGTAAAGAGCACAGTATTCCATTGTCAAATTGATGGCTAAAAAGTAGAAGACCAGTAGATACTAGAGACTGCCTTGAAAGGGTTTATTTTGACCCAAGGCGACAAGGCTCAAAAGTCGCCGCTTCGGCACTAGCCATGCCGGCCCACCTGACATGTGTACGCCAAGCCCGTGGTAATTTAGCTACCTGGAGAGAAAGACCTCAACAATAATTTGCATAATCCTCCAGGCACACTCCCTGCCAGATCCTGAGCTTCGCAGGTAAGCAAATTTCAATAATACTGCTGACTTTGATGAATTGCTTTCTGCACCACTGCACAGAAACAGACTGACTAACCCTGATCCTTTGTTTACCACCAGCAAACTGCCGACATCTTGAAACCGTCCACGTTGCTGTTTCTGCCGCAACCCCAAATAAAAATACGGACAGCTTCCTCTTCCTCCTTTCTTCGATACGAGTTCTGTTATTTCACAGTGTCCAGGCATACTTTCTGCTGTCCTCGAAATTTGAAACACTGGTCACTTCTTCGTCTCTCATCGCCCATTGTTTGTTTCATGTGGACGATTTGCGACGTTCTTGCCGCCGCAACTTCACCCTCGAGCTCACGACGCTGACGATCAACGACGACGCATTTTCTCTTCCACCCGCTTAAACACAACTCAGCATACTTCCCTGGCTATCTCAATAGCTTAACGCCGTTACGAACAGAAATCTGTCTTATTCAAGATGACTCTCGCTGAAGAATTTCGCACGCGTAATTTCAGTAAGATTATTCTCCATTCCAATTGCCCCCTTATTCGAACACTGCTGACCTTTGATTCCTAGGTATTTATGGGCAATGGTTAGTCTTACATGGTCGCTGCTTTTGCTTAGTCTAACACGTTGTAGGACGGGTGTCGTTTGCATCTTCCTTTGCTTCGCCCTGGGCGTTGCGAACATTTTCGCGCCTGCTCTGCGTATTATTTTTAGCATAATATGTCTGTGAGTATAGCCATTTTGGGAAATGTATAAAACTGGCAGGGTCTTGGGCTCGAGCTAATAGCGGTGTGCCTCTGTCAGGGCCTACTCGCCCATCATTCTCTTCATTGAAGTACCCTTCCTGCTTCGGATATGCCCAACATCGTCCAAATTCGATGACTTCATCCGCCGTTTTGCGAGCAACTACATGCGCGCACTCATCTACATTGTGATGAGTGCTGTTCAATGGGTCAGCCTGGTAAGCGGGGCGTCGAGCTTGATTGCTGCCGCCGTCTTCCTCCTTCTTGCCGGTATCTTCTACTTGCTTGCTGGTGTCCGAAACCAGGAGTTCATCGGCAGCAAGACTCTGGGTGGACAGGGTATTGCGCAAATGATTGTGTAGTTTCGGGTCGCTTCACTGCACTGATTTGTTCGTCTTTTGCCCATGCCTTCCCTATGCCTCGGGACTCGTTATGAACGGCCCCGATTGTCATCCTTGCTTTGTTTCTCTGTCCGTCTTGAATTGTACCCTATGAGAATGTTAATTTCCCCTTTACTTTCCGTTCTGTATTACGAACCTGTGTTGGACGTGATGACGAGTGTATTCTCTGCTTGCTCGGGGCAGAGCAAGCATCACTATATGCGTTTGGAGCTGTGTGGTTGCTATCCAGATATACTGTATACTTTATTCCGTGTGCTGTTCTGTATTCGAGATTATCCAAAACAGCAATTGATTCCGGATTCGTGTGTCATTGTTTTTCTAAACGGGTTACAAGGATATTGACATTTGTATAATAACTCCATTACTCGGTCAACACTACTACATCCTCTACGTTTACTCACCATCAACCAAAACCAACCTATTTGAGCAAGCGTTTTAAATGCGTCAACCAACTCGGGGTTGTTTGAGCCATTTACAGGAGCCAGTGGTAGAACTTCTCTGGCTTTTTAAATTACTATATACTTGCAATGCAATGCAATGAATGGCACCTGGGCATTTATTTCTCCTATGGAAGTGATTACGGACTTGAATAGGACAGACATACTTATATCGGCCTCGGTATAGTGTTCTATATACCCGATTGTTTATTCTACGCTACGTCATCGATAGGTAGGTACCTTGTAATTATGTGCCTATAATTAAATCATAGAGGTACAATATGATCCGCAGCGCGGGGTCTGTATAGCGGGGTAAAATCATAGCATCTACATTGTCATTAAATATATACTAGAATTCAGACACTCGTTCAAGAGATGTGGTGCTAATAAGCTCTCGGGTCCCAACGCAAGGAGAACAGGGAGTACCTTGGATGGACTTCGCAAGATATACACAGAATGGGAACATCCCCAGACTGGCTCTATGGATGCAGCAAGGTTATACTACCCGACGCATCCAAGAACCAGGCATCAATGATTGAGCGCTAGCAGGTTGGCATTAGAAATGGCTACGTTTGTGTGCACTGACGGTCCCTCCCATAGGCATTCTGATTTGCTTCAGTTCCGGTGCGCTCAATCAATGCTATCAATGCCAAGCGAGACTAGGTTTTTTTGATATCAAAACTTGCTGGTGCCACGTAGGGTGTCGGGTGCAGGGAGTTCCAGATTGGACAACTCAGGTATTCCTTCTTAGAGCAGAAATGTAAATATGAAGACAGAAAAAAAGCAGCCTGAAGTTGGTGGAAAAGGGCCAGTAATTGTATGGAAACAAGTCATAGAGGCAAATGAAGATGGAATACGATGTGACGACCGTCGTACGTGACGCAGTTGTTACGCGCTAAGCCAGACCAGGACTAGTGCCTCCACGAGCAACGTAATAATACCCAATCTCCAGCCTCCACTGCGGTGGCTCAGCTGAGGCATTTTTGGGCTTGGTTTGGTTGTGTCGGCTAAACACTAAAATCGGGTGCGTTCATAAGATAAAGTCTGCTGTTTCTAGTCCTGACTATGTCACTATTCACTGTTCAGTGAGATTGTCGGCGGTGGTGGCTAGTGTCAACACGGCCAATCAGAGCAGGGCTGAATGTCAGCTGCGCGGTTACAATACGGTTCCGATCAGAGTCACAAGACTTGCAGGGCCGCGTGTAATATTACAGTAATACGCGTACTGCATTATTATTAGCATGGAGTCATGGCCCAGACCAGACAGACTACATCATAGCGTAGCATGCATAGCAGAGCATGGCATATAACATAACATAATTGTCTCGTCGTCCTTCTTCTAACTCACAATCCCAATATCTGATACTATCTATCCATCGTCACTATCGCCCTATCGTTACCATCCTAATCTCACTTATCTCCTTACCTATCACCCCCTGTAAAGGCTCATCGGCTCTACCACCCAATAGCAAGCCCGTCCACTACCCAAGTACCTCTTCGGCTTCAAACTCACACCACCGAGAAGAAGAATTGAGAAAGGACAACCAGGTACGTACCTAGGCATAGCACCGCAATTGTCTTTCGTCTATTGGTTTTCCCATTTCTGCATTTATGGCTCAATTGCCCCTCTTTCTGGTCAGCTGGCCTGCGTCGCTGTGCAAAACTCTTCTTTAGGCGGTGAGCAAGCATCGTCCTGCTAGTTTGGGCGCCGCCTGAGGTTTAAAAATGGAACAGGGGCCCAGACCCATGGCAGGGAAAGATAAAAGAAATCCCTAGTGTCGCACTTGCACACGCCTGGGAAAAAATTATCGCAAGAAAACCAAAAACAGAGAGAGCGCGCCGTTTTACTGCCCATTTTTACCCCTGGACTCTGCTGTGATCGTCATTGTCGGCTAGATCCGGTTAAGCGTGGTTGAGCCCGCAATTGCCTCATATCAACCAAAACTCTGCCTTCCTTCCTCCCAACTCCATCCCACAACCTCCATTGCTTTTTTGGATTGTCTTATTTGCGTTCCTTTGAAGCAGCGAATCCATGTCTTATCTTACATGCAACTGCTAACATCGAGGAAACAACCAACAAAGCCACCCAGCTCGAGTCTTGCTGCCCCAGATTTTACATGCGTCATTTCCCTCCACCACCGCTTCCTGCACAACAATCATGTCTGCTCCGTCAGCCCCGGTGATACCACCTCGCCCGTCCAGGTCTCCTCGGACGTTGAATGCTGCCAGCACTCCTTCAATACCCCCTCGTCCCACGAATCGCCGTCTGGACCGCTCTGTGTCCCCTGGCAGAGACAGCTATGCGCCATCGCCTCTGAATGGTCCTCCACCAAGCGCCGGCCTCTCTCGCACCACCTCCAATGATCTCCCGTCTCGTCCCCCCAGCGTGGCTATCCCATCGCTCGGCGAGGAAGGCATTGAGTACGAGGAGCTGAGTGCGCAGAATCTTGAACCTGCCGAGACCAGAAACGTGGGCAGCGACTTGAAACTGCACGCCCCGAAGCCCTCCTTGCCAGTTTTCAGCGCCAAGGCAAAAGTACAGGCCGTTACTCGCACTGACTCAAGCCAGGCTGCTGCTGCTGGCTTCGGCAAGTCTTCTGCCTCACCAGCCGTGGAAGAAGACCCCGATCAGCGCAGCCGATCTCTGCACTCGAAACCTCACGACCATGCTCGCGCAGAGTCATCCACCCCATCTAGCTCTCGTCGTCAATCCATGCAGTTTGAAGAGGAGCAGGGTATTCCCGAGATCGGTCAGCGTGTGCCGATGCTTGCCAATGCCGGTGACGTGCAGGCTCCATCTCCAGCGCCTCCGCGAAGCGGTTCCGCCTCCGGTCAGCGCATTGCCCGTCATCACCAGCGCACCCGCAGTGGTCGTGAGGTGTTTCTTCCACCCGGCAGCTATGGTCTCCACGGCCATGGTGTTCACGCCACCGACAGGTTCGAGAAGGCTTGGTACGACAAACATCCCGATGAACTGGCCCGTGAAGAGCAGGGCCAATACGGTCCGGCAATCACCGAGCGATCAACCTGGGCTTTGAGCAGTGACGACCTCAACCGTCTTGTTCGCAGCTCTAGTGCCAATGGTAGTAGCCTAGGTGAGTCCTTTTTTTTCACTGTGGTTTCAATCACATATACTGATTACTGATTGTTTTTCAGGGGCTTCTCCAGCATTTACTGGCACTCCTGATGAGGAGGTCGGCTATATTGCCACCGACGAATTCACTCGCCAGGACGCGCAATCTGCAGTGGAATCTCCTCTCCGCCAATCTACTTTGCCTACCCCCGGACTACAGCGAACCCGAAGCACACTGTCTACTGCGAGTAGCGATGCTGGAAACCGAGTCATTCATATCGACGATCCCTACCATTCCGCCCACGCTCCAGACGTGTCATCCGGTCACGATCAAGAAGAAGGAGCCGATGGTGATGATCCCATTCTTGCCGCCGACGAGTCGCGTCCAGGGTCGGCTTATCTCCATCCTGCCGTATCCCCCAGACGATCAAGCACAGATTACCACGAGCTAGACCGAGCTCGCAGTCATACCCCTAGTGCGCCAAATAGCCGACCTAGCAGCTTGCATGGTGCGCCTCTCGGACTCTCTCGCTGGAGTTCCAGAGGGGAAGAAATTGAAGATGTGCATACGCCTTTGGAGGATGTGGAGGAGTACGAACCTTTGTTCCCCGAAGATGAGACATCCAACAAGCCAGTTTCAAAGCGCGCAGAACTCCTGAGACATCGGTTCCCAAGCAAAGACATTTGGGAAGATACACCGGATAGTCTACAGCTGCATACCAGCGTATCTACTCCAGACCTGCCAGAGCAAACATCTACGAGTGAATTCGAAACACCAGAAGCGGAAGAGAAACGGAAACAACAGACAGAGCAAATTGACTCTCACCAAGTGGCTTCCCACATTCTGCATTTACATGGACAGCCAGGCCCACAACGCGCGACACGACCAGACACAATAAAGCATCGTTTCCCAAGTCGGGATGTCTGGGAGGATGCACCTGAGAGTCATCAGCTTATGACGACTATCGAACCAGCAGATTCCGAGTCAAAGAAGAGCCCTGTTGCGGATAAAGCCCCCACGATTCCGTCTCGTCCCAGTATTCCTCCTAGGCCCCAGAGAATTGCGAAACCCTCTGATGGTCCTTCAGAGGAGAAAAGAGCACCTATTATTTCCGACCGCCCCAAGCCTCAGATTCCCTCTCGCCCATCCAAAGCTGCCGATGCGCCACCAGTCAGCAAGAACAAACCTGCTATTCCTGCACGGCCTGCTGGAGGCAAGTTTGCCGGCGTTAAAGCGAACTTCTTGTCCGATCTGAATTCACGACTTCAACTCGGGCCTCAGGGCCCCAAACCAACTGTTGAGAAGAAGGAAGCGGAGCAAGTTCCAGAGAAGGCACCCCTTGCTGACGCTCGCAAGGGCCGTGCTCGTGGTCCAGCTAGGAGAAAGCCGGCTGCTGGTTCTGCGGTCGAGACAAAGCTGCCATCCATTCCAGAAATTCGCATCATGGATGCATGGAATGTGTGGGAACTTGGTGCTGATGGTAGCTTGACTGTGGGTCGACCTGAAGAGAAGGAACTTGATGAAAAGACAAAACCTCAGGTCACAGATGTCGTTCTAGAGGCTAGCGACGATACTGCCATGGCGCCTCCGATTGCAAAGAACATAGCTGGTGAGCCCGCGGATCCTGTGCCGTCAGAAGAGAAGGAGATTCCTGCCGCAGCAGAGGAGGAACCTGAAGAACCGATAGACCATCACGAAGCTTCTGAGACGAGCGGGGAGACAATATCCCTGGAATCTATTGCAAAAAAAGCTCCAGAAACAGCAACAGATGTGCCAGTAAAAGCGTCAGAGCCTGAGCTTGCACCATCCAGTTCCGATGCAATCGCAGAGCAGTCATCCCCAACTGTAGATGGCAAGAACCCACCTGATGGTTCGGTAGAAGCTGATACTACCGCCTAGTTCTATTATTTACGATGTGACGTGATGTTTATGTGGTTGTTCGCTAAAGGATTGAAAAGCGGAAAAAGTACAAAAAAAAAAGAGAGAAAAACGAAAGTGAAAGAGAATAATGGTGTCTGTTTTGCGATTCAAGTTTCTTCTTTTCTTCTTCTTCTTCCACTTTCCTTCATGATTCATGTTTAATACAGCTCTCGTATTTATCGTACGAGGGACTCATTCTTGTCTGTGCAAAGGGAAAAAAAGTATATTAATTCCCCCTAATTGTTGCTTCGTAGTGACTAACTAACAGCTACTACTTACTTAGTAAGCTATAAGTTAGTTACTTTGTTTTATCCTGACCGCAGGTCCTTAATCTTACTACATAGTGCCTACTGCTCGACGAGTTTCGTTGGTTGTTCATTTATTTTGTTCGAATACATGTATATATAGTTGCTGACATTGTCCTAGACAAATATTACATTACTTGTTACCGAGAATACATTCATTCATGCACATACTTGTAACCCAAAAGAATCAGATCACCTAGAAGTAAAGAGATAGACTACTGAACCTCCTTACTCCCCACATTCTCAACATTGACAACCTCAGGCTCATTCTCCCTCGACCGCTCGAGCTCAATCTCCTTCTCGCTGGAATGCGTATAGGTCACATTAACCTCAGTGTCGCGATGGGAGTCCATGATATCCCGTTTGTATATGTTGACGTATATAGGGAAAATCCAAGCGAGAATGTAGCCCATCATGGGTATGGCCATGGCTATATGCGCGTTGCGGTCGTCCTGATAAATCGCTAGTCAGCATGTATTGTCACAAGTGGATGCGGGAAGCGAGAGGAGAAAAAAAAAAAAAAAAAAACGTACAATGACAGCTGCCATCATCGGTGGGAATACCATCCCCCCCGAAATAGCAGACACGAGGAACGAGCCTCCGCGTTTGGTATGTCGACCTAGCCCGCGGAGACTGAGCGAGAAGATGGTGGCGAAGCAGCACTGCAATTTGATCAGTCACTTAGCTTAGCGCTAGGGTTAGGATCTTGGGTTGGGACTCACAGATTCAAAGCAGAAAACGATAATGAGCAAGGCTATAGATGTCGTGCCCGACGTGTTCATACATGCAATGCTGAAGACGATGCAGCCCAGCAGATACACGAAGAGCATGTACCGAGGCTTGAAGGGCTTGAACATCATGAGAAAACTTGCCAAGAAACGGTTAAAGGCGTACAAGCCCTGTGCGACGGCGAGGAGGTTTGCTACGATCTGTCAGGAACAAAAGCACAGAACAGGAGAGAAGAGAGTTGGAACCTACAAGCATCCGACGCCGAGCGACCAGCCTCCTCCGCAAAATTAATAAAGTATCCCGCAATCGCCACCTGAGCACCCGTATAGCAAAACTGGCTCATGACGCCCAGATACAGACTATACTGTTTCCGCAACGGGCCAACATCCTCTGCCGAGTTTGTAATCGCGCCCTCGAGGGCCTGCTGGTCTGCGTCCGTGATTTCGGGAAAGGGCGCGAGGAAGAACAGGATGATCAGCAGCGCAACGAAACATGCAACACCGAGATATGTCCATTGCACATTCTTCAAGCCCGCGGCCGTGTCTACTGTGTGCGCGAAGAAGACGCGAGAGGCGAGTAGCGGTGCGACGAAGGTGCCAACGCCTTGCACGCCTTGGCCGAGATTGAGCCGGATTTCGCTGTATCGGGGCGGACCGCAGATAGCCAGGAATCTGCATGTCGATATATGCATTAACTACTTTATCGACAGGAAAATAGGGCGCTACATTTTATTCTCTACTTACGGATCTGCGGCAGTTTCCAATGTCGACAAGCCAGCTCCGACGACAAACATACTTCCACAAAAGCCACCGAAGGACCGTTTGACTCCCGATGGCCAGAATAGAAGACACCCGACGGTGAGAACGGACAGACCTAGACAAGTATTAGTCCTAGAAAGCTTCCAGTTTCGCTTTGATGATGCAAACCCGTCATAAACGTCACACGAAACCCATACTTTCTCAAAATCCAGCCCGAAATAGTGAGAGGGCAGATAAAATAAGCACCAAAGTAAGAAGCCTGGAGACCACTGGCCATTGCAGCCGAGATGTTCAGGGTAGACTGGAAATGGGAATTCAGCGTATCGAGTAAACCGTAAGCGAAGCCCCAGAGGAAGAATAGAATGGTGACTTTCCTTGCTTGTTAGTGCGAAGACAGGCAGATAGACAATTAAATTTACGTACCTAACAGATTCGGGACCAAGGACTGTCTCAGCGTGAGATGGACGGCCGACGTGACGGCCTCGTCGCTGACGGCGATTTTGCGATTCCAGAAACCCATGATGAATCTGAATGTCTACCAGGATCCAGACAGATATCTAGGTACTGCAGACGGAAGAGAGTAATGTCGAAAATTGCGGGAAATGGGAACTGTCGTCTACATTATATATACATATATACCTCAGTAGTTATTTTCATTCGAATAATTGCCTTGCAGGCCAAAACCCTGGAATACCCTCGGCATCGGGCTATCTGCTCGCGACGCGAATAGGAGTAGCAGATAACTGATCTAAGAGAGCGCCTATAGTAGGAATGGCACCGACAGAGCCAAGCAGCTGAATGTGTCATGCACCATCTAATTAGGGCTAGACCCACGTGTGTACCCCGGATATGGTATCAATCGTATCATACATACAGAATATTACCGCCATATCTCATACAAAGTGCAGTAGCAATACGTTAATATTACTAGCGGCATATAAGCCTTTGCGGGGTAAGGCGCAACTCTAAATCTACCGCTTTGTCTGTATGTACTGACACGGCTATGGATCACCCGAACGCCCGACTGTGCAAGAATGATCTGTGGGATAATATAGCTCTAGCTCATGAGACAGGCTTCTGCTATGGTTGATTTTTAGCCTACATAGTTCGTTTCATCGCGTTATCAGGACTAGACAGGTTTTGGTCAAATTGAGTGTAAGAAATTAGAATGTATTGTACCGTGATGAACAGAGAATTAACTGAATAGTGGGATTGGCGTCTATCGGCAGGAATCATGCACGAATCACTCCATGCCATTCTTAATGTTGTCGTATACAGACGCAGGGTAGCTGAGCTCATTGTCGACCTGCTCTAACGCACCGGTGCCGCCTAGTCTTTCCACAAGCTATATCTTCATTAGTATGTTAGGAGCAGAAAGGGGAGTTGATATAACGTACCGTGTTGACCAGACTCTCCGATCCGGACTTATCGCTGCTGCTGTCCCAGTACATCCCCCCACCAAGCCCCTTAGACTTGATGTAGTCGCCCTTGATCTGGACAATGCTAGGCGTGTCGTAGCTGATCATGAGTTTCTGCGAGCTGTCGTAAGTCCATGACGCGACGGACGTGTTGTCATAATATATTGTCGCGCCGGCCTGGGGAAGCGCTTTATAGTCCCAGACGCCATCTTCCCATGAACCACTGCCAACGCCAGAGAAATTGGTGCCGGGTCCATCTGTGTTGGTAAAAGAGCGTCCGTAGAGTGGAATGCCTAGGTTGATCTTGCTGGCAGTAGCGCCGTTGTCGAGGTAGTAATTGACGGCCTGCTCGGTGTTGAAGGGCGTCGAGTTGGGGTAATCAGTCGAGTTGTACAAATTAGCATTCATACCGGCGATGGTGTCCCACTGTCATACTGTTAGAATATTTCATATACGGGAACCCTATTAGTAAATAGGAACGTACAGAGCCGCTGTAGTCGTACGCCATGAGATTCCACATGTCTAGGTACTCGTTCATATCCGAGATGTGCAACTTCTCGTAGTTGGACGGCCCTGCTGGCACAGCTGCACTGAGAAGGTAGTGATAGCCAGGGGTGTGCTGAGCAGCATAGTCGTCCAATCCCTATAAAGATTTATGTTAACACTGCCGTAGTGCCTAGGAATAAGGTAGTCCTACCTCACGGAGCGCTTTGAGTAAAGCCACGTAATTATCCGCTTCTGTGCTGTTGCTTGGATACTGGAATTATGTTAGTTATCAATCAAACTCAACAACAGCGTCAGTTTTACCTCGTAGTCAATGTCAAGACCATCGAACCCAAGATCTTTGACGAAGCCAATCGACGTATTCACAAATGTAGCGCGATTCGCTTCAGTGGCAAGAGCAGTAGGGAAATTAGGCGAATACGTCCATCCGCCAATAGAAAGCAACACTTTCAGATTGCGGTTCGCCTTTTTCAAGAGATAGAACTGCTTGACGCAGCCGTATGCATTGTTGCCGCTTTCGCTCCAGGAGTCATCTGGATAGTGCTTCTCGAGATCGGCATACGAATCAGCAAGGAAGACCTCGCCGGTGTCTGCTTTGAAATTGGCAAAAGAATACAGCACGTGCGTGACAGAGGGCAGCGTGTCAGTCAAGTTTTGTGGCTGAAAGTTGCGTCCATATATAGCCTATTCGTATCCACGAGGAACACGCGGTCAGCAGTTGAACAGTAGAAAAACACACCTTTTATCTGGCTTACTTACCCAGTCCACAAAGTAGGACACAGATCGATAGGTACCATCTCGCTTTTCCACAGCAGAAGAAGAAGCCGAAGGAGCGACAGTAGCACTTGCCAAGGAAACGGCAAGGCCTAATAGAACAGAGGGCGTGAAAAAATGCATCGTGAAAGCAGCAAAGCTGAGTCGTAAAGGAATGTGTGCGGCTGCTTGGTCTGAAGAGGACGGGCATAAAATATATCGAAAGAGAGAAGGAACCTATAGCTCGAATGAGGAGAGAGAAGGAGGGAAAGTGATCTACACGCTGCGCAGAGGAGAAAGGCAGTCGCGAGTAAGCATGTGCCTCGAAATCTCCACGCATGAGACCATTCTTCGTGCTCTGAGCATGTGGAATGCGCCTTCAAATGGGTATGCCTCGTGAGCCCGTGAGAGGTGGGCATGAGCTTGCTGCAGTAGGCCCGACGGCGCGAGTCTAGGGCTACCTACATGGCAAGCAGTGGCTTCACCGTCCTGAGGCTTAATTTTTTTTTTTTGGAAAAAGGAAAGAAGCATTTGCGGGTAAAATGCCAGTTCGTGTGTACCTTGCAGATGGATGAGGCTTGGGATTGGGCGGCGAGCGACGTCAAGAATGCGGGATGGCGCATAGCAACATCACGACAAAAACAAAGATATCTTATTTTTGCTTGTACTGCAACTCTATTTCACTCTTATCTACCATTGCCCTGGGATAGCAATCAATCCCTTGGCAGTTTGCGTCCAGGCATGTGTGATATCCATCGAGTAATAGTTGACCAGTGTCGCTGTCACAAAAGTCTTTCAGCACGAGTACATAGCATCCCATGGTTTGTCACGCCTGTTTGTCGTTTGACAATTTTTTTCTTTTTTTTTTTTTTTTTTTGACCCGTTTAATGGTACACAGCGTGGTAGTGCTAGCGAGAGCAACGCCTCTCAAATCTTGGCTTTGAGTAACCTGGCCATGCAAACCTAGAGAATGTGACCAGCTTCTTCTCGTACGGTCATCCGGATTGCTGCCTGCAATTTTGAAACCCTCATGATTATTTGGACAAGAAGCATCCGAATACGTATACGCATACGTATGTATACGCAGTGCGTAGTTGTGCTGCTACATTTGCTGCACGTGTCCCCGCGATCCTCGGTCTGAGGGGTACTTTTTCTCTCAGTAGCGCCAAAATTCCAAAACAGCGATTCAGAGTATGTGTATGATAGTGCCTCCTACAATATAAACATGTAGCATGCCAAATAAATCACTCCTTTTTAGTCGAACGACCTATTTTCTCATCCGAGATATCCCAACCATTCAAATAGCCAACCCCGAAATTCAGATACGAAGCAAATCCCAACCAACCCAAATACGGCAACAACAAATAGAACGCCACACTGTCGATTTTTCGATAATTATTCGCCAGCCCTACGACTGTGCCGGCAAGGACCAGCATATCCACAAACGCAGCTAGGGGCTTTCGACATCCGAAGAAGAGCGGCATCCAGACGAGATTGGTGACAAGTTGCATCGTGTAAAGACCTTGAGACGTGTGCGCGAGATGGCGAACTGCGGAAGAAGGCGAGGAGAGGCCGGCAACGGTGGCGCGATAGCTGGCGTAGCCCATTGCGCCGTACAGCATTGTCCAAACAGGGCCAAAGACCCAGCCGGGAGGGTAAAAAGGCGGTTGACGGATAGCACGGTAGATGGCTTGAGTGTTGTTTACTTAGACGTCCAGTCGTCAGCGACTAACTCAGTGGGTTCCAAAGAGAAGCTATAACGTACCTGAAGTCGTGGAGTACCCGACCAGTGCCCCTGCAGCCACTGGGGTCAGGATGGCAGCGACCGGGGAGCTGAAGAATGCCGTTGGCAGGGAGAAAGTATTCCACAAGCTCGACGCCATCTTTTCGCGATATTTAATATGGAGTAGAGGTGGATGATGAACATAGAGACTTGTTTGGTGGATGGGAGAGAGAAACTGAAGATCTACGTAAGCTACTGTGGGGAGCGGTTGACGTCACGGGGCCAATCACAGCAGCGACAGCAACCTTATCTACGCTATGCGGCCCGGTCCAACTTCCCCTTCAGCCCTCCATCGTCGAGAATGCTCCCAAACATAGCAGCTTCAAAAAAATAATTTACCTGCCATGCATGCTGACTTGCATGGGCCGCAAACCAAGCCAAGTCGTCAACCAGGCCGTACGAATATGCCCTTGCCAGCGCGATTCTCAAACCCTCAATCAGCCGTTCTTCTGTGACTGTGTCGACCACCCCTTTGGAAGCATACTCCAGCGGCCCCTCGGCCATATAGAACCAGAGGTCTTTCAACAATGGATCTCCGTAAGACCGAGCAAGACGCCCCTCGACATGATCACAGATGACCTCGCCATTACACGCACTGATGAGCGGACGACTGAATCCGGTAGTGTGCAGATTGTCGTCAAAAACCTCTTCGAAATCAGCCTCTCGCTGAGCTGGTCGAGGCGCATCTCGCACTTTACAGTATCCCAGCACAGCTCGTCGAAGAAAATTATGTCGGTCATTCAGGATATGCCAAGCATATAAAAGTGAGCACATGCGTGCTCCTGGCTCAGCCCATCGTTCTGTGAACATCCTAGCACCGCTGTGTGCTTGTGCGTCATACACGCGTCTGAGAACTTCCTCGCTAACAACTCCCGTCTGAGTAATGTCGGCCGTGTTAAGGAAGCTGTTGAAAAGCTCGGAGTTATGTATGTCGGAGCCGACATCGACGACATCCGTTGCCGGGCAGCTAAACACAAAATCGTTGATGAGCCCAGCGCTGTCGGAACCCTGTACGATCATCTCCGCAGCCAACCCCCACAAGCTACACTCACAAAAGTTTAGCGCCACAGCGTCTTTCCGGTTTATAATGGCTGTTTTATTGGCGAGGTTGGCTTTGTGTGTTTCTTCCAAGGAGATCTTGGTCCTAATATATTGCAGTCCCAGATCTGCTGCTTCCCTGCGCTTTCTACCTCCGATGGTAGCTAGAGCATGAGGATTAGTTGCTGACTTTCGGAACAATGACTGGTATTCCGGGAACACTTTGTCGTATCCATGCTCATAAAAGAAGCCCATGTCAGAGCAGTAATTCGAGTATAAGACCTCCGAATCGTACGCGCCAAGCAATAAGTTCACAAGACCAGCACCAAACAATGCTGAATTCGTCAACAAAGGTGCTGGCCAGCCTTTAACACCCAGCAAGTCAATGACTGCGTCGGAGACGGGCGTAATTCCGTATCCCTTTGCGGGCAATATTTTACCCGCTTTGTGCTGCTCTTCCCGCCAGGCGACCAGGTCGTCTGAAAGGCAGATGTCAGCGATTTGTTGGGTACTAGGGGCGCCATCTGACTGGGGATTTTCAACATCGTGGAAGACCGCACTAAGCTTCTCCAGCCCGAGATCGAGTACCTTTTGCCAGCTGCTATTGCTTTGATCTGGAAGCAAGGTGCGCGCGAGGGCATACCCAGAGCACGGCGTAGCACGTAGAGTAGTTTCTTGCTTGTGCCCTGTTCCCCAGAAGTAGTTACTTTGGTGGAACTGTCTTATACAACGGGGCTCGGCTTTGTGGACGTCGAGAGATATTTTCGAAATTGGAGAAGTTGTTTTGAACAAATCTAATATCGACATCTTGCTAGCTCACGAACTTTCCTGGCGGTTTTTTTTTTTCTCTTTTCAATTGTAAATCCCACCAGACATTGCTGATGATCTCTTTCAACTGCTCTGGATTGTGTACTTTATATAGCCAGCTAGGAGTGGCAATTGGCATTCTCGCTCTCGGCTACCCAACACATAGGCTTAGGGTTTGCATATTCTTGCCTTATCGACATTCTAGGGCCGACCCAATTGGTTTGACAAGTCAGTGCGACACAAATTCTCTGCCACAGTGGTGAAATTCAGAATTTCTCATCGTCTTCAGCCAGCCAGCTGCCATGCACGATGGGTCTCTACCATCGGCACATGGATGCTGAGAAAGGTGGTGAGGGCGGCAATAGATCATGGAATAGCTGCATGCCATGCATGCACTATGAATGCTACTGTAGTACCGTATGCAGAAAGCAAAGATGATGAGTAAATTTGCCGAATCTCGGGATGCACTGCTTCAGTGCCCAACGAACAAGCGGGGGACTATCTAAATGTCCACACGGGAAATATTGCCATTTTTGGCTCTGACAAATAGGAACGTTGTCTAACTTTCAGTGTCACGCCCTGTTTAGCCAATATACTGGGCGATTGCCCAGCTTCCAAGGTTTGTTGAGTTTTCTTCACGGCTTACTCGGTGTAGTATCTGGGTATTATATTTATAACTCCGGTCAGACAGGACTTTCACCTGTGCAACACAGCCATGGTCTAGGTTTTCCTGCCTCAATTGATTTCAAGCTATAACAAAAAGCTAAGGCTTCCGGTTACAAGTACCAAGGAATGATTTCTCTTCAGTGTATCAGTTTCTCTTATCTGGTAACCTCCATCTGCTAGTGAAAACATTTTAGTATCCTGGAATATGTAACAATAATTACTGCCCCATCAGAACAGCCTGATATCTCACTTTCCCATCCCTCAAATCTTGGATGGCCGTTGTAATGCCATCTCCATTCAAAGGGTACTTTTGTATCTGAGCCCTAACGTTGTGCTTGTCACAGAACCTCAGCATATTGCGCATGCCGACTCTGGAGGTGCTGATTGAGCCCTGAATACATACAGCCTTGGGGTTCAAAGCAAAAACGTTTATTGACGACGGGACCAAGTCAACAGTCAGAGGGTAGAGAGTACCATTTGTTGCCATGAGGGCAATGAGTCTGTCTACTAGTGAGTTGCTGGGGAGAAGAAAACAAGATGGGAAAGCCTTACTGGTCATAATTCACTCTTCCACTTGTGCACAACAACAAGTGATTCAACGGTGCAATTTCCTCTGACACTGGCTCGCCCCTGTGCAAGACATGGAACTCCTTCGCGCCGAACTTCATGGCTTCATCCCGTTTTGCTTCTGAACTAGATAGTACCACAACGTGGTAACCCATCTGGGCTCCAATCTTGACAGCGAGATGTCCCAGTCCGCCAATGCCCAACACGCCAACCCGGTCTCCGTGGCTGATGCTGGGTTTGGACAGAATCTCCCATACAGTAGCACCAGCACACATGAGCGGCGCTGCGTCAGCTGAATCTATGTCTTTGGGTATGTGTTCAAGGGAGGTTTGGTCGCAGACTGTGCCAGTTGCGAAAGACCCTGTATCATGGGCGTGCCAGCCGTACAATTCCACATGCGGACAGTACTGGTCTCGACCTAGTCAGAAGAGGAGGCTCATGGTTAGTTCAAGACTCTTTTCGTCTGTGGTTTATCGCATACTAGTCAAGCAATTTTCACAATCACCACAGAATTTCTTGATGCCTCCAAACCCAACACGATCGCCGACCTTGAAGGTGGTTACCTGGCTCCCAACCTGTTAAATAATTCCAATACCTTCATGTCCAAGGGCAATCTCGTCTTGGATGCAGTGCATGTCTGTGCTGCAAATGCCCGAGTGGGTGATTTTGACAAAAACCTCGGAGGGCTGTATGGTACGGGTGATGGTGTGCAGGACAGGCCATCTATTCTGGGAGCCACGGTACACGTCGTAAGTAACTTGAGACATGTTGTTAATCCTTTTCCATCCGTGATATCTCGAGAATGTGTCTTGAACACAGACAAAGTGGCTTGAGTCGGCCAGACTTGATAGCCTGAAGCAGAGAATTTTTCAGTAATAATCGAATTTCTATAGCATGGACATGAACAAGTACTAGTAAAAGGAATATTTTCTCCCCAAAAGTACTACTAGGTAAGAATTACAGTAGCGCAAATTTCCCACTGGGCAATTTCTCCGGGCTTTGTTATCGGTCTTTCCCGGTTGAAAATTTCCATGCTTTGTTTTTGCAGTGCAATAATCAGACGAGAGCTGCGAAGGCACAGACCTGAGGTTGACTAGTTATGGTTAATAGTTTGAAGGTCAAGTTTGTCGTTATCTAGCCCTAGCCCTAAGCATGAGCACGACCGTAGGTCAACAATAATCGAATACCATGACAACCAAAAAAACCCTACTTTCAGACTGGATTTAAGGATTTGAATTTGCTTAAAAAAGGAGAGCCCCTCTATTATTTATACCCAGGTATGTACAGTGTATATCATTTAAGTCGTAGTTTTCTTTGTCCTCGATATTTGTATTCCTTCTAACAAAGAGGGTATATTGAGGAGGCCCTCCATTGTATATTATAATAGTCGACTGCAGTGGTCTTCCCTTCAAGATGAAATATATACTGCGGAGAGGTGAGGTATGTGTCTGGCACGTGGTCATTTCCGTAGTCTTCATGACGTCCCTGCCCTTCGATTCTCGAAACGGAGGTATCGTATCTCGAACAGCCAATCACATCCACAGGCACCGCCCGTGCCGTGATAGGCTGGATCGGATCGAGAACAGTTGGCGCGCTAAGTCGGATGCAGAATGGCGTAGAGGCTATCGAGTGAGACAGTGGGGCCATCCGTGTCCTTTCGTTCGTTACCGCACGTTCTAGAAGGCTCAGCCAATGTCTCACTCATTATGGTGCGACATCGCTATTTATAAAGTTTCAATGATCACTGCAGAATCTGTTTATATATGTACAAACTTGCCAGACAACAACGTAATATCTGACGTAGGCTGATGTTTGGTTTACGAATCATCCGATGAGCATTTGGTAAACAAGCTAAAATAGTTAGTTGCACGATATGAACATGCAGGACCCCGCCGTTGCCCAATTCCTTTCGCTTGCCCATTCCGCGCCACAGTCATATATTATAGATTCTCATTGCAAATCACTGCAAGTCAAGACTGCATCTAAAAAATTGGCCTGCGTATCACGGTTGCAATTACACAGCCCAGCCGCCCGGATGCAGCTCGGTAATTTTGTTTGTTACCGTCATGTAACCGACGTCCGTGCTTTCGGGTCTCCACTGCAAATCCGGTTCGGTTTCCCGCTTTGTCAACACCACAACTTAACTTTATATAAGACGCTCACCGGCGTTTTTTTCTTCTTCTTTTCTTTCTTCCTCTTGCATGACAGCACGCATGCCTAGCATAGCTGACTCCGTTCCCCCCCGAGTCAACCCCCGTCAAGTCACCATGAAGCTGATCTTCATCCTCGCTCTGCTGGCAGCCAATGTGCTGGCCAGTGACAATGCCCCAGATCTGTTCAACCGACAAGCCGGAAATTCCAACTTTACCTCGATCCCTGCCACTTCTACCACCGTCCCTACCACCACGGCGTTGTCAATTCCAACCTCGTCCGTCGACCCAACTACGACCTCTCTGCCTACTTCATCTGATGATAGTCTGTCGACGTCTCTGCCGTCCAGTACTTCTTTGGACGAAAACACTTCCTCATCCTCTTATGCGTCGTCTTTCACGACATCTGCATTGCCTTCGTCATCTAGTAGCAGTTCATTCACAACAACGACTAGTTCCTCATCATCCTCGACATTGACGACGAGCTTGCTACCCACTTCCTCTTCCGTTACATCGACCTCAACCTCAACCTCAAGCTCGACCTCCTCAACCTCTTCGACCTCCTCAACCTCGTCCTCGTCCTCGTCTTTAACATCATCGTCATCCTTATCGACGTCAACTTCTACCACAAGTTCTACAACTTCATCCACCACGTCTTTCACAACATCGACATACCAGCAGACAACCACGCTACCCAATGGCAGCTTGAGCACCGTCACCGCCGTCACAGTGGTTGTAGCTACCGATGCAGCCAAAACTTCAACCAGCTCTGCCACCGCAACTGGAGCAACCTCGACACCTCAGTTGCAGACCGCCGGTGCTTCTGCTCCGTCTAGTAGCATAGCGATGGGGATGTGCGCCATGCTCGCTGGTGCAGCTGCCGTTGCCATGTCAATATCGCTCTAGAGGGCACCTGTCAAGACCGAGTCGACCACCTTTTAGTATTTTTGCATTTTATTGGCGTTTTAGCCCCGTTATTGTTTTGGTTTTTTTTAGCGACATTCGCATCATCACGATCCTTACATGGAAATTATGTCCTTACGACTTGCATCATTCCTTTACTAATATTTTGGCATGGCCCTACTAGACGGGGGTTGCCTTCAAACCTGTGTATTTTGGCCACAGCATTGTGTTCATAATGCGGTATTTGGCAGTCGTTGGGCTGTCATTTGGCTCCTAGATAGACTCATAACAACACCAGCAATCATGGAGATTGGGAAAACAAATTGAAAGAAGATTACTCTATCTATACTAGAAAGTTATCTGAAGTGTAAAAAGGCGACCATTTATTGGCGTATAAAGTGTATATATATGTATATATAAAAAGATAGATTCGTATATCGTCATGAAAAAGGAGCCTCAGAAACTTAGTCTTGCGTCTAACATATATTATGCCCCACCGTCTCAATTCAAGCGTCCACCCGGAGAAAAAAGCCTGCTGATTCTATCTCATCGCGCAGCAGGCTTGGCGTTGTTTCCCGGTCCCTGCCACCGCTCTTCCTCTGTCCAATATCTCACAATACTCTCCCAGCCGGCAATATCACCATCACGCAGAAGCGCTGCCACATCCACATTCAACGGCGAGTCCGGGCGCGGATCAGTCAATAACTGGTGAATTGCCGACAGCGTGGTTGATATTTTATACACGGGAGTCCAATGTTCGGATGTGAGTAGCGTCAGGCAGATTTCGCCCGTTTTGAACGAGATGTTAGGATGCGAAATGCGTGTTTTGAAGCGGATTTTGGGTGGCGCGAGTGGGTAGGTGGGTGGGACTTCGATATGCAGTTGCCAGAGGCCGCCTTGCACCAGTTAGACCAGATACAAATACAAAAAGGAGGGGAGAGAACCTCACCTTCATATGGCGTGCCGTTGACACCTTTTAAAACGGCCTCCCAGTGAAGCAAATCATCGTCATTGATGGGTCCCAGATGAAGCAGAGCTTCATTTGGATTGCTGGCGTATTCTTGCAATTCTTTCAGGAGACGCTGTGTTGTTGATCTTGATGACGCCATTTTTCTGGTTCTCTAGAGACTCTCAAGACGTCGCTGGAATGTAATAAAATGCGGTGGACTTTATCCGGCACGTTGGTTTACTCGTTCGAAGGTGAGTTTAGGGATAAATGAACCGGTATGAGGATCATATAGAAGTTGTAGAAAGAAATCAACGCGCGTGATATCAGAGCAGCTATTGTTGTCCCATCGTGAAGTGATCTGCCGAGGTTGAAGACAGCTCGAGTGGGTCGCGTTCTCCGCTAATTTCAAGATTGAAAACCCACTACAAAGTCACGTGAGCCAGGGGGCATGATTTCAACATTCCGACTCCTATCTTTTATCAAACAAAAAACACTACATCCCATTATTACAGGATACATCTTCACACATGAGAACTTCACGTATCTCGCGGGACACGGCAAACGTCGTTGGCTCCCTTTCGCGGCAAACACGACAGACTCGCAATTCCTCTGCGTCGGGCTTTTCAAGTTTTACATACACCCAGCCCATCGAAGTGTCCCAGTCTATCAGCGTTAATTATTCCTCAAACGTTGTTTTCAGTCAAGACGATCGCAGCTCCTCTCTGTCATCTGTCCACGCAGAAGATATTGAAGACTTGCTCGAACCTCCTGCCAAGAGACGCAGGCGCAGCCAAGTACCTGCCACCAGACGAGCAAGGAATGAAACAGCCACTCCTATTAAAGCAGAAGTCCCAGCTATAAAGCTTGAAAGGAGTAGCAATACCAGACAGCGGCGACAGCCAGCCCGGAAAATCAAGCAAGAAGATGGTTCCGTGCAAGTACAGCCGCCATCGAACTGGGAGACCATGTACGAATTAGTCAAGAAAATGAGAGCAGCAAACCCTACTGCTCCAGTGGATACTATGGGATGTGCAGAGCTTCATTGGAAATCGTCGCCTCCTAAAGATCAGAGATTTCAGACTTTGATTGCGCTCATGTTATCGTCTCAGACAAAAGATACCGTGACTGCAGTCGCGATGCACCGATTACATACCGAGCTTGGGGAGCGAGGAGAGGAGATAAATCCGTCTATCAAAAAAGAGGAATCGTTCATCAAAAAAGAGGAAGAAGAAGAAGGAGATGAAGTGTTTACGGCGAAGAAGAAATGCAGTACCTTGACTTTGGAGAATATTCTTGCAGTTTCATCCGAGCGATTGAACGAGCTAATTTGCAAAGTCGGTTTTCACAACAACAAAACAAAGTATATCAAACAGGCGGCAGTAATTCTCCGAGATCAATATGATTCTGACATCCCCTCGACTGCCGAGGACTTGATGAAGCTACCTGGAGTAGGGCCCAAAATGGCATATCTATGCATGAGTGCTGCATGGGGCAAACACGACGGCATCGGAGTCGACGTGCATGTCCATCGCATTACGAATATGTGGGGTTGGCATAGTACCAAGAACCCCGAGGAGACTCGCATTGCCCTGCAGTCATGGCTTCCCAAGGATAAGTGGCATGAAATAAATAAGCTTTTGGTGGGTCTAGGGCAGACCGCTTGTTTGCCGGTTGCGAGACGCTGTGGTGAATGCGATCTTGCCGGGACAGGGCTATGCAAAAGCGAGATCAAGGGCTCGCTTGTCCAGATGAAGAAGGAAAAGAAGGAAGAAGAAGCTAGGGTGAAAATTGAGGCACCATGAGATGCAACTGCAGTGTCTAAGAAGAATACTATATTATCAAATTTTGTATGAAGATGGCTTCACATCTTGGAGAAGAGGATTATCTATATCGGATGCACTGGAAGTAGGATATGATTATATTTTGAGAATCAGTTTAGTTGCCAAAGTGAGTTCAATAGGTTTAAACACGGTAAGATATTTAGTTGGCATCAAAGACCCAGTACTAAACTCAGGGCTATACAACAATTGCCTCGGCGATAAATTTGTAATATCTCGCTGCACATCGCCGTCTCCACGATTTACCCCATATGAAAGTAGGTATAGCAAGCCCCATGGAGGCCAGAACAACACAACCAAAAAATGTAAACGTAGGGCCATAATTAGTTGCGTCAATAAAAGGCTGGACCGCATATGATATGGCAAAGTTGATGCACGAAGAGCAGATGGCGAGTACCACTACAAGTTCGCCCGAAATCTATATCCAAGTCAGACGGAAACTCCAAAGCATGATTTGCTATAATAGATTACTCACCCCTTCGAAACATTCCATGGCGTACGTCGTTGCAACGCTTGATGCGGCGACCTGCTGCGCGATCATACCGCCCAGTCCGACGGCAATGAGAACCCACGATTCGCCAGCGTTTGCAGCCCAGCCGTACATAAAATAGCCAACGGCGCCATAAATGAAGCAGGGACCTAGAGTCCACAAACGCATCTCAGGTTCTTTGTAGCCATTGTTGCGACGAGCAAGGTAAGTGACGATCTGGTCACCGAGATAACCCGTGCCCATTCTAGAGGGTGGAAGGAAATGATTAGTGCTAGGACTAGAAGGTCTTTCAAAGAGGTGGATTAGACATACCCGATGAAAGAGCCTACGAGAGCTGCCAGGAATATAAGTCCAGTTGGCCCAGTTCCCCAATCATATGGATCCTCAGTCATAATCTCGGAGATCGTGTTGAAAGAAACGATGCCTATGGGCCTTTGATTAGGTACAAATAAATTCCGTGATTCTTTGGCTCGTCAACATACCTGCTGTGCATGCAAATGCAAATATTAGGCCCGCCTGTGGGCCCTGTTAGGATTTTACATCTCATATATTCGTCAGGGAGGGAAGCTTACAACAACAATGTTTGGAAAAAGAAACAGATAAAATGGTCGCCGAAAGTACTGCCACCAGGTAGTCTTGTCCTGTTTGAAGCGATGAATAGGCGCTAGCACATGCCAGTAGTTACGTGGCAAAAGGTCCATAACCCCTTCGCTGGTGGTGACCTGTCTAGCGAGATTTTTAGGGGTTTCCTTTTCCTGAAGCTTGCCAATTGATACGTCTTGATCATTACATTCAGGCTGCGTAGCTGAAGGCGTAGAAATAGTTCTAGTACCTCCTAGGACATGTCGCGGAAAAAAAGAGTCGTCGAAAGTGAAAATGAATAGTAAGGCCACAGCTCCCTGTCAAATCGCATTTGGCATTTGATTAGGGGATTGAGAACAATTAGGAAAGAACTGAAGAGGGATACATACGCTCAAAATTCCAGATATTTTGCAACCCCAACGCCAGCCCGGTCCCTCCGCTATATATCCACCGAGAATCAAGCCCAAGATGCTCCCCAGCTGCTGACCCCAGATGTAGAAAGCAAGGCTTGTACCACGTTGATGAGCGAAGAATATATCAAAAATCTGCAATTTCCAGTGTTAAATCATGGAGGATACACCTGTATAAAGGAAGAGGGAGAAAATTACAGTAAGCTGAATAACGGCCTCATAAGCACTTGTCCCAATTCCCCCGATCAAACAATTGAGATACCACTGAGCAGTACCATAGAAATACGCGTTCCACACAGAAGTAGCAGTGTTGATAGTCATGCTAGCAATATAAACGACCTTGCGCCCCCATTTCATAGCTGTTGGGATCCACAAAATGTTGACAAAGCCAAGCAACAAATAGTTGAGCGCAGAACCACCATTCAAATTGTTCAAGGACACATCAGCGTCTTCGGCCATTTCAGTCCATGCTGCGCCCACGTTGTTTTCACCAAAGGACATAACACATGCGAAAAGGGTAGCGAGAAAGAGACTCCATACTTTCTTGTACTTAGGCCAGTTCTGGACAAACACTGTTAGGGCATCCACAAATGAAGTAGATGCGGAGTGTCATACCAACGGATCTCTTGGGGTGTTTAGAGGAGAGGGTATGAGTACGATATCTTGCTGAATGGGAGCTTCCGACACGCCAGCTTGCTTCTGATTGACTGTAAATTAGTTAGTATGAAACTAAGAGAATGAGTGTATCAAAAACTCACTGTCAACCAGGTAGACAGTCCCAGGGACGTCCGTCTGGGATAAATCGACCGAGATGGGTTCCATTTACAGATGGCAATACTGGGATTCAATTCATGTACAATACAATATATTTACATATTTTTTTTGATGAAGATTTGGAAGTGTTTAAATAATGACCAGAGAGGATACCAAGTATCCGCGGAGTAGATGCTATCTATCTCATAATTCTTTGGAGCAGAACAGCTAAGCCATGGGCAGGTGAATGCGCGAAGAAAGTCTAGCTAAGAAAGTCTCCGGACGCTGGCTAGTAGTCAGATAAGCATACTTCACCTATCATATAACAGACCATGGGAGCTTACTTGTAGTCGTACATATGGCGGAAGATAGAATCACATGTCCAATAAAGCACATAGGAAATGCATATCCTGTCCATACACTTACGTGGCAAAGCTTAGTCATGTTGACGTTCGTAGTTAGTCTGTGATGCGTGGGCAAGCGGTTGAGGGCATGGTTCACGCCGTTGATAATGGGTTATCATCTGGAGATAAGCCTGGAATGTGTATGCAGGTCCACGCGAAAGCTCCAGCGGGACAGAAGAATTACCTTTCTCGGCAGTACCTTCCGGATCGGGTAATATCCCAGGCATCTCGAGACCGCCGCCATGTTGTCAGTGAAATAGATACCTTTTCCAGTATCTATTGCGATCATACCAAAGTCTCAATTGACTGCTTATATCACAACTCACAAATGCCTCGACCGTTCTGATCCTTGGCGGAGGAGGGACAACCACTTCTGAAGCAGGGTTTCACATGAAGGCCAGAAACAGTGGTAGTCAGGGCTGGCTACAGATCTAAAAGAGATATGGAACGGATGAGGGTGTAAGAGAGACATTCAAATGTGAATGACTGTATTAATTGTAGAGACGCCTAGGATATTATGCTGCATATCCTACTAAGTTTCATTCAATGATCATTCGAGCCGTCACTGTACACGCTCGCATTTGCTTCAGTCCGTTCCCAAGTTGAGACAAATGGATTGGAGAAGATTGAAGCATTGTCATACTGATTATTTTATCACCAAACAGCCCTAACAAGTGACTAAAGCCAGTACTAACTGCGAAGTAGCTGGGTTGATGAATATTGAATTATCGTTGATTTTCGAGCTCTTAAATTGCTTGATCGCGAAACATGATCAAGCCGATATTATTCTGAGAACTTGGAAATTCACTTGCGAGTCCTGGCATAATTATCGTTAATCTTGAAATTTGCGAAATGAAACGAATTGGTGATTCTCGCCTCTGGCTGTCAGTTTATCATTATAATGATACCGACACCGTTTTAGAGTCACTGCCTTTCAACTTACATCACAAATGTTGATACAATTTCTTCGAATTTACCCAGTGTTGATAGAAGGCACTGAAATCTAACCGCAGAAAATCATGTGCTTTCTTTGGCACACAAGGGCCAAATATGGATTAGTATCCGGGTTTATATGCCTTCTTTATGTGTTCGACTCCCGCTTTAAGCTTTTCGTTTTTATTTCCTTTATATTAAGGTCGCTTTCCACGGAGAAATATCAAAATAGGGGAGTGACACGTTAGATCATCCTTCAAATCTTACCCTCTCTTATAAGAATGAGACGTCCGCTCATACGATTAGTTGTACACGCAGAATATACCATTTTCTGCAGACCTCCAGCCTTAATGAGGTGCCTAGAGGCAGGTAGGATGCCCGTTACTGTGAGTCCGGAGGATACAGCGAATGTGAAATTAGGAAGTTGGTTACATTGTAGTCCCTCCTCTAATAATCACAACCAAGTTCTTATTTTACAATAGAAACGCACAATACACAATTCTTTGTCCCTTGGATTCCCAACGGATCTCATCCGCACCTGGCGGTGATAATGCATCCTTCTGAATCTTGGCCATCCATGGTGCGTCTTGGCCGACTGCATAGCCACGTCGCGATTGTATTAACAAGCTACGAGCCTGTGATTGATAATCGGCCATGGGCTGGACTTTTGCAACTGCAGCCCTGTTTACGATAATAGTCATTCTATTCGAACACCTCCTCGCCATGACATCATCTTTTTCATCTGCTTATCATCTCAGGATGAAACCGTGAATTTTCTATGTACCTTAGTAGCTCACCGATTAAGTATAGTTAATAGGTAGCCGATTGATCTCGTATTTACTATTACCTTCCTACGGCAAGTCGTAGGCTATTCAGTTTGTCGCTGCAGCTCCTGTACCGTGCCCATATGAAACTATACCCGACCTCGTTGCGAGAGACATCAAACCTCACGTTGATTTTTGTAGAAATCAATTATCGCGACATCAAGTGAGAAGCGGATTACAACAAACCTACTGAGAGATTTATTGGCTTAGCCAAGAAGGAGATCTGTCGCAAATATCATGTAGTCTTTCAGAGCGCTTTCCGGAAGAGTCCTCCCCTCTTTGTGGACAGCCTGACTCCATGGTAGCATTTCTCTAATGCACTAATGCGGCCAAGGTCTTATGTAGCGTAGTTGTGCTTAGATGTCTCAACATAAGTCACCGTCTCCATGGGAGAGGGCTTTATGCTAGGATATGAGAGTTGTCCATACTAGGAAAATATTGTGTGCAAAAACACAGTTTGAGCAACACTTAGAAGTCAATGAGTGATTCAGAAAGCCTTCGAATTTCACTACCTGATTGAACGTTTACAATATTCTATTTGAAAATCTATATTAAAGTTGCTGGAGGGATTTTAGTCGACCTAGCTTCATGTTACCACAGTTGTTGTATAGAGGAAGAATTCTCGGCATACACAACGTATATATGGATTTGGGCCAATACCTAGTCCACCATGCTCTTCGATTTTTACTGCCAAGGCCTTTCGGACATAATTCTTCGTATCGGATATCATCGTACCTAGGTCACTGTCTGAAGTATGCTGCGGGATTGAGATATAAAAGCATCGTGCTGGCTCGATTTTCTGGCAATAACTCATTCAGTCTTCAATCCCCCAGAATCCTCTTGTATGCAATCAAACACATACATTGTCTATCATATCTCTAAGTCTACAACTCTATTTCATATTTCTTCGTCTTAGGTGGATGAAAGAGACACACAATGATTGCCCTCAAAACGTCTCTCTCTGCTGCCTTTCTGTCCATTGTAGCTCTTAACAGCTCGGGGGCCCTGGCATATCGTTGGTTCAATTGGCAGTTTGATATTACATGTGAGGCCACGGGCTTCTTCGTACCTGCTAATGAATCGGAACTCGTCTCCTTTGTTAAGTCCCAATACCCGCGCAAAACGTTGCTGAAGCCTGTTGGTAACGGCCATGGTTTTGGCAACCTCACTACGTGTGTCAACGATGGAGAGACCGAGAGAGATTCTTATATCCTCAGCTTGACCAATCTGAAAGATTTGCACGTCTATGAAAACACACAGTCACGTTCGGTGGCGGCTGGGATCTCGTGGATCTCATCCCGACTCTTCACGATCATGGCCTCCAGGTACAAAATCTGGGTAGTGAGAAGGTGCAAAACTACATTGGCGCTTCAACTACGGGAACACATGACACTGGCAAGCAAAATCAAAACCTTGCGACTCAGATCATCGGCCTACGTGTGCTAGATTCCCAGGGTAACATCCATGTGATTGACAAGGACAACAACCTAGAGGCTTTTCGCGTTGCCGTCGGAGCCCTGGGCATCATCACTGAGGTCACCATTCAGGCAGAGCCTGTGTCGTATCTGAAGCGGACAAACAAGGTTGTGGAGGGGCCTTCCAACATCACCGAGCTCTATCAGACGATTGCAGACATTGGCGCCAAGTATGAGCAGATTAATATCAACGGGCCCAACTTGGTCTGGAACTCGTCCACACAGCAGCTTGTACCCTCGACAAACCTGACGCTCGTATACTGGGAGCCGACTAACCATACCGGGCCTGCAAATTGCTCTGTGGACTTCTGTTCGAATGATTGTGGTATTTGCAACAGAGACTATACCTGCTATGATTACAAAATGAATAGCATCGCAACTACCCCAGCGGGAATTTGCTATCGTGGCTTCATGGGCCAGTTTGAGCACTTTTTCCCGGTTGAAAACCTAGCTGAAGCTGGCACAGACTATTTTAACTACGCAATATCACAGTCTGATCGTCTGGCGCCATATCAAGGTATCAAAGATATTCTCGCTGCTCAAGGCATGTCTAGATATGAGAGCGATGATGTCACAGTCATAACGAGGTTCGTCAAGGGCGATGACACGTGGCTATCGCCTGTCAACACCTACAACTTGCAACCCAACGCGAGTGGTGTATTTGCCACCCTGGAATATTCCTGGGTCCCTTCCTACAACAACTTCACTCTCCAGTGGTTTTACCAGGACCTCGCCAGCGAGTTCATTCCCCAATTTGGGGACAAGTACAATGTTCGCCCCCACTGGAACAAGATGCTCTTCAACAACGACACTTATGCTTCGACCATCTACCCGAAAATCAATGACTGGCTCGAGATTCAGGAGCAGATGGATCCTCAGTGCCAGTTTGTCAACCCGTTTTTGGTCGATCGTCTTGGCATTGACCGTTGCAGGTCCCTATTCGAGTAGTTTTGAACTCGTCATGTGGCCCCCAAATTGGCGAGCCAAAGCAGTTTTTTTTTTTTGTATGGCTGGTTCTGCGTCATGAAAGCCGGCACAGTGGTTGTGACACGCTCTTTTCGGCCCCATGGCTTTATTCATATCAACTATAGGTATCTAGGCATAGACTTAGAAAATTGACATCTAGTTGTTTTATTAGCCTCCAGTTCTGCTGCGGCTGTAGCGTAGTGTTCGCGGCTAATACCGGTAAATCACAACAAGGCTTAGTATAACTATAGAGGCCCACGACTCTAAACATTATATGACGAGCTAGTAGGTTAAGTAGTATATGTAGGATCAGCCTAGCTACCTAAGTAACAGCCACGTTTTCAGTAGCCCTAGTAGACATGCCTGGGAGCTGAAAATGTGTATTGGATTTTTATTATAGACACTGCTACGGAGTACACTAGTGATATTTTGGTTACAGGATATCATATATATTTATATACTTATACCTTCTTTTTCTTATACATTTAGGGCTGGTATAGGGGTTTTTAGGGCTCAAGGAGGGTAAGGATTAGGGGCTTCTTCGAATATCTTCTATTTGTATAAGCTTTAAGTGTTATTCAGAATTCTGTAATCAAAATATCGTCAGTGTAACACCTGGGTTTAAGACTCCACATACGTCGCAAAATCCGTCAAACCGGAGTAGGCAAGTCCGCCTAGCCTCGTAATCCTCCAGCCATACTATTCGTTCTGCAATGGCTTCGCTTCGGAGAGCTCTCCGATGGGTGGCATTTCTCCTCCCATTCCCTGATGGGCGGGGAGGACTGGGGAATAGGGCCAACATCTGTGAGGTGGACGATGAATTTCGCTATAATCAATTGTTACAGGCTTTCTCCTGCTTCCTGGCCTAGCGTGTTGAACCATTTACAGAGATTATACATATATATAGTTCTTAAACCTACAAATTGGTCGGTAACGTAAGGATACCTGATGCGCCGCTGCACATTCCAAGCTTCAGTTTACGTATAGCGCACCAAGGCAGCAACCATACTCAATACGTAATGAATACGCCTACATTCGATGTACGTTGAGTTGCAAGGCCTGTAAATGAAAATATTTTCACTGTAACAAGGCATCCATTCGGATTCATATAATGCTCAAACTCACACTCGCACTCAACCACCTCGTTCGCTTGCATACCGCATTTGAAGAAAAGCTAGTCGGCAATAAATATGCCTATAAAGAAAGCCAGCGTCATAAAAGATTTCTCAAAAGAATACAATAACCCAGATTTCGATGACGAGATCGTTCCTTGCCACCAGTCATCATCAGGTGTCGCTTCCAACAAACTGGGGGATGATAATACTACATTTCTCGCTCTTCCGTTTGATATATGGACGCAGATCTTCCACTATGCAGGGATCTTTTGTCAGTGTCACGTTGAATTCAAAACTGTGAACCACACCGACCGGGTACATAAAAGCAGGAATAGGGCGAGGAAAAGGCGCCAACGACCCAGCGGGTTCTCGACGTGTGCCATGAGAAGATTTCCTATTTACGAGAGCTCACTATGTAACGGTGATCATAAAACCTTTACTTCATTGTTAGCGGTCTGCTCTAAGACTAGATACATGACTCTGAAAGTGACACTCAGAGAAGTTTCATGTCACTTGAAACTTAACACATGGGAACACCTGGAGGCTTTCATACAGACTCTAAGTGCTTGGAAGCGCAATGATATGCCTCCTTTGACACATTACCTGAAAAGGCTACACGTGGAGAGTAGAGATGGAGTTAAACTACAGAGGGCCTTCGTCGAGTATTTTGGCAAGGCTTTGAAAGGAAAGGTGGAGCACTTCAGCCTTGATTGCACCGTAATGGGTCGGAGAAGAGCGAAAGCTATTGCCAACTGGGCATTCAGGGATTTACAGATGCTTAGCAGCTGCAATATTAGGCTTGACTGCAGGGCAAGCGGCGATAGATTATTGAATGCAGATGAAATGCAACAAATTCAAGATCTTGCAACGGAAATTACTCTTACATCAAATACTCGTGCTCATAAAAAGGACGTGTTCCGATTTATGGATCTTCCAGTAGAAGTGCAAGAGATGGCACTGCGGCCACTGCTGGTATTTGACGACATGGAGATATTTAGAGATCGATGCTCTTGGACTTTCAGGCCAAAAACAGCGAAGATTGGGGGCAAATATTGTTGGTGCACATTGTGTTCAATTTTAAAAGATTCGTCGCTCTCATCGGTTGAAGATCAATATCCTTTTCGACGAAACGGAGCTTCAGGCATCGTTTTTGCTTCATTTTCGTGTTCGTCACCCCTGCCTATCTGGTTGGCCAATGGCTAGTCGGATCTTCTTCTCTGAAAACAAGTTCAAGATTGACATTGGGTACTTTCTGGGAAGACGTCGTCGTAAGGGAACATACACAACCCAGGAATATGGCTTTCCAGGTAGACATATCCGGCAGATCCGCCGTCTTTGTATTTCCGTCGAAAATTACACGTGCTCGCCCCCTATATGTGCTCAGAAATTTGCTAGACTCGCCAAATTCTTTCGCGACGAACTTCATCTCAAAAGTTTAGACCTAGAAATGCCTGATGTCATGCCTAGGAACATATTGATAGTCATGGCCCTTGCAAAACTTGACGAGTTCCCGGGGGCGAGGCCGAAATGGTACCGAAGGGCAATTCAGGAACCCTAACAGGATTACTTTAGTGAAGTGGGCTGTTTGTGGGTTTGCCCATCTTTCAATATGCATGCTACCTTTGGCTGGTGTGCAGGAATATCGTGCTATCAGTCAAAACTGAGTCAAGGTGAAAAGATGTGTTCGCGGAGGTTAAAAAAATAATTCTCGTTGCATTTTGCCATACCCAAGATTGAATGCGCGTGAGTCATTAATTTGTCAGTAATATGAAGTTCTCGCTAGAATAATCAATAATAACATTAACTATTCAAGATATATGGCCAGGATTGTAGAGCTGATTAGGGTTAGGGCTATAGATGACTAAGGCCGTAATTGCGGGGATGCCTCCAACGCATGCGGGGAAACTTTTCGTTCATACATTTTGAACGTCGGAATGGCTTTGATGTACGCAAAACTACAAGCCACAACCACAATATAGTAGCCTACGAAGGCCATGTCGGTTGTTGTTTCCCTTGCATCCTAAAGATGGCACCGGTCCCAGTTCCCATCCCCCTTTTCGCAGACGCACAGCGCAAACTTTTGCAGAAAGAGCACGAAGCCGAGAAACTATCGTCAGCTCTTGCAACTAGCTCCACGAATACCGTATCTCCTTCGACTAGACGGACATTACAAGCGACAGGATATGCTTTGACTGGTATTGACCTAGAACAATGTCGTACTGGCATGGGCGGGAGAATTGTCGGCGAATTCAGCCCAGATGCCGCCTTTACCAGCACAGAGGCTACTGCTGATGGCGACGGAGCGCCTCGATTTGGAGCCCATGGTATTCGCGTAGGAGATGTTGTCCGAGTACTTGAGATCTCGTCCGGTAGGAAATCCGGGAAATCCGGGAAAGAGGCTGGGGGGAATAAATCAACATCATCGGATGGAGCCGAAGGCGTCGTGACCAAAATATCCGAAAAGGCTCTGTCTGTAGCATTCGGTCAAACTGGTGGCGGAGCAAATGCAAAAGCGGAGGAGGAATCATTAGATGAACTCTGGGGCAAGAAGCTTTGGCTGTATGTTCTCGCCATATGAAAACGTTTCTCTTTTCCAAAATTTACCTGCTAAATTATTACTGTGGTTCGCTTGCAACAGGGTCAAACTAGCGAACGATGTGACGCATAGACGTCTAAATCAAACAATGGAGAAAATGGAAAAGATGTCTGAAACAGACCATACGTATTTCATGCGAGTCCTCTTCGGCCACGCAACGCCCTCATCTCCAAATTACGACGCCATAGGTCCAGTTGATTTCATCGACCCAACTCTAAATGACTCGCAAAAGGAAGCAATAAGATTTGCACTCGCATCAAAGGAGGTTGCGTTAATTCATGGGCCTCCCGGCACCGGAAAAACACACACATTGATCGAGTTGATTTTGCAACTAACTCGCCGAAATATGAGAATCCTTGTATGTGGGCCTTCCAATGTCTCTGTGGACAATATTGTCGAACGTCTCACACCTCACAAAGTCCCGATTGTACGAGTAGGCCATCCAGCTCGACTTTTACCGTCGGTGCTAGACCACTCTCTCGAAGTGCTTACTCAGACTTCCGAGGCAGCGGAGATCGTGCGAGATGTGAGAAAGGAGATCGATGAAAAGCAAGCGAGTATCCGGAAAACAAGGAATGGGCGGGAAAGACGAGCAATATACGGAGACTTGAAAGAACTGCGAAAGGAGTTTAGAGAAAGAGAATCTAGATGTGTTGAAAGTCTCGTTGCAGGAAGTAAAGTTGTTCTGGCTACCTTGCATGGAGCGGGCAGTCATCAACTTAAGAACCAAAAGTTTGATATTGTGATTATCGACGAGGCTAGCCAGGCCTTGGAGGCCCAGTGCTGGATCCCCCTATTACATGCATCCCGAGCTGTGCTTGCAGGCGATCATCTCCAGCTGCCGCCTACGATTAAATCAGCCGATATCGAGGCGAAGAAGAAATTAAATAGAACCAAGGCACAGGAAACAGAGAACGATTCTTCATCAACTTCCCTCAAAGGAATAAAGCTTGAGATCACAATGTTTGACCGACTTCTCACTCTCCACGGCCCATCTATTAAGCGCATGCTCACGACGCAATATCGCATGCACGAAAAGATAATGAAATTTCCGTCTGATGAATTGTACGAAGGGAAACTGATAGCAGCAGACTTTGTGAAGGATCGGTTATTAAAGGATTTGCCATATGATGTTGAAGAAACAGACGACACCAAGGAACCTCTCATTTTCATAGATACACAAGGGGGTGACTTTTCTGAGAAGGCCGAAGACGAAGATATAACTATCAAAGGTGGTTTACTCAGTGAGAGTAAAAGTAATGAAATGGAGGCAAAACTGGCTGTTAACCATGTTGAGAGTTTGATCGATGCCGGTGTCCGACCAGATGATATTGCGGTAGTAACGCCGTATAACGCGCAAGTCGCTCTGATTGCGCAATATTTGAAGGAGAAATATCCAAGTATCGAAATCGGAAGTGTGGATGGGTTCCAGGGCCGCGAGAAAGAAGCTATTGTTGTCAGCTTGGTTCGCAGTAATGGGAAGCGAGAGGTCGGATTTCTCGGAGAGAAGCGTAGACTGAATGGTATGAACATCTTTCTTTTCGTATATCGAACAAATATGATTAACCAATTCTTCTTGCAGTTGCCATGACACGTCCAAAGAGACATCTTTGCGTCTGCGGCGATTCTGAGACCATTAGCAAGTAAGTTTACCTGCTTCCTCCTGATGCAGTGACACAACTCACTACGGATCTCTAATCGTCTAACAGGGGCAGCAAGTTCCTGAAGAACTGGATGGATTTCTTGGAAGAACATGCGGACCTTCGCTATCCCGATGCAAGCGAGCTCCTGTAGGTGCAGCTGTCAACGTGCCCTCCGAGTGCATTTCAGGGACACAACAACTACGAGAAAAAAACGCACATCCAAGATAGTAGATGAATTTGATATCCAATGAAATTTTCTGGAATGCGACGGAATTGGAACCTTAGCCCTGGACAGCTCTGTCGCTCCGCTCGGTAGTTAGACTACTGTTGTCACTAGGTAGGCAGACAACTTATCGCAATGACCTCGTCTATCGAAGTCTCATGAGAACCAAATAACCGCCAAACAGAGGCTTGAAGTCTCGACCTGCTAGCATACAGGACTAAAATGAAACTACACTTGACACACTGAGTGACGCTGAGGCTCATGTGAGGGATAGGGCAATCTGATCCGCGACGTGGAAAAATACACTTTAGAAGATATCATTTTAGGACTACTGATATTGTCTCAAATAAATTCAATACTAAAGCATAAGCTTTCGTTAGTAAGTCGCTAGTTTATTGCACAACCGATCCGGCATCGATGTTAGCCCTAACTAGATCTGCTTGTCGTCGGTATTTAAATTGTCTATGCCGATGTACATAATATATATTTTAACCATATATCTCTTCATAAAGATCTGTATGATCAATTTGGGTTTGACCAGCGACCCTAATAGTCATATGTTGGGCCTTGGAAGCGAACACATGCCAAACAACGATGGCCGGATCGCCTGACTAGAGCCTGCTCACCCTTCCAAGATAATGACATCAAGTTGTCAGTCAATCAAGGATGTACGATATGGATAATAAATGGCGTATAATTGAATAGGGATTTGCTACTGATTGCTCAAATGCGTTCGATCGCAGGGCGTGCGCTGTGGCGTTCAACACATATGCACTTATCAGTATGTAAGTGAGACACACTTCTCGTCATATAGCATGACTAATTTCACACACAGCATCCCCAAGAATATAAGTTTTAATAAATATTGCACATAAGTTAGCTATTGACAAAACTTGTTCTTGTCAATATAATAGCAGTACTGCCAAACACCAGGCCTGAATAATTACCAAATCGGGTAATTCCGTGACTACATTGATCGCGTCTAAATCCCAAGATGTGCTTTTGTCCTCGGCTTTAGTAATTTAGTCTTTTCCTTGGAATTATTCTCTAAGATTTTTCACTTGGAGTAGAATAGGATTTGCATGTAGGCCGTGGTGCTTACTTATGACTAGGTCAACACACAGAAGATCGAATCAGATGATGGGACGGACAGTGACCAAGAAGAGTCACGGGCTAAAGTTGGCATCAACAGACTTATACAAGACTGTAGCTGACATTCAACGAGAATAAAAATAAATATATGCTAGGAATTCTCTTGTGGATTTAAATTTGTATGTGTTTCTGCTCGCGCCAGTATATTTGAAGGATACCTAGTCGATCAAAACCTACGGAGCATATTGTTTCCCTTCCTCCATCGAACTTCCAAAGTTCATGGAACCCTTTTTCGAAAATGGTTATGTACATTGTTCCCCCATATAGACCTCATCGGTCTCTGATCGGCCAGCCAATTATCGGAGTGGGATCGATCATTTCTTTCTCTACCTATTCATCGCCGGGTTCCTCTCCTACTTCTGGGAGTAGCAGTAGTAATACTAGCAGAAGCCGAAGAACCAAATCTTCGAGTACCTATTATCCGACCGGATTGTCTTCGGCGAGTACCAATCCCTCAAGGAACCCGCCATGTCCGCCTGCCTATGATAATAGACGTCTGCGCCGCCGCGACAACTTCGGTATTGGCGAAGCAACAATGTCGACGACGGCGACAACAAGTCGGAGAACAGAAATGCCCTTCGAAAGAATTCCAGCTTTTGTATGGGAGGAACGTCATTCAAGATATGACAATTATAATTCGAATTATGACGACGACTATGATTACTATAAGGATGGTGGTGGTCGTCACTATCAAAGAGGTCGTGAAAGAGAATTTAGATACAGCAGAAGGAACGGAGAACATCGTCTGCGATCCTTCAGCGAACATGCGAGAAGTTCTGGGCGGCGGGATTTGATTGATTTGATGCAGTTTGCCTCTGACGAGGATGACGAGAATCTGTCGTGGAGATACTGTCGAAGCTATTGAAAGCTGAAGGTATGCATGGAAGATTCCTTTCTAGTTCTAAAGATTTCTGACATCTTTTAAGTAGCCCAGATTAAAGAAGCCATCATGGATTATTTGTGCCTTGTGATAAGCAGTCGACAGTCTCGAGCTCGGAGCGAGAAGATACAGCTTCTTATATGAACGACGGATTTGGAACGCTGTATAGGCTAGTATCGGAAATACTATATAATCTATTTCTTTTGTGATGAGTAGGAGTGCTGCTGCGCGCGCATGCAGAATCCTTCGTGATTGGGCAATCGAATAAGGCTATATAGTAGAGTCCGTCAACATAGGGCTTCCAACCCCTACGCAGCGGTGTTGACTTGGGAATAGCCTCATGTCAGTAATAAAGCTAGATTAGCTTATCCATATACAAGCGCAGATAGGCATCTTGTGTTTAGTTTTCTTTTCTTTTCTCTTTTTTGTTTTTTTTTTTTTTTTTTTTTTTTTTTTTTTTTTTTTTTTTTATTATTTTTGCCTTATATATATATATATATACGTATCCTTATTAAATAGTTAGATACTTGAATACGATTAGCCCCATAGAATAATAATAATAAGAATATCTTTTGTTATTTTTTAAAGAAACAACCAATCTAAATCATCATCCAACACGAGATTGACAGACCTGGTCTTGCTAGAGAAGATTTTCGCAGAGGATGGAAAGAGAAGGAGAGAAGAAGTTTATGCGGACAAGTTGTGGTTAACATCCTCGGACTGAAGTGATAATATTCTGGCATTGTCTGGGTCATATGCGACGTCGAACCTTTTTGCCAGACGGGAACACACATCATGTATCAATTTTTGACCGACTTTGTGCAAGCTGCCAGGTACTTTATGTGAGTATGTGCAACTGACAATGAATATCAGATCAACGGAATCGGACACTAACAGGATTAACGTACCCAGCCAGGATTAGTATAGAATGGGTGGCTCCACTATACAATTGAATATCAACTCCGACTCCGGACTTCTGTAGAGAATGGCCATATTGATGACCCTCTGGAGCAAGCAGATCACACTCTGCAATTGCGAGAAATGTGCTTGGACTTTTTCGCAGAACTTCCACCGGTGCAAAACATGGTGAGGCGTCCCAATTTCGTGTTTCATTCTCAGAGCGAAAGTACATATTTCGATACCATGTCATACGCGAGGGTGTCAGCCATGGGGAACGCTGAGATGGCCCCCATGCTGTGTCAACAGTAGCTGTGTTATCAATAACAGGACATATCAGTATTTGATACACTATCTTATCCACAATGCCTGGATCCAGGGCCGCCTTCATCGACACAATTGCTGCTAGGCCACCGCCCCTAGATAATGGTGCTGTTAGATCTCTCTCTTCCGTTGTCATATATGTGGAATGACTCCGTGCGCACGCTGAAAGCCCTCCAATAGCTATCCTCGATGTATTGATCGACAGTTTCTTCGCAGTTTCCGGTGTCAACACCCATTTAAATCCCGCAAGGGAATCTTCAGCAGCCACCGGATAACAGTTTTCGGGCGCGTGGCGGTAGTTGATTGAAACGACGACACAGTTGAGATCTATATGCAGGTTCGGTCGTAAGGCCCTGTAATATCATATTCAAGTCATCTGATAGAGGTCACGGACGACTAACATTTACATATATGTCTAAGAAATCCATTTTCGCTGTTCAACCCACCGAGTACCCAGCCTCCGCCGTGATACTATTCGATTTTAACAACTGTTCACGCCTCCTGGCGTTCGGTGAAATTCATGGTGTTATACTAACATATACGAAACATGGCCAGCCGCCAGGGGGTGCCTCAGTCTCAGGTGTGAACACTCGGACCTGATATTCACCAACACTGACATCCGCGACATTGCCGATTTTCACCGGTTTTGGGCTTGCATACCCCATGGGACTAGGTCGGAACCTGGACTCTGCATTCCATGGCTCTAGCTCGCTAGGCTTGCAGTACTGTAAAATATCGTCGTGCAATTTCACATATTCGGGATCGAGCTCATTGCGAATTGACTCCTGTAAAGGTTGAAAAGCTGTTTTCAGTGACTTGGACATTGCGCCAACAGCTGCAACGTGGATTTGCCCTCTTTCAACTCCCTTTCCCCTTTAAGAGCTTTTGATACAGAATGATCACCCAGAAACTACAGTCTTTATATCAAAATGGGCAATAATTGTAGCATTCATGCTTAGCCGGTTCGATGACACATGCCGGCCGGCCGGCAGATACCGAAATTTCCCTACGTCACATTCTATTTCGTATCTAATAGCTACACGATTTTGAGATGTGTGTTTCTTTTCCTAGCCAGACATTTGAAAGTCGATATACATCTCACTTTTCTGATGAAATGTCTAAACCGTGCACGAAGGTGTATTGCTTGCTATCGAATAATCTCGTCTCAAGCCCTTGTCACTGACGACAACCATCAAGACGAGACACAGCCCCATCGCGCCAGCCCAGATATAAAACACCGAGCGCGCGCGGCATCAGCGTAAGTGACAAATACAAGACTTCTCTGGCTATCTGAGAGACCGGTTACATCCGGAACAACGAAAATTGACGATATGATAATTTCCGCAATTTCTGCAGGTATTTCAGTCGGTATATGACTGACTAACAAGTTAGAATAGGTTGTCGACGCAATTGCCTATCCGAGATTTGTGATTGACAATATGGTGAGCGAACTGATATTTGCGTGGAGAAACTACATGGCTAGAGCAATACTAAAAAGATATTTGGATTTGCATGCGATGTTGTCATCGCCATCCCATTCTCATCCGAGCGATAGCTTCAGGCTCATTGATGACATCTGCAAATCTTGCATCTAGATCAAATAGAGTCGCTTTCTGAATTTCAACGCTTCTATCCCCGCAGGCCTCTTCAACCACCATACACCGGAAGCCGTGCCCACATGCATCGACTGCCGTAGCCCTCACACAGCCACTCGTACTAACACCACAGAGCACAATCGTGTCCACTCCCAGACCATTCAGCTGGCCGATCATATTTGTTGCTAGGAAGCCGCTGGGGTTCTTCTTCACCACAACAGTCTCATTTTCCCAGTCCGGAACCAGGCCAGGCATCCATGCGTCCATTCCACGTGTGTCACCATCCTGCCATATTGATATTCCCGGAGACTTCTTATATAGTATAACGCCGTCTAACATACTTGGGTGGTTATAACGAACTTGACACCATATCACTGGGATGTCACCTTGGCGTGCAGCCGCCAGTAGTCGGATCATGCTATCTGGAGAAGATGCGCCGGAAGGGTTGGATAGTAGAGAGAGGGGCGATCGCTCCGACCAATAAGCACGACAAACATCGATAAGAACCAAGGCAGGTTTTGCGCCCCAGCCAATACGTTGGTGATAGCCGGCTGCTTTAGAATCATGGTAAAATGGATGTGATTCCACAAGTTCCGTTGGCATGTCGATCTCTGTACTATTGAAAGAGCTGGTAGGAAGGAAATAGGCCGAGAAGAAAGGATCGCTGTAATTCTGATATGTTGAAAGCATGGATTTTCTTTATCATTTAAGGGTGTGAGCCACACGTATCTAGCTTCGCTGTGCCGGCCGGCATTTCTGCAATCCCAGCTGAATTATCCTAACGGTCATTGATTCGCGAGTTTTACAGATATTTTGATGATAAGGACATGTCACTACTAGAATCTCTGATAGTATTATTGAAAAACAGTTTATCCGCTAGATATGTAACTATTCAACCCGTTTACACTGCCAGGTTATAATCCCATTCACGCTCAGACTCGGCCCGTCCATTTAATCTCCAGGGAACGAAGAGGCAGATACAACATAATCCCAACGATGAGAGCGCACTCAAACCCCAAATCTCCAGTAACCTTTGCAATCGGGCCCACGTACCAGACTTGATCCATCGACGGCACCACAAGTGCAAAAGGGAGTACAAAGGAAGTGAGAGCCGCTAGACCTGGTGGCAACTCTCCAACGCTATTCCAAACCCTGGGATCGAAAGATGCTGCTTTTGCTTTTCGAAAGACAAACCATTCTGTCAATAAAATGCCAGTAAATGCGGCACTCCAGTAGCCAATTATACCCAAGAAATCTTGCAGCGAGTTAAAGAACGATTCAGCGGCTTTGATGCCCACTCCGAGGTCCACAGCAGTGACAACAATCACAAAGAAAATGCGAGGAACCATTGCGAATTTTGGCCAAATCAACTGAAAGTTGAGCGAGACGGAGTAGAACCCTGGTGCGATCTGCGCAATGACACTGAGAGAGATCATGACTGCGATGAATTTGCCAAATCCACCAAGTGGCTGCAGCATGGCGACCAAAATTCCTCCCACGGAGTCGCGGTCGTTGGCGTCCGACCAGCTTGGTATGTTCGGTACAGCACCACCGATAGCTGCACCAACGATCATCAGTATAATGGAAGGCAGACATATGCCCATCCAGCAGTAGAAAAAAATACGCCACTTGGGAGCGTTTGGCCCCAGGTATACCGCTGTATCCCCAACAGTGGTACTGTAGGGCAACATGTAGCCAGCAATTAGACTAATAAAGGTGATGATAGTGGGTGCATCAGAAGAGGTCGCCGGAACTTGCTCTTTTAGTTTCGATCCGCCAGAACCGACGGCGATGACAATGGCAATGAACGCGGGAATCCAGGCCCATCGTTCGTACTGATGAATGACATGAAATCCTCCAAGGGCGGGAAGCATAGAAAGAACGGCAATGACGACAATCCCAACTGTCTGGCTGATTGTGTCTCCAGAAATCGCGGCGAGAGTCTGGCCGGCAGTCACCAGGCAGATGATGTTATAGCCACATAGGGTCATCATGTTGAGTAAGGCGACTAGGATGTTTGGGTACATGCCGAAACTATACCGGGATTGAATCATCTGACGCATTCCAGTCTGCGGTGAAATTGTCAAGATGTACGCTGGTGGAATGCACATCAAGAGTGAGAAGAAAAGTATTAGAAGGCTGGTATCTCGTAGGCACATGCCGTAAGATAATGTGCCCACCATGCCAGTGACGAGTCTATCGATTTGGTCAGTAAGAACTTCATCTGGCACAGAGGTGCGACAACTCACGGTAGTGGACACAGTAGACTGGTGCACCAGATAGTGAAGATTTTGTTGAATGCCGAATCTGTACGTAACTCTGGTGGAACAGGTTCTACTCCACGCAGTTCCACCCCGGAGGAGAGAAAGAAACTCGCTGCAGTCTTCAGCGCTCCATGTTCTCGAGTTTGAGTATTCAACGATTCGCTTTCACCGATTTGAACATCGGGTGAAACATGAACCGACCCCTTCTCCCCTTTCTCGATATCGCCGGCAGGAGATGAGCTCATCCCGGAAGGCAAAAAACTATGTTACTCAGAGAAAAAATGAATAGTCATGCAGAGATCAATAATAAAAGGTTGCGAAATAGAAAGAGGTTTATACCATGACGTGTTATCTGACGGTCTAGGTCATCTCGTCTGTCGTTTTTTCGCGGCGTTTTTGATAGACATGGGCGAGTCATAATCATGCCTATCTATACATACATACATACATGTAGTTGCCGGCTATCAGAGCTCTCCGATAAGGGCTTGATTCGCCTACGCCACTTGCACAGACTAAAGCCGGTTCGCCGGCTGTTCTCTGTCTGACTCAGTGTTTCTGCCTCTTATTTCTCTGATAAGACTAGAGCCTTTAATCACCTACTCGTGAATAAGTCGTACTGTCACTAGTTTGTTGCAGTCTGGGGTGATATACGTTTGTCTCGTAATCTACCCTTGCAGAGGGGATTGTATCACAAAAAATCACAAAAGGGTAGATTTCAAACTAGCCACGTTGATAAAACACTTATATTCCCAGAGACGAGATTCATTTTATCAAGGGGTCCCCAAAGGAGAGAGTCCCTGCTCCTGTAACATCTTATTGATGGCAGGGATGTGGTCAAGGAATGGTCCCTTGACGTTGTCCCAAAATGCAACCCGCTGAGACCGGATGCAGCTATGTCTTTCCATAGCGAACTTGGTGACCGAGAAATGCGAGCTAATATGAAGCATGAAGCCAAGACTATCTCGTCCAACCAAAATATTCTCGAGTGGCTCAGATGTTGCTTTCACCCATGCTTCGTAGGATTCTGTTTGTGTATCAATCAACACCAAAACTTTCGGACAAGAGCTTTCCTTCGAGAATCACTCACCTCCATGTGGCATATAACTATTTTCCAGGGTCAGACCCCCAGCAACCTGTTCTCTTGTACTGCCTCCATATTTGCCGTAGATGAGACCGCCAATCTCGGTTGCCATGTTGCGATGGTAATATGGAGGGCGGAAGGTGTTGGTGCTCGTTTGCCACTTGGGGAGAAACGCTGCAAACTCGGTAAGAGATACCCCGGGTATTTTTGACCTGGCCATTAGGACAGTGTGTATTGTAGGGTCCACCTGCTCTTTCAGAGTGCAGTTGAATGAAACGAATTTCGAAAGTTCGTATTTGTAGGGAGCATAGCTGAGGGGTTACAGCAGTTAGTACTCGCGAAGCAATTATCTCCATAGAGATGACTCACTTTCCATGCCATGCCACTACATCAAACGGTGTCCAGCCCTGTTCATAGCGGAATAGCTCTCCGGTCAGCTTGTGGATGATAGTCCACTTTGTCTCGTCGATATCAAAACTCGCTACCGGTGTTTCAAAGTCTCGTGGAAGCGCCATCCCATTGCTACCCAATGGACCTAGCTCTGGCAGTTCATAGTGGCTTCCAAAAATCTCCTGTACATAGCCCCTTGCTTTACCACCAGGCAGGCTAACCTTCCATCTAATGCCGGCTTGTATGACGCAGATTTCACCTGGAGATACCATCATCCGGCCGAGCTCGGTTTGGACATCCAGGGCTCCTTCAGTTGGTATTATCAAAAAGTCACCGTCATTGTTGCAAAATGCCTCGCTTTCCATACTTGCGTTCGCTGCATACATGTGAACCGCTAGTCCTTCTTTGTTTGTTGGGTCACCGTGTCCACCAATTGTTTTGAGACCAGTCAAGAACGTTGTTGACGTCGCTAGTTCGGGGACTTCGAGAGGGCCCCAGGTGTAGCTGAGGGGCGTGTATTTTATGGATGGATTGGAGGGAGAGAAGCAGGCTTCAATATCAGTGTTCAACGTCATGGGTTCCAGCGGGCGATGTGCCACAGAGGGTCGTATTCGATACATCCATCTGTATTCGCTTTAGAAATGAAGTTCATGCCGTATACTTGTGGAATATACATAGACTCACACATGTTGTAGGGTCTGCCGTGATGATATAAATGATGTACCATTCAACTGTTCCGAGTAAAGATCAAAGGCACATCTTTGGGGTACATTGCGGCCTCCTTCAGGAAGAGTTCCCGGCCTGTTCGTAATATTAGTCCTGTACAAGCCAAGTAGGACAGGTTACATCTTACACTGCCTCGGATGCAAATCGATTTCCAAACCCCTGCATATACCGATAAGGATCACTTTCAGTTGGTGGTGAGGTATAGCAGTCAGTCGCAGACCTTCCATGTGAGGATTTCGCAGGGGAGGTCATTGAGATTGAGCCCTGGTTGGATGGCACGAACTTGTCCATCATGATTCAATACGACGAGGCTCATGTAGATGAAAAGGCTGAAGTTACTTTTGAATTGGGAACACAATTGACTGCGTTGATTGGGAAAAAAATCAGGCATTTGAAGATGTGAATGGCCTACACTCTACTTATCCAGCGAGGCGCGCTATCCACTGGAACTAATCGTGCCAACGACGAACCAGCAATTCTATGACTACAGAACCACTTTCCACAAACCAAAAAAAAAATAAAAAAAAAAAAAAAAACTGGAACAGCCTGACATTGTGTGATCGCCTGCCCTTGGTCAAATTCCGGCGTAATAAGATGCCGGAAATGCCGGCCGGCATACATGGTTTTTATGAGAGAGATAAGATAGAAACATATGATTGGGAGCATAAGCCATTGCCCAATGGTCAAAACATAGTTGATTACATATGTAACGAGCCCATAACTAGTTAACTACCTTATCCGGCCGGATTGTTCAACTCCTCCCGCATGTCTATCCTGCCGGCTAACAGCTTCGTCTTTGAGGTCACAACATGAAAATTGGGGCTTAACCATTCTCCAAATGGAACAGCAATTGCCGTCTGACTTGCGTGGCAGCGATCAGGAGCATGTCAAATTGGTGAGGGCTGCGGTCGCTTGCAGGAGGTAAGGGCAAATCTTCATTCACCAGATGCACCTGTAGAGCTCATACAGGACTACTATCAGGTGTCGTCGTTTGCGCACCAAATGCGTGCATCGTAATGGGAAACCGCCGTGTGAGGGATGTAGTCGTGCCGGGTCCGATATTGCTAATTCATGGTACAATGATTCCTATTCTGATGACGAAAGATAATAACTAAAGTATGCATGCATGTCTAGCTATTTTCCAGCAAGGGGCCATAGCCGTCACGATCGTGAAGTGAGTATGCTCCGCTCTTATTCGGATGACGGTCGAATAAGGCACTGATTTGGTAATTCACTTAGTTCCGTGTCAATAAATGCAGCAAACCTGATAGACAACTGAATTCTCCGAGCTCCACACATGACAATGTTACAGCAGATCACTACATACGCCCAGTTGTGTAAGTTTATATCACCCATACGGCTGTAAAAGTTGTGTACTCGGAACGTGGCTGACTGATGAGCAGGCCTCATCAAGGAATCCCATCGCCGTCCCATTCAACAGTAGGCACCACTGTAAGTCTACTGAAGGCAACGAGGAATATTCTCCCACCTGCTAGGGAAGTGATCGAAGGCTGTAAGGTGTTTTGGACGTCTTTCTTGCAGCTGGGTTTCTTTCCAAAGCGTTTGTTCCTCGAAAAACTGTCCCAGGACATTGATTCAGTGTCGCTCTTCGTTCTCTTAGGCATTCTGAGCAACTCTTGTCGCTTCACACCCTGCCTTATAAAAAGGTATGGCAGCTGTCAAGAGGCGGGTAGCTATTTCATTGGACATGCAACAAGTCTGGTGCTTGACGCGTTGTACGAGCCCAGTCTTGAGAATATACAAGGTTTCTTCCTGTTAGCTCTTGCACAATGGGGCAGTGGTGATAAAGATAAAAGCTCGGTAAGCTTCTTCCACAATTCTCCACAGTGAATTGTAGCTTAATCTATGTTCCAGATGAATATGGGGATCGCTGTTAGGAGTAAGGAGTGATTATCCGCAACTGAAATATCTTCAACTAATGAGTGGTAGTGGCTGGTATCCTACGACTCCACCGAGAGGAGACTTATAATCTCCCCCTGGATGCCACCACTGATGATATTGTTGATTCAGAAATAGCTAGGCGTACTTTCTGGGTTCTGGAAAGTAAGTTATCCACCAAATGGAGTACAGTCGTCGATTCTCATGGACCATACATTGTAGCCGAGGATAATCTCCATTCAAGCCACGCATCCCCAGTTGCTTTTGGTGCCGATGACATTACAACATTACTCCCTTGTGAAGAATCTGATTTTGCATTTGGACGTATGCCTTCGTCTCGCGCGGCATTACCAGGCACCAAGGCCGCAAAGTTATGGCCAGAACTAACAACTCTCCCATCACGCTCGCTCTTCGCCACCCTCCTTCAAGCACATAGTCTATGGGGAAGTGTCGCCCGAAAGGCGTGGCGAGTCGATTTTTGCTCCGAGGGCCCGCCTCCCTGGGATCAAGATAGTACATATGCTAAAATGTGTCGGGCGTTGGCGGAGTGGGAGCGTGATACGCCGGCTAGTCATCGATGGAGTGTTTGGAACATGAGAGGGCATAGCGCGGAGCAGGTACATGCAGCTTATCTGAGCGTCGTTATGGTCACGAGGTTAAGTCATATTGTTGTTCGGAGAATTTACTTGGAAGAGTAGGTGTTGATCGTCGGCTTCAACCATTTATAAGACATACAAGCTAACAGCAATATGAAGGATGATTAACAGCATCACGCAGTCAGGCAAAGACAGCGCTGCCCCGCAAAGCTTTTGGACTTCTGTCGCAGATGAACTATTTGAGAATGTGTTCGCCCTACATGAGCCTGTCAACACATTTGTTTCGAATCGTAGTCCGCATGAGGGCTTCTCTGCAACCTTAGTGAGTGTCGCTCATGCCGAGACATACCTCAATTACCTACTAATCAATCCCAAGCTTTTTTCGCTATACGTCTGCGGTACACTATACGTGCATCTACTGAAAATGCCCTCGTGTATGTTTATTCCGCTAAATGGTTGCTTCTGACATACTCGTTAATGAAAAGTTAGTATGTCCACGACTAGCATCTCGCGCTCAGCCGAACCTTAGCCGTACCCTTGAAATTCTTGAAGATTTGCAAAATGCGTGGCCGCTGGCATCAAAGTGGTTGACGATGCTGAGAAATTCGGCTACGACCATTCCACCGAGATCACTGACGGCCTCATCTTCTAGTGCTCAAAGAAACAGACCCCATGTAGTAAGTGGACAATTAATCGCAATCTATTCAGACTAACATGATCCCTAGGATTATGCGACTTCTCATTGCGAGGTAGATATTCCTGGAGAACATCGAGCTAACAACAACGCAGAAGGTGGAAGTCTGGAAATGTTTAGTAAAGCCGCAGTGTCCGCAGAGAGGAATACAATTTTTCCAAGTGGGTTCATTGGCACTATGAATAAAACAAGCAACAGCTATGGGAATCGCAACATGGTCGTAGACGAGTTTCTCTCATTTGACGCGTCAGAAGGAGGGTTCGGCGTTTCCGCTCGACATCCAAATATATGTACAGATGATGGAGTATCATTTGACAAGGAGCTGACTGAGTTTTTAAGTCAGCCAAGCTATGGGATGGTAGATATTTGGGTTCCCTCTGAGCAAGACGACACCTGGATGTCTTCTGATGAATCTTGAAGCTGCCACTCGTGATGTACAGTCCGGATTAGCTCTGTCAAGGTTCGGATGCCTTCTAGATGGTGGTGCCGTTGAGTCGGAACATGCCGGCCGGACCGGCACTTAATCATTATACCCACTGGAGATTCCAATATGTTTAGTCAATGATAACAAGTGTGTAAAGCATTCTAAAACTAGGGCCATCTTAGCCGACTCATATACTTTGAGCTACATGATATCCCAAAAAAAAAACCTCCTACATAAATATATCATTCATAACGGAGCTTCAAGTCAGGTATACACGATATCACAGCAGAAAACATGTCTGTGCTCTCCCCCTCGGATTACCCTGCTTACGCTGCGGATATCTCCAACAAGAAACAAGAACCCCTCGGTTGGGGGTTACGACCAGCATTGCTGATTCTCGATGTTAGCAAGGCGTACTTTTCCGAGTCTTCGCCAACAAGCTTGTTATCTTCAACTTGTGGGACGGCTGCTTCTGTGCCCGCCAATGTTTCGCGGTTGATCGACGCTGCTCGTGCGGGTAAATGCCCTGTTGTTTGGAGCCGCACAGTGTTTACAAATAGTAAGCTCCGTGATGCGGGTATTTGGACTCAGAAAGTGCCCGAGAAATTACTAGAAGTATTCAGCAGCAAAAATGAGAATGGCCTCCATGAGTTCCTTGAGGGAATGTCACCTTACGGCGGGAACGGCAATCATTCAGAAACAACGGTGGCAGACCTTGTGATTGAGAAGAAGTTTGTGGGCGCGTTCTTTGGTACAAATTTAGCAAGCCAACTAGCCATGGTTGGTGTTGATACGGTTGTGTTGTGTGGTGCAACGACTGGGGGAGAGATACGGCAGAGTTTACTAGATGCCCAGGGCTTGGGATTCCGAGGAATTGTGGGTTATTCCTTGATGTCAACTTGGTTAATCCTCCGACTAACCAAGATTATCCATTCCAGGTGGCTGCTGACGCATGCGCGGACACATGCAAGGAGACTCATTTTGCGAATTTGTTCGATATGCAAGCTAAAATTGGCGACGTTCTCTCAACAGATATCGCCACTGAGGGTCTAAGGAAAGGCTGGACGTATACTGACTAGAATGCCCCTTATGTTGATTTCAGGGTTTCCATATCATCCTTTTTTTTTTTTTTCTCCATGAATTCCTTCTCATTCCTCTGCCTATTTTAGCTTTCTACTGGATTCTCGATTATTTTTAGGTCGTGGATGGATGGATGAAGTCCGGGCTTATTGTTATCTCCAAGCATTCTGCCGCCACTAGTGCCATTATGTCAAGTGGAGCTTGCTATAACTTGCTCTCCGCCTGCCGTTTCCGGATAAGGGGCAGCACATACGGAGATAAGACAAATGATAAGCTTATCGCTTGCGATAAGGTCTCTCTTTCCGGCCGGCAACTCTGTCCATCTTTCTTATCAAGCACAATCAGCTGCAATCCATCCATTCTTACACTTCGTTCAAATCGCTCCCGTAGAGCACTTAATCAAGCAATGCCGCCTTCATCGCTTCACACAAGGACGTTTTGAAGTATGGCCAAGCTCGCGCCCTGGCGAGTTGCCGCACTAGAATAATGGATGTCCCCGCACTACCGCTGTCTATTCTGCTACCGCTTGGCGGTCTGGTACTCTTCCTCGCTGTTGTCCTTCTTCCAACAGTTCTGGGAAAGCGGAAATATCCACTACCACCTGGTCCTCCAGGAGAGTTTATATTGGGCCACTACCGAAAAATTCCTTTTGTGGCCCCTTTCAAACAATATGCGCAATGGGGGAAGGAATACAGTATGTATCCGCGAAAATTACTATCCTAAAGTCACAGAAGCTAATGAAGCTTCTTAGAATCCGACGTGCTTTACTTCGAAACCTTCGGCACGAAATGGATTGTGTTGAACAGTCTAAAGTCGGCCGTTGACTTGCTTGACAAACGCGGGTCCAACTATAGCGATCGGCCTAGATTCATTCTTTTCGAAGAGTAAGCCTATCTGCTTCATAATCTGTCAAATACACTAACGGATTTGTTCTAAGAATGGGCTGGGCACCTACTCTGACATGGTTACGATGGGGACCTAAAATGCAGCAACACCGAAAAATACTACAGCCGGCATTTAGCAAAGCGCAGGTGCGCCAGTATCAGGATAATCAGCAACGTCAGGCTTTAATCTGTCTACGAAATATGATGGACGCCCAATCAAACTACATGAGCGCGATTCGTAGATTTGCCGTCGCTGTTGTGTTGAACATTAGTTATGGCATTGACGTCGAGTCACCGGATAGTCCATGGATTAAGATCGCAGACAATGTTGCTGAAGCCATTAGCAATTCTGGTGCCCCAGCAAGCAGTATTATTGATCGTTTCCCTGCGAGTAAGTTCACTTCGAGAGACCGTGTGCTCATTCAATTTGCTCACTAACCATGTTTGGACAGCTCGTCATCTTCCCACCTGGCTTCCATTTATGGAGCGTCTCCGCTACGCTCGTAAATGGCGATGGGCAATTGAAGCCATCACCAATACCCCCTTTACTGTTGCTCAAAAAGAGGTGGTGAGCTAACTAATTGTTGGGATGCATCAGGACGTGGGCGGCAGTGATATGCTAACCTTTACTCTTTCAGGGCGAGAAAATTGACCGTAACTGCTTTTCACATGACCGCCTTACCATTTACAATGCCAACGCTGAAAAGGGAAAACCCAACGAGTTCACTCTGGATGATATACGCGGTGCATCCGCTGCCATTTATATTGCAGGAAATGATACAGTATGCCTGAGAACTTTGCGCTGCGTCCCTTATGCATGTTACTGACAATGATAGACTGCCACAACGGTTCAGTTATTCGTTCTCTATCTTATGCAAAACCCCGACGCGCAAGCAAAGGCGCAAGCCGAGCTGGATCGCGTTGTTGGTTCAGACCGTCTACCAACTTGGGACGACATACCGAATTTACCTTACCTAAATCTTGTTCTTCAGGAAACTTATCGCATGAATCCACTTTCTCCCTTGGGAATCCCTCATGCATCTGTCAGCGACGATGTGTATGAGGGAATGTTCATCCCAAAGGGAACTATTGTTTACCCGAACGTCTGGGGCATGCATCACGATGAATCGTTTTACGCAGATCCATTCAAATTCTGGCCCGAAAGGTATTTGCCTAAAGATCAAGGTGGTAATGGAGAGCCATATCCAGTGGGTAACTTTGGGTTCGGTCGCCGTGTCTGTATTGGGCGGGCATTGGCTGAAAACAGTCTGATGATTGTGCTGGCTAATATGGCTGCCACCATGGATATCCGCTATCCAATTGGATCGAATGGTGAGAGAACACCATTTGAACCTGAGTGGTCGTATATAGGACAAGCGTGAGTGTTGCTCCAATGATTAGTCGTTATAGGTTTAGGATTGATTAACTGAGGAAGCATATTTAGACATCCGCTTAACTTTCCTGCTGACCTGAGCCCAAGATCTCCCAGGGCAGAACAATTGCTTAGGGCTGCTGTCGGAGTTTCCCAATGAAAGGCCATCAAGTGATGCAGCGTACCCACCTTATGCTCTAATGAGTATCCTATGTACACTTCTCCCAGCTGGGTCACTGTCTGGTGTAGTGTCATGACACGGCCGGATTAGATATAGCGGGCCATGTGATTCCAAATTTGAATATTTCCCTTAGAATTTTGGACTTTTCAGCCTATGTCTCCGCTTACAACTACTGCTAATCAGTCGTAACTTTGGTGTGTTGTCATTTGACAGAAAACCTCGTCAAGCCGGACAAAAATCGCTGTCCGTCAGGGGATGTTGGTCTGTCATTACACATCATTATGTAAATACATGTTCTTATGATATTCCATTGCCTACCGTAGTAGTCAATGGTTAAATCTGTTCCGTTAGTGTATTAAATTATAATCTGTGACGTTCTCAATTCTCCGACCTAATAATAGATGAAGGATTATAAGAGATCATCTAACTAGATTGCTAATGATAAAAGGAGAAGTTCTAGATATTATGCTGCTTATTGTCTTTTTATAGAATTCCTTCCTAGAAGGTGAGAAGAGGCAAAGCTACGACAGTAACAGTTTTGGGTGATTGATACTACTTATAGTTTGAGGTTTCAATTCTATATTATAGCTATTTATATTATTAAAATCTAGTTATACCAGGAGATTTTTCTAATCTTCACGATAATTCAAGGCCCAAAGCATCAAACGATACCCTCCTACCGTGATGGAAAACGAGAAATGCTTCATATGCAGTGGGGTACTCTACTACAGTAAACTTGTACTATATGCCATATATAGAGACCCCGCACCTTCCAAATCGAAGTTACTTAAACATTCCGCTGATGTTGTTGACTCAGATTATGTGAGTCCGCAGAATTATGCGACAACTGTATCAACTCTAGGGTTTCCGTATATGCGGCGTCAGCGTCATCTCTTGGCTGGTACTTTGACCTTTGTTGATTTGATTGGTCTGGCTCTCAGTTGTTACTGCTTGTTGGCAGCAAGGCTTGTTAGAAATAATGTTTCAGAATCTGCACGTAATAACGCACATCATATCATGCCCAAGATCTTAGCGTACATACTATGTATGAAATGTATGCTGCACGAGTGACAACACACTGAACACGAAATAGACATCCATGAAGGTTAAGCTTCAAGCCATCCCCGCCGATTTCACATGTTTTGGCCGCCACCACACCGTTACATTTTAGTCTATACTACTATATAGCATAGTCTCTATAGTACTCTGTCGAGTTCAAAAAGATGAGTTAGGGTCTAGCCAGGTGGCTACGCACTGCATGACTAACTGTGGGAGCTGCAAAGCGAGACAACGTGGCCTTTGCATAGGTCGGGTACGAGTGCTCCTCATGATAATAAGCCATGTTAGCTTTCTCTTGAACAGTTACAATTTGTGGCCGGTGTTTGATAACTAGCCTAGCGAGTTTGTTTCTGTCTTCGGATAGATTACGGAGCCGGGAGTACTCCATCTCCGAAGAGAAAGACGGTGAAAGGTAAAACATGGACGTGGTGGGGCCAGTCTCAAGATGATACAAACTAGCCCACATACAAACTGGTGGCCCCACATGGATCAACAGCCGTCAATGAATCGTGTGGTCCATGTGGTCCCCATGGCCCCACATTTTGTCACATGACCTCTGGCGATTGGCTAGATTTTGTTTGGGCAGACCCATCCGCTCCGTTCCGACTCCCGTGCTCGCAGCCAGAGGTCGCCAATGACACGCGCCGCAATCTCAGTTGGTCATTGCCAGTGCCTCAGGAACGCTCTTTGCTGTCGTGCAACGTGCACGCTGCACAGGATCTTGTTCTCGTGTCAGCTCCAGCTTGTCCTTTTGCTTCTTCTCTTTGTTCGTCGTTGCTTTTTCTCTCCGAGCTGACGATTGCTCATCATTCTTGTTGTCCGCCGCTAGCGAGTGCTATACTAGTGGCCAACGCACAAGCGCCTATTCCTTCTGTGGAAAACCTACCTTCTCGATACAGGTTTTCGCTCCCCTTTGGTTGTTGTCTAGGCAGCTAGCAGAAGAGTGGGCGGACTAGAGATAGTCCATGTTTCGTCTTTTCTACCCCTGCAGCACGTACCCCCGCTTGTTCCATTGGCTCGCCCCATCCAATATCTGAGCCGCGATTAGCAACCCCCTTGCTCGGTCGAGATGCAGCCTACTGGCCCGCGCCAAAACCAGCCGCTCCATATTACCTGCCAGTTGCTCTTCCACTGACAACTGTCACAGTTCTGCATCACGCAGTGTTCTTTCATTATCGTTCATTGTCTTTGTTTGTCATTCTTTTCCGTTCGGTCATTCTTTCCCTCCGCTTTCAATTGTCTCTCCAAAAACCATCGGGTCCCGCGCCGGAGACGATTTGACCAGCCACCACTCATTCTCCTTTGGACGCAAGCACCGAGATAAGAAAGCTGGATTGGACATGGCGAGCCAATATTTTTGGATATGAAGAATTTACAGGCGTTTCGTATTAGACGGTCGGTGCAATTACAACTCATGCGACCAATTGCAACATAAACTTGTGCATACATCCCTTTTTTTATACTGTCGCAGCAACAAATTCTCCTGAGACCGCAGACCTTCTTTGAACATTATCTAGATAGACCTTCTCACGACTCTCGTTTATTGATTCGTTCTTTCGATATTACTTTTTTCGCCTGGAAGTGTCTAGATCCTATTGCATATATACTTTTTTTTTTTCACTTTTACGTTACGTTCTATTAGCCGTCGGTCTCTCGAGTCGGTTACCATGCAATGAATACGAACTTATCCGTGACCCGTTAGTTTCGCAACACCACCATCCTTCAGGGATCGAGGATCGACATTACGATCTCAATATCATTTTCGGAATAATTTTTTGGGGACCTCATGCAAGTCGCAAGCGGGCCTTACCGCGGTAATATGGAGGCGTCGCTGTCACATTCGGCTCAGAGCGGAGGAGAAATAGGACCAACCCCTCAGGTATCAATCACGCCAGACCAGCAGATTACTGCGCTTCCAAGTCACCCTTTTCGAGAGTCCAACTCGTCCGCGATTACTTCTTCGCAAACGAGAGTGTATGGGAGAGCTCTCTCCCATAATCCGCATGCATCTACCTCTTCTAATGTATCACATGATCCATTCTCCCATCGACGTCGTGGTAGCACTCTGAAAATAGTGATGCGGAAAATATTCGGGAAACGACGACAGAGTCATTTGGAAGACGACGAGGTTATCGAAAGATCACCGGCAGACAGAGATCAAGCTGTGGGTTTGGCTAGAGGGTCGAATCAGATGTTATTTGAAAAGACAAAGCAACCATCTGACGCGAGCGTTGGGCCCTATACATATAATCGAAAAAAGTCGCTTGTTGTCAGCCATCCATCTTCTGTCTCGTCGGATCATATCGCTTTATCGAGCCAAGATCAGAGGATAGAAATATCCAAGCAAGTCATTAGACGAAGGGCGACGCTGCCCAGTCTCATTCTCACCGAAGACGAGGATACCAAGAAGTCGTTGTTTTCGAGTATTTCCCCCACAAGCACGCGACCCATAAGCGCCATCAATGAGACCCACGAGGACCACGAAGAGTCGAAATCTCAACCTAGTTTCAGAGCACATCGACGATCGCGCAGTGCCGATGCCTTACAAGAACTCGTACGGCGTCACCGAATGTCACCGATTCAATGGCGACGGCGAAGTGATGAGATTAAATTCTGGAGAACAAGTGTATTCGAAGTAGGTCAAGAGGATACTGAAGAACCACAGACTAGCAGCACCTCTGACGCCCCGGGGGCTGTAGCATCTGACTTGGAAGAACAGGAGAACATTAATGACAGCGTCGAGACTCCGAAAAGTGGACCTGTGTCGGCCCCCTTTCAACTTGAAAATTTATTGGCAAGCATGGCAGATCCTGACGCCACTGTGGAGCAGCGATTGACGACACTTGAGGTGAAACTTATGGATCTCGAGTTTGCGATAGCTAAGATACAAGGAACCGATACGAACGTCTTTTCCAAGCCTACAGCAGACTGTGCAGACGAGAGCAAGGACGATGAAGATACGTCAAATGAGCCATCCTCTATCGCCAGTGAGACTTCCTCGCAGAGCTCTCTTTCGTTTGGTGGAGGTGATCGTCCTATCAGTACTTCGACTCTACGGCCGAATATGATTTACGCTCAGCCAACCCCTTGGCAAGGGGGCTCTTGGTCTTCGATGAACCTTCACGGCATATCAATTGAGCAGTACAGCGCTTTGGTTACACTGGTTCGCCGAGAGCAAACTGCAAGGAAGGCCCTAGAAAGCCAAGTGGCACAGTTGCAAGAAGAAATGCAGCAAATTCGACGCTTATCTGTTTTACCTGCATCTCCTCCGGGAACGCTATATCCTATTCCCAGCCCGGATTCTGATGTTGAACGATTTCATAGACGCCGACGTCCCAGCCCGTCTCGAAAAGACTCTAACACAAGTGCGGATACCAAGTATTCCGGATCGCAATCGCGGGATAGCCCAAAATATCGACTTATGAGGGAAAAGGATTCGAGAAATGTGTCCAACATGATTTGAAAGTGATACCATTGATGCGTTTTAGTCTTTCTTTTTATATATATACCTGGTGGATTTTGAATCGATTGAATTAGTTTCGGCCGCTTTCACAATGTGGCAACTATTATACGACCAGCGGACGGGACGCAGCACGAAACTAATGAGTCGATCAAATATTGTTCATTGTAATTTTAATTCTATTATGTGGCTAGAAATTTTGCAGGTCAAATTGAAATTATTGGCATGTGTTATGAGGTGTACTTTAGCTACTGACCAGTTAGCTGTGACTGGACAGCATACTCAATCTCTCCTGTGCCTCCATCCAATCCGAACAAATTTGCAAAACTTTCAAGATCCTCAGATATAGTATAATACTGAGGATCCAGTATCATGGTCTGGCTCATTAACCCTAATCAGATGGAAAGCGGAAGATCATTCGGCCCGCACTAGACCTTCAACCCCTTCCAGATTAGGAAATTGCTGTTTTCCTCCGAACTTCCAAGATTAGGTTGGCTGGCTACATGCAATTCCGGCGTGGATAAATAAGCTCAGGCGTTAATAATGTCGATGATCAATAGCCGTTTCTTACATACCGCACACCTAGGCATCAATGACCGATTACTCGCAGATATTTGCAAAAGCGTAGCCCTAACCATACAATCTCATGTATATTTCCAATCTTAGAAGGTTCGTTAGAAAGAGCTTCTGGGCTTAGGAACTATAACAGTGAAGATGAATTGCCCCCAATATATGCTACTATCTAAAGCGCACAAAAAGTGATATTCCGAAAAGATAGGAGACCAGATCATGAATCAGAAAGTCAAAGAATATCCCTACTCCGCATCAATTTCTGATGCTGTCCGCAATGGGGGAGTAATCTTTCGAATCGAATCTTGAAACCACAATCTGACTACCCACTGACTGAGAGCATCATCATCAAGGCCAGGGCTTTGAAGACGTGGATTGGCCTTGAACCGATGAATGAAAGATGTGGAATGTCTCAACTGGTGGAATATCCAGAGGTTGATGAAATGGTACGCATCGAATTTTCCCGAATTTGCCAGTTCGAAGAAGGGATTGCAGTCGTCCAGTTCAGATAACCACAAGAGATCTCTATTAAGTGGAAGCCCTTGTTTGATGGCCATGTCAAATTGGGTGTTAAGTCCTTCTGCTTGAATATCTGCTGGCAAGGAGACACCCGCTCTCTCGCATTGTAGTCGCGATACTTCTGCTGCCTCTATTTTATCATTTAATATCCTTTCAAGCTCGTGGCGTTCCGTCTCAAAGTTGGAGAGGAATTCCTGGGATTCTTGGTCGAGTGGTAGGTTTACTAACTTCCGTGACGCTTGTCTTTCAATCACTTCCGTATACTCGACAGAAAGGTCGTCTAAGCGCTCACGGTAGATCCGCACGTCGCCCATACTAGAAAGATACTTTTCAACCAACGGGTGCATGCCCTTATGGCTACTACTTGATGTGCTCGCATAGTCTGAATTATCATCAGCCAGAGTCCACGTAGGCGAAGTTCCCCTATGAACACCGAAACGGCTGTCCGCGGAGTGTGTATCCAACTCCTGAACCTGCGACTCCCAGGAAAGTCGCAATAGCTCGGCGAGCTTAGTTTCCCTCCGCTGCAAATAGTGTTCCTCTGTTTCCAACTGTCGTTGAAAGTCCTGGTAATCGTTTTCCTGCTTCAGGTAGTCATCCGAATACTTTTTTATTGTTTCAAGAGTGTGTAACTGTGTGGTTATAGAAGCAGGATCCGGTGCTTCAAATGGCGTCTTGCTGAGTAAAACCTTCAATTCCCTTGCAGCGTCTGCCCACTGCGATACTTGCACATCCCTACTTCTGTTGAGTCCCGAGCGCATCTCGCTGAGTTGGATTCGCATCCCAGATACCCTTTGTTGGTCCATGATTACCAATTGAATAGCGTCGGTTAGCCGTTTAGGCAGATTGGCCTTTTCAACCCCATTATCATCCGGCTCCTGTTCTTCTCTAGCAGATCCACCTTGCAATTCTTTACTGCCCTCGACTACTTTCTTGGCGTCGTCATATCGCAAGCTATCATCGTCTATTCCAAGGTCATGAAACGGGGTAAGGTCATATTTATCTGTTTGATCGAGGTCGAAGAAAGATCTAGGCGATGATATGGTCTCGCTTTTAAGAGCGTGGTCGATGCCGCCTTCTTGAGTATCAAGGAAAAGTGGCGATATAGGCCCATTCGCCTCAAGTAACCGAGGTGGGACCGAAAGACGATCTGTAGATAAGATCTCGGCTCTCTGCGGCGGCGAGAATTGTAGGCTTGGGACGCTCGGTTGGATAGGCAAACTCTGGGGATATGCCTGCAACTCAGTGACTGGGTAGGAGAGCCGTTCTGAGCCTTGCTGGCTCATGCCATGCAAGTCGAAGTTCACGCTCTGGCATTTACGGAGCTGGTTCATCGTCATCAATCAGGCTCTGCGTCGATAACAGCTAGACTGAAACGCGGCTCTTTTGCAACTTGTACGTAGGTAGTAGCAGTGGTGGTGACGGACAGACAGGAAAGAATATCCCAGCGATGGCGTGCAAGTAGGGATCAACATCCTTCTGCAGCTAATACATGTACAACAAACGCACCGACAGTCGGCAAGGCAGGCGAGTCAGCTGACCCAGTCCTAATCGCAACACGCACCGACCAAACGGGAAGGAGGGCGACCACACCACCGGCGTGCAACAATCCGCTGGTTCCGATCTTGCATGGTCAAGTCCTCCTATCAAATGCAGTGCGACACCATGCGTGCCTTTGACCGCTTGACTGGGTGACCTCCCGAAGCCCTCCAGCATGAATCAGTGTTTATCTTGCAGCCCGGCGAACGTTTGGCCTCAAGCCATTGGTGCATTCGCAGCTCTTGAGCCTTGGGCAGGAACAACGAGTCGGTCAGTCGGCCATCTCGAAAATGATACCTAGGTTCCATTTGATTTTGAGCCTCATCTACTATGATAGGTGTCAGTATCAGGGCGGAAATGGGTATATTAGCAGGGTTATGGGGTATACAATCGAATCCGTGTCGCCTCTGTATCTGGTTGTTTGGATTTACAGAGCTCTCTGATATATATTACACGTGACATATCTCCTAGAAACAACCGAAATGAGTCACAAGGGCCACAGTCATGGAAGCTCGTTTCGTTTTTCTCCTGGTAGGCTCTTCGATAGCTATGATTGCGTCATGTATATTTCTGGCTCACAATATTTTGCATTACAAACAGGTTACGGAGTCTCGGAGCATTCGCCATATCAGTACGCAAACAACTTTGAGCATGGCGATGAGGATTATAGCTACGGCGATAGGTTTGTGATTGTCGTCATCTGTATGATGCAGGCTAATTGCTTCGATCATTCAGTGACCCTTCTCAACCCCAAACACCGCAAAATCCATCACCTCCCAATCCGCCAACAAGAGAACCTTGGGGATATGAAAGCGGCTACAGTCCTCCATTGAACCAGCAAAGTGTGATATCTGCTCACGAGACATTGCCATCGCAGTACGCCTGATATGCTGTCCCCTTAGCTATCATTAACGAGGCTAACATGTGTCGTCTTTCTTTCGGCAAAGCTATCCCAGCAATGCCATGCACAATCAGCAGTCATCGTTATCCCCTTATATATCCAGTGACTCGAATTGGTATCAGCAAAGTAGCCACAATGCATATCCATCGCCGGAGACACCATCGCGAAATGGTCAAAATCCCAGGCGCCAAAGTCGCTCTCCATATGGAGGTAAGAGATGTACAAATATATTATGCAGGTAATTGATTGACTCATTCAAATTAGGAATAGTTAGGCGAGGGGACTTTTTCACACCGGGCAGGGTGAGTACTTCAAAAGACCTTGGGAAAATGAATTGTTCTATAACTGAGGTCGGAACTTCAGATTTTCGTTGTCCGCTGGTTCGAAACTGCCGCACCCAATGCTGCCAATGCAAGTGGCCGCAGTGAATTAATTCGAGGCAGTTACGGTCAGATGGCATATGGCTCCTGGCGTCGGATGGCTGTAATCAGGACTTTTCCAGGGCAGAATAGTTCCACTTGCGTGTAAGTGGTCAAATTTTTTAGGGATGATTGATTGATATTTTTCATTGAAAAGGAGTACAAGAGAGCTAATCGTCCCTTTCCCACCACATAGAGGTATATATACCTACGGTGCACGTGGATTAGCGAAACGAGGGCTGGACCTCAAGCATCATGCAATCCTGTTCGATGAGAGCGTGGGACAGCCTTATACGGAACCAAACGAACCGGAACTTCAGCGTCCAGCACTCGCTGTCAGCATAGATTCACCTGAAGAGAGGCTAGACCCGATGTCGCGCATCAATTTCGGAAAACTTCATACGGTTGAACATAATGTCGAAGTGCGGAATGTTGGCTGCATTTCTGTCTCGTCTATGGCATACTTTAATGCCTACGTAAACGAGGTATTGCTTGGTTATAATGACAATTGACATGCGTCAAGTAGCTATGGAATTGTTCGAGAGCATGGTTTACCTGATGGTCTCTTGAAGATGTTGCCTGATATGTATCCTGGCTGTTTCCCCTCCGACAATTGGGTCTTTTATTATGTCTGTCATTGAAAATGTCCTTGCTGACACCTTTCGCATACGATACGTCCAAAGTCCAGTGATGCTTTCAGTCGAGATTTGGCTGAAAGCAACCCACCCACCTTCGCTTCACCCCGTGTATTTGTTTGCTTTTGATTATTTTCCTATTCTTTTTCTGACTCTTATTTGTTCAAACCTTTTTGACGTTGGATATCGCGCCACTACCCGGCGTCGAATATCATACAAATAACGACAGAATGATTTTACATGCACCGAATATTGAAGGCACACGGTATTAATGAACAAGATGAATACGATAAGTCGACAATACAATTTTTCGATGTCTTTTGCCTAGTTTGATTATTGAATTTTAATGATATAGTGCAAATGAAATTGATGATGAATGCGTGTCTCTCAAAGGGTTCCCTAGAGTTGCAACTTGCAAGTAAATAATCCAAGTGGAGCCCTTGCCTTGATGCCTGGTGGGCCGGCCGTAGGCGGTCAAGCGGAAAATGTCGCGGGCCGGATAACTTTTGCAATCATCAAAAATATTTTCTTCTTATCAAAATATCCTGTTTCATCAAACGACATCGCTGCTCTGCTGCCTGGATTCGGGCCGCAGAACCAAGAAACATGAAGCGCAAGCTCGATGCCAACGATGTGCCGTCGATAGAGGCACCGGAAGGAGACGATGAGCCCCAAGCCACCTTTGAAAGCCTCGGTCTCGATCCGCGATTACGCCAAGCGCTGGTGAAGGAGAATTTCTCGAAGCCAACGCTGGTGCAATCCAAGGCAATTCCCTTGGCTCTCGAGGGGAAGGATATCTTAGGTACGCTTCCTTGCGATACGGGATGAATGGCTAAATCAATGTTCTTTTCTGTTCTGTATCTAACAATTGTGTTACTAGCACGGGCTAAGACGGGCTCTGGCAAGACTGCGGCTTATGTCCTTCCTGTTTTGCAATCCATTCTTCAGAAGAAATCAGTACGTATTTTTTTCCCCTTGCGCTGACAGGATCTGTACGAAGGAAAAATTAACGACATTCTTCTAGATTGACCCTTCTCTGAAAGCGACGTCGGTTCTTATCCTCGTCCCCACGAGAGAACTTTCTGAGCAAGTGCAACGTGTCGTGGTATCCTTCTCGTCCTCCTGCGGCAAGGACGTGCGATCCGTCAATTTGACACAAAAAGTGTCTGATTCTGTCCAACGTGCCATGCTTGCCGATATCCCCGACATTGTCATATCCACCCCAGCACGGGTAGTCTCTAACGTCAATAATTCGGCGTTGTCCTTGGACAACCTCACCCACTTGGTGATTGATGAGGCCGATCTGGTGCTTTCTTATGGCTACGAAGATGACATAAATGCTTTGGCCAAAGCTGTGCCACGAGGAGTTCAGACATTCCTGATGAGCGCAACTCTCACGGCCGAAGTGGACACACTAAAAGGCTTGTTCTGTCGAAACCCGGTGACTTTGAAACTGACCGAGACGGAAGATGAAGGAGGTGGTATCAGCCAATTTGCTGTGCGCTGTGCGGAAGATGAGAAATTCCTTCTCACATACGTTATTTTCAAGCTGCAGCTGGTCAAGGGCAAGTGCATCATTTTCGTTGGAGACATCGACCGTTGCTATCGTCTCAAGCTTTTCTTGGAACAATTTGGAATCAAGAGCTGCGTGTTGAACTCAGAGCTACCGGCAAACTCGCGTATACATGTTGTTGAGGAATTCAACAAAGGTGTTTACGACATCATCATTGCTGCGGACGACCAAGAAGTTCTCGGCACGAAAAAGATCAAAAAGCCATCGGCAGCGAAGGATACGGAATCCAACACGGTTGAAGAGGATGCCGAAGCTGAAATAGATGAATCCAGCGACGACGAAGTCCAACCCGCCCAAGATTCCAAATCTCAAGGGAACAAAAAGCAGAAACTCTCTGGCAAACAGAAAGACTACGGCATCTCCCGTGGCATTGATTTCCAGAACGTCGCCTGTGTGTTAAATTTCGATTTGCCTACGACATCTAAGTCCTACACACATCGCATCGGCCGCACTGGGCGCGCCGGCAAAACCGGCATGGCATTCTCCTTTGTCGTTCCCAAAGAAGAATACGGCAAACACAAACCAACAAGCTACCCAACTGCTAAATACGACGAAGCGGTGCTTGCAAAGATCATCAAACGTCAGGCCAAACTCGGCCACGAAGTAAAACCATATCACTTTGAAATGAAACAAGTCGAGTCCTTCCGCTACCGTATGACCGATGCTCTACGCGCCGTCACGCGACTCGCCATCCAAGAAGCACGGGCGCGCGAGATCCGCCAGGAACTGATCAAGTCGGAGAAGTTGCGCCGTCACTTCGAGGAGAACCCAGATGAATTGCGACACTTGCGACACGATGGCGAGATTCGAGCGGTCAGAATTCAGCCTCATCTCAAGCACGTCCCCGATTACTTGATGCCGTCCAAGGGAAAGCAGGGATTGATGGCGGAAGACTCGCAGAAACATGTGAAAATCGGGAAGTCGAATGAGAACCGAATCCGGAAGGCGAGGGAGAGGAATAGGGCTAAAGGGCGGCGAGGTGCAGGGTCTAGCGGTAGGAAATCGGATCCCCTGAAGACTTTTAATGCGAAGGGGAGAAAGAAGTAAATAGAGCAAGAAAAAGTTTAATTTGTAAATAAATAAATAAAAATGGTTTGTTTGTCCTTGTCTTTGCCTCTTTTCTTCCTCTACTTGGTACATCTATAACTAAGTTTCCTATACATCGAGTTTTGACATCACTGTCTCTAATATCTCTCTTTCCTCTGCTCCCTCGCCACCAAAGGAGAAATGAATCCACTTCCCACCGGCTTCGCGTCGTACACGATGGACATGCCTCTCGACCTGGCGAGCCCTCCGAAGAGTGTCTTCATATGCTTTCCACTCGTTGATGTGCCGTTGCTTTTGACGCGCCATCTCAGCCTCCCGGAGGTCTTGCGCCGTAAGAACAGAGCTTAGATCATCGTCCGGATTCCCAAAGCTTGCCGGCACTCGCCGCTGGGATGAATGGGAATGTATAGATGCCACGAGCGGGGTATGTGATTCAGATAGATCATTACTACCAGCATACTTCGCGGGGATCCAGCCAGGGCCAAGACCGATCCATTCAATATCTCGCCACGGCCCATTCCATGATGCTTCAAGTGTGCGAAATGGCTCATCATCTTGCAATGTACGTCCATCCCAGCTCAGGGCGTCAAACCATTGCCCGCAGCCCTCGAGGTCAAGCCATTTGAGACAATAGGTTGCGCGGGAAAGTTTGCGCAAGATATTAACGACTTCAACCCAGTTGTTTTCATCGGCACTGTAGGTATCTGTGCCCCCGGCAGCGAAGGTGAGCGACTTAATCGATGGATGCTCAACACGCGCATTTATTGAGTTCGGCGTAAGCGTTGGAATCGGCCAGTGAGCCAGGGACAAATGAGTGATGGTCGAGATGTGAGAGAGCAAATTGACTAGCGAGCCCCAATTGGCCGCCGTACGTTCAGGATGAGCGAGAGATAAGTATCTCAGATTTGGAAACCGGAGTATATGGGACGGCGACTGGAACAAAGGCGGAGTTGGCGAGTCTACAGCAGGTTCGACGTCGTCCCATGATTCGGGAACAGTCTCCTGCGTCTTTGTAATTGGCACCTTTTCCTTTTTGGATGAAACAAGAAGATGTCTGCTCAGGAGCTTTATGCTGGTCCATTTGCCTATTGCCGCACTAAGATCGAGCCGAGTGACATGACTGGTCTCAGCTTCAGTGACGGAGTCTCCTTCCGGCGCTGGCGCACCAAAGAGCAGATCAAGGTCATTTGTTCGTGATGCCGATACAGCATCAGGCGAGTAAATGGCAATGTAACTCAACAGTAGAAGCTTCAGACGATTCGGAATTTCCACCAGAAATACATTGTCATAATCCAGATGCCAAGGCCAGCTTGTCGCCATCGATTTCAGCAAGACATGCTGCAGGCTATGCTTCGGTGGAAAGTTTATGCCGGGGAGTCGTTCAAGCCGGTATAGTACTTGGTCACGCCCTACAGAGACGGTCTCTCTGTCCGTTGTCGATGTCCTGTTACTCTGTAACCAACTAGACGGAGGCGGCGGGCCAGGGATTCTGCGAAGGAGTCGTCCGCCTACCGGTCGAGCATTTGGGCGCGGTCGCGGCGGCGGCGTTTCTGGCACGTCGAGGATATTCCTGAGCGACGGATGCAAAGTGCGCAGCGTCAAGGGCTGGTGAGGATTAGAGGGCCCATCGTTGGTGGAAGTAGGCACTTGAGTCCGGCGCAGATGCTGGATGAGGTCATTCACTGACTGCGATGCCGAAGCGCGGCTGCCATGCTGGCGCGAGCTCGACGAGGATTCTAGTGACGGGTGGACTGTGCTCGCGGGTTTGACAGACGGGTATTTGTTGTGCTTTTTGGGCATGAAGGACGACGAGTCGACTAGAGTACTCAGGAATGTAAGAGATGAGAGATCTCGGATGGATGGCGGAGAGCACAGAAGTGGTTGGCGCCACGTTCGCCGGGCCGCTTCTGCTTCCCGTCCGCATTTAGTTAGGAGATGGAAAGATTGATCTATTTCTGATTATGGCTCTCTATAGCGTGGTGATAGTACATTTTGGTCTTTTACTTTTGTGAAAGATAAATTCAGGTGTCCCGCACCCAGGATTCATCGTTCATCTTGCCTTCCCTCTTGGGACCCTCGTGGGCCCACGTGTCAGCGAGGCTTGCCTTGGGGTCTTCGTCTGACAGACCTCGCGACCGCCTCAGCTCGACGACGAGGTCGCGCACCTTGCGTGTGCACTCCTTTCGCAGTTCGACTGCTTCCTCTCCGAACATCAGTTCCTCACTCAACACACCCAGCGGTAGCTGTGATACAGCGGGGTTCTTCTTCTCTGCTTTTTCCTTGAGTTGCCTCCATCGCCGCCGCAAGTCACCGAATACCGCATCGATGTCGGCTTTGTCGCCAAACGTGATGCTTATGCGTTTGAAAGGGCGGGGTAAAAAGCGCGGAAAGTCGCGGTCCTCGTGCATGACTTCATCGGTGCCTTCTATCCAGATTGGCACCACGTCGGGGCATTCAGATGACTCCAGGATGAGCCGAGAGACGCCCCATTTGAAGTAGCGCATGATCTTCTTCGGCGACTGGTGGATCTTCCCTTCTGGAAAAATATGAACCCAGGAATATGAATTGCAAGAATATGAAGATGGCGCGAGGATCGAGTCCTCGCCGGTGGTGGTGTATGCGGTGGGAAGGTCGGAGAACGGATCAACGCAGACATTCTGAAGACTCCAGCGTTGACGTTCGATGTTTGCAAAGTGAGGATCTGCAGGAAACGGCCCTTTGGACAACAGCCGGATTCCTTGCGTCATCGTAGATTGGAATAGGCCGCCGTGAGGTGAGTAGGTAAGACGGTGCGTTGGGAGAACTTGTCCGAGCGTGAAGAAGGCACCGCTAGCACTGTTAGTAGTTAGCTATATGGCGCCAAAATACTCGCTTTCTCCGCGTTTTTCCTTACCGTGTAGCCCAACAGATATCGTGACTGCCAAAGGCCCATCGGCGATTATAAGACGGAAGATTGAAGTGGTATCTGAACGGTAAAGCCCCCCAGATCAAAGGGTCATCCATACTAATTTCAAGATTAGCGATATGTTGCATAGGTGGGACGATGTTGTCGCCTGCGTAGTGATATTGTACATACGTACACGCTAATGTGATTCGATACTGTATCAAGTTCCAACGATTGATTAGGGACCATTCTAAAAGCGCCTGAAGGCTAGCATTGTGTTTGTATACACATACCGGTAATCAACCCACGCGTTCTTTGCGAAGGATCCCGCCGCTCATCGAGTAGTTTCGTAAACGAGTCTAGTCCATGTACTTCCAATTCGCTCAATCCCAGAAGAAAGCCGCGACACAGCGCACCGATCTCGAACATGGTCATCGACGACCAGGCCCTCCACCAAGCGGAGGGCTGGTCGGTTGTTGCACCCAAGGACATTGCGATTGAGCCCGAATTTGCGGATGGGTCAGGTCCCAAGTCAAGGGAATTGCTATTATACCTTCCGCATGTGAGGATCGAGCCTGGAGAAACAGCAGCGCAATTGAGAAGCGATTAGTATTGAAATACCATTGGGGAGAGAGCAAAGAAAAAAAAAAAAAAAAAAAAAAAAAAAACTGGCCACTTACGGGTTTTGCTCGTGACTCGTGGCAGACAAGGCGCACGGGCCAGCTCCGCACCTCCGCGGTTTCCCTTGCGATTTTCCGAAACCACCAACAGAAGCAGACGACGCCTTGTCCATCGCTAGTTCTGCTTAGGAAACCATGTTCAAGCCTACGACTCCGCTGCTAGGAGGTTTGCTGTGGTATGTTTCTACTTTCCCTCTCGCTTTGAATGAGAAAGCAACGTACGAAAGGTGTCTCGGAGCCTAAACACTGATTGAAAATCTTTCTTTCCCTCCGCAACAGGAAAATCCCATGGCGCCTCTCCAGCCGACAAAAGTTTCGCCAGCGAAAGCGTCTTCGAGCAGTCGATCAGGTCGTTGATACGGTGGCCGCAGCCCTCGAGCGCAATGGAATGGCCCAGGTGAAGGCAGTTCAACGGTGGTATGAAGAGATGCCACGGGAAGAGGAAATGCTTCCCAAGGACAAATACACGATCTACGACCGGAAAGAAAAGAATTATCGCAAGGGAATTCATAGTGAGTGCTTGCTACAAAACCCCAAAAATGATTCGAAGGAGTAGAACAGATTGTTGATACAATTCTGCCACTCATAGAGCTACCCAAATGGACGAGAGTCAGCCAACGAGTCAACCCTCCCGGATTTTAATTGCCAAAGGAACATTTTCCGTTTCGATCCAGCTACTCCCGATTTACTTACTGTTCTCTTGGCTGAGATGGGCACCGATATAAAAGCTGGCCGGATTTCACCGTCAGGCCTGTGTGTCCAACTACACACACACACACACACACACACACACATCATTCATTGTACTATTATGCGGCTTCGATAAATTATCGTTCGTTCGCCCGCTGTATCTAACATTTTGAGGCATCTTTTATTGGGAATTGTTTCTCCCCTGGCGTTTAATGCAATGTGAAGGGAACAGGTTAGCAAGGAAATTTATCCACGGCTTCTCTATTTAGCATCAAATTATATTGTCTTCTGGTCAAAACTCAATATCGTCTGGGTAGACACTCTTTTCTTTATCTTTTCCTTTTGTTTTTCTCAATGACGGATAATAATAAGAGTGGGAAGAACAGTGGAATGCAGCATAGTTTAAGAGCATAATCACGAGCAAGAAATCCCAACGCCGCTTCGCTGAGTCTGCGAATAGCCGGCTTTCGATGCTGCAAAAACAGATACACAATTCGAGATATCATTCGAGTTGTTATAACATCCCCCGATCGCCTGCCAGTCCTCCAGTTTAGCCCACCTTTCGATTCCGCCGTAGTAGTACGCATTCTTCTGGCTAGTTGGCATAGGGAATCCCCGTGGTGGTCGCCGTAGAATCCAATTTGCTGGGTTGAACACGGACTCTGGGGCTTCCTCTGCTGAGCTTTCATAAAATTCATGCGAGCGAACGTTTGGAACTTCTATCTGCCGGCGTGCTTTGTTGATGGCAACTCTCCAGGAATCAATAGAAGCAATGTGTTTCCTCCTATGCTTGGCTTTGGCTGGACATCTTCGTCGAGAATCAACTACTTCAAACGGTTCCTTCATAGTTCGACGGTCACCATATAGACGCATAACTTCGGTCGATGCACAACAAGGGTTGGTATAAATTAGCCACTTCAGCTTGCTTTGCAGGGTTGCAAATTTAAAGCCTCGATTGCCAGGCTGGCATTCGTTAAGAAACCATGCAAGACTTCTGTCGACTCTGTCCAAAAATCTTATCTCAACATCCAGAATACTGCAACGTTGTTCTGGGTCCTGCTCCTTTGTGGCGATCTCGACTTGCTTATGGATTTTGGGTTCAAAATTCGAATCAGTACCGTTATAAAGACAAGACAGGCTTAATTGAAAGGCTTGAAGATCAGCAGGTCTGGACTGGACTTTGCGGCCCCTTGTACTGACATCAAGCTGGGTAAAGATCGATTCTGAGGCTGCTGTCATTTCGAAAGACTCCCGCGATATGCCCTTCTGTGCTGAGCTACTGCTACTATATGAACCGGACACAGGACTTCCCGGCCGACCCAAAATGCCTGACTGGTGGGGCAAAATAGACTGAAGACTGCCCATCTGCAAACGTGTAGCCCATGCTCGAAGGCTTTTTAATCGACGATAATTGTGAGTGGTAGGGCGTGCAATAGACAGTGTGCCAGTTGGTAGGAGATACGTCGAAGGAGCCATTTTCAATAACCTGTTCAAGTCGCTTGATATCTTCTGGCAGGTTTTCCCGTTATTTTTGGTGGAGCAAGCTGGATAAAGGTATCCTGTGTTGGCAGATTTCACGCAAAACGGGAAGGTTAAGTATGTTGAAGCTCGAGGTTGTAATTGATAAGAGATATTAACGAAGCCACAATTCGTAAGCGCACCATTTCCAGCACGGACTGGGGCAATGGCAGACTTGTCTGGTTTCCAAGGAATCGAATTCTCACATCCGAGCGGATCTGTGTTTCTTCTCGTTGAGGTATCATTGATTTGGCGTTTTTCCTCTGCAGCAAAGCGTGAATCCCACCATATCTGACTATAGTCGTCACAGTCACTCCATGAAAACCACCTACGAAAAGCCGAACGCAGGTTTTTCCATGCCTGTCTTCGAGAATTATAACGATCTTGCGGAATCCAGCCATACCACGTTTTGATATACCGAGTGTCGACCGGCTTGCGGTCTCGTAGAATTCGTCCTAGCGTGAAATAACGCAGGAAATATCCAAACTTCCAAAGGAGAACGGCAAGACCAAAGACCGCAGACGTGACGAGCAGGATATATACGAGTATTCGCAATCGTGCCAGCCCTTTGACGGAGACTGCGGTCTGGAGTGGACGCGGAGGGGGTTTGAATTGATGTCGTGGCAGAATGCGCGCAACGGGCAATGGAGCCATACCTCGAACGCCTGTACGCGGTTAAGCTTCTCGCCATAATGATATTGAGAGTGCTGGCTGTAGGTTGGATGCAGAACTTCAGACTCGCGAAGTGGACAGAAGCTGTCCGGCCGGGAAGGAAGAGACAGACGGCTTGCTCTTTCCCAAGGCGAACCGCCGAAGTTACCAAAGGCATTCTTTCGTTAATATACAGTATGTTGTAGAAAAGGCATGTTTTATGGCGACAACTGCTCCAGGAAGCTAAAACTACGGCAGCTGGACGCATTCATGCAATTCTGAGCTACGGACATGACTATACTAGGTATACACAGCGGATAGAGCTCCATCAATGTGATTTTCCAAGTAGGTCGCCTAAAAGTAGCTAGTTTCATTGTAGTCTAGCCCAATCTATTGAAAAACAGGACAGACATGCGCCAACTTGTGTCAATCTGTTCCATCGCGGCGCTTTTACATACATCAGGGCTTTGATTAGATGAATATAGTGTCTCAATGAGTTCAACAGTCACTAGAAGATTGCTATAAAATATTTCATGACTGAGTTTCTGAATTGAATCACGATGGAGAATATAAAATCTTGCTGTGTTTCTTTATTCATTACTTCAACCAGATATTCACACAACTTACTTTCTATCTTCTCTAAAGGTATGTGGAGGAATGGACCTTTTTCTTTTGAGTCCAAGCCTGATGAGAGTTCTATCATAATATAGCGGCGTTCATTTACATTAAACATAGCAATGGAACCTAAGTTCACTGCTATTATTCAAGCTGGCCCTCCAGCAAAGACGGGAACCGAAGAACTTCCATGTCCTATCCTCGTTGAACTTTCCTATGAGGGCCCGCAGTTAGACAATGTGAATACATCATACATATGTCGTGTGATGGAACGAAAATCCCCCTTTGGAGATGAAGAACAATTTTCTGAGGATATACTGGGACACAATCTCGGCGACGAAACAAGTCTCAACGGAATTATCGTTTTCCGTGATATCCGTGTTCCATCTTATAAGTGTGAATGTCAGCCTGTTATTTTAATGACACATACGGACCTTGTTGCTCCTAAAACTATTCCTGAAATTTACCGGTCAACACACTGGTTTCCTGTCGACCCAAGCTTCCGGAATACTGCATGCACTCTAAGTGAGTCTACCTGCATATGTTAGCATTATACTATGTATTGATACTTGAAATATAGAATAGACCGACATTAATTGGATCGAGCAAAACAAGCAAGTACTACATCGTTACAAAATCTACGAAGACTTTGAGCCTTACTTGCAGGGCGCGGGTGATTCCAGGACATTATCAACAGCCAGCACACTTGTGGACGAATGAGAAACGCACGAGCGCCTGATACTCTTGAGAATGGCACAACTAAATTTTTGTTTTGTCTCTTCTTTTCCAAGTATTAGATCCTTGATTGTTTCAAACTAGGTTTCTTTGGAGTCAGAGGGTGGGGGCAATAGATTCCGATCTGAACTGGTTATGCCTAGTTGTGGAGGAAGCCTTAATATTGATTTAATCTATTAATCATATGATGAATCTTAATTTATAGTTCGTGGAAATTGCGCTTTTCATAAGGTGTCTACGTGTAGACACTCACGGTCCCCTCCCGGAAGCCCTAACTCTAAGAAACCGGTACAATAGAAAAAGCCTTTACCTGAAGTGTGGAAGATTCATGGTTCAATAACGATATACTTTAAGTCGAAATCTCTGAAGTTAAAGAGTAAACAGTGTCTCAAGTAACCATCCACTCCTAGTGTCGAACGTAACTTTGTCATTTCACGCTATCGTACGATCGGATCATATGAACAGTTCAAAACCTGGCATGGCAACCCGGTTTTTCCGAATGACTACTCCATCTGGTTTGACTTAAAATACTTCTGTCCTTCATTTCTAATTTTCTATTCAATGTGAATAAATTACCTTCGCAGCCTCTTTTAGACCAATCGAGTTGGGCGAAATATATCCACAACTTTGAGTCTATCAAGGACTATGTACCTTCGTCGAGAGCACTCTTGGCCATCCGGTGACTACCTTTCGTACGCCCGGAAATTCACCATAAGCAGAAAGAATGAATCAGATGAGCCCATCACTGGAAGAGATACATTCAATCCAATTTTGGCCTCGGACCTGTTGCTTTACAGCTCAGCGGATGAAGGAGACATTCTTTCCTCCGCTGGGATAGTTGACACTAAGCGCGAAACACGCTGGCAACGAAAACGAGCACGACGGGAAAAGCTAATTCGGCAACTACGAGGACAGGGCATAGTCGGTTTCCAATTCAAAGATTTAGGAGACGATGACTCCCCTGGAGAAAGCATCGTTTCATCCATCACAGAAGCAAATAAAGCGCCCGCTGCGAAACTGCGCCGTTATGTTTGGCCACATCTGGAGAGAGCACGCCAACTCCTGAATCCAATACATAATTTCAACTGTCTGTCATCATTGACTGAGCCGGCGTATAGACCTGCTGGAATGTATTATGCGAATCAAGATAATCGTACAAGATACATGACCAAGTTGGCCAGTTCAAATGCACCGACTTTGCCACTTATAGTCTCCCCGGGTGATGGTGGCCTGCCACAGCTTATGGTTGGTAATGAGTGGGTGCTACATCCAGGACGGCGGCATCGCAGATGCCATTCCGAACAGCCCAGGGCGTGGAGAGAACCAAGTCCGGGGCTGTGGACATTGGCAGAAGAGTGATACCTGGGCTTTCTCGGAAGTCATTCATGTACCTGTCCTCCCCTCATCACGGACCTGATAACATCATCGCCCCATTGAACGCCATTGATCCACTATGCGCCTTCAATGGGTCAGGTCGTCTACACAATCAGAGTTGCAATCACCGAGCCATAATATCGGTTGTTCTAAGATGCGTGCATCTTCCGAACCCTACGGCAAAGCGGCTAATGCTTCAACTGCTGCTGAATTTTTCCGCTCCCTCTAAACCTCTTCGAAATGCCATTCCAACGTGCGTTGAGAACTGGGAAGTGAGAAGTGGGTGTGGAGCGGTGAAGCACACCATCTGGCGAGTGGCGTCTTTTAAGCATCAAATTAGAAACGTTGTGATTTGTCGAGTCTCCACAAGCCCCTTAGTGCTCCACTGTGGCTGTGGCTGTTTCCCACAGCATGGGCCTTACTCAAAGTCTAATCCAACCACCTTTCAGAACTCAGAGTTAGCGCGATACTTGATTACTCGTTGCGGGGACCCACAAAACAAGCTACTTTGGCAAGCGATGACTGGCTAAATCTTGCGCTGCTTTTGGGTATATTCGGTGCCGATCCGCCGCAGGTTCCGAAACCCTTCGCAGTCGGCTTGAGTGACGCAATGGATCTGCCGAATGGAGATTTATGATATAATGGCTTTTTTTTTGTTTTTCTATACTTGAGCGCTTCATTGGATTTTACTGAGTATTCGTTGTTTTGGAGTCATATTAATTATACGAAATTTCTAGTGTACGGACTATGGAGCACCGTGGTTGTCCGGATTCGGAAACTAACATGGGCTGAGACCGAGACGGATATGATTCGGCAAGCCGAGTGCGATAAACATTCCTCGGTGAGGGGCTTCCTTGGCTCGGATATAGAAGTATGACGTACCGCATAATCCGCTATGCATATTGCATAGTAATGCAAGCGCTCAAGTGCTTTGTAACCGATAAAGTCCACTTTATATAAGTGGACCGCCCATTAAATCCAGTTTGAGAGACGAAGTGGATGTGCACAAACTTCAACGCAGAAAAAGACAGATTTATTTAACTGCTGGGAAAGTTCCCCAGCCAATCCTTGAACCCCAAATTTTCACCTTATCCCAGTGTCTTGCTTCCACGCTCAAAAGATGTCTGAGCTCGGCATCAAAGAAGAACCCAAGTCGCCGCTCGACAGGCACGGATCTTCTGAAGGTGGCACAATTAGCGAAGAAAGCAACTTGCCCGTCAATCTTTCCAACGTTCTGTCAAGAAAGGAGGAAGAAGGCGACGAAGAAGACGAGTATGCACCGTCGAATGACAAACGGGAGCTAAAGGAGCAAGATTGCTATGACAAACTCGGATACTGCTGGCCCAGATGGAAGAAGTGGTCGTACCTCGCCGCGGTCGCATGTGTACAAGTGTCGATGAACTTCAACACGTCGGTCTATCCCAATGCAATCGCGCCGCTTTCCAAGGCCTTCAACATCAGTGAGCAACATGCTCGAACAGGCCAAATGGCTTATCTTGTTACTTACTCCATCGGTTGTGAGCTGTGGGCGCCTTGGAGTGAGGAGTTCGGACGCTGGCCTATCCTGCAGCTCTCCATGTTCTTGATCAATATCTGGCAAATTCTGGCAGGACTATCCCCGAACTGGGGAAGTCAAGTAGTTGCTCGAGCATTAGTTAGTTTTCTCCCCGCGTCGAACCTTAGTCTTCACATTCGACGGAGCCTTTACAATGTATGGAATGAGACTGACATGACGTGTAGGGTGGTCTTTCAACCGCCGGTGGTAGTGTCACCTTGGGCTTGATAGCCGACATTTACGAACCCGAAACACAGCAATTCCCTCTTGCATTTATCGTGCTCTCTTCCTGTATTGGTACCAGCATTGGTGGCGTGATCGGCGGGCCAATTGAACGATGTAAGTGATGGTCGCTTGGATACCCATTATCCCGTTTATTCTAACAATTCTCGCGTGTTCTAACAGTCCTCTCATGGCGATGGTTCTTCTGGATCCAACTAATATTCGGAGGATTTACGCAAGCCATCATCTTTTTCATGCCCGAGAGTCGTTCAACCATCTTGATTGATAGGGAGGCTAAACGTCGACGTACAAGCGGCGAAGACCCTAACATCTACGGACCCAACGAGCTGAAGAAGCCCCGTGTCTCACTAAAGGAAGCAGGAAAGATCTGGATCCGACCTTTTCACATGTTATTGCGGGAACCGATTGTGCTATGCCTGTCGCTTCTGTCCGGATTCTCCGATGCTCTTATCTTCACTTTCCTAGAGAGCTTTGCCATTGTATACTCTGAGGGATGGGGCTTTGGAATTCTCGCTCAGGCCTGGGCAGTCATCCCCATCAACGTTGCGTATGTGATTGCCTATTTCTCGTATTTCCCGTGGTTTCGCAGAGACGAGTCCATCCGCCAGTCACTAGGCGATGATGCACTGTTGCCCGAACGTCGTCTTAAATGGCTTCTATTCCTCGCACCACTCGAACCAATTGGGCTATTTGGCTTCGCCTGGACCTCTCTCGGCCGCGCTTACAACGTACACTGGATCGGCTCCATGATATTCTCGGCCTGCGTCGGAATCGGAAACTACGCCATCTACCTGTCCTCGGTAGACTACATGGTCGCTGCCTATGGAGTCTATTCGGCCTCTGCCTGCGGCGGAAATGCCTTTGCACGAGACCTATTGGCGGGTGTATCCGCCATGTACGCCATACCCATGTACACGAACATCGGTAACAAATACCCGACCGAGTACGCATCTACGATTCTGGCTTGCTTGTCTTGTCTGGTTGTATTGCCGATCTACGTGTTTTACTGGAAGGGCCCTCAGATTCGCGCTAGAAGCAAGTTCGCGTCTGTGCTTGCTGCTGATAGACAGGCAAATCACGGCCGCCGTGTTAGCAGAACAGATGCCGAGCCTTGAATCTTGTGTTGAGGTTGATGATAATGATATAACGACTATATATAGTTGCATGAAGTACGATTGAAAAGGAGCTCTACCTACGCCCGGGCGCGTGTGCTTGTTTTGAGGTTTGTACATTTGTACATATGACATGATTGTAGATATGAATGTTGCGGGTTGACGAATTTCTTCAACCTCTTTTGATTGCTTATTTCTTTCTGTACCGATCACAGTACGATTATACCATACCTTTTGAGTGTTGTTTCTATTTTATGCCAACTCTTTTTCTACCATTGCAATGTATAAAGTCTAGTATAAAACAGTCGAGGAGGAACGGGCGATGAATAAGTACATAGGATCGGACTATTCCCAATGGCAATATATATGACTTCGAAATTCCTGCTTTATATACAGCTGAAGATCCAGACGTTTCAGGAAACGAAATAGATGTTATATATATAATGAAATATCTGAACAGGAAGATAAAATGTTGAAGGTATCAGCAGGCATGCACGCATAGAATTTTATACCTAGTGGACCGAGCCCACAACACACCCTCTGTGGTTGAACATGGCCTCCGCAGCAGAAATCCAAACACTTTCCTGGCTCACCAAATTATCCCACGTATAAAATAGACGGCAGTCGGCAGCCTCATAGACAAATTGCAGAGGCGTCATGTCATCCCGTTCGCTATACGCGTTCAGAAAGTTCACTCCACCGCTAGTTAGGGCTAGCGGTAATGAATCAAGCGGCCTGGGTAGAGTTGTCTTTACGAGAAGGCGCTCGTAGTCCGTTAATAACACATTGTCTGCAAGTCGGGACGCAACCTGGGAGATCTCGTCAATCGTTTCAAGATCCCAATACTGCCCTCCCCTCACGCCGCCAATGGCCTGCATAGGTTCGCTCTGGGGACGACCTCCGAAAACGATCGATCGGACGCCCAGAGGTCTCATAAGTTCTAGAAAAAGAGCACAGGTAGAAGCACAAAAGCCATCGGTAATCTAACTTAAGGTTAGCTTTTTAGCCATCTAACATTACGCTATTGAGATTAGCTAACCACAACGATATTTTCGGCCACAAAGGGGTTAGGGCTGTGATCAGCGTCCCCTATTCGATCACCGTTGACTGTTTTATTGATTGGAAATACCGCCGTAAAGTTGAATCGTGAGAACAGTCTCGAAGAATTCATGCCATGAGTCTCGTCAGGACCGTATAGTTCGTCCCAAGAGGAGAAGTGACTCCTTTGCTCTGCTTTTACCACCGAATGATAATCAAGTCCGCTTTGACGAATCACAAGTGATTCACTTTCCGTCAGAGATCTATTTCCTCTTGTTTGAGCAAATATCTTGCCTATAAGTCTTATTGCGTCGTGGGCGCGAAATCGTGTTAGGTTGGATATCTCTTGCCCGGGAAAGAGGATCCGAAACAGGTTGAGCCCAGCAACGAGGTTGCCGCCTCCGTTGCCAGACATGTCAATTAAAAGTTTAGATTTTCCTTTAGCAGTCGCAGTGCGAATAAAGTCGCGTGCAGTTTGGGCAAAGACGGCAGTTTCGTTAGTAGGATCATCTGTGTTGCCAGTCAGAAACGTGGGAACGGCAAGGACGGCGATATCATCAAATTCGTCTTTCTGTACAAAGTACCCAGATATTCGATTCCACTCGTCACGCACAACTGCTTGTTCCGGATATCCGTTTGCAGGACCCAAGGGCTCACTGACAGAAGTTGATGGGGCACTAGAAGCCGGCTGGGTGGTGGTGGGCAGACAGACAGAGTCGAATAATGTGCGACCATTAGCCCAAATGGAGTCAGAAATATTGTGGCTGGTCTCAGCGAAGCTTTCAATCTCTATGTAGGTACCATTCTCGAATTCAATAGTGACGGTCGAGTCTGTGGGCCAGTGGCGTAGCTCCCAAACGCCCTGCTCTTCCTCCGTCACTCCTCTGGAGTTTGATGGGAAAGCAAGGTTATATCTCCAATCCACAAGGATTAGTCAACTAAAGACACGTTTTTATGCTGAGGAGTGATAATGACATACTGGGCATTTTGATCCTGCAGTGGCTGATTTGATACATATTGCTCCAAATATTGAGCGACACTAACGTTGTTAATTGAGAGTACTGGAGATACCGTGGTGCTGCTGGCAGCGTAGGCATCCCCGTAGAGATAAACTTTAGGGAGCTCAAATCCGTCTGTGGAAATAGATGCGAGAGCAACAGGGTTCCTAAATGTGAAAATGCCAAGTGAACAGAGTCCAAGGAACAGATGTCCATCATTCGCCGAGGCGAGTAAGCCATGAAGTTCAGAATCAAAGTCAAATTGGCTTGAATATTTGTTTGCTGCTGCTTTCTCCTCAATATTTTGCAGCCCACCAAAGAGATCTATAGCTGGGAGAGTGCCAGGTGTCTCATTTATACCATTTTTAAGTAAATCAACCGTGGAGTGGAATTGAAGATACTTGCGGTACTCTTGTACAAATGTGACTGCCAGCTCAGGCACAAAGGGCATCGAAGAAAGGCATTCTATGGCTAGATAACCGGGTATCTGGCCATTTACTGTAATTTACTCTTCCATGTTAATCAACTTTTGTGCCTGATATTTACTCGGATGAAACTTACGTCCAGTGTTTAAAGCTTCAAGGCCGATTTGGCGCACCTTTTCACACGGCTCTGGCTTCGTATTCACTGCTAGATTTGCTCCTCCCAGGAGTAACCTCCAACAAGTTCCTATTTCAAGCTTCATGGCCTTTTAAACTCATCAATAGACAGGGCGCGCACGGAGTATGGAAGAAGAAGTAGCCTTTTGAGTCTAACTTAGTAGTATTACATAGACGATTTTGAAGAATCTTCGAGACACGAGGTCGAATTCCCCTCACATGAAGACTGGCTTGGTCCAATCATCTTTTACTTAATTCCCCATAGCTAGTCCAAGCCTTCATTGCGCTAGATTAAGTCTAGAAAACCTTTCTATTGTTAGCTATTCTATTTTTCGTCGTTTACATTTATCATAATTTACAACCCAGTATAATGTCTAAGGTCATTAACATGTCTTTATACTAATAGCGAGATGTTCGCTATTTCACTTGCAATTTTCGTCTCCTTTGTACTAACTGCTTTTCATGACAAATCAGAGTGCGTTTTTACACTGGTTATGTTCTAACTTGGTATTAACTATATAAAGTCGGTAAAGTAACAGCGTAGACTTTCACATCCAAGTAGTGTTATAAATTCGCTCCTGCTCAATTTGAAACGCACGCAAGGCCTCAAAGTTGATGCAATCATGCTCAATCCCCCATCCAGTTACTGTTGAAGCTTCGCCGTGATCCCCTTTCACAATAAGAGGTGAGTGGCCCTCTATAGTGAAGCCAGAACCACAAGAAATAGCTTGTCGAAGATATTCAAAGCAATGGTCGACATGCGCATCCCAGTCTGCCTCAGAATACTCGCTCACCACGGGATGGCCCTGCTTTACTTGCCAGTAATGGAAACGAACGAGGTTCTTCGCCTCCAACGTTAGCCTGATGTGTAATAATTGAGACGTCTATTTCCGAATTTAAACCATACCAGGCAATGCATCTGATGGAGCAGAGATACAACGTAGAATTTCCGCGGAGGTGGAGTTGCCATATTTTCGTGGTGGAATGGAGGGACTGTCCCTTCACCTAAACCATACTTTTCCGGGTTCTCAAGATATAGAGCATCATGAGCTCGTGAAAGTTAGCAGGCAATAGACAATATATGTCATGGATTTCATTACCTGCTACTATGTGGTCCCAGTTATGATGTGTTTGGTTGGACGGGCCAATATATTGTTCGTCAGGGCGAAATACCCTCTTGACCCTACTGAAAACTTGCGGTGGGAAGGGATTTGGGGATGACAAGCCTGGATAATTGATAAATCTTGGACGTCTATAGAAGTCGAAGGCTAGGATCCATCCTGTGACAAGGACAAGAAGAAACCCATAGTATGCGACTCTCCTCACACGACCATGACGCTGAGGCACGAAGACCACTTCCTCGTCCTTGCCACTGTCGGATAGAGCATCGTGAAATGTAGTTGAGGACATGGTTAAAGATTTGGTCATTCAAGTATCCTTTGTGTTTTGCCTTCGAAAGAAAACTTTTTCCATCTAGAGGGGAGTCATTGATACATGGAAAACAACCCCGGAGAGCAGCGGTATTCTCGGCACAACATCTCTTGACAAAAGAGTCGAGAATATCGCAGAAGATGGTGTGTAAGAGCGGGGTTATGTGCATATCAAAAAAAGCCAAGTTGCATGATTAATCCATGACCTACTAAGTTCTTTGATATGCATGTACAGGGATCATCAACGGAAGTATTAATCCTGCGCCTTCATGCATCTCGGTGGATCATCACACCTATATGTCGCCATAACTTACCTATGTACAGCTGGAATGTGATGGGGAGCAAAAGCTCTCGGGGAAATTTTCATACGCGCTTTGTATTATCCTCTTTTAGGAGAAAAGGAATTCCCGTTATATTGTCCTCCTCTAAAAACATATATTTCTCTGTTTGGATTGCCAAAGAGTGAATTAGGTGTTCTAAGCGCTGACAATATATCACCAGCAAATCAATATTCTTGTTATTCATTCGAAACCAACAACAATATGGATGCTTCTCCCTATTTCGACAAGCCGGACTTGGATCGGGATGAGAAAATGGAAGAAGAGTCATTATTGAAAGGCTTCCCAGATGACAAGAGTGACTCAAAAAGGTCGATTCCAAAAGTCTATAAGCGATGGCAGAAGACTTGGTCTGCAGTCAACCTGGTCCTGACGGCCACGAATCTCGTCTTTTTTCTGTTTCTCATGCTTGCTCGACATAATAATGAGGAGGCGAAACCTCTTCTTCCTCCATGTAAGTTTCTACTTCCATTCCTTTCATTCAATAAGGGATTGTAATGACATACTTATTTTCTGGTATTTCAGCACCGGCAACTTCAGTCGTTGAGAAGGAGTTGCGTCCATTCACATTGACATCGCCATACACGAGACCTCCCGGTCCCGAGGTTGATCAGATGTGGCACGATCTCGTGAACAGTGAGTCTTTTTAGATGATCCTAACGAACTTAAAGCTTGACATACGGCTTTCCTAGGTGGAGCGATGTTCACTTTGAGCCCAGAGGAATTTGCTGTGCTTAACGACAATCCGAAGACCGGGGTTAAACTAACTCATGACCCTGAGGGACGTTATGTCGGAACCCTCGCAGCTACTCACCAGATCCACTGTGTGGTAATTAAATCGTTCTCCAAGCCCCGCCATTTGCGTTTTTGCTAATATGAAACCGAAGAATTCTCTCCGGAAGGGACTTTGGTTCAATTATAAACATTATATGGATGTCCACGACGAACTCTTTAGCGACAACAATTCACCAGCGGAGCATCTAAGTAAGTGTCTGCCGTCAATCTGTTTATGTTTGGTTTAAAAGGCAGGGTTCTAATGACATGTTTAGTCCATTGCGTCGAAATGCTTCGCAATGCAGTTATGTGTTCTGGCGACGTGTCTGTCATCACTTACAACTGGAAGCCGGGACACGAGGCGCCAAAAGCCAATTTCAAAAGTGTTCATTCCTGCCAGAAATGGGACAAGCTAGAGGAATGGCGCACTATGCATAATGTCACTGGTCAGCTTCAGACATTAGAACGACCAGTTGGCTTGTTGGATGGGGAGCCCGAGAATGTCTTTGGACTTGCTCCAGACAGCACTGCAAATTAAGCCAATACACACGCATGTCAGGTAGCAAGATGTTTATTTCTAGCTCGGTCAAATGATATAGTCCTATGAGTAAACTAAGCCTGCGTTTTGTTCCAAGTTATCGTTTATCACACCATCTGCTGTTGAGATTTCCATCACCTTCCCAAACAAGAATTCGCTTGATACATTCAATGGTAATCGATTGTACGTAAATCTGCAACGTTAGCGTGTCACTGATATGTGAGCACATGAAATGACATCACAGTACAGCAAGTCGCATGGCTAAGGAGGAAAAGGCCGCTGAGTGTCAGTGCACTTGCATATCCACGGCGACCTGCATCTGACAGGGGCTGGATGCAAGACACCGATCAGAGCAGAGATCTAGCATATCAGAAGGTCTGGGCGTAGTATAAGCAGAATCAAATTTCAAGTGGAGAATAATTAAATGGGCTGCATGCATATGGAAGAGGGGTTGCCCCCGTTTCTACTTCATTTCTGAGGGCTCGAAACCCCTCATCGCTTCGCCTGCCACAGTAGTTATTTCAATTTGCAACGAAAAGAATTGTTGAGATAATTATGCATTTGCCGATCTTATCTATATTAATGATAGACTTTTACATTGCATTTCCTCTCAATTCGTTGTCTTTAACTATCAAAATCACATGCAATAATTGAATCTCGGACATCTAGATAACCATCCTCAACACGGACCTTCTTCTTCAAGGGCTTTGCATGCATCCTGTACTGTTTTCCTAGGGCGGGGAAGGCAAAGCCTTTGCCCCGACAGGCTTCAAGGGAATCATGGGTGTGCCTTCGGGCATCTGGTGATCCACAGTCCATTGCCAGATACCCTCGAAGTCTCGACACGTATGCATAGTGTTGAAGTCAGGCCAAGGTCGGGCTCTTTGCTCAATCCAGTGTGCAGTCACGACCCCAATATCTGCATGGCACATGACAAACTGCCTCAACATTTCGACACAATGATCTGCGGATATAGTTAGACAACTAGTCGTGGACCGGGAGACACTCAAATCACACTGACCAAGATGAACCTTGAACGTCTCTTCTTTGTCTTGAAAGTCCGGATCGTGGTTCTTGTAGTAATCATATTTGAAATGAGACGCTTTTCGAAGGAAGTTCTATCACTTCCACAGTTAGATGGCATGGGTGCCGGACTCGGTACCATGAAGACTTACCACGCAATGTAACTATAATAAGCGGAAAGTATCATCGGCGCAGGTTAATAGACAATTCAGAAGGTTAATTCGATGTTTTTCAACTCTTTACCTGATGTGAAAACTCGGGCTGTAGAAAAAAGCCTCCGCCATATTCTGGTGGATTGGTAGCCGCCGTTTCCGGACTTTTTCCTACATTCAGGAATTCTTTCTCAGTCAATGGGATATTTAGAGGTCGAACTATCAATAGTCAGAATCAATGTTTTAGCACGCCAAAAATGAACTTACACATGGAGATCTTCTCCCAGGCACGATCCACGTCCGGGCTTGGAGGACCCCGATATGGTGACGGCCAACGAATAGAGCCATTGAATCTAAATTCTTGCAAAGTGTCCGGGACTTGACCCAGCAGGGGCGCTTTTGAGTTGGTAGATTATTAGTATACTTCAAAAACACTTTCAAAAAGATGGTCACTCAGAGCTTCTCACTGTACGAGGATGTTTCCCTGAAACATTTCTGTTGGAGACCACGATCCGACAGCCACAAATGCACCAGTAGCCAAAACAAAAGAATTACAGACAATGCCCATCCACTGCGTAGGATCCATGCTAAACGACGCAACTTGCTAGGTTTGCGTAATTGCTGTCTTTCGCATTGGGAGCAAATAAACAACCTTGATGGCTCGGACTCGTGATCTTTGTCATCAACATCATTAGCGAGAACTTCAATGTCTGCACGTATGACGTTGTAGCCCCGAAAGACGTTGTATAATGTAAACTTATCAAACAACCCCATGGTGTGTGAATTGGGAAGACTATAGGATTCGCCTAGAAGGAGGTAACAGAGTAAAAGAACAAGTTGAGCAAGTATGCTGTCGTTATTCAAAAAGGATAATTTGCAGTATAAAGCAGAATAAGTCACCAGGGAGCACATTTAATCTAATTGGCTTATGATTTTGCAGGGGATAAATGTCTGTTTGATTCAATCAATGCCTGGTTGTTAGCGCATGAGCTGTTGCATCCGTGCCACACGCGTCCTTGTCATCACAATTTTCGATGGCTACCACGGTCTTCATGCACATACTGAATTCAATTCTAGCCTTTTTCTGCACCTTGCATGGAATATCCAGCATTATACATTGGGTATATATGCAGTTGGACCAATAATATGAGGCCGTGAATATCACCCTCATGACTTCGCAGGCAACCAAAAGTTACCGAGCACTTGGTCTTGATGCGGAGATATACGTAGTAGAATACTTTACTTCAACCCTGACTAAAAATTTGCTTTGAGAAGATATTTACCTACAAGTCACTAGACCAACTTATACGTCTACACGTAATTTCCAAACAAGTGTCCAGGTATTAATAAATACTAAAAGTTCTAGCCATTGTTTCTTTACTTCGTCCAGTACCGGTATCTTCTCGTTTGATACTGGAGCTTTGAATCGCTGAACACCCCTATTTCTTTTCATCATAGCCATAACTAGCCCAGACTCCATCAAGAGAGGTGAAGAGACCTGCGTCCACCTCCTCAGTGGCCCCATCTTCGCGTTTCTTTTTCTCATCGTAGCCGTAGCTCGCCCAGACACCGTCTAGCGAAGTGAAAAGTCCAGCGTCGACTTCTTCGGTGGCGTCTTCTCGCTTTTTCTTCTCATCGTAGCCATAGCTCGCCCAGACACCATCTAGCGAAGTGAAAAGTCCAGCGTCGACTTCTTCGGTGGCGTCTTCTCGCTTTTTCTTCTCATCATAGCCGTAACTGGCCCAAACCCCATCAAGGGAGGTAAAGAGGCCTGCGTCTACCTCCTCAGTAGCAGCATCAGTTGGGACTGCGGAAGACTGTTAGCACTTGAAAACATAGCCTACATTGAAGTGACAACCAACCTGGGGCGGCAAATACACCGCATTGCACAAGAAGAGCAGTAAACAGTAGGGACTTTGAAAAATACATCTTCAAGTAATGGAATATTGGCAATCTGGATATTGGTAGATGTCGTTGGAAAATCTTTCAATTTCAGATAAATGGCTGCCCTGGTAATCCTTGTGTTACTCTGAATATATTATCAGGTGTAATTTAACAGTTTAAATATTTGTCTCCTGGTGAGGATCTGAACTTTATGTCTTGGGCCAATATTTCTTGGGGTTTCAATTGAGGCGCGCACCCCGAATTCCCCTCACTCATCCATGTTAAAGGGCAAGAAGTCTGGCAGGTTTTCTTCTCAAGAGCTCAAGCGTACTATGATGTGTCAGTATGGTTACAAGTTTTAATCCACACCCGAATGTATAGCATTATAAGCGAATTATACCCTCCCACCCCCTCTTTTAACCTCTTGCGGTAGGGGACGTGCATCCTTTTGAAGGGCTCTATTATTATTGCTCATGATCATTTTCAGCTTAGCCACGTCTACAACAACATGCAACCCTGACTTGCATATCCAAATCATAAATGCATGAAAATTGGCCAGCTGATCATATAATCTCTTGAAAGTTCCATCATTGAGAATGCTGATCGCGGAATTATGGCGACGAAAGCGGACATTTATATGGGCACACCATCGGAATTTTAATTGTCATGCATAATACAGTATGCAACAAGGGTTTGCAGAAAGTACTGTATGTATACGTAGCACTATATGTATATGGAAAGAGATAATTATGAGCACGGGATGAGTCTCTACCGAGAAGAAGATTCAGGGTCTATGGCATGCCCACCTCAGACAAATCCAAAAGGGCGAAGGGAATCACCGCTATATTCTATTCAAAAATAAACAGTGGTATACAAACGTTGCCAGTATGCATTATGAAGAGCTGCAATACGGTCCTATTCCATCAAACGAATCTGATATTGACTATCCAACTCATGGCGCTGAGAGAGAATTCCCTACATCATCCTCTCAAAGGCGTTTGAAAGTACTCGTTGGCATTCTCACTTTTTTAATGCTTGCTACAAATGTAGGATGGGCCTTGGCATATAATCGAGATTTACGTGAACGAAATGTATCTTCGACAGCGACAGAAATGCAGCAAGCTACCTGTATGTCTTTACCGCAGTTACTTTAACTAGGAAACATTTTGACATATAGACAGATCCCCCTGCACGAACATTGTTACAGCCAATCTATCAAGATACTGAGTTTAACGAGGACGGAGTGAACAAGGAGAGGTCTGATAACCTATGGAAAAGCCTTTTTCCTAGTAAGTCAACATACCAAAAATTCTGAACGAAAAGACTATTACTAAAAGCTTCTAGGTGGAAACGGTGTTATTTCTTTGAATAAATCCGAGGCAAAGGCAAATGGGCTCCACGATACAGCTGTTGATCCTGTGAACAAAGAAAATGGCTTGTATATTGTTGCTGGTTTCCATACGATGCACTGCGTGGTATGTGCTGTTTTCGTCTACCTATCTAATTGCTTTATGTTAAAGCTAAAATGTTTCATATTTACCATAGACTGTTATCCGCACTGCTCTTTGGCACTATCATGAAGGAGAGGAACAGAGTGCCCCTTGGAGTCATCTGGTACACTGTTTAGATATGATCCGCCAAACTTTGATGTGCAACTTGGACACCACAGTAATGTGGCTTTGGGATCCTGACACATTTGCTGATGGGCAATTACATGTTTGTAAGGACTTTTGGGGGCTGCATCAATGGATGACAGAGCATGCTGCATATTGACGGTTGATATATGATTAAACCTATTACTTAGGTAGGCAGAAAGAAACACAGATTTTTAAATTTTACTTAGCTACCTAGGTATGTACTTCATGTACTATGTTTGCAATATATTTCCCTTTGATGCCAATATATATAAGTTGACAGTCCATGAATTACATTTTACGTAATTCTACTGTTCCAAGTCAATTTGAGTACCTAGGTAAGCCATGATGATTATATTCGTAGAATGAATGAGCTTCAGCTCGACCTCGCCAAAACGATTTCAAAGATTGATGACCTCAATGTATGTGATCAGGGCTAAAGTCCGACCAAGTCTTTGTACGCATCCATTTGTTTCTTCTGCCAGGTAACTAAAGCATCCCAATTGACACAGTTGCGGACCCCTCCCCATCCGATGGGATGTCCAAAAGGATCAATTCTTAAATCATACGGCGTCCCGGGAGGGCTGTTGGACTCTATGTCCCAACTTCCACCACACATTATGCTCATACGCAGGTACTCGATACAGTGATCCACATGGTACCTTGTATCTGTTGCAGCAACTTCTGACTGTTTCGACAATGGGCCATTATAGTAAAGTTCAAAATACTGTCCGCGTATGATATTCTATATCAGCTTTGTTAGTGGAATGAGTTCAGTTCCTTTCGTTCGGACATCGTCATTGGAGCTTCATACCAAACAATGCAATTGATGTAGGTTTGACACATGATAGAATTGTGCTGGCAAATCTGACTTTGAAGTATGGTTGAATAATGCCTCGAACCCCTCGCCTAGGTTATATTCGGAGGGATTCCTAATCCACACACTCTCGGTGGCTGGAACATGTCCTTTTGTTAGCAGTTTTGTATTTCGGAGAATCTATTCTTGTAAACTTACACTGCACTAGTTGATGCCATCTTAGATTAGTATATTTGGAATATCCTATGTACCGCTCATCGGGAACCCAGGCAGTGGGAATCTTGGGCGAGAAGACCTCTGGAGGAATAACAGAAGTCGGTGATTTCTTCAACTGGTCTGGCGTTCGCTGTGTATTGCTAATAAGAAGCGGGATCGTTGCTAGGAAAGCTAGGAATATCCCCGCAATAAAAGCGAATCCTACGTATAGGGAAGAACGAGAAAAGATGAATGAAATCCAGGGACGTGCTTTCTGATCCTCTTCATGGACCACCCGTTGGTAGCCTTTGTAAGAGGAGACCATTTTTCTTCTTCTTTTTGTTGGATATCTTAGATATAAATTTCTTCCCTAACGAGGCAATATCGTGGTGTTGGCGTCGAGTAAGCAAACATTTCAAAATTGCTCTTTCACGTTATGTCAAAGTGCCTCGCTACCTAACTAGGTCCTAGTAACAGCACGCTATTTTCAACTCAAATTATGATTATTCGTTATCACTAGCATGAAAGCTCTCACATCCATGCATTGATAAAGAGGTCTGTGCTATTAGTTCTGGTCACGGTCGTAACTGCACAAGGTGGGGAAAAAGAGGACTGAAAGACCCTGGCTTGCATATGTGGCCAAGCAGAGGAGGGTATATAATATGCAAGTACAAACGCACAGTTTCTGCAGCCATGTAAGCTCTAGCCCCCGAGGGAGATGCGTCCTTGAAGCCGTAAAATTTCCAAGCATTGTGGTGCTGACCCTGGGGGTAATCACATGGAAACAATCCTTGTTCGATTTATAATAAATGCACTCAAATGCATTAGCGGGAATCAGAAGGCAATAGACTGTAGGTTTTCTCCTCAGACTTGCATTATAACGTAAACCACCACTACATTTGGACTTGAATGATATCCATCTGAATAGGTATTCGCGGATGCCCCCCCGGGTGCTATCCAGATTTCATCTCTAAAACCCATCAGGACCAAATTAGCGATGCCACTGTATAGAGCTTTCTTGTCCATCATTTTGATGTTACTAACCAATATTTTGTCTCAGTCATATGGAGAATACACAGACGTCAGGTGATCATCTTCTAAGACTTTAACTTGTCTTTCAGGGTTAACAAGGGGCACGTGACAGGACACCGGAATACATCGTTGTTAACTCGACAATAGTGAATGGAGCAAAGATCCAATATCAGCAAGTAGATATCTGTGAGTCCACAGAAGGCGTCAGAACCTTCTCGGGATATATTCACTTGCCAGTGGATTCGTTACAGGCCGTGGGCTTGGATCAACACCTTCCTATCAACACGTTCTTTTGGTTTGCAGAAAGTAGAACGAAGCGCGACAATGTGCCACTGATCCTATATTGTGAGTCTCAATTTATGGTGCCCTCAGAATAGGCAAGAAATAACTGATTGAAAACATAGTAAATGGAGGCCCCGGTGTGAGTGAGCGCCCAAGACGGCTTCGCACGATAAATAACTAACCAAGTCGCATCTTAGTCCCCAAGCAGTATGGTCTCCAATTCTTATGCCCATTCATGTTTCCAATAGTAACCATACATCTAATAGCAACGTCCTTTCTGCGGGAAAATGGTCCCTGTAGAGTTAATGCCGATAGTAGAACCACGCGCCTGAACCCGTGGTCATGGAACTCTGAGTCCAATATTCTTTTCCTCGACCAGCCCGTTAATACTGGTGTGTCATTCATTCATGTTTGTTTGCAACAGTAGCATTCCAATCTGAATATGCTCAGGTTTCAGCTTTGATGTGCCTGTAAATGGCACGATCAACTTTCGAGGAGAGAAATCGCCGCAAATGCCTCAATTTACCCAGAACAGCCGACTAATTGAAGCAGCGACGATTGGTATAGGCTCAATCAATTCGAGTCACACAATCAATAACACTAACGGAGCAGTTCGCGCAATCTGGTTATCCCTTTCCACATGGCTGCAAGACTTCACCCCGTTATCCTCGAAACGAAACGAGTTGGGCATCTGGACGGCTTCGTATGGCGGTCATTACGCCCCAGCACTCTACGACTTCACTATGAGTCAGAATCGTGCAAAAGCTGAAAGCACTTCTTTGCTGACTTCTCAAGTCCCTCGCATTCGTATTACCTCCATAGGACTCGCGAATGCATGTGTCGATGCAGCCACCCAAATTCCCACGTACTTTGAAATGGCGTATAACAATACATACGGTCTTAGGTTGATAAATGAGAGTAGCTATCGGTCTGCGAAACTAGCGTGGGATAGTCCCGGTGGATGTAAGGAACAGATTGAAGATTGTCGACGTGCAGCCAATTCGATCCAGTATTTGGGAAACAACGCATCGGCAAACACCATCTGTCATAACGCCAATACGTTCTGTGGAAAACACATCGCAAACATAGTTTCGTCCAGCGGTAGAAATATTTTCGATATTGGACAGCGCACACACTTCCTATCGGATCCTACGTTACATACCTACCTTGGATATTTGAGGCAGGACGAAGTGCAACGTGCACTCGGCGTACCGGTCAATTTTACCGATCATGCGATAGATATTGCACATGCATTCGCTGAAACCGGGGACAATCTTCTTGGAGACTATCTTGCATCGCTGGGCAGGGCATTAGATGACGGCGTAAAGGTTTCTCTGATGTATGGAGATCGTGATTATGCCTGCAATTGTGAGTATTCTAATCTATTAACATGTCGGTTTACAGCCGTTGTAGTTGCAGCCATTGCTGACGGATGATAATCTAGGGCTGGGAGGCGAGGCGTTATCCATGAGAATTCCACACAAACATGCCGATTTGTTTCAGAGTTCGGGTTATGAGCCACTCTATTTTGATGATAGTCTAGAAAGGGGGACTATAAAACCCCTGGCGTACGTTCGTCAGCAGGGTAACCTCTCTTTCGCCCGCGTTCTCGACTCAGGACACACAATTAATACGGTGTGGCCATCCATCGGATTTGCCATTTTCAACCGGACCATTTTCGGTCTTGATATCGCTTCTGGGAGAGTATACAAAGATAGCATGGAGGACTTTTCTACCAGCGGTCCGCGTTCTACCTGGCACATTCAAAATCACCATCCTCACTATGTTGATGAAGGAGAGGAAGGATATTGCTATGTCCTAGATCTCTCATTTTGTTCTGTCCGACAGCTAAACGCTTACTTAACCGGCCAAGCAAGAGTCAGAGACTACTGGCTAGTCGAATACGGCGATGGGAGCTGTTCTCCAAATCCAGTAGAACCATGTTACAATGGGTGGCAAGGCAATAATTGGTATTTTGAGAAATACCTAAAATGGAAGTTCGAAATTTCAGTCGTGTTGGCGACTGTTCTGGTTGTTACTATGACCGGTGTACTTGTACAGGCTATCTTCGCGTATGTAAGACGGCCATATCGCCCCCTGTGGACAACATAGCGATAGGTGAGATACGAACACGACCGTACGAGAGCTACTTAGTTAAGTTATCAGGAAACTTGCTATAAATTTGAGAAATTAGTATATAGAAAAGTGCCAGCATACTTGGAAAATTCCAAAAAGAGGCGTCTGTACATCTCAAAATCAAGCAGGCCAATTACATAACAGTCTTGCTTGCCTCACTTAGAAGGGACTTGAAGTCGTCCATGTATACTTGCATAGCCTCAACCGCCAACCGACTACCTAGTATTTCCGTAACCTTCTTCAAATCGATTTGCATGTGCTCCTTATTAGTTGTCCCATCCACAATAGACACATTCCCCAGACCAATGACAAGCAAGTAGAACCCGACCTCCTTGGGAACGTCGAATTGCTCAGAGAAACGAGCAACCAAATCCGACATAATGATCTCCTCGCTTGACTTCAAAACACTAAAAGCTTGATACACAATGCCTTTCTGTCCTAGGTAGTCACGAAGTTCAGCGTCATACCCATTGGATCCCTGGAAGCGGTTCTGCACCACCTCCGGCTTAATTGTACTTGCTTCGTAGAGCTTCTCCAAGGCAGGAAGATCAAAATTGGATACACCGAGCACACCAATGCGCTGAGGAACGTACGTCTCAAACACCTTCCACGCTACCAGATTATCCGCGTCGTCATCGAATGGGACATGAAGCATCATGATATCGATATAGTCAGTCTTCAGGTTTTGGAATGAAAGTTCTATTGACTCCCTAACTTGTGCTTCCAAGGGCTGATCAGTACTATATGGTAGCTTTCCCTCCGCATGAGCCCAAACAGGCGTGAATTTTGTCTGGATCTGGAACCTCTCTTTATCAGCACGCTTGGGATCGATGATGGCCTGTGTGTTTTTGCATACCAAGACTTCTTCCCTCTTCAAACCATTTGCAGAAGCCCTCAGAAGGATTTCCCCGATCGCGGCCTCGTCATATGCCGACGGGTAGTTAGCTGTGTCGAAAGCGCGGAAACCAGTTCTCAATGCCAATTCTGTAAGCGGCCCCGTTTGTTCATCCTTAAATGCGGTGCCATAAATGAGAGCCGGATGGCGAAGTCCCGACGACAGCTTGGATACCCAAGAATCTTGGTTGGAGAGATTTTGTGGTTCAGTTGTCATTGTTTGGGGGATGAATGTGGCAATAAAGGCTACAAAGTCACTACCTATGTAGTGCAATAATGATCTGTCGTCCGAAAGATGCGGCTGGCATCACTTCAAACATACATACACATATATAATATATATTCATATATTTCGGAGTATCTTCAGCAACTGTCTTGCTTCCGTCTCATACTATCAGATGTTACATAAAAGCGCACGGGCGTGGAAATTTACAAGGATAGTGAGGTGCTAGCAGGGATACAAGGGGTCACGCATCAGTGCTGTCACACCAAGTATGTGATGAGCCATACAGTCATGTTCTCCCCCCACTTCATCCATGCAGACACGTCAGTTCTACTTTGCAGAGCGTCGTTGATCACTTACTTATCAGTTGATGAGAAAGGAGGGGGGAACACGCGGTACTTCACCTCCCTCGGCACTTGTAATACTTTCCTTCGTCCGCTGCCTTTCGCTTAGAAGGCAGTTAAAGTATACCATTGCTCCTCCCTTTGTTGATTCCGTAAGCAAGGAAGCTTGCATACTCGACTATGAAGTTGAAGGTCATTTGTTGGAACAAATCCAGAGGCTTCTCCGCTCAGGAGCCCCTCAAATCGAAGATGCCTTCCTCCTCCAACAGCCGATATATCCCTTTATCCTCAGTAGACCCTCAAGAAGCCCCATCTAATGCCGCGAGTACCGACAACCCTTTCTCCAATCCGGGGGTAGCGGACTTATACCGTCAGGTCTACGAGGACGCTCAATATGAGTGCCGTGATTACTTTGACCCTGAATTATCCTGGACAGCGGAAGAAGAGGCTCGTCTAGTTGGCCGAATAGACCGGCGAGTATGCCTATGGGCGGTATGCTTACCAAGTTATAAATCAGTTTCTTGTGTTAACGAGTGAGGCATAGTGCATCATGTTCTTTGCGCTGCAGATGGACCGAGGCAACTTAGTGCAGGCACTCTCGGACAATATGTTGGATGATTTGAATCTGAATACCAATGGTATGAACATTATTCACTCATATTCTGGGCTAGATCTGAATGAAGCAGATTATAATGTCGGCAACACGCTATTTCTGATTGCGTTCACCTTTGCTGAACTTCCCTCGCAACTAATATCAAAGAGGATTGGCCCGGATGTTTGGATCCCCACTCTGATCACTCTGTGGTCAATGGTTGCGATGTCTCAAGCTGGCCTTCGTGGTATCGCTGGATTCTATACCACACGCATTCTCTTGGGACTATTTGAGGTGAGGTCGACGCTCATGGTGTTTTCAAAGTCGATTCCCGCACTATCTTAACTATATGCAGGGAGGCTTTGTGCCAGATATAATTCTGTGGCTATCATACTTCTATACCAGCAGGGAGCTTCCAATTCGGTTAAGGTACGGAAATCATGGTGCATATACCGGTTTACTCTTTATCTTACTCATCCCGGGAGTAGTTTCTTTTGGACAAGCATTTCAGTCACGGGTATTCTGACATCTTTTGTCGGTTTTGGCCTGCTTCATATGCGAGGTGTTTTGGGATGGGAGGCATGGAGGTGGGTAGACGGACGGAATGTCTAGCATTAAGGTGTGATTTTTGACTGACCTCACAAACAGATGGATTTTCCTTTTAGAAGGAATGATAACTCTGCTAATTGGACTTATGTCCTACTTCATGATGCCTGCATCTATAGTAGAAACAAAATCGTGGTACCGACCTAATGGATGGTTCACTGAGCAAGAATTAGGTATTGCAGTGAATCGAATTCTTCGAGATGATCCTTCTAAAGGTACGTACACTTACTTTGCATACATCAAACACGGTGGGTAGATTGGGAAAAAATCGATAATTATTTTAGGAGACATGCATAACCGTCAAGCTATCACTTTTAGTCGATTGTGGAATGCGGCCAAAGACTATGACTTGTGGCCCCTCTATCTCGTTGGTTTTCTAGCAGATATCCCAGTGAATCCGCTAGGCACGTACATTCCCCTGATCCTTCGAAATCTCGGATTCAGTACGGTAAGAGCAAACTGCCCTTGGTTTAAAGCATTATATGAGCTTACCACTCTTGGTTTTTTCCATTTCTATTTAGATCACTACCAGCCTGTTGGTAATACCCTCGAGCGCGATCCATATCTTCACCCTTATCGGAATAACATGGCTCAGTGAGCATTACAATGAAAGAACATTCTTTACCATGGTACAAAGTCTATGGACATTGCCATGTCTGATTGCTCTTCGCTTCTGGAGTGGAGCAATGACCGATGCTTGGGGCACTTATGCTCTGGTAGTCGTTACCCTGAGTTACCCTGCCACACGAGCGATCGTTCTTGGATGGATCTCCAAGAACTCGAACACAGTCAGCACCCGCAGCGTATCAGTGACGCTGTATAATAGTATGCTCTTTCAGTCGGATTCAAATAGGGGTAAATGTGCAATACTAATATGTCTCGTGACTAACGGCGCAGTTTTCGTCGAAGCTGGCTACGTGTATTCCAACAATGTCTACAGAGAAGACGACAAACCCTTGTACCACCGAGGAAATCGGAACCTCATTGCCATCAACGTGCTCACTATCATAGTTTTCTTGCTCATCAAAGTATACTATGTCCATCGAAACCGACACCGTGACCGTGTTTGGGCTAAAATGGACGCCAAGGTATGCAAATGGTTTACTGAGAAGTTACATTTTGCATGATCTTTGCTGACTATCATGTGCCAGCAACGGCATGACTATATCCATCAGTCGAAAGATAGAGGAAGTAAAAGACTTGACTTTAGATTCACGCACTAGGACAGGTCAAAGCTACGAGACTGATTTCTAGAGGCTTATCAGGATTGCTTTGGATTCGCTATGCAAGAGATAGACAGTAAAGAAAACCTCAGTATAATACCTAGGTAGACATATAGCACCTGTATAGGTAGGGCAAGACCCTAAATGTACGACCTTGCCAAGCCATCCATCCATGTCAGGTGTCCGGGCCTGAGGCACCCAACATTCACCGGTCGATGTATTACACTTCTTTGAATTTGTGAATCAAGTTCTGTATTATTCCCATCAAACCCCTCGTCTCACAACCCCGCTCAAAGAGAAAAAGCAAAGAAAGCACTTGTCTTCATTGCGGGGTTCCTTACATTCATATACCCTTCAAAGAACCCCGCGGCGTACATCCATCGATCCATTCATACAATAATCCTCAACACAAAATGGCGTTTCAAGAAGAGGAAAAAGACCAACTTGCCTTGGAACTTACACGGGAATTGTCGCACACTCCCTATGTCTGCTCGTCTTTGACTCACCTCAGTGGCGGTACCGCCAACTTCCTTTTCCGTGGGATCCTGGCTTGTCCTCTGGATGATGGAGCACAGACGGTGGTGGTGAAGCATTCCAAGGAGTTTGTCGCCGCAAACCGTAATTTTGCTCTGGAAGTGTCTCGTTGTGTGCGTCTCTTCTTTTTCTTTTTCTTGGTTCTCTCTCATTCGGACAAACTGACAGGCGATAACTGCAATAGGCCTTTGAAGAGACTATGCTAAATGCATTGGACAGTCTCCCGAACACCACGACTGGAAAGATCTCTGTCCGCACTCCCCATCTGTACCATTTTGATCAAAAGCAAAACACGCAAATCTTAGAGGATCTAGCAGACACTATTGATCTCAAAACTGTCCTGGTGTCCCCTGAGGCTGGCATTGTTTTGCCGCAGTCGACATCAACTGCCATCGGTCGCGCTGTAGGTGCCTGGCTCCGGGCCTTTCACTCGTGGACAGCGCAACCTGCACAAGCAAATCTGCACAAAGAGATGGCGGTCAATGAACCGATGCGGAAATTAAGATATCAGATCAGCTACGGTGCATTTGCCGACGTTGTACAGAAGTTCCCTGATATATGGGTTGAGTACGGAAGCATCCTGAATCAGGTGCAGGAAATGGCAGCACAGGAATACTCCCAGTCCATCTGTGATCAAGGAGTCGAGGATTGGGGCATCATACACGCTGACTTTTGGGCCGGCAAGTAAGTTTCCTTTCTTCCGTATCTTTTCGAAATCTCTTCACATTTTTTGTATATATCAATGCCAACACAAGAAAACCAAAACGAAATAGTGTCCTAATTCCAAACACGCCATCCTTGGACAACCGACAGCTAGAAGGAATGGATGTCTACATCATTGATTGGGAGCTGTCTCAATTCGGTCGAAAGGTATACGATGTTGGCCAAATGATTGGAGACCTCTACGAGCGAAAGCATTTCCTGAACGTCGACAGCGCAATTTGGACAATCCAAGGCTTTGTGGCTGGGTATGGTCCCCTGGATGATGCGATGGCCTTCAGGGCTGCCATACATGTCGGAGTCCATTTGATCTGCTGGTATATCAGGCGGGACCCGACGGCACCGTTTTTGGAGGATCCGAAGTTGATACATGGTGCTATCCGCACAGGATCTGAATTTATTGTAAAGGCATGGAAGAAAGACCGAGCAGGGTTTGATGACACTCCTTTAGCTTGCTTGTTTGCGTGAACTACGTAGACGATGCATACAACCACGATCCAAAACGGCGAATAAATTGATGTAGACTTGGAAACTGGCTGATGAGGTGAAAATGTACATTGATCCTAACAACTTGTTGTACTAAATTCCTTATACTTTCGTACAAATATACCTATTCTGGTAGTTCCACATACCGAATCTGACAAGGCTAAGAACCATGTCAACACTGGACCCAATGATTTGGTTTAAAATAGCCTAGAGCCAAACCAATCCAAAACAACTCTAACAAGGACTTCAAGCCTCTAATAAGAATAAGCTTAGAGAAGCAACATTGGAAGAATCTATGGCCATCTCGTCTCTACTCTTCATCAGATTTTCACATCTTCATGCTAGTTCCAGGTCCTCGGCCCGAACAACAGGAAACCCTAGTTGATCCCGCCTCATGAGAGTCTGCCGCTTCCAATTCCAAAAGGCAGATAGCCGGTCTTCATTTTCTATATGGCCAAACGTTTCCCATGGGCCAGTAAACCGCAAGCTAGCCAGCATGCTGGAGAGATCAAACTCATGCTCTAGGTTCTCATTGACAAGTATTCGAATGGCTCCAATCCGTTCATAGAGAATCCTTCCGTAAAACGAACCAAGATAGCTCATGCTCAAGAATGATTTGATCTCATGGAACAGGAATGTAGAAAACCACTCGGGGCGGGTGGTATACTTTTCGAGATCAATGCTGGCAGGAGAAATATCTCGAGATTCAATAGGCGTGAAATGATGACTACGCCATGTCTGATATGTTACCGTATCCGGCGGAAACGATAGTTCTGTCTCCGCAGATTTGAAGTTGAGAACAAGTAAGTTGACGGTCACGTCATAATCGTGGAATGTCGTCGGTTTTTTAGACGATGAATTTTGTCTTCCCGACATTTTTTTCTTCTCATCAACTGGCCCGTATCGGAGAAATCGTGCCAACAAGCCATAAAAGCTCCAGTGATATCCTAGGACGTCTTCATCATTATATTGATAGCGGGCCACTTTTTCTGAAAGAATGTGGCCAAAGAATCGTACGTCAACGTAAAGTTTGGACACGCGATTTGTGATATGTGGAACCGATACCCAGGTAGGAAAGAGTTCCAACTCATTCAAAACAGAGATGTCAAGAACGTAGGTTGTTGTTGATCTCATGCGGTTGATGACGGACCTTGTTTCTGCAGATAGTTGTCGGTTGGTCAAGAGGAGTGATATACAATTAGAGGGCGAGTGTGTGCCTCGTTGTTCATGATAGATACCGTACGGGCTCTCACGCCATATTATGTCCATGTCTTCAAAATCGACTCGATTAGCGTTGGAGGGAGTTTCAGGCGGCATCTGATGGCTACAGAGGACATGCTGAATAATGCACTCGCGAAGTTCGGGGGGGATATTTAGTAACGAAGGCATGTTACTGGAGATGTGCGTAGTGAGTGAGCGGGTCATCAGTTCATGCATCATAGTTCCAAAGAATTAGTTCCCTTAGCGGGGCTGCGTTGATGCCCGTTTTATAGCGTTTCATAGGGCATTTCGGCCGGATTTCATCAACCGCTACTCTCTTCTAAGAGGGTGTTACATACATCTAATATATCGCTAGACAAAATATCACAATTGAGAAAATCGTTTATTACAATAAAGTCTAGATTTTAAGAGATTTCCAAACCCCCCCCCTCCCTCCACAGAGACGAAATACATCTTCAAGTAAGCAGTCTGTTGACTATTTTAGAAAAAGGCATTTTTTTCACAAATCCTCACTTGTCGGTTTAATAGCGGAGTCCTACGAAGTTTCGTCTGTTCGAATCTGAGTCTAGGTCTTCACGTGAACTTGTGTATCAATGCGGAAACTGATTTTACACAACGGAAGAAAAACGCAAACGACGCTATCTGTAATGGCATTTCACTTCCAAGGTTGTAGAGTAGGTTGTTCCTGAAAGACCCATCCTTGCTTCTCACTGAGAAACAAGTGAGCTATCTTCTTGTCCCGAGTTCCGAGTACATCTCCTTCTCGCCCAAACCAATGCCTTGCGCCACAGCTTTCCTATTCGACCCTCGTATCTTCTATTCACTTGCTGAGAAATAGTATAAAGCCCGCACAAACAAGCCTCCAAGAAGCAGAATTTCTGATATCAACATACGAGGTAGTTCAGAGCTTGTTCGTAAAGAACCGAGATGACCCAAGTCATGGAACATACAGATGGCTGGTTTGTTCATACTATTCCACTGAACTCCACTAGAAAGTATTCCAATAGCGAGCATCATGGCCAGTCCCAATATAAGGAATACTCTGATGTATAGCGTCGTCCATTTATATTTTTCAGAGTATTATCGTAGAAAGGGCATGCTCGCAATGTGTGTGATGGAAGAAAACCATGTGAGATTAGTGACCATCTGCCAATGATAGAAGGACAGCCGACTGGCAAGTTGTGAATAGCCACTAATAATAAATGGCGAGCGCAGTGGCTATCTGTTGATCACTCATTGCCAAAACGGCCTGTCACCAAAGAGAATAAGGTATAAGCAATAAGTTGGCGCTGCATCAAATCACTTACAGTCTCGAGGACTTCCGTCCAATCTTCTGATGGAGCTTTTCTTCAACGCTTCCACATTCTCCGATGTATTATACTGTCCAGAAAGTTCTGTTCCGGACTGGAAGGAGTGCCGCCTGTATCTTTCCCGAGTGGTGTGGCGACATAGTGTATCAACGAAGAGAAAAATGTTGCGCAGGCGGTTATAATAAAGCTTTCAAGTGCTCAGTGTTTGTACTTTGTGTCGAGTATCATAACGAATTGGTCAAATAATCGATCGGGAAACTCACCCCAATACCAGAAATATCAGGAGCCGGTTTTAAAGGTGTGTTGCAGAGCAATTCAATGGGTTGCTGGACATGATAGAGTAATTGTTAATATGATCATTTATATAGCAAACTCTAGGCAACTTGATTAGAGACATAGTTTTCTCGAGGAAGCTCAACGAGCTTGCTTGCTTTGTTTGCTTTTAATGCGATTGCAGTGGCGGTGCGCAAGAATCTGCCAAGACAATACAAACAAAGAAATTGGTTGTCTTAACAATCCAACTATTACTTCTTACAAGTTCTGACAATATAGCTTTCAAATACCTCCTCCCCCTCTTTATTGCCACGCAACAGGTTTGGGGTTCTAGAATAAAGAATTCCGGGCCGAACCCGTCCAACCTTGTACTCCGCACTCCGTATTTTATTGGCTGCCCAATTGCCCCGCGGTGGAGCGCCTCAGCTTCAGCTGAAAGCCTGAGGCAGCGGCTCAATGTTACTGTTCTGGGCAAGACATTGGCTGGTAGTCAACAAATCCTGAGAGTTTCTTCAAACTTCCATCAAATAACTCATGTGACTGATATACGCCGGAATCTAAAACTGGCCTACGCTGGGAAATCCCTCAAGTATGCGCATGGCAGGATAACTAACTAGTTACCAGTGACTGACTCATCGGGGCGAATTACGCCCAGACCGAGAAGAAGAGGCTCTGCTGTGCTCATAACTCATCCTTTCCGTGCGCCATGGCTTGTCTCCCTGTTCATGTGTCATCACCTTGCATGCGTAGTATGAGTTGGCAGAGCTTGGCGCTTGGATAGTAGGCTCCCACATTACGACGCCAAGCGTCGGCAAGTGATGAAACGACGAAGTTGAACGCTTGCACTATTGGACCCTCGCGGTTCAGCTGCCCTCAGTGACTGGCCAGTGGGGCACTGTAGGACGTATTTCACTGCTTGGCTCGTCTAGCAGCCTATCAGACGTAAAGGAAGAACCCGCTTAACCGATAAGGCCACAGGCATAGATTGGATTCTGTAAATCATTCGGTATTTGTCCCCTTCCGATGACATTCCTCTGAAGTATGGAAAGTGCCGATTGGACCATTGTGTACAACGTTTCCTGGGCGAATCGGCGGGGTGTCTTACATGCCGGCTAACCGAAACAGAGAGAATCCCAGGAATTACAGATAAATAAGACCGGCCGCTTTCGCTACTTCCAAGAATTCCAAACATTAGTCGTATTCAATTTTATCCGATCCACGGAATAGTGAAATACATATATCAATTAGGTTTTGATATCTACTCAAACATCAGCCGTTGGATGGAGATGCCGGACACCCATCCCGTTAACTCCCACGCGCAAGCAGCAACGAAGCCTGACGCGCTCTCTTTGTCAAGCACCTTGTCCTCGGATGGGTCTTCTCTATCATCTTCCTCATCTTCCAAACCTCAACACAGACGATTCCTGTCTCTTGACGGTCTTGAAGCGACATCTACCAAAATCTTGACCCGTTTACGCTCGCGCTCACCCTTGCCCGATGCGTCCTCACAAACGACGGATGACCAACCAAGACGCAGCCCGTCACCTTTGAATGGTTTTCATTCCTCCAAAACACCACCACCCGCATCAACATCACCACCCTCATCGCCATCACCCGCTGATCAGAGCTACTCGCGGAGTGCCACGCCACCTACCGCATCCCATCACCCGCAACGTCCTAATATAGGGCACAGTCGCATCTCAGATGCCACTACCGCCGCTGAGCCTTCTGAGCGGACAAGGAGCAATAGCTACAAAAGATACAGCGGGACACTCAATCACTACGGAAGGCACTCAAACGATTGGCTATTCGGCGGATTCAGCGTCCGTGACACGCTGAGGGATGGGATTGAAAAGTTGAAAGGAAACAGTGAAAAAGACAGCTAGCCTGTTTGATTTGCTGTTTGTTGTTCTCATTGCTCTTCTTCTTTTCCTGTTGAATGACACCGCTGGCAGAGTCTTGCTGGCGAGACAGATTTATTTCGGTTGAGCTGGGCTTTCAGTCATCACAGGTTTAATTTAATTTCATCTTGGCAGATTTTGCTGAGATTTGGAAGAGACTAGAAACAGCGGATTTGATATCTGCAGTGACTACGATTTTGTTAGACTGTCAGGTCTGGTAATTACTGCAGATAATAATAGCCTTGGCCTTCTATAATTAGTACCCATTCAGTACACAAATTACAATTATGCTTCGTCGGAAATCGTCATCGTAACCTGCTGCATTGAGCTGAGTTGTGCCAAGTAGATTACTTCCTTAATTGACAAGAGGAGCGTGAAGGTGAATGGCCCACCGAGCTAGAACAAAACAGGAAAGGTGAATCTGACAGCCTCATTTCTCTCCTTTTTTTTTTTCTCCTTCGTTTGTTGATCGCTCTTATTCAGCAACAGAATGACAGGGCAAGTTGAACCTTAACATTTTACTTCCCAGAATAAATTGAGCCAAGCCTGTCGGCTTGTCTAGAAAAACAACAATGGCGGAAACAAATGCATTCGTCCTCGATACACCCACCGTTCTGTCCATAGCATTCGCGCTTTCATTCATGCCAATTGCCTTCGGACTAGGCACGTATTTGATTCCTTCAAACCAACTGCGCAACCGCGCGCTTTTCATGTGGCATGCGTATGACGCGCTCACCCATCTCTTCATCGAGGGCTCGTTTTTATACGAATGTTTCTTCAGCTACGTTACGGCCTACGAGCAGATCGGCGAAAGTGCACTGCTCAAAGAGCCATGCTATTACTTCCTCGGCCAGAAAGATCGTGCATACGGCGCCAAGTACGGCACTGGGCCAAGTGCGCGTCTGTGGCAGGAGTACGCCAAAGCTGACCACCGCTGGGCTACAGCCGACCCGACCGTGATCTCCCTTGAACTTCTGACCGTCTTTCTGGCCGGTCCTGCAGCAGTATATATCTGCTACCTGCTGTACAAAATTGCCAACAGCAAGCAATCTTCAGCGGCTGACGCACAACGACTTGGTACCAGCAAGGCAAAACTCTGGCTCATTGCTTCTGCTGTCGCTACGGGGGAACTATATGGCGGATTCATGACTTTTGCTCCGGAATGGCTCAGCGCAAACTCGCAGTTGGATGGTAGTAACCCGGTGTTTCTGTGGTTATACCTCGTCTTTTTCAATATGCTGTGGGTGTTTATTCCTCTATGGGTGTTAGCCGAGGCCTACAAGGAGCTGAAGTCCGGGTTTGTGAAGGCCGAGGTGTTGTCTTTGTCTTCGAACAAGAAAACAACATGAGGAGGGGGTGGGGGGTGGAAAGGTACTTAATATTTTATACTCTTGTCATTCCAAATACCGGCGTGTACATAGTTATACCTAATACCGGTGAAATCATATGCAGCGGTATACATGTCGTAGGCCTGTGGTAATTAAATGTGACGTGCACGTATATACCTTGTATTACTGTGAAATCTATACCGCTAGGAACAGTGTTCCTGTGGAGCCGTTGCTAATTATAGGTTAGGCTCAACATTAGCCTCCATCCGAACTCTCGCGGTACGAACCATTACCCGTGATCATTCGGTACCAAGAAAGAAGCTCGTCGGCATTCCGCGGTTAGAGAATATGCTGTCGCTTGCATTTGGCATGATTTCGCATTTTCTCCAAGAAACGAACGGTGTACGCTGTATGCTGCGCCACTGAGTGGCGCTCCGACGCCCTGCTCAGCCCTGGTGGGTCCGCCATCCCCTGTGGAGGCTCTGATTGGGGAACCGAGCTATGACGCAGCGCCATGCGAACAGACGAGGGGGCGGGGTTGGCTTGGGATAGATGACGCGAGAGTAGTTATATACCGTCCAACGTTGCTCGCTTCGTCAACTCTGCAATCAGTCCTTGTTACGGATCCTTGCACCAGCCACTTTTGAAGACCTGCGAAAATGTCATACAACAGACCCCCGCCTCGTAAGCAATGCCTTTGCACCATCGTGCGGCTCAAAAAACTGACATTGGGATTGAATTGTAAACAGAGCCTCCATTGGGCTATCCTCCTCAAGGACAGTCTACCTACTCCCAAAACCCAGGATACGGCGGTCCTCCTCCTGGCGGCCCTCCAGGAGGTAATTACCCGCCTCCGCAACAGGGCGGCTACTATCCCCCCGGACCATATGGCGGTCATCCCCAGGGACCTCCCCCTCAAGGCTATCCCTATCCACAGCACAGCTCACATCCGCCGCCGCTACAAGGAGGCTACGGCCAACCACCTCCCGGTCCCTATGGAGCTCCACCGGCTCATATGGGCGGATACAATGCCGCACCGCCAGCTGCCCCCTCTCTCGGATATATCCCCAATCAGGTAGCACCAGGCGATTTCAGGCCTCAAGCGGATGCTTTACGCAAGGCTATGAAAGGATTTGGAACCGATGAAGCCGCATTGATTCGTGTCCTCGCGCATTTAGACCCTCTGCAAATGGCCGCCGTGCGAGAGACATATACGCGGCATATCAACCGCGATTTATACAAGGACGTCAAAAGTGAGACCTCTGGATACTTCGAGCAGGGCCTGCTGGCCATTATTGAAGGCCCACTGATGAACGACGCGGAACTGGTGCGCGACGCTGTCAAGGGATTGGGCACAAAGGAGTGGCTATTGAACGATATCCTGCTGGGCCGATCGAATGCAGACATGCGCGAGATTAAGAACGCCTATCACCACAAATACAACCGTAGTCTAGAAAAGGACGTCGAAGACGATCTATCTGCAGAGACCAAGGCGCTTTTCGCCAGAGTCATCTCCGCAACGCGACACGAAGAGTCAACCCCGATCAACCCCGCAGCCATTGAGAACGAAGTCAAAAGCATCCATGGCTCAACCGCCGGCCGAATGATTAACAACGTCACTGAAGTATGCGTCATCTTCGCACAGAGCTCAGACAACGAGTTACGCGCAATCAACCAAGCCTTCCATCAGCGATACCACGTTGAATTAGAAAAACATATTTCCAAAGAATTCTCCGGACACATGAAAGCCGCTCTGATCTACATGCTACGCACTGCGACGGATCCAGCATTCCGAGATGCGGCCGCTTTGGAAGATAGCATGTCCGGCCCTGGCACCAAGGACTTCAAACTTGTAACCAGAATTGTGCGCTTGCATTGGAATAAAGCTCATCTCGACCAGGTGAAGAGAGCGTATCATCATCACTACAAACGAGATTTGCGAGACCGGGTTCGGGGCGAGACAAGCGGCGACTATGAGAAGTTGATGTTGGCTTTGTTGGAGTAGCCTAATGTAGAGTGTACAGAGTCATTATCTTTTCTCTCCTTGTACTTTTTTCTTTTCATTTTATTTTCCAATACCCCACTGTTCTCGTTGTATTTCTACATCATACTACATACCTTCACATGTATTTGGTTAGTAACCATATGACTGGCCATAGCCAGTTGGAGTGGTGCAATGGAGAAAGCTTTTTAGACGTTGTGTACAAACGTACGTATTTCCCGGAAAATACGTTACGACTTCATTTTCGTTACATTTAAACATGCTCAGACGCCAAAAGCAAGGTTTGCCAGTATCTAGCAATCAATTTATCTAATAGCACGGAACAGAAACAAAATTAGGCAGTGTATATATCAAGCTCTTCGTTCAGAAATGCAACAAAGAAAGTAAAGTTAAAGTAAACCCCCCGATGATAGTCATAAAACATTGCTCATTACCAGAAATTTCATAAACCATTAAACAACCTCCCTCACCAAAGTACAATAAGCCCCAGGAAACAATCCCGTTTTGCCGGCATAGTACCCCCAGTACCACTCGTCATTAATATTGTCGGCTTCTGTGATCTCTGCTCCACGCGGAAATGAAAGCTCATCCGTGCAGCTTTCCTCTGCGAAATAAGACCAGTTTGCGCCGAGCACGAGGCCAAACCCGCCATCGGGTGGGATTGCTGGCGTTGCCGTTCCGCGACGGTCTAGTTGAGTTGTTGTCGACGTTGGTGTTGATGGCGAGGACAGGGCGTTTGAGTCATGGGCTTGTGATGTTCGTACACGGCCTGCCTTTTTACGCTTGGTGTTGCCTTCTTTCCATGACCAATCGCCCGTTCCGAGTTCTGGCGACGCGATTGAGACTGTAGAAGCTGAAGGAGTGGCTGTCTGGTCGATTTTTTCATCTTTTAGAGTATAGCCGCCAACTATATCTCGAACAATGACTCGTCGCTGTCCTTTCTCGTGGTCTTCATACCCGATTATAATCATGCGATGGCCTTTCAGGCATCTACGCCAGCCACCGTGACCATTTTCTTTGCTAATCTTTCCAGATACCACCAATTTCAAGTAACAATTTGTGCATACATCATAGTCCCCCTCGTTACATTTCAGACAGTGAAAACGTGTCGACGAGGGAGCGATAGGGTACTTGCAGATATCGCATTCTGTAGAGAATGATAGCACTTGGTAGGTTGCTTCCGTTGGAAGGGGCTTCTGCAATGATGTGGGAACAGTCGCAGGTCCGACTGAAGCAACGTCTGTTGGAGATGGCGTCAATGGTTCTGAAGAAACACGGTGAATTGGGAGTAATGAATGGTTGCAACAGTGTCCGTGATTTACACAACGTCGACAATAACCCCACTCTCCCTCATTGCACTCTTCACATTGCCAGAAGCACCCGTTGGCAACGGATTGACAGCTATCACAGAACATACCGTCCTCCAATCGGCTAGCTGGATTGTCGTTTGTCATCTGTTTGCCTTCAGACGTGCCGCGTGCTGAACCCTCTTTAGGCTGCCGATACCGCTGTGATATTAGTACATGGGGAAATTCCGCCGTGGCTCGAACGGCTGGGTGATGAGCCTTGTTGAAATTCATCTCTCCAATGCTGCCTACACCGTAGTAGTGTGGGCACCCTCGATCGGTGCGATAGCAATGTAAACAGACATGATAATTGCCGTCCTTACATTTCAAACAACGTTTGTGAAGCTCATATTGAATACCAGACTTCCCACACCGTTCACAAGATATGGAAGGTTCGGGGTAATGTGTTGAAGGGATACGAGTTGGGGTTTGTGTCGCTGGTGAAGGTCGCGACGATATATTTCGACGAGTGGGAGATTGCACATCCGAAGAAGACGGAATATCAGCTGTTGGTACCGCAGGTATTCCGGTACTTGAAGTCGAAAATGTACGGTCCGTTGGCGTAGCAGTAGAAGGGCTATCTGTGAGAGAAGATCCCACTACATGTCTGGTAGTGGTGGATTGCTGGGTACCATCCCTAGTAATCCCAGCCCACAAATTCGAGACACGCCCTTCTAGCTCCGTTGAGCGGCGTGATATAGACGCCGTCGATGATTCTCTAGTCCTCGGTCGAGAAGTTGAAGTGCGACTTCTGTGACCAGCAATATCACTGGAAGATCGCAGTGCTGGTCTCAAGGTAGTCTCAGATGTGGATGCTGGGGCCACAGGCGTCGGTGATGTCCTTCGTCGTCGCGTCTCTTCGGAAGCCCTCCTTCGATGGACACGTGGACCCGACGTTGCCTCTAATAGATTCGGCCGCGACACAGGGGGGTGCCTGGAAGAATTTTCAGTTGGCGTGGAAGTGGAGCTCGAATTTTGCAAGGTCTGTGATCTAGAACGATGATGTTCGGATGCCCTTGCTCGACCAGTCTGTTCACTGCTCCTACGTGGCAGATGTGACCGGTCAGGGTGCCTGCTAAGGAATATTTGTACAAGCCGATCACTGAGCTCTTCTTCTTGAGTTTGATCCAGACCACTCAGATCTATTCCGTCCAATAAACCCTCTTCCATAATGAGGCGAGCAATCTCCTCCTGGGTAGTATCTCCAACATCCGATGCACTCAGTAGTGACCGTAGACTTGATTGATGTTCAATACGCCTTGGCGAGTCACCACTGTTCCCAACAGTTGTTCCTGTTCGAGCAGCATTCGGGGCCGCATTGTGACGAACATAGCGTCTGGCTATGCGTTCATCATAGTTTTGATGCCCGCGTCCGTCATCTCGATTATCCGCACTCCTTGGTCTACGACCATGAGTTGCCACGTCCCCCGTACGACTAGTCGAAGCTCCTCTCCTGCGCGGATGGGATGTTTCTGCCAAACTAAGGTCTCTAACGTCGTTGAGTAATTGTCGATCCTCCTCGTCCGTATCGTGATCAGAATCCTCGAGGGAAGCGAGCAGTTGATCTCCTGGCTTATATTTCTTTGCAATCTCCTCTTTCTCTTCCGCGGTTCTATCGCGCTCTGGACTGGCCTGCAAAACCATGTCCAGCAACGTAGTCACCGTTGCATTCGGCCTCGTATCACGGACTGTCGCTCGACATGCCGGGCAGGTGAAACGAGCTGCTGAACTCGACGAGCGGGATCGGACAGCCTGCCACGAGAACCATTCTTTCAAACACGAGCCGCAAAAGGTATGGAGGCAGTCGAGCAGCGTCAGAGGTTGATATAAGAGCTCTGTACAGATCTGTTGACAGTGAGCGACAGAGCGGCAAGGCAATACCCACTTCCCCACCATCTTCAGGAACATGAGAAATTCTCCGAGGTATACGTACCGAGCAAACCAGCTCCTTTTCCAAATCCCCGATGCCAGGCTTTGGAGCACTGGATTGTGTACCACTGGTTGTGGCCATCCCTTAGCGCCGTGGTTCGTTCATGTGGTTCGTGAGTGACGGAGCGGAGTGAGAGACGGACGAGCGCTGGCTGGATGGAGACGCCAGAGTCGGCTAGTAAAGATACCCAGCCAAGGCCTCGCTAGTATTCGTCTAAAACGCAAGCCATGCCTATACTGGAGACATCGCTGCCCTATTGGGGCAATTGTGGCGGGGACAAGGGGAAATGGCCTGAAAATTACCACGGTCCTGTATTTTTCCCTATTTTGCAAACGACGCCCATAATTTGAAAGGCAACTAGATATATCGACGTATAGTCAGTCAGTCAGTCCCCCGACCATCGAGAATAGTGATGCTAAGACCAACGAACCTGCTTATATGTATACGCATCCTATACCTCGCCTTGTCAGTCAAGCAGCTGCTGACATGTACTCAGGCATCCTTTTTTTGGTTTCTGTCGAGCGAACTCAAGAGCCTCTTGGGCTCCTGAGGCAGCTGCAATGAAGCTACATGGAGTATTTGCAGCAAATATGGAAAGAAGGCCTGGCAGGCAGTATCCTTCAGTGCGTGAGAACGAACACGTCCATTTACTCCCTCATGTCTCTCATACAGCTGTATCTATACAAGTCGAGTCTTCGCTTTATCGATACACTGCCCATATCGCTACATCCCAACCACGATTTTGTTCTTTATATGTAGCTCTTGCGCGTTTGTCATGCCTCCCATACGCCAAAATAAAGGCAAAGAACCAGTGCGCGATGATCCCCTCTCACAAAGTCGACGCCCTCAGACTGCCCGGAGAGGTACGAGTTTGGTGAAAGGAGATTCCTCTGCAAGAACTCGACGTCAAAAGAAGGGTAGAAAGGCAACTGACAAGAAAGAAACAGCAGATGTAAGTCCTAGTCCACCTCATTGTCTGGCAATGAGCTAAACTCCTGTCACTGAAAAGTTAATCGCAGAAACAACCACAAAGTCCGCCCAAGATACGTCGCTTCCCTCTCATATAGGGCTTTCGGAAACCGAACACCTCGCTTCCCAAATTATGTTTCCTCCAGAGAGCTTTCCATTGCAGGAAAGCTGGCCTTCTTTTCCAATCGAATCAAATTCATCCAATCAGTCCATATTGCAACACCAGGAACCCTACATCCACCAGCCACATCCTAGCCTAGAGAGTGTTCCAATGCAACGAGAGCAGCCTGCTTTTCCAATTGAGTCATTTTCATACGATTCAACTTTGAAACCCGGTCCGGGTTCTCATAAAAAGCGAAATGCTTTTCCAGGAAGCATCCCAATACAGCATCAACAGGCAGATCCACAGAACCAATCTGCTCGTTTACCAATACGCCGAGGTCACCCCAGCTTTTCAAATGGGTCAACTCCTTTAAACCTATTATTAGAGCCCTGGTCAGGTTCCCAAAACCAGCCAGCCTTGCCAGACGAGCCAACTTCATCGAATTCGTCCATTCTACAATCTCAGCCACCTCCGCAGCAATCCTCCTCTTCACAATCAATTCCCTTTCCACAATATGATTACAATCAAAGCTCTCTTGAATATCCCATACCGTTTGATGAAGACGACTTGTTAAAACTCGTGCAAGAATACGAAAATGAACTCCAGCAAGATGCCGTAACACAGCAACTCTCCGCGATGCAGAATGAATACGACCAAGTTGACCCGGAATACAAACAATTCGACCAAGAATACGGCCAATTCGATCCAGCTTGGTTTATGGATGAGAATGATTTCTCAGACTTGATAAACCCAGACAATCAGACAGAATAGATATTTCAATTGGACTGTAGATATTATGCTTATTTCGAACGCAGTAAACGTATTACACATCAAAGTAAAGATCTGAACAGGTATACTAGGTACTCCGTAAGGTATTATCAACCTTGAAAACAAACACAATAGACCATTGAAAATCCGCGAAGTGTCAATACATTGGATCAAGCTGGCACTACAGTATGTGTCACAATATTCCTACCGGACATCTCAATAGCCGGATTGACAGGCCAGGATGCCTCAAACGATACTGTCAGAATGAGAGACTCCTCCGGAAACAGAGTCACATAATTGTCGGACCAGAATGGAGGATTAATACTTTTATTTGTGGATGCATCTATTAGAACCAGTCGGATAAAGAATGCGGGGACGTCGGTGGAATGGTTTTTCAGTTCTACCTGCAATGTGGTGGTTGATTTGTTCAAAGATCCCTCCAACTCTATGACATCCGTTACAAGTTTGGCTTTTCTCAAGCTCTGCAGAGATGTATAGTTAGCATATGAGACGATGGGAGTGTAGTACCAATTCGAATCGTCCCATTGCAACACATCATTCTGGGCTGCGAGCCAGTACACATTTCGACTCAGTACCTCGTCATATTCTGAGTCGGATGAAGAAAGCACAAGGCGCAAAAATGCCACATCTTGGATTTTGGAAATATCCTGTGCGATATTAGCAATTACTTGGGAGTAGTTGGGTCTCGTAGTCGCCTGAAGCCTTTTGTGGAACAGGACGTGACCAGCTGTATCGACAAGGTCAATGGTGATCGATCGAGAGCCATTATCTTCCTCGACAAGGGAACTCAGACGATTGATGAGAGATATTGTCTTGTTCTCGTAATTGAAAGACACATGTTCCGGACGTGCTCCGACTTTTGTACCGAAATATGAGCCTGCAGGGTTCAAATAATAATCGAAAAATTGCCAGTGCAGGTTCGGCCAGGCACCATTCATCATCCAGTATATGCTGTAGAAAGGGAGAAATAAAAAGCATTGTTAGTTGTAATTTGGAATTGCTTGAAATGCATGAGTACCTACACTCCAGTTGCCGGTCGAGGGGCGTCTTGAAGGGATGCAAATCCCTCAAATTCCGCACGAGTTGCCTCATAATCCATTATCTGAGCCTTTAGTAGATAGTCCTGCAGACTATTCGGCGACCCGTATCGATGCCACAGAGCGTCATTGTAGATCGATCGATCATAAAAAGACGAAACATTGCTAGACATATGAAACAGCCCTTTATCAGGCTGCGTCCACAAGTCATTCAGGTCATCTTCGGATAAGAACTTTTCCAAACTACGAATCTCTGGCGTGCCAACCCCGGGCCCTTCCTCAGACCCAAAGCCAAATGCTGCTCCCACTTGGCCACCATACCAATAGTTCGGAGGCACATAATCGTACGGCCCGTCCATCTTCACGCCTGACGATCCCAGGATTTCCGGATACCCTAGTTCGCCAGCTGATGCTATCACCGGGTTTTGCCAATCCCAAGTCTTCAATGCATCAACATATATCGATGCTGCTCGGTCATTTGGCCAGTAGTCCGAGCCTACTAGAAATGCTAACACGCTAGGATGTGTCTGCATCATCGAGGCTTCGTGCAGCATTGAATAGTTTGCGATCCAGTAATCATGGTCGTCAAACCGGACATAGTCAGGGACGTCAGTATTGTACTATTTCCATTGGCCATCGCTTATTAGCATGATCAAGCTTAGACGCAATTTATAGAGAATACATGGTCCTTCAAAACATACCGTCCATCCTTCCCACCAATCACAACATTCCCAGCCAGGCATAATCATCAAACCCATCTCATCAGCCATGTCGAATAACTCCGGATGTTCTTGCTTTCCTTCGAGTCGCACAGTATTCAACCCCAGATCAAGCATCAACTCAAACTTCTTCCGCACGTAGTCTGAATCCCAGCGCATGAACATATCGGGCCCGTATCCACCACCAAGAGGAAGAAATCTCTGTCCATTGATGGCAAAAGTGCGGTCACCGAATTGGTTCAACCCGGATTCGACGTAACGGATGCCTATCTTACGAGGTTCTGCAACGTCGGAAATCGCATCGTTGACACGCGCCGTGACAGTGACAGTATACAGCGGCTGGTGACCCCATAGCTTAGGCCACCAGATTTGCGGATCTCGAAGCTCACCCGTCATTGACAGGGTCTTTTCTTCGTATTCACCCAGACTGAAAGATTGTGACAAGGCTATTTGTTGACTTCCCAGCGTGATCTTGCCGGCAAGTGTTCCGTCAACGGTTCTGTTTTCGAAGTTGGTCGCATTAACTTTGACCGTAATATTCGTTGCACTTTTCCCAGGCATCCAGTCATGAATCACTCGCATTGGAGCAAGCGTAACAGGGCCCGTCTGCGAGATCTCGACATCGCGCCAGACGCCGGTACCATTGTCTGGCGGATACGGGTTCCAGTCGACGAAACCCATGGCCGAGTCTAATAGGTAGTTTGTCTCATAAGCTCTAATCACAAGTGCATTGGCACCTGACTGCAAATAATCCGTCACTTCGTACTTATGGCCTCCATAAGAGCCCGCTTGGTGCTCTTTGTCAGCCAACTGCTTCCCATTGATCCAGATGTCGGCTTTAGACGTGATCCCATGAGTAATGAGGAAGTAATGCTGGGTCGGTGAAATATCGACTGTAAATTCCTCACGATAGAGCCATGGAGTCCCGAACACAGAGCGATCAACAATGTGGTTGAGATTATCCGAAAACCAGAGATCGCTATCGTTGTATAACCCCGCTTCGATTAGTCCGGCCATTGCCGTTGTGCGAGCGCTCACTCTATACCAGTTCGATACATTAGCACCGGGTCTTGCTAGTTCTGTGAGGTTACTCGAGGCGTGCAGCACAGATTGCAAGTCCCAGCCAGGGATCTTGACCGTTTGGCCGGCGGATGATAAAATAGTATTTGTCGCACCAATCCCAACAGCGAATATAGCCACAGCGGTGGCTACAATTATTGAAATGGCGTGCCTCATCTTACTTCCTGTTAACTGCAATACCGTGAGTGAAGTGAATGCGAAATTGACTTCGGGGTTCTATGTCCGACTTCAATCTCGGATTCCACCTAATTTCGTTTACATCAGTTGATGTAGTCTGTGTAAACAATGGGAACAGGACAATACTCTGAGGTAACATCCATGAATACGCTAGCAAATGTGTTATGTTACTCAAATAACCGTCATGGAACCAGGTTGCCGTTCCTCCATATAGGACCCTCAGTCCTACCTACACAACGGCAATAGAAAGCTAGCAGCGCTGGAAGAAAAACCAGACAGTTTACTTGGCGCTGATGATCTTGTACAATCTATCTTTTTGGTTGGTTAAAACATGTAATACTCCCGGCTTAGCGCACACATGCATGTATGTGCCCGCTAGGGCTAGAGACGACTTTCCTAAAAAGGAAATTACGTGAAGAGAGAAAGATAAGACGTCACCACATTATTTTGTAACCTCAATTCCATCACCCTGCGAGCTGTTACATAGAGATTTGAAACTGTCTACACATCCTGTAGAACGAGGTATTAGGTATTAACAGCCTATTATCAACCATGTTAAAGCTGGCGACGGGAAGGATCAAGAGGGAGGAGCAATAGCGAGGCTAGGCCAAGAGTAAGAAAATAGCGTATATTTAAGCATGCATCTAAATTTGGTATCAAAATTGCCACCAATCATCCAACACTAGAATCTTCCTGAGCTTTGTTTGAGTGTTTCGAAGGGTTGCCTCTATAGTTGATTCCTCATCGCTAGCTATCCAGCTATGCTGGCTTAGGAGGTGCCGAAGGTGCTGCTGGATAAGCAGAGGGCATTGAAGCTGGTCCGCTGGGCTTCTGCACCTGCACAGGGCCATCGTTAGGTCGAATGGCAACCTTGGCACCGCAGTGGGTGCAGAAATGATGATAGTCCTGAGCCCATTTACATATATACGGCACACAGACACCGATGATACCGCAGAAGAGGCAACAAAAAAGCGCGGCGATGCTGAATTAGAAAAGGTTAATAAGGGTTGAATCGTCAGGAGCGCGGTGCGTGCTGCTTACCCAGTTTGCGTTGAGTTTTCTTCAGTGACCTTTGTCATAGCCCGGTATTTACAAAAGGGGCAGTCAACCAGCTTAGGCGCGTCATTGAGCTGTTCCAAAGGTATCACCAGAGGAGGAGCTGCTAGGGCTAGGACATCTACCGCCGCAATGGGATCGAAGTAATCAGGTGCTAAGCTTGCTATGACTTTCTCGGATCTATCAGGATAAAGTTATATACTTTTGCCTTTTTCATTCCATATGGACATGTATATACATACTCTTTATGTAGTGTTTCTTGCTGTACAGGTGCCGTGGTTATAGCTGTGATTTCCTGTTCGGGCCCAGCAGCAGGGTTGTAACCCAGTGGCGAATTGTTCTGGCCGTGATGTTCCATATTATAGGACAATATCGTTGTCATGAGAATTCTTTTTGAGAAGATATAAATGAACAGCTAAAGAAATATTGAACATGAACAAAAAACATATATCCTGCACAGGGAATTCGACTTGAATTTCCTCCATGGCAAGGCTGACAGCGACGCACAGGCTGTCGCACAGGACACAGCCCCCATGTCGAGCTGAACGGTCATCAAGTCGCATCACTGGCATATGCATTGACGTATCAGAGGAAAGATGCTGGACTGGCTAGATTGAGCCTCATTCTATGTTTAGACCGAGTCTCGACTTGCTCTGCAGCCTGAGGCACACGCTCTCAGATACATAAGCTTAACGCCGGGTGGGGCCAGCAGCTCCCCTCATTCTCTGTCTATCAACATTCTTCACATTCTAGGTGATACAGTACATCCACATCCATCATGACAGTCACTCACGTTGTCATGTTCAAGTTCAAGGACAGCGCGCATCCAAAAGAAGTTCAGGCGGTAAGCATGAAGTGCGGGGACGACACACTATGGATGGCCATGCACGAATGAATGGATAGCTAAAGATCCATGCAGGTCGTCAAGCAGATGCTCGATTTGAAGAACCGCTGTCTACATCCAGCCACTGCCAAGCCCTATATCCTCTCTACTACAGGAGGGCGTGAGAACTCGATTGAGAGTTCACAGGTATATCTAGCCCCATGCCTAAGCCTCCTTTGCGTTGTGTTTGTTGGATATACATTGATAAGAGAACGCTCATTGATGCGGGGTACGTGACAGAACGGCTTGACGCACATCTTCCTGGTTGAATTCAATAATGCCCAAGATAGAGACTACTACGTGAGAACAGATCCGACACATAGGATGTTCGTGCAGAGCGCAAAGCCGATCATTGATAAGGTCCAAGTAGTGGACTTTGCGGCAGGGGTGTGGTGAATCCTTCAAATGCTGTTTACAAGGTGATGTTGTGACGAAATACTCATGTTAATCACGAGCTAGTTATATATAATTAAGTAATGACCATTGATAATCTCTTATATCCAATATAAAGCCAGATACATATCCGCATCAGAAACTGGGGTAGTCTCTCTAATCACGGCAAGCTGAGGAAAACATCCAACATTTTAGGATAGTTAGGTGTACCCAGCCCTGTCACCGGGTCCCATCCCTGCTGCGCCTCAAACCCCATCGACGCATTGCAGCCCCAATTATACCCCTCGGTGATATCATTGAACATCCCCGGGTTGGCGTAAAGCACCTGGTTCAAGAACCCAATAGGCCCTTTCCCGGCTGCGATTCGTTCACCATTCAATCGGGTGATGATAGAAGCAAAAAGCGGCGTGGACGCCGAGGTGCCCGACTCCACTGAAGCGTCACCAAACACATAGACGGGGAAATTGAGTCCATTCGCTGACACATCAGGAAACCCGCGTCCCGATTGATTGTAAGTGCTACTGGCGGGAAGTTGGGTGTTTGTCTCTAAATAGTTGGGCACGGCCGTATCTTGGTAATCCGGGCGAGGGAATATGTTGGAGAACCCGCCGCCACTGGTAAACTCGGGCTCATCGTAGAAATCGTGAGCATCGAATGGAATCACAGCGATTTCGGGGTCGTTGACGGTGCCGTTGGGCTTGATCTGCGTGGCACCCACGGATGTCACTTTTGTACAAAGATTTTAGCTTCAGCGGTATCTCACGGGTGGAATTCTACAGATCTTACCGTACGGGCAAGATGCAGGAAAGTTTGGGTTTTGGGCACCATTCGACAAGCAGCCGTCGACGCCAAAACGAGCCAATGTGCCATTGTCGCCAGATGCGAAGATGACGGACACACCCTGTAGGCCCAGCTTCATATATTCATGGCACTGTCGGGTTGCATAGGCAGCAGGATAGGTAGCTTCGGCAACAGCATATGAAACGGAAATCACATTTGTTGGTTGATATATGCCACACTCTGCGCTTTGATTCCACCCAGTACCATCCGGGAATTTTGGATCGATTTTGGGGTCGTCCCCTCCGTCATACGTGCAGTAGCTCCCATCCAGGGCGTCGAGGAATTGATTAAAAATGCCATATGTTTCAGCGGCGGTGTAATCGTCATAGACCTGAAAGAGGGTGATGTTTTGAGGATATAAGAGCGGATACGCTATTGAAAAGTCCAACATGCTTTCTCCGCCTGCCTCGCCTACTGGAACTGGGGCCACTCCGCCGTCAATGCTGTTCAGGATGGGGTGAGTTCCATTGGGAATATTGGACGAGTATTGCGAGAAAAAAGAATCCAGATCTGCTTGGTCGTATTGGTCTCCTGCTTCATAGATACCGAGGTTGTTGCCGGCCTGCGTGACAGTAGACTCGGGAATTTGGTACAGAGCCCGAACGCAGGCCGGAGTAATGGATTCGTTGCATGTGTTCAAATTATTGGCGTCACCTTGAAGAGTTGAGGGCAACGGATGGCGTATTGGAGAAAATCGAGTGCGTTTTTGCCTCTTGGAGGTCTGGCTGTATGGGGTGCCCATGTCAATCGTTGGAGTGATGAAGTCGATGTGATGTCCGACGTGCCGGGGCACATAATATTCATCGCACGACAGACTCAAGACCCCAGTGTCAACATTCCGCCAGACTTTGTATTTGGTTTTCAGAAGTGACTCGAGCTCTTCGACAGTGGCGTTGAACTGAATAGTGCCTCGACTGAAAGCCAGTCGATGCCGGTGAGTCGCGATTTCCGAGGACGAGAGCCATTCTTGTACAGATTCGAGGGTTTCGGGGGCTGGCGAGAAAAACTCGCGAACCTCTGCTGGTGTCCAGTGTTTGCCGAAATTGGGCGAGGTTGGATTGGAAATTTCCATGAGATGGTCATGGCCCAACTCGGCGTTTCTGGGCTTGAGGCCGATACGCACTGTAAGCGTCAACTCTGGTGGAGGTTCTGAAGATTCTACCCATTGTGAGGAACTGACAGTCCGTTTCTCGTGTAATACGTGCGAATTTGGGACAATTGTAGCCCGAACTGCAACCACAGCAAGCGCTGTAATCACAGACTTGAAAAGACGCATGATGATGACTGCTAGAAAAAGGATGGCACAGAACAGCAAGCCTTCCCCCTGTTTAATAGCTGTCTACTTGTCTATGTAATGATGGATGTATGTAAGTATCCATGTCCAGCAGTGTGCTGTACACGCATGTTTCACGTATTGGATCACGAGGATTGTAACGATCTCCAATGTTTGCTCCATGGGTTTGTGCACCTATATTATAATATCCGAGGCGGCGGAGAACGATCACCCCTGGCGAACCGTGACCAATAGCTTGTCCTCCGCCGCGAAGATTCAAGACATTCTCCATATTTTATTTTATTTTATTTTTTTTTTTGTTTCACTCCCTCAATCTCGCCTGCTTTGTTGTCAAGTGTTAGCAGCCAAGCAATGCGAATCGTTTGCCAATTAACAAACGCCGGGCATAACCGAGCGCTGCCTAAGCTCAAACTTGAAAAAGCCTTCCCCTCTTTGGAGCGGAATTAGGGCTGGCGATCATAACGCTACTACTAATAGCTTGACTGATTTGTTCGAAAACACTGCATTATCATGTGTTATCTAGGCATATTATACATTATTTTCGAATGATCTTCATTTTGTTGATCATTCATTAACATGGACATGTCACATTCGTGTTCATACCGAAGAGTTTGCTCTTGACGGCGGGCTATCGGTGGAAGAAAACGAGGACTGGCTCTTCGAACTGGGCCGCAGACTAAACTGACTGGAATTCCTGGTCGATAGCGACGTGGGAATGGCCGTTTTTCTGGCATCGTATTCGAATGCAATCCGTCTAGAATGCTGGGTATGTCGGGTATAGAAACGCAGAAGTCGCTCTCTGATCCATGACTCAAATGTTCCGGTATCCTTGTGGCGTCTTTGCCATAACTTCATAGATTCGTGATAGGCATGCGTGACATCCGTGCGGCGTAGAGATTCGTATATCTGGAAGCTTGTCTCGAGCGGCTGGTCCAGGTACTGCGCGACAACACGGGCTAGGATAATACTGTCGTCGATGGCATACGCCGCTGATTCATCGCGAGGAAGCATCTGTTGCGTTTGTCAATTTGCTTGGTTCGTTGCAAGAAAAGATAAGAAAAAGCTGACTTACGGCATGAGCAGCGTCGCCTATTAAAATGGCCCTGCCATTGTGCCATTTTCCGCCAACGGGCACTTGATATATTGGATACAACATCCAGTCAATGTCTGTGGAAGAAGACACCTCACGGACACAGGGAATAGCGGAGTTCCCGAAGCGCGAATAGACCTCTCGTCTCAGGGATTCGCTTATCATAACCCGATTCCAACCCCTCGTTTCGGTGTGATCTCGAACAGCTGTCTCCTGGCATTCCAACATTGCCGAGACGAACATACCGTCGCGGGGTTTGTCGTAGAACGTCATTAGAAGCGATCCCGATTTCGATATGTTCAATGATGTGCTTCGGAAATGGGCCGATGTTTTCATCGTTGATGTATTTATGGTACCTTGCACCAGCGAGAAGCCCGTGTATTCGGCTTCACACCCTGGATCCACGTATCGCCTGCGCGTTGCCGACCAAACACCATCACAGCCGACCATCAAGTCCCCGGTTGCTCGCGAACCGTCCGCAAAGAAGATTTCGATCTTGTCTTCATCGTCCAACTCGACCGCTTTTGAGAATTTCTTCCCAAACACGATCTTTATATGCCCTCGCTTCTCGGCTGCAGCTATCATCGCCAACGCCAAGTTGATCCTCATCACTCGACGGCCCTTGTATGTTTTTGTGTCCGGCCCATCGCCGTATCCAACGCCATCCTTGCCGCTAAAATCCACCTGAGACAAGGACTTCCCCGTTCGCGCAGAGAACATTTCAATTGCATCTACGTCAACTCCGGAGTCGGGGCCATACCGTGCCAGTTCGTCCAAGATTCCTAGATGATCGAAATGCCTCAGCGCCGTTGGAGACAGGCCAATGGCGCCTCCGGTCGTCGAGGGCACGGAATGCAATTCAAAAACCGTGATTCGCAGGTCTGGTATCCGAGGGGAGAGATAATACGAAAATGAAAGAGCGGCAGAGAGCCCGGAGAGCCCGGAGCCAATAATGAGGATATCCCGGAGCATGTCGAAATCCTAATTCGCAGGTGTCTTCGGTGTGGTATCCATTGGCTTCCCTTTCATATATCTTGGACAAGAGTCGACGCACGAAATAGCTTGGTACTCGTGTGAAAACCAACTGAACCCAGGGAAGAGCAAGAAAAGAAAGAGGGAAAAAAAAAAAAAAAAAAAAAAAAAAAAAAGGGAAAAAAAAAAAAAAAAAAAAGAGAAACAAAGGGGAAAAAAAAAAATAGGCTAAAAGCAGCAGGTGCAAGGTGAATTCTGAAGAGTTTCAATAGTTGAAAAAAAAATTCTTTCTTCCGGTGCAGACCTGAGTCAGGCCATATCGAGAAAATTTTGTGGGCCATTGCGCAGGCTCTTCGTGATGGTCACATTTCTTCAGCGGATTAGTACTCCGGGCAATAGTATCTAGGCATTACTTGCTGCAGAATGCCCGTTGAGGCTTTTTTTTTCCCTCTGCATTTCATGCACGCGGCCAATGGAGCGTGGCGGGTTATCCCGAGAGTCCAACGAAATTCAGCCGGCGTCAGGCAATTTCAGGGTAAGTGGGACGCTAGAAAAACATTATTTCGGGATTCCTTGCCAGAAATGCTGTCATTTTCCGTCCAACTTTTGGGTTTGACGACAGGCCGTTTTTTAGCGCGCTGCACGTTCTGATGGTTCGTTCCTTGGATTTGAGACGCCACGAGGCGGATTATTATGCGTTTGAAGGTTCTGACACCCTACATAACATCCCCAGCCCTGATACTTACCACCTAGCCGAAAGGACACAATGAGTTGGAGCACTGGCAGGCTTATTTTTACAGTAGGTACTCTGGCAAAATTATACCTTCAATTGACCATTGCCATCTAGCAATCTTCGTACCTAGGTAGGTCAAACGTGCGACGCCAAAACGCTCCGTGTTACGTCTCTTTACGCCCAGCCTGGCTTGTTAATTTCTCACTGGGAATTATTAACAAGCTCTGTCAGACTCATCGTATATTATTGGCAGACATGACGTGCATGACTAAACCCTGGTAACCCTATGACAACCCTAATATTACCCACTTTCTCTCTAGCGTAACTTGTGGGCCCGTCGATTTCATGTCTTGCGGCTTCAATAATCAACCGCGCCAATAGCTAACGTACCACTCAGACTCGTGGGGAAGCACTTGAATGCGAGTCGAAAGCGGCCCATTACTGCGTGCTCTGACACCATGCAACATCTGTATAGATCGGAGAATTCCGGAGAAATGCATATATAGAGGACGCGTGAGCAAATACAGCATTCTGCGAACTCATTTTTACTCGACTAACGTACATGACGTGCATGTAATGGGATTATGCTGTATGGGCGCTGAGTCCCCTGGCCGAGCATTAGATTCGTCTGAGATTTTCGTTAATGTGCCCCTATGTCATGATCAGTCAGGGACAATCCCACATTGAGGGGGGAGCCTCACGGTACGCTCTCTGATTTCGGCGACTTCAGACTCTTTGCTGTGTAGCTGGATCACTGATATTAATCAAGTCGTTGCCGGGAAAATAACGCTGTGATAGGTGCTGGCCCGTCTAGGTAGCCTGGTTTATATGACGGACGTTTATGAAGCAAGTCAAGCATATAACTAGGCCCATTTTATTGCTCTTACAGCATTCACTACCACGGTTGCGGAAATAATGACATTACCATCTCACTGAATTCAACGTTTACAACAGCCTTAGTAAGAACGGTATCTTATGGGCTAGGAAATGCACATTCCTTCTCGACTGACGCTGATTGGCCACCGTGAGCTCAGTCGTTGGTTGCTTATGTTTCCTGTAAGCAGCTTCCATCCATTAAAAGCCGTGTTTGGTCACACTGTTGACATGCGCTAGTATATAAGGCGAGCGTTTTCAATCGGCAGCATGAAATCCAGGTTCGCATCAAATGGGTAACCCCTACACCACTCGTCTACCAGGTCGAGTTACTTCCATCCGTAGAGTTTGAGAATACAGGGGGACTGGATTGAGTACGTCCGGATAAAAGATAATTAGCTCAAAGATGAGAAAAAGCAAAGGCAGGTCAAAGGTCTAATAATGGAAGCCTGCCTGCCAGCATATGTCACCGGTTGCTTCTCGTACATTTTCATCTTTTAACAAAACAGCTACGTCTGGGACTATTTTTTGATTAGCACTAACCTTATTCACTACCACTATAGTCCACCTCACAATTATGGAGGATTCACTGTATGTTTCCGGAACAGAGTAGGAGAAATTACTTGCGTAGAAGTGTATCCTCAGTTGCAGACCTACCCTTCTTTTTATTCTTTCATACAAACAACAAACAAAATTGAGAGCTTTTTTCTCTCGAAAGATAAGCTTAATTCGCTGGATTATATATCTTGACTACGAATGAGGCAATCAACCCTGTAGTATATTAGGTATCATAACACGAATATCTAGTTTACTAAGGCGGCCAGATAATCCTACGTGCTTGCCTCTCTAATTACCGACTATCCAATACAATAACAAAGGAAACAAAAAGAATGTACTCGTATCTTATCGACGTTCAAGCTCGATCCCCTCTTCGCCCGGGAGAATAATCTCATGGCCTGAGCCTTCGTAAACAAACACTGCAGCCACGCACCCAAACACCGAGACAAGAGCGACAAGCCACCACGAAAACCCAATGACCCCAATTTCGAGCCCATATCCATACCACAAACCGGAAGCGATTGGGCCGATTGTTCTAAAGGCGGAAGAAGTCGCCTGTCCAAGTCCGTGAACCGTCCCTAAAACTGAGGGATGGGAGCAACAGTTGTTAAGCAAGATAATTGAGGTAGGCAGCGTAAACGTGCGGGACATGACCTGCAAAAAGAGGATTATGATTATGGATAACCAGACCCACGTCCCGTTTGGTTCCGTTGGAGAACCAGTAGATGACGATACAAGAGAGATGTAGGGTGCTAAGGCATAGGCAACTGGGAACAGGGCAAGGAAGTACTGGTAACTCTTCGTTGTGCCCAGACGACCTTGGATGGTGGGATAGACAGTGAATTGGAGCACCATGCCAATTATTCCGAGAATAGATGTTGCGAGCCCCACATCTTGTGGGGACATACCTAAGCCTCCAGTGAAGATGAAGGGTGGACTTTGGGTGTGAATATTCGGGTCATTGGGATCATAGCGAGGTGTTGACAGGAAAAGCAACCACAGATTATTGAAAGCACTTTCGACAAACAATCAATCAAGGTCAGCATGTCTTCTCCTGTAAATAAACAAAGCTAGCATAAATCTCATATAAAACTTACCCCATTTGGAAATCGAAAAAAGCTTGTGCTGTTAAGGTGGCTATCACATTCTTTGTCCATATTCTTCGGAACGGCAGCACAAGGGAGGGCTTTCTCGGAATATTACCTTGCTCAAGCTCGTTTTCGGGGTCTTTCTGTACATGAACTAGGGGGCCGTCTTCATCGTCTCCATCACGGACAGGAATACTGGAGTATTCAGCCGTTGAAGGCGATTTCACGCCACCAACGAGTCGGCGTAACAGCTTGAGAAGATAGAACCACCACCCAGGCCTGCCTTTGCATGCTTCTAGCGTCTAAAGATAAGACGACAACTTTAGTCAGTATTAACATATATCCAACGATTAAGGAAAAAGTTCCTACCTCTTCCAGGCCAACAGCTACTAGAGTGGCACAAGAGACCATGAAAAAGAAATTTGCTAGCATGGGCAGGGCATATGGATATTTCATCAGCCACTGAACGCCCGAAGCACCTCCAAATACCGAATTCACGCCAAATAGACCTGGATAAATAGCAACTGGATCAGACAACCACCCGCCCATCACTACATAATACAATCATTAGCAAATTTTATCAAGCTCTGAATTGAAAAAAAAAAAAAAAAGGCCTTTGAGATCTCACCTGGTCCAAATAGTGCTGCGATATTGAACCCAATAGGCAAAATCAAAAATGCACGAGAGTGATACTTCTTTTCCTTGACATTCTCTGAGATCATAGTGCGAATGATGCCAACAGTGCCATTAATCGCACCGCCGAACAAACGCCAAAACACTGCTTGCCCGAAAGATGTTGAAAAAGCAACTCCTAGGCACGAAAGAGCCGTTCCCAGCAGACCAACAAGCAGCACGAATTTTCGGCCACCCCATTGCGCATCTGCAACTTGACCCCAAGCAACAGCAGTAGCGAACTGCGCAGCAGTAAATGCTCCTTGTAGTATACCAGCTTGTGTGGATATATCCGCGTCGGAGAGTTCAGGGTCAAAAGACTTTAGTTGATAGAACATATAGGCTTGCAGTGAGGATATCTGTAAGAAATCAAACACCCGACATAGTCCCAGCAAAACAAGCTGCCCTTTTCGCGGCAAGGAAAGCCATGTTACTGGAGATGGTTTGGGGAGGCTGTATACTGGTGGCGGCGATTGTGCTCGTCGGGCTGCGAGTAGGGAATCACTCTGATAGTGTTCATCCGTATGAATGTCCCATTGTTTGACGATGGAAGTTGTGGCGTCTCCTTGATAAGTCTCTGAGGAGGAAGTTGAGAAATCGTCGGCTTGTTGCTGATGGTCGTGGAATGACTCCGGAGTATTTTGCACGTCGTTGCCTGGAGCCCACGAAGTGGTTGTGTTATTGAAATGGCCGTGCATCGCGACCCACTTATAGCTATTATAATACTGGGATTCACTGCGACAAGTCTGCCTTTTCTAGCCACGTATGTAGGAGCAGTAAAATAATAATTGTTGCATTAAAAAGTCGTTTTAGTGTGCCAACAGTTGTGCTTTGATACTGGGATAAGGTAGAACGCCATAATTGAAGTGAGAGCCAAATGGCAATGGACAAGTAGTGGCGGACCCCCGGGGGGCAGGTGGAGAAAGAATTAAGAAGACGACAGAACTAAACTGACTACGGAGTAGACAGGTTCTGGAGATTTTTTAGGGTTTTTGCCCTTTCGTTATATGATTCATCATCATATCTTACAAACGGGTAGTTGAGCACGTGTATGGATCCAGTGACTCCACTACAACAGCATAACCCCAGCCCCTAGGCAGTCCACAGTGCATTGAGCGCTCCCTTAAAATACAGAGGACGGAGTACGGAGAACGAAGAACATCGTCATCAATTTCATGCAACGCCATCATCTATTAGCGGTATACTGCGTATCACTCTGTTCTTACACGACTGGCATATCAGTACGTACTTACGGTCAATGCATGAAATAGGATCGATTACACGCTGGAATGGAACGTTGGAAGGGCATAACTTCGCCATGTGGGTCTCTTTTGATCTAGAGATATACTAGACAAGTCCGCGTAATTCCTAAGCCCCGAAAATTTCGAACCTGCCTCGGGATTCGTGGCAGCGGATGGCCCGGCCTATTACATATGTGGCTTGACCCCTGCCACAGGCATGCATAGTACGTAATTTTAGCGACAGATCTTCCAATTTTCCTGGAATGAAAGAGCCTTTCTGAGAAATATAGAGGTTATCAAGAGCTAATAGATACCTATGTACTTAGGTATATACTGTCAACTCTCCGAGCACCACAGAAAATATACAAAAATCCACAGACGCTGTACTCTAAACGACGCATTTCTCTTACTTTATTCTCGAAGCACAGACAGCACAGACGAATTTGCCTGGGTATAGATTGAAATATGCAACCAATGAATGTACATAACTCATAGCCATGCAAGTGTGGAATATTGGCGGCGGACGCGTGGGATATCGGTGTGGGGCCGGTGACCAATCTCCCCGGATGGCGTGACGCTAGCCGCGCGGCAGGTAGAATGCAAAATAGTGATTGGAGTGGGCCGATTATGCCAAGGCTCGGGAATCGAGTGTAACTGAGCTCCACTTTTGATATAAGCACGATAACAATCTACTCTTAACTGATTGATAAGAGAGACAGAAAGCCGTCTGACGCTAGCGAACTTATACCAAGTTTTTTTTTTTTCTGTGATCTCTTGGGCTTCTTTTATTACGAGGTGGGAGGGGGTGGAGATATTGGCCTCATCCCCATGACTGGCAGCTTGATTTCAAAATAAATTTAAAGTTTAGAATCGAGTCAAGCATTCTGGAGACCTCTCGCTCAGTCCGCACCCTGCAGCATACACAGTAACCATGTAGGGCTAGTAAATCGTTATCAGTACTTATGCTAGATTGATTATACCGCATATGGTATCTACTATCTCCTAATGACTTGGCACGCTTTGCCAAGCATTTTGTACGTGTCGTCTCGGCCCAGTCTTGCGCAAGCAGAGGCCTCGCGTAAAACAGTATGACTAGAATGAACGGATTTTACGGCAGAGAGTTCTCAGATTTTAGAAAGTAGTCCTCCGTACCATCTAAGCCACGCTCTAATAGTGAAGTAACTATCTGGCCCTTTACCACATCTCCTCTTTATCGAGTTGTTAGCGCTCTTCTTCTGATCATTGGCACTATAAGATAATCCAGAATTGTAAAAGTCGCCTCGCAAAACTGGACATCTTTAAAGCACGGAAATCGATTGCAAGAAATAATGCCAAGAGTATACGTAAGCTTACAGGCTATGTTGGCTTCTACTCTAGATGATATTAGCTGTAACCAAGGAAGCACTGACTCCGTTGAGTTCCTCATATCGGTCTTAAAGGCTAGGTAGTGGGGCCTGTCAGGGGAGCCGATTGAGTTCTTGTTGGTTAAATATTTCTATCACCATTTGCAACTACTTAACTAATTCGTGAGATATCCTCAACACCCTGGGTACATTCACTTTGTCTTCTCCTCTGCAGTCGTTCATTCATAGGCACTCCTTTATACTTGAAATTTGTGGCATAAATCCAAACAAAAATTCGTACTTTCCTTACATTCGGTGCACATATATTATTCCTAAACTTTTCACTCTTCACTTTTATTTGCGCTTGGATCCATTCAAATACTGAACATATATATACCTTTACATCATCAATCTAATATTCTACGCCAAGTTACGATCAATTCCAGCCACAATGTCTCTCGATCGCGCATCTAAACTTACGCCACAACCATGGACTGATATCTTTACGAACGACACCTGCATTGATCGACGACAATGCCGTCGCACAGTGCCCATGAAGATCCTTGCCCTGGGTGTTGGCAGAACAGGAACTGCTTGTACGTTGTATACCTTTGATCGCTTGCGTTGACACATCTTGGCATTGGCATTTATTCTGATTCGCTGAAATTCAGCCATACGAGCTGCTCTTCAAAGACTCGGTTATATTGAAACCTATCATATGATGTCCGCCAGCGTGGAGAATCCTCCCGACTGTTTGATGTGGCACGATGCTCTATGCGCCAAGTACGATGGGGTCGGCAAATTTGGGCGCGCTGAATGGGACCAACTCTTGGGCAATTGTCAGGTATGTTAAGCTTTTTACGTGTGCAATTCTGAATAAATACTAAGTCTTATTGAACGACTAGGCTGTCTGCGACTGGCCGGCCTGTGCCTTTGCGAAGGAGTTAGTCGAGGCTTATCCAAATGCGAAAGTCATTCTTAATACCCGAGACGTTGACTCCTGGCACGAGTATGTTTGGCCCTCTGGCTCTCGTAAATATAGTTCATTCATTTCTCACAATAAAGCTCAGGTCTGTCAAGAGAACGGTTTACTGGCGTGCCAAAGACCCAGAACACTACCTCGCTTCGAAAGTCAGCTGGGCCGCCAGCATGTATTATCCTATGCTGAACAAGTTCTTTGATACATTCTTCCGCGGCGACTTCCTAAACGAGGGCAAACAAGTGTATCTGGACCACCTGGAAGAAGTGCGTAGCCTAGTACCCCCGGAGAATCTATTGGAATACAGGGTCAGTGACGGCTGGGGACCGTTGTGCAAATTCCTGGGTGATGATGTCCCCGAAGAGCCTTTCCCGCGGGTTAACGATATCAGCAACTTCAAAGCGCGATGCAGCAAACGCAATCGACGGCAGATGATGAATGCTGCCTTTCAAGCAGCGGCCTATGGTGGAACTGTCTTTGCTACCGGGCTGATTGCGATTTCTTTCCTTCAGCGCTATTTCTTTTGATTGGTACTGTGACTTGCGTTTGTATCTATACTAATATGTCGTTTCCTAGGTATTGTCTTGCATGGGCGTACATATTACATGTGACATTTGTTATTTGCTTTATATTACGGAACTCTTATCCTAAATTCGTTTGATATGGTTGCTAGGTACATGATACTATTATTCGGCGTCTATAGTGTTTTAAATGCGGGCATCTGTGGAATTTCTCAAAAAGGAAATTAGGGCTATGTCTCCCATTCCCGCCGATCATTGAGGCAAAGGTAGCTCGAGAAATTCCAAGTACCCATATTTAAATTCTACAACATAGACATTGTAAAAGTGCATTTTAGTATCAAGAATTATGAAAATTTGTTAGAAAATGCGCAAAGTACACGTCTTATCATACTAGTTCAAATATTACCTTCGTCCATTTCACCGTCCTCCGCTCTCCGTTCTTCGATATCTTCCTGAGAATCGTCGTCTCCCAGTTCAAATTCATCTGCATGAGCAGCGATTAGTTCATTCATCTCACTGCACAGATCTTCGATATCGTCATCATGATCATCATCGCCTGACTTTACACGGCCAAATCGAAGATTATTCCACCAGTTACCTCTCGCTGGACTGCCGTTCTGTCGACGGAAATAGTAGGCTCTTATTGCCCAGTTAGAGGCAATGACAAAGCCACATGTGCCAGCGCATGTAATGAATCCGACAAGGAAGAATATAAACCGTAGCATTCTTTTATCACTGTCGTGGCCGCTCTTGTTGCCGTCTTCAATAATGGGGAAGTCTTCTGAATCATCCGTTGTTGAATTACTCGCTTCGACTTCAACGAATCTCGACGCACCCAGTTGGTTGCCTAATTTATCGAGGCCAACCACTCGTAGTTGCTTGTAGATGTTGCCCTCAGGAATAGAAACCGTAGTTTCGAAACCAGTCTTCGGCATAGCAGACAGGAAGACAAATGGCCCTGTGTCATGTTCCGGTTTGGCTGCATTCGATCCCTCAAGAATCCATGTCTTGACTTCTGTAGCACCATTCCAGCTAACGTACCCAGTATTCCCCTTCTTGTCCAGGACCACCCAATCTGGATTTGACGTTGGCTTGCCGACCCAAGGATATTTAAACGCTCGATAGGAAATAACGTGCCCTTGGTCAAAGAACTTCTTTGGTCCCATATGAACCTCGCATACAGCCTCTCCATCTGGGTTGAATTCCGTCCACGCAGCATTGAACCCATACCCGACTAGCACATTGCCATTTTCTAGCAGCTGCACTGAGCCCTGTGACTGACTGCTGATAGGCGTGGGGTTCCAATACTGACCGCGGACTTTGGCGGTCATGTTTTCCTGGTCAACATCGATCCAAAGACCGCGACTTGGATGAATGGGCGCGCCTTCACCGCGTCCAGAATTGTCAAAAAGTGTGATGCTTTTACCGCCGTCTCTCCATCGTGCATGGTGTTGCCAGCTCATGTTAGTGGCAGCACCGTCAGACAGATCCTTGAACATATTTGCTTTGCCGCCCAGCTTCCAGATGATTTTACCAGTTCGGCCGTCAATGTATGTGAGTGAGAAATAGTTGCGGCTGGATATGAGGAAGTTACCCTTCTCGTCTTTGTCTATGCTATTAATGTGGAAGAAGTCCCAGGGATCCGAGGCGTGATTCCCGTGGCCTTCGCGACTTCGGTAAGCTTCGTCGAAAGGGAGATGTTGTGAGGCTCGCCACTGGAACAATAGCTCTCCTGTTTCAACATCAACTTCCTGGAATGTCCCATCCCACAGCCATCCCTTTTTGGGCCCACCCACAGACGACAGATCGGCGGGAATCTTGTCGTAGATTGTATAGACGGCCGTGTCATTGACGGTGATGTGGAATTCGTGTAGGTCGCCGCGCAGTCCATTCGCGCCCCTGAATACATATTGAGGTTGGTAGTTACTATTGAGCTTTGTCTGTTTTAGTCTTGATTATCTTCTCAACCGGAATCGCAAACTTACCATGTAATATGAGCCCTGTCCATGTCCGACAATCGTGTCATCGCCCGTCCAGAAAGTCACGAAATTCTCACCCTTGTAGGTCTGCATATCCATGCCGTACGTCTGGCCCCTAACCTCGGTCCACACGAGATGGCCATCTTGGTCGAGAATCATAGGGCCAGCTGAAGAAACGCTGTCTCCCCGCGGCGCAATAAATGTATACAATCCATCTCTACAGGCTTGTCCGTATTGAACGAAATCCAGGACTGGCGCTATCGCGCGGCTCGATTTGAAACGCTGAGTAGGCCATTTCCCTGCTTGGCCAGTTTCGAACTTAGTCGACTGGTAGTAGGCGTCGACATCAGCATGGGCGCACAGGAAAAACAACAATAAAGCAAAGAACGATGGGAATGCGCCCATTTTTATTTATATATTGTTGTGATGAGGTATTTTGGCTCTAAATTCCGACATCAAGCCGAGCTCTGCTTTATCTACCACTCTAGTTGTTCTTATCAACAAGACTACATCCATGCTGAGAAGACAGTAGTTATTAACTGTACGGACCAATGCCCTACAGTAATGCCGGACAGTTCGGGGGTTATGCGTACTAGAAGACGCGAGGTGGGGAGGCCGCGTGGACGGATTCACATCCAAGGGTGAGTCAAATGCACGCGCTCAGTGGCTCACTTGAAAAAATATACGGACTAGTTGATTTTATTTAGTACGTACTCCGTGACGTTGATTCGGTTGAATATCTGAAACGCCTAATTGCAACTATAAGTATACCGTGTCTTGGCGCTACGTATACTGATGATGAGTCTGGGTACGTTCCAAACTCCCAAAAGGGGGACGCAAGAAAAGAAAAGAGAAAAAAAAAAAAACGTAAGAAACCAGATCTCAGCAGACGTTTTGGCTACAGCTATTCTTTTCAACATGATGGGCGACCAACCCATGTTCCTCTGAGTTAGTGTAAAACTTTTTCTTTGCTTATGAAGAGCAGTCCGTTTTAAATCGTTAGCTCCTGCTGTGACAATCCCAGCTCGTCTTCCAAGCGCCTGCGAACAGATCCAACGTCTCGAGGAGGAAGGTGTAGCTTATGATTTGGGTGGTGGACAGCCCATAAAGAACTTTTGGGGTCTCGGCCGTCACCCAATTCAAGCCATTTCGTTATGATTAGGACTTGGGCTTTCTCGTTAACCTGAGCCTCTATGTCCTGAAGCGGTAACTAGAATTCAACATGACAGTCAGGGCACTGATATGTGATGTCCTGAGATAAACCAAGATTGCTTTTCCCTAATTCTAGCCAAGGGACAAACCGTTGAGGCACTTCGATACAAAATGTTCGTGCAAATACTCATATCAACCATATCAGCCAAACCAACGATATCAAGGCAAAAAGAAGGCATCCTTGCCAACTGCTGGATTCGTAAGTACAGGGAAGCTTCGTTTACACTCTCCTGCCCTGGACACACTCGAGCTTCAACAGACATCAATGCCGTAGTGCCGCGGCCATACTCTGGCCGTAATACCTCCACGTGCGATAAAGAGTCGATTGAGATGCCATATCCAGGACCGCATTCGATATACTCTCATGGCGAGCTGCAAATGGACAAATCTGAAAAAATACGTGGTCTTTCGCTTATTGGTGTTTACGTTAGATAACAAGAAATCACGCTCACTCCAGGCCATGCGTGGTGTGTACTTTCTAGGTCTTGTCGTCTGTGGCATATTCACGTTCCGCCATGGATGAAGCAGGGAGCAAAAAAAGCAGAAGTCGTAGGAAGAAATGTCTTATGACAACCTGTTGAGGAATCCCTCTTGATTCTTGCTCTCTTTGTTCGCGAACATAGGCGAGTGAGTTCCGATCTTGAGCTTTAAGACATGGCAGCACAAGGCCAAGCAAGCAGTGAGTAAGATCAATTCGGTGGGTAGCTGCTCGAGCAAACTGCGCTGTATGTGATCGCCCTCATTTCTGTGTGCGAAAAATGAATGTATCCAGCCAACTAGGTACGTCATCTCTTAATAGTCAAAGTAGTTGATGAAGATAAGTCAAGATGAGAAACGAATGGCCATTGAATGCTGATGACGCTAGTTATAATAGGGCTAGTGCGTATAGTGTTCTGTATTATAATACTGTCATAAATACGCCACTAATCTGTAACAGGAATAGTGCATCCTCTACCCGGGGCAAAAACGAAACATCAACATCAAACTCGACAGATGGGCGATGAGTGGAAAATAATACCTTGGCATGGCATGACAGTCTGAGTGATTGCCATTTTCTTTCTTTTTTTATTGGACCTACAAACAAAAAAATGGCCTCGCGCTTTTCTGTCATTTTCTCTCTTGCCGCCCTCATGCGTGCTGGCTTGCTGCTGTACGGCATCTACCAAGACAACCACTCGGCCATGAAGTATACGGACATCGACTACATGGTCTTCACCGATGCCTCACGCTTTGTGGTCGAAGGTCAGTCGCCGTATCAACGAGATACATATCGCTACACACCGCTGCTTGCGTGGCTCTTACTGCCGACGACATGGCAACCCAACTGGGTCTGGTTCTCATTTGGAAAGGTACTCTTTGCCATTGCAGATCTCGTGACTGGATGGCTACTATTACTAGTTCTTCGGACCGAGTTTCCAGCAATGTCAGAGAAGTCTCGGCTCACATATGCAAGCATATGGTTATTGAACCCCATGGTCGCAACGATCAGCACGCGTGGTAGCTCTGAGGGTCTGTTGGGAGCCATGGTTATGGCTCTTCTCTGGGCAGTACTGAATCATCACATTGTTCTTGCGAGCTTCCTCTTGGGCTTTGGGGTGCATTTCAAAATCTACCCTTTCATCTACGCTCCTAGCATAATCTGGTTTCTCTCCGCCAAGACCAGCAGCAAATCGAGCACATCTGCGCCAACTGTGTTCAACCAGGTCCTTAATTTTGTTACTTTCGATCGTATCAAAGTTGCTGTTACTTCGCTTCTCACTTTTGCCGTGTTTAATGCTTGGATGTATGCACTCTATGGCCATGATTTCATCCAGCATACCTATCTTCATCACCTTACGAGAATCGATCATCGACACAACTTTTCCCCCTATAATACCCTATTGTATCTGTCAGCTGCCACTGATACCCAAAGCCAAGATATTAAGTTCGAATCGGTGGCGTTTATTCCGCAGCTACTTCTTTCGGCGATCGCCATTCCACTTGCTCTCGCAAAGAGGTCATTACCCGGTGCGATGCTAGCGCAAACGTTTGCTTTTGTCACGTTTAATAAAGTTTGTACGAGTCAGGTACGCTATCAGACTTCCTTTCTGTCATCATAACAGTATGGCCAGACAAGCTTACAACATCACTCCCCTTTTGATTCATTGTAGTATTTCCTATGGTATCTTGTTTTCCTACCACTCTACCTCCCATCATCGTCATTCATTCGCAATCCACTCCTAGGTATAGGCGCCTTGGTTATGTGGGTGCTCTTTCAGGTAAGCATGTATTCCTTCACTCATGATTATCAACTTCAAAGCTAATCATATATAGGCATTCTGGCTCCATCAAGCTTTCCAGCTAGAGTTCATGGGCTTTTCAACCTTCCTCCCGGGCTTATGGTGTGCGGGTCTGGGTTTTTTCCTCGTCAACTCCTGGATTTTGGGTATTATTGTATCTGACGTTGGTGGGAATGCGCTCCTTCAACAAGGAAAAGAAAAGAGGAGGAAAACTGCTTGAGTTAACTACCTGTTAGCTTTAGCATTACAATGTATTATACTGCCTACATACGTTGAACTTTTTCCTGTTACTATCAACAACCTGTACACTATATGATAATTATACTATAATGATAACCAAGTCCATGACAGTAGAGTCTTTGTAACTATCCACACGAGTCATCATCTTCGTTTTGTCTTTCTGTTGAGACAAACGAAAGGACGACACCTTTGCTGGAACTATAGACCTTTATAATCTTAACAATATTCACGATACTAGTCCCACATGCAATAATATTTCCAAGGTTACTAGTAAGCTTGTCACAGTAAAGCGATACCTGTATATAGGTCTGATATTTCTGATTTCTTACGTATATGCTGGCTAATGATTAGCATGAAAAATAAGATGGTTCTTTGCACCCCAGGCTATAGTGGCATTATTTTCACCGCCCGGCGATTGCTAGGCCGCCCTAATCTTAAGGCATCATTATTAACTACCATCTTACCATACCACGCCAGATATCGTGCATACAAGTCATATCTCACATAATATTTTGAACTCTGCAGTATATGTACTGCAGGCAGTAAAGTAGATAGCATGGCACTTGTATACTCTGTTCTAAGTAGATCTTGGAGATGAGGAAGGGAAACTGGAAACGATATAAATTCAGATGAGATAGCACAAAAAAAAAAAAAAAAGCCATTGGAATGGAATACAAACGTCGTTATGAGCCACCACACAACGCCATTAACACGCTCCGAGCATACAGACATAAGGGGTATTGATGCAACGAGGAAATTCAGAAGAAAGGGCTGTAAGAAAAAGGCAAATGACAAAAAGATTGGAAATATCAAAGAATGCCATGGTTTCCTTCATAGATGGCTGAAGAAAGATAAAAAAAAAAAAATCATCGTCATGATTTGGCAGCATCGGATAGAATTTTGTAAGTGTTCGTATTGATGCTCAGTGGCCTGGTGCGAGGATAAATAGCCCCGATAATAACGTTGTTCGCACCATACTGAGTAAAAATACCATCGGCTAATTCGACGAAGTGGGCCGTCGGTCGTACTTGAGCAAGGGTTGCGATAATGTCGGGACTCCAGATGCCTGTGCATTTGTTGTCCACCATTTGAAAGTACGGGTTGAGAACTGCGCAAGGAGAGTCGAGATCGATGAAACGGACTCGAATGTAGGAAAGATCAAGGTACGTGTCCAGACAGCGAACGCCACCAATAACTAGCTTCTCAAATGACTCAATAAACTTCATATTAGTTATGCTCGGCGGCTCCTCCAGTAGTGGAGACAGTAAATCGTCGTCGGCATCCCTGCAGCATGTCTTTACTACAAGATCCACGGATCGAAGTCGAGCATCTTGTGGACGATCGAGGATGGTCGTCCTGGCGGTGCTAAAGAGGCTTGCGCAAACGTATCCAGTGAATGTCAGATGTTCTAACCGAGGTGCGATCTGTCCAAGTAGCCGACATAAATGATGATGCCCGAATTTTGAGCTAAGCCAGTGTGACTGCTCCTTGCTATGAAATCCTTCCAAGCAAATATCCAAATGTACCACGCTTGAGGACAAAGTCGACAATGCCCCGCAGATAGTGTGATAGCCCTCTATTTTTGGTTTCGCATAGGCACAGTGCCACTCTCGTAGCGAAGGTAGAGCTTCCGATATCGTAATCCAATGCCTGTAATCTCGCATGATATTCCACGCCCCACGCATAAAAAGAGTTCTAATATTAGGGAGCTGCTCCAAATGATGATTCCCCGTTAAGCCTGATGTGTCGGCGGCAAAGTGTTTGATTAACGGTGGCTTTTTGCAGTGCCCGGCCTCTAATGTCAATATCCTGGCCTCAGAGAACAGATCTTTCACATGTCGGAATATTTCCTCTAGACTTGCGTTATGGCTTGCTACGTGGAACGTGAAATTGCTCAGGCTACGGCTCCTGTTATCTGAGAGTTCCCAGTCTGGCACCGTCTCCGGTAAAAAGCCAAAAAATCCCGCGTCTTCATTCAAATATCGCCGGATTGGCGGTACCTCGCGGAGATGTGGCGCAACGTTCTTATGGGCTCTATTACCCCAAACCGGTATCCAGTACTCGATATGCCGAACGTGGCATACAAGATGGGGATTGCTTCGAAACCAATCTTCGCACTCGGCCAGGCCGTCTGTCGTCCCTTTAACCTTAACTAAATACAATGTTACGGCTGGATTCCTCGAAAGTCTTGGCATGGTACACTTACTGTGCCTGTATATTCGCTCCTGGACTAAGTCTCTCCACGCGGGTGTTATCAGGGCAAGATTGGAGAGAACCTTCCGCCTGGGGTGTCGAAGAGACCTGATCCAACTGCGAGCGTCTGGTCGTCCGTGAGTCACGAGAGTCGACCCAGACATTCGCTCGCCGAATAGATGATCTATGATAGCCTCGTGGATTTCAATCGGCAAGTCTTTGAACTGTATCCCTAATGAACTTGTGCGAGTCGGAAACCCCGGGCAATCCTCCAAGCCCCCCATTTCAAGGTCCATGCCCGGGGGGCGCTCAAGTGACGCAGTGAGCGAATGTGTTGAGTTGACGACATCCTCCTTATTTTTAAATCTTTCTCTCGGAAGTCTATTTGTCGGTTTAGGGACAGACACCGGGGATGGCAGGAGTATCACGGAGGAGTTTACAGACGCTGGACGGGGTGGAGGAATGGTGGAAATCATGATGCGAGGACGTAAGTATCGAAATGGAGGGTGGAATGTTGTGGGAAACGGCGGTATGATGTGATGGTGTTGATTTTGGCTCTTCCTCGGAAAGGATTAGATCTGGTGATCAACCAACGCACGGATCGGAATGGCAAAAAGCCACGGTTTTATGCGCTGAATGAATGAATGTGAGGACTCACACCCACCTAGCGTGGCCCGACGTGGGGCTGCTGGTGGGCAAGCGTGTCTGGACTGACTGCTCAAGAGGGATAAAGCCGTTTGCATTGGGCGTCAAAGCAGAGTGCTGCGGTGTAGAAGGCGAGGGAAAGGCGATGCGAGTTGGTTGGGTAGAGGCCGACAAGGTGGATGTCGTCGGGGCGGGAGTCAGCACGCTGCAGCAGCCATGACGGTCGAATTGCGTGGATGGCAGAGATGGAATGTCGCGAGAGAGTATCCGTCCAGACAGAAAAGTCAATCAAGGCATGAAGCCATTATTGATCAGGGATGGATCAAGCATGAATGAATCCGAAAGATGGAAGGATCAGTCCGGGAGGTTTCACTTGGCGCTGCCCTGTTGGGTCTAGCCTTTGGCCGCCGCTCGCCATCACGTTACCTGCTCTGCACTCCGAACAATACGACAAACAACATATGATCGCGTTTTTATTGCGGTCATCAGGTATGCTACTCTAAGTTCTTAAAAATAGTGGCCACGCCACTTACCTGCATAAAATTGTAAAACGAAAAAAGAAAGGCAATACCGGGGTATCATGGATTATGAATGTAATTCCTTTGTATCTAGGTAATCTTCCAAGTCAATTCAGATATGTAAAGGGACCGTGGCAACAGAGTGAGGTCTTTTTGGTTTTGGTTTTAATTTTGTTTTTGTTGCATAGTTAGTTATACCTAGGCATGTGCCAAATCACCTAGGTATAATCGAAAAGGAGATGTGTGTCTTTTGGTACGTGGCTTTGGCTATATCGTTGCATAGGAAGCTTGCTCCTTCGGAGCTATTCAATGACGAGAATGACATTTCAAGTACAGACTCCTAAGTAGCTGTACCTAGAATATTTTAGAGCTTTGATGTTATGTGTAGAGCTGCTTTACACAGACAAATATCTTTCAGACACCTAAGTACTAGAAAAAGCCACTCCACCCAACCAGGGTTGCTCTATTACTTCAGAGCCAGTTCTAGCCCTTCTTAATATCGAAGACAAGATCCATATGCGTGCTCAGTTTCTCTTAAATATCGTGCTTAAATATCGTGACTCTAGTAACAGTCTGTGCCATCAGTGATTGTAGGAGGCGGACCGGGCCCAAAGGAGTAGAGTTTCTTATAACACTACCGGTGTCATGGGCAGCAAACCGGACAGACTATAATGCTTTTTCAACCGTCGGCGCCTGTTTAGGATGTCAACAATAAGTTAGACCACCCTGGGCAACCGAATAACCGTTGCCCAACCCAAGTAACCATTGTTTTTTTTTTTTTTTTTTTTTTTCCTTTTCCCTCTAGAAAAGGCCACCCCAGGCGGTTTAAGCTGCCCTTTTTTGTCCAAAGATGGACACTGGCTTCAAAATCGGCATTGAGTTCGAAGTCTTGTTGACACCCAGAGGAAGACACAAGAAGGACTTTGCAGAGTTGGAAGGGTTTGCTCAATTTATCGTGGATCGTTGCAATGATGTTCCAAACCCTGCACCCCGAGCACACAATGATGTTGACGGGGTCTATGAAGGCCCAAATCAAACTTCTGAGTGGTCCATCACGGATGATGCGACCATCAAGCCAGATAGAGATGATCAATGTACGTTGCATTACTTTTCCCTGTTCTTTGTCAGTCTATCAACTCTAGCCAGCGCCCCTAGAAATCGTGTCTCCGATCCTGACATACCAAGAGCAAAGCAACTGGCGCGATGAAGCTCGTCAGATGTTTAGAACTGTTAAACAAATCTGCAAAATCGAGTGCAACCAATCGTGTGCCGTCCACGTCCATATATCTCCTCCGTCAAACTCCCCCTGGAGCGTTGATACGTTGAAATCAATCTGTCGAAGTATCTTCTACTTTGAGGGGGCTATCGAAGCCTTGGTTCCAGGACATCGACGAGGCAATATCTATACGGCGAACAACCGTCGTGACAACTCAAAACTCATGTCGAAGCCCTTATCAACCTGCTTGGACCTTCTCAGCAAGTGCCAGATTCCGTCGAAATTGCAGATTTAATGAACGAAGACGGGAAGAGATATTATTCCTGGAACTTCACGAATTTGTACCACGGTGGGAAAGCGACTGTCGAGTTTAGGCAAGCACCATGCGCAGTTAATGAAACATCGTGTCTCCCATGGGTAGAACTTGTTGTCACTTTCGTTCACGCCTCCAAGGTGACATCCTCTTTTCAGGATCTCCGTCGATATTCGCGAGATATCCAGGGAATGCGCAGATTCATTACGAGTCACCAGCCGTCCGGCTACAAGCGTGCCGTTTTAGCACAGCTTTTTACTGGAAAATACGGTTATGTTGTCCCCAAGCCGCTTGGGACCCCGACAGCCGAAGAACAGGTGAATCGAGATGCAAAACAGGCCAAGGAAAGTGGTTTTATGAAAAAACTAGAATACTTCCAGTCGGAGTAAAGGGCCTCCCCTAAACATAGACTCTAGAGAAAACAATGCATCGATGTCGTCACAAGATTTTGTGAATTAAGTAGAAACGCATTAGATTGTCTAATATCCTTGTCAGCGACTATGTGTACATTAAGAAGTGAAATTGTTTTCTCTTCTTCTGTCATGTATGCAGATGGCGACTCCCTTCATGATGGTGGACTGGGTTCCTGCTCCATTAACCAGTCCTTTAAGTCGAAACTTCCTTCTCGCAATTCTCCAGGTTCCCCATTCCACATGAAAGTAAAACCCGCAACAGTTTTCTCAATGCCAGTAACATTATCACGGATTTCAATCAAGCAAGACTCTAAAAGGTATTTATCGGTCTCGTAGGCCTGGAGTAGATCACATTGTTTCTGTGATACGATATTGCATGCCATTCCGTCAACTGAATGAAGTGGTGGACCATCAAGAAGGGCAGGGTACGGGCCCCAAAGCTTGATGTGATAGCCTATCACTCTAGCATGATGCAGCTCAGGGGGCTCTCGTAGTTCTAAGACATTTGTAATCGTGCCCGGATCCATCAGACTGCCGTAGAAGAAGAAAAATGATTCCCGAAAAGGTTCTCTAAACCAGGACGATGAATCAGGATCATCAGGAGCTGTTTCATGCTGCGTTGAAGCATTTACCTTGGAAGCATCCTCGAGGAATTTACGAACCATGCGGGACGGTGGGTCCAGGGTTCGTCGCTTTTCGCTCATTGCTGCAACCATGCAATCAAGTAGATGTGCAGTATCAAGGGTGTATGAGGAATGGTGTGTGCAGGGTGGTTAGAAGAGAAAGTTGGTTGGTATGTATGTACGCCAGTCTAGCAGGCGGTCAAAGGCGGCAGTGATTGATTGCACTATGACGTCTTTGCTCAAAAAGTCTTCGTTTGCGTTTATTCAGGAGCACCTTTTTTTCTGTGTCAAACCTTTCCCCTGGAGATCGTCTTCGAAGAATTATTGACCATGATTGAGGCGTGGCCCCTTCTCGCTGGGGCGCTTGAACCTCTGACTCAAGCTGTCAGACAGACAGGCAGGCAGGCAGATAGATAATAAGCGCAGCGCAGACTTAGAGAAATATTTGACTATAACCCCGATTCTTAACTAAAGAGAATGTTCAAGCGGTCATTTGAGGCCATGTTTATAAGCAGAATACGGGTCAACTAAGAGCCTATTCTGGCCAATTAGGTGCACCCCCGAGAAATACCGTGTTGGTAGTGGATTATGTACATGCTGTATTCGGAATAGCGGTCATAATCCGCTGTTATGGCAAATTTGATTCAGTTGCTTTCACCATATATCGAAGGCGGCATATTAGTGAAACAATAATTTAACGTTGCAACCAGTCGTACATCAAGTACCCTGGATGCTAGATGTCTGGAGTTAAAGGGGGGTACTCGCAGTGACGGAATATAGAAGTCTGGGAAGTTGAGAGAGCAACAGACGGTTTCCATGACGTTCTTCGAAAATGACACGAAATAATTGCAGGTGACTTCATAGAGGAGTTTATCAAAGGTCATACTCGTAATATCACTTATAATCTATGACCATGGAAGACTTTATTTATTTCGGTCAGCTGTACTGTGTTCAAGGATGTGTATTGAATGACATAAATACAACTCATCTAAGATCGATGATATGAGTCCAGATAGTTTTATGACTACCGTCTTTTCCTGCGGAATTTAAATCGAAGCTCTTCATCATCGCTACAGTCTTCTCCTTTGTCGGCTTTAGCACGTGTTTCCCTTCTTCTCTTCTGACCAATGCTTTGGCTAGGCTGTGCTGTCAACGTTGCTGAAGCACGCGAGACATCGGACTGGGCACGATTGATTGAAATCGATGCGGCTGGCGGCTCCTCCGAGATAGCGAGAGAAGAAACTTGACTTCCCGCGCGGCTGGCAGATTTTCGAATACTCTGTTGCTGGCTCGTGCGCCTGAAAATGGGCTCGGGGCTCTCCTCTCGCTCATTGCTGGCCCAGTAGTGATCGCCAATTCCGTATTCTTTGCGCTTGACCTCGTCCAAGGGTACAATAACGGCTTGGATGCGAGATCTTGCGCCGGACAAATCGCCTTTTCTTCGGAATTTCTTGAAGTTCTTGCGCCCGTTCCAGCGCTCATCCCACCTTTCAGATTCTTCAATTGCAACGGGTTCTTTCGCTCGAACAGGTACCTCGAAATTTTCAACAATAACAAGTTTTTTCATATCCTCAATAGTCATACCATCAATAGCCTCTTGGACGCTAAGTTCAACAGCTTGTCTTCGCTCCTGCGCAGCAGCCTCTTCTTCTTCGCGATGCCTACGAGCTGCTGCGATTACATCAACTTTTTGCCGCTTCGGCTTCGGGGCGTCCTCCTTTGCTACCTCTTCGCGGAACGAGCGTGAGTCCTCTCCACGGCGACGCTTCATTGCACTGGCTCCCGGGAGAAGACTAGCCATATCATCTTCTTCCTCCCCCTCCTCTTCTTCTTCTCTAATCGCGGGTTCTGGCTGTCTCTTCAAAACCTTTGTTTTATTTCCTGGCGATGTCTCAGATACATCGCTGACATCTGTATGATGCATAGGGATTTCCTCCATGTCAAATCCGTCATCAAAGTTCTTCATTCTACTCACAAATGGACGGCTTTGTGATCGAGCCGACCTTTTAATCTGTGTCTGTGTCTGTGACTGTTCTGGAAGGGTGGTCTCATCCTGTTGGGTGGAAACAGCTTGAGATGCATTGGCTTCAAACGCTGAAATATTTCCCGCCACATGTTCCTGGACTTCCTGGACTTTCTCTTGATTCGAATGTTCATGACTATTGGCGGTTTCATCGCGAGGTAGCGGGCGACACAACGAAGTGGCATCATTGTTCAGAATTGCATCGAGAAACTCACTTTGTTCAATGACACGCTGATCCATCTGAACAGCAACCTGATTGCCCAGCTCTATAGACCAATCCTCATAGCCCTTGGCTCGAAATCGTACTAATACAACCCCGCCTTCGCGACTTCGCTGAGTGTCGTACCTCTTTTCACCGTCAGCGTTCCGCATGAAACGTAGTAATTCGTCTGCACTGGTCTCGCCATGTTGTACTTTATATAGCAGAGATTTCCCATGTCCGTTGTTGATTGGATTTGATAAATTTTCGAATTGACTAGTATCACAAAAGACGAACGTATACCCCTCGAAGACCCTAGTGCGATCCGGATTTGGCGCAAAGGCTTCGGACGGTCGGTGAACAGGTTCTTTGCCAGCTGGGGGTAAATGCAGGGTAGGATCAGGCCAATTTGCATCAAAATCTATTTCCAGGGGTGACAAGGACTCCGTAGTTTCGAGGTCACCTGGAGTGGCAGCATAGACCAATGCATCAAGATATGAGTCTTTAACGATATACTTTGCATTCACCAGAGCTTGTAACCCCTTTGCTGTATTTCTCTTGTTTTGAACAACATGTGTAGTCTTTTCGACGTAGGGTATAATGGTCTTGATATCGAGCTCTTCCAGGCGATTTCGCACGGGACCGAGTGGATCTTTCGCTTTAAGCTCCTTGGTCGAAAAGGAAAAGCTGAGAACCGTCGGTTGCCATTTAATTCTAAACGGTGAAATAAAGAAGTCAACAATGGGCGAAAAGAACTGTTGGTGTGGTATCAATGCCTGCCCTACCGAAGTGCCGGTGGATAGCGTCCTAGCTGCAATGTATGTTCATTCTCCGTCAAAACTGAATCTGCGCCTTTGATCACAACGCCGTCCAAAGTCGTTCCGCATTTTGAGCCTTGATCGGTAACTGTGAGCTTGGACTTTGTGTGCACGTGGGCCTGTATCGGATTAGGGAAAGCGGATGGATTATCTCGTGCATGGGAGGACGTACTCCATCACCAGGTTGCACTGGCGAGACCTCAATCACCAGATGTTTCCTCGATATGGACTGATGCTGAATGACATGACGGACTGGCGGCAAATTAGCAGAGTTGTAGATTGATTGATAAAACATTCATATGGTCGCTCAGCTTACTCCCATCCTGTTTGATCCTCCCGAAGAGGTATTTCTTCCCCGGCTTCAGCCAGACACGTTTACCTGTCAGCCACGTTAAAAACCGTTCCATCTGTCAACGCTCGGGACATACCTCCGAGCAAGTCCCCATCCGACTCAAGTATCCACATCGTGGGAAAGCACCGGAATAGCTGGCCGATGAACGAGCTGGCGTGGATATCTTTGCGAAAGCAGTAGGCTTGCAGCACCGCCTCATGACGCGTGATCACATGACCAGGCGCGCCCCTTAGTGATTACAGCTTGCCCTAAGCCAATTACGGGATAGGCTATCATTTGTCAATATGTCCTTATCGGTTACAGATCGCTAAGTAGTTGCAAAAGTCTCGTATTAGTTTCCAAAAAAAAGTTTTTCTATTTGATTAGCTCATTAGCAGATGCCAGAAAGTCTAACCTAATTCAACAATTCTAGTTAATTCAACCAGTGTTGAACTTTTCAACTTATAAATAGTACTCATTTCCAAAGAAAAGTCCACCATTTCCACTTGCTCCCCTCGCTCTCGGGCTCCTTTTCCTCTTCTTCCGCAATGGTCAGAAAATGCTCGATTGGAATCTTCTCCAACGAAATAACTTTCGATTGCCTGATGAGCTTATAACCAAAGTACAGGATGAAGAACAGGGGAATGTTGAGGTAAGTAGACACAAAAGTCTGATTGTCCCAGCTATATGCAAAAGTTCAGGTCAGTACACACCATATGATTCTGTCAAAGAGGGGGGAAGTAGTAGCATTGGACGAGAAGAAGCGCAAACGTACTGCCCATGAATAAATGTAGAGAATCCGCCAGTCAAGAGTAGAATAACGAACAAGCCGATAGACCACCAGGACATATAGGGTTGAAAAGGTGCAGTCCATGGGAGCCGCCGTCGGTCAATCCCCTGCTTGCGACAACCATAGTAGAACCGCAGATACGTGATGGTGATAACCATCCAATTGACCAAGGTGGATATCGACACCAGAGTTTTAAGCCACGAGAAGACGGTTTCGGCTGTGCTCGAGAGAGACATATACCCCAGTGCCATAAACATGCCGTAAAAGAGCACGGACAGATAGGGAATACCGAAGCGGTTTATCCTGGTAAACAGCTGCGGAGCGCGTCCCTCGAGTGCCATAGCGTAAAGAATGCGAGAACCCCAGAGCAAACTTGAGTTACCCGCCGACCATGCCGAAGTAAGCACCACGGCGTTGACTATGGAGGGAATGGCAGGGATGCCAGCTCGTTTGGCGGCGATGACAAACGGTGATTCGGATGCGTTGCCACTTCCAAGCAAAAGATCAGAATCATCGGATGGAACAATGAGGCCAACGAAGAAAACGGTGATGACTATATGCGTGTTAGAATTAGAGCTACTAACGGAGACGCGAAGGAAGACGTGCCGTAGAAAATGAGAATCTTCCAAAATACCCTCTTGGCCGCAATAGGGATGGATGTTCGTGGAGATCGGGTCTCGCCAGCGGTGAGCGTGATGTTCTCAATTCCTGAATAGGCATACAAAGAATTATCGAGCACCTTCCAGAATCCCAGGAATCTTCCAAGAGAACCTCCGATACCGAGGTACTGCACGAATGGACCAGGATTTTTCCAATATTTGAAACCGATCACTTCATGATTCGGTCCGCCACCACATGTAATAACCAGAGACTAGCAGAGGAAAGGAGAGGAAAATGAGCATATATCCATGTGATATATCCTGGGTAGGTGATCTAGGTCAAGTTTCGAGACTTTGGGGCATACCATGAGATTGACACCAATGACAAGAGCAATTTTGAGTATAGAAAAGCCATACTCAAGTTCTCCATAGATACGGATGAAGACTAACGTTGTCGCAAGCATTAGTGCTCCGAATACGGTGATCCAGACAGCGCTGTTAACATCTGTCCAGAATTTCACAAGCACAGCGAGAGCCGAGAGCTCCGAGGGAACAGAAACGATGTGCGCATATACTTCATTCCACCCGATAGCGAAACAGAGGGCTGGATCGACGAAGTGCTCCGCAAAACGAATGATACCGCCATTCAGAGGTACAAGAGCGCTCATCTCGGCTCCAGCCAGGACGACACTGATGGCTGCGGTACCGATGATGGAATAGCCGAGTAAGGCTCCCAGAGGACCTCCGTGGGCAATTGATTGTCCTGACGAAAGAAAGAGGCCTGTTCCCAAGGTCCCGGCAAGAGCAATCATCTGCACATGCCGCTGGTGAAGTCCCTGCTTAAGGTCTTTGACTTCTCCAAACTCCGCAGACAACCCTTTCGTGCCACTTGATGTGCTGACCACCCCTTTCTCTAAAATGTCCAGGGGTGATTGCGCCACGTCGTTGCCGATGGGTTCAGACATACTGTTGGTGTCGTTAAGTCAAGATCGCAAGTCCTGGGCATTCTCACTTCGGTCAGATATACCTGGCTGAGCCATTTTATACCGTGTTATCCATCCTTTGCGCGCGATATCAAGTCGACGTATCAATTGGAACTAGCAAGGACTGATAAAGCATATCTTAGCATTGTCCTAATCGATGAGATTTGTGGGGTCCCGTTAGTGCAGCATGAACGTTAAATTTAACTTACAAGTAGCGGCTCCCAAGGTTTTATCTCAGCATTATACGGATTCGGTTAGCCCTATCTTCTCTCGTAATTTCAATACACCCAGTTAATTTTAAGGTTCAGCATTATACAAATGCGCATTAGCCAAATACAGACCGGAATGCTTGTTCCCGACCTGCCTCGATCTATTAAAGCTTCCTTTTTGGCCCAAACGTCGGTGGAAAAGGCAAAAGACTGCCTTTCCAACTGCCAGCATGCTATCGAAACGAGGCGTCAAAAGCGCTGCTAGCCAAGATATCCCCTGGCGCTTCGCACCGGGCGGAGGTAACAGATACGATCCTCTGTCAAACCCCAGTGGAATTATCTCCTTCGCGACGGCCGAAAATGTGAGCAGTGACGATACATGATGCTTCTCATGCATAACTGACCTGTTCAGAGCTTGATGCACAAGGATCTTCATGAATATGTTGACAGGAATGTACGGTTTTAGCCCTTGGCTTTTGGGATATCTTGTCCGACGCTCACACTTGACGAAAAGGCAGTTATTCCAGAACTGGCCTTTGCCTACCGTTTCAGCACGATGGGGGGACCTCGCTTTCCCGTGGCCATGGCGAGGCACCTCAATGAGTACTTCAAGCCATTCTCTCCCGTGGAGGCAGATCAAATCATCACCGCGTCAGGCTTGACGGCCATCCACGAATTAGTCGGCTACAGCTTGGCTGACCCAGGTGAAGGTATCCTCGTCAGTCGCCCTGTGTATGGTCGTTTTGAGCTCGACTTCGGCAATACCAATGGTCTGAAGATTGTTTACGCCGACATGCACGGCACTGATCCGTTTTCCGCAGAGGCTGTAATCAAATATCAGGAGGCCTTTGAGAAGTCAGCGCGGGAAGGAGTGACTATCAGAGCTGTGCTGATTGTGAACCCTCACAATCCTTTGGGTTAGGCTATTCATTTCAGTGTCACATAGAGTGAGACATGTGAAACTAACCTTGACTATAGGGCGCTGCTACTCGCCCGAGGCGTTGAAGGCTTTGACATCTTTCTGCCAGAAGGCACGTATCCACCTAATCAGTGACGAGGTTTACGGCCTCTCGGTATATGATAAAGACCCAAAGCACGGGTATGATTTCACCTCAGTGCTATCAATTGACACTCGCGGTCTCATTGATGAGGATCGAATTCATATCTTCTATGGTCTAAGCAAGGTTGGTCCAACACGAACACGGGCCCCTGGGGCTAATTGACACTCTGTCCCTTCTGACCAATCTAGGATTTCGCCGCCGCCGGTCTACGACTCGGTTGTCTCGTTACCCGTTCCAAGCTTTTACGCAAGGCAGTCGGATGTAACATGCGATTCCATAACCCTTCCGGAATGTCCGTAGCGATTGCAACCGGGATACTAGAAGATAGAAAGTTCGTGTCGTGGTTTGTGGATTTGTCACGCCAAAGGCTCAGAGACACTCGAGATTATACAATGCAGATGTTGGATAGTGCTGGAGTCAAATATCAAAAACCGTACGCCAATAGCCCACCGAACCCGAAACAAATCATGGAAATAAACTGAAAAATATGGTCAACCAGGAACGCTGGATTTTTCCTCTTGATTGACCTCAGTCCATGGCTTGAGGAGTCGAACAGCAGCAATGGGCATAACCGGGAATTCATTCTAGCCCAGAAAATGCTGGATGCTGGTGTGGGGTTGCATCCTGGCGAGGAGCATGCTGAAGAAGAAGGCCAATTCCGACTAGTTTTCACCCAAGAAAGGCATACTCTAGCAGAAGGCCTGCGACGGTAAGTGATGTTTTGGATTTCGAGTCGACGAAATTGTCGTTAATTTGGAAATAGTCTGATTAGTGTCCTGGCCGATATTCAACTTGACCGAAAGAGAGACGATACATCTCTACATACAGCCCAAACCAGAATTAGTCTTGCGTTAAACGGTGACAGCCTGAGTAGTGTGAGGACTGGGATGATGGTATCATAGAGATCAAGCCACAAAGCCTGTTTTCCACAGTGGTTTAGATGTTGGTGGAAATCGACATATATAGAGGATCACGTATATGCCACGTGAAAGGGCAGGGAAAGAGGGGTGATAGAATCTTATGTGTATTATAATATCTCACTTTCGGTCCTGTAACTTCATAAGAGTCTCAGAAGGTATCTCAACTGCCAGAGAAAAGAAGGGATTGCATATGTTCTGAGTCTTCAACTCCAGTCAAAGCCATTTTCATTCTCCATAATACATCGGAGAATGCTCCAGCGGTTCTTTACCAGTGCCGGGAGGCCCGTTAGGAATATATGAAGGTCCAAGCTTGTTTTAATGTTATGATTGTCGCATATTAGTCTCAGCAGGTGGCTGAAACGATTTTGATGTTCCTCGACTGCTGCACTGGTAGCCCCTATTAGGACGATCCAAAGGACTTCGGCCGGGAAAAAAAGCACCATCCTTTCTATGTCTGCTGCATCGAGAGCTCGACGGAGACGAGCTATTAGCCTTTCCCGAATTCTTCCGCCGACTGGTGTTTCCCGTAGGTTTGTGTATATGAAAAGTAGTCCAGCATGTAGAATAAGAACCCCAAGCTTGGCCTTGACGTCTGTGCTAGCTATAATGTTGTCATCAAAGAGAGACGTTACTATCCGATGTTCCACATGGTACACACGGTCGGGATAAGCAACTTCCCATGGAAGCTTGTGGGTGCCGATGATATTGAGAAAAGTAGAAAGTTCGTGAAGAGAAAGGAGTAATTCGGAAACATAGACTTCATTCTTCAGTGTTATAATGTCGTCAAGATCCGGATTAGTATGAATGAGGAACTCCGCATGAGAGGCCGAAGGGGCAAAGTTTGAGAGATGAGCCATCTGATTCTCAAGGCGCAATGGAAACCGAACCGGTCTCTCAGAGCTCGAGCTATTTAGTAGATCTGACCTGTGATCGCGAGAATTAGAGCCAGGAGATGCGTTGGCGCATATCGTCTTACCATAAAACTAAACGGCGCAGGACACCTCGCATACCAAGATGGTCAGGGCCCCCTCGCAATTCAACCATGCGTTGCAGGCCTTGAATATGGACAGCTGCATGCGAAGCAATTCCACAGAGATTCTAGACGAGACCAAGGTCAACACGTAGAGCAGAAATGGCACTTGCCCGGGGCTCAAACTCACTTCTATATTCGCGAGGCAAGCCACCGTGGCAACGGTTGAGTCATGGATTGCATTTGGCGATCGCGCAATGCTTTCATTTACCGCGGATATTGACTGTAGAAGGTACCGGATATGCTCGGATGGGTGGGATCCCACCGCCACCGCGAAGCGCTTTGATGCGTAAAACATGTTCATGAAAAGCCATGCAGGATCTTTGCTACATACTTTTCTATAGACGTCGAACTGATCTGCATGCACGGAAGTGCGAATAGCAGACGACGCGTCTGGAGTTAGGGACGATGAGTCAGTCAGTACTATCCAGCAGCATATGTATGAGCGAGACTCACTCCGGTGCAATAGCATGAGGTCGCGCCGTGTCAGATGGACAGGCAGGCTCTGGAAGGGGTCTAACTCCCCATCGAGGCAGGTAGTCAATGTCAGGGAAGTGGCTTCGACGTCTGCCTCCTCGGGTCTTCTTCGCGATGCGAGTCGCTGCTGCTGCTTGTATCTACGCATGACGTGCGCTCTGACGGCCTTGTTCGTCGCATGGACATCTTTCTTGGTATTGCCGCAGACACGAACAAAACATAGTTCACGACGCTCCATCTTTAGCAGATTCCAAGGGGCGAGGGCTATCTTCGTTGATTGACGGGAAGGCCGTCGCTGAACCGCTGACTAAGGGGGGTACTAAGTTAAGTTACGGATCCATAACAACATTGTCTGCCAATAATTAATTCTCTTTATCTACAGGTAGACGAGTGAGTTTCTTTCGAGGGGAAAAAGGGAGGGCAACGAGAGAGAAGTAAAAGGAGCAAATCACAAATGAAAAGTAGCAGTCACGATCGCATAAAGACAAAAACGTAGTTAGGAGTCCGAGATTATTTCAAATTCACGTGTTGCCTGGCGGCGCTAACCGTGTTTGGGGAGATGTTTTGTCAACCCTCAAAAAGATCAATCGACTCGCCTCCTTACTCACCCCGCTGCTACTCTTCACACCAGCAGCAAGAGGGACTTCGTATAGGGGGCTTCCCAAAGCTTTACATAGTGCGAGCCCGTCATGCTGGCATTATTTTTCATGCTCTCTCCATGCCATAATGCGCGATCAGTTTCGCCGCTCTCCTGTCACCCGACCCGCCATGCCTACTCCGTCCGCGAATTCTGAGAAACAAAACAATGGCATTCATGCCAAACCCTTCACGCCTAGTCTGAGTGCCGCCTTTAGGACCACCGCAAAATCCTCCCTGCCATTGACCCCTCGTCTTGCGCACGTCGGCGGTTACCAGACTCCAAAGAAGTCAAATGCCTCCGACACCGCCTCCCCTCTACCGCTCCCCCGGGAGGATGCCACGACTCCGGACTCAACGTATCTCGGCACCAATATAACACCCCGTTCTGGCCCTCGAGTCAGTCGTCGAGATGGCAATGCCCCATCTCCAGAAACAACGCCCGCAGCAATGTACTCTGGGTCACAGATTTCCCGTCCTACACTCCCAGTTAGTACCGGCTATGCTCGCCCTGAAAGGAGCCCCGTTCGCGGTAACCCGAGATCAGAAGCAGCCAAGTCAACAACCTCTAAAGGAACTGCCGCTGACGGCTTGGGACTCAGGGCATCATCCCGCCCTCAGTCATCTTCTGAAAGTTTGGGACTCAGCTCCTCGAAGTTCTTCCACGCCGACGACGCTCATTCCTCTGTCGGGTCTTACGAAGCAGAGCCACGACCCCGTACACATTCGAAACCAGCACAAACATCCACATTCCTCTATGCTGACGGCTCTCACGATAGGGATAGTCGCTCTGATGACGCGAACAAGATTGCCCCATCAAAGCGGCGCTCTACAGGGTCTTCTCGGCATCCCGTAGGCGCTAAAAGCCCGCCGGTGCTCTCACCAAGATTACGGGCTGCGCAGCTTGTAGATTACAATTCTCGATCTTCTTCGGAAGGGGGTCTTCAGCCGAGCCCTCATATTGAAGAGACCTTTACGCATAATACATCGGTATCCCATGATAATTCCTCGCCCGGGCCAACCCCGTCCCCTAAGCTTCCATCACTTCCAAGCCACAGAAAGTCATGCAGTGTTGACTCTACGACAAATATACCTTCGCCTCATGTGACATCTCGCCGTGTCACTCCGATTTCTTCCTCTCCTTTTCTACCCGAAGCATTGAGCAGTCCCCCTAACTCACTACCTCATAGCCCTCACATTCCGCCAAACCCCCTCATCCAACTGACTGACCACCGGGATGCACCATTGACTGTACCTCAAAGTCCAATTAAGCTAGAGGGGCCAAATGCATTTGGGGATGGGGCTGTCAATGCTCGTACAGAACGGAAGGTCTTAGACCTTGAAATTAGCAATTCCTCTCTATTGGCCATTAATCGCACGCTTGAACGTGAACTACGAAAACAAAATGCAGAGTTACGCAGATTTCGACGTCTTAGCCGTTCCGGTCGTTTATCGATCACAACCTCTGTCCGGTCTACATCTGGGGCTGGACTGTCCGTAGTCAGCGAGAATGAAGATGTTAGTGAGCTTTCTTCCATATATTCAAACGACGAATTATCCGAAGAAAGTGACCAGGACTCGTTCGCGGACGATGGTACGATCAGTCCAAACAGTCTCGCGGAAAATGACCCCCGCCACCGCGTTGATGACGAAAAGCGATTCATGCTCGATCTCGCCAAGCACCAAGAATTGCTCATTGACAGCCAAAAGCTCAATCAAAGTCTAAAGAGATGCATTGGGTGGACCGAAGAACTGATTAAAGAGGGCAAAAAGGCTCTTGAATACAATGTCCACGTCAATGATATAGAAATCGGCGGACGTGTCCTAGCCCCCGATGAGCTGGAAGAAGAGCTGGGCAGGGGCCGCGGTCTGTTGAGTCCTGCAGCTGAAGTCAAAGAAGATTTCAATTTCGACCTTACATCAGAAGCTGTTGACATGGATTTATAACCAAAGTAATAGAAAGCCCGAGGCAGGGTCTCGGCCCTTTTTTCTTTCTGCACTTCCTCGTTTTATAATACAACTTGCATCATTTTCAACAACAATCGCGCTGAATATTTTTTTTTTCTTTTGTTCGGTTCCAAGCAAGCTTTTTTCCCTCGGCATTTATCCTATCTATTTTCTTTTTCCCTGTGTTTCTGATTCGGTCATTCATTCATCCATCCATTCATTGTTTTGCTTCCAATGGTGTTTAGGTCTGTTTTCTGTCTGATAACCATGTGATACCACAACTTCTGCGCAACAATCCTCGCCACTCTTACACTATATTCGGTCATTCTCATTGTCAGTTTTGTTTGTATGATGATACCCCCCCCCCAAATAGGCATGATGCAGAAAAAGAGAGGGGAAAAAACGTGCCTGCTCTATTATCTTTTACCTAGGTATTAAGTGAAGCCAATGAAACCAATTGGAAACGCTCAATGTCATGAATTCATTATATTTCTATATATACGCGTAGAAGTAAGGACGTATGAGCCATACACGGTGCGAAATTTCTGAATTGGGATGGGTATCAAAGGCAGTCGTGCAATATAAATAATAGTAAAAGACACATCTCAGCGGAACTGATTAGCGACCATCTAAGAGAAAAACAACTTTCTCTGTCGCGATGTTGTGTCGGTGCTCATCTTCCTCTTTCGCGTAGATTGATCACTGGCACTCAAGGGGTTCAAGTCAGTTTTTAGTCTCGAGGAGCGCTCCGCTGCCGACGGTGTGGACGACGAGGAAGTCTTGACAGCTTCCATGATTGTGTCCTTGGACAAACAATAATCAACGTGTTCATTGAACCTTTTGTCATCAGCTGCTTGTGGCCGGGAACAGATTGGACAGGTCCAATGTTGCACGGCTATTGCATCGGGGCGAGACACCCATGCTGGTTGTGGTTCTGGTTCTAGTTCCAGTGTTGGTGTGTTGGATTCTTCTGTGATAGTAGCAGGAAAGACCTGTTCTGGCTTGTCGGTATATTCCTGGCTGAGGATTTCAAGCTCTTCCATATCTTCTTGTCTTTCCTGTCGTGCAGCATTTTCAAATTCCTGCTCCGTGCTAGATTGCGCTTCGTGCGTATCATTTTGTGGGCCGGGTTCATTGGGAGATTCACCATGGACAAAATTTCCAGAAGGTGTGATATTAGAGGGGTTTGGTGTAGTAGTAGCCTGAAATCCGAAGAAATCAAGGCCGATTTTCTTCGTACTGACAAGGTGCGTACATCTCAATCCAAGTAATCGCAACCTCATGTTTGGGATTTCCTTCTGCAATCTTGTCAAAATTGGCAATGCGTAGGCGTATAAATCATCGGCAAGATAGACGGCTTTCGGAGGCGCAACTTGTCTAGTGTACACTTCGAATGTATGTAATTTGATTTTCAGCACCAAGGTCCGTCCCTTAAATTGTGTCCGGGCAAGATCTTTTTCAAGCTCGTCTGCTGCCCATCGAAGTTTACCACGTATAGCATCCGGATCACTTATTTCTGAAAATGTGCTTTCAGTGCCTACGCTTTTGCGCTCGTAATCCTCTGCTGGCTGAATCTTTGTCCGGCCCAGACCAAGATAACACTGCATTAGGAATTGGAAAGCTTTGTCCCCAAACAGTTTCTTCAGCAGTGCTCGTTGCGAATAGATGTCGCCGCATGTTTCAATTCCGATTGCTTTCAGCTCGCGTTCAAAGACTCGGCCGATACCGTTGACTTTACGAACCGGGAGATCTTTGACAAAGGACATGATTGCTTCACGCTCATTTGGTATGTAAAATTGCCCGTTTGGCTTGTTCTGGTTGGAGGCGATTTTCGCAAGTTTGGCGTTGGCCGCGATGCCAGCTGATACCGTGATTTTGGTATCCTCAAAGATTCTTGCGCGCATCTGTTGAACCGCTTCTCGCGGATCCATGTTATTCTCGTCACAGTAAGCTGTGATGTTGAGATAGGCCTCGTCAACCGAGGCAGTTTCAAAGCAAGGGTCATACTCGACAAAAATCGCGCGGATTTCTTCTGCTTTGGCACTATACTTCTCGTGGTTTTGGGGGATGCATATCAAATCAGGACATAGTTTCTTCGCTACAAAGCTAGCCATCCCGCTGCGACAGCCGAACTTACGCGCAAGATAGTTGCATGTTGTCAAGACCCCTTTGCCCACTGCCATGGGCACATGTTTAAGTTCGGGCCGATCCAGTTCCTCGACCGCGGCAAAAAACGCATCGCAGTCCACATGAACCACGGTTTGAGAAAGGTCTCGAGTGAGCTCAAACTCAGCGATACATTCATCTGCACGTCGAAGGTCTGCCGACAAGTCGAGACGCTCTAAACGAGCCTTGCGGGCTAGGATTTGCTCAATTTTCTCAGTAAGAATCTTGTCCCTAGCTTCTTCATGGTTGAAGAACTTTGAGCCTTTGGAAGCATTGTAAATTATTTCTGAAACCTGTGTTTGGCGACTCGTTTAGCGTTGACTGTGTATTGAGAGTGCAGGGCAGGCAGCGCTTACTTTGCGTTGGTCAACCGCGTCCTGTCCCGCTTTCAGCAGCGACGGGCCTAGCAATGAATATTTCAGAGTTTTATGTTCTTGAGAAGATGGAGCTGGAACTTGAGAATCTGTATTCTTCTCTCCATCGTTTTCCATGGCTTTTCATCGCGTTTAGCTCTTAAAGAAGGTAGATAAATCGGATTCTTAGCAAATAATTGTCAAGGACGTGAACGACGGATGCCTATCATCAGCTAGCACCGTTTAGGCTTAGTGTCAACCACTAGTACTTTTGATTAGAGACGCGTATTTTCAATACCTCCATCGAACTATCGTAATAATACCATAAAGACACCTATTGCTCCAAATTCAATCCTATATTGTTCATCGCAAATAACCATCCAGCATAAGCATTTTATGGAAGAGTAGTTGTTGGCAGAGAAGTGAAACCTTCAGTGCGAAGTGTCAAAAATGCAAGGCGCTTTTTCATGATGGCATAATCTCGGTTGCACGTTGTTTTAACTTTCGAGCATCTTATGCATCCAAATCCTCGAATACAGACAGCACTCTCCATGATTTACTTATGCTTAGGCAAAATCTTCTCCTGTTCCAGCTCATCCAGAGCCGCCGCAAGCGCATCCCACGTATCAACCGACCCGTGATATCCAAACTTTCTCGCCTTATTCATATTAATAACAAGATCATAGCTCCGGCCCAAAACAAAGTTCAAAAACGACCATGTAGCTTTCTCAAATGCACCTTTCTCCAAGCCTTCTCGACTAGCAAGCCGATCCCATGCATTTTTCACTTCGGCCCGTTTGGTCCACCATTCAGCCAAGTCAATGTGTGCGCGGACTTCGCCGCGAGGAACGTGCCCGGAGATTCCCATGCTCGTTGCTTGATTCAGCAGCGGCGGATTCTCTATGAGAGGGGTCACCATCCCCTTGCTCGATGACGAAGAGAACTGATCTGCAGGAATTTTCACACCGAATCGCTCGGCTAGGCGTGGCCAGAGAGTTTGCCATGACTGTATATCGCCGTTTACGACGTTGAAGGCCTGGTTGCCTGCACGCGGCTCCCTGGCTGCCCACAACACAAAGTCGGCGTGCAGCGATGAAGCAGTGAAAGCGTCAAATCCCGTATAGAAGGAGGGCGAGCCGGGGAAGATGAAGGGCTCGTTGAGTTCTTTGGTGATGCTGGCGTAGAGGCCGATTGCAGTGGTGAGATTCATAAAGTTTCCTGCCATTGGTCAGTATAATAAACAAGAAGGATGCAACAGAGAGAGAAAAATACCTTTGGCAACACCAATAACATCATTCGGATACGTCACAACCCAATCCCACTTCTTCCCACGCTGTTCCTCCCTCAAAATCCTCTGCTGCGCATAATAAAAATTTGACGGTCTGCCCGCTTTGTGATCTTCTTCAATCCACGGGTCATCCTCCTCCATGGGCAATTTCACAGGCCCCAAATGTACTCCATAGTGCTTTGCACCTGTAGCCAGGATGACTCTCTTCAAATTTTTGTCGCCGCCGGTTATGTGTAATGCTTGCAAGAAATTTCGCAGCAACGCGGCATTCACGCGTGTTGCTTCGGCTTCGTCGTCGCGCGCGATATAGGCGTTGAAGAAGATGTAGTCGACGCCGCCGGAGGTGATTGTGTCCTTGAGGCTGCTCTGAAGAAAGTTGTTGGCAAGCGCATTCGCGTCCGGAGCCAGGAGGTCGATAGTGTCGTGGCTGACGTTGGATGGGAACTTCTCCTTTTGCTGCCGCGATAGAGCGTGGACGGTTGTCCAGTCTTTCGGGTTCTGACCCAGGTGGCGGACTACCTCGCGCCCGAGGATGCCTGCTCACAGTAATTATCATATCAGTATTATCATATCAGTTGATTTATGCGAAGATGATTACCTGTTGCTCCAGTGACGATTGCACTTGACATTGCTACCTAGGTACTCAATGGATCTGAGGAATTAAGATATCCAGCAGTGGTTCTGCAAAATGCTAGTCCATGGACTGACATGGCGATATATACTACAGTGTAGGTGGTGTCCATATATCACAATGACGTGCGAAATGAACAAACTTGGTTTTTCTCTACATATTGGATGTGCTTGCGTCATTGAGGATTATGAGGTCCACCTGGTATCAATATCATATTCAGTTGGCGTTGAGATAATCATCTTCCTCGACTCCCTCCACTAGGAGTGCAATCAATCAAGGGCGTAGGAACTAGAAGTTTTTCTCGGGGAATGTAGAATCATACATTATCAACTAAGAACGTTGATCATTATCATCAGATTAACTTTAAATTTAATCCCAGCTAGTGCTATTTAGGCTTAGTGTCATGCGGTAGTATTTTTGATGAGATATTGTAATTTCAATACGTCCATGCATAACTAGACCTCATCTGAATAGCCAACGTAGATATCTGGATTCGGTGCCATGACTTGAATGCATACTCTTCATAGTTTGGCACAGATCATACCTATTGAAGACAAAGTCGAAGATACATAGGTAGGATATATAAGTTATCAACGACAGAAATGCTACCTATAAGAAGGCCTAGCGCAGAGTGAGACGGAAATTTGCCCTGTAATATTGAATGTTTGCCAAATTATAAGAATACGCGTTTAAGACCCTGGCACCGAAAACCAGATCTATATCGCCTATTCAAACGATATCTGGGAAATAAAAGAGTGAATCATCTTTGATCATCCAAAACCTATCACGCGACCATTTTCTAATCAGATTGAGGGCCGATCGAGAGCTCCCCCCATACCGTCTCGCAATAAAAACCAGCGCCTGTCGCTGGATGATGGTGACAGCATAACTGAAGAAGATTTAAAATGCGGCTTAATAGACTTCCGCCAAACCAAGATATAATTAAATATCTAGGAACTATACTAAATCATAGCATCTCCGGTATATGTAAGGTTGTATAGCAATTAGTGGTTTATCTTACACCTGACGTTCTTTCTGGCGTAGTAGTAAACTGATATTTTAAAAGCTTGAAAGTGAAGACTTGTTTAATCGTTCCAACCTCTCCGCTCTGAAAAATTGATACTGCATCCCTCCTGCGGTCTGCAAGTCAGAAAGTCATTCCAGTCCGGGATCGGTTCAGCCCTAACTTCCCTCCCATCAACAGCAGCCAAATCAAACCTCATCAACGTGTATGCCACGACAAGCTTCATAGTCAACTTTGCAAGACGTTGGCCCTTGCACATATGCTTTCCCCCACCCCAGCCGATAAAGTTCTCTTGTGAGGTTGAGCTATGCCGTGCGGGATCCCACTTCAGGGGATTAGGGTAAGTTGCAGGGTTGAGCAGAGTATCCGAAAAGGGGTAAACGACAAATGCGCCGGAGGGGATTTCATAGTCGGCGATGGTAAGTTCGGGGCCTGTATTCCTTCGTACTGCGGTATGTGGCTGCGCTCTTCGGAGCGTTTCGCGTATGCACAGGTCAAGTTGTGGTGTCAGAGATTCCCAGCCTTCTAGAGGAATAGCTGAAAGAGAATGGAAGATAGATTCCCCGGAGAAAGATTCTGTTGTTGTAGTAGTAGTAGGCTCGTACATTGAGATGAGGGCTTGAACCTCCTTTCGAACAGTCAAGTACCAGTGCTCTTCGTAAGACAAGAATATCAAGACCCACGATCCTATAGTAGATAAATTTGTGTTAGTCGGCAAGTTAGGGAATAATGTCGATATCGGCGCTTCAATAATACCGATAGTTCCAGTCGAACGTGCTCCTGCTATTGGGAGTCCCATCATGAACTATATGACAGTCACAATCAGTGGGATGATAGAATGTAATAACGAAGATGCAGCCAAATACTTACCCCTACTATGCACTGCCAACTTTCTCTCGCATCAAGAAGTTGTTGTAGTGTATCATCCCTCTTGATTTTAGCATATTTCCTTTCATGAACAGCATTATTAAAAATCCGGTAGACGCTCGTGGATGCCCAAAGCTTCTGGGCCATAGCAAATCCTGGTATCCATGACAATGGACCTAACATTGGCTTGCCGGGGGAGTCGATAATATCGTAGAAGTACTTCAGACGGGATACCATGGCGTCGTTTTCAGCTATATCGTGTGAGGAGACTGCCCGGATGATCATTCGGAAGGTAACCTAGAAAATAAGAATACGTAGATAACATACATGCTTGCTGAAGACTTCTATAGTACGAGTACTTATTTACTTGCCTCATGTACTGTGGAGCAGGGATCTAAGACGCCCTGTTTTCCCCACAAGTTTATCTTATGATGGCAATCCGACAATAATCGAGGAAGCACTGTGGTAAGAGTCAATCATCTCGTCGTCGGCACCGATGAGAATAGGATCAACAAACTTGATGCCAAGCTTTCGGGCTTCTGAATGATATTCAAGCGCTTATAGATCCCACTGAGGACGTGGGGATCGAGATCAGTAGGGATCTAGGAGAAAGAATCAATCGTGCCGTGTCTGTCTATCGAGTTCATTAAACATACGGTACCTATAAGAACCTGAAACCCTTCATACAGGTTCAGAGTCCTCTCTTGAAAGAACACATTCCGTGCTGCACTTCCGGAAATGGCAGTCACTTCATGTTTGAAAAGTCTAAACCAGAATATCGAGGATGAGGTAGCCTTGAAGCCATCAACCAGAAAGTCAAACGGCGTCTCAAAGAAGGATTGAGCTATCTTGTCAATAGGTGATATCAGCTGTGGAGGGCCAGGGTACTCTCTATCTTTTGCATTCAGCGAAGTTCAACGAAAATAAAGAAACCGGAATAGATAAAGCGTGAAAAGAAGGATTGAGGTGCTAATAAATTGACTCGTATAAGAGGGCTAAAAACTTTCTTCCATATTTGCCCATGACTGCAAGGTGCCCTGGAAGACCATTGTCGATTTCACAAGTGGAGGAACAGTATGAAGACGTGGAAACTGATGAAAATGAAAAGCAGTAAAATATGCATAGCCAGCAGCTACGCTACAGGTGCGGCGAGCAGCCTTTAAGTAAAAGATACAGCTCCAATTGCTACAACCCGTCTTGGTCTCCAATTCCATGCTTGCAAATGGTTGGACTAGTCAGTGATTAGAAGGAAAAGCCTGCATATACTCAGCATCCAGTCATAACTACATGGTACCGAGTGATATAGCCAATAGCAATAACCTCTTTCTGGGATTAACTGTATACCTAGTAGTCGAGCCAGGCTTTTGATTGGAAAAAGCTTGCATGATGGATACGTACCAAGCCATGCTTTCTGTAATGGCTCACCAAAGACATACAAATGTGACAATGTCGATCACGGGGAGCGCGAATTACTTGTGATATTTGTCAGGACTCTGAACAAGTATTTCCATTGTTACTATAGGCTTTGCATTTCCGATAGTGAATGAACAAGACTAATTAGGGCTTTTTACTATGTGTACTTCCTTGGCAATAACGATCCTTACCTAGGTATCTTGGCTGCATTAGACTCTCCGTGACTAATATATCTATGAAGTATAATGCGTAACCTTCCAACTACGGATGCATTGCTGACAGGTAATTGTGTTGATCGTCCATGTAAAAATCTGTATGAAGTTAATATAGAAGAGTCAGACGTGACAAATCTTATGCCAGGCTGCTATTGGTAGTATTTTCAACTTTCAGAGATTCCTGGAATCTGATCCCTCGACAGTGGTGATACCTCGGTACCTACAACGACATGAGTATCTATAATGCACCGCTCAAAGCCAGATGACTGGTAATAGAATTACGAAAGCCCACCATCTAGCTGACGTGTGCATTCGCACTCAAGGTTATTGAAATCCACAATCTATCGAGGAGTGTTAAAGTCTAACCCCAACTCCTAGTTCAGCCCCCAAAAGGAACCGGTATTTAACCAGCCAAGATGCTCGCGCACTTCCTAAGATCTCACCATACTCAAGTCATCCAGAAAAAAATATTCTTGTTGCAGGAATCCTTAGGATCGACGCCTCGTCCAAGACCTATCATCTTTCTGTGCCCGTCAAAACAGCAGTCACCGTGGCCTCACTCGTTCTAGGTTCGGCCGCTATCCCTTCAATCTACCGCATGACAATCACTACTATAGAGCCTATATTTGCTATTAGTGGCGCTATCCAGTCCTTGGTGTCTCCCAGCATCTTTATGTCAAGCATGACCCCCGGTACAGTCAATTTCGCCCCCGAAATGATGTTCTTGCACATCGAGCTAGGTGGAGCCTGGCTCTATTTCGCCTTCGTCGAGGCCGTTGTACTACGACTCACCGATGACGAACGCTCTTGGCGATTCCTATGCGCAGGCATGCTATTGAGTGATCTGGCTTGGTGCCACTCGGCTGCTCAGGCCGTCGGGGGATGGAGGATCTGCTGCGATACGAGTATCTGGTCAGTCGAGTATCACTTTATGTTTTGGACCTCGGCACCTATTGCGGTCATGAGGCTTTTGATTGTCTTTGGCATTGGATTCAACCAGCGTTGAATCGACACAGGGAATAGCAGAAGTGGCAAGACAAGATATCACTTCTAATAGGGTTTAGTTATCTCAATTGTATTAAATAGAAAGAAACGGAATACGCGTCAATGACAATATTCTTGTGCCCAATCAAATGTATGCAGGATATGAAATGGTGTGCACAAGGGCTAGGCTTTCTTGCATTAGTATTCAATGCATACTCCGCACAACCAGCTGGGCACTACATACATATGTACCAGGTAAGCCCTAATTTCTTACAGGGTCAACAAGCGGCGGTCCGTGAGCCTTGACGGAGAAAAAGTCCGCGTCTGTCTGTTTAATTTCTAGGGAGAAACGAGAGGATAAGCAGATAGCCAGATACAGCACATGCAAAGGTATATTTTGTTGCTCGAAGTTGCATCTTTTACTTACTGATAAGGTGATAACTGCAGTGATTTCGGCCCGGCATGATGGCAGAATTGCTGGACAATCCATACATTATCCGAGCAAGCTCTCTAGCAGTACTACTCGTTCTTCTATATACCATTTCATCAATCTTCTTTGACGAGATTCCACACAAGAATGTTCCTCTGGTGGGAAAGACCCCCTGGGAGGTGTCAAACACCAAGGCGAAGATACGTTATTTGACATCTGCTCGAAATTTGATCACTCAAGGCTTTGAGCAAGTACGATATGCAAATGCCCAATCAAGATGGGAGGGTACAAGAGAAATACTAAAATGTAATATAGGGGAAACTGATCTTCCAAATGATATTCCCACGTGGCCCAATCATCGTGCTGCATCCCAAGTATCTTGATGATTCTCGTTTCAGATAGATCTGTCTCTTTGCTCATATCTCATTAACTGCCTTACCAGCTTCTATTCAGCGCTACGCAACAGAAGCCGTCACTCTTAGTGACAAGACTATGATCCCAAAGGGAGCAAGCCTCGTTGGCTCGGCTCATGTTATGCAGGACTGTTGGGTCTATCCCAACGCAAACTCCTACAATGGATACTGGTTTTACAACCATAGACAGAGTCCAGGAAGCGAAAATAAGCATCAGTTGGTGATGACAAGCTCACAACATTTTGGATTTGGTCATGGTCTCCATGCATGCCCTGGCCGCTTCTTCGCTGCCAACGAAATCAAGATTCTGCTGGTGCATTTGGTTACGAAGTATGACTTTAAATTTGCCGATGGCCAAACTCGGCCGCGAAACATGGAATTTGGTATAGACCTCGTTTGTGATCAGACAGCACAAGTTCTCTTCAAAGCACGGGAACCGGAGATCAATTTGGCTTGCTTGGGACAGGTATAGGTTATTCTAAATATATTGTTAGTTTTAATTTAAGAAAGCAATATGTAGCGTAGATAAGTAGCAGTTTTCGAGAACAAGATATATCATGAGTCTCCAGGTCCTTGTTGGTACCTAGGCATGTCACTGACAATGCTAGTTTTGACGCAAGATCAACTGGAGACCGCTCTGGCTTTTATCATTGATATTATATACTATTGTGCGTGCCATGCCATTTCTCTATTAGATAGCGAAGAGATCAAGAGACAGTATAGTTTGCAGGTTGTCTTCGCCTTTTCCCTGCGTATCAACCATATCTTTCAACCAAGTCCTTGATGTCATTAAGCATCCTACAACTTGTTAGACTTCTGCTTATAAAATTCAAGAGATAGTAACATACTGTTCTCTAAGCCCGTGATTCTCATTGAAGAGGGCTGAAACGTGAGTGTTAAATCTCCTTTGCATGGTTAGTAACAAACGATTGTTTTGTATACCAAGTACTCCTTGCCGAATCGATTACAAACCGGTCTCCACTGGCCAAATTCGTCTTCCATCAAACCAAATAATCGTAAGTCTGACATGCCATTTATTCATTGATACTAGTAATACCAACTTACACTCGTTATGCGCGTAGAAACAGCATGCGTCAAAGACGAGAGCTTCGCCGGTCTCAACGTCTATTCCAGAATTTCCATACCAAAGATCTCCGTGAACCAGTGAGGGTTTTACTGTTCTCCCCTCGCTCTCCAGGGGTCGAAGTAGACGAGGTATAACTTTGTCAAAAAGGATCGGGACGAGAATATCAAGCTCTGAATCCGGCCCTTTAGCTTGTAGCTCTAGGTCTAGGGCTTGCTTTAAACTCTTCGAGAAGAAAACCCCCCAGCTATCCTCCCAGTCGGTCCTTTGCGGCAAATTGCCGCTGTAAATAGTTACATGGAAGCCAAATTTGCCGTTCGTCGACTTGCTGCTTTGGTGGAGCTCTGCAAGGCGAGCTGTAAATTTGTGCGGATCTGGCATCTGCTCTTGCATAACTCGATATTCGCATAGTAAGAAATGCATGTCTGGCATGTTTTCATACGTTCCCCAGGCGATTGGCTTCGGTGCAAAATCAGGAAGCAACGTGGATATTTCCTTCATAGACTCGAACTCCCCGCGGACGATGTTCTTGCCCAGCTCTTTCGGCAATATTTTCACAAAGTATGAGAGAGGAGTTCCATCACTCAATTCCACGTTTATCCGGCCAGTTCGACCCCAGAAGCTGGTGCCACGGTGCTCTGTAGATACAATCCGACAATGTTTCGGCAGTTCTTTGGTCGCAGTCAGTGGGTGAAACAAAACATGCTCGAAAGTGAGATTTACCTGCGACGACGCTCGGATCGAGCTCTCCGTCGTGCATTATAATAGCCGATTTACGGTCGTCGGTGCCACTCATTATAAGGAAATGATTACTGGCAGCTTTCTATTATGGTCTACGTGATTAGGCAGGATCCGTCGTCCGATATATACAAATCACCCCGCACACGGAAATGATATTTTTATGCAGCGCTAAATAAGTTTTCATATGAGTTGTTCAGCTATATTTGATCCGATCACATACCTAGGTAGACATAGACGGTATTCGAATGGGATTTACAGTATTCGAAACTAGACGAGCTCGAATATAACCCTAGCCCTAGTTTCCGTGCCCTGCGGTCGAGACTTCTGTTGCATGGTTCCATGGTTGTGTACAGGACCGTATTTTGTGGCAGCACCTCTCCTAGTCGCTCTTCCGGCAAACCATACTTGTCAGCAATCTTGATGAAGCAGCACTGTTCAGCATGGGTGTTGCCCGGATCTCCCGGTCTGTCTCCTGGCAGTTCCATCGAAGACCCGGTCGACAAGACCTCGTTCTTATCTGCATCAACAAGGACTGCGCCGACGCAGAATGAGGAAAGACGGGCCTGTTTAAGGGCATATTCCATGTACGCCTCGTGGTCACCAGCCGCGATGTTTCGAATCAGACTAGACGTCGTTGAATATGAAATGGTCCTAGAGAAAGTAGTCTGCAGATCTTAGGTGCCTTAAATAATTGAACTGGGGTTGTTGGCGGCGGGACGTAGGACACAAGTATTTGGACACCCTTGATTTTGACCCACTTTACGCGTCACACCGCCTTTCTATTTAGGTTACATACAAAGTTCCAAAAGCCCTAATAAGTTGTATACCACTTATCCGCGTTGAGTATGGCCTGTATCCTATAAGGTATGGAGAGGTATAACGATTCTAATATTTGCATATTAATTTGTTCCTAATAGTGCTGTGTAGTCTTTATAAGTTGATATAGAGTCTTAGCATTATCTAGTACATGTTCTAACCAAGGATACTATTCATGTATATAGCTCTTTATAATTGCCTATAGATTTTTGATTAGATTAAGATCTGGTGAATGAGGTGGTTATTTTATTACTTTAATATGTATTTCCTTAAGTAATTTCTTTATAATATGCGTTTTATGAACTGGTGTATTATCTTATATAAAGATATCTTCTTCTTTAAGTAGCTCTAGAAGTTGTGTCTGGTAAAGTGCATAGATAAATTTATTGTGACACCTTGCATAGAGGCCTCTGGATTATTATATAATAAAATTAATAATAAGCGTCTATTAAAGGCTATTATATCCTAAAATATCTTTTTGATGTCTTTGTGTGACGGGGGTTGCAAGAACGTAGCTAGGATTCGGCTTCGGCCTAGGAATAGATTCGAATATAGAACGTATATACACATATGCTCAGCAGCTAATCGCTGCTGCTTAAAGGCCTGAGGCCTCCCGCGATTATAAGGCGGTGCGTGCCAAGCCGCTAGTTCAATTAGCGGCGGGAAGCCGGGCGAGGTCACGTGCCCGCCGTACTTTGAAGCTATTCCCAACTCCATCCAGGATTCCGCCTTACACTTGTAAAAGAGATAGCTAGAAAGATAATTTATATTTATCTAAATTAAGAACCCATTTTAGAAGAGAATCTTCTTTAAATTAAGTTAATTTATATCTATTGGCACATTTTTCGCCTTTATATTCAATACCATTGATCCAATCCTGGAGTGTTGTATATAGGATTATATAAAGAGCTGCGGCCTAGCAAATACTGCGAATCCTGCCATTTTTCAAATTAGAAATAGCCAATAGAATACAGCCTTTAATTTCTATAGATATTGGCGCTTTTTTATTGCGTATTGGTGGCATTTTGACACGATGAAATTGTGTAAATAATATAAAGCGCGTTTTCCGGGAAAAGTGGCCGGGTCCGTGTCCTGGCCGAGTGGGTGTCCGATTACGTTATGGAATCCAATGTTGACGTGTTTTATCCAGCAGAATCGCTGATGGTGTGACTAGCGCGTTTTGGGGTGTCCAAATACTTGTGTCCACCCACTGTACTATGGAATCCGATGTTGACGTGTTTTATCCGTTCGTCATTAGTTACTTTGCCGGGTGTAGCACTATCAGACTCAGTCCATAAGAACCAAATTTTTCCAATAATCACGGAGAGCTAGACGTTGGGTCCACTGCAGCTGAAGTCGGCTGAAAGCAGATCCTCCCACCTAACAACAAGTACATAAATAACAGTAGCATGTCCTTGTGCTGATTGTAGGGATCTATCAAGTGAAGAAACAGCTCACAATTCCCCCAAATGTCTGCAATCTCCATCCCCAAAACCAGCAGCATTGCCTTGGCCGGTCTTCTATACAAAGCCTCTCCGGTCACCGCAACAAAACCGCCTGCACTGATAGTTGTGCACCCCGCCGGAAGCGTCAAGGAGCAAGCAGCAGGCCTTTATGCGCAGCATCTCTCCCAGCAGGGCTTCACAACCATCTGCTACGACGCAAGCTACCAAGGCGAAAGCGGCGGAAAGCCGCGCTATCTCGAAGACCCCTCGGCGCGCGTGAGCGACATCTCCAGCGTCGTGGACTACATCCAACAGAACCTCGGAAGCGACGTTGATACCGACAAAATCGGCGTCGTCGGTGTATGTGCCGGCGGTGGTTATGCGGTAGCGGCTGCAAAGGCCGATTACCGTATAAGAGCAGTCGCTGCAGTGAGCTTGATGAATATTGGTGATGCTGGGCGCCTGGGCTGGGCAGGCGATGAAGATCCTACGAAGCATGTGGAAACCATAAAAATGATTTCGCAGCTGCTGAAAGTTGAAGCTGAAAATGGCGGTGTAGAGGCAGCCGCAGCCACTGCTCCTTATATACAGCCAGTCGACGATAAAACGCCTTATGATCTCAAAGAGGCGCACGAGTACTACTTGACACCGCGCGCACAGCATCCCCGGGCCGAAAACAAGATGCTGCTCCGAAGTCTCCCACTTGCGCTCAACTTTGACGCTTTCCATCTGGCTGATTTGTATTTGAAGCAGCCCGTATTGACGATTGTTGGTGAGAATGCTACTTCGAGATGGCATTCGGACAAGCTGGATAAGCTCATTGGCGGTGCAGCTACGAAGATTGTTGTTCCCAAGGGAACGCACATCGACTTGTATGACAAAGAGGAATTTGTAGGACCGGCCGCGAAGGATATTGCCGATTTCATGAGGACCAATTTACAATAATCTAATCATTAGACGTTGGTGTTTGTCAATTTAGCTTGCGGCCCCCCCCCCCCCCTTTTTTTTTTTTCAGAATCTTTCTATATATTCATCCTTTACATCGGTAACCTCTTCATTTCCTCAATCGTCCAGTGCTTCCTCATATTCTCCGCCCCAAGAGTCCTGACCTCATCATCCAAATGATCCCACAACACCTTACCAAAGGAATCCATAACCGTCTTCATTTCATCCAGCCTCAACTCCTTCTCCCCGGATTTGCATGCCATCAGATAGTTCTCAAGTTTATCCATACCCTTATGTATCTCTTTGTGCTGCTTGAGTAGATGTACTTCCCTCTTAAACTCGGGCATTTTCTTCGCCAGTACCGGGAAGATACTTTGCTCCTCGATGCTATGGTGAAGACCGAGCTGCGAGAGGAATTCCATGCCCATGTTTAGAAACTGCCGGATTGACACGCCTGTTGGCCGTTTGTTGTCGCAACACGCAGAGTAGAGTTCATTCCAGCTCTGGCGGAAATGATTATGCTAGAACAATGCGTTAGTAACATCATACGCCGATCAAACAAACGTAAAGATAGAAAGAAATAGGATGTACAAAGTAATCCATGTGCTCGGCCATGCGATTGTAGGCGCGAAACTCTGCTGGTGTGAGCTTCATTTGTTCTTCATCCTTTTTGTTCCTTTCGTCACGTTGATCACTCATGGTGATGGACCGGTTTGCAACAAGGGCCGGTGGGGGGTTGTATCTGACTGATGCGGCAAGACGAGGCCGAGTGCAGTTTCTGAATATACTTTTTGGCCGAACTCTTGAATATAAAGCAAAACGCATTGGCGAGGATTTGTCTTATGGGTTGGAAGGCGCATGCATGTTTTGAATATTTATCTATCGATAAATTGAAAATATCCGAATCTGTCAGGATTAGAAATTGCGGAGCTTGCCGCCTCCCACGTGCCTTTCTTAAAATAGATGATCAGATAAACTAAGTCTTGTCTGTATATTGAGCGAGTAAAAGATACTAGATATACGGAATAAGCATATTTAGGTAAACTCGGTCTACAGTATGTCTCGGTTCTTCAATGGATGTGTGCCATCGCCCGCACTGAAGCAGACAAGACACAAATCTAGTACATCCCCGACATGAAAGAGTCGATGTAAGCACTTCTTCGGCACGACTGCAGCCATGGAAAGGCCGAGTCGCAATTTGACATCCGTGCTATGTCTCAGAATGGGTGGACGTGGAATTGAAACTAACTATGTGGCAAGACCAGGATGTTGGCTCATATATTATTAGTAGGTTAGTAATAGTACATTCATTACACTGCCTGTACAAATGCTGTCAATGCGCTGGCATGACAACATATCCATCGTGCAGAAATAGACAAGGTATCAAGGTGTTAAGGTATGCTCAGATAAATCGGTCGTAATTAGTTATAGCTCTGAATGAGCAACTTTGTTGGGTGGACGAAAATTGCCCTTTCTGATCTCGGCCAAGGCCAGATCAAACCGAGCGCCTAATAGCCAAGCCACAAAAAACTATATGAATCGTCAGACAAGAGTTCGCCGATGAATGAATGCATGTAAACATACCAGTACGATCGTAATTAAGAAGACAATGGCGCCCATAATCGTCAGCATCATTTTGAGGTCCTCCCAGGACTCTAGTTCTCGCTGCTTCTTCTTTTCTTCCTCTTCTGTTGAGTGACCAGCCAATTTACTCTTGGCATCCTCGGCCTTTTGCGATGGGAAAAGCGTCTCAATGAATCGCTCGATCTGCACCCCAGCCACGTTATTATCGTGTACAAGGTAGGTGGCAGGGGAAGTTCACTTACATTACCACAAACGATACTGATTTCCACGAAATTAGGATCCTTCGGAGTGTTTTTCTGATGGATCTTGCGGGTATATTTGCGAAACGTGTCACAGAGGACTCTCAGGTTTTGTGTCGACTCAATCATCAAACGGCAAGCATCGCCCTTTGTGATTTTGATGTTTCGTTGGAACATCGAGTAATTGCGGAAGCACAGCTCCAGTGTCGCAATAGCCATGGCTTGTGGGATAGCACAGAAATTGAACACACTCTGCTCCCGTATCCCCGCAAGATAGAAGAGACACTCTTCGACATGATTGAGAGCATTCAGGACCATTTCTGAGTTGCAGTTCAAAGCGGCTTCTTTATATTGAGGGTCAAAAAGATCCTCGAACTTATCAACATGTTTGGACCAAATCTCTTTGGGCCAGAAATGTCGTCGGTCATCGTGGTCCTCGCGGATATCACGAATAATGTTGATTTTTTGCAAAAATAACCCCATTGATTTATGGAGATTGGGGCGTGACAGCAATCCTGGGTTGCCAAATTGTGCTTCGACAAATAGCCGAGTTACACCCTCCCCGACAAGACCCGCTACATAATAACAGTAAAGGTCATATTCTTCCACTGTTTGTACACTGATGCCGTCTGTTTCGGCCTTGTAGACGAAATCCGCCATGCCATTCCCCATTTTATTGGTTATGTCTTTGATAATTGCACGGTACGTTGGCTTCAGCGGCTTGTACTCGGCAATGACATTATCAAACTCAACCAAGAGTTGCCGGTCCTTTTCTTCCGGACGATTGCCATTCCAGGTCCAACCATCTTTCTCGATGATGTTCTTGAAGTCTCGCAACAATGGCTCCTTCACATCAAACGGCACGGAGGTATCATCTTCAATCGTATCCAGCCCGCGGAGAACAAGGTAGAAGACAGTGACAGGAATCAGCATCTCTGGGTGAAGCTCCAAGATGACGGTTGAGAAGCTCCTGCTGGTCAATTGCAGGAAATGGAAGCATTTTTTGAGCGTTTCCGAGTCCTTAGAAATATCACGCTCGTGTGGAGGGTTGTGCCATACTTTCCTACCAAATCAATGGCGATACAATTAGACATGCAATCAAAAGCCAGCCTCCATTCAATTAAAGACGGACGTACCATTGGATGATGGACCTCAACTGATTCGGATGGCAGCTATAATAGGCGATATTCCACAGAAGACCCATGACGGCGGTGCGCGAACGACGTAATTATTCCAGCCAAGCAAGAGTGAGTCTTGTGGTGTGAATTGGAAAAGATCGATCAGTGACCAACAGCAAGATCAAGGCCAAATCGTGGGTGAGAGAGAGGCCTAGCAAATTTCCCCATCATATGGAAGAAAGAGAGGGAGTAGAGGGTGCTGTGATGGGGGAGAAAGAGGAAAGGAAGGAAGAAGCAGCGCTGGCTGGGTTAAGCGAAATGAAAATTTAGCCCGGACTGGGTCAGGTAAAAGGGGAAACTGGGGAAGCAAAAAGACTGCGGCGATGCTCGGAAAAATTAGGCGGCCCGGCGAGGCTTGGCGACTCGTGGACCGCTGTGCGGCCTTGCAGCCTTGTTGCCTAGGGCAGCTGCGCCAAACAGTGCAAACATGGCGGGGAGCCGAAAAAACATGACCTCAGTAGGGCAAATCAGATGCGATTGGACAGCGACAGACAAACAGACAACACCTGACAGCCCTTCGTTCACGGCATCGCTGAGACATCGGGCTCGTGTTTGATGGTATAAGCTTGATTTCTGCAAAGAAAAAATATCCATCGCTTAACCATGGTTGTTGACACCTCCTACTATGATGCACTTGGCGTCCCCCCGACGGCTACCGAGCTGGAAATAAAGAAAGCATACAGGAAGCTTGCCATCACCACTCATCCAGGTATGAAGACCGTCCTTTGTGGAGGTCTACAGCGACTGATGTTAGCTTTGAATTGTAGATAAAAACCCCGGCGATGAGACTGCGCATGCTCGATTTCAAGCAGTACGGATCCCTCCGGAGCTACCTCACCGCAGGCATTTGATCAACTGTTATTTGGGGATACAATGCTAATATGCTGTTTTCGTTCAGATTGGAGAAGCCTATCAAGTGCTAAGCAATGACGAGCTTCGGAAACAATATGATAAGTTTGGCAAGGACCAAGCTGTCCCAGGCGGAGGGTTTGGTATGTCGTTTTCCCGTGATCAAGATGACAAAGGCACTGTATCGGATAGCATGGGGACTAACATACCTGGGCAGAGGACCCGGCACAGTTCTTCACCATGATATTCGGCGGCGAGGCATTCGTAGACCTTATCGGCGAAATCTCTCTCATGAAAGACCTAACAACTACTATGGATATCACTATGCAGGAGATGGAGGAGGAGGAACTGGCACAGGCTGCTGAGGAGAATTTGAATATTCATGACGATAGCGAAGAAGTGGAGGCAGCAGCGAAGCAGGAAGCACCAGCTGCAACTGCGGCTGCTGCACCCGCAGAATCAGGACACACTTCTGGTACAAGCACTCCCCGACGCAACTGGGGCCAGCAAGCAATCATGGACAAGTCAGAAGAAGAGGCGAGGTTGGAAGCTGCTGGAGTCACGGCTGAAGAGAAGGAGCTACGGAAGAAGGAAAAGAAAAAAGGTCTTAGCAAGGAACAACAAGAGCGGCTAGCCCAATATGAAGAAGAACGACGGAAGGCTCGCCAGGAGCGGGTTGACACTTTGGTGCGCAAACTTATTGACCGCATTAGTGTTTGGACAGAGACGGACAAAAGTCCAGCAGTTACGCACGCTTTTGAGGAGAAGATCCGCCTTGAAGTGGAGAACTTGAAGATGGAGTCTTTTGGACTAGAGATCCTCCATGCGATTGGACAAACATACCTGCAAAAGGCAACGTCATTCCTGAAGTCCCAGAAGTTTTTGGGCATTTCAGGCTTTTTCTCACGATTGAAGGATAAGGGAACATTGGCTAAGGAGACATGGGGCACAATCTCCACGGCCATTGATGCCCAAATGACCATGGAGGAAATGGCTAAACTAGAAGAGAAAGGTGGCGCTGACTGGACCGACGAGAAGAAAGCCGAGTACGAGAGGAAAGTTACAGGAAAGATACTTGCAGCAGCATGGAGAGGAAGCAAGTTTGAAATCCAATCTGTGCTACGCGATGTTTGCGACAAAGTTTTGGGAGACAAGTCGGTGAAGCTGGATAAGCGTGTGGAGCGTGCACATGCCTTGGTTCTTGCCGGTACAATCTACCAGAAGGTAAGCGTATTGTTCATAATATGGGTGTTCATGCGGATAGGTGTTTTGACATTGCCCATGATTTAGGCTGCACGCGACCCCGATGAAGAGGGCGATTATCTCGCTTTTGAGCAACTCATGGCGGAGGCTGCCACCAAGAAAAGCAAGGATGACAAGAAAAAGAAAAATAAGGAGAGTAAAGCTTCGAAAAGCCATGCATCGTCTGAAGAAAGGCCAACCGCATCGGCTTGATTCTGATGTAGCTACAGAGTCATGTGCTGTTTGCTTGGTGTTCTTATTGCCATGGGGTATGATGCATAATTCGCGGAATTTATGTCGATATGAATCAGTTGTTTTATTCCCTCCTTCTACAGATATCCTTTACTTGCAGGAATTTGCTTTCTCCCCTTACTTATTCTATGGCACTTGTTGATGTTCGTTTCACTTCCGATAGATGGCACTGCTTGTTCAAATATTTGTCGGGAGATTTGTCTGTACATAGAAATCTCAATTCTTGTCCACTGCTTGAAACGTGGAAAAGACATTGGATCTCCTTTTATGAGCCATTGCCTCATTGGAGCAGCTGTTAGTTGACTATATAGTCTTACTAAGGTCATCACCCTCAGTTGGGTGACGATGCCCTAATTTCCAAGACCACCTGGATAGTTGATTCGACTGCAGCAAGTCTCTTTCTTTTCCTCTCTTCTATCCTCCGAGTCATTATCCTTGCAGAGCAACTTATTGTGTGATCATACCGATCATCAATGCTACCTACCTAGGTAGGTACAGTCCCCCGCAACATGTACTTTAATAACATAGAGTACAGATGTATCCTGGTAGATCAACACAGTCGCCTTTTAGTCATATGCAATCGCGAGCAACCTGCTCAGCACATAATTTGACCTCATGCGGATGAAGATAGCGTATGCATGGACGGCGGCCTGTGTCTCTCTCTGTCCATTGAATGAAGGACTGTCGCACTGCAGACGAAGTGGTCAGTGAATGTGCAAAACGATTAGGCGGACAATACTGCGAAACATGCAAGGAATGAGGGTACCATGTGTCTGGAGCTGTCAAGGGATCCGCCGCAAAGGTTGGTCACAGAATGGCAATGGCTGCCTCGTGACGCATTCCTGGACGAGGTTGTACAGTACACATGGGCGCCTGAATTTCCAGGTCGCGCATCAAACTCGGGGCTTCCCGCTACAAAGCCTCCAACAACAACAGGAACAACACAATGCAAACACCAGGATTGGATGATGCTTGTGTCTAGGATATATTTTGACAGTCTATGTTATTATCACTGTGTCTGAAATGTGTCCTAAATGCTATTCTATCTTGCAACATTGCTTCCAAGGCGCGCCTGCTCCTCAGTCTCGTGTCCAAATTCCACATTCCACAGTGCCGGTGCCTGGACGCGTGTAACACAAACCTCCTAGCAGGAGTTTGATAAAACACGTTGCATCTGGTGCCTTGTGCAGGCCAGCGTCGTCTCCAGTCAAGTTACACGTCTTCTCATTTGCAGCTGCAGCTTCTGTAAAACCACACGGGCTAGAACGAGCGTCTGACACTACTGGGCAATCACAAACAATGCTACGGAATCATGGCATTGCGGAGAGTACCTCTTGGCTGTATTGATAGGCCGGATGCTCCATCACGCGAAGCAGATTTGCGCTGCGATTCTGCATAGCTTTCGGTCATGTATCCATGCCACAGCAGAGTCTCGAGGCTTGGCATATCCGTGGGCGAAAAGTTATAAAAGTATATGAAATCTAGGTTCGCTGCCCTCTGGAATGTTCCCTGACCATTTCATCCATTACCTGGGCAACTTCTGAGCAGTAGCGCAGAGTATATTAACTCTAGTGTTCAACTATCCCAGGCCAACCTCACTCATCAACATCACAATGAAGGCCTTCCTTTCCCACTTTCTCCTCCTCGCAGCTTCTGCTGCTGCTGCTGCTACCCGTGGCCATGGCCTCGCCGCCAGGGTGGCTGCGCGCAACGAAATGACGCGCCTTACTCATCCCAAGCTTCCTGCTGACGATATCGACGAGTTTGAGACCGCCAACCGCACAAATGTTGACTACAGCTCCAACTGGTCTGGTGGTGTTCTCACTGCACCTCCTTCGGGGACGACTTTCACCTCAGTGACTGCGCAGTTCACTGTTCCCAAACCATCGCTCCCCTCGGGAGGCACACAAGATTCATATGCCTCTGCCTGGGTTGGAATTGACGGTGATACCTACACCACTGCCATTCTGCAAACTGGTCTCGACTTTGGTATCTCAACCTCTGGACAGGTTAGCTACGATGCCTGGTACGAATGGTACCCTGACTACGCCTACGACTTCTCTGGCATCACCATCAACACGGGAGACGTTATGCAGGTCACCGTAACCTCGACTAGCAGTAGTGCCGGCACTGCCGTCATCGAAAATCTGTCCAGCGGTCAGAAGGTCAGCCAGAGCCTCACTGCCCCCTCTTCAACCGCCACCCTAGGTGGCCAAAACGCCGAGTGGATCGTTGAAGACTTTGATTCCAACGGCGGCCAGGTTCCTTTCGCCAACTTTGGAACCGTGAATTTCACCGGCGCTACTGCTGGTACCTCTGACGGCAGCAGTGTTGGTACTTCCGGTGCTGATGTCCTGGACATTTCGCAGAATGGCAAGGTCTTGACTTCTGCTTCTATCCCAAGCGACTCGGAAGTCGATGTGAAGTACATTGGTCATTAAATGGCCACAACTGTACATATACATATATATGTTCATAAACATCTGCCAATAGTACAACAGGAACGGTCGATGACGACTGTTAATAATTTATGCATGGCATTACTTTATACCAATACCCTTAAGTCGGTTGGGTGTTCATAGGGGAAGGAATCAACACGAATGCACAGTGATTTGTTTTTGTTGTCCTGGACCTAGTATTCTTTATGTCTATATGAGGATGCAAGGGCGGATAGATAGATAATCTGAGTGGAATATAAATCTCGTAGCTTTTTGGCCTTCGCTCTTTGAGCAAGTAGTCCGTAGTTTTCAATAATGATGCATCATGGCAGGGGCGTGGTAATCCAATGTACACTGATTTTTGCCAGTGGAATGACGTGCCATGAAACATTCCTGGCCAACCATTAGCATGACCTCGAGCGCCACCAATTCAGATGGCCCAAGGCAATTCCTCTTCCAATTTCTGTTTGATAATAATTCATAGGCTATCTCCACTGCCAATACTACTTACACTGGAGAAATAAAGCCGGAGTGCTTTCGCGTAAATTCGGCTTTGGGATTAGGGTTAACGAATCGCACTTTGTAGCCACTAACAGTGGACATTAGAATCAAAGCAAAGATTTAATAAGGCTGCGTCTCAGATGCTCACATAGATCGAATAAAGGTATATTGTCCTGCATCACATCGACTTGTCTGTCAAGTTAGGGCTACGTGTTGGATGACTAATCTGAAAGCCTGAGGCCGTCAAGATTATCGTCATCGCGTCCCCGCATCGCTTCCTTCCTTTGATTCGATCACGAAAGCAATCCATATAACTACTTCACCACCAACTAGTCTCAACTCAAAAAAAGATCCATGGCCAGCAAGAGATCTTGGGAAGGACATATCGTCAACAATCATCGCAATAATCCAGCTTTCTCTTCGACCATGGCCGTAGAAGATAATCAAGCTTCTTTCATTCAGTCGATTTTCGAGACCTTCCGCGGCGAGCTCGATGAGCATCATGACAGAAGAGAGAGGATCATCAAGGCATCGCGAGATATTACTGCATTGAGTAAAAAGATGTATATTCCCTTTTTTTTCAAGTTCCATTGTTCAGTTAGGATCTGGCTAATCCTTCCGATAGTATCTTTGCACTACAACGGTATACTTATATTTCCTTCCTATAAAGCATTTCTTCTTTTTTAACAAGTGGAACTATAGATTACGAGAAATCAACGCCCCAATCCCACCCAACATCGCCAAAGAGAACAAAACCCGATTCGACCAAATTCTCGACCTTTTCAAGACCATCTCCCCCGAACTAACCGGCACAAACTCCTGGCGCTACCAGCGACAAGTATCCGGCGGCCTGCAGGAATTCATCGAAGCCCTCTCGTTCCAGCACTACATCCAGACCCAACGCCTCATTACTCGCAAGGAAGTAGCTGCGCAACTACCCGGTGGAATCCTCGTAACCGACGAAGATTATCTCATGGGTGTGTACGATTTGACGGGCGAAATGATGCGGTTTGCCGTGACTACCCTATCTACGGGCGGGCAGATCAAGAAAAAAGAGAGCAATGCCAATGACACCGAATCAGCACAAACTCGGTTCCCCATTCTCCCAGCTCAGAAGGCGGATATCTTGATTGATCTGAGATATATGCGCTCGATGCTGGAGAAACTGAATGTCCCTAGAAGACACAGCAGCCATATGATGCGCGATATGTATAAGAAGATGGAGGTTATGCAGGCAAGCGTAGAAAAAGTGGAGAGAGCAGCGTATGGGTTGCTGGTCCGAGGCAGCGAACGACCGAGTGGATGGACGCCGGATCTGTCGTCAGTCGCAGCAGGCGGAGGAGCCGGTGCGACGGGTGTGGAAGTGGAAAGTTATTAGCATTTTTATGACTATATGACCATCTAATCTAACTGATATATGTATGAGTGAATGAAGTGATTCTTGTAAAGCAGTAAAATAATTTAAATCGATTCAATTTCTTTGCTGCATGATGAGATCAGAGGGGGCCGGGAGTTATTGACATATCAGATTTCCCACCATCAGGCAACAGCAAACAAAGAACAAGCAGTAACCCTATCATATCCATCCATTAATACCATTCATCCGAAGTGAACGCCACAAAGTTCAATCCTATCCTGTCCTATCTTACCCTAATGATTCAGTTCGACCAATGCACCAACATGACTTATTCCGAAGGACTTCTCGGGTCCTCACTTCCGTCTAGGATACCTTTCTCAATCAATTGTTCAGGGTCAGGCCGGCCCTTGATCTTATTCTCCAGGTTGTCGGCTAACATGCTTCTTTCTAGTTCTCGTGCATTTGCCTGCAGGGCCGGCGCCACATCGTTGCGGGCAGAGGAAGGGAGAATATTTTCTGTAAACCATTTCGTGACTCGGTTAGTAAGTGATCTCATTATAGGGGCTGTGGGAAAATGAAGGCGCATGAACGTACTATCGACGAGCTCATCGCGATCAGGGCGGTGTTCCAAATGTTTTCTGAGGCTGTCCGAGGCTTGGTGCCGAGCGAGATCTGCCTGTGCAGCCTGCAGGCCTCTGTTTACGTGTTGCAAACTCGTTAGTAAGTTAAGAACATTACGAGAGACATGAGAGGAAGCGTACGGAGCAAGACTTGTGTTCAACAGAATATGTCTATCCTTTAAGTCCTGCAGCTCCGGTCGAGTCTGGAGGTGCTTCTCAAGAGAGTCGCGGCGTTGCTGGTTAATTGATGGGTCGAGGGTGTCGGGGGAGATGTGGGACCTGTCGATAGCTGAAGACATGGTTTCTCTTCTCCTCAGGAATTTCTCGTGGAAGATTGGGTTGATCGATAGATGATCCGATATCAGAAATGCGGGGAAGGCAAGCTTGGCTTGGCTTGATGCGTCGGCCGGATAACAGATATCAGTCAGTATGGGTAATCAAGAGTATGAAAGCATGAGCGTTTGTAGAAGACTCCCAGGCTGAGGAAGGTTGATGTCGCTGAAGATATAGACTAGGCTGTCAAGTCAAGTGACTTTGCACATGACCGACCGCATCGTCTGGCTATGACGCACGATCGAATCAGCTGCGAACTTTATCACCTGCTTATCTAATACCAAACTACTTCGTCAACATCGATCGATAACTTCGTGATCAGAGAGAGTCAGAATATAAAATCAAGATTGGTCCAATTTGAAAGCAGACTGTTATATGATGCAATTCATCAACTAGCCGCAAGAGATCAAGCACAAACAACACATCAAATATAGCAAAATGAGAGGAAGAAAAGGAAGCAATCAGACTATTCACATCTCGACATGCAAATGTTGCTATACACGAACCATCGCAGACCTCAGCTCAGTCGCTGCTGGATTATGCCATTACCAAATGATAATCGATTCGAAGCAAGTCCTTTCCATGTCCGTAATGAACCGAGTCCGAATGCTATGGAGCTGCGAGCTGCACAAAATGACTTATACCACGATCCCCGAATCATATTTTTTCCTTTTGGTCTTTAGTTTCTTCGTTTCTTCTTTTTTTCTTTTTTTTTTTCTTTTTTCTTTTTCAATCAATTCCGATAATGTCATCTTCACTTAGACTTTTCCATTTATTTCTCAAGCCTCTGGTGGCCCCTAGTCGTCCGAGTAGAATCTGGTACGAAAGGAAAAGGACAGATCAGAGAAAAGAACAACTCTGCCCTAACGAAAGAAGGCAAAGATATCATGTCATCAAGAAGATGGAAATGATTTCTCATGCAAGCGAGAGAGGTCGCATCAGCACAATATCCACTATCGCAGGGGCATTCCTCACTGGAAAAAGAGTCCTGATCTCTGTCACAGGACGTTTCGATTCCCGGCAAAAGTAGGATATCATGCATCCAACCTAAGAAAGGACGATGAAAACACATCCATTCATCAATTGCCATGCGGAAATAGATAATCCCTTTCCTGATATTTCTTGATTTGAGTGTAGACAAGATGGCCTGGAAATACATTCGCAAGAATGCAGCCCGAGGCCCTTTACCAGTCTTTTACGGAACCCATAGTTTTCCTTGACCACGTCCACCACGTGAAAAAGAACTGGCTCGAGACCCCCCAGCACCGCGCTGACGACGGCGACTACTACTACCGCCGCCGCCGCCAGCATTGCCGTGATCACCGCCATGGCGCCTAGAAGAAGCTGCTAGACTGCGAGATACTCCATTCTGAGAACTCAAATCCAAAGCAGGCTGTCTCACAGTTGTCGTGGCACCGATTGAGCGGCTAAATGAATCTGGGTCGATAGGCTCCGACGGCACTTCAACCGTAGTATCTGCCTGGGCAATAGCTGCTGCTGCTGCTGCTCGAGCCTTCCGATTATTTGCACCCCGACTTGCGGTACTCCGGCCCGCACCTTTGCCTCGGCCACGCGGAACAAATACCAACTCGTCCTCTTCACTTTCATTTTCGTAGGACAACAGTGGCTTTGGCGACGGGTTGACATGCTGCGTTTTCTCGGCATATTTGACGCGATTCTTAAATTCCTTTTCTTCGTACTGAATTGCCGTTCGAAGCTGATGAATATTCTTGGTCAAGATCCCAAACTTCTCCGCCCAAATCTGGATGTCACGATCATTGCTGACAAGTGTAAGGTTTTGTGGGACTCCGGTAGACGCCTGGTCCTGGTGCAGACGCCATAGCAGCGCACTAAACAAAGGTCGCAGGGCTGTAGGAATCGGTGGAGAACTTGATGAACTAGACGTGGTTCGCTGGTGACCACGTCCGGGCTGCGTAGCGTTATGTTCTGCGTATTCCGGACCACTGCGAGAACTGCGAGACGATGTCCGCGATCCCTCATCGCTCTGAGTACCAATTGACGGCAGGGACACTGAAGACTTAATATCAACAGGCGCTGGCTCTTTGAAATTGAGTTTGCTCAGAAGCATCTGCGACAGGTCGCTTGGCAAGCCCGGCAACCCAGGTCCCTTTTGCTCCGACTTCCGGGCACTTCCATTCGCCTTCACTCCGACTTCCACTTTGGGTGTAGAAAGCACATCGCCTTCAACCTCTGCGTTGTGCTCATCGGCTTCATCTTGGAATTCCGGGAGAAAGTATTGTTCTGCATCGGCCCAGTTTTCGTACTGCTCCATCGGGCCCTGTAGGATAATTCGCTCAGCCGGAATATTGTCTTTTCCGGATGTTACTCGGTCGAGAAAACGAACAGCTTCGCGGGAGTTGATAGCAACCTGGGAGCCACCGCGTTTTGGCGCTTGCAGACGCTCGAGAGCTGTAAATCTGTTAGCCTGTGCTCGGTCACCGCGCAGGCCAGCAACAAGAGCGAGGAGTTAATTGGCGAGCCTACTGTATAGCGGAACAAACAAGGTTATTGCTCCATTAGAAGCCCATCGCTTGATTTCGCTGATATTGGTGGTCAGGACAGTGTCGTCCACAGCACAGTGGAACACCTTGCGAGCCGCTGACATTGTTCCTGAAGGGCAAACTCGGCGAGCAGGAAGGTGGAAAGGAGAACAGCGTCCTCCTCCTAGAGAGGATAATTAACGTAATTCCGTGTAACAACTGCAGTTACGAGCAGTCAGTCAGTCAGTTCGTCGTCCAAATAGATGGCTGTTTCGAGGGGGAATGTGGGGGTTGAAGTTTGGCGTTGCTGGCTGAAAAATGGACGGAAAAGAGAGGCAGAAGAGACAGCAAAATGACTCACGGTCAAAGCAGTACTCGGCAACAGGTTGATAATTCAGCATCTTATCACAGACTGCCTTGTTCATGGCGTGGAAAACATACGGTGCATTGGGGGCAGAAACGAGGGAGATTGCTGGCAAAGGCCGATTGATCCGTGAGAATCCCAGATGGGATGCTAAGCCTGGGCACCCGCTGGCCAATCAGCATCCAGCATGACTATACGCCTATCGTGATAGCATCAAACTACTTGTTTTGATGTTATTCCGGGAGTTATTCTAAGTTATATACGAACGATTGTCTTGTAGGCATGACTACCGGTCCTCCTTGATTATTGAACGACACTCCGACGTTGGTGTCTGAGACCCATACAGCAATCACATAAAAGATACCATCAAGACGAACCCGAAATGCAACCTAGCGATTACTGCTAGTAGTGGTGCTACGTACACTATGCGGAGAGAGGGATCAGTCGAGAGACGGCCGTAGTTAGTTCATCAGCGCATGCTATGCTCAAAGTTTCTTAATCAGACCACTAGCTTCGTCCACTCGTTGAGCCCATTCCCTATTAAACGTCAGATGTTATTCAGAAACGCGGACGAGAAAAGGAAGCAAAATGAGGAAGAAGTCTTACGTCCAGCTTCCGTCGTAAAGTCTTCGTCTTGATGGCTCGCCAAATCCAGCGACAGTAAGCCCAGCCTCAATTACCGCCGCAGTCACTCCAGACCCGCACGAGGTGATGATTGTTTTGGATGGGTCAACTCCCTTGGCCTCAAAGACCTTATGCAGTTCTTCCGGGGATAAAAACGCTTTCGTCGTAGGGTCAAGCAGCTCTCCGAAGGGAACGCTTTTAGAACCCGGCATATGGCCCGACAACAGTCCAGCACGAGGTTCCGGAGCTTCACCCGACCAGCGTCCGTAAGGCCTCGCATCCAGGATTTCAAATTCGCCAGCACCCTCTTTACCGGCAATTTGCTTCATTTCAGGGAAGTGCACTACCCGGTCTGTCTCGTACGAGGGGATTGGATACGTTGTTTTTGTGACCGGCTTGGCATCCCCCGACTCCGTGGGCAAGCCCTGCTCAACCCACAGCCTGTAGTTGTTGAGCACATGAACACGAGGATGGCCGAAGAAGCGTAGTGTCCATCCCACTCGAGGTGCGCTAAGAATACCTTGTTCTAACGTATCGTAGACAACCACCTCATCTTCACGCTGGATTCCAAGTTCGCTCATTGCCTCGGCAAACCGCTCTTGCGTGGGCAGCATGTGAGGATAAGGGGAATCTCCATCTTTTACACCGTCAATATCGAAGAAACGCGCGTGGGGAATGTGGCTTTTGCGAAATGCTGCAATGCCCGTGCGGCCTTCCGGGTCGTTGGGCATGAACCATGCTGCGCAAAGGGGAACGACCTTGGCTTTTTCACCTGAGGAATCCTTCTGCAGTGCATTGTTGAGCTCTTGCGGTGTGACGAGATAGGACGAAAAGGAGCTCCACCGCTGTTGCTGTAGCTGGGAGGTCGAGGCCATACTAGCGGCTTGTTGGCGGGAGAGACGTGCAAGGAGACAAGGGCGCAACGAAGAGCGTAGAGCCGTCAGTGTCATGTTAACCGGACCGCAAAAAAGCAAAGCAGAAATCAATACAACACGCCGGGGTATCTATCCAGAACGCTGCATGAGGCTAAAATGAAGTCGATTGCGCAATACGGAGAGGTGCTTGGTCTATTCAATCGTAGTATTGTTGCTTTAGCTTTAGTTTGCGGGGAGGAGCTCCGAGCTCGGATCAGACCCGCTAAACCGCTCTTTGCCTAGTGGCGTCCGCCCAGGCTTTACTTTTCGACATTTGTTTACTCCAAATGCTGCACCTGCCCAGACATCACGACATCAGTTGTACCAGACAAAAACAAACACATCCCGGCGATGAAGGTCACAATCAAAGAATGGAATGCCGTTGCTTCGTGGCGTTGGGATATGCCTGAAGACGAAGTATGCGGTATCTGTCGCGTCCAGTTCGACGGCACTTGTCCAACTTGCAAGTTTCCTGGAGACGACTGCTCGCTGGGTATGTTCATGCGAACTCTTTTGTGCCCTCGCGGCAACACTATTGAGAGACAAGTCTAACGAATGTGTCGTTTAGTAATTGGAAAATGCGGCCATTCCTTTCACATGGTATGTTATTTGACGGCATTCCACCACAGCATCTATTACTCCGCCGCCGATTGCGTTAACTGAGAAATAGCACTGTCTTATTACATGGATCAACCAAGAGGCATCGAAGGGCCTTTGCCCAATGTGCCGTCAAAGTGAGTGCTCGAACACCGTCTTGTTCTTTGTTATGCAAGACACTGACAAGCGATTTTCCCACTTTAGAATTTGACTGGAAAAAGACCGATGAAGAGAACGATGAACAGGACAGCGCACCACCGCCGTCGTCTTGATTTGCTTTTTCCCTCGGTCCCTTAGCATAGAGTGGGGTGTTATTATACTGCATTTTCTCGGCGTTCTGGGATGATACCATTTGTTATAGTTATCGGCGTTTGAATTCAGGTTCTCAATCAGCTCTATAAATTGCCTTCTTCTCATCGTAAGTCACCACATTACACGTCAGATATACACTGCTGCAAACCCTACACGTATAGGGTAATCGTGTGGCATGCATGATCTAGCTTACCAGTCACGTGATGTCGTAGCTAGCGATTCGCCGGAAGCTATCATGGTTGCTGCTCTGTTTGCGCTCATCTCCAATTCAGAACATAGCATAATGCTCATCACAACGATGTAGTTATAGCATTCTTTATTTTTCTTTTAGCTCTCTTCTAGAGATGTCGTCTTTGCCGAAACAACACTCACCTATCCCGTCATCCTCCACCTCTAAACAGTCTGCCTTACGAGCGAATACTACTACCGCAAACACGGCAGCCACAGCGCCCATCGCATCATCAAGACCACGGCCTATCGGGCAACTCTCTGAAAGTCAACGGCATGATGCGGTATACACTCATTCAGGAGATGGTGGTGGTCCGACGTTACCTACCGACGAAGCGACAGCGCCTGCGGGGCAGGTAGGAGGAGGAGGAGGAGAAGATGCCTCCCATCCAGCATCCAATTTCAAGCCTTTCTTTACACTCATCGAAGACTCAAATTCCTCCGACTACTACCACCCCACTGTACATTATATCTTCTCAGATGACGACACGGAATTAATCACCGAGGCTTCGCTACGGGTGTTGGAAACAGGACCAGTTTCCCCTCCCGCGCAAAACACGCAACACGGAGGCGATAGCCAGGATGCATCAGAAATGAGAAACCAGCAATCCTCGAGTCTAGATAGGCCCTCGCTCCTCCCACCGCCCTTACCAGGTGTCAAGGAGAGATTTATTCTTCTAGATGTTGAACCAACAACAGCAACAGCAACAACCGCTGCCTTTCCTTCATCCGCCCCCGATGCTCTCGCAGGCACATCAGCCGGAACGGGAACAACCATGATATCAACCTCTCCAGCTCAAAAACAGCCTGCACAACCAACCGCCGCGACGCCCTTCGGATACCGTATTGTATCTGCGCATAGCCTAACGCCAGATTGGCAAGTCCTCGACGCCTCTTTCAGCCCCGCCCCGACCTTCGACACACCACAACAACAAAACAACGATCAAACAAACGCATTAATGCTCAGAATCCACGGCACAGCTGGATTTCCACGCGACATTGCACCCATCGACCCCACAGCGGCAGTACAAACACTAGAAGAAATGATGGAACAATTCGATAAGCGAATGTCAGAATTGAGACGCGTTATTGAGACGAATGGAGATTATTCGCCCATTGCGACGGCCGAGACCGTCCAGCCTGGGGAACTTGACGATAATCATGGGTTTGAAAATGCCGAGAAAGGCCGCGATGGAATTGATGCTACTCCTCCTCAGCAAAGGGAGGATGTGCAAGGAGAGGTTGCTAGTGAACTAGCTGCTGCACCTGGGGCAGAGCAGTAGTCTTTTCTTTCCTTGAGGAAGGGGGATGGTTAGCACGCCCCTGTCATGATAGTTTAAAGAATGATACATGTTACAAATGCAAGAGTACCTAGGGTATCCCGCCGTAGGTAGTATTGTAGGTCTGGTTTTGGTTGCATACATATGTTTACATGACTGAATGCATGTTGCAGATTAATTAATTATAAGTATTAACTAGTTAACTATACGTGCCAACCTGGGTCCAGCAAGAATAATTCCACAACGCCGTTATTCTTTGCAACATACAAAAGGGAAAGTCGAGTGAACGAGTGTACACATGCAAAAAAGCACAAAAAAGAAAAGAAAAGAAAAAACAAACACCGGGGTATCTACATATCTACTAGATATATTTCCTTCCATGCACACAAAACAAGACAAAAAGGATAGATAACAGTCTGTTATAATGGTCCCCCAGACTAGCCGCTGGATGGTCGTCCTCGCAACCGTCGTCTGATACTTGCATTAAGTGGGATATTTTCTCTGCCATCTAGGACAATCCCAGAGGGTGTTGTTCGCCGGGCCAAGGGTTTCTGCGGGAGCTTGCTGTCTGAGACCGTCTGGAGTTTCTTCAGGGGTGGCTGCGAGAGCTCGTCTTCCTTGTCGAGTTTTATCGATTTGGACAGTTCCGGAGAAACGCAAGGGAAATCATTGTTGTTAGAGTTGGGTTGTTTCGCGACGACGTTTAAATCGACCTCCCTAAGACCCGCGTTGGAGGATTGTAAGAGTGCTGTGGTGGTGTGGGTGGTTGTGGTGGTAGGTTCGCCTACCTCGTCCTCGGCGTCATTATAGACCCTTGTTTTCACCGGTGATCCCAAACGCTGTTTAATCGGAGATTTCAAAACCGGGTCCAGGTTTTCTTCCTCAATTTGGGTTAAAACAGGCTGTGCCGGTTGTCTCATCCTTTCAATCAAGCTAGCGTGGGATTCGGTGCGCGGCAATATTTTCGGATACTCATATGAATCCCGAGGCGGAGTACTTCCTGTTGGTTTGTATTCCGTCATAGTAGCACTTTGGATGTTCTTCCGGAGCTCAACAAGCGGCTGTCGAACTTCTTCGGAGAATGGAATCACAACATGTTTGATATCGTCTCTCTGTTGAGTAGCGAGGCTTTGGAGTTCATTAAGTTGGGCATGCGTGCCGCCAAATCCTGCTTCTAACGAGGTGAAGGAATCCTTGATGTTCTTTGTCAAGCGTTCCAGTCCGGCCAGATGCGCTTCATGGTGAGAACCGTTCTGAGATCTTGCCCTAGTGACAAAATCATCCAGGGCTTCCATTTGGACGGCCATCTGATGCATTTGCTCATCGACAATGCGGATTGTTTCCTGGTGGACTGCTTGTGTCGACTTCTGGATAGATTCGTTGCGCTGCTCGAAAATCTTTTAATGTATGTCAGCAAAGGAACCCTCTCTTTGCGTAAAATCTACTAAAAGCTTACCGCCCAGTCTTGTTGCATACGCCCCTTGATTACATCTCTAGAGCTGGTAACATCTTCCAAGAGTCCGGTCTCCCTCTCAGTCCATTGGCTCATTCGCTCCTGATATGTTTCAGTCGCCTCCTGCAATGTGTTCGTTGATGATTTCAGATCGGATGTGACAGTATCGACTCGACCCTTGAGTCGTGAGGTCTGCTTTTTGCTAGACGCCTCAATCAGTAGACTGATCTGCGAAAGAAGGTCAGCGCGGTCGATCTCTGCGGCTTGTCTTTCTTCCTCTAAGGCCTGCTCGAGTTCCGCTGAAGCTGACTGGTTTTCTTGTATGGTCTGGCGGTTGGCTTCAAGCAGTTGAGTGCGAAGTTCATCGATTTCTGTCTTTTGTGTTTCCAAATGCCCCGTTATCTTCTCGAACATAGCCTTGAAGTCTTGGCCTAAGGTACTATAGGAGGCATGAAGCTATAAAAAAGATATTAGCTAATGGCTTGTGAACGATAAAGCTGAGTCCCAAACCTGAGTATGAAAGTCGGTCATCTCATCAATGACCTCCTTCGAAATACGCTCTGCTGCCGCTGACAGGCCATTTAACCCTTGTCCAACTTTTCCCTTGACTTCTTCTCGTAGTACTTTAATCTCTTCGAGGACTTCATTCATCTCGCCATGAGCTTTGGTGGATTGTTGCATCATTACATTCTCAGCCTCATCAAGTTGGGAACGAGATTCATCGATGTGGGATTTGCTGTCTTCCACGGTTAGTATCTGCGACGTAATGAAATCTGTGATTTTGGCGGTCAAGCCCTGGACAAGAGCTGAGTGCTCAGACTCGAAGATCTCAACCCTATCCTCAATCAACTTCGTTACATCAACAACATCCCCGGTCGATGCTTCCCATGTATCACGGTTGAGGTTGTGAAGATCCGACTTTCGACGTAGTTTGAGGTGGAGGCCGTTAACATGCTCAACAGTTCGATCCAACTTTGACAAAAGCTCCGAACTAATATCATGAAGTTTTTCCTCTGTCTCCTGATGTGCTTGGCGTAGCATTTCCTCTTGCTCAAGCTGCTTTTTCGTATCACGGAGGACGATCTCGGTTTGCTCCAACACATCGTTCGTCTCATCCAATGAAGCGCGTGTTTCATCGTGATCCTTCTTCAAATTGTTAAAGTTGCTTGTCAAAGCAAACAATTCTTCTGTCTTGTGTTTCAAGCTGGCTTCTTTGCTCTCGATTTTTGCACGCTGCTCCTCATTGATAATCCTTCGCGATTCACTTTCCACCTTCAATTCATCGTAAGCTTCCGCAGAAAGATAAACACCATTTCGGTGTCTTGTTGCAATGAGGTCGCTTTTCAATTGCTCAATCTCCAATGTATATTCACGCAATAGTGTTTTCTTCGGCAATGTAGAATTGATTTGCGGTTTATTGCGAATATTCTTGGCTCGGAAGGCATAGTCAAGAGTGGAGATGGTTTCTTCCAAATTCGTTCGCGCTGGTGAGATGGTAGCAATGATGCAGGTCTTGGTCTGACCTCCCAATGAATCCTGAAGCAGTCGCGTGAGTTTAGATTCCCGGTATGGGATATGTGAGCTTTTGTCGACCAAGGCATTTATGACACGTCCTAGTGTCAGCAGACTTTTGTTAATAAGCCCGGCCTCGGCGGCACGTTTATTGTCGGCGCCGCTCCTTTGGATATTTTCGCTACCAGCCAAGTCAACCAGATTCAATTTCCCAGAGCTGATATATTCCTCGCCCGCTTCCGTCGTCCGCTTGACAGATGTGGTGATTGTAAATATTGTGTGACTCCGAGAACTCAGGTCGTTGCACTTGGTAGCAGCTACCTGGCGTTTGTAGCTTCCACCTCGGAGCAGTTTGATTCCAGCAGTGGCAGAATGGATGAAATGCTCTTCCATGCCTTGCACCAATGTACTGCTGTTGTGCCCTCTCTTCGACTCATTATCAAAAATTTTCAGGTTGGATTTGTCGTCGGGTGAAAGCAGGTCGCGTAATTCTTCGTTGTACAATTCAATAAACGAACATTTGACGGTGCTTTCCTTGTCCTCCAATTTTTGAAATAGCGAATATAGGACGCGAGGTATTATTCCCGCATTCTCTGAGAGTATACCCAGGGTATCGGTCATATCCCCTGACATCGTATATGTCTTGCCAGTTCCCGTCTGGCCATAGGCAAAGATTGTACAGTTATATCCCGACAACATCTAGAGAAACCACAAATCAATATTGAATCATAGGGAGGATAGGCTCTCCAGCAAGAATATACCTCGTTCAAGAGTGGCGTGACAACGTCCTCATAGAGTGATACCTGATCGGCAGCTGGAGAAAACACCTTGTCAAAGTGATATGCTTTGTTGCTCAGGGCATTTGGGCCCATTGAAAGCTCCACGCCATTGGAGCCTTCAGTCGAGACGACGACAGCGCTGTTTTCATTTATTTCACGGTCATTGCGGCCGCGGCATCGAACCACGACGTGTATATTAGTGTCTTCATTTGTCTTCGGTTCAAATTCTCGCTCTTTCCTCTTCGCGCCGGCAATGGACTGTACGCTTGGAGACCTCTGCAGGCGCATGACATTTGTGTGTGTTGGTTTGAGCGCATCCGCGGGAGACTGCAATTTCTCCGGGATGGATGAGGCTATTCGCCTTGAGGGCTGCCGCAATGAAGGCTTTTTGGCGGCCGGCCGTGTGTACGGAGCCGGCATAACGATTTTCGAAAGGAAGAGATGGTGGTATATATTCTACTTGCTAAAATGCAAACATGAGGGTGTGTATGTAGCAAGTTTTGGCCCGGTGGCGGGGTCAGATCTGTGCTGCAACAATAATGTGAAGTCTTAATTGAGCAGGCGAGGCTGCAGGAAGGAAGCTTGCCCGGTTTGTTTGGGCGGTCGACGCAGCCGGCAAAATGTAAACAAAAACCCCAAACAGGCTAGACTGGGAGATAAGCTAGCTAATCGGTTATCGGTTATCGATAAGCATAGCTCGGTCAGTCAGCGGGACTGATGCATTCACATGATCATTCTACTCCTTCGTCTCCTCCTTTTGACGACGCTTTCTTTTCCCATCTTTCACGCTCCCAGCAGCAGTGCTCTCGTTCTCAAAGCTATCGCTATCTTCTTGGAGTTTGCTGGACCTTTGCTCTCCGGTTATGCGCAAGTCGTGACCGCAATGTCCACTGCTAGCGCGCCAGCGGCAATGCAGGTGTTTCCGGGAAGAGGCCTGGGCAGCTTGAGTAAGTCTATGAGTTATATTCTGTTGTCCAGTCGAATCGGATATCAAGAAAGCGCTTCTAATGGGACTCTTTGCTCTACGACAGCTCTTGGAAGCTCACTCCATAACGTGTTGAGCCGCATCAAAGCACGCCCGCAGATCTACCCCGCCATTGACATCGCATACTCGTCCACCGAACCACTCAACGAACCTGTGATTCTGAGCCTCCCTAAAAATGGGTTTCGACTACAGTTTGATGGCCCTGATCAACGCCTGCGCCTCATTGAAGTTCTCGACTTCTCCAAGGTACTTCTGACCTACAAGAACCACGAGGTCATCAAAAGCACCAAGCCGCACGAGCAACCATCGTCTGCCGGGCCAAGCTTTCGGCATGTATACAATCGACTCTTCGGGCCATCTTATCCCGGCGAATATATCCCACCAGCAAGTGATTCTGTATATGGGACCTACGTGTTGTCCTATCCAGGTGTTGCTTTTTCGTTCCCGCTACAGGATTCGGCCTGGTCCGATAATTGCGATTTTGTAGCCCTCCTCTCATCTTCTGCTGCATCATCGGCAACTTCTATGGCGGTGTTTCAAGGAGCTTCGTGGTCTGAAGCGCGAAATCAGTTATTCACAAGATCCCCGCAGTTGCCGCGCTCGCCGGCATTGATTGGCAAGGGCAGGGACGCAGTCCCAGACGAGATCGAAGAAATACAAGTGCTGGGAGGAGGGAAATTAAAAATGTCTCGGAGAACCAGTCCTCCGCTCATTATAACTCTGTCCGAGACAACACCACAGGATCTAATCGCCGAACTAGGACCTCCTGATGCGATATATCGCAAAAACGACAGTCGTATATCCATCCATAGCGCCCGTGGGGTAACCCAACCACGGCCGCTTAGCCCTTCGCCGGGGCGACGGCTTGATACATTAGATACAGACCACTCGTCAAATAATAGCCCAGTGGAAGACTCTGATGATGAGGCCTTTCCTGGTGCGAATTTCGACCCCTCGTCACTATCAGCGGAATGCTTTTTCAACTATTTCCATCACGGATTTGACGCTTTCATTTCTCATCCCACGCCATCCGGACCGGCATTTCCAGGCTCTGGAATATCGGATCGCCCGCCACCCAGTACTGCCTCGCTGCTGACCGTAACGAAACTTATAGTCCATGGAAACGTCCCCGGCTCGTACCCCTTTAACCGCTATCGTCGAAGCCGTTGGAGAATCCTTCTAGGCGAATCGGCAGAAGAGGATCTCACTTCAGAGACACATTTTGAAAAAATCTCTCAACGTCTTCGGAGAGTGTGGAGAGCATCTTATTCATCACCTTCGGAGGAAACGGCTCTACAAAGGGGTATGGTCCTGAATCGAGGATGGGGGGACAGTCCCGAAAGCAGCGTAGAGTTTCTTGGAGGCTGGGAGGAGAGTGCTGGAGGCAAGCATCGGTCGACATCTGCAGGTCCAGATGGTGGTCAGGGATTGGGCAACACGGAGCTTTTTGGCTTCCCGGGTCTTTTATTCGAGGTTCTGAAGAATGGTGCGGTCAGCTCCATGACAATATATTGAGATTATTTTGCGATATCACGAATGTCGTGCTTGTGGTGTTTTGGTGTGTTATTTCGTTCTATATATATATCTCTCTCTCTGATATTTCGTGGTACTACCTAGTATTATTTGGTGTAAATTACGATTATTCCCCAATAGAAATGGTCGCATCAACAATTTCATTCCGCCATTGACGCCCAATCTCTCGATTTAACGAGCCTGAGTATCGTTGTGTAACTGATGCATGAGTCATTTGTAGCTTGATTGTAGGGGAGGCTGAGCGGAGCCTTCTTATTGGACGCCGTGCGGTCAACATCGGGAGTCCGAAATAATTTCAGCAAATGCTCAACAGCGAAATTACAAACAACCACCTTTAGATTTCCTCTCTACCACCACGCTTGCCGCCCGGAGCACCGTCTGCTGCTGCCTCCGAGGTGGTAGACCAAGCAGCATGACGCGCTCCTGGACCTCGACCCTCAAACTCCCTCGCTCGTCGTTTCCCGCCCGAGTCGCCGTCGCGGACCAAGCGAAATATCTGCTCAAATGCACCGACGACCTGTACGCCTGGCAGCGCGAAGCTCGTCCTGCTAGTGAGACGTTTATTCTACACGATGGCCCTCCGTATGCGAACGGCGAGCTGCACGTAGGCCATGCGCTCAACAAGATTTTGAAGGACATCATCAACCGTACGCAGCTAAGCCGAGGAAAACGAATCCACTATATTCCAGGCTGGGACTGTCACGGTTTGCCAATTGAGCTCAAGGCCCTTCAGGCTCAGCAAGAATCTGGGAATCTTGATGCCAAAGGCTTGGGTTCAGCTGCAGTCATTCGCAAAGTCGCTCGAAACCTCGCAGAGAAAACAGTCGCGGAGCAGATGCGCGGGTTCCAGGAAATGGGTATCATGGCGGACTGGAAAGGCCACTGGAAAACACTCGATAAGGGCTTTGAAATGAATCAACTATCCATTTTTAGAGAAATGGTAGATAGGGGACTCATCTATCGACGGTTTAAGCCAGTTTACTGGTCGCCCTCGACCAGGACTGCATTGGCCGAAGCCGAGTTGGAATACAATGAGAAGCATGTCTCGACCGCAGCACTTGTTAGATTTCCGTTGGTCAAGATTCCAGAACAATTAAAAAATAACCCCTTGGTAGATGCGGCAGCTTTGAGTGCCGTTATTTGGACTACTACGCCATGGACGTTACCTGCCAATGCAGCAGTCGCCGTCAGCGAATCGCTAAGCTACCTGATCGTTCAATCCAGCCAACATGGGCAATTGCTAGTTGCAGAACCGAGATTACAATATCTTCAGGAGATGTTAAACGAGGAACTAGCAGTCCTTGTCCCTTCGATCCAAGGCTCTGAGCTATGCAGTGGAACGACATACCGACCAATATTCCCACGAGACGGCGTTGACGAACAGCCGCTTATTGCCGCTGACTTTGTGACTGCTGATTCGGGATCTGGTCTGGTCCATTGCGCGCCGGGCCATGGCATGGATGACTATGAGGTTTGCCTTGCTCAGGGAATCCGGGCATTTGCTCCTGTCGACGACGAAGGCCGATTCACGGACAAAGCCATGACCCGCGATCCAGGACTTCTCGCAGGCAAAAGCGTTCTGGGAGACGGAAACACATCTGTTTTAGAATATGTTGAATCAATCAATCAGCTGCTAAGCAAACACAAATACGAACACAAGTACCCATACGACTGGCGATCAAAACGACCAATTATCATTCGTGCCACTGCGCAATGGTTCGCTGACGTAGCTAACATTCGCGATCCGACTATAGCATCCTTAGACGATGTCACTTTTGTTCCGGCATCCGGCAAACAACGATTAAAGAACTTTGTGCAGAATCGCACCGAATGGTGCATTTCGCGCCAGCGGGCTTGGGGGGTCCCGATACCAGCCCTTTATGACAAAGCTTCCGGGGAAGCGATATTGACAAAAGAGAGTGTTTCACATATCATGAATGTGATCGATGAGCGTGGTATTGATGCGTGGTGGACAGATAGCTCTGAGGACCCTGCATGGATACCCCCATCGCTCCAGCAGGCATCATCCTCTTCCGGTTATCGTCGCGGCATGGACACAATGGATGTCTGGTTTGACAGTGGAACGAGCTGGATGCAAGTGGAAAATGCATCACCAGAGAATGACCGCCCAGCACATGTCTACCTCGAAGGCACTGATCAGCACCGTGGTTGGTTTCAGTCGAGTCTTCTCACGTACATCGCACACCAAGCTGCTGCCTCTGGGAGCGCCGATGCGCCGACGACTGCGAAAGCGCCATTCAAGTATCTAATTACGCACGGATTCACTCTGGATCAAGATGCTCGCAAGATGAGCAAATCTATAGGCAATGTCATCAATCCAGAAACTATCATGAATGGCACACTACTCCCTCCACTTAAACAGAAAAAGTCAAAAGGCGCGAAACAACCAAAGCCCCAAGAACCTGTTTACGACGCACTGGGGCCTGACGCTCTCCGACTATGGGTTGCCAGCAGCGACTACACGCGAGACGTTGTTATCGGACAGCAGGTCTTACAGACCGTCAACACAAGCTTGCACAAGTATCGTGTCACATTCAAACTTCTACTGGGTGCTCTCGGAGACTTCGATCCTAGCGTGAATATGCGCCAATATCAGGAGCTTCACAAAATCGATCGCCAGGCGTTGATGCAATTGACTCAGCTTGTAGATACCTGTCGGAATGCTCTGGACAATTTTGAGTTCTACAAAGCTGTCAACGCCTTGAATCGCTGGGCGAATCAAGAATTTTCAGCTTTTTATATGGAAACTCTCAAAGACCGACTATATACAGAGGCGGAAGATAGCACGAGTCGACGCGCTGCGCAGACAGCGCTGTTCCACATCTACACTTTCCTACAGGAGCTGCTAGCTCCCATTACTCCCCTGCTTGTCGAAGAGTCCTGGGAACATACGCCGGAGACAATCAAGGCCCAGCTCGAGCACCCGCTGCAACGAGTAGCACGTGCAGCTCCTTCTGAGTGGGTTGACGAAGCACTGAACGACGATTTTGTCGATCTGATGGCAGCCAATACCGCAGTCAAGGCCATCCAAGAATCTGCCCGCTCGAAGAAGCAGATGGGCTCTTCACTGCAGTCATTTGTGCATTTCGAATTTCCCGATATCGATTCATTGTCAGCCTTTGAACGCTATCTCAATGAACTCCCGGATCTGTTCGTGGTCTCTTCGGTCACTCTCAGCGTCAAGGGACAGACTCTTTCCGGCGAAATCGCAGATGCTGAATGGAGCTACGCCGAGGAATTCGAACTGCCTCGTGCCGACAAGAAGGCGACAGTGCATGTGTTTGCTCCAAGCAAGGCGAAATGCCCGCGATGCTGGCGATATGATGTCCCGGCGTCAGTGCCACAGCCGCAAGAAGCGCCTCTCTGCCAGCGATGCGACAACGTCATCAGGAGGCTTGAAGGCAGTGATTAGTAACTGCCAGAAGACATTGAAATGTACTATAGAAGCTGAGATGTAAGATATATACTATACCTATTAGATGAATATGAATATGCTGTGTATACCTCGGAAAAACACGCGGGCCGGGCTCAGGGATGTGTCAGGATGACTGGCGGCTGACATCAGACAACGCAATTGGTGGCCATACTTTCTTTACTCGACAAACAATCAAGTATGGCTGTACCAAGATATGGCTTGCTGTTCAGGGAAAAGGCCGTGGCGTAGTCGATTACTCGTCGATGCTGATGTCGTCATTCGCCTCGATGCAGGGCACTATTTATTCTCCCTCACGCGTGCTTCTACTGCGCGACTCTTCAGGCAAGAAACTGCCACCAAGGTTAGGTAGCTGATCTGAAATAATCCACCACGATGATAGTCACAGCAGTGGAAGACGCATTCAAGCACACCGTGCCACTGCCCACGCAGACGTCCTCGGTTGGACCCGTCCCGACGGTGATACCGGGGGACCAGCCTATTGTGCTGCAGATTCATGACACGGGAAAGCGCACATTATGGTGAGCTCAATACACCTATGTCAAGCGCGAATAGGAACGGTGAACTAACAGCACCATCAGGGTTGTTGTGGTCCTCATGGCCATCTCGTCGCTTGCGTTTTACTTCCTTGCTGCCAGAGTCCGAGTGGTATGTCTTAACTGAACATAATGCAGTATAGATCAAATATGACTGACCGATCATCCAGCAACATCGCCTACTCCACACTCTGACAGCGCTCATCACCACAATCTCGTTCCTGTCCTACCTTGCCATGGCCACCGGCGAAGGGGTAACATACAAGCACTCCGTCAACCACCAAGCCCACCAGCACGTGCCAGATACATACCAAGAGATTCTGCGTCAAATATTCTGGGTGCGATACGTGAACTGGATACTGACGACGCCCCTCATCCTGATCAATATTGCGTTAATCGGTGGTCTCAATGGCGCCAATCTGTTGGCCGCCATTGCCGCCGACTTGGCCATGTTCGCTGCCGGCCTGGCAGCTACATTCGCGCGCTATGAGCGCCGTTGGCTGTGGTATGCCATTGTCTGCATCAGTTTCCTGACTGTAGGATATCAGGCGGGCGTGAATGGAGCGCGGTCGGTACGTCAAGGTTCTGATCGGCATCGCGCGCTGTTTACTTCGTTTACGGGTGCGAATTTGCTTGTATTCGTGTTGTATCCGATGTAAGCTCTCTCATTATGTATATCTCCATAGAGATGAGATATCAAGCTAACTTCTACTCAAGCATCCTTGCAGCGTCTCCTCTCAGCCACCGAATCAGCGTGGATGCCGAGACTGTCGCCTGGGCGATCCATGACATTCTGACTCAGGGATTATTCGGCTACTGGTTGCTTGTTGGGCATGATAGTAGTGAGACAGGGTAGGCTTAGCTCCCTTCCATCTTGAAACAACCGGCTCTGACAATTCGTTCAAGACAACTCTTCGTCGATGGGTTCTGGTCTCATGGCATTAACCATGAAGGTGCCATCCGAGTGGGTGAGAATGAGGGAGCGTAGGTTCTCTTCCTTCGCACTCTCGGTGAGTGTTCACTGCTGGTGGTAGTTGGCTTTAAGGAAGTGGCAAAGCAAGCAGACAAGCTTGTATGGAGCAATGCTTGCTGTCTCCAAATTGGATGATGTGAAATGCTTTGGCGTTCGGAATCAAATTGTGTATTGGGTGTGCATGTAATAATATATTGTCCAAGCTGATGTTGAAATTTAGTCAATAATCTAGTACGTTGAGGACAACTCTTTATATGAGATCAGTGACTAGTTCAGTTCTACTTTGGAGAAACTTTCTCTAGATTAATGAATAAAAAAAGGTTCGCAGAACTTGCAGCGCGTAGCATTGATTCTCATCATGCATGGTAAATCGTAATGGTCATTATTTCATTCGATCTCTTATGTCTCCTTTGTACTCAGTCTTCTCCCTCGTCGTCTTCAATAACAGCATTGAAGACATGACTGCGAAAGTGCCACGGATGCCGCGATGTTCTGCCAATATGTCTGGATGAAGCAGCTGGGGCCATGTCTGTACCTTGTTGTTTACCCTTATTTGAAAAGGATGAAGATGTGGATGACTCATTGACATGATGCTCCTCAACCATCTTCCCATCCTTCAGAGTAATATGCTTGAGCTCCTCATCCGAACAAAGCCGCCGAATAGACTCCGTCCTCGCCGTCTTCAACTCATCTACACGAATTTCAAACTTATCCATATCTACCTCATGCGGGAGATAGAAACCGGCATCATAGCAGTCGGCGAATGTGATTGAACGCAGTTTCTGTGCATCAAAGCAGCTGCAGAACGGGATGGCGTCGACAACGAAGCCGCGCAACGTGAGATGCACCAGTGGTAGCAGTCGTGCCATCCAGGTTTCGTACTCTGGATGCTTCTGGCTGAGTTTGGGTTTTGCTAGTTCTATCACGCAGTTGTCGAGGTATTCGGCGTTGCCGTATTGCTTCTTGATACGCCCTTTGCCATTTCCCCTGGAGGAGTCTCTCAGTACGACGAAGTAAGATAAAATGCGAAGATGGAAAGGACCCTTACGGTGAAATGTACGCATGAACCTCCTGCATTCTAGGCAACCACCCTTCTTCAATACGTCGCCAATGCACCCCAGACGCCAGACGCGGCTCTTCCGCCATTCTCAACTGCAGGTCTTCCAGCTGCTCCATTTTCCAAATCGCCTGAAAAAGCTGCTTCTGGTACGACTTGAGCATGCCCGTAACCCGCAGGCAACGAAGACCAACGAAGGATTTCAGCGAGCTCAGATATTGCTCATCGAGAGGATTCGGTTTATCGCCAGCTTCATCCGGGCTCTGCCATAGGTCGATCCAGAGATTCTCTTGGCTGCTGATGAGGGGGAGTTTTAGTAGGGCTGAGAAGTCTTCGCCTAGGAATATGGGATCCATGTTTGTATCGGGTGTTGTTGCGGGGGTAGCTTCAGGGATTGCGGAGTTGGAGTCATCTTGAGGATGGGGAGCTGTTTTACTCGCTCATTGAGGATAATATGAAGGATTAGCCAGGGGTCATACAGTCATGGTAGAAGTGGTTAGCTCACATTTTGCTATGCTGGTGGACGACGACTTGTCACGTCGAGATGGTTCTGTCTGTCTCGTTAGTTTGCCTTGGGGGGTGGAGGGGGAAGAATATTAAGAGAAGAAGGGTCGCCGCGAACCCTTTTCTTGCGCCGTTTCACCAGAATGGGCATGTTTGAGCTCATGCAGTCGCTTAAGATTCGAGAAAGCCAGTCTTGGAATGACTGACTTTCTCTGAGCAGGGTCTCGAGCCATGAGAAGAAGACTGCTGGTAGAATGGCTTGTTTCCAAGTCTGAGGGCTGTGGGAAAGGTTGGTACCTAAGAAAGAAGAGAGGAACAGTGAAATGAGAGCTGAAGGTCGTAGGGGCCTACAGGAAGGCAGGTCATAGCATGGTTCCAATATAACATGGAGTAAAAATGAATGCATTGTCCAATAGTGCCTATTCAGTCAGTGTATAAAGCTTCAGGAGGAGCTCACAATATGTGACGAGTTATGAGATGAACATAACAGAGATAAGACAAGAGGCGCCTCTGCATCTTGAAAAGCAAAAAGACATTGTTTTCATCAGATCACTAAGTCAAAATGGCATCTAATTGCCTAAGCAGTATCAAAGAAAAGACGGACGTTGCCGGTGTGCATGGTTTAAACGTAAGGCCAGCACTAAAGAAAGCATTTTCTAGCACAAAGGAAGACCTTAAATCTCTTGACTATTTACTCTTGTTAGCCACTGTTACGCAGGCGGGAGCGGTACATTGAGTTACCTACATAGGCAGAATAGGGCTATATTGATGTACGTATTGCCCGGTACTTTGATGACTCTTGTAAACGATCAATGCCTTGCCCCTCTCATAGACATACTTCCATCATGAGAGGTAGAAACGAACTTGGTTGTTATCTAGGCAGCTAGACCAGCCTACGTCTTTAGCGAAGACCAGAGGGATCTCCTTCTGACTGAGATATATATACAACGTCCTTCACTCACTCCCGCTCTACGATAGAGTCGTTAGGTCGTTAATGTTATCATATACAGGACAGGATTTGGACGTGCTCTCGCACATGGTCGTGCGGTTGAGGTTCTTGTCCGCAGGCCCCGTTGGCCCCCCAGTGTAGTGGCACTCTCCCACGATGCAGTACTGGCCGGTCTCGATATCGTCAAGCAGCCCGTCGGGATACTGCTCATCGCCCCAATAGCCCAGCCAGTTTAGCCAGTCAGCCGTCTCGCTCTCTTCCTCACTGGCTCCCGTTCCTGCGCCAGGCGCGACGGTAAAAGTGCCAGTCTCCGTATCGTACCAGTAGCCCCGGTAGTTCAACGTCATATCCCACAGATACCCGGCATCGGTGGTGTCAGAGATGAGACCCAGCGCGATGGTGTAGTTCTGACTGCCCGCCGTCACGTAGTTGGCATGTCCGCCGTACGCGATGTAAGTGATGGGACGCTCGCCCGAGAAGTCCACCACGTCCCAGTAGTAAGCAGAGCCGCCGCTGTGCTCGGAGAGGTAGATGGCGTATGGTTCTTCGTTGACGAACCGGATCTAGTCAATGTTAGAGCGGGCGAATACGAGCAGCAAAGCCCCGAGGCCACTCACCATGACATGCTCCCAGTCACCGACGTGGTCGTCAAAATTGATGTCAAGAACGCTGTCGAAGAACCCGGGTTAGCAAATCATACGGACACGCAGCGTGGAGAGACTCACCCTCCACCATAGTTGTAGGAGTAGAAATAGAAGTAGAACACATCAGTAGTAGTGCTATTCTTCTCAGCAGCAATGATAAGACCCGGAGCGGCACTGAGGCCGTCACTGCTGGGGATTCCGTATTCCGAAGTGAGCCAGTCAGGAGTGCCGTCCAGGGGGTTCAGGATAGGGCCATCGGAGGCAGTCAGGTAGACGTCCGACGAAAGCGTATCAAGCGTGTCGAGCGTCACCGAGCCGTTTGTCCCGGTAGCATTGAAGTCAACCTCGGGTTGCACATTGGCCAGGTGTACTGTGATGTCGGATGGGAACCATTTCTCGCCGCTGTAGAGGTACGACAGGGGCGCGTAGGTGATGGCGTAGTCTGGGAGCGCCTCGCGCTTGTGCATGCGAGGCGCTGCAGCAGCGAAGGCTGCGAGAGCGAGGAAGGCGGATAGTTGGCGGATTGAGGACATCGCGGTGATGCTCTGTAACAACTGACCCCCAGATTTGGATGGGCAGTCACGACATACTTATAACTTTCGTGAGCCCGGGGAGCATTTGGGCATATCAGACTTTCCCGATTGGGAAACCCTCCCCGTCTGGCGATACATCCAGGGCCAGTAGTGTTCTGTGCCTGACGCAGGTGGCAGCACAAGGGTATGCATGACATGAGAAGAGAGCGGGGAGAATGGCCCGATGATCACCATCGCAAGCGCTTGGGGGCCAAAACTTAGACAGAGTAGTACTACTGTACCAAGCTATAGTAGCAGCAGCAGTATAGCTATCCCTGTGAAGCTTTTATTTCCAAGCACGTGTTAAAGGATGCTACCGGGATCTGCAAAGCCCGAGTCCGTATAACCTCCTAGCTGTATGCCTGCTTCATGCACCCAACGTTGCCTTGCAGGTGAACTTGCAGTTCAATGTTAGCTCATGATTTCAAAGCTCGAGAATAGTCCAGGTGCTGCATGGAATTATCCCAATTGGTGCAGCTTTGAATCGCTTCTACCGAGTCTTCCGAGGCAATAACCCTAAAAGCCCTAACTATTACTTGTTTAGGAAAGACTGTCTGACCCCGCAAACTTTCATTCAGTCTCGTACTTGCTGGAAGAAGAATACGCAAGGATTATTCATCTGCTAATGCTTAGATTACGGAATACTAACAGTAGCTTCATCTCCTAGTTCATAGCATCGAATGCGTCAACTGATTTTGTATCACGAGAGAAACCTTGTCAAGGCCCTGTCTCGCCGGTATTGCGGCTGGATGATCAAAACGTGATATTTTCTTTAATTGTCCATATATCATCCAAGTAGCCAATATAACCATCTGGTTTCGGTGCCATAATCTTGAATGATATTCTTCGTAATTTGGCTATGTCCAAACGCATGTTGATGATTAGAAGCCTGTATATCATATGTTGTATCAACTGCGGCAGACTATGACATATAGTTTGGTCGCCTCTTGTGTGAGAGCAGTGATGTAAGCTTCACCAAAAATTCAGTTTTTGACGCAACATGATCCACTGCCTGCTGCTTGATTTGCGACATGGCAAAGCGTACCGCAATTGACCTTAATAATTAAGCAGCGGGGCATAAAAGTTAAAAGTCAGGGTGTGTGCATTGATGCGCAAGAGGCTCGGAAAGAAAGATGAGTCCAATGAGGAAGAAAGCCAAGGGAACGAGAATAGATTGGAGACTCAAGAAGACTACAGCAGAACGCCTGCCAACAATGCAAGGTAAGTTCTTGATGAGACATCGTTGTTGATCTGGGAGGGGGCGATTCTAAACTTCACGATATCTCGCGACGATTTAACTGCTGACTAGATGAGCGGGCTTGAATGTATGCTGATGATTCGCCGAATGTTGTTAGTCTGCTACTAGTAATGTGCTGTGCTCGAGTAGAATACGAACATAAACTCGCGTTAACGCATACGTGCAGTCAATGTTAGGATCAATGGTGCTTGTATTCTACTAGTCAGCTATACAACTAATAGATCAAACTTCTGACCCCCCGTCTCACTTAGTTTTTCAAAGCAGATCGGTCGTCGTTTGGATTCTTTGAGAATAAATTATCTCAAATTTAGAAGGGAAAAGGGTGTCATGCTCCGGCCATTATAGAAAACAAAGGAAAAGAAGAAAATAGGTATGCTATGCCATTTTTTTGCCTCTCAACATCTAGTAGCGCTTGCCCTCACGGAGGACATCACCGAACTCCTCCAACGGGCTGCGGATGAGCTTAGTCTCCTTCCACAAGTTGGGGGTAAGGAAGCCGTAGGTGTTGCCGACAGCAAGGAAAGTGGCCTTGAGTGTGTTCTCGAGGGTCTTGGTGGAACCGGACGAGGAGGTGTAGGCGTCCTGGACACCAGCAAGTTGGAGGAGACGCTTGACAGCGGGGGAGGCAACGAGACCGGTACCACGGGGAGCGGGGATAAGCTGGGTCCTTGTTAGTATGTTTCACACCCAAAAGACCGATTTATGATAGATAAAAAAGATATACGTACTCGGACAGTGACGGAACCGCACTTGCCGCTCTCCTTGGTGGGCAGAGAGTGAGGCTCACCGAGGTTGGTACCCCAGTAACCACGACGGATGGGCAGAACGCTGAGCTTGGCGATGATGATAGCGGCGCGAATAGCAGTAGCGACTTCCTTGGAGGTCTTGATTCCGAGACCAACGTGGCCCTCACCGTCACCGATAATGACAATGGCCTTGAATCGGGTACGCTGACCGGCACGGGTCTGCTTCTGGACAGGCTTGATCTGTTGCGAGAAAAAAAAAAGATGTCAACGCCTGTTCCATTTATTTTTGCCTGTCTGATGAAAACCATTGTCCCCTAATTCCTCATGATCGCTTTCTGTCCCATTTCCCATGGCCGACAATCACCAATTGCCTGGATCGAACCATGCGAAACCAATGCAGCGAATGTAACAAGAAAAAAATTCATCCGTACCTTCATAACCTCATCCTTGAGCTTGGGCAGGAAAAAGTCGACAATCTGGTACTCCTTGACGGGCAGCGAGTGCAGGTAGATCTGTTCCATGGAGGTGATCTTGCCAGCCTTGACGAGACGGCCGAGCTTGGTGACGGGCTGCCATTCCTTCTCGTCGCTCTTCGCGCCGCCGCGACGACCACGACGACCACGACCACGACCGCGGTCACCACCACGGTCACCGCGAGATCCAAATCCTCCACGTCGGGGAGCGTCAGCCATGATTGCTGTGTATGTAGGGGGGAAAGTCGGGTTGTCGAGAGGAGTCGTCGTGTGTGTTGGTCGGAGGTTGTCGACTGTGCACCTTCTTTGGATGTCTCTCTCGATCTTCGACAGTGTGGCTCCTGCGGGCGACCCACCCGCAAATTTCCCGTTGAGGACTTTGCCCTAAGCGAGCGGGAAGCCCTAGCCCGGCCAGCCCTAAGCCCTAATGTCGCCAGCCCAATCGGGAAACCCGCGGTTGAGCTGCTTAGTCATGCGCGCCGCCCCGAAAAAAAGAAACGCGGCGGCTGTCAGGTGACCCAGTTCACCGGCACGGCCCCACGTGCGCCGTGGCTGCTGATTGGCCGCCAGCCAGATTGCCCCGTCCTGCCTTCAGATCGCCTTTCAGTTCCCCCTGTTTAGGAGCGCTTCCAGCGCTTCTGCAGGCCTAAGGGTAGACCTGGCCAGTGTTGGTCTGTCGTCATGGGCCCATAGCTGTCGAGACCGGCGTCTTTCTTTCTTTCTTTCACGTTCAAGTCAACTAACACATCACTTCTGTTTTCTTTGGGCTTGTCTTTCTTCTTGTCATTTTCAATTTTTAGTCAATCGCTTCATTCTTTAATTACCGCCAACATGTTGGGCTGGTGGGTACCCTGTCCTATATCCTGGCTGGTTTAAGCTAATTCGACAATGATACTAGGTATGCCGCGAAGATGGCCCAGCGGCCATTGCTTACCTCGAGTATCACCACAGCTGTACGTGTGGCTTGTCATGGCTAGGGGGTGAATTGAACTGCACGTGCTAAATCTTCCATCTGCCAGACTCTCTTCGGGGCCGGAGATGTGCTAGCTCAGCAGGCCGTCGACAAGAAAGGATTCGACAATCACGATTACGCTCGAACGGGCCGTATGGTCCTCTATGGAGGAGGTATGGCATTTGCTTGATTCACTCAGACCAATGGAGCATAATTGCTGATTTTACCAACTCCAACAGCCATCTTCGGTCCTGCCGCTTCTGCCTGGTACGGCGTCCTCCAACGTCACATTGTTCTGAAGAGCACGGCGACAACAGTCGTGGCTCGCGTCGCTGCCGATCAGTTGATTTTCACGCCCGTCAATATGTTCTGTTTCTTGTCGTCCATGTCTATTATGGAGGGCACCGACCCCATGGAAAAGCTGCGCAAGGCCTACTGGTCCACATACAAGACCAACTTGGGTGTTTGGTCGACCGTGCAGCTGGGCAATTTTTCCCTGGTACCCCTGGAATACCGCGTGTTGGTTGTCAACGTGGTCAGCTTGGGTGAGTACAGATCTTGTCAGAATCTCGCGCCATGCCTCAAGCCAGGCTAATCTCCTTCTTCTACTAGGATGGAATTGTTATTTGAGCCTTGTCAACAGCAAGGCTTAGTTGATTGTTGTCTCTGGCGCCACTTTTAGCGAAATTATGTTTACATCAAATGGGGATTTCGGGTTCGGTTTCATCATACATTCATACATACAATACATACAATACAACACAACACATAGATATAGATGGCTGTCTATGCTATGGGCTTTGAAGGTTAATATACATAATATTGCTATCTCATATAGTCTATATTTCTTTTAATTGAAGAGCACATACATAGAATAGATAGACTGGCGAATTATCGGTAGTGCTAGGCCGGGCGGTGAGCGAACAGCCGCCGCAGATTGGGTGGCCAAAACCAAAAAAAGTTGCTGGCACAGCATTTCAGGCAAAATCCTCGCAAATCCCCCGACATCTTGACAGGCGTTGCGCCTTTTACTGACTTCATAACGCCTACTGTTGTCTGCCTGGCGCAGAGCTTTCGTTCTCTTTGATCCCTTCGTTTTAGCCGATCGGGTCTTTAGTGGTTGGCGGCTGTTCTTTCCCCGCGGCTGTCCCTCACACGAACGGCAACTGCCTTGCCCGACAACTCACCTTTCTTTGAGAAATCCCCTCGGCTTTCTCTCATCTCCAACAAAACAACTTTCGTCTACTCTCTTCATTGTTCTCGCCTCGAATCAGCACAAGCTCACGCAATCATGGCGACTGCAACTGAGAACGGCGCTGCCCCTGCTCCTGCGATCAGCGAGAAGACCGAACAGAATGGCGACGTTGTCACTGTTTTCCACGACCCCGAAAACTTTAATGTCAAGCATCCATTGATGAACGAATGGACTCTGTGGTTTACCAAGCCTCCGAGTGGAAAGGTACGTTTCCCTGGATATTACACCAGCATTACAAAGCGATATGGATTAGGGGCTGAACTGGGGGTAACTAGGGTGATAACTGGAACGACCTCCTTAAAGAGGTGGTGACTTTCGGCTCAGTTGAAGAATTCTGGGGCATCTACGTGAGTATTCCTCCGCCGGGCCTTGCCGTATGTCACATTACTGACGGTCTCTCATCTAGAATAACATCACTCCTACCTCCGAACTCGGTCTCAAGGCCGACTACCATCTATTTAAGAAAGGCATCCGCCCTGAATGGGAGGACCAACAAAACAAGCACGGTGGCAAATGGTCATATTCCTTCAAAGACAAGCGCGCTGTTCCCATCGACGAACTCTGGTTGCACGCACAACTCGCTGCTATTGGCGAAACTCTCGAGAACGACGAAGACAACGAGGTCATGGGTGTTGTCGTCAACGTACGCAAGGGTTTCTACCGTATCGGTCTGTGGACCCGCACTGTTGGCAAGAGCCTTCCGGGAGACAAGAGCACCGGAGCCCGCTCTGCTGCCAAGGGCAAGGAAGTGTTGGAGAATATTGGACGTCGATTCAAGGAAGTGCTGCGTTTGAAGGATGCAGATGTTGTTGAATTCTCTGGTCATACTGATAGTGCAAACGCTGGTAGCACTCGCGCCAAGGCCAAGTACACTGTCTAAGAGGGTTGAAGTGGGATAACGTGGGTTTTTCACACCATTCTCCGAGAACGTCGTCCCACCCGAGGGGGAGAGAGAATATCGTCTGCTAAGGGGTCGAGGACAAACACGAAACCAACCGCCGGTGATTATGTTATTCGAATGAAAGAAAGAAGAAGGGAAAACAAAAGTGATACCATGCATTGATAGGCTGATCATTGCGTTGATTTGAATCTTTCTGTACCTGCCTAGCAAGGGGCACTCAAGAGATCTTGTAACTGGAACAGCGTGTATATTCTACATTTTCTTTGTAACGAACATTGAACATTGCAAATGAAGGCAAGTTTTTCTATACGCATTGCTCATAGACTGGGGCTTGGTTAGAACAGTGCGGGAGCCACAAGAATTTCCGGAACCAGATCCGAACATAGCCCTAATGCCTATCCTAAAACAGGCACTACCTAGGTGAGTATACTACATTATTATCTCTTCCTTGGCAGGACTACTAACCTGGTCAGTAAGTCGGTGTCCCAGCTTGCTGAACAATATCACCTAGCCAAAGAGCTCTTCTGGGGCTAACGTGATTCTAAGGCTACATCAGTCCTCTTGACGAGACTCAAATTGTTGGTCAGTTCAAAGGACAAGAATATACACGCAAGACCGGACAAACTAAGGTGGGTGAAAAAAGGCCTGGAAAGCCCTAACGAAGAAGAGAAGCGCACGCTGAGCCATAGCCACGTTATTAACGGTGGTGGTCTTAACATCCAGGCCATGGCTTTAGGTGATGTTTTATACAACAGCAAGGCTAATATATCAAGACTTCATATGTTTTGTCCTATAAATGCACTGGGATATTATTTACTACGTCCCTACAAAACCCAGTGTACAACCAGTTAGACAGAACCACTCGCTATGTTTATAAACACGTGACATTTCCATGTCCTCCCCTCTTACGCTCCTTTATTTCACTGCAGTGAGAATTCATAATGGGAAATTCTCGTTGTACACGGTACTTGATCAGTTATGGGACTGAGGTCTCCCATCTCCTCTAACGGTTGATAAACAAGATGGTGGGTATAACAGTCACAAAGCAGAATATACTTAGAACCCACCCCAAAGTTCCCCAGCCAGCGGTCGCGTAGAGTTTTCCAGAGATCAATGGGCCTATCAACCCTGCCAAAGCACAGGCAATTTCAGAAATGCCATAGCTTTGGGCATAACCTCCACTATTGCCTAAAGCTCCTATCATAATGGGTATTCCGATCGCGGATATCCAGCGTGCACCGTACTTATCGGCCGCCTTCCCTAGCAGAGGTCCAAGGAACGTAGGAAGTAGTAAAGCCAAAAAGATCACTCCGCCTTGGAGCGATGACCAGTGAAACGTGTGATTCACAAACAAGGTCAACGTGGTATCAAAAGATACCATGACTGTAGCTGTTACAAAATCCCCCCAGAAAGCAGCTAGCAGGTGGGGAGACTTCCAAAGAGTAAGAATTGGTGGCAGTTTCTTGCTGCTCTGTGGCGGATCAGGGGGGGCGCCGAAAGCCGTTATCTCAGCCATAGACTATTCCGCATCCAGAGGGGCTGGTGGCTGTAGCCATTTGGCGGCGGATTTCTTCTCGATAATCATCAAGCGAAGGAAGAAGCCGCAGAGACATAGCCAAATGACTGAGCGACAGTGTGTTTTTTTGCTATATCGGCTAGCAGCGTGAAGCCCACAACCCATGAGATCTCCTATCTTGGATCCGGTCGGCGAAGAAGCCGAAAAGAGGCACCATATAAACAACCAAAGTGATAAACCTAATCATGTCATGTTAGCGGTCGCAGTTTAGTCGGAGTTGAAAGTATGATATGTACCATGTTGAAAATCGCAGATTCAACAGAACTGGCGGTTTCTGCAGTATATGCATGTTTTCCCACCATTATATGCACATGGTCTGCCCAAGATGGGAGAAAGGAAAGAGAGCCATCACCCATCATACTTAGACCCTGACCCTGTAGCGCCGTCTACTCCACTGTTGGAGTGGAGTAACACAACTTATTAAGTTATTACTAAGTTAGGCAAGGCTTAATAAGGCTAGTTTTCAATGAATCTGACCTCGTAAGATCCAATATTCCTAGAAAGTCTGCCTGAATTTTAAGGTGTCTAGATTTCTATTCAATGAGACTTGTGCTTCTGCATGTACATTGACTGGGCCGAATATGCCCCTATAACAATATACTAGTTATCAGCACCACCTATGCATGTCAAGAAATGGGTACTCTTCAGCTCTCTTTAACTGTGATTCCGATGTGCCAAACCAATAAATACAATCAAATTTATGGCCAACAAAGCATGGATGAAACTGTTCCTTGCAAAGCTTGACCTGTATACTGTGATTCTGTCAGTAGATGATGTACTTTGCGAACCTGCTTTTGGAGGCCTGACTGCTCTAGCTAATGCATACTACTCTATATGCATAAGGCCTGGTCTTGACGCGTCCTCTCTTCGTTTCTGGTATAGTCTGTCTGGCTGACTTGTTTATTATCATGACTTCGGACATAGTAGATCACATCCGATCCGGCTTCCATGCAAAAGCATAAATAGCACGATTCTCTCTTCAAATGTGTCCGTGACCTTGATTATTGCAAAAAGTTCTGTGATATTTATGGTGTGATTTGTCAAGGCGCTTTGAGAGATCAATGAATGAAACTGAAACAACAGCTTAATAAACTTGGGGTTTCTGATTGGCTTCCAGCATCTCCTACCCAGCCCAAGGAAAAACATGATACAAGTATGAATAGCATAATTTTACAAACTTGCGTAACCCATATTTACATGGTGATTCATTGCCTTTTCCCAGTTACATAGTCATCTCGTCCCAAGGCCATGGTCTCATAACGACACAACATCTCACATAAACCTGTCGGACCCTGCTGAGGAATAGCACGCCGCTGCTTCGGCAGCCCCTGTTCAATATTGTCATCCACCGAGGGAGACATGAGTTCAGTTGAAGCCGAGGGGGTTTCATCAGGGTTTGCAGGTGTTGCTTCTTCATCGCTAACAGTGCTCGTAACGTCGTCATCGCTGTTAACACGACCCCCCTCTCCTTCCCCCCTTTCATCGTATTCCTCCTCCTCCGACGACGATGTATCATCTTCCAGAATCTCTTTCAAACCTTCCGGCACCTGGTCCCAGAGAGACTTTCGATCACCCGTCTTTTTGCGTACCGAGCGACGAAAGATAGCCCGCACTTCCTGACCGAGTATTGACCTCGTCGCCATCACGGCAAATGCAGATGTCAACGCCATACAATCCGGGTCAGCGATGTCGTAAAGACCATAGTCTAAAAGAAGGAAGAGAGCGAGATTCACTGCGTACAACGCAAAGACGTGCGCTCTACTCATGCCAAACTCATCCTGATGGGTTCGTACGAGTCCTGCGACGGCGCGTGCTGATGATGTTGCTATTGATAACGGGTCTTCGTTGCTTTCTGGTATGAGGCTAGTTGGCGTCGCTTCTTTTGTCTCCAACTTCACGGGCTTGGAGAGATGGTTGTGTCCTCGAGGACAATTGAACATGCTAATGACGGTAGTGTGATACCGTATACTTTTTTTTTGTTATTGATTTGTAAGCTTTCCAATTTATCTCCAGAAACTTTCTTTTCGAGTTAGACATACTGAAGGAGTAGGATATGAGGAGCAGGTTTTGTCGACGCGTCGAACTCGTCTGGCAGATTGTCGTGCCATTTCTTGATCCTTCTATAGAAAGAGCCAACAGCCTCCGACAGTTGTTCCTTACCACCGTCGAATGTCTCGGCGAAAAGAGATTGGGAAATATCTCGCGCAATTTCACTCAATGCGCAAGATTCATTGAAATAGGTGACACCATAGGCTTTCCGCGAAGGCTTCTGGGAGGGATAAGGAGCCCAAACGTCTGTGTCTTTGTCCAAACTCAAATACAAGAACTTCTGCAGACGCACATTCTTAATACGACATGGTTTCAAGAATCCCGAATGGGCAACCCTAAGGGATCATCAAGTTACTTTCAACGATTTATGGAAACTCTTAGTGGGAAACCAAAGGCAGAAGTTGGGAACTCACGTGTCTACTTGAAACAATCCCCATATGGTCTTTGTCGTCGAGTTATATAGCTCCTTAGACTTGTTGCTCAAATCGATGTCCTGGCCTTCGCCGCCTGTATATCCCAGTTCGTCGGCAATATCGATGGCTTTGTAGAGCATAGAATAGCCCAAGTCGTCCTGGCCAGTCATCGAATATCTGAAGATATTGTTATCAAGACAGCCCGGTGGAGGGAATGCAAAAAGTGGCACACCTTTCATACAGAATCATAGTCCCCTGTAATGTACATAGTTTCGCTTCTCCGTCCTGCGCTGCAAAATACCTTTCGGCTTCCTTCAAGAAATCGACACCTTTGGTAGTAACATCGCCTGGCACTCCATACGCCTCCGAGTATTCCGAGTAGCTCTAAGCCTCTGTGCTCAGCTTCCATCGCCAAGTAACAAGTGCCAAAAGTGAGGACAACTTACACAAGCATGTGCCAGAAGCGCATTAACCAGAAATGGAGAGCAAAACTCAGAATCGAGGTTTCGTGACTTCATATGCTCGATCAAAACCTTCATGTCCAAGAACGAGAAGAAAGGATAGTCCCAAGTAAAATACAATGAAACCAAATGCGATATGAAAGCGTCGTCATCGGTCACAGTCGTCCAGGGCTTCGCCGGTACCTCAATCGGAGGGATGACACACAAAAAGTTTACATCCATGACCTGACGTCTAAACGAAGGCGCAGAGCCCTGCATATTTGCTCTACTGCGAAGCGCCTTTAGCCGTTCGGCTGTCTCTCGTTTGGCATCACTCGACGGCTCTAAGACCTGTAGATGAGCAAGGACCTCGTCGATGAAGACTCGGATCTCTTCCGGGGTGGCATCGCTGCGAATCATCTCCAAGAGCCGCTGCGCCTCTTGTTCGCCTGCCGATCTGATCACTTTGAACAGATCGTTGAGCATGTCACGGTGATATTCCAACTCCTCGGCCGTTCTTTTGGCTGCTACACGCCGTCGCTGGTCCAAGGACTCGTCAAAGATGCATTCTCGTTGGAGGGCGCGACAATTGTCGCAGGGAGGAGTTCCTGAGCACTTGAATGATTGCAGTTAGCTATGGTAAATAAGCCCATGGAGAATTAGTATACGCAAGCACCATTTTACTTGAAACTGTGTAAAGTAAACCAAGAGACAAACGAACCTTTCGTTTCGACTTCTTACACGCGAGACAAGCGGTCGACACTCTCTTCTTCCAACCGGGGCCCAAATTCCTCCTCCTGCTGCTGGCCGTTGTCCTTCCTTCTGCGAACGACGGGCCTGGCATAATGGGTCTGAAGGGCGAAGGACTACTACCTCTATCCATCTTTGCTTTTTTCGTGACTTCAATCTCTCAAGGGGCTGCCTTGCTTTCTGTGGTTAGATTGATCGGCCAAGCATACTTGCCTGGCCAGACGTCAACATTGACTGATGAAGCCCACTTGCCTGGGAAAACCTTGGAAGTGGCAAGGACCAGCAAGCAATCGAAGGAGGCTCAAGCAGCCGCTTAGGGCATTGATACAAGACCCAAAAAGTGTGGGCGAGATGACGTTGGGCTGATATCAGTGCGGTACATAGCGGCGGGGTGGAAAACACTTCCACCCGCTGATCAGCTCCCGACTCCTGCTTGCAGCTATTCACACAGGCAGTTGACGGCCGTTAAGTTGAGACTGAACGAAGTCAGTCTTGGCTCTTCGGAAGGAGTGCGGCTCCCTACTAAATTAGTCACAGTGGATGTATACGGTGGCAAAAAAGTGAACGAGCAAGTGAAGAATAAATTAATTAAATTTGCTAGCCAGCAGGTATGTAACAATGTCTCGATTATAAGAAATCCGTGCGGACTTCAGACAGGCCAGGCCGACTGTGTAGTCCCTCCGTTGGTGAGAAGTAGTGGTAGTAGTAGTATCTATTATCTCTTTTTTTTTTTCCCAACACCTGCCCCCAAACAAAAAGCAATCAGAATGAAACATCTAGACAAATTAACCACTTCTTCAAATAAGAAAAACGCGGTGGAAAAGAAAAGAAAAGAAATAAAATAAGAAGGGAATGTTGAAAATGCAAAGGAATAAGAAGCAAAGTGTAAGAGTTGAATTAAGTTTCTGCACGGGGTTCAATAAGTTTATTTGTTTAATGTTCCAGGATCCTCAAGCTTCCCTGGACAACACAGTTCTCAAGGATAGAGCCCGGAGGAACATCAATGGTGCTGCCCTCGCTGGCAACGATGATAACTGTGCCTTTGAGAGTGACATTACGTCCCAAGTTCACAGGTCCGGTGATGGTGAGATGATCAAGCTCAGCAATGCGAGGGATGCTGGGAATGCGCTTCTGGAAATCAGAAACCTTCTTGAAGTCAGATCCCAGCTTGATGATGGGAGCACCCCCGAAGCGGTTGGGGTCAATGACCAGCTGGCCGTGCTGCAAGCTGTACAGATCCGACTTGACAAGCATCAAATCAGAGCAGGTCTTGACAGGCAAGAAACGACGGCGAGGGACGTTGACACCGTGAGCATTGCGGAAGTGGCGAATGGCGGCACCAACGGCTGTCTCGAGCTGGATGATGGAAAGGTCGGCCTCGCCCTTCTTGTCAGCCGGAATCGACTTCTCGTTGGGAATGATTTCCATTTCCAGCTCGTTCTCCTCGACCACACGCTTGATGGCACGGAGGTTCATCCAGATGTTGTTAGTGTTGAAGTACTTGAACTTCTTGATCGACTTGAATTCGTTGACGTGCTCCTTGGGAACCTGAGCAATTTCCAACAAACGCACGCGGCCGTCGTAGTCAATGATGGTACCACCCTTGACATCAGCCTTGGTCTTGTCGGTCAATTCCATGATATACTCGGACTTGGAGTCCACCATGTGCTGGAGGATGCGGAGGTCAACAACGGCACCCAGATTGTCGGCGTTGGAAAGGAAGAGAATTTCAACGCCACGTTCGAGAAGCTTGTCAAGGGTTCCAGAGTTGTAGAGGGACTCGAAAACGTCACCGTGGCCAGGTGGGTACCAGTCGGAGATCTGAGAGTCGAAGCTCTTGGGAGCGGGGAGCAACGAATCCTTGAGGACACGAGGGTAGCGAGACTGGTTGAAGGTGATAATATCGATGTTGTGTCCCTCGTATTTCTTGATGATGTTCTGCGTGTCATCGTCGGTGTTGAAGGAGTTCATGAGCACGAATGGGACGTTCACGTTGTAGGTGCGGTTAAGGTATTCAATCTGGCGAACAGACAAGTCAAGGAACGACATGCCTTCACGAACCTCAATGACCGACTTGGGGCCAACGCAGCCCATGGATGTACCAAGACCACCGTTGAGCTTGAGGACAGCGAGCTTGTTGAGGAACTCAACGGAAGCCGAGTTTCCGAGCTCGGCGTAGTCAACAACTTGGCTGGGCTGCGGGGGGGCAATGCGGTCCCAGTTAACGGCATTGCCTTTGGCGCGGTCATTCAAGTAGCGTCGGAACAGAGCAAAGAAGTTGTCCATCTCAGCCTCGAAGCGCTTTTTAGTGTTGCCGTCCTCAACAGTCTCGGAAAGAGCATTCAAAGCATTGCGCATCTGAGAAGCAGCGACGCTAGTGGATGCATTCTCGAAAGCCTATCCATGAAACAAAAAAAATATATTAGCTATTATGTCTAGATTCCCCAAACCCCCTTCGTTCCAGATCAAGCAGACGCAGGGAAACTAGGATTCGGGCAGCGTACCATGTGAGACTGAGACTTTCCATGATGCTTGCGCTGGAAAGGGCTCTCGCCTTCTCCGCTGGACTCTGCCTGAGCTCTCAGGTGGGAGGGGATCGCTTTCGCGGCCATGGTTTGTGTATGTGTAAGTATGCTTTGGAAAGTCACAGAGAATTGGGGTCGAAAGTTTTCTCTTTTTTTCCCCCTTGTTGTCCTGTTCTAAGTGCAAGTGTTTCTAGTTAGCTCAGGTTGCGACGGACAACAAAAAGATAGACCGGTGAGCGGGGGAGGGAGGCAAAATGAGGCCAGCGGGACAAGTTGAACATCTAATGATGACAGCATTTCTGTGAGAGGGAGAGAGGGAGAGACAGAGGGAGGGGGGCGAGAGAAGGCATTGGATTGCCACGCAGCAACAACGCTTGGTCTGTCGATCCCATCGGGTAAAAATGCACATTGTTGACGGGGCGGGAGGGCCAATGGGCGGGTTGCAAGTGCTGGGCAGCTTACCTGTTTCCTGTGTGAACAGCAGAAGAGTGGCAGACGAGAAAGAATGAGAGAGAGTGTGTGTGCGTGTGTGAGTGAGACGACGAGAGAGAGAGAGAGAGAGGAGAGGGAAAAGGAGAAGGGCGAGGGGGTCTTGTTTTATGGCTGGAGTTGCAGTCAGGAGGCTAGAGGAAGCTTGGACCGGGCGAGTCCCCGCCTGCCGCCCAACGTGGAAGAAACAAGGGTGAAACACAGCGCCTCAGGCATCCAGCATGCCGTATTGCACCGTACCGTACCGTACCGTACCGTACACAAACGTGCCCCCAAGACGCATTTTGACACGGGCATGTTTCGCACGACGCACATACAACACCATCGTATTCCATACGGTAATACCGAGACAGCATTACATAGACACATACTACGTACTAGATCCTCTGAGAATAAAACAATAGCGATGTATGTATGTATATATGTATGTATGTATTAGTGGTACTTTTGTTCAATGACACTGACAGGCGTTTAGGAAAAGGATATCATGACGGTATAGAACTATTCAAGCAATCAGGCAGACACGACAACGACAAGCAAACAGCTTACGGTTTTCGTTTTGTGCATCTAACTCAGCATCAAACTGAAATCGCAGAGCAGCAAGTAACATACATAGTACTTGGTTGGAAAAAAAAAAAATTAATAAATAAAAATAGAAATATCGACTTATCGCTAATTGTTCTTGTTTACGCACCACTGACACTGCGCTTCGACAAAAAGCTTCGACGTTTCTTGTCAGAGGCATCGCCATTGGCATCCAATGGGTCCAGGTTCACTGAATGAGAGGTGCTGGGTCGACCGTTCGCCGGCTCACTGGGTGTGAAGCTGCTCTTGATGATGACACTGCCCGAGCCAACGCTCACTGTCTTTTCTTTGCTCATGACAGACCCTTGGTCATCGACAAAAAAGAGCGCCTCACCAAGACTGGTGTCTGAACCAAAGGTGCTGTGATCCACAACTTTCAATTGATACTGAGCATCAGCTGAAACGTAAGGGACTTTAAAAGTCTCATGAGATGAATCAAACTGGACTGAGCCGGTGGAGTTTTTCACTGCCTTGGTTTTGTGCACTTCCTTGGCACCCTTGCTACCCAAGAGACGAACATGGCAGCGTAGATTAGTGGATGGTGGGTATCCACTCGCAGACGATATCGTAAACACTGCCGTTCCTGTATCTGCCCCGAGCGATCCAGGGGTACCTTTGTCACCGCCGAATTGAGATATGATGCTTCGGGTACGGCTGTGGCGGCGCTGTAGGCTATCAGGTGTATTCGGCGTGCTTGGCTCTACAACCAACCCCGGAACGCGAGAAATACCACCATCGGCATTGCGGTTGGGCGTTGCTGGGGGGGACTGTTCTTCGATCGCAGTCACCTCGCTCTCCTTGTGAGTGTGGAGACGATTCTTTAGCCCTCGACCAAGGAACGAGGCACCCTTGATGACGCCCCCACCGACCATACCCACACCCTTGACTGGAGCTCCAACGAGTTTACCAGGAGTAGCAAAAGTACCAGACATGGTCGAGTGGCCTTGACGGGTTCGTGTGACATAAGACGGTTTGAAAAGGAGTTGTAGGCGAATAGACCCTGACTTGCCGTCCAGATCAATGCTAACGGTCTTTGACTGGAACGGTTCTAGGGACTCAATATCGACTGGAGCTCCACCCAAGTAGTCGGCCCTGTCTCCAAAGTCCCAATCATATACATCCACGCGGAAGTCAGCGCCGATTCTAGCTTTGACTGACGTCACAAAGAATTCGTTCCACACAGGTTGAAGCGTCTTCTTTTGGACATGCGTCTTGAACACTTCCTTGTCGTCCAACTTAAACTTGCAGTAAGGGTCGCTGAAACCGTTTCGATCAGCTGACGGAAGATTTGTTGCGTCAAGCACATGGACGCTGAGTTCGCCCGAATTGTTGATTGACTCGCTGGGATCCAGCTTCATCATAACTGGGATGAATCGAAGACTGACTTTGATCTTGCTGACTGCACCATTATCGGACCGGAGGACTAGTTCGGTGGGTGTATGAAGACATCGCTGTAGCGTGGTCAAAGTATCCCCAGTCAGTTGGGCAAGAACGTGCTTCTCTTCCTTGTCGCTGGTACCCTCAACCAGTCGAAGGGTAATCTGTGACATGTCTAATTCGCGGATGAATGCATCGCCGACTGCAGAAAATTCGGGGTCAGGAGATATTCTGGGCAAAAACAAGGGGGTCCACACTACAAAATAAAACTTACCATCTTCAAACGTTGCAGTTTTAGACTTTATTTTCATTGATGTATACGATGGGAACATATGATCATCAACGATCACCTCAAGATAGACATTTGCGTGAGATAGTTGTCCATCGATGACCTTGAACACAACCAACCCAGATTCTGTATATTATGTTAGAACCTTCACCATCATCAAGTCGACTGAGATAGAACTGCAACTTACCGTACTTTGGCAAATCCGCGGCCTCAATATGAATTTTAGGCGCCTGTTTTGCCACTGCAGTCTTCGGCGACCCTGGTGAGGGTGGCGTTCCATTGCTTTCGACTTTATTAGAAAGAGTTGTATCGACGCTGGGTCGGCCATTCGACGTAACATCCACGCTACCGCGAGAGGCATCGGTCCCTCTTCGGAGAAGACTTTGACGAGCAGAAGTGGAGTCAATGCTATTTTTCTTCGAGAGGCCCTCGGATGGAACGGTAGCAAGGTCATCTTCTTCAGACTCTTCGTCCTCCTCGGGATTATACACATTCACAGTGGGGTAGAAAGCAATGGTGTAGTTGAGGAATCCCTTAGCGGCACCACGTCCGTTCATGCGAAGACCACTCTTCACCTCTTGTTTCTCGTCATCAACCTCATATTCGCCATTTTCGTCCTCATGCACATAGTCCGATAGTGCAATGTCCACTTGACCAAGAGTGCGATCTCTCTGCATGCTCTCTTCGTCCATGACCTCGAGTGTTAGTTTCTCCCGTGTATTGTGGACTGGAATGTACACAATCTCGTTCCAATTGGGGTTGAGGTTGTTCTTATAAGTAACAGTACGACCACCAGGTATGCCATTGAGCAAAACGCGAGCATATGGATCCGACATCCCGATGGCCTCGAAATTTCGTAAATCACTGGCACCTTTAAAATGAACACGAATCACGCCAATTGGTTGAACATAGCCTGCGCCTCCAGCGATACCACGCAAAGCGACAGGTCTCCAGTCAACCGTCATTTTAACACGACCCTTCTTGGAACCAGCTAATTGATACCATTCCTGGCCCTTTTCCATCATCCGAAGCATATCATCCAGTTTGATTTGGTATCTTCCAATGATTGGATCAGTCGATAACTCACGCTCATCCTTGATAACAAGACCTAGTTTGGCATGCTTTCTGTCAGTGATGAGCAATTCCTTTGATGCGTCCTGGAAGATAGGGTTGTTGGTGCGTTTCAATTTCTTCGAGATGTGTAATTCCTTGCCGTTCAACAACAAAACAGCGTAAGGGTTGAGAGAGCCTACTAGGCTCTTACTTCCATCTAATTCTTTCGCTTGTTCCACGGTAAATCGTGCAACACCTGTGTTCAGCTCCGGCACCGGCTCCTCTGTACCATCTTCAAGTTTGCGGCCTTGCAACACAGGGAAAAATCGAACATCAGCCTTTAAAACACCGCGATTCCGACCACTGTATGAAACGTCTAAAGCCAGATTTTCATGCTCGGCCTCTGATTCCAGTTTGTCAAGCGGAAAGGTTGCGATACCCAGCTCTTGGTCCTTTCGAAGATCATTGTAGTCAAAGATGCCGATGGTCAAGGCGTCGGTGAATGAAGTGATGATAACGTATACAGTTTCATTCCAGCGTGGCTCGGTAGTGTCTTGGATAGTTTTCGTACGAGCCAATTCCTTCCGGTTATTGATAGAGACAGAGCAGTATGGATCGATGGTATTCCCTAATCGGGTTGAACCTTTCAAGTTGTAGGCGCTCTGAAGAGTGACTGCAAGAACACCAATTGCTTGATCCACAGGATTGCCGGCTAACATCTTGGCGATCTCGATCGGGAAAACGTTGGGGGCGTACATCATTGGGCTGAGATTCCCATGGATCTGCTCTTTAATGAAGCTTTCCAAACCTGGGATAAAGTTGATATCGAAGCCGAGAGTTTCTCCACCAAGCGGCTTACAGACGTAGTCGATATCGGGACGTTCCAAGAAACACACGTCGACGCGTTCAATGTGAGGGAAAGGGATTTGCAACTTCACTTTGACTCTCATTAATCCCGAAAAAGCAAAATCCTCTACGATGACATCCAGACCGTGGCTGATGACGCCCTTGCCGATTCGGACCTCCAAGACGACTTTAGGATTGACTTTGTCCTTGAGGTCGCGCGCTGTCATGTCCATTGTGTCATTTGGCGTGAAACTAAACTTCCAATCCATGATAATAGTGTCAACCTCAGTTTTCGGGTAGGTCTTGACATGCTCTAAACGTGGAGGCTTGGTTCCAAGGACAAAAGTTTTCATGCGTAGGTTGTCAAGAAAGGCCGGGGTTGCCGTGCTCAACACCTGATCAACTGAGGTGATGATGGTGTCACACAGGACGGGCGCATAGATTGGCCAGAATTTGAGCAAAAATCCATTAATCCACTCCAAGCTTTCTGCGTCCGTTTCCAACCGCTGCTTGGCCATTTCTCGATGGACATCATCGCGGAAGTTGCGGCGAACACGTCGAATGGAAGTTCGATAATATGTGCCACACGCTGCCATCACCAAAAAGACCCAGCCGAGGCCTCCCCCGAGTACCGCAATAATCCAAGATGAGAGGCAAGCAAAGACGATGACGGCAGCATTGTGATACCAATCTAGTGCGCGCAAGTCAGACCCAGGTGAGCAGTAACAAAAGTATAGGAATTGGAATTTAGCAAACCTCCAAAAAACTTATCGCTGATCTTGTCCTCCAAGAAAGTTCGATGGTCTAACAATGTATCCCCATCTTCTAGCTTCGCCTGGTCTGGTTTCATAAATTGGGGCGCCCATCCAGTGCGATCGCGGGCCCAGCGTTGATCTTCCGTCAACTGTCCATTCTGCAGTTGTTCTTTCTCGCTGGATGCTTCATTGACTTCCTCTGTAGCTTGGCTTGGTGGTGGCAAGTCGTATTGAACCGGTCCCGTTAGATCCTGTAGACTGTCTTAGCCCGGCATGGATGGATCTCGGGAAATTTTGGTAAACTCACTTTATCCGTTGTTAAAGCAACTCCTTTTGCCTTATTTGGATTATGAAAGCCTGGCGGAATTACCTGTAGTTGGGCATTCAAGTGTGAGTAAAAATTTATTGGTGACGTCGGACTTCAACAAATACTCACGGAACGAGTTATTTTCGCCTTCTCTTCCGGAGAGGCGTTCGGGTCAAACTGATATGCTACAGCACCAGCCTTGCGGCTTTCGTCCACGAGTTTCTGCTCCACCAATTCAGGTTGAATCTGTGACTGGGGGTCTTGGGCAGCTGCCTGAGCCGTTTCGATGATGCCCTGCTGCTTGAGCTCGGCGTGGGATTCTTCGGCGGCCATCTTTGCCTTTTATTCTTTTTTTTCTCCCTTCTATCTCTGCAGAATCGGAGAGTCTACAGTGAGTGCTGGAAAAGTATGTATAGTTTCAGCCGGACGAACCGCCGAAAGGCGCCCCGGGGGGGAGGGGGGCGAAGAAAAGGGTAGGGATGATGCCGTTTCAAAGTGGTCTGACTGTAGGCCGAGAGCTACCGACGTCAATGGTCAGAGCGGGCGGCGGCTGAAACTCGCTTGGTGACAACAATAGAGCTGCAGCAATCAACAATTGGAACGAATGCTGAAAGGCGAGATGCCTTGTAGCTAGGCGATGTCCAGAGAGGAAAGGAAAATAGGAAAAGAGGGAGGGGTCGGAGTAGGAGGAGAGGACGGAAGATAAAGCAACCTGAGGAGAAAACAGCAGGAACGTACCGAGGGGACGGCGTTCGTTAGTTAGAGTTGGCTGGTTGACGACGTCGGTGGGCCGGGAGGAGCTGGAAGAAGAATAGCTTGCTACCCTAGTAGGAGTAGCGCCACGGGCAGCCAATCAAAGGCGCGAACGTGAGATCCAATGCGATCGAGCACGAGAAAGCTTAGGCTCCACCGGAATCACTCGGTCCGCTTTGGGCCTAGCGCTCACTGCCCAGCCACTATTCGTGTGGCTGGTGCCATGATTACGTAGTTCAGCTACATCTCACTTCTTAAGCACAGGTAGCAAGGCCACGTTACATTATCTATGGCAAGGAGCCTCCTCGGAAGTGCCGGGGCCTGTCCATTTCGGACAGCATTCATCAATGTTGTCAAGATCTGTGATTGGCGAATGCATCCCCTTCCGGCATCGCGTGGGTCGCACCCCTCTCGGCCGGCGATGTGAGTGGCATAGAGCAGCGAGCTAATGCCGACTAGCAAACACTAACTTTGGACGTGTCGATAAATATAAATTAACTAACAGATCGATGATTCGATTTAGTTTTTATTCTCTTTTCTTTTTCCGTTCTCTTTTTCTATGGGTGCCACGTCTCAGCCCACCGCAGTGCAGGGACCTCGGTGGCTGGAAGGATAAACAGGCAAATACTCCGTACGGAGTCCGGAGTCCTCCGTGGAGTGGGAGTAAAAAAATCCATGCGAGCCCCCCCCCCCCCTTCAACAAATCAAGCAATTTTCTCCAAATGCATTCGTAGTTGCGTTTGGGAACACAAAGCCACGTATGCTAATGTCGAGTCGAGAACGAATTGCTGCATGCACTCTGCAAGCGCCAGGCGATCGTGGCGACTCGTCCCATTCGAAATCTCTCGCAGAGTCGGTTAATTAGCGTAAGCATCGCTCAGACGATCAAATACAAAGGCCAGAGAATTCGCGGCCTTGTTTTTAAGGCTGTGGTGTCATGATCCGGCAATGGCGTCATCGCACGTGGGTAGCTAGCATTCCGCATGTCCAGGGGATCCTCTCACAACTCTAAACAGAACAACATGCGACTACATATTACAAAAAGTGGAAGTTAGCATGGCCGCGTTGGTCAAGATTGCACTCAAGGTTACTTGTAGGCACGTCTATATTCTCTATACTTGAACTCATCATCCTTCAGAACTCATCCATACAAATGACCATGATCATGAACAGAATCAATCAAACACGGTCATTCTGATCCGCCTGGCTCTGCACATGACTCGCCACCGAACCCTGTGCCGGCAAATTCTCGAAAGCTCTCATCTGCGATCATCAATCAACATCATCTGTCCCATTTACCGATGAAGTTCATAAGAAAAAAAAACAAAACAAAAACGTACCTCGACATTATGCAGCTCTTTAGCATCCGCTTGACTAATCCGATTTGCCGGCTTGTGTAGCACCCTATCCGCAGAGGCAGCCCATTGAGCATGCATTGGATTTTGCGATTGAGTCGAGACGCCTGCATGGTTTACGCGGTGCGTACTGATCAGTACTCTTTGCTTCCCTCGTGCGACGGATTAGGACTCACTACTGGGATCCGCGCCGGCCAATTCAACCGTCTCACGGGTGATTTGTTCGATTTCTTCGTTTGAGAGCGACTGGCCCTGGCGCGCACGTTCGTGCACGTTATTCCGGAATTGGAGAGTTGATCTGGGTTGGTATGACATTATGGATCGATATCAATTAATATTTTACTCGTGATAGAGAGTTAGGGGTATTAATGAGGAGAGTAGTATTAACAAAGGAATATAAAAGATTAAAATATACATTCTTCTCGCCATCATGACGACAATAAGTAAGTAGAGAGTGCCACCACCACCTCGCTCATAGAATGTGTTTGGCCACTTCCACCGCCACTTGGGTCGTGTATACATACATTTATACATACATACATTGGTGACATGAACACATAGAAAGAAAGGGGAAAAAAAGAAAAAGATAGTCATCCTGGATGTGCGACTCCCAGCGATAATTGTCGGGATTGATTCACGGTCTCGTCTATCCAAAACCAAACATTAATCTCGCGGCCCGAGTCCCAAATCCGGATCATAGTTGTCAGCCCTAAACCCTCGGTGCACATCACTTAAGGTACCAACCTCAAATCTCACTCTTCACCTCAAATCAATGTATAGAAAGTTTGCATTTAGAATGGTGTAGGTACATGTCGTCAACAAGCCAGGCTGCACTCGATATGTACAAGGAGAAAAAATTTGCAATACAGTACATCTAAGTACAGAATACACTTAGCAAATCAGCTAGATCAAACAGTGCCGTATGAGGTCCTATTCTGAACTCCTCCATTCTCAGTTCCCGTTATCAGAGGCTGCTGCTCCTCCGCAGCCAAATCAGTTTGCGTGTGTGCCAAGACGCGAGCCTTGGTGGAAACATAAGTGACCAAGAAGGAACCAGCGATAGCTGTAAACGCAGTAAGGATGATGTTTGCCGGGATAGGGTTGCGGTCGAACACCTTGAAGGTCAATGCGTCGAGGCCAGTCTGCAGGAAGTTGCAAATGCCAGCAAGAGCAATAACGAGCCCATACACCTTGCCAAAGGTCTGAAATCCAAAGGCTTTGGCGACGTAGTCTGACACAGCAGTATAATAAAAAGGCCGGTAAGCTACAAACAGCACTACATTGGCATATCCGAAGCCAATGTTCCCTGGGAGGCAGCCTAGTATTCCGATGATGGCGGATGTCGTGACAAGAGCAAACAGTACAACTGCCGTGCTGGCGTTGTCGAGCACTGTACCTATAAAAGGTATGGCAATCAACCCACCCACCGGAAGTGCGAGGTCAAAGAACTCATTCAAGCTCCGGGACAACTCTCGCGAATCAAGGAGATAGTCATATTGAGAGCGAATGGTAGCAACAAAATAATTGATGCGAAGCATTTGCAGCACTGTAAAAACGGTGATCAAGATAAACCAGGGACTCTTAATTTGTTGAAATGCCGATGCTCCGTGCATAGCACCCCAAACCCCGCCTGCTCTATGCTTGTTATGGCTCTTGGCCGGGGAAGGCTTGTCGGGTTGTTGTAAGGATTGTTGTTGAGATCCATGGTTGGCAATTTCGGGGTTACTTTCCTGGAAGATCTGATCGTCTATCTTCCGGTCATTGGCGTCAAGAAGGCCCTGGATGTTACTGACGATACTCTGTCGGCGAGTCCGTCGATGCTCCCGCTGCCTTTCGGCCTCACCAGGTTCAGGAAGTGACTCATCTACTGTATCGTTCGCCTCGGCAACAATGATTTGCTCTGCTTGAAGAACGAGTTCACCAGCCGTTTTGTAAGAGGTTTTTGGCATGATGAAAAGCTCAGCAAGTAATATGAAAACCGGTACAGCCAAGTAGACCGTAAAAAATCTCTGGACAGTGAACTTTCCCTTGCCTTTCTCATTGATCAGTCGAAAGATGAGGAATAGGGCGCTTGAAGCGTCGAAGGCACCAGTCAACAGAGACAAAATTAGCCCAGAGTGGGTGGGAAATGCATTCGATAACTGGAAAGATGAAATAAACACGAAAGGCCCGCCCAATGCGAGGAATAGATATCCGAGAATATAGGCATCAAAAGGCATGTGAGAGGCAATCACAAGCAAACCAGCACCAATAGCGAGAAGGACACTTCCAATGACGCCACTGACTCTAGGGCCGTAGGTATCGAGTAGGGTTCCCACTGGCAATGCACAGATGTTTGTAGCAACTGCCGCGATAGTGAACATCAAATTTAATCTCAACGAGAGTCAGAATAGAGCAAACTTGGAAGGGAAAAAAAAAAAAGGGGGGGGGAAAGGAAATGAAAGCAAAATCATGTCTTACCGAGTCTCTTGACCGTAACAGAGACCAAAACCTTGATCTAATTCCTCCTTGGTACATCGGTTCCGGTAAACCCCCTCTCGAATGAATACCGGTTTGATAGCTGCGAAGCCGAACACTGGCCCTGCAGCAAGCAGACAGTATGTGACAGCCACTATCACCTGAACTATATTTTATTCTATTAGTGGCAACGCTCTTGGCCTCTCGAAGGTATCGGACGACATACTAATTCTTTTCCTGCTGCTAACCTCAAAAGCCGGCGTTGTCTCAGCAGTATCCCACTTAGGATCATGAAAAACAGCTTCTGCCGCAACTCCTTCTTCTGCAACCCTGGCCTGTACCAGATCCGAGATATTCGAGCCGGGGCCAATATCAGAGCCAAGCAGCGATATATGCTCATCATCCGTTTCAGCTGCAGAGCTATGCGTCCAGCCCCTTCCAGCATAGGGATTGAAGCTTAGTTTGTGGCGCACAGCTCTGCTGGGGAAACTGGAAGGCAACGAGGAAGAAGGTAGAAAAGCAGCATCAGCTTCTGAGACCTCTTCCTGACCTTGATGGCTGGTAGATTCCCCATCGCCAGATATCTGGCGATCACTGAAGCTGCGTCGCTGAATAAACGGCGGCGGATGGTGCTCCCATGACTCCAGGTATGAGACACGGCCCAGAGACATGGCGATGCAGGTAATGAGCAATGGTCTATATGTGTGTCTCACTTAAATCCTTGAAAGAACCAGAGAACCGATCATGTAGCAGTGCTTCAAACTGCCATGGTTAATCACCGCACAGCGACAGTTGACGATCACGCAGCTTATAGCTTATCAGCAAGCTATGGGACTTGATTGGGAGAGCTGCGTGCCACTCGGAAGCTAGAGCAAGCGCATTCAGCAGGAATTGGTAGAAGGCCAGGCTGCTGCAGAGTAGACGATGCGTTCCCACAGCTGTAAGTTACTAGGTAGTGACAGCTATGGAGGGAGGTTGCCGAGTGCAAGTCTTATCGCTCCCATTTCCAAGGCGAAGAAAGCGGGGATTATGTAACCAAAGGGGGGAAAGCTTGCCGACCCGCCGCCACGATTTCTTCCAAGCTCCAACGTCAATCTGCATTGATCATCGACATTGGTACCATTGATTATGCATATTTACACTGAAAGCACGCTCAAAACAGATGAAACGATGTTGCCAGCAAACAGAATTACGGCAGCTGGATTTGACCGACCGCGTCGCAAGACGGTCCAAGAATACAGAGAGCGAAACACAAAAGAGAAAATCATTCGTGGGCAGACACCCTCCTCCCAGTTGTACGGCTTGAACCCTTCCACCCCTTCCATGCCGTTTCACTACTGCCATTGCTTGACGACCGAGGCCGATCCGAAACGCTCGATCCATGATGATCGGGCGGCGATTCATCGTATCTTACGTGAAACTTGACACCGGGGTCCCCGTATCGGCGATCTCTATGCGAATTGCGGACTGGCTTATAGCTATACACGACATCGGGTTCCTCCTCATTCCGACCACCACCTTTGGTATATGTAGAGGCAGTAGCGTCGTGCGAATGGCGCCGTGGCAGTCTTCTACCCCGACCTTGAGAAAGGTGCGAGGGGCGCCCATCTTGCTGATCACCAGTAGAGCCATATCTCCGCTGTGGGAAAAGCCCATCATCATTATTTGAAGAATCAGACGAGTGCATGGGTTGATGATGATGATGCCGGTGATAAAACGATTTCCGCTCGGGAGACTCTCGGTTACGAACACGCGTTGTTTTTGACCGCATTGGAGCTCGCGCTGTCGAAGCTGGAGAGACTGTTTGTCTTGGCGACGGGTTTCGAGAGCTCGCGCGGGAATCAGCACGTCCATCTGAGCCGTTGGCGAACATCCGCCGGCGTCGAGGCCTCCCGTCAGAACTTCGATACCTCCGATAACGACGAGCATCGTCAGGTTGATCATCAAAAAACGCTCGCGGCATTGGCGTTGAGCTGGCTTCGTGGGAACGATGGTTGTTGTTATTATTCTCCCTCTGGAAAAAGTGTTGGCCTCCCTCGGGATAATTTGGATATTTAGCAGCGGGGTAATATCGAACGAATTCGGCGGGAAAGTGACGACGGGACGAGGACGATGACGAATGTTCCTTCTCGAGTCTCTGGCTCACTATCTCGTGCCACTGCACCATATCTTTATCCGGAGCTTCAGGAAAGGCATCGCGAGGGATGACTTTTGGAAAAGTGCCGCCAGTACTTGGATTTGGAACGTCCCAGCGACCGAGGGCGGCTTGAAGGTATTGTGCGTGCTCATCCGGGCACAGCAGGAGATTGATAACTTGCCACCTAACAAAGCCCGTCGGTAACAAGGCGGGTATCGAGGGCGGTTCAAAAGGGTTCGTCGTTGGCTGCAGGGTATGAAAACAACCGAGCGACTGATATATGAAAGATAGCGCAGGGCCTTTGGTGTGTAAGAAGAGAGTGTCGTAGTTCGCACCTACTTGGCGGTAAAAGCGAGCAAGCTTGTCTGGAGTAAGATCCGATGAACCACTGCCGGAGTCAAGTTTGACCTGCTTCCGTCAGTCCTTAGATACATGTTAACATGCAGAAGGGGGAGGGCCTTACCATCAGCTGCGCAAGCCCAACACAAAGCTGCTCAAGTAACGGCGCGGGACTCTTGTCCGGGTTAATCAGCGTGCCCCAGTAATTATTCCCCCTTTCATTCTCCATGATTGCGTACTACAACCAGGTAAGTCTAAGACCGTGTTGGATGTGCATTCGTGTCTTGAGAAAATTCGAGTATATATCCTAATCATGAATATTGCAATACTGGCAATCTTGCAGATAAGGGAAGTTTGTCGTATGATGTGACCCGTTGATTGCCGAGGTCAGCCAGCAAATAAAGAAAGGAAAAGGAGGAGGGGGGGGAAAGAGAGAGAGAACCCTTTCTTGCGGCTGAGAGTTAAATACGTAGGTAAATTGATAATTAGCCTAGTCAGGCACCCCCATGTCATTCATTCATCTGGATCGTGGCGAAGGCAGACATACAGAGTGGATCTCGTCTAGGTACAGTTGCTGACCGACGCTGGAGCCTAGATGATTCGGTGTGCATATGATTGGACCAGCGTAGTACTCGGTGAGTCAATACGTATGGAACAATCAACTATGACTAGTCATTCAAAGAAAGAGGAGCAGTTCTTGACTTCTTGGTAGAATTGGTAACGTTGTTGTATCATTCCATGGATAAAGAATGGATCACGGGCCGCTGCCGCAGTTATTTTAGGCTTTGTGGAATATGGCGGGGCAGTGATCAGCCTGGCCACAACAGGCAATAATCCCACCAGCCCAGACTCACTCAGACAAGGGCGGTGTAACTGTGCGATCACATGGGCTGTGTATTTGGTACTTTAATTTCGTGGTCAGTGGGAAGAAACACGTTATCTGTCTGAGTGTAGTATATCATATCCGCTCATCCAGCTTATCTCATGTCCACGGTCATGCCATTTGAGGCTGTAGTTATACACAAAATCAGGGTACAGTGGCTAGTTCGAAATGATCGCCGCTGCGCAGCAATAACGAACTATAATATCAAATCACCGTGTAACCAGGAACGTCATCGCGCCGTAGAAGCTGCAAGTATATGCATGATTGCATATAGGATCGAGATTTTAATCGACTTCCAAGATGGAGTATTTCTCCCCCGCCTGTTCCAACGCAGACTCAACTGCTGTCATGTATCCCACTACCTTCTCTTCTTCCCAGCGACGTCCCACCACCTGCACCGCCGTAGGGAGCCCCGCCATCTTCTCCGCATCATAGTGCATCCACGCACCGCGCGCCATCGCATGATTGTGCCCTATCGACTTCAGTGCCGCTTTGTACCCTCGCTTGCCTTGATAGGGTAATGCGTCCAGCTTAGGATCGACATGTCCCACAGGGAGGATACCTGCCGCATAGTCAAGCAAGTTCCACAAAAACGTATATCCGCATGAAGACACAGCGTCATGCATAGCTCCATGAGGTAGAGCCGGTGTTGCGTTTCCGGGACACAAGATAAAGTCATACTGTTGGGGTTCCGAATCCCACCAGGAATGCCATGTCTTCCGGAACAGCTCCCGCTGAGCCGTGAGCTGCCACAGTTCTGCCGCGCTCTTGGGTCCGAATCCGCGGATCACCGTTGCCCATTTTGCATCGCCCTTGACGTATCGAACATAGAGATAGTATATATACCGAAGAGGGCCAGGCAGATAAGCGATCCTACTTAACTGAGCAGCGCCGGGGTCAGTAGGTTCGAAAGAGTACCGATGAGAATTGAACGTCACGCAGCCATCAGAATTTAGAAGTTGGGAAGCTAGGTTAAATCCCGTAAAAGGGTCCGCAGTTGCCGGGGGAGTAACTTCCACCACAGTATGACCTGCAGCTGTGAGTGCGTCTACAGTTGTGTCGATAGCTCGTACGATGGCGGGCGTAGGCGGGATGACCCCTAATGTACACAAACGCAAATGTCAGATACCACAAATTCGTCCAGTTGTTAACGCGTGGGAGCTAGCTTACCGTCCGACTTCAATACACCTATTCTCAACTGTTTGTTGCATGCCTGATTCTTTTCATCCTCTCTCCACGGGATCGGGTGGACCGTAAAATCGTATTTCCAGGGCTGCATGTTTATGATACTTTTTGTAAAGTAGGCCAGATCATTCAAAGTCCGTGCCATCGGACTGAACACGCTAGGAACACCTTCTTGCCCTGGCATGCTCGTGTCGACGCCAGTCTTTGGCCAACGGCCAGTGCTACAGCGTAGCGAATAAATTCCGCTCCATGCAGCAGGAGCCCGGACACTACCAGCGACATCCGAGCCGATGCCTATACGGCCACCAAGGGCAAGAAGCGCACCCTCTCCGCCCGTGGAACCACCGGGTGAGTATTCCGGAACATGAGGGTTTCGACAGGTTCCCCAAAGTCCATTTGCTGACTCAAAGCTGAGCAGCGTAACGGGCAACGCCGTCTTGGCATAAGGAACCGCGCCTGAAGTAGCACCGTTATTAGTCAAATACGCCAACCGACGTATATTTTATTACATTCTTATTGTGCAGATCAAGTGCTAACCAGCATCTTTGAGCAATTTGACGATAACTCCGTCTTCTTTGCTCGGGTTGAGTGCCTTGCTGGCGTATCCAACCGAAGTGTCAAATCCCTTGACAAGGATAGAGTCCTTCAGCGACACAGGAATACCTGCCAGGGGGCCTTTGAGATTGACTTCAGTGGTTGCCCATTGCTCTGCTTCGGGCAGAAGAAGCTCGGTGACACAATTGGTCTTTTCGTGGGCTTTAACGGCAACTTTTCCATATGTGCGGACTACATCGACGGGAGAGATGGTGCCGTTGTGGACATCGCCGACAAGCTCCTCGATAGGCTTGTTGATAATGGCTTTGTCTGACGCTGAGAAGGCAGTGTGATAGTCGGGGCTAAGCGAGGCAAAGCGAACTTCGCGTTCGCGCCGCTTTGCATTGCTGTGGCAGGGAATGTTGGTTAGCCAAGCTAGCTTGAAGCTATCTCCGGGGTTGTGCACGCTGATTGGCCAGGCAGAAAGCAATTGATCGCTGGGAGCATGGTCTTACCGGATCTTGGTGTATTGGAAATAATCAAACGGAGGCAACATCTTGTCTTTCGCCCTGGTACTCACAGCAGACGAGTATGTTTGCAGGAGGGATCCTTCACAGGAGCAAGTCGGAGTCATGCGGGGAAATGCACTTGCTTATCTCGGAAGCTCGTTGGGGGCCGCTGATAAGCGCCGAAGACCGCCAGCTTATCTATATGGCAGCCATAACACTCAGGCAAACCAAGGAACTATTAGTGGTGGGCCCACTTGGGGAAGGCTAAGCTCTGATCAGGTGCCTTAGGCACTCGCAACCTCGCTTCGCAGGCCAGCGCCCCGGCGGTGCCTGTTTGGGATACCGCTTCGCACACACAAATGGGTGCTTGGTGCATTCTTCTTTTCTTCCTCCTAAAAAGCCTTGAGATTGCTTCAACTGACGACCTTTTGGCGTGTCTATCAAGCTCCAGTTGTATATTATACTCTGGGTGGCTTCGGTGTATGATGGTTTCACTGAAAAGGGTTTAGCGGCTGACCCCAAAGCAACATCTCGTTCTCTCAACTTCAACTTCCAACCTGGAACTTCCAAATTCCTTCTCGTCGCTTTGGTCATCTGTCTGGCCCATGCTCTGGCCCTCAGCTTGCCTAGAACCATCCGTTTGTGGCCCCTGTCTATCAGTCCTTTGACAGCGGAATATGAGGCAGAATTACACATAAAATGAGCATTGCCAGAAGCTCCATTAAGGGGCCCCTTTTTTTCTGGATCTTGCTATTGCTGCCTAAAACCTCGCTGAACGTTCATTGACTTGCCGTACCTGGTGTCATATGTTCGACCGACTCCTACCCGATGGATATGATCAGAAGCCAGACGATAAAACAACAAAGTTCCTTGACGAGTTCCTTGACGGTAAGTCTTTGTACAGCTTTCCCGGTGGTGCAGAGTTTTGCTAACTTATTCAGAGGGTACCTTTAACTATGTGGAAGCATTATATTTGACCCATGGATCTAGACGCGCTCATCTGGATACATTGAATGGCACGAAACCATAAACACGTTCTACACGGAGCTCCTAGAAAAAATGGTGGTCAGCTATACGCTCGGCTGGTCCTGACGCTTGCGAGGGATGCACTACACCCTAAACCCGAACTTACATTTACGGTCAGAGAATTCCTTGAACAACTCTATCAGCAGGAATATCACTCCGAGATTGGGAAAATTGACAAAAAAATCCTGGACGGTTTAATGAACTTTTTATCATTCTCGTCAACGGAAGAGTTGTTGTCGCCTCGCGAATCAAATGCAGCCCTTATTATATCTGCTACTTCGCCGTAAGTCCGCCCTACAATTAGCACCTTTACAGAGCCACTTGGACCAGATCTTGCCATTCTATATGGGGAAAGCAGACGAGCCCTTTGACCCTAGAAAGACTGGTGCGATCGTCATACAGGTGAAAAACCGCAAGCGTCCAGTTAATGTCAGCGAGGTTCTCGAAGAGTCTTTCCTCAAACCAATCAACCCTCGCCCCTACAAGACCCGTGGCTACTCCAAGAAAAGTGCCTCCAAGAAAGGTGCCAATCCTCTCAGAACGACGCCACCAGGGCCAAAATTCCTATTTATGCTATTGGACCTCGACGCGGGTAAAACTGGCCTCAACGTGTATATCAGTCAAGCGGATGACCCAATCATTTGGGCGATTCATTCCCGCGGCCATGATAAGAATGTATTCCGATGGCTGGAAACTCTCGAAGTAGATTTAGCAGCGAAAGGGCTTTTTAAGGTCTCCAGCGCTGAAATTCCCGATATTGGCTTCGTACACCACAAGGACCAATTGTACAATATACTACTTTACGACAAGGTAGAAATGGAGAGCGACGAGGTTTAGCTTATGAAAATCTGATGTAGTGAATGATATCCACAGAATGTGTATTGGGGGTGTTTTTTTGTCTAGCTTAGTACCAATGCAATTGATGCTGATCTTCTACGGATAGGAAGTATGTATAAGTAACAGCGGATTTTTAACCGATAAGCCATCCAAAAGGGTCCCCTTTATGAGCTTTCTGATAATCGTATGGACTGTGCCTTTTAGGCTTCATATGGTGTTTAGTACTCCTAGGAATTCATATAGTGCTGTAATCCAATATAGTTTTTAATCCCCAATAAAACACATACTTACATCTTCCTTTAGAGGTTACTATTAATTTAGATCCATCTTATTTTAAAGTGTTAGGAGCCCCAATTAATGGCCCCTATCAGGGCATATCTAATTACCTAGGTAGATAGCGGCCGCCGGCAGCATGAAAATATAGGATTGGGTTCGTTACTAGAGGCCCGTGCGATTTTTTATTGTCTTAGTGTATCTCTTACAGGCGTTAGAATGAGCCGAGCGTGTAGCTCAGCTTCCAAGCCCTTGTTGATGACCACTTTGCTAAAAAGCCCTATGCAGAAGGTGTTTAAGGTTCCGTGCCATTCAATATGTATATCAAAACGAGCCTGTAGCGGGTCTAGATCCATAGGCCAAATATCTTTCTTCAACATCTTAATGAGGACTCGAAGGCAATCATCTAAAAATGTTAGCAAAGTCCTAATCAATCAAATAGATCATTTTCGATCGGTGTTCCATGCGTGTCGGTTGTGCATCAGTCAACCGCTAAACCTTTATCAGCGAAACCATCATATACCAAGAGTATATTATACAACTGGGGCTTGATAGACGTCATAAGGTCATTGGTTGAAGCTATTTTGAGGATTTTGAAAAGAAAGAAAAGGAGACTGCAGCAAGCACCCCATTTTGTGTGTGCGAAGCGGTATCCTAAACTGGAACCACCGGGCGCTGGCCTAGCCAAGGCATCTAATCAGAGCTTCTAGGGCTCCTGGCAGCGCCTTATTCTCGGAGTAAGTTAGCCTATAAAAATGTTGGCATGGTTCGGTCCAAATTGTCGAACATATGCTTTCCAGCATATATGTATACATATACACGTAAATATACCACTGTATACAGGTATCAACTTCCAGCGTACCACTATACCAAGGAAGTACTGTAGAAGGAAAGCGTGCCTCATCTAAGTAGGCGGACGTACAGCACAACAACCAACCTAACTCACCTCACCACTGTGGCCTCCGGACTCACAGCAGTCGATTCCTTACTAGGTGAAGTGCCCCGGGCCCTTTGACAGTACCTGTTCCTGCGAATGAAAAGTGTATGTATTGTGTATCTATCAACTCCGGGGCGTTCCCTCCTCTTGTGGAGGAACGACCGGCTTCGTTGAGATCCGTAGTAGAGAAACGCATTCCCCCACTACAGTATCAGTGTAAAGATATACTAGTCTTGACTATAATATCTGAATGAGCCCATACATACATCCCATACAAAGTCTGCTCTCAATGCTGTCTGCAACACGACAGCCAATCAGCGGTCGCGGACCTCCGGCGGTTCTCGAAGGCACTAGACTATATCGGTCCAGTTTATCCGCCACCGCAGAAGGGAAAGAGGCAGTGGAGCTGATAATATCAACTTCTTTCACTCCACGCCCGTGTCGACCTCAGCCTACACTACTTCTCCAAGCGATCAAGAGATCCTCGGTCACTCATCATTCAACACACCATTAGCAACATCGGTCATGGCCAACTATCTCGCCTCCATTTTCGGTACCGAACAAGACAAAGTCAACTGCTCCTTCTACTACAAAATCGGAGCCTGTCGTCACGGCGATCGCTGCTCGCGGAAACATGTCAAGCCTTCATACTCGCAGACGATTCTGCTGCCCAATCTTTACCAGAATCCGGCCTACGACCCCAAAAACAAGATGAATCCGAGCCAAATTCAGAACCACTTTGACGCTTTCTACGAAGATATTTGGTGTGAGATGTGCAAGTATGGTGAAATTGAAGAGATTGTCGTGTGCGACAATAACAATGACCGTAAGTCTAGTCTTGAAGTTCTACCTATTATCCCATGTCTCGCATCGCCTGTGACTAATAAAATGTAATTCCTCACAGACCTGATTGGTAACGTGTATGCGCGCTTCAAATACGAAGACTCGGCTCAAACAGCATGCGACGCGCTGAATTCCCGGTGGTACGCCGCGCGGCCAGTGTACTGTGAATTATCGCCTGTTACAGATTTTCGAGAAGCCTGCTGTCGATTAAATAGCGGCGAAGGATGCGTGCGAGGCGGTTTCTGCAATTTCATTCACCGAAAAGAACCAACCCCAGAACTCCAGCGGGAACTTGATCTAGCTACGAAGAAATGGCTAAAGGAACGCGGTCGAGATGAACGCAGCGTGAGCAGAAGCCCTAGTCCCGAGCCCACTCGTCGACGATACTAGGTTGTCGTTCGAGTCAAGGGGGATGAAGCCGATTTACTTATTCGGCTTGTAAGAAGAAGAAAAGATGAAGGGGGAAATGGGTTTCCTATAAAGAAAATTTCGCTTTTATGCGAAGCGTGGCGTTCTAGGGTTATACGGTTCGGGCTGTTCTGGTACTCGAGTAAGCCATGTTAATCTGGCACCAGTATCTTATCTTGTTTTTGTGTGTACAGTAATAGTTTCAAACATATAGCTAACGCATGATAATTTCAAGCAGATAGTTTCATTATACATTATGCTATTCATCGTGTGTAGCATTTCTCCAGTAATATGTGCATATCCTTCCAATCCAGCTTCGGCTTATGTACAAGTGCTGGTCAAAAAGAGCAGACTTATATATAAGAAAAGAACCATGAGGGCCATATACCCAGCCATACCGTGTTCATCATTAAAGAAACGTTGTCGAAAAGCCCCAAAACTTGCGCGAATAAAAGAAAAGAAAAAGGGAAAAGGAAACGGAAAGCCCGAAAAAAAAAATCCATTAGTCGAAGAGGCGCTTTTGAACCGATAGAGAAAAGAGCAGAGTAAGAAAAAAGAACCGAATAGAGGCTGAAAAAAACGAGTTTCGTGAGCAGACGTGACTTTGAAATCGATGACTGGTTTCTTCTTTAAGAAGATTGAGGCTGACTGTGTTGCGTACTCTTGCCGTCTCCTCGAAGCCGGTCATGCTTGCTTAGAAGCCAGATTGCAATACCTGCTCCACAGGCTATGAGCACAATAGCGAGAGCGATCAAAAGACCACAGATCTTGGAACGACGTGTCTTTTTTCGTTGGCGCGATAGCCATGATTCACTAGGATAAACTCTCAGTCAATCGATCAAGATCAAGAGAGGCACAAGGAATGTAAAGTGGGAGATAGAGAGAGCTTGAGAACTTACGACTGCGTCTTGCCATGCTCGGGCTGCCTGGCCTGTTCTTCGTCTTGATGAATAGCCACAGAAAAACGTCGCCAGAACTCAGGATCTTTGACGAGAGAGACGTCGCTTTTGAATGAGTTGCAGATCGTGAGATTGGTCAGCGTTGCTGGAGATTCTGGCTCTGGACCAGGTAACGTCATTATGTGCAAAGGCGATTGTGTCATTATGGAAACCTTTGACAGTTGATATAAGAGGAGATGATTAAATACGCTGGGGGTTCGCGTCTCCAGCAGCTTGTTTGGATGCGATATGGAGGGCTCGTGACTTGCTGAACGCGAATATCTTCAAGTTCTGCTCACATGAGCAACGCAAATCAAAAGTGTATTATCAATAAATTCCGTTAAGATCAGGACATAAAGAAATCTTAGTGTGGCAAAATGGAAAAACGACGTTCGTTACCCACATCTATAGAAAGTAAATGAGAGCGGACGCACGAGACTTCAAGGGCACCACAATGTAAACCAACTTCCATTCAAGGAAAAACAACAATAAAGCGGAGCTGCCTTTCTGAGTTAGGCGCATATTGGCTATGTTGACTTGCGGTGATTGTCATTTGCTCGGATGCCAGTATACTTGAGTATAGGGATGGAATGCTGGAAGAGGCCAATGAAAGGAAAGGTATGCGTACGCTAGCTGGCTCGAACAAGTTAGCCTGGCTGCTTGAACGCTCAGGTATGTGATTTGATGCCAAAAATAGAGAGAAAGCTCCCACATCGTGTCTGTGTGTTCACGTAGTTACGGTTAGGTCGTGGAAAAATGACTGGCCGAGGCCAAGGGCAATCAAAGTGGATGGTTGATTTATCAACAGGTGCCGTGACCCTAGTACGTGGTATTCTCTAATCAAGTCAACTCATCGTTAAATGTATCTGTTATTCTCACTAACAGTAGAAAACGATGAGTAAAGTCGGCCTGCCGTGTTTTTCGACACCAAATTTTCTCGTTCGTCCACAAGATAATGAATATGCCGAGCTAAAAAAAAAGAAGCTGAAGGTTGAGATGTATACATAGAGTTCACTTCAACCCAAATCTTCTCTCTTGCGTGCGCATGGCTCGAATGAAGAGCATCGTATATCATTATCATCGCCGACAACTGCGGCTCTGGTGACGTCGTTTTCATTGGCTGTTGTATGATTTGCGCTCTAACCCAACAGAGATTGGCCTGGGCTCGGAAATGCGTTATCGCGGCGGTGGGCACAGTCACCTGATCCTCTAGTCGAATCAGGCAATCTGCCGCTTCCCTTGCCGCCGAGTGACGCTCCCTTCAGCACGCCAGGCACAGATCAGACTGTCCAGGGCAGATAGATGCCTGTCATTCAGTTTCTTCCGTCTCACTTCTATATTCCTTGCCGGACTCATACAATAACAGGAGTTTCATCCCTTTAGCCCTTTGGAACCAGCCATGAGCCTTATTAGGTGCCGAGTCGTCGCTATTTAGACAAGCAACGTCGTTCAATTCCATCAAACAATCCGACAATCTGAGGTCAACAGTCAAGATAATTCTCATTACTTCTTCATGCCTTCCCAGACGCCATCCACGAGAATTAGCACCTCAAGTCCGCTGGGTCCTCCTCCGTATTCCTCTGCTGATATCGCCGGCTCGAGCAGCAGAAGCACCCCCGCACGTGATAACAGGATCATCATCGAACCATCGTTTTCCGACTCGCCACATGGGCGTATAATCACCGATTCAACTCGCGGGCGAGACAGGGAAAACTCGATGAACATGGACCGCAAGAGGAGGCTTACTGCTACTGCGAGTGATGACGCAACACCGCACAGGCGGCCGTCTGCCTTGAGCGGACCGAACTCTTTGTCACGCAGCAGGCTTCAACAGGATAGACCTCTGCCAATGTTGCCTGTTGGTGATAACTATATACGCTCTGGCTTGCCGGGATCATCGCGGGAAAATGCTATCGATCTAACATCTTCAAGCTCTGACCGTCCCGACATATCCGGTACTTTGTCTCGCCAGCATACTCGCAGTCTGACCACGGTGCCTCAGCGATCACGACAGGATCTCGTGGAATATCCATTGCCTCGTTGGCAGCCGGATTCGGAAGTGACTCATTGCCCTATCTGTGGCAGCCAATTCAGCTTTTGGTACAGAAAGCATCATTGTCGGAAATGCGGTCGTGTAGTGTGTGCGGCGTGCTCTCCTCATCGCATCACTATTCCTCGACAGTACATCGTAAAGCCACCAGAACTAGTCGATAATCCTGTATCCGAAAGACCCTTATATCACAGCCCTGGTCACAGCCGTGACTCTGACCGAGGAGCAACTTCTGCAGTTGGCGAGATACATGATACTTCTACCATTGTAACTGCCCGTCCAGAGATCAGCCACCTCAATCCTGCACTGGGGGGCGGAGAGGAGGTGCGCCTATGTAACCCATGTGTGCCAGATCCCAATCCTGATCCGCCTTTGACCTACGGGTCGGTTCAGGCTAGTTTTGATCGTCTACCGAACTCGAATTGGGGTGCAACTATGCCAGCAATTCCGATAAGTCAACGTCTCCATCAAGTGCGGCGCTCGTTATCGGGCGCCCAGATTTTCAACCCGCGCAGGGATGTAGAGAGAGAGGCACAAGATAGCCAGCGCCGGCACCAAACGGTAAGCCTAAGTCTTTTTGCTTTTGTCTGCAAGGGGAGAAAAGCCACTGACAGCCCATCAGTTGGAAGAATTTCTAGGTCGTCAAACGTCTGCTGCTGATTCTATCCAACCATCCTTTTATCCAAACCGTCAATCTTCTGGGAGAGGACAATCAATTTCTGTAATCAACCCGCGATTCGGAGCCCTGTATCAACCGTATAGTGCTGACCTACATCAGTTGACATCGCATCAGTCTGGACCGGCTGAATTCGAGTACCATAACAATACTTTTGATCCTTCCGGCACTCGGCCGAGGAGAGTCCGGTCCATAGTAGATTCGGATCGTCCTCTACCTTCTCATCCAACCCATCAAGTTCAAGTCGATGAACGCGATATCTGCCCTATCTGCAGCACACGTCTACCTCCACGCGGCGACGACGGCAACGAGGATGAACGCGAAGCTCATGTTCGCGATTGTATTGCCAGATCTTCAGGCGCAGACGGATCCTCACCCGGATTACACTCACCTCAATCCCAGCACCTTCTCCGCATGCTATCTTTTACAGCGACAGAGAAAGACTGTCTTAGCGAAGATGGCACCCCACAGGAGTGTACAATCTGCATGGAAGAATACGAAGTCGGCGACAAATTAGCCCGACTGGAATGCCTTTGCAAGTTCCACAAAGCATGCATTGTGGGATGGTTTGAACGGAAGAAAGAATGCCCTGTTCACAAGTTCACCTAAGTTTTGCCTCCAATCCACTCATTTATTTTCGTCGTTCTTGTTCTGTCCCGGAGACATCGCAATAAGCATTGATATACATGATAGCTTGATACCCTTGGCCCCCATCTTTCCGCATATAAACACCGATTGATTCTTTTGAGTTCACCAGTCCGCCTGTTATCTTGGGCATGTTGCGACCGGCGTCGCTTTTTTCCAGATTTTTGCCCACTTTTGTTTGCCTTCGCATTGCTTGTACTTGCTTGAACGGGATCCCAACTCTCCCCATACTGGCATATATACACCTATCTAGATAACGCCTTTTATGACAATATCATGAGCATGAAATATACCAGAGCAATAAACTTAACTACCATAAAATGGGTGCGTAGCAGTAGACAACGTCGAATGCGGTAGTTGCTGGCAACGCTGCAGTCTCATTGGGCCAGTAGCCGCGCAGGCTGCAGCGCGCAAAGTCCTTTCCATCAAAGCTCTCGGCATCATCCGACTACTTGCTGTTGATGCTGAGGAAGATATGCTCTGATTAGAGCGTCAGCACAGCAGCAGAGCCATGGCATACTGACTCATTGTTACCGGGTATCACATATTTTCTTACATGCCTTTAGCTGCGTGTCGGCCCCCCGAATACCGACAACCCGAACCTCCGATGTGAAAGCGCCCCTGCGGCGTGTCACGTTTAGAAACGATTTTCTGTTCTCCTACATGTGCGTCCTTGGCCTTTATCGTTTTTTCCTTTTTTTGACATTTGCCTGTTCTTCGCGTGTCGTTTCCATGCGCTCTCCAAACTTGCAGAATGCGCATTTCCTGCAATGCCTTTGGCGGACGCCTTGTCCCTCTGCACTCAGACACTCGCATATCTCATCACAACCAATATGATTATTATAATCATGTACAGCGCATCCGAACTAACATGGACTTTTGGATATGTCAAGCAGCAGCGGACTATATTCGTTCTCTCCAGGACGAGTGATTTCGCGGAGACGACATGGATCGCGACCCGCGTTTGCGGACGAGCAAAGACGACGTCGAAAAGAACATCTCTTTCTCCAGCAGAGATGCCCATTCGAACGCAGTACCTTCATACGCACATCAGAGTTCGACGTTGAGTTCTTCGCTGGCTGAGCATGGCCTACGGCACAACCGTGCGACAGCCGACTACTTTTCACATATATCTCCAGGATCATCAAGCGACCATGTACATGGCTCAACGCCTGCCTCGACTGGCAATGCGATGGTTTATGATGCGGCGATAGGGGAGTATTTAAATGAGATGTCTATGGGCATGTCGAACGATGGCCACGACACAAATGATCCTCTTGCGGATTTGAAACGACCGCGCGCATGCGAAGCATGCCGTCAGCTCAAGGTCCGCTGCGAACCAGACAACGACAACCCGGCAGGCTCATGCAAGCGATGCGCCAAAGCGAAACGGAAATGTGTTGTCACTGCACCGACCCGCAAGCGCCAGAAGAAAACAGACAGTCGCGTGAGTGACCTGGAGAAAAAGATAGATGCCCTTACAGCGAGTCTTCAGGTATCCAAGAGAGCGGGCGCCACTCCTCCAGTAAACGATGGGTCGCGAGACCAGGCTACTGCTCCTCCGCGTCGCTGGCTTGGGGGAGAACAACCGGCAACAGTCTCTGCTTCTCCTACTTCCGGCGCGAAGCGCACATTTAGTGGTGACACAAAGTCTTCGCAACCACCTGGCCAGCTGTCCCAGGGAGGGTTTTTTGCGACAGCATCATCGAATAGCCTTTCGGAACTGCGTGGGACAAAAATGCCTTCTACGTGGCAAAGCTCTGCGGGAAATCCATCTCACAGCAATAGCAATGCAGACGAAATAATCGACGTGATTGACCGGGGGCTGATTGATTTCCAGACTGCTACCGACATCTTCAATCACTATGTGGAAAAGGTCGCTCCAACTCTCCCCATTGTGATCTTCCCAGCTGGTACAACCATGTCTGACGTGCGGCACAATAAACCGATACTGTTTCATGCAATTATGACTCTTTCCATTGCAATCGTTCGACCTGAATTACAGATGTCTCTGGTTCAAGAGGTGCACCGTATCTTTGCTGACAGAGTTGTCGTCAAAGGTGAGAAATCTCTGGAATTGGTGCAGTCGATCATGTTGGCGTGTATATGGTATACGCCACCCGATCAGTTCGAGGAACTCAAGTTTTTCCAGTTTATTCACCTGGCTGTGGTAATGGCAATGGATATTGGCATGGGTCGTGTCACGAGGAGAAAAGGGGGCAATCAATATGGCCTGTTGCGAGAGATAATGGGTAAGAATCACAATCGAGGCTTGATGGAACCGGATGCCCCCGAAACACGACGTATCTGGCTGGGTGCATATTTTATGGCCGTCAACGCAGCAATGGCCCTTCGTCGACCCTTGTTATGTCGGTGGCTTCCTTATATGGACGAATGTATTGAAATTTTGCGAAATTCACCCGAGCCATCCGATAAGATTTTGATACACTGGGCCAAGTTATCCCATATTGCGGAAGAAATTGGATTTCAGTTTTCGATGGATGACCCAACCAGTAATTTATCCATGAGTGATACCAAGGTACGGTATGCACTGAAAGGCTTCGAGAAACAGCTTGATGAATGGCGCCAGGAGATAGCACCTGAGAATTACTCATGTGAGTCATCCGATTGACTTATTGATGTGCCATGTAACTGACAAGTGTATTATCCAGCTGTACTGCGACATGCGGAGAATATTGTCAACATCTATATGCATGAGATAGCAATGCATAACGATCACAATATTGATGACTTTACCCCTCCATTCAGTACTGGTATTCAATCTGACTTCAACATTGAAAAGGCGGCCACGGCTCAGATTGATGCTTTGACGGCATGTTTGACATCTATTCACACCGCGTTAGATTGCATCTTGCACATTGAGCCTGCGGATCTTATATGTCTTCCCACAGTCTTTTATGCCCGTACGGCCTACGCATTCATTGCTCTACTGAAAATGTTCTCGGCTATATCATCCGACAAGGGTCTTGCCCGCGTTTTTTCGCTTTCCGATCTGAAATTGGAAGAATATTTCGACAATATGATTAGTCACTTGAAATTGACTTCGACCAAACCCGGTGGTCGCACAGCGTCAAGATTTAGCATGGTATTGAATTTGCTCAGAAATTGGTTTAATAATCGCAAGACGGAGCAGTCTGCCGGCAAGTCTGGAGAGGTAAATATTTCTACTAGCTTCTCTTCTTGTGCTCATGATCTAACAACCGAAACAGCGGCAATCAGCACCCGCCAAAAGTGAAGCTCCCGAAGATTCCATCCAGCGCCAAACCATACCACCTGGCGCCGACTCAAAAAACAAGCAGACATCTCCCGTGACAAATGCAGCATCGAATTCACAGCAGTGGTCTCCCTATGGTGTTTCTACTTCCGAAGCCGCTTCTTCAGCCAATTTCTTACCACAGCAGTATCAATTCGGACAAGCATCAGGACAAGATGCTGGAAATACAGCGATAGCCGGTATGTTGCCGACGTCACAAACAGAATATGCGGGCTTAGTACCAGATTTCGAGCTTCCGATGCCTTTTGATACAGCAACTCTTTTCTCCATGGGGGATATGATTCCCGACGAGCTGTTCAGTTTACCATTTGACGGAAACGGCAACCTTTACATACAATGAAAGGACGAGCGAATTGTTCCCTCTGAGTTCTATATACATAATAATGTCGATAATCTTTAGGGATATATGATTACCGGGTTTTTGATTGCATTCGAAACGATACCCGTGGGAGACAGTTGAATCTATCACAGTACATACATAACTACATACACACAAACGGTGTTGAGGGTCACTGGAGCGTTTTCACTTGTTTCTCTAAATGTACAGAGGCCAAGTGACCCATTGGCGTCATTCAACTTTTATTCATTGTATTGCTTTCACTCCTCTCTCCGCTCACCCAGATGATGTCTGCATGTCAACCTGGATTGCTATGTTTATTTCTGCTCCTGTACATACGATATGGCCGATTGCATGTATTTTTATATCAGAGTTTGCATGAGTCAGAATGAGTCGAAATGAGTGTTTCATGCTGCAGCCGTGTTGGATGTGGTGCAACCGAGGTGGGATGATTCTCATCTCTTTATATATAAAGATACATCCATCCTTTTTTTCCCTTCTTGGAAGACAAGAATTACCAACGCTTCGCTTTTTTTTTCTTATCGTTAATTAAGATGGAGACAGACGCCGACATTGAATCCTCAGTAATCGCCCAGCTTGCATCAACCGATTATGTCTGCTCGACAATAACGCGCCTCAACGGCGGAACAGCCAACTTTGTCTATCGAGGATTTCCAAATAATAATGACGGCCATTTGAGCCAAAAGGACGGACAACCAGACTCAAAAATAGGGAGCAAAGGCGCCATCATTATCAAGCATACGAAGAATTTCGTGGCTCTGAACCGGGATTTCAAACTCGATGCTGAGCGATGTGTACGTGTCCTACTACAGGTCTTCGTTGCTGATATGACTGATGCCACTTCCACCAGGCCTATGAAGCAGAGATTTTGAACGCATTGAACGCCTTCTCGCCTGTGCGCGATACATTGTTCACCGTCAAGACCCCAAGCTTATATCAATCCCTTTCCGCGGGCCACACGCAGATCATGGAGGATTTACCCGGCTCAGCGGACCTGAAGAGCTGGCTGTTATCGCCAGCAGGGATGTGTATCGAGAAATCAGTAGCAAAGGCAATTGGCCATGCACTGGGGTCCTGGATCGGTTCATTCCATGCATGGGGGTCCCAGGACCGGCAGGCCGGGCTACGAAAGAAACTTGCCGGAAACAAATCAATGCAGAAGCTCAAATACGCGATTAATTACGAGACGCTCGTTAGTATGGTTGATAAGTACCCCCAAATTCTGGATGGGACGCGTGCAGTTTTTGAGCAGGTCAGGTCGCATGCCGCCGAAGAGATTTCTGATTCTGATCAGAGAAACAACAACGGTAGCTGGGGTCTCATTCACGGCGACTTCTGGACGGGGAATGTCCTCATCGCCACGAACAGCATGTTCATCATCGACTGGGAGCTTAGCCAGCTAGGAATGCGGGCGCTGGATTTGGGCCAGATGCTTGCCGAACTGTATGAAGTGAAACACTTCAAGGGCAACGATGCCGGGGCCTGGATCATAGAGGGGCTAGTGGAAAACTATGCACCGCTTAATGAGGAGATTGCCTTTCGGACTGCTGTGCATATGGGCGTTCATCTGGTGTGTTGGAGCAGCGTGCCTGGCTGGGGCTCGCAGCGCCAGATAGAGGATGCCATTATGATTGGGCGGGAGTTGGTGGTGAAAGGGTGGAAGAGAGACAGGGCTTGGTTTGAGCGAGATGAGCTTCTGACGTGTCTTTTCACATAAATCAATGCTATTCCATGTAGCTCTGGACCCTTGCACTTCAAAAATGAGTTTCGCGGCTCAAGATAAGGGCCGAGCGGTTTCGATTCGCTGTAGCCTCAGGCAGGAGGACTCTTCTAAAATTTACATTCCGGAGTATAAAATTCGGTATAAACAGGGTTGTTACGGGGCAGTCTAACTATATCAAGTATAGTAGATGCCCTTTAGCCCCATATTAGAATTAAAAATGATTTCTATTTATATAGTTGAATAAATTATGTTTGATTTTTTATGCAAATCTACACCCAACGAACTTTGCCGAGCCACTAACAGATATAGCGAATGTCACTCTATATCGAGCTAATCATTCGTTATAGGCAGATAGTTAACTAACTAATCCTGGCAATAGGGTTAGTCAGCCATCCGAAGCGCTCCGCCTTTCTCTCCCGACTCAGCCTCAGCCTCGCCCTCTCTCCTCTGTATCATTTATCACCCAACGTTTGCTTGATCTTTAGTTCTATATCTAGAATCTATCTGTATTCTTTCTTCCTTTTGAATTTGTGCCTGTCCGCCTCTTCCAACTTTTGAACTTCGTATCGCTATGTCGGCCCTCGGCGCGCTTGCCCTCGTGCGACGGGGAATCGAGAATCCAGATGTTGAGCAACCCCCAAACGCCAGCAACCCATTACCTGTCGTCATTCTCTCTCTCACAGTTGTTCTGTTCGCTGCTGCATTGTCGTGTGCCAGCTATTCCCTCGGAAAAGTCGTGACTACCATCGCCGCCGTTGAAGACCCCAACCCCGACGTCTACGTGCGCATCGAGAATGATACTCCTGTCGTCCCCGAAAGCGCACTCGACGATGTAGAGAGCTTGCCTCCGCCAAAGCCCATCACTAGCTCTCTTCGTGCAACAGTCAGACATCTAAATGCTCGCGGTGGTCGCCGGTCTCTATTCCGCGGCATCATTCTATACATTTTGACTGGCATAGCCATCAACGTCGTTTCGTATCCGGCATCAGCAGCCTTCAATATCGTTGGCAGTATCCTAGCAAGATTTGTCGCCGAGATTCTTCTGGCAAACTTGAGAGTGGGTTGGATTCATATCGTTATTTCTGAGCCATCAAAGAAGTCTCTCTGGTCTCGGATCCCCGTGTGGCGGAAGACCGTTGTCAAGATCGCCCCGGCCGCTGCTATTCGCTCCGCTGTTGCCCAGATCGTCACCTTCGTACCGATTTTGATCGCAAATCACAGTGGTATCTTCTCGAACGCTTTGGCAAATACACCCAAAACATCCCTGTCCGGTGGTTTCGGACTCGTCGCGCTCCACCTTGTCCTATACGTGCTCGTTCAAATGCCTGCCGAAGTAACTTTCATTCGTGTTGCTGCTTCCATGCTCCCCGAGGACGACGAGTCCATCGTTCCTTTCGACCGCTCCTTTGGTGGCAAAGTCACCCCGGAAATCGTCGGAGGCCAGGGTAAAATTGGCATCGTGGACGCTTGGCGTTCATTTGGCTGGGGCTCACGCATGCGTTTCTTGAGCGTTGTAGGAAAAGTCTTTCTTGTACAGGTGGCCCTCGGCGCCGCGTTTTGGCTCTTGCTGGCCACCGAGCTCGTGATCATCTCCTCATCAAACTGAGCTCAACACTTGTCAGCTCGTACTACCTGCGTTCCTCCAGGACCTGAGCTATCATCGGGACCGGGTGGAGGGGATATTGTGAAAGCCAATTTGCGTTTATGTTTCTGTTCCTGATCTTGTTCCTGCATCTTGTTGTACCTATGCATATCGAAGTAGAAATGATATCAGAATACACATATCGTTCATGACCACTAGAGATAGTACGTATCCTTTCCAAACAAAAGTCCGGACGCTGTGGCGGGAATAGCCTCAGAAGAGGATAAAAGGTGGCGGTGGGACTCGTGCCGGACCCCTCACCTAATCTAATCTCCGTCATGCTTTCTCCCTACAACCTCATCTTCTTCCCCTCAAACCCAACTCACATGTCCACGACATATCACCTCGAGTAGATTATTTCTTTCTCCTTTCTACCCAAGTTTGACCAGGCATCGCACTGTCCGTCACTTCCTTCCGTCTCCGCCGCCGCATATCCAGACTCCAAGAATAATGGCGACCACAGCAGCTGGCCGCATGCTCACCCGGCAACTGCAGCAAATGCAGTCGGACAAAGACATTCCGGGCATCAGCTGTGGTCTTGTTGACAGCAATATATTCGAATGGGAAGTCATGCTCATGATCTCGGACGACTGCAAATTCTACGGCGGAGGCTTCTTTCGAGCCCGCCTCGCCTTTCCCCCGGAATATCCTCACATGCCGCCGAAAATGAAATTCGAGACCCCGATCTTCCATCCCAATATATACCCGTCTGGCGAGGTTTGCATATCCATCTTGCATCCGCCCGAGGAAGACAAGTACGGCTATGAGTCGGCGGCCGAGCGGTGGTCACCCGTGCAGACACCAGAGACTATTTTATTGTCGGTGATTTCGATGCTGTCGAGCCCCAACGACGAGAGCCCGGCGAATGTGGAAGCAGCAAGGCTGTGGAGGGATGATCCAAAGGAATTCAAGAAACGAGTCAGGAAGTGCGTTAGGGACAGTCTTGGGGAGGACTAGTCAGGTCAGCATATAAAATCTCTGTCTATTTTTTTTTAGCCACTCTTTACAACATACAAGGACAGCGGTGCAATGGTGTTTTTTCATTCTCTCCCTTTTTTTTATTTTTTATATTTTTTCATCCCTGTCAAAGTCTTTTTCCTTTTGATTTGGTTCCCCGATGACTATGTCGGCATGCGTTTCTTCCTCAACCATCTTCAACAGTGATTTGTCTTTAGATGACATGGTGTCCAAGAATCACAGAGACGGATCACTGCTTTACTTTGCAGCTTCCGATACCTCGTGTAGCCCTCGGACTGCGAGATGTATATTCCTAGCGTGGTATATCAAGCATGACACTTATATTGAAATGAAGACAGTCGCAACTACACTCAACAGAAACAGTACCTAGGTAATTCAACCTATAAGAATTCATCTGTAGTCTATTTAATTTCTTTATATATAAGATAACAGCGAGGTGTCTTTGCAAAGGGGGAGACTTAGTTTTGTGCGTAAAAATGTGCCAAGCCTTTCTCTGCCTCAGGTTGAAGAAGGCATCCATGCTTTTTCCCGTTTCTCTTCTTCCACTTCAACCTTGACAATGACCACAAAATGTAGACAGGACTCCAAAACGCATATTCCACAATGGGAGACGCTATCGAACTGAATCTTTCCCCTTCGTGCTACAATTGCCTAAGTTGGTCTAGCGACGGCGAGCTTGCAGTAGCAGCCGGCGACTCCATTCATCTACAAGTAAGTATGCTTCACTCTTCTTTACGCATTTTCGGAACTCGACTGATCGTACCTAATCAGCTCCCTCAATGGAAACCAAAATATGTCCACCCCCTTTTTGAAAAAGAGAAATCCATGCCATGGACATCAGCCAAGGTCCGGGCCAATGTTTTCACCAATAAAGAGTGGAAAACCGAGTGGCCGTCTGACAGGGATTCCTTCTCGATCGGAGCAGAGCAATCACTAAGTACCGTGGCTGCGCTGGCGTGGTCTCACCAAGGTCTTGGATTGCATCGGCGATGTGTGCTTGCTGTGCTAACATCCAACCTCGTGTTATCATTATATGAAGCAGACGGGCAGAGGAGAACCTGGTCCCGCGCTGCTATTGTCAACAAAGCTCTTGAAAAATATTTCCGAGCGAAAGTAGAGCGCTCCAGGGACAGCCCAGGAGAGTTTCTGCGCAAGACCAGGATTCGCTCTTTCACTTGGTGCCCCCCGTTGAAAAACATCCAACATGACCGTGCAGATGTGCGATGGGGTGAGCATATACTTACAGTTGCGACAGATGACAATGATGTCGTTCTGATACGTGTAAGACGCAACAACTCATCTTCAGGGCCCACTACTAGCCAGTACTCTATGGACGTGATTGCCCGCTTCACACTAAACAATGCCGCTAGGAACTACAGCATGCTCCCCAAGGGGTCACTGTGGGCAGGTGCTCTAGAGTCGAAATCTAGAATATTACATATTGCATGTGGTCCATGGAGCAGAATGGCCGAAGAGAATAGTGGCGGAGAGTCGAGGGTGACTTTTGGGGCTCTGATTGCACTTGCGCTTGGCTCTAATTTGCATTTCATTCATGCACAGGCCAGTCTGATTTCTGGAGACGATCTGACAGTGTCAATTGAAGGACAGCTCTCCTACTACCCAAATATCCCACATTCCGAGCCTAAGACGCTAGAAGATATCAACTTCACCGGTCCGCTGAGTTGGATCCCTATAGTACGTATATCTTATTGACTTTCGTACGTGAATCCGATGCTGATGAGAGCAGGATGCTTCGAGGCTATCACTAACCGTAGGCTCTCTCGGCGGGCGAGTCACACTTCGTTTCGAAAACAATGCGTATGACAAGTTACTTACACGGACAGATCACGAAAGAGCCAATATCGCCTTCCATCAGCGATCATTTGAAGAGAGTAAAGGCTATAAAAGCATTGGGGCTATGTACTCCCAACACAATGAGCCTATAACAGGTATTAACCCTGATAGACAATATTTCTAGCAATCAAGACTAAAGAAACAAAAACAGGAATTGTAGCTCCGCAGTCATTAGTGAATGCTAATGATAATCGCTCGATGTATCTAACGACTCTTGGCCTCTTTTTGGAAGCAGTTCCTCTCTCTACGATTGGAACTCCCTTGGAAGAGACTCTCTCAAGAGTCTACGCTCCATGGACGACCCATATGGAGCGCTACCGACAAAAATACGACATTCAATACGAACTAGGCGACATGGCTATTGTGCGCACATGGGGTCTCAGCACATTCGATGGCTGGACAGCCGTCGCTTTCACAATGCATCCCGGCGACGTCCTTGAATACACGACCAGGGCCGAAGAGAACACCATTATAATCTTCACGCACCCAGATCCCAACGCGGTATTTCCCAAACCCGCAGAAATATCCGACGAACTAACAGCAACGAAACGCGCGGAAATCCTACAATACATCCTCTCTTCAGCCAACAAACTTCGCTGGTGTGACCTGCGCTCCGCCAGACTCGTCTATGCAGCATGCGTCTACGCCATCAACTTGCATTATCATTACCATGCTAAACAACACGACCTCCTCCGCCTCGCGCGTCAAGCACTCTCACATCTTTCCGCCGTCTTCAACCTCCCAATCACCGAAGAACTATCATACTGCGATTCCGAACAAGATACTACCGCCAGCAGTAACAACCCTCTGGGCGCCACGCCCAAACCAGCATCCCTACTAGAAGGGCCAGGGGGCTGGATCTTCGAAAAATGCCAAACATGCTTCCGCCGCAAAAACGAGAACGTCGGCTTGAGCTGGCAAAATCCGAATACAGCCATATGCGGGAATGGACATGCTTGGAGTGCGTTCCCAATTTCCCTCATTTTTTTCTTCCTTCCCCAGAGAGACAGATATAGTCTTTTATACAAATAGATATGCTAATATGAACACGCAGATCGATGTGCCTTGACATTTCTCGCCATCCAACAACCATACACCTCCATGTTCTGCTCAATATGCGACACTAGCGTGCTCTCGAGAGACAAAGGCGTCAACTACACACTAGAAGGAATCAATCTATCAACAAATTCTCAGCAGCAGCAGCACGAACAACAACAGCACAATGATGGATCTGAGACGGACAATGCTGTAGCCGAGTTTGATCCAAAGAGGAGGGAATTATATGATCTCTTATATGACAGATATGATACTTGCGCGTATTGCGGTGGGAAGTATCAAGATGAATGATCATTTACATACTTAATATCATATCTAGCCTTTAATCTCAACGTTGTGAACACTAATTGGATGACGCAAAATAAAGGGCACCTTCTATAAGCATCGTCTCGATAGATAGACGTCACAATATCTAGTATTTACCCAGGTACCTAATATACCAAATCTATGTGCATCTGCCTGGCGAGTCATGTATATTACATATTACTTATTTCATATAAGGGGACCAATTTCCAATGGTACTTCCATTACCGGCGCACCAGCACTTTCCTTCTCCCTCCCGCTCTACTTGGACAACGATATCCATGTTTTTCTCCTTTAAGAACTCGACTGTTCGTTTCCGCACGTCTTCGAGATCAGCGTTGCGCGAAGCTATGATGTGGATCGTGCCTACAACTTTGCTTTCGGGATGGGAATGGGAATGGTCGTGGTCGTGATGATGATCGGACTCACAATGAGTATGCTCATGATCATGTTCATGATCATGTTTATGATCGTGGCTGTGGTCATGGTCGTGGTTATGCTGACCGTGAGTATGGCTATGGCTATGGCTATGTCCATGTTCGTGCCCATGGTCGTGTCCAGCCGGAGCTGCGCTGGCAGTGTCGTCCAACCAAAACTTAGGCACTGTGTACCCTACTACTCCTCTCAATGTACTTACTCCAGCGAGAGTATCTCTCAGGTTGTATTCCACGTCTGCTGGCAATGCGAGAAGCAGTGATGAGGCAGTGCTTGATACAAGCGGAACGGCAGACGCAAAGATCAGAATCGCGATGAGACAAGATGCGAGAGGATCAAATCCTGACCAGCCGTAAAAGTGCACGAGAATCGTTGAAATGACAACCGCCACGGACCCCAGAGTATCGGCCATGATGTGTAGGAAGATACCGTGCATGTTCTCATTGCCATGTGAGTGGCCATGGCCATGGCCGTGACCACCGTGCGAGTGAGCATGCCCGTGGTCGAAAGCCATAATACCAACGAGATTAACGGCGAGGCCAGCAATGCTGACGACAAGGAGTTCCTCAATACGTCTCATTTCACTACCAGAGCTGAGTCTTTCAATTGCCTCATATATGATTTCCACGCTGATGATCATGAGAAAGACCCCATTGGCAAAGCCTGATAGGGTGTCGACCTTGCCGTAGCCGTATGGGAAACGCACACTAGGAGGCCATCTGCTCATGACAGAAGCGGATAACCCGACGACAAGAGCGAGACAATCAAAGAACATGTGGATACTGTCACTAAGAAGCCCAAGAGATCCGGTAACGAATCCGTAGGTCAATTGTATGAGCATGAATCCGAAGTTCAGGCTACTTTTAATTAGCAGGTGTGATCACTACATTCGTAGGAATATCACCAGACTTACCACATGAAGTAGAAGATCTTGCGCGAGTCTTCCTTTGACAAAATGCTGTGTAGAATTGGCCATGACTCCCCATGCCGAAGCAGGAATTTCGTTACAGATGACATTTCGGTCTTGGCAGGTGTAAGCTCGCCTGGCTTGGGGTTGTCGAAAAATGCAGCAAAATAGCAAAAAGTCGCCAAGATTGACCAAGACAAATGTGCCATATGGCTGGTTTCTTCATGAGGCGCGGCACTTGTGAAGACAACAACGAGTGCTGTTGCAATAAAGCCAACTTTCCGACGCGACCGTAGCCCGTGAGGTGATGATAATGCGAAGGAGAATGCAAAGATAATGGCGACAAGTGCGGCAGTAATGAGGTCAGATATTCCAAACGATGTCTTTGCCATATTGAACGGCGACACTAGAATACAAAGCAAACTAAGAAGGCCTCCAGCAGCGAGAGTGAGCTGGATATCCTCCGAAGATGCGACTAGAGGGCTGCTTAAAAGGGCAGACGCTTGCTGACTGGTGAGGGCTACAAACCCACCCCATAGCCGTGGGACTGAATCGATATCTGGTTTCTGTACTGCGGGGATGGAGTCTCTTGGTGTTGCGACAGGGGGACGAAGGACAAAAATCGAGATCATTAGTGCGATATATCCGCGAAATGGCTGGGTATCAATGGGGAAATCATAGCCAAGGACATGCAAGACCAGAAATAAAGATAATACAAATAAAGCAGCCTTCTTGTTACCAAGCTTTTCAGGCAGCTTGCCGCCTTGACCCTGGTGTTGAAAAACGGATGGAACGCCTGCTGCATAGCTCAAACTCAATGCGAGAGCAACTATTGTACCACCGATGACCATGCCTGCATATATAGGTAGGGCTAAAGACAAAACACGCAGGAGGCCTTTTCTTGCGGAGTTCACGTTGAGCTGTAAGCCTGACATGTTCGGGAGGCTTTGATTGGCGCGTTGACGGCGAAATAATGCTAGGCCACCGATTGAAAACAACGTGGCAGAGGTCAACACTAGAGCGCGCCACCATACAGCATCTACTGTGGTCTCTGGGGAATATGTATTCATAACCTTCTGCTTGGCAGCTGCTACCTTCAGCATTCGCCAGACTTTGTGCGATGTGGGAGCAGTGTACTGTCTCATGTACCATGACAGCACTGACCATGGAATTGCCGTCAATATCCCAGTTGCAATCTCATAACTGCAAAAATATCAGTTGCATGATCTCCAGTTGCCCGATGTCTTTCGACTGACCTTAATGGTGCATTTTCGGACGTCTGAAACGGAGTGGCATAGGCATCCGAAGCTTTTACACCTGCCATTGGCGCAGCGTCTGAGCCTTGTATATACATAGCAGATGAGCTACCTGCTATTGAATGCGAATGCGAATGCGAATGCGAATGCGAGTGCGAGTGCGAGTGCGAGTGCGAATGGCCATGGCCATGGCCGTGAGGATGGAGATGGGCATGGGTATGGTTGAGCCCCGAGAGTGTGTCTGATTTATGGCTATGCCCATTGGCATGCTCCGACTCATGATGATGGTGGTGGTCGTGTCCATTGGCATTATATACAGCAAGTTCTGCATTCCCTTCCATGGGGGTTTCGACCGGCAGTGGCAATGTAGGCGTTTGCGACCAATTGCCAGACCGCATGTGGCTTCTCGGAGGCCGTCGGCTGTGTCCGAAAGAGCCTGAAGGCACTTGGGCGAGCTCCGGCATTGTAGAGGACGCCGGCATCTCTGTGGCCCTATGCAGAACGGTATTTCGGACTGGCTGATGCACCGTGCTATCTTGTCGACATGGGTTCGTTAGAAGTTGTCAACGGTTCGTCCGGCGCGGGGGGCGTGCAAGCGTGCCTCGGCTGAGAAAACAGCAGAAGACGGTTCTTAGGGGAAAGCCGACAAGCTGAGTTCTTCAACTAGACGAACATATCCTTCATCTATCCCTCAGCGACAGAGGCTTCGGAAAGGTGAAGATGGAGCAGCGCGCAAAAGCCAAAAGGCGTACGTTGGCAGTTCCCGCCGGGGGAAAGTGCGACCCAATCAGTAGCTTGGTCGCCACTAGTGCAGGAGCTCCACGTCGATAATTTCGATAAGACATCGACCGCAGAACACACAACAGCCGGGCTGTTGAACGCTTGGTGTTTTTGATACTTGGGCTTGGTGTTTGTACCTTGTGCTCTATGTCTCATAGTTGTGATGCCCCGCTTGGCCACATTCCTTCCATCTAAACGCCAATCACAGACTTACAGGCGATGAACCGCAGTCATGATCGAGCAGGCCATCAGCATCGCTTTTTGGCTGTCGAGCCTGCTGACGGTTATTATTGTTGCTTTGCCGTCACAGTATATCCCACAGTCGGCACGAGGTGATAATCGCAAGGAGAAAGTCACGGCCCAAATCCTAGTTCTGGGAGATATTGGACGCAGCCCGCGAATGCAATACCATGCATTGAGCATCGCTCGCCATGGAGGCCACGTTGAAATAATTGGATATCATGGTAAGCAATTGGCAGTGTTCTCTTTCTTAGGTGGACGGGACATAATCACCATGCTAACCCCGGCGGTGTTTCTAGAATCCGATCCTCACCCCGAAATCACGTCCAATGCGAATATTTCAGTTGTGCCTCTTCCTCCGCATCCTGCTATTCTGCAAACAAACAACAAATTCCTCTTCCTCGCACTCGGCCCTCTCAAAGTTCTATTTCAAATTGCAAGCTTGTGGCTTTGCCTTGCATACCGTACAAGGCCGGCGAAATACTTGCTTGTTCAAAATCCTCCATCGATCCCGAGTCTCGCACTCTCTTCCATTGTTTGCTACCTCCGACAAACAAGACTCATAATCGACTGGCACAATTTTGGCTATTCGATTCTTGCCCTAAAATTAGGTAACCAGCACCCGTTAGTTGTGATATCAAGATGGTACGAGAAATTCTTTTGTGGTGGGGCATTTGCGCATTTCTGCGTGACAAACGCGATGGCTCGCATCCTGAAAGATGAGTTTGGAATAACCGGAAGTCCAATTTTCCCCTTGCACGATAGACCGGCCAGGCATTTTAAGCCAGTCTTAGATGAGGAAGAGAGAACACAGTTCCTACAGTCTCTGCCAGAGTCAACGGCACATGGAGCCGAGCTGGCGAATGGTGATATTCGTGTCCTTGTCAGTTCGACGTCTTGGACCTCTGACGAAGACTTCTCAGTTTTGATTGATGCCCTATGTCGGTATTCAAAAATTGCATCGGCTGAAAATCCTGCTTTACCGAAGATATTGGCAATAATTACCGGCAAAGGACCACAGAAGGAGATGTATCTAAATGAAATTTCCAATCGTGAACACGCCGGAAAACTGCAGAAGGTGACAATTAAAACAGCCTGGCTTAGTACACTTGATTATGCAAAACTCCTGGGTTGCGCATCATTGGGCGTCAGCTTGCATACAAGCAGCAGTGGCGTTGATCTACCTATGAAAGTCGTCGACATGTTTGGAGCCGGGTTGCCAGTTGTTGGCTGGAATCGTTTCGAAGCCTGGCCTGAGCTAGTCACCGAAGGCACAAACGGGCGGGGATTCGGTAGTGCAGAGGAACTGACCTCTCACCTTACGGACCTGTTCGGAAATCCCGCCAAGCTGGAGATCTTGAGAAAAGGTGCTCAGAAGGAGAGCCTACGAAGATGGGACCAAGAGTGGGATCCTGTTGCAGGCAGGCTACTCCAATTGGTTTAGACATGATTGAAGCATCTTCAAACACGTGGGAAATGACATTAGAAAACTAGGCTCGATTACGAAGAAGCCAAAGAAAGGAAAAATGTTATCAATAGGTTTCATTACAATGCATGCATATAAAAGTTTCGTGAGACAAGATCTTTTTACATTATTCAACTCGGTCCAGTTTCTGAACCACAACGGCTGTCGCAGCGCCTCCGCCATTGCATATAGCAGCCACACCGTACTCGCCTGGTTGTAGTTGATGAAGAAGTGTGGTCAAAATACGAGAGCCAGAACTACCCAGAGGATGGCCGAGTGAAATAGCTCCGCCGAGAGGATTGACGCGGGCATTTTCGAGACCGAGAATCTATATTACAAGGTTGCGTTAGCACTGCTAAGTGGGTTCATAAACATTCAAAGAATGATGGCAAAAACACACCTTTTCGTTAGCCTTGATAACAGCAGCAAATGCTTCATTAAACTCCCATACGGCAACCTGGTCCTTGGTTATACCAGCCCTTTCAAGGGCAATTGGCACAGCCTTGGCTGGGGCAACTGGGAAGTCGACGGGGTCTAGAGCAGCATCTGCAGATGCGACGATGCGTGCAAGAGCGCGGTTTCCGGAGCCGTATTGCTTTGCGAGTTCTTTGTTCGCAAGAACCAACGCCGAAGCACCGTCATTCAAAGTCGATGCATTTCCAGCCGTAACTGTCCCGGTGCCATCACGGACAAAAGCCGGCTTGAGGCCTCTCAATTTCTCAGCCTGCAGGTTCTCAAAACCCTCGTCTTTCGAAATGACTGTTTCGCCCTTCTTATTCTTGACCGTGACGGGAGCAATCTCATCGGCAAACTTATTCTCCTTCCATGCTTGTTGAGCGCGTTGATACGATTGAATGGCATAATCATCTTGTTCCTCGCGAGTAACGTTGTGTTTGGAAGCAGTTTTCTCGGCACAGACGCCCATGTGAAACTGGTTGTAGACATCCCACAAGCCATCCTTGATCAAACCATCTTCAACCTTCAAGTTCCCGAATGCCGGCAACTGACTAGACCGTGGCAAGTAGTATGGCACCTGAGTCATACTTTCCATTCCTCCAGCAACCTGAGCCTCGGCGAGCCCTAATTGTATATTTTGAGCGGCAATGACTACAGCCTTTAGCCCAGATGCGCAGACTTTATTTATAGTAGTGGCTTCAACTGTGTTTGACAGTCCCGCGAGAATGGCAGCCTGCCGCGCGGGCGCCTGGCCGGCGTTTCCCTGTAATACCTGACCCATGTAGACATCTGTGATTTTCCCGACTGGAATATTCGACTTGTCAAGGGCGGACTTGATAGCGACGGCGCCGAGTTGGGGTGCGGAGAGGGAGGCAAAAGAGCCATTAAACTATGCACGTCAGTTGTCAAACTAAGGATACTAATAATGTTCCGAGAAAAACAAAATAAAAGCTTACCTTTGCAACAGGCGTTCGCGCCGCACTGAGAATGTATGCGTCTTGGATCTCCTTGGCCACTGCTCGCGAAGTGCTGAACGACCGGTTCGGCAGATGGGCCGCGTGAAGGGCGAGACGGGCTGTTGCCCTCGATGTTTGCATGATGGGTATCTGGAAAGACAGAGTGATAGTGAAAATTAGTGAGGCAGAAACAAAAACTACGGATCAAGATAATTATAACAGAGAGACGTGAGCGAGAGTGAAGAGAGTGATGGAAGCACGGAGTATTCCGCACGCTTGCCGCCGCGGCTGGCCGAGACGAAATAGCCGAGGCTTTCCGGAGTAGGCATATGCCTAGGTAGGCCAGCTTCTAGCAGTATGGACCTCGATAACTAGAACAGAAAGAATGACATGCTTTTTTAAAGTGCATATTGATATTCTAAGATAGAAAGCTGCTCCAACGGTATAAGGCATCCTCATCTAGCTGAAAGGAGTCCATTCGTATTCGTCAACATCAATATACCTATCCTCAACCGGATCTTCCTCTCCAAAGAAGGAATCTTCATCACTGTCTACGAAAAAGTAACGACAATGACGCCGGATCTCTGTCCAAGTTAAGCCATGCGACCGTTTTTAAATTTCCTGGTTTGATGAATACGAGGGACTATCTTGTTCTAGGATGTGAGCTTGATGATCCCGTTTGACAATCACCTGCAATTCCTTTCCTTCTTCATTCACGTCTAGCAGCTGCTTGTCTTCTTCTACTCCAAGCATTTCTAGGTCTTCTGCAGCTGGCGGCTTCCGCTCAAAGAGCTGATGTGTCTCAGGTTTGAGCACTGTGCCTGGAGCACTTCCGTTTGCCAAAGGTGAGTCTTGTCGAGGTAAAGAGGTGCGAATAGATCAGGTTGCGTACCTCGCCCGGAAGCTGCAGAAGCATGCATGATAATACATGCTGACTCTCATTCTTTTCTTTTGTTGTACCATTTCATTTTCTCTTTTGAGAGTGGGCCATAATACTAAATATCCGGTCGAACTCTTGCAAGAAGCGGGTGTTCGGGTTCTCTCGTTAATTTACAGCATATTTCCACACCCCGTGGCGTTGTCATATGCTAGAATCGTTGTTTCAAACGATTTATATTGCCTTAGTAATAGTAACGAGAGGACTTTTGCTCAGGAACTAGATGTGCATTCGATTTTGACGCGTTGAATTGTTGATTGCAACTGCAAAGAATCTACACGCCGCTAAATAAACTGTGTGTATAAGCACGTGAATTTCTTGGCAGATTATCTTAATTAGGCTTAGCGCTTAGAGCGCGCACTAGATTTCTCAACCTTAACCCTGAACTACCAGGGAATCCTATTATTTCGCGAAATCCGCGGTAACAGTACAAGACAACAAGTATCCATGATTGGATAGAGACCGAAGATTAAGCGTGGCTGTTCGTTGCAGCAAGGGTCCAGTACGTCTCCTTGCTCCGCTCTCTAAAGAATTTACCCCATTTAATCATGACTGCAAAGACTAAACAAGCGGCCATTCCGATAAAAGCAGCAGAGATGAAGCAATTCTGGTAGCCCATATCATCGATCCAAGGCGTGATACCATATCCAATGGCAAAAGACATGGTATTTCGAACAATAATGACCGTTGCCATGGCGTCTCCGCTGATTTCGTGGTAACTGTCTATGAGGTAGTTGACACTGAGTGTGATGCCAGCGGTGCTGCTGAATGCCAACAGACACATTGCGACAATCAGTCCAAACCAATGGATGTTATGCGCGGCTCCAACGCCCCAGAGAATTAGGGTTGCTGGTACAAGGATGGTGGTGAGGGCGAATGGATAGAGTCGGTGCTCTGCTTCCATGATACCATTGTTGCGGCGAGCAAGCTTGATGGTCAGCCAGTCGCTGAAACTTCCTGTAAAAAAAGCGCTAATTGTATGGTCAGATAGGTTACAAAGAATAGAAAAGAAGGGAGGATACAACAAGGATAACTCACGCAGCAATGACACCAACACAACAAGAAATATAACTCAGTCCCACCATGGAGTCGCTAAAGTTATATGGAGCACCCCCCAAAATAATTGAAGCTGTTGCATTCATCACGTTGAACCATACAAGATAGCTGCCGTATGAGAATCCAGCGTAGAATATAACTGGCCAGCTAAGATATCTGAGAATGAGGAACGACTTTTTAAATGGGTTATCGCCAGGGCATGTCTGCCATAGAGACATCTTGTGCAGGAATGTCTTTTTGCTGGTCGCGGAAGACGTCGAAATTGCAGCAGTGGCTTCCTTTTCATCACCTTTTTCGGAGGCGATGGAATCAGAAATCTCTACCACACCGACAGATGGGCGGTGGTAGTTGGTTTCTTCCATAAAGAAGAAGAGAAAAACAGTCACCACTCCAGACCAGATGGCTGGGACGTAAAAGACCCATTTCCATCCGGCGTAATCAGCGATGAACCCGGAAATAACGGGAGAAAAATACGCGCTTCCGGAAAGTGACAGGCAATAAAATCCCATATACAATCCACGTTCATGGGTGAAATACTGGGAAAGATCGTTAGTTGCAAAGTCTAGTGAATTCCTAATATTCCGGGGTTCCAAGTGCTGCACTCACCACATCGGTGACAGAGACCTCGGGAAGAGCTTCGATGGGAGCGGCAAGTATGCCCGAGACAATGCACTTTGCAATCCACTCACCGTTGCTGCGGGCGTAGGGACTCCAAATGAGACAGGCGATTGTTCCGATGATAGATACCAGATAGGTCAATCTCTTTCCATATCGCAAAGCAAAAGGCTGCCAGAACAGTAAACCCCAACCGCAGAGAAGAAACACATATCCAGTGCCTTGAGACAACGTTAATTTGAAGGAAACTTGTCATGAAGAATGCTCTTTTGGGCTACTTGCCTGCGTTGAGATTGGCGACAGAAATACTGGTAGCATCAGACAGAGGAACCAGAACTGAAGCAATGACCGAAGCTATCAGACCAACAGAGAACGTGTAACTGTCGAAAAAAACGTAGTTAGCTGGATGTCAAATGCAAGATATCATCTGAGGCAACATTTCTCATACAGGTTGACACATATCGTTGACAGCATCTTTCGACGCGGCGACCAGTTGAGCGGGTCCTCGGGATCGGCTGAAGGCGTAGGGACGAGGACGATCTCTCCATTGCCGGAGTGTTTCGTATGCATGTTGTGTTCGAGATCGAGGATGTGGATCGTCCCAGGGACGCCATCATTAGGACTGGTGGCCATGGCTAGGCGTTGCTGAATGTATCCAGACTTGGCAATGAAATTATAGTAGACAGCCAGGGCCAAGATGTAGCATGTTGAAGACGGCCCGGCCGGTCTTTATATCACAGTATAGCATATGGACTGCGGTACTCCATGATATCGCTACAATGATAACAAGATGACAGGCTCGAGAACGAAGATAAGTGGCTTCTGCCATACACGTCAATGGCCGAGCGCTGGTTGTACTGGTAGCTTTCTAGGAAAATCGACCGGACTAACTCGCAGACGCTACATAGTGGCGGGTCACCGGCCGAGCTTGAGAGCCTGGACTGGGACAGATAGCTAGAGACTGAGAGCTATGCTAACTCGAAGTACGATAGCCATATAAGACGACGTCGGCACTTGGAGTTAGAGATGTAGCGAGAGAGAGAGAGAGATAGCTAAATTGCCCGATGGAGACAGGCGCCGATAAGAACCCGCGGACCCACCTGGCTGCAGCCTCAGGCAGCATTAGATAGCTTGTTTCCCGATGCAACATATCTCGGCCTGCTCGGACGGGGTAGAAAAGTCCCAAGCCTGGCAAGGACGTAGTTATGAAGATGGCCAACAGCGTGGCAACAGAGCGGAGTCGGAAACAATGGCAATGGCTACCTCCTCGTGGGAACAGATTCGCGATGCCAAAAAGGCCGAGCAGGCTGCCCGCATTCCGGCAGCGTGGAAACTGAAAGAGTTCCCCTCTGAAGAGACACGAGATTTGCGGTCATATGCAAAGACGTCCGGAATTCTCTCGGGAAGGGAGCTCGAGATAACGGACGTCGACGCAAGTACGCTCGTCGAGAAGCTTGCCAGTGGGACATACACCGCCGTCGAGGTTGTGACAGCCTACTGCAAACGTGCCGCCATCGCCCAGCAGTTGACCAACTGTCTGACTGAGATAGCCTTTGCAGAAGCAATCAACACCGCCAAATCTCTTGATGAGCACTACAAGGCGAGCGGCAAGGTTGTCGGGCCCCTTCATGGCCTCCCGATGACCTTCAAGGAGTGCTTCAATCTTAAGGGCTACGACTCGAGTAATGCCTACGTCTCGAAGGCTTTCAGCCCTGTTGACTACGATGCATACCTGGTCGAAATTGTCAAGAAAGCCGGTGCAGTTCCAATCGCCAAGACCAATGTAATTCTTTTGATTCTCCCATTTTCTTTTTTCCAGTATTATTAGTTATCTGACCTGACTTCTAGGTTCCACAAACCATGCTCGTGGCCGAAGCCGAGAACAATCTCTTCGGCAGGACCAAAAACCCCATAGTTGCCCAACTCACTTCTGGCGGCTCAAGTGGTGGCGAGGGTGTTGTGGTGGCATATCATGGAAGCGCTATTGGAATTGGCACCGATGTTGGAGGCTCAATTCGGTAGATGATCATACCTTGTGCTAGATAGACAGTCAGTCATTGCTAACTAGAATGTAGAATTCCATCTGCCGCCAACGGCGTCTATGGCTACAAACCAACATTCGGAATTCTTCCAATGCTCAAGTACGCCAATTCCACACATGCCGGGCTTAACACCGGTATCCCTGCTGTGTGTGGGCCTATTGCTCGATCCGTGAAAGACCTGAAACTCCTTACCCAAATCGTGCGCAACGAGAAGCCTTGGTTGACAGATCCATCCATTATTCCATATGTCTTCGAGCACGGTGTACAGGACAGAAAGCCCATTGTGGGTGTGATTTATCAATCGGACACCCTAACACCTCACCCTCCCATTCGCCGCGCGCTCCATGAGACAGTCGAAAAGCTCAAGGCCGCCGGTCTAGAAGTGAAAGAATTCATCCCACCCAGCTTTGCTGCCATCAACGAAGTCACAAGGCAACTATTCACGCTGGATGGCCTCTCATATGCCAAGCGTGTCCTATCAGAGTCTGGGGAGCCCCCCGTAGCCTCTGTACGCTCAATCGGGTTTTGGGATTTGCCTGCCAAAACATCCGAAGAAAACTGGGCTTGGAACGCCAAGAAACAGAATTTCCAGAAGGAGATGCTCGACAAGTGGACCACCGCTGGCGTAGACATTGTACTGTGTCCGGCTGGTGCGCACACTGCTCTGCGCCCAAGAGAATGGACCAATGACTCATACACTGTTACATGGAATGCGATGGACTATCCCGCGGTCATTGTGCCTGTGTCCCATGTGGACCCAGCCAAGGATCTGAAGGACTCGTTGGAAAAGCCGCTCTCAATTATGGATGTGGAGTTCTACGCTAAATATGACCCAGAACTTATGGCTGGCGCGCCCATTTCTTTGCAGCTCGTAGGGCCTAGACTAGGGGATGAGCAGTTGCTGCAAGATGTTGAGCTGATCGATTCGATAATAAAGCAGTAGTATATAAGTGTTGGAGCATCTGAAGACGAAACATTAAGACTTTTAGCATGCTTTATATCACATTATATATATCTTTTGCTCTAAATACATACACCATTCCATCAATATAGTTAGTCGGCTTAAACATTCAATCTGTACTCTCAGCATAGCGACAAATAGTCAAATCAAAATCCCTAAAGATATTAATTCAAAGCCAGGGGATAAGAACTCCAATCAGATTTATATTGGCACACATTCCATAGGATACTTTCGACTCAAAATCATCCAATTCCAATCCTCGCATGCATCTCTTGCTTTCCAGACCCTCTCGGCAACGAAGTTCTTTGTCTGAATGGCCGTGCTTGTCCTTCGAGCACTATAAATGGCATCGAAGATGCCCAATGCAACAGTCCGATCCTCCTGACTCTGCAACTCACAGCTCGCGATAAACGCCGGCCACGTTGATAGCCGCAAGTCGTCCGGTTCCCCATGTAGATGCACAATGACTTCGCAGGCCATATGGAATGCTTCTTTGTCAGCTTCCGCTGAGCTTCCAGCGGGGTGCATGAGCCGGTGCAGCATCAGTAGAGCAGCTGCCCGGGATGCATAGGCGTGTGCTAGTAGTCGACTCGAGGTTCGTGCGGATACACCCTGGCCGAAGGTAGGGCGCCAGGACTGGATACGGGACTTTAAATCGGCCATTGGTGGCGAAATGGCTGTTACCTTTGTCACAGACCAGGAATTCATCGTTGAATCTTCTAGACCGTTAGTGATTGCCTCCGCGCTCTGGCAGACATCTTCGGCCAGAGCACTCAATTCCTGAAGAAGGGACATTAAAGTTGTCGTGTATCCCATGAATCGATCAGGGGAGCTTCTAGAGGATTCGTCGAGCCAGAGCTCTGTCTGGATAGAGTTTCTACGACACTGGCTCAACGATAGAACCATGTCCTGCCGTGCCAGGGCACGAACGAAATACTTGGCGAGCGAGCTTAATACTAGGCCCGATGCAAGATACTTATTAATAATCCGCACCGCATACCCAATTAAAATGGGAAATGAGCGCTCATGTGCTTTGCATTTTGTGTCGATCAACTGTTTATAAAAAGTACGTTAGATATGCTGTAAACTTCAGCGTAAACGGAATGAAGAGTTTGGCAGTACCTCCATTGCCCCTAGTGCCAGCGTCATTGCCAGCATTTGCTCCAGCTCACAGCTTGGATCCTTAAACCTCAGGCGCGCCAGCGTCTTCGCTCTTCGGTCCAATGCCAGTGGTAATAATGAACCTTGGCCATCTTCATCGAGATAGATACGCCCTATTGAATACAGAGCGTCTCCAATAGCTGCAGGGCTGTCCTGAAGAACCAGTAAAATCGCAGCATTCATCTCATAAATAAACTCTGCACTTATCACAAGCTCGAAAGGATGCCTGTTGAAGTACACGTTGATAGTTGGACCGTCGGCTTCGGGGATAGCTCCCGGGGGAATTGCCGGGAGCGTTCGTGGGATTATGGGATTTATCAATGCATTCTGGCCATTCGGAGAGTGTGTAACTATAGGGTCTGAAGAAACTCGATATTCAGAGGCTGTATTCCAATATGGTGAGAGACCGATTTTTGCCTCAGAATTTGTTTCCACGTGGAGAGACTGTCGCCTGTCTGCTTTTTTGCTGGGCGAACTGGTCGTCGGCAACATTTGTGTATGTGTGCTGATGCTGGCAGTGAATCTGTCAGATTTTGGGTCATCAGTGCATGTTTCTGATCGCTGTCGCTTCCTCTTCGCAGGAGCTTCTGCTTGGGCTTGATTGTGATGATGAGTGTATCCCCGACAAACGCGATGCCGACGAGCGCAAGTACCACACGAAGGACGGGCTTCGTCGCACCGGACCTTGGCTGCTTTGCAATCAATACAGCCGTATTTTGATCTTCGCCGGATGTCAAACGTGTCTGGGTTCAAGGCAAATATATGCTCTGTCCAGGTCGCCATTGTGCCAGTGGGACAAGTAGGATAATTCCGATAAGAGGCTGGGTACAGCCAGATCTCGAAAAGCAATGCTAACACTAGGCTCAGACGGAATCCGCAGGAACCTCAAATTGATAGAGAGATTCACTACATCTCACTCAGAAGGAAAAGAAAAGAGTGTGAAGATGTTGGGAGGGGTAGGAAAGGAAGACCGTTGCTCCCTGAGATAAGCCCGATTTAGGAGTGGGGCCATGGCCGATTATGGAAATATTCAATGTGCAGGAATATATGCCGATAGAGAATCCGTTCATGATTTAAACGCTTATGGCGAGCCTAGGTATGGGATGGGGGTTTAGCTTGGCATTTTCTATTGGCTGAGGTGTTGGTGAATTTATGTTTATTTTCTCATCTAGCAACCAAATGAGAATATTCCCTTTGCGCTGTGTTTCTTGTCTCAATGAACTTCAATAGCCCTTCAGGAACCGTAGCATTATCCGTCAGCCCGCTGGGGACTGGCTCATCCAGTTGTTCGGATAGAGGAACCACTCCTGTCCACGGCGGAACTTCATGGTCTGGCCCATCCTTTATCGGGTCTCTAGGTTGAATATTGGGGATGCCAGTTCGCAACTTTAGCCCACCGCTGAGGATATCAACCCTTATCACACAAACTAGCGAGACTTGAAATGACGAGACAGGGTTGACATCCTCCCATCTGCCCGCGATAATGTGGTTCGTCACACCCCTCATCACCTCCCGCTTGATATCACGGTCCTTGACAAGGGAGCATGTGCCGTGTACGATGCTGGAGCGGTAATTAAAGGTATGCCCATTGGGGCTCGATGAGAGAACGAGACCGTCCACTAAATGTCGAAATCAGCAGGACTCGACAGATGCCAAAAGCAATTGACTAACTGACCCTTGGTGGCTGCGATGCACACCCTTATCTTCTCGCTCAGATCTTTAGACTCGTTATCCCGCACAATCTCCATTAGCCTCGAGCTCGGGTGGCCATGGAGGTAGATCACCGGATCTTGATTTTCCCCAAGACAGCGAAACAGGGCGATCATGGGCAAGCATTGAGGCAAGCCATTATCGACGTATGACACGTGAGAGATGAACGTTTCTGCAAATACTTTCTGGACGGCGTCAACATCGTACTGTCCTCGCGCTTCGTGTCGCCGAAGTTTGGCGGGCTCCATGATCCTTCCAGTTGATGAGGCACGCTGTCTGCCTGAGGTACTACAGAACAGTCTGTCGAAAAGGCGACGCCGAGTGTTGGGCTTTGTGAAGAAGCGTTCATGCGAATAGAAAAAAGAAAGTTTCATGAGGAATCTACCACCAGACATCCTTTTTTGCTTTTCTTTTTTACTTTGCATATGCCATCATTGGACGCCGTTCAACAGGTACAAGCCCCGCCATAATGGGCACACAAACGGCCCTTTTGAGTTGATAAGTGATTGACTCGCATTAAGATGAGAGAGGGGCTCATTCTCAATAAAATCCCCACTGTGAACAACCTGCATAGTTTGCTATCATCTTGCCGAGACGCCGAAGATAGCTTACAGCATCAGCGATAACGGCGGGAGCATCAAACAGTGTGGGGGTTGTCCCCGCACGGCGCACTAAGCCCAGAGCGGCCGCTTGCTATCTTATCTGTCTAATCTCTGCCCTATCAGCGCCAACTCCCCGCGTAGCTCTTGGCTATCTCGTAGCTATCGTGCCTGGGTAGACGTGTGCCTTCGCTGTGGGAGGTGCATGCTATTGCAAGCCCGCAATTTCCCGTCTGACAGTCTTTCACCATGAGCGTTGTTGGAAACCGTAGCTTCGGTGTCCTAAATAAAATGCAAAGCTGTCCCCATCCCGATCGCTAGCCATTCACCCAGCTGTGTTCGTTTTCCTGCCTGGCATAACACAGTACCGTCCTCGTCATCGTCGAAATGGGTTCCGTGCAAACTTCGGGGCTGTGGCAGAAAATTGCGGCGGCCAAAAAAGCCGAGCAAGCGTCGCGTATCCCTTCTGAGTGGAAGCTCTCAGCAAATACCCTGAAAGATGCTGAGACAACCGTCGACCTGAGACCGATCGCAGCTTCCTGCGGCATCCTGTCCGCGCAAGAGCTCAAAATCACTGAGGAGTACGATGCCACAGGGCTGGCTGCCGAAGTCGCAAAGGGTACATATACCGCCGTTGAGGTCACAACGGCATATTGCAAAAGAGCCGCCATCGCTCAACAACTCTTGAGCTGTCTGACCGAAATACGATTCCTGGAAGCAATTGAAGATGCCAAGAAGTTGGATGAGGAATTTAAGAAGACAGGAAAGCCAGTAGGTCGCTTACATGGCGTGCCGATGACTTGCAAGGTTGGATCCTCGTATCTGAGTATTGCACTCTATCGCTTATTGACCGTTCGCAACTAGGAATGCTTCAACTTCAAAGGATTCGACTCCAGCAATGCATACATCACCAGATGCTTCGACCCAATAACGTTCGATTCTTACCTGATCAAGATCCTGAAGGCCGAGGGCGCTGTTTTTATTGCAAAGACAAACATTCCTCAAAGCATGTTGGCCGCAGAAGCACACAACCATGTCTTCGGCCAAACGAAGAACCCTGTAGTTTCTCACCTGAATTGCGGTGGTAGCAGCGGAGGAGAAGGCGCAGTATTGGCCTATAAAGGCAGTGCATTGGGCATAGGCACAGATGTTGCTGGTTCTATCCGGTCAGTGAGACTCCGCGTTAACGATGTGTTAGGGCCGCGTACTAATTACGAACGAGAGAGAGCAGATGTCCTTGTGCAGCAAACGGTGTGTACGGACTGAAACCTTCAAACGGAATTTTCCCCATGATTTCCTATGCGCCTTCGAACTGGCCAGGCATGAACACTGGTATCCCGGCTGTCTGTGGACCCATGGGATCATCGGCGCGAGACCTCACCCTCTTCTATCGACTTGTTCGCGACGCAAAACCGTGGCTATATGACCCGGCGTTGGTACCGGAGAAGTCCGAATGCGACATTTCGGATCGTCGGCCTGTGGTTGGAGTGTTCACAGAAAGCGGCGGATGCACACCACACCCTCCAGTCGTCCGTGCCATCAAGGAAGCAGCAGCAAAACTGAAGGAAGCAGGATTCGAGGTGCGAGAATTTATCCCTCCTAACTTCAAGGAGATTCGAGATTTGTCGCATGAGCTTCTCTCTCTTGATGGGCTATCATATGCCAAGGGAGAAATGGAGAAAGCCGGTGAACCGCCTGTTGTGTCAGTGCTCAATTCCGGCTTCTGGGACAAAGAGCGAAAGACATTCGAGGAAGCATGGGCTTATAACGCGAGGAAAATCGCACTGCAAAAAAAGATGTTGGACGCGTGGCAAGCAGCCAAGGTAGACGTTGTACTGGGCCCGGCAGGACCTCATACGGCAGTCACGCCTAACGAGTGGACCAACTTCATGTACACTGTAGCTTGGAACGTGGTGGATGTAAGTGCCCTGTTATCTTCCCCCGCCGAAATCAGGATCGTTAGGCTGATCCGTCCTGCAGTATCCGGCCGTCATTGTTCCCTTCACAACAGTAGACCCAGAGAAAGATCCCAAGGAAACGTCTTTCAGTCCAAAATCCGAACTGGATGCACAGAACGAGGCCATGTGTAAGTGTCCTTCTTGCTCGTTTAAGTACACGTCATGTTATTCATCGCGTATTACTCCTATGCTGAATCGCTGATTTTGTTTGCCAGACGACCCGCATCGTATGGCGGGAGCCCCTGTTGCCATTCAACTCGTGGGACCACGGCTCGGTGATGAGCAGTTGCTGAAGGATGTGGAAGCACTTGACAATGTATTCAAGGCCTGAGGATGGAGCGTAGAGCTATAGAAGAATTGAATATAATCCTGCAACGTGATATCTGCAGTCCCCTCCAACTCCGATGTCGATGTGTGGTGCTTACTCAGACCCCAGGAGGCACTAATCCTAATAAGGAAAGAGGCCTCCTGAGGCAAACTTGGAAGAAAGGTTCGGCTGCTTCTGGGAGTTAGACATGATGTGAGGACTTATGTGCGTGTATATACGTATATATATACATATATATATACAACAGTAGTTTCTCGTAACTAGTTGGTAGCGAGATAATGGAGATTTTGAGGACTCCATACACACAAAGGACTGTGATAAGTAACGGGTGATGGACGGCCCTACGGCGCAGCCACGCAGTTACCCGCCCCTCACCGTTTGGGTCACTTACTCACTCTCCTCTTTCTTCCCACCCGTCCTGCTTTGTATTCCTCACAACGCTCTTCCTCTAGCCTTTACCAGATTGTATCCTGGTGCCGCCGTATCTGCCATCGCCTTTCGCCTCTTTAGCTCCTAGCCTCATCAAGAGATAATTATCTATCGTGCTCGTCCGATCTCCCCCGCAATGTCGACCTCTGCCCGCCGCCGTTTGATGCGAGACTTCAAGGTTTGCTCTCCCTTCATAACGCCTACCCATCCTAATGACCTGTTTCATCTTGATTTATCCCTGTTTATATTCTCTGTTAGACGTCAACTAACATCTGCAGCGCATGCAAACAGACCCTCCAGCCGGTGTTTCTGCATCGCCCGTCGCCGATAATGTCATGACCTGGTATGGAAAACGACAAGCGAATACTGGCAAAATGGAGTAAACATTAATTATCTTTGGCTATAGGAATGCCGTCATCATCGGACCCGCAGACACTCCTTTTGAAGATGGGACATTCCGCCTTGTCATGCACTTCGAGGAGCAGTACCCCAATAAACCGCCCGGTGTCAAATTCATTAGCCAGATGTTCCACCCCAATGTCTACGGCACTGGCGAGTTGTGTCTGGACATCTTGCAAAACCGCTGGAGTCCCACCTATGACGTGGCCGCCATTTTGACCAGCATTCAAAGGTGAGACAACGAAGCGGCGAGGATTAGTGATTGTGAAACTAACTGACACTTTGCCAGCCTGCTCAATGATCCCAATACCTCTTCACCTGCAAATGTCGAAGCCTCCAACCTGTACAAGGATAACCGTCGTGAATACGTAAAGCGAGTGCGAGAGACGGTTGAGAAGAGTTGGGAAGACTAGATTGGACCGAGGCTTCTTTCCGACTGCATGAGTGTTCATGCTGTGCCCCTTGCCTATCCGGACAGACCTATTATCTTGGGATAGCTTCAGTTTCGCTTCGACCTTGCACAGCGCGGAGTTTATGGCGTGGTAACCGCGGCTTGTTTGAACTGTTTATTATTTCTCCCCCTTCTTTCCGTCGGCGTTTTGTGTCCGACCGCTGTTTCTGTGTACCTTTTTATAGTGGGAATCTCTGTAGTTAGCAGACGCATTTATTATTTCTATGTGACGAAGATATGTCAATATCAGCATTTGGGCGCCATCTGTCTTCCGCGGGTCTATCTGCTCAGGTCGTCTAATGCAGGCGAAATATTGTAGCCATACACATCACAGTGTATGCCGTATATACATACACACACACATAGATATGTATATATATTCATATATTTATCACGTACTCAGCGCAGCTATGCGTGCCATACTTGGGCACAGACATGCCACCAGCCGATGTGGGACGCCAGCCGCGCTAAGCCCAAAAGGGGCCGTCTGCAGCAAATCGACATCAACAAGTTGTTTACTTAGTCTGACACCAGAGACCATTCCTTGTGACGTCTGTTGATTGACCAGGACGCCAGTCTGCCATTTGGATCCTGGCGAAGACTCCAGCTCTGCAGTGCATGGTACTCGCTCTCTTACCCGATTTTTGTGATTTACGGACGCCGCGCGTGTTTCGTCTTTGCGCACGTGAACCCCTGACCGGTACGCCTAATTAACTAGTTAATTGTTGTTTTCGGACTTCCTCAACGCTCGCACAATTTTTGCAGTACTCAGCCCAACGACGACCTGCCAGACTCGATTCGCATACACCCGGTACTCCATCTTGTGTCGCTCCTTTTCAGGTATTACCCCCCGGCTGGGGTTGCGTGTCTGGTTTTTGGAACTGTGCGTGGTGGTGGTCTAAATCGGTATTCACGATGGCGTACGTTGGCGCTCCTGCTTGTCCGACCCCGGGCTCTTGGAGATATTCCATTGGAGGGGAGTTAATGGGCTAACTCTCAAATCTTCTAGTTCGTCCAGTTCCAACACCATTAAGGGTATGTTGTCACGTACGAAGAGAGCAAGAAATTAGAGTTTTATTGACTGGCGTGCCTTAATATAGTCGTTGCGAGATTTCGGCCGCAGAACAAAAAGGAGATTGCGTCTGGAGGAGAACCCATTGTCGAATTGGAAAGCAATGAAACGTGCAAAGTCAACGTAGGGAATTCATTCTTCTATGATTTTACGAATTCTGAGAAAGTGCGCTCTCTGACCGCTATGTGTTAGTCTCGGGAGGGCTCCGGCTCATTCACCTTCGACCAGGTGTTCGGGATGGATTCGAAACAAACGGACATATTCGACTTTTCGATTCGGTCGACAGTGGACGACATTCTGAACGGTTACAATGGAACCGTGTTCGCTTACGGCCAAACGGGTGCTGGTAAATCGTATACCATGATGGGAACGGATATTGACGATGACATGGGAAAGGGTATCATTCCGCGAATTGTTGAGCAAATGTTTGCTTCTATTCTCACGAGCCCAAGCAACATCGAGTATACGGTTAGAGTCAGTTACATGGAAATCTATATGGAGCGCATCCGAGATCTTTTGGTCCCACAGCACGACAACCTACCAGTTCACGAGGAAAAGTCTCGAGGAGTCTATGTCAAGGGTCTCCTGGAGATATATGTCTCTAGTGTCCAGGAGGTCTACGAAGTGATGCGCCGGGGTGGAGCAGCTCGAGCTGTGGCGGCAACCAATATGAACCAAGAGTCCTCTCGATCGCATTCAATCTTCGTTATTACCGTCACACAGAAGAATGTCGAGACTGGCTCTGCGAAGAGTGGCCAGCTCTTCTTGGTAGATTTGGCAGGAAGTGAAAAAGTTGGCAAGACCGGCGCCAGCGGGCAGACGCTTGAAGAAGCGAAAAAGATCAACAAGAGTTTGAGTGCTCTCGGCATGGTCATTAATGCTCTTACCGATGGCAAATCGACGCATATTCCGTACCGTGATTCGAAGCTCACGCGCATTCTTCAGGAGTCTCTGGGAGGTAACTCTCGAACGACGCTCATTATCAACTGTTCGCCGAGTAGCTTTAACGATATGGAAACGATTTCAACCCTCAGATTTGGCGTTCGTGCAAAGGCGATCAAGAACAAGGCTAAGATCAATGCGGAATTAAGTCCTGCTGAACTGAAGCAATTGCTACGAAAAGCCCAAGGGCAGGTTACAAACTTCGAGACATACATTTCAAACTTGGAAGGTGAATTACAATTATGGCGTGCTGGAGAGGCAGTCCCCAGGGACCGTTGGACACCAGCTATGTCAGATAACGCTAGTGCCAAACCCCCCCGTCCTGCCACGCCCTCACGCCTACAGACCGATATTATACGCGCAGAGACACCTAGTCGATCAGACTCACGATTAGGAGACCGCTCAAGTACGCCGAGCATTGTGCTCGAGAAGGATGAACGAGAGGAATTCTTGCGCCGGGAGAATGAGCTGCAGGACCAAATAGCAGAAAAGGAGTCGTATATATCCAACGTGGAACGAAGTCTGCAAGAAGCCAAAGAAGAACTGAAGAGCTTCAAGGAAGCCTCCTCACGGACCGGGAAAGACAATGAGAAACTCAACACCGAAATGAATGAGTTGAGGATGCAACTTGAGAAAGTTTCATACGAAAGCAAGGAGGCTGGCATTACGATGGATAGCCTGAAGGAGGCTAATGCTGAGCTGACTGCTGAGCTAGACGAAGTCAAACAACAGCTTCTTGATGCACGTATGCGAGCCAGGGAGACAAGTGCAGCTCTTGATGAGAAAGACAAGAAGAAGGCGGAACGCATGGCGAAGATGATGGCCGGATTTGATATGAGCGTCAATGTCTTCTCGGACAATGAGCAGAGGTTGAAGAAGCTAATAGACCAGGTGGATTCATTACATAAAGTCAGTGCGGCAGGCGAGGCAGTTGCGCCTGATGATATCATGGAGTTGAGAGCTAGTCTCTTGGAAACACAGGGCTTCGTTCGACAAGCAGAGCTTTCAATGAGTGAACGAAGCGAGATACACGAGCTGCAGGACAGCAAGCGAGCCGAACTTGAACGGAGGATTGTTGAGCTCGAGACCGATTATGAACAAATATTGAAACGCAATTTGGGCGAGGGAGATGCGGATGAGATTCGCGAGAGACTGGAGAAATTATATATTGGTCGACGGGATGCGGAATCCAAGGCCGTGGCCGACCTTAGAATCGACCTTACTCGCAAGGATGAGGAGCTCCTTCAGCTCCGCCAAATGCTCGCGGATTCTCAAGTTAAGACACCAACCAATGGCAGTGCGGGTAACTCTGCTGTCATAACCAACAAGACCCTTCAGCAGCAGATCTCAGACTTTGATAACATGAAAAAGTCACTCATGCGGGATCTACAGAACCGCTGCGAGCGCGTGGTGGAGTTGGAGATCTCACTAGATGAGACTCGAGAACAATATAACAATGTCTTGCGATCCTCCAATAACCGGGCCCAGCAGAAGAAGATGGCTTTCCTAGAGCGAAACCTTGAGCAACTTACGCACGTGCAACGCCAATTAGTTGAGCAAAACAGCAGTTTAAAAAAGGAGGTTGCAATTGCGGAACGCAAACTTATCGCTCGCAACGAGCGCATTGCTAGTCTCGAAAACTTGCTGCAAGATAGCCAAGAGAAGCTTACAGCAGCGAATCATAGGTATGTCCATACTAGCACGAAAACTTTTCTTTTTCTTTCGTTTCTCGACGCTCTAGATCTAACCGGTGACACAGATTCGAGGCGCAATTGACGGCAGTCAAAGAGAGGCTAGAAGCTGCCAAGCAGGGTTCAACGCGCGGCTTGGTGACTTCAATGGAGGGTGCATCTAGCTTCAGCTTCGGTGGCTCGCGCATTGCCAAACCGCTTCGAGGCGGTGGGGGTGTAGATGCCAACGGTTCATCCGGATCGACACAGCAAGAGGCTCCGAAGCGAGGGAGTTGGTTCTTTGATCGACGATGAAAGTTTTTGAAAAGTAACATATGACACGAAGCCCTTGGAATGGTGTAGTTGTGTTTCTGTTCATTTCTGTTCATTTCTGCCTTTTTCTTTCCTTTTTCTCTTGAGTCTTCCTTTTTTTTTTTTTTTTTTTTTTTTTTTTTTTTTTTTTTCTCATTTGTGTCTTATAAACACACAGTGCAGTCAGCGAAGTAGAACACCTAAGTACAAATTCTCCATTCGTCGGTGTTTTGTCAAGTGTTTCACATAGCCCTTTCAACAACATACCCCCCAGGATATATATTTTGATATCTCTTTCCTATTCCCTATGCTACTCTTTTTTTCTTTTTTGTTTTGTCTTTCTCTTTGATGTCGAAATGACCCGTCCTCCACTCATTGAGATGATGTTTATCTGCCGAAAGGATTCGGTTTCTACTAGGCTAGGCTATTTGATCCGTCGGAAGTGAAGGAGTTGACACAATACGTAGGTGTAGGGGATACGTACAATAGTTTAGGAATAAAGAACAATGACAAATAACTACCCCAACCCGCGCCAGAAACGTGTTTTGGAGTTGTCTGGGTCTTTGACACGACACATGATGCAACTCCCTGCTCTCTGCTTAAGCTACTTGAAAGGGCCGAAATGGAATATACGGAACCAGTTCCAAGCTCATGTCCTAGAACAGGGAGGTTTATCTCAAATGATTTGCATTGGTCCGCGGTCGTGCGCTTCCGGGCAGGTCAAAGAACGATATTCTCAAAGAAATGACACTGGACGCATGGATCAGGGGCTAGATGACCGCGTGTTCAGGACCATCTGTGTCTCTATCAGTATGATATAAAGTGTCCCTTGTGTGCCCAATACTTGACAAAACATTCTAGGCAGTTTGGAGCAATGTATCTTCATCTACATGCATCCCAGGTAAGTTCATCCGACGTCAAATCATTTGCAGACACATGTCACTTACCTTACTGATTAGCCGAAGCCTTGTGAATCACATCACGCTTGACCAAAGGATTTGATAGTCCCAACGGTACCTCTGAATCGAGACCTCCCGGCGAGGCTCGTACTCCTAACATCTACTACATCCTGCACCGTGCTATCAAGACACACTCACCATGGACATCGAAATACCCTTGGTGACCTTTCCCAGCGCAAGTTCTAAAACCCCCGCAGGGAACCCCATTCCACGGCCAAAAGCTGTTGCAGGACAAGAATGCATTATACTTTGATCCCCAGAGACTGCTGTCGTCCGGGGAGTATAGCTGGGGAGTATACAGCTAGCAGGGCTTTGTTCTCTATTGATATATTTTATGGACTCTTGCTTTTAAATTCATAACCACGACAAGCAATGAGAGGGTTTATAAACCCGTTATTTATTATTCATGTCCATATTGAAATTTGTTTTGTCTACCCAATATTGAAACATCTTGAGCGATTATCACGTTTTGTTCCATTCCGCCTGCCTATTTGGGACACGCTACCCAGATAAGGTTAGTCCCGAGGTACCTTGATGCCTGGCGGATGAAGCGGGCCAGAAACAGCCAATGGAAGGCGAAACCGCCGGTGTTGGCGACTACTGATTGGCTGCCGTCCTCTCTCTTATCAGAAAGCCATCCCCCGCAAGAATGCCACCTTCCGCCGGTAACATCAACAGATGACTATTTCAGCGCTGGCTTCTTTTTCTTCTCTTCCCCTCCAGCCTCGCTGTTTGCTTCACTGAGCACTGAGATCAGATATATACTGCTAGCCGGTATTATATCATATATCAACACACCATGGGTCAGGCTCCCTCGAAACTAGACGAGAAAGAGGCCGTGGCTGGCTTGAGCCGCATGAGCCTCGACAAAAATGCTTATGTCTTCGTCGAAGACGAATCTTGTAGGTAGAGCTATAGCCATCAAGGCAACCGCGAATACTGACAGATCAAGTGCCACCTCCATATGAGGCTGCTGGTGACAGGGTCAACACCATCTCTCTTGACCAGACAAAGCTCTGGGAAGAAAAGCTTCTGTCTTCACCAAGGGTAACTAATAAGAAAACCTGCCAACATTTTACCCAGAAACTATAACTGACAGACAGACATAGAACCGGCTTGCCATTTCTGCTCTCTCACAAAACCCTATCTCGGCAATCCTCACCAACAACGGTGCTGCTGTTGCTGATACCCAAGTTTTCAACGTTAAGATTCCTTTTGAGGGCGCGCCTATTACCAACCAACGATCTTCTGGGCGATGTTGGCTGTTTGCTTCTACTAATGTCTTCCGTGTTGCCATCATGAAGAAATACAACCTTAAAGAATTCGAGCTTAGCCAGTCTTATCTCTTTTACTGGGACAAGATTGAGAAAGCCAATTGGTTCTTGGAAAATGCCATCCAAACTGCCGGGGAAGACCTCGAAGGCCGCTTAGTGAAGGAACTCTTTTCCAGCCCCGTTGGCGATGGAGGTCAGTGGGACTTTGTGGCCAACCTGGTCAACAAGTACGGCTTGGTGCCGCAAACACTGTACCGGGATTCGTACAACGCGAAAAATAGTAGTAAAATGGGTTCTCTAATAACCACCAAGTTACGTGAGCAAGCTCTAGTTTTGCGGAAGCTGGTTCTCTCTGGGAAGGCTCATCTGCTTGCCGCCCACAAAGATCGCTTCTTACAGGAAATCCATACCATTTTGACGATCATGCTGGGACCCCCTCCAAGTCCCGAGAAGGAGTTCACTTGGACCTTTTACGATGCAGAGAATAAGTACACCAAGGTTGTCGCCAAGCCCACACAGTTCGCAGCCACATTGTCAGATAAACAGACAGTCCGAGCATGCGGCGGCACAGATGTCAATGAGCTTTTCAGCCTGATCAACGATCCTCGAAATGAATACAATCGTCTCTTGACTGTCGATCGACTCGGGAATGTTGTAGGAGGCCTTCCTGTTCGATATGTGAATGTAGACATGGATGTAAGTGTATCACGAATTGATATAACACGAGGAGCATATTATCTAACGTTACTTAGACGATGAAATCTGCCGCTATCGCTATGCTCAAAGCGGGAATCCCTGTATTCTTTGGCAGTGATGTTGGCAAGTTTTCTGATTCGGTTTCCGGCATCATGGATACCGAGTTGTTCGACTTCAACCTTGGCTTCAACGTTAAGTTGGGATTGACTAAAGAACAGCGTCTGAGAACTGGGGAATCAGCTATGACCCATGCTATGGTTCTCACAGCGGTGCACATTGAGAGTGGCAAGCCCGTCCGGTGGAGAGTGCAGAATTCATGGGGCGAGAGTCCCGGTGATAAGGGTTGGTTCGTGATGACTGATAAGTGGATGGATGAATTTGTTTACCAAGTCGTTGTCGACCCACGTTTTGTGAGCAAGGAGACACTGGATGTCTTGAAACAAGACCCTGTCGTGTTGCCTCTGTGGGACCCAATGGGCGCTTTGGCTTAGATATGTTTTCTCTTCCTCCACAACATGAAATTTCCTTCTTCAACCAGAATGTAATGATATCAGGAATCATGAAATTAGCAGCTCGAAATATGAAACAAAGTATAGCAGAAGTGTTTTTTTCCATTTATTCGTTATGTTCATCGGTGAGCACAAACCAAAGTTGATCCTATTTTAGCCTGTCTTGCACAGACTTGGCAACCCCATTGATAATATCACTCGTCTCGTGAGTCACCCGCTCAACGACATGGCCAGCAACATCAGTCACATTGCGCCCAGAAACCTCCCGTATTTCCTTCTTCATGGCTAAGTTCTCCTCGGCCCAAGTAATAGGCGACAGCAGCAACGATCCCAGGACGCAGCCAATAGTGGCAAACAAATGCCAGACAAGAACCATAGAGACACCAATTCCAAAAGGAAGAAAGAATTTGACAAACTCGGTTGTTTGGTATAGATCTTCTTGTGATGATATCCAGTATCTCCTCGTTTCTTCGCTCTCGGAATCAACAGACTTGCCCTGGTCGTTGGGAAAGTCCAAGTATCCGCGATACTCGTTTGGATTGGTGGTCAATGTAAGGACCGTAGTCAGCGTGACGGGGGCAATGTAGAAGGGAATAATGAAAATTGAAAATATCTGTGATATGGTGACGTATAGCTTGAGATGTTCTTGATCAAATGCTGCAGATACATCAAACATCAGCCAGACGACCAAGGTGTATAATATTGGAGTAGCACGCCCTACGCACCAACCGATTTGACTTGAAGATCAATGCGCGGCGACATGATTTTGTAGAATCGATATATAGCCAGAACCAGCCATCTCGAACCGTTAAAGGACAAAGTGCGGCAGAACGGATGCGTGAACGAGGCATTGGGGGTGAAGAACTTCTCGACTGTGGAAGCCTGCAGGGTTGGCGGAGACTCCGTAAGCAGTTCAATGACGGTTGGGATTTCACGGACTGTAGGAATATTAGTACGTAAATCATGCGTGGTGTTGACTTTGAATGAGCAGTTATACCGACCTGGGTCTTCCATGGCGGCGCTTTGTACAGGTGTGATCTGGATGGTTCAATTGACTTGGAGTGAAAATTGAAAGTCAATGGCTCTATGTAGCTAAATTCATTCACAGACGGATGTTTCTTGTTTCTAGAACGACAATGATGTCATACTCAGAGCAGTGGGATTTGGCATGTGCGCGAATCCCGAACTCCGCCCCGCTCTTTTGACATTATTTGCCTTTTTAGGCTAGGGCCATATGCCACTATCGACCCACAAGGCGATAAACATATTATCATCTCGTCATTGGTCGAAGCGTCCGGGGCGGAAAGCCGAATATGCAAACCCGTTTCTGCTCTGCAGAAGCGCCTCTCGCAGGCAACAACAACGTGGCATGAAAAATATAAAGGCAGGGCTGCGTGCGTGCTCAGAAGCCTATGATGTATACAGAATCATCATCAGCTTCAATTGAACCTTATACTTACGTATCTATCCTCGTGAGAAGACAGATATCAGTCAAATTTCATCAAACAGCATTTTGCAACGTCCATGAATACATACCTGCCAAAAGTCTTGAAGAAAATGTCTCCTAAGATTGCCATTGTTGGTGCTGGTCCTGCCGGCCTGACACTCGCCTCTATTCTTGTTCGCAACGGCATCACACCTACGGTGTTCGAGCATGATGCATCCTCGACAGCACGTATTCAGGGTGGCTCTCTCGATCTGCACCCTGGAACCGGTCAAGCAGCCCTGGACGCATGCGGACTGACTGCAGAATTCAAGAAGTATGCCCGCTACGAAGACCAAGACGCATCCCTGTGCGACAAGTACGGAAAACGGTACTTGGAATCGAAAGGTCAAGATGCTGGTCGCCCGGAAATTGACCGTGGTCAGATTCGTCAAATGTTACTGGACTCACTTCCAGATGGAGTTATTAGATGGGGCCATCATCTTGTCGCGGCCACCGAAGACTCTCTTCAATTCAAAGACCACACCGAAACTGGATTCGACTTGATTGTGGGTGCCGACGGAGCATGGTCAAAAATCAGACCGCTATGTTGTACTGTTACTCCATACTACGCCGGAATTACTTGTGCTGTAATGGATCTGCAGGACACAAGCGTTAAGTACCCAGCTATTTCTGAAATGCTTGGGAATGGCACGATATATGCCCTGGGATGCGATGATGGTCTTGCCATGTCATTTCAGCGCAATGACAACGATGTGATCAAGGTAGTGGCATCTGGAAGATGGCAGGAAGGGTGGCTGAAGAAGATTGGTCTGAATGAAAGTGACCATGCTGGCATTCTCGCCCGTCTCAAGAAGGAGTACAAGGACTGGGCTCCGGAATTCATCAGAGTATTTGACGAGTACAAGGGCGACGTGTCAGTGCTGCCGTTGTACATGCTTCCTGTTGGGCTACGATGGCCTTCGCGGCAAAAGGTAACCATCATTGGAGACGCAGCTCATCTGATGACCCCGTTTGCTGGCGAGGGCGTGAACTTGGCCATGGCAGATGGTATGAATCTTGCAAATGCAATTATTGCCCATCCCGATAATATCGCTGCTGCAATTGCAGAAACAGAAACGAGAATGTGGAAAATGGCGAAAGTCGCCAGCAATCTTGCATGGGAAAACGGCTTGCTCAGATATGAACCCGGCGGTTTGGAGAAATGGGTAGCATTTCTGAAGGAGAAATTCGAGAAGCAGGGTGACCTGCAGCTCTTGGAACTACTGGACAAAAAGCAGTAATTCAGAATTTCTATTTCCACTTGTAGTCGTGTTCAACCTAAATTCTCACGTTTATTATTGTTAAGTTGTCGACTGGAAGGGCATTTAGACTAGATAGATTATTTACTTCCTGCGTTTTCCACTACTTTTATAGAAAGCCCTATGGAATTGAAATCCGGCCATAACATTTTGGTTACATTGGCATTTCAATGATGTTCGATCCATGACCTTTTCCCATATCTTGCAGTCGAATATAAGACACTTTCGGATGTGACAAGAGCGATTCGAGAATCTTTTCTTCCGTATGAATAATAACGCCATTCTTGTGCAGCTCTTCAAACGTCAATACTTCATCTGTCCTCGTCCATGAGTAACCACTCGATGTTGAAAGAGCATACCCGATTTGCTATGAGAACGAAGATCTTTTTCAACGACCCCCTATTGAATAACGCCGGGAAGAGGACGGAGGCTTGTGGGATAGCAACACCATAAATTCCATTTGTGTGACTGGCGCAAGTGCATGTAAGTTGTTGATATCACATAGTCATATGGTGCTCGCATCCATCTTGCATCATGTAACACGCATCCTTCTAACGTATCTTCTTCACCTTGGGTTTTCTTCTAACAAGGTGAAAAAAAGTGGTCGTATGATTCTCAATTGACAGATATAAGATTGATAAAGCCCTGCCGATTGAATTGGTAATGGTCCTCTGATGGTGGGGCCTTGCAAACAACAGATCCAGTGACTCATCATCGACATGTGTTCAGTATTCGTAACGCAGCTCTTCTCCTTGGTTAGCTTTCTGTTATCGTGAGTGGCGATACTTTTGCCCATTGCTTGAAATGGTCTCGCACCGCAGCCTTGGTTGCTCCGTCGAACGATAGGTCTTCAAAAACTGTGAAGACAACGTTTTCTCTCATATAAAATGTCTTATAGTATTCCAGTCTTTTCTGTGGAAAACCTTAGGGTCTTATAAATCCATCCCGGTCAGAATCGCTTCATACGTGCAGCGATAAATAGCCAAACCCTACGCTCGATGCCCATCGAATTTAAGACACCCTTCAATTCAGATGGTGTGAGTCCCAGTTTTCCATCGAGACCCGTGTGTCAATAAGGAGACATTTGCATGGTGGGAGTTGCTTATTCGTTGGAATTAGTCGCAGCCCTTGGTAACGAGACGCGATAAAATGTGACCGAGAGCTTTTTTGACAAAGTCTTGGACAAAGCCGAAGTTTTCAGAGCTTTGCAAACCAGCATTCTGCTAAGGGTGATCATTGGATATGCCGAATTAGGGATAGCACCTGTTCACATGTCTGCAATGCCTACGTAAAGGGACAAAACATCTTCATCACGAGACTAAAGAATAATATTCTATTGTGATTGATACGGTTTATTTACCAGGTTCTTCTAAAGCTAACAAAGTGCTCGTTTAAATCCTGGACCGCTTTCGCCATCTATATTCTGCCCTTGTTTATGGTTCAAATACGCTCTTTTTCATCGTCTTTGCCGGTTTTTCGGTCTGATGAATGGTAATCTGTGTTCTGGTTTGCTCAAAATGCACACTTCCATACCTCAACAGATTTGCAAAAGTTCCTTCTTCAAAGTCCTTGTTCGTGTTCTCTGGCAAATCCCACAGCGAGCCCAAAGCGGGAGACTTGGTAAGATTTTTGCCATGCGTAATCTTCTGCATGCTCGATTTAGTCAAGATCCTCCAGACGAGCTCGTATGCCTTCTTAAAGCGCTCTGAGTCCGGATCCTCGTCAAGTCTCGTAGCTAAAGCTTCAAAGAAGGGCTGCCCCTGGTATCCGATCACGGTCTCCGCACCCCAGTCTTCTTCTAGGGCATCAAACCAGAGGACGGTGTTTTGCGCGTAGTCAGCGCAGCTAAAACCATCTCCGGCATCCTCCAGCATACATAGTCTAAGCCAGGCGATGACTTGCATGATATATTCAAACACGACGATTGGCTCGACCTGGAAGTCCCATGCATACCCTCTGCGTCGAGAAGCAGAGAAGTCAAGTTCTTTGGCAAAACTTACTAACGGGTTAGAGGATAGACCGTCACAGGATTCCCGATTATCCCATAGATGCACAAAGAGCTCATGCCACCGTTTGATAAAAGGGTCGTGCTGGCGTGCAGCAACGAAATGGTTTGCCAATGTCGTACCGTACATACAGGGAACACTAATTCGGTATGGAGTAGCTGAATCAGCCAATGCATCCCAGCAAATGGTGTCCAAGCTCCTGACGAGAATAATGCCAACATCCATGAAAACGCCGCCGTATAGATAAGGTAAAGAGGCACGCAGAAAGTCCGCGCTATGTGGTCCAGTGTATGGTCCCCTGAGTGTACCCTGGACAAATGCTTTTGGAAGAAGTGCAGCAGGGACAAAATTTAATGCATGGTTGGGAGAATTGGGTACAGCGTCAAGCACTCGGATTGTCCATGAAGGGCCACACAAACGCGCCCAATTTATGACGTTGCGCTGAGTCCAGGCGGGCATTTTATCGAGCCCAGAGTCCCAAAAGGCCCATATATTCTTCTCAGAACAATTTAAAGGAGCCACTCTTCGCAGGGACTCGAGAATTTCCTCGTCGGATCGAGAGTCGAGGGACTCTACATATCGCAACTGCTCCTTGAATTCTTCGGGGATGGTGTACGTCGGTGTAGCCATTATGAATATTGATCTTCACGTAGGGTACTAATAGTGAAATATAATCTATGATAAATACTTGCAAATTGAAAAGGCCATGCACTGGTTCAGCAGTCCTTCTTAATATTTATACTCGGTGGGTGATTGATAAATTAGGGCTGAAATGATCAGATTGTACGAGCTAGCCAATCACATCCCCCACAACGTTTGTACGTTTTCAGATGTACGAACTGGAACGAACTGACCAATCAAACCCACCGCCGCTACCGATCTGCTCTAACTTTAAAGCTTGTTGCGATTCTGAATGCGCTGATTGGTTGAGAGTTTATTCTGTATTTCGATTTTGATAGCAATTTGAATTTTGCACAGTTTTATAGAGAAGAATGGGATAAATAAATGCCATTCCTAGTTAGGTATGTCTATCGAGATGCCAAGGGGCCAAGCGTGGTATGCACCATGCATAGATGGATGCACAACCTTGCAAGGCCTTAGGGAGCGTGGCGCCTGATTCGGGCATAAAAGCCCCGGAGACTGGCTGTTCTTTGCGGTTTATGCATGCTTCAACCAGCCAGAGTCTTCTTTCTTAGCGTGACAGAGCTCAAGGCGTGCTGAGCCGGATTCAGCTAAACCTGAGGCACAACATCGATGCAGTGCATACCAAAGGAGCCCCACATCCAGCATTCCGGTACGTTTTTGGAAGTCTTACAAGTCCTCCCAGCCATCAATTAAATACTCATCACTATCTCCTGGTAAGCAATCGAGGCTTGAAACAGTTCATACCAAACTTCAATTGACAGAGACAAAATGGCATCAGCACAGTCGGCGACCATTTCCTCCTTGATCAGAGAATTATCTGCCATCGAGCAGAAATCCAATGGCTCTGTGTTCGAAAACGAGGACCTCCGTGCAAACGCTGCACATCTGACTCGAAAACTCGCAGCGATGCTAGATAGACCTCAAGAGGTAGTGTTGATTAATGCTTCTTTGGTATGCCATACGCCTTTGCTTCATCGCGTACTCATTGCAAGCGGTATATGCTCACAATCTGCTACGAGTGCAGCCTGCCCAAGTCGCAGCTGTGCGGATTGCTGTAGACTTACATCTGTTCGAGTTCCTTGGCGATGGGCTAGAGGCAAAGGCTGTCTCTGACCTGGCCTCAAAAACTGGCGCGGATGCAGATTTCCTGGGTATGTCATGCCGTCTTGGGACTGTTTGTTGACAGGTTCGGTCTTTTAACAAATACATTAGTCCGTATACTCCGACTACTCTCAGCCATGGGCTGGGTGGACCAGACAGACGACGTCTCCTTCAAACCAACTCCTATCACAGACGTTTTAAAAAACAGTGAGCCTATCAAAGCTGGTATCAAACATATGTATGTCACGCACTGCTATTCCACTGGCAAACATGGAATGACCGACTTTACCTACAGGTATCATGCACTTCCCATATATGGCAAGCTCCCGGAATATTTCGCAAAATCTAATTACAAATCCCCCGTTGATGTCCAAGACGGCCCTTTTCAGTACGCATACGGCGTGAACGAAACGGCCTTTGAATACTGGGCTAAAAGTCCAACGGATTCAAAGGTATTCAACACATTCATGACCGGTGTGCGCGGAAGTAGACCGCACTGGGTTCATTGGTTTCCAGTGCAAGAAAGGTTTATTGATGGCTCAAGTGGAAAAGAGGAGGATGTTCTATTAGTCGATGTGGGCGGTGGAAAAGGCCATGACTTGAACAAGTTCATCGAAACCTTCCCCGATGCAAAAGGACGATACGTTTTGGAAGATCTTCCTGTTGTCATTGACGACACTTATGACAGGAATTTGAGAATCGAGGCCCTAAAACATGACTTTTTTCAAGAACAACCAATTCAAGGTGCGGCCTTCATCCTCAAATATTCCTATTAGGAATCAATCAGCGGGATGTCTTGATTACTAATTCATATTCCTATGAGCCCTTTTTCTGATATAGGTGCACGAATGTATTTCATGCATCACGTTCTTCACGACTGGCCGGATGAGGATGTTGTGCGAATCTTGTCCCAGATCGCGAAAGCAATGAAACCGGGCTATTCCCGGTTATTGTTGGGGGAGAATGTGTTGCAAGATGTGGACTGCCACATCTATCCTGCTCTGCTGGATTGGGGGATGATGGTGTTGCACTGTGGCATGACGAGAACGGTGGGCCGCTGGAGGGCATTGTGTGAGAAATCCGGACTAAAACTGGTTAAGTACTGGCCACCTCCTGGGGACGGAGACGGGATTCTGGAAGTGGAGCTCGAGTGATGCGGTCAGACTTGCACAGGATATTCAAATGATTAGTTGATTCCACCCGCGTGTTGATAAGACTGTCCTGCTGGCGGTAGAACACATGCCGACAAGGACGCTCGCACCCGAGAAGCGGGGTGAAAAAGGATGTCAGTGCCCCATTCTCTGGCACCAGACAGATGTAGAGTTAGACATGTAGCAGCGGATAATATTGGCCGTGTTGCGTTGACGATAACTAGAGCCGAACCATATGGCCGAGCTTTCTGTGTTGGCTTCTGTCCCGGAGAGCATCCTACTGAGAAAAGAAAAAGGACCGGTGAGCTGGTCTGGAATAGCTCCGAGAACTGCATGGATAAGTGCTATTCCGTACGGCGTTGCTCCGGAGCGAGGATGAGGCTGCTGAGCTGTAGAAGAGGAGGAAAGCCAGGAAGGGGCCGAAGGGCGGGCGGCGGCTGCGGGGAAGTGGGTACGCTAACGGAAAGGAGCTTAGCCTTGGGCTGCTCGACTCGTCAACTCCGTAGTCCGTACAAAGGCAGCGACGCAACGCTATGGCTACGCACATTCAGCGATGCGACGAGAGACCGGGAAAGACGCCGATGACAGCTCGCTTTCTACGTCAGATCACATTTCCCCCCTTTTTAGCCAATTGTAGCCCACCTTCCCCGCCCCCCCAAAGCTCTTCACCGCGAATCTTGGCAAGGTGACATCGCGCTATGCATCGTGAAGTCTTTTACAGGTCAATTCTCCACTGCTCGCAGGGCTAATCAACTAGACTGTCATGATTCCAATTTTTAGATCGTTGCTTCGAATTACCAGCCCGGAATGCAACGGAATACCGTCGAAGCTGGGGGAGCCGGGGAAGATTGCCCGGCTATATAAAGACAAGAATGGGCTCCGCCTTATCAAGGGATGCTCATTCCGTTTCTCTGTGTTGGTTGCCTTCAACAATGAGATCTGCGCCCATCATGAAAGGCCTGGTGGCCACTGGATACTTCATTGCGCGTGCCAGTGCTGCCGCAGTGCTGGCCTCTCGAGATAGTACCGCTGCCTGTCCTGGCTACAAAGCAAGCAACGTGCAAACACAGCAAGGCAGCATTGTCGGTGCCGACCTCAACCTGGCTGCGTCTGCCTGCAATGTGTATGGCACAGACTTAGACAACTTGGCTCTGCAAGTTGAATATCAAACTGGTAAGTATTCTAGCTATACTGGACAGTTGGGCCTAATAACTCATTTGTATGTTTTCCCAACATAGAGACGCGACTTCATGTCAAGATCTACGATGCAGCGGAGCAGGTCTACCAAGTGCCGACATCCGTTCTGCCACGGCCCAATAGCACAAATATTAGTCCGGATCAATCAGAACTGCAGTTTACCATTGAGAGCAACCCGTTTTCCTTCAAGGTAACGCGCAAATCCAATGGCGAGGTTCTTTTCGATACGGCCGGCCATCCATTGATATTTGAGTCCCAATATCTCGGTTTGCGGACCACTCTGCCGGAATCACCTTACATATATGGCCTCGGTGAAAGTACAGACCCTTTCCCACTGCCAACGGACAATTACTCGCGCACTCTTTGGTCTCGCGATGCATATCTTGTTCCGCAGTACACAAACCTATACGGTAATCATCCAGTGTACTTTGATCATCGTGGCACAAAGGGCACTCATGGTGTGTTCCTGCTGAATAGCAATGGAATGGACATTAAAATCAACCAGGATGATGATGGCCAGTACTTGGAGTACAATACTCTAGGAGGAGTCCTGGACTTCTACTTTCTGGCTGGACCAACCCCGAAAGACGTTGCCATTCAATATTCAGAAACCGTGGGCAAGGCAGCTATGATGCCATACTGGGGATTGGGCTTCCATAACTGCAGGTATGGCTACCAGGACGCCTATGAAGTTGCAGAGGTTATTGCCAATTACAGTGCTGCCAATATTCCGCTCGAAACGCAGTGGACTGACATTGGTATGATCTGTGTCCCTGTAGTTATACCTTGTCTTGCTCATGTTAATGACGTTTCTAGATTATATGTACTTGAGAAGGGTTTTTACTCTTGATCCGCTTCGATTCGACATAGATCTTGTACGCCAGGTCGTATCGTATCTTCATGAGCATGATCAGCATTATATCATGATGGTTGACCCTGCAGTGGCTTACCAGGACTATGCTGCATTTAACGACGGTGTTTCTGAGGGAGCTTTCTTGACGCTCTCAAACGGTTCAGTGTACCAAGGTGTGGTATGGCCTGGCGTTGCAGCATTCCCTGACTGGTTTGGACCAAACACGCAATCTTTCTGGAACAGCCAATTTTCATCATTTTTCAACCCCGAAACCGGTGTTGATATTGATGCTCTTTGGATAGACATGAATGAAGCGTCCAATTTCTGTACATTTCCTTGCTCAAACGCGGCGGAGTTTGCAGCAGCCAATGATGACCCTCCAGCTCCCCCATCAGTACGGCTCTCTTCGCCACGGCCTATTCCAGGGTTTGGTCCGGATTTCCAGCCTGCGTGTGTAGCCACTGTGAATTTCACTGTGTATGCAGAGACAACCTTTGGTGAAAACATTTATATTCTTGGAAATTCGCCGACCATAGGAGACGAAATCGTTCTTGAGGCGGTGATTATGAGTGCCTATAATTACCCAGAATGGCAAGTCACTGTTGAAATGCCCGACAATGGCACGTTTAATTATCAATATCTCCGCAAAGAGACAGACGGTAGCTGGATATATGAAAACAAAAACCGTACAATCACAACAGGTGATTGCAACAGCGGGTTACAATCCGTTTCTGATGTAATAACTACAAGCTCACCAACTGGAAAGAGATCCTTAGTTGATCATCTTTCTGTCCCCTTCGTGAGATCTCCAGCGTTCGTTGGCACTGTCCAGAAGCGAGATGGATCGATGTTGGGACTACCGGCTAGGGATCTACTTAATCCCAAATACAGCATTAACAATACGGCAGGCTCTATCAGCAACTTGACCATCCAAACCGACCTCATTCATGCCAACGGTCTGGTTCAATATGACACTCACAACATGTACGGCACCATGATGAGCTCCACTAGTCGAAATGCTATGCTAAGCCGTAGACCGGCCTCTAGACCTCTTGTGTAAGTCTAGTCCACATTGTGCTCTTTCCTTTGATTGTATGCTAACGTGTTATATAAATAGCATCACTCGCTCCACCTTTGCTGGCGCCGGTCGTCAAGTTGGCCATTGGCTAGGGGATAATCACGCTGACTGGGATCATTATCGATGGACGATCGCGGAACTCCAAGAGTTCGCCGCTTTATACCAGATTCCCATGGTTGGTAGCGATGTCTGCGGCTATGACGGAGTAACCACCGATGAATTGTGTTCCCGCTGGATATTCCTAGGTGCCTTCTCACCATTTTTCCGCGACCATTCAGACGATAGCTCGCCTCCACATGAATTCTATCGAACCACTGCCATGGCAGCAGCGGCGCGTGCTGCCATTGACATTCGTTACCGCCTGTTGGATTATGCATATACGGCGATGTGGAAGCAAACCCAAACTGGCGCGCCCATGCTCAATCCAATGTTTTTCGAATACCCATCCGACTTGAACACTGCGAGACTAACCTACCAATTCTTCTGGGGCAATAGCATAATGGTTGCTCCTGTTACCGATGACAACTCGACATCCGTATCAGTTTATTTTCCCAATGACCTATTTTACGACTTCTACACTGGCAAACCATTGATTGGAAGAGGTTCGGCGACAACTTTGACAGGCGTCGCTTTCGATACCATTCCATTGTACTACAAAGGCGGCAGCATCATACCACAAAGAATAGCCTCTGCAAACACAACGAAGCTCTTGCGCCAGCAGAACTTCGAGATTGTGATTGCACCCAATGCTATTGGAGAGGCATCTGGGACTTTGTATCTGGACGAGGGTGATAGTATTGAACAGCCGTCGACATCGATAATTGACTTTCACTACCTGGATGGATTGTTCTCCATGACGGGAGAATTCGGATACGATGTAGGCAATGTTATAATCAGCCAAATTACTGTTCTGGGCGAGTATGTGAACAAGCACACAGTGAATATCAAACTGACCGGGGATTATACTGCGTTTTATTTTTAGAAGGAAGTCTGATTGGTACTCTTCATATTTAATTGCAAGATATGTGCTGAGGTAGCCCATTGGTATTGTGATTACTCGAGTTGTATCAACAATTACTTCTGAGCGTATTGGAAGGCATATAATTGACCCATGCTTGAAACTCAATTCAGGGTTAAGTGTTAATTCACGAATCGAGTAAATGATGAGGAAACTGAAGGTGTAGATGTATGAAAGGCTAGGCTTATGAAAAAGACTATAAATGACAAGCAGCCAAAGAAAAACATTAGGGAGTAAGACAATCCGGACAGAATTAATTCAAATTCCTAAAAGGTGTATTCACTAGATCTTTTCCCACGGCAATCTCTTAACGTTGGTCTTCCCAAATCGCCCGATCAGACCGTCGTCCTATGCCCGGCGAAGAGCATCCTCTCCTTAAATGGCTAAATAGTGTCCACAGGGTTGTCGGGAAGTTATGTGCTTATTGGAAAGCCGAAGTTAGCTCTACTAGCTCCTGCAAAATCGAGTATCTTATTGCTGAAAGAACATGCAATGAATTTGGTTCAGTGACATCTAATGCATGAGAACCAGCTTCCTCCTCTAATTACAAAACAATCCCCTGTACCTTGAGTGTTACTTCTCAGGCCATCCAGGCGCACCATGTGTTTTCAGCTCTGTCTCTGTCCAGTCCCACAGCTTCCTCGACAATTCTGCATCTCGAGCCAAGGCACTCTCTTTTCCAACTTTCCCAACAGGCTCATAGTAGGCTCCGTTTCTCACGTCCTTACCAAAGCTGCACCAGAGCTGAGTTTTAGCGCCCTCTTTGACTGAGACGCCACTCAATAAAACAAGTGGATTGATGACTAGATAACGCAATATGGGATTGAAATCCTTGTCGCCCGACCAAACTCTCGTTTTCACCGTGCCAGGGTGTAGAGATGAAGAAGTGATCTGTGGGTACCGTTTCGCTAGCTCAAATGCAAACAGGGCCTTGGAAAGCATGGCTTGACCATAAAGTCTAGAGCCACTAGTCGTCTTTATATCCGACTTTAACTGGTCAAAGAGTAGACCGTCTTTAGCTGAGAAGCTTTTGTGGCCCACTGATGACATTGAAACTATCCTGACATCTGCATCGGGAAGTCTAGTTGTAGCAAGAAGCTTCGGCATCAGCAGCTGTGTGAGCAGGGCATGACCGAGGTAGTTTGTTCCGAACTGTATTTCATAGCCATCTTGAGTTGAGGCATGAGGCGTAACTGCGATTCCGCCATTGAGCTGGAGGATATCCAGTCTATCCACTTCCTTGTTCACCCGAAATGCCGCGGCTTTTATAGACTCGAATGAAGCAAGGTCCAAATCGAGAATCTCAATGGCGGAAGTTGCAGCTGCTGGAAAAGTTGCTTTTATTCGTTTCATCGCGGCTTCAGCTCTGCCGCGATTGCGTGCAGCTAGGTAGATCTTTGCAGGGTTGTGTTGGGCGATCTGTGCCACTGTCTGCTCTCCAAGGCCAGAGCTAGCTCCAGTAACCAGACAGACTCTTCCAGCAAGGTCTGGAATGTCTGTAAGGGGGTTAAACCGAGGCATAGTTTTATTTGATAGTGTAGTAAACGATTGGAACGACAGAGTTATACAGCTGTTTTCAAGGAAAATGGCCGTTTAAATGAATGTTTCAAATGCATGAACCTGGAATATATGTTCACGAGAAGACGTTTATGCTCGACCTTATATATAAATACATTTTACAAATTTGTCTCTATCAGCTCGGGCTTAATCGTCAAAGTCCGAGAGAGAGCAAAAGATATTTTGCCTGATACGGCAAACAATGTAGTCTTGGCGCCCCACTCCGGCCGAAAAAGCCCCACACCTGATTATAGCTTAATGTCTCTACGAGTCTCCTAAGTCCCAACACTACTTATACTCCTCAGGCTTGATGAATCTTTCATCGTGTAAGGTTTTCTAGAAAGAACTATGTCAACCTAGACCGCCAATAATCAGAATAGTGCATGTTGGTCAACCGATGGATCCATTCATTGTCTACGATTCGTTGGAGAGAACAGATACCCTCACAAGAAAAAAAATCAGGAGTCATGTTATGCGAGGGAAGAATGCTCGGAAAAGACAAAAGAAATTGACTTTTGGCTCGTGGATTAACAACCTAGGAGAAGGTGCCCTCGAGTCTGTCATGTCAGCGAAAAAGGAAGCCCAAATCACCCTGCCACACTCAGTCTGTTCAGACCTGCAGACGTTTAGTTACCCTGATAGGACGCAACTATACATGTTAGACCTTGTCTACCAATGTAAGCTGTTTTCACTCGAATCTGCAGATGAGCCAGTCCGCGCCAATTAGTATCAACTTACTTATTTGTTGCAGTCTTCGCAGTCCTAAACCAATCACTCTACCCGATTGAGGTTTGCGTAGCATTCGATCCTGCGCCCTCAGTCTATTTTGAGTATCTTCAGAGAGATGCACTTTTTCTCCACTCGGCGCTATGGACTGCTCAGTCGTACTTTGACTGTATTCAGGGGTTTCAGGTCTCGGAGAGAGCCCTATTCCATGAATGCAAGGCTATTAACCAGGTGCAGAAAAGATTGAATTATCCTCAAACTGCTGTAAACGATGCAACAATTGCTGTGGTAGTAAATTTCGTCTTGACAACGGCTCTTGTTGGACATTTTTCCACGGCGAAAAAGCACATGGCGGGGCTCTACCAGCTCTTGAAGCTTAGAGGTGGCCTAAGGCAGCTGAAAGGAAACAGTCAGCTGCAGATCAAGATTTGTCGGTAAGGTCAATTCCTCGATTGTTGGTTGATCTGAACTTGAATTTTTTTTTTTTTTTTTTTCTTTTTTGGCCTCTTGAAAGCGGAGGGGCTCATCAATCTGACAGGGCGGACCTTTCAGTTGCACTTCTCAATGGAGATAGACCACTTCTTCTCTCGGATAGCAACAATTGGAAGCCATTTCTTGCAGATGTTGCTGACACTGAATTCTTGAAGAGACATTTTCAGAGTTTTACGCTTGATAGAAGATTGGCGAATACTGGTACCGATCTTCGCAGGTTCTGTGATTCAGCAAACATGGCTTTTATCACGTCCTCCAAAATAGACGGTCCACTTTTTCAGGAGACTTTGATCTCGGTTCAGTATCGACTCATAACCCTCAAATTCAATGAAAATGGTGATGAAAAGGAAGGAAGCCTGAATGAGGCCTTTCGATTAGCTCTTCTTGCTTTCTCAACCACAGTATTTCTTCAGCTACGCGGGATAAAAATTCGCTTTTCCCTTCTCTCGGCTCAACTCAAAGATGCGCTCCTTTCTCAAGTTGTCTGGGCTGACCTCCGAAAAATGGAAACCGTCAGCCTTTGGGTTCTTTTTGTAGCTGCTATTGTGGCAGTCACCGATGAAGACGACGTATGGCTTGTATCACTCATGAATGAACGTCTTCGTGGGACTGAAAGCTTCATCTCATGGCATAAAGTCCGATCGATTCTGAAAGATTTCATGTGGATTGGCGAAATACATGATGAAGACGGAAAAGCAGTATATAGTCGGATGTTAGTTAGAATGTCAGGTCCGTGACATTCACTACATATGCTGATGAAACGAACTCAAGGGTTCGGTATGCAGCTGTTCACAAGGATTCAAGTTCAGGGATTGATGTTGTATTATTGTAATCGTTATTAAGGTACTTGATTCCTTACACCATAACTTAATGGTAGTTAGATACAAAATAGCAGTCTGCATATTTCACAAGACAGATGACATCTAATCGGACAGCTGTCACTAGTAAATTACGGGTTGTGTTGGACTCTTCATTCGAAGAACTGAATCCTCCGTGTTTGAATGGGAATGACTTCCAGGAAGCTTAATCATTGCCGTGGCTGAAATTGGCGATCAAACTTACCTTCAAATTCGTTTAAAATGGCGATTGCACGCTGACGGGCCGTCTAACAAGACAGATATCTGTTATCTAAGTGATTTTAGGTTTTGGCACAAACCGGGAAGGGGAGAAGTTGAAAGTTGCAGTCTCCCAATCGAGGCACCCTATCAGGTAAAGGAAAGCATAGATCAAAATTCTTTTGGCCGCATGATTATAAGGAATGGGATTTATGTAGAGCTGGTTTCGCAACAGATTGGTTATCTCTGCGTATCTGCAGTGCATAGGAATGAATCTCAGTCACCCAGGACATATTCCCTGAGCTGGGTCTTCCTTTCCATGTCAAGCAGGATATGGCATGGTGCTGCTACGAATGACAAATCAATAGACTTGTTATTTTCCACGGCTACAGCGGCTAAGGTGTATTGGTAGCACAAGCCATAGCTTGCGATAAGTTCAAAGTCTAATGCTGTTTTTGCTCATCCTTTGACTCTCGACCTCAAAAGGAACAGTTACGTACAGACAAACTACTGTTGCGCAATTTCATTAGAATAAATTTCTGTTTAAAACCAAACCAATACCGAGATACTGTAACACTTCTAGGGTTTAAATGCATGAGCACATGTGCTACCTCGCTAGGCATCTCGATACACAGCAGACATCGTCGAAAGCTACATGCAGCGCCCACAATCCTTCTATGCTTTCCAGGAAGTATGTACTCCCTACCAATTTTGTTGAAATTAATTTGAACTTTTAAAATTACAAAGCAATATAGGTACCACCGACTATCGGATAAATCCTGATTCGTTTGGTGTTGGTCACCAGTATCGATTGTTACACAGCTGCTAATGAGAATGAGACAAGGAAGTTAACATAGGATGAGCCTCGATAAAGAAAACAATCTTCCTTGTTGCATAATTCATGCAGTTAACCTCAAGCCGTCGTCAAAATTTCCTTTGGTATGAACCGAGAAAAGTTCGGACTAAAGAAACTCGTAGGATTATGCGAGTTGCACCTATGTTTTTCTATAAAGCTTTCCATAAGATTCATTAGAAAATTTTACATCGAATCTCTTGAGACTAAAAAATTGGACACGTAATCATACCACACTTATGTCTCTTAAGAAATTTCTTCATACGCCTATATGATGTCCGAAAGTTACAATCCAGATGAGTTTCCCGTCACTGGCTCGTCGCATAAAGATAGAACCAGAGTCCCAGAAACCACCAAACTTGAATCACTGAAAGATGATGTGGTTCGAAATGTTTCCATAGTATCCGACTATCTGCAGAAGAACGGCCTTCCGCAACCTTCATTTGAACGAAATGCCCCTTTGACCTTTATACCGCCGAGATCACCTTCACATATTCAGCAAGCCCGTCAAGATTTGATGGAGGCTGCGCTGAAACTGTTTCAGCTAGCAAGTGGACCAATCGAATACATACCTAATCTTGCTCTTGGTGTAAGTAGTTTAAATTCCCGCATTCACCATTATCGAGACACCTCCTGGGCAATGGAACTAACATACAATGCAGTATCACTACTTGGCTTGCCTTCGATGGTTGACTTATTTCAATATCTTCAAAAAAGTTCCTCTTGAAGGAAATATTCACTACGCTCAACTAGCAGAATCTGCATCAGTATCAGAAGTCCAGCTCAAGTCAATATCTCGTATGGCTATGACAAATAACCTCTTCCATGAGCCTGAGCCGAATCATGTTGCACATACGCCTATCTCTGCTTTGTTGGCCACCGATCATCTTATGCATGAGTGGGCGAGATTCATGACTGAACGATCTGCCTTGTGCGCTTCGAAGATGCTAGAGGCATCAATCACGTGGCCTCAGAGTCTGGCAAAAAACCATACGGGTTTCAATATTGCGCAAGATACAACATTAACTTTCTTCGAGTGGCTAGACAAAGAGCCGAAAGAAAGTGAGCGATTTGCACAATACATGCAAATGATCAGATCAACTGAAGGGTTGGGACTAGAGCATCTAATCAGTGGGTTTGACTGGGCAAGTTTGGGCACGGGAACTGTTGTTGATGTACGCCATATCTTTTTACCTTACATCTTACATCTATATTGCTTACTGGTAGTTGACTTTATGTATTCTAGGTTGGAGGATCTTCAGGGAGCGTGAGCATAGAACTTGCCAAAGCGTTCACAAACCTCACATTTGTTGTTCAAGATCTGCCTCAAAACATCGAAGCTGCATCTACATCCTTGCCAAAAGATTTTCCCTGTCTCGCGAAGCGCATTACTTTCCAAGGCCATGACTTCTTCAAGGAGCAGACAGTAAAGGGTGCGGATGCCTACCTTCTACGCATGATTCTTCACGATTGGCAGCCCGAAGACTGCGTGAGAATACTACGCAGAATTTTGCCAGCTATGAAGAAAACCTCCAAAATAATTATTATGGATGTTGTACTGCCCAAGCCAGGAAGTGTTCCGGCTGTGCAGGAAAGTCTACTGAGGGCTAGAGATATAACCATGTTACAGAGCTTCAACAGCACCGAGAGAGATATTGATGATTGGCATGCTCTTCTAGGAGACACGGACAAGAAGCTGAAAATAATAAATGTGGTTCATCCAGTAGGTAGCTGGATGGCTGTTTTGGAAGTTGGCTTGGAGTCTATGTAATAGCTCTTAAAACGGATTGCATCTACTGCTGTTTCCTATCTTTTTATAATTGTCTCTGTCTTTCAATCTTTCGTTTCTGAGAATACGGACATTTGCAATGAAAATTACCGTGATATCAAAAGACATAGAGGCCAATATATCATCAGACTAAGAGCTATGGTTGTGCTGCAGACGCATTCACTAAGTAACTAATTTATCCCTTGACAAACCACACTTTGTTTCCCAGGCTCAATCGAAAAGCAACTCTCTTCTCACTTGCCAGTTTCATCAGTAGCTCTTTCATGAAAGGCTCAAAAATCCCATCAACGACATCTCCTGGCAGTTCTCCAAATACCTCAGATACTAGGTCCCTGGGGGATGCCCCTGCACTACTAGGATTGCGTTTCTGAAGTGCTTTGAGACCAGCTATTATCTGGCGCTCACGACGTTGTTTCCGGCCAATCTCAGTTTGCATGGTGTGTTTCAAATCACATATCACCTCCCCGTGCCCGGGGTATCCAATTCGACATTTTTGATCTTGAATAATGTAAAGGCTTTTCATGTAGACGGCTAGATCTTCAACAGCTGTCGTTCCGTGACCGAGAATATTGTCACCGGTAAAAAGGGCACTCTCTTCTTCTAATAGAAAACACATGTGATCGACAGAATGACCGGGAGTAAACACGCAGCGGATTGTTGCTCCTTCGGTATGAAATACTTGGCTATCCGAAATGGGTTTCTGACCGCCATCAGGCTGATTCTTGTAAATTGATCCCCCAAGGTTGGGGTAGAGTCTTATCAAGTCAGGGACGCCCCCTGTGTGATCTCCATGCCAGTGAGTTAAGAGAACTTTGTCGAGTGTTATTTTGTGCTCCGTAAGTGTTGATGAAATCCAGCTCGCCCATTGAGACATTCCTTGACCGGTATCAATGAGAATCCGTTCATTTCCAGTACCGACGATGTACGTGTTGGTCCCTTGAAGTTGCATCTAAGGAAACTTAGTACACGCGCGGCATATACACACATTACGGTATACACACCGGTCCTGGGTTGCCTCCCAACACGCGAATGACGCGAGAAGACAATTGTTTCACATTTGGTAGCTCCGGTAGTGAAGCTGCCTGGGCACTAAGGTAGTCTTCGAATGCAAAGAGATTGACATTCTTGTTGATTGAGCGTGACAATACAGATATTTCCTTCATCTCTGGATTTTTTTTTTGACAATTATTGATCTAGCTTGACTTTGTTAAAGCCGACGGTGCTCAACCATATGTGAAAGAAGCGTTTCAACTACAGTATGCTGAGGTTCACCACAGAACAATGGCTAAGGAATTCTATCGAAAAGCGAATCATCAGCTGTAACCTAGGTACATACAAAAAATGGTTGGAGGCAACCAATAGAAGAATGAAAGTGGTATTTAGGAGAATCACCTATGCTGTGTCACATACAAGTTGTTACTTACTCCCGGTAAATCCAACTCGTTTGCCGAGTTCCACAGTAGAAAGGAGTCATAAGGAAACAATTCTTTCGCAGGGTGATAATACTAACACAACATAGATGGACTATTCAAAGCATGTAACCTGGAAATTCGCTGTCCTGCTATAATGCAGGCATCGTTCACCTTGTAAACACATACAGGTCTACACAGATTTCAGGGGTCACAAACAATTGCTCTTAGATGTCGGAGAAAACATCCTGGTAACTATAGTCTTGGGCTTTCAACAATACGCTATTAAGATGGAGAAATGGACGCAGTTGAGGATAATTTGCTTACCACATGCACTACATAGCATGCTGTATGTACCGAGCCGATAAATTGGAAAAGAGGTGCAGCACATATGTGATGCAAATTTAGTCCAGAAATTTTATGAGTTGTATAACCCTGGTAAATCTAGAGCTTCCTGCATAGGTAATCTCTCAATGTTTACGATAAAGTAGATGAGCTCAGTCAAGCAGCTTAGCATGCAGTGAAACAGCCCAATTTGATACAATTTCACAAATATTTGACTTATTGTGCAATTTCCTCCGAAACACCTCTCCGAACCATGGTCTCATTATTAATTGCCCAATCTGGAAGCGCTGCATACTGTTTATTAGAATAGTACGGGTATGGGATCAAGGGAAATTGACAACATAATACTAGCCCTAACTGTATTATTCCTAGACCGCATAATTAAAGCAGAGAGCAGAAACTGACGGTCTAGCTAAGAACAAGTCATAACAAACATGTCTTTGTGTATTGAGAACTTTTGATAAGTTGAGATCATTCTAGGCAAAAGAAAAACATTGAATAATTTTAATTTAGAAAGAAATAAAGTAGAGATATTCTAAACTCTTTCGTAGTTCACCATTTCAGATCAAATTCCGTCTTGTAATTGATCAATATATGGTTCAAACCTTTCCATAAGCTCTTCCACAGTCATCTGATTTGCCCGGAACAGTTTGAACCAGATCTTTTTCCATACAGGAGTAGAATGAGAAGAATTCTGAGCTTCGGTCTCTGGCTTTGGTGGCAACAGAAATTCGTCGACTCTGTGTATTACTCCGTCTTGAACCACAATATCAGACTGAGTCACCGGTATTGCATCGTTGAGTATGAGAGCTCCGCGCTCTCCATTCTTGACAATATTCACTTTCACTTGTAGCGGTTTTACCATTGTTGACATATATATCTATGGAAATCAGACGAACCGACGTCAGACTCTGAGTATAATGATAGAAGGAATGATTGTGAAGTACCTCATTGCCGGGCTGAATGTCACGTACAAGACCCGGCCCCCTGCCATTAGCTTTGAAATGAGAATTTGTGAAGAGTGTCTGATTTGCAATAACATGATATTCCAGCAGAGCTCTCAAGCACGTTTTACCCCACGGGCTAAACAGAAAATCATTAACCCTGCTTCCAAGCTTTTTAAATGCCGCATTTGATGGAGCAAAAAATGTTTGACCATGATGGATTGAAGTGTCGTTGACGACGACTGCCAAACCGGTTTCATCAAGCCCTTTGCGAAGAAGACTAAACTCGGGACTGTTGCGTGTGATATATGCAGTCGAGTTTGGTAGCATCAGAACTCGGTCGATATAGTAGAGGTGGCCGTTTCTTGCTTTCTGCCATGGATCAATATATACGGCGGAAAATTGACTGATTGATAATGGGTAAGACGCATTAGTTACATACCACTTCCGACTCGACGATTGTTGCTCTGTGATTCAAACGAGTATTTAACCTAGAATACTGTATGCTTATGGGCTGCGCAAAAGACTCAAATATATCCGCAAAATGATGAGTTGGAATTGTATCATGGGCCTTCAGGTCATCGAGGGTAAAATTCCCTGGGACATGATGATACAGCGACAGCAAAACCCAGAGCAGTGCTGAAGTGTCCCATCGAAAGCTCTCTTGAGCAAATGCATCGTCAATAGGGGCAAAAAGTGTTGTCGGAGCAACGTCGGCTTTCTCTATGAACGAAACTATGTCCGGAGGTAAGTAGGATAGAACACGTTGGAACCGAGAGAGCCGAGAATCGTTTCGGACGACGTCGTAGAGGGAAGGCAGTGATAAATCGCCAGGTAAATGATTGGGAACCTGCTTTTGGTTCTCGTAGATAGCTGCATTTGTTTTCTTTTCAACGCCCCCCATCAGCATTCTGACATAAAGCTGGGTGCACAGCCCGAAGATCGCGACTGCAAATGCAGCGACAGAGAGTTGATAGATCGCGCCTTTGAACTTCGGCATTGTATAGTCTGTCCGCGACAAGTTTCTATATATTTTCTGCTGGCTATTGTAATAGATTGAAGCACAACACTCCTAATGTGGGCAAGAAGTGGCCTTTAATATCCTCGCGGGAGAAATGGCTCTGGCATCAGTGGATGTTACACCAAAGGCCTGTTCCGTTTAACTATATACCAGAAAAGCGAGACCCAAACCCGCCGAAATGCATGATTTTATTTCTTCTTTCTCTCTCCTGTGCCAAGTGTTGTGCTTCCTCTTCGAAACATCGCAACTGCTTCAACGATCTCACTGCCAATATCAAACTTTTAATTCCAACAATTCAGACAGCGAAAGAAGCGGAGGGAAGAACATGATGAATTTATTATATTACTCTCTAGTGCTTTTCTCACATTTCTCTATTTCTTCGTCTAAATTGGTTCGCGAAGTTCTGACACTGACATGGGAAGAGGATGCACCTAATGGTCAAGCACGCGATATGGTGAAGATGAACAGACAGTTTCCCGGTCCACAATTCTATTGGGACGAGGACGATGACATTGAAGTAGGTGAATCAACGATATTTGCCCGTGTTATAAATTTCTTTTCTTTCTTTTTCTTCCCCTCGCTTACAGCACTTCTTATCAGGTCCTAGTCCATAACGCAATGCCTTTCAACACCAGCATCCATTGGCACGGCATCGAGTAAGTATCACCTTTTGCTCGAATTCGATCTATTCTCATACATTTTATATAGGCAGCACGGCACTCCTTGGTCAGACGGGGCTACTGGGTTGACTCAAATCCCCATCGAGGTTGGAGAGAGCTTTATTTACCGCTTCAAGGCCATTCCATCGGGGACACACTGGTATGGCAGCACTTCCAGAACTTAACAGCCTTACCTTGACACTAAATATGGTTTGTGTGAAACAGGTATCATGCTCACACGAGAACCACAATTCTTGATGGACTTTATGGAGCAATTTTCATTCGGTGAGAGGAACCATAATCAGGTCGACGCATGGCATCAATCAATAGCGACAACGCTAAGAATTTATTTCTTAGACCGAAAGATAATACCACAGGGCCGTGGCACATGATTTCCGATAACCCAAGTGATATAACCGCCATAGAAAGAGCTGTACAAAAGCCGAAACTCATCGTGGTCTCAGATTGGACTCAGTTCAAGTCGTGGGAGTACATGGAAGCCCAAGAAGCATCCAATTTGAATATCTTGTGGGTGAATATTCTCCAGCATGGCATGCGTGTTTCGTTAGTTAACGGTTTATTACTTTTAGCTGCGTTGACAGTATCCTCATCAATGGAAAAGGTAGCGTGTATTGCCCAGGCGAAGACTATCTGATCGAACATACAATGGACACAATCAAATGGGCGATATACCCTCACGAGGTTACAGACAAAGGGTAGGTGCAGGGGCTAGCTACAAGCATTTCTACTGACAACATTGTAATTATCAATACAACCGTGAAGCTAACTGAATACAGATGTCTTCCTTTCGTCAAAAGAACTCAGACAAGTATGGAATACTTGATAGCTGGGAGACCGGAAAACGTGCCTCTGCATCTAAACAAAGGCTGTATACCTGCTGAAGGGAGCCATGAAGTAATCGAAGTTGACCCGTCCGCTGGGTGGGTGAGCCTCAGTTTCATTGGTGCTGTCACTCTCAAAGCCGTAACCTTCACTATCGATGAGCACCCTATGTGGATTTATGAAGTGGACGGGCATTATATCGAGCCTCAGAAAGTTGACTTGGCGAAGCAATATACTGGGGAGAGGTATGCAATGTTAATCAAGCTCGATCAACCTTCTAGAGATTACACTATTCGCGTGGCAGATGATGGAATTGGTCAGGTCATTTCTAGTTACGCCACGTTAAGATACGGGGACAGGAAGCCCGATCTTCGTCAATCCCGAGGTGTGATTGATTACGGTGGCCAGAATATTACTCCAGTTACATGGCTAGACCGTGACCATCTACATCCATACCCGAGGCTTGACTTTGCGCTGCAATCGGATAACTTGTTTGTTTTTCGGATATATAGATGGGATAATCTGGGTTATCATCACACCTTGAGCGGTACAGGGAAATGGGACGAAGACAGTACAGCCTACGATCCATTGCTACATAATCCGTACTCAGAAACCGCCCGGGACGAGAATCTTGTGGTCAGCACCAAGAACAATACCTGGAATGACCTCGTCATTCAAGTTGGGGCATTTCCCGATTTACCTCGTGATGCCCCTCACACAATTCACAAACATACAACAAAAATGTGGCAAATTGGGGCCGGCATGGGTATATGGAATTACTCATCTACCGAAGAAGCTATACAAGCGCAGCCTGAAGCGTTTGATTTCGATAACCCCAACTATCGTGATACTTTCGTGACGGGCTTTAACGGGCCTTCGTGGATTGTAATGAGATACCATGCAACCAATCCAGGGCCATGGATGCTTCATTGCCATATTGAGACACATTTGGCAGGAGGAATGGGCGTTGCCATCTTGGATGGGATCGATGCCTGGCCGAATGTTCCACCTGAATACGCCAACGGAAGAAACGGCATAGCAGATGAGCAGCGTGTGGACTGGGATAGTTGGAAATTTGCCGCTGGAATCTCCGAATCTGCAGTACACAGTGCTGCCATCGGAAATCTGGATAACGCTGTGCAAGAGAACAATTCCTGGAAAGGATTCACTACGAAGATCATTGAGTTTCTGCGCACTTGGTCCCCTCAACATCTGATCTAGGCTGTGTTCCCATGATATCTTATCTTTTGGTCATACTTTGAACTACATGAGCTCTAATATCATTTTAAAATCTGGATTAAAGCTGATAATACAAAAGAACTCGGCATACACCACTTTAGTTCGGGTATGACTACGTGTGGAATACTCAGATACCGCACGAAGTGTACCTGTTTGTCCCAACCAGAACCGTTAACCTAGGTACACACATGGATCCAGCATGCTGCAAGTTTCCGAAACTTGTTGTCCTGCAGTGTCTTAGATAGACGACATAGTAGTGCAGACTATCTTCGTAATGATCGGTCTTTTTCCTTTTATGGAAGCGTTCATACAGCCAGCATGGCGCATAAACTAGGTCTACTTATGTCGAGGCATGTATCAGCGCTCGTTGGAGTTGATGAGTTCCATAACCACCTGTATAAGCGGAAAATATCTCCGGCAATTTTCAGGGTTCTGTCTCACATACTTCTATGTACAACCCTACACTTGTTGCAGCATCAAACCTTTTTATGTAACAACATACCTAGGTATGTTTCTTCCGTATCTGTGACACTACATATCCACGAATCGAAGTATTGATGTACCAGTCAACACATAGCACTATGGGAAAAGGTACCCGTGCCATGCAAGTGTATCACCGACTATTGAAGCAACCTTGCGAATGCAGTACCATTAAGTGCTTCAAATGTACCGACAATCCGAATAAATTGTTATCAGTAACATCTGATTTGATACATATATGATACATGATTACACAGACACGGAAAGGCGCAAGTGATCTCGGCCACCTTCCTGTCGTGCGAGTTTGGAGAGACAGCCTCGCGACCAGCAGGTTTTCTAGACCTTCCTAATTAGGTAATTATGGCACCGTCGATTGGGGGTATCAAAAGAGAGGATTTTGATTTGTGAAAATGCTGAGTAGAGAGTTCAGGATTGCTTTCTACTCGATTTAATGTGTGACAGATAGCAGATGTAATTGCCATGCGTTACAGTCCAGTCCCAAACCAGGAATTCTGTCTACATCTGAAGTCTCTTATCGCGACATAGTCTAAAGAGTACCTTGGTAACGTCGGAGTAAAGCGCAGATTAACTGAAAGTTAACCAATTGGAAAGATTTTCGCAGCCAGAAATAGAAGTGATAAAGGGAAATACAGACTAAGCGTTGAGATAGTGTCAAAAAGACGTTCTGTCGAATGCTTCCCGACTGCTACGGATTTTTTATCGAACAGGCACATGCGTTAGTTTCTCAAACTCCGAGATACGGAATTCCTTGATTAAGAACTGCCTAGTGATTGAGAGAAATGTACATCAGCATCCATGCATTCTAGTTAGGCACTAAAATGCAAGATATAAAATAGCTTGTATGTACCCCTTTGATGAATGATAAATGGTTCCAACGTCTAAGTCTCCGACTGTGCCTGCTTCAGAACTGAGAGTCGTGCAAACCCATTTTTCATTGTTATCATGGACAGTGGTCCTTCAAGCACACCCTCATCCTTTGCCATGCTCGATGCAGAGCGACTAAAGGTTTATCATTTCCCAAACGAACATCCAGTCGACGATGTGACCAGAACTGCTCTGTTACTACGACGCCGTAGTAAAAACACAGACCATTTGTTCCTGCGCCTCTTCTTGGAAGATGCCACTGTTACTCTGCGGCAGGAACTGTGCCAACTGCCCGAACACCTTAGGGCTACCCTTCCGCCATTTGAGAATATTCTCGACCTTGCGAACGTACCTGGGTTGCGGAAGTTGCCATTGGGGACAATCCTCGAGTCTCTCATGGTCCTCGTTATTCAATTGGGGCTAATCATCGGGTAAGCTGGGACTCAAGGCCATCGTTAAGACCGGCAACAGATGAAAATAACTAACAGCCTTTGTTAGTCACTATGACGAGAATGCCTCAGAATATAAATTCTCAAAATTCGATTCATGCTTTACTGGCATCGGACCCGGCCTTATGGTAGGAGCAGCCCTGGCTGCCTCTCCAGAGCTGTCGGGTCTGCCTTCAGCAGGAGCTGAAGTAATACGCATGGCTGCACGATTAGAAATCCTAACACGTGAAGTGGCAGATAATCTCGAAGCCGTTGAGCCTGGAGAAGCGTCAGCGAGCTGGGCAATCCTGATAAACGGCCTCGATGTTGAGACAGTGAAGAAAGAAGTCGATGTTTTCAACACTGAGAAGGTGAGAACCTAGGCATATAGCTACACCATCTTCCAAACATTTCTTACTGACTTTCTGGTCCAGCAAATTCCCCCGCTAGCACGGATCTTTATAAGCTCGGAATCGGCGCATAACATCCTCGTGAGCGGTCCTCCTTCACATCTACGCAATCTGTTCCGCTTTTCTGAGAAACTCCGTTACTCGCGGTTCTTTTCGATGCCAATATATGGAGGCCCATGCCATGCTCCTCACATATATAATGACAGCCATGTGCAACGAGTCATTGGTAATATAAGACCATCCGTGACCAAACGGGCTATAAATCTGGTTCCATTTATCTCCATGGGCACTGGAGAGCCGTATCAGGCAGTCACTCCACGCGAGCTTTTCGAGTGTGTCCTTACTGAAATCCTAACTGGCACTGTCCGGTGGTCAAAGGTTGTGCAATACGCTGTTGAACGGATCCACTCTGTGTCTACTGTTGAGATGCAGTTGCATACGCTGCATTCTTACCATGCTACACAAGAACTTGTTGCTGCGATGGAGTCGAATTGTTCTTCATGTGCTGTCAAATCTTTCAGTCTGCAGGACTGGATCTCCCAGGGAGGAGATAACTGTGCCAGACCCATCGGTACTGCGGATTGCAAGATTGCCATAATAGGAATGTCCTGTCGTTTCCCTGGAGGAGCAAACGATGCAGATCTATACTGGGAGCTCCTTGCTGAAGGGCGTGATGTTCATAGGAAAATACCCCCAGACAGGTATGATGTTGACAGTCATACTGACCCTAGTGGCGCGCGAAGAAACACTAGTTTAACTCCATTTGGCTGCTTTATTGAGGAACCGGGGCTTTTTGATGCCGGATTTTTCAATATGTCACCCCGTGAAGCTGCCGGGTGCGACCCTATGCACAGATTGGCGTTAGTCACTGCCTATGAAGCCCTTGAGCAGTCTGGCTACTCTTATAATCGGACTCCGTCAACGAACCAGCAGCGGGTTGCTACCTTCTACGGACAAGCAAGCGACGACTATCGAGAAGTTAACGCGGGACAAGAAGTCGATACCTACTATATCCCAGGGGGGTGTCGAGCTTTCGCACCGGGTCGAATCAATTACTTTTTCAAATTCTCAGGACCAAGCTTTGACTGCGACACGGCCTGTTCATCCAGTCTAGCCACAATACAGATAGCATGTACATCGCTCGAGAATGGCGACAGCGACATGATTGTGGCTGGTGGATTGAACGTGTTGACGAACTCTGATGGTTTCGCGGGTCTCAGTCGCGGCCATTTCTTGTCTAAGTCTGGAGGATGCAAGACATGGGACGTGAATGCCGATGGATACTGTCGAGCGGATGGGGTTGGTTCAATCGTTATGAAACGATTGACCGATGCCGAGGCAGACAACGATAATATTCTCGGCATCATCTGTGCATCAGCTACCAACCATTCTGCCAACGCAATCTCCATAACGCATCCACATGCACCAACGCAAGCGGATCTATACCGTCTTGTTCTAGGCCGAGCAGGGCTTGATGCAGAGGACGTTGACTTTGTGGAGTTTCATGGTACGGGCACCCAAGCCGGGGATGCGACTGAGATGGAATCTGTCACCACGGTTTTTGCTCCTGCCCATCCACGGAGAAAGAGGCCTCTTGCTATTGGTGCCGTCAAAGGCAATGTAGGCCATGGTGAAGCCGCAGCGGGAATTATGGCCTTTATAAAGACCTTACTCGTGTTCAAACACAACCTCATCCCGCCACATGTTGGTGTAAAAACAGCACTGAACCCAGCCTTCCCGGATTTGGAAAAACTCAACATCAAGATTCCATGGGAAGGAGTACCCTGGGAGAGATCTCCCGACAGAAAGCGTTACGCCATTGTTAATAACTTCAGTGCTGCAGGAGGCAACACAACCCTCGTTGTCGAAGAGCCGCCTCTCCGCTCTCCTCCGGAACCAGATACACGAGCTGCCGGGGTTGTTACTATAACTGCAAAGAGTAAAAAGTCGTTCCGGAGCAATATCGAACGTCTCATTGAATACATATCGGCACACCCAGACATATCACTGGCGGATCTGTCCTACACGACGACTGCTCGACGCATGCACCACAACCACCGTATCGCGACGAGTAGTAAGACTCTGTCTCAGGTTCAGAACGAGTTACAGGCTTACCTGCCAGCGGCTGAGCGCCAAAGACCAATCCCAAGCACGCCACCTTCCGTTGCTTATGTGTTCTCCGGGCAAGGTACCATACATTCCGGTATGGCAAGGGAGCTATTTGAGCAGCATTCTGGTTTCAGATTACAGATACTGCAGCTTGATGCTATGTGCAAACAGCATGGATTCCCATCCTTTGTCCCACTGATAACGGACCAGGAAAATAAAATGTTCGCACCCATCGTCAATCACCTAACTCTAGTCGCCATAGGGATTGCACTTGTCCGTCTCCTAGATACTCTTGGTATCCGTCCCAGTGCAGTCCTCGGGGCGAGCCTTGGAGAATATGCGGCACTTTATGCGGCCGGTGTTCTGTCAGCAAGCGATACGCTTCTTCTTGCCGGGCGACGGGCAATTCTTTTGCAAGAGAAATGTGCAATGGACACGCACGCCATGTGTGCCATTCGAGGAACAGCCGAAGAGATTTCAGAGAATGCTGGTGGGTTCAAGTATGGAATCGCATGCTACAACGGCCGTCGTGAGACGTGCATTAGTAGCACAGTTGGGGAGGTCGCTCGCATCCGCAGACATCTTGAAGCCGCCGGATATCAGTGCCATCAACTCAATGTCCCATTCGCATTCCACTCCCCTCAAATGGACCCCGTTCTAGATGAATTTGAGCGCACTGCTGAAGCAGCGGTGTACAAAGCTCCAACGGTGCCGGTCATATCGTCACTTCTCGGAGATTGCGTCTTCGATAACAAAACAATCAACGCAAACTACATGAGACGAGCAACGCGAGAGACTGTGCAATTTATTCCAGCTGTAGATAGAGCCTGGGAAGACGGCATTCTAGATCCAAAGACAATTTTGCTGGAAATCGGCCCTCAGCCAACATTCGTTCAGTTTATCAAAAACGCGATCCCTGAAATATCGACCATAGCTCCAACACTTCGACGCGGAGAAGACAACTTTGTAACTTTGGCAGGGAGTTTGAGTATTTTGTATAACTCCGGAATCGAAATCAACTGGAATGAATGGCACCGGCCATTTCAGAATCAGTTGAGACTTTTGGACAATCTTCCTGCATATAGCTGGAACGATAAGAATTACTGGATCCAGTACGAGGGAGACTGGATGCTCAGCAAGAATCTAGTGCCAACTCAGAGCCTAGCACCAGCAGCAGTTCCATCAACCTTGCGTACTTCGCTTGTACACCAAGTGTTGGAGGAGGAGATATCGGAAGAGACCGTATACCTTGTAGTTCGATCTGATGTAATGCGGCCAGAGTTCTTGGAAGCAGCAAATGGACATCGCATGAATGGACACGGTGTTGTAACATCGGTAAGTCTTTTCTTCTCTCTTTTGATCTCAAGCTTTGCTTCCAGAACCTAAGAATTGATGAACTAGTCTATTCATGCCGACGTTGGATTTACGCTTGGCAAACATCTGTGGTCGCGTATTCGACCTGGGAAGAAGTGTCCTGGCATGAACATGAGGGATCTTCATGTCCTACAAGGACTTATTGTCCGCAAAAACAAGGCAGTCCCACAACAGATTGAAATCGTCGCAACAGCAAACTTCAAAGAGAAACTAGCAGTCAAGCTACAGTGGTACAATGTAGACCCGGAGACGGGCGATCTTGATGAAGGGTTTGCCTCGGCAGAGATCGAATACGGCGACAATGAGGCATGGCTAGCAGACTGGTCCAAAAATACGCACCTTATCACTTCTCGAATTCAAGTTCTCGAACGATTGGCAGACGAAGGTGTAGCTAACCGACTTTCGCGCGATTTGGCCTATACTATGTTTGCGAATTTGGTTGACTATGCTGAGTGTTACCGTGGCATGAGACAAGTTGTGCTGAATGGCTTTGAGGCTGCAGCAAATGTCACCTTGACTACAGATGCTGGCGGCAGCTGGACTGTTGCGCCTCACCATATTGATAGTGTCGCTCATCTTGCCGGCTTCATTCTCAACGGTGGCAACGCAGCTGACCCACGGAATAATTTCTTCGTCACTCCCGGTTGGAAGACCATGCGGTTCGCTAGGCCACTTGTCGCCGGCGCGCAGTATCAGTCATATGTACGCATGGTGCCTCAGTCTGAGGCTGGGTTTTATGCGGGTGATGTATATATTCTCCAAGATGGGGAGATCATTGGGCTGGTGGAGGATATCCAGTTCCGCACTTTCCCTCGGTTGCTTCTAGGGAAGTTGTTCAGTCCCAGTGATCTCCATAAGCCCATCAATGTATCGAAGGGCTCCGCAACCAACAAGTCTCATGCTTCAAAGACACGCAAGGGCAACGAGGTGAAGAAGGAGCAGGAGAAGAACCTACCCGAGTCCGAACCAGTGGTAGCAGATACACAACATACGTCTCCATCTCCGGTGTTAGCGCCAGCAAAGGAGAAAGAAGAACCTAAACATGTTCCAGAATCTGCCGAAAAAAGTCCAGCCAGTCAGCAGGATGACAGTGTGCTGATGCTTATCGCAGCTGAGACGTCAATGGATATAGCCGAGTTGAATGATGAGACGGAGTTTGCTTCTATCGGTGTGGACTCACTGCTGTCGCTTGTTCTCGCCGAAAAATTCCGCGACCAGCTAGGGTTTGATATTAAAAGTTCCTTGTTTATCGAGTGTGTCAATATCGGTGGATTGAAGGGATGGCTGGCCGAGTATTGTTGATGTGTGGGTTTTCTTTTGTGCGAACTTGAGTAGTGTAGAACTGTCATATAGTAATTAATATATAGGTAGTTATCAGACAAAGAAGCAGCTTACTTCTGATATATGAAAGAAGGAACTCTGGATATAGGTTTTCGGGAAGGTTACTAAGGGAATGTTGCCTTGAGCGTTCAATCCTCGGGCATTATTTACTTATCACAACAGGGGAGATAGAAGTCTGGATGAAAGACACTTTCCTATTAATATATAAATTATGGCTTCAAATTAGATATAAAGACGGAGCAAATGTCCAAGATATGTATATAATGACATGAATCTCAATAATTACAAGCACCGTGATTGTACTAAAATGTGGATGCAGTTTAGGGTATATGTAAGATTTCATCAGGTTTTGCGCCCATATGATGTTCCCCATAGAAAAGACATCAAAATGCTACAAAAGATGAAAAAGACATAGAATGGAACACAAATCTCCTCGCTTCTTACCGAGTCGAGAACGAATCATCGTCATCTAGGCCTTCTCCGTTGTAGGAACGGTAGGGACGACATCTTCGACACTCTCGTCAACATCCTTAAGATCTTCTTCTAGTTGGACGTGATCCTTGATACGGAAGAGGATAAGAGGGGCAGCGACGAGCAGGGATCCGAGCAACAGACCGATGTTGGTAGCCCACTCGTTGACGTAGGACATCTCATTGTTGTCCAAGGACCACATGACGGCAGCGCCAGCAGATTGGAAACCCTTGTAGAAACCAACGTAGTTGGCGGCACGACGACCGGAGTTGGAAAGAGCGCCCATGGTCCTAAGAGAGACTTCGTTAGTTTCAGAACACAGATAAGATGGGCATGACCACATACCAGTAGACGCAGCCCTGCCAGACGGCATCAAAGGCACCGTAAAAGAAGTAAAGAAACATGGGTCCAACGAATCCCTTGTGGGTCCAATCCCACGCAACGAAGCCCGAGTCAGCGGCTACATCAGCACGAGTATACTTCTCTTGCCAAGCATAGCCACCGCCATATATGGCAGCAGTCAAGACGACGAGGGTTACAAGCATGATACGGGCACGGGTGGTACGGCGGAACTTGTTATTGTCAAGCAGCGGGCCAATGACACTGGCGGCGCAGATTTGAGCGAACCAGTAGAGGAAGTCGTTCAAGGCGCGAGTGCGGGTGTCAAAATAAGCGGCGTTGATGGCGTTCTCCTGGTAGGTGTAGAACCAGTTGGAAGACCAGAACATGGGGAACAACAGCAGAATATAGGGCTCGGATCTGATGCAGGTATACAAACCCAACAACTCCGACTTCCAGCTGGGGTTCTTCATCAGCACGACCCTAGTGCCGTCGGAGCGAATGATCTTGTCGGCATCGACGAGAGTAAGTGCTAGCGCAGCACCGGCAACCATCAGCACAATAAAGGCGATGTAGGTTCCATCGCTGACGGTGGCAGCGACCTTGACGTGGATGTTTTGGCCCAAGGGAATCAAACTACCCATGCAACCACCAATGTTGAAGATACCCCAAAACCAAGCCCAGTAGCGACCCTTCTGGGCTTCGGTTGGGTAAGAGACCATGATGACACCCTGTGCGGCCCACAGAATACCGGCACAGAGACCGAGGAAGACACCGGCAAAGATGTTAAAGCCGGGAACATTGTGGTGAACGGAAGCGAGCAAGGAACCAGCGTAGATACAGTAGCCGAGACCACCGAAAGCGATCGAGACACGCACACCCAGACGGTTGACAACACTACCGGCCAAGAGACCGACAACAGCAAACGTCGAGTTGAGCGCGATGTTCTACCACAGCAGTTAGCCTTGAATTGTTCCTCAATCCTTCATCGGTAGAAGAACTGCGCGAAGCTTACCATTTGATCGGCGGTATGAGTGCTGGTCTTACCACCTCCACCGAGACCACTTAAGGCATTGAACATACCCGGGCAGAGGAAACACACGAAAGCGACGAGACCAAGCTGGACCGAAGGTGAGGCATACCAGGGAAGCTTGCCGTGGCGTTTGTACATCCATCCCTTAGGAAGCTGGTCTGGAGTCCAGGACTCATCGATGACGGGGTCGACAGCTCCCTTCTCGGGAAAGACGTCGGCAGCGACGGTACCGACAGCGGTGTTATCCTCCATGTTGGCTGCTCTTATTCTCTATGGATTGCCAATGTCTGCTGGGTCGGATGAGGACTGAGTATATATGCAAGGACAGGCAGGAAGAGCAACGCAAAGAACGAGGGAGGATTCCGAGACAGCTGGAGGCACCGCGATCTTTTATCGCAGCTGGGAAGGGCGCGCCCCACCTCCGTCGGTCCCTATTTTAGTAGCATTGGAGATGCTACAGCACACCCAACCTCACAACGTGTTACTCGCCAGCCAATTACTGATGTAGCTTTGCTGTGTTCTGATTCAATGCAACCACAGGTATCCTTGCTATCTATCGCAAACCCTGCATTATGTGGTTCTAACTATTGATATTGACCGCGATATTGATTGCTCTGTCGCGTGCCGAGCCCTGGCTCCCCGATGTCTCTCTTTTTGCGGCTGTCCGTCTACTGTTTGTCTCATAATTTCTTTTTTTTTTGGTTCTCTTGGACATTTCTTTTTCTGTGTGAGTTGCGCCCCCTCTCCTCCCCCCTTTTTTTTTTTTTCCTTACCGACTTCTGCGTTAACTTAGTTAGGATTTAGGCCATGCGACATGAAAGTATTATTTTTGCAGCAGGCAAAGAAAAGTTAAGCGGGCGGTTCGGCCCCAGATCGCTCAGCCCGGCGGTGATTGGCCAGGCGCGGCAGCTAGCCCCGGCCGCTTATCTCCCCTCCTGGGCCTACCGCCACGCCGCCTTGCCCAAATAGGACTAGCGGCGTGCAAACGGCGTGCGGCGATTGGACGCCGCTGCGATGCTTTGATAGCAGCGTTGCACCCACGCTTTGGGTTTAGCGTACCTGGTCCCCGGATTGCACCGTAGCATTGCCGTGGACGTTGCACACATCTGTAAGTACTCTAAACACTAGATGCCAAATGCTAAACAGTAGCTTAAACATGCTACTATGTGCTTAATCCCAACACCAACCGAGCAAGATAGTAAAGGACCAAAGGGCAGACACTATACACACCGGTCCTCCTGCAAACGCCATTTAGCTTCAAGATATCGATGGCCGTGGCTGCAGCCTGGCAAGATGCATGCCTTTCATGGAACAATCAGGTCAAGATCAAATTAAAATAAAATAAAATTAAACGTTCAATAGCCTTATGTAACGCTACAACACTGATGCTGCCGTCGCCCTGGGAAACATGACAAGTCATCCCCGTGGGCAAAAGTTCCGTCCACTTGTCCCCAAGGACCCCTCTTGTTGACCATGTGTGACTTAAGAGATACCTGTCTAATACCCAGGTCACGGACTATACGGGGAAGGAATTGAAAGGAGCCTCTATGCTTTACCAAGCTGTCGCGCGTTCCTTCCTAGCCTTGGTCCTCTGTAGTAGTGCTGATATAAGATGCTCCTCGCAGGATGGAGGATCACTTCCACGGCCCGCCTCGTACAATGCGATTGGCTGTACCGGGTGGGAAGACCCGCAGGTCAGCTGACCAGGAACGCGGAGAAAGAAAGAATGGAAAAAAGAGCGAAGCAAAATGGAAGATAGTAGAACGAGCTCACGTGCGAGCCGGCCTATGAAACAGCCTCGTCCCCGCGGCCCATGTGGGGCTTTTCTTTCCCTTCTGAATATGGCTGCTACTACTACTCCGTATTCCCTTCCCTCTTACACCCAACATATTTTTGCTTCGTTATTTACGTGTTGGTAATTTGATATACACATCATTGATTGAGCTATCTCGCCTGAGCTGTCACAGTTACAAGGACATCGAGTCATGCTGGCCTAAATCAGTGACAGATCGATCGATCGCAGGTGTCAACCGACGACATGTCGCGGTAACATAAAAAAGCATCTTGGATGTCATGAGGGCTCAATGTCAGTTATCAGGGAAGCTGAGACTCGCAGGCGCAAAGAGGGGGGGGAAGGGAAAAAGCAAAGTGCCAGATAAGCCTCCTATCATTCACCCCAAACGTCGCTAGAATGCAGATTTCAAAATTAATTGGCTGGTTCTCTAGCCTTGAAGCATAGTTACGCACGATAAGCAGATAGATACCCGTGACAACACGCCACCATCTCCAGCATGATACCTAGGGGACATCGATATGTGAACTTTGATTAGGGTGGTGATAACGAAAACCGACCAGCGTCAACATTTCATTTGGCCATACGTAAAGAAAGACACTCGCAAAGGCTATTTCTACATGTGTGCATGTAACTTGGTTGGCGGTCTACCGACCCGACCTGTTCTATGCCAGCATGAACTACTCCGTACCTAACTTTATCAAATATCAGCTGATAAGACAGTCGACGCCACGGCCAGCCTCAGCGTTGATTGCTTATCGCCTTAGCTCTGCCCACTGCCACGGTGCCATTGCGGCTATTACCACCTGGAACCTTTTCTGATCGGACGCGCCTTACGTGGTAACTTTTTTTTCTATCTCTCCATAACAAACAAACTATCAATCGAGCTATGTAGTTGACCCATTGCTAATAATTGGCTCTTTTATCCGCCCCCATCCTTAGAATCGTTCGAACAACCCTGGGAATTCTGCGATCTTGTTCTGGCATGGTTTTTCGTCTGGTATTTAGCTGAACTGTCCCTGGACGTTTATTATCCAGGTTTTAGCAAAGTTGGTTTTTCCTAGTGATAAGAGAGACAAATCATGTCCATCGTACTGCCGTGTTTTCGATCCCCTGTCAGGTTGGTCTCAGAGCGCAAGATAATTCATGCATTAAACGACATTTCTATTCGTCCTCATTGTTCGAGTTCATACTGGCTAATGATATGTCATTCTTTATAGTTTCCCCTCTGAGGGAAGAAGCACTTCGATATGCCAAGACTGCCCCAAGTGTAGCCCTAACCCCTGGAACACAGCTCATCCGAATCTAATAGCCTAATGGACCAATCAGAGCCAGTTTATTAATGGGCGATCCACTATCAAGAAAGCTTCACAGAGCTATGCGGACTATTATTGGCCAATGCTCCACAAATCCCGCCAAGACTGAAACGAGGTAACGGACAGCACGTCGTTCAACTGAGAATTACACTTGTCGCGCACAGAATTCCTAGGTATTGTCCGCTTGCAATTCTGTTTGCTTGCAGATTTTACACGATGTATTTCTTCACTTCTCGCAAGCAAGCTCCTGCAACAGTCCCCAGTGACCATGTCATCCCGCTCGGATTCTGGAATGACATGGATTACGCTCGCGCGATATCTCTAGATATCACGCTTAAGTTCAACGATGCGCTTGACCCGGAAAGGCTGCGAGACTCTCTTGACACATTGTTGAAGAATGGTGGATGGCGGAAATTCGGCGCAAGGTTGAGACGCAATGTGAGCAAGAACTCCCTCCTAACAAATCCTATAATTTTTATATGCCACTGCAGAGGGTCTCTAATGATCACATAGAAAGACAAGGGCTTGGAGTATCATATTCCTGAGAAATTTGATGCGAAGCGTCCTGCATTTCTATTCAGTGTGGACAAATATGACATACCTGTGTCAGAACACAAAGCTCTTTCGCAGCTGAGGAGCGAAGACCGTGACAAGCCCGCCGTGCTTGGCCCATTTAACCATCTGCGATATGATCTAAGGTCTCGGGAAGCGCCTGAAACTATTGATGACTGGCTCTATTCCGATACTCCGCAGATATCAGTACATGTGGTGACGTTCGAAGACGCAACATTTGTTACAGTGTCATTTCTGCACACTCTCATGGATGCTATAGGTTTCGCAGCACTTCTCAACGGCTGGACGGCCGTCTTGCGCGGCAAAGAGGATGAAATTCCACCAATCGTTGGGCTTGATGACGACCCACTAGCCAAGGTCCATCAAGTGACACCAGCTAGTAAATATGTACTTGCGGATAAGCTGCTTAAAGGGTGGAATTTTTTCTGGTTCGTCGTCTTATTTATCTTTCAATTACTTTGGTACCGTAAAGATGAGGAGCGGATTATCTTTATGCCCGGAAAATATTTGAAAGACCTACGTGATACTGCACTCGCTGAACTGAGCGAAACATCCTCGAATGCCAACGGCAAGGAAGGGACCCCGTTTCTGAGCGAAAGTGATGTCCTTGTTTCGTGGTGGTTCCGTATCCTGAGCAAGGCGCTCAATATGTCTCCGAAACAGCCACTTACTGTTATGAATGTATTTGACGTTCGCGGTATTCTGGCAGAAACGGGTTCTCTCGCTTCTGCGGATATAGCAATGATCGCCAACGTCGTATGGCCCACTGTCGTCTTGACAACTGTTGGAGATATTCTCAGCAAGCCCTTGAGCTATTTTGCATCTCAAATTCGGCATGCAATCGACACCCACCGTACCAAAGAGCAAGTTCATGCTCTGGCAGCAATTCAGAGAGAATCCACCGAAAAGTCTGGACACCCACCAGTGTTTGGTAATCCAGGAACCTTCCTTTTCACATGTTCAAATTGGCATAGAGGCAAGTTGTTTCAAAAGGATTTCTCCCCGGCAGTAACTAAACAAGGCACTCCATCCTCGGGACGTTCGAACCTTCTGGGTAGACCGTCGTTTCTTTTTATCTCGGGAAAATTCGTCCGATTCTCGCCTCGTAATGCCTTTGTTGTCATGGGTAAGGATGCTGACGGCAATTGGTGGATGGATAGCAGCATTCGCGCTGGACTGTGGGATCGGGTTGCAGAGCAGTTCTAGGGTTGGTCTCTGACTTTTAGTTTGGCTCTTTGGCCATCTTGAAAAACACTCTCTTCCTTTCTGACAAAAGTAAGCGCGCTGACACTGAACTATGGCTATTTACTTATTCATCTGAGCACTTCTCCAAAACTTAGCAATATTCGATAGAATTCTAATGATCGTTCTGCGCCAAAGATCATGTATATAGACTTGATCTTGGCTAGAAAATGTACATTACATTGCACTCAAACAGTCGCAGGATTGGGTTGTACTCTGCCGACCCAGACCGAAATTTCAAATTTCATGGTCTCGCCGGTTTGTGTTCAGGAAATCATTTGGCTGCATGGAATTTTATACACTTGCCACGTGACTGCCCTCAGCCTGGTGTGTTACAAATGCGTCTGCCTTCGACTCAGGTGCTCTTTTCCACATGTCTGATCTTACCCATATACTTTTAAATTGTTCCTACTGCTCCCCATACTTAAAATCATATTTTGTTTCTCATGATGCGGCCCATATAAATGACATAAGAATGGCTCTTCACGTCCTTGCTGTAGATGACTCTGATAGAGAGTCTTAGATAGAAGTGCTGGAATGTTCACCCGGACCTCCAATGCAAAATTCCAGAGCTTCCTCAATTTCTGCCCTTGAGAAAGCTGCCAATTATACACAGCGTGCTATAACTGTAGATGAAGACGACTCGATCCGTCCTCCAACCAGCTTCTTTGTCTTGAGCGTCCAGAAGTTGGCGATATAGCATGCCATTTCCGTGAAGTGGAGGGTATTTCGAAGGCCCAACCAGAGAAAGCACTTAACTACCGATCGTGGCTTGGTTGGATGTATCACATGCAATTATCCGAGATTCAAGACATTTGCTCACCACACACCTGATTACATTATACAGATCGTAAACTGCTTGTTTGGCCTTCAAGATCATCCCTTCTGAACAACTAGCGACAAGTATATAGACGAATGGCTTGCTATGTACCGCGTATACTTTGATATTGCACTTCCTGGAAGATTCAATGGCGGTTTCAAAACACAAGTAGTGGTCAAGGGCGCGGTGAGATAGGAAAGTCTGAAGATGCGCTTTCTCAAAACAGTGCTAGGATATCCCGACATCTTTCGTTCAATGATAATCGCATCGCATCAAATACTACTTTCATCGGCACCTGGCGGCCCGATTATCACTACGCAGCCAGATAGTTGTTGTCATCCCCCGCGGTTTCCTCCTGTGGGCAAGTATTGATAGGGAATATTACTGGGCGCGTCTCTATTTCATGCTGCTACAACTATAGCCGTTTAGTTATATATATCAGCATCCGACGTGTTGAGCCAAACCACTAATTATATGAGAGTTTTGTTTCTTTCTTTTTTTTTTGGCAAATCAAACGGGCGTCAAGATACTTCCATCGGAGACTCAATTAGCCTAAGCAGAGAGTAATGGGTTGAACCATACCCTATGGCTTGTCTGATGGATAGTATAACTAATGCTCATGTTTATTTATAATTCGATGTGGATGAGAACAGCGGGAATTGTGCTACTATTATTGGTGCCCGGAGCCCGCCCCACCAAACAGAGGAAGCTCCATCTCGCAACCAATGAACATTCGCAAAAGAACACTAGGTGGAGCTGATGGATGACCTCACTCAGTCTAGCTGCCTGTTCCATCAATCTCCCCTCTCATATAGGCAATGCTATGATATAAAGCTTGACTTGTTGCGAACGTGGGATTCGGCTTCTGTGGCCAACATTAAAGTCGCGTCAAGGACGAACGTCCGCCTCAGAACCAGAGGTTGGTGGCTGCTTTGAAGGTAGCTTACAACCAGAGCTAACAGCTTTGAAACCACCCCTTAGAAGCCTTCCGAGTTTTCAAATCACATCAGACGGATCAATGGACTACAGATATCAGAAGCATTCGTGCAGTGGGACCTTCGGGGACGGCAGTTTTATGCCTGCGGGGGCTAGAAAGAGATCTAACCCCCGACTGTTAACGGTGGCCAAATGGCTTGCGATTTGTGCGTGTGGTGCGTATTTTGTCGCGAATCGTAGTATACTAGGTGAGTCTTGATTGAGAGGAGAATTGATTTTCGCTGCTAACCGTATCTCAAGGTTCGATTGCCCTTAGCACAAATGTTACCGTTTCTCCTGATCTATGTCTCGAACCCGAATGCATTCATGCTGCCTCCGAAATCCTTTACAACCTTGATCCCCATTATGAAGATATCGACCCTTGTGTTGACTTTGATCAATATGCCTGCGGTGGCTGGAGAGACCGTCATGATATGAGACCCGACCAAGGCTCCATTTTTACTGGAACTTTCATGTCAGAAAACGCCCAGATGCGATTACGCCATATCCTTGAAGTACCCAATGTGTCTGGAGAACAGGGGCTATCATCGGCTGATAAACATAACTTCAAGAAACTGAAGTCGGCCTACGATGCCTGTATCGATGTCGAAGCTCTGAAGCAGCGGGGATCACAGCCTTTGGATGACCTCCTCGCTGAAATAGCCACAATCTACTATTTACATGACGAAGATCCACAGAAGAATCTAACGGATGCCCTTTTATATCTAATTCAGACCGATGTATCGGCCCTTGCCACTTTCTCTGTATCTGTGAGTGATCTTCTAGGGCGTTCTACCTGTTGCTTGGCACGCAAATCTAATGACCCCATTCTAGCCTGACGATCGGGATCCCGACAATGTGGCTATATTTGTGACTCCGCCACGGGAAATTGGACTTCCTTCGCGCGAGTTCTATAACAATACACAAGTTGTGGAAGACTACACTAATGTTGTATCGAACTTGTTGCTCCTTTTCAAACATCGCTTTTCATCGGACGGAGAGTCCCGTTTTTCCTTCAAGCTTGCCAATAAGGTTATTCTTTTTGAGAAGAAATTGGCCGATGCCACGCCAGACACCCAAGCACAAGAGGATGTTACTCAGTATTATAACCCGCGGACGCTGGACGAAACGAAATCACTTATTCCGGAAATATCATTTGAGCTGATAGTTAATTCGCTAGCTCCTAAGGATTTCCAAGCAGAAAGATTCATCATAGGCTCGCCATGCTACCTGAAAAAGCTTTCGACGATTATTCAGGATACGCCACGAGAAGTAATCCAGGCTTTCTTTAAGCTAAAGGCTATCCAGCGATACTTTGAGGCAATAGAAGACCCCAAAACGATTCCGCTATGAGAATTCAACAACCGTATTGCTGGCAAGGATCCTCAAGCCACACAGGATCGGTGGCGTAAATGCATTAATGACTTGGATTCTGGCATTGGTTGGATTTTAAGCCGCTTTTATGTGATTGACTCTTTCCCCGAGACGTCAAAAAAGCTAGGAGATCAAATAATCTCCGATATAAAGGAACAGTTTGTCTACGTGTTAGATGGCACAAAATGGATGTCTGCCGAAGTCAGGCAGCTTGGCAAGCAAAAAGTGGCAAACCTCATTCAGAAGATAGGAAATCCTTCAAAAAGTCCCAATTTAATGGATGGCGAGGACGTCAAGAAATACTATAACGAGTTGAGTGTTTCGAGAGATAGGTTCTTCGAAAATTCGGTTGGAATAGCTAAATTCGAACTCAAACGGGAGTGGTCGCAGTTGGGAAAGCCCACGAACCGAGATGAGTGGGAAATGACTGCACCGACTGTTAACGCATACTATAACCCTCCAGGAAATGAAATTGTGTTCCCAGCTGGTATCATGCAGCCCCCGGCTTTCTACGGATCGAAGGCGCCTCTTTATCTTGCGTACGGAGCTTTTGGGGCTATTAGCGGGCATGAGCTATCCCATGGTATGTTTACAAGTTCTAATACCTCTCTCTAATAGGGAAGCGGCTGATGACTGACTTGGGTTGATACAACACACAGCTTTTGACAGCACTGGAAGACATTACGACCAAACTGGCAACTCCACCAATTGGTGGGATGACCGCACTGTCGCGGCCTTTGAAGAACGTGCACAATGTTTCGTTGATCAGTACTCGAACTTTACGGTTCCCGGACCTGATCCGGATGCAGAACCTCTGCATGTCAATGGAAGGTTAACATTGGGCGAAAATATTGCCGATGCCGGTGGCATTGCGGCTTCTTTTCACGCCTGGAGGAAACGTGACGGCTCACATGCGGACAAGGCACTGCCCGGTCTAGAAAACTTTACCAAGGAGCAGCTCTTCTTTATTTCTTACTCCACTTGGTGGTGCAGTAAGACCACCAAAGAAGCTGCAGTTCAGGCCATCTATACTGACCCTCACGCTCCAAAACCCGCTCGAATCTTGGTAAGTCCATTTTTGTTTCCTCGTCCTTGTGTTAGCATTTGACACTCTGGCGCACCAAAGTGAACGTTGTACACATGCTAACATATATCGCAGGGCACGATGGCAAACTCAAGGGAGTTCCGGGAAGCCTTTCAATGCCAGACAAAAGAGCCTGTGTGCGAATTGTGGTGATGTTGGGGAGTATTGAGCACTACATAGGGTTGAATTAGCTTTGTGATTGGCCCGCTTTCCGGCCAATGGGAGGACTGTATTTGTAATACATGATGCTTGATCACGGGACTTAGCTATTCTCACGCATGATTGGTTGCTGGGTTATATATTACCGCCAATTCGTGGGGAATAGTGCGCGATACGTGCGAATACGCGTAACCATCCAGCCACACCTCCTAGTAGCGCGTCATTACCGTAATGCTTCGGTCCTGTCAGATCCCCGTGAACAATGTTGATTCGGAGCAGCTCCTTCCTTCCTCAATAATATCTGTCAATGATTGTTCTATGGCGCCTTGACTTCTCATTTGCAAACGTGTCAATATAGCGACTCGCCTTCCTTCTCATCTTGCCGTTTGCCATTCCTCATAGCGCAAACCTCCGTAAGCGCGGTATAATCGCCTTGCTTGTGATCCGTGCGTCGCGCTCGACAAATTGTCTGCATTGCACTTGCCGTCACAGGGGGGAATATTTCGGGGATTTCCGAGCAACTTCTAAAATCTGGACAAAAAACAAAATTCCGAGCCTCACCCTTGTCCACTCTCGTGCCAATTTCGTGGCAAGAGGGAGCTCCAGCATAGCTTGTCATCAGATACTCAGTTTCAAGCAGTGATCGCCATGGACTTCTAGAAATCCCGCCAGCATTGCGGTGTGCGGCAATGCCAAGTTCCACAATTGAATTACCGTCCCGGCCAGCTCTGTGAGAGTTACCGGCGGGTATGTGCTAATCTACGTTGATCTCAAGTACCAAGTGAGCAAAGGTGTGCGCGCTTGATTTCGCGGCTTGTATCTTACCTTGGCACGACGAAAAAAAAAGGGTCCCGCCATTATGGCCAGACCTCTTGATACATCTACCGACGAGCCCAAGGATGAGTTTCGCCTACAAAAACCCGCGTCTTCGAGAGCGTCTACATTAGGTATATCGACCGCATTGCCTCGTTTGCATCAGCCACAGTCCACGCTTCAACGTGCTCATACCGTTACGCAATCTGGTTTGGCCAAACGGACCGACAGAAGACTAGCAGACCGACCAAGGAGACAGCGATCGTTGCTGCTTCGTATGAAAGGCAGCAATGAAGGCTTGTCTACGCGCTCACCGGTGCACGAGACGACTCCATCGGGCCTTAGAGATAACAACTTCGCAGTAGGAAACGTGGGAAACAATGGGAAGCTCTACCTCAGGTACAACAGACTTCGCCCCTCCCCTCTGTCCGCAGCCGGTGCTATTGATTTGGATTGGAGTGCTTACCGAAGGTATATCATTGTGAAAACAGGCCTTTAGTCGAGCCGGGTTCCAGGCGTCACCATGGCAAATCCCTCCCGAGAGTGACTTTACCCGCCCCGGCCAGCAGCACCAAACTACCACCGCCCAGGGCCTCAGCTGGCCCCGACCCCAGGCAGAGTATTTGGTCATCCTCTCAATTTTCTGAGCTCCGTCCTAGTTATGCCCGTGAAGAAATAGAAGAAGCCAATGACCACGTCAGCGATTCCGAGCCTCCGCACAGGAGAGCGCATTCATTCTCAACTATATCTGAATATGAACAATCAGCTGCATCCGACGGAGGTGACGAGTTTCGCATTGTGATCGATCGGTTCGACACCAACAAGCCAACCAGTGAACCGATTGATGGTTTACCTATGCCTGCGTTGGAGGTACCCATCCCTCATTATCGCCTAGGAACACTACAATTAAGCACGGAGGGTACGCCGGTGCTGCGGAGCTCAATTTACACGCATACGTCACATACCTCAGTCTCAGATAATACGCACTCGTCGATATACCTTAAGGACAATACCGGCGGCAGTGGCCAAAATCGAGTTCCGTCAACCTACGATTCTCCCGGTCTTACTCCTCCCGAAGGGACCCTTTCTATGGCGATGTCTCTGTTTTCTGCAGTGACCCCGTCCGCTGCCAAAGATAGGCATTCAAATTCCACTCAGAGATCCGGCATATACATTTTGCGTCATCCTCTTGAGCCTTCTATCTTCGATATACTAGCTAAGAACATTGACGATTCAGCTGTGGTCAAATATATTCCAAATACTCGGGACATTAGCGCAGCTACACCTGCTCGTATAATCGTACAAATCTCGTCGGAGTCCTTCATGGATTATGAACTCGTTTCCGATTTTTTCTTGACATTTCGTTCTTACCTATCAACCACGAGCCTTCTGGGTTTGTTGTTGGCGCGATTGGAGTGGGCTATTAACAGATTACAGGCCGATGGTCGGATTATTCGAATTCGGACCTTCGCGGCCCTACGCCATTGGATCCTCAATTATTTTGTTGATGATTTTGTCGGCAACCGTGACCTACGCGTTCAGTTTTGTCATAAAATCAATACTATGTATGCTGATGTCAAAGCTCGAAGTACTACAGAGGTCAGTGACGCAAAAATATTGGTAGACCTCAAGCGTTGTTGGCACGGCAGATGTATGATGTACTGGGACAGTCCACCTTTTACGAGTCCGGATAACCCTGCTCTACCTGGTGATGGCTTTAAAGATCAAGGATTCAACAACAACCGCTCAAGTGAGGTTGGCAGCTCTTCTCAAGAAGCCGTAGCCACTGGTCATTTGAGTATCCAATCATTGGTGCAATCAACAAATTCAATCAAGGCTGAACGGATTCCCAACGGCCATATGAGTCATGCGAGAACAATATCCTCAGGGACTTCGCAGAGTGTGCCAGGCTCGTCTAGTGAGCAAAGTGTCCAGGCATTGTCGTGTTCTTTGCCAGGTAAAAGTATCCGGGCGTCGATGTCGATGGGTGGCTGCTTAGATGCCCCCCATCCTGTTGTAGTCTCGATTAAGCCGTCACCACGTCCTCCAACATCTTCGGCCACGTCAAACCCTCCAGCCCACGTCCATAAGAGAAGCGGCAGCTTCTCTGACTCAATCAGAGATGATCGTGCCCCACTTTCTAGAACATTGGGCGAGAGGTATGAGCAAGAGCAAGCTCTATTGCCAACTTCTGATGGTGGTAACGGCAGTCTCATACGCGGGAATTTTTTCCCCCCTGTTGACGCAAGCGTTGCTGCATTTGTACCCCCGTCACCTACTACCTTTCAAGCTCCAGATGAGTTACGCGAAAATCATGCACGGAGTGCATCTGAAGGCAATATCAGGACCCTTGGAACGAGCCCAGCGCTGAAAACTGTCATTGGCTCCATTCGCCGTGCTTTACATACGAGAAATCTTGGAGCAAATACTGCACCCCATGTGGGATCCCCTACTTATCGTTCTCCGCGAGTCAAGACAGCCACACTACCTCTGAATGTTGCTTTGAAATCCGAGATGCACAAGGATCGCAAGGCTTTTTTAAAGCCTAACACCCCTCTCAGAACCGACCATATTTGTGAGAAAAGTATGAGAGACTACCGTGAAGCTATTGGCCTTAATCCTCCGCAGTCTTCACCCTCGTTTACAATCAAAAGGCCTGGGGTACTGGATGACCAAACGTCCCATCTAAGAGCGCAAAAATTACGTCATCAACGCCTTGTGAGCGACGTGACTATGGGAAGCAAATCTATTGTCATTGTGGATGACACGGGATTGGATTTGCCTGTAGTCTCAGGGGGGAACAATTGGCTGGATTATGGACACAAAAATAACCCAAGTTCAACCTCAACGACGGGAAGAGATAGTCATCTATCTTCTGGTACTGGCGTAGTTCCAGTTGCAGCGTCTCTGGAGGTCTTCGGGCATGAAGTGGAAGATCTGGCACCTCCATTCTCTGATCGCGCTTCACAGCATCCTCTGAAGTCTCCCGCGCCAGAGAAGACCCGTTCAATATCCAGTCGACTTCGTAAGTACGCATCTTTTCAGAGTGGTATCAGTCGGTCCCTTGATGCACCTAGTGAGGCTGGGAGCTGGGGAGGGAAACAACCACTAGGCCGTCTGTTGCGCAGGCGACCTGGAGGTGATTTGCGTAAAATTCAGAATGTGCATGATCTTGCGACTGATTTGCGCCCACAGTCCTTTGCAACGGACACATCTTTAACGGAATCACTGGCTTCTTCAGCCCGTAATTATTTCAGGCGAAGCTTTTCCAGGTTCTCTCAAGCCAGAATCCAGTCAACGCCACCGCGCTTTGACCTCATTAACACTCATTCATCCCAACACCTGCGCCCTTCATTTGAAGCGGCTATTGCTGGGTTCTCGCGAATTCCAGATGACGCTGACGGTGGAATTGAGTCGACGTTGCTAAAACTGGAAGGGAAGTGGCCGTCCCTGACAGGTTCCGACAGTCATCCAGAGGGCGGAAGACTCCGTGATCCCGAGCTTCCCCAGAATTACTCTGATCGAGGTTATTCTGAATCTTCTTGGGCGGGAACAAGTCATTTAGATACCTACCCAATGACCTTGGGGGAGAAAGTGGTGACTTCTAGTTTTCAAGGCCTGTCAGCACAGTCGCACACAGACTCTGTTGTAGAATCGGAGTTTTCATATAATTCTATTCCTCTTCTGGAAAGGGGTTTGAGCGACGATTCCATGAAAAAACCGTTGTCTACTATGCATCCCTCTGCCACCCCACATCGTTTGTTACCACAGAACCCATCAAGTAGTAACTTGACGAACAGCATTGATTTTTCACCACAAAGTCTCCAATTATTTGACGAACCCATGGCCGGCCGACAAGAGTTGAATATCCAGCGAACTTTTGACTCGCCCTCGATAGTACATGGGGATAGGGACAGCGAATCAGAAATATCATCCGAAATATCTATCGATCTGATCGAGAAGGATGAGGCTTTGGAAAGGTCCAGCAGCACAAACTCTTTGGCAACTCAATCGTTGGAAATGCCACCGCATCCTCTTGCACATCCTCCTTCTCCACCGATCACAATTCAACGAGCGGTGACAACTTCTCCTTGTCGGGAAGAGGTAGCTGTTATCAGATCCCAGAAGCCACTGACTCCTGGCTCCTCTCCAACACGTCTAGTTGACCGCAAGCGTGTAGCATACGTTCGAGATGAGAATACGGGTGTTGGGAATAGAATTCCCGAACTACATATTGAAGTCCCCAAGATGCCGGATCACGTTCCTTTTATCCTTGCATATGATTCCAGATTACTTGCCCAACAATTTACGGTCGTGGAAAAATCAGCTCTGGATGAAGTCGACTGGAAAGATCTTGTCGACATGAAATGGAACAACAATTCACCGTCAATTGTCAGCTGGGTTCATTTCCTGGCGGAAAAGGAGCGTAAAGGCATTGACCTTGTTGTTGGTCGTTTCAACCTTATGGTAAAATGGATTCTGTCTGAGATTGTCCTCACGCGAGACATTCAAGAGCGGGCTTGGGCGATAGCCAAATTCATCCATATTGCTGCTCATTCCAGACAGATGTGCAATTACTCGACTATGCTGCAAATAGCAATCGCTCTTTCTTCAGTGGATTGTACACGACTACAGAGAACGTGGGCTCTAGTGAGCTCGAACGACAGACGACTCCTCGATGATATGGAATCGTTGATACAACCTCTTCGAAATTTCCATGAGCTGAGAGTTGAGATGGAAACAACAAATCTACAAAATGGCTGCATTCCCTTCGTTGGATTGTATGTGCATGATCTCACCTACAACGCTCAGAAACCATCACAAATACCGGGAACCCGTGGTGGAGATGCTCTCGTCAATTTTGAACGATATCGAACATCGGCCAGAATTGTTAAGTGTCTTCTACGGCTCATCGATGCCAGCAACAAATACTCTTTGGAGCCCGTTCCCGGCGTAGTTGAAAAGTGCCTCTGGATTGGTTCCCTGCCCGAAGATCAAGTACAAGCTTTCAGCAAAAATCTCGAATAAAGAACATGGCTATCACATCGGCAGTTTTTTATTTACAATGCATTTCCCACTCTCGTTTCTGCGCATATCAGTATAGAACATTAGCAAGTTGTTTTACGCTCGGCTAAATGCCTATCCTTTCTCGGACTTGCATCAAGCCTCGGTCATCGAGAGCACTTTTTTTATCTACTCATCTTGGAGCGTTTGGTGTCCATTATAATTTACCTAAAAATACCCATCATCATGTTTACATCTATCTTATGTCAACTTTATCTCTCATCTTATATCCCGCATTGGTTCAATATCCTGTTCTACACATAATTGATTTTCAAACACATTTGATAGGGCCTAGACCCAGTTTTGATATATGACAATAGAAAATGCTCGAGAAGACTGCAAGGAAGTCCCAAGCGAATTTAAATATACAAGGCTATATACACCTACATAGCAAATGACGACTCGTTATTTTGTTCACGTAAATTACAGCTAGTCACGTGCATCAACAGACCGTATTCTCTTTGAACGTGAATATACAGGCTAGCTGGACTATTATTTGTGGTTTGTGGTGGAATTTCATACGTTTTTAACAAGTCGCTTATTTTTCCTGTCGCATTTTTCAACAGCGGAGCAAAGCGGTTGGTTTGCGCCGAGAAACGACGAGACGAGACGCTCGCGCCTGAGGCACCACTGCCGAACTGCGTCATGTCCCACGGGTCTCCACCACGAAACTAAGATAACTTCTTCGCAGCCAAAACATATGAGTGACACACAGCGCTGTTGTCCTTTCCATACCGCGCCCAGACCCTTCAACCCGCTTGCGCTGGCTTTATATGGCAAATGATTACCTCGGTCAAATGCAGTCGTAGTTGGGCACACATCTTGTTGCAAGGTCTCCGTCCAAACACCACCGGCACAATCGACGACGGGTATGGGAGACCCTCACAACGGCGCTGCCTTTGAGGCAGCAGACGAAAGGAAATCCCTAGAAGATGGTCTAGAGAAGCCGAGAATATTGCCTCCGGACTTGCCGACGTCGCTGGACGACAGGCGACGAGCCCCGGAATACGCGGGTGAGACGGAGATGTACGACGGCTGGCAAGGTTTGTGGGCTCTCGATTCCTCTTTCTTCTTCCGCGGGCAAACAAAAAGGAAGAAAAAAAAAGCAAAGGTTCTTTCGATTTGTACCTACTAACTTGAATCACTGGTCCAGGACAATCGCAGTACCTAGCAACACCGATCACCGCTAAGCCATTATCATTCAGTCTTACGCTTGATGACCATTCTCACGATGAAGAACATGACTTGCGCGCTCGATACGCACAGTCATACTATAGCAGAGATGATGACGATACTACAGCACGATTGGAAGATAGTGATGCTAGGTTACTGGAAATGCTAGCGGCGCAAGCAGCACATCGCGAAATGGATTCCCTGGGCACAGACGAAGACGATATAGCGTTGGATGAGAAGCTCCCGGATGACGAGAAAAGCATTATATTGCAAAAGAGCCTCAATATGGCTGCCAGCAATGGCGACGTTGAACGAGTACAAAAATTGGTTAATGGCCATGCTCGCAAATATGTAGACGTTAATAAGCCGGACGAAGAAGGGACAGTGCCCTTGATATATGCAAGTTGCTTTGTGAGTGCTTCAAACGCGATAAGTGAGATGCTATATCCTAAGAATTTTCTGGTTGCTGATATGGAAAACGAATATAGGGCCATCAAGAAGTCGTCTCGGCACTACTTGACGCTGGAGCATTTGTCGATAAGCAGGATCGTAATCAATGGAGCGCATTGATGTGGGCCATGACCAATAGACACAAAACGATAGCAAAAGTGCTTCTTGATCATGGGGCTTCCCCTGATATCAAATCATCATCGGGCGGAACGGCGTTGGATTTCCTTCAACCCGGAACGGACATTTCGCAGTATCTACACGACAATGGATACGATATTGGACCTGTGGGCATTGAGGATGATTTTTACGACTCTGGATTTAGCCATGGCCGCTTCGAGGAGGAAATGGCTCAGAATGAAATGAAGCGGCGTATGATGATGGAAGAAAGCGCACTGAATCTTGAGGTGGATTTGTCCAGTCTTGGGCTAGATGAGAAAATCGAGGTGCGTATTATCTAAGCTGATGACGAGAAATCTCGTGACACTAATTCTCCATATGATAGGAACCTGATGAATTCGAAGACGATCAACAAGAGTTTGTGTGGGATAGGTGCTTGAATGACCAGATGTTTGTCTTTCAAGACAACGAACTAGAAAAGATATTGGACATAATCATTACCAACATGACACCGCAACGGTCACCTTCTCAAAAACCAGTACCCGCGAACTTATTATTTCTAAGCGCTAGGTATGCACACTACCATGCCAGTCCCGAGTTACTGGCGCAACTTTTGTTGTCTGCAACAGACAAGATCAACGACGTCGTGGAGCGTCACCAATGGGATATGACAATATTGGCCTTCTGGATATCGAATGCTACCCTGCTTTTGCATTACCTCAAAAAGGACCCGGGGCTTATGGAGTCCACGGTTGAATTCCAGCTACATTTAGCGGAACTAGTAAATGAAATTTTTATTCTTATCATTCGCGACGCCGAACGCCGAATGAACCGTGTTTTAGATCAAGCTATGCTTGACCATGAAACAATACCAGGATTGAATGACGTTACTTTCCAAAACGAATGGAAAATCTTCAAATCGAAGTCGAAACCAAAAGTTGAACCTCCCGAGAAACGATTTCGTCCACCCTCACCCAAACGGCGTGCACAGGTGTCACCCCGAAATATCACATCTCTCCTATCGTCTACGCTATTTGTCCTGGACTTGTACGACGTTCATTCGATAATCACAACACAGATCATTTCCCAATTGCTTTACTGGCTAGGCGCAGAGATTTTCAATCGAATTATGCTAACCAAAAAGTACCTAGCCCGCACAAAAGCAATGCAGATTCGGATGAATATATCAGCCATTGAGGAATGGGCTCGGAGCAATAACAGGCAACCAGAGCACTACGAAAATGGCTCGATGACCACAACAGGCGAGACTACAGTAGACGCTGCACGGAAGCACCTTGCACCAGTGATACAGCTGCTACAGTGGCTACAGTGTTTTTCCTCGTTAGGAGATGATCATGAAGCCCTCATCACAACTTTACTGCAACTACAGCAGCTTACTCCGAACCAACTTCTTCAAGCCGTCAAATCATACCGTGCAGAGGTTGGCGAGAAAGGTCTAACAAAAAACGCAACCAAATTTCTCGTTTCTCTCGAACACGACCCAGACCTCCTATATCGCGAACATATGAAACTACAAGAGCCTCCTATTTCTGCTACAGCCTCTTCTCAGCCACCTTTATCCTCGCCATCCAGCCCTCAAAAAATAAATACATCGCATCCAACTTCCGATTCCGCGCCCGAAATCACACCTGCATCCGATACGCACGAAAATGAAGGCCCATCAACACCTCGAAGCAGCATTTTTCTACACTCCCCCATCATGTCATCTCCCGGCCACAACTATTTTTCATCCTCTGGGCCTGAAAGCTACCTCCTTGATCCCTCCATGACACTCCCGTTTCTTCTACCCACAAGTACAGACATGCTGATTAGTTACGGAGCTGGGTTTGGCGGGGTAAATAGAGAGAGGGCAAGGAAATACATTCCAACCGTCCCAACCGAGGTACTGAGCCGTTTTGATCGCGTGTGATCTATATCCTTTTGTCACACTCCTTTCGTCTAGAAGAATCTTTCACAGAGCTATTGTAACGACTGGGTGGTGGAGAGTCCGGGTTGATTGATAGTCCTCCAAATTCTTGATATAAACAGAACTGGTAGAAGACATGATCAAGTAAGATTCATTCAGGAATAGAAATCTCCACGACGCAAGGCCATATCTCTTTCTGGGTCTTTCACATACACATGTGCATATAACGAATCCTGGAATTTCACATATTCTTAAATCTACGTCGCCTTGGGAAAAGACGCAATACACGCGAAGCATGTGTGGGTCTACACAGGGTTATGATCGAATCATATTTTAAAATCTTCAGCTTTTCCAAGCGGTAACAGGAAAAATGAATATATGACACGAAATTCATCTCTCGGCTTTCTCGGAGAAAGTTTCGGAGAAAAGAAAAAGAAAGTGATATCTAAATACGAGACCAGAACGGTTCCTGCCAAGGCCTCGTGGTATGTTGTTACATGAAAATATATGTATATAGAAATGTCCAAAAGACGGACTCTAACCATTGAAAACGCCAACATTTCGGTTCTTCTGGCTAGAAGGGCATGATCCCCATGGGATTACCTTTTGCAGGACTTGTGCACTGGGGAAAGCTACCGGCATCTCCGGTCTATTTCAAAAACTCAGAAAGAGTAGATCAAGAGTGAAAAGGTATATGAGATAAAACAAGTGACACGAAGAAAATTATATAGAAATGGCGGGTACGCATCTCAATGTTCCCTTTCCGATCGCGCGTGCGTCGACCCAGGCTGTGCATCGGTACTTGTTCTTCGTGAGCTTGACTCAAGTGGATTCAGGATGGACTCGCGGGTTGGTCGGTAGCGCTGAAGATTGTCGGCATTAGTTTCAGAATTTTCCTGATGCCTAAACCCATGGCTAGGATCACTCTGTTGACGTGAATGACTCGAATTGTGTCCGGTCTGCATCGGCGTCCCACGACCTGGTGAAGCAGTTGAGGGCGCGGGCGAGGCCTGTTCATGATGTGGTGTTGGCGGAGGAGGTGGCGGATGCGACCCTGGAGCTTTACGTTTTCGTCCTGGAGAAGTTTGTGACTCTGAATGGGGGTGGGAACGCGTAGATGACTCCTGCCGGCCTCTGGTCGATGGAGTACTTGGCTGCGTTTGACCCGGTGGAACCCAGTGGTGAAAATGTATAGACGGAGATTGACTCGGCTGCGTTTCGGGCTTTGCGTGAGGGGGGGGAGCAGAAACAGGACCATGCGAAGATCCTGTTATCCCACGTTGAAATTGGGCAGGGCCTACGTGAGTAACATGAAACTCGTTTGCGTTCAGGCGAGGCTGATGAGACTGCGATTCTCCCCCAACGTGCAATCGAGTAGGTTGAAGCGATCCACGGTAGCCATGCGTTTGTGGGGGCGATACTGGCCCAGGTTGTGATGGTGATGAAACTTGCATAGGAGCAACTTGAGAAGCATAAGGATTCGGTGGGATCGTTCGGCTATCTCGACGAATATCTGACGGTAAAGGTTGGGATGAGTCAAGGTCCAAGTTTTGTTGAGGGTGACGAGAAGTACTTTGAGCGGGTGTCGCTTGCTGCTGAGACAGAGGCGCACGTTTTTGAGGTTGCTGTGAGTGTCCCTGTTGCACACTTGATAGGTCCAATTGTTGCGCCACATCTAGCGACGAACGAGCCAAATTTCCACCGCCAATTCCGATGAATATGAATGGCACCAATTGAGGAGGCACGCCGGCTTGAATGGCATCATGAAGCATGCTCCGTTCAACCCGGCGTTGTTCAAGTTTTAGGGTTTCTTGACGTGTGCGCTCCTCCTCCTGCCGTCTTCTATCCTCCTCGGCCTTGGTCCGAAGCCACTGTCGCAAAGAATCTTCTGTGTGCCACTGCGATGGAAGCGGTGGGAGCTGACTCGAAGGTACCATAGATGTCACCGGTGGCTCGGGTGCCAGAGTCATTCCTGCGGGAGGAGGTAATTCCCTCCTCGGGTTGTTATCCATTTTTCTATCTAGGGGGTGGTTGCGAGGCGGGGATGGTATCAAGAGAGCCGGCAGCGGCAGGTGTCCAGGAGGAACGAGAATAGACTGCTGAACACCGGGCTATTCATGAGGACCTTTGATTCCGTTTCTTTCTGTATTAGAAGATTTTAGTGTGAGCAAACTCAAGAAAAAAACATGTATATGGTAAATTAATAATTGCAAATGATCAAAATTGACTATGCTATTGCTGATTGAATGTGGGTTAACGACCAGCTTCGACAGATGAATGGGAAACTCAAGGAAGCGCGGTACTCTATAGCAGCTTATTAGAGGACATGAATAAGGCCTTCAAGTGGGATATGAAACGGTGCTTGCTGCCGGCTATGCGAAACTTGAGGGAAGCTGCTTGAGATGAGAAAATAAGGGCAATGAATCAAGTGACAGAGACAACCTTCACAACAAGCAAAGAATGAGGTGGCCATGGTGGGCAGTGATAGATTTGTAACGGAAAAAGCGGAGTAGACAGGTGCAAAGAGACCATCTTTGCATTCTCATTGAAGGGAAGACGGAATTAGATGGTGGACACTGGGCGATCTAGGCGCAAGCGCGAATGCTGGCCAATGAGGAATAGCATCGGGCCGGGGATGAGATGAGAGGACAAGCGCCAGCCAGCTGCAAGAGTGGAAAAAGATGAAGGACGGCATTTCGGGGATCTCGGCGGGACGATAATTACCTTTTTCAGCGTAGGGCATACAGCGTCAGCTAAACCGTTTCAGGTCTGCTCGACAGCCGCTGCGGTGATGTGCGTAATTGGTGTATGTGCACGGAGAAATGAAACTGCAACAAGCCCAGCTAGTGAAATAGCCCAAGGCCCCGACGGTAGGAGCAGACGAGAAGCCAAGTTGTTGAGATTGGAAGAAAGAAAGTCAGCCCAGCTGGGGCCCGAGACCAATGTTACCTTGAATCTCGAGTAGAACAAGCGATGGCGAAGCAGCAATGAGTGAATGAATGAATGGACAGTCCACGACGACTGAGGAAGAACCGACTGGCTAGCGGCAACTGCCCATTTCCATTCGACAGACTCGTTAGGACGAGATCGTACCAGTCGATCTGCGTTTCTGCACCAGCAGCGGACGGGAAGACGCCTGCAAGGTAGGAAACAACTGCGTTTTGGAGTATAGAATGGAAGCGAATGGTAAATAGAAACACGGAGCCAGCCTGTTTCGTCAAGGAGAGACAGGAAAGCAAAACAAAAAAGGGAGAAAGAAAAAAAGCAAGAAAAAGAAACGACAACCGACGAAGGAGCGAAAAGACCAGAGTCCACGAAGTTCAACGACAGAAACAAAAAAGAAAAAAAAAAAGAGAAGAGGAAGAAAGACGAGGAAGGAAGGATCCCTCCTCCGCCTCTGCAGTTGCCCTAATTGCTAGTTTGGCGGGCTAAGGAAGGAGCACGGGCAGAAACATCCAGCTTGCAGCTTCCATTTTCGCAAGCGCAGCGATGTGCGGGCGCTAAGCCGGAGATCGTTAGTTAGACCTGGCGTTGGACCGGGGCTCACCTTTTCGGAAATGAAAGGCCAAATTGGAAAGTTACTAGGAGCATGTTGAAAACTATTCCGGAGTATTAATCTCAGATTGCTTGGGCCCGCCGGCGACGCTGTGGCACAGTGGCTTGCTTGAAAGTTATTCCGTGCTGAACATCAAATATTTGATGTTTGCTGGTAACCGCAGCACTTACGTACTAGTCAGCTCAGAACTCAAAGTGGAAGGACCGTTCGTACGGTACTTCGTATATGTATATGCAAGTGAGACCTGGGAAAGCAATGGGGAGAAGCAAACACTGACCTACACATGAATCATGGTGAAGAATTCTTCCTTATGCGGCTAGCTTCATCACTGTGATTGATCATTGCATGATGGCATATAAACCCCTAGGCGATATTGGGTAACTACGTAGTACGTGGTAGGTAGGGACGGAGTGCATATTCATATCAACCTTGGCCAAAAATTGAGACCACAATTTTAGTATGCTACGTATAGCGTTTGTGTATTCATAATTCTAATGAGCATGTCCGAATCAATGCAATTGGTGCTAACTACTTAGTGCTCCGTTCTGATAATTAAAACGCCAATAGTTTGCTTTAGACTTCCGCGCTTAAATGACCATGACTTACGACGACAAGTACGGAGTATTATTACCTAGCAGTTGGTAATAAACATAATCGCCTCCCCCGAATCATTTTTTTTGAATTGATCGGACGATCCCTGCCTCAGAGGACCAGCCCCATATTTGTTGGCATATCAGATTAGTAGATTACACGACAGCATCGCCGCTATTATGAGACACTGACATCATACATTTATCGAACACAAGCGAGAACCCAAAGGGGGCAATGGTGTTACACGAGCCTGCTTTCAGTCTGTATTCGTACCTATCGCAGGATCCGGACAAATAAAGACTGATTGCAAAGCTGGAAGCTCGTGGCCATGTGGCTGACAGGTTAATTTAAGGGCAAGCGAAGCGGGTCCGTTGGGGCCAATGAAATGCCCCACCACTGTGTCCGTGCATGAATGCCCAGACCTTCATTATCCGGCCCCACAATAAACCCATCCTCTTTCAGGCATAAATACCAAATATGGACCTCTGGAACTCCCGGACGGGAAAGAGGGTATTTCAAGGATCCCGTACGGGTGGGTCTACCGCAAATGTAGCCAATAGAAACTCGTACTTACAAGCTATCTTCCACGCGTCCGCCAAGGCCCGGGACAATCTATCCGTCTTTACTTATTGCCAATTGGTATGCATCGGAGGAGTTCGGCCAATCAGCGTTTGAGTTTATCGCGAATAATCGCCAGCGAACAAAAACCTTCTAGAAATCATTAGGAGAAATAACGGTCACAGGCTCACAGCGATTTGCTTAAACTAGTATGTAGTACCACAAATAGTATATTTTCAGCGATCTAGGAAACTTTTTGGGTAGCTTTTAGCGAGGGAAAAAAAAAAAAAAAAAACCCCCAAGGACAAACACAAACACCATCAGCGCTCCACAATTTCCAATATATCCCCTGATGACGCACTCCATACCCCGTACTCTGTCTGTGTACGGAGTAGATGGGATATTATCAATTTAATGGCAGCTTGGGAGGAGGTCGTTATCCTAGGATCTAGTATGATTCCGGCCAGTCTAGAAAGGTTTGCAGAGTCGTCCACGAACTACTCATCTCCGAATCCAATTAGTGGTCCAAGCATTATTTGCGCCCCACTCTGTTTTTGCTACGGTGAAATGAACCCTATATTATCTAATATCGAGGAAGATGCCACCCTTTCCGTTTTGGGTTTCGTTACTAATGGATGCTATATCTTAATGCAATGCAGAGTTGACATTTGACACGTCATTGAGTCTTTTTTTATATCTGGACTATACTGTGTAAACTGCTATAGTCACTTGATGCTTGAATTCTAAGGTTGCATTTCGAGCTTGCCCAGGTGGAAGGTTACGTGCATCTCCCTAGACATCTATATAAAATATACTTAACTACCTATAATCTACCCAATGCTCGAACAACCGGGATATCTGAGACCATCTCAATGTCCCATTGATTTCCTGGACTATCCCCATAAACAATCTTCCAAAAAATATTCTGAAAAATGTAGCACCGGACCCATATATCATTCCACAGATTGCCTAGATAGGTACTGGATGCTACCTAGGTTGGTATGTCAGCATTTTACGATTATTCGTCAGGATCAGTATCTGTAATTTTGGATATATCAACAAGTACTATGGATCGGTTGATTGGAAACATAGGTAATGATTAGACACTTCTATTATAGCGACATTCGGATATTGTCTATATGTACATAGAGCCCAATCAGGCACGAAGATGGCTGTTCCATCTTGACCAAAATACACGGATATTCGAACACAGAGCACATCTATAAGGGAATAAGAATATGGAAATAAAGAGAATTCTGGCGTGCAGTAGTGATGATAGTAATACAGATGAGATATAAAAATGCAGTGGTATAGAGAATGTAGACTAAAAAGAGATTAGGATTAAGTAAGAGTGTACGTTCAACTACTGCCACGGCTAGTAGTCGTTGACCTGGATGCAAATCCAAGTCTAGTAGTGACAGGTGATATCCTTGTCTCGACGTCCACATCTGGCAGGACAGGAGCATCGGCGGAAGAGCTTGGTTCAGCCAACGGTGGGATCTGTTTAGCTGGAGCCTTCACGCTGCGCCACTCCATCAGAAGGGTCGAGGCAAAAGCTATACCTGCCATGGGAATTGCTGCAATGAACACTTTCTGGAGAGCAGTGTTGTAAACATTGATCAAAGCTGGTAGCGCGTCGGGGGAGACAGTGGATCGAAACTGCGTTGCTCCAGCGGAGAGAACGGCGGCAACATCTATACCCGGTAATTCATTCGCCTGACTGGCCGCGCGAAGCTCATTAGACAGAATACTATTTCCGACTGAGATGAAGACAGCTCCGCCCAGGCTTTGGAAGCATGTCACTGCGGCTGTTGCAATGGGTATCTGCTCAAGGCGTAGTACACTTTGAACAGCAGTGAAACTTTGTTGGACTGCTATACCAACGCCAGCAGCTGCTAGGCAAACAAATCCAGCCCATTTGGCTGTGCTCATCGTCGGTTCAAGAGTGCTGACCAAGCCGGCGCCTGCCGTGGCGATTGCACAGCCCATTATGGCGGGTGGAGTGAAGTAACCGACATAGTTTATGAATAAACCTGCCATCAGACTGAATACACAGTTTGGAATGACATAAGCTAGCATATCAACGCCAGATATTTCAGTGGATGTCCCTAGGATAGCTTGGAACCATATGGGTAGGTAATAGCCATGGAGGATTAGAACGGCATATATAAAAAATGCTAGCAGACACGCTGCTCCGACGGTCCGCCTGAGAATGATACTTGGCACGATGATGGCCTTATCTTGACGGTACCATAGCCAAGCAAGTAAGATGAGAAGAGTCACGCCGAAACCACACAGAAGACCGATGACCAATGAGCTTGACCACGCGTAGCCGGTGGTATTGTATTCTAGAGCAAGGAATAGCATGGTGAATGAAATGAGAATAAGAGCAGTGCCAGGAATGTCTAGCTGTGTTAATCTTTGTATATACCCTTCGTGGGCATGTGGACTATTGATTCTTTTAAAAAAGAAGAACACGACAATTAATGTGACACCTGCCACTGGGAGGTTGAAGTAAAAGCTGTTCAAGACACTTGAATAAGCCATCTCATATGTAATCTTTTTATGATCATGGACTTGATACTTACCACCAGCGCCAAGTGACCATACCAGTAAAAACACCGCCGAGGATTGGGCCAGCAGCAGCTCCTGCTCCATACCTAATATAATATATTAGTTAATCTCAGCTTATATTGATATACATGTTGGATGCGGTCATTCAAACATACATCATACCAATGCACGCAGTGTAGATAGGACGCTTCGATAACGGCACAGCAAAAGCAACCACCACGAATGCACCGGTGATGATTCCTGCGCTTCCCCAACCTGCAATAGCCCTGCCGATGATTAAGGTTGTTGAGTTTGGCGCAACAGCGCAGATTAGGCTCCCAAGTTCAAAGATGGCAACGGACTGAAGGAAAGTCCATTTGACATCGAAAAGCGTATAAATGCGCCCATACGTTGGTTGCAACGCACAAGCAGTGATAAGGTAAGAGGAACCATACCAGCCTACGGCCGAGGTTGTCTTGAACTCATTCGTAATGGCTGGAATTGCCTGAGAGAGCTATCAGCAAATTCTGAACGGACCTGAATCTAAACACGAGGTCTGCATACCGTTGTGATGATCGTTCGGTCCAGTGAAACGAGTAGTACGGCGAGACATAATCCAATAATCAAGAGGATCAAAGCAGGTTGACTGGGATAAACAGGTTTGCTACTGCTATCTTCATCATCTTGCTCTGTTTGCACCTGCGTCTGGGGTGCCTCATTATTTTTTGGATCGCTTGTGACTGGCTCCGCATTTTGTGAATGCTCCAAATTCACCGGTACATCCGGCATCACTGACTGCTCTTTAATTTCAGTGATTTGGGGTGCTTCTGCAAAACCATCATCAATCTTCGAGTCTCTTTTGTTATTTTCTTTCGTCTCGTCTGTATCGTCGGTGTTTGAATGTTCCTCTAGAGCGTCGGCGAACCGCTCCTCTTCCAAAGTACTTTCCTCCTCTTGCGTCTCAAGCACAGGCGAGAGGGTGGGCTCAGAAGTCCTAGCCTCGGCGAGCGCGATAGAGGAAGGTTTGTCTAGTTTCATTTTTGGTTGCTCTGGCTCCATAAGTGTCGGCAAGTGGCGGTTTGACAGAGTTGTGCATCGGATGGTTGTGGTATGGATGATAGATTGATCTGAAAATCAAGAATGTGAGAGAAGTTTTGTCCCCGAAGCGCTATTCGATCAGTAATATCAATAGAGAGAAGGATCTCGTAAGGAGGCAGCACCATTCTATGAGTCCCACATGAGGAAAACCCGTCCCTACAATGTACCAACATAGCCGCACAGGGATCGCACGTCCCTGAGAAGACGTGCATATTCGTAATTGGAGAATTCTATTCGGCAAGCGCCCTTCATAACAGTGGTGACTCCTTATTGACTAAGCGTCATTTGAGAAAGAAATTGGACATGGGCGGTGTGACGCCAGGGATAATACGGGGGCACATGGTTATCTGTTTTTCTTCCATAGTCAACGCAAGTCGACATTAGACGTGAGATACATCTAGCAAGTTTGATGATCAGTCGAGGCCAAGAGGCCCATCCGATGATAGGAGCTTGCAGAATTGACAGCAACGCATAATGTACACGGCACGTATCTAAGGAGAGCGGACCACTGACAAGGAGCACAATATTGTGTACTCCGTCGTCATGCATAATAATGTATCCCGAAAAGAATCTATCAAAGACCCCTCGCGTTGTCGACGAGATTAGCTTCCTGCAAATGTGGGTCGGCACCTACAGGACGATTACTGGTAATTACATATACATCTGTACAGTCCCACAATAAAATACACCCGGCTTTTGGGGTGTTGAGTCGAATCTAAACTTCTTCCATTTCCCTCGATCGACGCTGCAGGAACAACTAAGTGCTTATCTATTTGTTTTTCCTTTCTTTATTCATTTCGCGCCATGCAGCTGAGCAGTACATATCAATTTGAACGGGTCTGTCCGTCTTGTTTATGCAAGCCCAAAATATAATCGAAAGACTAGCATTGTTTACGTTCCATAAAGGGCAGTGATGCATGCAAGGACATCAATGAGGGTGTTTATCTCGCAATACCTCTTCAGGTAGATTTAAAGACCTATGGGAGGGCTGGATATCTGTAGTACAGTATCGGAAGAGATGGTGAGGGCATGCCTAGACCTATATCAAATACGCAATATCTAGGGCTGATTAGAGACCCGAGGGGCCCAGGGTTACTTAGCTAGGGAACACAGGGGACGAACATTCAAACAAAAATAATATGAAGTGATCCCTAGTTAGTCCCTCTTTATTGGCCCAATCTTGTACTGTCCGGTTATCACCACCGTGCTCACACTCTTCGCCAAGGGGTTGTTGTCCCTGGAGAGCATTCGGCTTAGTCTATCTTATTTTGTTCGTTGTACGTCTCAGAAGACTCTTTGAGTTGCTTAAAGAAATTTAAGTTGACTCTTTAAACGGCGTCAACTATATTGAGGCCACTATTCTTGTCAACACGTCCTGAAAATTCGACAAAAAAATGGCCACAAGTCCAGAGCCCTTCCATCTAGTCGACTTTTGGCTCGCAATTTCCTGGCCACTGGTTTGGAAGGTCCTCATTACTCTACTGCTGTTGAAAAACTTCAAGAATCTTCCCTTTGCATGGCATGTAAGTATTGATGTCTAGAACCCTGGTGAAAAGGTGGAGCTAGTTTGTAGCACAAGCTGACTCTTTTACAGATCCGTCTACTTCGTGGATACCGCTGGCTACTTAGATCAAATAGATCAAAAGATGGTCCTTCTCCAGCCCAGCTTTTTCAGCCTTTGATACTGTCGTCAGGAAATGCTCTCTGCGAGTTGGATTACAATTTCCACAGTATGTCCCCCGCATAAATAAGCCTATCGAATAGATCTGATATGAATGATATAGAATCAAATAGTACATATTTCGCCGATCTAGATATTGCGCGCGCGCATCTTATGTGCACACTCTTTTCCAGTGGTGTCGACTACGCTAGAAATGCCCCAAGAAGGACCGGAATACTGGGAGTTTCCGATGACTTGATAGGCCTGGCCCTTGGTGCGGTAAGCTGCACGTTCCGAAAAGAAGTAAAACCCTTTCAAAGCTATGAGATTTGGACACGAGTACTATCATGGGATGAGAAATGGATGTACACGGTTACCCATTTCGTTCGGAAGGACACTCATCGGCCTCGAAGCTTTACATTGTTGCCGCAGAACTACAGTTCTCGACAGGGAAAACTCAACGATCTTGCCAGAAAAGAAGACGCCATCTTTGCCTCGGCACTGAGCAAGTGTGTATGGAAAAAGGGACGTCGGACTGTTTCACCTGAGATCATGCTCCAAGTTTCTGGTCTGCTGCCTCCACAACCCGGCCAGGAGGATGTTGTAGCCAAACTCCGCGATGAACCTTTAGGAAAGCTCACTGTGAGCAAACAGTTCGAGGAATATTACGATCTCCCATTCAAGCTTATTGCCAAGATCGAAGACAGTTGGGATGCCCTCAAGGCACATTTCTCCCTCGAGAGCGAGGATATCGCCGAAGAGGGCCGATTCCGCGGTGGAAAACAGCCTCAGCCTCTTCGACGCAACCAGTCCCAACAGCAACAACCCAGGGAAGAATGGACGTGGGAAAAAGTGGAACAAGAGCGTCAGCGAGGCATGGAGATTGCCCGAAGCCTGGCCGAAATGGACCGGCTGCACGGTGTGTTCACCGCTGATACCGATGCCTTGGCTCTGCGCAGGGATTTGTGGTAGATAGCTAGAGTTCGCAGTCCTCTCTAGCTTCTACCTTTGCTGACGGAAAATCCCTCTCTTATCTAAAATGCGCTCTTTGATGCCCTACGGAACGTGCATCATGTACAAACATGCAGCCGCCATGCATGCTGACTCGAACAGCCAGGATTAATCCAGTCATTTCTTTCATGGCAGACTGCCTCTTTTATCGTTCCTTTTGTTTCCCTTCTCCTTCCGACTCATGGTCTTTCTATCGCGTTCTTTCTTTTTCATTTTATATTTTATTTACCCCCCCCCCAACTTCTCTTCCGGATTCATTCGACTAGCATGGATTATCATATTTGCCCGGATAGATAGTTTCAACAGCTTGCATTGACCTACATATGACGCATCAATAAACTGTTATTTGCTTTGTCCTATCATTACAAATGAAAAAAAGAAGGTCATCGGATGCATGTACTCCAACCCCTTGTTCATGTGTACCATGAAGTCCTAGATTATACATGACCTGACAAACCTCCACTGAGAGACCTTGCAGCTCCAGCTAATCAATGCATATTTGAGTGACTTTGCATACATCCAACGATTACATGAACTGCACTTTTGACTGAAGTTCGAATGCTAATTTGCCTGTATGCACTGATTGACCCGTAAATGGCAAACTGTCAAGTAAGCGAAGTAGGAACTGCATGTATTGACAGACACAACTCACACCTGAGATAGTCATGAGCTGACAGACTAAACTCTAAGACACATATTCATTGCATAGGTGGTTCTTCGTTATGTGTCTGGTTTTAGCTTTTAGTTAGGTATGTAAGATATGTGTCTTTATCAGACCTAAATCAAATAGTTAAATGCCTCATGCCTTGACTAATGAATTCCACCTTAGAAAGTCCTATACCTAGCAATATATGCATACGTGGATACGAGCGTGCCAGTAAATACGATAACTGAGTTCATGGACTAGCTGAAGAAGCACATAGGTACGTGCTATCTGCATATGCAGACCATTACCGTGATGGATGCCGAAATGTGACATGTGTACTCTATGTCAATTAATCCACTGACCGACTGATTGCTCGTCGATTCCACTATTCGTAATGATTTGTAAGCGCATCTGCATGATTGAACTTTAAAAAGTGTAGCTATAAAATAATTTTCATACCTTATCAAGGTGTGGTTCCTTGGAAAAAACCAAGGCCGCTTTGACCGACATATACAGCCTTATGCTTTCCGCATATCTATGAACATTTCAAGGTTAAAGGAAATTTAACAAGTAGTTTAGAAATGAATGTAATTCGTGGCATTATTAGTATAGTTTTCAAGGAGAATGTGTGATTAAGACTAGCTTTTGAATACAACATCAACAGTGGCCCAACAACAATGACTGTTCAGCAAAGTTTCTATGCATGAATTAATTAGAAAACGTGGGCGATTAATACTTTGACAACCTTGTTGACATGATGTGGCCGTATGGACTGCGGCTCCCAATAGGTGTATCAAAATCAATCCCGAGAGACTGCCCACTGTCCCTTGGTGGTGGATTCGACCGAGTCTATGCTGGATTGCCCAAAGCGGCTACGGGCTGACTTCAATGTTTCTGCGGCCCTTCCGGTGGCAGTGACGGCCTGATCTTTCTTTGGGGCAATACCCTTGCGGGCCCGAGTGCTGGGCTTCCGATAAGTGGCGATATAGAAAAGGATGAAAAGAACGAGGTATGAGGTGAGAGTTGCACAGCCGGTGACTGCTGCGAACAGCGAACCCTCACAGCGTCCAAGGTGCAGACCGTGAAGTCCCCACTCATCGGCGTAGAAATCCCATGTGGCGAAGTAAACGAATCCTATGGGTGTCAGTAGTGTTGACGACATCGGTGACGACGGTCAACTCACCAAGATCAAGAACAAATTGAGTGATCTGCAGACGAGTAATCCACTCTTTCCACCACACGCGGATACCACGAGCACTTTGGAAGTAGTACCAATACATAACCACATGGACGGTTAAGTTCAGTGTGATCGGAACCCATGATACAGGAGTTTTGCCAACGAGCTGCGTCCAGCACAAAAATGCGGTAGCTCCGTGATGATAGGTATGCAAGAACGCTGCAAACATTTGTCAGTCACGTCCTGGGATCTTTTAACATTGTGTGATTGCCTTACTCAGTGGTTTCTTCTTGAGGACGAGGAAAACGGTGTCCAGCAGCTCCACATATTTGGTAAGATAGTTCAGCTGCTCCTGTGATTAGCAGAGACCACCCGAATTGATTTTAGAAGAACGCACGTAATAGAGAACTACTAGCTGATCGGTCCATCCTGGCTTACTGCAGATGCAATTGTAAAGGCCGTGGTTCCAGAGAGAAGGAACAAGCTGTTCAAGGAACAAGACCAGCAAACCCCCGCTGACAGCAGTCAATACAAAGTTGTGTATTTTGAACAGGGTAGAAAGCTTGTAAGGCTCGCGGTTCTTCATCCACCTCCATCCGGTATAGATTGTGAGGTAATAGAAAGCTATCATAACACCGGTTTCCTTGAAGGTACTCATGGGTGTCTTGCCCTGGACGAATTGAAAATCATTCGCGGGGTAGCCTTTGATCGCAGTCCATGCTTGGTTGAATATCGACCATGGCTTGAGAAGGGCGGGCCCGTACACAGAATCGATGGCTGTAGCCGACATATCGACGGGAGAAGTATGTGCAATAAAATAATAAGAATGGAAGATTGTGTTGAGTCAAATCGTACACCGGAGTTCAAAAAGTCAGCAGGACCTCTTCCTACCAAAGACCTTCAAGCCGTCAGCTTTAGTCTGCACAACGGATCACAGCCAAACAGGACACACAGGCAAGAACAGACAAGGGTGGAAATTGAGACCAAGGCCCACGATATATAAACAAAGGTCAAGACAAGCCAAAAGACATCGAGTGGACAGGGGCATGAGGGATAAGACATCAATTACCGCAAAAAATTCCTTGATGACCCACCTTGGAGGATCTGGAGAGCTGACTGTGCGCACTATCGGTCTGGCATTGGATGCATCTACCGTGGCATCTGGCACAGCTCACGGACAGCGGCGCGAGACAGATAACCTTGCAGGCGAGCACAGCAAGGCCGGGCAGTAGGGCAACCGATGGCTTGGTGGTTTTTCTTTTTTTTCTTTATGACACCTGTGCAATTGCGGGACGAAGAGACGCGAGAGATAGGAGAAAGGAGCGATGAGAGGGTATGCGAAGACCGTCCAGGATGATGCGAATGGAGGAGGAAGAGGAAGAAGAAAGGGAGGTTGATTGTCGACGGATCAATAGCGTGAAGGCGCTCCATGCAGCGCACATGCAGGAAGGTGCTTGGAAGGGAAACTACGCACCCGGAGTAATCGATGAGGAAGGAAGGAAGGCGCCTGCCGAGTCAGCCGTAATGCCTGAATTACGCGGTTACACATGGCGTCATACGCAGTTTGTTTACTTGCTCCTCCGTCCTCAGCCAGTTAGCATTCGTCCTACCGAAGCGAAGCTTGGCGATGCGTACTTTTTTATGCTGCATAATACTATGTAATGCAAGGATGCCATGCACTAGTTGGCTGCTCGTATATGCCGTACCGTAAGTGCGGTACGCAGGTAGCCCATCTGGATCCGGACTAGATAATGCGCACATAGCAAACAACAAATGATAACCATGGGGTAAATGCGTCCTGAATGAATAAATTGGAATCCTCATAGTAAGACACATCTCAAGCCCAGCCGGCGACGGTATGCGCTAGGGCTGAACGAGCTTATCGTTGGCAGTTCCCGATTAGCCAATAACCAGGCGTCAATGCACATGTGGAGACCAGCAACAAGCCTGGTGGGGCTGGCTGGATCTGTAGATCCTCCCTGGTACGTACCAACTAACATGGTAATTCGCGGTAAATGACAGTACGACAATGTCACAGTACGATACAACTGGGCATGGGATGGGAATACACATCATATGCAGAGACGCATCCCCTTTGTCTCTCAAGGTTCTATAGTCTTCTATATGCATCGCTGCCTTGCAGTTGTAGTCTGGACGGATTTGACTTCGGGGGCGCAAGCCAAATGTGATTGTTCCCCTGATATGGAGCACAAGCGAGGTCCTATCGCCGACCTCAAACGGAAAGCCCTGAGTAGATACGACTGCTTCCCTTTCGGTTGGCCCAGAAAAATGAGCCAATCTCCAGATACAGATAACACCCGTGCAGGAGATTGCTCCCACTGCCCCTTTTTGCGCTGTCCACATCATGGAACACGCCTGTCCGGGTGGGCTGAGGCTCCAGCGACATTGAACAGACCAATCCTCGAATATATCTAGTAACTGTGCTGCCCCCTACTCTCTACCTAGACGCAGGTCCTGGGTCTGTGTGCACTGGAACTCGCAAAAGTTGTACTTGCACATTGTCTTTTGTTTTTGTTTCTGCGCAACATGGCGGCCCAGAAAACCGCCAGCGTGGCTCCCTTCCGGCCACGGTTTATGCCGTTGATGCTTACATCTACTCTTGCCGCCGGTGTTGTATCCAGGGTCTCCTCTGTCAGCACCGCTGCTGCACTCATTCTCTTGTATGCCATTGCAATTCCAAGCTATGTCATATACTGGTCTTGGGTCTATCCTTACCATGTCTCTCCACTTCGTCATGTGCCTACTGTGCCAGGAAATCCTCTCTACGGTCAGCTATTCGACATCATTGGCAACGAAGTAGGCGTGTGTCAACGTAATTGGCACAAGCAGTACGGGCCTATTGTCCGCTACTTCTTCCCACTAGGTACCGAACGCCTGTCCATTGCAGACGATGATGCCCTGAAGCAAATGACTGTTAAGAACCCATACAACTACCCCAAGCCCGTTGGTGCACGGAAATGGATGACCCGTATTTTGGGCGAGGGAATCCTTCTAGCCGAGGGCACTTCGCACGTTCACCAGCGCAAAGCTTTAACACCGGGCTTCTCAATCGGTTCTATTCGAACCTTGGCACCTATTTTCTGGCGCAAGTCTTTCCTTATGGCCAAGCTTTGGAACCAAGAGATTGGCTTGTCCAAGGACAAGAAGTCCGGAACTTTTGAGGTCCTAGAGTGGCTTAACCGAACGACACTTGATATCATCAGCGAGGCTGGATTTGGTACCAATGTCAACTCCCTTGAGAATCCGGACACCCCTCTGAGAGAAGCCTATCGCAAGGTATTCGTCTTTGATGGACTTTCACGCCTGATGCATGGCCTACAGACTCTCTTCCCCTTGACCAAGTATATTCCCGCGAAAATGAACCGTGATATGGAAGCCTCGCGCGGTATCATTCTTGGCTCTGCCACGAAAATCATCAAGGATAAGCAAGCCTCGGCCAACCCTGCAGATAAAGACATCCTTTCTCTACTGGTTCGCGATAACCTCAAACTACAAGCCTCCGGTGAAGCTGGTCTTAGCTTTGAGACCATGCGTGACCAGGTTATGACCTTCCTCGGGGCTGGCCACGATACCACCGCTACCGGCGTTACTTGGACTCTTCACCTTCTGTCAAAACATGTCGACATTCAGTCGAAGCTTCGTGACGAAATTCGCCAACACTATCCCTTTCTTTTCGATCCCAATACCATGGAGAACGTCGACACATCCAAGGTCGATCCTGACCACCTTCCATATATGGATAATGTGTGTCGCGAGTCGCTACGTTACATTCCGCCTATCCCCATGACTGTTCGTGAGCTTGTGGAAGACGACAAACTCGGCGAATACATCGTCCCCAAGGGAACAACAGTCCTGGTGTATGCTAATGCCATTAACCGTCTTCCGGAGTATTGGGGTCCCACTGCGGACGAGTTTGATCCTGATCGTTGGGACAACTTACCTGATTCCTACACGACTAATGCCTTCATGACATTCCTCCAAGGACCACGGGGTTGTATCGGACGTAAATTTGCCGAGACCGAAATGAAGATTCTCCTATGTGTGTTGCTCAGCCAGTTCACTTTCGCCCGTGATGAGTCGGTTCAAGACCCGGAGGAACTCAAGATGTGGAGGTTGGTGCTGAGACCACGAGATGGCGTGCAATTAAAGGTTAATAAGCTCTAAAGTGGCGTTCGTGGGCCCTAGCTGTACTTCCTTCATTCTTCTTTCTGTGCGAATAACCACCTGCTTAATAACATAAAAGATGCGAAATTTTCATGTGGAATAAATATCACTGCCATGTATCTATGTGCCTACGTACCTAATTCACTTTTGGATAGATTGTATGCGCCATGTCACCTTGATTTAGTCATGACCGTCGATACCTAGTTAGTTAACTAGGTAGGAAATCACAAATTAAAAGCGTAAGGGTGGCTCAGACCTACGTAATGACAGCGCAAGACTTTCAACTTTATCTATGTTATACACTGTGCCTACCTACAATCTATTCAAACGAGTGCGAACAAAATTTAAGCAAATGACCGAATCTAGGATACAATCGAGTCTATTTATCAATCAAGCAAAGTTTAGCATTTCCTTTATATTAGATAATTACATATAAGGGTCACATGCTAGACCATAAAATTATAAGGCTTGCAAAAAGAAAAAGTGCCAAATTAAAGGGACCGCCTCCCAAATCAACAAGTGCCAAAAAAGGGGAAAAAAAAAAAAAAGACCCGCCAAATGTATCGTAGGTCAAGGGTCTTCATTCACGTCCTGAAAAGCAAGGGGTATCATTTCAATGAGTAAAATTAGACGTGGCAGTGCGATAGATGGGATGGGAAGAATCAGTATTAGAGGTCCCAAAAAGAACGAGAAGAAATTAGACGTAAAGGCAAAGGAACGGAAGCAGTTATAGCACGAGCTTGTATTAGTCGTCCGTCGTCGATGCCCGAAAAATGTAAATGAGCATTCACGAAAGTGACCAAGCATAGGTTTCATTACGCGCTCCTCTTGCGATGGTGGTGCACTTTATATTCTGCCCGAGCGACTCGCATGAATAATTCAATGTCTTTGATGGGTACCCAGCTAGTGAGCACTTTCATGGCATTTTCAAAGTCAGACTCTAGAACAATGTCGCGCATTCCGTCAATCAAAGCGGCAGAGGTAGCGTGTAGAACGTTAAGCTCCTGACCAAATGAGCTGCTTGTCTGTTCAGAATGGGATTTGGAAGTATGTTTGGTGTTCACATTTGATTTCGAAGAAGACGGCTCGGCATCTCCGAGAAGCATAAATACATCCCATACACGTAGTTGTGCTGGGAAAGGTATAGAGTAGTTGAACAGTGTTAAGTACCAGCGGGTGCCATATGATGTGGGCGGAATACCCAATTCATTCTGGCAAAAAAGTTAGTTCATCAAAAGATCATCAAGTTCTTAATAGAGCATTTATGTAGAGTTATAGACTGTAGGGAACAACTTACCAGCTTGCCAGCCACCTCACCGTTGCCTAGCCATTCCTTTTCAAAGTCGCCTAGAGCTTCCATCAAGCCGGAAAACCCTTCCTTATAAAGATGCTGTAATCCACGCAGCATCCAAAGCCGGGCGAGCATGACGAATGCACGTTCTTCATCGTAGTATGCCAAAAGTGTCGCCGCGAGTGCCGCCATGCCCTGCACATATCCTGTTTCTGGGAAATAGAGCGACATAGCATGCAACACTCTGAAGAGAAGCCTCTGTCCACCGCGATACCGCCGACGGAACATGATATGACTATTGATAGTACGTGGTACATCAATGTCAATTTGAACATCATCTGGAGAGGAGATATGCTGATATTCACGGAACGCTCGGATCAATTCTCCGGCCGACGGACTGCCATCCCGTTTTTTGGCACTGGATTCTAAAAAGGCGTACCATGCCGTGGCTCTCCAACTATCCGGGATTCCTTTCCATGTTCGTTCTATGAGTTTTGAACTGCTGGTATCGAACTCAAACGTCATGCCACTTCCATCATGCATCTTTTTGGTTGATTTTGCCATCTTCATCCATTTATCTTCGCGTTCCCATTCTTTCTTCTTCATGGACATTGAAACAGGAATTTCTTCTGTGGTTTCGGGAAGCTCAAATGGCAGTGTTAGCATGTCCCCCGCCTCGTCTCTAATTCGACGGTCTTTGTTATGAGGTAGTCGATTTGTTGCATAACGAAACTTGGATGGCGATCTTTTTAATGAGGGGCTATATGCACTTTGGGACGAACTTGGACGATTGGAAGATTCAGACATTTTGCGGTCACGTGTTGGTGATTTACTGGCTAGCGATCTGCTACTGCTTCGTGCTGTTGCTAGAGACTTTCTGAATGTATTCTTTCGCCGAGGCGATTCAGAAGCAAGAAGCAAGCTCGTCGAAACGCGCTGAATTGATTGTGGCTCCGCAGTATCACCGTTCTTAGGCCGCTGGATGATAAATCCATATCTATCGACGTCACCTGCGTTTACATTCTGCCAGTCCTCAATTCCTCCGGCAAGCTCCTTTGACTCTCGCTTGATGGAACTGTTGACACCAACTGAAACCATGTTTTTGAGGTCTGCAGTGGATCCATTTACGTCCGGAAATTGATCAGTGCTGCCCTCGACTGGGGTTGGCTCTTCCCATAAGATGCCATTATCTTCCGCGATTGACCTGCTAATCTCGGCATCGGTCACGTTATCTTCGCCTTTTTCGTACATCAATCTGACACGGCGCGACAGCATGTCTTCATCAGCAGAAACAGCTCGTGAGGTAATTGTAGAGGGCCTGACACGTAGAAAGCTCGAGTTTCGTTTACGTGGCGATGAAGTGGCAACGGAATCAGTGGTTGTAGCAGATTCGGCCGCCGCGGAGTTTTTGTCCTTGATCACGCTGTCGCGTTTAGAGAACTCCATAGACTCGAGAGTCAAATCTTGAAAGTTTGTAGTCGGAATGTTCATGGTAATTCCCTGGAAAGAAGCCTCGTCTGAGCTGCCGGGCGCCGGCGAAGTTCGCGCTCGCACCGACTCGGTTGATTTGCGACCTTTGAGAACCCCCCATCTCCGTTCAGACCATCGTGAGCTGGGACGAGAAGACGCGTCATCGACTTTGATACTCGGAATACTCGTAGGTGATCTTATACTACGCTGCTCCTCAGCGCCAATGACTTTGTTAATTCGATCCGACTGTAACGGCGCGTGATCCTTCGATTCATGGCCGTTGATAGGCTTTGTAGAGTCACCATAAAGCTCTAAATTCGACACATTATGGTCCACCTGGGCTTCGTCGCCGTGCAAACTTGCTTCCGGGGGTATGGACGCGGACACAGACTTTGTAGGAAGGGGTGCGGTGGATGTGACAGTTTCTTCGAATGCTATCGCGTGAACTGGAGGGACAGGCTCCGGCATCTTGTATACGTATAGAACTTCACAAGGCGGAAAGAGACCTCATGTGCATGATCCGCCAGACTAAAACATTGGCTCTCAATGGCTCGGTGGAGGGTTGATACCACGAAAGATCAGCCAATTGGCAAGCCGACAGAAATCCTGCAAAAAATGTAATCCAGTTGGTAGTTGTCACGAGAAGAATACAAGCCAGAACAAAAGACCCCAAACAGAAGTCTCAATGAGCAGCAGTCGAGAGCCAGTATAAGATTTCCGCCGTCAAGCACAGATACTATATTCAGACGCCGCGGTAGCTCGACAAATTGTGCAATTGCGACTAACTGCGGCCAAGCCTCCCGGATTGAACGACGGACGGGTAGCGACAGATGTGGGCGCAGCTTTCGCACAGAGATCAGGGGCGAGTTTACGCGGAAATTGAAGCCTGCGCTTCAAGAAAAAAGACGGGAAAAGCGAGAGAGATGGCAGTCTCGCATGGTTGAGACTTGAAAGGGGCGAACAACGCCAAGCCGTGGCCCCACTAGGGGGCAGCGACCAATCAAGAGCCTGTCCTGGCTCCTCTACGTAGTCGCTATGCGTAATGGCTCTAGAACTGTGCTAACTATATGCTAGTTATGTTATGATTATCATTGTAAGTCGGACTGGCATGGAGGTAGGTGAGGTCTTTTCTGTTTGCATGCCTGAGTCGCCAGGTGGCTTACCACCTAGGCATGTTTCTCACTGGAGAGCGTCACGGATGATAAATATTGATCGGAACTTTTCTTCCTGGCATATATTCATCTGAGCACACAAAGCTGCCCAAGCGCACTGAAATTCAAACCAAAGCCTTATATATGTTCAAAGGCTTCCGGTACGAAGGACACGTACTTGAAAGTATAGGTACCCACACATTTCTTTCTACAGGATGATGACAATGGGATAAGGTGGAACAACGCCGACGAATGTCTTCAAGAACAAACAGCTCCTGGAACGCCGAAAATACACAAGCGCTTTAGAAACAATGCGGGCTTCACAAAATACAGGCTGCTGGAACGACCAGCAGCAGGAGGAGTGCATCTATTTTAAATCGTCATGTCGTTAAGTATTTCGTGTCTTGCAGATAACCAATAAGCCATAGATGGGAGAGTGGTCTTCCAAATAGGTGACAGAAAACTTCGTTTCTCAAGCTACTGCTGCGTTCACACTGGGTCGCGATGTAGGCGCATAGCTAGGCTCAATTGGTTCACTGGGGAGAAGCTCGATTTGGCGGACAAGAAAGGCCTTCTCATCCGTAAACTGGTCGTCATCCGTGCGATCCTCCAGGAATTTTGGCAAAAACTTAAGAAGCCGGTCCCGGTTATTTATAAGTATTCTTTGCACTGCCACTGATTTGTTCGGATTGGCAACAAAGACCTGCGCGACATTGTTAACGTCAGTCCAACTGCGGTCGTCAATAGTAAATGAAACCATGACGACAGACCTTGAAGACGTGAAACCCCTCATATTGCACCATCTTTCGGTCATCCCGAAGGAGGTTCATGCAAGCCTTGAGGTGATCACCGCTATCAACATACGCTGTCATGACATTATAATTGGTGCGATCAAGAAGGATCTCCCCCAGTAATTTTATGCTTTGTCGCTTTGTCACATAGGAATCTGATTGAATGAGCACTTTGTGGTATTTGCCAAAGAAGAGGCTATAATTGGCGGATAAATAGGAGGCAACCAATGTTTTGTGGCGCGTTAAAAGGTCCTTCAAAGGTTGGCCGCACGGTTAGCTCGGAAATGGTATCCTTGTACCACCGGATACAGGCGGGGATGGACACATGCTTACTCTGAATATAGTAAATGCATCGGCGCTCACTTCAAAGCTACCCTTGTCAATCCATTCAAAAAACTTCCAGAAAATGCCATCCCCCGTCTGAGGTTGCTCGGCGTTGATGTCGTTAAGCCGAACCGCGCGTTCATGTTCATTGGACTGATCATATAGAATAAGAGCTGCAATTACGTCGAATTTCACGGCCTCTTTTAGAATTGAAGCGCATGACAATGCACTTTGCGGGTCCTCAAAGCCCCGGCAGAGCTCGATGATAACCTCCGGGCGTTGATGCACAATATAATCGATTGCTGGTGGGTCTCCAGGCCCATTGGTCGGCTTGTAACGTAGAATATGTGTGACGATAGTTTGTGTATCCTTGCGCGCTTCAAACGGTAGGTTTCGTATGCTATGGGCCAATTCGAACAGAAGATCTTCCCGTATTACCGAATCAAAGAGAGACCGTACAAGAGCGGGGGCACTGTCCATTTCTGCAAAGTATCAGCAGCGAGTTGAGAGATAATCGTTGCGCTGACTTACCGGGTGTCCCTTGTGTAATCAGTTTCATTTGAGCAAGTTGCTTGGAAATGTCGTCTTCTAGCTGTTGTCTCACATCTCAGTCTTTCCATGCTAACAAACACCGACATGCTCTATTACACACCTTGGGTGAATCGGGCAACTCCCATAACTTTGACAGGAGGTCTCTCGTGGCCTTGGCCAAATCGGACGGCGAGCGCGGCCGAGCGCTGCGATTGAAGAGGAAAGCCATGGCAGGACTGTGTGTCTTTGGAAGGTTTGAGATGAAATAAATGCAGACAAAGGAGCGTCTCCAGAAAGCTAGGACAAGCCGCTCGTTGCGATAAAGACAAAGGGCGAATGCATGCAGTCACCTCAGTAAACAAGCAGACGAAAGGTAGAGAGCGAGTCCTTAACGGGCAGTTTGACAACAAGCTTGCAGGCGGTGAGCGAGGCGGGGTCGCTTGTCGTCCCGGCCGTCGCTGGGCCAAACCGCGGACTGTCAACATCCACCACCAAACGCTCAAATGAACCCTGACTGGATCCTGATGCGCTAGCCTGGTTTTTTTCTAATACTGAAGCGGGGCTTGTCTATTTGTGGGCACAGGATCTATGAAATTGATTTTTTTCTTTGCTATTTTTTTGATCCGTTGATTTTGCACGGCGTGCGGCAAAGGGGTTTTTTTTTTTGAAAATTCGCCAGTGCTCTTTTGGCAGAAAATCCATATTCCTACTAAGGAGACTGGAAGCGCGAGATTGCGCAATTTTCCACATGTCGGCCTCTGTGCAAGATGCTCGCCGGGAGGTTGGCGATGAATATTCAGATAGCGACTCCGCGGCGTCTGATATCCTGAACCCTGCCAATGACGACGAGGGGTGGGAAGATGTTGAGCCGGAAGAAGAGACTCAAGCAGTCGTGGGGTTGTTTAGTGCAGATGTCTACCCAGATGTGCGCACTATGCTGAAAGATACCAGGGAAAGGTACAATTTTGACCTTGTTAAGGTGCAGAAAGACCTCGGTGTGTTATCATTCACTGTGTAGTTCCATGTCCATGTCGCACGGGCAGTTCGCTTTGTGTCTTCTTAGCCTCATCCTTTTTTTTTTCCTTTGGCTTGTTTATCCGTGTCTACGAAGATAAGACTGCTAACTGTGATTAGATCTCGACTTTTTAGGGACTGTTCGACTAGTCAACTATCTACGATCTGAGATCAAGCAAGGCAATAATAACCCCGATGTCAGCTCCCAGGATCGATTTGGAGATGACACCTACCTTAAGCCGGTTCTTGACGATGACGCTCTCCTCTATAGCCTGGACGATCTTACAGACGAATCGGAAGGCGCAAACGCTGATCAAAGCAGTGAAAAACGGATTTTGGAACTCCAGGAAGAGTTAGAAACACTAAGGCACCAGTTCTCAGAATATCGATTAGCAGTGCAGAAGTCAATGAGCGAACAATTGCATGGGGTCGAGCACTCAATCGACGGAAGTCTGACTGGGCCTGGCGTACATGGAAAGGGAAAAATCGAACAAGCCGACGCTGACTACTTCACTTCCTACTCTTTCAACGGTTAGTTGGACCAATCTCGTTCGTCCCAGAGCTCTAAACAGAAGTATTGACGAATGATTATCTAGCAATCCACGAGACGATGCTTAAGGACTCGGTGCGCACCGATGCTTACCGTGACTTTATTTATGACAACAAGGGCCTTTTCAAAGACAAGGTGGTCCTCGATGTAGGATGTGGGACCGGAATTCTGTCCATGTTTTGCGCGAAAGCGGGAGCAAAGATGGTTATCGCCGTCGATAACTCCAATGTGATCCAGAAGGCTCGGGAAAATGTCTACAAAAATGGATTTGAAAACGTCATAACGTATGTGTTGGAGAGCTCCATATGTCTTTAGCCGACACAAACTGACCTTCTTTGCAGATGTGTTCGTGGAAAAATCGAAGAAGTCAGCTTGCCAGTGCCCCAAGTCGACATCATTGTATCGGAATGGATGGGCTATGCATTGCTCTTTGAGGCCATGTTGGACTCTGTTATATGGGCTAGAGACCACTACCTGAAACCAGATGGGCTTATGGTTCCGTCGCATACCACTTTGCGCATTGCCCCTTATGTTGATTGTGACTTCGTGGACTCCCATGTGACTTTCTGGAAATCCGTCTACGGCTTTGAGATGTCGAGCATGCTCGCTAACATTCACGATGAGGCAATTGTTACCACCACGAGCCCCGACAGCGTTGTTGGTTCATCGGCCCTCTTTTTGCCCCTACCTCTACATACGATAACCGTTCAGGAGCTCACGTTCTTGAGGGATTTTGAGGTGACACTTACACAAGACATTCCGGGCCTTGACGGTTTCAACATATGGTTTGATACATTTTTCATGCCTTCGCCCACATTCAAATTCAACAATGAGGCTCTCCCCTCCGATATGAAGAAGGAAGGACTGGTGGCATTCACCACTGGACCGTTCGGGAAGGAGACACACTGGCAGCAGTGTGTTCTCCTTGTGAACCATGGAGAAAAGGGTGCTGTTCCATTGAAAAAGGGACAGGTCATCAAAGGTAGTGTTGGGTACCAGAAGAAAGAGGAAGGTTCGCGCGCATTGGATATTGAAGTTCGCTGGGAACTTGATGGAAGCCAAAAAGCGCAAACCTGGTCTCTGCAATGAAAATTTGCCGTGTAAATCGCTATATCGATGGCGTTGGGAGTGGGTATGGATAAGAAAAATGATGAATAGAATTTTTGTTGCCTGAATTAGTTACCCTTTTTATTAGATCTCTCAAGACGCAGTAAAAGTAAAGGCTTGTGAGGTAATATTAACTATCCGGTGGGTGACTTAATTCTAAGGCTCGAAGGCACCCTACCCTTTTCTCACCGCTTCATCCGGTTTGCCGTTGTCATTGGTCAGAAATGTCCAGGAGACACTTCGACAATCGCGTCATATCGCTGCTGCTTCATTTTCGAATAATTTCCTCGTCTTCGTCTTACCTCCTTCAGCACAGGATGCCTTTGTAAGTAATCCATCTCAAATGAGTTGTAGAAGTTGCTTACGCTAAGAAAATAGACACCTTCTCGGTAAAAAGTCATGGAACGTTTACAATCCAGACAATGTAGCGCGCGTCCGTCGCGACGAGGCGCGGGCCAAGGCACAAGAGGAGGAGGAAGAAAGACGCATGCAAGAGGTTGATGCCGAGAACAGGATAAAATTACTCCGTGGCGAACGCCCATCAAATCCTTTACTGCCACCTGCCCTTGACAAAAGTGTTGATCAGCGCACCGAATCGTACAGACAATCGGACGCGGATCTTGACAAAAGCAGGCATAGAAAGCGGCGGCGACTTGCTGGTGAGAATGATACGGATCGAGACATAAGGTTCGCGAAAGAAGACGCCGATTCATACAATGCGAAACGTGACGAGTTGCTTTCCTCTCACAGGAAAGATGCGGAACGAGACGAGCACGTCTCAATCACGGATAGTGCAGGTCACATTAATCTTTTCACCGAGGATATGACTCGAAATAAACGAGCGGAAAAGAACGTGGAAGCTGAAGCAGAGAAGTTAAAGAAGAAACGTGCCCTTGAAGACCAGTATACCATGCGCTTTTCGAATGCAGCCGGGTTCAAAGAGTCTGCTGGTCAAACCCCGTGGTATTCGTCAAGGTCTAGCAATGCTAGAGAAATATCAGATACAATGCCAACCACCGATGTTTGGGGAAATGAAGATCTCATGAGGAAAGAAAGGGAACGGGCCCGTATGAATTCAAATGATCCGCTAGCAGCAATGAAAGCTGGTGTTCGAGGGCTAAAAAACGCGCAACGAGAACGGAAAGAATGGCAGCAGCAAAGGCTACGTGAGCTAGATGATTTGAGAAGGACAGAAAGATCCGAGCATAAGCGGAGGCGGCGACGAAGGTCTAGTTCTCAAAATTCGTCCGCTAGTCTCGAAGACTTCTCCCTCGATGGTAGTAGTAGAAAGCATGACAATAACACTCATGAGGAAATCAGGCGGCATTCTCGGCATCGGCACCGGCGACGGCATCACCGTAGCTGAGCTGCATGGGCAACAATATCGGGTTTGTACATATCGGTAGTAAGGAACGAGTCACTCATACTCGTTCTTCAGATTCGAATAGGTTTGAAATAGTAAATCAATACCGCTCAGTTCATGGCTGTCTAGGCATGAAGGAATACTATTTCTATAGCAGCTTAGTTGCTGAACCATGCCTCACGCAAAGAGACTAAGACGATCCCGAAAGAACGTGCAATGGAGAGGTATCCCGCTTCCCATGGATGTCTTAGTCCGATTAAGGTGACGGAACACTACTACGTAGGTAGTAGCGATGTTCGTGCCACTTAGATCTTGTATGTAGTCCACAATAGGGGATAACAGATACTAAAGCCGTGTGGCTCTTTCGAAAGCTCATCACGAAGCATGGTACTCATTCCATTTCAGAATTGTGCTTTTTCTGTTTTCTGGTTCTCCTGTTAAAACGTCTGTCGGAGCGTGAAAAGTTTCCGCATCTAGTAATTTCGCGCTTCAGACAACGGTGGAAAGCAATGTTCATTACCAAGCATGCAACCTTTAAACTATTAAGGTTTTTCCTCACCAGGATAAGATTCTAAATTAATCATCGAAGGAAATTGAAAATCGTAGTAACCAATTCATATGTTTTCATTGTGATACGTCATGATTTATCCTAGCGCTAATCGACTCTTGTTAATCTAAGTCGTCAAAAGGGATGAGATGTAACAAGGACATACAAGAGACCTAGAACTTATAGCTATTGGCTATTCTAGTATGTGACCGACAGGTTGATATCCATGCGCTGTGACATGACAGGAATGTGATGAGACAAGGGGTTCAAATGTCTAGCGGCTATCACGACGCTATGATCTCCTGGATGGCCGGGTATCAAGAGCCAATTTCAAGAATGATAGTATAGAGATCAGATTTTCAGATTTAGTTTGTTTGCCTCTGGAGGTTTATCGGGTCATAAGCTCAACGAAAACAAACAGAGGGCGCAGGAACTCGTCCAGAGCACTATTGCGACTTGAACTTGATGATCTTTTTCGAGAGAGATCATTCCCTACCTGGAGCTGATAGTGACTGCTGTAAGTAGTCAGTAAGTTGAACTAGATAATGGTTTGTAAAGATTGAAAAGGCATGACTTGCCTACGCCAAATAGTTCATAGGATGGTTGAAAAGAGATTACGGTCGTGAATATTGGCATGGAAAGGGTGTTTGGAAAGAGGAGGGGAAGTGGAACGCCCCTCAATACATGCATGAATCATGGGCGTCATATAGGTATGAGCTTGTGCGTGACTAGCTCATTAGTCATTCAAGTAAGAAATTGACTAGATAATTACTAATTAGGACTATGTGCTTAGGAAAACCTCAAGCTTACGAGATAATTGAGCGCTTCAGCGAAAGCAAAGCCCTAACACTGACCTAGTGGGACGTTACCGCCTTGAGGGGCTATGAGGCAATACCAAAAGACCAGTTACGTTGCGTATGGTATTATAGTATCTGACCGTAAAGAAAATATACATGATATAAGACAGATTCGCGGCCCAAGAACAGCCATACTCCGTATAACCATAACCATAGCTAACCGTGAAAACCCTTGGTGAGGCCACACGAAGAAAACAGGGAAATTACAATAGCATATACCATCAGAAACGAAACCTGCAACAGGAAACAGAAACAATCATACAAGCCTACCCGAACAGGAAACTGTCATGGTCCTCTTTTTAACCCAAAATCGTAAAATTTCATTAGCGTCGTTTCATTAGTTGTCACGACACCAAGTATCGTGGCGTCGTCGGAGTCGCCCTCGCCAGACGGATCAATAGTTGTCATCGAAGGCGTACTTGCTGGATGCACGGCGGTACTCCTCAGGGTGTGCTTTCTCCGCCTTGGCCTTTAGGGCACTAATCAGAATCTTGTGTTAGCTGCGCAATCTGGTCCAAGTCGGCCCAATCCGTCGTAAAATTTTCGCCCAATCACCCCCCAGCGCGCTCCTGGCGTTTGCATGCAGCGCGCGCCAAGAAACTGCAACAGAGCGGAATGTTCGCTCCGCCGCCCCGCGGAGCGGAGCGGAATGCACCCTGGGGAAGGGGTGACGCCATGCCTGTGACAGCTGCTGCATAACGAAAAGCTGAAACTCACCTCACGCGTTTCTGAGTCCATTCAAGGTCTCGCTTCGTCTCCTTTGCAGCTTTCAACCCGTCGTTGAAGTTGGCGCGCACTCCTTTTAAGCGACGCTGGGCAAGCGCCTGGAGTTCGAGTAATTCTTGTTGTTTCGCATTCAGATTGCCCGAACTATTCGGCATCATCGTCAGCGCTTTACATTCGAACACCAAGGATTGTTGCTTTACACAAGCGACGCGGCAGCTTCGGAATATCGCTGCCAACTCGCAGCTCTCAGAAACTTACGTTTGCGCCTGCATGGCCAGCCCCCGATCAAGCGGTATCGGATCGAATGAATCGTGCACACGGTCGTTTAGCATGTCGACAACGTCAACACCGGACATTGTGCTGGAATCATAATCGCCGCTGATGCTGCCAGCGTAGCTGCTGGCATTGGCACTATAGCCGGTCGTGCGGCTGCCAGCGGTGGTGCTGCTATCTGAAAAATCCGTCGGCGGAACAGCCACTCGACCAACTGGGTAGAGGCTTGGAGCCGATGGTGCCTTTGAAGGCACGTTAATAGCCATGCTTGGCTGATAATATTGATGGGTAGCCATAATGAGTTGACGGGGAGATCTCGAATTGAGCGTAAGCAACAAAATCAAAGCAGGGCAATATGCTTGAGTCAATTCGGGCCGGCGTCTATGACGAGGAAATTGATGACGACGTCAAGGTAACCAAGAGATGTTCCTTGAAAACAGGAGGGAGGTGTAAAGGGGTTATGGTATCAAGCAAACGTGAGACAAGTCTTCGTTCGAAGAGAAAGAGGTTGTTAAAAAGGAAGACGGAGTGATAGGAAAAGAAGAAGGAGGACCCGGAGGATAAGAGGAAAAGAGCTAGGCTTTTATACCCATGGTCGGAGAGTCTTCTTTCCGAAGACAAGGGCGAAACCGGCGTGCAATGGTCCATGAGAAGAGGAGAGGGGTGTGCATGGGAGGAGGGGAGAGATAACAGGCTGAGGACTACCGCGATGAACCCCAGGGAGGCACTTTGGACCTTCCGCCATCCCAATTATCCCTCAAAATCCTCCTCAAATTAGTCTATCAGCCAATTCGCTTCTCTCCTCGCCCCCCGACCCCGCTCCGAGTCGGGATTATGGAAAGGAAAATTCAAGCCATGTGTGCTTTCATTTGCTATAGACCCCCACCAAAGCCCCATCCCGCCGGTCTAGCCATCGAAATTGATCCTCTCAGAGGCCGGTAAAAGTAGCGAGGAGGTTGGATGGTTGGTACTAGTATGTTTCCGCCGGCGTTTTCTCCCGCCCGCTGCCTTGGCTTGTGTTCAATTGGACAACAGGTTGTGCTATCAGAGATTTCGCTGGGCCCATAGCGGAATTTGGCGGAGATAGCTACCCAAAATCTCTAGGATGCCTAAGGAAGTAGAGGGGGGCAAAAGAGGGGAAACATTTTTAGGGCATGGCGTGATGTGAGTATAAAAGAAAAGGGGTTGGACGTCCTAAGTTGCTCCAGAGAAGCTCTCGGACTTTCGGGGCCACATTGTGTTCGGATTTTGTGCAATATACTGCACAAAGTCATATTGCCAGAAATATCCAAGATCTTGCGGACATTGGCGACATGAGATTCAGAATGGACATACAAGGATGTGAGAAATATGGATTACAGGTTATCGGCTGTGTTCGCAGGGGTACGTATGTATTTCTTTTTTTGTTTTGGCCGTCTGCGTCCGTGAGCAAGTTAGGACTCTTTCTAACAAGCCAACAGATGACATGAGATCGAATAAGTGCGTCATTTCCACTAGTACTTTTTTCTTGGTACTTTCTTTGGTGCCTATTGTTGTGTGTTGTGAAATGACAAAGCGCAGCATCAGGCCCAAAGGCCTCCGTTCGCCTAGTGAGAACAAAGTCAGAATCAGGCCAGAAGGAGGAGCCGAGGAACATGGCCTGGCTAAAGGATTTACACTGCGGGACAGGCTGCGGAACGCCGCTGCATCAGCAGCCCCAAGACACAGGCATGCTCTACGATGGGAGGCTCTTTATCGAATTCTGTTGCGGAAAATGGTTGATTCTGCTTGCCCAACGGGAGGCATTTCGTATTATTTGTTCTACGGTTACGTCAGCTTTCCGCAGATAAGCGTCGGGGCTCTTGCAGAATCTTTTGCTGCCAAAACAACGGTACTTGACGGACGGCAACCGCCGTGACGGCTGACAGCATCAGAGGCGTCACAAACGCTCTAGGCGCGTTCAGTCAAGCACAGCAGATTGGATGGCTCAAAGGTATTGCCACCTGTCTTCTGCGTTATTGGTTGGTGGTGCATTAGGGAGCATTGAAGCAGCAAAGTTTTCTGCAAGGACATGAATGGTGCCCGAAAGATGCACGCGTACTTGGCATTGGCTGAGGCTTCGACCTACGTTAACTTATTAAGTTACATTTACTATACTCCGAGCCTGACGTGCTGCCTGAAGATTTTCACTGGCATTATGGTGTTAGAATCGCGTCGGGCAGGCCGAGGTTGGATGGCATGTCTAAGGTGTTGCAAACAACTCCAAATATCGGGCGAAAGACCGTGAATACAAGAGTCGACGATCTAGCACAACTCTACCCATATATCTGCGGCTGTGATTCAGAATTCGATGATCCCAGGCATGTGCTCTGCTGGGGCGCGAATAATCATCGCTGGCATATCATTCGGCAACGAATTGAAATTTCACCTACCACTCCTTCTACCCGCAGCAGCATCAAAAATCCCCAATAATTCAATTGGATCAAATATCCGTCCCAGAATCAAGGAACAACTGTGAGTTATCAAGGCTGTCTCCGGAGTTCTACTGTTTCATAATTTCATGATGGCAAGGCATGTTTGCGAAAACTAAAACTATCAGACTGGTTGGTTATGAGCAAACACCCGAAGGCGAACGGACATTTGAAATAGAATCAATTTACAATCTAGCTACAAAGCTATGCGTGATTTTATTCTATTTTACAATTCATATCCTCCACAAGATCCTGACTGCGGAACCTTTGCCTTCAGTGGATCAGTGAAGCTAGACCCGCTTGCTCGTGCTTCCGCCAACTCATCCCGATGCTACTGCTGCTTGCTGCATGTATGATTTGGCGAAACCAGGCACAACCTATCAGCGTCTTGCAGCCAAGGCGTATTATTGCAGCCTTATTTGCCCAGAGCCTGTAATAAAAAGCCGCCATACTCAGCAATTTGGGGTATTTCATCTTCTGTTCACCTTTCTGATGTTTCATCCCAAACGATTTCGCCTGGTCAACGCCATGTCACAGACTCGTGGGTCGCATAAAGTGCAGACATGCTCAAAAATATGCATGACTCATTTCCTGCTGACTGATTTATATGAAGTACAGAAACAAAAACTCAAAAGGCTAGGAACCGTGTCCTCGGGACAGGGTTGATGCCGGTAACGTAAATATGGATTGAACAACGCATGCTCACATATTATTTCTTTTCACACTAGAGCCATTTCTGCATGAAAAAGGTCGCATTGGGTGCCAAGACTTCTACGGTACTCGTTCCATTCATCTCTTCCTTATGTTTATCCTTTCCTTTCTGGGGATAATCCCTGATTCAGGGAGTATATATACTCCCTTTGATGACGGAGCGGTTGTTACATATTACCATGCAATCTTGGAAACGATTTAGCCATATTGATTTCATATTATAATTGCCAATAACACGTACGGGCAGTTACAGCTAAACAAAACACCCCTCCTGGTGCCACGTCCACCGAACCCCCACCATACACACCACGGCATATCCAAGATGGTAAACCAATCTTTCTTGCCTTAAATGACCTAATGTAGAATTCGCTTTCTCCCAAGACAGATATCGTTGCAGGTATACTAGAAGTAAGCTTTTCCGTCGAGGCTTATTTGGCCAGAGTATATGGACAGGCAGGCTATAACAACTGTCGTACATGTAGGATTACAGTGCGTAGACACGAAGCTGGTACCTAAAAGCAACCTAGATGTACTAGAACCCAATAGTCCAATCATCGGGCCTTTTCTATTGGGCTTAGTATTGAATTGGGGCAACGGAACTTAAACTTTTCTTCACCGCTAAATGGATTTTCTCTACCAACACCTCTCTTGTGGCTAGATAAGCTATAAAGTCATCAATTTTTTATATTTAAACTTGTACTAAGCATGACAGTAGACTATCAACCCTGATGAGTTCTTGGCTAAGTTCTGATTATAAAGTGATGGGCTGGAGACATTGATCATTGACGCTGTGCCTTAGTATACATTTTATTATCATCTTGAAGTATCTACGAGCCTTGACTTGAGCATTAAAAACAAATCAATTTGTTAGCATTTATATTGCTCAAGATCGTTGTACTTACTAAAGTCCTTCGTTATTTTCACCCTAATACGACCTACCATACACGATTAGGGCTATGTTGACATCTTCGTTAGCATATTAGGTGCCTTGCTTGCTATTATGTAAGCTCGATTTCATTGAGAATTGAGAACTCGCTAGTATATTGCAAATAAGGAAAAGTCTTATTGCTGGAAATTACTTCGGATGAAATTCTGGGCGTAGTTAAGTACGAGATTAGGGCTATGTGAAGACAAGGGAAACCATCGCCCTAGCTTGGGGACTAGATAATTTCATCTATGAAAAGCCAATTTACTACGGTTCCTATTCCGAGACCGACTATTCTACATGACATTTGTTAAAGAATGATTGAAGCCATATATCGATGTCACATGGAAATATAGGGAGATCATTCTAGAATTCCTCTCAGTACCTAGATAGCATTGTCAGCATTACGTCCAAAGTAACATAGATACATATTAACAAAACGGTTGGAGTATTTATATCAGTTAATAAACAATTACTAGAGAACCGCCGATATCAGAATGTTCTTGACAGGACGGGGGGAATGGGAATATATCACTTCTTTCTATCAAAAAAGCGTACCTAGGTGCGTCATTGACTGGACATGGATAGGTAAAAAAATTATATTATGTTCTTTGCTTATTACTGGTTATTTAATAATCTCGCATAAATAAATATTTTCATCATCATCACGATATAGTCATAGTTCCGTTTCAAACCATTCGAGATAACTCGTGGAACATCAATTTCAAATTCCATCCACATTGAAAGCCAATTCATATCATTTATTATTCATTGCAAGACGTATCTCAAAATCAAGACGATTTTGAAATTATTGTTCTTTTTTTCTTTTTGGAAAGGGTATGACCCCATGATTACTCATGATTTTAGCAAACCGTGATAAAGAGACCGATACTGTTTCATAGTTAGTAAGCGTATTCACAAAAATAGAGAAGAGCAAGGAGTAGGCAAAAACATACGGTGAAGGATTCCAGTCCTCGAAGTAAGTCAGGTTGGTAGAACCAGCGTTCTTCAATTCGTAGGCCACGCGGTCACCGGCAGGGCAATCAAAAGTGGAAATGACATAAGAATTGCCCGGAGCAACTGTGAACACTCCATAGTCCTGTGCTACAGAAGGAGCATTGTTGTAGGTTGTAGATTGAGTGGCAGGAGAGCTCAGCTCGGCGAAGTCAATCTTGCCATCACCGCTGAAGGTGAAAGAAGAAGTTTCAAGGTCTTGCTGTTCGGGGAAAAGAAAAACGAGAGAGCAGGTCTTTCCGGAGTCGGAAGCTGGGATATCGAAATCGAAGATAGTTGACACAGTGGAGCTTATTTCCCCATTGTATTGGGTACCAGCAGCGGTGTTTGGAGAAGAAGAGTCAATGGGGATAATGAGGTGAGGGTACTCATAGCTACCCGACACTAGGCTAGTGCCGCATGTTGTAGCGCTGCTGGTTGGGGTGGCAGTTTTAGTAGATGTTGGAGTGGTGCTGCTTGTAGTCTCCGGAACCGGGGTGGACGATGTCAGAGGGGTACTGCTCTCAACCACGGAGGACGAAGTCTCGGGTACCGGGGTAGAAGATGTCAGAGTAGTACTGGTTTCAACTGAGGTAGATGTTAGAGTAGTGCTAGTCTCAACTGCGGAAGACGTAGTCACAGGCACCGGGGTGGCTGAAGTGGTTGGCTGGACTAGTGTAGTGCTGTAAGAGGCAACACAGACAGTGTCCGTGACAGTAACCACCACAACAGAGGGGCTTTTAGACGAGACTGGTACTGGAGTTGCTGATGATGATGTGGTTGGGGCTACGGACGAGGAGGTAGGGGCTGCGCATTTGTCGGCCTCAAGAGTTACATCGACACAACCGGACACATCGGCACTAGGAGGATTGGTGTAGATGTTCAATTCGCCGTTGTCCCCAGTCTGGCAGGCCACAAAAGTGGTGTTTCCATTGTAGGCAAGATCACCAGAGCCGGTGACGGAGAATCCGGAGGTGCCAGTGGCCCCTTCATCACATTGCCATTGGGTGGTAGGAGCTTTATGAAAATCAAGTGTTAGCCCCTCAGTCAACATTCTCATACTATCTATTCAAAGTGTTAAGAGAGGGTACTCACGTGTGAGGATGCACCCACGACCATTGCTGTCGGTGATGATGCCGCTGGAGCTGATGCAGTAGGTGGCTGGAGGCAAACCACCACCGATCCGGTTCTGACCATCACTCAACTGACCGAGAGTACCAGAAGCACCGCCGGAAGCAGTCAGTTCAAAACAACAACTGTCAGACCGGATGGCTAGGGCATTTGCACCTGCAGCGAATGCCGCGAGAGTAGCGAAGGACTTCATTGCTCCAGGGATGTGTGTCGAAAAGGTTATTGCGCAAGAAATATAATTGATAACGACAGTAAGGGCCCGAAGATCTCTTGCCTAGCTGCACGGGGAGCTGAACGTCTTTGTATTTATAACTAAGAGTGGGAATTGGGCAACGTCATGCATCGTTAGCCGGGAAGCAAGTTCAAGACCATGCTTCTGGAAAACGGACCCAGGGTACCAAGTAGGGCTTGCCCAGAGAGCAGAGCCGAGCAAGCCGACAAGGCCAGCATAGAAGACGAACCAGGAAATAGGAAAACTATACACGTCATGTTAGAGGCTTTCCTGCGGAGAAGCTGACGGAAGATGCTCCATTGAGAGGATCGTACGGCCCACTCGCTCAATCAGGCTCGAAGGAACGGTCGTATTTGTCTTGGTCTTCGCATCTCTCTTTCGCCCTTTCCATCGTACCTGGTCTGATAGCTGCAGAGCAGTGAGACAAAGGATGAGACAGCCCTTGTCTAGCTGCATTGATGTCTTGGTTGAGTCTTGACTTATCGATAACGTGGATCACTGGATATTCACCCCGGGATTCTCGAGCAATCCGGGCTCTGCTAGCTAGCCAATCAGCGCCTGGTATTGTCGCGCTATGATGTATGTGGAAGGAACTGCAGCCAACCATAGTGCTTGTTAGCACATAATTGGGACTAGAGTGGGTCTAGGCCCATTTTTGTCTGATCAAGATCCACTGTTGCTTACTTGCCCGATGAGAATGTTTCACTCTGCATGCGTTGATTGGCTACCAGACCCATCTCAGGAACTCTTCGGGTATCGCCAGCCAATTGAAAGCATCGACACTTTAGCAATAAACAAACAAACAAACACACACACACACACACACACACACACATGTGCACGTAAATACTAAATAGAATATGGATTGAAGACAGTGGACCACAGTTGGATTGGACAGTATTATTTTCGCCTCATTGACCCAAGGTTATGCCTTATGCTTTCTATTGTCTAATGATGCTGTCCTGTTCCCAGAATAGTAACGAAAACGGGCCTTACCCGGCCAAGTGGACCAATGACGACACATTCACTATACATAAAAGGCAGTCAATCACCATGATCTTGACTATCGTCATCCGCGGACAGTTTTTCAGTTTCTGTTAGTCACAGTTGATAGTGATGACCATTGGCAACATCACTCAATAACGGTTCTTGTTGCTCACCTTTGTCACCTGGTGCCAAGTTGTTGGGCTCGCAGGATTCATGCTACAAGTGCTTACATGCTACTGGCCTATTGCTATTAGCTACATGGAACTATTGAGTTGACTTTATAATAATATGACGAAGGCGACCATTGAAACTGTAAGAATAGAATTGTCCAATTTTTGTGTTCCAAATAAAAGAATGTGAACGTTATTGTGAAGGACATCAAACGAGTTCCAGCTTGATATGTCGAGGTACAAGCGATTGTAATCCTTCTGAGGAGTACCTAGTTAAAGTACACACTGGTGGAAACAAGCAAATATATGTAAATAGAGGAGTAGAGGCCTGAAAATTTTTTTTTTTTTTTTTTGAAAAAATAACGATCCACTTCCACTGTCTGCTATTGTTTACCCTGTCAACTAAAGTTGGCTTCCAAGGTTACATGGGTTATCCTATTAATCCACGTCTGTAAAGAATAGCACATCGGCGCATCCACTTGACGAGTGGGTACAGCAATTCGATCAATCTTCGTGGCACTTTAAACCATCAATTACTTTTAACTACGACATTGATAGATGGAGTATCTTGCTGCGACGAAAGGGGCGAGTTAATTCCTATCGGCTTCAACAGTCGTATTCCACATTGGTAATCGCAATAAACTAAATGCAACCCTAGTGATCTTATCGTCTTGTGCCTTCCGGACTAGAAATTTTTATGCTCATTCATGTTTCTAGCCAGTCTCCAAGAAATCCCTTTATTTGGATAATTAGTGATGATTTTTCAATCAGAGCGCATTGTTACCCTTGCTTCTTTCCTTCATGTGAGATCCAAAACTTAAGTGACAGATGAGCATATCAATTGGACATGCCGCAAGGCACGCAATTTCCGATGCGATGATTGAATGTAATTGAGGAATAGTTATGCGAGGCTACAATTCTTATGATTTCCCCAAAGTACAAGTAAAAAGCGACAGAGCCTCCATCTCGCATCTTCTTCCCCGCAATTGGACAGACGCAACCTGCGGACCACTGAGATACGCGAAGTCAGAAGATCGGCCCCGAAAGCGGGTCTGCCTTTGCCAACCCCATTCAAAATTGAGGTTCTCATTGGCTAAAATTGGCCCCAGATCCCGCCTGTGGAGTCATATTCGATGCTTGGCTTTGGGGAAATTATTTTAGAATGTTTCTGAATTCCAGAATCCCGTATAGACATCGAGAGATACGGGGCCGTTGATATGCATATAAGCCCAGGTGTCCGGACAGTGACAACGAATACTGAGATTTGTTTAATATGAGTCACCAGCCCGCGAACTATAGGCAAAAACCACCGATGATGTGACCAACGCGCAGCGTGTAACTACTCGATAGGCCAATTCTGGGGGCTGCTTGGCAGCGGCTATTCTTCCCAGACCTGGAAGATGAGGCGGGGTTTAAAAATGCATGCATCCGGGCAGTCGCCGAGACAACAGAAAGGGAACTCTACCTGCCACATTCTTCCGTTGTCTAATTTCGTGAACATGAGACTCGCGAAGTCGCATTCACGGCATCGTACCATAGACTTATCTACTAAATATACTTTCTGCAGCCAACTACTACTCCTTGCATTTCCTAAATTTCGTTGTCCTGGTTTGTTCAGATATACTCGCTGACCGCTCTTTTGCTGAATCAATATGACCGTCGTTGAGTCTACTTCCCACGGCAAAAGTCTCGAAGATGTTGAACCAGGTATTCTCCAGGTATGTGAGCTTCCTAGCATCAGTTATATGTATTTGGTGAGATAATGTTCAGATTGCAGGAGAATTCCATAAGTCCAGAGGAGAGCCTGGAAGAGACGAATGAGTTCGACAAGACAGCCATCAAGACTTTAGTGTGGAAACAGGACCTGCGTATCGTTCCACTGTCGGCTTTTATATATTTGCTATGCTATTTGGACAGGTCGAACATCGGTATAATCAATGTAGTGTCTCTGGCAAATCTTTTCTATATTTAACGGAATCTAGGGAACGCCAGGATATTGAACGCGGACACAGACAACGATCTCTTATCTGAGACGCATATGACAGACCGCCAATATACGTAAGTCTGTTTCCGATTACAGCCTGTTTTATTTCATTGCGTGGACACATTAGTATTTAAGATTTGACTTATATTCATTAGCATTGCGTTGATGGTCTTCTTGATTGCGTATGCAATTTTCGAGGTACCTTCCAACTACCTGTTGAAAAAGTTGAGGCCAAGTGTACGCACGTCAAAATTTCGATAAACGGTAGCGCTGATAATGTCTCTTAGCGATGGATTGCGTTTTTAATGCTATCGTGGGGCGCCATCACCATGGGTCTTGGGGGCTCTAAAAATGTTGCTCAAGTGACAGGTATTCGCTTCATTCTCGGCGTTGTTGAAGCTGGGCTCTTTCCTGGCCTTGTGTACTATCTCACCTTCTGGTACCGGGTATCGGAGAGATCCATCCGAGTAGCCCTCATTCTCGCATCCGCCACTCTTGCTGGAGCCTTTGGAGGAGCAATAGCATACGGAGTAGGCCATCTGAACATGTCTCATGGACTATCGGCCTGGCGATGGCTTTTCATTATTGAGGGAGCCCCCTCTTGCTTTTCGGCTTTTCTCATTTTCTTTCTTCTTCCTGATTACCCCGAGACTGCACATTGGCTTACTGCCGAGGAAAAACAATTGGCCAAACAGAGACTACGTCTCGAAGGATCGCAAGGAAGCGCCAAGGCAATGACTTGGAAGGATGCCAAAAGTGTTCTTACAGACTGGCGCCTTTATGCTCACTATGCAGTATGTCTGTTTTCAATTTTCATTTTCCACGCCCGTGAAGGTAGCTTACTACTTAACGTGCTAATACATCTCAGGTCTATTTTGGAATATCCACCCCATTTTCTAGCCTTTCATTATTCACGCCATCCATAACGGCTGGCTTGGGTTATAAAGGCCTGAAAGCCCAGCTAATGACTGTGCCACCATATGCTGTGGCGTATGTGGTCACCATCGCAGTAGCAGGCTCAGCAGACCACTTCAATGCGTAAGTTCCAAACCTATCACGCAAACTTTTGGCGGACTGCTAACGGAGAGATATGAGATACAGGCGTGGCATTCATTCTGCTGTATTCGCTTTTATTGGTGCAATGGGATTTCTAGCATCGGCTGTTCTGCCTCCAGATGCGTATCAGGTATGGTTTGCTCCGAAGAAACGGTCACGCTATTCTGGCTGATAATTAAGGTAGCACCGTTATGGCTGCCTAATTGTTGCTGCTAGTGGCTCCTTTTCATGCATTCCTCCTTTGTTGGGCTGGCTTTCATCTAACCTGAATACTACGGCTGCTGCTGGGCTTGCCATCGCTCTCAATATATCGTTCGGTGCTCCAGGGCAGATTGCTGGGGTGTGGATTTACAAGTCCGACGAGGCTACTAAAGGGTACCCCACAGGTCACTGGACAAATGCAGGTTTGCTACTTTTTGTCGCGGCAGGATGCATTCTGCTTCACGTATATTATGTCTTCATGAACAGATGGCTCAGCAGAGCATCCGGGGCCAGGTTGTTCACCTATTGATACAACATCTTATTCATGGAGACCATTTACGAACTTATCAGATTAGGGACAAAATTATATAAAAAGGAAACAAAGTTTTTAACGAGTTTTCGAAGTACGTAATGTTGTTTCTGGTAATGCATTGCTCAGTAGCTATTTTTATAATATCATCTCTGGCGAATGCTCATACAAATGTTGCCAAATATCTGTTAACAACGTCAACGAGTTAGTCCGCTATAAAGTGAACTCCAGCCTATTTCCTGCATAATCTCTGGCAAAGAATCTGGTTGGATATTCAATCCCTTTGGCTCCTGCGCACGCCCGGCATGTTAGCACCGGTTTGATTCAAGGTGAGACATAGACTATACCCGAGTCCTGCTCGCCAGGCTTATCAGCTGCCAAGGGAGCCGCGCTTCCTCCTTTTATATGATGATCCCATATCCTTTGCTGCAGCTTTTGGAGATCCTCCAGCGACCCAAGCTTGAAACACGGGTGCCGGGATGCATTCGGTTCGTTGTGCCCGAAAGCGATATGGATTTGCTGACCACCCGGTTCCCCTATATTGAACCTGCCCGAATCTCAGCAATGTTCTCTCTACCTAACGGAATGACTCACCAAGCGATCTTGCCGATTTGCAAATGCGGAACAGGAGTCGGCTGTAGTCCGAGGGTATCGCCATAGAAAGCCGTTGCATCGTCCAGAGTGCCTTCTGGCACAAGCAAATTAACGTGGTGAATCCCGGTAATCATCCTTGTGACAGATGGAGTGTGACGGGCGAGGATATTTGCAAAGTTGAAGAATGGAGCGAGTTGAGGCAATCTGCCATGCGGGGGTTTGTGCCACCGTCGGCGATTGCGCCGGCAATTGAGATTGCGTCGCTGCGTTTAAAATTGCCGATTATGGATGGCCGCGACCTACCAATAACCCTAAGGCCAGTCAACGTGCTTTACCCAGCGACAAAAAAAAAGCATTACTGAATCAATTAACACATTCGTGTTGATTTCCAAGTAGCAGAAGATATTTGCAGTCCGCATCGGTATTGATCGCGCTCCGTTCCATCAGAGTCATAGGCATGGAAATCGCGCGGTTAGGTATTGGGACGGCGTAGACATCGATGGCCATCTTTGGATAATATTATTTCAAGCTGGAAGACTGAGTCTAAGGAGACTGCAAAATATGTCGTACAGATCATATTATCTAGTGTTTGTGACAAATAATCTCCCCATGCAGCACACTGAACCACGCATCTTCCTCATCACCCCATTTTCGCCAGGTCGTAGCCACGTTACTGAGATCTTCACTGGTGGCCAACTTAGCATCGATTGCTGTCGTCCCAAAAGACGATGCAACCGTCCTTTCGGCCCAGAGTCCACTCCACCACGCGATTTCTTCCTTTCTACTATAGCACCATGTACTGGAGCTGCATTTGATATCGGTGAGACCGGCTTGTTTGGCCCACGCATGAAGCATGCGCCCGGCATCAGGCTCACCACCGTTGTGTCTCGTGACCTTGTGGTAGAGGTCCCTCCAATTTCCCATGCCCTCGGAATTTGGGTACCACACAAATGCGCCATAGTCTGATTCACGAACGGCCACAATACCGCCTACTTTGGCGACGCGTTTCATCTCTTGCAGAATCCTGACTGGGTCACGAACATGTTGCAGGACTTGATGGCACAGGACAACATCGAAGGCTTCATCATCATAGGCAAGCTCGTTGGCATCTCCCAAAACAAAATCAATGTTTGCGACACCTTTCTCCTCCGCTAGGGCTCGAGCTTGGGTAAGCACGCCTTCGCCGTTTTCGAGCCCCGTGATGTGTCCTTGGGGGATATAACTTGCGAGGTCAACGGTAATTGTCCCGGGCCCGCAGCCAATATCAAGTAACTTCATGTCTGGCTTGAGGTAGGGCAGGAGATATGCAGCCGAATTCTGCGCTGTTCTCCATGTATGGGACCGGAGGACAGATGCATGGTGACCATGTGTGTATACTGCAGATTCAGTTTTGCTCACCATGGTGCAGTAAAAATTGATTATAAACAAACGATATATTTCTCTACCTCGTGTTGGCCTTGTTGGCCACATATATACATCCAAAGCTTGTCAACACAAATATAGAGGGGCACTCCGGTATCGGAGCACACGCCACGTTAGCCGGTGCTGCCGCGTGAATTACCCCATATGGATAGGACTAGGGTTAGAGCTATACAAAAGCCATTTTGTGTCCTGCTCAAGACGTGTTGTGAGTTAAGTCAATTGATAGTAAGGAAATATTGATGTAAGAGCCCTATTTTTCTGGAAGTTTATCGCGATAGATACATGTGGGATCAACCATGAAATGTCCCCTCTTCCCATTTGTGATAAGCCGACGTTTCTGTTTGCATCTCTCTAAACATACAAACTTTCAACAAGAATGGGAGAATCATTTTGTAATTTTAAAAAGTCAGTGCTCTAGCAGTTCCTAGCCTTACAGGTCGTAACTAGCTATTGCACATCAGGTGGACACCCGGGCAAAGGTGACGCCTTCGCAACTGGCCGGAGCACTGATGGCGCTGGCAGACCAGAATAGTTGCTTCCCATAGTCACCATTATCGCAAGCAAAGAACCCCTTGAAATTGCTCTGGCTAACAGTCAGAGTACCGTTGCTAGCGAATGCGAAGCCTGTTGTGGCTGTCCCAAAGTTGAGGAGCACACCGTATAAGTTGTCTTGTCCATCAATCTCATCCGATAGCGTAACTGTGGATGTTGAGGAAGATTTCTTCAATGTGAGATGACCACTGCTGTCAATATACGCTGGATAGGCCTCGCTCTTGTTTGCTTCTAGGTAGCTGGCTTCGATTCCCTCACTGACCACGAGGTAACTGAGATATTCGCCGGTTGTTGATTGAAGATAGTAAGTCTTATTCTGGCCTAGAACGGCCATCGGTGCTATCAAAGCAAGGAGTGATAAAACGAAAGGTCGCATCTTCGGGGATTTGATTTGACTGTATTCTGATTGTGGGTAATGGGGGTTTTTTTGGCACTGAATTTTCAATAAAGGCCCAATGGAGTGTCAAGGGTTAACGAAGAGGCGATTTTTTTCAGAGCACTGGCAGCAACAGAAGGAATAAATATCTGACCACGGGCAATTTTTGCAATGAATATACCTAGGTTCTCGACCCGTGTCAGGACGCGTACACGGGTGACAAGAATGAGATTACATTGTAGATCAGTGTCAGTCCTAAACCCAACTGCTTCCAGGATCTTTGAGGATCGACAGAAGAATTGTTTCATAATGTTGCGTTATTCTTTGTGATGTAAGCTTTTAAACTATTACGTAGCCCATTGCTATTAAAGCCTTCAATTGGGGGCTAAGAGGAGAGTCAAGGCCTGAATTCCGTGGCCTAGAGTCTGTTGATCCGTTTCCGATAATAAGCACCACCCTTTAGTGAGAGAAAATCTAGAGTCAAAGGAATCGGGATTGCCGAGGTCTTAGTTTAAAATATGAGAACAAGTCAAGTCAACAACCTTGGAAACAATCATGACTTCTTAATATTCGTTAATGAAATTAACTCCCCCAGCTTCCTAATGCCAAAAGCAAAGTCCACCAGATTTCACTACTGTCACTAATTCTTCAAGTAATTCAGAGTGCCAAATAAATGGCAGAAATTCCACCTGGAGTAAGAGATATATATATATGTAGGACCCACTTAAAAGTAAGCCCTAATGGCCGGTTTTCAACAATCGCTCATGCATCTTCCTCTTCGAAAAGAATTCCGTTTTCGAGAGATATCTGGGGTAGTAATGGATTGCTCGTTAGGCTTGTGTATCACGGTGATCACTACGGCCACCTTGATGCAGTCAATTCCGTCAATTCCCCTCTAGTTTTCTTTCACGAAAAAGTACAGTAGCATTCGACTTAGGAACAATTGACGACCGCCAATAGAATTGCCGAGAAGTTGATGTATTAGGATCTCCTATTTCAAAGTCGAAGTTGAGCAATATATGGACTATTGAAAGTTTGATAACAAGAGATGCGTAGTAACGCCCGGGACTACATTGGTCAGCACAAAGAATCGTAGAGGGAACCGGACAAAGTGGTAATCTTACCAGGCATGCTTTCCAAGGCCCCATAGGGGATATTGTGTACTTGTATCGGTGAATCGCGGATTGCGTGGCAATGGCTTGGCTTCTTGCTTTGCCCGAATTTTGGCCTCTTCGTCTTCGCTATTATTGTTACTATTGGCCCTCATAAACCGGTAAGGGTCGAACTTCAACGGATCCTGGTAGATACTTGGGTCTGTTAAAATGCATTGCAAGGGCACACATGCAACGTCGTCTTTCATCAAACGCGTCCCATTGGAAAATGTAAATGGTTGTAAAACCTTGCGTCGCACTGAGATGGAATCTGTCGGTTTTAGCCGTGCTGACTCCTTTAAGAAGCTGTCCAATGATGGTATCTTGTCTACGTCGAACGCGTCCCCTTCCATCAACACAGCATCCTTTACATCCGTTCGAAGTTGGTCGATGTATTGCGGACACTTCCTCCCTTGAACGCAGAGATCATCCAAAGCGTATACAAGGCACATGGCAGGTTGATGTACGGCCGCAAACCAGACACCAAGAAGGACTTGGACAATTTTCTGTGCGGTCCATGGCTTTTCTCCAGCCCTCTGTTTCAGGCTTGCATCTATGAAAAATTGAATGCAATCCGCCGGTTTCTGTATGTTATCACTGGAAACGAGCCGCTCCTCAACGACAGGCGTTAAGCGCTCAACCAGTGTTCTCGATGCTTTATAACCACGCATTAAGTAGCGTGCGGCAAAAGGTGCAAAATAAACTGGAATAAATCGTAATGCCTCAGCTGTCACCATCAGATCTTCGGGATAGTCCAATGCAGCTTTCAAGAACTCAGTGTCATAGGAGAGTTCTTTCCCGAAGAAAACCAGGCTATTAGCAGCAGTTACCAGACGCTTTGCCACCGGGAAAGTCTGTAAGGACTTCCACCCATCTGGGTTTAAGGAGGCTGACTTGAGCTCTTCTGTAAATAAGGCCGCAATGCGCTCCTGAACTGGGGATTGTAGTCTTAGAAGATTAGCCCGCAAATTTATTTGAAGAGCAAGTGAGTGTATGCTGCCATTTGCACTCATTCGATCGTCAACTTCAAGACCGTCCATTGTGTACTTTGGCTGGAACATCTGCCGAACATTGTTAGCGAAGTTATAATCAATAGGCACAACGCAGTTCTTGATGATTGTGACTTTCTATCAGCCGAACAATTAAAGAAAAAATCTTACATCTTTAGAAAGTGCATGTAATGACATGTATTTATCCGATGCTTCCGTCAGTTCTTTAATATGCATCTGGGACGAGAGATGGACGTAGTATGTCTCTGGCGTTCGAACTGCAAATGGAACTCCTTTCATCTAAACATTGTTAGCTTTGGTTGACCTATTAAAAACCATGGTGTTTCTGAAAGCAACCGAGTCGTACATATGCTTTGCGAAGCATTTCCGGTCCCTGCCATAGATAACTTATTGCGCCGAGGACGCGGAATATCCACACTGGATGTCGGACAATTGTGACATTTTTCCTACTCTGTAAAAAAGAACTCGTTACTAATCTAGAGCCTGATAGAAATAATCCCTTGGATGTTTATTGTCTCGAATAGATATGGACGTATATCCATTGCATGAATGAGGGCAACTAACCACGCATGCTTTACTCTCCGCGAGATGAATTTGATACGTCCACACACACCAAAGTAAAAGCAATAAAGTACCAAATAGTGGCTCGGAATCCATGACGGAGGAAGAAAGTTAAGACAGTTATAGCTCGAGGGCAGAGGGATTTTGAGAAAAGACTTGATAGATGGTCATACCGTAACTGATACCGGGATGATGAAAGTTGCAATATATGAAGGCCTATGAATAACAGAAATGTAGCTGTGTCATAACCGTTCATTGAGCATAGTAATGAGCTTCATAATTGTAACAGTGTATGATTATGATAATGCTCTATTGGCTTTCAGCCCCGGGGGTATGTATTTCTTGGTAGTCAAAACTACGTACGTAGGCCAGATTGGCAATTAGATGCCAGTGTGCTATTTTGAGCTGAAACTAAGCAATATTCATGATAGTTATGTCTCTAGGATGGTTGCTAAAAGACTGGAATGCCAGTCTGCAACTCTGTTAGCGCTCAAAATAATGACTCGAATGTAACCAGGACTAATCTACAGACAATGGTAATTCTGGCCACTCAGCACTGTATACTCTCAAGCCTCATGCACAGGAAACCGGAAATATAAGTGCGTATACCTAGATATACGAGAATAATTCTGGCCCCCGATAAGTCGGTGATTGTCCGATTCATGTTTATCATTCGACTCGACCTGTGACAGACAGATAGACTGCATATAGCAGGCGTACTACTGACTCAGCGTGTACAGCCAGCCAGCGAAGTGCTTATTGCTTTGTAAAGACGCTCGAACTATCAGTTCAATGGATCAGTAATGCAAATGGGGCTAAAATGAGGGGCTGACCGTAGACGACTACTAATGCATGCGTGCTGCATACATTCACGCCACCGGTGCGCGGCTGTCATAGTATGTAAAACCGAACAGATAACTTGCTCGTCAATTGGTGAGGGTGGGGTTCAGCTCAATTGTTGTCCTAAGTTCGCGATTCTTAGTCGAGTATGGATGCCAATTATGCCTGAAGTCTGACGGGGAAGAGCGGGCAAATCCGAGTTTTTAGATTTAAATTATGCTGTAAAACAATAGAAAGCAGAAATAGGCTTTAAAATTCACACAGTCTGGTTGTTCATCTTGATATCTTTCTCTGTTTCTAATCTCGTCAGATCACGCTTTGGATACTTAACCAACCTTAGAACAAAAAGCGTCAGGTGAAAGTATTTACGAAGATGTCACTACTTCTAGGCTTTGGTCTGTCAGATCTCATTGCGGAGATGGATGCTCGAAAAGCCACGGTATTTTGTTTAATGCCTATGGCGGCTTTATTCGCGTGGCGACTTTGGCGCTTCACCATTCAACCTCATTTGGATCAAAACGCACCAAAAGAGCTTCCATATTGGATACCTTGTAAGCAAGAATACCCATCATTAAATAAGCAGTGGCTGATAGAATATATCTAGTTATCGGTAATAACGTTTTATGTTTTGCTGTCGATAATAGGTTACTGACATGGGCAAAAAGGACACGCATTTCCATTGGTTGGGAACTTAGAGGGACTTATAAAGCAAGGAATGTTAGTTTCAAAATTCCAATATAAACACTACATAGATATCCAAGCTGACATTAAACAAGGAAGTATTGTGGTGATACATACGAGCCTTTTTCTGTCCTAGTATTTGGACAACGGCTGTATTTTGCCTTTTCGGAGCAGGACATGGCTTGCATACTCAGTGGTACCATTCCTGAGATAACTCACATAGATCATGTACGCGATCTACTGAAGTTATTTGGTTCATCTCCCCAAGGACTGCGTGACATGTATATGCCCCCATCTTGCAGCAGCGGGGGTGTTAATGGAGTTGTACCAAATCCCAAGCAAAAGCCTCTTGCTTTATTGGCAGAAAGTTTGATGAACAAGCAGCTTCTCTCGATTGCGGAGTTTAGAAGCCTTATGAACTCAATGGGTAAGGTGATTGATAAGAGGACGCAGTGGGAAGGAATCCCATCTTTTGCTATCGATCCGCCTAGTTATGCTGCGTCATCGTATATGCCAGAGGGGGATAACGAGTGTAAGAGAGTGTCAGTTCTTAGATGGTCTCAATACACTATACTCGAAGCTATGACGACAGCTTGGTTCGGAGTGAAAATCTGGGATCTTTCACCAACGATTATTACGGACATGATTTGTCTTGACCACGAGATATGGAAGCTATTCTATCATCTCCCGAAACCATGGTCAGGTGCCGGACAAGATGCTGCAAGTAGTCTCAGACGCTGTTTGTTGAAATACGTGCGTTTAGATCCATCTGAGAAGGAAGACCGATGTTGGGCAGCGCGAGTAGCTGAAGAAGAAATGCGGCTGCGTGGTATAACCGAGGAGGACATGGCTTCACATCTTCTGATGGTTTTTTGGGGGTATGGTCCATTTATCAGATTAGAGGTTCATAATTCCGCGACTAATTACAATGATCAACGAACAGTATCAACGCCAACATTTTCAAAGTTTCCTTTTGGCTTTTGACATATATCACCTCGGATGCAAGAATACTAAAGGATTTCAGGGCCGAAGTAAACACTGTATTGTCGAACCTTGATTCCAAGGATCCAGCCAACCTGTGCAAACAACTCGACGATCGCCCTTTCTCAACTGCACTTTTTCACGAAACAATTCGCCTGGTTACAAATTCCAGTTCCGAGCGTACAGTCCTGCACGATTGTCATATAAACGGAAGAGTTTATAGAGCAGGGGCCCGGATCCTCTTGCCCTATCGATATGCAGCAATGAGCCCGGTGGTCTCCGATATAGAACCAGGCATCTTCAGGCCAGAGAGGTTCTTGAAACTCGACGAACAGACTGGCGATGTCATAAATAACAATCTACAACGAAGCCGAAGCTTCATACCATTCGCGAGCGGAGCACACAAATGTCCTGGGAGGGTAGTGACACGCAAAGCATCCCTCATGTTTGCTGCTCTTATTGTGCACCGTTTTTCGATCAAGCTGATGGATGATGTTCCTCCAATGGACATGACTAAGCCACCTCTTGGTCCAGTCGAGCCTGTGCATGGCAGGGATTTTCGTCTCGTTCTCAGACCGGGTCATGAAGAACATGTAAAAGACCAGGGAACTTCGTTCTCGGAATATGATTCTACAAAATCTGCAAACACTTCGGGGTAGGCGTGATTGGCATTTCTTCTCACCGCCGGTGGTCTTGTCCCTTAAAAGCTGTCAAGCTTCACTCATAGCAAAGTTCAAAGTCCAATTTGCAGTGTATACATCTCAAGCTGTAGGCTTATTCACTTATTCACAAAATATAGCGAAGAAATATGTACACATTCTATATCTATTCTGATGATGGCACCTTCAGAGTTCATTGCCTTAAAAATGGTTTATGGAAAAACCCGCCCTTGTACCATGGCACAGATCCAATCCACCACAATCCATGTCACCATGGCCAGGGGGTGCAAACTACCAAATACTCTATGTAATGCCGATGGCAGTCCCATTGCTGTCACGCCAAATAGTAGTGTACCACGTGGACGTACGAAGTCCATAACCATAGCGGTAAGTAGTTCATCGTCGTCGTCTGATTTCTCTGTCTCGGGCTGTTCCGTAGCTAGCGGAATGGTGACGAATCGCAAAACGTAGTGCGTAAACAAGGTTTGTACCACGAAGTAGCCGGCGACTTGCAGTGCGAGTTGAACCGGTGACGGCAACGTATTTGGAATCAGGCTCGATGTTGACGGCGAAGCCGGTTGCGAGTGAGATGCGAGAATCACCGGGTGTAGCGCAAACATGAATGGGAACTCAAAAGCCGGAGAGAATACTAGTAGCAATGACACCCATAAAGGATATTTCTCCTTGGGAAGCCCTTTAGGGCGACTGTTGTTTGGTCTTTCGCAGCTTGGATGGTCTTCTGGACGTCTGCCGAACTTGAATTGACGAAAAACCACCGAAGCAGGAAGTAGAAGAACAAGAATGAAAATACTGTTCGCGATCGGCCTTTCTTCTAGCAGTTTTGCGATCGCGACGTAATAGTAAAGAGCTGTGGACGTTGTATAGCTCTTCATAAGTTCGTCGGAATTGACCCCCATGGCAGGAAAAGAGTCTGTTGTGTTACCTCTAAAAGCCATTTAGGAGATCCCAGTGAATGTTCACATGCTCGATCTTTCAAATGGAACCATATTATTTCAGGATCCGGGATAGCCCACCTAATAATATCTCCGACATTAAGCATGTCAAATTGGCCTCATACTTATCTAGCCGCTGTACACCTAGCAGCTGTCAGCCTCGTGTCTGATCCGATTCCACTGCATCAATTGCATATCGTTGCCCAAACAGGCTGCAACCGACAGTGTAGATTATGACTCGCGCTCTGTTTTGGATAGTCAACATCATACCGGGAGGGGAAAGCATGCATATGGCCCCAACTTCGGTGTCTGCCCTGACGTGCTTTTGATATTCCGTGCTGGATAACATGCACGGCCCAGTAGAGTACTTGGGTGGCTTTTGTCCGAGTGCTCTAGAGCTAGTTCACCATTTACGAGAATGCCAGCGCAGAATCAGTTCAGCTTCGTTAACTTGCTTCCCCCTCTCCTACCCACAGAAACACAGGGTGTGTTGAGAACTTGGCGCTGACAATCATTGCTATCTCTATATGTGGCATGCATGACAATTGGTAGTCCACAAAAAACCATGCATGTACAGATTCGGACCCCAACTCTCGAATTACGGAATATATTGGCTGGCAAAGCGGCCAAGCGCTCGAGAGACAGCAGGCTAACTGTTAGCTGCATGTGGTTTTTCTTGCTTTGTATGTATTAATCAGCTTGCATTACTCCTCACTTCGAAGGAAAAAAAAAAAGAAAAGAAACATCTGGTCACAGCTTGCTTTGTGTTTTCAAGAAATATTCAACTCGCGTTTCGAAGTAAACGAGTCGAGGGCTCACACTAGAGCATTCGGAGACAACCTCGTCCCCACGAGGCTGCGGATTTTTGGAAACAACTGTCTGACTCTGCTTAAGCTCCTGAAATACATGACTATTTTCCGAGCCCGCTTTTAGACCGGGTAACAGGGCATGACGCACCAATATCGGTTTGTATCGTTCAATCTCACGCCATGGCGACTTCGATTAGCCCTAACACTCCGGCGGGTGAGCCACCTCCCGGAGAAGTCTCTAACTTCGTCAACCCCCCATCGCAGGAGGGTGCGATTATAGCATTAGAGGCAGTTTTTATAACCCTCATGATGTTAGCTGTTGCTGTCCGGATGTGGGTTCGGTTGGGTCCAGGACCGCGAAAAAACTGGCGAGTGGATGATAGTAAGTGCCGTTTTCAGTCATTTTTGATGCTCGGAGTACTACCATGCTAAGCTTTCCCAGCAACTTGCGTATTGGCAGCGGTGCGTTTCAAGTCTCACCCATGTGGCCCTTGATTTTCTTACATCTGGCTTACAGATTGGCTCGATTGTGCATATGATTGTCTACACACAATGTGAGTAGCTTAGGCTGTCTCTGATACAAATATGGAAAGACACTAATACCCTGATTGAACAGCTTTTCCTCGTGGATTTGGTCGTCATCTGTGGGATATCCGAGCCATCACCCTGCTCGACCCGTCTTCTAGCCGGGTATGCAACGACCCTGCCTCTCATCACCGACTCTTTACTAACATTGAAGAGCAGATCTTGTCCGCCAATGGCATCGTATATCCATGGGTAATATGCTTTGCAAAGGTCTCCATTCTTCTACTATATATACGTCTCTTCTGGGTGGAACGAACCGTAGTAATTGCAGCATGGCTGGGAATTGTGATCGATTCTATGCTCTACACGGCTTTCATCGGACTAGGCATCGGGGGCCTATTAAAATGTGCTAGCCTTACTGAACTGGATAGCTCCTACTGCAAGTTCAATGAGGATGGCATGGTGATGTTCACATCGGTTGTCAACGTGGTCACCGACTTCTATGTGCTGCTTCTTCCTGTCTACCCGGTATCGCAGTTGAAGCTAAACCCCCAAAAATGGATTGGGATCGCTTGCGTGTTTGGCAGCGGTCTAGCGTAAGTGTTTCATGTCTATTGCTGCACACGTCTGTGTATGAACTAAGAAAATCATACTGACCAAGGTTTGAAAAGCGCCTGCGCCACTAGTCTGGCCCGTTTGATTAACTTTGCGATTCACCAACGCAGTTCAGATACGTTGTGGGTACAAGGTGTCAATGCCAAGTATACGTATGTCGGATTATTTTCGAGCTCTTTTTGAGTTCTATTGCTCGTGGACGATCACGAAGCTGATCTCTGTTTGCTAGAGTTGTTGAAATGAACATGGCAATCATCGTCGCTTGTGTCAGTTGCTTTCCGCCATTCTTCAATCAAATACGCCGCATGGGCTCATCTATATACGAGTCTCTGACTAGCCGGTTGAACACACGGAACGGTCAAACGGAAACTGACTCTATTAGATCGTCACGGATGTCTAATAGTTATAATCTCGAGGAGCACCCTAACAGGAAGACACAAGACCCTATCCAAGGGGATACATTCGAGACTGGAGCTAAGCATCAAGCTAGTGACGTGATCTCCTTGCGGAGCGGAAACACGTTTCATGACGCTCCAGTTTCTCCAGTTTCAGGTCTTTGAGGGACTGATAAATAACAGGAGAGAAAGAAAGCAAATTGCCCCGTTCTATACGAGAGAGCATTTTTTTCAAGCCTTCAACACTGTATCAGTCGAACTGGCTTGACCTCTCTACGCTGTTGTATAAGCTATTGTAACATAACTAGATGTTGGATTTTGTTAGGGTGAATTTCGGCGTTAAGGTATAGCCAGGTGTGATAATCATGTGCCAAATGCACCGTACTTAAAAGCCTATTACGGACGTTACATTGCTAATATTTGCCTCAAAGCTGATTCGCATATAATGCTTGCTGAATAGCAGGTTCTATTGGGTTTGCCTGGCCATTCCCAGTGAGCACTAGGTGAACTTGACCCCTCTCTTCCAGCCCCCAGTCTCTGCATTTCAGCTGCATGATGTCCATTCTCTGAAGTGTGCACCAAAGTAGCATATGCAGGTTATTGATAAGTACGCTCAGGTCGTATTTTGGATCCACACCAGACAATTCTTTGTTTGATACCTTGTACTTTCAGGTACTTTCATTGAACACACATAAGTTCTTGTTCACCACAGTTCTTATATCCAAAAATTTATAGAAAGGTAAAAAGAGTCCTTTCTCCCGAACCTTCAGTTGATCTGCAAGTCCCTGCGTTGTGTCTCCCCCCTTGCGACTGTACCGAGCCCTAGTTTTTCCGAAAATGGAAATGCCTGAACAAATTACAATGGGCCCTGTTCTCTTAACGGGAGGAAACGGCTTCATTGCATACCACATAATCGGCAAAATCCTTGAAGCTAACCCTCAGTGCGTCATTCATTCGCTGGACATTGATACCACGCGGAACCGACGTGAGGGATTTGTCAACTTGCACTACCACAAGGCTGATATCTCCGTGGCCGAAGACGTCCAACGCATTGTACGCCTTGCGAAACCTCGAACGATCTTTCACACAGCATCACCAGAGTTTTCGGATGCTCCAGTGTCAGCGTATTACTCCATCCTTGTCGAAGGCACACGTTATTTAGTAGACGCTGCGTTCCAGTTAGACACTGTGCGAGCACTGATATACACATCTTCGTCCTCCGTGATCCATGATAATGTCTCTGATTTGGTCAATGCAACGGAAGAAATGCCCATATTGCGACCACCATTACAAAAACGGATATATTCACTGGCAAAAGCAGATGCAGAAGAGTTAATTCTTGATGCAAATCGCCGACGCCACATTGGTGGGCGAATAATTCTCACATGTGTGCTGCGGCCATCCTTAGTATTTGGCGAAAACGACGTCTCATCGCTTGGTAAAATGGTTGCAGTCGCAAGACAAGGCCGATCCCGTTTCCAGATGGGCGATGGTCAAAACCTCTTTGATTTCGTATACGCTGGAAACCTCGCAGATGCCCATTTACTAGCTGCTCGTGCGATGCTTGCAGCTAATGGCCAGAATCCTCACCCAGCTGATGCCCCAGCAGTTGACGGAGAATGCTTCAATATAACCAATGATGATCCCTGGCTATTCTGGGATTTTCAAAGAGCAATCTCGGCACGTGTTGGTCTGCCAGTCTCACCAGAAGACATCATTGTCATCCCCAAATGGGTGGGATTGGCTATGGGATTCATTAGCGAGTGGGTTGTATGGGCCTGGTCATGGGGAAGTCGGGGACCCAATATGACTCAGGAAGGCATTCGTTTCAGTACCATGATACGCACGTTAAGTGTCGAAAAGGCGAAGCGTGTTCTAGGGTATAAGCCTGTCGTGAGTATGGAAGAGGGCTTAGACCGTAGTGTGCGATGGTTCTTGAATGAGTACAAGAAGGAAAGATATGTTTGAATCACCGCATACAATACATGATAAATACAATACCAGGCCTAACGATTAACTAGATATCAGATTAATGTATTAGTACCTAGGTAATGGTATTTACTCGGATCCTTTAGTCAATTTAGTCCTTTTTTCCTACAATTATGTCGTGGCTGAACCCACTGCAAGATATTGAATTTGCAGCTTCGTACCATCAGTTTATTACTAGACTAAACTCTAAGTGGTTTATCATTATCGAATGTCGAGATGTGCTTTATGACTAAGAGGTTGCCGTGGAAGTTGGTAAGTATGTTTCGTGAAGCACATTTTAGCGAAGGACTAATCGTGGTCATATCTACGACTATTCTGAATACGAAGTCGAATGCATAAGCGTGCGTCATATTTTAGCTGCTTCTCGCAGGGGCAGGGGTATTGCTGACTCGCATCTCCTCGAGGCAGTGCACTGGTAGGCATTTCAGTAGCCTTGAAATTCTACTAGACACATAACCATGAGACTAAATCGGCGTAAGTCCGAGTGCGTAGCTTTTCAGCTGACTAGCTCATGCAGGTTTATCCAAAAGCTGAACGTCGAGCTCAAGACCTTGCAAGTGACAACCAAGCTGCATTTATTTGGCCCCCACTACTTTCCAACAGGATGTCACAAAAGTCCTGACAGACAATCTACACTATTTTAGGACAATTGGTGTGACTAAATAGCCTTTGAGATAGCCAATGTTGCTAGCAATTATCATCTATTTAGGTAGTTATGTATATCCGGCAATGTTCACCGTCTCATATAGCTCCGAATACCGAGATACACGCGTTTTTTTTTTTAAGCCAGTATACCTACAGTGAATATCTACATCTTCCGGCTGGGCAGATAGAAGATCTCATGGCGGGACGAGATTTCGATCTCTCTCAACTTACACAAGGTCATTCTCATATAATTTACTTCATCTTCATACTCGCTCTAGCCCTGCTACTCTACTCCTATGTCCGCACGCATGTCGAGATTATACGATATCCTTCTACTTTGCCTCTCATTCGGGAACCACATGGTAAACGACGATTCAGCTTGAAAACCCGCCTTGCGTATTATTTGGACTGTCGGAGCTTATACAGCGAGACTTATGAAACTGTGAACTAACCCCTTTCCTTGAGTGAGTGGAAAATTTAATGGTCCCTGGCGTTAATAGCTGTTCTTATGGGTAGTATTCGAAGAAGAATATTCCATGCTTGTTACCCGGAAACGGTTTGTTCCGCGACGAGGTCGTTTTACCGCCATCGTATTTGCCTTGGATTACTGCTCAGCCTGATAATGTCCTCAGCGCGGTAGATGCCATGCGAGAGCTCAATCAAATTGCTTGGACAGCAGGTCATCGCAAGTACAACGATGACGGTTGGACGGGGAAGCTGGTAGAGACCTTCCTGACCGGAGGCCGGTCCCTTGAAAGGTTGATGCCTGGTTTGCACGACGAATTAGGGTTGTCTTTAAGTGAATTGTTTGGCACGGACACGGGTAAATGGAAAGAGATTGAAGTTTTAGAAATCATGAAAGAAGTGGTCGTCAGGGCATCGGGGAGATACATTGTCGGGGTGCCATTATGTGAGATAAAATTTCCATTTTCGGAAACTTTGTTTACGAGATGATCAGTTAGTCTTTTTCTGTGCCATTGCTGACTGGACAGTAAAAAGGTCGAGACAGAACATACATGCGTCACAACATCTATTTCGCTGATCAATTTGTTCTTGTTGCGGGAATTATAGGAGCTTTGCCAAAGCTCCTTCGCCCTATTCTCGGTCCTATCGCTGCGATACCACTCCGCTATCATATTTGGAAGATAAAGAAAGTATTCCGGCCAACGTTTAAGCACAGGGTGCGCACCGTGAATCAATACGCAGATCAGAAAAATAGCAACTGTTTGAAGACTCCAGAACCTGTAGACCATCTCCAGACAATGTTCCGATGGGCACAAAAGAACAGACCAGAGGAGCTTAATCTACACGACATGACAATCCGACTAGCACTGACTAGTTTTTCTGGGACACATCAAACCAGCATTGCCATTACAAATATAATTTTCAACATTCTAGCTTCAGACACCGAGTATGACACTATACGAATCCTACGTCGCGAGATAACGGAAGTACTTGGTGAATCTGCTTTCAATCCAGGTTTGGAACCAGAGAGATGGTCAGAGTTATGGACAAAGGCAACTATATCCCGGATGGTACGTCTTGACAGTGTTCTCCGTGAGACGATGCGCATTAGCACCTTTGGTCATCGAAGCATGATGCGAAAAGTTATGGTTGACCGTCTCGAGATACCCGGGGGAAATGACGAGATATGTGTACTACCAAAAGGATCTATGATCTCAATTCTCGCTCTACCTGTACACCGCGATCCAGAAATCTTTGATGAGCCGCTGAAGTTCAAGCCATTCCGCTTTTCACAGCAACGAGAAGCAGAGAAATCTCAGGCAAACCGCCCTACTTCCTCGCCACATGCGGGTTCCAACGGTCAGTCATCTACGTCAAATACAGGTAATTTAAACTTTGTATCTACAGGGCCACAGTTTCTACCCTTTGGAAATGGACGTCATGCATGTCCGGGCAGGTTTTTGCTGGACTTTGAGTTGAAAATGATTGTGGCAAATCTCTTGATGAAATACGATATTTCATTTCCAAATGAGTACCATGGTCAACGGCCGGAGAACGTTTGGGTAGCGGAAGTACAGGTGCCCCCTAGCTGGGGAAAAATACGGGTCAAGAGAAGGATAGCCAAATGAATGTTTCAAAATGTACAGGCGGCCATCAGACTATGTTTGATCGTACTCCTCCTGTCTGGACTTTGTTTTGACGGCCTTTTGGATTTAGAGATCAGGTACCTCTGAATCAAGATATTCCTACTGTAATATATGGAAACTATCCTCGGTCTCGTTTGAACATCCTCTACTCGTGTCTGACCTCGACAAAAGCATTCTTTGACACATTCTCTTCGATCGAGCCCACTGACTATTTCAAAGTTCCCTATCCAGGCTATGCGGAGGCTATGCGTCATTCCTTTACGCCATTGGGATACTTTCACAACTTGTGCTTTTGTCCTTCGACAACTGGGACCAAGAACACGCGCGTAGTATTATAGACTTCCCGACAGCCATCGATATGTCAGTGGGTAGGCTGAAAGAGGCCATCGATACCCATGGCAATTCAAATCGCCCATATCGCATCCCGGAGGCAATTGTCAGATTATTGCCGCAATTAAACATTTTCAAAGAACTTCTTGAAATCAGGCGCGCAGCTATGAAAAACAACATTGCCATTGCATCTGATAGTGATTCGACTAATAATTTGATATCCCTTCCGCCCGAATTTTTTGCAAGACATAAATTTCTTTTGGCCCGGGGACCTGTGGCAACACATCCTGCCAACATAAAACATCTTTGTAGCCAAGTGTACAATTTTTCCTATCACGTTGTTGAGTCATTTTTATGCTTCTAGTCATTGAAAAGAACCCTTATTGTTTGAACAATCTCTTTCTCTTGTCACATATGTATTCGATATGTCGTTCATCTTTAAATTCACTGTTCTTACTCCCATGCCTCGGCTCCTACGGTTGCATCCATAGCTAGATGAGACAAAGGTAGCAGAGCCCTGCACCAATACTGAATGTTCGAAAAGCCGCGTTTGATACCCAGGTATTTGTGACCTGACATGATGGCTCAAATAAAGGAACCTCTGTGATGAAATAAAGCAGAAGATCACCAATTGTAGTTGATGGCATATGTAATAGACTGAATGGTCTAATCCAATTACTCATTTCAAATGCAATTCAGAGAGAGTTATCACTAATTGGAGCTTCCTAGCTCAAGAATTCTTATTGAATAAAGAAATTTTTTCACAACAGATAACTTCATGTAAAGTAGTGGGAATCATGTCTTGAGTAGATTACTTATATAGTGAAATTAAACCCTGTAGTTACCTGATTAAGGGCTTGATAAAACCCCGTGCAGCCATCCGACAACTCATGTATTAAGTTTTTTATTCGGTACACACATATATGTACTCCAAATATATAATCTCTCCCTAAAAGGGCACAGGTTTGGCTGCTCCGAAAAGATTATTCGAGTCCCATTTGCTCTTCAATGCACTCAAACGCGACAGATTGTCCGCATCACCATACCACGCGTTTGGACCTTCATCACCGTGGGCATAGTTAACATAAGTAGCAAAAGTGTTAAAACCGCTGAATTCATTGAAATGTTGGCGTTGTTGAGTGTAGAATGCGTCCACAGTGTCATCAAGTGAGCTATTGGCGTAGTTGCTTTCAAAGAGCCTGACAACAAAGGATTAGATAGTGAAGGATAGGGTCAAAGAGACGGAAAATAATAGCATACAGTTGCATCTTTGCCTCGCGCCATGGATAAACACCTCGACTTTCCGTTGGGACAGCCATGGGACCCTGTGAACCATAGCGTTCAATGACCCAGGCGCCACTGTACGAAGGGTTCATCTGAGAAAAAAGAATCATATCATCAAAGAAGCCTTGGAATGTCAACGGATCTGTCTTGTTTAGAGCGATGCTGAACATGTTGATATGCTCGTTTGTGTCGCAGCTACTGGAAGGGGCACCGAAATTTGCCTGAGCGATCAAATTATTCCATGGCGCAGTGATATTCCGCCACCGCGTTGGGTTCAAAGCCACAAACTGATTCACGTAAGGTTGGAATTCATCTTGTGGCCCGAAATAGACAAGGTTCACGAGTATCGCAGCCTGATTCAGTCAGCAAATCGTACTTCATCACCGAGCCCCCAGGGCATATTTACCTGGGCGCTCGTCTGATTGTACGCAGACGTGATAGTTACTGACAACTCGGCTGGGAGCGTTTCATCCAGTGTCTGAAGCGCATCCCAGACAGATCTGTTCGCCGTTTGGGGAAATAGAAAGTCTGCATTCTGCGCCTGTCCACCATTCGTAGCATCGTAAATCCGGTATGTTGCGGACGTAATAATACCAAAGTTCGCACCGGCACCGCGAATGGCCCAAAACAGATCAGTGTTGTTTGTTGCAGATGCTTCAAACAGAACTCCCGAAGCAGTTACAATGCGCGCCGAGAGCAGTGCGTCAGACGTGTATCCATGTAGACCCTGAAGCAAGCCAACGCCGGCACCGACAGACGCTCCAACTACCCCCACGCACTCTGCATTGCCGGTTGCTGGACGATTAAACATATGGTTAGCGCAAATCAGACCATAAATCCGTCCAATGGAGATATCACTTACGGATTTCTTTCCCGATTTTATATAGCGGATCATAGAGCTGGCCATAGGTTGCACCACCGCCAACAATCACTTGGTTATTTGCCTCGTCAACCTCGACAGTCTTGAAGTTTGATAGATCAATGTCGATTGCGTTTTGTACATTGGCCAAGTTTTGAGACACGCCGTGGCCACCACCGGTTGCGAGAAAGGAGATGTTATGAGCAGAAGCAATTTTGACCTGCCCAGCATAAGTATTTGAAAGTCACATCAAGATTCCATCATGTATGGCTAGACTACATACGATGTCTTGCACATCTCGCTCAGTTGCTGGCTTGATAGCACCCAGGTATGTAGGGGCGTGCCATGTGCTCCATCTCTGGGTTACCTCCCCGGTCCAGTTGGCATCACTTGGGTAATAATATTCAGCATCTGGAGAAAGAACTGACCCAAAGAGAGCACTGAGGTTGTACGTAGTTGCCGTGGCCAGAAGAGGCAGAGCAAGTAAAACTGACACTTCAGCCCTCATAGTGATAAAAACCGTGGAACAGACTTGTTTCTGGAAAAAGCTACACCCACTAGAGAAGAAAGACAAACCGATAGAAAGGTGCTCAAGGTCGTGGGAGGTGCGTATGCATTATATAAATGATGTTGGTGGAGTCTCACAGACAGTTCATATGTCTCGTGTCTCTCCATGTTAATGTCCGGGTGGATAATCGGAGATGTATTATGCATGAGCGCAGTGTCTAATTCGCGTAACTCATCTAATGTATCCTGTGATATGGAATAATGAAATGCAAAAGAACAAAATCGTAATTAGATCTACAGGTACGCTGAGGAAAATACTCACTCGGACTTTCTTTCCGGACTTGATTGGAAAATTGTGTACACTAACAGATGCAGGTGTGATTAATGATCGTAGCGAGACGCCGCTATACATTGAATGACATTTAAGGTGTGCGTGATTGCAAGTCAGCTAATAATTCACAATATCTAGAAGGCAACGTCTTTTGCGCAAGTAACAGGCCTTTCATGCGCATGCAAGTATTCGAAATGTCTGTACGAACGCGAATGCACTATATATGCAGCATGTACACTATTCGTCGATCCTCCTCCGAGACTATCGAATGTTCCGAGTCAAGAGGGGGGCACTATTGCATGTGCAACTATGAGTATATCGTGCATATCCGACGATTCATGGCGTTTCTGATTCGAGAATCACGAAGAAATCGATCGACGAGACCCTGCTTCTAGGGAAATTCGGCTGCGTATGGACGCAGAGACCGGCGGCATATTGGACATATAATTAGGTATTTCTCCGGCTTTACTTTCGGAGAACTTCCATTTTCAGGCTCTGTATAAAAGATTTCGTTGTTTTGCTTCGCTTACGCATTATAGTACGTATATCTCTATATTGTCACAAGTTGTCATCAGTATGTACGTATACTTTGGTACGGGATATTTAGAAATCCTAAATGCCGGCGGTTACTGACTAACAGGAGAGTCAGACTGGCTCTGCTGGTTTGTTCTGTGTTGTTTGCTTATTATTATACAAACAACTTGGGTATTTGAAAATAAGAAAGTCTCAGATATTCACAAAGACACATGTGTACACGATCTTGCACGCCGAGACTGCATATTGTAGCAGCGAGAGTATGGGATATAGAGGATTGCCTACGATATGCGCTCCATCAAATAGTCGCCGACTACTTGATTAAGCCTTGCAGCCGAGCCAATATGGCAATGTAAACTTGCTCCTTCGTCCCTAGTTAACTGAACAAGGGTCTTCTCGCACTCCAGTCTTTTGTATAATTCCTCGGGCTGCCCTTTCAAGAAATGGTCATCTGGGGCATCTAGTATAAGCGCCGGTGTCTTGATATTTCCCACGATTCCCTCAAGAGTGTACTTGTCCGACTCGCGCAGTATCCCAGCTTCGGGCAGTCCGTACACCCATTGACCGTTCAACAGAGCCCACTTGAATCCCGTATTCCGTCTCATGATCAAGCGTGCAAGGGTCTTGAAAGTAGCATCCCAGTGATTATCGGCCAGAAATTTTCCAATGCCAAATGACTGGTTGCGAAAAGCGCTGCCAAAATCGTAAATGCCATCATTCAGAATTATGGCCGCAGCACGGTGCTCGTAGGCAACTGCCCTTGGCACCAAGTAACCGCCCATACTAATGCCATACAAGAATACTTTGGTTTGGTCCACATCTGGCCGTGAAAGGGTGTAGTCCATCACTGGTGTAATGACTTTCTCCCAATCATGCCTAAAAACTAACTTCTGCTGCCGCAAAGCTTCGCCTTGTCCTGGACCATCAAACGCCAGAACATTGAAACCGAGCTCTAGCGCTGGTGCGCCAAAGGTTAAACAAACTTCTTCCTTGACAGAGTCAAAGCCCCCGTTGAGTATGAGCGTTGGGGCCGGGGTCTGAGCTTTGTTGGATCGTACAAAGATACCCGGAAGAGTCGTGCCTTCATACGGAATGCTGACCTTCTCCAAGGTGTACGGCATCTGTTCAACGGCGGAGAAAAACATGGCCGAGCACAATTCTGACAAGGTCTTCGATAATTCGTCGTTGACTGGGTCCTCGCGACGGTAGAACTCGGCGGTTCGATAGTAGTTTGACGCGCGCAGAAACGCATCCCTGGCACCGGGCTTATTCCCTTTTGATAAGCTGATGCGTGCATTGGTAGCCGCTCGATCAGCAGCGCTCCGCCACTCTTGAAGCCAACGATCCTCATTGCCGGACGGTATGCGCGAACAGATGGAGATGACTTCGCCCAAATCCGCGCCCCCGAAATTGCAGACACCGGCCGCCCTCATGGCCTCGTAGCTAAAGGACGGATTTTGAGGGAAGAAGTGCTGTAGCAGGAATGCCATGATTGATTGGTAGATGTATAGATAGATAGATAGTTATTAACCAAGGTAGATATTGTTATGGATAGATCCAGTAGAAGTTCGCACAATCAAGGGTCTTTATATAGATTCTGAGATACAAGACGTCATAAGCAAGGAAGTGTGGGGAATGCGAAAACGCATACCCCATTAGGAAATATCTAGATTGGGGCAAAAAGAAAACTACAACAGATCGTCTACCGAGGGAGGCGTCTCCCCTTCTCCCATTGGTCGAGTATCTGGATGGGCCATTCCATCAGACGGCTCCATCGCCCCGTGAGGTTCGCAGCAATGGCACGCACCTCCTGCACCCCGGCAGTTCCAATCCACCAGATGTGCTCGAAGGAGACCAGGTAAGCAAAGTAGTGCGCAAGTAGAACCAGGGACCTCGGCTCCGCATCGCGAATCAGTCCCACAAGCCGGTCGTGCATGAACATGGGGAAAATAATTAGTCTCCTGCATATTTGCCCCTCCTCCATTCCACTCTGAGCTGCACCTCTCAAGTCCCCGAAAAACCGCACAGCCCATTCATACGCCTCCCGCACTTCGTCGTCCCAAGCTTCCGTTCTGGCGTCTTCGGCATCCCGCTGTAATAGGTACTTAAGGTCCTCATACCCTCGCTCGCTACTGGCTTTGGGTACTTCAAAGGTCGTGACCTGCTTAAGACATTGCCAGGCTATGGAATTTGGCTTATCTTTGACAATGTCATAGGCCTCGGTGAACACGGCAACCGCTGTTTTCGCAAGCGTGAGCCATTCGATTGGTGGACTGTACGGCTGCAGGGTACGATGCTGAAGTAAGCCAAAAGCGAATGCCCGGAATATCGAGGATGTCACGCAAATAGCGTCAATGTTGTCGGTGGTAATGTTGCCTAGGTCGTTCTGGTGGTGCCTGAGCGCCATTGAAAGGTATCTTCGGTGGATGTCCAAGGAAGCCACAGTGTCATCTTCTTGGCTGCAGCGTGCTTGATCGAGCGCGGCCATGGAATACATGCCATAGAGCATTGCGTCGTTCTGGAAGCAGAGCTCTAGAACGGCCTTGGTGTAAACCGACCGGGAGAAGTCATCAATGCTGATGGATTCTGCAGTCTTGCGGACATACTGGCACATGAGCCTTGCCTCCAGGAGCCGTCGTTCTCGCGACTCCGGTGGGTCAACCAAGTCTACGTCGGATTTACACAGGTCGCTGTAAGACGTGGCGCCAGAATGGGACCCCTTGGGGGTTTGTCTCTTAGGTTGCGCACCAAGATAGACGCAGGTTGCCCCGTGTCGCTTACAGTTCTGGCACTTGGGCTTGGCCTCATCGCACTGGGTTGCGGATATGGCTCGATCAGTAATCATTCTTTATGTTTACATGTATTGCTGGTCAGTGCGGTGCTTACTTTGACGCGACGAGTTTTGCACCGCTGACACCCGAATCTGGATTTCTTCATATTGAGCTTGGGAATGCGGTAGGATCCGCCAGACTTATCCTCGAGGTTGTACGAAGTGAACATGGTGGCGTTAAATAGCAAGGGAGGCGCGTTGATGCAGATAACTTTTGGATCAAACTCTGCAAAAAATGCTGCGCTGTTAGCCTCCAATAGTAGCTTTTGATTGCAGAGTGGAGAATGCACATACCCAACTTGAACTAAGTAACCAAACCCCGGACCCCGGGAAAATCACTTTAGCCTTGCACGCATGATATGAGTGGCTAAAGCACTGGAATTTAATGCTGGAATACTGTTTGGGCCTCGTGGCGAGACGTTAGCCATATTTCTAGGTCGTATTATGCTTCCGATAGAGCTGATAGTGCCAGGTAAGCACTAATCTACCTAGGAGGTTTGTAGCCCCGTATCGATGTATGTATGTACGTTGCTCCCCTCAAACCTGTAAATGCCCTGAAGTAAGCATTAAGTCAAGAGTATATGTCTGCTATATACATGGCTCCTCTTTTATTGTAGGAAGATGCTTCCTGGACAGCGGTTTTTGGAAAGCTAAATATAAATACGATTTAACCTGGCTATAGTGAGTAGAGGGTCTCCCGATCTACAAACTTACTATCTAATATTAGCTCCAACATAGAGATGAATGGCACTCTAAAATAATACTTTATCTAATTGTCCAAAGAAGAATTTAAACAATCGAATTAAATATAGACATGATCGATGAATATGGACATGCCTTCTCGGAGTTACAGTCAGGTTCTACTCTCTGACTACTGCGGAATCAAGCCATGAAGCTTTTGTCAAAAATAAAGTTCAAATCATCATCCTCAGAGTCGCTTCTCTTCTTTTTGCCGGCAATAGCTGGAGAAGGAGTTCTGCCTCGCTTGGAGGTGCGCGTACGTTCGGGGTTAAAGCTTCCATTGACCTATAATAAGCGTAAGCATTAAGTCAAGAAATTATACTTCAGGTCACCCTCAGTAGTCTATTTAGTGGATCTACTGAAGCTTTAGCCATTGTACATGAAGCTTTGAACGTATTGAAGGTATTCAATCAAAAACCTCTACTATTTGAGGCAAACACATGGTCATATTGACTTCTCAGGATGCCAAACGGATTCAAGGACAACACCAAACTGATAACCAGAGTGCTCTAGATATGTTTATCTAGCTAGTGAATGGAGACAGACATTGAGATGTTCCCAGGATCTTTATCCCCAGTTAGCCAACTAATGCGAATTGAGATTGGAGTGCTCCGAAGGCCTTTATTGTCTATTTAGCCAATGATTGTAAAGTAATACTGGAGTGTTCCTGATATCTTTAATATCCAACTAGCTCATGAATGTAATTGATATTGACAGGCCGCCAGCCATCCAAATCCTTAATCTCATATCCATGTACAAAGATTCTTTGTGTACGGTGGGAGCGGTATCCGGACATTACTTTGTTTCGGATTGGAAATACGGTAATATTCCCTATACAAAGTCGTTGCCCGGCATATATCTTACCAATAAAAGCCTTCCAATAGGTTCTCTATTGAAAGTATATGCTTATTAAACAAACATCTGTATGAGCCGTGGAGTTATAGGCCTCCGTAGGCTTTTGGCCTTGCATAAAACTCTGTCAGGCAGAGGCAATACTGTAAACAGGCAAACAATGAACTTTTCCTTTCTAGTTTGTGTGACAGAACAATAGCATTATTGCCTGAAGGACACCCACCGTCATCACGTCTGCCTTCCAAGGTTCCGGTCACAATCCTAGGTATAAAAACAGCCAATGCCCAGCCAACGCCCACTGAAAATTTGTCTTTCCACACTTACGCCAACTTTCAACCTTCATCGTTCATCGTTCATTTTTCCTCAGAAAATGTCAAAATGGACCAACGTGACACGTGGTTCCGCAACCTCGAGGGCCGAATCTTCAAGATTAAAGCACTCAACATGTCAATCAAAATGGAGGAACAACTGACAGAAATTACGGACCCTAGAATAGCACAGATGCACGTCTTGACTCATGTGCGCGTACAAGAAACTGGATCTAGGGTGATGGTCAAGATCCGATATGAGTGAGTCCTTCCCATCCATTGATTCAACCGCACCCAACTTTGCTAATCAACGTGTTCCTTCTTGTTCGTACAGTCTCAACCCTGAAGAATTTGGGATAGAGGATGTCGAGAAGAACAAAGCGATTGTCGACCGTCACATTGACTGGAAAATCGACATCATGGACCAGCTAGCTGACATCGGACATGGACCAGAGCACATGCATAGTGTCCGCTACAAACAAGGCCCGACTTTTGCATATCCTGGGGGCTACGGTTTTGTTATGGTCATGAAGCAAGCGCCTGGTGAAGATGTCGAAAAGATCAGAAACCAACTCTCAGGCGAAAAGCTTCATAGCATCCGGAAGCAACTCGCTTACATACTGAACGAATTGGCGAGATCAGACTCCGAGAGTGCACCACGGCCGGCAGGCTCGCTGCCTTATCACTCCCGTAGACATTATGTCGAAAACGAGCCTACGCCTCGTCAATCTCCTCAGCGTCGCGGACCACGAACACTTTCGTATGTCGTACCCCGGGAGATATTATCTGGGTCTCGTGGATCCCCTCTGAGTGCTAGGCCACAAGTACCGCGGGAATCACCGTCGGGCGCTGTAGAAGGCTTGTCTGATCTGCTACAGGCGGCAACAACGGACGAAATGAGTGGAATAGCCGGACGAGGTGGAAGAGGTGGACTATCTTCCTCAGGACCAGAGGAGCACATCCGTTAGAGCATGTGGAAAATTGATAGCTAATTTCCCCAATTTCGAGAGATGCAATTGCTTTGACTGATATTTCTCGACTGATGTTCAACACGTAGGTATTTCTATGTAATGCCACATCAAGATCGGACACTACCTATACTTAGTTATACACACTGACTATCTGAAGTGAGAATATCCCCAGCCGCAATCTAGAAAGGGCGACAGCTCGCGCTATTTGATGTCGGTGTTGAAGATGTCGATATCGATGCTATAGGGACGACATGCAATGCAATGCTCATTATGGCACAAAAGTAGCTCTTGTCACGCAATCACCCCGCGCAGCCCCGACGGCCACTGATTATAAACTCCCGTTTCCGCAGTCCCTTCCTAGTTCTTCTTCTCTGCAGTTTTACTGTTAGAAAGAGTTACAAGCAAAAAACACACAGCAATGGCAGCCGCAACTGTCCAGCGTCAGCCGGATATCCAGTATCATCCCGATTATCCAAAGTATGCGGATCGCACCGCAAGACGCCTGGAGTCGGAGACTCTACCTAAGGTTTTGCCACCGGGACTGCCACAGCAGCTTGCTGCATCTTTTGTTTGGGATGGCAAGGATATCCAGGGACGCGATGACTGGGTTGTTGTTCTGAGTGACCGTGACGTGGAGGAGATTGACCAAGCGTTGAACCATTTTAAAGGTAACCAATTTGCGTTTCCAAGTCAATATTGTATCACTGATGGCTCCTCATCAGCATTGAACCTATCTCTTGGCCACATCAATCAAACAACCTTTCCGTTACCAATTCTCCATAATCTGCTACGGGAACAGTCACGGAATATTCATTTTGGTCGAGGGTTCTTTGTTCTCCGTGGTATACCAGTAGACAAATACTCCCGGGAAGATAATATCATTGTCTACACTGGTGTCTCATCCCACGTAGCCGATCTTCGAGGCCGGCAAGAGAAAAGGAACGCCGCAGAGGGGCAGACAGTGGTCCTCTCACATATCAAAGATCTAACTCCGACGTACAGCAGGGAGTCGATTGGAGGTCCTGCGGCTACAAATGATAAGCAAGTATTCCATACTGACTCAGGAGACATTGTGTCTCTGTTCTGCCTCGAGTCAGCAGCGGTGGGCGGCGAATCACAGCTAGCAAGTATCTGGAATGTCTATAATATTCTGGCAAAAAACCGTCCGGATCTCATTCACACATTGACGGCCGACTGGGTGCTTGATGGGTAAGATCTCAGAATCAGTGGCCTCAATTTCAGTCCAAGTACGTTAATAGCCCCCCTCCCAGGTTTGGTAATCCCGTGACTCCGTATACCCTGAGACCTCTCCTCCATTACCAGCCCACAACAGCCGAAGCACCAGAACGACTTATAGTGCAATATGCTCGACGATACTTTACTGGATTTTCAGGCCAGCCACGATCGGCCGATATTCCACCGATAACTGAAGCCCAGGCAGAGGCATTAGATGCTCTGCATTTCCTCGGCGAAGAGCATAGCGTTCGGCTAGATTTCCAGAAGGGAGATATCCAGTACGTAAACAACTTGGCAATTTTCCATGCACGAGAGGGATTCGAAAATGCTCCGAAAAAAGAGTAAGTAAGCGTGTACACTGCATTTTGGAAATCGCGATTAACCTCTTTCGGCAGACGTCATCTTCTTCGCCTATGGCTCCGAGATTCGGAATATGCTTGGAAGACACCCGAACGGCTACAGAACCGCTGGGACGAGATCTACAAAGATTTGTCGGCGGAGGAGCAGAAATTCCCTCTCGAGCCGACACTGAGAAATGTGCTTGTGGCCAAATCTGCAGTGAAATAGAGTAGTTATGAATTTGTATCTAGTAGCGAATGGTGCTATGCTCCTGTTACGGTCCAAGCTGTTCTTATGATTCTGTCATAGCATTAGTGAACGGTGTCATTTGTTACGACTGAATAATCCTATACCTAAATGGCTAATTAGGTAAAATAGTTAGGTAAGCTATGTATAGCTTCAAAAATGAGTGTTCACATTTTAGAATCTTGGAATCTATGTACAACGGGTTCCAAAAGTATGTGCAAGATAGTATCAAAAGGGTTTGCTTCTCAAGCCAATTGCTGCATGCAAGAACATCGAAAAAAAGAATATTCTTAAACCGGAATTGTTTGTGCGTACTGCATGAACAGCAAGGCTAAAGCGCGCGCGCGCGAGAGAAAGGGACAAAGGTCGTGAAGCGATCGACTCAAAATCAGATGCTTTGACCGTTATAGGCCATATAGGCGGTAAGAGCAAGCTTGCCAGGCACAACATTGCCGCCAATACCGCCGGTGCTGGCCTCACTGGTTTCGCTGTAAGCATTGTAGGCACTTCCGAGACTATTGGTGATGTAGGAAGTCTGGCCGTCACCAGTCAGCGCTAGACCAGGGTAGTCGGTTTTGCCATTGTCCAAGGCTACCAGAGCAGAGACATCAAAGCCGCTCCAGCCGTCGTTGATAGTAGTATCAATGTTGAATTCACCCCAGAAACCCATGATAATGCCATCAGTAGTGCTGCGAGGAACGCCCACCGAGGTTGGAGAAGTGACAAAAGCACCCTGGGAATCGACATCAATGGCGACATAAGATTTTTCACCGACACCAATGGTGACGGTCAAGGGGAAAGTGGTATCGAAGAAGCCGGCGAGCTCGCCCTCTTCATTGCAGTTGTTCCAGAAGTAAGCCGTGTATTCCTGTAGGATGAAAGATCCATCTAGAGTGACAGTCCAGTTGTACGAGTCCAGCTCGTCCTCGGTGATCTCAATGATGTTGGAGCCGTAGGGGATACCAACATTACCACAGTACGTGTCCCCAGTACCGGAGGGCGAGGTGACGCCTCCGAAGCCCGAGCTGGTGGTAGTAGCAGTGCTTTCGGCAGTGGCAGTAGCAGCAACCTCACGTTTTTCGTGGTGGCTGCGACGCTCATGGCCATGTAGACGCGCTGTAGCGCTGCCGGCCAGGAGAGCCGTCAAAAGGACAATGGTGTTCTTGATCTGCATGTTCAAAGTGTTTACCTTGGAGTTCTGAAAGGAGTGTGAAAGTAATATAAACAGTGTGAGGTCAAATATAAGGAGCGTGGGTTTGCTGAAGGAGCGACAGTGAGCTTGTTGCTCAATAAATGATACTAAGGACCAAGGTCAACGACAAGATCGGAGAGCTTATTCTTCGACGGTCACTGGAAGCAACTAGCTTCTTATATACTGATCTCAGACAGGAACCAGGAACCTTTGCAACACGGAAGGGGGGCTCTTCCTTCGAAACCTGGACTCCCACTCTTTCTAGACAAGGTGCCATTGACAAGGAGAATTTTATTTCGCCCCCGCTGGGGCGTCAATTGGCGTATAAGCCACCGTTGCTTTGGAGCTCTTGCATCTAGATTGTAGGTAATAATACAATATCCCTATGGACGCCCATCGGCTGGTCAATTGTGTACTATAAGCCCTAGTCACTAGGGATTTTCATCGCAACATTTCGTTGACTCAAGGAATAAGGTCCCGGATACTGTCAACCTGATCGCTTGCTGACTGAAGTCTTGCTGGAGCGTGCTGATGTTGTGGTGGCGCCAGTCATGTTTCATCGCGCGAACTATGTACGGTACCTGCAGTAAGGTAGAGTAATTAATCTTCCGATGTTAGATGGAACCTGGGGGCCTAACTTGCCAACAGAGATGAAAAGTAAACAAGTTTTTGGTTTTTTCTCGGCAAAGAAGGAAAATTTTATTAGCCACTACCAGTTGTACTAGCTATGCTGACGAGGCCTTCCGCCGTAGCTTGTCAGCGATGTTACATTCAATATCATATTCCTGAAATTGTGGGCCAAACGTCTTTTCTATTGACCACTCGCTGCGCATCTACACATTTTCTTATAGTCTCGCCAGATGACAAACAACCTTATGTTTAAATTCAAATATTGCCCAGCAAGTTCGCCACCAAGCCACGAGCAATCACGCACGTGGAACCTTGTTATATCAGTGTCACCTGTATTGCAATTTCAAGGTTTCAAGGTTGCAGCCGTGTTAAGAGGCGTCAGAAAACATTATGCATGATGCCAAAGCCTGGGTGTTCCGATGCTAGATTATAGACATAGACTGCCATGCACATCGAATGTCGACTTGGATGTGTATTTGGTTCTCTCTATTGATCGATTCTAGTCTCAGAGCCGTTTCCCACTTGCCTTGATTAGCTATTTTTTGAGTGACGATCTAGCGTAACGCGCTCATCCGGTCAACTAAGTGTGCTGTTGACGTTCGCCCCATAAGATAAAATTCGGCATGCCACTCTAGCCTGAAATATTTAGGATTTTGTGTGTTTTAGGATGTGTTAATCTTACGCCACAATTATAGCGTATCCAGAGCAGACTTCCACTAGTGAAGAATTATTTTGATATTCTCCTACTTATCATGGTGCATCCTCGCTAGAAAATGGTTATAAAGCTCTCAAGAAGAATGGTATAACTACTCATTAATCAAGGTCGCTTTTCTAAGCGGCTACCACTCTGTTCCTTTGGATATCCAATAAGTCTACTTTAGGTCAAGGCCTATCAATTAGATTCCCCAGATTGTTACAACCCGCCCAATTCCTTACTGATGTCGACCCTCTCGACTTCTTTATAAGATGTTAGAATGAGAATACATAACTTCAGTTGCTGGTATTCTGCCGGCGACGCCGTGGGGGGAATTGGTAACTCATCTCTAGATTTCGGTCAGACAAGAAGTGGATAAGAAAATGCCAGGGCGCGAAGAAATTGTTACCACAAGATCTTATCAGCAGAAGTAACAATAGCCAAATTATCCATATGGAAGAAAAGCCATTACGGGTACATTCACTACACGGAATCGGAATTCTCCCGGCAATATCCCGAAGTCGGTGATAGTTGAGGAGTGCATGGAGGGATTGAATCGGAGAACATGACTCTGAAACAAATCAGCATGAACGGAGCTGATTATGAGACGAAATCATTATTCTTTCCCCCTAAATCAGCACATAGGGTTTGGTTGATGCCAAACACCTACTTTAAGCTTTAGTCTACTGGAGGAATCCGAAAACCGCCGGAACGTTCCAGGCTTCTTCCGACGTCGGGTATATCATTTTGTTTAATCCGGGCAACCTCGCCGATGTTGCCAGGTACATTTATGGCAAAAGAAACTTAGGTTGAAATGTACAAATGTACAATCATACATCAGCGGTAGCAACTCGAGGACTTCGTGTTGCAAGGAGTACATTTCCACGCTACATAATGTCTCAGTCTCAGAGCAGCAGCGTTGCGCTGGCAGTCTTGTTCCAGGACATCGTACCACCCATGATTAACGGTGCTCGAAAGCCCAAAAAACCCAATGGTAAATAACCTCTGACCCGCGGCCATGAACGACTAGTTCGGAACATGGAGACTGACTGTGTTCATAGGTTATAAGGATTCTGGAGCTGACATTGCCTATACATTGCAGCAGAAGGGTATCAAGGTGTTGACACCAAAGAGCAGCCCAGATCCTCTCTCGGACGCTGATTGGTGTTTCCCCGATACAGAAGACGGGATTTTGGCTGCGGTTCGACAGGGTGCTACGCATCTGTGGGCGAATACAATATTATTCACTGCACACCCGTTGCAGAACTCAGCCGAATTACGGCCATATGGCTCTCAAATACACATTATTGGTCAACCGCCCAGACTAGTGGAAAGGTTCGATGACAAGGCCTACCTCAATGACAGGCTACGGGATCTAGAATCTTATACCCTGCCTAGATCGTGGCTAGTTCAGCCTGAGAATCTTGACCTTCTCAATGAATCCATCGAAAAATATCCTGTAGTTGCCAAACCCGTTCGCGGCCGTGGAAGCTATGGTGTTAAAGTTTGCCATGACCAGACTGCACTGCAAGACCATGTTGCTGGACTTCTGCAAGAGTCACCCACAGTAATGATCGAGGACTATCTTGCCGGGGAAGAGGCCACCATTACTGTGATGTCCCCTTCGCCAGAGCGACCGGAATATTGGTGCTTGCCACCAGTCACCCGGTTCAATCATTTTGAAGGAGTCGCGCCATATAACGGCGTGGTTGCAGTCACAGCAAACTCCCGGATTGTCAGAGACGAGGAACTGGCGAAGGACTCTAGTTATCAAGCGATCATGGACGAGTGTCAACGAGTGGCAGAGTTGATTCAAGCCAAAGCTCCAATCCGAATAGACGTTAGGCGGTTCTCCGAGGGTTCCAAATTTGCCATTTTCGACATCAACATGAAGCCAGTAAGTTATTAGAGTATCCAGGTCTGCTATGTCGAAATCATGACTGACGGATTTGTGAATAAGAACATGACAGGGCGTGGTCGACCTGGCCGAGAAGATCAGGACAGTCTCACTGCTATGGCCGCTGCTGCGATAGGCTGGGACTACGGAACCTTGCTGCAAAAGATCCTCGATGCTTCTCAAACTCTATCATCTTTCCGTGAATACCACAGCTCTATTTAGACGTTCGGGCATATGCCTGGCATGCTACCCAACACAACAACTCGGTTTCCTTCCTACTCTGTACGGAGAGACTGACGATCATCTATAATAACTTCGTCGACTTTGTTTAACAGTGTAGGCATTGGCGTTCAACCGATTTCTGACGAAACTCTGTGCGGGGCATTGATTGGTAAGAGGCGAGGAGGCCCGATGCTTGAATGTGGCTCTGGGTAATAGAACTTTGGACATACGAATGCTACCCCGGTACCGAAAATATACTATCTATAGCTTGATGCTTGAATAACTAGCGGATATATGGGGGGTCAGACTTACTGGGGTCGGGAAAAAAAAGCCTAAATAACAAGCGTAAATTACGACAGTTGGCGCTAGTAAGAACCGGGGCTGTCATTGTATGTACGCCGTATGTACTGTAATGCCCCGGGGTTGTTTTACGCGTTGACGCACTGCGTTTCTTGTCTGAGAACGTACTCCGGTGACTCAAAGGCGTGCTTTACCATGTGAAAACCGGACACCGGAGACCGGGGCCCATAGTAATGAAGGCTCAACAGTTTAGCTTTCGCCTAGCCACGGAGCAACAGAGGGAAATGGAGTTCGTATCCGCCCACCACGACTGTCCTGAAAATCGGACCCTCGGCAAATCCATCAGAAGAGGTTGAGAACGGGCATGCCCCGCTGTCCCCATCACTCCGGAACGCCAGAGAGTCCCTCGTTGCCTGAGGCAGTTAGTAGATGACATGGGTTTACGAGAATCAATCAACAAACATTACAGGATGCAGCGAACCAGGGCCTACGCAATAGTAAACATGTGCATTGCATGAATCACGTGTCCATCTCAGTCTGGGCCATCAACTCCTCTCACCGGCCGAGGAAAACCTAGCTACCTATCCTCTCTGCTGATGGAGATAATGCTATGAAAAATGGCACGCATGATTCCTCGTACGCTGGCTCGCAGCATCTTCAGGCGGTCGTACGGTACTGTGCAAGGGGCATCGACCGCTGCTGCGACAGGTGGCCCCGTGGCGCCATGGACTTCCCCAACTATTCCCTCTGTTGTAAAAGATGCCACTGCTGCCCAGGTACCCCGGACGACGTGGACGAGAGAGCAGGTTCAGCAGGTCTACGAGACTCCGCTGAGTCAGTTGACACATGCCGCAGTATGTTCTGAATACTCTTGCAATTGCCAACCTTTCTTTTGGTAGAGCAATCGATATGAGCTAACTGCAAACCATCGAGGCCATTGTCCACCGCCGCTTCCATGACCCCGCTGCAATCCAAATGTGCACGCTGATGAATATCAAGACGGGCGGATGCAGTGAAGATTGCTCCTACTGTGCCCAATCTTCTCGGTACAATACCGGTCTCAAAGCCACAAAGTTATCGCCGGTCGATGATGTACTGGAGGCTGCTCGAATTGCCAAGGAAAATGGGAGCACCCGATTCTGTATGGGTGCTGCATGGCGCGACATGCGAGGTCGTAAAACCAGTCTGAAGAACATCAAGGAGATGGTCACGGGTGTACGATCCATGGGCATGGAAGTTTGCGTCACCTTGGGTATGATTGATTCTACGCAAGCCAAAGAACTTAAAGATGCCGGGTTGACGGCATACAACCACAACCTTGATACGTCGCGAGAATATTATCCATCTATCATCACATCGCGAAGCTATGACGAGCGGCTACAGACGCTTAGCAATGTCAGGGACGCTGGAATAAATGTCTGCTCTGGTGGAATTCTGGGCTTGGGAGAAGCTGACTCAGATCGTATCGGGCTGTTGCATACAGTTGCCACCTTGCCTTCTCACCCCGAGTCATTCCCTGTTAATGCTCTTGTTCCCATTAAGGGCACACCCCTTGGAGACCGTAAAATGATCTCTTTTGATAAACTGCTCCGTACCATCGCCACTGCACGAATCGTCCTCCCCGCAACAATTGTTCGTCTGGCAGCTGGCCGTGTCAATTTGTCCGAAGAGCAACAGGTGACTTGCTTCATGGCTGGTGCTAATGCTGTTTTCACGGGTGAGAAGATGTTGACAACCGATTGCAACGGCTGGGACCAAGATCACGAGATGTTCCAACGATGGGGATTCTATCCCATGAAGAGTTTCGAAATTGAGGCAAAGAAAGAGAAAGCCGCTGGATTGGCAGACATAACAAGCGACACAGTCACGGTTAGCAACTAGATACCTGAGCGACAATATCATAGGTGTTGTGCCGTCAAAGAGTCTGAATATATTCGTTTTGCGTTTATTTATTATTACACACAAAGGAATAACATTCATAGTTTCCCTGTGCGTCTTCGGTAATGAGCTTCCTCGAAGCAACACGAGAGAAAGTGTTAAGTTAGTTTAGTGACTACGAAAGAACCAAAGATCAAAAAGGTTACGACAGAAGTAGTTAGGCACCGGGGGGGGGCCCACATGAGTTACATATATTACCAATCAAAGTACTCGAATTACTTACGTAAGTAAAAGACGACCAATCAGAACGCTGAGAACCCACTTTGAGCTAGAAATTGATGTCAATTTCTGTATGGGAGAAAAAAGAATAATATGCATGCGTGGTGTTGATATTGATAATGGACGCTATGAACAAAGTCTCCCAGAGTACCCTCCTACAACCTGGACCTTTCGGATTGCACCGTCGCCCACTGCGAAATCGCGTCAACCAGCCGGTCGATTTCCTGCCGAGTGTTTCCTGCGTGCAAGCAGACTCGCACTCGTTCCTGGCCCAAAGGAACAGTCGGTGCCATGATGGGCCGGACTACGAGTCCACGCTGTTGGCAGTATTGGGCTAGCTCTCGTGGCTTTCTTGACCGCACCGAAAATATTGGGGACCGGTCGTGGTAGTCAGTTTGAAGGATAGCTTTATCGATTGTACCGCTTAACTCGTCGCAGCGTGACCGGAAGTACGAAATGTTGAGCTGCAAATTCGACTGGAGCTATGTAGAAGCGGTGTTGTTAGTATGGGAAATTGACAATAAGGAGTAAAGCCGTACCGATTGGGTTTTTCCTTTACACATTAGCTCATAGGCAGTGCGAATCGCAATGAGTGCCGGATGGCTCATGGCAGTAGTGTAGATAAGGCTGCGAGCGTAGTTTATCAAGTATTCTCTCGTCAAGGCATCACACAAGACGATCGCTGAATGGCGAGGAGCTGCGGGTTAGCAATTTCTCGAATAGGTAGTGCCGAGTTGAAACGTAAAAACATACCGCCTTGGCTCGCCAAAGACTTTCCAAATGTGTGAATGCGTATAAACACGTCTTCTTGGACACCTAACTCTTGAACAACCCCGGCTCCATTACGCCCAAAGACTCCTGTTGCATGTGCTTCGTCCACCACAAGGTAGGCGTTTCTTTTAGGGAATAACCCGTGTATCAGTTGAATGATCTTGTGCAAAGGCGCTATGTCTCCGTCCATACTATACAAGGTTTCAACTGCAATGAACACGTTGTGACCGAACTTCGAGTCATTTTCAACTAGATCTAAGAGGACTCTTTCTAAGTCGTCAACGGAATTGTGTCGGAAGGCAAGTTTCTTGTCGGCTCGAGAAAGTCGCATTCCCTCATGCACACTTGCATGGATCAGCTCGTCGTACACAATTGTATCACCGGGCTGTGGAAGACACGAGAAAACCCCAGCATTGGCATCAAAGCCCGAGTTAAACAGTAATCCGGCGGGGGCATTGTGGAATTCAGCAATAAACTGTTCCAATTGTTCTGCGTATTCAGAGTTGCCATCCAGGAGACGAGACCCCCCGCTTCCCAAAGGCGGCGCCTTGTTTGGAGGGTGGTAGCAAGCATTCAAATCTTGCAAATATTGTGACTTCAACAGCGAGGACCGTGAAAGCGATAAGAAATCATTGGACGAGAAATCAACAGCGTCAGCCGGGAGCACAGTCAGTCTTCGTCTGGCCGATCGTGCCTGTCTGTGATCCAATGCTTGTTGGAATGCCTGTCTCAACGGAACCATTTCTATTTAACGGCGGGGGAAGAATGTTCAAGATTGCCCATCATTATGACTACAAACACAGCCCTGGGGAAATCGAAGCCATGTCCAATAGGCATTTGGCAATAAGAACAATAATACTGCGACAAAAACCTAGGCACCCCTGCGGTATTCAAAAACATAATGACACTCGGTGGATAGGCATGGATCCTGATTACTGTTGGTAGGTAGATCAATCAACACTGGCAGCAAGATGTGGCACAAAGTCCTCGAATTAACAATCATTGGCCCACTGTGACTCAGTGCTTTTGTCAGGGGTATTTGATGCAGGATGCGCAAGTGTTGGGATGTGATGTCCCACTAAGGCTCGGCTGAAGGGATTGTGGTAATTTTCGGTTCCGCCTGGAAAGACAAAAGTAATATTTCATTACGGGTACGCAAAATAATGGCAAATTTGGAACAAACGGCTATCTTGTTGAATTTTTGCAATCGTTGTGTACACTAGTCAACGATACATGCATCTTGACCGGCAACACAACCCTCGCGGTAATTAACAGTATGCAACACCAATAACAATCACTGCCCCGGTGTAACTTGTGTCCTTCTTCTTTACTCTTGCAATTCCCAAGCATACCTAGCCATGGCACCAGTTGGCGCCGCTCTATGGCGTACATTACGTGCCCATCAAGTGTACGGCGCCAATACAGATGTCGGCAAAACAATTGTGTCGACACTGCTGGTCAAAGCACTGTCAGATAGAGGCAAGGTTGGATTTATCAAGCCTGTGTCTACCGGCTCACTAGATGACGCAGATGATAGGTATATACATGTCCGAACCCATACTGCCGTGGCCTCTAACCGTGCTTATCAATCGCTCTAGACATGTTGAACGCTTCACAGCCAGCAATGGCAATGTCTTAACAAAATGCCTCTATCAATTCGACGAGCCTGTTAGTCCGCACATTGCTGCTAGATCTAAAGTAGTGAGTGGAATGTATCCGGCCACAAATATGTTGTGCATATGACTGATTGAAATCAACAGACACCATCAGACAGTGAAATCCTGAACTCTTTATACACTTCACTGAGCTGTTGGTCGACATCTGGGGTTAAAAATGCTGTTGTTGAGACTGCAGGTGGCGTCCATTCTCCTGGTCCTAACGGAAACAGCCAGGCAGATCTCTACCGTCCGTTGAGACTTCCAGTGATTTTCGTTGCTGATTCGCGTCTGGGCGGAATTTCCTCATCCATATCGGCATTTGAGTCTCTGTTACTACGAGGTTATGATATTGACTCAGTTTTGTTGTTCCGGGACGATTACTATCAAAATCATGAATACCTGCAATCGTACTTTACAAAAAGAAACATCCCTCTATTAGCTTTCTCGCAGCCCCCGTTACGCCCTGAGGGAGCAATAATGGCTGACTCGCGGGCACAAGATCACGAAGTTATGGAAGCATACTACACAACAATTGCAGCTCAATCGGACATTGGATCGCTCCTAGACGAGATCGAACAAAGACACGTCTATCGTATCAAAGATTTAGATTCGATGTCAACACGAGCATACGAGGCTATTTGGTATCCGTTCACACAGCACCAGGACATGCAGCCCAAGGATATAACGGTTATTGAGTCCGCCCATGGCGATTTTTTTCAGACCTTTGACGCAAATTCAGGGGCCCAAGACGGTTCAGATGCACCTGTATTACAGTCAACATTCGATGGGTCCGCCTCGTGGTGGACGCAAGGCCTTGGTCATGGTAACCCAGAACTAGCTTTGACAGCAGCACATGCCGCTGGAAAATACGGCCACGTCATGTTCGCCGGGGCTGTTCATAAGCCAGCGCTTACTCTGGCGGAACTTCTTTTGAAAAGCTTGGGGAATGAACGGCTACAAAAAGTATTCTATACTGATAATGGCAGTACGGGAATGGAAGTTGCCGTGAAAATGGCTCTTCGTGCGGCTTGCGTACGATATGGCTGGGACTCCTCAAAAGAGGAGGTAAAAATCCTAGGATTAAAGGGAAGTTACCATGGAGACACAATTGGGGTGATGGACTGCTCAGAACCGTCGACATTCAACAAGAAGGTTGAGTGGTATAGAGGAAAAGGGTATTGGTTCGATTTTCCGACGATAGGGATGAAACATGGCAAGTGGCGAGTTAGTGTTCCTGAGGTCCTGATACAAGATCTCGGAGAGGGAGAAGAATTCGACTCCTTGAACGATATCTTTGATCTGGAGAGCAGGGCGGGATCCGCTCTGGGGCAGAGATATAGTAACTATATCAAAGACACGCTTGAGCAGCTAGTTCAGGAACAGGGCGTCAAGTTTGGTGCTTTGATCATGGAACCGGTCTTATTGGGTGCAGGGGGCATGCTTTTCGCGTAAGTTGACTGACTTTTTCATGGGAAGACTAGGCTTCGGTAGCTGAATCAGTTTTTAGGGATCCTCTGTTTCAACGTTCTCTAGCAGACGTTGTTCGCTCAAACCCAGAGATATTTGGCACTGCTTCAATTGCCTCCCAAACTACTACTAACTGGTCCGGTCTTCCAATTATCTTTGATGAAGTCTTCACGGGCCTGTACCGTCTTGGTCGACGCACATCTGCTTCCTTTCTCAATGTCGATGCCGACATTGCCGTACACGCGAAGCTATTAACCGGCGGGCTGATTCCCTTGGCAGTGACAATTGCTAGCAAAGAGATTTTTGACTCGTTTCTAAGTTCCGAGAAGAGTGACGCTCTTCTCCATGGACACAGTTATACTGCGCATGCCATAGGGTGCCAGGTTGCTGAGGTTTCAGTAACGCGAATGATTGACATGGAAAACCAAGGACATTGGAATGGTTTCAAAAGGTCTTGGAAGTCGGCGTCAAACAATAGCGCTGAACAAGGAAATGGAATCTGGAGTCAATGGTCGGCCGATCTAGTCCAGAGTTTGAGTGGTGCAGAATGCGTTGAAAGCGTGTTTGCAATTGGCAGTGTGTTCAGTATTACTCTTCGTGATCTCGATGGTCAGGGTGGTGAGTTTTGAGAACGTCTACCCTTGAAAAGTGCACACTGACCTGCTTTCATACTAGGATACACATCAACTGCTGCAAAAGGGCTACAACAAAAGCTAGCCAATGGCGATGCCGCTGGTAGATTCAACGTACACTCAAGAGTACTGGGGAATGTGCTGTATCTTATGGCGAGCATGACTTCAAAGCCGGAAGATTTGAAGAAAATCGAGGTTTTGTTGCAAGGTGCTCTCTTAGGTTGGAATTGTCAGTAAGGTTGTAGACCCAAAATCATACAAGCAGCCTTCACAAAAGACATTTGTTTTATTATTATTTTTCGTACAAAAAGAATTGCAACTTTTAATGTCTTTATTCTTGTTTTGCAAGATGCAATCCAAGACACAATCTAATCATCATTTCTCTTGACGTCAAGAAATTGGCTATATGGATTCCTCATGGTTGTCAGTTGGGACAATTGGGCGCTGACTGGGAGCCTGAAGGCAGGAAATAGAGCCGACGTGACCGGTCTAGACTTCGAGGTTAACAGGAACCTCTAAATGAACGACTCGCATGGCCAATAACCACGTCGGCTTTCCTCGTATTCCCAGGGATCAAGAAAGTGATCTGCACTGCTTCCAACAGCGGCACGGCTTATCCTCCAGATGGGGGCTGTATATGGTTACATTCAATGATTGATGGTACATCCCGCTTGAAAGGAGCCTATTCCTCTGGTATGTGATGCCAAAATATAAATAAATATAGACTTGACTCCTTTATGCAGAATTAAATCGAAAATAAATAAACTGAACCACAATCGCCATGAAGGCCGTTCTATCGTTTTTGAGTCTATCGGCAATATGTGCGACTGCTGGTAAATCATCTGCTCGTTTGAATGGTATTCAGCTTACGCGTGCTGACTGAAGACTCTGCGTTAATCAAGCTTCGTTAGCCAGCGAGGTCCCCTCCCAATTTAACCTCATTATCTTATCCTCTGACCCTGGCATCAACGGGTCCGCTCTAATCGCCACCAATGACGAGGAGATCGATATCGAGGGAGTCCTTCAGCCTGTAGAAGGGCAGGAGACTCCAGCTATCTTCTACTTTGACTCGAAAACAGGTCGCCTCGTCACAACTTCAGAGACGAGCTACCAAGAACGCTTTGCCTATACCCTCTACTCCAACTATACCAGCAGCCTGCGTTTCGACATCGCATCAGACATCAGTGGCGGCATATACTACCCAAAATTTACAGTTGCTGCTGACGGATCATTCAGTGCGGGCAGCAATCTGACATGGGCGTGGTGTCCTGATGATTTCGACGCCGGCAATGGCTATTATTTACCAGGGAGCATCACGCTCGGTGCGATTGCCAAAGGGTGTGAGGCTATCGACGGCTTGGTAGCAGTTGCGGCATCGTCGTAGGCATTTCCATCGGTATCTTCGGAGTGCAGGTCACAAGTGACTGCGCGTGCATCTGTGATGTTTGTTTTTATCGGTTAAAATGTTACAGTCTTCTTAGAAAGTATCTGTAGAAGTTCTGTTAATGTTCTAGCCTATCGCAACTCCTGCATGTTCATCCTACAGAGGATCCTCAAAACTAATCATCATATCTGTCTTGACTTCCTCAACAATACCACGTTACGATTGGGCATCATCTCCGTGCCGATTTCCAACGACTTAGGTCTGCCTTGCTCACTGTCAGACAACTTCCAGTCAAACTTTACAATCAGTTGTGCTAATAGGAACTTCAATTCATGAGACGCAAAAAACCGTCCCGGGCATGCGTGTCTTCCCACCCCAAACCCTATCTGTTCTGAACTAGTGGTGGTGAGTTGATATCGACTTTCGTTTCCAGCCTGCTGGCGTAGGTTGTAGAAACGTAAGCCGTCAAAAGTATCCGGTTCAGTCCATATATTGGCATCTTTAGCAGGAGTTGCCGCAATAGTAACCCAGGCACCCTTAGGGAGGAGGGTGTTGTCGGATAGTTTGGTGGGTTTCTCGACGTAACGATGCATGGAAACTAGCGGAAAATAAAGTAAGTATTATGTCTATCGTCGCGGCATAGAGCGCACGTACTCATGCTGCTTGGATTCATCCGTTGGCTTTCCTTAATTACACTGTCCATGCGTTTCAATTTTGCAGGAGTCGTCGATTTCCACCCCTGGTCTTCTAGTAATACTTGAGACAGTTCCTCGCGTAGGCGGTCAATATACTTGGGATAAGCAGCAAGATCATACATCACGTTGATGAGTAGTTGAGATGTGATATGAATGGCTGCAACCGACAAGCAAATCTGAGCTAAAGTAATATCCAATGGCTTCTTAGTAACCTCGGAGGATTCCCGGAACCATTCAAGTGCGTCGTTGTTGGTATCCAACCCAGCGTTCTGTTTCCTCTGCTCCGCTCTGTCAGCCATTTCAGGCTCAATAATCCCACGAGCTTTACGCAAATGAGCACGTAGTTTCCGTGTTTCTGGTAGAAACCAGACCACAACCCGTCGCAAGATAGGTGACCAGAGATTAAGAACACGGGCAGCGTTAAAGACGTCTAAAGTGTAGTTGACACTAACGTCAATCCAATGTTGGTTTCTACAGAATTTGGGACCTAGGAATGCCAAAGCTGAAAGGCGGGCAATCATAGGGGCTGCGTGATGCCCAAAGGTACAGGGTGTCCAGTCTGTGTCCTTTCAATTAGGGATAAACCAAGTATGTAGAGTAAAAGCATTAGGCACACACCTGTTGACTCGGAGAATGTTTCAAGAACCGTGACCTCTGCTTCCTGGGCAAGCGGGGTAACTAGTCGATCTATGTACAAATATTGGTCAGCTTATGCCTTCACGGCGGAATTTCAACACGAGATCACAAAGCGTACTTAATCCCTGTGTAAGCTTAACTCTAATCGCATCCTGAAATACCTCGTTCTGGTTCAGGGAATTCAATCCATCAAAACCGGGATATTTCCCGTAAAAGTTACTCTCTACCGCTTTCGCGAAATCAAGGTTGGCGTGGTTCTTAATCTCGTCTATATATCGAGCAGGCAATATAATCATTGGTCGTACTGTCGCCAGCACTTGAAATGGTTTGCGGGTTTTCAGACCAGACGAGATGATTTCGCTAGCCGAGGTTACCCAGCGCGCTTTTGCGGCCGAGGTGCTGGTTGTCGATGCATCCGTCTCAATCAGGGGAATAGATGGGTAGAGGCGATATGAGAAATGAGCGCTGCCTTTGGAGAGGAGATAACATGACGAGATTGCGAAAATGATTGCCGTGGCCGTAATAATGCTCAATGAACCTTCATGACTGGAGGCCTTTCCGAAGAGAGACGAGATCGGATCCATGTTTTGCATGCGATGAATACAGACATTCAAGGATTATGAGCAAGATGGAATACCACCGGGCTGCTACCAGGCCTGCTAACATCTTCAACGCTGTCCACTCGGCCAGAAGAAGAATCAGATTAGAGGAGTAGAAGTGGACCACGACTGAGAGCTGAAGAGCACCACCAACAACGCTAAACAAGCCTAAAATCCAAAACCTGCGCTAAAAAAGCGCCACAGGTCAGTCCTGCCTCGGTGGAAAAGAGGATCTCGTATAGAGATAGAGTCCTCGTGCGTCTTCAAGATGTCTTGTTGGTCTTTGGCTCGACATCGGTAGATAGACAGCAGACACTAAGCACGCAAGCGGCAGATAAACGTTAGACTAACCAACGCGAGCACGCAGTAAGTAAGATACTAACTAGGCACGGTTAGCTGGTTATGATTATCAATTTTTTTGACGCAGTAGTGAAGTGGGCGCTGTTGTTGTCCTCCGCCAGCTGAACGATGAACGAGGAACGAGGAAGTTGAAGTTGGAAGTGGTTCGATGTGTAGAAGGAAGAAGGAAGAGAAGGAAGAGGAAAAATGGCGCCGGGCTGTCTCTTTCCCGCCGACAAGCCGCACGCGCGCGGCAGCCGCGACCGCCGCCTTGAACTGCAGCACGTCGACCTCGATGCTCTCACTCTGCAGGCTGCAGCGACGTTTTCCTGCGAGCACTGCGTCTCCGTAACATTATTGTTTATAGCGACATGGGCCGTTGTCCTCAGTCGCTATGCAGAGACAGAACATGTGCAGTTCGGCTTGGTCGCTCATCCTCATGCGGCCAAGGAAAACATGCTGTTGACGGCTGTCTCCCTCGATCAGGATATGCGAATGCGTCGATTGCTCGACGAGTCAAGCTGGGATACGCGTCTTCTAAGCGACAGAACTGATCGTGCGCTCTTCAATACGGCCGTAGTATGCGATGCTGACATCAAAGTCTTGCGACATGTAGGTGGATTCTTTCTTACCTTCCCTAAGCACCAAACCCAAGAACTAACTCTGCTTGCATTTACAGGAATGCGACATCCTTGTTGTGTTCAGTTCTTCGGAGTCCCCTAGCCCAACAGGCCGATTGATGTTTGCGCGGCACTGTTTATCATACATGCAAGCAGAGAATTTAGCCAGTACTATCGTGCAAGCCATGAAGAGCATCATGCAGTTCCCTGATAATCCAATCACAGAAATTGACCTGATTAGCCAACACCATCTTGACCAAATATATCGTTGGAACCGCTCCATCATAGAGGTTGAGCCGGAACGGATGGTCCTAGATGTCATCTCCCAACGCACCGCTTCTTGCCCGAATGCCCAAGCAATAGATTCTTGGGATGGTAATTTGACATATTCAGAGCTGGACGATTTATCCTCTAGATTGGCGCTACACTTGCGGACCGTGTTTGATGTATGCGAAGAGATGATTGTCCCGACTCTTTTCGAGAAGAGTCTGTGGGCGATCGTTTCTTTCCTAGCAGTAGTCAAGGCTGGAGGAATCTGTGCACCGATGGATCCGAAACATCCTATTGCCAGGCTTAAATCCATTGTCAGCAACGTTCAAGCAAAAGTTATTCTAGTTTCTGCTACGTATGCGAACCATCTCCAACCTGTCAAGGGGATATCTACGGTTGTTATAACAGGTCAGGAAATCCAACATTTGCCCACAGCAGCCATATCCCCTGCAAGCATAGTGCACCCAAGACTTGGTGCATATTGTATATTCACATCGGGCAGTACTGGGAAGCACAAAGGCTGTATTCATGATCACAGATCACTTGCCACCTGCGTAACCCTGGCCAATCGACTCTCTCTCCGCGAAGACAGTCGAGTACTGCAGTTTGCTTCATTTAGTTTCATACGCTCTGTTCTTGAGATATTCTGCACCTTGAGTGCTGGGGCAACATTATGTATACCCTCTGACCACGACCGCATGAATGCTCTTGGCGACGCAATCAACACATTGAAGGTAACCTTCGCGATGCCAACCCCAAGTATGGTTAGCACTCTCAATCCTGCCTCTGTTCCCACTCTCCAGACTCTTTTTCTAGGGGGTGAAACTTGTGAGAAAGATTTATTGGAAGCCTGGTTGGGGAAGACACACGTCGTCCAGGGCCTGGGCATGACGGAATCCGCAGGTTCGATAATATGTAATGACAGAATAAGTCAATCAACGGACCATCGAAATGTTGGATTCCCATTTCGAGGAACTTGCTGGCTAGTAGACCCATCGGATCATCGGAAACTTTCTCCAATTGGCGCTGTTTCTGAACTCGTGGTCGAAGGGCCAAGCCTGGCAAGAGGGTATCTGAATATGCCCGCGGAGACGAAATCAGCTTTCCTAGACATTCCCCCTCCGTGGTATCCCAGACGATGCGATTCAGACGAAGCAGTGAAACTATACAAAACGGGTGATTTAGTCCGTTACGACCTCGATGGATCGATCATTTACGTCGGTCGCAAAGGTACAGTTGTCAAGATACGAGGACAGAGAGTGGACATTGCTGAAGTTGAGCAAGTCATCTCTCAGACCTTTTCTCAGAAGACAAAAGTCGCAGTTGATGCAATCAGCCCACGGGATCGGCCAAATGGCAGTGTATTGGTTGCCTTTATTTGTCTTTCGAGCCCTACTGCAATCGGGAATAGCAACTCGGATATGTTGCACAACTTGTTCATGGCATCCGATGATAATTTCCTATCCCTCTTGAAACCAATCGAGGAGGTACTAAAAGAAAATCTTCCTACTTATATGATCCCAAATCTTTTCATATCGATCAGATCAATGCCCGTAACGGTCAATGGAAAACTCAATCGTCTTGAATTGAAACGTCAAGCTAGCAATCTACACTATGAGCAGCTTCAAGCCTTGTCATCGCCTCGCATGGGAGTAGTCAATGTATTGCCTGCGACTGTTACTGAACGTACGGTTCGCCGTATTGTTGCAGACTTGCTAAAGGTCGACCCTGAAAGGATCGGTATGGATCATAACTTCATTCGGCTTGGAGGAGACTCCCTATTAGCAATGAGAATGGTCGGAATGCTGCGAACCGCAGGCTACGTCCTCACAGTTGCAGATATTATGAACAATCCGAGTCTATCGAGCATGGCTCGTCTCGCAACTCCGATTGTAGACAGCGAATTTCGACGCGAAGAATTCACACCACTGTACAACTTCAATCCAGAGCAGCGAGAAGATATCAGAACGACCGTAGCAGTGCAGCTTCAGTTGGACAAGGCAAGAATCGAGGATATATACCTGTGTACTGCACTACAAGAAGGATTAATTGCGCTCTCCGAGAAGAGATCAGGTATGTCGATGGCTCGGTATGTGTACCGAGTTGACGAAACCGTCGATTGGGCATTGTTCAAATCAGCATGGGAAGCGGTATATCAAGCGAATGTTGTATTGAGAACTCGATTCGCACTGGCACCGTCTGTTGGTAAATCCCTTCAGGTTGTCGTTCAGGATGAAACACGGTGGATAACAGCAACGGACCTCGCTGCATATAAAGACCAGGACAACAAGAAAGAAGTATCTGTTCTGGGCACATCACTGGTGCGGACAGCAGTAGTTACTGAAAAACTCGATCGATACTTTGTACTGACAATTCATCACGCACTTTTCGATCAGTGGTCACTTCGGACAATGCTTGGGCAGCTTCAACAGCTTTGTAACGATCACAACAAGGTCCTGGGGAAACAATTATTTAGCCCCTTTGCCCGTTATATTGCCAGTGTAACAGGTATGGAGCAATACTGGAGGTCCGAATTCAGTGAGCTCAATGCAGAGATATTCCCTGCTCTTCCCTCCCCCAACTATGTTCCAGAAGCAGACACGGAGATTAACCACCAAATCAATCTTCCGTGCCATTTTAATTCCGAATACACGATGTCAAATGTCATTAGGCTAGCATGGGGCCTTGTAGTCAGTCAATACACAAATTCTGATGATGTCGTCTTTGGGGTAACAACATCAGGCCGCGCTGCGATGGTCCCCGGTATCGAGAGAATGACTGGCCCAACGATCGCGACTGTGCCATTGAGGCTTCGGTTACAATCGAATAATAGCCTAGAAAACCTTTTGTCTGCGGTTCAAGCCCAGGCTACGAGGATGATTCAATTCGAACAAATGGGGCTTCAGAATATTCAAAAGTGTAGTCCGGAGGCACATGTTGCCTGCCAGTTTCAAAGTCACCTGGTTGTGCAGCCTGCGCTAGCACCTGTTACGGGAAGATTGACTATTTTAGAACAAGGGTCGGCTGTCTTTGGGGGGTTTTCCAATTATACTCTTGTCCTCGTCTGTACGCTCAGTGCAGATGGGCTGGGGATTTCTATCAAGGCAACAGTCGATTCGAATGTTTTACAGCGAGAGCAAGCAAGACACTTTATCGAGCTGCTCGACCACTTCATAATACAAATAGTGACTAACCCCTATCGAAGCATCAACAGTTTGCCGTTCATCAGTTCACTGGACATAGCCAAACTACAAAAATGGAATTCGATTCTTCCCGCTTCACAAGACGAATGCGTGCACAAGGCGATTCAGAGACAATTCATTAACAGACCAAATGCACCTGCAGTCTTTGCCTGGGATGGAGAACTTACTTATGCAGACCTCGTCAGCCGTTCTTCGGTGCTAGCTTTTAAGCTGACCCGACGTGGTATTGGGCCGGAGAGTTTTGTCCCGCTCCTATTCGAAAAGTCATGCTGGACTATCGTCGCTGTACTCGGAGTAATAAAAGCTGGTGCAGCTTTTGTGTTGCTAGACTCGTCATTTCCGGAGAGTAGGCTACGTCAAATTTGTGATGATGTTAACTGTCTTTTGATCTTATCCTCCAGCGAGAAAGCGGAAATGTGCGGCACGTTAGGCTACGAGAATTTACTCGTGAATGAACTCACTACGTCATCCGATATTTCTAATATAGCACAGTACGAATCTTTACACGTGAATAATGCGAATGCGCTTTACGTTGTATTCACGTCCGGATCGACAGGCAAGCCGAAAGGGGTGGTTATAGAACATCGGCAATACACTTCAGCTGTACAAAACTACAAGCATGCCTTTCGCCTTGATAGTTCTGTGCGAGCTCTACAGTTCTCATCTTACGCATTCGATGCAAGTATTATTGAAATGTTGACGACGTTGATGGTCGGGGGTTGCATTTGTATTCTATCTGAAAGACAGAGATGGGATTCATTGGCATCCAGTATCAGACAGCTAAAGGCTAATCATGCCTTTCTAACGCCATCTGTATCTCGACTGCTCATGTCACAGGGCCTAGATAATCAATTCAAAACCCTTGTATTGGTTGGCGAACCCATGTTAGCCTCGGACATTGAATATTGGGCCGAGAAGACACATTTGATCAATGGATACGGGCCAGCAGAATGTTCTATTGCATCTTGCATCAACCCCGGGGTTACCATGAAATCTGATCCCACAAATATTGGATTCGGTAACCACGCTGGTGCAACATGCTGGGTGGTAGATCCGCATAACTCAAATAAACTGCTCCCCATTGGCGCAGTTGGAGAATTGCTTATTGAAGGGCCCAGTGTAGGACGTGGGTATCTCAACGACCCTGAAAAAACGGAAACTGTCTTTATACAAACAAATCAACTCGAATGGCCAAATAAATTTCAGTCAGGGGTTCGCCATTCTCGCATGTACAAGACTGGTGATTTGGTGCGTTACCAGGTGGATGGATCGCTATGCTATGTCGGGCGGAAAGACTCACAGGTCAAGCTTCGAGGCCAACGTATTGAGCTGGGTGAGGTAGAAAGCCATCTTCGACGACTCTTCAAAGGGCGAGACGTTATTGCCGATGTTGTTGTTCCGATTAGTAACAGAGCGTGTCTTGTAGCATTTGTCACTTCGGGGGAGTTGTCCCGTGATACTGCAAACACAAGCAGCCTGTCTATATTTCATCGACCAACGGCAGAGTTTCGAACAATCGTCGCAGCAGTGGAGATTTCCCTGCGTTCTAGCTTGCCAATATTTATGATTCCAACTATCTACATTCCAATTGCGCGTTTGCCTCGGACTACATCTGGGAAAGTTGATCGACGACTACTTCGTGAAACAGTCAGGTCGCTGTCGTCAGAGAACTTACAGTCATATATTACTCCTCAGGGTACAAAATTCCAGCGTCCAGTCCAGACATTCACGGAGATGCAACTACAATCTACCTGGGCACATTTACTCCGCATATCAGCCGACCAGATCAGTGCTCACGATACATTTTTCCACCTAGGAGGAGATTCCATTATGGCTATGAAGTTAGTAGCAGCTATGGCAGCACAGGGAAGACAGGTCACTGTTAGCGATATATTTAACCACAGCAAACTTTGTGATCTAGCGAACATCATGGACTCCAAACCTACCACGATTGCAACGAATGGAAAGCAAGCAAATGGCAGTCTGTCAATGGAAGACCGCATGGTGTGTGACGAGTTAAAGCGCACTCTACGACATAGTGACGAGTGGTTTGCGTGCAACGACATCGCTGAGATTGTGCCTGCTACTGCTGGTCAAGCTGTGTTGCTAGATCAGTGCACTATTGCGCACTTTCGATTCTCCTTGCGAGGTGTCGTCGACGTGGACCAGATGCGGGATACCTGCACAACTATTCTTACGCGACATAGCATATTCAGAACTGTTTTTATTAAAAATGGCCATGGGTACTTTCAGGTAATTCTTGACAAGATAGCGACTCCATTTACTCATGTTATACATGAAGGGGATGGGGATTTGGAAAATTATTGCAAATCCTTGTTCGCGAATGAATCTGAAAATGCTCCGTTCGAAAAACCTCCCTTTGGTTTCATTCTCGTGTCGGCGTCCAGCCACACAGAGCATATATTGATCATACGACTGTCTCATGCGCAGTATGATGGAGTCTCTTTTCCTGTCTTCTTGAAGGATCTGGGGGCTATTTATCGAGGCAATGCACGGTTATTGCTGCCAGCTACGCAGTTTTCAACATACGTTCACCAGCGATCATTACAATGGGACAATGCGGCATTTGAGTTTTGGCGCAATTGCCTGGGTGGCTCTAAAATGACGCCCCTTAACTCGGATTATTTAAATCTTAATCTCAGTATGAACGCCGAAGCCGTCGTACGAAGTAAAACCAACATCCCTATACCGACAGCGCCTCCTGAGATTACCCTTGCCACCCTGGTGAAAGCGGCCTGGTCTTATGTCCTCGGCCAGTTCAGACAGGAGACCGACGTTGTGTTTGGTCAGACAGTTACCGGTCGCGGTTTGCCCCTTGCAGGGATGGATGAGATTCAGGGACTGTGTCTGAATTTCATCCCCGCTCGCATGACAATTCATCCAGAAGATACAGTTCTCGATCTTCTCCAACGAGCTCAGACCCAGCATATGAAGAGTATGCAGTATGACTACCTTGATTTGGGAGACATCATCAAACACAGCACTTCGTGGGAAGCAACCACCAAATATGGTTCTATTGTGCAATATCAGAGCGGGGGTGGTGATCTAGATTTGCCCTTGTGTGAAGAAAAAGGTACTCTCGAGTGCTGGAAACATTCGACCGATGTCAATTTTTTGCCGCTAGAAGAGACATGGGTATTCGCATTCAACATGCTGCCAACAAAAACACTGCATCTGTTTATTCTGACTCGAAGGGAGATCATGAGCCAGGAGACGGCTGATATGCTAGTAACGAAGCTGCGAGAGATGGTTGAAATGTTTGCTCAGTACCCGCAACGAAGAGTGCAGAGTCTGGACCTTTGACCTTGCAGCACCTTTTTTTTTAAAAAAAAAAAAAAGAAACTATCAGGAACTATCAGGAACTATCCATGAATGCCATGTAAATACATATAATATATGGCTCTGATAACGACTAGGTCTCGCACACCATCAGGTATAATATTTTTTATTCGATTACCCCAAATATATATATAGCGGAGCAGTAATGGGTATAGCATCATTGTTTAGAGTATTGTGACATGCCCCTCAAGAGAGAAAGATAAGGTTATCTATACGAAAAATGCCACTTGAGCTCGCCATACAGGAGGGGCCTTTCGCCATTGGGCACGTTTCTTTCCTATCTTTGCAGATGGCTTCATTGCGCCGCGGCGTTTCTTTTTTCTTTTTCTTTTTCATTTTCATTTTTTTTTACACTTATTTAAAGCTGTAGACCGTCCTAGTCCCTTTCCTTTTTGCATCGCATCTTCTTCTTCTCACTGCCATCAAAACGCATTCAAAATGGCATCTCTTGGCACAAAGATCGCCGTCTGGCTTTGGGGCGCCGACGTCGACGGTCGCAGGTTGCTCACCAGGCTCGATTTTACGCTCCTGCCGTACTTCTCGCTGATCTGGTTTCTGTTTGGAGTCACTCGCGCGAGTTACTCGTCTGCCTACATTAGCGGCATGCAAGAGGCCCTCCATTTCGAGGGCAAGGACTACAATTACATGAACACCGCCTATCTGGTCGTGTATGCCGTGTGCCAGATGCCGGGGACAAGTCTCTTGACAATCGCACGCCCGAAATATGTCTTTGTTGCGGCAAATGTGACCTGGAGCGTGTTGACGTTGATCACGTACAAGACGAATCGTGCGTGGCAGGTTATTTTATTGAATGCGATTGAAGGAGGCTTTTCTGCTATTGCCTAGTGAGTGTTTCTTTCTTCTTCTCAGTGCTCCTAACGGGAACAAACTAGGCTAAATGTTACAGTGTCGGTGCGCAATTCATTCTTGCATCGTGGTATAAGAATTCCGAGCTGGGCACTCGCGCCGCCGTGTTTTGCGTCTTCGGCCAGTTTGGCAGCATGGCTGGTGGCTGGATCCAGGCTGGGCTCTTGACGACGCTGGCAGGAAAAGACGGCCTTCCGGCTTGGAAATGGATCTTTATCATTGTATCTGTGATGACTATTCCGGTGGCCTTGTTCGGTATGGATATCAACTTTCAACCAAATACATGTCTTCCCTTGCTAATTACTGAAAATAGGATGGATCTTTATTCCCGATCTCCCGGCACATAGAACAGCCTGGTATCTCACAGAAGAGCAGAAAGACCATGCAATCAGAAGACTGGGAGTCGGACGTAGGGAGAAGTGGGATTCAACTGTCTTCAAGCGGGTTCTTTTGAGCTGGCAGTTTTACCTACTGCCGCTCATTTTCATGTGTACGTTTATGCCCTTCCCTGTAGGCTCTAGGTTCTGCTAATCAACAGAAGTGTACTCGCTGTGCGTTCAAATGCTGCAAAACAACGTCATGGCCCTCTGGATGGCCTCCCGGGGCTACACAACCGTCCAGCAGAACAACTACCCAACGGGCATTTACGCGACGGCGATCGTTGGCACGGTTTTCTATGCGGTCATCTCCGACAAGATCAAGTCTCGCTGGGAAGTCTCAATTGCCATTGGCGTGACATTCATCATCGGCTCTGCCATTCTGGTCGGTGTAGACACCGATTCCTCAGATGCCGCCCACTTCTTTGCCTTTTACTTACTCGGTACGACATTTGCGCCTCAAGCTGTCTGGTATTCATGGATGGCGGATGTAACAAGCCATGATCTTCAACTACGCGCGATTACAACGGGATTCATGAATTCCTTTGACTTTGCGTTTGTGACCTGGTGGCCCCTCATCTTTTACCCGGTAACCGATGCCCCGAATTATGAGAAAGGGTACATTGCGAGTTTGGTAACCGGAGCACTGACATTACCTCTGGTTTGGGTCATTACATACTTGCAGAGAAGGGACACGGTAAGAGGCGTTATTGGGAGGATTATCGAGGATGACAGCAGTGATAGCACCCAGGGTGATGGTGTTAGCGGCAAGCCCAATGATGCCGGAGAGGCGGTCAATGTGAGATCGACAGAGGTTTGATGTGTAGTTAGTTGTCAATGAATGCACTGCCATACACGATATAAAGTACAATCCACACTATCGAGTAGCGCGAAGTAACGCTGAACCGTCGACGTAAATATAGTCACGAATTTTGGTACAACACTAACAAAAAAAAGTTGACTCTGAAGGGCAATAATCCGCTCCGTAATACCATTAGTTGCATCGAACCCTCGAGAGCAATGGTTGTCGCCACATGAGACTTGACGTACACATACATACCTTGACCGCGTCTCAAGTGATCTATGGCATAATTCACGCACGCTCCATGAACCCTTATATAATGCGAGAGGTATCCATGCCCCCTCTGGCGACGTCTCCGCGTTCCTGGTTACGCGGACCGCCCTCGTCCTCCCACTTTTGCCTTTCCTCGTTAGTCAACTTCTTCCAAACGCCCTTTTCGCCCCTCAGCTTCCTGCTTATCCAGCGGAAGGGCTTTAACGGATTGTTTGGGGGCCCTTCAATCTCGCCTTTGTGTCCGCCGAAATTGTCATTCACGTACATTTTCTGTTCGACGAAGGCATGCAAGGACGCAAGGCGTTCCTCCGGGGTCATCGGGGGCCGCAAAGGGCGCCTTGTTGCGCGTGCGTAGGATGGCAGACGCGGCTCACTCGAGTCTGGCCGGCGCGTGTACTGTGGCAGCGCCTCGTGTGTTGCCTCGCTTGGGAATGCCGGGGGCTAGGGGCTCCTCGGACGCAGGCGATGCCATTGAGCGAGCGATTGTCAATCTGGTTGCTTCGACGTGAGAACATCGTGGACTGTGTGCAGTTATACATCCAGGGAGGCTGGAGGTGCACGTTGTTAGTGCGGGGAAGGAGGCTCGTTTCTCTGCTCTGCCACACGACATCGTCCACGCGCGCACGTGCGCCAACTTCAGCCGCCACTCCAACGTCTTCTTCACTGCGCTCCGACTCAATCATGAAAGTTTTACGGCACGTGGTCTATTTGCGTGTTATTTCCTAAATCATCCTCCCAGCATTTCAATTCCAATACTCTTACGAAGATCCAGCGATAACGATGTGATCCATTGGCACATGTCCCCGGCACGCGAAGAAACATCCTAGCACGACATGAAGTGCATCCGGTGAGGAATCTCCTAGCGTTTTGATTTCCATAAGATTGTATTCTGATTCATTCGCAATGACTACACATCTACACATCTCTACGTAGTGAAAACAAGATCGGACAAGACGTGCTCCTATTGGCTAATGTATATTGGCAGAAGACACTCTCATTGGCTGGCAGTCACCATATTATAGTGCCACTAATCGAAGATGGGTAGCTCGTTCACATGTCCAATCATCTGAGGCATTAACCCTAACCCTCACTCACCGTTCTCCGACCATCAGAAGTAATTCTTGCGGACACGCGATTCTGGGAATGAAGGATTGTGCGAGACAATAGAGCCGCAGAGTGTGGTAGATAGTAGCACTTAGCAATTCATAGCGGATTTCGGATTTTTTGCTACAACACAGCATGTCTTTCACCAACCCACAAAGTTGAGAAATGTCGTAATATAAAACTGCATTCCTATTCACAATACCTAAGTATTGGACCAAGTGAGCGAGTGCCCTTAAAGCGCAATGTTTGTAATGAACCAAAACTATTCTCTAGCGAACTGTCGATAACGAATGGCATAAGGGCCGGAATAGAGCGATGGTACCATAGGGATACCCCGCGCTTATCAAAGCAGCGCCTTGCGAGAGGGCTGTACCTTGGTAATCTCTCAACACTTGATGCCGAGTCAAACGGACATTATGGTCTTCTCGAAATTTGGTGAAGTCTCGGAGGAATGGTCTTCTTATGTATCCTATCAACCAAGGCTGGACCAAGCCGGATGAATCCCTCGAAGAGATGCATATCAGTGGCACAGCGGTAAGAGCAGAAAGTGATAGTGAAAAATTGAAAGCATCTGGTCTCGAGGGCAAGTTCACTTTCCAGGACCACAAAGTTACGACCCGTGATGGCTCGTCTATCCCCTTGAGAATCTACACCCCAAACACCACTCCTCCGTAGGTAGACTTTCTTCTAGTTACAGTTCCTTCTACGTATACTTTCACGGAGGCGGATTCCTTCACGGATCTGTTGACACCGAACGCAGCTTTTGTGCCTCCATCGCAACAAGCCTGGGAGTTATCGTGGTGCATCCTTGCCCCCGCCTTATTCACGAGGCTAAATATCCAACAGCTCACAATGATGCCTGGGATGCAATCGAGTGGATTCTGGAACACGCCGGTGCGCTCGGTGGAGATCTCAGCAATTTGGTTATCAGTGGCGTCTCTTCCGGGGCTAACCTGGCCGCCTCTGTAACGCAGCAATTCTCTGTATCGGGGAAGGACGCGAACAGCGCGGTCAGACTCAAAGGCCAGATCCTCATGGTCCCATGGCTGGTCCAGCCAGAGGCGTTTCCCTACCACTTGTTCGCCGATGAGAAGAGACTTCGCTTGTCCAATGCCCAGAAGCTCTGCGCCTTTCAACGGCGAGAATGGAATGGCTCTCGGAAAACCTCGAAGCGGAGGATATTAGCGATCCCCTGATCAATCCGCCTTTGGCTGACATTAAGGTGTTATGCAACTTGCCCAAGACGGCTATCATTGTAGCAGGTGGAGACCCTCTTCGGGATGACGGTCTTCTTTATGCCATAGATTGAAGCAAGTTGGATGCGTATATCATCTACATATGTGCAAGATTATGCCAAGCTGACGGAAGTTTAGAGTTGCCACGAAAGTACATGTGTTCACAGGAATGCCACATCATTTTGTAGTATATATTGCTCAGACGCGAATCCTAGAATCAATTCGTTGGGCGTTGGCACATGGTGATGATGAGGACAGTAAGACATAGACCATTGAGCCAGATTTGGGAAAGTTGAAAGGAGACTTCTCTTGTTATGCATTAAGCATGATGTTTTGTTTTTTTTTTTTTTTTTTTTTTTTTTTTTTTTTTTTTTGATCCTAGATAGTTGAGTACTCAAGTTATTCCGCTTTTTTATTCAATACTAGTAGAAGCATTGCTATTAACAGATAGCTATATGTAACTATATATAAATGTTTGTCTCACGTTGGTGTTTATATATACGGAGTCACTTGACTCTGCTCCGCGAGCAAGGCTTGCATATCTCCGCATCGGGGATCATCCTGGCATTCTGAACATTGCTTCGTAATCCAAACATCCAAGTCCTCAACCTCCTTGCCTTGAACACAAACCACTATACCTTTCAGCATTTCACCGGCTTCACCTTGGGTCAAGCCGCTGGCCAGACCGTTATGAAACCTGTGGATCCTCTCGGTTCCTTCAGCAAAAAAAGCAAGTATATCAAAACTGCGGCTTCTCAGTTCTTGTGCAAGCAGTCGATCATTGTCACTCAATTGGTGTTACTGGAGTAGAGAGAAGCGAGGTCCGCCGTCACATAAGATGGGCCAGAGGCTTCAGCTGCAGGAACAGTGCGAGCAAATTGCCAGTGAATGATGCCCGTAGTATTGAACTCGTCGTCGACTAGCAAATGATCGCCATTGTCGTCTACATGTTTGAGGAAGAACTGGCCTGGTATATCGGGATTTATCAACGCATCAATGTTCTGGCGCAAGAATCGGTAGAAAAGGAATGCTTCTAACGGATATTTGTGACAGAGTTGTCCGTCGGCAACCAGATCCATGTGCTGATCTATTATATTGGTGATATAGTCTATAGCTGTGTTAAGCAGGCCATAAGTGTTGAGAGAAACAAAACGGTTACTAGCTATGGCTGAGATATCGATCTGGTCGCCGTCCTTCATCACAAGCGATCCTGCAAGAGGCAAGGGGTGTTTGGAACTCTCGATTAGGATATCAGCAAGTTGTTGAATGACATCTCTTCGCTGTTCCGGTGTTGCCTCGTGTGCGTAGAATGGCTTCCCTGGTAGAGCCTCCATAATGATAAAGCCAACGCCAACGCGGTTCGAAGGGTCAGAGGCAACGCCGCACGCGAACACCTTTGGGGCGGGAATTTTAGTAGGTTCAAGAAACTTGAGTGTAGCATATTCGCTCGCAATCAAATAGTCCACTAATTCAGGTGGAACGTCGCTGAAACCCGTTCGAGCAATTCCCAAACTTCGTCAATGATTGACTTCTCGCACGCATCGTCGTCCGCCTGATTCGGATCATCAGTAAATGAAATATATTCTAATAGTCGAGATACATGTGTAGATATACCTCGTGAAGGGATAAACAAGTATGGTATTGCTTAGACAAGTGCTTCGCGTAGAGATGCTTTTTGCAACTCGCGCAACTCAGCCCACGAACTCCGGGACTTGTGCAATTGGTCACTGAGCAAGTCGAAAATCGGGTGTTCAATGTGACTGGATATTTTTGACCATCTCCTTGTTCTCTGAGTGCTCATCCTGCAGGCGAAGGAGATCCTGTAGCCTTGAGTCGCCGGCCCATTGATAAATTCGAGTTTGGCGCCACACTTCCAAGTCAAGGCCAAGAGGAATGCCAGTTGCTGTAGAGATTATACCTTGAAATAAGGCTTTTGCTTCATCCCAGGACGGATTCATACCCGTACCAAGAACAAAGGAGAACCGGCGCACAAGATCTGGACCGCTGGCAATACGGCCAAGATGCTTATCTCTGCTTTGCACTGCCTCGGCCATAAGGCTGTCATTGGTAGATTGGCCGGCTTTGCCATTGAACATGTCATTTAAGTTAACAGTTAGGAGCGAGGGGCCAAAGGCTTCGAATGTGGGCACAATCCTCGCGTATGTCCAATCTATGATCCCTGTGATATTATATCCATCACCCACAAGTATGTGGTCTCCCTTGTCATCCAGCTTTAGGAAAAAGGGGCCATCATCAAAACTGGCCTCTAGAGAATTCCACCTTCCTGAGTTGGCCAAGTTTTGAAGATACTTGAAGATTAGATACGCGTCCACTAGATAAGGCCGAAAAAAATTGACCATCATAGATCATCTCAAGATATTTCTCTGCGAACGTAGAGGCCCCATCGGGCTGAATGTTCCCGTACGATCGCCTACAATAGCGCCAACAGAGATCTCGCCATTTGATTGAATTGTAAGAGGGCCAATTTGATCAAATGGATGCGTTTGAAGAGTACGCAATATGCCCACCCATTGATCGTAGACCTTCTGGATCTGTTCTCCAGATGGCTCCTGTGTAATAAAGACGTACCAGGAAGCTCGTCAATCAGCATGTAGGCAACACCCACTTCACTAAGAGGGTCATTGCGCAGGCCATATCCATATAGTCGAGGTGCGAGCACGTTGGTCTTTGTTAGCCATCTTAGGGCCGCGCATTCCCTGTTGATGACAGCATTGCTGAATTCACCCGAAAAGGAAGTGTAGTTATATCGAAGAATTCGAGCTAGCCATGTTTCTCTATTCGAAAATCGAATGCACAAGTGGACGTGCATGCCGCCCCTCGAAGGCCCTTCAGTTCATGAATTAGGGCCCCAGTCCAAGCGTCATCGTTAAGAGGGTCTCTCTGCCCCGCAATCAGAAAAGAATTCTCGTCTTTTCTAAAAGATATCCTGACTTACCTGGCAGTTGTGCCACTGCGAGAAAACATGGGGCGCGCAGAAATATTGCATACAACGCTCACATGCCCTAGTGTCGATCGCCGCAGCAGCTGTGCAGTTTGACTCCTGACAATCCTAGAATCGAAATGGCCTAGATGGCATGTTGCCTGTTAAAACATGGAATGGCAAAGCAACATTCACAGCGCAAGGAAGGAGGGCGCGCGAATCGATAGAGACTCTTCTGGATAGTAGTTTTGGCGCTCAGTAGCATCATTTTATCTTAGCTAGCTCAGACACTTTGCAATTCGGCTTTGCACCCTATTTGTTTGGAGAGGATGAGTCTAGAAGATATTCAATTCAACAAATTATCCAAGGTATTTACAGGCCATTCGCGGTGTCACCAGTATTGAAAATAAGATCAATCCTTTTCTGGCGGTCCCAGACACGCTGTCCATCACTCCTTCTCTTAAAGTAGAGAACGCGGTGCATGGGAATGAACTCTTCGTCCGTCTGCTCCGACTTCCAGAGGCTGACTGGCACTTCTTTCTCGCCAATAAAACGGTCCAGATAGCCAACCACATAATCGGCAGCGTCAAATGACGGATCCCATCGAAGACGGCTAATAACATCTTCTGCAGGGCGCAGTTTTGGTTTAGCAGCAACATTTGCCGAATGCACGGGCTGATCAATTTGTTGAGATTTATTAGAATCCTGAACTGTACCACCACCTTCAATGGAACCATTGTCGATGTCGTGTTCGAAACCATCGTCCAAGTCCAAGTCTTCGCCGTGGCTAACTACTGTGTTTGTCCAATCCGAGTCACATAGACGCACATCTTTAAGTTCTGACTGCTTAACAAAAGCAACATCTGCCCACAAGACATGTTTATCAAAATATGCCTCGTTAGAGCGGATCTGCTCTGCGAAACTTTCGAGCAAGGCAAGGAGTGAAACATGTGCAGAGTGCCGATCTGAATCATCGGAGAAGGGTTGATTGGAAATGTTATCATTCTTTGCTAGACCAATTAAAAAGCAACCTCGGTACTCGACCTGCTTTTCAATCTGTCCTTCCTCGCTCTCTGTAAATAGACCTGGCCAGATTCGTGCGTGAATGCCAGGGAACCTCCGATTGATATCACCAAGTAGGTATACACAGCGGGTTTCCAACCATCCGACTAGCTTGAGCCATTTAATCTGTGCTCCTCCCCAATAATTGGCATCCAATTTAATATAATTGATGTAGGAGTTGAGAAAATCGACGTAACCCGTGGGTTTAGCATCTGTGTCTATACCACCCACCCAGGTGGCCCCTAGTCTAGAAATGAGCTGTTCGGCTCGTTTGAACTCCTCCCTAAGCGTCTTCACGGAGGGCACTGTTGCTGTTTGAGCAACATTAACTTTTGGTGGGTGAATGCTCAAAATAACCAACGGTTCTCTGTATGATCTATGATAACTGGGCGTCGTGTCTGCGTAATATGTAGGATCGTATATCATTTCCTTTTGCCAATCAAAGTTTGCATAGTGTTTGAAATACGCTTGAAGTATCTCTGAAGCAGAGGTTGCATAGCCTTCGTGGAAAGATGTCTTGCAGACGCGAGCGAGAAGTAGGGTAATATGCATGTCGCCCAGATAGCCAAACTTCGATGAGTAGATACCGCGGTCCTTTGCCCATGTCTTGATTGCACGATACGCCAGGCGGAAACTAGCAAGGTGAGTAATAGTGTGCTGCAAATAGTGGAGATCTCGAACAGCATTGAGCTTGAGCAAGGACTGCATAGGTACGTCAAAAGCCGGATGTGAGGAGGGCAATTCTAATGCCTGAGGCCAACTGCGTAATGAGCGTGTTAGTCTACCAGTTCGTTTCAGAGAAATATGTAGATGATTCACTCACCACTCTGTCACTTTCGTTGCGGCACAGTATTGCAGGTTAAAGCAAACACCCCCAGCTTGCAACCCTAACATTGTGCCAGAAGCGTCGTTGGTCTTTCTGAAGATTTTTACTTCCTGGCTCTCTGGAAAATGAATCTTCTGTGCCATCAGAGCAAAAAAGACCGTAGGACTGATTGTGCCGATAGCAAGGCAATCCATGTCGGACGAACAATCCCATACGGTCAGCCCATGAGATCCGACAGGCACCACGACGAAGGAAAGATTTAGTCTCGTGGCGACGTCGTTGTTCATGACTTGCCGTTCAACTGTGCTCTTGATCAACTCAAACATTCGCTGGCGATGAGCGATCTCGTCCTCTGATGGGAACATATTGTGATGACGGAGTAGAGCCTCCAACTGGCCGTCGCTGCTGATTGTCCGGGGTACTCCAGATAACCCCGGTTCTGCAGAATCTAAAGCCATGGCAGAGCTACGTGTGCTCAATGAACCGAATAAAGAGAGGAAGTGATGTATGAATGCGAGTAAAAACGCGGCAGGTAGAAAGGGCGCGGCTCCCGGATGGTTACTTAGGAGGGGTATTTTGACTATTTTAACTACCTAGACCAAACAGAGTCGCTCTCCATGTTGTCCGCTGGAAAGGGATATTTATATAGAAAAGTGAGTTATCGCACTCTTGTGGCAGAAACATTGTTCGCGTCAAAATTGCAGAGTGGGCGACGAAGGGTCACGATGAGTCAACATGAGCACCAGCCAATCAGAGCGCGTTGTTGCAGGCAACAACTGTGAGCAAAGACCAACTTGGATGTTTTTGTTTCACAATCCAGTCAAATAATGGACAGCTAGTTGATTACAAGGTGTAAGCACAGCAGCACCTCAAAGCACCATCATGAAGAAAATGGGCGGTGCCGACGATGCCGACGACGTCGTCTTCTTCTGGAAGATCGACCAGGCCTTTTGTGAGTTCAGCGTGGTACAAGTCGGGATTCGAGTGCGATGAACACCGGTTCTCAACTGCGGAGCAGTACATGATGTACAGAAAGGCCATCATATTCAACGACATCGAGAGTGCAGAGAAGATACTTGCTACGCCCCGTGCAAGTCCTGCCCAGCACAAGAGGATGGGCAGAAAGGTTTCGAATTTTGGAGCCGCAGCAGCAAACATATGGTCGTGAACGGTAACTTTTACAAGTTTGTGAACAATCCCAAGCTGATGCAGATGCTCATGAGTACGGGGAACAAAGTGATCGCAGAGGCTAGCTCCCTCGACAACATCTGGGGAATCGGCTTTGACGCCAATAACGCGATTATGCACAAAACACATTGGGGCGAGAAGAGGCTGAGCAAATGTCTGACGGAGGTTAGGGATATGATTAGAGACATGCTTAGCCAGATATCCAATCATCACCCCGAAGACGGTTATAGACACAACCACGAGAGTTTTCTGCTACTCCTGCATTTCCACGGCATGGATCAAACCAAAGGAAGTAGAAAGAAACAACCTCAAGATGAGGAAAATGATTACCACCTCTGGGAGCTGCATGAAGAAGGAGGGCCGGCATTTGGGCGCATTGCAAAAGCTTTGGAGTTCATTAATCACTGCGTTCATGTGGAAATTGATAGTTAGAAATTGTCTTTCTTCGAATTGAATCCAGAAGCACATGGCATAGATAATCAGGGAAGAGACGTACAGGCAGAATCATCAGTATGATAGTTCGCACAATTCGCCTCTAAGAGATCTAGATTTGAGCGTTCACAGAAACATATGTAGCTCGCAGAGTGGAAAGTGACAATCGCTCCAACAACGCCTCGGATACAGGGTTGCTAGTTAATAAAAGAATACTATGTATAATGACCACATACCACGTTTTCTGGCATATCGCGAGGAGTGACAGCAGCCAGATCGAGGTCAAGGCCATTCCAAGGTGCCGGTCAATGCCTCGAGTTTTGAGCGAAAAAGTCTGGCGTACAGAACCTTGGAAGTTGATTGTCAAAATACTTGGTGGACTATATATCTAAGAAAACAAACTATTGCACTTATCATACGTTCTCCAGCCATCTTAGAACCATGCTATGTTGGCCATCGGATTTACATATTATGACCACGTAAAAGTATCCGACGCATAAATTCCAAGGTTGAGGCCACTTGCAAGTATATCGGGGAAGGAAAAAAAAAAGAAAAAAGAAACCCAGAAACCCAGAAACAGAAGTACTACTAACTAAGTCTCACAATGCCGGACATTGCAAGCTTTATAGCCTCGGGTCAATCACATTAATATAATAGCGTGCATTTTGCAAAGTCGCATTGCCCTCCAAGGTTACTTCATTCTTGTCATTCTTGAACTGTACGGTAAGCGTCCCGTTTAACATCAGCGTGGCTCGCCCGGCTTTCAGTCTCAAGCGGCCCAAGGACCAAGGTCCTTTCGTATATGGGTAAGGAACCTCGGGCACGTATTTGTCGAGACCGTACAATCCACTTGCATCCCCCAATATTGTGGATTGAAGTTGCAGGGAATATACTTTCACGTAGGGAACCAACCAGCTTATATCGACATCGTTGGGGCACTCGAAGTACCATGCTATGGGGAATTTTGGGTCATATTGGCCTTGGTACGTCTCCCGCCCTATCATGATGTCGACATCGTTGTCACCGGCCTCAACCATCAGCGGGTGCCTTGAATCCTGCCCAAAGCCAGGGCTACTCTTTTCAGCCCCGTTGGGCCTGCGGAAAATCAAGTAAAAATAATACCCAGTTTTGGCGCTCGTGCTCGTGCTCGTGGAAGTAGCCGTGGACATAGGGGAACCACGAGCCACGGGTGTAGTAGGGGGAACTTTCTTAGTCTTAGAAGGACCCATCGTCGTGAAGGGTTCAAAAAGAACGTTAGTGCCAATGGTATATGATGTTGAGTATAGAAAATATAACTGTCCCGAAGCAGATTGGAGTAATGTTGGATTAGTGAGAAGTGTGATGTCTAGAGAAATCTTTCTACTAACATCTGCTGCTATTTAACCTGTCACCTAGGTTTCCATCTACCTGAGACTGATCCCATACACTTGTCTTAGAAACATGCCAAAGGCCTTTATCCTCATATAATGATTTCTGACGCATCTCTCATGTTTCCCGGTTCCCAAAGGATGCGGGCTTTGTTCAAACAGGATGAATTCTACAAAGCTACTCGTATTTGAAACCTACAGAATTATAACATCTCATGTGATCCAAGTCAGGGATTCTTTGAAATTAAATTGCATTGTTGGAGTAGCGAATTCCATTTAGATGGTTCTGCTAAGTCTCTTGGAGTTTGTTTATCTGCTGCAAATTCTATAGCTACGATACACAAAGGCCGTGGGGAGATTGTTGATACTTTTTCTAAATTGTGCGAGAGTTCACAACCTCTAAAACACTACGGTTTTAATGTGAATGAAAGAGAAAGAGAAAGATCGAATTACTGACAGGAAAAGCTTCAATAGGGTGAAATTCAGGGGCTTTTTTTTTTGTTGCGGGCGATATGTAAGAATGTAAGAATGAAGGGCATGCATGCTCATTGGCCATTCTTTAATGGTGGCTTTCACACTGTTTAGATCAATTGCCTTCTTCGCAGGCTTGATGGCTCTACTGCACTGTACGGAATGATCCTCTGTGGACAGATTGGAGGCATTCGCATAGTGGCCGGCACGGAACTATTCTATGTAATATTTGGCTGTACATATACATACTCATCTGTGCAAAGCTTAAATTTAACTTTCTCTTAGCGGATGGGGGATTTTTCCAAGCTCTCTCGCTTCCCGCGGACCCGTTGAACGACCGACCGACGACTCGCTTTGTGATGCTCGTTTTCGACACTGATACGTAGATACTCCTACTTTTTTTGAGATAGTGGTTTCGACAACTTGCAGGGCAGCCAGACGATGGGTGGTGCCACGGAAGTCTGGTCAGCCTCGGCCTAGGACTTGGATCAAACTGTTTGTTAGCATGCAAGGATAATAAAAATCCGCAACGGCCATCAAATGACTTTTTCTGGGTGCATACCCACAACGAAGCCCACCGAGCCAAGCACGCATTCATCAAGTCGAGGCATCATAGACTCCGGAAAGGGAAGCGGTTGCAGGCGCTGAAAAGCTCCATCCAGCGTTTTCCCACAAGTCCAGACTCGAGAAAACAAGAGCTTTCTGCGTCGCTACAGCCAGTGTATCTGGATCCATTCTCCTCTCTGTCAACGCGGATGAACCGTGATATGAGGTTCTATTTTCACTATTGTAGGTCTCAGATACAGTACTGCGCGACGGATGCATGAGCCTATGCTAACTGCATGCTTAGATAAATCGCAGTTCTCGCAGTCATGCTCTCCATTTGCGTCCGCTGAGATGACTGTATGGTGGTGACACAATGCATTTAATCAGCCTGCACTAGTGCATATTCTATTATCGACCAGTGCCCTGCATCTGGCAAGCCTCAAAGCCAAAGATGAGACACAGGCACACGATGCGGCCCGACACAGCCTCCAGTTTCGCAACAATGCTATGCAATTTTTCCATCGCATTCTTCTTCATACCTCACAGGATAGACTTGAGATGGCATTGTTGATTATGAGTAACCTTCTATGCGCTGAGGTTAGGCGTTACTCTCTTTTAGCTCCTTTCTTCTCCCCATTAATGCAGAATGTGATATGACTTTGCTAACCTGCAAATGAAAAGGGTGCTGATGCCAACTCGACGGCTGTAGAGACGCACACTGTAGGCCTCAAAAATGTAATTCATTTGTTGGGAGGCTGGAACGAAGTTAGCCATTACAGCATTTCGGCGATGTATTGGTAAGATCAATCCACCCGCTGTGCAACCAGATATCCGCTGATGTCGTGGTTTCGCTTTTTCCTGCCACCTAAACAGTGGCGATTATATGAGAAGTTTGCCAAAGGGCTTGCCCCCAACATTTCCGATGCACCCTAAATGGAAAGACGCCGTACTTGAACAATCAAAATACTACAACACACATCGCAACTGCTGCAGCCCCGGACTGTTTGGAGCGCGGTTATTCACTTCTGCATGGAGTGGGGTTCTCCAGCCTGCGCTCACGACTTTGCTAGTTTCATTCCAGCAGATTGCCTTTCGCTATGAACAAACTTTGATCAAGACTGAAGCTACGCCTAAGATTGAAAGTGACTTGCTGCTCCTTTGGGCGCATGAACTGTTATCTCTGCGGTGTGAGGACGATACATCAGCAGCCGTAAATCTGGAAATCCCCATACGTCTTGCAGTTTTACTTTACTCTGCTATTCGCATTTGGAATTTCCAGGGCATAGCATCTGTGAACGCCCTGGTCGACACACTACAAACCAATCTCAACCAGAACCACCACACTCTTCCGTTTCTCCGGACAACAGCGCCCGATCTGCTGTTGTGGATTCTCTTCCTGGGCGGCCTAGCCTCTCGTGGCCTACCAAGCCACTAGTGGTTTACAAGTCACTTTGCCCTCATAGCAGCGGATCTAACGATACACGACTGGGATGGGCTAGTGGGAATGTTGGAGGGATTCTGTTTTGCTGATCGCGCCACTGACACGGCGGCTAGGGATTTTTGGAAGAAAGCGCGGCGGTTAGTCCGGCTTTGGAAGTCAAACCCTTACTAATACTCTGGCTTACTCTAATAGTGGGCTATCACTTTATCAATTCCGTAGCGGAGGTTGTGATACTCTGTATATAGATGGTAAGTTTTTGATTGACCAATCGGAGCCCAACAAGGCGATCTCGCGCACGCGTACGACTGCGCTAAACTAAATTAGGCAAACGTACTCCGTGCTTTGATTGGCTGATCGGTGGGCCTATATTGTTTATTTTTCAGCCTCATGTGGAGAAAGAAGAAGCAGGCGCAAAAAGAGGGCCTATGTCGTCGGAAAACCTTGTCAGAGATGTCTTTCAGCTCAATGACAAGGTTTTGCCGAGCGAATGGGACTTGCACAATGGCTTGGCTACTTAAGTATAAATATAGGGCGTAGGGTACCTGCCAGAAGAGTCAAGATAATCCAAGATAATCCAACAACTTCTCTGCTCACTTCTAATGCACTACTCCAGTATAAAAAATGGAAAAAATTGTCAAAGCGGTCCATACCTTAGGCGAGCAGGCCGATGATTTGCAGCGGAAGAAGATATTGATTGCCCTTCGTGACCTATCTACATATATTGAAACTCCACAGGATACCATGCCAAGGATTTCGCATGCAGTAAGTTAAGAATTGGATTTGCCTGAATGACACGGATTTACTGTGGAGTAACTTTGCTCACTGAAGACTTTCCAGCATCTCGAACCGATTCTGATCCGTATAGGACACAAGTTGCGGATTTTCCAACTTGTCACCGAGGCCAAGCAACCTCTAACCGTGGACGAACTAGCGCAAAAAACAGACACAAACCCAAGCCTTCTGAGTGCGACTAATTTCCACTTTACCAAAAGTAGTTGCGATTGATATATGCTGATTGATGTACTCGCTTAAGGCCGCATTCTGAGATACTTGGCGTCAGTGGGAGCACTGAAAGAAACAGCCAAGGAGACATATAGTGCAAGCAAAATAACCCTTAGTTTGAATGAACCAGGATTCGAAAGCGCCATTTACCACAAGTAAGGAGCTATTTTTCGTCCTCTTCCACGAATAAATTGGCCTAAACTAAACTCTCTGTCCCAGTGTGGAAACAATTGCTCCCGGCTTTTGGGCCTTTTCCGAGTATTTGGAAGAGAACAAATACCAAGAGATTTGTGATCCGACCAATACTCCTTTCCAGAAAGCATGGAAGCTTGGTGGTCAAAATCCTTTTGCCTGGCTTCATCCCAGCAAGAAAAGTTCACCCACTTCAATCGCTTCATGGAGGCCCAACACAAAGGCATGCGCCAGTGGTTGGACGTGTATCCGATTGAAGAGAGGATCCGTGACTTAAGTGCGGATCAAGCTGTCTTTGTTGATGTGGCCGGCGGTATTTGACATCAAGCCGTTGCACTGCGAAAACAATTGCCATCGACTATTAAGAACCGAGTTATCGTGCAGGACTTTGATACAGTCCTGAAACAAGCTATTCCGTGCGACGGTGTTGAGATGCTGGCTTATAACTTTTTCGAGCCACAGCCCATCAAAGGTAATCCTCCGAAGACTTCACATCAACACAACAACGTATATATATACATAAATGATGGGCCTACGCTAACGCGATACAGAGGCACGAATCTACTACTTTCGCAACATCATGCACACGATTACCCGGATGAAAAGGCAATGGAAATCCTTCAAAATACCACATCTGCCATGGGGCCGGACTCTGTTATCTTGATTGACGACATGGTCATTCCCAACATGGGCGCTCATTGGCACGCCACTCAGGTGGATATGGTCATGATGGTGTCACTGGCCTCTCGTGAACGCACCGTCGATCAGTGGAATGCCCTGGTTGCCAAGGCTGGTCTCCAAATCAAACGCCTGTTTTACGTACACGGACAGTCTGGGCGACAGTATACTTGAGTGTATTCCTCTGATGAGATAGATGTAGCAGATAGAGACATGTCCAGACTATGAAATATTACTCCGTGTTAGAATGTTAACTGAAAACTTCAAAATCAGATAAAGCAATGAGATTTTGTTGAGTCACCGATCCGCCATATTTTTCGAAAACATTCATTGTTACTGTAGATGTATATCTATCCCAGCTTCAGCCCTTTAATTCTCCGAGGAGAACAATAGATTACTGGGTCATAGACGCGTGATGAAAATAGTACTCCGTTCATTCAATTAGGGCACCGTTGCTGTCGGACTACACTGCTCGGGCATTTCCAAAAAACCATCAAGGCAGGACAGAGGTTCTGCGTTTGGATCGGTTGTATATGTTTTACCCCTTTCACAATGATTGTGTAAGCGACATTAGCACAGTCGTGTTTAAACATAATCATGTGGTTATATACAGAGATACTACCTAGGTAGGCGTTGCGTTTTCTTCTCCTTGAAAGAATGATCTTCAAGGTTTATTGTAGTATATACATTCAAAGACGCCTTATCCTAGCATGGCACATTTAGATCCTCCTGAGTAAAGCTTCTTAACAAACGAAGCCAGTGGTTAGAATGCTGTGTGCCTCCTGGGCATAAGTACAGCCGTTGTTGACGTTGGAGTCAGAGTAGCCAGCATCCCACATCATAACACCTGCAAACGTAGAGTTGCCCTCTGTTTCATCAACAACAGTCGCAAGCTCGTCTGGAGTGATGTAATAGACAGCTCCGCCGCTGTTACCGTTGGCAGCAAGTGTTGATGCAGGCACGCCAACGAAAAGTTTGGCATCAGCAGAAGGAGTATCAGCAATGTAAGACACCCAGTCGGCGTAATTGAAAGGCGCACCGCCGTTGTAACCAAGTGAACAAGGATCCTCCTTGTAGGCCTTGTTGTTGTAAATCCAAAGCTAGTCAATAGTAGAATTGCCAATAATCTCGCCCATATTGGGCTCCGGGATAGGGCACTGAGGTGCGCCAGTAATGTAATATGTGTTGTCAGAGTCAGATTCGAAATTAGATCTGAGCGTGGATATCAAGTATTGGTAGTACTGGTTGCCTTCGTTTATTATATTATTATTATAGCCTTATCATTAAATATAATACTATAATTTCTAATAATACATTTATATATTAAAAATCTATTTAACTTTTTATTTATTATAATTATTAATCTTAACTAGTAATAAAAGATCCTTAATCTATCTTAGTAATAATTCTATTAAAGATATCTTTTGTGATGATGCAATGCCAAATCTATTTGGTCGCTAAACACGAAGAGACTAAACTGGAGAGAAGAAGAAGAGGAAAGAACAATTATTAGCCCCTTTCTTTCTACTTATACTTTCTTCTATTCTAGATATCTATAAATTATCTCTATTGTGTGCTAGTGTCTAGTAATTTAGATTTCTAGAAGATTCTAATAATATAGAATACTAGCTAGTAAAGACTATTTATCTCTCTTAATATTATATAAATTCTCTAGCAATCTATAGTATGAATTAAAATATAAGATAATCTTTATAAAGTATATCTAGCCTTACATTTTCTCTGTATATAATTTATCTATAGAAGATAGTTTATAAATACTTCTATAATAACTATATATTATTAAGCTAAATTATATTAAGCTATTATATCACCCTTTATTCTAAGTAATATTTATTTTAAATATTAAGTTAATAATAGTATATTATTCTTATTATAGTCAAATAAGAATTTATTCTTCTTAGCTATATATAACTAATTCTTTAAATATAATAATAGTCTAGATTTTTCTAAGTAAGAATTATAGAATATTTTTATAATATTTGATATATTCTTGAAATTTTCTACTAGATATTATATTATATTATTATTATAGTCTTACTATTGAATGTAATATTATAGTTTTTAATAATATATTTATATATTAAGAATCTATTTAACTTTCTATTCATTATAATTATTAATCTTAACTAATAATAAAGGATTTTTAATCTGTTTTAATAGTAGTTCTATTAAGTATATCTTTTAAAGTTTATCTAATAAGAAAACTGAGTATATTTAAAAATATTTAAAAAGCTTTAACTTAAATATATTTTTTTTTCTTTATAATAATTTTAAATAAGCCTAAATTCTAATAAGAAAGCTTCTAGTTAGATTATTTATTATTAAAATGTTTAATTATTAATATAATCTTATCTCTAATATTAAAATCTATCTTTTATTAATATTTATTTATCTATATTTTCTATTATTTTTATATTTATATTATATTCTATCTTATATAATCCTATATCTATTATAAGTATTTTATCTAAATTTAGACTTGCTTCTAATTCTATATAGAGTTCTTATTATTTAATAATAATTAATTAAATAACATCTTTAATATAAAATCTCTCTTAATCTTAAATAGCAATAGTCTAGTTAATTTCTAAAATAAAAATATTATAGCAAAGTCTACTATTAATAATTATTTAGACTAATCATCTTAGTAGAAGCTAATATAAAATTATAAATAAACTAAAAGATATTGATTTATAATTTTAATTTGTCTATTTATAAATATATAATATATTATTAATAGTTTTAGCTTAATCTTTAGAATATAGTATATCTCTATTTAAAATTCTAATATAAATTATCCTTCTTAATCTAATATTATTAAATCTAATAGGCCAGTCTTAAGGAATATATATCTAATCTATAGTCTAGCTACTTCCCTAGCTATGACATTCTTAGTATAAGGAATTAATCTTAATCTTTTACTTAATTAGTCTATCACTATAAAGATTATATTAAAATTACACTTATCCTCTAAATAAAATATAAAATCTATTAATATATATTATTATAGTTAAATAAATATAGGTAGTAGTTTTAATAATTCTAATAATAAGTCTTTATATATATTTATTCTTTTATATATAAAATAGTTATTAATATACTACTTAATATTCTAGTTCTATATTTTTGATAATATTATTCTCTTAATAACTTCTTTATCTTATTCTTTTTAGAGTAAGTAGTAGTAGATTATTAGTATATTTTACTTAATAATTATACTCTAAAATCTCTCTTATTTAGTATATAAAATCTCTTTTTAAATATTAATTAACTATTAGTTAAATCCTAGTTAGATCTAAGATCTTTAGCTATTTTATAATATTCTATAATCTTTTAACTCTTTTAATTATTCTTTAGGATTCTAGTAATAATATATAGTATATTATCTATAATAATTAAGATTTCTAACTTAGATTCTGCTCCCTATATATAATCTTATTCTTAGAATTTCTTTATAATCTAAGAATTAAGTTAGCTAGAGGGTAATAATAGGGAGTCCTTTTTCTTAGATTATTAATTATTCTTTATATATTAGATTAAAATATCAGCTTTCTTATTTAAGGGTCTAAATTAATATTTAATATAAAAATTATATCTAAAAAGAGTTTTTAACTATTATATTTATCTATTATTAAATTTCTTTATTATTATAAAATATTCTAAGACTTAGTGATTAGTAAGAATCTAGATAGATTTATTTTTAGTTAATCCTTAAAGCTTAGCTTACCATATCTTTAAAGCTTATATTATTACTAATATTTCTTAGTTATAAATATTATATTTAGCTTATATGAAGTTTATTATTTTAAAAAAATAAGCTACTAGATACTACTTACTATTAGTATATTATTAGAATAATACTACTATAATAATTTCCTCTAAAATATTAGTTTCTAATTATATTTCTAAATTATACTAATAATATTTAAGAACTAGAACTAATATTAATTTTTTCTTAAATTTCTAGAATACTGCTTTATAAGTATTACTTTATATAAAAAATATTCTTTTCTAAATTAGTTAATTAAATAATTATAATATCTTACTATAATATTTAATAAAGATATAATAGAAATTATAAAATCTTAAAAATAATTATACTTATTTTATATTTATTAGAGACTTCTATCTTTAAATAGCTTTAATCTTTTCAGAATCAACTTTAATGCTATTTAATATAATAATAAATCTAAGAAACTTGATTCACTTAATATAAAATTTATATTTATAAAGTGCCACTTATAATCCTATCTTTTAAAGATATTAAAGTATCTTTTTAATATATATTTAATACTTAAGTTTATTTTTATTATAAATTAATAAATTATTTATAGAAATTATTATAAATCTATTAAGTATATCTATAAAAATATTATTAATTATATATTAAAATATTATTAGTTCATTTATTACTTTAAAGAGTATTATTTTATATTTATACATACCATATTATATATAAAAGATAATTAAATCTTTTAAATTAGAATACATTTTTATTTAATAGAAATCTTACTAAATATTTAATTTAATAAAAATTTATACTTTATTAATTTAATTAAAGACCTTATTAATTAAAGATAAAAGATATTAATTCTTCTTAATTATAGCATTTAATTTTTAATAATTAATATAAAATTATATTTCTTCTCTAGATTTATTAATTATTAAGATTAATAATATAAAAAAAATATTATTTAATTTAATAAATTCTTTATAAAAATTATTAAAAATATATTTATATACTATTTTTAATTCTTTTAAGATTATCTTATAAAAAGAACTATATCTTAATATATTCTTCCTAGTTAGTTTAATTTTATAGTTATAAAATTTAGGAATTAATAACTAATCTAATAGATTTTTTAAGAATATATCTATATAATCTCTATATATCTTTAATAATTATTTCTAAATTTTTTAATATTAAATGCTATAAGTTCTAATAGAGTTTTCCTTATCTTAATAACACTATTAATCTTATAAAGACTTATTATTAATAAAACTAAATCTTTTATTCTAGTATTTATACTAAATCTTATTATATTAATAAATACTATATCTATTTTTTTTAATATTTCTTAGACTTTCTCTTAATACACTTATTCTTACTTTATATCTAGGAATTCTTTTCTTAATTTATTCTCTATTTTTTC